CACCCCCAGATTCGCATACGCCTGTATATACTTGACAAAGTACTGCGCAAACGCGTGAGTATGGCCGGTACTCCCCAGACCACGGCTGCTCCCGTACCCATCATCTAGATTATTATCAGTCGTATTTCCGTAAAGCTCTCCATTAATCTTCATCCATCCCGGTGGACTCCACGGCGATCCGACGATTTGTATGTCGTTATTTAACTGCCCCCCCCCCGGCTTTAGGGTTGTTGGCAATGTTCCGCAATACTCCGTCTGGGTAGTTCATGAAATCTTTTAGTCTGAGCTAAAAGAAAAAAAAAAAAAAACTGTTGGCTCATGGCTACCTACCCTACCCATCTCAACAGCCACACTAATGCGTAAAAATACGTTGTAGAGAGCCATTTATTTTTCCCTGTTTGATGATCTTCTAAATAGAACTAGTACTGCTAGATGACCATCTAGGAAAGTCAAGTACGTAAAATATGGATTTACATGTCCGAATTGTCTATCCCGATATTCCTTCAGTGTGAATTAATCTGCGATGAGACCGACGGGTATTCATATTGATGAGAGGGGGCAATCGAACCTTTACGAATATACATAGCCCGGTAGTGAGTGAAGTGATATGAGGTTTGAGAAAGAAACTCTCAGTACCCACAGACATTCCCAAGAAAGCGAATCTCAAATACAGTTGCATGACTGAACTGATGTAACGCGGCTGTGATCATTCGATGGGTGGGATGTAGTAGGCGCATGTAACACAGTGGCGGAGGACTGTGACTGTTGAAGTTACGATCATGTTATTTGAGCGAAGTACCTACCTATTTAGATCATATATTTATGTTGCTTTAATCGACTGTATCTCGATGACGGGCTTTACAAGACCAGGAAGGAGATGTGGTTAGCTTTGGATATTTCTGACTTGCATTCTACCCTCGAGATCGGGATGCCATGCGAAACATATGCTAGAAGCATGCTGTAGCAGCTGTAGCCTTCCAAGGCTGTGGTGAAAGTGATCTACCTCGATAGGGATGGCGACAACATTTAGTACCTGCATAAATAACATTCCTACCTTGAGTGGCCGAATACTAGACATTTTAAACAGGGAAGCAGGATTATATCTCAGATAATAACTATACTTTGTAAAATAAAAACAAAATGTAATAAACAGAGAGTATCTCTGGTGAATTCCGCAGGATCAAAGTCGGTTAGTTTTAGATCTATAAGAGGGGGGAAGAAGCCGGATCATCTGTTGATCCTTTAATTACAACTAATACCGATGTATTTTTAGGTCTGTAATTTACAGTGTACTAACTAATACAGCATTCCACAGTGCGTTTTCAATTTTAATTACCTGTTGCTACAAGAAACACTGCGAGTATTTAATGGCCGGTACGATCTAGAACGCTACAATTCTGTTGCGCTGAGGCAAGAAACTACTTACAATGTAGACAATTCGCCACTGTCTTTGAACGTCTTTGCTTTTTCACAACGCAAGGAACTCATACCACAACAATAGGATTCGGATTTTCTCCACTTTTTCTTTTTCTTTTTCTTTTTCTTTTCTCGTATTCAGAAATCAAGAGCTGAAAGCATACAAAGCGTGGAATTGGTTCAAGCTGAGGAGAGACAGGGTGTTTCGGTTCCTGGGCGTTGTGTGTGTAACAGTATTGTGTACTCCGTACTAGGAACGTTTTACTTGAGGTCGTTATATCATGCGTGTATTGGGTTGATTGTAAGCACCCCGTGTCATTAGGCTCTTAGAGCGACAGTAATATATAAGGTCCCGTTTACTATTTTCGAATATATGTACTGCCGTGAATTATAGATTAATAGGGTACGGAGTAGAGAGCTAATGCTGTATCGTACAGAAACAACTGTGGTATTACCGGTAATATACCCCACCAAGAGTCAGTCCCCCGATCACGAGTCGGGACTGAAGGTTTGGCTGAACGAACCACGGCTGCGCTGTGGGGGAGTCCACGTCTAACGATCTAGAAGCCTCATTGACACGCGAGCAAGAACAGTGAACAAATGAATCGAGCTCAAGTCAATGGCATTACTCACGAGTACCCTGATGAGTCTTGACTTGTATCATCTTAAGTCCCGACTACTCACTAGAAAGAATCCAGTGGGGCCGCATTGTGGCGATTCCTGGCCTAAAAGAGTGACGGGCAGATTGTGGCCCGCGTTTTCAGGCTAACTCCGAACTAACAGTCACTGCAGTGTCAGGTTGACTGCCAGTTATTCAGACCTGGAATGTACATAGTAACATGGCAGGTTTAATGAATCAACTGTGCTAGATATCATGACTCAGCAGGAGCCAGGATCTATGATACCACACTGAAGAGAGGCTACTGCGAGTACAACTCAACAGATGAATCAGCATGGATTCCACCAGAGTGGTATAGCTCCCTTTGTGATGAAGACGTCGTTAGCCACAGCTAAATTACTAACCAAAATCCATAGTCCAGTCCATGAGCTGGGTCTCCCCCACTACGTATTGAACTATCAGATCAGACATGCCGGCGGCACGAAAATGATACCACCGGTGAGATATGTTTGTTGTCATTGAAGGATCGGGTCATTGTGCAGACGTCTGCATCCGACTCCAGGGTGAAGGCGAGTTCAACACAGGGCAAGGACAAGGAAAGAATCTGATTGTTTGTGGGTTTGCCTTGCCGTGCCCTGGTATTTGCCAGGAACCGGGCATTGTATGTCTGTCACTGGAACAATCATTCGTTCAATACTGACTAGCATAAGGGTTATCGGGGACAATAAATCAAAAACAATACTTGGCTTCACTAGATAGAACTCTTTATTGGTAGAAAATGCATGTTTTAACATGCCGGCCAATACATACTGTTTAGGCCGACGGCCGGACTTTTAGTATTGGCTATTAACAGGGCCAGTCCTTCATTGAGTTGGCTCCCGGACAAAGCCGCAAAGCTAAAGTCGGCGCATGTATTAGTAATTCCGAATCCGTACCTATGCAAATATACGCACCATGGCTATTCTCTCTGCTTACTCATGCAATGAAGCTCCTATGAAATAAGGAAATACAAGGAATAATTAGGGTAGAGTAATGGACAAACAAATTGCCAAGCGACACAATGCTGGCAGCAAGTCAAGCCCGACATCGTATCAACGTCCGTATTCGTATGTAATATATGACGGTGCGTTGATGCATACTCTTTGTACGACGCTGCAGTCATACAACGTCTGTATTGTATGTAACCGTACGACGGGTCCTGCTTAGCCCGGGGCTGATGCTTTCCCTCCAACAAACCGACGTAACTCCATCAATCATTTGTTTCGCTCGCTCTCACTCACTCACCTCACCATTCTTCTCCTCCTCCTCCTCCTCCTCCTCCTTGTCACCTCTTTTCTCTTCTCTCTCTTCATACGAGGCGTTTCCCTCTTTATTCGCTCCTACTATGCCTTGACGACTTCAATACCCGCTTTGTTTGTTGCTTTGTTGTGTGTTTGATCAACCTTCCTTGCTGTCTATGGAGCTGGGATCCGCCATTCGCCTCCACCTCGCTGAACCAGCAGCTCCTTGATACCAGTTCCTCATACAAACTCCCTGCTATTAAATGGTCGATTCCGTTCTGAATAGATCATTTCCTTTGCACTTTTGCTGCTATTGATTGCCGCCGTTTGATCGGTCGGGCGCTCTCCCAGTCATGGCTTCTCTTGTCCCCGAGGCCGGGCTGTCTCTCTGGCGTGGAGACCAGCCGGGTAACCTCTCGCCAGACCCTCATGCCAAACAAACTCAGATAATGCGTTTGAACCTCACTCAAAGCACCTTGGACGAACTGGTGGAAAGCCTTCGCAACGATCAAAAAGCTCGATTACGTCTTGGGAAACACCAAACTCTCTACTACGGCTCCAAGTCCCACCAATTTCACTCCCACCTCGAACCTCATCGCTCCGAATTGTACAAGACCTCCCCCACCGATAAAGAAAACCTCTACTTCTCGGGCGTGCTCAGTCACAGCCTCGAGGTTCAAAAGGCAAAAGAAGCAACGGCTGCCACCGACGAAGCCCTAGCAAACCTCGAACAGAGTCTCAGTGCCTTTGAACGAGGCAAGGAGTCGAAGAAGACGCAACTCGTCAACCTCAAGCCTGGCGATCAAAGGTCTCGCTCCAAGGTTCCCTTGAGCAAGATTGATCTTGACAAAGAACGTTTCTTCAAAAATCGCTCCATCTCTGGCAGTCCCTCACTCGGAGCTATTCGATCACCCGCATCATCTCTCCCCGCTCTCACTCCCACCTCAGTTCCTTCGTCCCAGAACAAACGAAAGATCCGACTCGAAGCGTTGAAAACACCGTTCATCCACCTTCTCGCAGTCACTCCGGTTTCAGTCAAGTACCTCGCTCAAACGACTCGCTCGTCGCAGGAAGACTGCCTCGAATTGGCCAGGAAGTACGGCGTTGAAAACCGAATTGACCCTTCGAAGTTCAATCTGAAGGATAAATGTTACAAGGAATTAGATATCTGGAACTTCCCATATCCAAGCGAATCTGATCGCACCTCTGCAATTGAAAACGCAATTTCAGCGTTTGATCGGCAGCGGATATCACCTTCAGACAAGCTGTGGCAGATGCTGAATTCAAAAGAAGAGCGAGCAAAAGGAGTTTGCAAATCGCGCTTGAAGCTTCAAACCGGACCTCCACCTATTAAAGTGCACGCATCGGAGGAAACAAGCAAAGAAGGGTACATGACTGGCAACGAGACTGACCGAACCAACGGGCGATTGACCCCGAACGGTGACAGCACTACATCCAAGCCAGCACCAAAGAAGATGGCGACCACCAAATCCAAGAATACCACCCTCACTGGGCGAGTCACAAAAAAGACAGAGAAGAAGGCTCCTGCAAAACCCACGGGCAAGTTCAAATCTGCCGAGTTTGTGCATGATTCAGACGAGGACACGGACATTCCAGACGCTCCTCCTGTTCGTCCACCTCCACCAGCAGCGAAAAAGGCACCAGCCGCGAGCTCTACGGAAGCCAAGAAAGCACCAGCCAAACCAGTAGCGGACAACAAACCTGCGAAAGCGGCTTCCAAACCCAGTTCCGTCACTCACTCGCCAACAGTCAAACCCCAGATTACGTTGAAGCCTCAGCCGCGAACTATCAAAACCATTCCGGCCAGCAGCGCTAATGGAACTGGTTCCAAGACATTACCTGGATCTCGAGCAACAAAGCCTACTTCTCCAGTCAAAAAGTCTCCATTGGCGTCCTCCCCACCGACAAATGCGTCTGATATTGACAACTCTAGCCAAAACTCCGGGCAGACGAGCTCATCTAGTTCATCACCTCTTATGGCACAAATGGCGAAACAGAACAAAGCGAAATATACGGTTACTACGACCGCTACCAAGCCAAGGGCCCCTGCTGCGAAGCCTAATGGTACGGTGAAGCCTGCAGTCGAGCAAGCGAACCCTTTGAAACGCAAGGCTTTACCTGAACCGATGCCAACCGGTCGCATTAACCGCAATGGGGACGATATCAAACGTCGCCGACCGATTGAGTCTATGTCACCGAGTGGGACGAGTTCGGGTAGTGCGTCGCCTCCACTCAACCGCGAGCACCTTCGTCAACAACTACGGCAGAAATCGATGGAATTCAAGAAGCTATACTCAAAGTATAGAGCTCTTCACGACTCTTTGGTGAATCAACTCAATCCCATGCCATCGGATCTTACACGCTTGAAACAAATGCATGCTCGAGTACAGCGGACGAAGAAAGAAATCTGGGACGAAGACCGACGACTGCGGAGGTAGTCCTACAAGCTGGCTTGTTGATCTTTCTCAGCTGATATCATTCTGATTCTTTGGTCTCATTTATTGCTTTACATGGTAAACAAAAGTGATTTCCAGTAAGAGCATCAATCCATCGCTCCAAAAACAGTAGAGGGATCGGAACATTGCATTTGAATTGTACATATTTATGCATTTTGTTTCTTCTTTTGGTTTGAACTAGAAAAGGAAACATAGGAGTTTGAATTTAACTAGCATTATCTTGCTTCAACACCACCGTTCTTATTCGTTGTCCATGAAGTCTCTTATATTGAAGTATGGTAGACTACTAGATAAAGAGGAAATTATAAACGAGCCAGTGCTTGACCGTTGAATACTGTAGTGTAACGGACTGAGTGGAGGAGGACTAAAATAGCGGATGCCAACTCGGCTGGGGCCGATTGGTACGTACAGTGTAACATACTGTATTACTATTACATGAGAACGGATGTTATAAGCCGGATGGGGAGACTGCTCATTGTGAAGCACGTGGCTAGCCGGTATGGTATTATTACCTTACATACTGTAACTAACAAACTAACCATGTATGTATCATTACATAAGCATGCATCTCTCTGCCTAAGGCATAAAGCTCGACGTCATGTAAAAAGCTCCCAAAATGTTCCCGTACCAATCAGTGACTTCGACGAGAGAACGACGTGATTGCAGATCCCCGCTATAGGTACTAGGATTTTACAGGAACGACATATTGATTACGATGAAGATACATGCATGAGCTGAAGAGTAAAGAATTATTTGGGATTGTCGTGTTCAATTGATTGAAAGAAAAGAGGATGGCTCCGCCTGAAGCTGGGAGACGGAATCCCACTGTCTTGGTATGTTCCTATTGCAAGAAAATTCATAGAGGTTAAACTAACTGACATGTAGGTAACCGACTCTCGTGACCAACATTCTCAACGCCCAGGTCGACGGACAACTCAGCCTGCCACGCGTCTCATCACGGTCGACAATGTCCTTCAATATGCCTCTGATATCCCATCAATGCAACAACGGCGTCCCATGCAGCAGCGTCCACAGATGCGGCCGCGCTCTCGTCTTTCGGCGTCTACGGGTATAGTAGGCGGTGCCTCCGGGTCCAATGTTTCGCTAGGAGGGGCCATTGGCGGTGTCGGTGGGAATATCGGTGGTGCAGGTGGTGCAGGAGGTCCGTTGGGTACGGCTGGTAGATTGGCGGCTCAGGCTCGATTACCATCTCGCTCGACGAAAGTAAGTGAGAAACTGGTCCTATTGCCGGATCTAGAAGATACGGAAGCAGAAACAGTTGGTCGTATTGGTGGCGATGGAGGAGATGAAGATATACTCTCTGCACCGGTGGATGAGGAACTCGTGCGCAGGATTGCGGAAGAAAGAAACATGGACCCGGATACGTTACGACGACGGTTACAGCTAGCAGCATCGCAACGTCTTCAGGGAGACTTTGGAGTCGATAATGATCTTGCTCCTTTGTTGGCGGAAGAAGAAATCCTGAGACAACGATTAGTCCCGCTGGAAAAGGCAAAGAGCTATGCGGAACGATTACCGAAAGCTCGACGAGCGGAGAAATTACCCCGTGTTACGGCATATTGTACTGCGCAAGGATTTAAAATGGGTGCTACGGCTTCTTTTGTCAAGGAGTGGCATGGAGCTAGGACGAAATTGTATGATGATTGTCTTTATACTGCGTATCACTTACCTTTACTTCCTGGTCGAGGAGGGTATAGGTTACGCAGTAGTCCGGTGTTGAAAGGGGCTGGTGGTCGTGTTGTTTTGGATGAGGAGATTGAGCGTAATGAGCGGAGGGATTATCATGAAGAGTATTACGTTGAGGAGCATGAGCATTCTGTTGGTGGACGGCGACCAAATCAGAACACTGAATCTGGGGATAGCGACAGGTCTCAAAGTGATCAGAAATCAGACGCACAAGATACAGATTCAGGTGACAGTCGACCTGCAAGCAGCGAACAACAACAGGCAGACTCGAAATCCGAAGCAGAGCATAGACCTTCTTCTACCACGACATCGACCACATCAACAACAACAAATCGACGAATTCCATCAAACGTGTTCAATTACGCTGAGATGTTCGTCTTCAGTTACGGAGTGGTCGTATTCTGGAACTTTACCGAACGACAAGAAAAGGACATACTCGCCGACCTTACATTCTCCTCGTCTGGCACAGGCCAGCAGATTCCATTGGCAACTCTCCCACTTGCAGAAGAAGATATTGAGACTGAAGAATTCCATTTTGAGTACTCGACTGAGATATCTCGACCCCGGGTATACAATGATATGATTACACTGCGGTCGAGGGACCACATGATCAAACTGGCGATATCGCACGGAATAGCTCAAAGCACGAAATTGTGTTTCTTTGAAGAGGCCATGTCCAAGGAAATGACGGAAGCGAAGGATGTTCCGCGTCGACTTGCCATGACCGGGAAACTGGGTATGAAGCGGGATGAAGTATTTCGGATATTGGGTCGGCTGTTTAAGAGTCGTGTTGAGGTTAATTTGTGTACGTTCGCCCCTCCCCCCTCGGGCACTAATACATTATTCAAAACTAATGGAAGAATAGCATCGAATATGTTGGATGTACCCAATTTCTTCTGGGAGTCTGAACCAACTCTTTACCCTCTCTACATTGCTGTACGAGAATACCTCGAGATCAAACCACGTATTCAAGTACTCAACGAGCGTTGTCGAGTATTTCTCGATTTGACCGAAATCCTCTCTGACTCTATAGCAGACAATACCGAGTCACGTAAGTGCCCTCGCGTTCATTTTTACGTACCACCAACTAATATGCTGGATAGACCAAACATGGATCATCATCATCCTCATCATAATCTCAATCCTCGTCACGACAGGAGAAGTCTTTCTCCGTTTCGGCATATTATCGAGTAATCATGCAACCGAGAACCCGGCCGGTCCATCTTTTGTCTCTTCTTTGATGATGAATCTTCTCGGGCGGGATTCCTCTTCATCATCGTCGATGGGAGTTGGTGGGACTTGTGTTTGTCCGTCGTTTAATTCTAGTGTTTAGTACTTGTATGTAGGCATACTTAGGTTTGTGTGTTTCGGCGGTGTCCGGGTGTACTTTTACCTTTTATATAGTTAATGCCGGTTCTGCGGCTGAATAAATGAGGGGGCTCCTTATCTGTGTTTTCAATTTCAGAAATATTAAGTACCTATCAGGACTTTTGTACTTGACAGCATGTGCTGACGTTCCGTATCAAGGCGGACGTCATGTGAGGCAAGGGATTCTTTAGGTAGTCTACGGCAACCGCCATCTTTGTACACAACAAACACCTATATACTCATATCAAATACACGTGTTTTTGGTCTTTACAGAAGTACACAGTATAGCCACGGAAGGCTCATCTACTCTGCTACACGAAACTGCCCTTCTCTACGTCAAAGGATGGCAGTTCACGGTCCAATTCCATCAGCCTCCTCCCCCAACTCCCGTGGTAAGAGACAACTGCATAAAGACCAAAATCGACATAGAAGAGCAGCGAAAGGTTACTTCTGTGGAGACTGCGATAGAAAGATGTCTCAAACACCCTCCCCTTCAAGGCGGCGGATGCGATTCATTCGCCGTTCGACTAGAAATAGTTGACACATTGCAGGCCAGAGATGGTCGTAATGCGCAGGTTATGGTTGTCCGAGTCGTGTACATCGCTTTTAGGAAGATGATCGACTTGTCGCGAAATTTTATGATCCGCTTGATTTTAATGATGATGATGATGATGGCCGTCTTAATCCTTTTTGTGCCTGAAGCGACATTACACACAAATCTCGGGCATACAATGTTCTTTCTTGGAAAAGATATACCACTCTTTTATGGATCTCATTCCCTGGAAAGGCCGGCTGTAGACGGCCATTGCACAGTCCGACTCATTCTTATCGAGAATATACCCTTGCAGAATATAAACTCCGAACAGCTCACCCAAAAACGTCGCCAAAGCATAATGCACTCAATCATCGCTTTCGAAAGCCGGGCATACGAGCGTGACATCCTCCTAGCGGATTTGTTTCGCCGAAATATAATCCTAGCTCATAGCCTACATGCTGACTCTGTCCAGAGTGACATAAAAGAGAAAGACCGCCTTGTTTCCACTGACTTTGCAGCAGCTATCTTTGGACGGATAAGGGACGATCCAGTCACTCTAGATTACAAACCGAATCCTTTTCTTGGAGAGTATATTTCCTTACTCTTACGATGGAAACAGAGACCAAGTTATAATTTAACGACTGGGTGGATTGGGATTGGACGCCTTAGCTTGAGAATGAGTTTGGGTATACTGTTGGTAGTATTACCCCTGAAATGAGGGATGTGTGGGATTATGATGATGACGATATGATGATAATGCTGTCGTAGGATAGACAGCATGACTCCCTTGCAATATGATTGCAATGGACGCTATTACTATGAAAGCATCTTAGATGCTCAGGGTCTCGATAGGGGTTCCTAGAACGAGACCAGGATTCGTGCATGACAGGATTCATTCCGAGTACACCACCCATCAATGAAAAAGAGGTGCGTACACCGCTCGTTCTGTTATCGTTCTCGTCTACATAATTGAACTCGTAAGCGCCGTCATCGCATAGGCGCGTATCCCTGTAACTAGATGGTCATATCAACATCCCTGCAGCGCATACAGATACTTCTGGATTGGATAATCCGAATACCGAAAGATAAAAGATCAGTACACAAAGGAAAAGCAAATATTTATTATAAATAATGCTAAAAAAGATAACACACGAAGCAAAAAGCAAAAGAACCCTGACAAATGAAAAAAAAAAAAAAGGTATTCTACCTACGCCACCAAATCAACCAACCAACCAACCACACCAACAACACCTTCAAACCTTGTCCCTTGAATCGTACTCCCTAGCTCCATCCAGTCGAATGCGTGCTTGTGAGTACATTACTCACTAGTAATTAAGTAAGTTATTGAAAGCTCTCTTTGAACAAATGAAAAGGTATGCTATACATGATTCATGACAAAAAAAGGGGCTAATCGATATGGATGGGGGATATTAGGGGAATCAATCAATACACAGTAATGACAGCGATATAAGATGAGACGAAAAGGGGAATCGGTTCGCTTTGATATAAAACAAGTCACCAGGACAATGCAAGGAAAAGTCAAGCAGAGGGAATAAGGAAAGGTATAGTATAGTATAGTATGCATGCTAATGCAATTCTTCGCATTGGCATTCAATTACATAGGTGTAGACCACCCGTCAGGCCCGATCCTAGGCTTCATTTCGTAATTCTCCGGCTCGGTGCTTCCGGGTCGTCGAATAGTCGAGTTTGGAAAGTACATATGCGGTGGCATAGCACTAGCATATGCAGCCACATTTGACTCGGGATACCCAAAATCGTGAGGGGAGCCAGGAGATGGCATACTGCCATGAGACGGTGACGCCCATCCCATGCTTGTCATATGTGGACTGCCTGTGACACTGCCCGGTCTGTGGTCATTGTTTGCTGGTGGCTCCAGTGGCTGGGGTGGTCCATAACCGCTGGGATGTGAGGTCATGGAAGGTCGAGGATGGCTGCTATAGCTCGATAAAGAAGGTGATGTAGCTGCCGGCGAAGCACGAGGACTTCCTTGTTGGAAATCACCGCGGACATGGGCCGGTATTCCTCCATTCGGGATGTAGTATTCCCCCGTGGAGCGGATGATATTTAGAGGAGGAAGCTCACTGCCCATCCCCATTGAAGCTTGTTGTCCAGGAGAAGGTGTAGAGTGGCCAGAGCCTGTTTCCGAATAGATACCCTCAGAAGCCCGTGCCGACCTCTCTCTGTTTTGCCGTAAGCTAGCCTCGGTTTGAGCTGCTGCTTCCTCAATCGTTCCAGTGTGGTGGTTTTGGTGACGAGTGAGCGTAGTACGACGTGTAAATGTCTTTTGGCAATTTGCATAGGGACATTTGTAAGGTCGCTTGCCAGAGTGAATTCTGCGATGACGCGCGAGTGAAGAGGAGTCACTGAATGGCTAGTAGGATGAGTCAGTAGATATTCATGCTTCGGTACGATGGAGACTCACCTTTCCGCATCGCTCGCACATATGAGGCTTCTCTCCAGTATGTACACGAGCATGAACAGTCAAAGCTGAGCGTTGGATGAATTGTTTACCACAACCAGGCCAATCGCAGGCATGAGGACGGATACCACTGTGAATACGTTCTACACTAGTCAGTATACTAGATTAAAATCACTTTGTATAATGGTCTCTTACCATGGCGAGCCAAGTCACTACGACGAGCAAATCCCTTCTGGCAGGTAGAACAGTGAAAAACACGCGGAGCTGGTTCCGGCCGTGACTGTTGCTGTTGCTGCTGTTGTTGGACTGGCGGTGTATGCGATTGCTGTGGCGGAACGGCCGGAAAGCCGGTATGAACGTAGCCATTCGGTGGCATCACTGGAGCACCGTTTGGATGTGTGGGCCATAGTTGAGGGGCCATTTGCTGTGTCTGATGAAGAGGCTGTGCGTTGGGAGGATATCCCATGACGGTGTGGTCACCCGGTTGGGAAGTCGCCTGTTCACTCATCTCTTGAGTGTGCATGTGTACTGCTTGGGCGAGTTGTGCCTGAAAGCGAGGATCTGCAGCTACTGCTGCGGACGCTTTCCTGTTCAATATGGTTGGGATCTCCATGACCTGCCTCGGGGGCAGGTAGCAAAAATGAAGTTATTGCGGCGTCTAGGCACGCTCGTAACCCGGTAAGAGGTCGAATATACGAGGAATTAAAAGGTTGTGTCGATTTGACGCACACTATGATCGGAATGCGGTGAGAACGCGCTCGTGGGACCGATTCGCGATAAGTAGTTGAGTCTTGACAAAGGGCTGTGGTCGAACTCCGTACAAACTAGATGGTGATAGAATCAATCCAAAATCCACCCTGTCTGACTGAGCTGTCGAATCTCGTCTTAACGTAAGATGATGGATGTATCTATCGGATGCACGGCGGCAACAAGCACTGTGATAAAGAATATAAGCTTAACTCGACATAAGCTACCCTCACAAAGAGAATCGAATCGGAATAAGCAACAACACGATGCATCAGCACGGTCCTCGCCTCTTGCCTCACAGGTTGGTCACTTCAGTTAAGCCCAAGCTGAACTTTAACTGCAAACCATAAGTTCAGGCAAGAGGAACGATGTTTGCCGCGTTTGGACCAACTGCTGTTACGTGTTGTTTTGGATGTCGTGTTGTTGCCCAATGTGTAGAAAGTGCAAAGGTAAAATCATCACCTACAAATGACAGCTATGACGCCAGTTCACGCCAGTGGGCGCCTCGAGGTACCAGCCAAACACGAGGAAAAACGCGGGACGCAGTGAGATAGATGAGAAAATGTCGAGTTCGCGAGGATACTGATGGAGGAAAAGGGTGTTGTTGTTGGCGCGGTGTTGATTATTTGTGATGGCAGGCCAGCCCAAATGACGCGGTGAAAAGGGAAAAAAAGGACAGTGGAGCCGAAAAGGATTGAATACGGGTTTAGATGTAGAACGTGGGATGAAGAGGCGCAAACGTGAAGGATTAATCGATTCCCAGGAAGAAGATCAAATAAATAAAATAATAAATAATAAATAATAAATAAATAAAAGTGAGCCATCCCGGTCGGTATAGTCGGTAGTGGCACGTATTAATAGTATGAGCTGCAGGGATGGCGCTAGCATAAATGACGGTAATACAAATACGGTAAGTTAATAAGCGTAAGGTTGGCTTCCCGCTTTTGGGGGCAGCTGGTCTCGTGCAATATATTCTTTTTTCCCTTTTGCATTTCATCTTATGCTTCATGGTCCTATCGTCGCGAACAGGCACATTGCCGAATCATTGCCCTTCTATCTTTCATCCAAATTTTATTCTCTATATTGTGGTTGACGACTTCCAGTACATGACGAGGGCAGTCCCTCAGGGACTGGCAGACCCACGTCTAGATCACCTCCGTACGGCTCTCTCTACAGAATACTTCGGAGCGCACATATTGTTAATCGCTCAACTCCAGCTGGCTATTTGACTCAATGCTTGAATCAGTCACGTTATCTAACACACAGACGGAGATGGAGCTGGCGGCGACAAACGGCCTAAGCCTAAGGGCAGCTAGCAATGCACGCTAAATTTCTAAACACTGGGTCAGGGCTAGTTACCGTTCCGACAGTAGGGCTCTGTATTTCTCCTTAGGAGTACGGATCCATCCTGCGAGGCGCGACGATACGACTCAACTACTCTGTACCAGCTTCTATATTTTCTGTCCCTTCATATGGAAAGCGCCCCCTGCAAGTCGCAATTATACAAGTGTCAAGTAATATAACATGCACGAGTCAGAATGATATTTACGAGATTACTGTCGAGACGCTTAAGGTTAGCTGAGCGATTGACTGTCACGCTAAGCATAGCGCTTGTACGGGATCGATTGGAAGAGCGCCAAGTCACCAACGTGTGGCTCTCAGTGTCCACTCTGTCTTATCGTGTTGCATCATCTCGTCAGATTTGGCGCTGAGAACTCCCCGTCCGTGAGCTGTACCGTGCTACCCGCACTGGTTTCGTCTAGAATGCTGTTCTTGAATAATGTTACTAGTAGTAAGAGTCACTGATGCAACACAGCAAGAAGTAACTGACAATGGCAGCGTGATAGATTAAGGAGTACGGGGTGCATACAGCCTACACAGCCCCTTTCTCGCAGAATTAATCGAAGACGAACACCGTAGCTTGAGATATTCCAATTTTAGAATGCTCCGTATTTTCCTTGAAACTCAACAAGGTTCTTCCAGAAGGCCGCTAGAAGCATTCCAAACTGCCAAGATCCGCCAGCATTTTCCAGAAGGCTTCTTCTCCTTCGTCCTCCTCCCCGAGACAACTCCTGGGAGAGTATAGTATTGACTTGAGGACACGTATCTCGCTGACCGCATATTCTTTATTCTCTACTTTGGGCACCTTACACTATCTAATCAATGAACAAAAGGGAAAGGGGCATGAACATATGACCACTCAACCATGTCTCCAGCCCACCCGAAAGAAAGGAAAAGGGAAAAGGCAAAATAAAATCTGAGACAAGGTGCAAGTGCCATATCTGGAGACTGATTGGCTGAATCCTGAAACGTAGGGTGACACTAAGGCAAGTTTACGGACTAGTCACACTAGGTATGAATCAGGTATTTTTCTAGAACGATGCTATGGAAAAAAAGGGGGGATTAATTCTGACGCTAAGGCTCCTTGCTAAGGGCTCCTAGCTGCTAGGGTAAGGCAAGGCAAGGCGAGGGGGTCCACTTTCTTCATCCAGATCATGATCCGAATTGGAATATGAGTTGAAACAGGGCCTTGTTGTTACGATTACGTATGTGCTCCGTATGGAGCTGGCAATCAGGCAAGGGCCTAAGGGCATGCAAAATGAGAGATCTGAACCCGGGAAAATCAGGGGTTCCGAGCACCCACTTTGCTAGATAGGTAATGGTATCGGCTAGGGTTACGGAATGCCTACCGAGTAGGTAATCAGGCTCCGTACTCCAGACTTCCAGAATACAGATCCCAATCCATGTTTCGAAATCTAGTCATTTAAGATTATTAGGGGCAGCTGGTGCTCGAGCTGCAGTCAATCAGCAGCCACAAAATAAGGATTTCCTTGGAAGATCTTGGCTTGGCCTTACGACTAATAAGCTTTCTGCTTCGTGTTTCAGGAACGATGAGGTCACGGATTGCTCGGCAGGTGGGTATGATTCAATGATTTCGTTGTAGTATGTTTGTCTTGGACCAGTTCGGAGAGATTCTGTAGCTTAGAGCTTACTCTTGGAGAGCTTGGTAGTTTTTGGGTAATGTCCGTTTGTGGACTGTGCTTGTGTATCGGTATTTGTTCTAGAGATATGATTAAAGGAGGATTGCATCGCCAATGATAGCATCTCAATCAACCGACGTAGGAAACCCGGACGTAACTTATGATCTGCGCGGTAAACATCTCCTGTCGATCGCCAAAGGTAATGCTTTGTCATCAGCCACCTTCTGGTCGCCTTCTAGAAGGGTTCCATTCTGGTCCGCGCCAACAATGTCGCTTCAACATTATCTACGTAGTAGTTGGCTGCTGCCGGTAGTTAATTTATGAAAACTACCATTCAATATCATCTATAGTACATGCGCCTCTTAATCTGCAATACTGATTATACACGCTTCTGAACAGCCCAAAAGTAATTCCCCCAATCCTCACCTCCATCAACCATGTTCCACCCCAAACCAGGCACATAGACCACTCCAGCAACTTTCCATTTCATGCCTTGTAACGCCTCACTACCAGCCCGATGAGCCGCACCATCCGCCGCCCTCATCAAACCTTCCTCAACCCATCCGCGGAGCTCATTTGCATTCACGAATTTGCTCCATTCGTGGGTACCCCAGGGTACCACGCCGATGGGCCAGGGTGCTTCGGCGACCATTTTGTTAACTATGAATGATGGGATGGTACGTGCGATTGTTGAGCCGATTAGCCATCCGCCGGGGTTGAGGAGTTTGAGGCAATGGGTGAGAAAGGATGAAGAAGTGTGAGGGTCGACATGTTCAATCACCTCGAAGAGCGTGATGACATCAAATAGTTTATCGTCCTGGCGTTGTTGTGTAGTCGCCACCGAAGAAGATAAAGATTCAATCGTAGTATTCTCATATCTGAATGCGCCGCTCCGTAGATGCTCAAATACCGCGGGATCATTGCTCGCGTGGTCCCGAGCTATTTTGATCAGACTAGTCGAAGGGTCAATGGCAACGATTGAGCCGGCTTTTGTGCGCGGATGTAATGCTTCCGTGCCGGAATTCCTCGAGCAAAGAGTTCGAGCAAGCGATTCGGCGAATATGCCGCCTCCGCAGCCTACATCGAGATATCGTAAACCTTGACGGTTGTTCGCCTGTGGCTCAGATTCTGTGAGACAAGATGCGATGAAATCGTGTCGTGTGGGATTCATCAAGTGTAGAACTCGTGATGGGCCCATTGGGTCCCACCAGCTGCTGGCGAGTCCGGAGAAATGTGACAGTTCATCAGCAGATACAGATGATGAGAAATGGTGTCGCAATATCTGTGTCTGTGTATAGGCGCTGCTTCTTATTGAGCTACCTGCCAGTCTGCGCGTTGCAGCCGCAGCGGCGGGTAGAAAGTAGTTGATATGTAACATTTCAACTGACTTTTTTGAAGTTCTTTGATCAATTGACTGAGTTTGATATTGTCTGAATGTATGTATGCAGGGATATTTGCAGCTCCTGATCCGAGCTTGAGCTAGAATGTTTGATTTTCCAATGCAAACAGTCTTACATGCATGGATAGTTTCCTAGAATCCTAAAATAAGGATATATCAATTATTCTGTCGCTTCAATTCCATTCTTCGATATATTTTGCTCACGATTGTTGACAACAGCAATGATACATGGAAAGAGAGACAAAACAACGACCACGTCGCTTGAATTTTCTTCCGTTCCGAGGACCCACTTACGGACTTAACCCTAACCCTGTTGAATACAACCAAAATGTTTTCCTATGCAACCGCCATCTCATCAGTAACACTGCAGGGAAACAATATAACCATCTGCCAAAGTTGTGTCTCTGAGTTACTACGGTACCATAGTACCACGTTGATTGTCCATATGGCAACAGTATTATGGCACGGTGTCGATGTACTCGACTACAAAAATGCCTATATATTCGACATTTCCTCGCTTTCTGAAGTAATCTCACATTATACACCATACTCCTGCTGAATCCCTGCAAGCTCTATTTCAAATGCAGACTACTGATAAAACCTTGACCGTTGTTGTCATCGGCCTCGGCCAGATGGGCCACAGCCATGCGTTGGCCTACCACCGCAATCCGGGTTTCCAGATAATTGGTTTGATAGATCGACTACGTCCAGGAAAGACCTTCCCAGACGAACTCAAAGAATATTCCCTCCTATCAAGTTTTGAGGAAGGTCTCGCCTTGAAGCCTGATGTAGTCTCAATCAACATTCACACAGCGTCGCACGCTGATTATGCTGTGGCAGCAATGGAATCTGGGGCACACGTCTTTGTCGAGAAACCGCTGGCAGTAACAGTCGCCGACGCAGAGCGCGTTGTCAATACAGCCCAACAGACAAACCGCAAGCTGGTTATTGGGTACATCCTCCGCCACCATCCCAGCTGGATTGAATTTATTCAACAGGCACGACACTTGGGCCCGCCGTTTGTCATGAGAATGAATCTGAATCAACGTTCTAGCGGCGATGCATGGGCAATTCATCAGCGTATTCTTCATGACGTGAAAAACCCAATCATCGACTGTGGCGTGCATTATGTGGATGTCATGCTGCAAATAACTGATAGTAAGCCTGTCCAGGTACGTGGCATGGGATTGCGTCTGAGCGATGACTTGCCATCCGATCAAGGGCAGGTCAATTATGGCCATCTTCAGATTCTTTTCTCCGATGGGTCAGTTGGTTGGTACGAGGTTGGATGGGGTCCAATGATGTCCGAGACTGCCTACTTTGTCAAGGATATAATAGGGCCTCGTGGTTCCGTATCCATTGTGATGGACGAGGGTAAGAAGTCTGCCGACAATGAGAAGGGGTATAGTTCAGCCAATATCAATAGCCACACCAGGACATCAAATATCCGTGTGAGCGCGGTGGTGGACGGACACACACAGGATAAGATGCTTTCCATGCACGGCGAACCCGATCATTATGAGCTTTGTGCGCGGGAGCAACAGTTCTTGCTGGATGCTATTCGCGAGGGATGGGATCTTTCGAAACATATGCAGGACGCGGTGAAGTCGCTTGGTATTGTTCTAGCTGCTGATCGATCTATGCGTGAAAATCGTGCAATTGATCTTGAATAATTTTCAAGGAGTCGACTCGGATCATACGCTTGTTGTTTTGGCGGCCGTCTTGGGTGCTGCAGTCCAATCTTCTCAGTGAATACAAATTGCTTTGACCTTCGACTCAAGATTTGTTATGTTGATTGTCTGTTCTATCTTCACATAGGTACATAGCCGGATGACTAGAATAAACCTCAGGCTTCTGAAGCACTAAAAACCCGCTGAGGTCTCCATGATGCTCTGCAAATGGATATAAGTCATCAGCACCGATGGTGTCCAACAACATTAGACTTCCCAATCTGGAGATAAAGGTCTGGCAGTCCTCGATAGAGCAATCAATAATCAGTACACTGCAGTTGCTTTGCCGAATGGAATTTCCAGGCACACATCGTACGGTGCCAAACCACGCGCTATCTCAGCACCTTCCGATCTTGCTTCATCGAGGAACTCTCCAAAATTGAGTCAACCGCCAACAATACGTATCCCGCGCTGAACGCCGCCTGCGATCCCGAATACATTTTAAGCATATTGTTGAATCAAATGGCCGCCACTAACGCCTAGCTTTGTTCTTAATGGGCGATGCTAAGGCATGACACATTGTCATTTGATACGCTGTATACTAGTCCATATTTAAGACTCCCTTCTGACAAACAGATCCAACAAACTCAGTTCCTCATGGACAATGTTTCCTATCGAAGGCCCGCCTCACTTCTTGCACGAATTTTTCCGCCCATGTGATCCGTCAGAATACCCTATTCTCAGGTCATACGTCTTCTCGTATCATTGTACTCATATCTGCCACCGTATTCGGAAATTAATTGAACCCGACAATCCTGATGAACTTTTGCTAGCTCAGCGGATATCATTCACGCGATTGACAGTGTCGAACAGCAGGTGCAGCCTTTTCCTAGAAAGGGGCATATAGCGAGCTTGACAATAGACCCTCCCAGCAGACTATTGTCGAATGATGCAGGCCTAAGCTCTGAAGCTCTGAAGCTCCGTACACATCAATACGTTATAAGAATGCTCGTCCTATGCCGTGGACTTCGTTTCTTATGCTTCTAGGATTCCTACCTGTACCGCTGAACAACGAAGTGATTTCAAGCAGTTGAAGCAACGCTTCGTATGGCAAATAGATGTTTTGTCCAAGCAGTTGCCCACTTTTACCCAGATGCCGCTAGACGTGAGCTCCCTCTTTACTGAATCCATTCCTAGAGAGCGGAACAGTGAAGCAGAGGCGCTTGTTACCTCCGAGTCAAACTACGGTGTCAATTCTCCTATTCTCAGAAATGAACCCAGCAGCCAGTCATTCTGCAAGAGCCCGGATATGATTTGGAAGAGTCTACTAGTCTTAAGGCTGTCCTAAACTGGCCTGTCTAAGAACACACATCAATACTCGGAGTGGGACGTTCAAGAATGATGACTTCAATCCATTAACAATTAGAATCTGATATTCATTCTAATCCGAAAATAGCTATGAAACAATACATTGCTGCAGTACTCTATACTTTCAGGCCCGGCTCTTATGCACTACCTAGGTAGTCCTTCGGCTGTCCTTTGTCATAGACCTCGTGGGACTACCCAACCCAAAGTCCGATTCAGAAACGGAGGCATAATCTGCAGCATTCGGTTCACTAAACCAGCCTGTCCGACGTTTCACCATTTTCCATGCTTCTGCACCCAGAACGAAAATAATGATTGCACCAAAGGACAGACCCCATTCCCATGAAATGCCCTGATGTTTGAATACATCTGTATTCAGGCCTGGGATATATACGGCGGGAAACACAGACACTGCTCCAATCACGACAGACCAGAAGAGGAATTGGTTCTCCCAGACATCTCTGAAGAAGGGAAAGTTTGCACCATCTTGGCTAGCGCGTAGCGGATCCAGATTAAACATGCTGTTTCTGAGATCCTTGATCTCCCAAGCCGAAATGAGAATAAGCCAAGTGAGTTCGGCAAAAACGGCTGCTCGTGCACGAAAGACGACACGACAGGAGTGGGATTGTTCTCTGTTGCAGTCGAATCCTAGGTCAGAAGTACCGTTGCCAACGCCATAAACGACAATCACGAATGTGAGCAAGGTCAGCGTTCCCATGATCATCCCGTACACGATCATATCTGCAATAATCTGCCAAGTAAAGACACCTTTCTTCATGTCATGAGGAGGACGTCGCATGACGGAAGCCGACGCTTTCTCGCGTCCTAGTCCAAATGCAGGGAAAGATGAAGTCAACATGTTAATCCACAGAATCTGAAGCGGCGAAAGCGGGAAGACGGATACATCTTGATCATCTTGGAACGCAAGGCCGACAATTAACAAAACGACTTCGGCTACATTTGAGGCAAGAAGATGAAGGACGAACTTTTGAATGTTGTCAAACATTCGTCGCCCTTCTTCAACCGCGTTGACGATACTGGCGAAATTGTCATCTGTGAGTACGATATCAGATGCGGATTTGGCGACATCAGAACCACCCATGCCCATTGCAATACCCACATCTGCAGCCTGCAGAGACGGAGCGTCATTAACTCCATCTCCAGTCATGGCGGCAAAACATCGGCGACGATGCAGGGCAGCAATCATTCTTGTTTTTGTGTCTGGAGCACATCGTGCAATGACCAGGGGTAAGGTTGGCATAGCATCAATCTCATCGTCTGTCATACTATCAAATTCAGCAGCGGTTTTGACCAAGGCGGCTGCTTTCTCAGCGGAAAGAGATTCCTTGTATTTGGGAATGATGCCAACTTCTCTAGCAATGGCGCTTGCTGTGGATGGATGGTCTCCAGTTAACATATGGACACGGATGCCTGCAGTTGTACATTCTGGTGTGAGTTAGCAAGATATTTTATGAGCAGAACCATATGGAAGGATTCTTACCTCTGATAGCATCTTTCGTTTCCAGCCTGGGCGGATCGTATAGCCCAGCTAATCCAAGGAGGTTCAATTCACTCTCAACGCCATCGCGAGGCAATTTGTCGCCTGTCTTGTATCCAGCCGGCACTGGCCTCTGAGCAATAGCAAGGACTCGCAGTCCCTGGTCTGCTAGAGACTTCATTTGCTCGAGGATATTGTTCTTCATTTCCGGTGTCATTTCCTCCTGGTGACTTCCCGTTCCCACAGATGTGCAAAGATCAATGATACGTTCAACAGCACCTTTGACGAATATTACAGGTTCATCTGTTCCTTTACTATATATCACAGACATCCGCTTGATTGCGCTATCGAAGGGATACTCGGCAATCTGCTTCCATTTGTGTTCCTTTTCAAGAGTCTTCTTGCCATAGTTAAATCGATGCGCAAATACTTGTAGAGCAATTTCGGTCGGATCACCCATCGTTTGCCACTTGCCAGCAGCATCATCATACCGTACTGTTGCGAGGTTGCACAAGGAAGAAGCGAGAAGAAACCCTTCGAGTGCCGGGTTTACTTCTGGGATTGATTGTTCTTCTGACTGTTGCTTCTCCTCCGTCGATTTTTCATTCTGTGTCCTTTCCTGCTTTTCAGTCTTGTCACTAGAAACAGAAGTCAACGTGACAACCCCCCTCGAAGGATCACTGGCATCATCAGACTCGTTAATACTATAAATTCCAATTCCAGGAATCCAGGCTTTCCGAGTCACCATTTGACCCTGGGTGAGAGTACCGGTCTTGTCGCTGCAGATATTGGTAACTCCACCTAGGGCTTCGAGAGCCGAAAGCTGGCGAATGACGACTCGGCGTTTGTGCATTTGGGTCATACCGACGACCATGGTGATTGTCAAGACTGCAATGAGGGATTCGGGTATGATTGCGATTCCTTTACCTGTTAGCGTCCTTTCTGATCACATCTTGGGGAAAGGTACTTACCAGTAGATATAGCGTAAATAGCAACTTCATTCGTGACATGAAACTTATTGACACTGAAAACAATAATAGCAAAGAGAATGGCAAGACCAAACAGACTATAAGCCAACTTGCTCAGTTTCCTCTGCAAAGGAGTCCCCGTCGTCAATCCGAGGAATCTACCCAATGCATCCCAGGTGCGAAAGAATCCACCCTGAAACACTTGCAGAGGACCATATTTCTTGACTGACATTGATCTACTCTTTTTAACCTTGCGATTTTTCTTGCCTTGCATAGAAGAGGCAATTTTGCCAATCTCAGTATACATTCCCGTATACATGGCAATACCTTTTCCTCTCCCCTTTGTGACTGTGGCAGAGGAATAGACCATGTTCAATCTATCACCCACACCAATCTTGAACTCTGCATTCTTTGACGACTTCTCATCCTCAGAACCAATAGCACCTGCAGGATCAAACCCAGCATCTTTAGGGACTGGCAACGCCTCACCAGTCAATATCTTCTCATCACATTCCAGATTCATACCGTCTATCAACCTCAGATCTGCGGGGACAGTATCACCGGTTTTAACCATTACGACGTCACCGGGTACAACCTCCGGGGAAGGGACTGTCACGACTTCTCCATTCCGAATTACAGTTGCAGATGGAGAGGATAGACTGCGTAGGGCGTCCATTTTTTGTTCGGCGCGGTATTCTTGGTAGAAGCCTATCAGGATGTTGCCCACGATTACGGCAGTTATCACCCCGCCTTCGACGTAGTCGGAGACACCGTAGGCGAGGGCCATGGCTAGGACGAGGACCTGCATCGTTAGTTATTTGTCATCAGTACTACTGGTTATGGGGGACCGTACAAGTATCATGGCATTAGAGACCTGCTTGGCAAGGACGGAGTACCATGTCACACCTCCCTCGCCAGACAACTTATTAGGTCCATACCGGGATTGGAAGGAAGTAACTTGCTGAGTTGACAGGCCTGTGTCAATGTTTGTTTCCAGGTGAGAAATGATTTCATCCGTAGAGAGGAGGAAGGGATGGGATGGGTAGGATTGGGTGCATGGCGAGGAGGATTTGCGGCGCATTTCGTCTTTCCATAACGGTAGTGCTCAATAAAAGAACAGTATAAGAGGATATCATGGATTAAATGTTTTAACAGATTTATGTCATAATACTATATCATCAGATAAGTCTCAACGAGTGTCTAGTACCAAGAGAGGCCAGATGACATCTGACCAACAACCCGGAACACAGTCCTATTTATATCTCCCTTCCAAAAGAATCGACATTCGCCATTCCAAGACATACATACGTACTTCCAAGACTCGTCAACCAGATAAATCTCTCCAATCATGAACCCCAAGAATCATGATGATAACTTATACCTTTGCCCCACCAGTACACCCTCTAAGTCGTTTTTCTGGTTAGGGCAAGTTGCCCCCGGATTATTTCCATTTCCGGAATGGAAATATCAGTCCACATGCTTCGTAAGCCGGATAGATAGTAGACTTCTAGGGACTTCTAGACGTAAATCCGATTGTATAATGGAATATAGTAGGATACGAAGAATCGGAAACGGATATGATTGGCTTGACTTGATATTCTTGGCATCACGCGGAGGGGTTGGCAATAGAGAGGAATTCCGCTGCCAAGAGTACCGCCAAGGGAGAATGCCAAGGGCTGTTCTCGTCCTCGAAGGGCGTGGCGAATGACGATGGAATGTAGAGGGGTCTGGGGTGTTGTTCGAGGATTTTTAAGTTGATACGAATACGTTCGGTTCTTGGCTGATGAGGTGACCGGGAGTACTCCATACTCGGGTGATTTATCTTAATATCACTTAAAAGATAAGTGTAGGGAAAAGAAACAATGTGTTGATAGCAGCAAGTAGCAAATCTGGTATCATAGCCATGCAAAAACAACAACTCCGTGAATGCATCATCATTGAACGTAGACTACCTCCTCCTCCCCTTCCCTTTCTTCTTTGAAGAACCCTCCGGAATACTAATCGTCCCCTCAACAACATCCTCATCCCCACCACCATGTTCCTTCAACCTCTCCGACCCACTGATAAAAAACGTCAAATCACGATTCTGTTCCGCCAAATCTGCATTCTCAACTTTGAGCTTGGCGACTTCTTCGCTTAACAATTCCACGCGTTTGACCAAGTTCTCATTCATGGCTTTCTCCTCTCGCCATTCCTTCTCAAGTTTACGGGCCATATTCTCGAATTTCTCGGCACGGCGCACGGCGCGATCTTTCTCTTTCTCTAGACCGGGAACGTTTTCCTTGGCTAAGACGTCATAGCGTTGTTGTAATTCTTGGAGTTGGAGAGTTGCTCTTTCGGCGGCTTCGAGGGCCGCTGTTGCGCTGGCGCTTGCCTTTGAGGCTTTATCAGCTGCTCGTTCGACAATCTCTTCGAAATAGGCTCGTTGAGATTCAAGTTGACTGGTGAGTAAGTGGGTGTATTCAACACTCATATTCTCGAGTTTTTCGCGGGGCACTGCGTCCGTCCAGTCCGGTGGATCGAGTGCGGAGTTGTCTGCTGCAGGTAATTCGACTAGTTTCCCGTCTGTTTTGCTTTGTATGATACGATGAACGTATGCATCGCTTACGTAGTCCCATACCCGCTGCGTTGATAGATCCATAGCGAATGCATGTGACGTCTCCTTGAAATGGGCAAAGGCGTGTGCCTCGTCGTATCGCCCGCAGCCAATGCTGCCGCAGATAAGACAGATCCAGAGATTGAGTTCCGAATGGCAGACGCTACATTCGGCTGAGCCGCCTTCATCGAGAAATCCGACTTGACTCCGTCGCGCAAAGTCGTCGAGTGTATATCTGCACACGGGGCATCCGCTCCCTTTCCATTTCTGGAGACATGTGCAATGGAAGACATGTTGACATATGATAGTCAATAAACCGGTTGTCTCATCCATGCGCTCAAGACAGACCGGGCAAGTGGGTAATTCGACCAGAGAAGGGGTCGGGGGGGCCAATGGTTTTGCAGATAGTGACGCAGACGAAAGACCGGGTGACGAATTATTTGCAGCTCCAAGTGACCGCGTAGAATTCGATATCAATGCAGAAGACTGATTAGATGCATCACTCATCTCGCGGGGCCTGGCAGCTTCTATCTCAACTGACTTTACAAACACTACATGACACGTTTCAGGCTGTAGATGTCAGTTTAAACTTTCTAGACTTTCAGAAACATGAGTGAGCGCGACATACCTCCATGCTATTGAACACCTTCCCATTCCACTCTCTCTGCCATTCACGAGCCTTCTTCCCATTCCGAAACTTCATCAGAACCATATATCGATTGGCTCTTGCAGTCTTTATCATCCGGAAATGACTGACTTCATCTCTGGTATCTTCACCCACAAAACCGAGAAAATCTGAAGGTGAAAGGTACGACGGGACGGCAAGGATGCATAATATTGAGCAATCATCGTCATTCGGCGAATGCGTCTGTAAGGAAGATGAGGAGTAATAGTCAGCAGAGTCGTGGTCATTGAGACCGCGGCTCCGGCTGCTGCCGTGATTGCCTCCTAGGAAGTTTTGACTTACGATACCGCTGCTTGTCGCGGAATCGTTCGGTGGTCGTCGCGCAGCAGCAGACGACCCTTTCAGATACAGAGGATGGTCATCAACAATCAAAGACGGCGTTTCCTTTGCATCTCTGTAAAGATGTACAATGCCGTATACGCTATCGGCCAACGTTTGATCGACAGGTATGTATTTGCCGCGCGTATGAAGTCCACCTAGGATATCTGTTCCGATGCCGGTTGTAATTTCATCCCGACCGCCTCTTGTTTCGTTGGACTGTTTGCGTTGGTGCTGATGGTGGCGGTTGTGCGCGGGAGCGACCATGTCGACACCTTGGATGGATATCGGAGTGAATCTGAGATCTGACTGAATGGATAAACCTGTTGGAGGATTTCGTTCTTGTAACGGTAAGGAAGATAATTTCCCAATCAAGCTCGCGGAGCTGTATTTGCCGTCGTCCAACGGTTGTTGCTGATGGCCAGCAGAACCACCACCACCACCGACAGAGCTGGTATTATTATTCCCACCCAATGACCCAGCAGAACGGTGTCGATGCGTCGACTTTTTACTGTTTGAATATCGCTGAAAAGGTAAAAAAGCTTCGCGCACAACTTCGTTGGCGAGGGAATTGTCTGATCGCGACTGGGACGTGCTATGGTAGATGTCGTGTGCAATGTTCGATGAAGAGTTCAGAAGCTCAAGCGTGATGTGATAAAAATACGAGGGCATCCCGACGCATGGTCTAAGAAAGTTGAATCCGTAGGATGTTCGTCATAAAGTCGTTCGATCGGAAGTTATTTGTTTTGCGATTTGGGATGCGGGGACTTGGAGATATTGTCAACGGTCGATGTTCAAGTGGTTCCACTCAAACAACCAATAAGCACGGATGTCATGTGAGTGGCAAGTGGCGCTCACCTTTATATCAACTGACTGGAAAAGAGACATGTCAAGTAAACTAACTATGTTATCTATACAGCATTAGATTACTAAATTCAAGATTGCAGTCGTGGTAGTTAAAGCAGGCATGTTATTAGTCTTGTACCGCGATGAGACCCACCTCTTCGCATGGACATCCAGTCTACGAATTCCCAAGAGGGATCTATATGGTATTCGCTCTCTACTAGATACTACGATATGAATAGAAAAACAGTTTGACGAAACGCCTATCGGCGGTCAATGTATTGTGTCAAAGAACTAGTAGTGATAAGCTACTATCTGAAATCAAAAAGATATTGTGAATCGTAATCCCGTTTAAAAAGCCTCCAACGCCAGAATAAAGGCCGATGCAATCCCATCATAATAGTAACATGAAACAACAAAAAACTTAATTGCCACCGCGAAGTCGGAGCACCAAGTGGAGGGTAGACTCCTTCTGGATGTTGTAATCAGAAAGAGTGCGACCGTCTTCAAGTTGCTTACCAGCAAAGATCAATCGCTGCTGGTCGGGTGGGATACCCTCCTTATCCTGGATCTTGCTCTTGACGTTGTCGATTGTGTCTGACGATTCGACTTCCAGTGTGATAGTCTTTCCCGTCAAGGTCTTGACGAAAATCTGCATACCACCACGCAGACGGAGGACAAGGTGTAGAGTTGATTCCTTCTGGATGTTGTAGTCAGAGAGAGTGCGGCCATCTTCAAGTTGCTTACCAGCGAAAATCAATCGCTGCTGGTCGGGAGGAATGCCTTCTTTATCTTGGATTTTGGACTTGACGTTGTCGATAGTATCGGACGATTCAACCTCCAGCGTGATCGTCTTACCAGTCAGAGTCTTAACGAAGATTTGCATACCACCACGGAGACGAAGGACAAGGTGAAGAGTGGATTCTTTCTGAATGTTGTAGTCGGAGAGTGTACGGCCGTCCTCGAGTTGCTTTCCAGCGAAGATCAGACGCTGCTGGTCAGGAGGGATACCCTCCTTGTCCTGGATTTTGGACTTGACATTGTCGATGGTATCGGAAGACTCCACCTCAAGGGTGATGGTCTTACCCGTGAGAGTCTTGACGAAGATTTGCATACCGCCACGGAGACGGAGGACAAGATGGAGGGTAGATTCTTTCTGTAGATGGATCAGTATTTGGTCTATTTGCCACCGGGCTCAAAGAGAAAAAAATGTGTCAAAACATACCTGAATGTTGTAGTCGGAAAGGGTGCGACCGTCCTCAAGCTGCTTGCCAGCAAAGATCAAACGCTGCTGGTCAGGAGGAATGCCCTCCTTGTCCTGAATCTTGGACTTGACGTTGTCGATGGTATCAGAAGACTCCACCTCGAGGGTGATAGTCTTACCGGTGAGAGTCTTGACGAAAATCTGCATGGTGGATCTGATCGAGTAGGAGAGTAAGAGAGAGATGGATGGTAATGTGTGTGAAGATGGTTACCTCGTTGACAGAGAGGATAAAGAGATGTTGTTACGTGTAGGATGAGAAAATGAAAGGAAAGGAAGAGAAGAGAGATGATAAGTCGAGCGGGGAAAGCGAAGGTACTTATACTGCCAGGGAATCAGGAGGGAAGGCGGGAAGCCGGCCGGGTGGAGGCGATAAGCCTTAAAAGCAGGCAGCACTGCCGCAAATAGCACGATGCAGCCTTAGTAATATGGCTGCTAACTGGCCAACCGGTAATCGGCAACTCAACTTTTTCCCCTGTTTGAAGTTTCTTTTCTTTTACTTGTCGCCTTCTAGCTGGTTCTGCTTACAACTGCGACTCTGAAGGACCTTCGAGGGTCACTGAGGCTGGGGAACCTGCTAGAACTAACGATAAGGCCCCCGCCAATCGCAACACTTTGCACCGTCATACTAAGCCTGATTCAGAAAGTCAGGTGAGTCACTCGGCGCTTTGTACTCTGATTCAAACCTTAGCAGTCGTTAGTATTGCGACACTAGTTAACTGTTAGGAAAGTCTACTGAAAACTACTACAGACTGTGACGCCATACAACAACACTCTTCCCTTACCGGTCCGATATTTGAGGCTTTTTGCGCCGTATTTCTGCAACAACACAACAGAATTTTCAGAATGTTACTCCTGATCATCCCGCGGTTTCTCGAATTTTGCCGGTGAGAGTTTGCGACAACAAAGTTTCCATGAATTTGTAATTGTTCTCAATGCTCACTCACTATTTTCAAGTGCATGGAGTAGTTACGATAAGAGATATCAATCAGTTCGCTATCATTAATCAGCATCCACAATGACGCCATCATGTACTGATCATGCAAGGATGACAAGATTCGTGCTTCAAAACTCATACACAACTATTTGATTTTTATTTTTATATTAATATTGAAATCATATTTTACATCGCTATACGATTATTCAGCCAGCATGTCTAACTACACTTTACTAGGTACTCCGTACTGATCGATGAGGTCACGCCACGCCCAAGACTCCACCCGTGTCGTTTTCGTTTATCCAACCTTATTCCGGACGGTGCCTTACCGCTCAGGCATGACAACGGTCCCAGTGTTCTAATCCTACCGCTACGTCAATTTCTGAATAAAATAGCTAATTTCTTTGTTCAAGGTATCAAAAACTATGTACCTAGCCTGCAGCGCAGGCAGTCAGTCATTGATTCAGGTAGTTCGTTCGTTGGCACGTGGCTCAAATCGCTGAAATGCGAGACAAATATCAAGTACAAAGGAAAATTTCAAGACAAAACCGTATTTCCAACCCAGTCCATTCAACAAAACAATACAGACAAAATCAGACACACATCATTTCAGCAATGCTGAAACTCATGCAATTGAAAAAACACTCAACAGTTCATAAGTCTCGTTGATCTTCTCGTCATCATCAATACCACGCTAGAATAAGTAAACGACACTAAAATCGCAATCATACAGGTGCTGCATGATTGGCGGTATAAACAAGAATAATTCTTCGACTTCCCTATCATGAAAAGGATTCGGTAGAAAAGAAGGCGGTTGTCGTAATTCAAAAAGGCCGTCAAGATCAACATGGGCAGGGACAATCCCCTAGGCGATATGCCATGTGTCTCGCTTCGTATGCGTTGGCATCAATCATACTCTCTCATCAACAATTCTTCTCTTTCAGCGTACATCAACGCTGTATATCGTCAAGACCGTAACAATCGGATCAATGATAATAACATAAATAACACAAAAGTTTCAAATGATAGCTTGCTTTTCGTTTGATCGTAGATCATAAATCATTTCAGTTGGCCCGAATAACTAGTCGAGACAGGAATTTGTTCGACAGGCAGTCAAAGTCGTTACGGTTGAATTTTGTGTTGGATCGGTTTCGGAGATAGGATTCTGCAAGTTGATCAGTCAAACGACACTAGGCCAGGGACAGAGCTATACATACCGTGCTGCTTAACGTGATGGCGCACCTCTGTCATCGTTTGGCAGACATCAGGGTTGGAGGCGAGCAACTGATGGTGCTTGCTAGTCTCCCAATCGGTGAAAGCAGGCAGTTTCTGAGAGATAGCCTGGAATAGACCAACAATGACACCGACAGGGGTCGACTCCATGTCGTGGCAGAATTTGTCGACAGCAGAGACATCCTGGAGGACAAGTTAGTAAGACTACTCATCAAGCCTCGGGAGCCACGACTTACAGGAACACGGTAATGGCAGTCAAACTGCATTTCCTCCCAAACAGCAAGTAAAATAGTAGCCAGAATAAAGATAGTAGGCCAGTTCTTGAGTCTGTCTCCACTGTATACACTCGAGTAAAGGGAGGAGAGCTCCTCAAGAACATCCTTTTGCAACTCACGCCACATGTTGGCCATGGCACATTTGATCTGGAAGTTGATCATGACCGGTGCCATTGTCTTTCCTCGGAATCGGGAGCCCTCGCCCTCAATCTTGCCCAAGAAGTCCTCGTCCTCACCAATACCCTCAACCATCGTCACGCTGAGTGTAAGATTGTAGGCCAAGATCAGTTTCAAGGCCTTGCGGATGACCGGCAGCTTGGTCCGGAAATAGTAGCGGAACGCGGTTTTCAGCATCTGGGTGAGGAAAGGCGTGCCGTCGAAATAGTCGTCAACAAACTTTTCATAGCTCCCGTTACCGTCAATGTGACGGTCCAGATAGTCGGATAGCTTCGATTGGGAGATGCCTTCAATACCAGCTGAAAACTTCATGGTGGACACTTGGTAATGGCCCATTTCCCGTTCCACGGTCTCACACCAATCCATGTTGAAACATTCTTCATCCCGAACAAAGACCTCACGAGCATTGATAGGCATAATCTCGCCGTAGCCATGAGTGACGAAAAGCGTCCTCTCCTGCTCGGAGAAACCCTTGATGTTGCCAACTGAAAATCCCAAGGTGACGTGACGCTCATAGTCAGCCTTCCAGTCCTTCATGAAATAGCCGATCTCCTTGATATCAATTCGGGTACAAGGGACCTGCCACAAACGAGCATGTGAAGGCTGGCACCCAGCACAGGGCTCACCTTTATCACACTGTTAAAGTATTAGATATCTGCTCTTCGATTCTGTCTAATATCGAGGACAAGAACTTACTGTCTTTTTGAGGAATTTACACCGCAAGCAAGCTCGGAGCTTTCGAATCTCGCTAGCTTGCTTTCTCTGGTCCGGCTTGAGAGGTCCCTTGCGTTTTCCAATTCGCTTCTCGGTGGTCTCTGGTTTGCCTGTTTGAGATTGCTTCCGTACCTTTGTTTCGGCGGTCTTGGCGGCTATAGGGCTCTTGCGAGTATTCTTTCTGGCGGGTGGAGAGGATGACGAAGAAGAGGAGGAAGAAGATGTGGATGATCTGGGTGAATGTGATGGAGATGTAACCTTCTTGGAGGGAACTGGGATTGGTCGAACAATAGCAACGGGGCTGACAGCAACTGGGGACACGGAGCCGTGAGAAGCGTGGTCGAGAGAAATACGTCGGTCCACAGAAGGGTTGTAAATCAAGTCAAGATTGTCAGAGCTGGGTGAGCTAATGGGATGCTGAACATCTACCCAGCTACTGCCCCATGAAGCGCGGTTCGGCTCAAAATCCGAATATGAGGATTCAGACAAGCTTCGGTCGTGCAAAGTTTGAGAAGGATTGATGAACAATGTATGGTCAGCGTGGTGGAAGTGGTCAATGGTGCGATGGTCCACAGTCGCCCAGCCATTATCACTACTGGAACTGGTCAAAGATCGGACTTCGAGATACGTGTCCGTGGGCGAGCTGCTCTCGGGGATATTGTGGGTAATGCCTCCATATGAAGTCATATCCAGTGGCCCACTAGGGAAGGTCATGAGTTCCTGGAACTCGGGATAAGCGAATGGCATCCCCATGTCGACGGGAGCCGACAGCGAGAGGTACGAGCCATCGAGGAGATTGCTGGCACCCAAAGTAGCAGCTGCTTGTGAGCCGGGTAGAAAGTCGACAGGAGACGTTTGCAAAGGAACACCAAAACTTGAAGTGAACTGAGGACCAGTCGTCTCAACATGCGGATATTGGACTTGAGTCGGAAGCGGCTGCTGGAACTGCCATTCGGTCATCAAATTGGCACCTGTTGGGATGGACTGATCATAGGCATGGCCGGTTGTCTGCATAGACGTGATGTCGCGAGCATCATCTTGTCGTGGAAGATTGTGGTGGATAGCCAGTGGCCAGCTTTGGGCCTGGAGATAGTTTCTCGAGTCATAGTCGAGATCTACCAGGCCATCGTTGCTGAGATTCTGCTGGGACATCATATACTAAGATCAACAGGCGAGAATGACAGCGGTCGACAGCAAGATCATGGAGAGATGGAGGGGGGAGGTGGTCGATGTTGTACTGATGTGTTGTTGTGTGCGGTAGATTGAGTTAATCTCCGTTACAAATTGGAGGAGAAACACACAATAGGTTGCAGCAGGCCAGCACCAGGCAGAGCAGAGCTTAAGGGCAGACAAGAAGGTGAAGGTCGGACAGAGGGATGCTCTTCTTCCAGTTTAGTTGGCTCGTTGATTCATGGCGGATGAAAGAAAGAGATGAGAGGAAAAGGCGGGCTTGAGGTGAACGTGAGGGAAAGCGGTGGGGGAAGAGTCGAGGTCGTACAATGGTGGAAAGAGGCGGTGAGTGAGCCGAGCCGGTTGGTTGAACGCTAGGAGGGATCCACTGCTATTAGCACCTGAGACCTTGATTGGCTGGGTGTTCAATTTGTGTTATCGATAGCGCGGGCTGCTAGCTGAAAGAGGATAAGCGCGCAAGTGATCCGTCCGGTTTCCACTTTTTCCACTTTTTTTCCTTGGTCTCCATATTACTCTATTAGGTTTAGCGCTAGCATCCCAGCCGTTCGCCATTCAATCACCGCTCCGGAGTGTCCTCGCGCTAGCCATGAATAGTCTAGCGTATACTGCTGATACGCTGATAGGCTGATAACGCCGGTCCGATAACGTGATAAGATCATAGGCGAGCGGACTCTTTTCTTTCTGTCCAGCTTGTACAATACTAATGGATCGACTTGTTGATCTGCAAGCGACTTTGTACGCACTTGCTATTCATGGACTGACAGGTTTAAAGAATGAGTCGATTAGCGATGTCTATGACACCAGATTTAAAGATTTGTTCACAAGGTCTACAGGCATTGGTGGCTGGTGTCATCGGCCAACGAATCTCATTGAACATGACAAGCCTCCCTGGTCTGGCTTAGTCTCCTCTGGCCAGACTGTACTCAATACAGTAAGAGACATGGAATGACCCACTAACTGCATTCTCATTTTCTGGTTTCGACGTTTTACGTATTCCTCGCCTTGCAGTCGTACTGCATAACAATAGTACGGAGCACTGTACGCGATACGAGTGCATATCCCGTGGGTATTATGCCAAAACGAGCATTTTACCGTACACCATGCCGAGTACTACAGCCAATCGTCCGGAGCTGATTTGACACGGTGTATTTAGAAATACGGGGGAACTGCCCGTGTCTGCGCACTGATACTTGATAATTTGACACGCACTATCTGTACATATTCATATTCTTGAGTCTTGCAGATTCAAGCAGTGAAGCACAGACGAGGAGGGGCTGGTGGGTCATGGCATTAAGTGCAGTGTCACGGGAACACAACGCTCGACTCTTATTTGATTCAAACAGCCGAAACTATTCCTTCACTCGGGACGACGGAGCAAGCATACCCTCGCCATCTTCGCCATCTTCGCCCTCACACTGTACTGCACACATGTCTAGCTTGCTGGCCATCTCTGACCATGCAGATTGCACATCTCTTATCCGAGCCAATCATTCCATTCCATCTGTCGGCCAAGGCTCCAACAAGCGAATGACAGTGGATGGCGCCACGTCCGCGACACATAGTCTGCCATGTTGCATGTCCTGGCGCTTTGATGAATGGATGATGCTCTCTTGAGTTTTTACTTCCAGTCTCTTTTGGGATGTTGCTTGCTGTCCAGATTACAACCTACTCAAAACCGCCTAGATTCGTTATGTCAGACACAGAGTAACCGCAGCCAAGGTCTCGACTTCGTATCTCGACAAGAATGAATAAAGTGCCCACATTTCTTCGGCATACTTTTAATGATGGTATGGATGCCATGCATACATCGTTCCAAACGCACAACACGCATACGAAGCATGTCATCCTTTATTCAAGTTTAGCCGCTTCCTTCTTTGGAATAATTTGCAGATACCTAATGATCTTTTTTTGTTTTGGCAAAATGAAATATCCAGACCGCCATATTTGACAGAATTGACAGATAGTGGCGGCGGGACTCGGCTGATCGACAAATCGGGGATTATTCGATGAGACGTGGTACTCATCGGTACGTACTCACTGAGTACGGAGTATATCGTCAATGACTATGGAGCATCTACTCGATCTCACGAGATATTACGTGCAGGTTCTTGATGGCCGATTGATTGACTTACCCGGTGCGGCTCTAGCAAACAATGCTGAATGCAGGGGATCTATCAACTGCGAGTTCGTTTACTTCTCGATGATTCCTTTTTTGTTTCATATCCGGAGCGCATGTGAATGCAATATGACAAAACAAATCAAGTCAATCGTCCCCGATTCGTTTGAATTGGAATGTTTTATCAATGGGACGACTGTCTGAGTTGTTGAATATGCAAAGGTCCCACTCCGATCCTTATCGCTACGGGGAAGTCAAGTCTCAAACCCTAGAAAGTGGTCATTCTCGAGCCGTGTCCACTGTGCAAGGCAGACAGACAGATGCAGATGACAGCTGTTCGACATATCAAGGCCGAGAAGCATGCACACAATCAATAGTGGGATCATTATGTCGGATCAAGACATGGCCGCAAACCCTAGATAGGTTAACGATGGGATTTGCAGATTTGCATATAAAGCGGCGCAGCGAGTTTGAATCCCGAAGTTAGCTACAGGCACTGGTGTGATCTGTCTGATTTCGCGGTTTATCAACATGGTAAGACTTGCAGGTACGTAGTCAGGTCTTGGCCTCTAATGAAATATCCAGTCTTTACAATCTCCGGAGTATCAATAGCATTGTCGCTTCTGTACTTACTAGAAGATATGGAGAGCCTACCATGATCACCGAGCAATCGGACTGATATTAGGTATGACCTATGGTGAATTCTATCAGCCCCGTGAGATGCGGGATCTAAGAAACTGTCTACCATCAATTAGTGACAATAAAATCCTCAATCGCCACCCTTTCTCGAATACTGCCAACGATTTCATGTATGAATATCCTTTTTCAAAGACTTTTAGAGTAGATAATCAGTTGTAGATGTTAAAGAAGTTAATGATGTAAGCGAATTAAAGACAACCGCAACCTCAAGTCCTCAACCGGCCCACCCAATCCAAATCTTCCTCAGTCAACAACACAGCTCCAAAATCCAGCATCACCACCTTTCAAGTAACGCTCACGATAATCGCTAAGCTCATGCCGATTGTGGCCGTGTCTGGGAAATCACGCCGGAAGATTCGATTTCCACAAAGTGGGCATCTGGCAGCATCATCAGACCATCGCGGGGAAGCTTCAGAAACACGGAAAATCAACAAGACATTAATCACCACCCACAACACCACAAAGATCATGCCTAATGAGCCCTCGAAAGAATACAATATCCCACCACTATTCACAAATCCACCCCTTCTCCGAGACGCCTTACAAACAAAAACAAGCCAAGATCAAGACGAGACTATTGAAAAATGTCTCCCATTCCTCACAGGCCGCGGCAGCACATTGAAGGATAATCTGAACAAATTCGGATTATCGCATTTGTTAAAAGATGAACATATTGAGTATCTCTATGATTCGCTCGAGCTATATCCCGCGGGATTTGTGGCGATGGATTCGAGTCGGCCTTGGATGTCTTATTGGGCACTTGCTGGGTTGACCCTGTTGGGGGAGGATGTGAGTAAATTTCGAGAGCGGTAAGGATTTATATCTCAATAACGGCGTGGTTAGTAGACTGTATGATTTGTCATGACTTTAACCACATATTGTTTTTTTTTTTCTCGATTTTGTACGTGACACTGACTATGTTTGTAGGGTGGTAGCTACGTTTAAGGCTGCACAGAATCCTACTGGTGGTTTTGGAGGAGGTCATGGTCAGATGTCGCATTTGGCATCTACTTTTCCTGCTGTCCTAAGCTTAGCGTTGGTTGGGGGTGAGGAAGCATATAAGGTGGTTGATCGCAGAGCAATGTAGGTAATTCTGTGTTGATTATGAATGAGTCTTACTAATGATTTGAATGCAGGTGGTCATGGCTAGGACAATTGAAGCAGCCTGATGGAGGGTTCCAATTGGTCATAGATGGGGAAGAAGATGTGCGGTTAGTAACTTGAAAGCAGACCGAGCCAAAATGCATACTAAGACAATAAACCAGTGGTGCCTATTGCGCAATGGTGACTATATCCCTGCTAAACCTACCCCTGGAATTACCGCCGGAAGCTGAAGCGCGCAAATACGGGCTCCGGACATTCTTGGACGGTCTTCCAGAGTATCTGTCCCGATGTGAGTGAATATCGTGTTTAATACTATGACAGCAACTGACGACAGTGGCTCAGGTCAAACCTATGAAGGCGGATTGTCCGGAAAGCCAGGGGCTGCAGAGGCCCACGGTGCATATGCATTCTGCGTGTTGGCCTGTTTGTGTATCATGGGTCAGCCAAAGGATATGATAACGAGGTAAGATTAATTCGACATCTGGCTGGATATCTGATTACTCAGTGGAACTATGTGCAGATATATGGATATCCCTCTTTTAGTGTCATGGTTATCAGCTCGACAATATGCACCTGAAGGCGGCTTTTCAGGGCGTACCAACAAACTTGTCGACGGCTGTTACAGTCACTGGGTAGGCGATTGTTGGCCATTAGTACAGTCGGCATTGAACGGGCCGCATGGTGAGGGAGATGCTATTCCAGAAGTGCCTCAATACTTGTTTAGTCGCGAAGGTCTTGCTCGGTATATTATGAATTGCTGTCAAAATAAGAATGGAGGTCTTCGCGACAAGCCAGGAAAGTGAGTGTCCTACCTTATTGCCACAAATTATTCATTGAGACTGATCGAATAGGCATCCCGACTCATATCATTCATGTTATACCCTGACCGGACTGAGCACGATCCAATACTACCATTACCAAACCGAGCAGGAACCGACCTCATCACGCATAGGGGGTATATTCTCCTCATCATTCTCATGGAAGAGTGTACCTGCCAAGATCGCTATGGAAGCAGATGGCCAGAACGACAAGGACATTATAGATGACTGCGATCGACTCGTGGCGTTCCACCCGATATATACGATTGCGCATAAGAATGCAGAAGCGTTACGGAGGTGGTGTGAGGAGAGGCCTATTTAGGGGTATTATCCTGGAAAGAGTGGTATTGTATAAATGATAACTATATACCAACTCTGCACTGTTTATTGGATCCGGCCAAGAGAGACTACCTTGACAATTGCCAACAGTCTCTATGTATATAGTCTAGCCGCCTCTTTACCTAATCGGTACACTTGGACAGGAGACTGTATTCTAAGCTCTATACATTCTAAGTACGTAGTCGAACTAGGTACCTAGGCAACATCCGGTTACATCGTGGCTATCTATATAAGCAATTAATTACCTAGGTAAGTATCCAATCCCACCAAACAAGTGAACAAACAAACCAACCAACAGACTGCCACTATCAACGGTAGACAATGCGAACATTTAATTAACAGTTTTCTTTCAAAGAAATTCTCCACATAATCCTACGCACTAACAACCGGCGAGACCATCGAATTGACAACTCATCAATGCATTTGGTGATGCCTGTCTGACTAGCCATACTAGCCCCAAAACAATCCGTTTAATGCATAGCTATGTATGACATGCAGGATTTACTTTTGACTCCAGTGTTTTCTTTCTCTGCCCCTCTTCTTGGTGTCAATGAGCTTTGGTGATGGGTTGATGTTCGCCCGGGTCAATCCCATATATCGATGGATATACAGCCTCGGCAGTGTAAATCTGGGATAGAGGCGAGTATATTATTCACCGTCTTTTGCTGACCTCAGGGTCAAGGAGATGCATGTATTGATCCAATCAGTTAGGGAACCATACTAACGGGAATCCTTGGAAATCCTAAAAATCCTCGGATCGCCAATCAAGGAGTTGAACTACGTGTTACCAAGCGTTGGAAAAAGAGAATTTTTAGCTTTATTCTGAAAGTCAGTGACTTGATGGCGTTAATTAATGCAAAGCATGATCATTGTGGTAATCATGTACTTCGACGGCGGCAATTATTCTCCCCTCTGGAGCGTTGCGGGGGGTTTGTTATGAGCTATGTATGTAGGAACGGACATTACGGAATTGTCACTTGGCAACTGTCCATAATACATTGAAGATATATTAATGATTATTGTGTTTTTACAATGCGATGGTGGGGTTAGTAATGGTTATTTTCCCAACTGTGGGAGGTATCAATAGCCATCTAGCCCTAATCCGATTGATCTTGATCTCGACACAAAATCTTGAACTTTACCAGTCGATAGAAAAAACCCCCGAAAACTCAGAAAGAAAAAAGGCTGTTGGTGTGTTTCTCGTTTCCTGGATCGACGAGACCTACCTCACTCGTCATAGGCTCCAACTAAGACCACAGACTGGATCCTAGGGTTTCATTCAACTGGCAAACAGCCATGCCAGCACATCAACCCCGTCCGGCCGTCCCAGATACAGAAAGCAGTCAGAACAAAACTGTACAACTAATTAAGTTGCTTGCTTACTTACATACATACGTACATGCCACACAGACAGTATATTAGGTTTTTTCTTTTCTGAGCGCGCTTGTACGCGACTGTTTGCTCCTCGTGGGGATTTGTTTAGAAATTTGGATGGCTTTGTCGGGATTGTTGTAGAAGAAGTTCACAAAGGCGTCTCCTTTTCCCCTCTTCTCATTTTTCTTCTTAATTTCTTTTTTTTTTTTTTTTTTTGCTATTTCCCCGGCCAATTGAGCCTCCTGGTAACATTGGCAAGCCATTTGATCTTGTCTGGACCTACTGTAACCGGAAAGGAAAATTACATACGGTCTGGCTGTCTGATTGTCGACTGCATATTTACCCCCTTCAAATTCTTTCCCTTCTTTTGCCACTTTCACATCACTGCCGAGGAGAGAGTTGTTTTCTTGACAATTAATTTTTTTTTTTTCATTTATTCGGGGCTTTGGTTCATATTTATATACCACCCCTATTCGATCCCGGTCATCCTTCATCCCCAGGAATCACTTCATCCCGCACTAAAGATTAATTGATACATATATATCGACAACACAACTGCACAAGCTAGACAATATTACAACGCATCACGAAGACGAATTGGGCATCAATAAAAGCAATTGCACCCTGACAAGCATCAAGCAAGACAAGACCTTATGCCTTACTCATTTTCGTCCTGAGCAAGACTCTGTGCGTGTTTTGCGTGCGTTTGTTTGCCCTAATACCTATAACCCCCACCGTCTAAAAGCTCCATCACGCCTCATATTCGCCCTGTCGAGCCGGGGAATTGATTCCTATTGGGTAGTCAATGCAAAGGAGAGAGAGGCCATTCTAGATCAGATCGATATGTATTACATTCTTTACCTTGCGAGTATGTATCCCCTTTTCTAAGGCTCTTCCCATGAATCCCATCCCTGCTGTTACTGCATGATATTTGACAGGCCTGTCAGATATGTAAGCAGATAATAACTAATAGATGATAGGTCTCTGCAAACGCAGACACTGGTCAGAACCACATTACGACTCCTTCCAAAGCTCCACGGGGTACACGTGCGTAGTCCGAGTGAACAATCGCGAATACAAAACGGACTCAATCTGCGAATCCGAAGTCATGGCCCGTGAAAACGCTGCAATGCGCGCATATCTGATTTGTCGGAATTTCTCCGTGAATGACGGCATGTATCCGGCTGGCCATGATCACGGTGGAGTTTTACAAGGGGTTCCCGTTGCCATTGGGACTGGGCGCGGAAGTAGTAGTCATCGGGTCTCTGCGCGATATGGTCATGATGAGAGTGATTCCACTTCGGTCAGTGGTGGGAGTAGTCCTGAGAGTCATGATGGTGCGAGATTGATGAGTCGCGATCACCATGATCGTCGTCAGGGGATTGCTCCTCGAGCTCTAGCCTATCGATACTAACATGACACCTCAAGCGAATGGAAATGGAAAATGGAAACGAAAAGTGAAAGATCACGACAAAGATAAACTGACGCCTCACTGGCATGATTGACGACCTAATGACCTCGATGATGATGATTTGTTAAGCACTTCTTCGCTTGTTTCTGTTAGACTTGATGATGAATCGATGGATGATATGACGAAAGGGAGTCTGATAGCGTTTGCTCTGCATTACTATGCTCAGATGATGTTCGACATGATTGACGATAATGACTTGATGAATCTTTTATAGAGTGTATGCTCGGGAATTGACTCTCTTTGATAGATTATATAGTTCGGCCAATCAGAGATGTTTGCACTGTTTGTCTTGTTGCTAACCTACGTAAGCAAAGACGATGACGTAGGTAGTGGCTGATGTTCCTGATCTCGGTCTCATTTATTTATTATGCCGCGTATAACTTGAGTGTCCTGGCCATGTTGCTGCCAAGTTCTGTCTATCCATTGGCTGCTATGCAGTGACTTACTCGCTCTGTTTTAGATCCAATTGTACGATGCGCTCTCTTGGAGTTTGCGCATCGGCTTGTATGGGCAGTGCGAGAGCGGTTGTACAGTGCAACTTGCAGAAACATCATAACAGCTTCAGGATAATATGGTCGAAGGATATTCATACCAGAACTTGTGCGCTGAGCACTTTATCTCCTATCCACAGACAGCCCCGCTTTTTACGGAACGATAATATACCCTCGAAAAGGCCTACATGGCTACGTCAATACGCAACTCCGTCAAGTATATCGGACCCCGACCCGTCGCGAGATGCACACAGTGATAATAGGCCCGAGTTGGATGAGGCCGCGTCGCATGTCAAAGAGAATCAGGTGAAGACTCCATGGCAGAGAGAAGGTTCGCAGACACCACCTGTTAAACGCGAGGGGAATGCATCGGCTATGACGAAGGGTGAGCCAAATATACTAGAAAGGAAATACAACAATCTAACCGTGATGCATAGGGAAATTGCTGACTACACCCTCTCGTCTGTTGAAACTCATTCTCCCCGTGACGACGCAAGACTATAACAGTGACAGAAAAGGTATGCTATTTGCCATTACCTTATATAGCGAGTGACTCGCTTACCGACGCAGATGTCGAACCATTGGCACTCCTGTTACACCCGCAACAACCTTTGTCATATCTCGAACGACTGATCCAAGCTGAAGTCCCACCCATCAAAGACGAGAAAGGAAAGCTGCGTCCACCACATGTTTCCTTCCTAGCTGCCGAAATCCAAGACGAGACAATCCAACCGAGAAGACCCAAAGCTAAGAATTGGGTCGATGAGTCAAATGATGAGGAAAAAGAATTGTCAGATAATAATGAGCAACGACCGCTAGTCGCGACGAGAGACTCCCAAATAGCTCGATTGAGAAATATTCCCGATGAAAAAAGTGAAGTCACCAAAGATCCTGAGACTGGACGCAAAACAGAGACAGACGCGGATACAGAAGCAATCCGCAAAGGTTCCTTTGTGCGATGGTCATCATCTACGGAGATCGGAGACTTCATCCGAGACGCAGCACGCGTCAAGGAATTTCTGGTTGAAATCGAAAATTCACCTCTGGGAAAAATCCCCGTCGCAGTCCCCTCCTTCAACGACCGCACGTACTACCTGCGCATGCGCCTTCGTAAAATATCCAAAAACTTGAAAAACCTCGCCATCATCAAACAGGAATGCGATGTTCTGGCACACCGCGGCGCTCAACGAGTCGCCCTCGGCGGTCTCGGTGTGATGGTTTCCTGGTGGTACATAGTCTACAAACTCACCTTCGAAACCGACTACGGCTGGGATACCATGGAACCCATTACGTATCTTGTCAGTTTATCCACGTTAATGGGCGGTTACGCGTGGTTCCTGTACCACAACCGGGAAATCTCCTATCGGTCCGCTCTAGATTTTACGGTAAATCGCCGACAACAAAAACTCTATCAGGCGCGCGGGATCGATCTGCAGGTTTGGGAATCCCTGATTGAAGAGGCGAATGCTTTGCGCAGAGAGATTAAGACGGTGGCCGAAGAGTATGATGTTGATTGGGATGAGAGGGGGGATGAGGAGGATGAGCGTGTTACGGAGGCGTTGAAACATGAGAGACGACAGAAGGAGAGGAGGGAGGAGGCGGAGAGGAAGCAGGAGAAGGAGGATGGTGGTAAGGATAAGGACTGATCTTTGATACTCTTTTCCAATGGGGATAAAAGTGATGTGAAAGATGTATATTTATACATAACTAGATACTATTACATTGGAATAGATACTACTGCGCATATATTCTTAATACAGACATAGATACTGAATTAGTCTTGATATACCCCGCTATAGATAGGCAAGATATATTCTCTCTGCATTTGTACGGCGCCACCTGATCACATATGCGCTAGGCTTTGGAACGAAAAACAACAGCTCAAATACACAACACGACAAAGAAACAAAAAAGACAAATGAGGGCGAAGAGGCGGATGGAAGGAGGAGAGAAGATGATATGACTAAATAAGTAGAGATATGCAAGTCTATTCAAAAAGGGATTTGAATCATCAGACAGTTTGAGATGTAGAGAACAGGATTGATGAATCCCTCTGAAAAGATGATGATGATGATGATGATGTGTAACGCTTTTGAACCTTTCTTCCCCTGTTGTTTGATTTATATGAAAGTATTGGTTTACTTCTTCTCTGCCTTGGGACTCTCAGACTTCTTCTCTTCGGTCGTACCGTTCTTCTCGTCCGTGGTATCAGGCACAGGATCCACGCCAAAGAATCGTCGCAGGATATTGGCGACTTCCTTGTAATCAACCTGTACTTCGTTCAATGTCTTCTTGATCCCGTCAATAGCCTTCTCCCGCTCGGCTTCCTCCTTCTCATCCGGCAAGTCCTCCTTGCAATGTTGGATCTTCTCGCAGGCGTCTTTGACTTTGGTCAGGCCGAGGGTGGCGGATGACCCTTTCAAGAAATGGCCGAGCTGGGAAAGGTCGTTAAAGTCGTTTTCGGCTCTGTATTAAACAATGAATTAGTCTGAGATGAAGCTGAAGAAGGAACCAAGACGACGATGTATAGGCACGTAGCATGGCTGTCCATGTGGCTGCTCACGTGCCCAGCATAGCCCTTGTTCTGTTCCAATCAACAGCCCACTTACAATGCAGATTCCATCTTTTCAAATGTAGCCTCCGCCTGCTCAAAGAAACCAAACACAATTCCCTGACTGAAATCTCGATCGTCCTCGTCGTCATCCATCTCCAGGATCTGCTCAAATGTTGTGTAGTCGATCTTATCCTGGTAATCTCTGAGATCGGGAGGACCTTCCTCCTGTTTTTTCTGCTGACTGTTAGCTATGATCCCTGGCGGGAGGGAAGATGTGATGTCACACGCACGGGGTTCTGCTTGGAGGTCTGACTGGGCGCCATTCTGGGCAGTTGTAAAAGCCTTTTGAAGTGGGGGGAGGAAAAAAAAAACGAATTTAGGATAGTCCAGTATTTCAGATACTGTCTCCGTTCTAGGACCGAAAATTTCGAGATGTGCGCAGAGTAACACCGAGTCGTGTATTTGGAGTTATCTGCGCGCGTTCAAGGGTAAATGCAATGCCAATTACAGAGTGGGCGCAACTGAATAGTTTGACGAAGGGGGATGTAATGAATGATCTATGTAACCGTAAGGTGACTACTGTACGAGTAGAGGGTTAGTGAACAATTCTGGAAATGCGGGATGAAGCCGGCCGGAAATCTTGTACTCGCCTCACGAAAAACAACACCGCAGCGTTCTTTTGAATACAGAATCCTAACCGGGTAATCGATGTCGATTTTGCGAGTTTGTTATGCGGGGAGGGTATCGTGAAAGCTCTTTATTTTGAAAGAAAAGTCGGAAACGGAGGGGGTAAGGCCTGATGAGTCTATATCAACAGCGCTGACTGTATACAATAAGCTGGCTAGTTGGTGAGTAGAAGCCCAGATACAGCAGAAGAAAATGTAGCAGCACCTTTACTAGAACACTCAAGACAGTTCTGTATGCTCGTCAAGAAGTATTGAGGGGTATCAGTCTTCCTGCAACGTACCGGCGCTGCGATAACAGACAGATAGCTTTACACGAGAGACGAGAGGGGAAGAAGAAAGAGGAAGGGCCGAAGTGGGAGAGGCTGTGGAGGGGCAGTCCGATAAGAGGGGTTCTCGGAGATGTTCAAGGAGAGGAAGTAATAAGAGTGTCAAAGGGTATTTGCCGACAGCAGGGATGCAGCAGCTGAGGGGAGGAGAGAATAATTTCTTGAGGTGGCCGGAGGTGTCAAAAAAATGAGGGTGTGAGAGAGAGAGAGAGAGAGGAAGAGGAAAAGTGCGCGGGATGAGGGGCTGGTTGGTGGTTACTTTGGTTCACCACTTTTGTTTTCTGTTGACTCAGTGGGACACACACAATAGTTGATTCATTTTAAGTCATTTACTCGATATTAGGGCTTTTTATTATCTCTACTTTTTTTTTCTTTCTTTTTTTTATTCATCTCCCGAGTTCTCTATCTCATCAGTTCTCTATCTCATCTCTGCGCTACCGGAATAGCTCTAGGCCTGGACAAAACGCATGCCGTGGCACGGCAGCCTGGTGGCCTCTATGACTACGTCAAAGGATCATATTTCTTCCGCCCTAACTACTATAAGAGGAGATGGAGTGGGATTCTTTGATATGCCATCACCGGCAGAAACCCTAAGGACCAGCCGAAACGATCGAGATCTCGTGGTTGCTCGGGAGGGGGTTCTGCGTGATCTACTACGTAGTAGTCGTAGTAGTTGATATGAGGACAGGTCGAGACAAAGTCTTTGTAGCTCTCTCTTCTCTTTCTATATATCTCTCTCTACCTCTCTCTATCTATCTCTCTCTATCTATCTCTCTCTATCTCTCTCTCTCTCTCTATATCTCCCTCTCCCTCCCTCCCTCCCTCTCTCTTAGGGCTCATTGAGAGATATCACCATGGCTGTCGATCTGTGGTTCTGCCCAAGACGGCGTCATCTGGGCATTTATATTGCATTTATATGAGTTCCTGAGATGACGGTACGCAGTCCACTTAATTTGGCAGTGGAGGGCACTACGCATGCATAATGATATCGTTTTTATGGGTATGCTTATGACGTGAATGCCGAGAAATCTCCTTTAGGTGCCTGAGGCTGCCGGTACATACTACGTACAGACACTGCTGCCCATAGTGTACATACATAGCATTATTTTCGGTATTTCCATGTACAGGACGCAATTGGCTCACAAAGGGAAAAAGAACACACACATTTCGAGTGTGGGGTACATCCCACCAATCACAGCGCGTCGGCCGCCCTATGACGTCGTGGCTAGCAGCCGACGCCAAGCCTCACGATGCCAATGACGTCGTTCCTTCCTACGTCTGTCTGGTTGGCTTCAACTTGTTCCTCGAGGAAGGAGCAAGCCACAGAAGGGAAAGAGCGCCTGCCGTATATAACCAGTTTGGCCTCCTTAAGCACGTAGACTGCGTAGACTCAATTTCCTCTCTCTCTCGACCTGACCTGCTGGAAAGGACAGCAGAGCGTTGAAGAAGAAAGAGCTTCGCGCGCGCGCCAGACGAGAGGGGCTGAAAGGGAATTGCAGTGAGGACGCTTACGGGATTAGAACAAAACAAACCTCCTCCTGCCTCAATCCATCACCCGCTCCTATTCGTCAGCTGTCTCTTGCTGCTGTCTATCAGGTCGAGACTCCTTCGCGACGGCGCAGCATTCACCCGGGGTCTAACGCTTAGTCCTGATTGCTTTTTGCTGCTGCTGCTGCTGCTGCTACGCTACGAATGTTCGAACATCACTGGTCTACAGGTATTACTGTCGCCTGTCGACAGCGCCCTCTTGTGAATTGGATTCAACGGAGAACGATGTCTCTTGACATTTGAGTGATTCGACACATCCGAGTCAGGCAAACGGCCCAACCACCCTCGACACAATGCTCAGAAAGGGCCGCATACTGGGTCCGGCCAGAGAAGCCACGAAAAAAGGGCAAAAGGCCAAAAAGGCCAAAAAGGAAGAAAAAAGGCAGAAAAAAGGAGGCCGGGCTAAAGGCTAAAAGTCAACAAGGATATTAATTTATTGTTTGTCTCTCGGCAACACAGCCTAACCGTCATCCGCCGCACAGAGACTCTCCTCCACCTCTCCGCCCCCAAAAAGTGAAGTGACATCAACTTGCATTGGCCAGAACGTCCGGTTTCTCTCTTTTCTCATGCCTGTAATGGCCCACACAGCATCGTTGGTGCTCAATGCACCGAAAAGCGTCGATTCTGGGCCTGCCTCAATCCACTCCAAATCCTTTCAGCAGTGTTTCATTCGTGCTTGTTGTTCTTGTCTGTTGAAACCAAAGTCTGAATTCGGCTGTGAAATTGATTAGGTCATCACAGTGTTGGGGACACCACACGACACCACACGACACCATACTATATACTTCGAGTCATGCACACCCATGTTATATGTATGGGTTACTATAGTAAGCACTCTATACCCTTGACTAACTAAACGAGTGGGCTACTGAAGTTCGGTTGGTATGGCTACCTGTGGATTTGCTTGTGTTGCCAAGAAAGGTTTGTGGTTTGAGGCGAACAATCCCCTTCCCTTCTTCCCACTCTTGATGATGTACATGCTACTTTTTCCATTTCTGTCCTGTCTGCTTTAATCTTGTGCCACTCTGCTGGACAGGAGTCGTTTTTCCCCGTGTACGATTGGGTATGAATACGCCGTATGCCATACTCAAGTGACGACTGCCCTTCTTATTTGCGTCGGTGAGAAACCGGAACCCGGGAAAATGAACCGGTTCCAAGTCCCAGCACGCTACAGCAATGGAAAAGTCGATTTTGCTGGAAGAGCTCCACTTCCTTGATCAACATAACAAGCGAGCTTGCAGCCTGATACGAAATCAAATCCGCTAACCCTGCAGACCCGAGAGGGGTTATTGGAGACATTCAGCTTTTGATTTGATCTCATTCGATCTGAGAGGGCCGATACTACCTCGCGAGCCGTCTGAATGGGCAGCTGGATGGCTATCGTTGGTTTTCTGCAGTTGAAATTGCAAGTAAGTGTGTCCGTCAGTCAACCCTGCCTGACATTTGTCTCTCTGCCTGGCTCTGCTGCGCAGTGTACTCCGTTTATCAGGCGCTTATCCCGGTAGGGTATAAATCCATTGTTTCCAATTACGGCGGATACGGCAGCATTTTACTCTTGAATCAAGTTGAATAGCAGTGCAAAACCTGCGAGCAAATTCCTCGCATAACTAGTGCCGCACTAGATGACAAACTGTCAAGTCTCAAATCAAGGCAGAGACGACCGAACAGATTTCTATTAGTCAATACGAACTTGTCAGTCAAGATCAGTTCCAAGGCAGGGAGCCAAAACGTGCGGCAATCAGCCAAAGGTCGACTTTAGCTGGCAGACAACGAAACAAGCCAAGAGAGCTAAATCCTTCTATCCTGGAAGTTTGACGGGCAACAGACCGAAAAGGGGGCGATCCCTATGACATCTTGTCCAGTGTCGATATACCGGGCATCTTGCATCAACCAAGATGTTGTGATCATGTGAGCTGGAGATGTTATAGAAAAATATTCTTTTTGATTGGTTGATGGATCTGATATGATTCACATAAGTATCAGGCTCAACCTTATTTTGCCACTGTGATATCAATGGTGTTTATTTTCTGGGGAACTTACTAATAATCATTGCCAGTTGGGGCTTTCCGAGCATGACCTTAGATGTATCTTTCTCGCACAAAGGTTTTTGTATGGACAAGACCATGTCGACCTCAGTCATCGTTCGAGATATCTCCTTGACACCGAGTCCGAACTGATGCGCTGTTTGTGACTTACGAGAACCAGAGACGAGCCTCCTTGCCGTCACCAATGTATCCGGGACGAGAGTATTTCTATATCAATATAACTTCGCGGTAAACCGACGACGTTCATCTCTGCTGTCCTTCGACGATGAATGCTATTGGAATATACGACGGCGACAACCACTCTTGTTGTCACACTGGGTGTAAGCTGTTCTGCCCCAACTCTACCGAGATGCACGATGCTACAAAAGCAACGTATCAGTCAGTAGCGATGCGGGGTTTTCTTACCATCTATCGATCCTACGAGATCTGACCGGGGGGTTACTCTACGGCCATCCTCGATTTAGATAAATGTCTATCCTCTACCCAAAAGTCTACCGAGGCGTACGAAGACCACGTTGCCCTGAACAACATGTACGTTAGTTGTAATAGGGGTTCTTTCCTGTTCTTGATCCTGCGAAATTTGACCGGCAAGCCCATTCAACCGTCATTCTCGACTCAAATACCGTCTCCCTGCTCGACCCCAAAGCTGTACCGAGACACATGACGACTGCGTTTCCTGGAGTGACACTTCCGTTAGTTGTGCTACGGGGTTCTTTCTACTCTCAATCCCGGCAATTCTGACCGGTAAGTTATTGTATGGCTGTCGTCAACTTAGATAAGGGCATGAGTGGGTGTCGTCTGCATGTACTACATTGTAGTCTCTGTATAACGATCCACTTGTAGCTTTCCAGTATCTATCTACTTACCATAAGGTAGGGGCTACACGTACCAGTTGACGTATCTTTGCTAGTCAGATGTCCCCGTAGAGCAGCCATACAAAAATATCAAAAACCAGAAGATGCAAATCTTATCATACCATTCTGTCTAGTATTTGACATGCCATTGACATAGCACAATTACCGAACCAACCTTTTATTCTTTTATCTCTTTGCTTCTATTTTCTACAAAATAGTATGAAAAGAAATCTAACCAGTAACCTTGTAAATAGCCTCTGCAAGTCGTTTAACGTTTCCTGTCGTGATTCCAGCGACAGAGATACGGCCATCCTTTGTTGCGTAGACGGAGTGTTCCTTGGCAAGGACATCCATTTGTTCAGGTTTTAGGCCGGTGTATGCAAACATACCGATCTATCCATGTCAGTATTGAAAAGATATTATTATTAAAATAAGAAATTGGGAGAGGGGGTAATACCTGGTCGGTAATATGGGACCAGTCATGCTTACTACCCAAAGCTTCAAGATTTTGCTTGAGAAGAGTGCGCATCTCAATGATACGATCTGCCATACCCTTAACTTCGCCTAGCCATTGCTTCTTGAGCTCGGGGTCATTCAAGATGGTGGATGCGATACGTGCGCCGTGAATAGGGGGGTTGGAGTAAAGAGGGCGAATGAGGATTTTGATTTGGGAATCGACGCGTTTCTTTTCCTCGGCTGAGGCGCAGACGAGAGAGAATGCGCCTGCACGCTCACCGTATAGACCCTGTCATTGTCAGTCAGATACGAATATCAGATACATTGAAGACGAAAAGGACGAACCATGTTCTTGGCAAAACTCTGGCACAGAGCAATGTTGTGGCCTTGTTCAACAAAGTATCTAGGCGCAAAAGCATCCTTGTCGGCATCACCAGAGGCGAATCCCTGATAAGCCATGTCGAAGAAAGCGAAATGTTCCTTCTCCTTGACGACATCACTGATTTGACGCCATTGATCGGGGGTAGGGTCAACACCGGTAGGGTTATGAGCGCAAGCATGTAGCAAGATAATGCTGTTCTTAGGAGCAGCCTTTAGATCCTCAACGAGACCGTCAAAGTCCAATCCAATGGTATCCTTGTTATAGTACCGGTATTTGGCGACCTCCAGACCGGAATCGCTGAAGACGGCATTGTGGTTCGCCCAGGTAGGTGTGGGTAGGTAAACCTTTTTGGCGCCGGGGTAGAATCGCTCAAGGAAAGCACCACCGATCCTGAGTGCGCCCGTACCAGAAATGGATTGTGTGATGGCGATACGGCCTTCTTTGAGGGCTGCAGAGTCAGCGCCGTAGGCGAGCTCAGCAGCTTTGGAGGTGAAGCTGGGGACACCGGTGATACCAGCGTATTCCTTGTCGAGACGGGATGCGACGATCTTGTCTTCGGCGGCACGAACGGAGGGAAGAACGTAGGGCTTTCCTTTGTCATCGCCTGTAGAATAGCAGTTAGAAGTAGTTGGGTTTTCATGACTGTTTGGATAGAAACATACGGTAAGCTCCAACACCCAAGTTGATCTTCTCCGCAAAAGAGTCCGCTTTGAAAGCTTCAGTGATACCCAGGATCGCGTCCTATCATCAACACATTAGCTCCTCAGTCACACACATATATATATTTTCAGCAGTCAATGTGTCCAAACCAACGTACAGGAGGTCCCTGAGGAACATTGGCCCAAGTAGAACCAGCTCGCACCCCAGTCAACAAGACCCGCATGCCTGACTCACGCGAAACAGCCCGGCGGCTGGCGACTCTCATCGTAGACAACATGGTTATTTTGAAGATAAATAAATTACACAAACCAAATAATAAACAAAGCGGCAAGACTCCCTAGATAAAGGAAAGAGAAAATATGGGAAGAAAAGACATCCACACAGAAATGAAGAGATGAAGTTAAGAGAAAGGCGCAAGGTAAGAGAACGGAACGGGTAAATTGTCTGACTCTATTCTCTCGGTCCAATCGGCGATAACCGCGAACCATGTTGTGTACATCACATGACAGCCCTCGAAATTAGCCGGAATATCACAACCCAGACAGGGATCTATTCCCATTCTATCTACAGATATCTAGTATAATAATACATCATGCAAGACGCACACCGGCTTGCCGATTCTTCTTGGCCGTAGCCCCCATCGCGCTATTCATGCCAGTATGCTGACTGCTTTCCAATGCACTCATGGCTTCCCGCTTCTTCTCCTCTTCAATCTTCTTAAGATGTTTCTCCGTCTTCATCTTGCCACTGCCCTTGCCATGGAATTGGTGACTCAAATGCTTGAAGGCTTCCTTTTGATTCAAGAGTCGACCATGTTCGTCCACATATTTGAGCTGAACGTCAGGCTTGTATTCCCGATTGAAAATATCGGCCATCTGTCGTGACTCTTGCTGGTCTCGTTGTTTGTTCTCCCATCGTGCATATTCTTCACGTTCTCGAGCAGACATTCGATCCAGTTTACCGGTAGCACGGTCTCGTTCACGCTGTGCTCGCGCACGTTTCTCAGCCTCAGCTTCTCGCTTGTATTTCTCTTGAAGAAACTTCTGGCGATCGCGATGTAATGCATTCAAATCAGCGGCATCGGACTGCTGTACTAGACCACGCTGACGTAGCATAGCAAGAGTACTTCCCAGACCCTCGTCAAGTGTTGACTCTTCATCCAATCCAGTAACACTGATCTTGGGATTCTCTGCCTCTTGATTTTCATGTTCCTCTTTGACTTGCACGGCGCCTTCCATATGAACATCTGCCACGCCTGATTCCGGAGACTCTTCTTTGTGCTCATCCTTTTCTTCATCAGGACTGGCTGCTCGTCGTTCGGGACGTTCAGGTATCTCTGGACGCTGTAGATTAGATACAAACTCTGATGTTTCATCAATCACCAAGCCCGGCTCCTCCTCTGCTCCGTCGCCATTATCTACTTCCATTGGTGTTTGAGAGCTTTCTTCCCGTAATTGTCGCGCGAGTTCTTCTGGACGAAGATGTTTGCGCTTCTTGAATGCTGCACGTCTCTGTATCGCAAGTGAAGCCTGCAAGTCCTCGTCATCAACAAATGAGGTGTCGTATGATTTCTTCTTGGGTGCATCAATAGCATTGTTTGTTACTGTTTCCCCTGAATCCACCTGCATACTATCACCATTGCTTGTTCCTGTGGCGTCTGGAATAGGAAATATATCATCCTCATCGAGAGCTTTTTGTCGCGTAGCCTTGGCTTTCTTCTTTTTAGGTTTCCTGATTTTCACCTCGCTAATATCCATATAATCCGAAACCGGGGCTTCAGGTACAATGTCCAGATTGACAACCTGTTTATTCAGTATATCAGAAACATGTTGTCGCTTCGCCTCCCGTTCTTCAGCCGTGGAACCTTTAGCGTCAAGTGTAAAATGCTTTCGCTTTTTGCCGTCAATTTCCTCATCGTATTGGGCTAGTATGGAGGAAGTACCATCTTCTTTCACAGGGTCATAGGCCGTTCGCTTCTTTTTCAGTTCGAGTTTTTCCTTTAATTTTTCTTGATCGACCAATTCCAAATTTTCCAGCTCATCACCTTCCTCTTCATTTTCGTCGATCGTAGCGTCTTTCAACGTCAAGATTTGTCCATCAGCTGCATCGTCAAAGGCGCCCATTTCATGCGCAACCTTGATACCAGCAAGATCTGCAGCAGTGTATTCGGCAACCCTTTCTCGTTCGGCAAGCTCCTCTGCAAGCTTACGAGCTCTCTCTTTTTCAATCTTCTTTGATAACTTCTTATGTTGCGACAGCCAGGCCTTTGTATCTAGTTCAACGCCCATATCGCCTAATCCCTTTCCTTCCAGTTTCGCATCACGCTGCGCCAGTTCGCGTGCCCTTTTGATAGCGGCATTCTTTTCTTGTCGTTTCCGCCTTGCCTCGGCTTCATCTTGTAGTTTCTGCCAGTTTTGGTATCCTTGAGCCTCGCGAGACTCTAGCGTACTACCGGGCTCTTCTTCTTCAGCAGAATCTTTGGACTCTTTGAAAACAGGTCCTGAGGGTGGTTCTGCACCGGGGACGGGAAGCGGTTTGAGACCGAGGGCGACCCGGATTTTGTTATTTTGCTCGATCGATAGAGCGTCCGCCATCTTGTACAGGATGAAACACTGTTAGATACAGTGCGGTGACAAGCGGATGCGAGGATAAGTTGGTCGTGATAGTTGTAAAGATTCACCCGACCTTAATCAACTCTTTAGGCGGCGAACCCTGGAGTTTATCCGTTCCGAGCCAAAACAAGACTAGCGCAATAAGCACCTCCACAATGCACGCTAGTGAGCGAGTATTTATACCGCTCAGAAAATTTCAACATCTTCTTCCTCTTCTCTTCATAACGAAAATAAACAGATCTGTGTTTCGCGATCCTGGCCAGTTTGTTTTTACAAGCTGTGATCAGTTGATTGCTGAACAGTTCGACGACAAAGGAGCCATTCATACAGGGTTTTTAATTCTGGCATGGTGTCGATTTCCTGTCGACAGATCTGAGATCGATGTACAGCTCTCAACACCCTCTGGCTTTGAGCTCCCTTTTTCACGATTGGTGAGCTCGGTTGGAGGCTTGAGTCGCTGTCGGCGTCATATTCCCACTCCCTTTACCGATTTTTTTGGCCGTCGGCTGATGAGGTTAGGGAAAAACCATGACAAGCCAACATTCTATTTTACTGCATACAGATGGGGTTTAAGTCGTAATTCATATAGTACAAGCCTCATAGAGTATTATAAAAGTTTCAAATGACCAGTAACCTGATCAACCACCGTCTTCGGTCCCAAAACACCAAGAACTGTTCTGCTTCCACTGGCTATTTGCGTTCGTCCAGCGTCCTGTATCACGCGTGCGCAGAGTCCCAGGCTCATGGCTTGAGCTTGTAATAGCAACATCTCCTCCTCTGACTTGACTTGTAGAGCGACTTTTGCCTGACCACCGCGTTCCCAGCGTTTGAGAATGGGCGAGTTGGGAGCTTTCGAGAAGTAATATTTGTAACAAGCGAGTGTGGCATGCGAGCACTGAGCGGCGATTTTACCTATCGATCAGAGAGATTAGACACTCAAAGTTCATGATGAAGACTTTTTTTCTGCATCAAATGGAAATTGCGACTGGGAATTTACCCTTGCCCATGCCCAAATCTGTCCGCACAACAAGAACGAGTTTCACCTCGTCCTGATTACCCTCAAATGTCGCTAATTCAGCCTCATCTTCCTCTTCACTATCGTCTTCTTCCGAATCCTCTTCTATCTCATCTTCTTCTTTCGTTGCGCCCTTTGAAATCGATTGTTGCCTCGTCGCAGGTGAAGAAGAGAACAAACCGAGTGAAGCGCCTTGACCTGCAAAGTAACCAAGAACACCAGCGATAATAGCAGTCGCAAAAACGTACGAAGCGGTAGTTGGCATGTTATCGGATGTCACTGGCGCGGCCATGCTTGTAATGTACTATGTGCAGATTGTATGTTGGAAAGAGAAAAAGAAGGCGCATAATTTTTGAGATCTGTCAAAGCTCTGTGGCGGAAGGCGGATTCGGTATGCGGAGAAACTAGCTAATGGAAATTTGGAATTGCCTACACAGCACTCGCTCCAATACAGTGAAGTTTATTGGTATTTGAAATAGCTTCCAAGTTCGTCAGCCGTTGGGTAAGCTGTCGGTAGATTGTATATAATTTGGAATCAATGCGAGCCCCGAAACATAATCCCTTCATCGTTTAAACATTAACAGACCAGACCCGATACCTACCAGCGCAATGCCTCCTAGAACTAAGTATATGGAAAGATAAAAGGATTGGAACTCATGTAGCAACGAAGATATATTAATAGACCATAAAGGTAGATCTTGAGCAAATTGCCAAATAAACTATTCCCTAACGACGGCCGGCAATTGCGCCTGGATTTGCAGCACGGCGACCCCTAAATATGAAAAGTTAGAATGACATAAGATTCAGGATATTCATAAAAACTCACATCACATTCCTGCTGAGGAAGCTGATACCAATCATAGTCAACCAGCTAGGAATCACAGAGAAATAGTAGATAACGTGGCCGAGGGGAACATTCAAGCCAGTCTCGGCCAAGAAACTATCGTATGGGTGAAGCCAGCCTTCGTAGCGATCTTCCTTCTGCCATGTTTTTTCGGCATGAACGTTGTAGACGGTCTCAGGAGTGACGGTGGTGAAATTCAAGTGCACAACATGTAGAGGTACTTCAGGACGTTTCTCGCCAGGGTGAACCTGGGGAAGGTCGAGATGCCAGATGGTGGGGGCTGCGGCGGCCAGGATTGAGCAGAGAATTGCTTCCTTTTCGCAGTCTACATATCCGAGATTTGGTGACGTAGGATCTGCGGCAAAGAGTGGGATCGAGTCCTATTTATCAAAGAAATTAGTATCGTCTTATCACGCTCAATTTCACTGAAATGAAATGCCGTACATTCCAAGCATGCTCAGCTCGGAGGCATCGACCAAAGCATGTCTTGTTACCACCAGTAAAGAAAACAAGCCACTCCTGGGGTTGAGTTGATGGCTCCAGAACGTCTTTATAGTTGTTAAGGGTCACTGGGGTGACAGCCTTTTCCGCGACCTTCGAGGTAGTTCTGTGAACGGCTTCTTGGACGGGATTCGCAACAATAGGAGCCTGAGGAATAAAGGACTTGACTTGGTCGAACCAGCCCTTGACCTGGTCAGTGAAGGCGTATTGCGACTCCTGGGCGGCGACCAAGACCGGGAGAAGAGTGATTAGGGCCGAGAAGCGCATGTTGATGGTGATGGCGGGGAGGGGTCGGTCGGTGGAAAAGAACGGATTATATTAATGATATATATTTTTGGAGATGAGAGAAGGTCAACGAAGCGCAAGAGAGCAGCTGGCTTGTCAATGGGGGATGCTCGGGCTTGACGTTGAAGAGGAGTTCAGACAGAGGGTTCGCTGAGGCTAGCTGGCCGTACTTGATACAGGAGCCGGAGCTATGCTAAAAGGGGCAAATTACTAATGGCTGTTCCTTTTAGCTGCCAACGCGGCGAATATCATCCACAGCCCGCACGTGTGTCTTGAAATAAATGACATTTGTATGGACTATGGAGTGCATTTCATGAATATCAGGTGGAGTTGTCATCGACTGATGCAATTATCAGGTTCTACTCAGTCGCCAGTTGTCGCGATGCTAACATTTGCGACCATGTAGAAACACATACAATTTAGTATTTCGAATCTTAAGATCAAAGTGTAAATTCCCCTAGTCTTCATTATGTATGTATTCATTAACCGATGATGTTATCGACCATGGCCGATAGTCGCTCCGGCAGGATAGTGAGCCTCCATACCCTAACGTCCAACAATTGTTTGTGAGTTGCCTCGTTCATGAAATAAAGGCGACGCATTGAAGACAGTTGCATTATTAATAAACTCCATACAATTGATCAGTCGCGAATTGACTGAATCCACGTCTGCGTGCATAGGCGATCGCGAGGGGCGACCAAAAGCAGAGAGCGATTTCGGCCTGGCTAGGAAGTTTTTCCAGGCAAAGAAGGAAATTTTCCAGGTTCCCCCAGTTTTTGCCTCAGTCATCCATCGACCAATCGCTCGGTTGAGTCATTGCACCTAATCACGCCCCGCCTTCTATGACTCTTTCTTCTCTCTCTCTTTTTTTTTCTTATATAAGAAACACTCGATTCACATTCTACTCTCCATCATCTTGTCTACCAATTATTCTCTGATCGCAGTCCCGTCTCTCTTGATCTAGAACTAAACTTCATTACATACCCGCGCTCAAAATGTGTCCCGGCGCAGACCACACGGCCAATGGGCACACCAATGGCAATGGCACCGTCGATGCCAACGGAAATGGTACGGTGTTTACTTCCACCTCGCAGGACTCGATCTTGTGTTCAATTCAACTATACTAATCATCTCCATAATACAGTGAACCACGACGGCTTCACCGCCATCCAGACTCGTCAGAACCCTCACCCCACGTCGAGGAATCCCTACGGCCACAACGCCGGAGTTACCGATTTCTTGAGCAATGTCTCCCGCTTTAAGATCATTGAGAGCACATTGCGAGAGGGCGAACAATTCGCCAATGCCTTTTTTGATACCGAGAAGAAGATTGAGATTGCCAAGGCCCTTGATGAATTTGGTGTTGACTATGTGAGTCATACCCGCATTATTCAATTATTGTGGGTTCAATCACTAATCGGATACGGCAATAGATCGAACTCACCAGCCCATGTGCCTCTGAGCAATCGAGGTTGGACTGCGAGGCTATTTGCAAGCTGGGACTTAAGGCCAAGGTTGGTTATGTAGATGACATCTGCCGGTCTCATTACTTAACAGTTCTTCCAGATTTTGACACACATTCGTTGCCATATGGACGATGCCCGAGTAGCTGGTATGCTCCGAATTCTTCCCAATGGCTAGTTTTCTTGACCACGTGCTTACCATTGTATAGTCGAGACCGGTGTTGACGGTGTCGATGTCGTCATTGGCACAAGCTCTTAGTGAGTATATCCACTTCCAATACAGACACTGGTTCCAGGTCTAATGCGGTTGCTAGTCTCCGTGAACACTCTCATGGCAAGGATATTACCTATATCACCAACACTGCCATTGAGGTTATCAACTTTGTCAAGTCCAAGGGTATTGAGGTTCGATTTTCCAGCGAAGACTCATTCCGTTCAGGTAAGATATGCTGCTGTTCATTTGAAACGCTGTCGCTAATCAATTTTCATAGATCTTGTTGATCTCTTGTCAATTTACTCCGCTGTTGACCAAGTTGGTGTCCACCGAGTTGGTATCGCCGATACTGTTGGCGTAAGTTCTTAAACAGGAATTCCAACTGAGTTCGCTCGTACTAATTCGGACATAGTGTGCTTCTCCTCGTCAAGTCTATGAGCTTGTCCGTGTTCTCCGAGGTGTCGTTCACTGTGACATTGAGACCCATTTCCACAACGATACTGGCTGCGCTATTGCAAATGCTTTCTGCGCTTTGGAAGCCGGTGCCACGCACATCGATACTTCAGTTCTTGGTACGTCATTCCGCAAATCATTGTGTGATTATACGCTAATTGAGTATAGGTATCGGTGAACGCAATGGCATCACCCCTCTGGGTGGTTTGATGGCCAGAATGATGGTTCAGGCCCCTGAATATGTCAAGTCCAAGTACCGCTTGGAGAAGTTGAAGGATTTGGAGGACTTGGTCGCTGAATCCGTTCAAGTCAACATCCCCTTCAACAACTACATCACTGGTTTCTGCGCTTTCACTCACAAGGCCGGTATCCACGCCAAGGCTATCCTCAACAACCCCAGCACCTACGAAATCATCAACCCCGCTGACTTCGGCATGACTCGTTATGTGCACTTCGCTTCTCGTCTCACTGGATGGAACGCTATCAAGTCCCGTGCTCAACAACTCAACATCCAGATGACTGATGCTCAATACAAGGAATGTACCGCCAAGATCAAGGCTCTTGCCGACATCCGCCCCATCGCCGTTGACGATGCTGACAGCATTATCCGCGCATTCCACCACAACATCAAGCTCGGTACTGATAAGCCACTGATGGAGCTGAACGAAGAGGAGAGGGCCCAATTCGCACAGAAGGAAAAGGAAATCGCTCAAGCCCAGGCCAACGGTGAAAACATCGGTGCCTAAGTAAACTTGCATTTAGACAAAAGAAAAGACGGCAGTCGATCTTTAAACGGCTCTTATCTGTTAATTTATACGATGTGAATGGTTCTCTTATTTTGCGCTCTGGCGTTTTTGGTCTTGTCTTTGCAAATGGATTATCCACAATCCTCCTACACTTCATTTGACAGAGAAGTTGAAGAAAGTTCAAAAAAGGGAAACTTAAAAGGGTTTCGGCGTTCAAAAAGTGTGGTGGCCGCCTGTATATAAGGGCTTGCACGACAATCTTCGACATGACTAGATGTACTTGAAGAAAAGCATATTGTTTCCTCTATTTCAATAGATCTGCCTAATCATTTCAGTAACGATGGGCGAGTATGTCATATTTCCGACTCCCGAGTGATCGCTCACTGCGCCACATTGTTGATGTCAGTATTCGAGATGTTGGTACAGTTAGGTTGATCTCTGATAAGTCCTGACAACGGTGTTGCTGATAAGCTAGATCAAGTATAATAGAGGTTCGATTATCACAGTGTAACGGTCTTACAGCGTTGTATTTTAACCGTGGCAAATCAGATGGTTGCGAGCTCGCAAGCACCTCGCAAGCCGGAGGCTAACCATAATCATAAATTACCAGGCGTATGGCCGTTGTAAGCGGGCTGGTTCCCAAGCTGGTTGACTGAGCCGAGGCGTGCCTTCCCATTGATACCGGAGACATTGGCGACTGCCTTCTTGGACGATACAATATTTATTCTTCATCCTGTCCCTCTTCCTCTTCCTCTCTTCTACACATCTCTACCGTCAGTATATATTCTTCATGCATTAATAGCTGACAGTCTTATCGCACAGCTACTTTTATATCAGTAGCAGACATGGCGTCATCACTGATTCCCGCATCCGTGCAGAGCAGGTTGATGGGAGCATCATCACGAAACTTTTCCAATGCTACTCTCGCATACCTCAACGTCGACCTGTACGTTTAGCAACTATTCTGTCTGCCTGCATTGAATTGTGATTGACTAATTATTTTCTATCGTATTCAGGATCAAGAACATCGTTTTCCTCTTTTTCATTCTCCGATACACTCGCAAGACATTCGATTCCCTCCGCGGGTATGGCATTATCGGAAGTATTAAAAGAGTCTATGCCGCCGTTCGGCTATGGGTCTGCTACCTGTTCCTACGCGCCCCTGGTGTTCGCGGCCAGGTAGATAAGCAGGTCACAACCGCCATTACGAAACTTGAGGAGAAACTCGTCCGAAAGGGTCCCGGTATTAATAGCTATCTCACTCTGCCAAAGGAAGGTTGGACAACTGAACAGATACGTGCGGAGCTTACGCAATTGTCTGGTATGGAACATGCGAAATGGGAGGAAGGCCGTGTCAGCGGCGCCGTTTACCATGGTGGCGAAGATCTCTCGAAGCTGCAAACCGAAGCTATTGGAACATTTAGTGTTTCCAATCCTCTTCACCCGGATGTTTTTCCAGGAGTCCGGAAAATGGAAGCCGAAATTGTCGCCATGGTATGTAAACAATCAAAGGGCCATCATGTGGATCTGAGTATTAAATTTGATTAGGTCCTTTCCCTCTTCCACGGTCCATCGGATGGTGCTGGTGTAACTACCAGCGGTGGCACAGAATCTATCTTAATGGCATGCCTTGCAGCTAGGCAGAAAGGCTACGCCGAGCGCGGAATTACTGAACCAGAAATGTGAGTCTAGCAAGTTATCTAGGCAAGATGAAGTCCTAACAATCGCAGGGTTGTTCCCGAAACTGTGCATGCGGCTTTCTTCAAGGCTGGTAACTACTTTGGCATTAAGGTTCACCAGGTGCCGTGCCCAGCACCGGATTATAAAGTTCATATTCCTTCACTTCGACGACTGATCAACCGCAACACTGTTCTTATTGTCGGTTCTGCTCCTAACTTCCCACATGGTATCGTGGACAACATTCCAGCCCTTTCACGACTTGCCGTTTCATACAAGATACCACTCCACGTCGATTGCTGTCTTGGTTCGTTTGTCATCGCCTTCCTTAAGAAGGCTGGTTTCCCATCACCTTATGAAGATGAAGGTGGATTCGATTTCCGTCAGCCAGGTGTGACCAGTATTAGTGTCGATACTCATAAATACGGATTTGCTCCCAAGGGTAATTCTGTTTTGCTGTACCGCAACCGGTCTTACCGAAACTATCAATACTTTATCTTCCCCGAATGGACAGGAGGTGTCTATGCCTCGCCATCAATTGCAGGCTCCCGTCCTGGTGCCTTGATCGCAGGTTGTTGGGTCAGTTTGATGACCATCGGCGAGTCAGGATATACTGCTAGCTGCCATCAAATCATGGGTGCAGCCAAACAGTTCGAAACAGCCATTCGCGAAGATCCAATCTTGTCAGCAAATCTTGAAGTCATCGGTAAACCCGAAGTCAGCGTGGTAGCTTTCGCAAGCAAGAATGTTGGAATCGACACATATGATATTGCAGATGCAATGTCAGCTAAAGGATGGCATCTCAACGCACTACAAGATCCTCCAGCAATCCACATGGCTTTCACAAGACCGACAGCATTGGCTGTGGAGAAATTGCAGACCGAGTTGACCGAAGTAGTGAGTGCAGAACTGGCCAAAGCCGAGGAGAGACAAAGACAAGGAAAGTCATACGCCAAACAACGAGGTGACACTGCTGCCTTGTACGGTGTGGCAGGTAGCCTGCCCGATAAGAGTATTGTGAGCCGGTTGGCTGAGGGATTCCTTGATGCTTTGTACAAGCCGTAAGTCGTGCTTACTAAATTTCCGCCAGATGAAAGGCTTCCGGTTGATTTGTTCCTGTGTTGTACATTGGTCGGCGTACGGTTTCAGTGGGTTATTCTTGTAGATATTCTTATGGTCAATCAAAGAGTATAATACATTCATTATTCATTCTTTGTTTATTGTACAGTAGTGGCCAGTTTTAAAACACCGGCTAAACCAAATGATCCGTTTAAGCCCGGATATGTAAATACTTGATGCTCTTTTGTACACCTCAGTCGATAGCCTCGAGTCGGTGAGGTGCTTCCATATTCGAGCGTCTGAAAATCTCCCCTGTAGTAGATCCTCTCGATATAGATTTCCTTACCGAACCAAGTCGACCACTCAATCATCATGATAATCGAATTGAAAAAAAAAATCATACTATGAGAACCTCCTCTCTTCAAAATCTTCCTCCGCCCTTCTCTCAACATAATATCCCGGATCCGGTTTCCGTCGCAGATGAACCTGCGCCTTCGTAAGCGGTTCATCGACTTCTTGCACATCGACCAATTCTTTCACTTTCATGATTTGACCGGCTACGTCTCGTGAGACCGGGTAGAAGACTGTTGCCATTCGCTTTTTGAGGCCGAGGGCGTGGAGGACCATGTTTTGGCGGAGTGGGAGACCGATGGCGGAGCGCATGAGGGTTATGCGGAAGTAGGTCATTTTCGTGGCCATTTTGATATGTTATCTTCTGGTTCGTTGGAAGGGTTTGAGGATTGGGTATGGTGAATGGGTTAAGTTGTTTGGATTGGAGTATGTGTTTTTGTTGGGTAGACCTGTCGCAAGGCCTAATGGTCAGACACTCTCATTCATCGATGGGTTCGCGGTTCAAAAAGAGTGTCAGTTGATCCTTAGTCGTGAAATAAGTCGTTTCAGGACGGAACGATAGTAATGGCTAAGGAGACGGAGATAGAAATTCAATAGCAAATCCGCTGATGTTTGCCAAAGAAGAAGGCGGTGAGTCATGCGAGTCCTATTGACAGCTTCCGCTGCGCTTCTGATTGGACATTGCGGAACTCATCTCTGGCCAACAGCTACGTTTCAGCAGATTTATACACTAGGGAGTATAAAAACAGTGTGGAATATCACGGATTCGGATGCGAGAGTCGACAGTCATTTTTAGTAGCGAGCGGCGATATACCATGTCCCGACTACAAACATTGCGCGCGTAAACAACGATCAATCGCTCCGATTTACCGATACGTTAAATCAGCGCGGCCTCCAGGGCAGCAACGATCATGGCGAAAGATCGCAAGATGGAAGGCCTGGACAAGGCCACTGCTATCCCACGGCTAGCTGAGCTCCTACGACATCCGGAAGATTTGGACAAACTACCCGCATTGAAGCTCGAATACCAGCACAAGAAGGTCGCAGTAGACGCACAGCTTCGCGAAGGTCTACGAGAACAACTCGAGAAGGTGCAACGAAGTCTATCCGTGTTGACGGAAGGTCAGAGACAGGTTTTCAAAACTCGCGACGAGCTTCAGGGTATCGATAAACTATGTGCAGAGTCGCAGGAGACGGTGGAGGATTTCTCGCAGATCGATAAATTGGCAAGGGTGCAACGGAATTTTGAGGCTGTGGTTATGATGAAGAAGGGATTGGAGAACTTCGATGCAAATTTAGCGAAAGCTGAGGCTCTACTTCGGGATGATGACGATGATCTGGAGAATCAGCCTAATTTATTGAAAGCGCATATATTGATTTCGCAGTTACGGGATTTTCGTGATGAAGCGTTGGATCAGATTCGAAGAGCTAAGGATTCGAGTAGTGAGACTACGTTACTGGATTATTTTCAAGGTTTGGATGCGGTGATTGAGTGGTTTGATGATCACGTTGGAACTGCCTGCATGAATCTGATTCCGCTTCTACAGTCTGATAATAATGGCATGGTAGTGAGGCTGGCTCTCGTGATTGCAAAAGAAGAAAAAAACGACGAGCACGTCCAAGCATTGCAGGAGGCTCAAAGAGACCACGAAGAACTAGCAAACAGGTTCAAGTCTATGAATATCGGACCGAAGACGGTCAGAGGCTACAAGGAGAAATTCCTGCAGGCTATTGAGTTTTATGCTCAGAACCAGTTTGATGCTGCCAAGGAGGATTTCCTAGGAGATCCAGACAGTCTTGAGAAGAGTCTGAAGTGGTTCTTCAATGACCTCTTCACCGTTCAGCAAGGCATGCAACAGCTTATGCCAAAGAGGTGGAAGATATACGCTACTTATACGAAGACATATCACCGGATGATGCACGATTTTCTTATCGGTCTCGTCGATGATCCTGAATTACCACCAGACAATTTATTAGCAATCCTTCACTGGACGCCGAAATATTACAAGAAGATGTCCAAACTAAGCTGGAAGCCGGCAGACCTGGTACCGAATGTTTTGGATGATCGTGAACCAGAACTCGTTCGCCAGTGGCAGAGTGTTATTCTCAATGCCGTGGACGAGTGGATGGATCGTATATTTGCTGCGGATAAGAAAGCGCTTCTGGAACGCTCGTCGGATGCCCTGGAGACGAATTCAGATGGATACTTCCGTACGAAGATGTTGGGAGATATGTGGCGAATGCTCAATGAGCAGATTGGGGCTGCGTCTGCGTCTGATCGTGCTGATGTTATTGAAGGCATTATTGATTCGATGTTCCGAGCTCTAAAGGCCCGACAGACAGCGTGGCAGACGGTTCTTGACGAAGAATGTGCCAAATATAATAATACTAACCCCGATCAGGCCGAAGGATTGCAACCTCTGCAAGACTGGCTGGTCGCCGTGGCAAACGATCAGATTGCCTGCATCGATGACAACGAAGATACCGGTCAGGTAGGCTATTTGACTCGCTTCAAACGGGATATCGAGTCACTTGTCACACCGCAATACATGGATGAGAGAGCTTCAGTCGAACTGGACTCTCTTCGAAATGGATACGTGGATCTTAGTACCCACTGTCTAAGTCAGTTTGTTAACCTCATCTTTGTCGTTGACTTCCGTACCACACTCCCCGATTTCTTCACGGCCAAGTGGTACGGCGAGTTTGCTATCAAGCGCATGACCTCGACTTTTGAGGACTACATGTCAGACTACGGCTCGGTCTTACACCCATCACTCAGCGAAATCTTCATCGAGGAGTTATCAGATGAGCTGCTCGTGCGATACCTATCAGCCGTTCGCAACCGCGGTGTCAAATTCCGTCGCCAAGACCCCTTCACTGAGAAATTCAAAGACGACATCCTCACCGTCTTTGCATTTTTCCAAAACTTCCCGGACTCCTTCCAAAGCAATATCAAGAATAAATGGCGTCTTGTCGACTGGCTTGTTCGATTACTCGAAGCCGAAAAGGGCGCTGGTATTGTGAATGTCTACGAAGCACTCAAAACCGAGTACTGGGATTTGCAGATGTCCTGGGTTGAGGCCGTGCTGCGCTCTCGTGACGATTTCGAGCGGTCGATGATTAGTGCCGTTAAAGCCAAGGCTGCTGAGCTGAATGTTGAGAGGGGTTTGGAGACTATTATGAGTAAGGTGAAGTAATAGTTCTCCTTTGTCATGACCTTTTCTACGACCGGGTAGTACCGTAGCAGTACTCCTATATCCTGGGATAGTTTAATTGCGGGAACTTGTTTGGCATCGTGGAAATTTCAGGGGGCGTTGGGGCGTGTGAGCGCATGCATGTCTTTGTAGTTTAATGTATATAAGCATAATGTTAAGTGTGGCGCTAAATGCTTTGTGTGACTCTCAGTGTGACACGGCTTTTGTTCTTATGGTCAGCCTCACAAAGCCCTAATTCGAGTCCCGAGGCGTCGGGTTACATTCAGATTTCTTAGGGCAACAAGCCGCAGTGTTAGAAGTTGGATATTATTAAGTTAGTACTATCACGGTCTATTTTATTTTGTTTCATTAAATCCTCGAGGCTTGGTTAGTTTCAGGAAACCGTCGTAGGATCCTAGTACTGCTTGATGGCTATGGAAGTACTGCCTACAGAAAGTATAGCGCTTGAGTCAGCATTCTTAAGTCTATATAATATGAGGGCGATGAATGTGATCATAGTCATCTTCTATAACACCATGACATCCCCTATCACGGTTAGAGAGCTCATGATAGAATCATTCACACTACTCGAAACAACGCCCGGTCAAGGTCCACATAAAGAAAGTCGTCTCTACTTACTTGCATTTTTGTTGATATAGAACCCCGGTCCCTGTTCCAAGTCCTGTAAGTTCCAGATCTTCATATCATAGTCTTTTCAATGCAATCGGTACTCTTGTGATCATACAATATCTGTCAGAATGTACAGCCGTTACGTCTCTCTTTTCTCCACTGTGGCCTCTTTGGCCTCTCTGGCTTCAGCCTGGGCTCCTCCGTCGTACGCAGGGTACACATTGCAGTGGACCGATAGCTTTGACGGCGCAGCAGGGACATCCCCTAGTTCCGGTAACTGGAACATCATCACGGGAAAATCGACCGTGAACGGCGAGTTAGAAACATACACTAGCTCAAGTGCAAATGTCCAGCTGAGCGGTGGTAGCACGATTCAGCTTGTGCCCTGGGCAGACAATACTGTCTCTGGCGGATGGACTTCAGGCCGCGTTGAGAGCAAGTACACCTTCACGCCAACAGCGGGCGTTATCACAATGGCCGAAGCCAATATCAGATTTGGAACAAACGCTATTGCAAACAAACAGGGGATTTGGCCTGCATTCTGGATCCTGGGTGATTCCATCCGTCACGGAACTGGATGGCCAGCATGTGGAGAACTCGATATTCTCGAGACAGTTAATGGCCAGCTGACTGGCTACGGTACTGCTCATTGCAATGTGAACCCAGGTGGTATCTGCAACGAGCCTAATGGTCTAGGTGGACGCATCACCATCCCAGACCAGTCCTGGCATACATGGCGCATGGTCTGGGATCGTACTCCATCTTCCTGGCAGTCTGAGACGATTACCTGGTATATGGACGGACGACAATTCTGGCAGATCAGTGGCTCTCAGATTGGGAACCAGGGTGTCTGGGCAACGCTGTGCCATAGCCCGTTGTATTTCATTCTCAATGTGGCTGTTGGTGGTAACTGGGTAAGTCTTCTCTCTTTACGTTTGAGCATCAGTAGAGTGCTAATACAGAAACTCTTGGCTGTATAGCCAGGTTATCCTAATTCACAAACCCTCGGAGGGTATGGCAGTATGATGGAAACTGCCTATGTTGCTGTCTACCAGTCTTAACTTCAAAGGTCTATTGTCTATTCATTTCTGGAACATACTGAATTTTTGTAACTCTGTATCTCATTATCTGTACATATTTCCTACTATCTTATACTTTGAACAAGTCTTATCACCGCTTATACCCAGTCATATCTATGTAACTAGGGGTTGTTTAGTACCGAGCAATATCAATTGACATCTGCCGCTAATGCCGCGCTGTTTTTCTTGAAAACAGCAACGAGGAAAGCTTAGCCAATGGCTATATGTCTCTTAAATGATTATACTTGACTATGATTGGTATTTTCAGATCACAATGCATATGCAATGACCTCGAAGCTCACACGAAGTGCAGATGATCACCCGGTGAAATAGATATCCAAGACTCTGTAATCCGAATAGACCGCGTGCTGTGGATGTACTATGCTGTGCTAACAATTTCTGTTATTCCCGAGGTCTTTCCTTCTTTTTTTTGTTTTCTTTTTTGTGTCTGACCTTCGTCTATGGTATCTCCGCCAAGTTTCTCCGGTGTACCATCATTCAAGGCAATGATATGTCAAAAGGATTGATATTTCGTCCAGTGGGTGACCAAATTTAGTAGAGTGGTGGTCGAAATATGAATACTTTATGTTTGTGTGTTACCACTTGAGTGACGTGATCACCGATGCTTGAACTTACCTAGGCATATGACTGCTTCATGACTATTGTAGATTTGATGCAAAGCATTGATATAAACATCAACTTCTCAGGGTCACAATAAGCTGCAACGAAAGCCAAAATAACCACAATAGAAACCTTGAAATCGATATTGACTTATTTGAAAGGCCTAGACAACCAATATGAAGCACGACTGCGACGTCCTTGTTGTTGGAGCTGGACCAGTGGGTCTCACTCTCGCTCTTCTTTTAGGATCTTACGGTCATCGAATCATAGTCTTGGAACGGCATGCCGCTATCTATCCTCTTCCTAGGGCAGTCAATCTCAGTCATGACGTTTTGCGGGTCTGGGATGGATTAGGTCTATACTACGACTTGTTCGAAAGTGCCGTGGCAGATGTTCGTGGCACGGTTTCGGATGAGGTCGAAATAATCGGGGCTTCAGGACAGGTCCTCCGTCGAGTCCCTTACAACGGGCCATCGAAGACTGGAACCAGCAGAACATTTCGAATTCACCAGCCAGCTTTGGAAAAGGTCTTGGAAACAGCCTGTCAAAAAAGGGGTATAGCCGTAATTCGGTCAACAGAGGTTGAAAATGTACTCAATACGGACTCCCATGTTGAGGTATCCGCTCAGGGTCCCAGTGGGATTCAGAACTGGCTCGCACAATTTGCTGTAGGCTGCGATGGAGCAAATAGTCTCGTTCGCAGGTCCGTTGGATTCCCTTTCATAGACTGTCCTGGTTCGAATACGACGTGGCTAGTCGTCGATGTTGCCCCAACGGTTCCCGGGGCTGGGGAGAAGTGGAAAGATTTTCACAATGCGAGAGTCCACATGAATCCTCAACGGCCACATGCTTCTGTATTTGGAACTCCGCAGCGCAGAAGATGGGAGTTGATGTTGCTCTCTGACGAGGAGATTGCAAAGGCATCGGACAGTGGATTCATATGGTCTTTGATAGCAGAGTTTGGCTGCAACCCTGAAAATGCTCTCATTGAGAAAAGCGCAGCTTTCTCGTCGAAGGGAGGGTGGTGTGAGACTTTTAATAAAGGTCGAATCCTTCTGGCTGGAGACGCAGCCCATGTAACACCTACTTTTATAGGGCAGGGACTCAATTCAGGGGTGCGGGATGCTAACTCTCTTTCTTGGAGGATTGACCTTGCTCTTCGATATCCCGAGAGTAACTGGTGTCGTATGTTTGAAGACTGGACTTCAGAGAGGTCAGGTGGAGTCCAGGAATTAATCAAAGCTTCTGTTGCTATGGAAGCTCGAGTTACAGTGACTGATTTGGAGCAAGCAATGCGCCGTGATGTAGAGTACAATCAACGACCGTTCGCTCCTCAGAACCCTGAAAAACTGGGATCGCCTGGCATGTATGCCTTGAACTCTGAGGAAGGAGAAGCATTCCATGATGAGGTTGGCAGTCTTTTCATCGATGGGACGCTCCAGATTGGAGATAGACATGGACGACTATGCGACCATTTTGGTGTTCAAAGCTGGCTAATATTCCTGTCGCCAGTAGGTGAAAGTAACAGCAAGACACAGATATGTTCAGATATAATCAGGCGTTTCTCTGTTGTTCTAAATGGGAAAATCGTCTCTATCGGCAACGATATCCACGACACGACAGGCGTGTTTTCCGCCTGGTTCATGAAATACGGTGCTCTAGGAGTCTTGTTGCGGCCAGACCATTATATCTATGGCGTAGCAAGGACTGCTACTGGGCTTGAAAGTCTTGTACGAGATGCTCTTTGTCATCTAGGTCTCCTCGGTGAGGAAACCGTTACCTTGAAACCTGAATTACAGAACCGCCCAGTTGGTGACTTCGGGTCACAAAGGTCTAGATCGATTAGCGCTCACTGACTTAACATGACCTGGCCAGTGATCACTCCCGGTCATACTTGTTCTATGGTCACTCGCTGTGCTAGGATGAGCATAAAGCGGCACAATAGTACGCGATTTGGCGGAATATCGGATTGTCAACATTGAACTTGACTGAGTCTAATCAAGAAGAAGTTGTAGAAGAGAGAATGAATGTGATTTTGTAATTTGCCTCGGCATTGTGACATTTGATTCATATACAATCACAATTTCCAGAGAAAGAGTATTCTTTTATCCCTTGTGGATGCATGGAATGTAACCATGGCGGTTTCCCCGTGTTTATGCACCAATTGAAACAGGGACAACAAATATCATCACAAGATGAAATGATTCGAGCCTAGGCTTAATGAAAAGGCATGTATTTTCATTGGTTTACCCCAGATTTAGGTCAACGCCACGTTCAGCCTCGAATATAAGGAGTGACTCGGGAACTCGATCTTGGCTCTTGAGAAGACTCGCAACTTAGTACCGAAATAGTGGAATATTATGCGGCCTCTGAGCACGGTTTGCTTTCTTCGTTGCTAGGTGGGAGTATTCTCTAGGCGTACAGGGGCATAGAAATGTATATATTCGGAGAAATTTGACCTCATCCTTTTGTATATTTCTTTCCAGGTTTTGCAAGTGTATATCAGTACTGTAGTTATAGCATAGCTACCAAGTCGTTTCGCAGATCAGATCTGAATATCAATATGCTTCTCCTGAAAACCATTGCATTCTTCCCTCTTATCACCCTCACCCTCTCCTCTCCCCTCCTCTCCAAAAGAGACGAAGCATCAGTCCTCACCGGAATCCAAAAGATCGCAAACGCAACAATCACACTCAACAACACCGTCGCCAGTTACCCCGGCGGCATCGAAGGCACTATTACAGCCGTCGAGATCCTCTCGGACTCCTTCGCCGTCATAAATGCAATCGTCTGCACAACCAACGACGCCAAACACTCGGCCAACTTTACGGATGCAGAATCTGAGTCCGTCGCCGAGGCGTTCATCGCTACTCTCGTGCCGGTAGTTGAGTCCAGTCTGGCGACGATCGAGAGTAAAAAGGCCGATTTTGAGGACGGATTCCTTGGTATTGCGAGCTTGACGAGCTTGGTTGAAACGATACTCAAAGAAATCAAGAGTGATAGTGATGATTTGGCGACTGCGATTATAGCCAAGTTGACTAGTACTTGGGCCTCGGTAGCGCCGTTGATTGTAGCAGAGATTGATGATGCCTTTGATAAAGCCATTGCGACATTTGCCTCTTGATCGTTTCACCTAGTACATTGATTTCGACGCATATTGCCTAGGTATATGATCGAATATAACAATTTCCCTAGAGTTGTGTTCATCTAGAACAACTTCCTCTCCGCAACAACACGATATTCCTGGCCCAATCTCGCTGCTAAATGATTATCTTCTTCGGTCAGTGTCTTAGCACCCATTTCGCATATACATAGCTTCTCAATCGGAACATGACTCGCCCACACAAATGGGCGTCTGGGACTGTCCGAGTCGTGCCCTTGCTGTAATTTATCCACGCTTTTAGAAGGATGAGCTTCTTCATCTGACGAGCGAGAAGTAGAATCAGTATCTTCTTGACTATGTCCCGCATCATCGTCGTCAACTGGAAGTTGATGCTTCTCCTGCGTGCATGTACCATCCGTATAATAATCGCGATACCATGCTAAAAGATCTCGTGCATCAAACGTCAAGGGTCCCGCACGTTTGTGACCCCTTTTTACTTTATTGCTATAATGAGTACTTCGTCCGCCGCGAGCATATATCGTATTGACAAGCGTGGCATGTAATAACAACGGTCTGTATTTGGGCTTCTGCTGTATTATGCTTTCTTCCGCGACTTCTGCAGCAAGGATAGTTCCGTTGTTATTGTTATTATTATTAGTGGTATCCTCGTTGTTTGATGCCTGGTTGCTGGCTTTGTGTTTCTTCGGCCTCTGTTTGATGACATCCTGCTCGATGAATCCTGCATCAACAAAGGCCTGGCGTATTTTGACTGCGAACGGATATAGTCGCGATGTTGGATCAACTGGACTGGCATATAAGACAGTTGCCACTTTTGCTTTCGGTAGTGGGCTCAGAGACTCTAACGAGACGGATATTGGGTTATTGAAGTCCTGTGCAGTATTGTTTTGATCTTTGAGTTCGGACTGCACTTCCTGCAATATCTCGTGCACTTTGAGCGATTTGAGAAAATCCACGGCTTCATCCACTCGTGTCGGTGATGTGAGACTCATGACACCCAGAGTCAGATGCACAGTACCCAGCGGTCGAATCGCAGAGTCCGGGAACAACGGTGGGAGCCATTCTGATGGATGATCACCGCCGGCCTTTTGAGCGAGTAGCAGGTCGTGCTTGAATTTATTGATTGAGTTTTCTAGTAACGGTAGTGAAGTCTCCGACACAAGAGGCAGACACAAGAAGTGTGTGAGAGGAGGCTTTTTCTCGTTTTTGAATTGTGAATTATTCGCGGCCATGGTTGTAAGTGGAGCAATTTGTATGCTCGAATGCCTCGTTGGGTTTCTTCCTGAGAAGCTAGATGGGAAAACGATTCGGTTTGTTAACAGATCAATATGCTTGATGTACCCCGAGTTTCGATATCTCGGAAGTAGAAGCATTGGAGCTTTAACGAAGGTCCATCAGCCCAATAGCGTATGATATTCCACCAAAAATACTTTTGTGTAGTTGGAAATGCTTTACCATAACCATTCATGAGAACAGAAGATTGTTGTTGGGTGAAGTGACAGGCACGGAGCAATAAGCGATATGATTGGTCGGATTTTGCCTAGGTAAGTGTTGGCTTAGATGACGATTTCATCATCGGCCTGTCTTTTCTCCATTCACTCAACAACTCGACGTAGTTCGCTGAAGAGAAGCTCACTGCTCAACGAGACAACTCATTGACTATTATACATTCTCTACTAAACGATTCTATCAACTCAATTGTTCACCATGCTCTCTCGATCAACTCGAGCTTCCCTTCTCCACCTGCACCACAGCGCAGCTCCAATCAATTCCTCAACATCACGCATTGCTGCACTTCGACACCCAATTCAGATTCAACAAAAGAAACAGGCAACGCCATTTCAACGGCGCAACTTCCTCTCAACCCCGGCTATTCGCAAGGGTATCACACCGGATTCTTCAGACCCGATAGCTCCAAACCCACAGTCCAACAACGCAGCAACTGCAGCTGGTTCTGACCATGTAGTTGAGGCTACTCCGTTATCAGACAGGGATTACCATGAGGTATCAGAACATTATTTGAATGTGCTATTGGGGGAGCTGGAACGAGTTCAAGAGGAAGGTTCAGAGATTGAAGCTGAGTACAGCGTATGCTCCCAGCTCCTTGAATAATGAATGACTTGTTAACAAAATGTCTAGGCCGGCGTCCTCAACATCGTAGTCCCCGGAATCGGTACATACGTCCTCAACAAACAACCACCAAACCATCAAATCTGGCTCAGTTCGCCCATCTCAGGCCCCAAACGGTATGATTGGGTTATTCAGGGAGACCAAATGCATGAGAAACAGGATACGCGAGGCTTTATCAATGGGCAATGGATTTATTTGCGCGATGGGTCGAATTTGACGGATTTGTTGAATGATGAGTTGACGTTGGAGTTACCTGAGGATATTTATACGCCACTTGAGTGATTGTATTCATACAGGGACCACAATATTATTGAGATAATAATTGTATGATATTTGGTTACTAGTGTCTCACGCTAGTATTAGTTGTTGAAATAATCTCGACACCGGTTGGTATTGATCTCTTCAACCCTTTTCTGTAATACGGTCCTTTCTCCTGCACCCACACCTGAAATGTTGGCGTACGGTTTCTTTCACCTCGATGATCTGACTGCGATACGGCCTATAATCTGGAGAGGCCCTCTCCAGATCGCTGCTCTGTATGACCATTCCAATACTTTCTGCCAGTCATGGGCGCGAACCCGACGGAGGCAGTGCCAGTCAAGACTGCGCTGGATATTGATCGTCAGGCGACTCGAAGAAGTATGTTTTCGGTCTCAGGAATCAGAGACTCATGTTCTCGTGGCAGCGTCGTGTATCACATAATCATAGCCATCATGTATATTCTCCAACGGTCCCGGATATAATTGCTCAAGCCTGCACCTTAACCTCACTCTTAACCTGCTCCTGCTTCGGCTCCTCCTTGACCAAGTCATTCTACCAAACCGCCCAAATCAGCATCCCCCCTCTTTCCATTATAAAGTAAAGAAAAAAAACTTACAGCATCAAAAATAACCCGAATCATCAAACTACAACTCGGACAAACGGCAATCTCCTCCCCATCACGCAAGGAATCAATCGCAATCTCGAATCGGTCGCCGCAAGGGCATGGATAATGATAGATTTGCAAGTTTGGGTCAAAGGTCATGTCTTCGATTTCGATTTCGTCGTAGATTGAGATTTGATCATCGTCTGCCATTTTCTTTTCTTGTTTCGGGCTCGCCGACTTCGTATTGCGGGGTTGAGATGAGGAAGAGGGATGTGTGATACCGATGAATATGTTAAAGGACGTGAATACTCTTTTTCCTTCTTTCCTTTCTGTATTTGTTCGAAGCGAACAATAATCAAGCTGAATGGGTTCTGGGTTCGGGAGGACAGATGTATCGCCACTGCAGGAAAATAATTTAACTTTAGGCACGACTACTCTGAGTGGACGAATAGCATCAACGAACCGCACGTGACCCCTATATACACATCAAGAAGGTAAAAGAATATAAATACTGATATAAGAATGAAATTATATTTCCAACTTCTTAATCTCCCTCTGAACGGCTTCCACTTCCTGCGCCAAATCTCCATATCGTCGCGCAATATCTGTCATTGGTCCTGTGTTGCCTCTTCTCTTAGTAGAAGTACCAACTTGATCGTATTCTTGCAATGTTTGATTCGCGATGTTTTGGGTTTCTTCCAGTTGCGTAATGGTTTCGCGTAAATGTGCGCTATAGTTCTCGAGAGCGGCTGTATTCTCAGGCGTGTATATAGTTGACAGCGTTTCGAGTTTTGTGACTCTTCATAGAAACGATTAGCCACCAACTTTCATTCGGGGATGGATAGGAAACATACTGAGCTTTATTGTTCATACACTCCGCCACAGTCGCCAGATAATCAGCCCTCGCTTTGGTAGCTCTAGATAACGAACCGTGTTTCGTTCTCTCCAAAAGCACGATCATACGTTCCATAGCCTCCCCTCGAGTTGCTAAAAGATTTGCCGCAGTCACAGCGACCTTGTTTCTTGAACATGGCAATTCTAGCATCTGAATTTGGTGTATTCGTGCTATCCTCTCTTCGACCTGGGGAGAGAGGCGTGGCGTTTGAATCCTTTTAGAGATGGAGAGGCGTGATATGATCCGTGACCGGGACTGATTTGCTGCTATCGTCGGGATGTTTGATGATGATGCTGTCGTTGTTGATGATTGGTTTCCCATATCGGCAATTGAGCGTAGACTATTGAGCCATGATGATAGAGTCTCAGAAAGAAGAGGGATCAACACTTGGATGGTTTTGTCGTGGAAGGTCTCAATATCGCTCTTTAACAGTGACGCCTCTCGCTGATCATTTACGAGAGAGCCGGATTCATATTCATTTAACCCAGACGGCGCGCCTAGAAACATTGCTATTACTGCGCCTGTCTCACGAATCTATCTTCCAGTAGTCAGCATTATCTTTATTACTCAGAGAGTATGGAATGAATATCATACAGTGCTCGACAATGCATCGTTTCGCGAATCCACAGGATCTTCAAGGCATGCACGCCATAGCGTTTGTTTGATTATCTTTCTTTTCGCATGTTTGATTTGCAGATTCTTCAATTCCTACAAGCCAGTAAGAGTCAGTCATCAAAAGCTTACGAATTCCAAGGTTGGTGTATCGTGTGGAAGCAACAAACTTCAGCGATTGCTTTCCGCTCAGGAATATCTCCATCTGCTCTTGTCGAGGCATCGGGATTGAGCAGATTGGTCGTTAGGTGTTGATGCAGTTTCTTGAATTGTTGGTTTTTATCTAATATGGATGGATCGCAGGGTGGGATCATTCTGTTGTTGAGGAATTCGAGAGATGATTGATGTTATGTTTACAATGCGGAGTTGAGATTTAGTCCATGTATGCCCGACACCCGTGCCAGGGGCTATCCGTCTTTTTGCTTTTAAGTTGGAGACCGCCACTACAGGACTACAGGTACAGTCGCTAGTGGATGATACAATTTTATTATTGAAATCATACTAATACAAGTAACAGCTGTGTTAAGGGTATACCATCAGGACAACTCAAGGCATTTCGCCTCGCCCATCCAACGTCCCCAGCTTGCACGTCCAAAGCTCCGCACCTTCAACTTCTCTCGTCCCTAAAATAGAAAAGAGGAACAAGACGTGACTCTGATGAGTAAGCTGCGAGATTAAGAGAAACGTAGAACAGAACTCAAAAACGCTCGCAAAAGATCCCCGAGAAACCCATCCAAGAAGCGTAACACCCTCATCAAGTCGTGGCACGGGCGAGTGACACTTTTTAAAAAACGCCCGTGTAAGCGAAAAGAAAAAAACTAAGCGAAGCATGAAAAGAACCAACGAGTATGTACACATACAGTGTGACAGACTGACTGAGAAGATCCCAATTGTCGTCAAAATAAAATTAAAAAGGAACAAAAAATAAGTAGAGCTCGAAGTAATACGATTACTCCTCCTCACTCTCATCAGAATCATCATCAGAACCGTCAGAGCTGTCATCGTCCTCAACGGAATTGACAGGCTCTGGTGAGCGAGTACCGTTGCCACCCTGAAACCGAGAAAGACTACCCTCAAGCATATTGATTTGAGCTTCTTGTTCAAACTTGCTCATTGGCTTGTTCTTCTTAGGCTTGGCCTGAACCGCAGCCGAGACTGGAGCAGACATATCCTCATCATCGACAACTTGTGGCGCGTTCTTCTTCACAAACTTAAGCAACATGACGAGTACCTCGTTAGGTAGTTCGTCAATGTCAAGCTCAACCTCGGTTTCCTCAAGACCCTTGAGAGATGGGACGTTGTTTTGAATAATCTTGAGAGCCTCCTGCATCTTCTTATCAGGAAGAGAACCGATTCCATTAGAAATGAGTTGCTTTTCCGCATATGTGACGTGACGTTTCTCGGGTCTGCTGCTCTTGGACTTCTTATCGCCCTTGCTCTTCTTGGAATCCTTCTTGCCAGATTTGGACTTTCCGGACTTCTTGGATGCAGGAGGAGTCTTCTTTTTCTTCTGCGTGATTGCCTCGACTTGTTTCGACATCTCCGCAATTTGTCGCTGAAGAGCTTGAAGCTTCTCCTGATCCTCATCATTGTCGCTATCTTCTTCCTCACTCTCTTCATCAGAAGATCCGCTTTGATTGTGGCTATCTGGGTCATGTTGTTCAACCCAACGATTCTTTGTGGCCCACTTGGAATTGAAAACCTCCTCGAATTTCTGTCCAGCTTGATAGATGGGGTCTCCAGGAATATTGAATTTGAAGCAGTTCTTGAGCATCAAGCGAACATCCGCCTCAAATTCTTTCGCATTCTCATATTGCCCGGCTTTCAACTTGACCTGAATAGTAGATAGATCCATGGGCTTCTTGATAACGCTGTGATATGTAGGAATGTTCAAAGCAACGGGGTCAACGGGGTAGTAGAAGGGGTTGGCAATAGCCCAATATTTGGGCTTATGTACCTCGTCCAATATCTCCTGGCAGAACTTGAGTTCCCACTGGAACTTCTTCTTCTTAGGTTTCGCAGAATACAGCAAATCACGTTTCGGTGCGTGAATAGCACGCTTCGGACGTCCGTCTGGATTTGTGGAATCGCGTCGAATGGTTGGGAGACCTTCGGGATTCAATGCAAAAGTTGGAGAAGCGCTGGTTTGCTTGGGAACAGGCTGTGCGACAACTCGAGATTCACGACGCGAAGCAGATTCTTTTGGAGGTAGGGCGGCCTTCTTGGGTTTCTTCTCTTCTACCTCATCAGGACCCGGAAGCTTCTGCAGTTGCTTTCGAAACAAAGCCTTCAACTTTTGACCTTCTTGAGAAACGATATGTTCTGGGCCATTGAATTTGGCTGCGTTTCCGGCCATCAAGTCAACATCTGCGATGACCTCCGCGACAGTGTTGTATTGATTCTTCTTCAACTTGCTCTCGATGGTCGACAAATCCATTGGTTCGGTGATGACGGTGAAGTAGGTGGGAATGTTCAGTTTTATAGGATCAACAGGTTCTCGATAAAAGCGTGAGTCATTAGACCGTTTAAGATTCGTTAAACACTTGACAAGGAACTTGTGCTGCAACGGAGTGATGCCCTCAGTAGCCTCAGTGGAAGCAGGAGGTGCAGCTTCTGTGGAAGCAGGAGCATCAACCTTCTCAAAGCTGCTATTTCCCATAGGTACATCTTCGTCCACTTTGGCGCGCTTTGCAGCGGGCTCGTCTTCCAAATCCAACTCACGTTCACGCGAGACTTTGGTCGGAGATAGCGGAGCGTCGTTCATCTCAACATCTGTCGGCGGGAGAGTGGGCTCTGAAGACTCTTTGATAGGAGCTGACTCCTGTGGTGGATTACGGACAGCGGGAGTCGTGTCCGCGGGTTGTTGGGGTTCGATCGTATCACTCAAAGAAATCTCCTGAGAGACTTCCATTGCTGAAGGCTGTACAGGTTTCACTCCCTCTTCAGATTTGACTGAGGGGGGTGATGTTGTCGCGTCAGTTTCTTCCTTCTTTTCGCTCGAATCTCCAGGCTCTTTCACACCGTTTGACTGGTCGGGGACCTCAGCAGGTGGAGTTGAAGTTTTGATTTGAGAGCTAGTCGCTCCGTTTGTGAGAGAGGACTGACTGTCCGAGTTTCCATTCAGAACAGGAGTTGGAGAAGGGATTGGCTCTTTTTTGGCTTCTATTGTGCTCTCTACAGGAGCAGCAGAGAGACCTGTCTTCTCAGAAAGTGAAACGCCATTTGGAAGAGAGTCAGGCGATCTTTATCATCATAGTTAGCATGAGTTGTTTGGTAATCTTAAAAGCAAACTAAATCTTAACCCCCATGCAAGATGAGACCAAAGAAAATAATGAGAATGGCTGCCGTACCTATTAATAGGAGATTTGGCAGGCAAGTCAGTCACTGTCGACAGTAGCAATGGCTTGTCTGCTTTCAGGATAGTGGTTGCGCCCTCAGGCGGGGGAGTAGCCATAATGAATATTGAGACGTAGGTCCCCACGGACCAGAATGCACAAAGGCCGCAATCAATGAAACTGGCGTGCAGAGAGGACTCCAGAGAGCAGACAATGAACAATGAACAAAGTGGCAACGGTTTCCAATATCAAACGATTGATTCCCAAGCTTGCCAACGCAGAAAGAGTACAGTCAATCTAGATCACTTCAGACGGAAACCCACACAGATAATGGGCGCAGATGATTGTATTGGGAAGGTAAAGTATTGCGCACGATATCCTCGATGAGATCTTTCGGAAGCTTAAAGGATACAGTTGCAAAGCAGGTATGCGATCAAATAAAGAAAGAATACTGTACCTCTTTTATATTGCCAAGAGACACGATGTCACGTGAGAGGCGACAACGGTGACTAATGGGCGGAAGAGGCAAGAAGGGCGGAAGGAAACAAGCAGCCAAGAGGCGAAAGAAGGCGGAGAACAGCCGGCAGTTCCTGGTCAGGTGACTTGGAGAGCCAGCTGGATAGGAATCTGATTGGATGGCAGGGTTGTCGCAACAAAACGCGTAGGGTGCAATCGCCAAATTGACACGTGCCTGAAGACGATTAGTATAGTCTCCCAGAGAGAATTAAAAAAAGTAACGGCTAAAGCAGCGAGAAAAGTTGGAAGTGGATGATAATAAGAAAGCGCGATCCGAAACAGAGTCTGAGACTCTGGACAAAGCGGAAAGCAAGCAGCTAATAAGGTATGGGAGGATGGGGCAGCAAGGGGAGGGAGCGCGCGTCTGGAATGACGCGTCAGGGCATGTTTCGTGTTTTGTATGCCTTAGTAATAAGGGAAGGGTGGGCAGGGGAGACTAACACTGTAGGCTAGGCTAGGAAGGGCGCGTGAGGAAGAGACAGAGAGACGTGTCGGGGGCGCACACACACAAAACGCAGTTCCGAGGACGAAGGACACTGGAAAAATCGGAGGGGGTGGCAGAATCCTTAAGTATGAAAGTCCGCATTGCGCTCGCCCGTCGACTGCCGCTAGCCCCGTTGCGACCATTAGACCCAACTATCCCAGTTCAGGCCAATCGCCACTTTCTGATTGGTCTATGTCTGCAAGAGTGCACGCTGATTGGCTACAGGGCACCCGAAAGCGGACCCGTTGATGTCTTAGCGTGAAAAGTCAGCCAGAAAAGAAAGGCTACGAATGAATTTGGTGGGCCTCAGCCACCAGGCTCCCCTTTTTTCTGCCTTTTCTCTCTCTGTCTTTGATCGCAAATCCTGAAAATTTTTCTTCTCACCACCATGCCTGAACCTGTTTCTCGTCATGCCACATTTTCGTCATTCTGGTACAAATCTAACAGCTTTATTTTCAAAGTTTCTATGTGGTTACCACGAAAGGGCAGTTGAAAGTCGACCTATTGATCATTCCATCTGCATCTTCCCTTGACACAGATTACAATATTTGAAGCAGTGTAGGGTTTGCCCTCGCTCCTTGCAGCTTACAGCCTAGCCCCCGTCACATTGATGCAAGAGAACAAATTCAATCCGTGGCTCGCCGGGTGGGTTACGCGTATCAAATCGGCTTAGTGTGACTCGTACTCTCCGCCGAATCACACTTCTCTAAATTGTATGTGGGTCTACCCAGTGAGCCGTCCAATGAGCTCCTCCACAGCCTACTTCTTGGTACGCTATCCTTATCGTGGCTAAGGTAAGTCACGTGCTTTGATTGTACCAGACTTCTTGGAGAACCAATCATCGTACAGTGTTGTGCTTCTAGAACCGCTTCGTCATTCTTCAGATAAAGTCACATGATCGCATTATCGAGGACTCGAGGCAGGCGTGTAAAAGCCTCCATTGGGCTTGACTACGGCACTATGCGCACTATGCAATGTGCATTGACACTGTTTTCACGTGATCATCCAGACTCTAAATTCAAAATTGGATGCCGAGGAGTAGGCGAAGCTATCTCGTAATAAGATGTACAGACTTACGAAGCAGGAATACTATGCCAAAAAATGATTCTGATTTTGAATGGTATCAGTTCCAGTAAACTTGCATGTCTTGGAGAACGTTGTGTCGATTATATTTGTAAATCATAAGAGACATGGGAAGTATCACTACTCAGATTTATGTCAAGATTAGTTCTGCATCGATAGTTAGTTAGTTACGGAGTGCAGTAGCAAGATAAGATAACAAAGACTTGATGCCTCAGGCAACAACAAATTATGCCCACGACGATATGTGGGATTTCGCACTAGTCCATACATGGAATAGCCACTGTACAAACCTAGAAACTTTTTTCCTCCTCATCTTCGAACCAGTTGATATCGACCGTGTCGGCGACTTGTTGCACTAGGGATATTGCTCATTCTAGCAATTTACCTTTTACCTCTGGACTTGTTCTGATATTCCTGTAAGCGGTGTTACAAATCCATCAACTGAACACCTCCAACAGACCACAGACAAGATGGGGAAGAAGTCGTCACGGCCACCAGCTTCAAAAACTGCTTCCGCAGCACAGGCCGCAGCCTCCGGGGCAACTATCACTAGCCAAAAATCGTCGATTATACGGGCTGCTTTCTCGCCGTCGGAATATCAATTAGCCCTCTTTGCGTCGGTTATTCAAGGTCTCGATTCACAACATCTCCGTATCCAGGATATTCACACTGGTGCGTTGCAATGCGAACACAGCATAGCTCCCCAGGAGTCGATTACTTCTTTGGATTGGGGATATTTGGGTGGTCAGCGAGAACAAGGGTCGAAGAAGAAGAGGAAGAGAAAGTCCGATGTCAATGGAGTCGCTGAAGACAAGTTTGGCCGCGAGGCCGTAGTCGCTTTTGGCACGAGCTCTTCTGATATTCGCATGTATTCTCCAGCTGAGGATAAAGTACTTTGCACTCTGAGTGGCGTGCACGAAGGAGGTATCAAGGATTTCAAGTTCACGGCTGGAGAGTCCACATCTCAAGGTTGGAGTATCGGAGGAGATAACAGGCTTGTTCAATGGGATCTCACTACTCGTCAAAGCATCAGGTAGGTAAAGAAAAGCAACGAACTAGTTCACATCGGACATGGCTGATCAATTGATATCTAGAATTATAAATATCCCAACCATTTCCACAGTCTCCGCGCTCTCGCGACCTCTTCTTTCTAACCCTCCAGTGATTTGCGCCACGCAGACCCCTATCATCCTCGATATTGAAAACTCCGACGCAGGGTCGCTTACATTCCCGTCATTGACCAGTCCTATCCACACTCTTATTCCATCATCCACTCGTTCCGTCAAGGACGCTAATTTCATTGCAGCCGATAATGAGCGCTATATTACTGTATTTGATCCGAGAACACAGGGTATTGCATACAGTTTGGTTGCCGAGCATGGAGTCTCGTCTCTGTCGTTATCTTCTCTGATCTCTAAGGATAAGGAACAAGAAGAGAACTCGTCCGAGAAACAAGTCCTCGCAGCTTTGGTTGAAAATGGCACAATCGAGTTATTCAATAAACCATTCTCTCAGTCTATTGGACAAAATGGGACGAAAGCCACCAGTCAAAAGGCCAGAGCGAAGCAGATGGTCCGCAAAGCGGACGCTATATTGAAGATCTTGAGACCGGATACTGGAAAGGCCGTTTCTGCTGTTCAAGTGGGTTTCCAAGGACCCGAACTGTATATTGCCTGGGCTGAAGGGGGTGTGAATGTGATATTCGAACGCCTGAGGTGGCAGGATCAGGACAGTGGAGATCTTGTGTTCTCGGGTGCTACTGAAATAACTGGTCGCAAATCTGCTTCAACGCTCAAATCTGCTGCTGTGATTGAGGGTCAACAGGCCAGTAAGTCACATGTCAATGAGAATAGCACTATCGTCGAGTCGGGACTTTATTCAGAGGATGTTGAGATGAATGATGCACATGTCGAAGATGATGCTGTGTCGATATCAGACGCCGAAGATAACTCTGACGCTGAGGCTGAGAATAAGCAAAATCGCCAGGCTAAGAAAGCCAACAATGTCAATGGTGTCAACGGTACCAATAAAGATACGGATATGCAAGACACAGCTGGACAGGACGAGGACGAGGAAGATGAGGGAGGAGAACTCACATTCGGTGAACTAGTCCAAAGAAACTCCGCAATCGACGTCGAGGCCGAGTTGGAAGATCATGCTGGCGCTGGCGCGTTAGTACCTGGACTATCCAACAGCACCAACCAAACCATTGCGCAGATCCCATCAGGCGTATCCTTGTCAACCGTGCTTTCCCAAGCTCTCAAGACCAACGATTCGGAAATGCTAGAATCCTGCTTCCGCACCTCAGACGTCAATATCATTCGCACAACCGTTCAGCGATTGAACTCCGCATTGGCGGGATCCTTGATCCAACGACTCGCGGAACGAATGGCCTCCCGGCCTGGCCGGTACGGACATCTACTTGTTTGGGTTCAATGGACCTGTATTGCGCACGGAGGTGCAATTGCCGGCAACGCCGAGATACTCAAGCGAATGACCTCGCTCTACAAGGTCATGGATCAACGTTCCCGCACTCTCCCCTCTCTACTTCTCCTCAAGGGCAAGCTTGACATGCTCGATGCTCAGATTAATCTACGACAATCAATGGCCGATAGCAGAAAATACGGCATGGACGACGGCGGCGAATCCTTGGAGCATATTACTCATTACGCGGGTGTCAGTAACGATGATAGTGACGCCGAGCGACGCCGTAAGCGCAAGAAGACGTTATCACACATCAAATCCAAATCCGCGCGCGATGGTCTCGATGCAGATGAAGAAGCCGATGAAGACGATGAAATGGCCGACGATGTTGCGGGAGGACTCGCATCTGACTCGGATGAAGAAGAAGGAAGTGAAGAAGACGCCGACGAAGACGGTGGTGACATAATCGATATCGAAGCTGAAGAATCCCTTGACGATGAAGATGACGAGGATGATGACGAGGATGACGAGGATGAAGATGAAGAGGAAGATTCAGATGCAGCTAGCGATATGCGCGATTTCATTGCTGATTCGGAAGAAGAACTATCTGATGATGATCAACCAGAGAAGATATCCGCACCACCGCCTTCGAAGAAGTCAAAAGGGATTCATAAATCGCGGCGCTAAATTTTTCTCCTCTTTTCCTTTTCGAATGGTGAGGTGATTGGTTCTTTTTCTAATATCTATTTGTCTTTTTTGGGTCTAAAAGTCTTTGTTAGGTAGATTTTTCTCTGTTGTTGTCCCCGGCCCATGTCGTCCTACATCTCATTGATTGGCATTGTTTACATACATACATACATACACTTCATGCATAGGTGTTTAGTGTTCATCGAATGCTGAGATTTCATTCATGGTTTACGATATTGTCGTTAGCGAACATTATTTGAGTAGGGCTACGGGGGGCTTAGGCTTCCGGATCAGGCCCTTAGGTTCTAGGTTGCCCCGCCACTAAACCCGCGAGTTAAAAGTCCACTCAACAACAAAGACTTTTAAACTTAACAACTGCGAATGAATATTGTGACGCTATGCGTCAATATATATACATTAAGTATGCTACCTAACAACACTCGTATCAGATGAGCAGAATGAGTGGCTACTCATAGCGATCTCTATGACCATACTGTCTAAGAATGAGAACCATCACAACATCATGCCCGCACACATACCGTCACCGGATGACTTCATTTTGTGGGTTTTCGATACCATCGAGCTCCTCCAGGATTGCACTACGCATAACTCCAGCCGAACCTGCCAGCATTTTGCGTGGTTTGCATGGAATGCGATAGAATTTGATGAAGTTGGAGGACGCGACTGCAATGCACTCGTCATCCGGATCAAAGTCGGCTTCGTCAACCGTTGGTTTCATAAAGTTGGAAATGCTAATGGTCGATATTGCCCTTTCTGTTGCAATGAAAAAAGGATACTCGGGCTCATTCGTATCCCATGGGATGACTGCAAGCTGCTCGCAGCTGGGCCATGCGAACACCACGACACGATATGGATGGTCGTACTCTTGGTATCCCAAGACGACAGTAATTTCACGACGAGTCTTGCTCCATACCAATCCTGTCACCTGAGCCCACATATATATTTTGGCCAAGCAGCATCCAGTCGGTGCATGGTAGAAATAAACAGTGCGGTCACCCATCCCCCCTCCAGTGGCCAGCAGCGTCGGCTGCCAGGGTGCAAAAGCAACTGCTTTAACTGCTGAGTTATGCTCAAAGCGGCGTACATGATTACCATGAGGGGCATACGTCGCAAATGGGATAAAATCTGCCAATGCTGGCGAGTAATAAGCAGAAGCGACTCGTCGAGAAGGCTGGACTCTTGAAATCGGCTGTGTTAGGGGCCCGGTTGATGTGCTGAGTGCATCGTTACGAACTCGTTGATGTGTGATGCTCGCCTGAACATCCTCGGGGCTCATGCTTCTAGACCGCCTATTTTGGGGTATGGTTGAAGCATTCGATATGGAGGCTCTCATTGGCTGGGATCCGGAATGCACATCGATGGAATCAGGGCCGGGATTGCTCTTCAACATTCGAGCGAATTGTGAAACGACCAGGCCCAGACGGCCCTGTGCAAGGCGCAACCTAGGAAAAGTCCCTTTTGTCAAAAATGACCCCGCTGCCGCATTCGATGACTGTTGATTTCCCAAGATGTGTTTCAATTCAAACAACAGACAGACATTATCGTTACCACCAGTTAGGAGGAACTCATAATCTGGTGACCAAGTGATAGCACATAGACATCCATGATGTGCATCAATTCTTGCCAAAAGGGTTACTCTTGATAGAGCTTCAAAGAACGGATTTATCTCTACCGCATAATACCATACTGTACCCCAATCATCTCCGACGGCCAAATGTTCGACAGGGACTTCAGTGTTTGGATACACCGCAGACAGACACAGGGTTGTCGTTGGCTTGAATGCCACACATGTTACTTTAGCAGGAAGTCGCAAGCTGTATATCAAGCGAAGCTGTCGAGCTTCCCACAGGCGCAAAGCACCGCGCTCAGTTGTTACCGCTAAAATGCTTTTACGGCCACTTGGAGATGAAAAGGCTATTGCTGTGATTTTGTCGGGAAAGGGGGCTCCAAGCGGTAACCATCCCTCCCACTGGCGGAACATCGTCGACCACAGAATGACATGATCTTTCGCAGCAAATGCAAGCAACCCAGAAGCTTGACAGTAAGCAAGTACCGAATGATAGAAATCGTCGTCCGTTGTGGAATCCCCCGTTCTCAATACGTGGAAGGGACCCCCATAGATTGATGGCCGTTTATGAACTTGACTACCGTGAGCGTCTCAAAGGGCTTTCTATCAACACGTCTGCTTCGTCTTTTCTGTGATTTGGTTACTTACCAGGTATAGCAGATCCGGTTCTTTTCCATCCACACTCCCTCCATGCAAGGGGAAGAGACTTCTCATAATGCGGTGACAACGGACAGACACGGATATCTGTAGATGTGGCTGGCTTAGAGATGGCCAGTTGTCGATGCGTCAAATCAATATCAATAGCTGCTGCCAATCTTGACATGTTCATCTCTGTCTCCTCAGACAAAGAAACATCTTCGTCAAACACATAGCGCGCATAGTACATGGGCGCAGGCACCTTCCCTGAAGAATACCCATTCTTGCTCTCGGCTATGCCTAGCCAAGGGCCTCGTGTTGCAATGGATGCCCCTCCCACGTTCCAAACAGCCCCAACACTGACCTGTCGCGGTGTGACCCTTGGTCCATGCGTGGAATATTGTCTAGGGTTGACCTCGTTGTCCAAGAGGTGGGGTGACATATGCGGCGGCTGGAAAAGATCATTAATATCGAACTGAATAGGTATTACCATCCGTCGACGTCGGCGGCAGAAAGGATTCTCGTTATTTTCCTGTTGGCGAAGTAGTTTTTCGTGTGCAGCCAGATCCACGGGTAGCTTTCGCACATGGAACTTCGATATTGTGTTACCAGAATATGAACGCTGGGGTACAAAGCGATCTCTCAGGAGCATTGAACTTTTGGCCAAGCGGATTCTGTGCCGAGTGCATCGAAGGTTCTCTGGAATATTTTGACATGGTACTGCAGGCTTGAATGCTGAAACATGATTCGAAGAGGACGAACGAGATACATAGCCGACACTTGGCTCATCCTTGGGCATTTTGACGGCTTGTCTTGATGCTAGTTAGCCTCAGATGGAGCTCGGATAGGTGATTTCTGGCGTTTCGTAACTCGTAAAACAATCATCAGCGATGGAAATAAAACACACAAAAGAAAAGGAAAGGGTCGGGAGAAGCGGGCTCCGTGAACGATCGACTTGACTTTTGAATAGAGTCCGTCTTCTTCTTAAACCAGGACGCAAATGAGAAAGAAGGAGTGTTTTTTTATTGCTGCTTATGCAGCGTATAGCTAGCTCAATTAGAAATGCATGGAGTAGACCCCGTCAAAAGAACGATGCACGAGGCTACTGTATGATGAATGCAGCTTAAGAGAAAGGCCATCGACACCGACCGAGTATGTCGGAGTGTGAATGAAGGCAAGACGTTTCATCTGGATGCTTACATAGTTGCTAGTTTAGGAAGGAGAGAGGGTGCACGTGATGTCCGCGATGTTTTTCGCTGCCTGGCTCCTTCCGCGTACTCACCATCGACTTCCCTCAACTTCATTAATAGGAAGAATTCCTACTCGTATTTACTTCCCCAGCACCATTGGTAGCATGGCTAGTGTACGTCTCTTCAATTTACTGGGTTCCGAAGAAAAATGCTAATGTGTTTTCTAGCACGGCATTCCCCGCCAGAGCGTCACGACAGAGGTAGATACTGAACAGACCCAAAAACAAGTCCGAACATACAGGGACTTGGAACGCTCTGTGCATGAGAAGGTTTGTGTTTCGTCGATCAAAAACACGAATGCTGACCGATACCAGATCGCTGAACATAAATATACCTGTGACACCTTGGATCAAGTATGCGAACTATTGAAGAAGAATCCAGAATATTATACGATATGGAATTATCGACGACTCATACGCCAGCATGACTTTGCTCAAACTACCTCCGAGTCATCTGGTCAACCCGACGCGGGTGAAATTGTGCCTATCATCAAATCAGATTTGGAGTTTCTCTTCCCATTGCTCCGCTCTTTTCCAAAATGTTACTGGATCTGGAACTATCGGCTCTGGATATTGAATGAAGCCAAGAGACTACTACCAAAGCAACTTGCTCGACAATTCTGGGAGGGAGAATTGGCTCTAGTAGGAAAGATGCTGAATGCGGACAGTCGCAACTTTCATGGTTGGGGCTATAGAACCTTTGTGATCGAGGCGTTGGAAGATCTAGCCGACGACGACAAAGAGAGCATCACACAGGCGGAGATAGATTATACGACCAAGATGATCAAGACTAATCTATCGAATTTCTCAGCATGGCATTACCGAACTAAGGCTATTCAGAAGCTTCTCGATGAGAAGAATGCAAGTGATCAAGAACGAAGACATGTTTTGGAACAAGGTAATTGATCTTTGCGTTGAGCAATGATGTCCGGTTTGACTGACTCTTGACGCGCAGAATTGGAGTTATCCCATAATGCTCTCATAGATCCGTACGATCAGTCACTTTGGTTCTATCATCAGAATCTAATGTGCGTGTTCGACCCATCGCTGGCCGACCGTACGCTGGCACGGGGCCTATCGAATTCGGAGCGATTACGATATGTTCAAGAAGAGAAGGAATTGATCAACGAAATGCTTGAAGACTACACAGATTGTAAATGGATATACCAGGCTTTGGTGGATTGTAATTTGATCGCAGCGAAGATTGAAGGAACAATGTCTGCAGAGAGCCGAGCCGAGGTTTTGGGTTGGCTCAAGTCCTTGAATGAATTGGATCCTTTGAGAAAGGGGCACTGGAAAGATATTGAGAATCAAGTGATGTGACTTTCTGACTTGAAATTGGAAATAGCTTCGTCTTCCGCGCCCGATAATATGAGATTTTACGCCTGCGAGCCAAAACCAAGACTATTTCCACGCCCGGGCAAGCCTAAGCGACAGCCCGTTGTTCCGGGTGGATCAGCCGTTGTTTCAACTTGTTTGGTACCTGGCCGACCCCTGGCTAAGCAAGCACTAGCTAGCAGTTAAGCTATTGGATTAGCGACTGTTCCCAAGATTGGAGGCTGAACGAGGCTTGACTAGCATCGATCATGAATTGTTGTGCTCCGTTATTCCATATTTGAGACTTAAGCCGGGCAAGAAACGAATCATTTTCATTCGTCCCATGTTTCACGAATTTGCATCAAATGGTCGAGAGAAAACGTGTTTGTTTTGAGTTGCAGAGGTTCTTGGCGCTGGTTGATTCTAATCCCAACCAACCCACTGGCTGCGCAGTATGTATAGGCTAGATAACTTAGATGTATACGTATGTCGAATAGCGCTGCTCTAGCCAGATCATCTTCTAGGAATTCCCATATCCTGGGAAGGAGTCGAAGGACAATAACAAGCCGAAGTATGGCATGAGAAATGGAGTGAACGGTGGGCCTGTCGGAATCGGGAAAGCAGGACGATCCTCCCGCTAATAAATCTATGGGAACACGGACATCCAACGTTGCAACCTTTCTCCAACACAATCAATTGATCCTTGTCTCTCTCGTGACTACACTCAATCTCCAGTCATCCTCCAACGATAATCCCATCTCTCTGAGTCAACAAACATCACTCACAGCGATCGCTCATTGTACTCACACAACCTCGGGTAGCCCCTAGCCTAGCTCCTACCTCCCTATCCTCAGCTGATGGCCGTTCGTGACCTATAACCAGTCACATTTACGGCCTCCCCTTCACGCAGCATCCAAGCAAGGGGAGCCATCACACGAAATAACCCTCTAGCCAAAATGAGTTCAAGTCCGGAGCCCAAGGATTATGGCGAAGTAGGTTTGATCAACATTCGCGATCCCTTTGACTGTCTTGTTTGTATCTTCTTGCTAACCTTGAGTTTTCCATCCTTCCCAGGATTCCTTCGAAGATGCCAGCGAAGATAACACGCATGCGACTCCCTCAATGCCACAAAGCTCATCTACACGCTCTCTGACCGATCGGCGACTGTCGAATGGATCTGTCACCACTCCGCGTGCGGAGCATTCGCCTGCATTTCCTCCATCTCCGGAGGGCAAACCCGAAGACAACGACGAGTCGGTCGCGGTCAGTCCGACACCTACACCCCATTCAGAGAACGAGGACACGCCTAGAAGGAGCAAATATCAAAAATCACCATTGCTAACAGCTCATCGCCTATCAACAACATCGCTGGACGACGTTAATTTGGCGGGCAATAAAAATGAGAATGAACTACATGATGTGGGCAGCCCAGTAGCAGAACCAACCATCGGCTCTCCTGGAGCAGCCTCACTTGATTCGAATGCTACGAAGCAGAGCATGTCCTTCTTACCGTCGGTGCCATGGTCGAATACGTCCAAGCCTGCCCCCGCTGCTGCTCCTGCTGCTCCTGTTGCTCCGCCAGCTCCTCCCCCGCTGCCTGCCCGCAAGCTGACAAGCCCCTTCTCGTGGCTTTCCAGGTCAAGCCTCTCCGGAAGTGACTCCAAGTCTTCCCCTACTAACTTGGGTAATAGTCGCCGGAGTACCGCCGCATCCGTCTCGACGATCAACACAGTGGAAGAAGGGGATAGTATGAGCATCGGGTCGAAGAAACCCGCACGAAATAGTCTCAAGGACCAATTCAAGCTTCTACGTATGCGAGAGGAGGGCCCTGATGCCGATCAAGCAAGCATCGCTTCGGGGAATGCGCCCGTCAGTGCAGGCCTTGTTGGTCCCTCGGAAGAACAAGCACTACCTGCTCCTTCGCCAGTAGTTGCTGGAACTGGAGGGCCCTTTCCACCTGTTAATCCTAACCTTCCGCCTGGGACAGTATCCGGAATCTCTACATCTGCTACCGACGCGGCCGCACCAGTCGACTGGGAGTTGTGGGAAGGAATTGTCAATAACGGCCCGGAAGCATTGACTGGTGTCAACTCCGAGGCAGTCAATGCTGCCATTAAGCGCGGTATCCCCCAAACAATCAGAGGTGTAATCTGGCAAGTGTTAGCCGACAGTCGCAATTCGGACCTCGAAGAAGTATACAGGGAACTCGTGGCGCGGGGAACAGATAAAGAACGTCATATGAGTCTCAACGGACAAGGTCCCAACGGCATCGCATCTGAAAAAGAATCGTTGGCATCTTCGCGCTCCTCCATTCGTTCTGATAATTCAGGATCCCCACCGCCATCAAGTCAGACGACAACTTCGCCTCATGAAAAGGAAGTCGACCCCATAGCTGCAGAGACAGCTCGAAAGAAGAAGCTTAAAGAAGATACCGATGCGATTCGCAGGTTAGAAAAGACGATTCGAAGAGACCTGGGCTCTCGAACAAGTTATTCGAAGTATTTTGTTTCACAAGGAAGCCAGGAAGCCCTCTTTGGACTATGCAAAGCTTACGCGTTATACGACGAGGCCGTAGGCTATGCTCAAGGTATCAACTTCATTGCAATGCCGTTGTTATTCAACGTAAGAGTGTTCCACATTTTTCTTTTCTGGGTATGTACTAATCTTAGCACAGATGGACGAAGGAGAGGCCTTTACACTTCTTGTGAAACTTATGAATAAGTACGGTCTACGAGATATGTTTATCCAGGATATGCCTGGTCTTCATTTGCATTTATTCCAGTTTGAGCGTCTTTTGGAGGACCTTGAGCCTGCGCTTTATTGTCACCTTCGTCGACGCGGAGTCAGCCCACAACTGTATGCCACACAGTGGTTCTTGACTCTTTTCGCGTATCGGTTTCCCTTACAATTAGTGCTTCGCATTTACGATCTCATCTTTGAAGAAGGATTGGAGAGCACCATTCTCCGCTTTGGCGTCGCTATCATGCGGCGCAACGTCGAAACTCTTCTTGGCATGAAAGACATGTCCAGCCTGTCGCAGTTCCTGAAGGAGAGACTTTTCGATGTCTATATCGATCAACAACCTTCCGCGAGCTCAATTCTTGAGTCTGGATTTTTCGGAAGCTCTGGTGGAAGCGATAAGGAGATTTACCGGGCCGATCTCATGGTGCAAGATGCCTGTGCCATTTCACTCACAGCTGAAATGATCCAATCGTACACTGCGGAATGGGAAGAAAAGGTCCGAACCGAGAGGGAAAGAGAACAAGAGCTTGAAACGCTCAAACATACCGTGGCATCACAAGCTGCACGAATACGGTCGTTGGAGGAACGAACCGAAAAGTCGGATCAAGAACACGTTCAATTGGCATCTGAGTTGGTGCGAATGAAGGTCGAAAATGAAGAATTGTCGGACAAGAATGAAAGTCTTCAGGTTCAAGTGCAGGAGTTGAAGATTGTTGTCGACAAGCAACCTGCCGAAGTTGAGGAGAAGCTTAGGACTGAGATGGAACGGATCATGAAACGGAATATGGAAGTGCAGAATGAGAACCGACATATGGAAGAACAAATGGCGGAGATGGAGAAGGATCTTGTTGAGACCAAGATGAAGTGGGCTGAGGTAAGACACAATCTTCTAACGTCGTAACTGAAAAAAAAAAAAAGCCACTAACGGATATGTACGATACAGCTTTCAGAAAACCACGAGGGACTCAGACAGAAATGGGCCGATCTCCGGAGAGCTTTGGATGGATGATCAAGGACCAGGGTCTTTCTGATTGTTACTTCTTTTGTATATTTTTTATTCCCGATGGCTGGTCCCTTTTCTCAGTGTGACGGGTTTACTCCTCCAACTTTCGGGGCAAACAAATGGAGTATTCGATTCCATTCGATTCTTTTGATCCTGTCTTATACCAATCTGTATGACTATTCAGATCTGTATGATCTGACCGAATGTGCCTTTTCCCTCCTTTGCGCTATGTATATTTGACTGCAGCAACGCCCCGGGGAGTATTTGTTTTTTGGTGCCATATCATATTTGTCATGTTATTATTGAGCATGAGATTATCGAATTATATCAGAATATGAATTACGATTCATCATTTAAAGGGTTTAGCTTCTTTTCCCGCGTAGAACGCTGCTCTTTACCAGCATCCGCCATCGATGGCTTTCCGGAATATCATACCAATTTACCCGAGTATCCGGGGAAGGATATCCGCGGTTGTTCGCGCAGTTTGGACGGAATTTGAGCTTGGACTGAGGGGCTGGAGGAGGTCAACCTGGAAACCCATATTTATGGATTGTTGTCCATATTATCTCAAATACATGTTACGCCCACTCGTTCGTACAAGTCTATATACTCATCCTCGTCAAATCACTATCCTAAATAAGGAGGTTGCATCAACAGAAAACAGCCGTCACTTCCAAATTTCATTTCGTCGAGTCATAACAGCTGCGAAAATGTGTACCGTCGAGCGTATCACTCTATTCAATATCCCCAAGGAAGAGGATCGCACGCGTCTGGTTGGGGAATATAAGCAGCTTGTCAAGACTGCTGTCAAGGTACATTCATTCCCCTTCACTACCCACACAGCATGAACCAAGTCATCCCCGGCAAGCTAACCAGATCGTTGTCGGACAGGACGGTAAACCATATATTTCCAACGTCTCCTTTGGTCCCGCATTCCCCGATCCGCGTAGTCAGGGCTACAATTTCGGCGTCAAAACAACCTTTGCGACAATGGAGGATATGAAGTTCTATGACCATGAGTGTCCGGCGCATAAAACGCTAAAGGCTTTTCTCGCCGATGCGAAGGAGGGTGATGTGTTGACAGTGTATTATGAGAATGCTGCATGATCATAATATCCTACGAGCGATGTGGGCGCGTGGGCGGGTCGGTTTCAAGATCGTTCGGCGATTGTTCTTTCAATAGAAGCTGTTTGTAGTCGCGATCCCTTTTAGCAGTCGCTCACTCCAATCCAACAGGTTCCGGCCTCGACGCAAATATAATCTTGTATTTAATCACGTCCACAATCTCAAGCTCATCTTGTCCGCCGTTACCGCCTCCAGTACCATTCTCATCCTGCATCTTTGTAATTGGTCGTCGCTGTATAACAGCCAATGGTTTAGCCAATTTCTTCACTTCACCCGTCATACGCTGATATCGTCCAGCGTACAAGTAGACACGTTTCATCCATTTTGTACTTTCTGGGTCGAGGTCAGAGTAATCCGGGAACATGATTTTGCCGAGTTCTGTTTCGATTATTTTTGTTTTTGTATTTTCTTCCTCAGTTTGTGTATCCATGTCGACATCATCGTTCGGGGTAGTGGTAGGGAAATTGATTGTGCCTTGGAGTTCGAGGATGGCGAGTCCGGAGGGTGTCCGGAGGAGTGGGGGAAGAGGATTGTTGTCATTTGTCGTGTCGAGGACGGTAGAGGATTTGTTAGGAGGGTGAAGTGGTACCGAAGGCATTGTTTCTGTCGTCTATCTTATTCTCGAATGCCTGATTGTCGACGGTGAAGATTTCTGTGCGGTGTAACTCGTCGAGGACAGCAAGGAACCCGCGACGCGTCTAGCCCTGCCAAGACTGCCTATCTTATCGGATATCCGTACTGATAAGATAACGAAGCACGTTTTCAAATGTTGAGTGCTGGGATAGATGCAGCAAGTTGCTTCAATGTATGATCTTTTGAGAAATCTGGATGATTAGATACGATAGTCGCTTACATGAGTTTGTACTGACTCCTGAACTTAAGCTTAGTGCACGGACAATACATATGTATCAAAATCCGGGGTAGCATTTGCGCATACCTATCGGGCGTGTCGAATATATAAAACAGACACCAGTGAAGAAAACATGATGACCGGGGAAATGTTCCGATTCTACGCCCTACTAGCTGTCTCATGCGAAACCGAGGTAAACATACAGGCTCCAATAATCTATATACAAACAAACAAAGAATAATCACTAGCCTGGGTGATATTGACCAGCAGGGAGTCGGTAGTCGGTGCGGAGTCGGGCAATCTGTAGGACGAACACACAAGAATCTCGTCTAATGACACTCAATAAACAAAGACAATAGACAAACAGATGTGGCACTGTAATACAGGAAAATTTCTAGGCGCTATTGTAAACACCATCACCGCCTGATCTCAATAGCCTCTCAAAAACTCGATGTGCCTGCCTAGCAACGACAGAAAGGGAAATTTCCGACAAAATCCAGATGGTGTACACGTAGACATAGCGCCATACCGTACACAATACAAGAGCCCAGTGTTTTCCCCGAAATATCCCATGTTTCTGCACCTTCAGCTGGGAATTCTCCTCAAAATAAGATTGCGTGACCGATCGATATGGCCATGTCATAAGGTCGATATCCTCTTGTGAAAGTTCTTCTGATATCTTCTTCTTCTTTCCAATCCTCTTCTTCATCTTCTCCTTCTCTTCGTCCTGACATACGCTCAGACAGGAACACAAAGAGCTTCCCATCTCAGCTTCCATCGATCAGCAATCTGACTCAATGGTTGTGACCCCATCCCAGAAGAGTCACACTTCTATGGTAATAAACATCTGACGAGCCGGCCCATACTGCCCTATGACTTAGGCTCCCACAGATCTAACATATACCTGATATCCAAGCAGATGCCTTTGACGATTCAAAAAATACCACCCAATAAATTGAAGCCGACGAGAGCCGTCGGCAGAGGTAGTTCCTTATGGGCCTGTCAGCGGGGGCGTTGCCAGCCCAGTCCCAACATAGCACTCTTATCCGAGAAGATACACACAGCACGTTGCAAGAGAGACAATCTTCGACCGTATCTAGAGACCATGAAGTGGTATGGTTTACACGATCTGCACCTCAAAAGTCTCCAAGGCTAATAGGACTCACGAAGCAGAGCATTATTTCTACATCAGAAACAAGTCTCCAGCCTGGAGGCACAGGAGGCTCATTGACATGGGTTTCGGACGACACGAGAGAGCGAGATAACTTTCGAAGGATGCGATCGAATATAGGGTACATTGCACCAAAGTCGCCTTTTGTACCGGCTGACATGAACGAGTGGCTTGTCCACCGTGTGGAGACACTGGAAGATAATACTGGAAAAATGAGTCGAACTATAACGCTGAGAAGGAGGGAGAAAGCTTCGCTTTGCGCTACGGACATACAGCCGGCTCTTGGTGGAAGACGGTTTGGAGATTTCCGATCAGCCGTACTAGCTCAAACAACAATCTGGAGGCCTGACGAAGCGGAAAACCCCTCCAGGTTGCAGGCCCCATGGCCTGATTCAAGCGAGCGCAAACACGAAGGATATCAACGAGTACGGTCTGGCTATAGTCGGTTCCCACCTCTTCCCCGAGTGCCTGGCAATCCAACTGTCAATTGGAAGCAGCGTTCACCTATAACGGCATATGATTTTGATCGAGTTGGCCAGCCGGTTGTACCGCAAGACACAGCCACAGAACATGATTGGGGTATGGAGTCTTTGATTGGGTGGTCACTTCTTCTGGAGATAGATGCATAAGTAATTGTCAGGCAAAAATGTACTTTGGAATTTCGACGTTTCTCTTTTGACAGTGTGTTTCTTCATGTGTTTGGGCGGAGGATTGCCATAGTCAACTTGAATGGAATTTTGGTTTCGTATCATTAATACCGATGACTCTGCGAGTGTGAGAATGTGAGAATGCCGTAGTGGCCAATGCGAAAGGAGGATAACCGGGGAAATATCATGACTTTATGTTGTTGGCGCGGTCACACGCATCTTGTAGACCGTGCAGTCCGCGGACAACTTCACCGGCGTACTCCTCGGGGGTAATTCCAGACTTGTTCAACTTCCCATAACGAAGATCGCTCAGATCACTGACAATCTTCTTTACTGTAGAGAGAGTGGAAGTAGCTTCTTGCTCTACAGCCGCGGTTTCTTGCTCCAGGGCGGCACAGGCGCTCTCCATTTCTGCAAGAAGGCTGGAGGAGGAATGATATTCCACTTGTTGGGTGGTGGATGCCTGTCCGAAAAACTCGAGGTCGAGGTTCGTCTCACGATTTTCACTGTCTCCGAAGCCATGAACTCCCGACGCTTTGGCGGCTTGCAGCAGGTCAACCTTTTGTTGTTCGCTGGCCTTGACTTCATCGAGGATATGTTCTGTGATCATGTCCATATCCTGAGCGCGCAGTTCTTGCAATTCCCTGTACAAAACCCTGATCTGAGGATGGGACTGCAGGCGCTTTGGGAAAAGCTCAGTGAATTTCTGCAGCGAGATAATGGTCGGCAATGAAGCGGGAGATAGCAGGAAATTGCTTAGAATAGATTCCTCCGATGGAGCCATAGCAGCCACTTGAGTAAAAGCGTTCTTATAGCCCAGATGACTCTGAGATTACGCAAAATAAGTCCCAAAACTCGTAGACCTATACAGGATGAATCTTTTCCGAAGTGTTTTTCGGAAGTACGTACAATCTCGAGTCTCGTAAGCCAGCGATTGGTGAGGTAACATGGATCAGGCGAAAACGCGTACACTGGACAGTCAACAGAGATCTTGGCAAGTAGTGTAAAATGTTGGTAACTTAGTGTGCAACACTAAATGATTCGTAGTCTGGGAATGGACTACGAATCTGCCAGAAAACCAAAGTGGTGATTTGTGCATGAAGGTTAGGAGGATATAGGAGGAGGCTGGACACAGACCAAAGGAAGAGCGCGTTTTGCCTTCTCCTTCCGCTCCCCGTTGTTCTTGCTCCCTTTCCTCTTCTTCACCATACTTCAACCCTTGTCTGCTGCGCTTTGAGCCATACCAATCCAGGTCATACAAACACCATTGCTACAAACACCATTGCTGTGACCTGTCCATCACACACAAATTATTAAACCATACAGACCTGGTAAATCCCTCCATCAAGCACTGCTTTGAGAATAGACGCTGATCAGGGTTCACTATCCTCGGGTCTGGCAACAGCACAATCACATTTGACATAATAAAAACTTGCTGTTTTCTTTAGTCAAATTTGTGAGCAGCATTATTTCTATTCAGGAAAGTGCTGAGATTCTTCTTCCGGAATACTTGTCCTTGTTGATGTGGTGACTGCTTTATAAAAGTGTACCCTGGGACTCAAGATCTATTTTTACACTCTCCAAATTCGCCAGAGATTCAAAGAGCATCCAGATATTGATTAACCATATCTGTCGATCATTCTTTGGGAGACATCTGAGTTGAAAGATTTGCTATCAGCGGCATCATGGCGCCGACCAGCTCTAACTACAACCGGGACGAAAAGGTTCTTTGTTTTCACCATGAAGTACTCTATGAGGCCAAGATCATGGACATGAGACATGTCGACCCTGATGATCGCAAGAGTCCCTACGAATATTTAGTGCACTACAAAGGCTGGAAAAACACGTAAGTTTCTCCATGATTCCTCAACACCCCTCCGCGTTGGAAGCCTTGGCGTCAGTTCCCCCATCAGCAACGTCCACCAGCTCTGCTAGCACGCCCGGAAACCAGTCATACTGTACTAGTTGTCTATCTCGGGAGCCTGATATGCCTAAAGAGTGCAACGCAGTAATCAATTGTGGCAACAGAACATTAGCTGATATCATTGAAACAGTTGGGATGATTGGGTTCCCCAGGAACGCCTTCGGAAATTCACAGAAGAGAATCGGGAGCTAGCTGCTCAGATTCGAAGAGAAGTTACTGCTCAGATGTGGGGGAAATCTAATGTCACCACCAGCAAGACCTCCAAGCGGAGAGGAGGTTCAGACTCTGGACGAGGTAGTGAAGAACGACAATCTTCAGTACCTGCGAAAGGCACCAAGAGAGGCCGTGACAATGAGATTGAAAAGGTGCGTATTTGAAGTAATTCACATATCAAAACGTATATCTGATTGGTTACTCAGGAGGACCAATTCCACCTGCGGCCGTCGATCCGCATCATGCTCCCTGATACCCTCAAAGCATTGCTTGTGGATGACTGGGAAAATATAACCAAGAACCAGCAAGTTGTGGCATTACCGGCTCATCACTCTGTGAATGAGATACTCCAGTCCTACTCTGAAGAGGAGAAACCAAAACGCACAACAACAGCTGAATTAGATATCCTCGAAGAAGTGATCATGGGTATCAAAGAGTACTTTGACAAGTCACTGGACAAGGTCCTACTCTATAAGTTTGAAAGAGAGCAGTATCGATTATTGCGCCAGAAATGGGAAAGTGGTGCAGAAAATTACGTTGACAAGGGACCTCTTGATATTTATGGAGCTCATCATCTCGCTCGATTATTCGGTATGTTCATTACTCCAATTAATCCTTCTCATGAGAATCTCATTAACGACCTCTGTCAGCTGTTCTCCCCGAACTTATTGCTCAGACAAACATGGACCAACAATCCATCAACCGTCTGCGCGAAGAGTTGAGCAAATTCACAATCTGGTTGAGCCGCAATTCCGAAAAGTTCTTTTCAAACAAGTATATTAGTGCTAGTACGGAATACTTGGAAAAGGCTACTGGAGTGCCGATTCCTAATCCAGGCACTGCAACCTCTCGTCTTATCTGAGCATTCGAGAGTGAAGATGCCGAAGGATGGAACTGGAGAATACGATAATAGCTGGGTGAATTTGGATATCATTTACCCTCACGGGGGACCGCTCTGGTGTTGTGCGATATGTATTAGGATAATTAGGTCTCGTATGAATTGATAGCTCATCATTGTGACAACCTCCTATATGTAGTAGATATCGTAGACTCCAAAAACACAAAGTGTGCTTGTATATACACGAAAACAAGCTATGTAAACAACAAATCGAACCACCCGCGAATTTACTACAGAACGAGCTTCCTCGCATCCTCAACAGCACATCGCGCCGCGCGCTTCAACTCAAGCTTCCTATCCGCCTCGCGCCATTTTTCCCACGTATTCAATCCTTCCTGCGGCTGAATGCTGAGTGTATCGTATCCCTGCTTGATAATCTGATGCACTTCCCTCGGACCAAGATTCTTCTTTCGGGCAGTAGCGGCCGTATCACCGGACTCGGTCGCGGATTTATCCGTCTGGAAAAGCAGTGTGAGAAAATGGGTGGAGACGGTAATTAGAGTATTGACAGACGCTCCCTGAGGAGCATTACTGCCGGGTACTGGTGTCATCGTCGTCAATTTATAAGCGTCCCGAAATCGAGCGATGATCGGCCCAGCTTCGACGATTTTGTAAAAGAGATCGTCATATGAGGCTGGGTCGGGGAGGAAAGTGTCACCCGTCGATAATGTGAATGCAATCAGGTCCACGAGTGAGATTGTCAGGGTATCGATGTGTGGTGATGAGGACAGATCGGATGAGTAAGTGGTGAGGAATCGCATGAGGGAGAGAAGAGTGCGCCACATTTCGGCCCAGTGGTATGTGAGTCGGGTTTTGTTAGAGGAGAGGTAGGTGAAGAGTCGGATGAGAATCGCAATGACGTGACTATCTTCGTTAACATTGACTTTGACGTTTAGTCAATATGAAAACTACTCACCTGTAGAGGTTGGTGTCTAATCGGCGCCGGAGGTTGTGTGTGATCGTATCAATCATCATATCGAAGATAACAGTCGCCAGCACGCGGTCACCACTGACAAGCGGGAGATGCGGTTGTCTCTGTCGACACAGGCGCACGCTACGTTTGTTGTCATCGCTGCAGATCCGCTTGCACAGCATGGGATCTTCAACGATTATACGAAGCGAGAACATGTTGAGCTCTGCGTATGTTGCGACTCTCTCGGACCGGTAAGCGTGTTGGAGTAGATAGGATGTTAGGGAGAGGAAACTTGCAAAGGGAGACTCTTCATTTCGCTTTTCCGGTATGGAAGTCACTAGACTGTATCCAAATAGTTTGTTTGCGTTGGCAAAGTCGTAGGTGGCCAAGAGAACTGCAGCTTCAGATTCGGGTCTTTGAACGTCAGTAACCTTGACCTTGCAGTGCAAAATCAAAACACTTACTGAGCAGCAAAGGTTTCTTTGACTTCTTCCGCTGTCGAGGTTGCAGCTTTGTCTTTATTCCCACCAGTCAAAGCTCGTAAGCCAAAGAAGACAAGGGTATTGCTCAACGTCCAACCTTCCGGAAGATCATCTTGGATGGCAACGTATGCGTTTCTGAGACCAGCGCAGGACAGCCCTACACCTTTGACGATTTTCTGGATTGTGGCTTCATTGACAAAGTCGTCAAGTCGTTGTTGGTATGGATTCTGAAATTCGAATTTATTGTAGTTTGCTAATAGACCGAGGAGCAGGAATGGCTCCAGTATTTGCAGGTTGGTGTCCAGATCATGTATAAACTTGATGTCATTAGATCAGGAACCTTGCTAATGTTCAAGAATGGGAAAGCGGCGTACCTTCATAATGGAAGGGAAGAAATCTCGTTGCATGAAATATGTGACGAGGCTGGTTTTATATGCTCCGCTGACCATGGCGATAGTCGTTCTGATCGCCTTCAGGCGAAGATTCACTGCAGTTGTCCTACTTAGTCCGAGACCAGAAAGTACAATGAACGCAGGCACTTACAATGACCGCTGCTACGGATGATTTTGTCCAGCACGGCGACAAAGTCGGTAAAGACTTGATCCACCTCATCGAGTCCGGCGAGTACGGTAATGATGTCGGAACTAGGATTGGTATACTTTTTGACCGAGATACTTCCTAGGAATATAGTGAGGGTCTGCTGGCGGTTAGAAAGGAGTCTATCGGGAAACTAGAATTACCGGTCTTCTAACCTTGAGTGCATGGGCGTCATTTGGAGACACTCCAGATGCGGCTTCACGTATAGATCGGGAAAACAATCGTCGAGTGATTCCTTGCAATAACAACGTATCATCTGCAGAGATTCCATCTAAGAGGCGGCGCAGGTGCTCTCTATCAGGAGGAAGTAGATAAAACTCTCTCCAGAAGCCCTCGCTCGGCTCAATATTTTCAGTCACCTATATGATGTTTAAGTGGAAGCTCCTCATATGTAGAACATCAGTTATACTTACCTGGAATAAAGATTCGTATAGTGTGACAATCTTTGGCTGAAAGACCTCTGGCCTACTTTGCTGAGTCAAAGGGGAGGCTTCCATGGCGAACACCTACTGTAAGTGCAGGACCTGGAATGTTTGGACATGGATTTACAACCATGACATCTTCACTTAATTTGTTCTTCAATTGAAGGGTTGAAACAAATTTCGTTTTTCTTCGACTGTTTATTTCAGGATATGTGCCACACTCGAGTCTCAGCTGCGACAAGCCAGATAAATGATGATCTGTCCAATGAGAAAGGAAGTGCGCACTAGCCACTCACTCGGTGCCACATTGCTCAGGCACACCCACCACCAACCAACGACATTCTGTATATACTCACAGACTCAGTCTTATTCATATAGTACACTTATTTTGATATTATTGATGCAACTAGTTGTATACCTAACAGCTTTGCAATATTCAGATAATTCATATAGCCGAAAACATCGCGGCAATTCAACCAATCAGGGCGAATGGTTTAGTGGTATAACGCATCTTTAGCATAGATGAGGTCCCGGTTTCGATTACCGGTTTGTCCATCTTTTTGCTCATTCTAATGACTGCAACCCCCTTTTTTTCCTTTTCGGGAAGTCAAAATAACTATATACCTTGTATTAAGTAGCCGGTCGGCGTCCTTATCTTTTTGTTCGTCTGAACATCAAAAAGTCAGATGTTTGAAATACATCAATGCTGATTGGCTGGCTGCATGAAACCGCCTGACTACGGCAAGCAACAGCCGAGTTGCCGCCGAAGAAAACGAACCGCTTTCTCTTATAAATCAACTTCAACTTTGCTCAACACTTGACTCTCGACTGGCAAAACCACTGATTTATTGTCCGTCGCTTATGTCGAGTTTCTCTTACATCGAGTAATTCCTCAACATATACAATATACACTCCCAAGATGTCTCTACCTCAGGTCGTCCGTCTTACAGTGACATCATCTGCAGCACTTTCTAGATTTGTCAACCCGCGGTCCACGCAACGATGTATCTGTTCGCACCGGTTTTTCTCCTCGTATGCCGGAAAATATCATTCTTCGAGACGTGACATGCAGACTGCGACTGCCTACAGACCTCACACCCTTCCAGAGGTGCCCCCTCCTCCCCGAAACGCCCGAATTCCAGACACATCCATTGCGACGGACGCTTCACACAATGCGCAAAACAATTCTTACAATGCATTTCAATCCGCAGATCGGAAGCCCTCAACTAGCGTGAGGGAAGGCGAAGCTCAAAAGACAACTCCAGCACCGTCATCCGAATCCGCTACGAAGCCTCGTCGCTCAAGACTTCGTCCCAGAAAAGCGGCAATGACCCTTACGCCAACCGCGGTCTCGCAGCTTCGATCTATGCTGTCTCAGCCCGATCCAAAGATGATTCGTGTAGGAGTGAAGAATCGGGGTTGTTCCGGGTTGGCTTATAATCTTGAATATGTCGACAAACCTGGAAAGTTTGACGAAGTAGTCGAACAAGATGGGGTCAAGGTGCTTATTGACAGCAAGGCTCTGTTTAGTATCATAGGCAGTGAGATGGACTGGCATGAGGACAAACTCAGTCAGCGATTTGTATTCCGCAACCCGAACATAAGTGAGTATTTCTCTCGGAAGTCTATATGGACGGTGGACTAACGTTATTTCAGAGGAACAATGCGGCTGTGGAGAATCCTTTATGGTGTGATTTGATTATTCGAGTTTAATTTCAACTTTATTCTTGCATTGGGCGGCGTTTGATTCGAAATCAGTGTGATATGTTCTCACTTGAATGGCTATACGGATCGCTTAGTTCCATGTTGCAGCGCCACTTGCATAATATACCTAGGATGATATGGCATTTTTTTAATTGCCTTGCATCTAGTTTGCACATACTGCGTTCATAAACACCTACCTAGGTAGAGGCGGTACCAATTATATATCCTTTACAGGCAGGCTTAGATGTATTTAGGACTGTCAATATGAATTATTTCTTCTAAAGATGAAAATACCTAAACACCCGCATCTCATCATACAGACTCGAGAAATGATTTTGTATTTCATTTATGCAGATTGAAGACAGCATCCCCTTGTCATACAGGCTGTATTGTTGCGGGACCCCGATAGCTGGCGCCGATAAGCTTAACTATCCGGCCGGAGTCGGTGGCGAAACGGGGATGCAGATTACATGATCTCACTTACTGCAACTTAGCTCTTTCGAACACTTCGAACACATACACCTCACGAAACAGCCGTATAATCCAATCATGGACGACTACACTATAAAACACCGACAGTCATTATCTCCAGACTCAACCCCCGAATTAAATTTAATCATCCGCTTCTCTGCATCCATTCCCGATGTCCAACTAGGAATCACCAGTCCATCAACGACGACAGTCGCAGGCGTCAAACAGCTAATCCGAGGACATTTACCACCCGACCTTGCGAATCGAAGAATAAGACTCATATGTTCTGGACGAGGACTTGAAGATACCTCCCCGCTCACCACGTCTCTGAAATTGCCCCCCTCTTCACGAACGAGTACCCCGTTATCTACGAATTCGACCGAGAATGGATCCTCAAAAGACAAAAAAGGTAAAGCCATATTGCGCGATGCAATCCCCGATGATATACCGCGTGTCTACGTGCACTGCTCAATCGGTGATATCGTCCTATCCGCATCAGACCTGAGCGCCGAGGCTGCAATGGCGTCGACATTCCTCCTTCAACAGCAGCAACATGACTCAACAGCAGCAACAACAACTACACACCAGGAACGAAATGAAGAACAAGAGGCAGATGATATGGCGACCACAACACCGGCTCCAAGGGGGTTCGATCGTTTATTATCAGCCGGGTTCACGCCGGGTGAAGTCGCGGCATTGAGGTCCCAGTTCTTGGCTTTGCAGTCTATTTCGCATACACCAGATACTATGCCCACGGGTGCGGAACTGCGTGAGTTGGAGGATAGATGGATGGATGAAGGCTCAGGAGCGGACGGGGCAGGTGTTGGCATCACATTTGGCGGTGGAGGAGGAACTGGAGGCGATGAAGGCGGAGGGTTTGGCTCGTCGTCCAATAGTGCGCTTGATGATATGTTATGGGGTGCTGTTATGGGATTTTTTTGGCCGATTGGGTGTGCGATGTGGTTGAGGCGTGAGGAAGGGGTTTGGAGTTGGCGGAAAGGTTTGGCGGTGTTTGTTGGGGTGGTGGTTAATGTTGCCTTTGGAGCTGTAAGGGTTATGAATTGATGGATGGTCTCGAGGGTTGTATGTAGATGTATATATATAGAGAATAGTTTTTGCATTAGCATGTTAGATACCCACAATGTACTGAAATGTCATTATCATTGGAATGATTTACACAAAGGTGCTTGCTAGATCGCAAATCAAGGCATAGCTGTAACTATAGAAATAAGAAATCGATAAACTGCCGCACTAAACGCCTGGATAGAGAGACATTGCGAATGCATCATCATGTCTACCGAAAGCTGCTAAAAATAACCGCAAAGATCAAAAGAATCAAAACAGTGATAATGGCAATAGTTATAATCCGATTTGTAGCCATCCTGTAGGTCAAAAATTAGCCTGATATCTACCAGAGAGATATGTTGGGAGATCAGAGGTACAATACCTACGAGCCATACCCCGTAAGGTCTTGATACTTGTATCAACATAACCCTCACTCTGATGCAAATTCTGCCTTGTACGCTCAATCGTTTCTCTTTGCTGATGCAAATCAGCCAGTGTATTGCGACCGATATCCTCAGTTTCAAGCGCAAGTCGTTGACTCTCCTGCAGACGAGCCGAACTGCGCTCTAACCGTTCTGTGCCAGATAAGAGTTGTTGTCGCTGTTCCATGTGCGCGTCCCCAGCTTCAGGGTCATCGGTATATCGATCTCCGAATAGTGCGCGACGGTCATCAGAAAGGGATTTGAGTTTTCTTTTCACTTCGTCGATGTCGCTGGAGTAGTTGCGGAAGCGGATGTTGACTTTTGAGCGAGCGGCGGATGGTATGTTTTGTTTCTCCATGCGCATTTGATCCAACTACAGATACCATCAGTTTAGTGTTCAATCATTCAACGTTTGGGTTGTGTATTACCAGTTCAATGGCCTCATCTAAGGCCCTTTCTGCTTGTCCGATAGCCGACTTCCGTTGTTCACCGGTAGTCTCTGCTATTTGATCTAATTTCTGGTTTAGGTCGGCCTGGACGAGTTTCAATTCTGCTTCATAGCTGCTGAACAGCTCTGAGCCGGCGTCTGTGTCAAGTGGGTTGGCCATCGTGGGTTGTTCTCGAAGGAGGGTATCGGAATGACGAAGAGCAGTGTCTAGTGGCGTCGCAATTGCAATCCGTATGATGATTATGTTAAGTACAAAACAGTGCTCGCTATTTTCATAAAATTATAGAGAATCCCAGTTCCTGAGGCCTGAAGGCGATATACTTGATTCGGGAGTTGAGGATGAGGTGGTTGGACGGTCGTCCTAGGCACATGCATTGTCGCTGGAGCTTATCGCCAGGGTACCCACGTGACGCAATGCCAAGCTATCATCATCAACTTGCGATATATTTGCAATGGACAAATCATCATACACTGATATTACAAAGGCTAGTTATTTGGCTAAAAGACAGTTTCTACTTAGATCCGAAGCCAAAATGCAGTATACCCCGCCCCGTCTCCGTACACCCAAATAAACCTCAATTTTTGAAATGCATCCATCATCCATAGATCGATCATGACAAAAAGTTCCCATTATCTTGACTGACAATCGTAGCGCTTCGCTTAGCATCAATGAAAAGATCTTCGCACTCGGTGACATCAGGGACATCGATGGCCGGACGCCCGTTCACTCGGGCAAGAATGTTAGCAGGTGTAAGAAGCTGCAGAGCATATCGGAGACTAATCTTGCTGCCGTGTTCTGAGACCTTGTCGAGTGCAGGATCTGTAATGTTGAGATTCTCTGTTTTGGCGCGAAGTCGGATTATAGTCTTAATTTCGTCGGGGGTGTAGGGGTGCGTTGGTACGATGAGAAGTCGAGCGAGGAGATCGGGAGGAATACCATGCGCTGCTGTCACATCTCCTGTGCCTTTGATGATTGTGTTGCCCCTGTTCGAGGCTAGAATAACGATGGGTGCAATCGGAGACTCGAGAGCGCGGTTCAGGTAGGTAAAGCATTCAATGTCAAGCATGTGCACTTCATCAATGAACAAGACACCGGGTATTAACTCAGCTACACCTTGACTGCAAACTATTAGTAAAGGTATTGTGTAACGAAGAAATGGGTGTCTCTTACTCAATATATCTGCTCACAACCTTATTGATTTCAGCTCTCAGTTTGTCTGTGATTTCTGTCTTCTTCGGTTTCGATAATTGTCCAAGCATGGACATGAGATCTTGTCCACCTTGAGGTCGGGCGTTCGCCATACTAATTGCAACGTCAGTATGTGCCGATAAATGTTGGACATTAACAACATACTCTAGGTCATTAAGGGTAACGTCCTGCACGATCTCCTTCTTCTTATGAACTTCACCCTTTGGCACTGGGACATATTCCTCTGCTTCAAGATCAAACTCCGTCGCATAAGCATCGGACCGTCCTACTCGCTTGCACGCGCCTGTATTCGCTTCGATATAGATGACATCCCCGACGGTCACCCGTTCTTTTTGGATAGCTTCGTATATGCTAGGATCCAGCCGGAGTTTCTTTGTGCCTTTGTACGATTTCAAACCGATAATGAGATGACTGATAGTCTTTCCGTAGCCACCAAGTGGGTTCTCGGCTTCTTCTGGTGTGAGTTCTGTCACTTCGCCTTCGTAGACTTCCTTGGTTTCCCGAACTCGTAGACCTGTAAACAATCAGACACATAATCCTCCAGCCAAATTCTTCAGAACATACCGATGGCCCTTCGGAAATTCTCCATAAGTGTTTCTGTCTTCTTGACCTCTGCAGAATACAATTCACTTCCAACAATAGGGCAGAATGGCACTTTCGTACCGAGTTCTTGCGAAACAGCCAAAGCAAGAGCAGTCTTTCCAGTTCCAGGGCCACCAGCAAGAAGTACAGCTCGACCAGCCATTTTTTTCGCTTTGATTAGATCCACGACGACACCACATGCCTGCAGAAAGATACGAATTAGCGCGAAAATCCCATCAAGACAACAAAGGTGCATCATACTTCTCTTGCAGTTGCCTGACCAACCCATCCATCTGCTGAGCTCTCAGCGGTACCGTCAGGGCGTAGGCCAAGGCCCTTGATGTGTGTATGCGCCATTGTCCTGTTTTCGCGCGAACCTCCCTTGACTTCGCTGATTTGAACCATCGTGAGGAATCAGAGCTTCGATCGAAGCTGCAAACTTTTCGGAAAAAATCAGGGTAATATGACTTGAGAGAAAAAGGCAACAACTGTGGGATGCTGGATGAATTGACTTAAGTAGAGGTCACAAATATGTGTTTTTAGAAGTGAATGGATGAAGCTTTGATTGTTCCTCCAGGTTGATTTTCGCGGTGCAGACTGGCGACCACTAATAATATTGACGGCTGATGAAGGCGGTCAGCCGAGCCATCCTAGTTTCTTTTCCGAGAAATCACCTAACGTACTCTGAAATTGTTCGTTATCCCAACTCCAACTGGAGGTCTACACACCAGCGCGCTCAAATCGATAATTATTCGAGTATAATGCCTACCCGCTGATTTAATTGGACATCCTATAAATCACAATGGCGGGTATACCAACCCGGTTGATGACCGCGTCAACCTCCTCCCTCAATGCGACATTCCGAGGACTATCCTTGAACACCAGCGTGCCCACGATAAAGCGCGGTTTCTCAACTTCTTCGTCCCTCCAGAAAGTCAAAACAATACCCGAACACATCCCGCCATATCCCTACAAACCGAACTACGTATACAAGCAAGCCGACAGCGGTTTGTACGGCGGTGTAACGATCAGTTTCGGCAACAAGATCTCCAAGGGAAGAAATAAAGGCAAAACACGACGTTCATGGAAACCCAATGTGCGATGGAAGAAGCTCCCCAGTGAAGCACTGGGTGAAGAAGTCTTTGTCAAGCTTACCCGGAAGGCGTTGCGGACGATTCGGAAATGTGGTGGACTGGACAATTATTTGCTTTGCGACAAGCCATCTAGATTAAAGGAATTGGGATTGACGGGGTGGAAGTTGAGATATCGCATTATGCAGTCACCTTCAATGAAGAAGAAATTTGCTGAGGAGAGGGAGAAATTGGGCATTTCCAAGTCTCCAAACACCTTTGAAGAATGGCTTAAGGCGAAGCAATTGAGTGGAGTTACATTCGCTGTGGAGGCTATTGAAGATGCTAGAGAAGTCACAAAGGTGTTAGAAGAGGCTTCAACCAACGAGGAGACATTACCCGAACCGGAGACCTTGAAGGGTTCCCAGAAGCAGGAGCAGGCGCCAGTGTTGGCATGATGCTAAGAGGGAGTTGACAAGAAACTTGTGTATCATATCTTGACTAGCGAATTCTGGGGCATGCGGGCAGATTGATTTCAAAGTGTATGTACATTATTATTTGATATTTCATTAGAAAACTCATTTGTCTTGAAACTTTCAGTATCAAAATGCAAGCAATCTTTGCAGTCCTGTTATACACGCAGAATCTTAAGATCAATTCGACATGATAAAATTACCATTAATGGTATCAAGAAAATGGAACATGGTCTCCATATGGGTATACGGTGTCCCCAAACGCCTCATGCAATCTGTCACACTGCTCAAAAAGAACTCCTCCCTCGATCTATGAAGCATATGCGGAAATGATAACAAAACAAAAGGTTACAACGACTTTGAACTAGAAATCTTCCTCTGCCACACAGAATAATATGGATGTAACTCTTCTTCGCAGCTTCGACCTTGAGCATTACAATCGTTCAAATGGATGATAAAGTCACCGTCGTGGTATGTCCCGTCGGCGGAAACGTCTGGTGAATCTTTACTATATGAGTTGATTACCCGTTGTGGTATAAGGGCTAATTTTGCAAGGATTGTTGCATGCCATTGAACGATATGATCCTATAAAGAGATATTAGTGCTGTTCTGGGCACATAGTCGCAAGTTCGAATCCGGGGAGGTAATACCAATGCATGTTTCTCCGCTCTTGCAAAGTTATATGACCGATATAACGGATCAAACCATAAATCTAAGAAGAATTTGGCCCAAGGTCCTTGCTTGATTATGAAGCTGCCCGGAACCAAGTCTTCACCGTCTTGGGTGATAATGAGATCTACATCTTTTGATGTAAGATGCGAGAATGTCTTGATAACGCTATCTGGAGGCACGACGGAATGATCCTTAATCATTAAAGACTCTAGCAGTTTCGGCTCGAGTACATGCGTCGCTAGGGCAAGAGAGGGGTTCATGATGAAAGCGTGGGCGTCAAGGAAAAAGAAATACGTCGAATGCGGGTTCTCGGCCATAGCATGTCGAACAGCGGGGACTTGGAGCCAACTTCGAGGTGTTTTCTCATCTAGAGTATATAGATAATCGGAGGCGTTCGCGAAGAAGGTCGCATAACCTGTCATGAATGTCTTAGCTTTGGCAATACTCTTCCTCGCTTAGTACTTTGCATGAATTTACCATGTCGGGCCGCGTAATCTTCCCGATTGTTTTGAATCCATTCTGCATATTGTTCACTCAGAACCTGTCTGTCGAACAAGGTGACCAGAACAATATTCGCAGTCCCCGAAGGAATAACGGCCCCAATCGGTCCACTGACAGAGAACGAGAAGAACCGAGAGAGAACTAAAAGCACAAAGATTACTGCAAGCGCAATAATCCCTATAGTCTTCAACTGTCGGCGGCGTTGGAGGGACAGAACCGAAGTGCGCGGAGCAAAAGGAGGAGCTTTGGACGACTTTCGCGGCGGTAAAGCGTGATGCATGGCTACGGCGCAATGCTAGCGGGTGATTGGAATTTGTAAAAGAACAGAACACCCAAGTCCGACTAGGCTTTTCTTGCCCAGAACATTGTATCCGACGGCGTCCAAATCATTCGTCCATTGAGAAAGGTTGAGCGCCGATGGGGGAGGAATAAGCTCTCGTGTCATACATGACAATGTCTCAATGATGTTCCGTAGACCTTAAGCACATGCGGGCCGGATCATCAATATTCCTTGTGAAGTCGCTATCCCTTGTCAAATCGAATGGTGAACTTTTCAAGAACTGAAATTCGTGTACATACTATACAGTGGCATTTATCATAATTGATATTAATCTACCACCCGAGCGAGAAGTTCGCAAGAGTTGTGCCTAAAAATACACTCCTGTGTTTTCTCTTTTTTTTGTTCCATCAACCCGACATCCACCTTCGAGTAGTAGTTACCATTATACTACAGGCCTTATGAGAACGGAACTTTCATGACAATCGCAAGATGATCTGCTCTTCCAAGTTTAAAAGATTGGTGGCAGAAGGGTAAAACGCTTGCGCTTGTACTTGTCGCCGAATTCCTTGCGATAACGACGCTCCTTCTTCTTTGCCCAGTCCCACATTTGCAAGGTACCGACCACGAGGAAAAGTAGGACACTCCAGCTGAGACCAGTCAAAAGGTAGATACCAATCCAGGCGATGATCTCAAACATGTAGTTGGGGCAGGTCACAAGACCGAATCCGAACCCTTTTGGAATTCCGCGCTCAGTGGTTCCAGGTCGTCGAAGGTTCCGCAAAACCAAGTGAGCATTGAAATTGGCTAATTCACCGAAGGAAAACAGGAACAATCCACCGTAGTAAAGAATCGGATTCAGCTCATTGGTTGCAGCGGGAGAGTCGGGCCGGAACACCCAGTATGCGATGTTGAGACCAGCCAGTGCCCAGTAGTGGGCACAGTTCTTGAAGATGTTGCGAGCGGGCATAGTTGCAAGGCTGAAGCGGTGAATGAAGATAGTCTCGAACTCGCGTTTCAAGAAATGAACGAATAGCAAAGCACATACAAGCTGCTGAGGCGATGAGGGTTCTGGAAGCTTGTCGAAGTTGAAGTACAAGTAGGGACGTAATACGTATAGGAAAAGAGGCGGAATGACGAGGGGACCGAGATACTCAATCACGTAGACAAATCGCCAACCGAGCTGGGGACCTGCGCAGCAATTGAGATTTAGCAACTGTGAAGTATAGATGGTGACAAGGAACCATTCACTAACCTAAGTCCTTGACATAAACGACACTCTGCCCTCGCAGCCCGCTACTCTCAATAGTCTCCGACCCATTGAGCAACACACTTCCATCCGAGCCTTTTGTGATTCTCAATCGGTGTACTGAGTAGCCTGTCTTTTGAGCTAAGGTATTGTAAATGTCGCTAGCAGGAGCGTTCGTGGACACCGTCAGCTCCTTTGGGAGTTTCCGTATCGGTTTACCTGGAAATAAGTGTGAGTACCTCGTCATCCGAGAAGATTGATGCTAAGACATACCCCTAGGGTTGACGATGAGCTCGATGGTTGACATTGTAAATACCACAGTTCCAGGGAGTTCGTCCTCGGAGGATAAGAACAGGATTGCAGTCAAGAGCAGGAATACCGCAACTAATAAAGAATAATAAAAGGAAATTGCCCTCGAACAGCTCCGGAGGTATTGGGTCAATCACCAACAAGCAAATAAAAAATATTGGGCCAGCGATTGCGGGAAAGAGGACGGCATATCACGTGCAGTAGGTTACCTAGGCAGGATCTTCGGCTGTCGGGCGCCCAACAAACCATCCGGCGACTTTCGATAGTCGATCGTCCCTTGCTGTACACACTGTGACTATGCGAGTTTGTACTGACATACATATACGAAGTTTTATTCATCACAAAAGGCCTCATATACGTATCACATCTTATTAGCGACGACTTTGAACCATACCTGATATGCGATCCGAAGATGTCTTTCGCTATGCAGGACTCGGGCTATGCAAGATCATTGGAAAGCGACGAGGGACGTACAACGATCCCCGAAACCTGGTTTATGAAAGAATTGTAGCTGTATGAGCTCTATAACAGGCATGGTATGATTTGAGCTACTGTCCTTGACAGCCGTAGTCCTCCTACGTGTTAGTCCATCGTACAATCTCTTTTCGATATCCATATCAGAGAGCTGGGACATATATAGATTTCAGACATCTTTGTTCAATCTCCCATGCCCTCCGTGATAGTATCATCGTTGCAAGCCATGGATGACAGATCATACCACATTCTGAAGACCGAATCTTGTCAATCCGCTCTGAATAGTAGTCTCAGCCAAGAATTTTGACTCTGCCAAAAGGGCAAGCAGAGCTTCAATTTCGGAGTGAGTAATGTCGATTTGTTGATCATTAAGCTCTGTTTTATCTGTTGCATGCATGTTGTATGTGTTCAGAGTAAACTATGTGCATATTCACCTACTATAAAGGGGCCTTGTCAACTTCGAAAGCTTGGGATGGGTAATAAAGTAGCCCAGATGAGTAACTTGGTCTCCAATGAGATCCATGTGTAAGAAGGATAAGGATAGTTTGATGCAGGGATCCGGACTGCCCATGACCACTCAATAGACACCGAGCCATGAGTCACTAGTGCAACATATCTTACCCTCATTGGGCACAAATGTCTTTGTCGTCGCATTTCTCATAGAGATGAGTTGAAAGGCTAGGCACCTCTTGTCGTGACATCCAGTATGCGGAACCCGCCCGGGGTTGGCTAGAGGAACCTATTGGGCAAGGGTCAATATAGATAGATGCCATGATATAGAAAGTTCTGCTTCTCCACTGACAAGATAAGCAGCCCTAAAGGTTCATCAACTAGGGATAACAACAAAAGAGAGACAGAGAGATAAAGGTGGCATGTCCTGACAAGAGAAGCATTAGCGGCGGGTAGTTGTTTATGTCATTGCACACTGTGACTGGACCAAGTCACTAAAGGCGGAAAGTCCCCACTTGCACCAACATCAACCTTCTGTTCAAACAGCTTCAAACTTCTTTTTCATTCTGATACCCAACCCTCTCATTTCTACTTCACTAATCAAAAGTCGACTCTCTTTATCACCTCCGCCCTTCTTCGTGGCTTGAACATAAAGACTTGAGAGGCTCAAGTTGGAGCGCCGACCTGCACCGTCAGCTCTATCTTCCTCCCGCAGTTTTCCAAGATCAGGCTTTTTCTAGAAGCTGTTTGCTCGATATCAACCTTACGACCACATTCACTTCTACACTCCACTTTTTCCGTCGTACTCTAATAATCGAAAAATTCTCCTGGCCATCGGATCTGTTTCTTGAGTTACGTCTTTATTCTCTCGATAACCGTTGGAGCTTTCTTCTCGAGACATCATTCTCTTGCTCAGTCATAACCTGGTACCACGCACTTTTTGGCTGAGATTGGCATCACCAGCCGACATTTTGGGGAGTTAGTCTTCCTCCCATGGTGGCCATTTCTTTATTGATTCAGAAAGATGGGGAGAATCAAGAAAGCGGCAGGCTCAAAGCATGAGGCTACAATTGTATGTGAAGATTTTGTCTATGACTTTACACTCGATGCTATGAGAACTGAGAGCTAATTTTCCTTTCTAGTCACCATATCTGTCTGACTTCATCAAGCTTGCAACTAAGATCCCTCTCGCCCAGCTTCCATCACACCTCCGAACCCTTCCACGAACATGGCCATTCCCACGAGGTGACCTCTACCACTGGATACCTTTGTTAGACCGATTCGACGATATCTTGGCCTCTGTAATAGAACAATATGGATTGAATATTGGTCCTCAGGTGACGCCGTTTGGTCGTCATGTCTTGCTTGATGCATCAGCAGACCAGGACACTGATGTTGATGAATTGCTCAGCGGCCTTGGCTACGGTTCTGAGGGTGATCGAGAACTTGTCGAGGCTATTTTATCCTTTTCACAATTATTACAAGAGAAATGTGGTAATCGCAGTCTCTATAGCAGCAGTGACCGTCTGAATGACCTGTTGAATACAACATCAAACACCCTTCTAATAACCACTCTTCGACTTGCTCTTTTACTCGCCCAGCGATACCACGCCCGGCAACGTAATGCAAGCGCCACTCATTTTCAACAGGCTCTACTGGCTGCTCATTACAATATTGATCTTGACAAAGTCCAGAAACTCTCTTCCCCCTTTGCTCGACCAACTGTATTTGGAAAGCCCCCAGTCGCACCGACGTCCCCTGCTGTCAAGGCAAGAGAAAAGGCCGTTCAGACAAGGCACGATGCCAATGACGCTGCTGTACTTTTGCGTGAAAAAGATGGGTGGGAGGAATGGGGGAACATTCGTGCTGTATATTATCCGGGCGTCTCCGAGCTGGAGAACCCCCTGAAGGAAACCCAACCGAGTGAGCAGTCTCAACAGTACCAGGCGGCTCCATCTACACCTACGCCACTGCGGAGAAGTGCTACCATGCCCACACCGCGGCTCAGTCGTATGTCCAGCAATGAAGACTCTCCGTCAGTTTACACCGGCACACCATCTTCAAGGGTGGCGGACTCTGCTCAAAACTCTAAACTGGTGGAAATACCTGCAGCGGTTGTTAGCTCAACGTCCTTGGAGTCTATTATCGGTGTAAAATTGGGTGAAATTCCGACAGAGTCAAAATACGATTTCTTACACCGAGCCCGCGTCGCCCAGTCTCTAGTCAGATCTGAAGTGACTCGTGAGCAAATATTGACCATTCGGATTCTCGCACTTACCAACCTAGCATATCTGTATCCCGAAGCTATTATGCAGCAGAGAATTTTGCAACAGGATTCAGATCAGCCTAAGCGGTTGCAGATAGCATATCAACTTGCTGAGTTAGCTCATTTGGGTGCTAGCGGGGATCTTCCGGCTCTACGAACTACACAGACCGCTGCCCTCTATGCTCTGGATGCTCTTACGAAACATAAGGCAAGGTCTGCTGATGTCTGCGCCGCTTTGAATGTCAACGTTAACCATGGAATTTTGATGTTCCTGACACGAAAGACAATCACAGAGCTTTCCGCTGACCAGGATGATGGTGAAGAGTCTGATGAGTGGCGAGACGCTCTTCTCTTATTACTCCGGACATTGCCAGGCTCCAGTTCACGGACTCCAGAAACTCTAATCGCTGCAGGCCTGATCCCCATGTTCGTGGATGTTCTTAATCTACGCACTGAGAAGGCGCGGCGCGTCTATCCACGTGTGTTAGAGTTCCTCGACACGTTCGTTCACGCTGTGCGAGATGCTCTTGGGACATTGGCCAATGCCAAGGGATTTGATGCTATTTCCGATCTGATAGGCTTCGAGACCAAATCTGCTTTCGACAATGTGAACGAAGGAATCGGTATTCCGACCGAGTATCGCACCCCGTCTGTCGATTACGACATCCCCTACTTCCAGCAGCAATCATTGAGATGGCTATTCAGATTCGTTAATCACATTATGCAGCACAATGGTGGGGGCTTCGATCGATTGCTACGCAATCTCGTTGATTCTCCTCCGTTGCTGACAGCACTACGCCTTGTTTTCGAGAATGCGAAGATATTTGGTTCTCATGTCTGGAGCGGGGCGGTTAGCATCCTTAGCAGCTTCATACATAACGAACCGACCAGTTATGCTGTTATTGCTGAAGCCGGTCTCAGCAAGAGTCTCCTGGAAGCTATCACTCTGAAAGAAGTGAAAGGTCCGGAAGTCGAGGCGACAGCAATGGCTGAGGAAGACGAATCGAGAGTTCAGTCTGCTGCACCTTCTTCAGGTTCCACGGCAGCTGCGAACATCTCCTACAGCCTTTCCCGATCTGCCGATCAGCAGCTAGCTCGCGGTATTATACCCGCCTCTGAAGCAATGTCTTGTATTCCTCAAGCTTTTGGTGCTATCTGTCTCAATTCAGCTGGCCTGGAGTTATTCCAATCTTCAGACGCCTTAGAAAGCTATTTTGAGATATTTGAGAGCCCTGTGCATGTTAAATGCATGGATGCCAACTTAGTCCGCTCATTGGGCACGACTTTTGATGAACTTGTCCGACACCACCCGTCTTTGAAGCAGTCTGTTATGTCAGCTGTGCTCGTTATGGTAGCTCGCGTTGGTCTGTTGTGTAAAAAAATGGCTTACAAGGGTGCTGGTGCAAAGCTATGGACTTCGGATGAGCAAGGAAACTTGACTGTCATAGGAGGCAAATCGAGCTTGTGTACTGAGGTCGGTGAATCGTTTGAGGACACAGCTGAGCGCGATGGGCAATTTTCTTACCCTGCATTACAGGAGAGGAGTCTCCCCAATGGCGGTAAGCTAAACTTAGGCCAGGTCCCTGATGCTCAAGATATCTCATCTACCCCCCCGGATGCAGATGAGTGGGGGCTTACTGCTGCAAACTACATCTATCCAGTCATGCGTTTCTTGGGAGCGTTCTTTGAGAATCAGGTTAACTGCACATATTTCATTGAAAGCGGAGGGGTTGAATTCATTCTGGACTTTGCTACTCTGCCCAGCCTGACTTTCGATTTTCAGAGTCGTCAAGCCAACACTGAACTGGCTCAATTGGTACATATGATGGCAGAAACAAAGCCTCACCTTGTTATCCCTTCTTTAGTCAAGCGGACCCAGAAATCTGTTGATTGTCTTGCCGACTTTTTCAAAGCACCTCGACCGGATGGTTTTTTCACCTCTTTAACAAAGCCTGAGCTTGGGGATGCTATGGACACCGGAACTACACCTGAGCGTGATATTAGGCTAGCCGAAGAACGGGGAACATACTACGTGAAGCATCTTGTTTCTACACATGTACTGACCGACATTCTTCGTGAGATTTATACAACACCAATGTACCAGACGCGCCCTAGCCAACAAACATCGGCCTTTTCTCAAGTTAACCTAGCGGAGCAGTACACAAATCTTGTTATATCACTAGGCCAACTTCACGCCGCATGTGTTTGGGACGAGATCCTTGTGCAGAAGAACTTACCCCAGCGCTGGATTGAGGCCACGAAAGTGCGAGGGTACGACTTAGGTAGTGAGGAAGCCAACGAGGCGCTTGGGATGTCTGTCAGTGAGGATCGACGTAACCCTCTATCCAATGTTGAACCTGCTCCAGCGACTTCATCCACGACACCGGCTGCTCCAGAAGATCGGGTAGCCGACTCTGCACCAACTGCACCAGCAGATGAAGGTGCCCAGTCTGATGATGAACGCAAGCCTGCATTCAAAAACACGCAAGCCCTTCGCTACCTCCTTAGCTCCTTACCGACTACCATATCTGGGTTTTTCCATTTGCTTGGGCATGGTATTCTCGGGAAACGCCGACCTGATGCTTATTCCCGACAGAATGCTTCAATGGTGGCTGATGCCATCGCTGGAGTTGTAATTCGTCAACTACAGTTGGATGCCCCAAATAAGTCTTCGGATATCAGGGATCGCTTTTCTTATCTCATTGTGATCTTGTCTGCTTTTACACAATTGCTTTTCGAAGCGCCCGTTGAGCGGTCTCATTCGCATTGCCTAACCGCTATTCTGTTTGCTTTCAAGAGACAGAATGGCCTGAATTTAATGAAGAATCTATGTGGATTGTTCTTACATGAGATCAATTCATTAGCACCGCAAGCCGGAGGAGGATTTGATGACCCTAATAAGTCGGCCCGCTTAGCATCGGCTTATGGTGGTCTGAGGTTTATTTTGACGTTTTTCGCAGAGGTCACGTCTGTTAAGGAGTCAAGTCAGACACAAGCCCTCTTATCAACGGAACGTGAGCGGGATCGCCCTGATTACTTCAATCCTGGTCAATTCCTGGTTGACCTACGAATGGAAGTCCTACCCATGGTCAGAGAGCTCTGGAGCTCCGATTTCGTTGATAGAGCTTCGAGTTCAATTGTGAAGTGCCTGGTTGAAATTCTCCGCAATATTCTTGATGGTGAACATGAGAATGGGGCAATTGTTCAGAGGATCAATGGCCATCAATTTTATTCAGAGTACCCCAAGAAGGAATTTTTTCTCAATCAGGACCGGCTGAATACACTTGTTGAAAGGGGCTTCGACTTGGATCTGGCACATGAAGCTCTTTACCGGTGCAACAATGTACTGGCCACAGCAGACGAGTACTGCCATGCCCAGACTTGGTTGCGGCCACCTCCGAGGCTGCGACCGGAGTCCGATCTTGAGTCGACAAGAAGGACGAACACAGGTGGTGACGATGCGCCAGTACCTGATGCATCTTCTAATTTGTCAGTAGCGGATACAAATTATGCTTTGGCAAGAATCATCCGTGAAGGTCCGCCTCGCTTAGTACAGGGCGAAGGCAGCTCCAACAATAATGTGGATCATGAGGCGGGTAGCAATGCTGAGTTTCTCACGCGGGCATTGAGTCGATATTTCGGCGATCCAGAAGCTCTTCTAAATGAGTCTCAAGATGATGCACCGTCACGGATGCACCGTCGGGCTCCAAGTGAGTCTGTAGCGCAGTCCACAGAGCTGCGTAGGCGTGAAATCACCACGATTGAAGATCTTGATGCGGAACGCGATAAGCTACGGAAGAATATGATAGAGCGGTGTCTGGATGTTCTCAATGTTCACCACGATGTCACTTTCGAGCTGGCGGATCTCATTTCATCGGCCACGAAGAAACATCGGGATCTAGAGGGATTCAGAAAGGAAGTCGGTGAAACTTTGGTGCAATCACTGATTTCACTACAAATAGATGACGATGTCCAGCCTTCTGGTAAGAAGATTGCCGCTTATGCCAATCTTCTGGCACTGGTCCTGCAAGACAGATCGATCTACCTTACAACGTTAGACGAGCTGAAAGAGTGTTTCTTGACTCTACTTGGGTTCATAAAGATCCCGATCTCCGATAAGGCGGCGGAAGAATCTTCACCGTGGGTCGGGCAAGTTCTTCTCGTCATCGAAAAATTGCTCTCGGACGACTCAGCGCCACCTCAGATTCAGTGGGACGCCCCATCGACTCTCGACGAACCTGTAGATACTGGACCGGCTTATCTCAAGCCATCTCTTCTTTTATCCTCCGACGAAAAGACGCAGTTATTTGAGTCCCTACTTGACGTCTTACCTAGAGTTGGAAAGGACGAGTCTCTCGCTTTATCCGTCTGTCGAGCTCTTGTCATTCTTACAAGAGCCCGGCACATTGCGATTCGTATGGGCGAGAAACGCAATCTTCAACGCCTATTTGTCATGATGAAACAGCTTTCGAGCTCTTCAAACGATAGGCTGCAAGGCGCCTTCATGCTGATATTACGGCACATTGTTGAGGATGATGAAACCGTCCGGCAGATAATGCGAAGCGAAATTACTGCTAGTTTTGAGTCCAGATCATCGAGACAAACAGACACGACTGCTTATGTACGACAAATGTACCACCTGGTTTTGAGATCTCCTGAGATTTTCGTCGAAGTAACAAATGAGATCCTCAAAATTCAGCGTTACGAACCAAGCCAGAGACCTCAAAACTTGGCTTTGAAGGCTCCTAAAGCAGAAGCAGCACCAGAAAGCAAAGAACCGGCAGACAAAGTTGTGGATACTGTCGAAGGAAAAGAGCCTACAGACACGAAAGATAAGGGCAAGGTGGTTGAGTTAAAACCTCCAGTCGTGGAGCACCCGGATGGTGTGATTCACTACTTGTTGTCTGAATTATTGTCCTATCGTGATGTAGAAGACAAGGATTCTGGGACAGAAAATGTTGAAGCTGGCACTGCAAACGCCCCAGAGCCACATAATGAACCTGATATTTCTGTCGGTGAAACATCGCCATCGTCTTCAACCGCAGATCTTGGTGTTTCCCGAGAATCGAAGAAGCAAGAAAAGCCGGCATTCAAAGCGGACGACCACCCCATCTACATTTATCGATGCTTCCTTCTTCAATGCTTGACTGAGCTGCTTTCCTCGTACAATAGAACGAAAGTGGAATTCATCAATTACTCTCGCAAAGCGGATCCCATGGCAACTACTCCTTCTAAACCTCGTGGTGGGGTTTTGAACTATCTTCTCAATACATTAGTGCCTACTGGGACATTAGAGCATGATGAATCAGTATCTTTCAAGAAGCGCAGCAACACATCTTCCTGTGCTATGCGAGTGCTCGTGGCCTTGTGCACTAAAACAGGAGAATTTGGCGGAACTAATAGACGCCGAAATGTTGAAGATGAGGAAGAAGAGCCTGAATTGCTTTTCGTTCGTAGGTTCGTCCTTGAACACGCTCTGAAAGCATATAAAGACGCTATGTCTTCCACTGAGCCGCTCGACATGAAGTATTCACGGTTGATGTGCCTTGCGGACCTCTTCGATAAAATGCTCAGCGGCTATACTTTTGCTAGTGGTGACACGACATTCCCATCGTCGACAAGACAACTCGCTAAGACAATGTTCGAGAAACATTTCATATCTGCATTGACAGCTTCAATTGCTGACGTCGATCTCAACTTCCCTGCATCGAAAAGGGTTATCAAGTACATCCTCCGGCCTCTGAATAAGCTGACGCAAACTGCTGTCCTACTGAGCGAGAGCTCTAGCATCTCCACTCTGGGCGAAACCGAAGAATATGAGATATCGTCCGCGACATCGGTGTCGGACTTGGATGATGATCGTGAAGAAACTCCAGATCTCTTTAGGCATTCGACGTTAGGCATGTTAGAGCCTAATCATGAAGAAGACACTAGTGAGGAGGAGTCTGAAGAAGATGACGAGATGTATGATGACGAGTACGGTGACGAAATGGATTACGACGAAGATTTACCTGAAGATGATGGTGAGGTCGTTAGCGACGAAGATGAGGATCTTGATGGTCGAGGTCCCATTGAGGGGTTGCCAGGAGACTCCGGCATGGACATTGAGGTTCTTCTTGACGAAGATGAAGACGATGACACTGATGACGATGATGATGAGGAGGATGATGATGATGACTCGGATATGGATGATGATGACGAGATCATGGCGGGAGAGATCACTGGTGATCGTGACAATGATAGCTTGGCAAGGGATGAAGATGATGATTGGGAAAGTGAAGACATGTCAGAGGATAATGAGGAAGCGGTGGAAATGCTCAATCAGCTTGAAAGTGAATTCGGTGACTTTAGACAGGCTGATCCTCAAGGCGATGGATCGCGCTTTGAAAACTTATTCCGTGTTATTCATGAAGCGGCTGGTGCCATAGATGATTTTACAGCAAATAGAATAGGGGGTGATCCGCAGGAAGACTTGGTCATCGATGGAATGAATGAGGAAGAAGGTAAGTTTGCACTGCTCTTTGTATCTGACAAAGCTAACATCTATGTTAGATGAGGAGGAAGAAGATGAGGTTGATGAATTAGAAGAAGGAATGGATGATATGGATGACGATCAGCTTTCTTATGATGAAGGCATTGATGGTAAGTACTATCATATCTGTTCTCTTGACGGTGGCTAACAATCTCCTAGATGAAGACATGGAGCCATGGGGTTGGGATGGCGAGGAACCGCCGTCCCGCCATCATCACCATCACCATCATCGCCATGTACGTGGAACACCAGCATGGACAAGCTTTCCTAGTGGCATTAATCGCCATGGTATTATTCCTATTCCGCCGTACCATCGTTCTCAACGTCAAATGGGTTCTCGTAATACCGATGATGGCACAAATCCACTCCTCATCCGTTCCGATCGCGGACCCGATGGTACCGGACAAATCCGTGGGGCAGGTAATGAGGCCTTCACAGACTGGATTCAAGGGGGAGATTCGACAGTGACTGGTCGAGTAATATCCATGGATACGCCCGTTAGTTTCATGAATGCTATTATGCAGGCTATTGAAGGCCAGGGCGGACCTGGTTTTGGTGTTATTACTCGACCAGATGGTATTCATGTCCATGTTGATCGCCGAGCATTAATGCCTGGTAATCAGCTACAAGGAATCTTTGAACTGGGTCGGCCACAAAACCCAACCAATAGATCTCGGGATGATCCATTGCAGGCGATTAGCTTTGCCCTAGCAACTACAACTGCTAGGTGGCAAGAAGAGGCCCGTATTCTTTTCAGCAGTAACCATATTGAAAAGGCTCAGCGTGTCATCAACTTCCTGTTGCGTGCACTCGTGCCTCCAGCCATTGAGGAAGAAAAGAAGCGCCGCGCAGAAGAGGAAGATGCCCGTAGACGTCGGGAGGAAGCGCGCTTGGAGAAGGAGAGAGCCGAGCGTCTCGCTAGAGAAGAAGAAGAACGTGAACAGAGGAGAAAGGAGGCTGAAGAGGCCGCTCGGCGTCAGGAAGAACTGGCGCAGCAACCTACCGTAGAAGCCGAAGAGGTAGACGAGCCTATGAACGATGCGGAGAGTGCAGAGTCGTTGGCTGAAGCAGCTAATGCTGAAGCTCAAGAAACGGGGCCTTCTGAACCAGTACAGCGTATTTACACCAATATTCGCGGCCGCCAAGTGGACATCACGGGGATGGAGATTGATCCTGAGTACTTGGAGGCTTTGCCAGAAGATCTCAGAGAGGAGGTCATCATGCAACAACTGGCTGAACAACGATCTCAAGCCGTCGCTTCCGGAGAGGAGCCTACAGATATCAGCCAGGAGTTCTTAGAAGCTTTGCCGCCAGAGATCAGAGAGGAGATTCTGCAAGCAGAAGCTGCGGCCCGGCGACGTCGTGAGCGAGAATCTGCTCGTCGACAAGTTGCTGCAAGTGGAGGCCCAGCTCACGCAGAGGAAATGGACCCGGCAAGTTTTATGGCGACTCTCGACCCTTCGTTGCGACAGTCCGTTCTCGCAGACCAGCCCGACGAGATCCTAGCGACTTTAGGACCGGAATTTCTGTCAGAAGCCCGGGCACTCCCCGGTAGGCGGCTTGCACAATTCGGAGACGTTGGCCGTGTCGAGCAACGACATCGGGATGAAGTACATGATCAGGATAACAAAAAACCTCAGCGTCGCCAAATAGTGCAAATACTCGATAAGGCTGGAGTTGCCACATTGCTTCGTTTGATGTTCATGCCTCTACAAGGTAATGCGCGCCATCAACTCCATGATATCCTTCACAACGTCTGCGAGAATCGTCAAAATCGAGTGGAAACCATCAGCCTTATACTCTCTATTCTCCAAGACGGAAGCTTGGATTCAGCGGCAATTGAACGGAGCTTTGCTCAATTATCGCTACGCGCTAAAATGCCTCCTGCTCAGAAAACACCTCAGTCTGCCAAGCGTCCACAAGTCCCTCCGGCGTCTAGCAGTGCCAATAACGACGTGACGCCTCTTCTTGTGGTGCAACAATGCCTTGACACGCTCTCTTTCCTGACTCAGTATAACCCTCATATTTCCTGGTTCTTCCTTACTGAACACGAATCAGCGTCTATGTTGAAACTCAGAGCTATACGCAAAGGGAAAGGAAAGGAAGCCAAGGATAATAGATATCCCCTCAATGCACTTCTTTCCCTGTTGGATCGAGATATGATTATGGAAAGCCCGAATTGCATGGAGCAACTGGCTCACCTCCTTAGTGCTGTAACCCAACCCCTCACTATTCTTCTTCGACGTGAAAAGGAAAAGCAAGAAGAGGCCCCCAAGGGCAAAGAACCCGAGCGTGCTGCTGATGCAGCAAATGCCTCAGGCGGTGCTACTGGTCAAGCTACAGAGGTACATGATACCGACATGTCTGAAGTTGCGGATGCTGCCGGCATCAAGACGAGCGAGAACGAGGAGAAGCCGAAAAAGCGAACAATCGAACCTCCAGTGATTCCAGACCACAATTTGCAGCTGGTGGTGGGTATTCTTGCTGCCCGCGAATGCAATGGCAAGACTTTCCGGGAGACGCTTTCCACAATTAACAACCTATCAGCGATCCCCGGTGCGAAAGATGTCATCGGCAAGGAACTCATCTCGCAAGCGCAAGCATTAAGCGAAGCAATCCTGATCGATCTCGATGAGCTTCTCCCACATATCGAACAAGCAAGCTCTGGTACAGATGTGCAGGGGTTAGCCTTGTCAAAATTCTCACCCGCTAGCTCCGACCAAGCCAAGTTGCTCCGTATCCTGACTGCACTTGATTATCTCTTTGATCCGAACCGAGTTGACAAGGTTAAAGGCGCTGAACCAGAGTCCGCACCTAAGGAGGATGTTCTCAAAACGCTGTACGAAAACTCAACATTTGGACCTCTTTGGAGTAAGCTCAGTGCATGCTTGACGATCATAAGACAAAAGGAGAACATGCTCAACGTCGCCACAACTTTGCTTCCTCTAATTGAAGCTCTGATGGTCGTTTGCAAGAATACGAGTCTTAAGGATGCACCCATTTCGCGCTTCGGTAGGGAACTGTCGGTTGCAACTCCCACCTCTGAGAATGGCCCGGGTATGGAGAACCTGTTTTTTAACTTTACTGAGGAGCACCGTAAGATTCTCAATGAGCTTGTTCGTCAGAATCCACGACTCATGAGCGGAACATTCTCCCTACTTGTCAAAAACCCTAAGGTTCTGGAGTTTGACAATAAACGAAACTACTTCACCCGCCGTATTCATGCACGAAGCGCCGATGTACGACAACCTCATCCTCCTCTCCAACTTTCTGTTCGAAGAGATCAGGTATTCTTGGATTCTTTCAAGAGCTTGTATTTCAAGACCGCAGAAGAGGTCAAGTATGGAAAACTCAACATTCGTTTCCATGGCGAGGAGGGTGTCGATGCCGGCGGTGTGACTAGGGAATGGTTCCAAGTTCTTGCACGTGGCATGTTCAACCCTAACTATGCGCTCTTCATCCCAGTTGCATCCGATCGAACCACATTCCATCCCAACCGGCTGAGCGGTGTCAACACTGAACACTTGATGTTCTTCAAGTTCATCGGTCGCATTATTGGCAAGGCTCTTTACGAAGGCCGTGTTCTTGATTGTCACTTCAGTCGAGCCGTGTATAAAAGTATCCTTGGGAAGTCTGTGTCGATCAAGGATATGGAGACTCTGGATCTGGACTACTACAAATCATTGCTATGGATGTTGGAGAACGATATCACAGATATCATCACTGAGACATTCGCCATTGAGACTGACGATTTTGGCGAGACTCAAGTGATCGATCTCATACCAAATGGTCGCAACATCCCGGTAACCCAAGAGAACAAGGAAGAGTACGTCCAGCGAGTGGTTGAATACAAGCTAGTTGGATCTGTCAAGGAACAACTTGAAAATTTCCTTAAAGGTATGTTTGCTTTATTTAAATTTTTGCATACGGAATTTGCATGCTAACATTGATACTAGGTTTCCATGATATCATCCAACCTGATCTCATTTCAATCTTCAATGAACAGGAGCTCGAGTTGCTCATTTCTGGTTTGCCCGAAATCGACGTTGATGACTGGAAGAACAATACGGAGTACCACAACTACTCCGCCTCGTCGCAACAAATCCAATGGTTCTGGCGAGCAGTTCGGTCATTCGATAAGGAGGAGCGGGCGAAGTTGCTGCAATTCGTGACAGGTACCAGCAAAGTGCCACTCAATGGTTTCAAGGAGCTGGAAGGTATGAATGGGTTCAGCCGGTTCAATATCCATCGGGATTATGGCAACAAGGATCGCCTGCCTAGTTCTCATACATGTTTCAACCGTAAGTCTTTGGTTCTCTCGATAAATGCTGAGATGGATACTAACGCAAAATGATAGAACTTGATCTGCCGGAGTACGAATCGTACGAGGATCTTCGATCGCGACTCTACAAAGCCATGACTGCCGGTGGCGATTACTTTGGCTTTGCATAAAAAGTTACTAGCGGATTTATTGACTATTCCTCATGAACTCTATGGGATCATCTCAAGGATATGCACATTGTACCAGCATGCAAGGGCGCTTGGTTTTCTACTAAATTGTCTTGTTGTTTTCTTGTTCTTTCTCGTTTATTTTCAAGCATCAAAAGGTGCAGAGACGCTTTACGGCCTTTGTATTTTAGATTTATTTGTTTTTCTTCTAAGCGACTTAGATGGAGCTTGGCCTGAGAAAAGTTCGTTCTCCGAGGGACTGATTTGAAGTGCAGGTCAGTCAGTCTTCATGTGGATACGAACATCTTGTTTATTCCTCTATGTCATATCGATAGTTGAAGAATCAATGATAGTCTCCATCTATTCCTTTCTTCTATTAGGGTAAAGGATTTATCGGTAGCTTTTAGGCGGTGAGGGTAAACAGCGGATGCAACAGGCAACTCTCCCCACATGGCAAAAAAAAAGTTACGGAGAAGAGAGACTTTTGATTCCTTTCCTCCGCGGGGTCAATCAGGATTCTCGTCGACAAGTGCGGACTTATTTGACATTTCACTGTTACATTTTGTTATCTGTAACAGGCACTGTCTGGGAATAGATCTAAACCATGGCTACGAACAGTATAAAGCTGTTGACCGGGAACAGTCACCCAGAGCTTGCAAAGCTCGTCGCGGATAGGTATAGTCATTATTTTTCCTTGCCCTGTTTTGGATCGTTCAAGTACATGGCTCACTATTTTATCTTTGGTATGTAGACTAGGAATTGAGTTGACCAAAATTCTGGTCCTTCAATACTCGAATCAAGAAACGAGTGTGACGATAGGTGAAAGTGTTCGCGACGAAGATGGTACGATTCTATCTTCTTTTTAAGAAGTATGTCATCCTGATCGTGGTTGATTTTCATAGTATTTATTCTACAATCGACGAAGCCGAACGATATAAATGACGGACTCATGGAACTCTTGATCATGATCAATGCCTGCAAGACAGCATCAGCCAGACGAATCACCGCTGTTATCCCTAACTTCTTTTATGCGCGACAGGATAAGAAGGATAAGAGTCGAGCACCGATTACTGCTCGATTGATGGCTACCATGTTACAGACTGCTGGAGCCAATCACATTATCACCATGGACCTTCATGCCAGTCAAATTCAAGGATTCTTCACTGTCCCTGTTGACAATCTCTATGCTGAACCCAGCATGTTGAAATGGATACGCGAGCATTTGGGTGTTGAGAATTGTGTTATTGTTAGCCCTGATGCTGGTGGTGCTAAGAGGTGCATTATTACCCCTATCTTTTGACTATTTATGTTAGGCGTGGCTGATGATAGTTACAGAGCTACTGCTATCGCGGACCGCCTCGACCTCCAATTCGCCCTCATCCACAAAGAGCGCGCTCGCCCCAACGAAGTCTCCCGAATGGTTCTCGTCGGTAACGTCAGGGATAAAATCGCCATCATCGTCGACGACATGGCAGATACATGCGGCACTCTAGTCAAGGCGGCCGACACCATTATGGAGCACGGCGCAAAGGAAGTTAATGCCATCGTGACTCATGCCATTCTTTCCGGAAACGCTATTAGCAATCTGAACAATAGCTGCTTGCGTCGTTTGGTTGTCACGAATACAGTGCCTCATGCCGAGAAGAAGGAGGCCTGCGATAAGATTGAGACGATAGATATCAGTGCTACTTTAGCGGAGGCTTGTCGGAGAACACATAACGGCGAGTCTGTCAGTTTTCTGTTCTCGCATGCCGTTGAGTAAGAAGATATGGGTATTTGTTTTTAGTTTGCTGCATTTCGAAAGGATGGCTTTTTCTGTTGTATGTTTGAAATGATAAATGAATGTTTTTGCTTTCAGTGCAACTTTTTCCCTATTCATTTTGTTTTGTGCTTTCTGTTTTTGATCCATGAAATACCTCGATTCAAAATCTCAAATTACTTGCTCGAAGCATTGAAGCTTCACAACATTTGAAATCTGTATTGTACCTGACAGTTTGGTCTTTTGAGGCAATCTTCAATGCCACCCATTTATATTTATAGAATCTTATCAGTTATCAGGTACTCTTTCTACTAGGGACAACTCATGAATACCGATTTCGGGAACCATTCATACCTACATGTACATGGCTTGATCTACTAGGTCCGTCATGATTTACCTTGATGCTGTCGTACATCCATTGTAGGCTGCTTGTAGCATACGAATAACCACTCCACTTTGATACACCAGTTGATACACCAGTCGACACGCAAGCGATAGTAAGAATCAACGGCAATTCGAAACATAAGAGAGTTCATAGACAAATTTAAAGAGAAGATTCCTATTCTTTCTAGAACTTCTCCAGAGTGTGTTGTATGAAAACCTCCCAAAGCGACGAGTATACCACATCCCGCTGCAATAGAAATGACGAAAACAGGAGTTATGAAAAAGATTCTAAAAAAAGAATATATTGCGCCTGTGGTTTCCTTTCATCATTATGGGTTCTTTTGCATCTCTTCCATTCATTCTCTTTCTCCCTTCCTTTTCCCGTGATATCATTTGGGTTCATGCGAACGAAAGAAAAAAGATGACAAAAGAAGAAGGTATGTTTTTTCGATTCGGGGCTTTCTCTTTCATTAATACAACATGGATGCCAAAAAACCCCAGAACCGTTTTTTATTTCCACCCCATCCTGGATCAAACACCGGTACCCATCTACTTCCTCAAAGAAGAGGCACGACGCTTGCGAAGTTCGGTACGCTTGGCCTTCTCTTCGTGGACGCGGGAAGCGAGAAGTTTGGCGTAGTCGTTACTGTTGAATGGAGGGCGGGTTAGCCGGATACAAAGGTAGATGAAACAGGAGAAAGAGAACTTACGCGGCCTCGCGAGCAGCCTCAGCACGGCGGCGCTTGATGGCAATTCGGTGACGCTTGCGCTGCAGGCGTTGAGGAGTAACAAGACGCTGAATCTTAGGGGCTTTTGTGTAGTCCTTCTTGCCCTCCTTGGTGACGGTACGACGGATAACGAACTTGCGGACGTCGTCCTTCTTGTCGAGACCGAAGAATTTGCGGATCTTGGTAGCACGCTTGGGACCAAGGCGCTTGGGGTTGACGACGTCGGTCAAACCGGGGATCTCGTTTTCACCCTGCTTGACGATGCTGAGGGCGAGGACAGCCAAGTCTTGGCCGGTGATGGCACCGCGGATACTCTTGCGCTTACGCTCACCGGTGCGGCGGGGGCGGTAGCAGCTGTGGCCGTCGCTGAGGAGGAGCTTGACACGGTTGGGGAGGAGGACTGGATGGTATGGATTAGTTTGGAGGGTCGCTGTGTTGGTGTTGATGGAGAACACATACCACCCTGCTTCATGGGGAAACCTTGCTTGTCGTTACCACCAGTGATCTTGAAGAGCTGTACAAGATGTTAGCAGATGTTAAACCGATATGGTAAAGAAATAGTGCAGAGTGTTCTCGCTCCGGGCGCCTTTCGTTGATGTATGCGAACTTCAACGAAGCCCTCGAGCATGTGTCGGCCGGTTTGAGTGATCCAAGATTCCTGCATCACTGGTCTCGTAGCTGCGCCATGTTCCTCAGTTCCTCATTCTAAGCGTCATTTTGGCGTGTGCTGAACGTTCGAATAAAATTTTCTCATCGTATCGAAACCTCATCCCGCACTCCCTATCAAAAGTGTCTATCCCTGCCATGACCCCCAATGATGCAGCAATTTTGAATTTCTCGTAGGACCGGTCGACTCTGCAGCGTGCAAATAGGATTAACACAGTAAGAGAGGGAGACAAACGTAGCCCTTGAACTCATCACCGAGACCGTCTCCAGGGACCTCAGTGCCCATACGCTTCTCCATGAAAGCACGGAGCTTGCGCTCATCGTCAATCTCGATCAGCTTCTGCGACCCGTTGGCCGGGTATGAAATGTTGAGCTTCATCTTGACGGGGGTGGTTGCGCGGTCAAGACGGAGACGCGAATTGTCGAGGGTCGAATGTTCAAGTTGAAGTCTCTCGCGGATCCTCTTTCTCTCTCTGAGCGTTGTGGGAAATTTCGCTTACCGACGCTAGTTGGTTTGTGGGCTGCGTGATGACTAATAACACGCTAACCGTGTTGGTCTGTTGTCTTGGCGTAGGGCTAACGGACTTGTCATGTGACCACCACTAGATCATGTGATCTCATGTCACGAGATTTGTGGCCTGAGGCAGAAAACTTGACACGCTAGTACAGAACAAGACTGGGGCTATGGGCTTGCGCTAGTAACGCCGTCACGGGGAGATTACGGACATCCTGGTTGATGCCAAGACCCAAACAACCTGCGTTGGCCACCAGATCGCGTTCCACATTCTAAAACTTGATATTTATCTTGCTCTGGAAGTATCGGCTCACAACAGACCACTGAACTAACTATTGTATACCGATGGACTATAGTGGTTCCTGTCTGTATAGAGCGCCCTCAACTCTCTTGAATAGATTAAAATGAACGGTTGTTTCTCTGGTCTTTGGCTTACGTCGTCTCGACCCAGCTTACGTATGCCAATATCAGTCTTAATATCACACCGGCGGTAAATGGAACCCTAGTTCGAGGGCCAAGCAAACCAGTGACCTGGTCTCTTTTCTATCTTTTTCGCCGTACCCCTGAAAGTGTGACCAGTCAGATACCAGTCTTCAAATGCCTCTTCATGGATATCTAGTGCCACCAGGTATCATAGAAATCATCGACAGGAACGGAAGGATCCCACGTGAGATAAGTCCATCTTGGTACGGAGTAAGCGTAATGTAAGATTATATCCAATAGAAATCACAGAATAAGGCCGGGCTGGCCCCACAGAGCGGCAGCCACCGCGTCAATACCCGGAAATCCGATAATCTCCTGTGGTTTTATTGGCTCATTGCATTAAGTGGATTCGTTATGATGGGTAACATTACATTACAAGCCGAGCCGAGCGTTATTAGTGCCCTCGGTCATTGTAACTCCGGAGTATACTAAATGTCGTGTGCCATTTTTGCTGTCAGGGAACAGTCTTGACCTCTTGTTCTTTTTCTTCTTCTTCTTCTTCTTCTTCTTCTTCTGCTGCTGCACCATAATCCTAATTGCATTGTTGTTGCAACTTGATACCCAGCATCTTGGTTTTGTTTCTTGGGATGTGCTTTCATACTGTTGTTGTTTCACGAATTTTGAACATTCCGCCTCATCCAAGACTTCAGAAAACAATCATTCCGGTTTCTGCCATCTGTTCTCCTGAATAGCTGGGCCGGTCGCGAACTGGGAGACGGTCTGTTCGAATAAAAGACGACAGTACAACGGACATTCTTGAGAAGGAGTCCTCTGTGCAATCCTTGATTCCACGACATCTTGCTGTACCGTGTACAGACCTGACGTGATGAAAATGCACTACCTGACGAGGCTGAAAATGCTTGGCGGTCTTGCCTTCATCAGCATCTTAATCGCCTTGTCTCTACTATATGCAGCCGGGGGTTCTGGAACAATCGGCAGTCGATTGAGTTTGAAGGGAGCCGGGACATCGATCAGTGGGGTTGCTGAGGAACAAGGAATAAACGGCGTTCCCGCATTGACGATCCCAGCAGATGTCGATCATAGACTGGTGGTGTTTGGAGATGCCTGGAGCGCCATCGGTTCGCGATTAGCTGCAAAGGGGCGAGCATGGCCAGAGTGGGTTTGTTCCATGGTACGTAGGCAGACAAACGCCCTTTTGTTTGCTCCTAGAAAGAGACCCTTCTTGAATCAATGCTCACATCTCACAGTGGCCATGCCGTTTGGAAAGTTATGCGCAAAAGGAACATGTCTGCGAAAGCTCTGTCTGCGGAGCCGTCATCGATGAAACCGAGCTTCATACCATTGCTTCCGATGCCGCCCGTTCCTTAGAGCCACTCCCAGACCTACGTAGCCAGCTTGATCAATGGCTAGCTGCAGAGCTGAACGCGTCGCAAGCTGGTGGCGATCTGAGAGTGCAATCAAACAATACCATCTTCGCTTTCTCGTTCCTCATCTGGGACATTTGGAAGTTCAACGGAATCTCGACCGGGAAGACGAGAAAATCCATAATGCGCAGTCTCAATACCCTGTTCCAGCAGTTAGATCGCCTTGCAAAGTATACCGAATCCGACGATTTGCGGATTCTGCTGATGATGTCTATTGATCCTACTTTCTTGCCGGCGTTTGACCCTTCTCAGAAACAGAAGGATATGATCAGTATCGTCACCGACTGGAACGAAAAGCTAAAAGAAAAGGCCAATGATTGGAAGAGTGGGTCTGTGTATGTTTTTAACACGAATGAATTCCTCAACGATCAAATCAGGTCGCGTCAGTTCTACCTGGCGGGGATGCTGGATGGACAGGGACTGGGAAACCAAAACCCGTGGGACGATGTCGAAAACCCATGCGTCCAGAGTAAGAGTACATGGCTGCCGTTCTTGGGTAGCAAGGACCAGCGGTGTGCGAATCCAGAAAGATTCCTCTTTTGGTACGTGTTTGTCGACAAAGTAACCGCTCCGGGAAACAAAGAGAGTTCAAGACAAAGGAAAAGAGGGCTAACAATGTATCTCAAAATACTTACAGGGATGGTTTGCATCTCGGGCCGACAGCAAATAAGATGATGGCCACAGAGATTTTTCATGATATTGAGAAACTGTGGGCCAAAGATACGAATTCGACAGCGTCCGCATAGAGAGACGTTGACTACTGGGACCACGAACACTACCCAATACTTGGGTAGTGCACTCACTACAAAGAACTTCCACTTTCTGTCAACCAGGATTAATATCATTAGGTTGCACATACATACTTGAGGTCACACCATTAACCGCGATCTACCTGAATATTCTTTCGGGGTTCAGATGACCGGTTGTTCGGTCTGTCTGACTTTGAGGAGGAAACAGTTGATTCATTGCCTTATTAGGGCAACACATCTGATTCAGACCGATCATTAGAACAGATGATAACTTTGGACGTTCATCTGTGCAATGGCGTATCCTTACTGGACGAGGATAGACACTGTTGTAGGCATTTGGCGCACCCTCAAAGACGAGTATCGCTCGCAGATGCATACAGACGCATTCACGGCATCTATGTAAAACCCGATACGCGCTTGAAGAGTCAAACAACCTAATCTGAGGATATTGATTGGCCGATGTCGGTGAGATCCCGACTCCTGGGGTCGCCTCCTTTATAAGGCAGGCTAGTTGTTTTGCATTGGGGCTAAATGGCTTCCTGAAATGCATTGCTGTTGCTTCTATATCGCTGTCCCTCCCCAGCTGTTTGTTGTTTGTCGCCATGGCAAGATACAGTCAGGTGTTTGGGACGGGAGTGTGAAAGCAGTAGCTGAGCTACTGCTTTGGGACTGTACATATTACTTTACTGACCTACATATCAGTTATATGCCTAGAGATGTATGTATATATTTTATCCGGGAGAAGATTACGTATCTATTCCTTTTTGTGCATGGATATAGATGACTTGCTTTACTTGTCCATCTCTCCAGCTGTATCACTTGACATATCCAGATCCGGCGCCCAAACCCCAAAAGGTGGTGCAAATCATTGTCCACAGCTGTCCTTTTCCCCCTTCTGACCGACCGAGGTAAAGCCAACTAAGCAAGCAACGAACGGACCATATCTATCCCAGTTTTCCGGAATCGAAAAGAGGGGCGGGGGGGATCCAACTTCAAATCTGTCACAACATCAGCCGCGCCTAATGCTCTGCAGCCTCCCGCATTTATTTTCCCGTTGGTCCAACTGGCGCTTACAGTTTGGAAAGAAAATGTTGAGCCCAAAGAAAATGGAAGAGCGGCAAAAGGAGCGGGATGGGGTGTTTTAGTCACAGAGAGCAGAACAAAGAAAAAATAAAAGCTGTCAGTCATTCATGCACGCGGTGTTGTTTTCCCTTTAGTACGGTGTCTGACTTTCTATTGTTATCGATCTTTTTAGTCTGCTGAGACTAGGCTAGGGACAGAAAAGAGAGGGAGGAGGAGGGAGAGAGGGGGGGATGTTTTGCCCTACCGCTCCTTACCCTTCATTCGTTCTATTTCCGGTGGTAGTTGAAACAAGCACCCTTTCCAGATTGAGTGTTATGCAGTTGCACCACTTTTGTTTTTCTTTTGACTTGTGCTTCTGTATTATTTGTTCCGCTCTCTCCCTCACCGACTGTGTCCTGCTGATAAAGATGACTGTTTGTTTGCATTTGGCAAGAAACCCAAAAAAGCAATCGAATCTCTGCCGAGAAATAAATAATAGCCAGATAGGGGTTGGTCCAAGCTGGAAGGAAAAAGGTTAAGAATTTATCGAAAGCGGTAAAAGAATAGAGGAAAAAATATCCAGAAGAGACAAAAAAGCAAAGAGAAATAAACGGTCCGGAAGATCATCATCGTCAACTCCATACGTACGTACGTTAGAGACGTAGTTGATCTCTGCTTCTTGAGCTAACTTCTACCAAGTTAGTAAGGGCTTTTGTCAGTCGTCAAGAGGACAAAGCCAAAAAAAAAAGCAGATCCGATTTCCCCAGTTTTCCTTCAACCTATCCAGTCAGCTCTAAATATGGATCACGAGACTGAAAAAGGTACCGTTTGAACGAATGATATAAGTTCCGGAGACAAAGGCCTGCCCTACCAGTTCTGTCCCGTACGTCTTCTTTTCATTTCTATTTCTTTTCCTCTTCTCTCATTCTTGACACGACTTCGATTTGCTGATTATTGTCAGCGTATCCAGCATAGCTAGCAAGCCAGCTAGCTCCATAAAGTCCTTGTGGGTTAGGAAGATCAAAGAGATTCAACTCAATTCGATCCGAAACTCTTCGTGCAGAACGTACGGTATCGGATAGCTGCACAACGGGTTCCCATTCCTCCAAGATCAATATTCCTTTTCTTTTGCGTCTGGCAAGATATCATATCAATCGATATATATAAGTATTTTGCGTTTTTGTTTTCTTCTTTCCCTTCTTCTTCTTTCTCTGGCAGTCATCCAAGTCAAGTCACACCGACAACAAGAGCAGCTGCTCACGACACTCCTTAATACCTTCGAGGTTTTCTCTTTCATTTCCTTCATATATCAAGTTTAGAAAGATACCACCTTGCCATGTCCTTTGATAGGGTCCTTCCACGGCCACCGGCACTCTTTGATGAGCCCGGAAGTCGACTCTTGCACAGGCAGTCGAGCAGCCTCTTGGAACACAAGATCATGAACGTGAGTGACCGGACCAGGGCTGCTGCTATGTCACTTGTCTCTGTTAGGGAGATACCGATAACGAGCCCAACAAATGAGTCTGATAATTGTTCCACGGCCCTATCTCAGATGCAGCTCTCTGCTATCAACCGAGAGCAGGCTGGTCAAAACGGGCAGTTGACGGCTAGCTTCTCGGTGTCCACAACTCGGCAGAACACACCAGTAGTGGCAACTGTTGAATCAATATCTATTAGAGACAGATCGGGCTCAGGGAGTCCGACCAGATTGGAGTCTGCTAAAGAGACGACTTCTCGGTTTTGTTTGTGTCAGCCCAATCGAAAGATTCCGAGGCCAAGAAATGGTAAGAATCGCAAGAGTTCTCATTTGTCACGTGGGCTGTCATTAACTCTGTTGCAGCGTTCATCTTGTATAGACAGCATTATCAAGCTGCTGTCGTAGCTCAGAATCCTGGACTTGCCAACCCAGAGATCTCCAAAATTATCGGAGAGCAATGGCGAGCACTACCAGTAGAGAGCAAGGAGCAATGGAAATCTCTGGCAGAGGTCTGTATTCCATTCTCTTTCCTAAGACCTCTAATGAGCCTGATCCTAACCGAGAGACAGGCCGAGAAAGCTCGACATCAACAACAGTATCCAGGCTACCGCTATCAGCCACGACGGTTTGGTCGTGACAACTATGCTTGTAACGGCCTGAATAGCAACCAAGTCGGATCCACGACATGTAATCAATGCGGTGGACGGTTGATGAACTTTCCTTCCACACCTCATACGCCCCTGACTGCTAGTTTACCTCCACAGAGCAGCTGTACTGTAGATGCAGTGTCTCCTCATCCGGGCTCATCATCATCATCATCATCCTCCTCCTCCACTTCTTCTCGAGGAAGCAACAAGCTAGATCGTCGCCCAAATGAGTCGCTCATTCCGACTGATTCAGATGGTCCTATTTTTAACAATCAGTGGAGAGAACCTGAATCTGCAATCCTCGACTCCAAACGTCGACGCCTGAATAATAATGCGTTGCAGCGTACCGCTAGCCCTGAAACAGAGCCCTATTCTCTTTCGTCCCAGAAGACATATGTCTCGCGACCTGGTGTCGCTTACTTCCGCAGCCATGTTGATGCATTGTCTAATATTGGAAATCTCCGGCACTCACAGCAACAACCACCACGGCACGAAGGTGAAAGTTACTACGACCCGAGCCTGACACTACCACCATTGAAATCAGATAGCAACTCTGCTTCACCTTCTACTACCACTCGGGTCCAGGCTGATACCGTGATGACGATTCCAGTCTTGAATAAAATCAATGTCTTAGCCAAAATCTCCCCTCCGCTTTCTGAGCGAGACAATTCGCCCTCACGAGGCGCCGTTATTGCTGTTGAGGGTCAGGACCCGACTCAGGTAAAAGTCATGATGAAATATCTGGGCCAGCTTCTCACTGATGACGGAAAATATGTTGTCCGGGTCTTTGAAGGGCCCGATGTACTGGCTCGCAAGAGATCGGTATCTGGTGAAATGAAGGATGCTACAGTTGATTATTTGAATGTCATATTCAGCTGGCACCGAATTTCGGATGAAATCATTCAGTTCATCAGCCCAAAGTCACCACCACAAGCTTCAAATGATTCTACTACCACTTGTAGTGCTGAGTCACCCGAGTCCTCCGGTAGCAGCCCTTCATCACTGACGCTGTCACAATCTAGCACCTCACAAATTCCTATTGCACTCGTTCCCAGATATCAGCTCACAACCGCCGATGCATTTGCTTGCTCCATCCCAAACAGCGACTGCTACAAAGTCCTGGAACATTGGCAATGGATGGCGTCCCTTTGGCGCGCATGCATCGGTCCCGATGTAACCGTATACATTCGGGAATGTGACCGTGAAGAAATCGAGCGTTATGGTCCTAGTAACCCAGTCGAAGTGCGGATTAATGAAGCGCGCACACTGATCGTTCGACGAGTGCCTGAACCATCAAAGGATATCGAGGAAAAAGCGTTGAAGCGTGTCGGTTTTGAGATTGAGGACTTTCTCACTCGTTGAACTTTTCCATTTTATACTTCGTACTTCCCTTCTCCATTCGTTTCTCATATTTCTCATATATTACTTATAATATGACATGTAGACAGTATAGCATATTCGGGCCAGTGTATAGGGTCGAATGAGAAGTTATCAACAAAAATAATATATTTCCCTCAGGAAGGAGGTCGTCGTAGTAGATTAGACTGTAATATAGAGGCGGTCAGCTGAGAGCCAATGATCGGCCTTGATAATGCTAGCTGATTAATTCTGCCGCTGTAATCTCTTATCAGTAATCGACTCAAAAGAGATTCTTCTCCGCATCAACTCTAGGCTACTACATGAGTCTATCTTTCTCATGTGGTTAGTCGTTTATTATTTTTGATATCTTGTCTCTTCTTGTTGTCTTTGGAGTCATTGGCAGGTCAATGAATCATTGGCGGGTGCGAAGAAGCCTATGAGAGAGAATGGCATGCAGAGTGCCAACAAGGTAAGAACTCTTGCATCGAAGCATCGTTCATTAACATACCAACATCTTGTCTAAGTCGATTTGTCATTAAGGCTGCGAATGCATGATACAGAGTACATCGCCGTTTACTTCCCTCATTAGACCCATTCGCTCGTTACTTGTCCCTTGTCGGCGTCCAACATGGCACCTGCAGCTCTCGCTGACGCCGGTTTCCCCTTTCTTTCAGGCATCGGGGCATACAATGACGTGAGTGCTTTTCCCCTTTGTCTATATACTTGGGAGTTGTAATGTGATGATACTTACGGCAACCGACACAGAATAATGCTGAACGGTCCGCGAAGACTATTTTAGGCCTCGATGCCATCATTCCTCCTCAATCGGATACATCACAATCCTCGGGTTTCTCTAGCGTAACCGACTCATTTCTGAAAACAACGTCAATAATTCGATCTATCCCTACTTCCGAAGACTTGACTACCAACAGCCAGTATCTACCAGTCGGGATACTGCGAAGGCATGTACATCAAGATGCCGGAGCACCGTCTGCTCAATTGGCAGATAAAGACTTTCTCAGCTTGCAAAAACATCTCTCGAACTTGCAAAAACATGGATGGATACAAATACGTTGGAATACCTATGAGTCTCATCCCGATTGGATGTTCGCTCGAGTCTTTGTCCTACCTCACGATGTCGCACGGGTTCCCATTTCACGCACGAGCAATATTCTAAGGAAAGGATTGAGGGCTGTGATGGCGCAATTGGACAGATCTCCATCCACTTGGAACGGTGAATTCGATACGGGCTCTGTGGACAAGGATAAGAACGCAGCGGACGAAGATTCGCTGTGGTACATATTCAACACCCTGAATAATCCGAACCCAACGATAGACGATGTGAAAGATGCAGATGGTCGATTGGCTATGCACGAGTTAATGGCAAGCTCAAGGGAAGCGGGACCGGAGGCTCGAGAGTCATCTGGGGTGATTGGTCTCAAGACGCCTTTACATCCCTATCAATGCCGCTCGGCTGCCACTATGATTCAGCGTGAAGTGCAGCCGAAACAAATGTTGGACCCGCGGTTGGAGGTTTGCAGGACACCGTTAGGCCAAGAGTACTTTTATGATAAGGAAGAGGGAACTCTTTTGCGCATTAAACGTATCTATGAGGAGGCCTGCGGTGGAATTCTTGCTGAGACCATGGGTTGCGGGAAGACACTAATCTGCTTAGCTGTTATCCTCTCAACACGCGGTCATTTCCCACGCATTCCGACAGAGTATCAGGAGACCCAAAATCCGATCCGCAACTCTGTTGGCTCACTCATGCAGATGGCAGCCGCCACGGCAGGCCGATTTTCTGTTCCGTGGCCTAGTCACTTTCGACGCTTACGGGAAATGGGTGTATATTACGCACGATGTGAAGAGGAGTGCGAGCGACAAAGAGGTCAATATACGATACCGTCTCCTCCATCAAGGTACACTAGCCGCGGTGGATGGATGTCGCGCCCGCCAGCGGTTCGCCTTCGTCTGATTTCGAGCACGCTGATAGTTGTTCCGCCTAATCTTGTCGACCACTGGCAATCCGAAATCGCAAGCCACACTGAAGGACTTAACGTTCTCGTCTTGAGAAGCCGAAATGATAAGACCCCTTCAGAAGAGGAGCTGTTGAAGTATGATATCATTTTATTCGCCCGAACTCGATTTGAAAAAGAAGCCGGAGAGCCGGACGCCAATCGCCATGCTTCCCCGATAGCTACTGCAGAGTCTCCTCTTAAGAAGTTTCACTGGCTTCGAATCATTGTCGACGAGGGCCACAATGTTGCCGGGCATGGATACAAGTCCAATACCATGCACATGCTTGATAAGCTGCATGTCGAGCGAAGATGGGTCGTCTCAGGAACGCCGTCAAATGGACTCTACGGTGCTGAACTCAATCTCGCTTCGCATCAGAGACTGGCAAGTGACACTAGTTCTGGAGACGATATGCCATCGTCAGTACTGCATTCTCGCAGGAAGACCGGAACAGCCATTGATGAAGAATTGAAGGATGTGGACAGTCTACGGCTGATCGTGGTCGAGTTTCTAAAGCACAAGCCTTGGGCCAATTCTCGGAATGATGACTCTGCCAATTGGGCGAAATATACCAAACCAGTTGGCGAAGATGGCAAACGAAGAAAGGCATCGTCATTACGTGCTGTGCTGCAAGGTCTTGTGGTAAGACACCGCTTGGATGTTATCAATGACGAACTCCCGCTTCCACGATTGCACAACAAAGTCGTTAGTCTTGAGCCTACATTTTATGACAAAATGTCCATCAATCTTTTTCTGTTCAATCTTACCGTGAATGCAATTACTTCTGAACGCAAGGATCAGGACTATATGTTCCAAAGTCGAAACAGGAAACATCTCAGCATACTGATCAACCATTTGCGGCAAGCGGGTTTCTGGTGGACAGGTCATAAACCGAAGGATATCCAGTCGACAATTGATGTTGCAGAGAAATATATGGCAAATAACATTGAAAAGATGACGGTAGATGATATACAGCTACTATCGGAGGGCCTCAGAATCGCGCATCGAGCAGTTGCCAGTGAGAGCTTTAGCGCTTTCTGTCATTCAGATGAACTCGGTGTATATGTGCAGGGATTTCCGGAGCACGCTCGCGAGTACTGGTCATTGACATCAACCTCAAATGAATCGAAGCCTCTATTACTAGGGATATCCCAAGCGCGACTGGCGCAGACTTTCATAACGTCACATCTCGCGGCTGAAGATCCTGCCGAGGGACTTGCAGGAGCAGGCATCGGTGCTCGTCGTCAACTACTACAGAGATCAGAAAAAAAGGCTGTCAGGACTGAGTCGAGCGTGGCGGATAGTCTTACACATAAAAACAAGCCGTCGGAAAATCGGTCGCCCAAAAAGATATTTCTTAAGGTCCTTAGTAAGAAACTGTCGCCTGATTCGCCGCTTTCGCAGACGAAGCTGATCGCAACGACATCTGCAAAGCTTACTTATCTACTGGACCGGGTTCAGGAGCTGCACAAAGAAGAAAAGATTATCATTTTCTATGAGAATAATAATACGGCATTTTGGATTGCAGAAGGACTCGAAATGTTAGGAATTGACTTTCGTATTTATGCAAACACCCTCAAGACCAGTCAGAAGGCAGCCTATCTATCACTGTTCGAGGAGTCCTCTAGTGTTAGGGTATTACTCATGGATCTACGACAAGCGTCGCACGGTCTGCATATTGCCAGTGCCTCTCGTGTCTTCATTGTGAATCCGATCTGGAGACCCCAAGTGGAGAGTCAAGCCATCAAACGAGCTCACCGTATCGGGCAAACGAGACCCGTCTTCGTGGAAACCCTTGTTCTAAAGGACACACTCGAAGAGAAAATGCTGCATCGACGACAGGAGATGTCGAATTCAGAAATGCAACATGCCGAAAAGGATATGCTCGATGATTCGACCATGAGTACTATTATCCAACATGAACGGTTCTATAAATTACCGGAGAATGACGAATTTATTGAACCTGCTTATTTGCAGGAAGCGTGTGGATTCTTTGATCGTCATGAATTACCGATTCCTGATGATTATGTGGAGCATCATTCAACCAAGCAGTCATCACAGTCTCCATCAACGCCAAGTAAGAAGCGAAAGGTTTCCCTGCTAACCCAAGAACCCCTCTCTGTCCAGCAGGGTGAGATTGATCTTTCGCCTGATCTGTCACCTCCCGCAAAGAGGACAAAGAAAGTCTCCAAGTTTCAGATTGTGACTGAAAATGGAATCATTATGACTCCGCCCAGAGGATCGTCAAAAGCTTCGAGATCACCTCCGTCGACGTCGCATCAAAGTCCGAATGCAAATCCGGTGGATGTAAGTGATAGCGACGTTGGAGAGGGAACGATGCCTAGTTTATTTGGAGGTGATGTGTTTTGAGCACATTTTATGATTCATGTTTTTACAAGATATCAGCTGTATTTCTATGATTTTAGACTATGCTTGTATGGAGTGATTTAGGGATTTATTCAGGGTTATCAATCATGAAGGTACTTACTCCGTACGGAGTAGAGAGATGCCATATGTAAATTTGCTAATGACATTGTGGGGACCACAGATAATCCCGGGTGCGTCTGCGTCTTTCACCATGACATCTCCTGTTTACTTCACTCAGCGCTTCGGGAAAATCGTATCCTTCTAGCTCGATTAAATTAAACACCATTTTCAAGAACAGCAGCCAAGCACTATACCATAATCCATTCCTGAAGAGCGAACAGAAATGTCCACCGACACTCATGCGGGGCAATCCTCCACCAACAAAACAATCATAATAGGCCTCTCAGGTCCCTCATCAAGCGGGAAGACGACATTAGCAAGACTCTTGCGTCCCATATTCGCTGTGGATGACAAGATCCGCACTTTTATCGTTCACGAAGATGATTTCTATCGCCCTGATGATCAGTACGTCTCCTTTCCAAGCTTATCGGCGTGGAAAAGAATAGTCTAATATGTGTCATAGAATACCGGTTGTACGCACCAAAAAAGGTGATCTAGTACAAGACTGGGATACCATTGGCGCTATCGATGTTGATTTCTTATCTTCTGCATTGGCCTATGTGCGTGAACATGGTACACTGCCGCCTCGACTCAGGAGTAAAGAAGACCAAAACGAGGCCAAAGATCCGGGTGTTGCGCAAGATCTAATCCAGAAGATCGCTGAGGAAGTGAACCGAAGATTAAAACAGACGCTTCTCAAGGATGAAGCAAAAGGGAATGTGACGATTGCCTTCTTGGAAGGGTTCTTGTTGTTTGCGCCACCGGCAAGTGAGAATCCGGGACATGTTTTGAGACATGTCCATGATAATATCCATCTACATATCTTCCTATCTGCGCCGTATGATACTGTCAAGAGTCGCCGGGAGGCGAGGAGTGGCTATGTAACTATTGGACCGGCACCGACACCAGCCGCTGAGCGGGAGAATAGCGAGGAAAAAGACAACATCCCACATAAAGGGCCGTCGTCTACAGTTGACTTGGAAAAGGAAGATGATAGCGAGCCTCAAAGCTTCTGGACCGATCCACCCGGTTACGTGGACGATATTGTTTGGCCGAGATATGTCCAAGATCATGCATGGTTATTGGCTGCGGAGGATGATGAGATGGGTGGACAGTCACTAGCTGATCGATATGCTGCTAGCCCGAGAAAGACGGACGACGAGTTGTTGAGACTTGCTGGTCAAGCTGTTAATATAAGGAGTGATGCGGGTGTTGTGGTGGCTCCAGGGAAAGGGGAAAAGCCTATGAGTGAAATATTGAGATGGGCTGTGGACGAGATATTGAATTATTTGAAAGCGTAAATAGATCAAGTATCATATCATTATCATTGAATCATAAATCCTAGACCGAGCAACTCCTCCGAATTTCCGAACCACAAGACAGTAGGTAGATAGTCTAATATCTGTAACGGGTCGAATAGTCCTTAGGACTAACAACCAGACCACGACCTTTCTTTGCGCCGCGATAGATGGTTTCAATGATGTCGATCAACTCTTGTTTATCTTCCCTGTAGAATTATTAGTATTCCTGAAGAAGAGTGGGTAGTCGATAGATAAGGTGGAATACTTACAAGACCCAGTTCAGTTTGTTGTTGTTACCAGTTCCGAAATCGCCTATAAGCTTGGATTAGCAACAGCCGAGTCAACGGACATAGCAGTATACATACACATCATGTGTTTGTTTCTGAAAAAGAACTGCAATTTATTAGTACTTCCGTACATTCGAGATACAATTGATAGAAGGTACTGATACATACCATTATCGTCATTGGGTCGTACAATTCATACCTAGGACAACGATTAGCTTTTGCCTCCAACACCAAGAAAAGGTGGAAACATACATGGCGTTGAAATCCGGCGTCTGCTCTATATCGCACAGATAAATAACAGCAAAATTCTTGACCCGATCTGCAATCTTGGACAGAACGTCGTCCTGTCGTAAACTAAAAATGGTACACGTTAGTGCTGCCGAAAAAGAAAGGACATGAAGCAGAAGAAGAGGAACAAATATAGCGATATGATCGAAGCTAACGTCGCAGCAGGTCAAACCAACCAATCAGGATGTGAGTCTCGACCGAATCTGACTACCACCAATCGCTCGTCTTCGGAGAGAATGGCCTGGTCGACTTGCCAGGCATTCTGGAGATGGGGGAGGACCATAGAACCCATGGTGGAATTTTGTTGGGATATTCCCTAAAGAGATTCAAGGGAACCGTGTAGATATCCGCGATATCTGGCCGTCTTTCAAGAACAAGAGTAGATATGATGTTGGTGGTTGCCTTTCGAAAGTCAGAGATGATGTTGGAATATTTCCGTGTTTGGATACCTGAGGTATCTACAGGTTCGGAATAACCTATCCGCGCTATGCCTATTCAGGAGGTTTACACCGACAACTTCGTAAGTGACGCTCAAAAAATTTTATCGTCCATACTTTGCACATGATATCTGCTTGATTGTACAATTTTATTTGAGGTATATAATAAGTAAGTTAGGTCTCGACTAAGTGACTAAGTAATCAACGAACAGCGTGGACTCTTTAGACAACTACAGTTCCCACAGTACAATACAAATTCAATCCGAGTGCCGTGTCAAGCAATAGCTACTTCACAAGTCGCCTTCAAAACTAGCTGAAGAGCTACTTGGTTGTTGTATCATGCGACAGAAGGATATACTCGGGACGGCCATCCCGACGATTGGAACTGATCATACGAGTGGCATATATACTGAGCATACCGCCGGAATGAGTGGCGGTAAGGGTGTAAGCATTGTTGTCGTAGGTCAAGCCTTCTCGTGGGTAAGATTGTAACAAATGCATAGCATGAGATCCTAGTGCGCCATAATAGCAGGGTTGCCTTATGCCTACCAACGGGGGTACGTGAAGGCCATGGGCTTCAAGGAAGAAGTTTGGAACGATTGGGACGTCATTATAGGATGGGGCTATAAGAGGGCGAAGTTCCTGGCGGATTTTCATATTGAACTGTTCAGGACGAGCGCCAAAAAAAGCGATCAGGTTTGGCTTCTGGCAGTGTGCCATCAGTTAAGGGGGCAAGATTCGTAAAGGGTTCGTCTACTTCGCAACATCGAAGATCGTCAATCCTACCATCAAGAATTGGAATTATGATAATTTGGATTGGGAAGGTCCGGCTCGTGATGGGTGATGTATTTGCTTTTCTAAAGTCTTCAAAATCTCTCTCTGTAATTCTTGACCTAGAGAGGGAGCATCGATGGCAAGCCAATTTCTCAATTATCTCATTTAGGTTGTTTGGCTTTGGTGTATTTCTGCCGTCGGAATATTTGTATCCATGAGGGTAGACACCATGGTTAATCGAATGCTGTAGGAAGTTTGAATTGTAGACCAAGGTGGTGGTAACCTGTATTGTCGTCTCCGTGTATCCGGTGGTTTCTGAGAGAAAATGCTGTCCTGGAGTTTCCTCTGCATGGGAGGATTTCCCAGAACTTATTGTTTGGGACATATGATACTAAGAAAACGTTAAAGACTGGGATGTATATGGAATAGTTACTACAAACATTTCTTAAATCAATCAGGTCTAGTCCTCCAGATTTTGCTAGACTCTTCACATCCATTAGTTGAGCAGGCGAACAATCACGTAGAAAGTCAAGCGATGATGGAAACCGAGCGCTCGAGAGTTCAGTAATACGCGCAGCTATCCCCTCCTGGTCATATTCACACGAGGAGATCAGGGAGTCACTCTCATTAGTGACTATCAAAGACGAGTTGGTATTTTCCGCCTGTCTGACGTCGACTATCTTGACAGAATGCTCGAGACACTGGATCTTTCGAGATGGACCATCACTTTCTGCAGAAGACATTGTTGCCAAATAGAATTAAGTACGAGAGAAAAGAACAGAAAGAAGTTGTTCTGAGAGGAGTATTTGTCTATCAAACGGGAGGATGTGCAGTTAAAGAAAAGAATGAATACAACTAAGTCCCGAACAACAGGCCAAAGCAATGACAGAGGGAAACCGAGTGATATAGCTGAAGCTCTGAGACTGAGAGGACAGTCCACGTTCATAACGCTTACCTATGTAGAAACAATATCCAGGAATAAACTGTATCATTGTCTCGAAGGAGTAATCTTCTCATCACGGGCAAGATATTCCTGGCATCAAAGGGCATATGCCATAACATGACAGCCTTGTGCTCTATGATTGTAGGTGCCTCTTTCCATCATAAAGAAAGAGGCATAATGTGAACTCAACACTCCTTTTGGCCGTTGATAAATTAAAATAGAAATGTATTTGTTTCGAAGTAGAGTCTACATCAGGCAGAATAAATGAGGTTTTCAAGGCTGAAACAGACTATTCCTAACAAGGAATCGTGCGGATAGCCCGCCGGAAACGGTAAGGCTGACCCTTGGCTTGATGAACAGGAGAGACACTGGCAATCTTCATGTCTTGAAGAATCGACTTGCTTTATATATGTCCCCTGCAAAGCAACCGATCACATCTAACCTCACGATCCATATCGAGTTCCCCGTCTCGTTCATGTTGAAATAAGTGCGACTCTTTGCTTCCCGGCCGATCCACGGTCAGGCAGATCATACAGTAATAATATCCGACACGCTGATCTTACGGAGGATTAATCAACAGTCAAGTCGCGCAGGAGACCAGCAGCCATGATCGTTCAACGAACGACTTCGTTGCTCGCTATCGTCGCTATCGTTGCGTGCGGGCTGTTCATTCTCTCCAAGACAACAAATACCACTTTCGAAAGTGTGTCCAACGTCAAATTCGGCCCCTCGCGATACATTCCAACCAAACTACCCTCCTTTGAAGACCTCCGCCATCCTTTCCGTCCCGCGGCTCATAAACCGCCGGAGCAAGCAAATAGCACCAGCGGTGAGTCCAAATGGTTCACTGACTGGAAGTGGTTGAACCCCTTTTCGTCATCGATCACGCTCGACGAACATCGTACCGTGCTCCCACCTTTACCGGAACGTCCACCCGTGTACACTTTTTACGAACCGAATAGCAAGAACGATGAAGCATTACAAAAGGCAGATGGCCAGCTACTTTTGGCATGGAGACGCGCTTGGTACGCCAAAGGGTTCCGACCTGTAGTTCTCAGTCGGGCCGAAGCAATGAAGAATCCGTTGTATGAAGAGGTTCAACGGCGACAACTTGACGCAGAACTAGAATTGGACTTTTTCAAATGGTTAGCTTGGGGTCACATGGGCAGGGGACTGTTTGCAGATTGGCTGTGTTTCCCAATGGCTCGATACGACGACGTGACATTCAACTACCTTCGTACTGGTACTATACCTACTCACATCACTCGATTCGATAAACTTGATCGAGCACTATTTGTTGCTGAAAGCGCCACTATTAATGATGCAATTAAGGCTGCAGTCCAGGATGCGGACGACAAGACTTCGTCGATATTAGATCTTATCCCGTCCGACCTGTTCATAAACGAGCAATCTGATGCCTTGGCATATTACGACTCCAGCACTGTTCCAACAAACTACCATGACCTTACTGAGAAATATCATGCACTTCCGGGTGCTGAACGACAAGCGCTTGTTGAGTTGATTGATGCACATCTCCATACAACCTTTCTCAATAATTTCCCGTCCGGATTTACGGTCATTAAGCCCTTTGCCGAGCACACGACAGCATTGGTTCAGCCCGCCTTGCAGCTCGCAAAAGCTCTTTCGAAATGCCCTACGTCCGAGTTTTCTGGCTCGTGTCCTCCTAATCGTCCGACGTGCAAGCCCTGCAATTCGAAATCCAAGGCGATCCCAATCGCCCAACCACAGGCTTTTAAGAATGACACCAGCACTTATTCGATTGGAGTCTTACCTCATCCGCTCACCCTGATTGCCCTTCAGCACGACTCGATCGAGATTGATACCGCCTATATTCGACGTAAAACCCCTCGTGATCCATGGCTGGCAACCGTCACCAGTGAGCTTCTGGGCCCCAATCGTGCGGGTTCTTCGCGTGCCGTTACATTCAAGGAGTTAGTTGCCGGGGACGAATTCGGTTCTTCGACATTCTGGATGACTGTTGAGACACTTCCAGCAAAAGAAGGAGACAACCTTCCTAAAGAGTTGGTGGCCGAGTTGGAATGGCATTTTGGATTCACCATCAAGACCGGAGATACTGAAGACGATGCCAAAAAGAGTGGCGAGGAACCACAGCCATCTGTGGACCACGAGTATGAGCTGATTAGTAAAGCACGCGACATGCTTCGCGATAACCCGTCAGTCGCGTTAGTCTGCGCAATATCGCAGAAGCTTGGAATTTAGCAGATATTGAAGTGTGGCGATTTGTACAGGCTTATAGGTGTGTTTTCTTCTTGCTATATACCAGTCGATCTACTGACTAACATACTATCTGAACAGGGCACGCAGTGTAGTTGAACGAGAAAAGTGGGAGGAGGAAGAAGAGAACTTTATTGGCGCCAAAGCTGACTGAGTCAATAGACACTTTGATCGATCTTGATTTACAAATTCTTATGTGTGTAAATATTTCCCATTCTTGCTTTTGATACGCATCTAGACGGCGTTTTTGTTTTTTCCCATCTATCTTTCTGGTGTGGAGAATCCACCAATGTAAGCAAGATATCGGACGGTGGCGATCGCCGGCCGTCAAGCTGGAGGTCGGCTTCTCCGATAAGCAGATAATCCTCAACCAACTACTTAACATCTCTTTATACCCCGCACTCTTTTCATTTTTCTTCTATTTCTCAGATATAGTCATGTCTCTATATTGAGTATATCGTCCTACATATGCAATAATTCCCTCATACCATACGACGACCTAATATAACAGCTTATCTCCTCACCACCATGGCGCCGGGCATCGTGGAGTCCGCCCCCGCTGTTGCGCCAGAGAAGATCTCCAATCTGATACAGCTGGCCCAGGACTATCACTCTTCAATTAGATTTTACCTTAATGGCACAAAGATTGTCCTAGACGATATTGACCCGGAATTGACTCTGCTGGAGTATCTGCGCGGTATTGGATTGACGGGGACGAAGTTGGGATGTGCGGAGGGTGGTTGTGGTGCTTGTACCGTGGTAAGCAGCCATGGAAAACTTTGATATCGGGACGTAGTCTTCTAATTTCACTCTGAAATAGGTTCTCTCTCATATCAATCCAACGACAAAGAAGTTATATCATGCTTCGGTTAATGCTTGTTTAGCCCCCATTATCAGTGTTGATGGGAAACATGTTGTCACTGTGGAAGGTATTGGCAATGTCAAGAATCCGCATCCTGCCCAGCAGAGACTTGCTGTGGGAAATGGCAGTCAGTGCGGATTCTGTACCCCTGGTATTGTGATGGTATGCACTATTCCGCTTAGCGTATTACCTCTTTTCAGTGCTGATCGATCAATGCGTCAAAGAGTTTATATGCCTTGTTGCGCAACAACGATGGCGAACCTTCTACAGATGAAATTGAAGAGGCGTTCGACGGGAATCTCTGCCGCTGCACAGGATACCGTCCTATTCTCGACGTCGCTCATAGCTTCTCAAAATCATCTGGCTGCCAGAAGAGCAAAGCAAATAGTGGGTCAGGGTGCTGTATGAACAACAAAGAGAACGGAGCTGGAGGGTGCTGCAAATCAAATCGATCATTGAAAGAAGATACTTCGACTTCACCTACTCTCCCAAGACCGGATTTTATCCCGTACAATCCAGAGACCGAGTTGATCTTTCCTCCAGTGTTAAGGAAGCACGACTTCAAGGCACTTGCGATTGGGAATAAGAAGAAGAGATGGTACCGACCCGTAACACTTCAGCAACTTTTGGAAATTAAAGATGTCTATCCGTCCGCGAAGCTCATTGGAGGAAGCACAGAGACTCAGATTGAGATCAAATTCAAGGGGCTGAGTTACGACCCGTGTGTTTATGTGGGTGATATTATCGAGCTAAAGCAATATACTTTCAAAGACGACCATCTCGAGCTGGGTGCGAATGTTTCCTTGACGGATCTAGAGCATATTTGTGATGAAGCTCTTGAGCGCTACGGACCCGCTCGTGGACAGCCATTTGCGGTTATTAAGAAGCAGTTGCGCTATTTTGCTGGAAGACAGATTCGAAACGTTGCATCGCCTGCCGGTAATTTGGCGACAGCCTCTCCTATCTCTGACTTAAACCCTGTATTCGTCGCATCGAACACAGTTTTAGTCGCGAAATCATTAAACAAAGAAACCGAGATCTCAATGTCGCAGTTCTTCAAGGGCTACCGTGCAACTGCCCTTCCAGCAGATGCGATTATTGCTACTTTGCGTATCCCAGTGGCTGAAAAGGGCGAACACTTCCGAGCGTACAAGCAGTCGAAGCGAAAGGATGACGATATTGCCATTGTGAATGCTGCTTTGAGAGTTGTCTTATCGGATACGCATGAAGTCTTGAGCGCGAATCTCGTTTATGGTGGTATGGCGCCAATGACAGTCTCAGCGAAGAATGCTGAACTCTATATCATTGGAAAGAAATTGACAAACCCGGAGACTCTAGAAGGTGTCATGAACGCTCTTGAAAAGGACTTTGATCTGCGGTTTGGTGTCCCTGGAGGTATGGCAACATACCGAAAGACACTGGCCCTAAGTTTCTTCTATCGATTCTACCATGACGTCTTGTCTACTCTTGAAGTCAAAGAAAGCGACGTCGATCAGGACATCATTGATGAGATTGAGAGAAATATTTCTTCTGGACAGAAAGACCATGATGCTTCTGCCGCATACAAACAAGAGATTGTTGGCAAATCTGGAAATCATCTGTCAGCCCTCAAGCAGTGTACCGGTGAAGCTCAGTACACGGATGACATACCTGTGCAAAAGAATGAACTCTACGGATGTCTGGTTCTGTCAACCAAACCTCGGGCTAAGATTCTAAGCGTTAACGTTGAGGCTGCCCTTGACATTCCTGGTGTTCATGATTATGTTGATCACCGCGATCTACCCTCCCCTGCGGCGAACTGGTGGGGTGCCCCCAACGCCGACGAGCAATTCTTTGCCGTCGACGAGGTCTTCACAGCCGGTCAACCCATTGGAATGATCCTTGCAACATCCGCCAAGATTGCAGAGGAGGCTTCTAGAGCCGTGAAGGTGGAATACGAGGAACTTCCAGCTATTTTGACCATGGAAGAAGCTATTGAAGCAAAGTCATTCTTCCAGCATTTCAGACACATCAAGAATGGAGATACGGAAGCTGCTTTCAAGGAAGCGGACCATGTGTTTACTGGAGTATCCAGGATGGGTGGTCAAGAGCATTTCTATCTCGAAACTCAGGCGTGTGTTGTTGTGCCTAAGCCGGAGGATGGTGAGATTGAGGTGTTTAGTTGCACTCAGAACCCTACCGAGACGTAAGTTCTCTTCTTATTTTAAAAGAAGCTTTTCTGATAATGATCTAGGCAAACATACGTCGCTCAAGTCACTGGTGTCGCTGCAAACAAGGTCGTCACGCGCGTTAAAAGACTTGGTGGCGGATTTGGTGGGAAAGAAACTCGCTCAATTCAATTAGCAGGAATCTGCGCCGCAGCGGCGGACAAGACGAGACGTCCAGTGCGGTGTATGCTCAATCGTGACGAAGATATCGTCACCTCTGGCCAACGACATCCGTTCCTCTGCCGATGGAAAGTCGGTATTACCAAAGAAGGCAAGTTGATTGCCTTTGAGGCCGATGTCTTTGCAAATGCCGGACATACTCAAGACTTGTCCGGTGCTGTAGTTGAGAGAGCATTGTCTCACATTGATGGTGTCTACAAAATTCCAAATATGTATGTTCGAGGATGGCTATGCAAGACCAACACTGTCTCGAATACTGCGTTCCGCGGCTTCGGTGGGCCCCAGGGAATGTTTATGTGCGAGTCAATGATCGAAGAGGTTGCAGACCATCTTGGTATGTCCTCAGATGACCTGCGCGTAATGAATATGTACAAGGCTGGTGACTTGACACACTACAACCAAGAACTCAAGGATTATTTCGTGCCGCTCATGTACAAGCAAGTCAAAGAGGAGAGCTCATACCTGGAGCGAAGAAAAGCCGTGGACGAATACAACAAAACACACAAGTGGTCCAAGCGTGGGTTGTCTATTATTCCAACCAAGTTTGGCATTTCATTCACAGCTTTGTTTCTGAATCAAGCCGGTGCTTTGGTTCATATATATCATGATGGCAGTATTCTAGTCGCACATGGAGGCACAGAGATGGGTCAGGGTCTCCATACGAAGATGAGCATGATAGCAGCACAGGCATTGAACGTGCCTCTATCAGTTGTCCATATATCAGAAACAGGCACGAACACAGTTGCGAACACCTCTTCTACAGCGGCTTCTGCCAGTTCCGACCTGAACGGTTATGCGATCTACAATGCATGCGAACAACTCAACGAGCGTCTACGACCATATCGCGAAAAGATGCCCAACGCAACGATGAAAGAGCTTGCTCACGCCGCGTATTTTGATCGTGTCAACTTATCCGCAAATGGCTACTACCGCACCCCAGACATTGGCTACGTCTGGGACGAAAACAAGGGACAAATGTTCTATTACTTCACTCAAGGTGTAGCAGCTGCCGAAGTCCAGATCGATACCTTGACCGGCGACTGGACTCCCCTTCGAGCCGATATTAAAATGGACGTTGGACGCAGTATCAACCCCATCATCGACTACGGACAAATCGAAGGCGCCTTTATCCAAGGACAGGGCCTCTTCACCACCGAAGAAAGCTTGTGGCACCGCGGCACAGGCCAAATCTTCACCAAAGGACCAGGCGCATACAAAATCCCGGGTTTCCGCGACATCCCTCAAATCTTCAACATCTCTCTTCTCAAGGATGTTCAATGGGAGAACTTACGAACAATTCAGCGTTCTCGAGGTGTTGGTGAGCCACCACTTTTCATGGGCAGTGCGGTATTTTTCGCTATTCGTGATGCGCTCAAATCTGCTAGGAAGGAGTGGGGTGTGACTGATGTTTTGAGATTGGAAAGTCCTGCGACTCCGGAGAGGATTAGGGTTAGTTGTGCGGATCCGATTGTTGAGAGGGCAAGGGTTGTGCCGAAGGAAGGGGAAAAGAGCTTTTTTGTTGCTATTTAGTTGATATCTATATACCTACAACCGAGTATGTAATTGGATGATTTATTGATGGATTTGATAATCGAGAAGAGTTCACACTACGGGGAATATTGGTTCTTGCATCAGAGCATCAAAGAATTAATCAATATTTGGATTTCTGTATAGGCCTGAGGCAAGAAGAAGTCTCGAGCAAGGTCTATCACACATTCAGTAGATGCAAGATAAATAAACATTTTCTCATACAACAACAGATCATACCAATAAGAACTGTGTGCAATGAGGGTATCGTAGATCAGTAAGCTATAAAACAGAACGCCTCCTAACCGATGCAATTGCCGGGGAAACAAAAAGTAGAAATGTAAAATGACAGCAAAGATGTAATAGTGTGAAGAGATGCTTTTTAAAGAAAGAAAAGATAGGCGCCCAAGAAAATTGTCACTATCGGCGTTTCTCGTCACTGGCATATTCGACGTATGCACTCTTACGAGTATCAGCATGCACGGCAGACGAATAATCGCGCTCACCTGCATAACCGACTTTCTGGTCTTCATAGTCACATGAATCGTGGTCATGTGCTGGCGCATCAAGGGGTACCTGCTGCATATCACCACCAACAGAGCGCGTAGATCGCCCACCGGTCATCATTGCAGTGTTACCAGTAGTGTGGAAAGCAGCAGGTTCAATAGGCCCTCCGATAACGACATTTTCCTGTCCACCACCATTACCACGGACGCGCTCACGTTTACAGCAAATCATGAGTGCACGCAGAATACCAACAAGAACCAGCAAAAACCAAAGTAGGACCAGAATAGATGCAATCTTGGCTTCGGTCTCGATACCGTCTTGTAGTTTGGTGACGACGTTGTTGACCACCTCGGTGATTTGGTTGGATGTGGTTGAGCCGGGGTCTGAAAGGAAACTATCACCCGTGTCCGCGCTTTTAGCTGCTCCGATCGAGAATGTGTTATTCGGGAGTTGTGGGAGGGTGATGTGAGCGTGGTCATGAGCCCATGTTAAGCCCTTTTGGACGCTTTCAATTTTGAGCTCGACGACACAGTCGAAGATACCGGACACGGCACCGTACAAGGGGGTGCCGCTGAAGGTCGTGTTGATGACTTCGTTGGATTTATCCAGGAAAGTGTTGAGGGTATCGTTTAGCGCCGTGGTGCTGGTGTTCACCCATCCGAAGAGATTCTTGTTAAGGTCTGTATTTGTTGTGTTGATGACGTGGTTTGTGCTTAAGGCCCATTGCGCAGAGGCATTGTTCAACGAGTCGATGACCTTGTCGGCGAATTGGGAGACTTCGGCGGTGAGTTCTGGGACTTCCTTTTCGACAGCTTTTAACAGAATGTATTGGCATAGACAGGCGAAGAGGCCAGCTAGACCTAGACTGAGCAACACGAGGGCGGGGATGGAGGTTGCATATGCGAAAATCCAGCGTACGAGGATTTGATGACGGCTGTTATTGAACCATGTCGCAGCCCTCATACCCCAGGAAGAAGTATGTGGACGAGAAACAAGATAAACGACATCAAGAGAGTCGTGATTGCCAGTACCGATAATCCTAGCTCGCTCTTTGGCGAGTCTCCAACTCCGGATTTCCATCCAGGCCATGGGGATGCAAGCAAGGACTGCAAAGATGACGAGAACTGCGATAAAGACTTTGCGGGCCACCAGAATAATATCGGTTGTCTTCTGGAAGAAGTCGTTGATCCCGTCATTCTCGCCGCAGAAGGAAAGGGATTGTTTGGCTGGAACGGGGAAAGCAGAGCTGTCGAATGAGTAGTTTCCAAGATTATCATTGATGAGCTTCTTGAGTTGCTCAAAGGGGTACTCGATAGCTGTTGTTGTTGCGTTCTTGACCTGGTCAAATGTGGGGATGGTTTTATTGACCTTGTCGATGTCATCATTGATTGAGGATGGCAGTGAGAGATTCTTCAGTTCGTCGATTTGACTGGTGAAATCAAGAGTTGGGATGCTAGGAATGGCACCACAGAGAGATTTGGTGAAGACGTTATTGCAGTCCTTCTTCAGTGAATCAAGCGCTGAACCAAGATCATTCAGTCCATCACTAGCAGTCTTCACGGCACCGGAGATATCGTCCTCAATGGTAGGCAAGGTCTGGTTGAGCCAATCCGTCACCTCCTTCGCCAAACCAAGGGCTGTCTCCGCGGCTCCTCTAGCAACAAGAGTGAAGAGACACAAATACATTTGCGTGAGGAAGTTGATATAGAAAACAACGAGAGCTTCGATGCCAGTAATCATCAACTGCAGGACTTCAACCAACCCGTTCACTGCGCTTGTGACTCCACTTGCCGTAAGCTCGTTGACTCCCTGAGCCATGTAATGTGGTAAAGATGCCATAGAACTACCCGCAGACTGGACAGAGTTACAAGCAGAAAGGGCCTGTAAGCGCGCATTCGCCATGTCTCCCTGAAGACCTGTTGTGGCGAGTAGTACACGGACGAGAACGAGCAAGATCAGAATAGTCCATCGGTTGATCCATATCTGGGACAGACGTGCCTTGAGACCCAGGTATGGTGTTGGCTTGTCGGGATTTGCGTATGGTGGAGGAGCGTCACTGCCATCGTGAGCGCCATAGGGCGGGAGCATAGGGAATATCGTGCGACCACCAAAGAGCCTCATAGTGTGGGATGTAGCTTGACTGTGTAGAAAAGGGAAGCGACCGGCGCTTTGGTTTCGAATAGATGTAAAGGAAAGGTTATGAGGAAAATATTATCTCACTGACGACGACTTCGAACGCTGCGCCTATTCCTCTCGGGCTAGAAACGAGTGTAGCAAGAAGAGGAGGATCAGGTTGAAAGAAAGTGCAGGAAGCAGATCATCAATTAGTTATAATGGGAAAGATGAAGAGAGATGTATTATGACAGTCATGGAGAAGTAAAAATGGGAACAATGTGATTATTGAGACATGACTCTTATTGTTGTCTAAACAATATAGTCAATGAACAGCAGGGATGGTGTTTGAGGTTTGTCACACAATAGAGTGAGTCTTTATTGTCTGTCGAAGAGGACGAGCAGTGTTTTAAAAACTCGGTGACTGCCCTTCTATTGACGCTTAGTCGAATAGATCTGACTGACACTGTCGATGCAGGGCGGCAGACAGCCAGTCATCGTCGCAAGTTCGTATATTCTAAAACGAGTCAACCTAAGAGTTTTCTCAATGCATATTTAGCAACTAATGATTTTAATTGGTAGCAGCTTGCCGAGGTCGTTAAGGATTGTCAGTAGCTACGCTGTTGACGCGAGAGTCACTCAGTGGCAGTACTCAGAGACAGGCGACTCACAAGCGCCAGGGGTTTGGGTCTCTGCGACCCTTGAGGATCGATAGCCAATCGTCTGTTCCCCGCACATTTGATCTCAAGCGGCTCTAAAGCTAAACCATAAGTTTGTAAAACTGCCATATGGCTAGCTAAGCCACCGTCAAGTCGCGACCCATTGCCTGCTGAATAGTATCACTGCCAGGAACTCGACACGAAGAAAACTCATGTTTGGCTGTGACTCATGTCCACTTGACTTGATTCTGCTGGGAAAACAATGGCAGAGGTAAGTCACCAGATACCTGAAACCATTTCATGTATCATTATGCTCTGAAGATTGTTGTTTGGTGAACAATTGTTCGCTGTCCACATAAAGATTTAAGATCGCTGAATAGGATGCGCTAAGCTGTTTAGGGAATATAAGGTACTATTCTAGGCTCAGTTTGACCAATCATTGATGGCAAATTCATGTGGGTCATGTTTTAGCGTGGATTCGCGCGCCTAAAAGTAGAGCAGTCTCAGCCACTCATTTCGTAGTCCGTCATCGACTCTGACACTGATTCTCTTCTAAACATATCTCGCCAATGACAATATTATCATGGGGTATTATCATGGGGGTTTCTGCCTTTCTATGGATGCTGATCAGATGCCCGCAAGTATACTAGCGCAGTGAAACATATGACGTTCAATCAGGGACAGCATGATACAGAGCATGTGCACCAAAAGCAAATACAGGAATATGACTGCCACAGACATCGCATAACTGAGCAGACGGTACATCTTCTTCATCGCTCTCTTCCCACTCCGTGTTGTCGATCTGAGTCGTAACGGTCACATTCGCCGCATTTCTAGAAGTAGAGTCCTGGTACACCTGATCGTCCAGGCGATTTGTTTCAACAACTGCACTGGCGATCGAAGACCCCTGTTGCTTGAACATTTTACCAATGTCTCTGCCGCTACTTTGTTTATCATCCCCCGCAGTCTCCACCATATTGGTAACCGCAACGTTGATCAAGCTGAGCTCCCCAAACGATTTGTCTGGATGCAGCTTACGAAACATTGAAACAAGGGAGTCATCCACTAGCTTCTCCGCCACCGCCTCAGCACTCTCTGCAAGACTGAACATAAATTTCGGCACAGGTCCCGAGCGTGATGTCCGCCCGTTTGCATAGCTATAGTCTCGTGAGCCATCTGCATTCTTGGGTGATCTCCGTCGAGTTGATAGCCGAAGTGTACGAGGAAGTGCTGTCCAACGTGGAGTATCATTTCCCTTTGTATCATGATCCTGCTCATCTAGTAAATCAGTTCTCACCCGTTTAATCAGACTTGCAGCAAGGAGGTTAAGCTGTTTTTTGACATCTTCAAACTGCTCAAGTCCCTTGTAAGAATCCTCAATGCTGATCTGCGTCGGAACGATTCGCGCTTCTAGGACTTCACTGTTATCCACCCCATTCAGCAAATTCCATATCTGGAATCCAATATCCCTGGATGCGCCATGGCCTCCTAATATGTCGAGTAATTTTGGTGGGCCCATTGTTGGGGTGAGACGCACTTCTCGAACTTTAACTTGATCATCCACATTCCGCTCCGTGTACGGTTCAAATGTAGCCTCGCGATGTAATATGTACGTCCTGATCTTCCGGGCGGATTTGAACCCAATGCCCGGAATTTTGCCGATTTCGTGGTCGTCAATGAATCGGTTGACATTACTCATCCCCTCGCTATTGGAATATGGTGGGACAAGTGTTGTCTGGTTGTTTGGTTTGTTTACATTGCCAACCAGTTTGGCTAAAAGCTTCGACGTCGAGATACCGACGGTCGCTGTGTACCCATGCTCGTTATCGAGACGGGATCTCATATAATGTGCCAGGTGGGATCCTAGGATAAGGCGCTGGACCAGATTATGCTGACCATCGACGGCCGTATTTCTAGGCAGGGGACTTCCAATGGTTTCAGGATAAGTTAGACCGCAATAGCTCGTAGCGTCAAACTGGAAACCAATTGCTGGATCCCGTTTATCTAAGCAGAAGAATGAATGAGCCAAGTCGTGACGATTCAAAAGCGACATATTATAGTCAATCATCTCCGTAACATCCAGGAACACCTTTGTTACAATCAGTGTCTCATTTATCCAAAAGAAGCAGCGTGACAGACACACCTCATCAAACCCCAGTCTCTCCGCTTTCTGAGTCCATAGAAAGCTCTTCAAGAAGCAGTAAAGGCTTTTAGAAACATCGCGGAATTTGGTCAGGTCTTCTCCAAGGATGATGACCACGTCAGGACATATCTGCTTCGCCTCTTTGATAAGCTGTAGCTTCCTCAGACCCCGTCGACGAGCTTCATAATTGCATGTAACTATAATCTGTTTCTGCTGCACAGCTAACGGCAGAGATTTCAAGGCAGGATTTTCTGCCTCTAGAACACTAGCATAAAAGCAGTCATAGTCCTGCAGCCGAGTCAGTAAATCTCCTTTGAGCAGTTGGAAAGTAGTTCTAACAAAATGGATAATGACGCGATTGTCATCGCGACGCAGCGCTGCCATTCGCGCCTGTCAACTTCATCGGTTTAAATATATGCGGTAGTCACTGTACCTTGGGTAGATCGGAATCCGCAATGAAATGATGGAATCTCGCTTTGGGATTTTCACACCGGCACCAAAGTACACACTAGAAATAATGGCTATTCCAATGCTCTGCTTATGCGTCTAAGTGTAGTGTCGATTAGGATGTCAATGTTGCCTAGTCCACTGAGGCAGAGTTCTCTCTGCCATCCGCTAAGCCGAATACGGTTACTGAAATATTTCCAGTCGTTAGTGGAGGACAGCCACTTGCTTCATCGAAAATCGACCAAAAAAAACACGGAGTATGAATGCATGTAATCGACACATGGAAAAAAAAGGATTGAGTGAAGCAAAATAATGGAAAAGATAGGGGAAAAAAAATGACCTACGCAGGGATCGAACCTGCAATCTTCCGCTCCGTAGGCGGACGCCTTGCCATTGGGCCAGCAGGCCATTGATATTTGAAGAGTCTAGATTTTACTCTATATTTATGCCTAATAAGTAGTCCAAGAAATTATCCTACTCGTCTCGTCGCTTTTCACCACGCTCAGCGCCAAATGTACTATATGTATGTTCTAGCTAATGCAGGAGGCTTAAAATGGACACATATTTGGACGCCGCAAAACCGTATGGTAAAACAGTGTACGCTTTCCAGCTCATCGAAGGTTGGCATGTTCGTTATTTTTTATGCCTCGTTGCCATCAGTCTGGTGTGCAGCATCTGTATTGTTGGTGTTACAACAGCAGCCCATGTGACGGCTGGTGCTGAGGCTATACAGAAGATGGTGAGATTTGCTGACTTGAGAGGTCTGGACAGAAATCACGTGATCAGGGTTGGGCGAGAAGGAGCACGTGAGCGCGCCACTGATATCTGGGACCTTCATGTTTACACTCTTTCCTTTTCCTCCCTATGCTTAGATTTCTCGTATTAGCTTCCAAATAACATTTGATTGAGCCTTCACACCCATCAGAGCTTTGAAGCTGGCCTAACAGCTGGTAGCTATGCACTTGGGTTTGCAGCTGTTCTATTGGGAGTTATTACATTATTGAGTGCAATTCTATGAAGTACTGTAACTTTAGGTTTTATTCATCACCTCAATCTGCCAACACCATTGATGAACTCGAATAATCATGAGCTGGGAATTTAAGGGACTTCCTGGTGGCTGGCTCCTGGCTTACAGCGGATCAAGTTCCTGCACACAAATTAGCTTCTGGTGACCGGATAGCATGATGATGTGAAGAGGGCAGAGAGGAATACGTGAGAAGGGAAATACATTCTTTTGACAGAATTGCAACTGATAGCCATGTCAAAGTAAGCAAGAAAAGAGAGAAAAAGAAGAAGAAAGATAATTGAAAGAATGAACGGTGGTAAGAAAGAGGAAAGAGGGCAAGAAAACATGGAATGAATAGTCCATTCTTATTAGCTGGTCTGTCTCTTAGATGCTTGTACTCAAACTGAAGAGTGTACATAAATAATAGGATGAACCTGCATCTAACAATGAAAGAAATTCCAGATGAAGAGCTTACACACAAAGTCGTTCCAACCTCTCAAAATTGACCCATGGATCTGTTGGAACTTGATTATACGGTAGATTGCAAATTCAGCTTGACACTCCAGTCTCTCATCGGTTTCATTTGAAATATGGGCTGAGCCGCTATGGCAGAAGCAGTTGTTCACAGCAACAGTGGCACCTGTAATAGATTACGCCTCTAGCGTTGATGCATGCCTGTGGGACGCGTGAAACGTGGTGCCTAAACCGAGTGCAGAAGATAGGGGGTATAGAAGTCACAGGAGCCTTTCGGACAGTCACGACGGCAGAGGTAGAAGCTGAAGCAAATATTTGCTCATTCGGAGAACGACGCACAGAGAAAGCAACGAAATTGTGGGCTGATATCCGCGCACTTCCCAGATAGTAAGAGGGGTGGAACGAAGTGCCAAGATCTACATGTCCTGACATCAATACTACAAGTTTTATTTTTAACAGTGTATTTTTAAAAAAGAAGGAGGTACAACCAGTGTATCCATAGCATAGTGGTAATGTTTGAAAAATGAGGGCCACCACCAACCATAGTATATCCATCGGAGCGCCCCACTCTCAAAAACATGTTTTCTGACGGTAACTTTATACAAAGGATTGATTGACTAACCCGTCCTTCCCTTTCATACAGTAAATTTACTCCAAAATTACAAGGGTGGTTTTTTTAATACTAGCTTTTGCAATCATCGCAAATTGTTCTGTTTGATATTGTCCTGAAAGCTCCCTTGCCTATTCTCGATAATCCATAATATTATACACGTACTAGTTCTCAGATAGCTACCCTACCATCTATTATCTGATCGAGATTCCGCTTTGGTTCCTCTCAGATAAGGGTCCAGTTTCCAATCTTTCCACATCTAGACATATACCACATTTTGGCATGGAGCCTTTCTCTGATTCCCAGTAATCTGTCTTGTACATTTATTTCTCTTTTCTCTACATTTCTCTTCGCAATCTATTCGCAGAGTACAGAGAACACCAGCACCAGGTACAGACTGATATGGTACTGCTAAGAATTCAAGAATCATAGATTCCAACAAGACGCGCGTCGATCTCATTGACTGACTTCCCGTGTTTTCAAAACCAGATGAAGGCAGTGATAGTGATTATTATAGGAAGAACAAAAACAACAAATATCAACTTCTCTTTGCTCTTGACCAGTTCCGTAACCCACTGAGATCTTCCATGCAAAATCAAAAGTTGGGCCAATGCGAAGTACACTCGAAGTTTCAATCGGTCACACATATTCGTGATTGGGATCTCCTTCTGCATATCTGGTAGTGCAATAAAAATGCTTTTGTGCTTGAGGACAACAACGAATGTGTTCTGAAAACTCCAGCTCACAGCGGTTTGATAGAAGCACCGGAATTGGTGCCAGTTCATTTTTGGAAGCCAGAGGTAGAATTCCTCTCTTTTATGCAACAGAGAGAGTGCTGTTTTTGATTTCTCTTCGTTGTCGGCCGAGAATCGTAGAGTCACCCTATGAAGTATGTCTGGCGGAAAGGTGGATTGGTTCTTCAAGGCTTCCTCGACTCTCCATCGTACATAGAAATACGTATCATCAATGCAATCCAAGAGGGCGATGAGTGTTTCTGGTGGTAAGCTGGATATTTGACCTAGCATCTCCGCTGCCCATGACCTCACATGCTTGTCCTCATGGCACAAAAAGGAAACTGGAATTTTTAAAGCTCTAGCTCTAGAAACTGAGTCCGAATGTTCCCATAGAGTCATTAGTGCAGTCCCCCTGAGATATTCGTCATCCAAGCATTTGATTAGTCCATCAATTGCATCGGATGGCAAGGTTGAATGCTGTTTTCTTAAGGCTTCTATGGCCCACTTCCTTGTTGGAGCATAGTCGCATTCACGCAGACAGTTAGTCAAGGCATCAAGAGCGGTGGATGGTAAGTCTGAATATTTACTCAGGGTTTTCGCTGCCGCTTCGTTGATATAAGGGCTTTTATCTCCGATGCCAGTAAGCATAGCGTTAAATACCCCAGAGTGCGATATTGATTGATTTTTAATTGCCAATATAGCCTGACACCTTACATTTATCGCCCTATCTTCGTCCTCTACAATATTAACTAGAGCGTCAATCATCTCTGGAGGCAGTACTGGCTGGCTCATGATTATCAACCATGCCGAATCGTGGAAACGTCTCCATATCTCCTGAAGAATATCACTGGGCAAGGGTGACTGAGACATCAAGATTCGTTCGGCATAATGGCGCCTGTGATCGAGAGATAGCGTCTTCACTAAGTCAGCAAGCGTTACTCTGGGCAACACTGCCTTGCTCAGCGCCTTTTCAGCCTGCTCGGCTAAATCAGTGTCCTGACCTATCAGTACGTCCACCAGCCCTTGTATTATATTTTGTGGCAAGTTACGGTAATGAGCGAAGCAAAGTATTAAACTTCGTAATACCAAGGGATCACTGATGGCCTTCATTTTATCTCCCAGACTTTGAAGAGAACTGAGAGATAGATTCGATAAGTTCTCCAAGACATCCGCCGCACTCTGTTTCACCACGGTATTCTCATTGTCCAATTGATTGACGAGGAATTCCTGCATTTCGGACGGAAGCTCTGGTTGATTCCGCAGGCTCTCTTTCACATAATTTCTGATAAAGAGTAGTGTCATCGCTTCCTCGAAAAGAGGATGCGACTCAATGACCTGTTGCACATCTCCGGAAGGATTATCCTTTGACATTCTGTTTAAGACGGAGAGAATCCCAGGATCCCGCCGAATGATACTTGAGCCTGCCGCTGCCAACAAATGCGAGGATACGCTCCTCTCTTTAAGGCTCGTCAAGAATGCATCAAAGACTCGAGATACTACAGTTGGCTGTGGATCCATAGTGATAGCTCTGTATTCCTTTACCCAAGGATCTTTGTGAAGCAGCCATAGAATCAGTGTATGAACGGTTCCTGGTGGCAAAGTGAGCCGAGAGAACGAAAGAAAAGAAGACACTGCAAGGACCCATTCCGCATTTTCGTGTTGTAGCCACTCCACGAGTTTATCCTGAAAGCCCTTGGGAGGTGAACCCATTCCCAAATCTAGGGCAGCAGCTGCATCAAGGTATAGCCGAAATTCAGTGATGGACATTGGCTCCAGAATGTAGTCATGGACGATATCCAATGCTTTCCTCTTAGATTCCCAATCATTGCGTGCTATTAACTTGAATGCCACGTCTTCTAAGTCTTGACCATCAACGTGTCCTTTTGTTACCCACAGACGAGCCAATTGCATAAGTCCATGAGAATTTCTCGATCTTTCATTCAAGCCAGACAATATGTGCATCTTCCTGTCCAGTGGCGCATGCTTGAATACACGGTACACCATATATTCAGGATATTCTAGTCCCCCGGTAAGCACGGACTTTGCCCGGGTATCACACTCGAACACCAGCCACCAAGACAGCTTTCTTTCTATTTTTGCCCTGAAAATGCTGAATTCCGAAGGTAGAGTAGCCATAGGCAATTCGCTCAGACATTGTCCGATCAATCGCTGGTGGGTTGGACCTAAGAGGTCCTGCGTCTCTGCATCAAGCTGCTCGAAGAACTTTATGAGTGGCTGCGGTTTGCCGCTGCTCCGAGTATGCAGAAGGCCTGCTACATAGCGCCAAATCATGTTGTAACGGATGCTATATTTTTGTCTGTCTAGGATTGTGGATGGAAAAAAGCCGCAAGTATCGACTACGTTCCTGTTTTGTAGTTTGATACAAGGTATCTCCGTACCTTTGAACCAGTGTTTGACGAAGTAACAAGCGGCAAAGTACTCTTGATACGTCAAGTGTATAAAATGAAAGCCCTGCTTATCTTCTTCTGCTCCTTCATTGGATGATCGTAGAAAGGAGAGGCTTCTGAGCACGCTGTTATGTGCCTGAGGGATAGCATTCCCGTTGTCCTTGAGGAACTTGTGTATGTGACTTCGGGTAGATTTGTTGAACTCGATGAGTCCGTTATATATACCTTGAAATGCCAAACCTTCAAGAAGATTGATCTCTTCGGCCATGAGACCGTGAATCTCAGCAGCTGACATTTCGTCCACGCTGGAGTGATTGGCCACTCTCCCTAGTTTTACGGCATCTTTCCTCAACAGGCTCACTACTATTGCTTCATATACCGCCGTCATTGTCTGGAATGTATCATTGCCATCTTGAGAAGAGTCACTCCAGGTATAGCACAGTGCGTCCAGCTGAATGGGAATGCGCATGACGTTCTCGATTCCTGAGTGTGATTTGATGAAGGAGAGGATCTGTTCGGCAGTTTTCCTCTCAGGTGTTATTTCTGCTGATTTCACATAGGACTCGATCTGTTCTAATTTAAACCCAACTGCTCTGAGTCTGAAGTCGAACTTGCTTATTTCTGCTATATTTGTACCGTAAGGCCTGGTAGTTACAATCACTGCGTGCGGCCCTTGCAAAAGTCGGCGAAACATGCGTTGCATAACTGTGTCATCGCCCCAGTAATGTGTAATCTCATCAAGACCATCAAGGACGAAGAGCACGCGACTCCTGTCGGTTGGGTTGTCAACCTCTTTCCATAGGTACTCCGCCAATAAATCACGGTGCTGGTCAACTTGATCCGAGAAAAACTGATATGCGAACACTCCTTTAAGATTAAAAGCAGTGGACGGATGCTCTTTCAAGTTTCTTAGTGGTATCCAAAACAGCCAGTCAAATTGATCACTCCATAGACCATTGTAAAAGAAGTCATAAGTCATCTTCTTGCACAAAGTAGTCTTGCCTACACCTGCCTGGCCTTCAATGAAAACCTGCCTGGGTCGGATTTTTTCTGCATGACCGTTTTGCTCTCGAGGCTCAAATATTTCACGTAATGTTATGTCTTTGTTTTCGGGGCCTGAGACAACCGATAGATTGATATAGCATTGTTCCATTGGCAGTGTATCTCCGGATAGGCGTTTGATCTGAAGAAGATCATTACCAAAATAATGTTGCTTTAAAGCTTGCATCGCGTAGTATCGTAGAACCTCTGGAGAGCTTTTGCAGGCCATAGTAAGCAAGTCTTGGCTGGTGATTATGTCGGTTTGGTATCTAGGTCGCCTCTCTATGAGGGATGCAGTGAATTTCCACTCGTATTTCTTGCCCTCGCGGCCTATCAACCGAAGGTGCCCAGCTCCCTTTCCGCTGTCAGTAGGGGTCTGCTGGACCTGTGTAGATTTTGTAGTGGAGAATTTGATCCAGGCTAGTACACGCGGTTTGTCGCTGGTTGGAAGACTGTCGTATACATGTTGACAGCGCTGCTCTGGGAAAGTTTGCCGATAACCCTCGAGCTGGGCGTATATTCCGCACAAAAACGATTTCTCTATGCGACAGCTCACACTGCTCACATAGGCCTCGAGTTCGTCAAGGGCTTGGTTCCTGATAAGTACGTCGGTAATTCGCAGAGCCATGTACCAAGACTTTCCTGTGTGAGCCTTTACCTGATTCCAAGCGTATTGCTTGAAATCAGAGCCTGCTTTGATAACTTCAAGCGCAGCTTCACACAACTTCTGGGGATCTTTGGACAAAACACCACCGGTAATCATCATTGCAACGTTGACGGACCGTAGAAACCCGCGAGCTATTGCGTCGCCGGGAGAATCGTCGTCGGGCACAGCTCTCAAGGCTTGCGCGGCATAAGATGCTGCTTGGGCGAGATGCAGCTCTAAGTCATTGCTCAAGCCTTCCAGTGTAGTCAATAGTGGAGTATGAAGACCTTCACGACTGAGGCCGGAGACGCCAGCATCCACCATAGCGTCCAGCGTCGCCGATATAGCACGAATTAAATCATATTGTTGTTGCTTGTCATTGTAGGATATAGCTGTCTCCAGCCTATGTTTCAGACTATCCAAAAGCGACCCAAGGGGATTGTTATGAAATGTTATTCTGTTCCGACCGCTCAATCGGACGACATAGACTAAACACCGAAGAATTTCTGGGTCAGGCGAGGTGTGATCATGAGTTCCCGAAGCAATGCAGTTGGTGAAGCTCCTCAACAGCTGTATGTATGTTTCGTCAGACAAGAACTCGGAGAGCTGGGCAGCTTCCCAGGCACACTTGTAGAGTGAGTTCGGATCAAGCTGCTGCACAACGGCCCTGCAGAGTGCTTGCAGTGTCTGTCTCTCTGATTTGTCTAGTAAGGCTGTCTCTAGACGTTGGATGAGGTGGGGGATATCGGTAGGCGGGGTGCCCTTAGACGACATGGCTAAAGATAGATCGCTTGTTACGCAAATGGGATGGATATCATCATTTCTTTCGTGTTTTTCATCTTTGTCTTTTGAGGGGATGATATCTTGGCAGAGTTTGCGACTGGTTCGACGGGGCTGCTCAGCCACGTCAACATTCAGCTACAGCCACTACTATATTTGAAAGGAGCGAGCCTAGAATGAACTAGATACAGTATGCAGAGCTAGGATTAGAACGAATGCCGTAGTAGCGACATACCGGTACTGTATTTATAGTGGGAAAGGCCTAGAGCGACACGTATTTACGAACCCGTGACTGGAATCTCACCGTTTTGGGCTTGAGAACAACAGTATTCTGCCTCCAATATTAGGCCTGGTATTATGGTGTCTCTACGTAGGCGAAATTAAGGTGTGATGTTAAATATTTCCCCATGACGTTACAATTATTTGAGTAGTGCTGTTGTGCTGTTTGAACAAGGGACTAAAATCGGTCACAAAAGTACTAAGAAAATTTTTGTATGGGTAAAATCTAAATCAATATTTCAACACTTAATATTGTTAGAAATAGGGTCGGTTATTGTTGGTTTAGCCGGGTCCTGGATCACGAAGCACAAGATTGCGGCAAGGGCAGTCCAACTGCCCTACGTGGTGAGCCTGATAATATTGAAGTTATTCCTGGGAGGAGAAGGATAATGGAGGAGAAGGATAATTACATGCAAGTAAGGGGATATCCCCAGGTAGGTGAAACGGAATAACTAATATTCCGGTGCTGATACTCAACACCTGGGGATTCTCGTACGCACAGTTATAAACCGCTAGATCAAGCACGTTAGCCGCAGGTGACTCGCGGAGGCCAAGCTGTGTTCCAACAAGTAATAACTCTCTCTTGGAACACAACCATGAGTGTAGACTCAGTGTTCCCCCTCGCGCGAACTGCTTTGGAGTAACTAACTTAGCGTATTGCAGTTTGTATCTAAGCAGCACCGGGACGGCTGTACACTATCTACAATTCTACATAGATTTGCTAGGTCTTTTCTCACAAATATTCGATTTTAGAAATGAAAATTTATATATATTATAGTTTTTACCATAAATAATGGATTGAACTTATTTGAAATCGATTTTCCCTGTTGTTGGATCGGTATTTCAAGATTATATGAATGTTGATTTTGTTAGTAGTTTCCGAACGTTGAGCTCCGGCAGACTAGCTCGAACTATCGATATTAGGGTCAGCCCTTAACACTTAACTATCACTCGATTGTTCTGTCGCAGCAAAGTGGATACATTCCCATCGAGCCCTAACCCTATGAATCCGTCAACTTGTATCCAGGTGTCCACCCTACGGTGCCACACCCATTTCCATATAAAAATTTTTTTTACCGGTATGGATACATCTTAGAGCTCATCCAGACCCCTGTGCAGCTACAGGACAGCTTAATCAATGGCTGTTGGTCTTCAACGAAAATATAGGTCACAAAAAAAAAAAACTGGATAAGAACGTAAAAATAGATCACGTGACCTACGCAGGGATCGAACCTGCAATCTTCCGCTCCGTAGGCGGACGCCTTGCCATTGGGCCAGCAGGCCATTGATATGAGGCAGCCTGGTAAAAAGGCTTATGAAATTTAGAGGAAAGAATATCGATAAAAATTGCAAGAACAGGGCGAAAAAAAGAAACTGACCTACGCAGGGATCGAACCTGCAATCTTCCGCTCCGTAGGCGGACGCCTTGCCATTGGGCCAGCAGGCCGCTACGACTAAAACAACCTGTTAGTGACATATTGTATTCTGTGAGTCATCGTGTACGAACTCGACACGTATCGCGACTTATCCAGGTAGCAATCCGCGTAGTAGTTGCGACTCAAGTCTCAAGAGAATGATATGTATGAAAGAATGGTTTTTTTTGATCGATGTGAAAGGAATATGAGCATGCGGATATGTTGGCCGGGCAAGAGGCGAGTCGATCTACCTAGGGGGTGGAATCCATTGTAACGATGTACATTCCCAGTTATAGTTTGAGAATGTATATCGTATGCGAGGTAAGATTTCACTGTAGGTAGTAAGTAAGATGAATATAGCTTTGACGTGAAGCGTCGAACTGCAGCGAACGCTGGATCTGGGATTGGAAAGGAACGTCACGTAACAATGAGCTTTCTGCTGGAAGTGCATGGTCTTCGACAAGCAATCGTCCTTGAAGCCTATCTGGAAACAAGTACCGGTACATGCAAAGTGGGCACACTGCGATGTGACTATGCTGTGTGCTCGCATAAGGAGCGTATGGCTGGCGCCTATATCAATGCCGGCGACTCACGATGGACGCTGTTTGGATGGCCAACCTCGGTCTGGCTGCCGGTCAAAAGTAAATCCGAGCTTAATGCTGTAAATTGAGCTAAAATGAACTAAAATGTACGCTAATTTGGGCGGGGGATAAATTTAGCAATCGGTCTTATCTAAGTATAGATATCGAATGGTGTCCAATCATCGGGGCTGTTCACATGAGTCAGCAGTGGGGTTTCGTCGTCAGTAAATCAATTTTCAGTGCTAATTGGCTCAGTTTGAAAGCGGAGTACCCGAAGGAAGCTTATCGTGTGGCCAGTGGTCCGTGGGTGACTTCCTTCTTTGATTTCGATCGTTCCTTCCCCACTCTCTCCTCCAGTCTTACTATTAATATCGCTCTGGAGTGTGACTCTTTGCTTCAACCAACATATTTTTATCGCCATCTTGAATGGCTTTATTACAAGTGCTTACTCCTGTTATCTTCTTTTGTTCCTCCGAAGTGTGTTTTGAAGTCGATCAAGCACAATCTGATTCAGGCGTCGAAATTTATTATGTTGGACTGTGCCTGAACCCGTTGGCCCCCAGCCCGCTGCTATTCATACGAACATAATCCAACAAAGCAGCCCCGTCAGATGACCTAGTTTCAAACGCTGGTGGAACAGAGAGGTTGTTTTCGGATCCTGTGGCCGAGTCGTCTCAGCTCTTTCAGCGGGATAATTCATTATTATATATGTTCTGCACCGAATCGGTATGAGCTTGCAGTTATCGCACATATCCCCTGTCCCTCGCGAATCGCCACCCTCTGTATCACATACAACCGCACAAAAGATGATTGCTATTACAACTACGGCAACACCGTCGGTGATGCACAATACAACCATCACAAAAAGACCAAAGCTATCTTTACAAACGACTTCTCTGCCGGCTACATTCGGAAACTCGAATACGGGACTGGTTGCTCGATCATGTATTACCGCTTCACCTACCGTTCGGAATACGTTCAGCAATGCCTATGATATAAGGCAAACATTATCCGCTATAGACTCGCCTTCTCCTTCTTGTCGATCGGCCGATAGGAGTGCTCGCCATGGGTCTCCGTTCCCTTTTAGTAACTATCGATCTGACCCTATGCCCTATCAACAGCCGCTCGGCGTTCGGAGCATTCTCCGCAATTCACCTCTGAAGAAGTTGTCTCTGGGACGTCGGTCGGTCTCTATATCTGCTGGTGCCATAGATAATCGTCGCGTGTATTTCCCAGCTAAGAAACAAGTCAGCTTTCGGAATCAACTAGAAGAGGAGATCAAGACAGTCCGATACGTGGCTCGACATTCGGATATTGACTCTGAGAGTGAACCCGAGTTGATATCCGACGGTGCAGATGGCAGTAGTTCCGAGTCCTCTGACTCTAGTGAATCACAGTCTGAGCACAGCTCATCAGGAGAGGACGATGGAGAGGCACAAGATCGACCAGTACGAAGGAGGAAGAGGAAGTCTGCTCCCAGCGAACGTCAAATACGCGCGGCTGCGCTAAGAGATGGCCTTAACAATGATCGTATTGCAGCAGCTCTCTCGGCAGTTCCCGATTCAAACAGTCAGAAGCGTCGATGCAAATGGCGCTGGACGCTAGGCAATTCACCTTCGGCTGAAGCCGAATCAAATCTCGACACCATTCCGTCTGCGGAGACTATACAGTCGCCACCGGCACTGAATACGGGCAACGATACAGTCATTTCAGGAAATCCATGACGAATTCACATTTACTTTCATTTAGCGTTGGCGTTCTGGGATATGGCATTTAATCAGGCGTAACGGTTATTGCATGCATAGCCTGCCTGCTCTGTCGGCATGACTTATCTTCTTCGTCTAGAAGACGACATCTTTTTCCCTTTCCCTTTTGACCAAATCCATGGATGTGAATAGATATGAATAAATGATACATAAATCAAATATAATTTTCGTGCTCTTCTTGTGATAGATTTTCAAACATCAATGGATGGTACCTAACCATCTGACAGGTACATGTGCCTACCTAGTCTTACGATGTTGAATAGCCCTGTTCGTTGCATGCCGATTCTATTCCCTAATCTAAGCATGTACGAACTCCTTAATCAAGTCAGGAGCCTTTGACCAGGCTTTATATAGCTCTTTATCAGTACTTCTTCAGAAAAGCCACACCTCCCCCATTCCCAGCCAAGCAATTTTCTTGCCAGACTACCATCCTCGCTCCTGAGAATACCAACAGCTATATCCAACTCATCTGGACGTTGAGCGCACCAGTAAGATGTTGTTGCGCCGCAGTTGGCACAGAAGCTTCGACATGTATTGGGTGAAGACCAGTAGTATTTCAAGGAAAGCTCGGGGTTAGAGTTGGAGCTTGAAGCGGCGAAGCTGAAAGTGGCTGGAATTAAGCTGTCTGGGGTAGTATTATCAGGCGATACACTAGTCTTCTTCATGTTGAATACATTTCCGGCATTCACAGGTGTCCATGGAAATAGTGATATGCCTGTTGAAAGACGGCAAAAACGACACGCACAGAGATATGTGGGATATTTCGCTGGGTCGGAATAGTTGTGACAACTTGAGTCTTTAGCTGTATGGTTTGCGCACTGTATTAATAGGGCGACACCGCCGCAATGGCAGCTAGCTGTCGGATATGAGTCCTTATCAGGCTGTTGGGTATAATTTTCGGGGGATGCACTGATCATAGAAAGAATATTGGTATGCGGAAGATCATATGAGTTCTGAGGAGCAGAAATGGGCTCTGGAATACCGGCCCAGGTAGGAGCAGCTCGATCACCCAGCTGAAGCAAAAACGGAGCCAGTCCGCCGTCTTTAGTGTCGAGGATGTGAGCATAGCGCATGACCATGAAAATATTGTTCGGTTCTCCTGGGACATCCAGCTTTATGGCAGGATTATGTTCAATAGCCCTGCTTATAAAATACCACGTATCTAGCGGAGCAGTGTAAAAGACACAGAAGCAACCACATGCAGGGCAGAAATAGCGAGTAGCAACATCGGAATTTTTATACGGCTGCAGACTGTTGAGCGTCTTTGTAACAGCGATGAAGTGAGTGGTGAGAACAGAACACATAGAGCACCTGTAATGTATCGACAAGTGTCGCAATGCCACATTTCTGCATAGACTGGAGTGTTTTGATCTGATAGAAGCGATCCCGGCTCGGAGATTGAGCCGCAAAGGCATGTGAACTGGATTGAGGAGATTGGGACCATGGTGAAGGATTGAGGCAAGAGACAATATAGATTCAAATTCTGATTCGTGTACTATGGGTCTCTATGGGTGCATAATATCTTATTCCTATATGTAACCTTGGGTTGTGTCTGAATGTTGTTCTGCGGAGATCAGATATATTATTGGTTTGTCATTGGGCCCACTATTGTATTTTATATAGTCTTCATTGCTGGAGGCTACAGTGTGGCTAGACTCTCGAAGCAAAAGAGGTATTATGAAGTAGATCGACGATAAATTGAGATACTTTCATTTTGAAGTGTTCTCTAACCATCCTCTACTCGTAGTCGCTTTATGGTTAATTAGGGTTTTGTTACGGGCCAGTCCCGCCTTATGAATTGCCATAGATCCATTCTCGAGTAGATAACGTGCATGAGGAAAAGAAGGAAAGGAAAGAGAACGAGCAGCTTCCGCTCAAACTTACAAGTTTATATGCAAAGGGTGGATGGAGATGTTCCAGCTCGGTTAACTCAAACACGGGATTGGGGAATGGATTTCGGGTGTTGGGGGAGCTTCATGTTCGGATAGGGTAGATGCTTAATAGGGGATAGCGTATCCGCGGCTTGTGGTTGCAGGTATTTGCCGCTAGAAGGGTTTCGTGAGGGTGTAGCCCGAACTATCGATATTTGGGGTCAACCCTTAACAGGTTTCTAGGGTTACGGCCGATCTCTACCCCCGGCGAATTTTATAAGAGTTATATGCTCCTTACTGTGATACCAATGCTCATTTCATATCAGATATAAATGATTTCCTTTCTCTCGTGAAGTATACTAGACAGTTCTGTCGTTCTCACAACCTAGACTCCCGATTTGTAGAAAAAGATCTCGTTGATAATATTAACGTGCATAGATGGCTGATACCGTAACTTCATAACATCATAGTGAATGTGACATTCAGTGAAATCAATTACTTGCTGCCACCTGCCCGTCCAGCTTTATGGGGATCAACCTCGCCATGAGCAAACTCTCCCTTGGCGCTGCCACCACTGCCGGAAGTAGAACCACCTTTTTGACCCGCTTCAGAAGGATCAACCTTGCCGTAGGCGAATTCGGATTGCTGAGTGCGCTTGTCGCGCTGACCGTCCTCGCGCTTGCCGCCGTGCTCTGTGATCTGTCAGTATTGGACTTTCATTGAAGGGCGAGAAGCATATTGGAGTAGTGAGGAGAGAAGAAGCCTACCAGAAGGCTTGTACTTGTCGGCCATTTTGAAATATGGAAGTAGTTTTGTGGTTTAATAGAAAATGGTCTTGTAAATGTTTTTTTCTTTTTCAGTGATTGTTGTTGATGTGATGTGATGTTGTAAAGACATTTGATCGAGGAAAGTCACTTATATACTGCGCTTCTGTGCTTGATAACATCATCTTCATCATAGGATGTCATCATAGTAGTGTAATCATTCCTAAATCCAAGCTGAATTTCCCCAGTCGTTATTCCTTGAAATGTGTTAGAGAAATGTGGAGTTACACTAGATAGCTTGTATACTGTTTACCCGATTCGGCTTTTTCAAAACCCGCCTGTGGAGTTATTTCTTGATAAACCTGAACTATGTACCAACAACCTCATTAATAATGCGGATTATTCGTCACCAGCTATTGATCTTTCATCATTCTCCTTCATCTCTATTTCATCAACTCTCCACCAAGTGGGTTCTCGATTTCTCCAGATCTATTACCCGGGCCCACTCGCATAGATGCTCCAACGATCAGAGCAATGATCAGCAGTATCTTGTAGCTTCCGAAAGGGATCTAAGTTAGACAAATTAAGCTCTCTGAATTGATCATGAGTTCGTTACAGTGCCTTGCAAAGAGATCCGTCTATTAAGCCGTGGAGAGGGCCAGTTTCGTCGAGATCGGGAAGCCAAGAACTCAGTCCTCGTGACATGGCAGATCTCATTTGACAGTATATGCCAGAGCCGACGATCAGCGGCCGATTCAATATCGCTCATGAGTTTCTTTGACCACCAAGGAATTCCTGAGGCCCTTCTTCGAGATCCCTGCACACAGGAGAATGCTCAGCCGAGGGACGGCGATGATGCAGATGACAGTGAATATGGTTAAAGATTCTAGGCGTTGACCATCCCGATACTGTGTCATCCTTTGCGGCAATGATCGATTGGCAGACTGAAAACTTGGACATTGATGTGCCAGTAGCCAATGGTGCTGTATAACAAGCGGATCGAGTTCTCGCGGATAGTGAATATTCCGCACGATCTTTTGAGCTTACGTTTATCCAGAAATAACTTTGAAACAGTTTCAGCAAAAATCTTGATAATTTTCCAGCCTCCCAGAATCTATTTTAGAAACTATGTACGACGCAAATTGTAAATAGGTGTCGCCGTTCAAGAAACAGGCAATGTACAACTTGATCACGTGTATACATGTCCGGTCAATACCAGACATGATATAGCGAACCAGCGACGCTTCGGAGCTTCTTTAATTGTAGTTTAATCACGATTGGCGTAGGGTTTGAGAAACAATCAAAGAGTGTAAGAACCCGACACCGGTTTTGCCCTCGATTGTATAGACCGTTATCCGACGCTCAATACAGCGCTGGTTTCGATATCTTGATACATGGTCCAGGAGGGACTACGTACGAGGAATTCATCATCCCGCAACTTATGGAGCAGCTATTTCCTCTTTTTCACTCGGGACGCCATATCTCGGTGCTTGAAATCGGACCTGGCCTGCGGAGTTTCCCCCCGGAGCGGGTTGCTTCAGGGTGCAAATACTCCGTCTGGGTGTAATGGGCCCTCTTACGTCTCCATGTGAAAACTTCAAAAGATGGTTCAATGGAATTCAATCGGACTCTTGCATCGATTGGGAAATGAGCACGAATTGGAAGCGGAGCTTACAGTGAGTGAACTGCATCAGGAAATCCTTATCAGGTACGGTGACTAGATCTTGATATATAGACCTAACGGTGACGAGAAACTTGGTTAGTACTATTTTTAGTAAGTACTCGACACAGACAAATAGCCTATTGTAAAGATCCGGGAGTCAGTCGAGCAACATACATGGGTTATGGAAGGCGCTACTGACCCTCTGTTAATTTTACCTTGCACAACGTGAATTTTGATGACTTAGAAAGCAGACAACATGAAGCTGGCTCAACATTTCCGGTGTTAGATAACTGCTATTCCATTTCAACCGTGGATTGGCCTTTCTGTTACCGAGAGAGATAAAAACCATCGTACAATAGACTCAAAATGACCATGAGTCGAGATACAGGAACAGTACACGAGCTTTCAAAATAGCAGACGCGAAATTACATGTCTGAGCCTTGGAGAGCTTTGGTTGTAAGATGCCTGCCTCATTCCGTTCAGCTACATCTGGGCAGGGCATTTCAATGTCCGAGATCCTCAAAAAGCAGGAGTATATAATATGATCCTTGACTACTCGCTATATCTGGGTGGTTACCTACTTTCTCAAGTGAGAATGTACTACTCTTAATCTGACTTGCTTTGTGTTCTATGGATCCGAAACGTTTCACTCTACGAGCTTCACGAACGCCAAAAAGCCCCGCGAAACCCTCCCCTAAAACGAGTGTCAAACAAACCGATGCTTACGCGTAAAAGAGCCAACTTCTACTCCACTGAAGAACGTGATATCAGTTTTGTCGAGTTCCATAGCGTCAGTTCAAGAGGCTGTGCTGTGGATGCTTTGTCGTGCGCGTGGATGGCGGGTGCCGAAGGATTTCGAGAAGATAGTGCGGTAATTAGCATGATTTTTTATTTCGAAGCGTTTATAGAGACTGGCAGAAGGAAATGCTTTAGACTAGACGTTTTACCTCCTAACCGTGGAGGCTTGAGAGAAGATTTTATGATGGTTTTGTTGATCAAGGCTCTGTCACGACTCAGTGTTTATCCTTTGACGAAGCAGCCAGGGTTCGACTCACCAAACCAGATATACAAAGTGTATCAAAACACGATTTAAATTTAATCAAGAAGACTTCGATAATTTTTATTCTGCAAACGAATGTGATGCTAGAGTTGCTTATCCTAAATGGTGCGCACTAACCATAAATGGAAATGTTTTCAAACCATGTCCTTTCCTCTTTGGGGACTATTAGCCCTAACTCATGGTTCAATCAGTATGCAACACAAATAATCCAATGATAAAGGGTATTATACAGCGGGCAAAATTATTCCACGACATTCTCCAAAGCCCAATCGGGGTTGGCCTTCACCACCTCCACACGACGCACCGAGGATAATTTCGTCACCATCCTTGAGGAATCCGAGTCGATCACCGTTGGCCAATTCAATTGGTTTCGCGCCATTGAGAGTGGCCTCAAACAGACAGCCGAGTTCGTTTTTAGACTGGAATTTCCAAAGAGGAATTAGTACTCAGCTTGTTTCGTAATTAATATATGTAAGAGGTTTTATCTTACCTCTCCAGTGATAGTTCCTGTACCGAGTAAATCACCCGTTTCTAACCCACAACCGGCCAAAGCATAATGTGCGACTTGCTGATACGGTGTCCAGTAGAGGTAGCTCAAGTTACTAGTCGTAATTTTATGAGAGACTCCGTTCCCTACCGATTAGCTAAGTTAGTAGGCGAGGCATTAGTTGTTCTGGGTATTGTATCAGGAGGACTTACGGAGTAGAGTCACTTCTAATCTAATATCAAAGCTTGCCTTTGTTTGATCCGGATGACGCTGATGCTCAAACTCAGTACCGGTATGATCATGCCATGGTTTGCAAGAGAATGGCAACAAAGCATCTAAAGTGACGATCCATGGTGAGATACTTGTTCCAAAGCCTAGAGAGGTGATGTATCATTAGCAAACTGCCTGAGATATTGGATCTTTTGTGGACTCACCCTTCGAATGAAATGGGCCTAGAGGATTCATCTCAAATCCCTGAAGATCCCTAGCTGACCAATCGTTCAGCAAAACAAAGCCGAAGATGTGGTTTGCTGCATTTTCGACCGATATTCTCTCTCCCATAAGAACAGGCTTGGAGATAAAACAACCCATTTCTAATTCATAGTCCATATTTTTTGAGGGGCAAAATGTCGGTTGCTTGGTTTCTGGGTCGTAGAGGATTCCGTGAGGTCGTCGGACAGGTTCTGGGGACGGAACAATGCTCGATGTTCGACCATTGTATACGAGTGGTGCATAATAGAAGTTTTTGGAGATCGTTCCACCGGTTAAAGCGGCACACTGTAATGTGGTCAGTCGATTTTTGAATTCGTAAAACACTGGAAGAGGCCTCGTTGATATTTCATACATTTTTACAATGCTCAAGCGAACACGCAAAGTCCACGTAGCCACCAATAGTCATGGGCAGATGCAGCTTCACAGATTTCAGAGGAATTGCACATCTTTCAGGAATATTCCCGGCAGCAAACTCTGTGGCCAGATAGGTGCGAACATCTGACCGGATGGCCGAGTCTAGAGCTGCAAACTCATTCAGTGAGGGCTAAACTATCAGCATCCTAGACCAAAAAGTATTTCCGGACATGCATACCTGGTTGAAAATAGCATATAGACTTCTGTACCCTTTTAGTTGAGCGTATGTTCTGTCTTTCCAATATGCTGCTAGATCAATCGCATAATCGCCCAATGCCGTCGCACAACGTGGTTGGGGATTCGATTCGGTGGAGATTACCCCAAACGGTATATTGTCTAGGGTAAAAGGAGAATCTGGGCTAACACTGATTTTGAATGCCATTTTCTTGTTCTCTAATATTAACTCCTGGTTCCATTTGGCTATTCTTTTCCTGTTTTCAAATCTACCGTTGGCATTGATACGCCATTCATTTAAAGCTAATGTTAAAAGTCCTCCACCTATCCGATCCCGTGGGGATCTTCGTACGTATCGAAATTGACCTGGGATACCCCTAGTTTGTCCTATCTGTGGAGCATACCTTACGCAACAGATCCCTTAGCAGTATTGCTAAGCTGCTGATCAGTCTATCGATGCGCATTGGTAACTGAGTTCAGATACAATCCAATATTAGTTACATCAAACGTACGCTATATGAACACTATTGAAACATTCAATTGACTGTCTGACTAATCTTAGGCCATTCTCCAAAAGTAAACTGTGAATTGCACATGTTAGTGAGCTCCCAACTCTCTGCGCCTAATCTTCCGTAGACACCCCTGTCCTGTTCACTACCCACAGCACCGGCGACAAACAATGCAGCCATAAAATGATCATCTGTTGCGTGCGCCTCTCTGAATTTCGGATGTTTCATCAATCGTGTGATTGCGCGGCGAAGCGCAGGGCCACTGTTATTCACTATGGCATCCTCGACCGCCTGCCGAAAGTCCATTGCCCAGTCTTCTGGAGGCGTCAATTGGGCGAAATTATCCATATAGTTAAGCATCGGCGCCCAGATATTACGGTAAAGATTGTGCACGGCGCCACCCGTGCCAATGATTAGGTATCCTTGCTCTCGCAGTGGTCGCAGAGCTGCTCCGACACGCATATGGAAATGAGGATCGAATCGAGAATTTGCGGAAATAATCGTAGTGGGCGGGCATTTCTTGGGAAACATGCGAATCAAGATAAGATATGTGTCGTGAATCCAGTCAAATTTTTCGTCGGCAGAAGCGTCGAAGCCATCTTTACGGAGCAGTTCGATACACGCCTGGCCGAGTTCCAGATCTGGATTGAGTTCATAATCGACATATTTGGACGGATGTACGTATGCGACAGGTGACTTATTTGGCTTAGGGTTCATTGCGACTTGAATCTTATTTAGCCCGGAACAATCCCAATGGGCTCCCTGATATTGTCAATCGTATACATAACGAAGAAAGGCTAAGAGTTATCACAATGAGCATTGAACATACCATCATCACCACTCCCTTGATTCCGTTTGCAAGGGCCTCATCACCGCATTTCTTCCAGTAATCGGCCGAAGTAGACTCTTCTCCCAACATCATGGTCGAGCCATGGGAGAAGAAATGAACTGGGGTAGGCTCCGTAGACATGGTGAGCTGGTGGTTCCTTTCAATGTGTGAAAGATGTGAGTCCTATACTAGTCATATTGCACCTCAAAAATCGTCTTTGTCGCGCAAGGCTGAAATACCGTCCCAACGTTCTACCTAAGACTTTCATTACTATGTCAATGAAGAGCTGAGTATAGAGTTAGTACTCGGCTCCACCTTAGGGTTCCGAGGTGGAGGAGGCGACTTCCGACGTCCAAGAACAGTCGTTTTGGGGTAAGAATTAGTGGCATTAAGCGTGTGTCTAAGCCACTTAGCTGTTCCCCATCCATTTATTGTCGAAGTTAAACATGTTATTGGCCGTTTGAGTTGTAGAGTGCTGTCCTTGTAATATTTACTACGAAATCTGAGGAACTGGGGAACTGGGGAACGCGGGGAAACGTGGGGAACTCTCCACTTCCCCTTTATCAGCGCCAACCTCCCGGGCCAACTTGATCCTGTACTCACCATCCGATATCATGTCCACAACAGCGGAGGATCAGATGTTGCCAACAGTAGAAGTGTCATCAACTGGCGGTCAGCCGAACCTGTATCAGTGTGGAAAGTGTTCCCAAACGTACAAGCGCATCGACCATCTCTCTCGGCATGTGAGAACGCGTACGTCTTTCGCAATGCACATTTATTCCCACACGCTTGCTAACTCGATAACTTAAGATACGCAGGAAAAACCGTATAGATGCCATGTTTGTCCCAAGAAATTTGGCCGAATGTAAGTTCTACCTTTATCTTGTTGTTTGATTCTAATAATCGGTTCAAACAATTAGTGATTTGCTGAGTCGGCATTCCACCCTCCACAATACCAATAGGGATGATTCTTCCTCTTCAAGGAAGCGTCGGCGCGGTCCCAATGACCAAAGTATACCGGTCCGCACTTCTCAAGCATGTGTTGCTTGTGCAGAGAATCATCTGAGATGCGATGACAATAAGCCCTGCGGCCGATGTCAACGACGAGAAATCGTGTGTAGGTTGCCTGCTGGGACCAACGATGTCTCTGAACCCTCTGGTCATTTACGTCAGAATACCACTCTTATTCCCGATACCTCTTCCAGCCAAGATGATCGTCCTTCACATCCACAGGTGGGAAAAAAAGACAATAACTGGCTAGCAGAACACTCAGGTGGATCCGAACAGGTACCTGAAAGCTTACCATTGGTATCTGCCGAGCCTCCCTTAGCTCTATCGCTGTCAGAACAGATGCACTCACTCGGCACTGGGGGCCTTGAACATCATGATGCTTTCTTGAACACCTTTCCCTCAAGTTGCCCTAGTGGTATTAGGACACCGCATAACCTGATTTCATTCGGCCTGGAAACCGACCTTGATCTGAGTATTGTAGACTTGAGCTTTCTTGAGTCGTACAATTCCCGAAATCCATTCGAATTTGGAGAACTTCCACCAGAGCCTTTACCACTACCCAGTGTGACGACCCCTGAGATCAATATAGAAAAGACTGGCCACCCAGCATCCTTGGGGAAGTTGTTATGGCGATTTGTCCCTGCACCCCAGGACCATGGCTTAGCGGAACATGATAACCTGCTGTTGCCAGACCAAACCGAGTCCAACCCAACGCCCCAGAGTCTTGTCGAAGTCGAGCATCGAACTACAGCAGAAAAACTGGACTTGTCCTCGCGAGACAAGATACTCGGTATCTTTCTCCGCCAGATGAAGCAGCCTAACATTTCCCAGGCTGTATCATTTCCGTCAGTAGACTTGCTAGATAGTTTTATTCAATACTACCTCACTGCGCCATTTTCGAACGTCCGGTCATGGCTTCACCTACCAACTCTGAATTTCAGAAAATCCCGGTCCGAGCTGTTGCTTGGGCTGGCTGCCGCCGGTGCTGTTCTTGCACCGGATCTTGCACTACGAAAGCTCGGTTACGCGATGCATGAAGTGTTACGGATCCAACTAACTGCTGCTGTCGAGGAAGATAATACAGCTGCCCGGAATCTGGAGATGCACCAAGGTTTCTATCTATATTTGGATATCGGGCTGTGGAGCGGAAATAGCCGCAAGATTGAGATCGCCGAGAGTATTCAGAAGATGCTGGTAACAATGATGCGACGTGGAGGATGGTTCTATCGATCTGCATATTCTTTTATTCCCTTACAGGGTGATGAAACAGGCCACTCCATGGAGGAACAATGGAGATCCTGGGTCAGACAGGAGAGCTTTAAAAGACTAGCGATCCAGCTTTTTCAACATGATGCACAGACATCAATGGCCATATTGAGCCCTCCGCTGATATCATACTCTGAGATCTCTGTTCCACTTCCAGCAACTTCAGCTCTATGGAATGCAAACTCAGCATTTGAGTGGCATGATTTATACTGTGAAGAGCTTGCTTCGATGGGCTCAATGCATTTGCCTACCGTTATGGAATGCGTCGCAAACTTGGATGTCCTCGATTTGAGCGGGAAATTTATCGACCAAAAGGTATCATGTGAGGCGGTTATACATGCTTTCTGGGGAATCGTCAGAGAATATCGTCAATTCGACAAATTACTGAAGCATAAAGCGCGCTACTGGGATAATGGGCTAGTCTTAACATCTCGCTATCAAGAGCTTACCAGAATCCTCGATTACTGTAGAATCGCATACGAGCCTGAGAGCGCACTTACTCTGCACGTCGTTTTGCTGAATATGCATGTTTCGTTGGAAGATGTTCAGTTCCTGATTGCAGCTGAACCTCAAATATGTCATCCAGCGCGAGCCTCTCTCTCTGAATGGGCAAATCAGAAAGAATCCAGGCAGGCTCTGTGGCACGCAGGTCAAATAATCAAACACATAAAGTTGCTCCCAGTGCAGGGTCTACGAGACTTTGCTGCTATTGCACTTCACATGGCGGGAATGACTTTGTGGGCATATGGAAGCCTGAGTCAAGGACCGGATTTTCAACTATCACAAAAGCTCTCCGCTACGCAAAATCTGGAAGCCCAAGAACCAAGTGCTGTCCCATATCCTCTTACATCCTACCATCGAGATGGAACAAACCTTGATTTCACCATGGTTTATCTGGACGGAGTCCAGTCAGATGATGTCAATCGGTATATTGCCTTTGAAAGAGGAACACCTGTACTAAAGGGATATGAAGAAGATGCTGAGCTGGTGTATATACATCATCCGCGAGCGGTTCTGCATCTAATGATCGAATTGATGGAGCAGAACTATAGGCGAAAAGCTTCACATCAACCCCCTTTGGTGGCGAATTTAATACGCCTAATTGAGAAGCAGCTTGATGAGATGCAGTGATATCTTAATAGAATAATATATGGCCTTACGAATGTGACTTCTATGTATAATACAAGTAAACTTGCGGGTACTACATACAATATCTGTGGCACTTTCTGACAAACTACTTCCTGCGTGGTTAAAGTATTATTACTTGAACATGACAGTCTACTTGTTGTACTGCACTTCAGTGCAACCTGAAATTCCTCCACACAAACCCTAACCCATAATAAGCCAAAGTGCCAACACACAATAAGATTGGCACACCAGTCATCCCCAACCCGAGCAAGATACCCTGCTCGAAGAAACCCAATTGTCCGCCTGGGCGACGCTTCTGTCTTGTAGCGGTGATTTGTTTTGAGAGTTGGGATATCAATGCACTCTGCCATGCAGCTGTACTTCTGTTATCCTCAACAGACAGACACTGTTGAATTTGTTGAGATAGAGGTGTTTTGAGGATGTATTGCGGTCGAGGGATGGAGAAGAGATCTGTTGTATAGCGGACGTGGAAGGAAGAGGTGAGGGATGATGTTTCTGGCGATGGAGGTCCGACTTGCAAAGTGACCATGGAGTCAGTGATGACACAATTCAGAATTTGGAGTGGCAGGGCATCTTACCTAAGATTTCAAATGGGATCTGATTGACAAAGGATACTCGCGAAGGGATGAACTGGGAGACGTACTTCCCTGAGGCCGGGTCTGCAAATGTGTATGTAGCTAGTAGCTCCCCATTCCTTTGCAGAAGCGACATTTAGTATATCTTGAACCTGATATAAGAAGCTTTCTGGAAGAGCAATACTGACTGGCTTGCAAGGTCAATGGCATCATCCAATGACCGAACATTGTGCAGCAAAATGTTGTGCCCGCGGATTTTGCTCCGAAGTAATTGTGACTCTCTGTAGACGCGTGTCAGTATTTTTTCAATGAATGGACACATTACATCAGTCAATACCTGCTATTCACATCCACCAAGATTCCTTCTCCAATACTCGAGATATTAATGGCTCGTTTACTCTGAATCTCAGACGCAATCAGGCTTGCCGTTTGGTGGATATTCCGTGACGAAGGAAATTTCTCATCAATTTTCATCCGAAGTGATAATTGGTCCATACTAGCTTGCATAAGCGCGCGAAGGAATGGACCCTTTACAAACTCGTTTACCAGCACAAAGTCTGGCGCATATGGTGAGTTACCTCCATAGGCGAACCGAGCTGTGGCAATTGCTTCTGCTGCGCTGGTCAAATCGGCAGTGCGGTCGACGATGGCGGCCGTCCGGGTGAATGATAATAATGGGAAGAGGCTCTTTGAGAATGAAGTTCTAGTTTCAGTATCCGGTATCTCCTGGAAGAGGCGGATATGGTTTGGTGAGAGGTCTTCATCGCTGGCACGAGTTGAGGTGAACTCGATCACAGTGTGATCGAGAGCTAATTTCAAAAGTTCTCGTAGTAATTCAGAGACCCTTCTTTGTCTAAGAGTTTCTTGAAGCTGTGATATTTTAGATAAACACTTCGACTTGGTAGCGGTTACTGATCTGTAAGGTGACTTACCTCGATAACGACGCAGTTCCCAGCGGTCACTGCGGCACCAGTAGCACTAACAACGGAATAGAAGTAGTTATACGTGGTGGGAACAATATATACTACTCCCACGGGATCTTTAAAACATTCAGCGTTCTGCCCTCGTGTAATTGCATACTCATCTTTTAGAGCTTGCTGGACATCCAGTGACTCATAGTTCTCATTCAAACACTTCAGTGTTAGGAAGTATTCAATGGCGGCTTCTGTGGCAGTACATGCGCTATCTTGCTGTATCGCAGCCTGAATTGTAGCGGCACTGTCGATCAAGGCAAGTTGGAGGTTCTCAAGCTGAACTTGGCGCCATATGATGTTCTTTGCGCGGCCATCGACGGCAGCTTCACGGATCGATTGGAGAGCCTGTGACATGGTGTGTGGTAATTTTCTGATATCGGCCTGCTATCAAGAGGGTCAATACGAAGAAAATAAGTATTCTACAGCACACAATATCTTCAAGAGATTAAGAAAAACAGAACATGTTACCATAACTGAGGAAACGCTCGGAGTTAGCTGTCCCTTTGGCCCCCTCTCCGAAACTGTACCCGAAGGTATCCTCCACCTTTCCGATACCAGGCAATGCATCTCAGATTGTGCTTCCATTTGTGTTATACTATACCTGTGGACATCAATGTATTGCCTAAACAACATATACCCACCCATTTTCTATCATTGAAAAACGGAAACGAAATCAGCCCTTCACGAGATCTGACAATGTCTCGAACATCTACACTCCTCTCGTCGACTGAAACTCTAGCCCGCCTACGAGTCGTAGGCTATCTTTCAGATTACGACATTCACCACTCTAGCACTTCTCACATCCCAAATAGCGAGATCATTGATGAATTGCCATCACCACCACTACAATCGCCAGACCTGAACCGAGAAAGTCCAGAATGGCCGAACCATTACCGTCGTATTCCACCATATCGACCAGTTAATCATGATCTCGATCAAGGGCAGAGACGAGTTTATACCAGTGGCCCGGAGAGGGCTTTCATTGCAATTATGTTTCTTGGTGTGAGGAATAATGCTGTATGTTTCCATCATCCCTATTGCCCTTCTCCGGGACGATCGTGCGCGAAAGCTAATGCAGCTATTGAACATAGAGACTGAATAAACTGTGGAGGATGACGGGCGAGAAGATCAATGATCAGGTATTTGGGTACAAGATTGGTGGAGAGTGGTGAAATATGGACTTTTGCTTCATTACTGTGATATTTAGCAGGAATACTGGATTTGTTTCGAAATTTGAGTGTGGATACATGAATAAGTTACCAAAACTATGGAATATCGAGTATGTTGGATATATAAGTAGAAAATTTTGTACTGAATACCTCTAGTTAACTGCTTAGGCCGAGACACTTGAAACCTGATATAGTCGAGACACTCTGCTTTGATTTGAATTCCAAGGTTATCTTTCAAGTTTCGTAGATTTCCGAGACATTTGAACTGCTCAATTCACGGAAATATAGAGATAAAGGTATTCGACGGCCATGCCTATGGGATGATTGGTAGTGTAAGATAATTCGAGAAATGAGGACCAAAGTGTATGTGATTCAATCCGTCGAATTTCTCTTTTGATCTGTGAGGAGGAAAGTGACGTGTTAGAAAACCAATTAATAGTATTCAACAGGGCCGGAACCTACCTATCTACTGGGTCATTATGCAAGAAGATACCGGCCCCTTGTGTGTCGCCAGATGCGACCTCCAGCACAATCTTTCCTCCCTTTTCAACAACTACATTGGTGGGCCAAATCTCCACGTCAACCGCATAAATCTCTCCAATAATGACCGGCTCAACATCCGCAGACGTATAATTTCGGTGAGGAAGCCAGGGTTTGCTCTTGTAATGAGATGAATCAACCTTGCGTAGACTAACGCGTTGCCAGCCCTTTGTTAATGGAACTGGGTCGCCTGCTGTTCCTGTGTAAAAGATCTCTTTTCCATGAGAACCAATGTATCGTAAAGTCAAAAACAAGTCAATATCGGTTGGGATTGACTCGCTACCGGAGTATGGGGTCATAGATACGTTCAAGTGTGCCACCACGTGTCCGGTAACTTCGGTTTCAGCTTCAAAAGGTTTCGTTTCAAACTTGAGTAGCTCTGGCTGCTCAATTGTGCCCAATGCCTTGTATGATAGCTTACTCGACCTCTTGACCAACTTCTCCGAAGTAGAAAGTGAACCGTCCGAATCCAGGAAGAACTTCGTATATTGGGTTCGGCTGATTGGCCATTCAGTTTCCTCACGTCGCTCATATACTTTCTCTGCTTCGGCGTTATTGAATCCTACGTCGCCTTTGCGTAGGAGAACACTGACAGGAGGCACTTTCCCCTTGACGGACCATCCCTCTCGATCCTCGCCTTTGAGAAAAGCATCAAGGAAGCTTCTCTGTATTTCCACCTCCTCGTGATAATAGAACGGTAGGTCATGGCGTCCAGTAATGAATCGAAGATACTTGAATTCAGAACCAGCCCAGAGGTATCCCTGTACATTTCCACGCAAGTGCAAGCAGATTCCACCCCAGTTTGCCACGCTTAATAATGGGACCTGAATATCACCCATGTGATACTCCTTGGAAGCATAATATGGCTCGTCCCGGAACCTGTTCGCTACATTATCTTCAGTCTGGTCATTACGATTTGCCAAAAGTTCCTCTTCGGTTAGGTCGCCTTCAATCGTATCTGGGCCCCAGTTGCGAGCAGATTTTCCCGGCCGGCCGTATTGGTTGGTGATGACTTGGCGATTCCACCAAAACTTGATGAACCCGTTGGATAGAATACCTCCCTGGCGACATCGGTCGCGATAGTAATCCGACATCCCTTCCCAAGGAATTATAGCACATAATCCTTTTGGGTTTCGAGCTGCAACGCGCCATTGGCTTCCGGCATAGTAGCTACATATTATCAGTTACACTATGATAGTGGCACAGGAATAAGATATTCGCACCTGATTCCTAAAAGACCAACTTTACCCGATGACCATGGCTGTTCGGCTGCCCATTCAACCACATCAAAGAATGCATCACTGGTTCCTCGAGACATGGTATCCAAAACTCCTGGCGACTGGCCCAGTCCTCGCTCGTCAGCGCGAACGACAGCGTACCCATTGCGTGTCCAAAATCCTGGATCAGGAGTTTCCCAAGCTGAATGATCTGAATGATGCTCCGGATTCACTTCGGCAAAAGATTTGGGATGAAAACTAGTATAACTATTAGACGACTCTACCTTTAGTATAGATAGTGAGCAAAGACAACGCACTCCTTGTATTGAATATCCTTTCCGTACGGTCCATAAGTTACAATAACAGGGACAAGGGCGCCTTCCTCGATATTTGGCCTGTATATATTGACGCGAACAAGACCGTTAGCAGACTTGAGAGGTACGCCTACATTCTGTTCAAAGATATAGGGAAATGAAATAGTGTCGCGAGAGCTGATATTTCTTATTTGGTTCGGCATGTTGGCGGACTCTATATTTCCACATCCAGTCTGGTTGTACGACGTACAAAATCAATCAGAATCTTCCTTAGGAAATAAACAGTCCTGTAAATTCTATCCCGAGTCTAGATATAACAATTTCAAGACAGATATCGCCATCAGCTATGTGGACTTACTTGCTATGTCTCCGGCTCCTCCACCTCGGGAAGTTATTGATGGGCGCTATAGGTACCAGATTCGGCCTGTAAACCCCAACTCGGGAGAACCTTCTCATGTCCACCCGATGGGCGTTAGCCATGAGATTTATTTCAAAGCTCTGCGCTGGTATTGACGAATTTGCAAAGGAATCTGACACATCTATTCGAACTCAGAGAGATATACCTCGCTCCTTCGTTACAATGGCAGAAGATCAGATTCTCGATAACGGCCTCCCTCAAATGAACCGCTTTATCACCGATCACGCACCGGACGGGAAAGCAATATTCAGTACTGAAATTCCAGTTCCTTTGAGCTGGCAGAAACTGCCTAATGGTGCACGGTTCGCGCTAAGTTATACCACGAATGAATTTCCTGCCAATTTGAACGGCGGCCTAGATATAACCAAATACGAATCCTATCTGCAGAGCCCACCAGGTCTCACAATTCCCGGCGGCTCGGTATTGCGTATTGTCGATGTGAATCCTGACTCACTCTCACCAATGCATCGAACAGTCAGTCTTGACTATGGAGTCGTGATTGAGGGAGAAGTTGAGCTTATCCTGGATTCTGGTGAAGTAAGACGCATGAAAAGGGGTGATATTGCAATTCAGCGTGGTACAATGCACGCATGGCGAAACCCCAGCAAAACGGATTGGGCTCGTATACTCTTTGTGTTGCAGGAATCACAGCCTCTACAATTAGAAAACGGAAAGGTTCTAGGAGAGGATTACGGACACGGCATGGATAGTGTACCAGCGTCTCATTCATAGATCTTTATCACGGATTCCAGATGTTGTCTAAGAGAGAATAAATTCTAGGCCTATTAATCCGAGCCAAGTAACGCTATTGTGAGATAAAAGCACATAAACTCACTCAAGCAGATAAAATGCTTTCCACTGTAGGTATGTTGAAGTAGCAAATGCAGACAAAATCGATGGGTCAACTGCTCCGTTCAAAGTCATAAGACACTGGATGGTCCCGATATCAATGTATGGGCACCCGAACCTGTAGGTGCGGAGTTGTACAATCTTAGGGCACATGACTACTTTGACTTCTACCTAAAGTTGTATAAAAGCCATCTACGTACGGAAGACTAATTTGCGATGTTCCAGTATATTTAATATGTACCTAGGTAGCTGCAGCTCTAACTCATTCAATCTACAGCTCAATTAAAATATACTGTTTTACTTGTTTCGGAACCAATCACACACCTGGACAAACTACAAAATGGCACTGTCAAACGGAACAGAAAAGAAAACAGGGCTAACGATCTTAATTGTCGGAGCTGGTATCGGTGGTCTTACGGCGGCAATTGCTCTTCGAAAACAAGGTCACCACATTCAGATATTTGAGCAATCGAGGTTCGCTACTGAGACTGGAGCTGCACTTCACCTTGCCCCGAATGCGAATGGTATCCTACGACGGCTAGGACTGTTCGCAGAAGAGTTTGGCGCAAATCCAATACATAAGGTATTTCATCTATACCTACGTATATAACTGTTTGATGGTTTCTAATACTACAATTAGTTTACTGAGTACACTGCAGGAGGCCAGCTTTTGCATACACTCTCCTTTAAAGAGGACAACAAACGATGGCAGCATGTATGTTCCAAAGAATGATGCTGATGAAAAAAGAATGTCATTTTCTAACAGTCTCATAGCCATGGTATCTGGCGCACCGTGTAGAATTACACAACGCGCTGAAAAAGGCCGTGTCCTCCCCTACCCCTGATGGGAAACCAGCTATTGAGATCAAAACTTCAAGCCGTGTCGAAAGAGTCGACACATATAATGCGACAATCACTTTTTCAGATGGGACACAGATTCGAGGAGATTTAGTAGTTGGCGCAGATGGAGTTCATTCGATCTCGAGAGCATCTTTGCCGAACTGCGAGCATATCAAGCCATTTCCAAGCGGCAAAAGCGCATTTCGCTTCCTGATACCCAAGCAACAAGCATTAGATGATCCGGAAACAGCAGCATTAGTGCTAAATACTGGTGAACAAAGCATGTGGTTTGATGTCAATCGTCGTATTGTCATGTATCCTACTTCAAACAACAGGATGCTCAACTTCGTCCTCATTCACCCCGACGGTGAGTCTGCGAGCGAAACAATCGGGTCTGACACTTGGGATCAGTCTGCAAATCTGGAAAAAATGCTCAAAATCTTTTCCTCTTTTAGCTCTGCCATCCTGAGATTATTGTCTAAGGTGGAACCCCAAAGCGTTCGCGTCTGGAAGTTGCTTGATATGGACGCTCTGCCAAGGTTCAGTGACAATCGGTTGGTCCTGATAGGAGATGCGGCTCATCCATTTTTGCCTCACCAGGGCCAAGGAGCAGCTGTTGCTATAGAAGATGCTGCTGCTTTGGCTGTAGTTCTACCTCTGGAGACAGCTCAAAGTGAGATTGCGGATCGACTGGAACTGTACAATGAGATTCGATATACCAGGGCAACCACAATACAGTCATTTTCCAGACTAGTTGGGAAAGACCTCAAGCCTGGAGACAAAAAGCCAAGCAGTGAGTCAATCTAATTCATACTCATGGTACCGAAAATTTTGCTAAAAGAAAAAAACGTATTCAGTGTGGGAGTTTCAAAACTATAATTTCGGACACGACGAGTGGGATAATTCAACTCAAAAGCTCCGTGAATGGACATGGAAGCGAAACCCAAGCGCTTACTGGCGTATGCCTATTGCCTTTGGACCCATGCCGGGACCGCGACAGACGCACTTTGGAACTGCTCGTAATAATCAAAGGTCGACATTCACCACGGCATCGATCAAGTTTAAAACTTCACGTACTATCTTGGAGACTCTATTCCCGCCCATGCGTAGTGGATGGCGTTTCAGTGTCCTTGACACTGTGGCTTATGCAACTTTCTCGTTGACAACCCTCAATAAGCTGGATTGGCTAGGTGGATCTGGCTATAATCACATTGGCTTGTATATCCACGGGGTTGAATATACTCAGGAAGAGGGCTCAGTTGTTAAAGGGGTCTACCTTCCCGTTCTTTTCGAGTCGCTGACAGATCCTATCATATCTGGCCGAGAGGAGTTGGGTATGCCCAAGGTCTACTCCTCCATTGACGTCTACCGTCGTAATACATCCTATCGTGCACGAGCAGGCTGGGAGGGGGCCTTCTGGGGAGAATTCTTGTTGAAAGATCTGGAAGAAGTTTTGCCACCGTCTCCAGCTAAGGAGCATCTCTGGGAGGAACCCCTCCTTACTTATAAGTATTTACCTGCGACTGGACCCAAGAACAAGGGCAAGGCGGCCGAAGAATATCCTGTGATATATGATGTATCTATGGAAAACCAGTTCAAGGGCACCATTCTCAAAACATACAAGGCTGAGAAAGCGAGCTTTGCACTTGACCCTCTTGATTGGGAGCAGCTACCCACTTTGCATCATGTAATCAGTCGATTGGCCGAAATTCCTGTCTACGACATCGTTGATGCCAAGGTGGTTGAAGGTGAGGGGGTGCCAGACCTTGCAGCAGCCCGTCCAATTGTCTAATAATTATGGAGCTTAACCTTGGAAGAATTATTTAGCAAATTACCTAGAAATAAATACCTACCCATATAATACAATCTATTGTTGGTTGAATAATACAATTCTCATTTATTATGTGCCCACAGACAATGCTGAGTGGATAACTGCACATCAAGCATCATGAAAGTCAATGAACAGATCCTCTAGAACTTACATCCATCATAACTATACCTAGATATCTAAGCAATGTCAAAGTTCGGGGCTATCTAGGTATACGACGGATGTCTGTAAGCTTGAAAACTCATTTGCTGAGAACGGATCCATTCACTGGTTAGAGACAATGTTAAACAAATTTCTGGCCATCACGATTAGGAATAGCTCACCGACGTAACATCGAAAATTCCTTTTCTCTTTACTGTACATATTCAGATTTCATTTGGGGTGTGATTCAGTCAGCTAGACGCGACCTTGATACTATCGGTACAGAGGTGGAGGAAAAACCGGGGCAGTGGAGATACTCATCGTCGGTTGTGGGAGTGGAGGAGAGGATCAAGTACCTAGGTATTCAGAGTATTGACACAAAAAGTGTCCTGAACGCTGAAAATGCAAGTGTGAGACGTCTGGCCTGAGAAACTGCCATTCAAACCCAAGATGTCAAGGATTAAGGAGGAGAAGCCAATCATCGAATTTGCAGAGAATGTGGAGGGTCAACTTCAGAATCGAACTGACCATATCTTGGTTGATGCCGATGGACTGGTGCAACGGCTACCTGTGCCCAGCAAGGATTCCAATGATCCGTTGAATTACTCCTGGAAGGAGAAGGCATCGATCATTGTGAGCTGTTGCTGGTTTTGTGAGTCAACTGCACCATTCAAGGATGTTTACCCCAGGTCAAATTTTGCTAATCATGCTATTTACATAGCTGCTATGTCCTTGTCATGTGTTAGTGGCCTCGGTGCAATTCTCAATGTCTTCTTTGAGATGTACATTCCGGAAGGATACAGTACCAACCAAGTAGTCTGGCTGTCTACGTTTCCTTCTCTTTTTGTCGGAATCGGTCAGTAGTTCTCTGTGGCTAGGCATGAAGTTGAACGTAACATACTAATATCAGAGGATGCTCAAAGGCAATTTTTTGATCCTTCCACTTGGATTGTTGTATGGCCGCCGTTTTGCTTTTATCGTGTCAACCATTGTCCTGTTGGGGGCCACTATCGGTTGTGCTCTTTCGAATACTTGGGAACAACATCTTGCATTGCGGATTATCCAGGGGCTTGCAGCTGGCGCTACTGAGTCTGTACGTGATGATCTATTAGTCAAGTGATAAGTGGTTTCGGGCAAGGCCTAACGAGATATCATAGGTTCTTCCCCTGATGCTCGCTGAGATTACGTTCGTTCATCAACACGGTTTAGTATACGGTCTCTATTGGGCAGCACAGAATATCATCACCGGGTGTCTTACTTTGGCAGCTTCCTATGAAGTTGCTGCTCTCGGATGGCGCTGGTACTACTGGGTATTTATGATTGCGGTTGCTATCGGCCTTGTTATGGTAGTATTTGGCGGCTTTGAGACCGGCTACAAACGCAGTTCTCAGTTCATAAATGGACGTATGGTTCTCACAGACCAGTATGGAGTGACTCGTCTGCTCACGGAGCATGAAACACGCGAATATCTTGAGTTAAGTGGCATTCATTCCAGCAACGAGGTACCGGATGAATTGCGAACCAAGAAGACTTATGTGCAGATGCTGGTACCTTGGTCGTCTCCTACAGAAAATCCGTTAACCTTTCTCCCGCGTGTCTTTTTCCACATTGCTCAGGCTTATACATCTCCCGCAATTATTTACGCTACTTTACTATCTGCCATCGTTCTTGGATCGTCGATAGGCATCTCACTCACATATAACACTGTACTTGAATACAGCTACAATTGGTCAGCGAGTTCTATCGGTCTGATCAACCTGGGCGGAGTGTTTGGAGGGTTTGGTGGTATGTTTTACGCTGGGTATCTAGGCGATAAATTCATCATTTGGATGGCGAAGCGCAACAATGGCATTCATGCCCCTGAACACCGGCTTATTTTGCTCATTTTTCCAGGTGTCCTCGGAGTGGCCTCCCTGCTTCTTTACGGCTTCACAGCCAATGGTGGCAGTACTTGGGCAGGACCCTATATGGGATGGACACTATTTCAAGTTACTTTTGTCTCCGTGCTCATTCTGTCCACTTCCTTCGCGGCCGAGGCCTGGGAAAAAAACCCTGGGTCAGCCCTTGTTGCTGTGGTTGGAATGAAGAATGTTGTGGCTTTTGGATTGAGCTACGGCATTATCCCAATGGTCAATACATATAGCTATCCAACAACCATGGGTATTTTGGCAGGTATTAATGCTGGCGTTTTTGCTCTGGGAATTCCGGTCTACTTGTTAAACCCAAGGGTAAGCTTTAATCATCTTCAGAGCGTATGGAATTGCGTTTACTAACTTCTTTCAGTGGCACCGTTATATGGAGAGTAAGGAACAGGAGCTCGCCACTACCAGACGTTGAGCAATCAACAGCCCAGCTTGTAGCAGACAACTACTATATAGGATTCTAACAGTAAAATATCCTTTATTCATTGCCTAGGCAATTCCAATGTTGATTCTACCTACTATAAGATAATCCGTTTCCTTCCAAACTTCTAACTAAGCAGTAGCGTCCCGTATGCCACATCAAGTATAGTAGTAGAACTATCTAATCAGCTAGAGCACTCTGTAATCATTGGCCTATGTATACTTAATCCAACCCTTTCTATCTCTTGAGCGCAGCGAGGGTAGACGATTTGTAATGAGTAACATCTTCAGTCGTTCTAGTAGCAATTAATATCTAGGTATCCATACTCACTGGCACTCCTTAATTTCCAACTATGTCGCGTCAATTCTTATAGCCAGCCACGATATTGCGGCGCTTTATACACGACATAACTGACAGCGTTGATGATTTCTCGCATTCATAAATGTATCAAGTATTATAGGATCATCAGCAAGCAACGTGGTGTTGTCGAGCTTGAGCTGCTTAGTGCCTAAGCTAAAGATAGGATGATTATAACATCGAGAGTATATAGTTAAATGCAGCAATCCTCTATTATGATAAGCCATTCCACACACGTATAGAGATTAGGGATAAGGATCAACTTCATCCCTACCTAGATGCGAATGAAGTCTCAAAACGAAGCATGCATCATGAAGATGAGAGCCAGAAGATACGGATAAAATCCGCTCCACACAATAGATAATTCCTCCTTGTGCGAGATAGTTCCGTTTTAGTGATAATGAGAAACGTCTCAAGAGAATTAAAACTTGTGTAAACAGAGAGAGGACAAGTTACCATGATAGTTAGGGCTTCGTGCCCTAGCCCTAAGTGGGCACATTTTCATATTTTGGCCAATTACCTATGATGGACGAAAGCCTTTTCTAAGATTCAAATTAGCCCAAGGTAGCGCCGGCCGAAACGTGAGATGTCTTATCATGAAGATAAGGAATCATCCATGATACAGAAATTATGTCGCATGTACTTATAGATTGCAAGACAAGCCATCATCCTTGTTGTTAGTAGGATATTTGATTTCAGATGGGGATAAAAGAATGTGTGCCATGATCATGTCAGGTGAATTCCAAGGAAAGGTTATCATAGCTACAGGAGCTGCAAGCGGTATAGGATATGTTAATCTCTAACTAAGGCAGCATTCGTATAACCAAATATGGATTAAGATTGTTGATCTGTTCTTAGACAAGTCACTGCATTGAAATTGGCTGCTGGTGGAGCTTGGCTCTTTGCGATGACTTGACTGGCCTGACAACCTTTATTCAAGAGCTACAAGGCGACCATCACAAGACATACATAACAGGTACATCAGCCGAAGTGATGACTGTGACAATCTCGTCACATCTATGGCATTCCTCGAAGGCTCCGATCGAATAGACCATCTATTCGGTTGCGCTGGCATAAATCCTAGATTTTGTCTACTGCGAGACAGAACAGATGCCATGTGGGATAGACTAGTAGGCACAAACCTGCGGGAACCATGCAACATGACTAGAGCATGTATCCCTCATTTATCATCGGGTTCAGCGATTGTGAACGTATTTTCGACGGCAGGTATGCATGCATCCGCAGGACTGGTAATTTATAATACAACGAATTTCGTCATTATCGGCTTCTTTAAGGCAATGACGCAAGAATTAGGACCGAGAGGCATTTGGGTCAATGCATTTGCTCCTGGATCTATTGAGACTCCGACAAATATGGTGGTTGTGGAGGGTGAAGCTGCCGTAGCAAAGGCTGAGAAGGATATTCCTTTAGGTCGGATGGGGCTGGCGGAAGAGGCGACTGACACGGCGTGTTATTTGTTAAGCGACAAGAATTCATTTATAAATGGTGCTGTCATTGAGATATCTGGTAAGATGTATTTATATCAACAAACCTGTCTGTATCCATCATTACAACCCATTCTTCCCAGTGTAGCAAGTTTTGACAGTTATCAACCCGGTAGCATGCTTTTTGCCTATCTATTGGCTTTCGGGTAGTTAGGCGGTAAGAAATACTCATCGTTACTTAACAAGAGCTTATTTTTGGAGGTACTAGAGGACAGCACCCGGACATGCAGTTGAGTGACTTTCCCTAGAGATCCCAAATATCTTGTTCCAGGTACGTGTCTTTGCGGTATTTTGAGAACAGGCACATATTGGGGACAGAAGCCTAACATCCGTGTTCGTTTTGACCAGATTAGCAAAATTAACTGTTGCTCATAGTCATGCAGAGTTCTTCAATAGGTTTGATGATATTCAATAAAATGTGAAATCATATTATAACCACCCGCAAAATAAGGTATTATACATCTTCTCGGCAACCGTCAAGATGATTCTTCGCGCTACATTAGTATGAGTTCCGACAGTCTTCTTTTCTAACAGCCGTATAATCCTCTCGTGGCCCAGTTCAACCGCGATCTGTAATGCTGTCCATCCATGGTCATCCTGTAAAAGCACATCAGCATTCTTCTCAATCAACAGTTGGACAATCGTCTCGTGCCCATAATAAGCAGCTGCATGCAATGCCGTCCATATATTAGATTTGTTGATCCTGTGGTGTCCAATTTGAGCAGACCATGTGCCGTCTTTGGCATTAGGGTCTGCTCCATGCTCAAGCAGTAGCATCGCTATAGTATTGTGTCCCCTTTCCGCCGCAAGGTGCAACGGTGTTGTGTTGCAGATCAAATTGACAATCCCACTAGGATTTATTACCTTTCCTTCCAAGTTCGATGCAGGATTGAAAGATCCTCCAAGTAACACTACCCTTCTGATCTGTACCGTTCTCCTTTCAGATATGGCACTCCGTTCGTTCTCCCTTTCTCCCAGAAAAAGCTGCATCATATGTTTGTGGATTTCGTAAATGAAATCCACGTTTCCTGAATAAACCCTCACTTCTCTGATCTGTGCTGTTGTCAAGAAATTCGCTGAGCCCTCGTAGAGCGTCAACCTTCCAACACAGGACTTTGAGAAAGTCACCGTTCTCTCGTACACTACCACTTCATCAATCTGAGCCGTCTTCAAAAAATTCACGGAGCCTGCATATAGAGATAACTGTTTAATATACGATGTCGTAAACGTCACCGTTCCATTATACACCTCCACCTCTCTAATCTGGGCCGTTGCCATGAAGTCTACGGAACCCCCATATATAGTCAACTTGCCGATATATGATTTTGCAAAATTCGCTGTTCCTCCATACACCGCAACTTTTTCAATTTGGGCCTCTGCTATGAAGTTCACAAACCCTTGGTATAGATCCAGCGTTTTAATGCTCTTCTGTGGTAAACCATATTGACTCGAGTATCTCGCGGATTGAAATCGGTTACTACTTTCTGAATTGCGAGATCTAGTGCCGTCCATCCAAGTTTATTTTTGACGCCACTATCAGTCCCCCTTTCCAGCAACAACTGAGTCATTGTGTCGTGTCCTTGAGAAGCCGCGGTATGGAGTGCCGTCCGACCGTTACTGTCTTTGACATGAATATCAGCGCCTTTATCTAACAGAAGCTCTGCTATATTCGTGTGCCCTTGAAAAGACACCATGTGTAATGCCGTCCGTCCATAGCTATCCTGCTGATTGATATCCAAACCCATCTCCACGAGTATTTTCACAATAGCCCTGTATGATTCGTACGTGAATACGTCCATATGATCTAACTCTTCAGGCCACCAGGAATTATGACTTGGCTCATGTGTAACGAAATGGTTAAGTAAGTGTTGCACCATTTCCTTATAATACCCATTCAGCGCCGCAGTTAGGGCACCTTGGCAAGAGTCCTTGGGAATGGAAGAAGCGGAAGCATCATGAGCTAAAAAAAAACTCCATGAACTTCTGGTACCCTTCGCACGCAATATCGTTCAGGGCATTGCGGTTCAGCATAGAGTCAATAGAGGCCATCTTTTCGAGTCGTAATTTAATAATGTCTGCCCATTCGGATAGAGATAGTTTTCTAGTCTCAAGGTTCGAATTAGGCTGGAGCCCACCGGCTAATCCATGCATGTGTGATGTCCCCCGATGGATGAGCTCTTTCTGTGCACTTGCGTCTAGTGAATGCTGGGACTCATCGGATACACCATTTGTGGTGGAAACTTCCCATGCTCGAACGACATGCCCGTACCAATTGTTGATAGCGTATTCCAGGAGTGCGCACTCATTGGGATGCTGTCGAGTCATGCACTCCGCAGAGCTGCTTCCTGAAAGAGACCCGTCGCAGAATTACAAATATGACAAGCAGCACTTTGCGATAAAGCTTTGGGAATGCTGCCTTTCTCTGAAACGACCCTCTTCTGTGGTCTGGGCAAGGAGATATGCCTTGACAGTTTGATGTGCAAATTGAACGAAATTGTCCTTGGATATCGTGACAAAACTAGAAAGTGTTAGGGAGATATAGCTCTCATCCTCTGCGCCACTGTTAGGATCAAATGAGGACCCTTGAGGATCTGCCATTGTGACTTCTGCCATCTCCTTGATGGTCAACGGACGCTCCGAGTACAATAGCCTCCGGAGGAGAATAGAGGCCCTTTCCATCTGTCCTTGGCCTTTTATATCGTTCAATATGCGGTCATATACTTCAGATAGCTCCGAAGGTAGGTTATCTAATGCTGAATTAAGCTCCGCCCAGGTTCCCTGTTTCCACAACAGGTCTAGCAGGCAGGCTGCCAAGCGGAACCTACATGCCACCATGAAAGATTTAGCGAACTTGTTCGAACAAATTCGAAGATACTCAACTCACATTCCGCTTGCTCTGCCGACGACAGCTTCCTTGATCTGCCTCTCTCTTTCTGTATCCAAAGGAAGCCAAGTTCTACCTTTGTGGGCATTCCAGCGCTTCATTTCCAGGGCGACAAAATTTCCGATATCATTCTCGATCTTGGTCTTCATCTTATTGGTCTGTAAATCGATTATGTGGCAGCAAAGGCCGTCTGCCGTTCCTTTCTGGATGATGTCAATTAACACTCTGTCCACAAGATTCGCAGAACCTCCATCTCGACTGGTGACTAAGAGATGAAGCTTGGAAGGGTTAGTGTCTACGAGCCAGCGCAAAAATTTCACTAGCTTTTCTACCTCTGACTCTTCCCCACTTCGAAAAGAGACACTGCATTCGTCCAGAGCATCAATGATTATATAAGTGTGCCCTAGTGTTTCAATCAAGATTTCTAGTCCCTCGAGTAAGTCGTCATTCGAAAACTCCTGTGAGAAAGTCTTCTTAAACAGCTTCTGTAAATTGGGAGGCAAATCGGCCTCGGCCGGCCACAGTTGCAATAGTAGAGAGAGAAGCAGCCTAGAAACGTTTCGCTTCTCATCTTCTCTCGCGTTGAAGTAATACCCCGCTACAGAAGCATCTTCTGGCAGGGAAGCTCGAAGGTACTCGATGATAGTGGAACTTTTTAAGTCAGTCTTGAGAGGTCTTTGAGCCACTTAATTTGACCGGTCATACCTTAGAACAGTTTTCCCACATCCCGACAGGCCGCGCAACCAGATCAGACTATCCGGATTGCTCATCCAGGACCGGAATTCACCCGAGTTGAATAGCTACTGGCCCGTTTCGCCAGCATGTTTCTGTTTGGCTTGTTGGTGATCCCAAAATAGCTCGAGACTGTTACTGTTCTGCCTGTTGGGGAACATAGAATTGAATAGGGAGGCCCGTTTATCTATCCCTGCAACATCAGTCATGAAAGTGCTAGGGTCATAGATGAGTAGATGAATGTTCCAAACCTTGTTGATAGTTGTAGATATGTCCAACGTTTATGGATGCATGGTCGTTTGCTGTGATATGCGAGAACGTATCCTCCGGCATTGTGGACTGTCTCTGTACAACCGGAGGGAAAATAAGGGAAGAGAAGAGAGAAGAAGGAACGAAGTGCAGTGTCAGCCTTGAAGTATGTGCTGCAGGACAAGAGCCTTCCTTTGGCCATTAGAACAAGCTAAATTCGGCAACCACTGGTCTTGAGAGGAGAACAGAAGATATCTGCATAACGCCAATTTGACTTTCTCCAATTCCTCCTCGATAAACTGTACCTAGTCATTGGAGTGATGGTTTGGGGGCAGCTGGCCTTGTAGCGGGGTTGAGGTGGCTGGACTGTAGCATCCGCGCTTCATCATAGCCGCCGGAGTAGTTGACCACCTGGCAGCAACACTCCTACAATTCCACGTGATCTCCTTCGCCAGAAATAATTCATCGTACTGGCTCATGTCGTATGCACGCGGCTCTTTGATCTCGTTGGTGGGCATAAATATTGTAGAAGACAGAGAACCTTGAACTCCGTGCTGAGTGGGTGAACATCTAGATCGAATCCCACCAATCACAGCGCGTAATAGCATCTATCTCGAACGGGTTAGCGCCGGGTAAGCCGCCCACTTGAGGCCTTAGGCTGGACTTTAAGCACGGGAATATATTTAGAACTCGCTGTCTCACAAATACATTAGACAGTATAGAATCATTGAGCATTTTCTCAAAAGAGTCACCCTGCCATGATATGCCTTTGATGACGCTATCAGATCCGTAGAAACATGACTGCGCCCAGCGCTGCCGGATGAGCCGGATTCGGGATGGTTCATGATTGGAACAAGATTGATCGTCTTTCAGCTTTCGGTATCAATACGCCACTAGTACCAGTACGTACTCCGGCCGCCAAGAGGTCCCCTGTTTGACAGCAGAATGCAGCACGAATAATACTGAGATACGGTATTCGCGGTGTATTGCCGATTAGCGTCCTGTGTCGCCAAGGCTGCTGCGCCAACCCCAAGAACTTAGAGGCTTGGTACATCTTGACTGCCGCTGATAAATGTGCACTGGCTGCAGTATTGGCGCTGTCTTTCGTTCTCTTTTCCTTCATGTTCACTGTTTAATTGTTTGCGCGTCGTTCGGTTATCAATCTGTCCGGATAGATTCGTTGATCCTTAATCGAACTAAGGACGACCTGGATTGCCAACATCAGATGAATTTGTCAACCTATTTTTATTCAGATAAATACCCAGAGTTTGCAAGTACAACGACATACGAACCGCCAAAGGCAAACCGCTGTAGAGTCTCAAGAGTACTCTCATCACAATTATGAAGTTCGGTGTTGGATGGTTATCTGCAACCCTTACTGCGACAGTTCTCTTTCTACAACGCGGTGATGGTAAGACATCGAATCCTGTCTTTCCCCAAAATCGGGTCTAATAACATGATGGCTATCAGCTCATTCGCATGCTCCGCCGCCTATTCAATATGTCTCCGAACTCGATCATGTCGTGATACATACTCCCTCGCGCCGTATACATTCTCACTCCAGTTTCGACATTACATTCACAATACATAATAACGCGGAACCCATTAAGTTAAAACTCGAACCAAATCATGATGTTTTGGCAGAAGATGCAGAGGTCCAATACTTGAACCATGATGGCACTGTCAGCCATACAGAGAGCATTGATCGCAGAGAACACCGCGTCTTTAAAGGTTCTGCATGGACTGAAATCGAGCCTGATCACTGGACATATGTCGGCTGGGCACGATTATATGTGAAACGCGATGGGTCTAACCCCCTCTTCGAGGGCACATTTAGTCTTATGGGGGATTATCATAATATAAAACTACGCTCGAGCTATATGCGGACACGATCCGAACTCGATGTCGTACCCGCGGGGAAGGATGAAGATTATATGGTGCTATTCAGAAACTCAGATATGTATTGGATGCACGAGCATACAGAGCTGAAACGATCTGTTCCCGAAGCTTCTTGCCAGGCGGACAAATTGGACTTCAATACAGATCCAAATCATCCTGTTTTCCGACCCCCGCAGTCAGCAAATCTTGCCGCCATATCCTTTGATCAACTACTGGGTCGACGACAGTCTGATACTGGTGGTATTGGTGGAAATACAGGAGGCATTAATTTGGCATCGACAATCGGCAATACCGCGGGATGTCCCAAGAATAAGTTGGTAGCCCTAGTCGGTGTGGCTACTGATTGCAACTTCCTAAATGCATTCGGCAACAATCAGTCCGCAGCTCGTGCGGATGTTATTTCAATGTTCAATTCCGCATCGTCTGTATACGAGAGTACATTCAACATCTCTCTTGGTCTGAAGAATTTAACAATGAGTGCTGCTGAATGTCCAAATACTGCGTCGTCAGCCACACCGTGGAACTTGCCGTGTACATCAGGAAATATTTCTTCTCGGCTAACTGATTTCACTGCCTGGCGTGGAGATCAGGATGACAAGAACGCCTACTGGACGTTGATGACAAACTGTCCCACGCAATCTGAGGTTGGAGTGTCGTGGTTAGGACAGCTGTGTGTTCATGGATCGACTAATGCTTCTGTGGCTGGAGCCAATGTTGTCGTCAAAACATCGACTGAGTGGCAGGTTTTTGCGTCAGTTATTTCCCCCTTCCTTCTATGGACAGAAACTAATATTCCATAGACACGAGTCAGGACATACCTTTGGTGCTGTACATGACTGCGACTCCTCCGCATGTCAACAAGGCCTCCAGACAACATCGCAGTGCTGCCCATTGACTTCAAATAGCTGTAATGCTAACGGGCAATACATCATGAACCCCACGGCATCGCCTAACCTTGAACACTTCTCGCAATGTACAGTAGGCAATATTTGTTCTGCCCTAGGTCGAAACAGCGTTCGATCCGATTGTCTGGTTAATAATAAGGACGTGACCACCTATACGGGCAGTCAATGTGGTAATGGTATAGTTGAAAGCGGAGAAGATTGCGATTGTGGAGGCACAGCAGGTTGCGGAAACAACGCCTGCTGCGATCCTACCACTTGCAAATTCAAGAACAACGCAGTCTGCGACGATTCCAACGAAGCATGTTGCTCCAGCTGCCAATTCATGTCTGCCAACACGACCTGCCGTGTTAGCACTGGTCCCTGCGACATTGCCGAAGTCTGTTCCGGAAACTCCGGCACCTGTCCCCCCGACAAATTCGTCGATGATGGCAAGAGCTGCTCGAGTGGAAACACTACAGGACTCACCTGTGCCAGCGGTCAATGCACAAGTCGTGATCTGCAATGTCGTACCATCCTCGGTGCCGTCCTGGGCAGTAACGACACCTACGCCTGCGACAATTCCGCATGTACACTCTGGTGCGCATCCTCCAAGCTCCCATCCAACGAATGCGGTAGCATGCAACAGAACTTCCTCGACGGAACACCCTGCAACGGCGACGGTCATTGCAATAACGGGCAATGCGTCGGTTCCTCTGTTGGCGGACAGATCAAGTCATGGGTTGACCAGCACAAGCCTCTCGTCATCGGTCTGGCCGCTGGCATTGGTGGGTTACTCGTGTTAATCATCTTGAGCTGTATCGTTTCCGCATGCCGGAGACGAAGATGGCGAAAGGCCGCTCCTACTCAGCCTCAGTATCAAGGGTATCGAGGAGGACCCCCACCAGGTGTAGGAGGGTGGTCGGGACCAATGCCGCCGCAGATGCAGCAGCAAGGGAATCCTACATTTGGTGCACCACCACCTGCATATTCTCCACCTGAATATAATAATAATGGAGCAGGTTGGCCACGGACGCAACCACGATATGCATAATTTCTTTTCTGTTCTATTGCATGGTATTCTCAGGTCAAATACAAATATGCATCTGGTGCACGCTTTTGGCATTTATCGCATTCTGTTAGGACTGGTTTTGTTATGGGCGCACAGTTTTATCTTTATATATGATGAATATATTCTTCATTTACTATCTACATATTCGAGTGTTCTCGTTGTCATCCATGGATATCGATCGAAGTTCAAGTCTCGAAATCAATACATTTCAATCCATTCATCACTGAATGATCTAAACACCCAGACGATACACTTGTATATATGAAACAACGAATCTACGCTCGACTGACTAAACTACACCCTCGCTCCAGAATCAATCACAGCCCAAAGCCCAATCTGACAATGAAAGAGTACAGCCATATGCAATAGAATCTAGATAGAATCAAAAGCGTACCAGAAAAAGAAACTGACAAGACAAGCAAACGTAAGAAAGTTATTGCCAACAAATACTCAAAAACCCATCCCTCGTAACACCGCCAACACCTTCAAGATCAAATTCTTCAATCATTGCTCTGAGCTCATCTTCCTCTAGACCAGTTTCTCCTAATTCCCGCGCTACACGACGCAAATCTTCAAGGTCAATGTATCCCTTCCCACCTTCATCGAATAACTCAAATGCTCGAAGGATTTCTTCGCGCGGATCTCGTTCAAGGATTTTGTGGGCTGTGACAGTTTGGAAGGCTGATAGTGGCATTAGAAGGGATGATGGATGCGGAGGTGGATTGTTATTGTTATTATTTGGTTTATTGGCGTGAGGTAGTGATTGTCCTTGTCCTTGTTGTTGTTGTTGCTGTTGTTGGACCTGAGGTCGTGGAACGCCGTATGTTGTGAGGAGGGAGATGAGCTCTTGTTTTGGAAGGGTAAAACCGAGGGCTCGGAGAGCTACGCGGAGTTCATGATAATCTAGATGTCGATCGCGGTCCAGGTCAAAAAGTGTGAACTATGCGCTCAAGATTAGCTCGTTGCTCCTTTCCATGCATTTTCGAGTTATCATTCTTACAGCTTCATTAATCTCTTCCCGTTGCTCCTCTGTTAATCGGCTCAACGGATTCGCAACTCCGCTATTACCAGCATCAGCCCCCATCATCGTCCCTGCACTAGCATGATTCTGAGAATGTGTTGGCGGCACTGGCGGTAACTGTGATGATTGCGGTGGTGGTGGTGGTTGTTGCTGCGTTGAATCTGTGTTGGTATTGTTGTTATTCATACCGCCGAGAACTCCTCTGTTTCGTGAAAAGGCTGACGCGCTAAATGGGACTGGATTCGGTCGTTCCGGCAATTTCGCACCTGCTCCAGCGTAGGCTGAGCGCGAGCCGAAGGGGGGATGAGGTGCGGCCATTTGATTTTGCATGTTTCTTTCTCTGCGTCCAGTCGTTGAGTCGTATGCGATTGTTCGCGATTGATGTGGTGGTGGTGGTGCGGTCTAACCCGAGACTGGGAAGTGGAAACGATGCTCTTCCTCTGATGAATCTGAAATCGGGGATCTACGCAGACATCTGACAGACGAAGAAATATTCCAAGTTCAGCTTTTTGCGCACGTAGAGCAAAGGGTTAAGTTGTACAAAGATCAAGCGGGAGGGCCAAATTCCTGCTCTTCTTTTTGTTCCTTGAAAACGCGGAACTGCGACGCGGCGAAATAGCTTACCGCTTTGGGCAGGTCCAACTCATACATCACGACCACCGCGCATAGATGTTGATTCGGCACTATACGAAGTATGTATGCTTTATCGCTTGTATAGCTGTTAATTTTGGATAAAAACATAGACCTGGCTCAGGTTAATATGGGTTCTATAATGCTCAATATGTGAGGCCTTCCCAGCTAGATCCTAAACTTATTCCTACTCCTGTTGCTATACTGTATTTTAGGTCGTTCAGTTAGTCGTTATTGACTCAATCGTTGAATGAGTCAAGCTGTCGCGTGTCTTATATCAAATCAAAGGTGAGGCTTATGAGCTGTCCAGAAAGAAACAAGCACTGGCCAATCAGAGCCAAGAACGTAGATAATTCTCGACGCGCCTGCCGAGAAGACCCATCAACTCAGTCCAACTTCCTCCCATCTCTTACATCGTCCGAACGCGAGAATGATTCATCCAGACACCGTCTGACTCTGCAGTTTTGGTAGACAAGGCTCATTCTAACCATGGTGTCATGCCCTATATGCGGGAAGAATGTCAGAGAAGCCAACATCAATGCTCACATCGACTCAGACTGCCAGAGCTTTGTCATCGATGACTCTTCGCTGAGTCAAGGTGACTCCTCTTCTCAGAAGAATGGCTCAGCTATAAATTTCTTCCAAGCCTCCTCTGCTCGCAAAAATACTTCCACCGTCGTTCACTCATCAACACTCTCAACACCGTCTCGCAGTACCGAGGCCTCGAAGCATCAACCTCCCTCTACACCGGCACAAGATGACTTAAAGCGAAAGCGAGGGGCAGAGCCTGCTTCGTCGACGGCAGAGCCTGACGCAGACAGTGCCTCCAAGCGAAGCAAGCCAACGGCATTCCAAAGAGCTGCCCCGTTGGCAGAACGCATGCGCCCTAAATCCCTTGACGAAGTTTGCGGACAAGACCTAGTCGGCCCCAACGGCATCCTACGGTCACTGATCGAGCAGGATAGAGTGCCTAGTATGATTCTATGGGGTGGTGCAGGTACAGGGAAGACAACAATTGCGAGGGTGATTGCATCTATGGTTGGCAGCCGCTTTGTGGAAATCAACAGCACTACCAGTGGCATTGCCGAATGCAAGAAGATATTCGCAGAAGCACGGAATGAGCTGGGCTTGATGGGAAGAAGGACCATACTTTTCTGTGACGAGATTCATCGCTTCTCGAAGACGCAACAAGACGTGCTTCTTGGCCCAGTCGAGAGCGGTGTTGTGACGTTGATTGCAGCAACGACAGAGAATCCTAGCTTCAAGGTTCAGAATGCTCTATTATCACGCTGCAGGACATTCACACTTGAAAGGCTTACCGATGATGATGTTACATCCATTTTGAAGCGCGCGCTAGCTACAGAAGGTCAAAGTTATTCGCCATCTGAGCTCGTCGACGATGAATTAATTCGCTATCTCGCCACTTTCTCGGACGGCGATGCGAGGACGGCCCTGAATCTGCTCGAATTGGCCATGGGTTTGTCGAACCGGCCTGGGATGACAAAAGATGCCCTGAAAAAATCACTTACAAAGACGCTGGTTTACGACCGAGCGGGCGATCAACACTACGATACCATCTCGGCTTTCCACAAGTCCATCCGTGGCAGTGACCCTGATGCAGCCCTTTATTATCTTGCACGAATGATCCAATCCGGCGAAGATCCTTTGTATATCGCTCGTCGTTTGATCGTCGTGGCATCAGAAGATATAGGTCTGGCCGACAATTCGATGCTTACACTCGCCATTTCGACTCATAGCGCAGTAGAGAAAATCGGGCTGCCAGAAGCTCGAATCAATCTAGCCCATGCTACAGTCGCAATGGCACTTTCGAAGAAGAGCACGAGGGCATATAGAGGTCTCAACAATGTGTTTGGAGCCTTATCCGAACCTGGAGTTGCGAGCTTGTCTATTCCATTGCACCTTCGCAATGCCCCGACAAGGTTGATGAAGGAGCTCGGATATGGCAAAGAGTACAAGTACAATCCTCTTTACAAGGATGGTCAGGTTGTTCAGGAGTATCTCCCAGAACCGTTGCAAGGAAGAAAGTTTCTTGAGGATAATGATTTGGGTGATCGCGTGGACCCTGAACTCTTCAGCTAAGCCTTGCGGATAATGATATTAGGCGCCCCGCCAAGAAGCGGAATGACGCAACTCGACAAACAAGCGTGTTCAATGTTGCTCTGGTCCTTGAAGCAAGGCGCTCAAATTTTTCAACAATAGCATTATAGACATTGCGGCTGAACAATACGGTCAACCATGCCGTGATATGCGACAATGGACTTCGTCTTGTTGCTTAACAATTTTCGAGGCATTATTGGTCTGCAACCGTGTGAGTAAACAATTGACCATTCTAATCTGCCGGCAATTATCTTTCACCGCTTCAACTCGACCAACCAGAGACATGCACGAATCAGCGCTAAACTCAATTGAAACCCGACAGCATGTTGGCGGTGTCTCTTACCAGCCAATCAGCGCCGTTTATTCAGACACCAATTCGTCCAATTCAGTCCATTTTCCCCTGAATGACCGCTTGAAATTAATAAAACAGGTGCAATCATTCTGAGCGGAAAGATTCCTCAAGATCTTAGGGGTGTGGTGCTTGAGCTCAAACAAAAGTGCCTGTCCTTTGTTGTGGGCTATCCTGTTGTACATGCTTGATCCTTTACTTGCTTCACTTCAGTTTCCAGTCGCAGTTCTGAGTGTGAGTTTGCTCTTTTCTTTGAATGCCTACAACAAATCCCAACCTTTATCTCTGATATCTGATATGTGGAAGCTAATAAGGGATGACATGATAGGTATCATCCAAAACCATGAGATCTAGCCAGTCTCATCTGGCTATGACATCGCCTGTGGTTACAGCTAGCGCTCTTTCAACTGCCATCCCTATTGTGACACCGACGATGCCGATGAACTCGTGGCCATCTAATGTGCAACCATCACACATAATAATGACAAGGGACAGTTCGGACCACGCTGGTGTTTCACCACAGCCTCCTCCTTCTCCTTTCAATAGACCTGGCATATTTCAGACTTCTTTGGAAACGAGTCCAGTAAATACTCAGCTGAGAGCTGGTCCGAGTGCTTTGGGACAAGGTGTGGGAGGATTTCCTGCCTTCAGTTTCAATACGCATGCTCCCTCCACCCATGGTTCTCTTGGATCTCTCAATCACAACTTGATGCCGGATGGAAACAGTGCGACTAATGTCTCACAGAGGCAGGGCAGTGGTAAGTGAAAAATCAAAAGAAGCACAGTATCCATTCTAATACTCTGATCAGCTCGACAGCCACCTACCATGGTTTCCGTAACGTCCTCAACATTCCCTGTGATTGTGTCTCCTCAAGCTTCGACTACGCTTACTTGGGTTGACGAACCCGAACCAAAACCGTCTGCGTCGTCAAACAAGCGACAACGTGGATACAAAAGGCGCTTGTCAAAGAACGCCTGTATCTGGTGTTACAAAATCAAGAAAGGATGCGATTCAAGTGTACCATGTGAACGCTGCAGAAAAGATAACCGTCATTGTGTTCGGGACGGGTTCTCCTCATTGTGCATGGCATTGACAATCAAACAAGGAGCTCACTATCAGCTGGCTCCCGGCAACTTTGAAATCGCCCAAGCAAAGCTAGAACAGTTAAAGGAATATTTGCATCCGCTTTATTCGCAGGTCGTAGTCCGTTGGTATTTCCACTCTGACAGTCAACAATATCATGAGATTTCAGTCGCTACCAATGAACTCTCATTGCATCAGGTTGACACTATTCCGAGGGCACCTTTGGCCGACATGGCATTGGAATGTACCCCAGCTTTTCTTTGGCCCTCCGATCCCACCGACAACCTGCAGGAAAATGCGCATCGCATGCTCGGCTTGATTGCAGCGATAAAACAGCTATATAAATCTGATTGTTATACGGAAGCTGTGACTATTCCGAGTGCCAGGGTAGTTGTATTCTTTCTAATGATTGTCTATACAATGGAACTGTGCGGAGTGTCGCATTGGTTGGCTAAAGGGATCTATGAGGCCCTTCCAAGGAAGCCAAAGGACTCTATGCGGCATGCAATGCGCATCTACCTTCAGGTCATTGACGAGATGATCAATCTGCAACCCCCAAACTCGTTGCTGTCGGACATTCTCACGTCACTGCACCCTCGGCTACCTGTTTTGAGGGCCCTCTTGCGCCGGCTTCTTTATGGAAGAGCCGACGCAACGTTTGACGTGGATGACAGTTTCAGCTCGGATCTACCCAAGTTTGATATCACGATCGGGCTTCCGCTTGAAATGGTCAGCTTCCCACAACGTATAGGCCAGAACCAGTCACTTTATCCTATCAATGTGTTGCTATGCTCAGACTTCAATGAGAGCTTTCCCACCACTTTCGAAACAATCGATCCTTCGTACTTGTCACCCGAAATTGATCAGACTACCACGATCGCTGATGCTGAAGCTTCAACTGCGCCGTATACTAGCGAGTATCCTACTTTATTCAGCAGCGTAATTGGAGCCTCTCAGGATACCGACCCAACATATTCTTATCCAGATACGACGGGGTTCGCGTCTCAATTGGGCTCCCTGTCCGGTTACGACTTTTTGGGGGAGTCGTCTGCTGAAGACTTTGCACATATTGGAGAACATTTGCCTTTTTGAATCCTCGGATGTATATCATTAAGCGAAGCGATGCAACCGGTTTTGGCAATAAAAAGGGATTGGACAGTGTTTGGGTATACCATGGGGCGTTTCAAATGCAGGTTGGACTACAGGATTACAGGACATGTTTGATGACTTAATGACCCTTGTTAATGACACTTTCAATAACGATGAATGACACAAAACATGAAAACATGAAAACATAAGATTAGGGCTATCTTCACTTGTAAATATCAAAATATCTCCTAAAAGAGTAAAAAGAATAACCTTAGTGGAGCCAAGCACGCGATTCGGCGTGGAAGTGGCACAAGCAGTGAGTGAGTTCCTCCCCTCACCTCCGGTATCTGGCCGATCCTGTCAGCTAGTTAGAATCTCGTTTACTCATCTTCCCCAATGGTTACCTTGCATGCTTTCTCATTAACTGCCAGATCAGCCTTACTGTCACGTTCTTCTTCTGTGTCCTTCTCTGCCAGATACGCTACTCTCTTCGTCTCCGCGCGTCATCGTCGTCGTCGTTCGGTGATAGAGCCGATCTCGTCCCCACCCCGCCGCAACCACCACCATCGCGACATGTCTACTACCACACCCAAAGCAGACCCTTTTCGACCTGCAGCTAGAGTCGCGGGGCAACGGCAAGATGTTTGGTGTGTTTATTCTCTGTATTGCACACTTGAGATGAGCTTGTGCTGACATTTTTACCTGCAGGTCTATCGTTAATGAAGCAGCCGCGGCTTCCCCGGTGCAGCCAATTGTGAATATGGGACAGGGGTTTTTGTACGTTCGTCCTCTGGAAATGATAAGTTTGATGTATCGGATTAACGAATGCGGTCTCTACAGTGGCTACAATCCTCCCAAGTTTGCGCTCGATGCTGCCAAAGAGGCTCTTGACAAGGTTGATTGTAATCAGTATTCTCCCACCAAGGTATATACGTGTCACATCCGCATACGATGGTCAGAAGGGTCTGCTTACGGCTCTGTATAGGGTCGTCCTCGCCTGAAGAAAGCTATTGCCGCTGCTTACTCCAAGTCATTTGGTCGTGAACTTGACCCTGAGACCGAGGTTACCATTACAACTGGCGCGAATGAGGGTGCGTTCGGCTGCGAGCAGTGAGGATATTGGCTCTTGAGGCTAACTCCGAGTAGGAATGTTGAGTGCATTCATGGCTTTTATCGAACCAGGAGATGAGGTTATTATCTTCGAGCCTTTTTTTGATCAGTCAGTACTTCCGTTTAGTACTCTCGAGAAGCAAAGATCCATATCTAACCGAATAGTACAGGTATATTAGCAACATTGAAATGCCGGGTGGCACCATTCGATACGTTCCTTTACTTCCTCCCAAAGATGGTGCAGTCAAGACTTCTTCGGCTTCTCACTGGACAATTGATTTTGAGCAATTGGAGAAGACGATCAATTCAAAGACAAAGATGATTGTAAGCTGTCTTTGATATTGCGAGGATGGGTGCCAATACTAATATTATCCGGTACAAGGTCCTCAACTCACCGTAAGGCATTCACCAGTCCACAAATAGGGTGACCATGACCGTAACGTATATAACAGACATAACCCCGTCGGAAAAGTAATGACACGCGAAGAACTCGAGCGAATCGGCCAACTCGCCGTCAATCACAACATCATTATTCTGTCTGACGAAGTCTACGACAGACTCTACTATGTCCCTTTTACTCGCATCGCAACTCTGTCTCCAGAGTTATACGAACGAACCCTCACCGTGGGCTCAGCCGGTAAAGCGTTTTATGCCACTGGATGGCGCGTGGGATATCTCATCGGACCTCCGCATTTGATTAAATATGTTGCTGCTGCGCATACCAGGATATGTTACAGTAGTGTATCCCCGTTGCAGGAAGCTTCGGCGGTGGCATTTGAGAAGGCCGACGCGGAGGGATTCTGGGAGGAATCGCGGAATGAAATGCAGGGAAAAATCAGACGATTCTGCGAAATTTTCGATGAACTTCAGATTCCTGTTCGTCCCTTATACACCCATAATGCTCATGAAACTTGTACTAATTCGACTTTATAGTACTCCGACCCAGAAGGCGGCTACTTTGTCCTCGCAAACATGTCCTCCGTCAAACTTCCCCAAGACTACCCCTTCCCACCACACGTAGCCCACCGACCTCGCGATTTCAAACTGGCTTGGTTCTTAATCAAGGAAGTCGGGGTAGCGGCAATCCCGCCTACGGAGTTTTATACGGATGAAAATGCGCATATTGCGGAGGATTATTTGCGGTTTGCGGTTTGTAAGGAGGATCATGTTCTTGAGACGGCTAAGGAGAGGTTGAGGGGATTGAAGAAGTATATTGTTAGGTCTGAGTGAGGGATCTAGGTGTAGGTATAGAGGATGGATTATAGGCGTGGTGTGTTATATCATGGTAGATAGACAAAATGAGCATATTCAAAGTTAAACAATATTCGTTATCAGCCTATAATAAATACAATCATGTCACATTATCCTTACAAAGAAAAAGGGAAAACAAAAACCAACTTGCTCCGTAAAGAAATAGAGAACTCCCACCTAATCAAGAACCCGTCTCAGTCTCAACATCAGGCTCACGGCCCGTCAAATCACCCATACCAAATTTCTTCTTCGCCTTCCTGAGCGCAAAAGTGGCCTCATCCTTTGCAAACAGGGCATTTCGAGCTGGTTTCCACTGCATCAAACCACGTTGTTGTCTTTGCTCGGTACGTCTATTAGCCTTGTTACCCGATTTGGATAACTGTGGTTGTGAGTCGTTGGAGCTGGCATGATCCTGGATAGATGGTGCGGTGATATTCTCGTCACCAGAGGCGGTGGTATCACTACTACAGTCATCATCACTTGCGGCACGGCCGTGAGAATCAATAGCGCCGGAAGTGTAATGTTTACTACGGGATCCGTCCGGGCTCAGTTGTTGTTCATCGATGTGATCTTTGGGATCTTCGCCGAATGAGCCGCTCCAGTCAATTCCATCTCTGCTGATCCAGCGTTGACGTTCCTTGGGATCAATGTCGCGGAGGACATCGCGGCCTGATACTAGAGATTTCTCGTGGAGTTCTTGGATGTTTTCTGGGGTATGGGCTACGACACGACGGCCGCGAACGCCTTCGGCTAAGCATGCTTCCCATGTTTCGAATGTCTCGCGCGAGTTGTTATCTATGGCGAATTTCTCGTGGGATTCGTCCATGCCAGCTGAGAATATACCTGTGAATTGAAGTCGACCAACTTCGGTCAAGTCCTCTAAACAGTCCAGGTTGAGCGATTTGTAGTTTTCTTCCGTGATATAGTTCTGAATCAAGCGGCTGGGGCGTTTGCTTGTCCAGATTGGTATATCAATCTGCGTCTCTTCGTTGTCGACGAGATGCTGCAACCACAAAACGGCGTATGCTGCAGCACCGCGCTTGCTTGCGACATGGAATTCAAATACAACCGGTGAGCGGTAGCGGTACTTGACTGGTAAGCGTGGTGATATTACAGAGTCTGAAAACTCGATATATTGTCCTCCGTTTCCGTCACTCTTGCAAGCAGATCGTGGTATTTTCCCGGTGCTGCCACCAGTTCGCAACCGAATCTTAGCAGCATGTCCATAATTTTTCAATGCTATACGGTTTGCCGGGAACTCAAAGGTACCAACGTCCCATCCAAGCATATTCGGAGGAAGCTTGGTTTCCACGCTTCGGAAGAGCAGAGAGATTCTGATACGGCCGAAGCCGATTCCTCCATCAAGTGGATACCAACGCGTCACTTGGGACGAGGTCCTCATCAAGTCGGATAGTCTCAGGCAAACCACACCGAGGATTGGGTCGTGCTCACGATGTCGTGAGTCACGGACAGTCACTGTGACTACTGCAGAGCGCCAGTCACGTACGAATCGTTCTGTTCCTGCATTGAAGATAGGCTTGCTGCTGACTGCCTTTGCGCGAGTTCGATAAACCTAGCTTGATGTTAGCATTCTGATATCTAGTTCAATACCTGTAATTCTTACCAATTGGTCATTAAGCAAGATCGTGCAATAACTGGTGGGCAAGTCCCTGCCCTGTTCTTCCGTGTGCTCTCCATATGGCTTTGCCGGTTCATATTCCCTGCCTTTACGATTACCATGGCTTCCATAAATATTTTCCAACTGCAGATTAACAATCTGGTGGACAACAATGCTGCATATGCCACTAGGCCAGAGGGGATCGGGCGGGGTGCTAGTGATCGCCTCTTCCTCTTTGGTATTGATAACTCCTTTCTCATCTTGAAGTGAAGGTTCACCTCGGAGAGTGTCTGGAAGCTCTGGATCCTTTCCATCCGTTTTCAATTCAGGTCGCACTCGCGGTTTTCCAAAGTAGCCAACTTCCCAGTGCAATTCACCAGGCATGCTGCTTCCCTCATCCATGCCTTGCAATTTCGAGACCTGAGGGTACATTTTGCCAGGATGCTGAATCAATTCCTGAATGGAAAGCTCCACTTTTCCAACAATGTCATCCGCAGAGTTACGATCTGAATCCCAAAGCTCAACACTGAGCTGCTCATCAGCTTTGATCAACTCTGGTGTAACCAGCAATGCTGTTGTTTCCTCCCAGACAGGATTTAGATCGTCCGTGATGACACGAGTACAGTACATCGGCTTGCCATATTTGGAGAATGACAGGTTGATATAAGGGTCGCTACCACCGCCTTCAGAACCCTTACGATCCTGCTTGCTGAGGCCGATTGCTCGATGAATACGGATCCAGAAGATACCCAGCGCTGAGGTATCCTTCTGTATATCATCACCCTTGAGCATCATACTCAAATCCAGAGACATGGACTTGGGTGCCACATATAGACTGGCAGCTGCTGCGATGGCATAGTTGACAAAGTTGGAAATCAACGGCAGATTCAGGACGTTCACTCCTCGCTTGACCAGAGGAATGCAACCGGCACGTACGTGTGGAAGCCCCATCAAGCTGAAGGTCAGAGATTTTGCAAAGGGAGGTTGAGGAGTCATCTGGAGTCGCACGCGAACGGTACCAATAAGCTCAATCAACTCAGCAAAGATTGGGAAAGGTATGCCGAAGAGACCCTTGATTCCCAGATAGAAGACAATTTGCATGTGCATGTTGCGTGCTCTTGCTGAAGTAGTTCCTTCAGTGGGTTTGGCATGGTATGCAAAAGATATTTCGAAATTGTAATAGTCACCTCCTTCCTCGTCAGCAACGGCCTCTTGAGGGTCCTTGTTTACCTTATTCTCTTCACGCACGTTCTGCTTCAAATTTCCCACGTGCTCATCGGGTAGGGATCGGATACTGAGAATCCTGATTGGGTTGTTTCCCTGATCAATCTCAGCAACGCGCACATTCTCAATGACACTGGGTACTGAAGCCTGCATGACATCTTCAATGGTATCCGCAACACTAGCAAACATATCGGGATTCAATAAACCCCAGGTTATACTCAAAAATGCATTCAACCACTCTACCGACTCGGGGAGGAGATTTGCAGTTGCCTTGTAAATGTCAGTTTCTGCTGCACTAACGGAAACGATGAAAAGATTGACAACGTACCGTTTCTCCTCGGAGCTGTTCACTACGCCATTCAGCTGCTCGTCCACTGCGTATAATTTCCTTGATCCAGAGATACACCCCTGATGCTACGCAGACAGCAAGAGGTATAAGTCCCCAGAGCGAACCGCCAAACGTACGACCGACTATAATGATAGCGAGGAATATGCCGGCTACTAGACCATTGCCACGTTTTTCAATGTCCTCAAACATTGGCTTGTAGGTGATCGAAGGGGTAGGATGGAAGAGAATGTTCGTACTTTCGCCGTGGATAGGGACATCGGAAGTGGTGCCTTGGGCTACGGGCTCTGGGGGGGCAGTGACATCTTGGTTATGTCTGTATTCTGAGAATTCCTGGTTCGGATCCGTTTTAATATCCTATCCAATGTCAGCCACATGTTTTGGCAATTAAGCTATCAATGCTCACCGTCGGTTTGTTCAAATTCGCATTTGGAACAGTAAGCTATAACACAGCTTTCATCAGTAACTCGTATAACGATTCGGTAGCATGCAGGGTCTCACCTTAGGGTTCTTGGACTCTTCCAAATATTGCTTCTGAACATCCTCAATCTCGATTTCTTTGCCCGTCACTGGATCCGTGACCTTACGGGTTCCTTTCTTTTGCGCGTTGGCTGCTTCTTCATCGGCAGACTTGCCCTCTTTTTTGGCATCTTGCTGTTTACGCTTGACTTCCTCATCGATCCGCTTGTCTCGTTCTCTCTTGTCCTTGTCGAGGTTCTCGACGAGTTTGTGAATGGTAAGAATTGGATTGGCGGCGCTCCAATGGCCAGCAGGACCGTGTTGGGCATTTCCTTCGGACACCATTGTTGATACCAGCGTCTTGAGAATGGAGATGTGTCTAGAAAATCGAGTCAATTGGGCTGAACAGCTGGAGAGTTGCCCTCCTCGAGGACGCGGTGGACCATGATCGTCTTAGAAGAATGTCCAGGGTGCTCATTAATATATTCCATAGCAAAAGGAGCCAAGCCCAACTGATATCATCGACCTTCAGCGCGGCTACGTCATCGGTCTACCCTGGGCGGTCCACTCAGCGCGTCTCACATTGGCTGCTTTGTCAGATCTAGATCTTAACTAACTAACTTAGTTAATTCATTAACTCATTATCTAACCCTGGACCCTGGCAGTAAAGCCTCGCGAGCAAATGATCATACAACATGTTACTCAGACATGACGTGGTCTAGAAGATCAGTGAAAGCATCGACATAAGTACAGTCTGGATGCATGGTGATATAAGAGAGCTTGAATAGACGTGCCCAAGTACTTGGTCTTCACTGTGTCCAATGGCCTTCAAAGTCGGTCAAGGATGCATTCATTCATGGATGGATAGCAAAGAAGTAGCCTCAAAAATAAGGTGTCGATGTTGAGGAGACACAGAGATGTGATTGGCCAATAGAATATACTAACCGCTTCTGGTTAATACAGTAGAGTGAACACACACGGACGTCAATCCTTCCTTTGAGATTGCTCATCAAAGTTTGCATCAACAAAACATTATCATACTTCAAGAAGTCAGCAGAGTTACATATGTCGTCCGCAGAGGAATCGCCTGCGCAACAGGCTGCGCGCCTACGCCGCGAACGCCGTGAGGCCAAGATCAAAGCTGGAGGAAGTGCTCGACTGGATAAAATCACCAGTCTGAGTGGCCGGACGCCAGCTAGTTGTATGAAATATCCAATGTTTATGTCCAGGCTGTTCACGATTTTACTAACTCGCTTGCCATTACAGTACACGATGCGTCGCCTTCACCGTCACCTCAACCACGTCCTCAGGCTGGATCTACCCCGTATCTCCCCACACAAACACAACCATCACAACCCTCACCTCAACCCCCAACCCCAGCAACAGGAGCAGCTGAAAACGACACCGAAACCATTCGTGCACAACAAGAATACCTGAGAGCCCTCCTACGAGCCAATCCACCCGAACAACAAGCACAACAACAAATCGATCAAGATCCCATGATGAAAGTCCTCAGCTCCATGCTCGGCGGTATCCCCGGCGCCGAAAACACGGCACCTGGTGCAGGCATGCCGCCACAGAATCAGGGTGATTTAGGAATGAATGATCTGGCCTCGGCACTGGGTATTCCACCGTTGTTCTCCAATATGATTTTCGGGGGAGGCGCTACACAGCAAACGCCGGAGGAGAAGAAAAGGGAGAATATACTGAAGTTACTGCACATAATTTTTGCATTATTTATTGGAGTTTATCTGGTCACGCTTGTAAGCTCGGCTGTTACGACATATGGAGTGAATCCACCGCCACCTGCAACGGCGCAGAATCCGTTTGTCGTCTTCATGACTGGTGAGCTTGTGTTGAATGGGGCCCGGGTGGTGTTGGGCAAGCCTCAGCAGGGGCCTCTGGCTACGGGGCTGCAGATATTTAGATCACTTGTGAGAGATAGCGGTATCGCTATATTTGCGCTTGGTGTTGCATCGTGGTGGAATGGCGGCTGGCAGATATCAGCAAGTCAGTAGGAGACATTATTCATGAATAAGAGTTGACATATATGGTGTGATCAAGAGGACGATATAGATGGATACTAATATCCTAACCATAATAGGCCTAATATCCACTGCCTCGTGGCCTACCGTTAGGTTACTTAGGCACAGGTGGCACGAAGGGGAGGTTTACCGAACTGTCGGCGTTTGGCGTTAGACGATGTACTTATCGGCCGAACAATGCCATTGTCCTAATCGAGTGACATCCTTGCTATTGCATACTGATCCCTGCAGAATGACTAGTCATTTGCGCAAGAAGCAATACCTAGTGGAGAGGGCCCTACAGTCTCTGTTCCTGATTAATCGCACGAGTAGTCCCGGTCCAACGGATGTTCTTAGGGTTCGACGTCTTTCGAAATTCTAGCTGCCTTATCAGGCTTTAAGCTCGCCTTGACTAGGCCTGATTAGGATAAAGTCTCGACTTGCTCGGCCCCAGTTTTGTTTTGTTTTGTTTTTTTTTTTTTTTTTTTGTGTGTTCTACAACATAACTATATACCACGACAGATACAGTTATCGTTGGAGCAATCACAAAGTGCACATGTAAAATGCAGAGTCAATTCTCTTTTAATATATGAATCAACCAGCAGCCTACCATGTCTGTCCATACAAACAGCCCTTGATTTAATCGTGTCACATGATCGGAATGATCGCTGCTTACCCCACATCCGGTGTGCAAATACATACAGCCGGTAATGTAAATCTGTATCTTTCATCTGAAAACGGAGTCGATCGGGAAACTCGCGGTGTTGCTTAAAACTGGCCATTATCCTGAAACCAGCTGGTTTCACAAGGGTTCAAGTCCGATCTTTCTCTTGATGCATAGTCCCGACGGTTAAGGGTGGTCTTCGCAACAAATTCCGTACGGCCGTGACAAGTTCGCAGCTTTTCCCGCTTGGTTTGGTTTTACCCCACGCGATCCGTACCGTATTGACGCTGTATTACTTATGCGCCGAGAAGTACCCCTCACCCAGCTGCTAGCTGCCTTTGCCCTAAGTACTCTAACGCGGTCATCCCAGCTCGAATACGCTCAGACCTCACGGTGGTCTAAATAATTGTCGCATAGCCTAAAATCTATCAAGGATCAGCTTAACTAGTCCGGCCTCAATATTTGTCGCGATACGAGCCCCGGCGGATAGCATCTCACACTCATTTGTATCTGCAAAACGGAGGGTTTATGGACGCTCCACAACCAAAGACGTTTCTGTATGACGGTACGATACTTGTCCAACCCATACCCGAGCTCATCGTTCCGGCTATAGTTCGAGTTGAGATTGCTGTATGCCCCCGGAGTAACGGAAGCTGATGCAAATATGGTGGCAGACCCCGCATTAGCATCACGCTACAGTGCAACGGTGTTGCTCTATTTGTTAGTGTCCTTCTAAACTTAACCGCATCGAGTCAGGCGATGTAGGTACCGTTGACATCCATTTCTCCATCTCTCCGTACTCTCTCCCGTATCCTTTCACTATCAAATAAGGGATCTGAACGCGTGGAGTCTGGGCTAAAGACCTCCCAGTCAATAATACTCGTCTCATTAACCCGGTGCTTCGTCTCGGCTCCAGTCAGCGTTGACTCCAGGTCTGCCTGCCCCGGACCTATTCATCGGACCCCGTACTGCTGTGGCCAATGAGCCATGGGTCAAAGAAACCTCTCCATCCATAGAGCTTGTACTTAAGAAGCCTTCATTCCCCTCAGCCGCAAAATTGTCGTTTGCTCTTAGATTTGCTTGTGCTCTTTCATCTCTTCCCACCTCTCCTCTCTTCATCTCGTCATCTCGTCCTTTCGTCCTTTCTCGGTCTGTACGTGACGTTGACCACTTTTCATAAGCAGACGTGGATCGAAATTGTATACCACATTATTATTAATTCCTGACGAAGAGCGATTTCCAAGGTCTACGAGCTGCGAAAGTTGACTGCGTAAATTACACTGGTAATTTTGCAAAGAGGTATGTTTCCCTTTCGGGCGTCCCACCCCTTCTGCCAAAATTACGCAGTGGGTAATATTACTTCCGGTTACGGACCCTTCTCATTGCAACTTCACAAATGTTCACCTTTGGTTTTCTTCCTCACTGACTTCAACGGTAACGATTTAGCCATCCACGACAGTACAGAATCAGCATTTCTTTAGGCATAATTGATCATCATTATGTCTGAAGGCGATGTTACGCCTCCAAAGGCCCCTGTGGTACGTTCCCCAACATTAAGTCGTCACACTAATGCTTGTTTTGATAAATTGTGTTGGGAAAGACAAAGAGCAACAACTAACAGGATGTTCCGGAACAGGTCGCAGAGGCCCATGAAGTCGACACGTTCCACGTCCCCTCAGCTTTTCACAAAAAACACCCGACCAGGCCTCACCTGAGTTTTGGAGAATACAAGAAGCTCTACCAGGAGTCCATTCGGCACCCAGACATCTTCTGGGCTCGCATGGCTCGTGAGCTCCTCACATTCGAACAAGACTTCCACACCACCCATGTCGGTTCTTTCGAGCAGGGAGACAACGCTTGGTTCTTGGGAGGCAAGTTGAACGCTTCTTTCAACTGTGTCGACCGCCATGCAATCAAGAATCCAGACAAAGTCGCCATCATCTACGAGGCAGATGAGCCCACCGAGGGTCGCACCATCACATACTCCGAATTGCTCCGTGAGGTCTCGAAAGTGGCGTGGGTGCTCAAGTCGCAAGGTGTTCGCAAAGGTGATACCGTTGCTATCTACCTTCCTATGATTCCAGAGGCACTTGTTGCGTTCTTGGCTTGCGCCCGTATTGGTGCCGTGCACTCTGTGGTGTTCGCGGGCTTTTCTTCCGATTCCTTGCGTGACCGTGTTCTCGATGCCAACTCCAAGTTTGTCATTACTGCCGACGAGGGTAAGCGTGGTGGAAAGATTATTGGTACAAAGAAGATCGTGGACGAGGCCTTGAAGCAGTGCCCCGACGTCAAGAACGTTCTTGTCTTCAAACGCACCGGTGCCGATGTTCCATGGACCAAAGGTCGCGACTTGTGGTGGCACGACGAGGTCGAGAAATACCCCAACTACATTGCTCCCGAAGCTGTTGACTCTGAGGACCCTCTCTTCCTCCTGTACACGTCCGGTTCTACGGGTAAGCCCAAGGGTGTCATGCACACAACTGCCGGTTACTTGCTCGGTGCTGCCATGACTGGAAAGTACGTATTTGACATTCACGACGACGATCGCTTTTTCTGCGGCGGTGACGTCGGTTGGATTACTGGACATACCTACGTCGTCTATGCTCCTTTGCTGCTTGGTGTGGCAACTGTCGTCTTCGAGAGCACTCCTGCCTATCCCAACTTCTCTCGTTACTGGGATGTCATTGAGAAGCACAGTGTCACTCAGTTCTATGTTGCCCCCACTGCACTTCGCCTTCTGAAGCGCGCTGGTGATGAGCACATCCACCACAAAATGCAGCACCTTCGTGTCCTTGGATCAGTCGGTGAGCCCATTGCTGCAGAGGTCTGGAAGTGGTACTTTGAGAGCGTTGGTAAGGAGGAAGCTCACATTGTCGATGTAAGTGTCTTGTGGAAGTCTCATTTTCTCCCTCCCAATTACTGATTTTTTCTATTTGTAGACTTACTGGCAAACCGAAACCGGGTCAAACATCATCACTCCCTTGGGTGGCGTTACTCCTACCAAGCCTGGTAGTGCGTCTCTTCCATTCTTTGGCATCGAGCCCGCTATTATTGATCCTGTCTCTGGCGCTGAGATTACTGGGAACGACGTTGAGGGTGTTTTGGCTATCAAACAACCATGGCCCAGTATGGCTCGCACCGTCTGGGGTGCTCATAAGCGATACATGGATACATACCTGAATGTGTACAAGGGCTACTACGTGAGTGTTTTTGACTGATATAACTGATTCGCGCGCTAATTAGCCTTTTTAGTTCACTGGTGATGGTGCTGGCCGTGATCACGAAGGATACTACTGGATTCGTGGACGTGTTGACGATGTCGTCAATGTTTCCGGACACAGACTTTCAACTGCTGAGATCGAAGCTGCCCTTCTCGAGCATCGTAAGTTTCCATATTCCACAATAGAAGGAAATAGTACTGACTATATATATACAGCCATGGTCGCCGAAGCCGCCGTCGTTGGTATTGCAGATGAGCTCACTGGACAAGCCGTGAATGCCTTTGTCTCTCTCAAGAGCGGCAATGAATCTACCGAACAAGTCCGCAAAGACCTCATCATGCAAGTGCGCAAGTCAATTGGACCTTTCGCTGCTCCCAAGACAATTATCCCCGTCGATGATCTTCCCAAGACCCGCAGTGGCAAGATCATGCGCCGTATCTTGCGTAAGATTCTCAGTGGTGAGGAGGACAGCTTGGGTGATACATCTACGGTATGCTTCTTTCCCGTTTCAATTAATTGAAAGTTGTTGCTAATCAATATTTCGTTCAATTATAGCTCTCGGACCCCAGCGTCGTGGACAAGATCACGGAAGCAGTCAAAGCTTTACGCAAGTAAAGAAACTCATAATGGAACGAGACGGGAGACGAATGAGCAAAAAGATGACTGATGAACGATTAAGCCTTTCCGTGAAATAACCTTGGGACATATATGAACTGAACGGGAGCAATGGGAGTCTCCAAAGGACCGTGGACTCATATCTTTAGAAGACCCGACTCAGTTCTTATGTGTACGTTGAGGAGAGGAAGCTGGCTCTGGACTTTTGTATCACCCTATTTCCTTTTATTAAGCTTGCTTTTGCGAATCCTATCTTTTGATTGCGCGACAACCTACCAGAAGCGGGTTTCTTTTCTCTTCTATTCTTACTTTGTGACGCTGAGATGCGAATATGATACCTTTCATTCTTACACTCCTAGGGAGCCTAGATAGTAAGCCTAAACCAAGCTAAGTCTAGACAAGAATTGGACTGATCAGCTAGGCATACAATGAGCTGCAGTAAGTTGAATAGTCAAATTCGCAGAACTTATGACTACGATGTACGAACAATAGGACTGTAGGCAATCACATGACTCTGATTGGTCGGCTGGAGTCTACACGGATGAGTCAGCTAATCACATGACCCTCATACCGCGATATCGTTGGCCAGTCGGACCTCGCTGCTCCCGTAAGCTGCAATGCGAGCTGCGCAGCCTAAGGCCAACCTGCCCACTGCCAACCTTTTTTAACTAACTCACCAACCTCGTTTGCTCTCTTCTTTCCGCGCCGTTTGTCTTTCCACATCCCCTCGACTTTTCATCTCTTCCTTCTTTCTTATCTCACAGCTGATAGGAATAGCTCGTGGTTGTACTTTTTCTTTTCAATTCTCTTTTTTTCACGTTTTATTCGTATTTTCCATCGCGACAGCTTCTTGTTTGGAAGTCGAGACTATCTAAGCTCGAGACAGACTAAGGCAAAAGAGCGCGTCGCGACTCAACGTCGATAATCGATCGCATTTTCTCTTGAATTGAAAAGTCGCTGAAGATTTAATACACTTTTCTTCTCAATCTTCGACCGTATCGTTCAGGCGAGATCGCGCCAGTTGGCGATAGTCGACACGAATTTTCTTTCGTCATCTCACGTTCAAAACAAAAATCGAATGTATTGAGAAAAAAAACCTTCTTCGAGGCAAAATATCATGTCGTTCGGCGGCGGATTCGGCTCGAACAACGCCTTCGGCCAGAATAATCAGCAGCAAAGCACTGGCTTTGGCGGCTCAGGATTTGGAACAGGTACTACTGGAGGTAGGTTCTCGAAATATCGTGTTTTGAAAGATTTACTTTTTTTGCCCCTTTCTTTTGGTTTCTCTATAACACCCTCGATGTTCTTGCTTTTTGGTTTTGGCGCTGGCTCTCGCGACGTTCCACTTGCATCGAGGAGACATGATCATCAGAACAAGTGTCACGGCTTCGCGACCGCAGTGTCCGTTTCGATTTCCTCCGAAGTCGACCTGTCCCGTTCTAGTTCCAGTTCCAGTTCAGTTTCTCTGACAACGGTACCTATCACATATAGGATTCGGAAGTAACACGACTCCCTTCGGTGCTGCCAATACCGGGACTGGGGGAAGTGTTTTCGGGAACAACAATACATCAGGCGGCTTTGGCTCCAGTGGAGGTATGCGCTTGCATCTGCTTATTTGAATACGTGACGCGTCCTGGGGGCTTTATGCATCTATCTGGCTTGGGAGGCTCATTTGCCACTTGCCTTGCGATGATCGGACTCGAGCCGTGGCCTACTCAGGATTTTGATGATCATTGAGCTATCATAGAGCTTTGCCTTGTCATTTCGTATTCCCTATTAATATGCCTTTGTTGTTGTTGTTGTTGTTGTTGTTCATTTTGTTGATCACATTAACTAACAGCTACTATCACAGGTTTCGGTTCTAACCAAACACAAACAAACTCCCTTTTCGGTGGCAACAAACCAAGCGGTTTTGGTACTGCGACCACTGGTGGAGGTCTCTTCGGTAGCAATACCGCCACAACGAGTGGTTTCGGGTCGGGAGGCTTTGGGTCCACTAATACAGGCACTACAGGCGCGTTTGGCGGCAATACCGGCACAGGAAACACTCTTTTCGGAGCAAACAAACCGGCAACAGGTTTTGGCTCTACTACCACCGCTACTGGTACTGGAGGCTTCGGTACTGGAGGCGGTTTTGGCTCGACGACAAACAATGCTTTTAGTGGAACTGGCAGCGCCTTTTCTGGGCAGGTACCACCCACTGATGGAACAGCTAGCACTCCTTTCAACCCATTCACGGAGAAGGACGCAAATTCGACCACAAGCAGTGTCTACCAGAGCATTTCATATATGCAACCTTATCAGCGCTACTCCTTTGAAGAACTCCGCTTAGCAGATTATCAAGCCGGTCGTCGTTTTGCCAATGCAAGTGGTCAGCCAGGCGCTTTTGGTGCTCCTGCATTCGGTGGCTCGGGCTTCAATCAACCAGCTACCGGAGGCTTTGGAACTGGTGGCGGTTTCGGTACAGCCGCCACAAGTGCGCCGGCATTTGGCGCCCAGACGCAGACTACTGGTGGATTTGGTGCTAATACAAGCACTACAAATTCTCTCTTTGGAGCGAACAAGCCAGCGACTTCTCTCTTCGGGAACAATACCACCACTGCCACTTCTCAGCCCAGTCTCTTTGGAGGAAATACGGCTACTTCAGGTGGTTTTGGAACCAACACCACTAATACCACCGCAGGTTTCGGAGGAGGCTCTTTGTTCGGAAATAACCAGCAACAGCAACAAAAGCCTGGTGGCTTGTTCGGAAGCACCACCACTACGACTGGGTTTGGAAGTACTCCTGGCTTTGGAACAAATACAAATACCACTACTACAACCACTCCTTTCGGAGGAGGTACAACCAATACAGGCTTTGGAAATGCGCAGCAAACGGGAACGACCACCTCCGCCTTTGGCGGTGGATTTGGTCAACAACAGAATCAGAACCAGGCTAAACCAGGGGGTCTCTTCGGAACCCCTCAACAACAACAACAAGGAGGAGGCTTGTTCGGCAATACAAGTACGGGCTCGTCACTCTTTGGAAATAATCAACAACAACAGCAGCCACAAGGTACAACGTCACTCTTCGGAGGTCAAGCTCAACAGACGGGAACCGGCCTGTTTGGTGCTCAACAACAACAAGAACAAAAACCCGGAGGTCTGTTTGGCGGTATGGGCACTAATACGTCAACTACTGGCGGTACTGCTTTTGGTGGCTTAGGTGCCAATCAACCCGCTCAAACTGGCACGACTACCAGCCTGTTTGGAAATACTCAGACCCAGCAGCAACAGAAACCCGGAGGCCTATTTGGAAATACCGGTGGTTCGTCCTTGTTTGGTGGAAATACAACCACGAACCAAACGACTGGGTCTCTCTTTGGAGGTCAGACACAGCAACAGCAGCCAACAGCTGGGTTTGGTACAGGAAGCCTGTTTTCTTCAAATCAGCAAAACCAGCAACAACAGCCAGTCCAACAACAGATACAACAGCCGGCCCCCGGAAGCTTCCAAGCTTCGCTTCTTGACAGCAATCCTTACGGCAATCAATCCATCTTCTCAGGATTACCTGGCCCCAGCGTGCCTAGTCCCGGTCCTCTCGCAACTCCTCTATCAGCCAGTATGAGGCAGAAGCAGCGCACACCCCTTCCAGTCTACAAGATCACCCCTAATGCTGCCAATCGTCTCATCACTCCTCCTCGACGCCAAGGATATGGCTTCTCTTACTCCACGTATGGAAGTCCTGCCAGTGCTGGAAGCGTTTCTAGTTTCAGCGGAAGCCTGCTTGGCAGCAGCAGCCTCCGTGGAGGTGCTGTCAATGGCAGCTTTGGGCGTAGCTTTGGAAAGAGCTTTTCTACTAGCAACCTTCGCAAGTCATTTGATCCCGATAACGACAGTGTCCTGGCTCCAGGTGCTCTTACTGGCTCCGCTTCTCGCTACTCCAGTGGCAGCTTGAAGCGACTAACCATTGATCGAAGCTTGAGGAACGATCTTTTCCAGCGCCCATCTGTCTCTCCAGCGGCAATCACCAATGGCGATGATGCAGGTCAATCCCCCAACAAGCTCAAAAAACGTGTTAGTTTTGATCAGCCGACAAATGGAGCTCTGGTTCGCGCTGAGACCGAAAGCCCCGAACCTACTGCTGAAGAACTTGGCTTCTTGCGCTCCATTCGCAAACCTGACCACGTCAATGGCACGAACGGATCCGCTTTGAGCAGGGCTGGCAAGAAACCGGAAATGGAACAAGCTCGTGGCAGTGAACTACCTGTGGTACCCGAGAATACCGACCTGACAACAAACGGTGTCTCTCCCACTGACCGCACCATCGATCCTCGGCCTGGCGAATACTGGATGAAGCCTTCTCGAGCCGAACTGAGCAAGATGTCCCGAGACCAACTCAAGCAGGTTGAAGGATTCACTGTCGGTCGGCAAAAATGTGGTCAAGTTACGTTCGATCACCCAGTTGACCTTACTACTGTCGATCTCGACAACGTTCTTGGTGGTATTGTGCAAATTACCGTTCGCTCCATCACTGTCTACCCAGATGAAGCGACGAAGCCTCCCCGTGGCAAAGGATTGAATGTTCCTTCGACTCTACGGATTGAGAACTCCTGGCCCCGTGGCAAGGACCGCAAAACATCCTCCGATATTGTCAGCGGCCCACTTTACGAAAAGCACATTGACCGCCTCAGGAAGGTGACGAACACGGAGTTCTTGGCCTATGAGAAAGCGACCGGTACTTGGGTGTTCCGTGTCCCTCATTTTACCACATATGGTCTTGACTATGAAGACGAAGAAGGTGAGAGCCTCAATCAAAGCACATTGAGTGCTGGCCCTGACACTCCGACTCCGAAGGTTCGGCAAGACGCAGAAGATCGAACCGCCGAAACCACTGTTAACTCCGAATTCGATTCGACGATTTCGTTTGATGATTCAATTGCCGACGACACATTTGATTTCAAGAAGCGTAAATTAGTACCGGGCGCTTTTGGAAACCAAGAAGAAGGCATCGACGATGATGAGATGAGTGTGGGGGAAGAAGATGACGATGGATCTACAGTTGAGAATGATATGACTGGCTCGGTTTCATTGCAAGATGTTGACGACGATGTTACTGAGAGTATTGCTTCTGATGTATCAATTGATGATGGAGATATGGAGATGGCGGGCTCTTTTCCTGTACCTCATGGCGATATGGAGTCTGAGGCTACGACCAATGTTGTACATCGCTCCTCGCATTGGGGCACCCCTTCGAAGCCAAGCCTTGACCTTAGTGGTGACTGGGCTGATCAGCTACAACGAACCATCAGCCCTCGAAAACAGAACCGTGACTTGTTGCGAGAGACGCAAGCCGATGCTTTTGTTGACCGAAACTCGCCAGAAAAGAAAATACCAGAATTTCGCCCAACTGCCGTTAACAAATCGAAGTCTATCAATAACAGTATCGATTTGATGAACTCGCTCTTTGCGCAGAAGAGTGCCCGAGTGGGATCACCAGGCAAGAGGCAGAAAGGACAATTGAAGGCTTTTGAGGTTTGCTCCCCGTCTACCACTGTTTTTCCAGCACAATGTATTTAGGAATTCAGAGCCTTAAGCTCGAATTCACATCTAGTTAGTTATGTTTTGTACCTCAGAATGAAAATATGTGATTGAAAGAAGCTAAAATCCTGTTTTGAACAGTTGTCTCACACGAAAACGCCAAAGACTTTTGCAAGCAGCTCTTTCGAACTGTCGCCCAAGGAAGTCGCTTTTCATCGTACTCGCAAGCCTCGTTGGAGCAATAAGGACGCCTTCGTGAAGATCAACGATAACTACGAGACCGAACAAGTTTCGGATCAGCCATGGTCGACTGGGATCTCTTTGGGTGACATCGATGTGCTTGCTTTCGCAAAAGCGCCAGAGGTTTGTTTTGTCGTAGGAATTGAAGTGATTCACGGCTAACAGTTTGTATCTAGTCGGTCGATATTTTAGAGGCGCAGCGTCGTCAGTCGTCGATTCGTCAGATTGACAGCGCACCATTTGCTCGTATCAACAAATTTGATTTCCGATCATTCGCGCAATCCTCTACAGGGTCTGAGCAATATGTGTGGCTACTCGTTAATGTCCTCTTTAACGACGAGATCGAAGATGATATTTCTGCTGGTGTTCCACCACAGCTTCGCAAGAACTACTTGCACCGCATCAAGAAAGACCGTCTCAGCCGTCTCTGGGAATACATCGTTCGAGAGAAGCATGGCGATGATTTGGGAAAGCTTACAACCCCGGAAGAGATAGCCATTGCTTATCTTACCCAACATCGTGTTGAAGATGCCTGCAAGATTCTCATGGATGGCGGAGATCTCCACCTCTCGACCATGCTTGCGCAGATTGGTCGGGACAAGGTGATTCGAAGCAACATGCAAGAACAAGTTGAATCATGGCGTCAACACAATGTCTATTCCGAATTCAGCGAGCCTATTCGTGCTTTGTACGAACTACTTGCAGGTAATGCTCTCAGGTCGGTTGGTCGTTCCTCGGGCGCTCCTGAGGATCGCGTATCGACTTTCACACTCTCAGAGCGGTTCGAACTGGATTGGATTCAAGCTTTTGGCCTGCGGTTATGGTACGGCATCGCAGAAGACGAACCTCTTGAAGTTGCTGTTGCACGTTTCCTAGATGACATCACGACAGGTGACGAACCAGCATTCCCATTCCCGGAGCACTTGGAAAAGGAATTTACTGGCGTGCGTCAAACTGCCAAGTCCTCTTTCTTGGAGTCTCCTCTTTGGGTTGTATTGAAAGTCTACGCTGCTACGATATCAAAGAACGTGGCCCCTGATCTGAAAGTCAATATCCCTGATGCGATATCACCGGAAGCTGTGTCTGGTAGTCGTCTGTCCAGCCGTTTGTCATTCCAGTTACATCAAGCACTTGCCACCATAGTCGGTCAGAATGACAGAGTCACGATCGATAAAGCTCGAACTGATCAATTGACCTGGAGCTATGCATCCGAATTGGTTGCTTCCAATGCAATGGAGCCAGCTTTTTTTGTTATGCTTCACTTGTCGCGACCCAGTGATAGAGAACATGCCATTAAAGAAACTCTTGGCCAATTCGCACCTACTTTGCCAACTCCATTGTCGGAAGATGGCAAACCCGATCGCGTGTGGAACTACCTTTCTCAAGCGTTGCAATTACCCGAATCATGGATCTGGGTTGCCAAGGGACTGTATGCCAGATACAGTGGCGACTTTGCCAATGAAGTGGGCTATCTTATTCGCGCAAAGAACTGGAATGAGGCACATTCGACATTCTGCCGTATCGTTGGACCGCGAACAATCATCGAACGCGATTGGAGCATTTTGTCTCAACTGCTGAACGGATTTGGCGAATCACCAGATCGAAAGGTGCGCGGATGGAGCAGTGGTGGTGCAGTTTATGAAGACTACCTGCGGCTCATTACTGCGCAGGGACCACTTGATCCGACTGTGTTGAAACGTTTGATTGGATCGTTGAGCTTCATGGGCGAGAAGATTAAACAGACTTCTGGTGTGGAGGGTTTGGAGGAACGGGTTGCTTTTATGGAGATGAGTCGCGTTGTGGCTGGTTGGGGTGCACGGGAAGATGTAAGTTTTCGCCTTGTTGATTGTGGTGAAATGAATCTCTTACTGACTGGTTGTTGTAGGGCATTGACTTGTCTGCTATTCTCAAGTTGCCTTTGACGGGTGATGCTAGGGTGAGGCATACTGCAGAGATTGGTCGTCGTTACTACAGTCGGGTCATGGCTACTGCTCATTAGTCGTCGGCTCACGAAAGGGGGTGTGTCGTTTTCTACGTGTCTCTTGCATACGTGATGTGTTTGTTTTGGAATCATTAAGCGTTTTTGTCATGATCAGGAGAGAAAAGGTGTATTATAGAAAATGATTAACCTAATTACAATGTTTCTATCAAGCTGTTCGCTATGCAATGTACTTTCCACCGCCATATTTTACATTTTAAGGGGCAATATCTAGACAGTCCCATTCTGCCTCTCTCTCTTAGCCTTCTCAGCAGCTTTTTTCCATCTCTTCTGCCTCCACTCCATACCCCAAATATACTCAAACCACAACAACCCCGTAGCAGCAAGAATAAGAAGACCCATAAACGTAAAACACCACCCAATACCCATCGATTTCAACATCTGATCCACCACCGCCGCACCAACAGCACCCAGCAAGCATCTCAACAAATTCTGCGCCGCCGATGCCGTACTCACTCTATCCGGGAATATATCCGTAAGCAACGTCGTGAGACTATTCATCGTACAAATCATCGTAAACCCCATTATGAACATGATGACAAGTGGGACAGCAAGGGGAGCTTTGTAGTTCAATGCCCAACCATAACCTAACATTGTAGCGGCCAGGATGCTGCTCCAGAGGAAACTGAGTTGGAGACGGGCTTTTTCGATGGGAAAATTTGTTAGATCGTCGCCGCGTTTGCGGTCAACGCTCATTCCGAGTTTGCGCGCGAGACGTTTGTAGTTCAAGTCGAGGAATTTGCCGTTTATGACTGCGCCGATGGCGGTGGAGATTCCGAAGGGTCTGTACCTAAGTCAACGAGCTGCATGAGATGATGATAGGAAAGAGGGGTCCTACAAAAAACACAATCCAACTTGCAACTCATCCAGACCATAATACTCCGGAAACAACGACGGCAACGAAGTCATCATTATCATCATGCCGAAAAACATAATCGCAGCATAGAGAATAATCACAAAGGCATCCTTTTCCAACAAAATCACAAACGAGAGTAATGGATTCGGAAACTTGATCTTTCTAGATTTCTGTTGTGCCGTTAATGCCGCTTGCTCCTCGCCGTACTCCTGTTTTTCCTCGGGGGTCATTCGTGCCAATTTCCGTCTTATACGGACGTATTGCAGGATTGATAACCGCCACGATTCAGAGGGTAGGATACTTCCGTCTCCGACGATTTTGCGATGTGTTTCTGGTGTTAGGATCGTGTATACCGCGAGATAGGAACCGCTGATAATGACCAGAAACCAAAACACAGATCTCCAACCAAGATATTGAGCTAATAGGCCTCCGATGACAGGCCCCAGTGCAGGCCCAACCATGGCTCCCGCAGCCATGGGACCGAGAAATTTGCCCCGTTCTGCTGTTGTGGTTATATCTGCAATGACTCCGTATCCGAACGAGACCGTGCCACTACTACCTGCACTCTGGAGACATCGTAACACCAGGAGGGCAGCGTAACTGTTTTGAAGAGCTAGACCGATGTTTGCGGCGGTGTAGATTATGAAGGCGAGTATATATGCTGGTCGACGGCCACTGGCATCAGAGAATGTGCCCATGAAACTCGGTGCCAGGCCCTGGAAGATTAGGTACGTGGTCACAGAGACGTTCAGGAGAGTCTGACTCAGGTGGTAGCTTTGCGTCAGTATCGGTAGGACAGGGAAGTAGATTTGTCCTGACAGAGGGGAGAAGAAGGATGCAGCTGAGGCCATGCCGACGATGAACCATTTCTGGCCCCTGGAGAAAGATATATAGGGCTTTTCGCCCCGGGTGGTCGTTGTTTTTGTGAGGGTTTCATTTTGGTTTGGTGTGCGTTGCTGTTGATCTTCTTCCTTGACGGTGCTGTCATCTGCCTGTGTTTGATTGATGTTTTGCGTCTCCTGGTTGCCTGTTTCTGTGATATCTGAGGCTTGGATGCTTGAATTATCACGGTTCGTCGAAATTTCCTTCTCGGGTAATGTTGTCATTTTGGACGGTATCAGTTCGCTATGAACGATTTTAGCAACATTCCTTTGGAGATTATATGCATACATACCTAAGGATTCATATAAGAAGTTATCAAATAAACTGAATGGTTGATTCGTGGCTATAATCTGATGAACAGCCCTTCGAGTGATTCCAACGCAGCCATGGAATACAGTCAACTGCCAATCTTCAATATAAATATCTGCAATGCAAGAACCCATCATTCTCTTTTATATATCGGAAATATCCTAACCACGTTATACAGCTAAGGAGATCCCTTTTTCTCCGATCTGCTGTCAGGACTCAGGAGTGCACCATCCCGGTTCCGCTTGGCTTCTATATGCATCTGAGTATAGGGGTGGCCGGTTCCGGGCGAGCCCGGTTTACATAGGCTCGTCACAGGCCCGGTTTATGTCAACTTTTGAGAAAAAATCATTCTAGGGATATCTGTGGCGATACTACTTCAACACTGGCTGGTTCTGGCATTGAGGATTGATAGCCCGTGTTTATCATAAAGCTCGTCAGGGACCTTTGAAGTAAACTCACGGAGTTATCGGACCACGACTATTACACAAACGAAAATGGCATTGCTAGGACGAAACTAAGACTGTACAGTATAAAAAAAAAAGATCGCATCAATTCTACATCTTGTTGGCCTTGCTTTTGAATACCAATCTAAACAAACAGGGCGAGAGAATCTATTGACCCGGTGCAATGAGCTTGCCCTCATCCCTGGTCTGTGGAGCCCAACCGCCAGCGAAAGGCTGCTTGCCATGTTCCTCCTCGTACTTCTTAATACGAGCCTCAAGCTCAGGTCGGAAGTGTCGGATCAAACCCTGGATAGGCCAGGCAAAGGCTTCTCCCAAGGCGCAGATCGTGTGTCCCTCAACTTGTTTAGTTAACTCCTGGAGCATGTCGATCTCGCGTTCGCGGGCTTGACCGTGTTCCATTCGGTGCATGATCTGCTGTGTCCATTTGCTACCTTCACGGCAAGGTGTGCATTGTCCGCAACTTTCGTGGCGGTAGAAGTGAGAGAGACGAGAAATAGCACGGACAACGTCGGTGGACTTGTCCATGACAATGACGGCAGCTGTTCCGAGACCACTCTGGGAGTCCTTGAGAGCATCAAAATCCATCAACTGGTCATCGCAGATTTTCTTCGGTAGGATAGGAGTAGATGAACCACCAGGGATAACGGCCAAAAGGTTGTCCCATCCACCACGAACACCACCACAGTGGCGGTCAATCAATTCACGCAAAGGAATAGACATCTCTTCTTCAATGGTGCAAGGGTTGTTGACGTGGCCAGAGATACAGAAAAGCTTAGTACCTTGGTTACGCTCACGACCAAAACCGGCAAACCAGCTGGCGCCGCGGCGCACGATAGTAGGAACAACAGCGACGGTTTCAACGTTGGTGACTGTACTGGGGCAACCAAACAAACCAACGGCAGCAGGGAAAGGTGGCTTCAGACGAGGCTTGCCAGCCTTTCCTTCAAGAGACTCAATGAGCGATGTTTCCTCGCCGCAGACGTAGGCGCCCGCACCACGGTGAAGGTAGACATCGAAATCATAGCCGGTTCCACAAGCATTCTTGCCGATTAAACCAGCTTGGTAAGCTTCCTGTATAGCACGCTGAAGTGTGGTAGCTTCATGGTAGAATTCACCACGGATATAGATGTAAGCGGCAGTAGCATTCATGGCACGACCGACAACCAAGCATCCCTCAATAAGTTTCTGGGGGTCCTTGCGCATAATTTCTCGGTCCTTGCAGGTTCCTGGTTCACCTTCGTCGGCGTTGACAACGAGGTATCGTGGTCGCGAATCCTTATCCCAGTCTTTGAAATTCATGAAAGACTGTACGTGTCAGCTTGAAACTGAGTAAGCAAATGTAGTACCACTCACGTATTTGAGTCCGGAGGGGAAACCGGCACCACCACGACCACGAAGACCGGAAGCTTTAATCTCGGAAATGAGCTAGGTTTCGTCAAAATTAGCTATCAATTCAATTGGCGAAGAAAGACTTCGTCAATCTTTCGGAGTCGAGTTGGGACCGCATACCCAATCATGACCCTTGAGAATCATCTCCTTCGTCTTGTGCCAATCGCCATACTTCATCGCTGACTTGAGATCGGTACCATGGTGACCGTAAAGATTGGTGAAAATACGGTCCTGGTCCTTCAATCCACCGTATTGTCTCTTAGGAGCAGCTCCATCTTGAACAGTGGCGAAGGATCGAGTCGCTAAGCGGGAGGTCTTTGAAGGGATGGCCCGTGACGAGATGTGGGCGAGAGAAGAGGTCGAGGGGACCGCTACTCGAGACATCATTTTAACCTGGACGCTCAATGGCGCGAGAGCGAGGGGTTGGGATGAGATATGAGCGGAGAGGGAAGTTCGAGAGGTCGCTGTCCGTTCCGGCATCCTCGCGTTTATTTTACCTTGGTGCTGATTGGCTAGTGTTGGCACGTGACTTTCCGAGCTTATGTGATCTCACTTTACACATTTTGGACAGAATCACTGCTTGATAGAATCGATGAGTATTCAGTAATTACTTCTAGAGTTGGAGTACATTCCTCTATTATCTAGTTATATTGCTCTCTCGGAATATACAAAACCCCCCTCATCCTCATCCCACTCATTCCATCAACCATCTCCCCCAACGGATCATCAACGACATTCATAACCATCTCCTGCTCCAAAACTAACCAAGCCCAGCGTAACCAATTCGGTGAAAGCCACCAGTCACTGACATCCCTTTCTCCCTGGCCCGGGACAGGCGTACCTACCCATGGCGTGAGAGGTCCCAAGACATTACCGGGGAGGTGATCATTGATGAATGAATCAAATGCAGATAATATAGTCTCGTCGGTCTCGTCGGGAAGAGTCCAGGATACGTCGTTTGGTGGAGCCGGGTATGTATTCATGAGGAAGTTGCACCATATTCTCAGACGAGGGGGGAGTTGTGATGGGGTATGTCTGTGGACGGCAACGATGAGATTGATGAAGACTGCATAAGCGAATAATGCGTGTGGTCCATTTTCTGTGTCTCCTGAGCCTGATCCAGTACCATCATCGATCGCAATTGCTTGTTTAGCTCTGGTAATGAGTCCATCAATGCACTCCTTTGCAATACTCTGTAAACTCATGGGTAGGAGTTGGTATAGATCCCCGAACCCGAAAAGTTCAGCTGACTGACTGCCTGGAAGGAGACTTTTCCTGTTCAGTATCCTTTCTTTAATATGCACCTTCTTTTCGGCGTCGAATATCCGTTCTGGAACGCGAGATAACAACCCATCAAGAAGCTCCCCTTGACTGCCCTCTTCCAAAATCCTTCGGGACATAAGCGTCCAGTTAGCAATAAACACAGCTGTCCGCGAAAGATCAATATGACTCTCTCGAAACTGTTTGGAAAAAACCTGCTTCAAGTTCTTAGGGTCCCCCAACTGACTCCCGGAGACCTCAAGTCTCCGAATATAAGACAGTAACTCAATAACAATCTGATTCAAGGATGCAATCAGGTTCCTAGAACCTGCATACTGCGCCCAAGGCACCTGAAACCCGTCTTCATCAATCGTAACCGTCTCCAATTCCCGATCATTCGCAACAATGACTGATAAAGCGCGCAGCAAATCAGGCGAGAAGATAGAATACTCCAACGGTTGGAATGAGTCGATAAGTGGGTAGGACAAGGAGAAGACGTAGTATTTATCTTCTTGATCAGCTACCGTGTTTCGTTTATTGGCGGATTTGGAGCAGTGTTGCTCATATTGAGCTTTGATTTGGGCAAGGGGACTGTCTGGTGGTGCACGGAGACTGACCACGCGGTATTCGCATGGATTATCGGGTATACAGAATCCATAGTTCATCATCACTGCTAGAGATTAGTATACCGCACGCACTATCTCGCTTTTAAATAAGTATAGGATGTAGAAGGATATAAGACTCACATTGCTCATTATTCCTTGGTCCATAATTATTCCCTACTTCATCACCAGCCCTAAGGTCACTCATAACCACAAGACCAATACTATCAGTCCCAGCTCGCCATTCGACTTTGGACAGTGGCTTGTGATTCGTAGCATCAATCAAGGGCAGAAGAACCGAAATACGATCTCCTTCTTCTGCCGTTTGCAGTTTTGGGATAACGCTAGCAAGGACTTTTGCGGTAAAAGCGCGTGATGAGATTATTGTTGATGCCCATAGGTATAGATCCCTATCCTCTATTAGCAAATGAATACCTATATAGGGACCACCCGGACCTGGTAACGGAGTATAAGCTCTTACCAAGTATAAAGACGGGCATTTTCAACCCCCAAATCCTGCATCATCGAATATGCCTTCTCATAATTTACCTTCCAGATTTGCAACCTTCTTTCTCTTGAGGCGGCAAGGCTCGTCATATTCAACCACGCAAGATCCCCATCCTCCTCTTTAAACAACAATGGAGTTGTCAACTCCTCTGGCCCAGGAAGGGATTGTATATACGGATACCAGAATCCTTCTTCTCTACGAAGATACTGACCCATTAAGAAGAAAGTGGTCGTTTCCTCAGGTCCGATTGCCTCAATGAGTTGTTTCGGTAATTCGACTCCATGAGAGAAGAACGTTGTTTTTCTTTCTCCTTTTTCTGTTTGCTGTTGTTCTGGTTCGTAGTTTATGGCATTGAAGTAGGACATTGTTAACTCAATTGGGATTTTCATGACGCATGTCCCTGGCGTCATGCTCGATGATACTTCTGATGTCGCTGGTTTGACCTGAAGATGTACTCCACGCTGCGCATCATGTGCGAATTGAACGGTGTCATCGAGGCGGCCTCCATGTTGAACGACCCAATCCTCGAGCTCAACGTGAGTTTGAAGGGCTTGTCCGGCGGTTCTGTAGGGTTTGTAAGTAACGTGTAGAAGTGAACCAAGGGAGCGAACGCACTTAGGGGGGCGTGATTCGGTCATTTTGATAGTTCCTTATGTTGTTAGATTTGCAAGGTTAGATTGTGTTATTATCATCAATTCCAGTTCCACACTAGAATAACATCACGTTTCTCTTGTTGAAAGTAAATTCAAGGTTGTTGTTCAAACATGATTCAAAATTATGCCCTGTTCCACTTTTTTCGGGAAGCTCACATGGCGGGACGGCTTAGGCATACTACGTATTAATACTGCAGTCATTTTTCTACGTCAAAGCCTAGACCTTCTACAATGTTAGAAGCTATATTGACGAAGACTAAAACGCAAAATCAAATTGCATGCAACTAGTGTACAGTGGTATATCTCGCATATTCCAGACGTCAGCTCTTCTTCCTCATAAGCCTGCTTAGCCATCCAATGACAGGAAGATAAAACTCATACTCCATGAATGCAATTGCAACTCAGAAGGATGATGTACAGTTCAAATGGCAGATTAAAACGAATTAATTCGAAGAAAATGACTTGCTCCGGCCCGGGACCAGAATCTCAACAAGCCCGTCTTCGCCGTCGCTACTATCATTGTCGTCGTCATCGTCGAATGAAGACTGTCCGTTTCTGCCGTATGAGCGACTGAATCCACCGTAGCGGTTAGCACCGAATAAGTTGGAATAGCCAAGCGATTCGTTAATGATGGCCTCTTCCTCTTCATCTGAATCCATCATGCCCCCTGAGCCAGAACCAGAGCTGGGACCGACCATTTCACCCATTTCATCGTCATCATCGTCTTCAACCTCGAGGGGTATTCGGACTTTGCGTCTTACTGTTTCCCTAAGTTCGCCGCTCGTGTCATCGGAGGAATTGGTAGACGGCGAGCCAGGAGGTGTGAAACCGGTGTGGAAAGTCGGCGAAGACGGTTGGTCGCTCTCATCCATGGCAGAAAACTCAGAAGAGCCAAGGTCGTGAGAGTCGTCTTCAAGATCGGCTATGATGAACGGATTGGATTGCCACTGTCCATCATCATCATGGTGTGATGCGTTCGCACTAGACTGGTCATTTGAATTCTCCGCAGCAGCGTCGGCTTGTTGTTTGTGAAGGGCTAGTCGGGCAGCCAACTGGCGACGTGCCCGGGATGGGACGATATTCAGAGGGGCAGGTGGGGGAGCCAGGATCGGGATAGGCTGGCTAGTTGATGAAGATGCGGGTTCCTGCAAGATGAGTAACCATGTTAGCAACGTTCAGACTCCGCTTGTGACCAACCAGACTAATAAGACGTGTCTATGTCCAACAGAAAATTGAAAGTCATTAATCATGAGCCCGTGAGGGCCAATCTGCGGGGGTAAATGGGTATACATGATGTGGAGAATGGACCATCCATGATATCAGGCTAATCTACGCAGTAGGAACATAGCACTGGTCCAAATGCAACGGGAACGCTGGAAGCAACAACTGAAATAAGAGATGCAGAAGAGAAACAGTGGGCTGATTTCGCACACCTTTGACGCAGGCATTGAAACCCGCAAAACCCTCTATCAACAACCTCTTACACTGTAGCACTTCCATGCCCAGATGCACAGAGCTAGGCTACATCTTCTCCCTGCTGTTGCCAATGTATAAAAGGAAAAGAAAAGAATTTGACTTGACGCGTCATAACTGCTGCATCTCAATGTCTGCAAAAAGAGAAGTACCCACATTTTCTAATCCGCTTTCTGCGTTATTATCGGTAAATCCTCTGGTGTCATCATCATCTTGGTCTTCCATCTCCTCGTCTTCGTCGTCGCTGGAGCTTCCGAAGCCGCTGAGAAGGGAATTGCTGCCTCCCATACCGAATGCTCCGCTAGATGCACTACCGTGCGTCATGGAGTCGAAATTCTCAAAATTGGAGCCGTTTCCTCCGTTCAAACCGGCATTTGCAAGAGCATTAGAACCAGTGAAGCCCTGTACGGCGTTCATTACAGCTTGACGGTGGCCCATGAGGTCGGGTCGAACGCCTCCGAGAATAGCGTTATCACGTTCACGGGTCTCTGATAGTGTTCGCTCAACGTAATCAACCCAGTCGGGATGTAACACTTTGTCCATAACGCTTTGTGATAAGATTTCGGCAGGGTGACGTTCGGTGAATTTGACAACCTCCTCTGCTATTAATGTCAAATGACCCATATAACCGAGTCTCGTGTTCTTGGAAGCTTGAGCCTCATCGCTGCGCTTTTGGCCTTCAACGATTTTCTCCGTGATGCGCCCGGTATTGAAAAGGTCAATAGCAAGGCATCGATTATAGCCTCGATCCATGGATCCGTTGAAAACTTGTTGAACGACATCGTACACTACATTGTGCAAGAAGTTGTTCCAGGGAAACCGGAAGAAGAAATCCTATCAAAATGTCAGCTGATTCCAACTTCTTCGAATAAGCATTGCTTTTCGAACTTACCAAAATAGTAGGAACGACTTTGTGCTCTACAAATTGAATCTTCAAATAGTCACCAACAACAGGCTGGCCAGAATGTTCATACTGAATCTGAGGGGTAAACTCATCCTCAATGTGTGTAGCGAGAGAGTCATTCGACTGTCCTTCTGTTGGGACGTCTGGACCTGAGAACTCTTCTTGCTTTGGTTCAGTGTTATGCGAGTCTGGTTGGTTCGTTGTGGCAAATGACGGTGCAGTGGCATCCTTGGCATGAGTGGACAATTCCATCGGCCGTTGAATTTGGTTATTAAATGGCTCATTCGTCATGGAAACCTGCTCATTCTTATCCAATGTGATTTCATTGACACTGTCTGTCAGACCAGATGCAGTGGGCGATATAGGATCAACCGGGGAATCAGTTGGAGCAAGACCAGTAGGTTCAGTCTTGTGTGTGGAATCCTTCAAGGTTTCTTCAACTATACTGTCCTCAATATGGAGCCCCGGACTTTCCGTATGGACATCCGATTTCTTGATTTGAGTTTGATCATGCGTATCTGACTTGATTTCGGGCCCAATGTCCTTGGAAGAACCAACATCTTCGAAGCCGTCGTCATCGCTGACGTTATTATGTTCTGGTGTCGCAGACGGCAGTTCAATTCGGGAGCTTTGTTCTTGTTCGGACTCTCCAGCATTTTCACTGTATGTCATCCCGGAGACTTCCTTTCGATTCAGATCGAATGCGCCCTGAGCCCTCAAGTTTTCGCGTTCAATATCCCTTTGTCGTATATAATCCTCACTGCCAACCTCGTTTAACAATCCCATATTGCTACAGTGAAGGAGCTCTGCCATCAATTCACAAGTCTTGAAACGATCAAAGCCCAAAGGTTCAATCTTCACTCCCCACGCAGAATTGAGCAGCCCGCGGTCCTTGATCTTGATTTGTCCGTTCTCAACAACGGTATGTTTTGAACTGAGAATCAATGCCATGAAGTCGGGGATATGCGACGAGAATTGCCGAAGCAGAGTTCCTAGGTAAATGGGATCGTATACGCTTGGACGAGCATCGGGTCCTCCGACATTCTCATCATAGTCAGAGTTGTTCTTGCGAATGACTTCGATGACAATGCCGACACCCACGGTAAGCGAGTTTCCTCCCTGGAGCATGAATTGAATGAGCTGTTCCACGCATGGAGCCGAGACAAGTTGCCTGGTTAGACTGTTGGGTCCAATACACGATTGCTCGTTCTGGGTTGCGTTTGCTGAGATGGTGATGATTGCCTTCAAAAAGTCTCCAGCAGACGTTTGCATGGAAGACAAATGTTCGGATGATATATAAGACAGCAGGACAGGAATAAGGCCCTCATCTTTCAACCACTGGGATAGTTTATTAGCTGCTGAAAACTTCAGACTACGCGAAGTGAACTCACGTCGACAATGCCTTGTCCACCCTCCACCTTTTCCAGGCTAATGATTTTCAACAGCAGATCCATTACCATAGGATTGTCCACATGTTGTAATATCGCAGGAACAACTCCTTTCAATGACTTGAAGAACTCGAGCATTTCTTCTGTCTTCTTATCAAACAGGACCTCATTAATTTTGGTAAAGTAGCCGGCCTGAGCAGAGTCCAAGGGTGCTGGTCGTCGTATAAAATCCCAGAACTCTCGCAAATAAGCTTCGTTGACCATGATCGATTCCAAAATAGACCATGTCTCTGAGGACAGGATCTCGCAAGCCATGTATGCGAATTTGGAACGCTGCTTATCGGCCCTTTCTAAATCCTCCGGTCCGAGAATATCCTCGTCCTTCTTTGTATCCTCACCTGCACCACCGCCGAACTTTTCGATGGCGGGTTTTGTCTTCTCATCATCGTCGTCATGGTCGTCATTATCATCGTCATTAATTAGAGGCGGAGCGACCACGTATTCCAACAATTTCTTCAGGATGTGGTCCTCTCGTAAATATTCTATCAGTTTCGTATTATGCTGTTTCAATTCGGAAATCAGCTCCGGCTCGTCCAAGAGTTCTTCGAGGCTGACATCGGGTTTATCGAGCAGAGTGTCGACGGCGGAGATATTCGCGTACCCCCCGAATCGCCAGAACATCTTGAACTATAGGATAAAAAGCGATGGCACAATAGAGTCATGGACATATAATCTAGAATGTGAGCGGATGAAATTGCCGTTCCGGAGTTGTATAATCCCAGTTGAAATGCTAAGAAGAAAATGTGTCAGGCGGCTGCTGGTTAATTGTGCTCTTGGATGCAAATATTCTACCCCAATCTCTGTTATACTGATGAGGATGAATGTGGTGATACAGGACGTGTTCTCGATCGTGATATATTGTGTCGTATCAATCGTCGTCGTAATTCGTATCAGAAGATGAAATAAGAAGGTCAATATAACACAGCACACAGACTGAGCGACCGCGACCGCGCGCACTGATTGTCAGGGAGTTAGTATAAGGGAGAAATTGGGCCTTTCACAATCATTGCAGGCAGAATGTTAAGTAAAGCGCACATGACCGTAGTGCATATGTAACATAGAATCCGGGGAATAGTTGATAAGAGGTTGTCTCACCTGTTCCGATGTTAAAGGAGTGACAAGAATACACAATGGAGGTATATGGTTCCGAACCGCGTCACTTCAAGTAATGACAGACGATCTGCGACTGGTTGTAACAGTGTCCAGAATAATTTCGAGATCACCCGGAAATAGAAAGTGAAGCCGAAGTTGATTGCTGGTTGACAGCTCAAGCTACTTCGGCTGGTTGGACTCTTTTCTCACTGAGAGGGGGATGATGATGGTTATTATTGTTGCACTAACAGTGTGTGCCTGGTTGGCAGATGGCGCAAGAGAGGAGATCCAACGGCAAGTCCATACAGAATCCGGGTGCTCTGGAGAGAAAGTGATGGGATAGAATCGTTGATGATCAAGAGAGAGATGTCAGATATGGATGAAGAGTGAAGATGTACTGAGTGTAGTCGTGACCCGAGCGAGCGTAAGTGTGATCGATGATTCTGCTGGAAGGGGCCGCTCGGGTGCGATCTGTTTCAGCCAATCAGAGTGCGTCTACCGTTACGAGTCAGCACGAGACTATTTTATGCCTTGCTGCCTTATTAGTCTGGTCTATTTCTGTCTGCGCATACAGCGGCTATCAGATTAGTACGTCGTTTTAAGCCTGTCGTATCAGTTACAATTGAGGATGAATATAGTCTTCTTCTCTTTTGTATAGATTTCTCTGTATTAAGAACTTATTACTTTCCTTCTTTTCCTTCTCGTATTACAGTTTCTATTTGAATACCTAAAAATGCCCATGGTGAACAGGCGGGGCCAACCCTAAAACCAGACAACGACAAAGTCACAAAAATTTGGAGATCTTAAAAGTTGCTTTCACAAACCTTGAACTAGGAACGTGAAAACAAAATCGACGACAATACATGTAACTCGCAGAAATACATCAGTTTCTTTGGCAATTCATGTTGTTTTTGCAGGTAGGCTTTTCCCCGGTTCCCGGCTGATATACTTTCAAGCTCCGCCTGCAACGATCATATTGGATGGTGTTTTAGATGACTCTTCTTTTTCATTAGCAACGGAAACATCACCGTGATTGCGTCGGCCGGAATGCTGATGGTGTAAACTTTGCTCATAGCGTCTATGATGGCTGAGATCGCTTGTGTCTTCATAGACGGGGCCAAGGAAGCACAATGGTGCCTTGTATTCATAGACGCGCTCCTGATATCTTGAGAGAAACGTAGGCCTTGCAAGACGCGAATAAGGCTATGACAGCCAAATTTCGAAATACCTAGGCACCTATAAGCAAACTACTTATTTGGAAACCAAGCTGAGATTTGGTGAGCATTGAAACGACACACTGGACATACAGGCCAGAGCATGTTCTCCTCGTGGATTTGGAGCCTCCAGCCGCGTAATCAGCCTGAAAGATCAAGCCGGTGCAGACTCAAGAAGGAAGCTGTATCCGTAGACGTTTGCAATATGAATTTGAATTATCGACACACGGCCGCTAGTGTCGATCTTCAGATGCTAAAGATCTTTCTTTGCCCCGGCCACTGGTGAATTGCATAGACATACCACAGATATTCACTCCTCATAATACCGAGAGTATGCCTTTCTTATGGCGATTAGCTAAGTGGAGCAACGTTTCTCCATTGAAAAGGTACTGGCTCAAACATGAGACGGTGCATGTATTTTTATACAGTCTACAAACCCAAAGCCATCAGTCCGCTCTACTGCCACTTCAGAAGGACGGTTAGTTAATCTTGTGAACAGAACGATCAGTGACAATTCTCCAGTGAAGATCTCCTCGCAGCCATATAATCCCCTGACCATGTATACAAGTCATGCGAATCATCGATGACCTCAAAACGGAACAGTGTATGCTCGTCACTCATGAGATATGTATCGTGCTCCCCCGCTGATATTCTGTCTGATCGAGGTCAAACCATTGCGAGAGCCTCGTAAAACTGTGTAACAAGCAGTTTTGCCAAGATGAAAGACTGTATCCGAGTTCCAACTGGGAGGATGTGTCTTTGTTGAATTTAAGATAAGGTAATTAGTACATGAAAGCCTTACCCTCTTCCCCATTTATTTAATGTGGAGCTGTCATATTACCAGATGAAATGTTAGGAGTCTTAGGACTGCATTAGTGTGGTTCTTCAATGCTCAGACGATCCACATCAAGCACGAGGCTGGGTGTACGGGTGTATTGTGTGAGACAATTAACGACTTTCGGGGACTTTGTCTATGCTCTCCCATGCCAATATGGGAATTGAAAACGCGTCCAGCATGGCTGTCAGAATATGAAGTGTATCAGTCCATGCCGCGGAATGAGCCGAACTCTTTTTGGAGACCTCATTGTCAATTGGCGCTCGTAAGTAGAGCGATACGGGTCCAGCGGGTTGAAATTGGACTGTTGAGAGGGTATTGTGGATATCCTCGACATAATACTCGGTTTGAGCGGTGCGACAATGGAAAGGAGATTGTGATAACCTGCACAACTATTGTGACGGTCTAGTTGATAGTGATAGATCACCACGGGGAAAAGATGTTAGATTGGCGTAGTGGATTGTCACGTGATGCTACTTAGTTAGTAACTAACAGTTAGTTACCAGCTCCCCACCGGAGACCTAGAGAGAGACCAATCAAGTCATCATCTTCCCACTATAGTGCGTCCGTTATATAGATCCACGGACCCACGTGCAAGCTAACCGCTGCCGAGGACTTTCTGCCATCCTATCAGGCGGAACCATTCATCAGGCGGTGAGCAATCTGTATAAGATGGCAGTCTAACCCGATTCGCCAGGCCAGGCTACACTCTGACGTCGCCACAAAGCAACACCAACTGCTCGTCCATGAACACACTATACGCTTTGCGAATGAAAATACAGACAACCAATAATCCAAGCTGAGAGATCTATCCTCGCATGATATCGCCTTTATTGAAGCGTAATCTCCCGAGGCGGTGATCGCCTGTGACGTTCGATTGCCCTTGCCCCTCCAAAGATCACAAGTCAACAACACACTTGATCCTTCTCGAACGATTGAATCATACATATTCACCTACTCTACAAAGCGCATCCTGATTATTTAATATGAATCGACTATTTGGAACAAAGAATCAGGCTCCCAAGCCAACCCTGGATTCAGCAATCTCAAATGTAAGTCGACAGTCCACTGTCCACATCTTCTAATAGATAAATCTAACCACGTTACCAAATTCTAGGTAGACAGCCGCGTCTCAAGCATCGACGTAAAACTCGCTGCCCTCAACTCCGAACTCTCCACCTACCAAGCGCGACTTTCCAAGATGCGCGACGGTCCCGGTAAAAACGCCCTCCGCCAAAAGGCGCTCAAAGTATTGCAACGCAGGAAACAATACGAAGCGCAACGCGACCAACTCTCGCAACAATCATGGAACATGGAACAAGCAAACATGATGCAAGACAATCTGAAAAACGTGATGACAACAGTCGACGCAATGAAAACCACCACCAAGGCACTGAAGAAACAATACGGGAAAATCGATATTGATAAAATCGAGCGCATGCAAGACGAAATGGCGGATTTGATGGATATTGGTAATGAGATTAACGAAAGTATTTCGAGGGCGTATGATATTCCCGAAGATGTGGATGAGGCGGAGTTAGATGCGGAGTTGGAGGCGTTGGGCGAGGAGAGTTTGTTTGAGAATCCGATGATGGGGGATTCGGAGGCTGTGCCGAGCTTTTTGCAGGATGAGGTTGCGCCGCCTAGTTTTATTGATGAGCCGCCTGAGCAGGGTAAGGTTAAGGAGGCTGCTGGGGGGGTTGGATAATATGTAGTATGTTTTATGTGAAGGCTAGCGTAGGTTTAAGTTCATAGCACAGATATCCTCTGGGGGAAGAATTCAATATCTAGTATATGTATATGTGTAAGTCATCAGGTCATGCACATCGTAATATATCCGGAAACTAAACCCGAAATCACGCCAATCCCATGCCAATTAGTACTAGTAAAGCAACGTCCATAATAGTTATTGCAACCCATATCACACCCGCCAGCGCCGATACAGGCCAGCCATTCCTCATCTTGACCGCTGCCTCGGCCAGAGCTTGAGCCTCTGTACTCGTTTGAGACAAATCAACGGCTTCACTCCTGACAGTCATAAACTTATTCCTCGCCGTAAAGTAGATAAGTGGCGCAACGACAAAGGGCAATATGACACTCAGAACCACTTGGGATGCAGTCAGCGCGGTATCTAGTCCCTCACGACCCACGGATGCAGCTATGATAACACTCGGCACAATACTGATGACTCGAGTGAGAAGTCGACGGATCCACGGTCGACAACTCCAGTTGATCATACCTTCGCTGATCATTTGTCCGGCTATGGTGCAGACGATACCGGCAGATAGACCCGAAAGCAGCAAAGCGAGACCGAAAATGGTGCCCGCAGCGGGTGCGATGGATTGTGAAAGAAGGTCGTGTATTCCGAATAGGTCTGCATTATCGGCGCCGGGGGTACCGTATAGAGCCGCAGCGGCAACGATGAGAATGGCGCTGTTGATGAATAGAGCAAATGTGAATAGAGACAGACTCAATTCGATGATAGAATATTTCAAGCAGCCGCGGATCGCATGTATCGAAGGACGGTACACCTCGCCTTGCCCCGAAGGCTCAATATATCCGGCGTCAATGTCATACTCTTTAAGCCGGGGCTGGACAGATCCACTCCCTAGGAAAAGCGAATGAGGCATAACGGTTGCACCAAGAATACCACAACTCTGATAGAGACCCTTACTCTCAACGACCGCTGCTGAAGGGAGATATCCTCGAAACACCTCACCCACGGATTGTGCCTTGAGTAAAGACAGTTGTATACAGAAACATACCACCACCCCGAGCACGAGGAGCATCACAAAAATTTCAAAGGCGCGAAGACCCCACATTGATCCCTGAGGTCGGTAGAAGATGAGAAGAATTAGGACGTCGGCCATTGTGATGACGCATCCTGCTACTAAGGGAATTTTTAGTAGAAGATTCAACGCAATGGCTGAGCCGATTACCTGAAGGATTCATCAGTTGAGATTCAATAAAACTATGTGGAAGACTTACCTCGGCAATATCAGTAGCTATAATAGCAGCTTCTGACAGAATATACAAGCAAATATTAAGCCACTTTGGAAGATGAGCTCGACAATTCTCAGCAAGGTTGAGCCCGGTCACACTTCCCAATTTGATGCACAGAGATTGCAAAAAGACGGCAAATAAATTAGACATCAATACAACGAAAAGTAAAGCATATTTACTTTCAGCACCGGCAGCGGCATCTGTAGCATAGTTGCCAGGATCGATGTATGCAACAGCAATCAGGAATCCTGGACCGATGAACGAGGCGAATTTGACAATGGGTCGAAGAAAGCTTGGGACTGAGACGGAGATTGTGAGAGCTTTGCTGCGTGTCTGTGGTGTGGACATTGTAGTAGCAAGTACTCCTTTTTGACTGGTTTCAACAGCTGCCTTTGACGGTACCGTCTCATTTGGATTAGGAGGTACCACCTCTATTCGGGCCACCCCATCTGGTGAAGTCGTCGTCTGTAATGAATGATTCCTCCGATCTCGAAGATTGACTATGCCATTGAAATCATTTCTTGTTGTTGCATCTGCGTTGAGAGGAGGCGGATTCTGATTCCAGCCTGGGTGGTCGAGAGCGTCGTCAGTTCTGGATGGTTGGTTCATTTTTTGTGGGAGAGTCTGTGCCGGCAAAGGCCCTTGGCATTGTTCGTTTAAGCATGCACCGAAAACAGCACTGTTCAATTATTTGTATGATCATATATATATGTACTTGAGCAAAGTCGTGGCCGTTCCATTAATTATCAAGGTCAAGCAGGTGTAGGAGTGAGGTTGTAAATAGGGTTACTGCGACTTACGTGATGATGCCGTTCTTTCTGATCTTCTCGACCCGGTTCTGCCCGCGATGTTTCGTTTCTTTGGATGACAAGACCACATTTACCGAATTCCAATTCTTATTGCAGAACTATCGGAATATCGTAGAGTCTTGTCATTGCTCGTGCGTCATTTGACTCGGTAAAATTGAGGAACTTGCAGGATCGATTTACTCCGTATATAGTCCAACCTGGAAGCGTTCCGATGTGATGATATATCTTTTGATCTGCTATTTCTTCACCTTATTCTCCGCCTGCTCCAGAATATCCTCTATATGATTTCGTTAACGGACAGATACATTAAATCTACTGTAACTATTAGTTATTGGAGAGTACAGATTAGTATACGTTGTCCAATAGAGCAACAATTGGCTCGTTAAGAGATGGATGGCATTTCTACCGGTTACACCATGGATGACGACGATAACCCTTGAAAGCACGGATAGCAGAGCAGTAGAGATCTAGAACATATCCAGCAGCATCTCAGGTTCCAGGATCTTATCGGCATAGGTGACTGGCCAAAAGATACATCCGTCCTACCCCGGATTTCCTGATTCCAGTACACTGGTGAATCTCATGCTTCGATACCCTGCATGGCCACGTAAGTTGAGCGTCCGAATAATCTCATGAAATGCACTACCCATAATCATCAGTCATATCCACAGCAACCTCCCATAAATAGCGGTCTGGTATGTTTGTTTTGAGTTTCTCCAGGCATGTAGTATGCATGTATTTGTTGGCCTTGATCCTAGATTGCAGGAAAATAAACATCCCCAGATCAAGAGACCCCGCTGAATTGCCGAAAGATGATGAATGCCAGTTGTATGCGATCAATCCTGAATAGCAATTGAACAGCCAGGTCAAGGTCATTTTTACATAAGAGAATGGAACACTCGGATGATATAGAAACAAATAAACCGATGTCATGTTGCTGATCAGACAATCAATCTCTAATAGAGCAGATATTAATATGATATAGTCTGGGATCATGGACGTTGGCCGAAATTAGGGTTGCCCGGCAACGCTCTCCTCCCCCACCCAATGTTTACAGGCAGCACGGGGCCGGAGGATTCTACCATCTCGGATAGAATTGATCAATTATTCCTTTATCAAATCATCAATTGATAGTGGAGAGAGCCTATCTCAGAACAGACAAGTTGCTCAAGGAAACCGGAGCAACTTGGTTTCCATTGCGAGCTTCTTATTTTCTGTCTGTTCCCTCTTCTTCCTTCTTTTCTCTCTTCTTCGTCACCAGTAGAGACTGCGTCCTCGGTCTGTCTTCTTCTTCATGTTGCTTCTTTTGGTCGGGCCCTTGCTTCTCTTCTGCTGAGCTCCGCTTTGGGTGTTGTTTATTTCTCTTCGTTGTTTTCTGCATAATCGTACGAGAGGGCGTTTGTTTTTAAGAGCGCGGCGGTAAGCCTTATACTTAACGAAGCTTGTTCATGTGCTGATTGTTCTACAGAGTCTATAAATTAATCAACGTGCCATGATTTCCAACGCCCATCCCCCGACCATCTTCGACGACACAAGTCGCCCGCCAGCCAAGCCGTCGATGCTACGCTCCATCTTGCCGTCAAAAACACACAAAAGAAATGCCACGGCCGGTGACGCCTTACCAACCGTCATGCCGGGAGTCAGCTTTTTGGGTAATGCGGGTTTCCTCCCGGCCGATCACCCTCATGCTCAGCCGTTGGGGGAAAGAGCACACAACAGGGACGCCGCTGGTACACAACCCAAAAAGGAAGGGTTGCATAAGAAGACCAAGAGCTCTGTCTCGCTCAGGTCCTTGATTAAGGACCGTGAAAAGAAGGAGAAGCCGCGGTCATCGTCTGACTCGCCGGATGAAGAGGGTTCCTTGGGAAAGACGATGAAGAAGATGAAGTCGACAGCTAGTCTGTCAGCAATTTTGAAAAGGTCAAATCGAGGACGGAAAGGTGAGGCTGTGACTGAGCCAAAGGACAAGGAGAACCAGCGTCCAACGTCGGAAGTTGTCTCTCCTATCTGGGCTCAATTTGCTACCCAGCCACTGGAAGATCCCAAGGGCAATGTGTATGTCCCGGGAAGCCAAAGGTCGCTGGAGGAGGAGGTTTCTCTATACACTCCGAAGCAGTATTCTCCCTCCAAACAACGGAATTTCTACGATCATCAGCCTACTCTGGTCCAGAAACCCAGACCCAAATCGGACTATATCTCATCCGGCACAGCGAAGGTCAAGGAAATGTTGGGTCAGATTCAACGTGTTCCGTCTGGCAAACAGCGAAACCCAGAAAGGCAGTCTGAGTTCCAGCACTCGTCCGATTCCCGTTCCATCCACGAATCAAAGAGAAACTCCAACCACAGCGGTGGCCGCGTGATGGCCGCCGTGTCGGCTCTCAACGCCAAAGAAGCTGATATGCGTAAGGACCAGGACAGCAAGCAGATTGAGAATGAATTCGAAAAGCTGCTGGTGAGTTTATACAAAGCTTATAGAAAGAAAGAAAAAAAAAAAAAAACTGACGCATCTAGGACGCGCGGAACATTCCTATGAACATGCGGGATAAGATGAGGTCTCTGGATACCAACATTAAGGCGGACTTTATCCAAAAGAATCAAGCCGAAAGTTCATGTCCCAACTCAGCAACATCCAGTACTTTTGATAGTGCTGGCCGACGCGGAAGAAAAGATGCTCGATCTGGCGCCTCTCAGACTCGCGATAAGAGTCTACGCTCGCTTTCTCGTGCGAGGTCACCATTTCCCACTTCACGAGGTGATGCTTCACCCAAAAAGCATCAAAAGTCGAACAGTGCTAGCTCGTTCAAGCGTCCAAAATCGGTCGATCTCTCGCGGCCCTACATGATGCCCACTGCGTCCACCTCTTCCACTTCGCTTCATGCCACAAACCCGACAGACACCGCAGCAGAGCCCGCCGACTTCATACACTATTTGAGAGAGGTCCAGAAACCCGAGTTGGTTGAGGTAGGAAAACTGCACAAGCTCCGCCTACTTCTTCGTAATGAAACTGTAGCATGGGTAGACTCTTTTATCGCCGGTGAGGGAATGGATGAGATCGTCCAGCTTCTGTACCGTATTATGAAGGTCGAATGGAGGTATGTCGTTTTCCGCAAGATTATTCGCATATCACTTACGTTTGCAGGGAGGAACACGAGGATAACCTGCTCCATGAAGCTCTACTCTGTCTCAAAGCTCTATGTACAACCTCTGTTGCCTTGCAGAGGTTGACAGCCTTGAGCAAGGAGCTTTTCCCAGCATTGCTCGGGATGATCTTCGACGAAGAGAAGAAAGGACCTAGCGAGTTCACCACCAGAGGAGTTATTATTAGCCTTCTCTTCACTCACCTTTCTACTGCGCCGGAAGGCGAAATGCAGGCGCGAGCTGCTGAGATTCTTGGCTATCTGCGTGATCCTAACCCTAACAAGCAGCAGGTTGAGTTTATTACAAACATCTACCAGTCTCGTCCATACCGAGTGTGGTGCAAAGAAGTAACGAATGTTACCAAAGAAGTTTTTTGGATCTTCCTGCATCATTTGAATGTTATTCCTCTGAATCGCGACAACAATATTGCTGACCAGGAGCAAGGAGATTACTTGAAGAAGCATTTCCCTACACCTAGGCCACCGGTTCCAGCTGCCCCGTATGTCGGTGGCGTCGAATGGGACGCAACAAACTACCTTGCAACACATCTTGATCTGATGAACGGCCTTATTGCATGCCAGCCTACGACCGAGCAGCGCAATGCTCTTCGCGAAGACCTCCGTGCTTCCGGATTCGAAAAGGCAATGGGCGGAAGTATGCGTACCTGCAAGGAGAAATTTTACGGTGCCGTTCACGACTGTTTGAAGACATGGGTCGCTGCAGCTCGAGACGACGGCTGGGATTACAGATTCGTCCGCGAAGGACCAGAGCCTGGTTCCCCAACTAAACCAATCAAATCTTCTAGAAAGAAGCCTATCGATGAGCCACCAAAGCTGGCCCTCGACATAAACTTGGAGAAGAAGTCTTCCAGTCCCATTCCTGACGTCGACGGATGGATCTGAGTATTCTCTTCATTTTCATTTTCTCTTTCTCTTTTCATGTGTTTCTATGACTATTATTTATGATTGGCGTATTGTGGATATTGGGCGTTGGAGTGAGAGGCAAGGAGCCTCATTGCAATTTTTGTTTTCATTGCTGTTCAAGTTTCAGCTTGCTTGTTCGAAGCTTATGCACCTTTCAGAAATCATTTTTGCATGTCCATTGGACCTGAAAGCGCGCAGCATACATGACATGACATGACCATGATCACATCAGGCGTATATAATGATTTGAGGAATGAATTGACGATTTTGACAATATTTTAGTTCTGCTTTATCTGTATGGCGGTAGATCTTCGAATGGACGAAGGCTGCCAGGGCCCCTATTCCGTCCTCCTTTGTTTGACCTGGTGGTCGTACCGATGACTGGTGATAGTAGTACCTGTTCTTTTCTAATCCTCCGATACGAGCCCCGGCTCGGTCTTCTTTTCTCAATTCTCTTTTTCTAGATGCCTTTCCTCGAAAAGAGTGCTTGTTTCCTGGACATGAGGTTTATCCACATATATCTAGAGTGCATTCATACTAAAAACTTAATAGGTTAGCTGAGTGGGTCTCCTATTGCCCGTCTCCACAACTCAACATCGCGAACTTCGACAGAGCAGTCAACAACACACTACGTATTTCCTCTTCATCGCAACTAACATGGCGAGTGTACGGTGTCTACGGCCATTAGTCGAATTGACTACTCGACATAGCCAGAATGTTCTCCGTCCGTCGGCACTTGCGATCGCATCAAGGAATTATTACAATTGCTCATGTCTAAACGTACGTTGGTTTACTTTGATCGTTTACCTGTACTAATCGTTGATTTCTGTATAGAACAAACCTCTAAATGCGACGATATCGCAAAGAATATTCACTCAACAACGAGCACCCTACACATCCACCTCAACTCTATCCTCATCCCCATTCCGACTCTCCTCATCCCAAAGACCAACCCCCGAAACCTCATCAGACGGCTACAAATACGACCACGAAGGAGAAGAAGGCGAATACCACAGCCCATACAAACCAAAACGTCAATGGCCACCAGACATGTCCAAACTCTCACCCAAACATCAATTACGACTAGAACGGAAATATAGACGACGAGCAGCACTCAAATATGCGCGGCCGAGATGGGTCAAGTTTACAAAGTTGGCGCAGTGGGGGATAATTATTTGTACGCTTCCCCCCGGTTCTTTAGGTTTGTGCGGGGTGACGGTACTGACAGGTTGAATAGTTGTGGTGGTATATTCGCTACTGTTTATGGAATGGGGCAAAGAAGGCGAGGTTCATCCTTTTGAAGATGTGAGTATTATACTATGAAACAAGTTATGAGAACAGAAACTGATAGAGATTACAGTTCCGAAAGGATTTTTTTGCCTCCATCAATTCTTTATTCTCGGCTCAACCGCCGAGTAGAAAGAAGGAATAATCGATTAGTGAACTGCTTGTTTCTGGATGGCAACTATGTATATCAAATCGTATGTAAAATAGTTGTAATATCAGCTCAGCTGACGAGACAAAAGACTTTCACATGCAACAACAATTCGCCGAGATATACCTGATTACCAAGGCCGCATTGTAGATCACGTGCAGAATGATATCCACTGCCTATCTAACGATTACAGCCAATTAAATGGAGGGACGGATCGGAAAAATGTTGATACGAGATGCCTCGGCTGTTTCACGAGGAATGATATAATAGCTGGCCGGCTAACTATGGGGTTCTTCTTGATTAATTTCAAATATACTACGCTGACGACGAAGTACAAAAGGGGATAACTTCTTCATTTTGCATCTTCTCCCTTATATCATCTTTATAGTCTTCTGATTCCGTATACATTCATTCATCATGTCTCAAGGTAAGTTGATCAACATCCGAATCAAAACATAACTAACATCTACCAGCACAACAACGCCTTTCACAGGTTTCCTCGCACCTATCCGGGGCCAAACCCACCGACAACATCACATCCAAAAACCCCGACGACATCGTCGTAACCGCCGCACTCCGCACCCCATTCACCAAGGGCGGCAAGGGAGGTTTCAAAGACACCGCCGCCGCTGACCTACTGGTTGGCGCATTCCAGGGTCTCATTAGCCGTAGTGGAATTGACCCAAAACTCGTCGAGGACATCGCCGTAGGATCAGTGTTACCTCCCGGTGGTGGAGCGACTGAATTCAGGGCTGCGGCGCTCGTTGCGGGGTTTCCGGAATCGACTGCTGTGCGGAGTTTGAATAGGCAGTGTTCTAGTGGATTGCAGGCTGTGGTTGATATTGCGAATGCGATCAGGGCGGGACAGATTGAGGTTGGTGTTGGTGCGGGTGTGGAGAGTATGAGTCTTCAATATGGGTACGTCCTTTTTCCTCTAAGAAATCGTACTTTCGAAATGAAAATGCTAATGAGAGACAGACCCGGCGCAGTAACTGAATTCTCCGAACTCCTCGAAAACCACATGCAAGCCGCAAACTGCAAAGTGCCCATGGGCGTACTATCAGAACAAATGGCCAAAGACCGCAAAATCTCTCGCGCAGACCAAGACGCTTTCGCCGCATCATCATACCAAAAGGCTATCAAAGCTCAAAAGGCGGGGCTATTTGACGAGGAAATTCATCCTCTAACAGTGAAATGGACCGACCCAAAGACAGGGGATGAAAAGACCATCACCGTCAAGGCCGATGATGGTGTTCGCGAGGGAATCACAGCGGAATCACTGTCCAAGATCCGTCCCGCGTTCGCCAAAGATGGAAGTATCCATGCCGGTAACGCGTCGCAGGTCTCCGACGGGGCGGCAGCGGTATTACTCATGAAACGCTCCACGGCCGAAAAACTAGGCCAAAAGATCATCGGCAAATTCGTCACGGCCAGCGTTGTCGGTGTCGAGCCTTTACTCATGGGTATTGGACCATGGAAAGCGATCCCCCTCGCGCTCGAAAAGGCTGGAATCTCAAAGGAAGATGTAGATATTTATGAAATCAACGAAGCCTTTGCATCGCAATGCGTGTGGTGTATTAAGGAACTTGGCTTGCCGTTTGAGAAGGTTAATCCCAAGGGTGGCGCGATTGCGTTTGGGCATCCGTTGGGTTGTACAGGGGCGAGACAGGTGGGCACGTTGTTCACGGAGTTGAAGAGGACGAATAAGAAGATTGGTGTTACGAGTATGTGTATTGGGACGGGGATGGGGATGGCTGCTGTTTGGGTTGCTGAGTAGGTTGGTGCTTTCAAGGTTGTATATTTAGTCTCTTCAAATGCAGTCTTAACGAGCCTTTGGAATCTACAGTAAATAAGGATAATCTAGTCAAACCAAATAATTCATCTTTGTTCCTACGATAGAGAAATCGCTATCTAAGCAAAATAACTCTTCCACAAAACTCCTGATAGATCTTCAAGTTGATCTGACGTAAAAGCCTAACATAGTTAGTAAATCATCAAAAAAGAAAGGAGAAAACGTGGGGATACCTTTTGATCAATATGCCAAGTATCCTGTCTCGTCTTTTTGAATTCACTAATAATACTCTTAACGCTCGAACCAACTACACCCGGGTCGTGGGCTGCCTTGGTACTCAGCGTCGTCAAAGCATCCGGCATCCAAAGTGGTGGCGGACTCGCGTAGGGGAAAGCTTGAACCAAAGCACCCAAACCCAAGACAGCGGCATGTCGAACGATAATCAACCGCGTATGTTCCGGTGTAGGTGTACCTGTTCGACTGGATGTAGCGGATGCTGCGCGATCAATGTGGTTTCTCGGCTTCTTGGGTAATGGGTTCTCGATCAAAGTTTTTGTGAATCGTTCTTGGTATTTTTGAACGTATGTTTCTCGTAATGCGACGGGGGAGCATCTGATCATTCCGGATAATGTCGCGGATGCGCCGACGCGGACCTCGTGTTGGCTATCTTGGAGCATGTTGGCGATACATTCGAAGAGTTTGTCGCGGTCGCTTGCAGAAAGTAAGAATAGACGTCGGAAGTAGATGATTTGCATGTTGATCATTACACGGAGTCGCTGATGCCACGATGTCGCATGTTGTCCGATATGGACCAACGCCTGAATAAAGGCAGACTCATTCTCGGCTGGGTAAGGGATATTGGGGAGGTGGCGGAAAACATGGTATGCGAGGGATTGGAGTTCGGGGTCTTCTTTGACATCCATCATATGGAGCAATTCTTCGGTGAAGGTTGTCGCAAAGAAAGGTACTAATTGTGTGCATTCATGGGAGGAAAGAGTTGAGTCCAGCCAAAGCAACACTGTCTTGCTTCCAGATGTGTAGGATGAGGGAGTCTGTTGGCCTGGCGTGCGTTCATGTCGCCATACTTTAAGCCTCCCAAAGACAGTGGTCATCATTTCCGAGAATTCTTTTGATGGATTATACGGATATGTCCCAATTGCAGACGATGATTTCTGAGCCTCGACCAGAGTATTCACGTCGGCATGGGATTCGTGATACCTTGTCCGGAAGATCGATCCCAGAGTATGACCCATAGCCTCGCGAACACCTTTATAAGGATGGTCAAGATGAGAGACAAAATCTTCGACAATCGGCTTCTCAAGCTGAAAATGCCATCCTGCGTCGATGATACACTGATGTAGCAGACTAATCTTTGAGCTCTCTTTGAAAGCTGCATTGGACGACATGTCAAGCTTGAAGGACGCTAGCCAATCGACCAACGGCCATGCACGACGAGGATCCCTACATTGAAGGATCATGTGAAGGAAAGTCGTCCAGTAACCAGAATTCTCAGGGGTAAGGCCATCCTCGAGAATCTTCCTGACCATGGGGAAGGCATACTCCCAAACCATATTCCTCTTCTCAACATCTGTATCTGCAACAGAACTGATTAACGCACCAAGAATCTCTGCCGTCGCTCTATGTTGATGTTTATCGCTTCCATCCTCAAAGACAATCTCAACCTCCTCCTTGATCTCCTTAAATGTAGCTGTAGTAAGTTCGTCTCGAATCATCAACTCAAAGACATACAACAACATCATCGCACAAGCCATACGGAATTTGTCCGCGGACGCGTCCCGAGGCTCCTGTTTGAGGTATGCAAAGAAACTGCGGAACCATTGACGATCAAGAAGCTGACCCATATGTTTTCGAATATTCCATTCCACTTCGTCATATTCAATATCTTTCTTGATGTTAGCCTTGTAGGCAGGCATCTTGTCTGACCAGACAAGCCATCCCGGAAAGTCATGATCGATGTAGTATTCTGCGTCAGGTTTAGCAAAGCTGGCCAAGTACTCTTCTGTCCAACCCTTATCATATCGTTTGGTAGCGACTTGAATCCGGGCCGGGAAATGCTGTTCTCCGAGGATATAATTCTCGTAATTGTGATTACAGATGGCGCGAAGGTCGATCATAGTGAAAAGAGCTATCAATGCCTGGGAGTACATCCCACGAAGACCAGGATGGGTATCGATAGATCCCGTAGTTACCAAATTGATAAGCTTTTCGCTCGCAATGTGATCAAATCTCAAGCCCATGCTGACCACAATGCTAGCAGCCCGACTAGCAATTTTCCAGTGAGACGTCCGGGCCAATTCCACGAGCTCTTCGGCAAGTTCTGCTTTCTTGCTTTCGATCTGAACTCGTTTTTTGCCGATGGAATTGCGCTTCTGAGTAATCGTTTCCTCGACATTCTGAGCCGGCGCAATAGCATTGACGAGTTCTTCATTGAGTACGGCCATTCTTTCCAGCGGACGTCCGTAGTCCATGATTTGATAGATTGCACCTGAACACAACTTCTGCACAGACGGCTTGTCGACGCTGCTGGCATCTATAAAGGCTCGAACAACGTCCGGGGTATACTTCCAATGGCGTCCTACCGTTTTGGCTAGACTTCCATACAAAAGTGAGTACAATGCACCCTTTATACGAGCGTGGTCATTCTCTTTAATGGCCTTTTGCAAAGCTTTCAGCAAAGGAGGTATAACCACTAATCGAGATCCCCAGACAGCTTTCAATGCAGATTCACCGGCGCTCTGAGCATTCCGTCGGATATCAGTGTATAGTGAAACACTCGACTCCGCTAAATCAAGGAAGAGTACTTCGTCGAGCTTTGATCTTGGTCGAGGAGCGGCATTGTGTCGTAGACGTTGTAAGTGATAGACGTTTGCTCTTCTGACAAGAAGTGGTCGTGGATAGTCTTTGCGAACTCCACTCACTTTATACGGATGAATGTCCGCAGCAAGAAGACGTGTCACTCGATCCAAGACGTGAGCTGATCTTTCAATGCCTACATCGATGAACCAGGATCGATAAGCGGTGTAGAGAGCTCCAAAGCAAGGTACGTCGTCTTCCTGCTTGTCTGTCAAGAACCGATGTACATCATGGAGGACAATACCCGCCCGCTTTCTGATATCATGTATGGTATGGTATAATGGATCATCCTCTGTCAGTGAGTATCCAGTAGGGTACGTAAAAGTCTCTCGCACGGTCTCTTCGTCGGAACTGTCAAGGGAAGAATCGCCATTCTCGTCCTGACCTTCACCCTCAGTGACGTACCCATTGGCCATTTCAACATCACTGGACCCCGAGAAAACCGCATTATTGTCATCACCAGCCTTGGAAGCTGCTTTTGGATCGAAAAGTACAGAGATACCAGAGATGATAAGCCGTAAAAGCACAAGTTTGCGTGTCACCTCGTCTGACCATTCCTTTCCACTTCCGTCACGTTTCACGCTTGACGTGCCATCGGTCAGGGCAGTGAGTTGTGACAAAGCGCTTTCTGCTTGACTCTGAAAGAGTGCTACGGCAAACTCGATTTCTGCTCTGTTTGGGATATGCCAGTTAATGTTGAGGTTACGAGGATCAGGACGATAGCCCCAATGCTCAATTTTGATGCCGTCTTTGATATCTTCATGCTCGAAAAGGCCATAGTCCAAAGTATAGGTGACCGTAAGATTGAGAAGGAGATGATGGATGAAATTCGAAACGTGAATAGTCGGGATGCCTTTGCACTTCTCTTGCATGTAAATCGCAATATCCAAAAGCTCTTGCTTATGCTTGAGAACAGCACTTCCGACGTGGACAACACACATGCTCAGCATGCTTACATTCCAGACAAGTGCCCTGTCTCTTGGGAGAACTTCAGAGCCCGTCGTTCGAGTAGATGCTGCACCATTTTCGTCGATTTCAGAACGAATTGCCTGAATTAATAGAGGAACGAAGCGTTTGAGGGCCTTTTCGGGATTGACCTTGCAGACAGCGTTACAGATGAATGCCATTGCATCCCTGGCTTGATGAATGACATGGTTTGACACGAAGTCAACAACTTTCTGTAAAGCCATGTCGTACAGCTCTGGAGATAGAGCCGATAACAATGGCATGAGTGTTGCCGGAAGAGTATTGACAACATTCTCTTCAGGTGAACCGCTCTTCACCCGCGAAGCGTCAGGGAGATTCTCCAAAAGAGTAAAGACTCGACCAAGGAAGGAGATCAGGAACTCGCCAAATCCAGTGGTGGATGAACGGAGAATCATCTCCTCGGTTTCATCGCTCAAGTCGGTGTCGTAATTGAGTTGGACATTGGCGCCCTCTATCTCCATTCTTTCAACCTCGCCTGTTATCCACTCCATGGCTAGCATGTTGCAATTCACATCGTCTCGTCCTTTCGTCAAGTCTTCAAACGGGATGTTGTAGCAAACTGACTGGATAAAAGACAAAGCGTGCATAGACTTCTCAAGATCATTGGCATCAATACCAGGTAAAGCAAGACCCAACAAGGTCGTCATATGACAACGGAAACCCTTGGTACGAGCAATAATTCTGGAAAGAATCTGCAAAGATCTGAGCGATGAGGTTGTTCGATGCACTTCAACTAAACCTTGCATAGATGGATAAATCCGTTGTAGAGCTCCAGGCAAAATCAGCTGAGGTTCAAGGTACGCTAGACTTTGCAAAGTAGATAGAGAGAAATTCATTGCTGTGCCACTCTTTGCGTAGATACCCATGAAGATCACATCACGCAGACACAACACGAAACGCTTTCTGAGTGCCTCATTCAGTTTCCTCTCAGGGGGTACTTCCATTTCTCCGTTGTGTTCGCGGTTCCACCGCATGATGAAGAAGTCAGAGAGGTAGTAGACCAATTGGGCAAGGGTTTTGGTCCAGTTTCCGGAGTTGGAGGGATGGAAGAATGTCTCCACGGCTTGGATGAGACCCTCGAGCTGGTGAAGAATAGAATCTGGCGAATCCAAGCACGCGGGTGACAAGGACATGACAATCCAGCGAGCAATGTGATGCGCAACGGGGTGCTTCCTTGAATCACGGTCGAGCATGATTCCCAGGCCAGACGAGATATCGACAAGAGCACTGTATGGAGAGGTGGCTTGTCCAACGGGGATTTCAAGCAGTCTGAGGATGGCTGTGAAAATGACCGAGGATTGATCCTTGGTAAAAATACCATATTCGGAGAATGGAATATGAGACGCAGGTAAGGAGTCTCTTGCCAGTCGAGACAGAAGATCGAGGAAAGTCATATCGAACGTTTTCGATCGATTGACAAGGGACCAAAGGTGGAAGTAGGTAGGAAGGAATTTCTGCGGCCGCAAATCATCCCGAGGCTCCGGTGCGGGAGATGTGGGCAACAGCAAATTCATCAATCCAACAACGACGAAAGCACCTTCTGAGAACGAAGTGGTGAAATGGGGAAGAAACTCCTCCAGCATCGCTGGTACTTCGCATGGGTCGAAGTAGAGCTGAGCAAACGCGCAGAGCTTCGTAAGCGTCTTGATATTACGTTTCAGATTCGTGGAATGAATCAAGCCGGACTCTGTTGGCAATACGAAAGCTTTTAATTCTTTGAACAAGGGTTTCCAGTCCAGCACCAGATCCTTGACCGGTCGAAGGTAATGTTTCCGTCTAATGCCAGTTAGCCACCACATTCTAACAAACCCAGCGGACCAGCTTACTTTGTAAGAAGCATGAACATGCTCGCGAACCGTTCTGATACATTCGGATCTATGCCCGGAGCGAGCGACAACTCATAGTACAGCCTCACAAGCTTAATCCGTTCTTCCCTGGTAGGATCAAACTTTAACGAAAGCCATCCTCTGAGCTCTCGGGTCCAGTGCACAGCGCCAGGATTAAAGTCTCCAGCTCTGATTGCAACATATAAGCAATTCAGAATTTCATGCAAATTATGCTCTCGCTGGCTGTCGTCTTCCGTCTGGTACGGCAAGTAGCTAAAGTATGGGTATGTGCGTGGCCGAACTCTGGCCTTTTTGGAGCCGTCTGCTTCCACGGGCTCGCCGCCGGGTGATGTAGCGCGCGATATCTCGTGGCCATTTTGGAAGTTTTCCGATGTTAGGATAGAGGCGATTCGATCTGCGGTGCTTCTGTCCATGGCAGCGGCATTCGATTATGCTTTCACGTTCGGTGAGGTAGACGACAAATCAAAATATTTCGTCTGGGCGGGTTAGCATGAATTTGATGATTTGTTCCACTGGGAACAGAGAGATAGATTAGAAGTAGTAGGCCAGTAATGATGAGACATACAATTCATTCAATGCACCGCCTCATGAGAAGATGAACTTCTCAGCGGGACTAATGGAGCGTTTAAGAAGCTGACACAACCTTGATATGGTTGGCATCTGCTTAAACGCGATGATAAGGGGAGGTAATTTGGAGGTAGATCCTCGTCGACGGTTGAATAAGAGGGCACTTGCTGCGATAAAGAAGAGATCGGGCGATAATAACGACGATGCGGGTGAGGCAAAAGTGAGCCGCCCTTCTTCTGTCAACAAGCGGACGTAAATAGGTAACTTCGAAAAGTAAGAAATAGATAAGAAATTTGATCAACCGATCAGATGAATATGAACAATATGGACGTGTTTGGAGTATCCAAGTAAGCAACTTATTAGACTGTCACGAGTGGTTTAACTTAGCTAGCTCCGCATCGCTGATTTGCTTGGGGTGCAGCCACTAAGGATGACATAGTGCGGTAGTCAACGGATCAATTAAATCCCCGGTTATCTCCATTGCCATACTGGACAAAGCTAACCTGCACACCAGTCGAATCATGATACAGTCAGATTAGAAATCAATCTTTCTTTCTACAATCTACTCTTCTCTTCTACGGCTCGATGACTACCTGTCTTACGCTATCTAGCAAAGAGGGGACTCGTCGGTGAGGAGGTCCGGGCCAAAATCGAAGCTGACCAATCTGGGCTAGCGCGGTGGCTACATAGTCGGGGTCTCTAAGGACCCTAGTTCCAAGTTCAACTATTGGCGAATAAATCAAGAGTCAGAGGTAATCAATGATGATTTCTACTGTACAAAGCTAGAATCTTCTCATGCTGGTGGAAGAAACGAGCCGAACAGGACCGCCTGGATCAGCGCGTACATGGTCATTCCTTGTACAGCGGCGCGGAAAAGTCGATTGTTGAGCGGTTTGGAAGATCCACATGCCGAGGTAGCCAGATACCAGTACCATACGGGATAGCCAGATGCAATGCGGTTGATGATCTGGATGTGAAAGCTGGTGAGTGTCATGAGTGCGAGGATACCTTGCGCAATGGCAAGACGAAGCACTGCAGACTGGGAGGTGTTCATTTTGGATATAGGCGTGTGATCAGTATGCGATGGTCCCAGACGCCCTGATAGCGCTACAAACGAGGAATAAAGCATTGCCACGAGCACAGGGGCCGCGAGGATGAAAAGCGGTAGATTAGATACGGTCCAGTACCTTAAAAAGCCGTTGTTCCTGTACATGTCAATAAGATGTCTCGGCAGGAAGGAGAGAGGAGAGAGCACTCACCAATAATGGACCTGGACCCAGCCATATATACTAGGCAAAAATCGCGCACACCACGGCCGGGATGTGGCTCCGCAGTACTCGGTGTAAGCAATGTACTGAGGTATGATCGAGCCCAGAGCGACAATGATCCCACCAAGCACAACAATACCACTACGACGGATCAAGTCAATTGACAGTCCATGATGAAGGAATTGCAGGACCCCCTGCACGGCGTCGTATGCAAATAGGCAACCACTTATTATGCCGTTTCCTCGTATTGTAGTAGCTGCCGCGAACAGAATACCTGCCAACAAGACCAAAATATCGCGCCGTCCTCGATTCCCAGCTTTCTCGGCAAGCAATGCCGACGAATAGAGGTAAAAGCCGGTGAAGTTCAAGAAAGAGAAAGGCGATTCGGTGTAGGGAGCAGAGAGAAATGCCCCTGCGGGGGAGATAACATGGAGCGCAGCGGAGACCAGGCAGAACAATTTCTGAGACCGTGTTTCGTATCCGAATAACAATTCGGTCAGGGTATGCAGGACCAAAACCGAACAAAAGTGGGTGAGATGGGACAGCGCGATGCCGGAAATTGCAATTGCTGCTATAGAGACGCCGTTAGGGGTTGCGAAAGCTATTTTTGAAGAAGTAAAGTTAGTCAAGTTGAAAGGCATCATCGAATTGAATGATATACCGGAGCTAAGAAAGCTCAACAAGCGCGTGTACCCATAACCCCAAGCCCACTCTTGCTCATACAGATATCCCCTCTCTGCCACGCGCACAAAGTATATAGCATCCCATCTTACAAAGTTCCATATACCCGAAGAAGAAGCTTGAACTGAAAACCATGTGGGCAAGCTTGGAGCTACCGCGGACGCCAACAGGTTTGTGGAGGTGTCGTAGCCAAGACCGGGGCAGTTTGCGATGATCGGGAACAGGATCGCTTTCCAGGCTAAGAATAGCACCAATAACGATCTGACGGGGTTGCGAAGATAATACGGATCACCGTGGTCGGGAACAATCGCTTGTCGCGTGGAGTCTATGGGTTTGTTGTCTGCACTCATGGCAAGTACGAAGAACTTTCTTCTTCGCAGCGGCCGTCGGTACTAAGGGAACGTACGAGCGAGCAATTGGAGCGTAGATAAATCAATGTCGGGGTTGGGGTCGCTTTCACATTGTTGCGATTGGATCGCATCTCAGGAACTGATCTAGACTGAGGTTTGCAATAACATCCCGCGGGAGCGGTGAGATAGTAGCTAGAATTGTCTAACCTCATATGGACTAGACTCTTGGCGAATCAGCGTTGTACCTTTGCACACACACGGATATACAGCGCTTTGTCAGTATTACTTACGGAGCTACTCTGTAGTACAGCTCAATTCGACAGATGAGGATACAAATTCAGCAAGTGAACAACACAAGGATTCCTGATCCACTTACATTACAGTTCAAATACGACTCGTAGTGATTAGTAATCTAACTGAATCTTGTTCTGCTGCCTGAGACAGAAACAGTCAATGATACGAATACGGAGTACGACGAGGGGTAAATACGCATTCGTCCGTAAGCAAAGACGCTAAGGCTTCCGCGACCGGATCTCAGGCCCCCGCAATTCGATGTATGACGCAGTACATCGAGAATGCGCTGAGTCGTGACATGATGGAAGTCGATGAGTCAATATCAAACCTCGCGGAGATCATGAAATCCACGTCTAGTCCACTAATAGTAGATCTCATAGAGACTCTGAGATACTTAGAGGTAGCTAGCTCCGCGAAAATAAATACTAAGGCTGCCGGATTCCGGCTCGGAAGTTCTTGCGGCCGAGAGACCGAGCGATCGGGCATTCCGTACTGGGTCGGTGGTCACTCGAGAGTCTTCTACTTGTATTTTATTTAGTACTTGTATTATATTCTAACAAATTCTTTGAAGTTATTGGCGTACGTCACATGACAGCAAGATCCGTTCCGTGTATAAGAAATAATGCAGCTGCCTGTACGGTGCGGAGTCGGTTCTGCTGATTCCGCCGCTGAATCAGTGTTAGTCAGTCAGATCAGATAAGATGTATTGGTATTTCAGTACGACAACAACAACATTGACCCTCAGAATCAGGAAGAATACTGACCAATCTCTAACCTAAGCATATGTACGTACATACGCTCTCCAAGCAGATCGTTCTAAGCAGAGCTGCAGTGTTCCTGGATTATTCAACTGGGCTGAAGAGAATTAATGAATAATAATAGACTAAGAGGCAAAAAGGCGTTGGCTTGGCTTGATCCACCGCGGCTAGACTACGTACGTTACAAAAATACGGTGGAGCTGAGCCTAGGTTTTTTATACCTCCGTTAGGCTTACACCTGCGAGGAAGGGACGGATCGAACGAACAGAGATATAACTTAAAAAGATTGGCATTTCTACTTCTCCATCCTCCTGTCATACCACTCAGCCCGCTACATTTTAAACAGCTCGACCGATACCACGTCGGAATGCGAGGCAGCTGTTAAAAGTGACTGTTATGCCCTGTCAGCTTCCTTCAACTCAGCCAGTAGATTTGGACCCTTCTTTTCAGCTGTGTTGTGCTGCCTAGGTGAGTTTTCTCGTGCGCCTTCTCTGCAACTGAGACCTCAGACAATGCATCTGATTGTCTTGTGTAAACTCTTTCTCGACCCAACTAAACCCGATTTCAACCTCTTCCTTCGTTGCGACGAAGAAGACATCGGATGGTTGTCCATGTGCCACCACATCTCTACCTCCAGTTGTACATGTACTGACTGTTGTCTTGTCAAGCAGATCCCGTCTTCTATTCAATCGCGGGGTAATTCTTAATTTGACTTCGGAAGCACCAAAAAAAGGAAAAAGAAAAGAAAAGAAAAGAAAAGGAAAAAAAGTTGATATAAAATAAGATACCATGCTCTGTTAGTGTCTGCACTGGATCGTGGCGCCATATCCATGCCATTCAGTCTCGGCTTCACGGCGGACGCAGCCGCAGCCCATCGCCACGAATACTCCCAAGCAACCGCCTGTCCCATGTTCCAACTCCCGCAGTCCTTGGGCTTCGTGAAGCCACTGAAAGACGGCATTGCATCCCCACCAGCTATAATCACCCCCAGGCCCAGTCAAACTGACCTGAGTTCGTCGAGCGGGGACGAGGAGGAAGGAGACAACGAACAACAGAACGATGCGAGAAAGGCCAGGAAATATACCATGCCTCGTCAGGTGGCAAGTCGTCCAAAGACGTTGTATCAGTTTGCTCATCCCGTCGCAAGTCGTCGACGATTAAAGTTTCGGCCCAAGCTTCTTCTTCAGTTACACGAAACCCATAATTCGTCTCGACCGTTCCCCAAGTATGATATTCTTCCGCCGGATATGACGACTAAGTTGGTGTGTAGGCTTTCAAGACCGCTTGGCAGTACGCGTGCGTTTGGTTCGAAGGATTTGGTGATTGTGACGAGTGATATGTATGAGCAAGTACATGCAGGCGATGACCGTAGTGTTTCCTCTGATGAATCGTGCGGTGAACAGCGGGAAGTGGTAGCGACGATCTGTCAATGTGGACCGGCGTCGGAAGATCATCCGCGCGGATCAAAAGTCGAAGTGGCTTTGAGTTCGGGGGCATGCTGGGAGGGTATACCATTAGCAAATGGTTCGTATGAACTCGTGTCCAAGAGTGGGATTGCAGGTTCAAAGAAAATTCGATGGGTGGCTCGGGATAGGAAACCCAGGCAAGGGACAGGTTTGTCGAGTTCAACTGCATCGTCAGCACCATCTAGTCCGGGACGATTCACTTTTAGTGTCATCAATCCGAATACACGTCGCCATGCTGTCATAGCCTCCATGACTCGGAAAGGGTTGACTGTTTTTGATCAATATTCTCCTACTGTGCAAGGTGATGACGAGCACAGTCCTCCAACCTCACCTTCGACGGCGTCGATGAGGTCCGGGCCTGAGGTAGGGTTGATCAATACAGATGAAGAGCTGCGACAGTTGATAGTCATGACGGGTACTTGGGTAGCGTTCATGGAAGGATGGTCGACAAAATCCCTCAGTAATGGAGACACAAGTCGGACTGTCTCACCATTGTCGCCGCGGATCCGATCATCAACCTACCTCAGCGTTGAAGGGGACCCATCAATGCCTGACAAATCAGCAAAAGGGCCGTCGACACCGACCCCATCGACATCACGCATGAATTCATTTAGTCGGAGGAAGATGATCAACCGGCGGAGCACACATTCAGAAATCAGTCGGGACAGACTGTCAGAGTACGATGCATCATCCGAAACACGTCGGCGCAGTAAAAGTTTGACGGCGGATCCGGATTCGAGATGGACGGATATTGAGGTGGACAAGGCGATAGAAGATGGGAATAGATATCTTTCCGTGGATCCTGTGAGACAGCAAGACACGGACGACACGCATGAAGAGGAAGATTCAAAAGCGAAGAAGAAATGGCGCCGGTTGTCATCGATGTTTGGACGAAAGAAACATTAGTCTTGCATATACCCGACATTTGCTGATTGCAATTGCAAATTCGTATTTTCTTTATTCTTGTGGACCATCTGGTGGTGGCGTTCTAGCGTGTTCAATATTGAGGAGTTCCGGATGTGCTGGAACATTGTGTGTATATAGGCAGTCTCCCTTTCCCCCCCTTTTTTTTATCAAGCGAAATGGCATATTCATGTTTCATCTGGACGAAGTTATTGGCGCGGATGCTCACGGTAGTGTAGACTGGGTCTATGGAGACGACAGAGGACTGAAATAATCTCAACACGAAGCTATAACACAGCTAATATATGTCCATTTTGTGGTGTTGGTTATCTAAAACGTACGATAACCTCACAGATAACCCCGAGGACTCGCCCATTCTGGACCCTGAATGGCTCCATCCTGCGCAGCTGATTGGGCCCAACAGGCCGAGCTGGGACTAGACTAAATCTAGGGCCGGTGTCAGTCTAGGATTAGCGTGCCTCGGGATTTGGCCATTCCCCATTCCAAAACGGTCCAAAGAGGAAGCAGATCCTTTTCTCCCTCTATCTGAATGAACCTCGACGGTATTCCCGGCTGTCTTGCGGTCTGTATCGCGTCTCGATCAGGGGAATATTTAAGGGACGTCTCCCTTGATATTTCTTGCTTTTACCCTACTTGCAGTCTACGCAGACTACGCAGAGTATCGTTGAAGTTGAGTCGAGTGGACGCAAATCATGGCAGGTACGTAGATAATGACCGGTTCTCTTTTCTTCCTTGGCTTGGCACGTTTTTTTCCTCTTTTGTTTGACTCTGTTGATTTTTTTCTTCCCTCTCTTTTACTTGTACACGCTGCTACATCTATGGTACATATCTGTCATTCTTTTATCTTTTGTACCGATTTGGGGATTGCTTTATTGGAGCCTGGGGGGGGTCTGATTTGTATCTTGTATCGCGGTGGTTTCTACTCCGCTTGAAGTTGATGGATTGAGTCATTCGTCTGCTTTTCCCTTTTCCTTCCTTTTCCTTCCTTTTCACTGGGACTCGAGAGATGGCTTCTATGCAACTACCAAAATCTCTACTGCGTCCTATTCTATCTGAAAGCATTGTCTCGCGACACCTCCAACGCCACTCCTGTCATCACACCCCGCTCTCTACCTTCATAAAACCTACAACACACAGACAAACCCAAACTAACAACATGTCAACCACTCCGCCCAAATCAACAGACAAACTCCAATCAGGTCTTGAATACAACAAATCCCACTGGGCCCCTTCTTACGCCGAAAAATTCGCTTCCCTAGGAAATGGCCAACAGCCCCAAATCCTCTGGATAGGATGTTCCGACTCTCGCTGCCCCGAGACCACCATCCTCGGCCTGAATCCAGGTGACGTCTTTGTGCATCGCAATATTGCGAATATCATCCATGAAGGAGATCTCAGTTCTTCATGCGTGATTGATTTTGCCGTGGGTGCGCTCAAAGTGCAGCAAATCGTTATATGTGGTCATACCTCTTGTGGGGGGGTAAATGCTGCATTGGGGGATTCTAAATTGGGGGTATTGGATACCTGGTTATTGCCCCTACGGAAACTGCGAGCTCAAAATTTGGGGACGCTGGAGAAATTGGATAAGAAGAGTGCGGTTTCGAAATTGGCTGAACTCAATGTTTTGGACGGGATGGCCAAAATTAAGGAAAAGTCGGTGGTTTTGGAGGCGATGGAGCAGAGGGGGTTGAAGGTTTCCGGGCTGGTTTATGATGTTGCCACGGGCTTGTTGAGGACTGTTGATGGGGATGAGGAGTCGCAGGAGGAGATTAAGGCACGGTTGACGGCATTCAAGACTGCTTAATCTTTTTCTCCAGGAAGAAGGGAGATACATACGATAGAGTACATTTTGGTACATTTTTGAATTGTTTATAACAAGCGAGCTCTAAATACAAGAGACGGACAAGTATATAAATACAGCCAAATCCCTAACAATATCGACAAGAATTGAATCAAGACCAGCGTGGCAAAACACCTCCGCCTTTCCCGCCAAGGTCTTCTTCAGTGTGGAATAAAAAGCAACATCCCGAGACAGACCTGGTGAAAATCTCTGATCAACCAAACACTGCTCAGGAATCCAACCCAAAGCCCGATCAAATTCAATGCTGCTATCATCGGCTCGGGACTTGTGGCAGGTGACTCTGGAGAATTAACCGCCACAGAGTCACGTAGTGTCAAAGTTCTTCACAAGTCCCCTGAGATCCACAGTTTCGATTGGCATCGAAATCGAAGTGGTCTCTCTGGAGGAGACGTGAGCAGATGGCGAAACCCTGCTTGATGATCCCACAAAACATTCGCGCGGAGAGGAAGAATATCCGATATTGGTCAAGGAAGTGTAGCGCGCCTTTCCCATCATCCATCCGACATGATCTGCGTAGTACTTCTCAGTGCGTAGTGTATCTGTCGGAGTGGAAAGGTCTGGAGGTAGGTCGTTGAAATACGCACACATTGCAAGGGCAATAATGAATAGCGTAGGTAGGAACATGCGCATTGAAGTCCATGCATTGGTTCGGAATGTGTGGTGTAGTGCCTTGTCGTATTGTTCCGCAAAGTTCAGAGTCTGGCTGTCCTCGGCGCTCTCGTGAGACACAGGAAGCTGATCGGATCTGATATCCTCGAACTGGTCACCCGTGGGACCTTCCTCAGCGACTGAAGCAGTGTAGACAGTCTCAATCTTGGAGAATCCATAGTTGACCTTGCCGGATTGCATACTGGTTTGCTGAACATTAGGCGAAATATTATAAATAGTTTTAATCCCGGGCAATCCATAGTCAAACTTGGTCGCTTGAGTACTATCTTCTTGATCAACCGTGGTGCATTCGTCAGCGGGCGAATCAGTGTAAACAGGAATCTCACCCTAGGGGGCTCGTAGTCAAGCACGGGGGGCTCTTTGGCTGGCTAGACTATGTGCGCTCTCAGACTCCAGCGGGCTTTCGTCAACAACTGTCGGTACGTGATCAACCTGGCTCAACTGTATACAGACAGTGAAGCACCGGTGATATCAGACTCGGGTAGATCTTGATCTACCTCCACCCGGTGCAGCTTGGTCTGCCAGATCAATCGCAATCATTTCACTCCACCTGAAGTCTGGACAGTCTCAGACTCGAATGTGGGCCTTTGTCGATATGATATCGCCTGCCTGATCTGCACCCTCGTCTTCTACCATAATAGGACTCAAAAAGCGATCAGATGTGGTGAGACCAGCGATCTCGACATTGTCGTGGCCACCCGCGAGCTCTATTTCAACAGTAGATACTGTGATGGCGTTCATTCTCTATCCTAAGAGGTAACTAGTCGAACAAAAACTAAGCACGAGGAAAAAAAGGAAAGGAGCACGCTCAGCCGCGGGCAGAGATCACTTTTGTATGTGTGCGTACGGCTCTCGTCGGAGCCTAATCGGGAAATTGTGAAGACAAAGAGATATCCCGATTTGGAACTCCCTAGGGCTTAGGGCTCCGACAAGGAGCCAACGCGATACAGCTGCCAGGCCCGTCACAGATACCACGTCGCAATCTTCAGCTCCTGATACGACTCCCAGTTCAACCTCAATCTGGTCAGCACCTTCGCCAACGGGAGGTGTCATCTTAGAAATCTGTCGTGGCACTATCGGCCTTCAATTCCACGTCCTCCCAGACGATTTCTTCGTCGGAGAGTTCATCACCCTCATAGCAGGGGGTCGTGAAGGAATTCTGCGATTCTGTAACGGGAGCTTCAGACTTTGACGTGCTGGAATCTGGCTCGACTCTGAAGCCCTGATCATCTTCAGGCTCCTCTTCGACAGTAGGTGACCTGTTGTTCTCAGACTGTGGGATGGCATGGTCTGCTGAAACATCTTCTTGTTCCACTATGTGTCAACCTTGTCAGCTACAGATTCCTCATCGACAGAAGGCGCCACGTAGCGGCTGTCCGATTTAGCAGACTCTATCGTGGCGGTTTCCGTATCATACAGGCATAACGCCGCTGTAGCCCGAACAAAGCTGCTTTACCTCTGGAATGTCGGCCCGCGTTGCCAGGAAATTGTCAACCTCGTCTGCATACAACTCCGATTCGTTGTGGAGAATCTGCAGAGCGCCGGCCATGACACTGTCGCTGTCTGCTGTTGGAACTTGTGCTGGCACGACGACGTCAGTCTGGTAATCCATTATTGCTTCTGGTTCGGCAATAGGAGTCTCAAACTCTGACACGAAGTTATCGGACTCCATTGTCGTGACAATGGATTCGACACCGTGAGCCTGACAACACCCAACTCCCTGTCGATTAGCAGTATTTGTCATGTAGCTATCCTCTGGCACAACGCTAGTAAAGTTAACCATGGTGGGCTCGGTTACATGACTTGGTCGGCTAACCCATGTGCTTCCAGAATAGGATTTTCAGATTCTGACATGATAATGTCAATCTATTGACTTGGTAGCTCCTGTTCCACGATCATAGAAACCCCAGGCCTTGGCACAGAGGATTCAAACGTGAAATCATTCGCGAGTCCAAAGCCATGAAACTATCAGCCTGGTTCTGCTCCAGCTCGTTCTCCTCTGGGATAGACGGCAAATACTGCTGCTCCGGCTGTGGTGCGACGTGGCCGATTTCTGGAGGCGCCGCACTATCTTGCTGTCCGAAAACGCTGAGATATGAAGCGAGACCGGGGAATCCCTGTTTCCAGGCAAATGCCTCGAATTCTTCAGGATTGACCAAACTCTCAAGGTCTTCGGAAAGTATGATATTGGGGTCCCGATCATGCCCAGCTTCCTTAATAATTCCGTCGTCGCCAGAAGGAACATTGTGAAGGGGAGCCACCTTTGTATCCTCGTGGCTTGGAACCTCGCCAGCAGCCTTTAGTTCTCGTGCCCGAAGCGATATCAACGGCCTTTTACGTGGATCGAACACAGCCTCTTCCCGATCTTTCAGTATGAAAACATGCTTAGGGCTAAAAATGCCCCACTCAGCGTCCTCTTGTATGAGGAAGGAGATCTTCCCAGAAATCTGTGGACAAATTGAGATGATTTGGGACAGATTCAGCGTGTACCAACCGTCGTTATCTTCGGTGAAGTATTGGGGAAGAGCGATTTCGACTGTCTAAATGCCGAGCACGACATTTGCAGTAGCGTCCAGTCTCAAGTCCCCATCCACGAGACAATGGTTTGGACTAGGAGTACGAAGATGCTTCCACACAGGGTGTTCCCTCTCAGCTCCTTCTTCACCATCGTTTCCACTCGAAGTCATCATCTTTTCCACGACTTCTTCGGCCGATATCCGCAGACCGTCGCCAAATTTTTTCTTGGGAGCAGACGAACGAGGTGTAGCAGAACTCCCTGATGAATCGGCATTCCCACCGGCTTTGCCTGAGATGCCTTGAATGTCGAATAATTCAAAATCAGAATCGACCTAGGTCCTTCATCTGGAAAGTCAGATATCGGGATAAAGGCATCCCCCGCGCCTTCGATGTCTTACAATCCAGGGTGTCTCCGGGATGAAGACGATCCATACCATCTATCTATGTGAGGCAAAAGGCCAGCGTTTCTCAGAAGGATCGACTGGGACCGCGCGTGACTAGACTAGAGACCGTGACTTTGACCATCACTGGCAGTGTGAAGCCGGGCTCCAGCGAGTAATCCATATCAAGCCATGTTACGGATATTGAAAAGTCGTGTGGTTGAAGAGGTGCAGATATTGCTGTGGTAGTTTTGCTGGAAGTAGCTAGCTCTATTAAATATTGAAAGTGTGTAAAAGAGGTATTCGAAAGAATGAAGATGTAAAAGGTAAAACGAAAAGTTGTCGAAGATGAAACTAAGAAAAAGAGGAGAAGGAAGAAGAAGAAGGGCGGAGAAACTCCTTTATTTATAGACAAAACAAACACTTTGTCCGTCGCATGAAACCTTTGTTAGTTTACAATTGTCATGGAAACTGTTGGCCATTGCCATGGTTGTTTCTATTGGAATTACATCTTTGTTGACGAAAGAACTGAGTTGACGGGTTTCCCTTCAATCAACCTTTGTCAGGCCAATATAATCCCATATCGAGGACTGTCCTCATACGACAGGCGTACCCTTTCGATACGCCAGATTTCTTCCCCAGCAAATCAAGTGCCTCGATACAATGATTCAAGCGTTCCGACAGGTTAGCAAGAAATGTCTCGTCCTGACTAGTATCCTCAATAGAACGGTCTAGGTTCTCGTTCGAAAGCCTGAGCAACAGCAGATTTCTCCATTCCAACAACGTCTCGCATGTCTCCGCAAACGCGATATGGATCACCGCGAATAGCGGATCAACAAGGAGTGGATGCTCGTAGTATGTACGACGTTGGCGAGTCAGGCCTTCTGTGGTCAATGAATTAGCAGCACGTGCCAAATCAGATATTGCGTAGATACTGTCCGTACGCAATTCCCCGGTGAGACCCGTTGACCGACGAAGGGAGCTTTTGATACTGTCTGAGCGGCCAGTTGCGTCTAAAACTTCAACCTCTGTTGCGAAAAGGAGAACACCAAGGTACCAGTGTGCCGCATGACCAAAGCATGACGCTTCTAGGTCAAATGGCGAGGTGGTAATTGACTCCATACAGGTTTTCATGTACGATGCACAAGCCCCGTTCCATTCGTGAAAGATTTCAAGGGTCTCCTGGATGTACGTTTCGAGGTTGCTGGTGAGAGCGTCTGCATGACGAGCGAGTCTTTGTAATTGTCCTAGCTTTCGCCATAATGAAGCCTTGAGATAGTGGGCCTTGAGAAACTGTCCGGCCTGTCCAATCGAATCTGGGCTCGACGATTGTAAAGCGCAACCACCCCGTGACCAACTGATATCTCCTTTTCCTTCAGTGATTTGTATAGTGCGATTCCATAACACAGCCGTTGTCTCATCATAAATAATGGCCAATTTCACCAATACACAAAAATCGGTAATGTCGTCGTCGTTAAAACCAATCAATGAATGTTCCAATCGTTCTGGGACCTGAAGGAGAGGTTGCATCTCCCTGTTCCAGAAAGACAAAGACTGCAGCGCTTTGTCTAAATGAGCCTTCCTCAAAGCCATACTCTCAGGGCTGTCATACAAATGTGGGCCATTTCGCACACCTTCGTGTCGAGAATCTGTTTCCGGATGATTCAAAGGACTTTGTGTCAAAGAAAAGATGATTCTTGCCAGGATTACTTCGAGACAATCCCAGTCGGCAAACCATTCAAGAGATCTTCGAGTTTCATGCCATAGAGTCTGAAAGAGTAGCGATTGAAAGTCGTTCACAGGGACAAACATCTCCCCAAATGCTTGTGAAGTTTCTGCTCTTTCGATACAGCTCGACTGGCTCGAAAACGTCATGACTGCTAACTTCAACACTCTGGTAGCCCTATGGCAGTGGTCTGAACCCGTGTGCTGTCTTATTAGAGCGGACGCTTTGTGATCAAGGCGTTGAACTCGGTCGTATAATGTATTATGAAGAGTCGGGTATTGAGAAATACCTGGAGGTTGATTGCTGAGAGTGGCCCATTTCGAGATTGTGCTCTCAAAGCTTGATACATATACGACGAGGAGCCGATCTGAAGTTACATCCCTACCGAGTGCTCGAGCGATTCTATCTTCATCGACCAGAGACTGTATATCCGGGTGGAGGAATAATTGTGTATTGGCCTCGCTCCCAGCCGATTGCACATTTTGCCCTGCTGGAGTTGAAGAATCCTGTCCTAGGCGGGCTGGTATATCGTGTACCAAAGGCACATCCCTCAAATACCTCCTCTTAATCGACTCCGGAAGCTGGCCACGTGTCCGCTGACGCAACCAGGTAAAAGTACAGGATTTTTTAGCCCTCTCACAAAGTGAGCATGCAAGCTGCTGTCCGCTTGATCTTTGTGGTTGAGTCGTCGTTGGAAAAGGGTTGATCCCTCGCTTTGCTGCATCACAGGCCCGGCGACCCTGGCGGCAGCGATCGCAACTGTGGAACTGTTTGCGCTTGTGCATTGTTCCAATTTGACAACGCTCATCAGTCTCCGCGTGTTAGGCTTACTTTGAGAAGTCATTTTGAGGGAATGGTGTGAAATGGAAAGTTGCATCTCTTGTTGTGCGGTTACATTTTCCTGTCGGTGAAGCCAATCATGTCTGATGCGGAGCCGAAATCTTAGCGTCAAAATGGTGCTCTCTCACCCACTTAAACACCTACTTTTGCAATCTCAAAATGGTATACTATTTTTTAACCCAGTGGAATTGGTTTATATTCCAACACCTTACGCAGAGTCAAGGGGATTGCATTGGTGGTGAGCGACTGAGTGTTGCGTAATAGTATCAGGAAATCAACTCATATAGAGAGTATTGCCCATTTTTGTAATAGTCAGAAGTCATTCCATGTCATTAGGACTGTTTTTGTTCTGTTGGTGTATTCCTCTAAGCCTGTGTTCTAGAACGTAAGATTTTGTAGTTTATTCAGAATCTTCGTCACTCCCAAGTAGTAACTCATTGGACATGAAGAGAACATCAATCTGTAAAAGTTTCAAGTCCGTCTCCATAGCCACAATGACTGAAATGTTCATCTAATGCTTCACCTTTAGTCGCCAAGAAGCAAGCTGAGTTTTGACTTGCATAGTCTCTTAAAGAGCCCCATTGCTTGCATTTACGTATCTGACCATCCCCTACTATAGTGGTCCCAAACGTGTATAGAGGCGTTGAGTCTGCGTTGCACATGATCATCTAACAGAGAGTTGGCATAATTAACTAGCTTCTGGAAAGTAATATGCGACGTACTTGCAGCAAAGAGTCAAAGCAATGATCCAGATGTCGTGCCTGATGATTCGATAACGAGACAGGAGATTCCAGACTTGCTTTGAACATCCGCCTCATCATCTGTAGGCAATGAACCTCATGGTATGCTTCCAGCAGATATACCGCTTGACTGCTATTATTGGGCCGAGGCATGGTCTCGGGCCAATTCTGAGATTTGGCCCATTCCCTGTCAACAGCGATCATACCGTGAGTCCATACTATGGAATCCCACATCGCATCTTGAACAGTCTGATCCTCAGAGCTGTAGTCCGTATTCCACCGGAATGGTTTGTATTGCGTGGGAAGGTTGGGGGTAATTGCGTAGTTCGGTGGTGCTTCGTCGTGGTGATCTCCTTCATGAAATGTGCAAGCTCCTCTGTTCCCGGAAAGGAAGACACTGCTCCAGAAGATATTGGAGAATATCAACAGGATCGTGATAGTGTACAAAAAAAGAGATTGTCGTTTTGCTAGGATGCTATACGTCGACTCTCTACCAGAAGGTTCATCCTCGTGTATATCCGGTGGGTTCTCGTCATCTGTTTGACTCAGCGGGTTGTACGATTCTGCTCCCTTGGTCATTTTTGAAGAACATGAACCCTAACCAGGGTGTGAGAAGGGTCGAATAGCGAAGTCAAGGTTGTTACATAGGCACTGTTGATGAGAAGAAAGATGATTCACGGAAAACGGCCGTGTAGTTAATAATTACAGAAGTATACCATAATGAAACATTGTAAGGATTCTTCAACGTCGTATCGACCAGCATGACGCGGGATCATCACATATAACGACTTTAAGAGCAAATCATAGCGTTGTATTGGCACAATCAGAACTTCTAAATAAGCTAATAAGCAGCTAGTAAATAAGCTAGTAAGCAAGCTAGCAAGTGAGTTATTAAGAATTAACTATCAAAGACTGGAAATACAACGATCACTACTGCCAGCTGTATCGCACTAAGCATGCAGCTTGTTGGCCACACAACAGTAGATAACAAAAACTATGACAGACCTATTTGCAGACAGTATTCATAGAAAATGTTCATTATATGTATAAAATCAAGTGACTACCCAGGACAAGGCACTTTCTCAGGTAACCCTAAATTTCCTCAGGACCACGTTCAACTACAATGCCTAAAAGCAAATCTCCGATTTCTGAGCTATTTTTACCATTTTCATGTGGATATTTGATCCGGGGTTCCTGGTTTAAACGATTCAGGGCGAAAAAAATATCAATGGCAATGAAAGTGAAGTGTCTTCACTTCCGAAGGGATTCTTCGTTACTCTGGCCTTCAGGGGCTGGTACGAGTAACAACAAATTTGAGCCAGATCACCCCAAGGTCACAGCAAGTGTTCTTTCTTCGGCATTTAAATAACTCCAATCATGATCCCGTATACGGATATTCAAACCTCTCCCTCAACGCTGCGTACATCTGTGGAACCTTGAGAATTTCAGGCCTAATCCAACGGCGGTGCTTCAAAGCAACGTCTGCTCGAACCAGAGGCTCAACTCACAGACCCTGTTCCACTGTTCCTCATACAATTCCCTTCTTGTCTTGTAGTATTCCAACTTAATCTCCCACGTCTCTATATCTTACTCCCAGGACCGTTGAACACATCCGTCCTCTGTTATTGTCGCGGCTCCCGCTCCCGCTTCATGACCAGCAGGAGGATGATCTTTGCATTGTTCTTAATTGCGAAGACGCGGGGGAGTTGGTAGCTCAGGTTTTTTAAGCAATTTTTCTTTCCCGTCTACGTAGTAGAATTCCGAACCGCCAACTATCTCAGAACATCGCCGCCCTCCACGTGACCGTCATTGCTACGTATCAGCGCAGCTTTTGGTCTAGTTAGTAAGTCTCAATATCATTTACTTTGCTTCTGAGCTGCGTTGACATGCGACATGCCGTTTCTCTCTTCGCTGACGTATTAGTCTTAAGAGCCCTGTAGCTACAATCATTTTTAGCTTATGTTCTATGTCCTTTGAAAGTGGGCACGACTGTTGTCCCAAAAATTCGAACATCTCTCGCACGAATACATCCTGCCATTGGGATGGAATATGAGGCGAAATAAAGAAATCGTTGCTAAAGTTCCTCAAATGGCCCAAGCTTGGATCGCTTAGGTATCTGTCTTGAAACCCAAGGTAACCAAGCCGTTTCAGATCCTAGATATATAGACCGAGACAGTCCGGAGGATGTTGATTCCGTTCGGAGTCTGGATAAGAGGGACGGTACCAATAATCCCAATACCGTTCCCTGAATTTGGTATCTATCTTGTTTATGCAGTATCTGGTCTGACCATCACATATACCTCCACGACCCTCTGCTGGCCTCGGGGTATGAATTCTCCAGTACGAGTTCTCTCTGAATACAGTCGACGATGTGCATTTCTGAAGACGGTATTCTACAGGCTGGCCGTCTGTAAACGGTACATTAAACGCGAATCCTCGGAAGCACCGAAGAAATCATAAGTAGTGGCCAGTACACACTTCATCTCTTCAATTTCATGGGATACAAGTAATCTGTCGCTACCGCTCCAACGTGGTCCAATACGTGGATCGATAGATCTAATTGCTGCACGATATAGAGTTAAAATCGTCTGTGCCTGGCGCCTGGTGGGGACAGGTTACCTGAATATTCCAATAATGAAATGCTGATTGCTCTTGTATGTGCTCCTATCAACGAGGATACCACGTCACAAAAATAACATAAGTCTGTCCAATTTCCAATCAATAACCCTAAGACATTCTCAGAAGCCGTCTGCCCTTGTGGCGCCTTCCTATGCTGTGACCAAGATGGATCGGGTCATATCATCGTCGTCGATTGGACTCCAGACGACTACTTATTCCATCCCAACAGTAGCAGCAGCAATATGGCCGTTCACCTGCTCAGTCCTTCAAGGGGCAAGCCTGGAGGGCACCGTGTATTCAATCATTAAAGGAGAAGATTTTCGCGCCAAGAACCAGCATCTCTCTCAGAGAGATTGAAAATATCCATACCAGGACAAACCACTGGAGCACTGAAAGATGGAAGCGAACTCTTATTTCGAAGATTTTTCATACTGACTGGAATGCTTTGTGTCACATTATATTAGACAGGTTCGTGTCTGGATTATGAAGGGCAATGTTTAAGAGGGTTGCTATATGTATTATACCACTCGCCACCTACAAACGGATGGAAAGTTAGAACAGACAAACCCTAAGTTGAAAGCAAGACACTTCGCTATCATCTGACAAACATAGTTGGTCCCAGCTGGTGGAAGAATGGCTATCCATGCTCACCCACATTCCGAACTCCTCTCCATCGCATCATAGAGAGTAGCATCAGCCCTAAAGCAGAATGCTACTACTTCACGAACATAGGTAAGGTGATATTTTCATGTAAATAGTAAAATCCCAGCTTTTATCTTAATCAAACAGTCCAATCAATCAAATCCCCATACGGAAACTCTGTAATCGACTGAAAATCGTCCAATAAATCATCCCACGAAACATTCATAAACAAATCCATCTGCTGCTGCTGTTGCTCCTCCACAACTCCCTCCATATTTTCCGTAACCTCCTCTGCAGCAACGGCATCAGCAGACTGAATAAGCGCATCAACTCTCCTCCTCGCCCTCTTCATCAATTTCTTCAACATAGCCTTCTTGGACCTCGTACCGGGATCCGTTTGCTTATTCCGATAATGGCCCACGACGTCTTCCATCAACGGCCACGCACGTTTCAGGAGTGTCACGTCAGTGGTCACGAAACATTCCTTAATAGCAAGAAGGATCAATGGCCATTGAGGGCTAATATACCACCTAAACCCTTCCCCACGAACATCGCCATGTATACGAGGGATATTTTCCAGATTTTTGAGACAGTGTTCAAGTAAACAGGTGGACTGAGGCGAAGTACTTGTTTGAGTAGCTCGTCTGAAGATCAGCTGTGTAGATGAGACCAGGTTTTGAGATGACCAGTAAATGAGCCAGGAGTAATTGCTCTCGTCTGGATTGCAGTGTCGGGTAAGTGGTAAGACTTTATCCTTGAAGTGGTTCAGGACCTCTTCACGAGCGGCGTACTCGCCGCGAGGGATATAATATAGTCGTCGTGTACATGCTTGCAGATTGTAGGTTATGAGCGCGAAAGTTAAATCTGTCACATCGTCACGTTCGGGAAGACCAGCGCCTGTAAACGAGACGTTGAAATCCGAGTCATTCACATTCCGTGGGAGGGTGAATTGTGTCATTTCTATGGGAATCAGGGGCTGCGAGTCAGGATCAAAACATGTTTGTACGTCTAGTAGACACATTGTGAACCAGAGTCGTTTCCGCATCTGTTGGTTGAAGAATGTTTCTGATGGGCCCAGGGATTCGACGTGCAGGTTGAGCGCTTGAGCGACCCGAACTGCTGTTGCTAGTAATGTCCAGACAGCGCGGGTCTTATCATGAGTACGAGTAGCGGCCTATACATGTCAGTAACGGCGCAATTCAAACACATTTTGACGAGCTCACCAGGTAAATAACAAAAGCCTGAAGAACCATCATATCAGTAGTCCGCATCAAATCAACCCTCTCCAGCGCCATCTCACACGCCGTTTGATACTCTGGTAAAACGTCTATTCGACCGCATTGGAATAAATCTCGACATTGACGATCCGTCATACTTGTAACCGCTGCATAAAAGACAGCCATATCAAGCGCATTCTCAGCTTCACGAGAACTCTTTGAGATTGAATATGGGATTCCGTCAGAAAAGTGTCGTTTCAACGAAGGCCGATGCAATATCTTAATAATACGGTCGAATTGGTCCAGATAAATATCACACAGCGTAGTTGTGACAGCTGGAGATGGTCGCATCAATAATGAATGCGGCAGGGCATGTCCCAATCGTGCTAACGACAACCCCATAAACGGCGAATAAGTTCGATGCCTTTCCGGGCGCAAATGCGCTCTTTCCTGCTGCTGCTCGGAATGCTCCTCATCCTCATCCTCATCATCCTCCTCCTCCTCATCATCTTCCGTATCCTCACTCGCTAATCCCCGAGACTCTCGAATCTCATTAATCACATTAGCCCAGAACTGCGACACCATCGGTTTAGGCCTGAACCCATTAGCACCCTGTAAAGGATCACTAGAAATCTCCTTATCCATCACGGCACTCCCTCTCATCGCCGGCGAAGAACCAGAACCATCCTTCCCCGCAGATTCACTCAGCGCAACATTAACAAGCGCCTCAAGTCTATCAATCTTCTCCCTCAATGCATCGCGACTACTACTACTCCTCCTCCTCCTACTACTAGCAGTTGATTTGGTAATATGTCGACCTCTAGGTAACCGTTTGCGTCGAATAGACTCGCATTTGACGCCAGCCCTTTGACAGTTCGTGCATGGGTCCAGTTTGTCGCATTTGATTTTGCGGCGGCGGCAGAATTCGCAGCTGAGTGTTGGGAGGGAGATGTTTGGTGTATGATGGGTATTGGGGGTGGAAGATGACGAGGCCATATTCTTTTCTGATAGGCGATGTGGAGGATTGAGTGTGGCTGGTTTATATGGTTGTAGATATAGATCATCGTGTCACCTGATTCCGCATACAGCAACATCAAGAGTCATAGCACAAGAAATCAGCATAGCTATAGAAGAAGACGGCTGTCAGTCCATGACAGTATACCGGGATACACCAAATACAACATGAAATGTACCCAAAGGTGACGTTGTTAAAAAAGCAAAAATAAAACAAAAGGAAAGACTAGCGCCAACATCCAAGGACAGTACTTAGCGCAATAAGTGGCCGTCCAACAGCCCTAAGTGCCCGATATAGTTAAGTATCGGCTTAGCTTCCATGCACTAAAATTAGTGAGTAATTTAAGCCTATATCAGAGGCTTTAAGGATTTAACCCTAACTGCTCTTGTGTTTTGAGCCTCCTCTGGACAGACCTAATTGAGACTACTAGTACCGTATTCATCTCGTGGACAAAGGTTGAGATAGTCTGAGATCTCTCGGAGTTCGTGTTTACGGTAGAATGCTCAATGTCCGTGAGGAATAATATTTCTAGATCTTGGATATAACTTTGATAAACTAGAACATCGATAACATGCACTCTACCAAGTAGTAGGTGCATACAACCACAATTTCCTCCCATGTGCTCTAATCAGATAAGGATAATGACCGGAACTCCAAGCAAAAAGAATGGTAGACGCCACCATGCTCTCTTCGTAGGACATAACTATAGAATACACTGTATTTCGTTTTCAATGCTCTCTGCATCTAGGCAGGATATCTCTGTGAGTTGATATACCCCGTATTGTTGAAAGATCTCATGGCCAGCATCGGATCTTCCGAGGTAGGGTATGACGAGGCCGTACTCGCGAGTGGTTGCGGCTGTCGAACGCCGTACTCTGGCATGGTTACATGTTGCGGTGCTTGTCCGGTGTATGGAAAACCTATTGGGTTTTGGTATGCCCCTGGCTGATTCGAGTACATTGTCGCGGGCTGATAAGTAGGCGCAAAACGCGCATCGGGTTCAAACACGGCTCTTGAATCCATCTCCATCGACGTCCGCATACGCTTTGGCGCTGGCGTCGTAGGATAATAGCTATGTTGAGGGTATCCTGGAAAGCCACTGCTGACTATTTGCGGCATTTGCGCGCGATCAGGTGAGCGAGGTAGACTTGGAGCAAATTCTTCATGTCTGTTTGCGCCTCCGCGTTTCCTGTCACCCCATCAGCCAACCGTCTCTCCCTCCGCCGATTTCTCGAACTAGTTGGTTGACTCACTGTGCGTTTCGGGCTTCCTTGCGGATCCTTAACTTCACCCCTTGATCGGCAAACGATCTCGAAAGCTGAGTGGACTCCCTCATTCCAGGGAAATTCTTTGGCGATAAGACTGTGGCTCCGGTTAGCGAAGCACTGCCTGACTTTACAACTTACTCACCTGGAAATGAATTGGAAACAATCGATTTCAACGCTACAACATTGTCCCTAAGCACACAACGATGAGTCCAGGCCAGAATCCAAAGGGTTTCGCAAGAAGACCTACTTTTGCATCTCAAAAAGACTGAACTGCAGTCGAAATTCACCTTCAACCTTGATGGACAAGTCTCCGAAAACAAAAAATCCCCCATCTGCCTCGAGCAAATCACAATCAGCGGTGCGTGTTCTGAGTCAAGCGGGAGGAGAGAGGGGGGGGAAGGGGTCCGACTCATAGGAGACTTCGAAAGGTAGACAGAGTCACTTACCAGTATTGTCTGTGTCTTTCAAACGATGCAATGAAGAGACGAGAGTGCCGGCCAAAGCAGTAGAAGGCTGGCTGGAATGAACAGGATGGTCTTCGGTGGCGTGGTATAAGCTACAACACATGAAATAGTAGGGACTCTGAAGGTAGTGCCTGCCGAACGTCAGCGTCATCCTCTGCCACTTGGCCAGCTCGCTTCTCGACAGCGACTTACTGGGCAAGATAGCTGTTCTCCGGCGAGACCTTGAGCTGAATGACAGGCGGCGGATCAACTGGCTTGCGCTCTGCGGGGGGAGAACGAGTTAATAAGCTCGACCAGACGATTCTTCCTTGGAACCATACCTTTCTCCTTGCCCCCGGCCACCCGTGCTTGCTCCGGTTGTTGGCGGACAATCAACTCGAAGTCAGGGCTAGTATTGGAGAGCATGGTCAGTTGCTGGAAACGGTCTCAATCTCAACCAAGCTTGTGGTGTTGTTGTTGTTGTTGTTGAACGGGGCTAGGGAATTTCTGGAAAAGGGAAGAAAACAAGAGGGTGCTCCAGGAAAGCAGCTTCGGAGAGAAACACGGGCGATGTCAGTAGACCAACCTCTGGGAATCGGAGCGAGGCATAGGGAAATTTTTCTCGACACAGGACGACAAGCTCGCGGACCTTTTGCCGCGCCCTAGGGAAATTTTTAAAGGAAGATGGGCAAAGTTTGGACGATAAGTATAATACGTAAGTAAGAAGGTACAAGTGAGGTACAAGGCAACAGTACCAGCTGTAGAAGAGGTATGGTATGGTCTGGATGGGAGGTTAAAAGGATGGAGAGAATGGATGATGGCGATAATGATGGATGGGGAAGGCGGTGGTGATTTAATGGAAAGAGTGCAACTAGCACCCTGTCTTTTGGGACGAGGGAGGGGTGGTGCTTGCCGCTTGCATGCAGAGCGCAAGTATACTTTGGTACTAATACCTCCGCTTTTAGGGCACACTGCGTACTCTGTATCTGTTTTACCACAATAACGCAGTCTTTACTCTGTATGCTCCGTATATTCTGTATTTCGATACGCTGCAAGTCCATTTCGGTCTATCGACTCAATGGCGAATACAGTAGACGGATGCGTCTAACACAATACGCCCCATACGCAACTGGTATTATCGTACCAAAAGTTTCATAGTCAAGTCATTTCCACGCCCTCCCCATGGGAGTCACAATCTTATATAAGAGTACGGACCATGATTCCAAAAGCTGAGTTTTGAAGTCTTTTTGGGTTAAAGAAAAGTCGATGAAAATAATAAGATAAGAAAAGAACACAGTGGAAGATGAAGCAACCCCACCATGGCCAGCCATTATCGATAACCTCGACAGAATAAAGAAAGCCGAAAGAGCCCTCCGATAGGCTTACGGAGTCGATGATGATGACATGATCAAAGCTCGGCGATTGGCCGCTGGTAAATGCAAATGACAGGAAAGAAAAAGGTCTAGGTCGTTTCTGCTAATTTTCGGGGTGGATATCGTGTATGATGCAGGCTGACCGTTTATGACAACCAAATTTCTCTCTCTTTTCCACACCTGCGCGAACCATGGCTCTGCGTGCGGTGGATAATGATCCGCAGATGACAGAAGTGGTCGGAAGTCCAAGGGAGCTTTGTAGGCATGACTGCTGGACTCCTTCAACATCCTGCATCCTGGTATATTGTTCATGATGATGATGATGATGATGATGATGATGAGATCTAGCAATGTCTAGACTCGAATTCTGTAATAGAGGAAAATTTGTACAGCTTTTGCCAGTTTTTGGAGAATGTAAAATACAGTCATGCCGGAACAAGACTAGCGGCACAATTTAGCGTTCAAACGAGGAAAAAGTAGGAAGTTTTCTGCATGAGCCATTCCCAATCTGGCCAAGCGGGATCCACTATGCAGATTTACAATCACGTCTGCTGGCCAATCAGCAGCCAAATACGCCCTCAGCCGGCAGCCGTAGTCATATGCAAGCGGTATGCAAGGGCAATCTTAGAGATCGGCCTTAAGCGTACTAGCATTCCATCCCTGATTCCCCGGTTCTAGTCAATACAACTCTATTAGATTACGCGTATTTTTCTCACAGTAATACATTCATTAATTACACTCGTTAATTACATTCGTTAATTACCATGTTACTATATCGTTCTATCAACAACCACAGTCGAGCCTGATCGATTCCTGTTGCAGTCTGTAGATGCGGTGCACGGCGAGAAAGGAAATCCGATATTTTAGTAATGTAGTGAATGCGTTTGTGCGGTCTATGGTACTTTGCAAGCTAATTTCCGTAGCGCAGGCTAGTGTACCAGAGTATGGCGATGCTTTATAACCTCGAGCTTCTCCTGGAGACTGAGGCCGACTAATCCTCTCGAGAGCAGCAGACGAAGTGATGGCAACCGCTCTATTGTCGTTGTACGTACGTACTGAGGTACTTTGCCTCAAGTCAGGTGACTGGCTTTGTTCCTTCCTCTTTGCGCGGACGCTCCCTCCCCTGGAAGCGGCTTGATCATGGCATGACACCGCTCTTCAACTCCATCATCAGCACATCCATTTCTTTTCACGAGGCAGCGCTCGCCTTGCTTGATCTTTCTACTCCTACCAATCACCCGACAAGGAACGATCCTTTGATCGACGGCCGCTCGTTTACCCAGGGCATAAGCCTGACTGTCACGATGGCTCCGATATGCTCCAGAGTGGACTATTTTGACAACACAAGGCAGGAGCTTGAGGAGAACGATAAGCAGCTTGGTACCTCGGGCTTTTTCCCGTTGGCCACAACGGACGCATGCTCGGCATGCACGAGTACCTACGTGCTGTACGGCCCATTCGAGGTGGCGCCAAAGAATTGACAAGTTTGTCAACTTGCCTCCTATCGCAGTACTTCATGCCTAGCTACCGACACGATCAAGAAAAAACGCTTCCAAATGGATATACACTTGAAGAATCTCGTACGCTACACAATGAATCGCTCTAGACTCGACGTCTGTGTCATCGGTGTCAAGTTGAAAGGTGGAGGTCGTGCAACATTCGGAAAGTAACAGATGCATCACATTGTTACCTATCCAGATACAGTAACACGATGGTCGCAGTTCGGTTTGGACGCACAACATATTCGCAACGGCTTTCCGAGACCTGTGCGCGCTTGACAGCTTTTCGACAGCGGGTATCCTAGCTTTTGCGGCTTCCATTGCCGAGCGGTATACGGAACGAAGACTAGCTTTTGCCTTCCAACTCGATGGTAGCGCATTCATCGGTTACTCGGAGAGAAAATGGCTCGAACGCGCCTTGCTTATGCCAATTGACAGCACCCCTACGCTTACCGTACCCAACGCCGTATTGTTGTATCGCCGTATCGACACTAAACATTAAACTACGCCGCTATATCACGAACTACTCTATTAGCTGCATAAGTGGCCGCTCTTACAACCGACTAGTACAGCCGCCAGTTTACTGGACTAAACTGCCTGAAGGAACGAATGAATGAATGGACGTATAGAGGGAACGACATGAGGTTTCGGCCGTGGCGCGACGAGCTTGTTGACTGGCCTGGGGCTTACTTCCGTGTGAAGCATATTGGCACAACTGTCAGCTTCTGCATGAATGAGCGGTGGTCTAACTACTTCGGTGCCAGGTTCTGCGGGCTGCCGCTATACATACAGTGGAAAAAGATTTGACCTGTCATGTAACTCATGTTGCTAAGCAGCCGTCTCTGCATTTGCCGCCTGAAGAAGCTACTACATGTTCCTTGAGCAGGCATGCTAGAGACGCTGTCAGTGTGTGCATTGAGCTATAGGCGAAAGCAAAATCAGTCAGGTATTTCAGGTGGGTCGCACAGTTTGGCATCGGGAGAAAGTCAGTTGTCTTTTTTCTATCAGCCGATGACTGTAACATAGGATATGCGCTCTTCCACTGATAGCTCTATTATACCTTTTCCTATCCAACAGCCAGGACGACAACGTCATGCGGTGGATAGGTCTGGTCGTTCAATTGCCCGTCGCAAGCAGGTGAGTACTCACAGTTGCAGATGCTACAACTCGAATATGCAGGACCCTACTACCTATTTTATCACCATAACGGCGCCGAATATTCGTTGCATCCGGCCGAGTTGACTCCGACTGGATTGACTCATGTTTGCGATCTTACCTGTCATTCGGCACTTCGGATGACAACGCACTCACTTGCGCTCCGATTTGGAAAAAAAAAGAGAAAAAAAAAAGGGGGCAAAAATGCGAAGAACCGAAGAACCGAAGAACAAGAGAAAAAGAACGAGTCAACTATGCTAGCATACGTAATCGACAATTCAAAAACATAAGAATAACATCATAGACAACTAATAAATAAACGCAATAAATCATCCATGGATATAAAATGTCTTAAATTATACACAGAACCGTACCCACAACCCAATGTAAATAATAGCGCTACCCAAGACCATGGAACTCGTGTTACGCCTATAAACTAACCCTAAAAACGTACCTAGGAACTCTAGTCCAGCTACCCATGGATGTACCCAATTTAAGGTAACATCCCACGCATCTGGGGGAACATGGTACCTAGGTATATAGCTTATTAGCCCCTCAACCCGCTGTCAACCAGAAGGGGAGTACCTAGGTACGTAGCTTGGGTAAGTTGATGTTTATATGGTTTGATCCATGGGTTTGAGTCATCTAGGCTGGGGAGTTAAGTAGCTGTACTATTTGGGAAGGTGGGAGCATGACGTGAAAAACTATCTATTGACGGATGATGGATGGATGTTTAATTCATGCTTCTAGGTAGTCCATAACGATATAGTTATAAAGTGAAGAAGTATGCCGAAACTCCGCCCAGAACCAAAAACCAAAGACCAAAACACCTCTTGTGCTTCATCGTAAAATACCTCTCCTCTTATCCCAATGAGTAGAGCAGCAATAATAGCGAGAATAGTACAGTGTATAAGGAGAATTAAAAAAATGGATTGACTTAAGAATGAAATCGACGCTAAGCAATAGTAAAGTTTCATGCCATTTGCACATCCTCATCAATCTCGCCGTCGGCATCAATATCACTATCGCTGTTTCCATTGGTTGTTGTAACAGTAGCAACAGATTTGACAGGTGTCGTTCTTGTGATCTTCTTCTCGCCTTTTGCGATTGATCGTCGGGTTCGTCGGGGTGTGAGATTATCTGCGCTATTTGTTGCGGCTGTGTTATCGTTCGAATCAATGACTGCTGTTGCTGCAGAGCCGTTTGTCATGGGTTGATCGTTGTCTTGGGCATCAGTGTCTGCAGTCGCGTCATCTTCTGGCCCGTTTATGCCGTTTACCAATTCTGCGTTTTGTTCGCCTTCTTCTTCGTGATTTGCAGATTGGTCCTCGGTATGATCCTGATTATCTGTACCATTTATATCGACGCCGACAGAAGGACTATCCGGCCCAGAGACGATTTCCGATACTAACCCGCTCCGTCCCCGTCGCGCTGAAGTAGCGATGTTAGTGGAGGCAGGCGATCCAATTCCAAACATGGATGTGGACGTGCGTCGTGGCGTAGCGCGTGCGCCGCGCGGTGTCGACATGTACGAGCTGTTGTATTTCGTCTTGCTGCCCCAGGGTCTCCCCGGTCGCCGTTTGAAGACTGGTGGTTGCACAGGAGGATAAATCTCGAATCGAGTCGGTGGTATACCAGCTGCTGGATCGGGTGATTTCGATTTCGATTTTTCGGTCTCTTCTTGTTGCTCACCATTCGTTTGCGATGCCACGGCATGGTTTTCACCGAATGAAGAAATTGTTGTCGTTGAAGGGGGCCCGGCTGGTGCATAGGCTGCTACACCGTCTGGTTTCGTGGTGGAGTCCCCGTTTACTCTTCTGGCACCGAGACCAAGTTCGCCGTCTTCATCTGCGCCTTCTTCGTCGTCTTCGTTCGGATCGTCTCGAGGTGCGACAGTATGTAGTTGTGCACGGTCGTAATGGGACTGGTTACTTCGACCCATGACGTACGGCGTCCAAACAAGTGCATCTGGGTTGAGTCTCACGTAACCCTTAATCTCCCAGTTCTTGATGTAGTCTTCGAAATACGAATAGTTCAGTCGTAGAGCGTACGTCTTTGTGACTGGATCTCTGACAAGTGCACGCAGTCCCTCAAGTCCAGAAACAATATCGTCCGCAGTCATTCCGGTACGCTCAGACAATTCAGCGATGCTAACCGGCGTTTTTTGGTTGCGCAGTTGATAGCTCAGAACAAGTCGCCAGTAATTTCGATACGACACTAAACCCATATCCGACAATGGCTTTTCAGGAGATCCAGTCTTTTTCTCAACGCGTGTCAAGAGATACGAAAAGTCAATGAGCAGGTTACCGTAGCCTTTCCGCTGGTGAATAGGAAGGGTCAAAATACACGAAACGTTGTTCGACGAACTGGGGCGTTTCTCCTTGCTAAAGTATCCCACGAAATGACATCCCAATTCGTCGTACTCGGTCATCACGTAAAAGAGAAAAGGTTCGACATCATAGTAGAGTGTCTTGGAGCCCAAAAACAGCTTTGCTAATAAGCAAAGGTTTTGACAGTAGACTGGATTCTTTCTCCCATCCACTTCGTAGATGGACACCGAGCCATCTCGATATATCTCGTCGCCCGGAGGATGTTTGGCTGGACATTTCAATTTATGCCGCCATGCAACAAAATCCGAATTCATGTATTTGAGACAGAATTCACAGATATACAGAACTTTGTTGCGACTATATTCTTCAGGGTACGGTGCGGCATACCATGTCTCAATCTCGTATCCGCCAAAATTTATCCATTTGATTTTGCTGGGAGGTCCTGAGACTTTCTGTGAAGCTCGGTGATTGACTTCCCCAACAGGTTCAGACTCCATAAGTTTTCTCTGCCAATCTTCCTCTGCGCTCCGCCGCGCGGCCTCGAATCTCTCTCGGTCAGCTTGTGTCGGCAACGTTCGACTGGTATCCGCATCGGCTTCTGATAATATCCCTCCGTACGGTTTCGACTTGAGCTCATCAACCTCGCGATCATGGAAAGAGTAGAAAGGGGTAGTATAACTGGATGTAATAGGGGCAAAATGAGCAAGCGGTTCATCTTCAACAGGAGGCGGTTTAGGCTGTCTGCGGCGTCGTGCCTTAAAAGGTCGCGGTCGCGAATTGAGAATCTTGGCTATCTTCACAAAGCTGAGGTGCAATGCGATGATACACTTGCCAACGTCGCTTTCCACAATACGGCATAATTCCTTTTCTGCTTTACGCTTCCTGCGCGGCCGATTTCGCAAGCCATCAGTATCCAACAAGCCGTCAGCGCTATCAGTTGCGCCTTGGGAAGGTGTACGTCGTTGTCGTTTTCGCAGTACAGGGACGTGATCTTCCGGGTCATCGGATGAGGCTCTTCTTTTTCGCAGTGACCGTGTTCCATCCATGGGATCGTCATCAACTATAAGATTATTGAAAACGGAGTGCTGGCCATCTGCTGAGGCAGCTTGCAGATTGCGCGCTATGCTCTCAGCAGCTGATCTCCGTGAAGCAGCGTCGTTCTCCACTGGATCGGGCTGAAGATTATCCTGGACACAAGTGGTGCATCGCCATTGTTCCGCATCTACAATTCAAGATTAGAATATACACAGCCGTATAATGAAAAGACTAGGGCTTACCTTCGTTGTCGCTGAATGCGCTTTGTTCGCGAGCACATTGTCGATGAGCTGTAGAACTGTTTTTAGCACTAAGCTAAGCGCTGGGAGTGTAAAGAACTTACAATGATCGCCGCATACTGCACATGTCAAATATTCCTCAAAATCCTCCGATGGATCATGGTCTTCGTCCTGTCCGCAAAATCTTTTCATCATCAGATTGAGACATCAAAATCTGGGCGCAGTAACTCACATGCAATTCGAACGAAGCAACTTGTCTGCGTCCTCGTTCTCATCCTTTCCATTACTTTCAGCTTCCCAGTCCTCCGCTTCTCCGTCCGATTCATTGCTTTCCGAGTCTGAATGTGCATCGCCGTTCCCAAAAGCGACATCTGGGTCGCTTTCGTCGTCATCGGCTTTTGAGGATACTGCCGCACTCCTCCGACCTCGGCGCGGCCTCCGCGGTGTCTCGATTCCATACTCATTTTCAGAAACTGCATCATCATCATTGGCCTGCTCTGCATAGTCCTCTTCACTCTGATTATCCTCTCCAGAATCTGACTCCGCCGTGGCCTCCTCTGCGTCTCCAGCATCTGCTTTCTGAACAGCACTTTGTAATTCCTGATCTAGCTGGTAGAGATCTGTGTCCTCCTCGCCTTCGGCGTCCTGGTCACTGTCAACTCGGTCGTCGGCGTGTGAGCTGACCCCCAGCTCCTCGTGGCTAGCAGGCATGATTGCGGCCATATTGTGTGTCCCCTTTGACGGCGATGCGGTCGCCAATTGAAGTCGAACACTTGCACCACCCGCAGCCCCGGACAATCTCCTGAACAAATGCACGGTTGAAACAATGGTAGGGCTCCTCGATGATGAGGAGGCCGCCGTCACTTGAGGCTAGACCAGCAAGGCATCGGTGATTGGCATGACAATGCCGGCGAGTAAATCAGATGAAGCTCGAATCCTTGAGACGTGAGTTTCGCTCTGAGCTCGACTTTGGTGGGCGCAAATGTGGTCGAGATCTGTTGTAGATCGCTGTGGCGTTAGCTTGTTGCGGCTCGAAAAGGGTGAATTCTGTATGCGCTTTGGAGGAAAGGACGAAATTTTTTGAGCTCAACATACACTTAAAAAGCTTTAACACGTATTTAACGCGTAAATCTGTAAGTACTCGGTGCACAGGATCGGAAATCTGTACTCGTTCCAAAGCAGCGATGCGCCGAAATCCCCTTGTCGTGCCCCCGGTGTTACTCTGTCTGTGCTGACTTATCAATGCCAAGCCAGCCGGGTTGCGCTAAGCCGTTTGTGGCTGCGTTACTTCCTTCCACCAGCGCCGACCACAAGCTTCTCCGCAACAACTCTCTGTCTATCATCAATTGAGTCGCAATTCCGCTGTTAACTCGACATATACCAGTGGTTGCTACTGAATAACGCTCTTACCGTTTGATCCGCCAAGATGGGTGTCCCATTTGAGGCTTTGATTCCTTACGGCATCATCATTGGCGTACGCTTCGATGACCACTTTCATCAGCGTCCAGAACATGGCTAATTCGAGGCACAGATGTACTGCGTCACTGGTGTTGGTCTCAGCCTTACGAAATATTATGCGAACGATCACAAGAAGGCAAGATGGAACAGAGATGTGTGGGATAAGGTAGGCGGTTCAACCTTTTGAAGATAGTCCTGATACTAACTATTCTATAGCAAAGTATGTGCGATCCTGTCCGATAGTGAACATATATCCCGGTTCGAAATATTCTCAGACTAATTCAATGTGCAGTGATGGAGCGAGATTTCCGGATAACAGGTACACTAAGAGGCCAATCTACCAACCCCGAAGCTCCCACAGGCTTCGAAGTCAGCAACCCATGGAAGGTAATTGAATCTTGATTACGGCGGAAACAAGAGGTGATGCTGACTATTGCAAATAGCTCGAAAAGAGACAATACTAGATGCGAGGGGCTATTTTTGTTGTGTTGTGTTTCCACATTTTCGTTTACGACTCATATTTCAATCTACCTTTAGACTGTGGCTTCAGCTCCCTTTTGTACATTTACTCTGACTCCTAGCAACGGCTGCAACTAAAACGATGTCTTTCTGAAGAGAACAGAAATGGTCTACCGCTGGCAATATCTGCGTTTCGATTGAGAGCAACTAGGGCGAAGCCTACGAAGTAGGTTCACACCGTTTGACGTGACTGGGAATTACGCGGTCATTGTTGCTCTGATCCTCCACTGTATACTCTGCTGATAGCATATGGTTCTGTGGTTTTGTATTTGATCCCTTCCTACTGTAATCAAGGGGATATTGCTCTTTCCCGGAGTTCTTTCATATGTCACGGTCACAATACGAAACTTGTCCAGCCAAAAAAAACAGATGATTCAACCCCACCCACCACGGATCCAAATTATTAATCCTAGATACGATGTAAATGAAACGTACCTTTTACAGAAGTATCGATGGGATTTAGACTGCTGTTCAATACGTAAAATGCTCCAATCAAATCAAACGGACGATCCCGGCTATGCGGCGACATTCCAAGTATAGCCGACGGTTAACTCGACTTTCCCTTCTATCTTCTGACTTGATATAACATTCTCGTTAGTATCTATTTGAGGATTATGCGGCTCTCATTGAGGTTCATGGTGGAGTGCCTCCGATGACTTCCTTGACAAGATCCTATCTGTCAACACACTCCGTAACATCCATACTCCGACCTAAAACAGTAACCCTCAACCCCCATACCAGAAAGCAAGCATTTCCACTAGGACTCCATAATTTTTCTAGACGCACCATGTCGTCTGCTGCGTCTCTTGAGCAAAAGCTCAAGGCTTTAGAGGATTTCTCTGCTTGTGATGTATGTTTTTTCGGACGACCTATAAACCAGTCCTCTACTGCTTACACGTCAAGATAGATTTCAGATGCGCTGGTGAAATTACAAAAAGTACCTGTCGGCAGTCGAGTGCGAGCAGGTCAATTGGTCGACATCAGTGAGTACTTCCATAAATAATGCCTTCATGACTCGAAGAACGTGAGACTAATATAGGAAAATCTAAGCACCAACATCACCCTTCATTGGCCGGCAAGCAAACAAACCCAAAATCGTTGCCCCAGCAGTCACTTTCAAATTCATCCCGAAAGGGGACCTTGCTCCAAAAGTCTCAGATCCTGAATCGAATGGATTTCCACCTGGGAAGCATTGGGTTGATTGGAATCAGCCCGGCACTATTGCTGTTCTTGATCAGCCGCCAGAACAGTATTGTGCTGTTCTAGGTGGGATTATGGCAGCGAGGATGTCTTATATCGGAGTCAAGGCTGTTGTGGTTAATGGAAGGGTGAGGGATTTGGCTGAATTGAGTGCGTCGGGGTTACATGTGAGTACACTATATACCCCTGACCATCACCATGGATCGAGCTTGTATTCTGACAGAAGTAGGTATGGTCGAAAGCAACGTCTACAGTAGGTACCGGAGCGGAGGCCAAAGCAGGTTTACGGAATGTTCCCGTTGATATTAACGGCGTGACTGTTGATACTGTAAGGTGATCTCCAACTAATTGTTGTTGGCAAATGCTAATTATACTCCAGGGAGACATTGTCTTTTGTGACCCGCTGGAAGGCGTCGTGGTGATACCGAAGGACCTACTTGATGATGTCCTGGACCTATGTCCAAAACTCATAGCTCAGGACAACAAGGTCAAGGCAGATGTGGAAAAGGGCATGTCAGTATATGAGGCGATGCAAAAGCATCGTACTGTTCTATGAATCCTCGTAAGGCGAGGGCATATAAGCAGATAACAATTGCATAACGTTGATACTGAAGCGCCGATGGCTGCCCTGGAGGATTCCTCTCTGTTTATGAGCCGAATGTATATAATTTACAGTCCTAAGCCACATATAAGGGCAACACAATTCATTTTCTTATCCACTTCTCCACGACATCCAGACCACCCGCCTTATTAATGAACCCGTTTGTCCATGAATGTGGTAAAGACGACAGAATTCGTATCATAAATGAATACGTGCCTCTCCAGATCAAAGACGACGGTTTTGGTTTCATCAGTTCCTGCACGACCTGTTTCGCCCACTTGTCGGAAGGCATGCCTTTACCCTCAACAAGTTTCCCGCGAAGGACATGTTCCACCTCCTCTTTCGCCGGCTCGTAGATGGAACCCTCAGGTAGAGAAGTAGGTACTGCCTCTTTCTGATTCTGAAAGAAGTTGGAAGTGACCACGCCGGTTTTCAGGTCGACAACCGTGACACCAAAAGGCTCTAGCTCGCGTCGCATAGTATCCGAGAATGCGGCCATTGCAGCCTTGGCCGCATTATATGCACCTTGAAAAGGGAAAGTAATAACAGATGCGAGAGAAGTCTGATTGACAATGACTCCCTTTGACTTTAGCAACAGAGGAAGGAAGGCCTGCGAGACGGCAATGTAGGACCAGACATTTAGATCGAAACATTTCCTGGCTTCGGCAATAGAAAGATCTGCCATGGGCATAAAGTATCCGCCTCCTGCGTTATTGACCAGTATGTCGAGCTCGGTCACCTTACTGACGCACCCGGCAATAGAGGAGTCAGAGAGAACGTCTAGCGTTAGGGTTTCGATGCCGAGCGCTTCGAGTTGCTTCATTTTGGATACATTGCGCGCCGTTGCAATGACGTGGAATCCAGCTTCGTGGAAGGCAATGGCTAGAGCACTACCAAGGCCACCATCAGAGCAGCCTGTAATCAAGACTTTGCGTTTATCAGATGCCATGGTGTTTGTCTCAGGGGAAGGATAGTCAATGGCGAGGTTGTGATAAGAATGTACGAAGGCTCACTAAGGGGCCGCCTTGTATAAATATTAAGGGCTCCACGCCTACATTCACCTTGCTCGTAATTATTAATACAAAATGTCGAAATTATTAATATCGGTTGGCACTAACCAACACAAGACCAAGAAGCTGTGCGATGATCCAGTATTGTATGGTAAGACCTAGCTGGCCAAGGATCACGTGGAGTGAGACGGCATTCTAATAAATACGTCAAGAGACACAGATTTCTCTAATTAGTTAAATTAAAGTATGAATTAGTAATATAAAGATTGGGTTTCCAAGATGTGGCTGCTTCTCCAGGAAGCTTTCTATCTCGGCCCTGACCCTGACGGTTGAATTTGTAAGTCCGACCACTAAGAGAGCCGCGTGTCACATGACTCCACGTGACTTACCGGCAACTCTAGCTTGTTGAAGCAGCCATCAACACACCAGAGGTAGGATAAGTGCTGGGAAAGCGAGGAGTTTATAACTGTCGACACTGGTTTGTGACTCTTATAAGCCGGTTACTACGCCTTATTCATTGCAGGAACCGCTTCTGCTGTTGTCAGCAGCGTGTCTGCTCGCTTCCTACCTGGGTTGATCGGCCGGTTTACGTCTCTGGCTTGCGAGGCCAGAATTCCTTTCCAACATGGCTCCGAAAGATACGTTCTTCCGCTCGGCGGATATGAGCTTGACTCAGCTGTATATCGCAAATGAAATCGGTCGAGAGGTTGTGAGCGCCTTGGGTGAGGTGGGACAGGTTCAGTTCCGAGATGTGAGTTACGGCATACCAGCACAGCGACACTTTCGACCTCCGATATACGTACCTGTGTCAATTCGATACTAATAAAACATTTTCAGCTCAATCCCGACACGAATGCCTTCCAGCGAACTTTCACCAAGGAAATTCGTCGTCTCGATAATGTTGAAAGACAGCTCCGTACGTGCTCCGATAACTGCTAGCCGCATATAAGCTAATACATTCGAATAGGTTATTTCGCCTCGCAAATGGAGAAAGATAATATTACCATGCGACCCTCGTCCGAGTTTGGGAACACGCTTGCTGCTCCTTCGTCCGCCGAAATTGATGAACTTGCCGAACGAAGCGAGAGCCTGGAACAACGTATCGCTTCGCTGAATGATAGCTACGAGACGTTGAAGAAGCGGGAAATGGAGCTTACTGAATGGCGCTGGGTTTTGAGGGAAGCTGGTGGATTTTTCGACCGCGTATGTTAAGGTTCTTATATTCGTCGACCACTGACTTGTTAATACTTTATTTCAGGCTCATGGACATACTGAAGAAATCAGAACATCCGTGGATGGCGAGAGTGACGATGCTCCACTTTTGCAGGATGTCGAGCACCAGGTTCCGGGAGCGCAGAACGGCGACACGCAGCAATCTTTTTCCGTCATGAATATTGGTTTCGTTGCCGGTGTTATCCCCAGAGAACGCATTGGTTCCTTCGAACGCATTTTGTGGCGTACTCTGCGTGGAAATCTCTACATGAATCAATCCGAAATTCCCGAGCCGATCATTGATCCTGCTACAAACGAAGAGATACACAAAAATGTTTTTGTCATCTTCGCTCATGGTAAAGAGATTTTGGCGAAAATCAGAAAGATTTCGGAATCGCTCGGTGCGAGTTTGTACGGTGTAGATGAGAACAGCGAGCTTCGTCGTGATCAGATTCATGAAGTGAACACTCGTCTTGGAGACGTTGAAAGTGTCTTGAGGAATACCAAGAACACATTGGATGCTGAGTTGACTCAAATTGCTCGTTCGCTCGCTGCTTGGATGATCATCGTTAAGAAAGAAAAAGCCGTATATCACACTCTCAACAAGTTCTCCTATGACCAGGCCAGAAAGACATTGATTGCGGAAGCCTGGGTCCCTACCAACTCCTTGTCATTGATCAAGTCAACCCTACAGGACGTCAATGATCGCGCTGGTCTATCCGTGCCGACTATCGTCAACCAGATCAGAACGAACAAGACGCCTCCGACTTACGTCAAGACAAACAAGTTCACGGAAGCATTTCAGACAATCATCAATGCCTATGGTATCACTAAGTACAGTGAAGTCAATCCTGGTTTGCCCACAATTATCACTTTCCCTTTCCTTTTCGCAGTCATGTTTGGTGACTTTGGTCATGGTTTCCTAATGACCCTGACTGCCACCGCAATGATCCTTTTTGAAAAGACTCTTCTTCGAACCAAATTGGATGAATTGACCTATATGGCATTCTACGGTCGATACATCATGTTGATGATGGGTATCTTTTCTATGTACACCGGTCTGATTTACAATGACGTCTTTTCTCTGTCTTTTGAGATCTTCCCTAGTCAATGGCAATGGCCTCATAACATTGACGAGGGTCAAGCTGTGCACGCAACTTTGAAGCAGGGTTATCGCTACCCATTCGGTTTGGATTGGAACTGGCACGAGGCAGAAAATGCGCTGTTATTCACAAACAGTTACAAGATGAAGCTCAGTATTCTCATGGGATGGGCTCATGTAAGTTCATTTATTTACGCCATCTTTTGATCAGTTCAAAACTAATTACATGATGCAGATGACCTACTCTCTTTCTCTGCAATACATCAATGCTCGCCATTTCAAGTCAAAAGTCGATATTTTCGGCAACTTTCTTCCGGGAATGATCTTCTTCCAATCTATCTTCGGCTACCTTGTCTTTACCATCATCTACAAATGGTCGGTCGACTGGAATGCCCGTGGAGAGTCTCCTCCCGGTCTGTTGAACATGTTGATCTTTATGTTCCTCAGCCCCGGAACGATTGAACAACAACTCTATCCCGGGCAGGCTGGCGTACAGAAATTCTTGCTAGGTTTGGCTGTGTTGCAGGTTCCCATTATGCTCCTTCTTAAGCCTCTCTGGCTGCGAAGAGAACATAACCGTGCCAGAGGTCTTGGTTACCAGGGTATTGGTGAACGTGCCCATGTCAGCGCCTTAGATGAAGATGGAGATATGAACGGCCGTGCATCCGAAGGGCGTGACAGTATGGCCAGTGACGGTGAAGGAGTTGCAATGATTGCACAGGACATTGATGAAGGAGAACATGAAGAATTCGACTTTGCAGATGAAATGATCCATCAAGTCATCCACACTATCGGTAAGTCTCTTCCACGACTTATACATTGTATGTAACTAACAAACTGTTTAGAATTCTGCCTCAATTGCATCTCCCACACTGCATCCTACCTTCGTCTTTGGGCCCTATCGCTAGCCCATCAACAACTCTCCATCGTTCTCTGGACCATGACTCTCGGCGGATCCTTCGGCATCGAAAGCTCAACCACTCGTATCATCATGATCGTCGTCGGGTTCTATCTCTGGTTCTTCTTGACTGTAGCTATTCTGTGTGTCATGGAAGGTACTAGTGCCATGTTGCACTCGTTGCGTCTACACTGGGTTGAAGCCATGAGTAAGCATTTTATTGGAGACGGTATTCCGTTTCAACCTTTTAGCTTCAAGACTCTTCTTGAAGAGGATCCTGTTGATTAAGCTTGTCTTTCGCTCGTTACTTAGGTTTTGATTGATTTGTTGTATCTAACAGTGCATAAGTGTAGAAATGTAGATTACATGTTTGATAATGTTGCCTTGGCACCGTTTACTTAAATAGTTAAGTATAGCTTCTAAGACTACGTAAGACATAAGCTTCGCAACAAATCATTTCACATTAATAATAACCTATTTCTTGTGATGCTTGTTATACACATCAATAGCCTTCTGAACCTCATCCTTCGAACCCAAGAACACACCACTACGATCATGAATGTGCTCCGGAACAACAGTAAGCAATCTTTCCGCCCTCGAATTAATCGCCAAACCACCCGCATTCTCGAAAATCATGGCCATGGGCGCACACTCGTACAAGATACGAAGCTTACCCTTGGGACTCTTCTTGTCCGCCGGATAAGCAAAGATACCTCCATACAACAGCGTACGATACGCATCCGCGACCATACTACCAATATACCTCGCGCTGTACGGCTTCCCACCTTCTTCGGCAGGGTATTTGAGGGAATGGAAATAATCATTTACCCAGTCATCCCAGTACATGCTATTTCCCTCGTTGACGGAGTAAATGCCGCGTTTGGCGGGGAGTTGCATTTTGGGGTGTGTAAGGATGAATTCTCCGAGGGAGTTTTCCATGGTGAAACCATTGACGGAACCGCCTTTCATGGTGATCACTAGTTGAGCGGAGGCGCCGTACATGGTGAAACCTGACGCAACCAACTCGGTACCGTCGCGCAGGATATCCTTTGCGGAGACGGTTTTGTTGGCGCCCAGAATCTCGTCGGGGAGACGGAAGATGCCGAAGATAGTGCCGACAGAGACACCGGCATCTAAATTCGAAGAGCCATCGATCGGGTCGCAGACAACTGCGTAGCGGGCGTTGGGGTGCTCGTCAAAGATGATTGCTTCCTCTTCTTCTTCGGAGACGAGAAGACGGACTTTGCCGGATCCGCGCATGGCAGAGATGAAGATATCGTTGCCGATTACGTCGAGTTTCTTTTGGTCGTCGCCCGTTGTGTTGGAGGAGCCGGCTAGACCGGTCAGGTTGATTAGACTGGCTCGTCGGATGTAGTAGGCAATTGACTTGAAGGCGAATTGGAGGGCGTGGCATAGGAGACTGTCGCCAGTGGATACGTGTTAGCTTGATGACATTGCAGCAATACGTGTGCATTGTGTGGGTGATGACTTACGTGAAGTCACCCGTTGCTTCCGGGAGTTTGGTTTGCTCTTCTGTCAGGAATCGTGTAAGAGTGATGATATCTGTGTTGATGTTCTCCTGCCCGACGGCGGTACCACCGTTGCTGTTGGCTGCCATTGTGATGTTGATGTTGATACTGGTGATGTTTGTCCTGATGTAGGTAAATAAGTATGTCGAAGTTCAAAAGACTGAGACGATTTAGAACCAAAGTCAGTACAATCTCATATCCGTGTTTAAACGAAGTGCATTACCTCGGTTCAGCGGAGAGACACCGTAGCTGCCAAGTGGGATGTAGGAGGTATAAGAGGGTATCCGTTACACGAAATATGCAGATTAGAGGTCTGGTCAGACACAATGGCTTTAAATGTTTTAGATGGTTTATATAGAAGAGAAAGGTAAACGCAAGAACGTCAGGATCTACGGATGAGCTGTATATAAAGAATCAGCAGAATACGGAATAACAGGTTCATATCCGGTGGATCAATGCGTCAGTCCCGATCCCTTTACTCGGCCAGGTCTCTTCTGTAGGCAAACCGGCCAACGCACCGGGTTGGAAAGCAGAATCCAAGGAGCCCTTTCAACATCAAGATTTCGTCACGTTACCCATTTTATTTTCTATATGAAATCATATAAATGGGCCTCCCCCGCACTAAACCGCGACGAGTAAAGGGCAGCCATAGCTCCGGCTTATCTTCGAGGGAGAATAGAGTGCCGACTCGACTTCCGGTCCTCTCCGCGCAATGTCTGGACTGCTCTCCGGTCTTCTCCAGGTACGTATATCCGTGGGAGAGGCCAGGTGACCGCTAGAGAGGTCTCGATCGTATGGAGGAATTGTTTAAGTGGCGGGATCTAGTCGAAATCGATATATTTCACGTGGACAAGTTTGTTGATCTCGGCTCAGGAACGTTGAGATGGTCCTCAATCAGGTATGCACCCGAATTTGAGGCGTATTACGACGGGAATTACGGGGCATGATTCTCGACTTTATCCGTTCAAAGAAAGGCTGTGAAGGAAATCGCTCACAGAAGATGGGATCTTTCAAGAGGAATGAATACTTATCACGGATAAAGACCGTTACTTCGGAAAGACTTGTCGTCGTGCCAGAGGGGGGTTGTTATGAAATTTCCGGGGATCAGTCAGCAGTTTGAGTGACTAAACTGTCATCTGAAGTATCTCGACAGCATCAGAGTGAACTGAATTGATCATCTTCAGTCTTTAGTGCCAAGATGCTCCAGTGCAAACACTGCAAAAAGGTCATGTGATTAGTCTAGCTGTAAATAGTTAAGCGTCGTTTTAGCCGACCTTCAAAACTACAGAAAAAAATTTGTGAGCTGAGTTTACTTCTCTACACAACAGCAACAAGTCGAATGTTTTCCATCAATGAATTATGGAAATAATTTTACTTTCAATATATTCATTATGGACATCTTAAGTGATTGATCTGATTTGTTGATTAACTAACATCTGGAAGCCCTGGTTGTAGAGCACTCAATGGTACGTCAGAAAACTCTTTCATTTTCCCCCTTCTGTTATGATGATTTGTTACAACCGCAAACTAGAGTCTTTGACCTCCTAAGGAATGAAACTCGAATTGACACGTCAGTCTGATATTGACATCAATATGCAATTGTCTGGTCGCTGCCTCTCAGACATGTGCTAACGTGCCTCAATAGTTCTTAGATTCGAGATGTCCGGCTACAGGTCTTTAACCACGCATATCGAAACAACGGACAATAATTGGTAGGTGAAGACTCTTGCATATCTTCTTTCTCCTTTTATGATGATCATTTCGTATAATATACGCTGGAAATTACCGGCTGAGGCTCTCGGGTCTTTGATTATATCTAATGGCTTTGACTGATCCATTTTCTATTGCATTGAAATCTTCTCTCTCTTTCATTCAATACGTATCGTCGGCTAACTGTCTCAAGTCCTCTATCATAGGTATGCTGCAACCGCTTCCATATATTTGGACCACAATCGAATCACAATCCCCGTTGGTGATGAAGTGGCACTGGGCTCCGACGGCTGCAACAGCAGTTCGGTCATGATGGACACGCCCTTTTGTGGCAGGCCTAGAAAACCTCGCCCACTGAGACGCGCACATATTATCACTAGCTTTGCTCATAATGGAGACGCATTGTCTAATGTTTCACGGCTCGATAGAATGTCCGACTAAGTATCATGATGATATGAAATAGCAGTATGGTAAGCTTGACTTTTTGTACTTTTCCTCTGTTACATGATGATTGCTTAGATGACGAGTCTTATGCGAGTTTTCGATGCAGACAACCTTCTTTTAATAACCATTCATGCTTTCCTGATTAACAACTATTCTCTTGACTATAATCAAACAATTCGTGAATTATGCTGATTGGTTTGAATAAAGTAGTGTCGGCATCTAAAACGCCCGGTTGTCTCACATAGATGCGATATGGCTTCCGGTACGTCCCCTTATGACAATCCAAAATCCCTTCCAATGATGAATTCTCGACAAATCAAAGACAAGCATATGTCCAAGCTGGTTTACCTGCAAAGACGAGAATTGTCCGGACTGAGACTCTCTTCTGTAACATTGTTATCAGTGTCATCGATTGCATAACGCTGACTCGACATTCTAGAACTAGTATTGTCGATGAGCTACGAGCTACAGGATTAAACTAACCTGTAAGTCATCTGCCCTACTTTCTCACCATCCTCGGACACGCTTCACATGATGATTTACTATTTTTTATCACGACGGTCAACATAAGGAATTTAAATTGATGACCACTGCCTGTGACAGGGCATTAACTGAACTTTTTTTTTCAATTCCTACTTCATACCACTCATATTTGGGTTTGAATTGAGCTAATGTTCACTCAGAATGTAGATCTATCAACATCGGACTTGTCTCAACTCCTTGTAGCAGCACATTGCAAGCATGTGTCTGTTTGTCTAACCAGTCTACTGAATATACCCAAAATCTCATAATAATTCTCCATCAAAGTATATGGCCAAGTACAATTCACAAGCATTCAGATGCCAGATCTATGGGTTATATTGGCATAGAATTAGGTTATGAACCGAAGACCCATCACGGTATTTCCGTCTAATCTCCTGGTACTCCTCATCGGACAGCATATCCACGAAATGGAGTACGGAGGGATAGTAGATCAAACCAACCAGATCCTATTCCGGGTCTTTGTTAGGCGTAATCGAAGAGCACCTTGTTACCTGCCCAAAGAGTAAAGGGTTGAGGCCATGACGTTTACCGATGACTCCTGAGAGTGCTTCACGATACCCATTATATTTTTGGACGTCTTTGAAGGTCATTAGGTTGAGCATAATAACGGGGTTTGTGTCTGAGAAGGTGGTCATCCAATCCCGTAATTCGGAAGGGGGGTGGGGAGGAGGGGAGAGGAGGGAGAGATATGCATCGATTCGGTTGAGAGAGAAGTTCTTTCGTCACTATCTACCACTCGGTCCCTGTACTTTGCGCGTGTGGGAATATTGCTTGCTAGGCTGGTGAAGGTGGAAGTATACGACGACACAAACCTTCCCGGGTGCAGCGAATGTCACGCTCTAAGACCGCTGTATAAAAGGTCGACACTCATCTGGAACAGAGCCAGGCAAGGGAAAACATAGCACCAGATCCCATCCGGTCTGTGTCAATGCATTGACTGACAGCATAGTCGGAGGGATGATCCATCGTGCCACTCTGGCAGTTATCAAAAGCTGCTTCGCGACGGATTTAGCCAAGATATCCAAGAAGGATGGCACCGAGGCAAGTGAGAGAAGGATTAATTCGCAGTTTGCTGTGCCAGACATGGTCTGTTGTTAATAAGATGCTTGGATGAGAGATGAGAGACTGATAGAAGGGTTTCGTATCATTAATGTAGCCATACTCCATCTGTTAGCGACTTAAGAGCGTTATGTCTGGAGTTAATCTTTATAACCATTGAATCATGCTCGACCCCAAAAAAAATTGTTGTAGCAGGGGGGTTAGTCATGACTTTGCACGGTCTGAATACCGGAAAGTCAGCACCGGCGATGGCTAGCCCGTACTTTGTAGCTAAATCAAGCATCCTAGAGCAGCGTATTAGCAACTTGGAACAGCCTGAACTGGAGGTTAACTAGGATACAGGCAATAGCTGCTGTCGAGGCGTAGACGCGTGAGAACGCGACGCGGTAAACAGGCACTTCTCGTGTCTAGCCCTAACTGCCTTTTCGCCCGAGAGTATCCGTCTGTCGTAACTTGCAATGCAGTCTGCAAGCATACATAGTAAAAGACTCAAGAATAGACACTGGCCAGAGCTGATGTTCATTTATCTGTTGCACGATTGGCCAGGGCAAGCGGCTACTTTTGCACGGCGATTGGCCAAGCAACCAGTTTCCTCGACGCCAAGCGTGTGATAAGTCTAGGGTTAGGTGCAGCTTCTTCGTCCACTGCAACGTATCAGCGTCTCTCTTCTCTTGATGCTCTCCGACTTTAGGTCCTGCTTCCTCAGAATATGCATCTCCACCTCACTCCGAAGCCCTTTGGCCTATGAGCCGACGTCTCTTCTATTTATATACTTCTCCTGGTGACCTCCAGGCCGTCCTTAGCATGATCATCAACCCTAAACTCGCTAGCCTAGCCAGTGGTCTGGCACACCGCGTCCCCACGTTGCGCTCAGTTGCGCTGGTGGTTTCTAAATAAAGATGTTATCAGATAGACTAGGCGTTGCAAAGAATAGAAACCAGCCGCATTATGGGTTCTCGTCCTTTTCCACCCCCCCGCCGAACATTCACCCTCTCGTCCATTCCATCGCGAGCTGGCAAGACGCTGGTTACTCTTTGTTTATGTTGTGGTGACTGACTCGTTGGTAGAAGTCTGAGATTCGGTTTCAACAGACATGGCGCATCCAACACTTTGATACCAATTACGCCGCCTAATAGCCGCGTCTCGGCCTCTGGCGTCAACTTTTTCGCTGTTCAATATGAATATTAATAGGTGGGCTGATTTCATTTACAAATTCACGGCGAGTCTGCCTCACTCAACCGGAAGATAGAAACAAAAAAGGCGGTGGGATTAATTGGACTGAATCGCGTTATAACTGACATCAAGCAGTTGGAATCATACAAGTAGCCCGGCCGGTGTTGCTGTTCAGTCAACCGTCGCTGGCCTATCTCCCACGGGACGCAGAAATCATGCCATTCAGCCTCCCGCGTTGATGACATCTTTAAATGGGCCTCAATACCACCAAAGTCACAGTGCTGGTGCCAGTCTGGGATTCATGTCTTCTCCAGCGACTTCTCTTTCGAGCCCGTTCTCGCAGCCTCCTCATTCGGCTTACTTGCCATCCCCAGGTGCTGCCCACAGAGGTAGTTCTCCAATGACTATGAGAGTGTCATCGTCGTCATATAGTGCGCCCTACAATCCTCAGGAGTGGGCGCCTATGAATGGAGATGGATCTCCTCAGATTGCTCAGGTTACGCATTCTCAGCGCAGTCATGCGATTCGCATTGTGCAACCGTCAAATTTGCAGCACAGTCTGGGTCAGTGAGACTGTGATCCCGATTGATCGGAATGCGCTGACCTCGTGAAATAGAATCTGTGCCATCACCACCACCGCCATACACTCCAAGGACCCAGGCACCATCGCCCCCAGGCCCAACGTCTATACCGGTTCAAACCCCACAACATGGAACGCCAAACGATAATATCAATGGCAATGCAAGGTATCACATTGGAGTCCCTCACCCTCGACCTCTATCAATGATCTCGATGACTGAAGGTAACGTAAGCTGGCAATCCACATATAGTGTGCCTCCTCCACCTCCTCCAGCAGGAGCGTCCAGATCGTCATCCCGGGCAGATGCAGATCGCTATCAAACCAGCATGGATCCTGGATACGGCAATCCAACGCCTGAACCGATTGTCTCTCATTACCTGACGACCACCCAGCAGCAGGCAACGTACGGCGAGGTGAATAATATGCGTCAGTTCGATATGCCGTTACATGCCCCATCTTCCAAGAGAGCTGCTTCGACTGGTGCTTTGAATACTGCCACATCTTCAGGATTGTTAAATCCGGCCTACGACCGTTCATCGCCGCGAAATAGCTGGGAACCTGGAATGCCGCTTCCGCCGCCTCCTCCTGGGCCCCCGCCGGCAGCAAGATCGCGGAGTGCCAGTACTACTACATCGGATGCTTCTTCAAGACGTGCATTGCAGGTTCCGCGCTCACGGGTTCCTCCGGTCTTGGGAACTACCCTTGGCCAAGTCCCACCCACTCCAGCAGACTGGGTAGATGAGACTGTTGCATCAAGGCGCGAACCCGATGGAGCGCGAAGATTACAAATCGACACGGAGGTTGCATATAACACTGCGACAGTGCCTAGAGAACGAGAAGCAGAGCCAGAATCTGCAGAACCGTCGTCCTCTCGAAGAGCATCTAGTCGCGGGGGACTATTCCGCAGCCTTGCCGTGAAAAGAGACCCCAGCGCCAAGGGTATACGTGAACGTCGAATTGAGAACCGGCACCGACGGCAGCAAGTTTCTGAAGATCTCTCTGCCGTGTCCACTAATAGTAATCCTTGGGCAAACGCGTTAACACCAACGAATCTAGTTCTCAACGGTTCCACCACTGATAACTCTGGCGACAAGACCCCAAGCGGACGACAACAGACATTTTCCAAGCCACTTTCGAGTGCACGAAGCACGAAGTCGGAGGAAATACCGTCCACAAGTCGGTCTCGGACGTCGTCTGGGCTGTTCTCAGATCAATCCTCGTACGGAACGCCAAAACCAGAGTCGATATTCTCACATGCAGAGGTGACACCCACTCCACCTTTCTCACCGGAGAATGAGTCGCCGTTAGCCAAGGACAAACACCATTTGCTAAACTCCAAACCTTTGCCCACAACGCCTCCAAGCTCGGCTGGCGAGTCGAAACCATCCTCGCGGCCTGGAACCAGACTTGAAGATCGACCGGTGTCTCATTTGCTGCATATTCCGAACGATATTGTTTCTGTGCTCCCGCCACTCTCTCCACGTCGTATGTCGACCACTCAGACACCGTCGCTTGATTCGGTCCTTCATAGTGATAATGACTTCTTGGATGGTGGTCTGCAAAGGTATCGAGCAACGCTTGAGAAGGAGGCTGCGGCAACCAGTGAATCAGAGGCTTTGAAGATATTCATGGACTTTTTGGTCACCGAGTCACAGCTTCGACGGCGGTTGTATGCGCGTGCTGTCAATGATGCGGAAGCCGATATTGAAAACACACGCAAGAAACTTTTCATAATACAAGAAACCCCACAAGCTTCTCGAGGAAAGCCAACGGGCATCAAACTGGATACGTCGTTCACTGAGCAGAATAGGCCTTCGGGAGGTATGTCTACACGGCCCGAGTCCATGTGGTGGAACAACTATAAGCCTTGCCTGTCTCCTATCGCTAGTATAAGTATTGAGAATGATGAGATGAGTTCTAGGGGTCGACCACCTAGTCGTTGGTGGGAGTCAAAGACTGGCTCAAGCAGTGAAGGAGGAGAGCGAGTGTCGCTTAGATCCAAACGGGAATCGAAGTACATGGGTGTACCAAGAGAACTACGAGAAGAGATGCAACGTGGCTATGGTGGACCTCTTTCCGTCACGGAAGAAGAACAATATAGTGATCAACAAAACTTCTCGCAAGGAGGGTACGGTCCGGATGAGTATCCGCCTGAAAAGGTTGGACTGCACGAACCAGAGATGAATACGGCTCAATATCATCAATATCAGCTTGAGATCTCGCAAGCGAGTCAATATCGAGAACCTCGTGGGCCGAAGAAGATGGATATTTCGCGATTGGTGACGCTTCCACCACCTTATCCGAGACATCATCCTGCTGTTAACAACAGCCATCCGGATCTTGTCGTCTATCGAACCACGGTTCGCTCAATCAGCGATATATCAGAGATCAGGGCAACCAGGGAACAATACAATCAGCAAATGGCGCAGCTGAAACAGGAGCACGAGACCAAGATCCGAGAAAATCGCAAATATTTTACGGCTAATATCCAGCAACAAATCCAGGAAGGCAGCATCAAATACGCCGAGGCTGCAGAGGCAGAAGCGGCACTTGAAGCCGAAGAGCAAAAGAAGCAAAGAGACTTGGCGCAAAGTGAATATGATAGTTATCAGAAAATGGTGATGGAACCACTGCATCTTATTCTCAGTGAGCGGGTGAACAGGGCCACAGAACGAATCAATGAGCTCAGCGGGAAACTCAAAGAAGACATTCAACATGAAAACCCAGATCGTACGCAGGAGGAAGGAGACGAGAAACCGGAGATCTTGGAGCAACTTACTCAACTGAAATGGCTCTTTGAGGCTCGCGAACAGCTCTATCGTGAAATTTATGATCTTCTCGGTGAAAGCAATGAAAAATACCGAGCAATTGTCACTTTGCCGTATAAGCAAGGTGAAAACGACGAAAAACTTCGAGAAGCTGATGCATTCTTCATCAAGGATTCTTACGATCGCCGCGTCCAGTACGAATCCGAGTCTCTTGCTAGAACGGAAGCGTTCATGGATGTGGTGGAAGAAAACGTCAAGCGTGGTGTTGAGACGCATCTTTCCGCCTTTTGGGATATTGCACCTTCACTGCTCACGTTGGTGCAGCAAGTACCTGAGAATCTGTCCAGCTTCCAAATCGAGATCCCCGCGCAGGAATACGAGGAGAATCCGAGCTACTATCAATTCCCCTTGCAATATCTGTACTCTCTACTATCCCACGCCGAGAAGTCATCATATCAATTTATCGAATCCCAGACAAATCTCCTCTGCCTCTTACACGAAGTCCGATCCGGAGTCATGATGACAAATTGTCGTTTGATGGCGGCACAGCGAACTCGGCACGGAGAATCCGAGGACTCGGTGCGCAGGGAGATGCAGGAGATGCAAGCCCGGGAGGAACGAGAATTGACAGTCGATCTGAAAGAGAAAGTCTCTACTGTTGAGGGCCAGTGGACTGAGGCTTTGGGCAGTCAGATACAAAGTCTCCGGACGAGGGTGAAAGATCACCTGCTTGCTGAAGATGGTTGGGATGAGACTTTGGAGCAATTGGAGTGATATTCATTATGAAATGGGAAAGGATGATTTATGACTTTATTTTCTTGTTATTATTATTCTTTTTGATTTGATTTTGAGGGAGAGAGAGGAGAGCAATATACCCACTGTCGTTATTGATATCTTCATCCTGTTACAATTATAACCCTAAGAACGTCATAACCGGCCCTAACCCTGGTAAATGAGTGGATCATCACGTGATGCATCTCGGTGTCCTTCTAGAGCTTTCCTTCCCCCGTCTGTTCTTCCAAAATCTTCTTTTCTTTGGACAGGGAAGATGTCCTTCTTCTTCCCCCAACCACTTCTCTCCAACTGGTATTATTATCTTTTGTGAGTGATTGTCTCTCACGTTCAGCCTCAATTTCGACTATTGCATCTTGCGAGTGTGCGAATTGTAAGTACCACTCTCTTTACTCAGCTTTCATTTGCTTTCCTGTTGGTGGGATTTATTGCATGGTTCATTCCCCTCCATATTGCACAACATCGACATTCATGGATACGAGATTATATGATGAGATATATAGCTGGCACCAGTCCTAGAAAGATTTGTTCTCTGTTCAATGCGGACTTGCTTGCAACAGGTCGCATTAGTCGGCCCAACGCTCTGATACCTTTCACTACTTCCTATTTATATTTTTGAATCTTTTGTGATCATCAGTTGCTAACAAGGGTTTAGGAACTAGGTCAACTGCGCAAGAATCAGTCATTGTGTGGACAATCAGGCATTGGTCAATATCCTCTAGTTTAATAATATCTCTCAAACAACCGAGACAACTTCCGTGTACACAATGGCTCTTCACAATCCCAACAACTGGCACTGGGTTAATAAGGATGTTGCCCCTTGGACAAAGACATATCTTCAGGATACCCTGTCCAAGATCTCCGCCGAAGAAGATGGAGTTTCCGCCAAGGTTGAGAAAGTGCTCAGTATGGATGGCGACGTAGATGTCAGCCAACGTAAAGGAAAGGTTATTACTCTTTATGATGTGAAATTGCAGCTAGAATACGAAGGTTCATTCTTTCCCCAGCAAATTTTCAGTTTCTTTTGCTCTCATCGGGATATATAGACTCACTACTTTTTCCATACGTTGTAGGTAAAACTAAGGATGATGAGACCGTGACCGGCACAATCACCATTCCCGAAGTCGCTCATGATACCGAAGAGGATGAGTTTGTCGTATGTTTTTCACTGTATCTTGTTGCTCTGACAATTGTCTGACCCGTGGCTCAGTTCGAAATCAGCGTCTACTCAGAGTCGTCATCAAAGCAGCCCGTAAAGGATCTGGTTCGGTCCAAGATTGTCCCTCAAATTCGCACGGCGCTTGCAAAACTTCCCAAGGTCCTAGTGGAGGAACACGGCAAAGATATTCAGCACGCCCCCGGTTCAAACCCATCCAGCGGATTTGCTACCCCGACATATCACTCACACAAATCACCCAGTCCAGCGGCTGGCACTCCCAAGACAACCACCACATCCACAGGCAAAGTCGCCGTCAACACGACCACCGTCACAGCCTCGGACGAATTCCGAACCACAGCGGAAGAAATGTACACCACATTCACTGACCCTCAACGCATTGCAGCATTCACGCGAGGACCTCCACGTCAATTCGAAGGTGCCAAAATCGGCGGCAAATTCGCCATCTTTGACGGCAACGTGACCGGTGAATACATTACGCTGGAACCATCGAAGCGAGTGGTCCAGAAATGGCGCTTGGCTCAATGGCCCGAGGGTCATTTCAGTACACAGGAAATCGTCTTTGATCAGAACGATGTGGACCGTGTGACCGTTATGCGCGTTACCTGGACCGGTGTGCCGATTGGTCAGGAGGAGGTTGTTCAGCGCAATTGGGAAGGATATTATGTTCGCAGTATTAAGCAGACCTTCGGGTACAGTCCCCCGTCTTCTTTTGCTAGCACCATCACTACCACTGTCCCTCGAAATCCCCATCTCCCTTCTGCAGCATCTTCTTCATATCAGTTTTCTTTAATGAGGCGATTACTGATGTTTGTTTTTGTTCTTTTTCTTGGCATAGGTTTGGCACGATACTCTGATCAGATTCTCAAATTTTTCCAGTCCTAGTTCAGAAAAATCTATCTATCATCAGTCGTCAGCATTCATTTCTTGCAACAGATGGAAACTCGAGGTCGTCCCTTGTGAGCATGAACTTGGAGGATGAGTGTTGACGGGGCTGATTATATAGTTTATGTGGCTTATGAGCAAATGATAAATGAAATAGAAATAAACATCATATCAATCTCTATCATGAAGATTCATCGGTGCACGTAAAGCAAATAAGAATGTAGTATCAACTCTGAAATTCAGTCCTCATTTTGGATATTCTAATTAAGACATCTACAAAGTCTTCTCAATCAACTCAATACTATACTCCTCCTTAAGCGTCTTAATCAAAGGCGCACAAAGCTCCATACTCATCGGCGCCAAAACACCCTTCTCATTGATCGTACCATCAAGCACAAACTTGACGGCAACACCACAAGGAACACCTACCAATTTCGCCATGGCGGAGTATCCCTTCGGATCGCCGTATTCGACCAATGTGCTGGTACGGGTTTCGCGGGAACCGTCCTTGTTTTCGATTTCGAATTTATGTTGGAGCATAACCATGTCTCGTTCCCCAGGGCCGTATTGCATCTTTTGTTCGAGGGTGGCGCATAGAGTGTCGAGCGGGTTGTTGCGAGGGGTGATGAGGTCGTCGGAGAAGAGACCGATCCAACGTAATCCGGCCAGGATGCGATCACGCTCGTCGTTGTCTTGGAATGTAGTTTTCGAGCTGATGGCCCATAGCAAGTCCAATTCCTTGTCGGAGGTGGCGCCAAGGATTTGCTTTGTGGCTTCCTTCCAGGGGATAGGGGTCTTGAGGAAGTCGTACTCTGTCTCACTGAGGAAACCAATGTCGACAAGTGCTTTGATCATTTGAGGGAATCCCTGATAACGGAGTGTACCGCGAACAACGGTTTGAGCTTCGGGGATGTTGTAACGCTCACGGTAAGGAGTGGAGTCGCGGTTAGGGTAAGCAACGAATGCGTAACCGGGGTAGATGTAGTAGGGCTTAGCTTCGCCCATGAGTTCCTTTCCGGTGACACTGAATTCGGCACCGTTCTTGTAATATTTGGCCGGGTTGCTGAGAGCCAAAAGCACACCGCGGCTGGACCACGAGAATTTGTAGCCAAGAGGATTGTCGGAGTCCTCGGGAGCGGGGAGACCGCCGCAGTAGGAGAGGAAGGAGATGATTTTGCCTCCGGCGTTGTGGACTTCGGTGATTGTCTTGACGGCATACAGATGGTCGATACCCTAGAGACATGGATCCATCAGCACAGGCACTACGAATCGGTTGATGTCACAAACTCACAGGATCCAATCCAATTTCATTCATGACTGTGATACCGGCCTTCTTAGCATCCTCCTCGAGCTCCTTCATGGTCGGAGAAACGTAGGAGGTTGTCACGACATTCTTCTTGGTGCGAATAGCGGCCTTGATGACCTGGGCGTGGTAGGTATAAGGAATGAGAGAGATGACGAGATCAACCTTCTCGAGCTCCTTGTCCAAGGCAGCGTCATCGTTGACATCAAGGGAGATTGCCTTGGTGTGCTTTCCGCCAGAAGCAAGCTTCTGGGCGTTGTTTAGGTTTCTGGCGGCTATCCAGTCGTTAGCAGCCGGCTTCATCTTCAAGCCCTCCTACCCTTATAGTGAAAGCCAATTGGAATAGATGAAGACATGCATCACTCACCGACAGTAACCTCAACACCAGCTTGATCCAAAACATCGACAGTGGGTTTGGCAACTAAATGATGATTGTTAGTATTTCATTTCACACGACAATCTGAAGTGATCTACACGAATTGATAGGGAATTCGCTTACCAAAGCCAGAGCCCAAAAGAAGGACCTTTGATCCAGTGATATCCTTGCCCATTGTATTCTATATAGTTGTAATGAGTGAAGAAAGACAATTCGTCGTATGTATTGATTCGGAGGGGATGGATATCATAAAATTGAGGCGGGGTGTCTCCGAGAGCGGAGACCTTATATATTATATCCATCAGGTGCCTTGCACGTGACATCAAAACAGCACCTTCCAACACCAATGATAACCCCCAGAGGAGATTTAGAGATAGATATGAGTTGTTTCGCAATTGACAGCGAATAATACGCATTTGCGCCTTTGACAACCCCAGTGAAAAATGCTTCATTTTACGTGTACAAGCACCATTGGCCAATAATATGCATTTGCGCGATCGATGTGGGTCAAACCGTCTACTTCCAGTCTTCGACGAGTTATCCTTAGAAGCTATTCCTGAACAACGATCCATCGAGTATCGTTGCGTCTGCTCACGGGATCAGAGTATGCAGTATTATTAGACAGATGAATCGCAAATCTCAAGCAGACTAAGACTGGCGAGGGGTAGCTCTACTTGGGTTTAGGAGTGCCAACTCGCCGACCACCAAGAGGATCCCAACCACAGCTAGTGCGAACTCGATGGCGAAAGCCTTCAGGATAATCTTGACATATCGAATACGAGCAGCCCATTCAAAAGTGGCCCAGGCGTCTCGAATGCTGAGCTTGCCGCTACCACCCACAATTTCTGGCTTCGCCTTGCCGTTAAAATGCCGGTCGAAGGGTACGATCTGCTCGTCCTCCTCGGGCAGCATAGAGGCAGCCACACGGGTGAATATTGCCCTGGCAGGAATGGAAAGTAACAGGAAGAAGACTGCAGAGATTATGCTAGTGGCAAGCAAACCGAGACGCCCTTTGAATCCCGAACTGACGAGGCTCATGGCAGTCCAGCTAGCTGTGGCCGCAGAGAGAGTCACGCACGTTAGAAAATTGTACAAAGCAGCCGCAGGGGCAATTCTGGGCCAATGCTGGAGGCCAAGCATTCGCCGGAAAGATCTTCTAGGAGATTTGTCGGCAATCACTAGATGAATCCAAGCCATCTGCCAGGTGACCAAGAGCATGCTAGTGACGAACCCCCCGAATAAAGATCGGATGGGATAGGCGATTTGAATAGGACCAATTGCTGAAATCAGGAGACCCGCGCCAAAATCCAACCCTGTGAAGGCCAGATACATGCGAAATCCGCGGAAGCATGACCAGATGCCACCGCGGGCGCGTAGGTAGTTGATGGCGGAGCGCAGCCCGCTAGTGATGGGTTTAGCGGTATTATTACCATTGAAGGTATCATTGGAATCTTCGCCTTCGAGGCGAATATAACTAGTTGGGTGGGAGTCTTCGACCGCGGCCAGGGTCGCAATAACATGGGTGCAGGTGTAGTCGACCTATCGATGAGTTTTAGAAGCTGTTGTTTTTCGAATGAATAGCGACTCACCCAAAAAATTGCCAGACCAAACGCAACGACCGTAAAAACGACGGTTAAAAAGCCTGGCAATCCATGCGTTTGAGGTTGCTCGCGGTATTGAAGGCGAGCAGAAATTAATTCGGTACCCCGGCGTATGAGAACACTGGTAAGAGCCGACATTATTTTCGACTGGAAAGATGAAGAAATATCGAAGAGGAAGAACCAAATATTCGGATTCGGAGTCGTATCAGCCCTCACAAGGTGGGTGTTCTAATATAAGTACATAGCCCCGATCCCGTCGTCCTGTCACCCGTTCCATCGTTTAGCGCGATGCCAAAAGCGCCTGAGCCGTAGCTATAAATAAAATCATTGAGGCCTATAAAATGTTAATGACTGTCTAAACCAGTAGATTGTCTTAAATTTCCATCTCCATTGATATCCGCCCAATAAGCTCTGGTATATTGAACTTCCCGAGTATTATCTTTTTGCTGTGATTGAATTTCACTAACAGGGTGCCCTATATGACTATTTCATTATTAGCTCTGTCACTGATCTGGTCAACGCGGAAGCCTGGCCTATAGAAGATATGAGGTAAGTATAGCTTTGTAGTAGGCATAAATAGTTGATGGGAGTAGCGTGATGACACGTCTGTAATGTACAGCACGAAGGAGATTGCTGACCCCAAGTGATCGAGCTACTGCGAGGTAATATTCGCAGCATCATCTGAGGGTTAAAAGTACTACCAACATCTCGGTCGACCACCCAAACATTCCTGTTCACTCTGTGGCAGTGTGTGCTTGGGCTGATAGTGGGCTTTGGGGTTGCTGTGGTGGCGGTAGAATAGTCCAAGGTCGTCGTGAGTGCTGGTTGGTTCATGGGTTTAGCCTACTCCTCAATCATGGTGTTTATAATGTTTTTGGCAATAATTCTATGTCTATACTTGGTTGAATGGAACACTTGGCTGTATTTATTGGGAAGAAAGCTCCCAATTGAATTGATATAGGTACCATTTTCCGGTAGTTCTTTATACGAGACTCGATCCTGGAGAGTGCCTTGCTAGACATAATTGGCAATAGCACCTGGAAGAAGAGAAGAACTGTCAGCCGGTGCAGATATACCAGGATATACGAGGATGTACGAGGACATCTCTATAAAAAGAAATGAAAAAGGATATCTTCAAAGGTAGCATTGGCAGCCGCCTTGTTGAGGGATGCCGTGATATCCTGTCTTTTCTTCAATTTGTCATGGCTAATTTCTTCCAGGATGTTTTTGTCCTTGGTTATTCCCCATTTATAAAACACGATTTCTTCACGGTTCTGGCTCACGCGAACCCGTCGAGTAAGCCCAATGTTTATTGACCCTGGGTTCACAGTATCGCCATTTTAGGGTATCCGTATCGCCTTGCCAGTCTACTTGGGGCCCAGCTGCTCGCACGACGTCTCTGATTTCCTCATGAACCAGATCGACCAGATTATCCATTGCTTGCCTGATGCATCAAATTAGCTTTCTTTTGTTTTGCCCCCCAAAGGTCGACAACAATGGATGAGTAGTACAGTCTCTCTAGAATGAGATACTGATAACTTGCCAGTCTTGGAATGGCCCAGGTAATGTTGTCGCAATTGCGAGTCGTCGTGTCTATAATTGCTATCAATTTTGGAAGGAAACAAAACAAAGAAAAGAAAAAAGACTCGTACCAAAAAGTTATTGTATCCAACCCAATAGATTCGATTGGAAGGGTCATCCCTCTTACTCTTGACCGCAAGAATCAAGCCCGTCAAGACTTGGACGTATTCGGGACTGTTGACCTTATCACGAGCGCCTTACAAGCGTTGATCACAACCAGAACCCCAGGTGGGCGTAAACCACTGGATATACGCACCAGTTCAGGAGTTCGGCCAGATTAGCATTGTTCCCACCCGCAGACATGGTCACCATCTGCGGACTATTCAACAGAGGCACTTGATCACTCAGAATCTAGGTGGCCGGCGCTCCAGAGCATGCAAGATACTGGAATATTATATGGCGTTGTTGGACTACAAGACATTTTACACGACGTATCCAATTTTTGGACGTTGAGCCCCCGTTAGGGTGGGGAGAAGTGACGAGACGGTTAAACAAAAGTCCACAGAATTCGGAAAGCAGTATCCTAAGTTTTGATATATCTACAAAGACGATTTCTCGTTGGTATATGATTATAAAATTTTGGTACATTCTCCTAGTCCTAAGCCCGTGCATCAGTTCACTGGCTCGAGGAAGGGGGTCTATTAATGTTACATGAGGTTACCATATACAACAGTACTGAGCCTCGCTAACGAAATCCACAAATCTAAAACGCCTCAATCTGCGTTGTAGTTTCCGCAACAGAAATATTGTTGTCTCTTGAACCCTTCCAGTCGTCATTGTCAAGACCGCTTTCTCCTTTCCATGACTTCGTGACTCTTCGCTGCCACTTCCAGAGAACTGGCAAGAAATGCCATAGGTCGAATTCCGGCCAGAGCACATCTAGAAAGGCTAACTCGGTATCCTCGTGGCATTGCCAGAGCATGAAGTCACTCAGTCGTTCAACGCCGGAGGTTCGGATTAAGATATCGATAGGAGGATTGTTACCAGTGTACATGCGTTCTGTTAGGGTTTGGGGTGTGATGAATTCCGGTGATAGGAGGTCAGAATTGCCGTTGTTTTGCCCGTTGAGATGAAGGGTTGTAGATGATGAGAAAGAGGAGGGGGAATCATATCCACTGTTTGCGTGGTTGGCGCTGGGTGAACCATTGTCTTCATCCTGTGAGGAGGCGGATATTGAGTCTGCGTCTCCGCTCCCTTCTTGATCTTTCATATTTTGTGCCCGTATGTTCGATGCAATATGCGATTCTGAAAACGGCTTCCGTGCTCTATTCCCCCGACTTGCTTCGAAAGGTGTGCTGTAGTCAATCACAGTTTGTCGTATTGCCTGCGTTATTTCGTCCCTGGAAGTATAAGGGCAACATATATTCAAAACTCTATCTCCATTGCGACTCGTAACTTCAACAGCCCGGTCCACTGCTGCAACAACGTCGGGTCTGAGTAGGTCTTTGCGACCAAGGAACCGGATGCTGGCTCCGTATCTGTCTAGGATATCTCCATGCTGAGCGAGTTGAGCAAGCTTTACATTCGCCATGTCCATAAGCCCGTTGACCTCGAATTGCGACCTGTTGAAGTTTTCGATACTGAATGCGTAGATTGTTACTACCTTGACTCCGCTCTTGTAGCAAACTTCAAGTATCTGGACAAATCAAACATTAATCTTTCTCCTTCTCGTCTCCTTAGAGTACACCGCCGGCTTAAGACTCACCCTAGCTAAAGCTTCAAATCCCAGATGATGTCCTTCAATAGTCTCTATCCCATGACTCCTCGCGAACCGGCGATTCCCGTCCATGACAAAGGCAATATGTTGTGGAATGGGCCCTTGTCTCAAGGCGCCTAGAAGCAACTCTCTCACTCTGTTGATTATGAATTCGACGGGGGGTGAAGCAATGATCCATTTTCGGAGATGGGAGAAATGCATGGACGTCGGCATTTTGATAGATCTATATGTGGATGCGAGATGTATCGAGTTGGAGATGTAATCGAAGCACGACACGTAGTGTGACTGGGGGAATAGCGTGATGTCGTCCTCAGGGTCGGAGGATAAAGTGATCGGTAGTCTGGAGACCGGAGAAGCGAAAGGATTGGAGGCAATAGTGTTTGAAATAGTGGTCGTAAATCACGCTAAATATGTAAATGCATATGTATAGAGACTTAAACCAGACAATGAAAAACAGCAGAGTCAATTAGATGACAGTAATGATCGTCTTCTAGTTATTTGAGGATGAAGCTGAAAATGCGGAGATGATGTCGTGGCCACAGACCCACCTTCACATGCTTTTAGGTGATTGGACCATTCGAAGTAGATATAAATACAGTATACTTATACCATCACCTTGAAGAGTACCTAGGTAGAGTGTGTATTCTGGTCTTCAGCACGAGCAAAGAAAAAAAGAAACACTAAATCAGATTAAGACATTGCTAGCGTACATACAGGTATCCTTTATTCACATACAAAAGAACAAACAAACAGTATTTTCCCTTCAACATCAGCGAGTATAATTGTATCACCTCGTTTTCTTCTCTCCATCCTCTGATGGCGTTATTGACCCCGCGCTGACCGACTCCCAACCTAGATCTTCACTCCGTTGCCGACGTTCCTTGCCACGCTCCCTCATCGCACCCCGAATGCGTTTACTAACTTCCTCAAGGCGATCATGATCGTCCACCTCGGTCATCGGTTGAACTGATCCACTTGAACTGAGACGAACACCAGCCGTACTGCGACTGCGACTACGGCTCGCAGGCCGATTGGAGAAAAATCCAAAATTGGCCAAGTCGTGGAATGACTCGTTGCGAGGAAGCGGCTCTTGTGTCGTATAGGTCTTTTGAATCTGGGGTCTTGATCGGAGCTCATGGTCAGCTTCCACACCCTTATCGCTGTCGCCATGCTTGTATCCCTTGAATGGATCGGCGACGATGCGCGCTGAATCAAAATCTGGGAAGACTTCAGGGCCAAGCGTGTTGATGACGTCGGTCACTTCACGAGACAACTCGGCTCGACGTTCTCGGAGCTTCACGAGAGTATTTGCGGATGAGGGATTGAGGGATAGTATGAGCGGTCGAAGAGATTTGACAATGTCCATACCAATCTCTCCAATGCGAAGGGCTGCGAACGTGATGGTAGGAAACAGAACAACGCCTAAGAGGACCACTGCCCACAATGGGACCCATTCCGGCACGTAACCTTGTATGCGATTGCGATAGGTCCAGTATGTAAAGATCACAATGTAGAGTGCGTACAGCGCCGGCGCAAAGGCTAACGCTACCAACAGTTTCCACGTCGCCATGACATCTCGCCCCTGTAGCTTGACTGTCGATGCCGCCAATGCTTCTTGTGATTTCTTCTTGGAAATATATCTTGTTGCAACAAAAACAGGTGCGAATAAGACAAGACCTGGTAATGTGCCAATAGCAAGGAGGGTGAGTTTGATAAACCTGTAGATCAATGTGGAGACCACTCTAATAATCGAGAATCTGGCATATTCGACCTGATGATCACGAAGACCTAGTAACCGGAGCTGTTTATTATATTCTGTGATGGATTTCTTCAGCTTGACGATACGAGGGTCGTCCTTGAAGTGTGCATAGCCTGTGATCAGTCGTCGGTTCAGCTCTACAACCATTGGTAGAGGCAATTTCTTTCCCTTGGTGTTATATAGACGCCGAGCAGCTTGAACAGCCTACAGAGATGGTGAGCGACATAACTAGCGAACTCCTTTGCATGATCAAACTTACCATTAAGGTCTCATAATCAGGCCCGTTCACGGTTACAGCCAAGAGTGCATGATAAATGGTATCGAGGAGTTCACCAACGGCTTCCCTCCTCTCACCTCGCTTATATTTCTCAACTAGGTCACGAGGGACTTCTATTGGATTTCCAAATTCGACCACAGCTCGTGACCGGAATTTATGCGCATGGAAGTAGTTCATTCCGCATGGTACAATCTTCAAGCCCGAATCTGGGTTCTCAGCCAGAGAACCAAGAGCCATGATTGCGACACCAGCTAAAAGTATGTTAGTATGCACAAGATGATGATGCAAATATTATTCATATAGGGTGTCTCGGCCATACCTTTCAATGGTAGCAACTCCGGGCGATCGTGGCTACCACCTTCTGGAAAGATACCGATACATCCACCATGGCTTAACCTGCCGAAAACTGCCTTGTACACTGCACTCTGATCTACGTGGGGTGCAACCTTGAATTTGGTACCTTGAAAGTCCGACTTCACGGTCGAGGCATCTCCAGTGAACTTCCCATCATCTGTAATATCGGCCCTACCAGTCAATTGGCAAAGGGCGTCCTTCTCCTTGACTGGCTTCTTCAGAATCAGCTCCTCGGGTCCTTTAATCTCAGCAATAGTTGCGCTATATGAATTGCCATTGATTGTGGGAAGATGTATGGTGCCTTCCGGCTCGAATCCGGGACCATCGAATTTCGTTCCTACTCCGCGTATAAGGGTCGGTTGATTGACTGGATCTGGTAGATAAATGGTTCCAGTTCCCGGTTTCATGTTGTCCATCGCCCGGGCTACGGGAACTGCTCCTATTCCTCGTGATAAGAGACCGATAAATTTGCGCTTGAAAGACTTTTCCGCGATAAGCCAGGAAATACGACGACCGATTTCTCTCCGAACGACGCGCATGAGGATGAGCGAGTCGACGAACTACATGGACCGTAATGGTCAACTATGATTCTGAATAATAGCCAAATGCATATCGTACCTGATTAGCATGGGGAGCAGCGACGATGATCAACGGTCCTCTTCTCGGTACTTTCCATGAGCCGCGTGGATGTACCTCTCTGAAGAAGAGGTCTACCAGAACTGAAAATGTCCAGAGCACCAGGTCGTATAACCACCCAATCTGGGGTGGAATGTATGGCGGCTTCGCCATTTCAAGGCTGTGTGAATGTCGGATGTCGTGTTTAGGGGTCGCAATTTGGTAATGTCGCACTTTTCGAATCCTTGTGATTATATCGATACCTGGTCATCAGGCACAAGCTCTGCGTACAGCACATCAGGTATCAGTCACAATAATGCCAATGTCTAAGTAATCTGGGGTAATGACGTAGATGAGCTTACTGCGCGACACACGTCTATCTGCATGTGGTGTAAATATATACTCGGTAATATTTCGATAAATGTCAGTGATGAGTATAGATTCTTCAGACGACGTGAACAGCAGACATCTCAAAAAAAAAGAGTCTCATGTCGAGGTTTGACAGTGGGGTGATGCTTCTAGAAGTTTAAAAACCCATGCGACATTGCTGCCTTGCAGCCTGAGGCGGCGCGGAAGCAGGAAACACTCAGCTCCGAGTAACATTTCCACCTCTTTCTACTTGCTTATGCAACCTATGATAGACACAGTTGCTTTTTGTTTATCTAACATATGTTGATTGAATCTCTGATGAACTTGATCTACTCATCACAAATACGTCGAACATAATGGTTATTGCCGTCGCTGCCGATGTCATTTGAAATGCCCCTCCAAACCTCCATCCGTCTAGAATGCGGTTTCAGTCCTCGTCAAAGCTGCAACAACACTTGATCACTAACGGACCCGCGAAGCTGAAAGCAACATTAGCTGTTTCTTGTTGAACTACCGAGGAAGATTTGTTTGGATTGAGGAACTTACATGTGAGGAAAAATGTCTCTGAAGTGCGACTTCCCCAGATTCATTTCCTTGACCGTTTCTGAAAACGATGCTAACGATTCTAAGCAGTTGGGTTATGCTCTCAGGCAAAGATGGCTTCGTCCGTCTTCCGAATGAACACATCATTTACACCTCTCCCCCACGTACAGCACTGTCGCTCAAACCTCCCAGTTCTTGGCAAGGAAAGGAAGCTTTCTCAATATCCAGTAGTTCGGGCTGTCTATATCTCACAAATCAAAGAGTGCGACTTCCAATCGGGTCTAGTGTATGATTTTATGCTAACTGCGTGGACTTTCTGTAGATCGTTTATCTTCCGTCCCAACCAAGCGAACAAATGCAATCATTCACTGCTCCTCTTCTAAACCTTCACGATAGCCACGTCTCTGCACCTTTCTTTGGTCCGAATGCATGGACCGTCTTAGCACAACCTGTTCCCGGTGGAGGAATCCCCGCGCCATTACAACTGGTGGAATTGAAGGTCACGTTTAAGGAAGGAGGAGCCTTTGATTTCCACACCAATTTTGAGCGTATAAAAGACCGACTTCAGCAAGCCGTTGAACATGCGAGGGACAGTGGGTCGCCATCTGTTCGGTCTTCGAACGGTCGTGGAGTCAATTTCACAAACGTTCATCTCGACGAACTTCCCGCGTATGATGGACCGAATACCTCGAATGCTGGTCAAGCTCAGTCAATCGAGGCCGCTGTGCAACCACCCATTACAGAAACTGCAGATACAACCTCTTCTGCCCCTGTGGAGCCTCCGCCAGGGTACGAAGAAGTGCAACAACAGAGTGTAGCGCAAGAACTAGAAGAGCAGCTTCGACGGGCACGATAGAGCATATCGTTCCGGTCCCAGCACCGTCTCCATCAGTCCGGATGACAGCTTTGTCGACTCTGTACTGATCCATATTCTGAGCGCTACGGCATTAATGTATAATGATTTGTAGACACGCAATAATCTATGCTATGTTGAAATCAAAGCAATTGGCACAGTAGATGTAGCTAGCAAAATGATGTTATAAACAATCTCGGGTGGGAGCGGGTACGAGCCAATCACGTGTAAGGGAATTGGCCAGTCAGCGTCGGGACCGGGAAGACCGCTGCGTTTCCCGTTTTTCCATCAAGGAAGCTTCATAACCTCAACTTCCGACCGTCCACGCTTTTTCAATTCTACTCACTCCCACCACCCCATCTCCAACATACTCAATTGCGCTCATTGAGTGAGCTGACACGGTCAGAAAAACAATGGGTCTCACGGATTTCTTCTCCGATTTGGTCTCCTCCTTCGGCCTAGCCGAAGCTCATGCTGAGGCTCCTCCCGCCGAGCAGAACGACGACAGCGCTGCCGAACAACAGGACGAGAAGACTGAGGAGTCCAGTGAACCCGCCGAGGAGTCTTCCGAAGCTACCGAGGAGGCTGAGCCTGAAGCTGAGGAAGAAGAAGAGGAAGAAGAGGAGGAGGAAGAGCCCGAGGATATCAAGCCAAAACTCGAGGAGGGTGAGTCCATCCAGTGCAATTGACTTGTATCTGTTTTCAGAGTTGCTGTTATCGGCGAATGGACGTCTCTGCATACGCGCGACAGTATGAGGTCATGCGAAGAGCAGAGTACATCTGTGATGGATTCAAAGGTATCGTAAGACAGTCAGCTAATCATGACTAACCAGAATGCGCCAACTCCAAGACATGCGCTCCCTACAAGCACCACTTCGACGAATGTGTTGAGCGTGTCACACGCCAACAGGAGGACGGCGACGCCAGCGGACCCAAGGAAGACTGCGTTGAAGAATGTAAGCACTCGATCAGCAATTTCCTATTGTTTACCATAATTTCGATTACCTTTCCATCACTTTCATGAAGATAATCATATACTGACATAATCCCTTGTATAGTCTTCCACCTCCAGCACTGCGCCACCCAATGTGCTGCCCCCCAGCTCTGGAAGAGCTTGCGGTAAAGCGCCAATCTTTGATTGTATCACGCTTATGTGCCGTTGCGTATGCGAGGAAAACCGATTTAATGGAGACAATTTAAATGTCCCTCCCATCGAATCGTACTGCAAACGACACATAAACGCCCAGAGAAATAGAGAAGGAAAGATCAGAGCTTATGGAGCGGCTATAGAATCCTGGTTTCGAAAATCGTTCAGCATCTGTTCCGAATCTTTCTTTGCTCCGAATTTATGTATTATCATTCAAAGTGTTGCATAGCCCCGGCCGTCAAAAAGTCGGGGTGCCTGACCTTGGTGAAGAATCAATGCGAAAAAGTGAATATAGATCGTCATGTTTCACTTTTTATGTACAGGTAGCTAGTGACTGTCTTCTATCCCGATTCAATGTTTATTTTCCTATGTTTTTGAGTTGCTGGTTTTTAGATTTTGGCTCACGTATCTCCAACCTTTCACCATGACAACCGTCGTCTCGCAATGTCGGTTCAGACATCTGGACTTGCGCAAGCCTCTCTTTACGCGGGGACCTACAGCAGTTCCACTGTACGAAGCTTTTTACATTGGAATGGTACAGAATCAGTCATGATTCTCCTGAAACCCTGAATCTCCTTGTCCTCATCCTATCCTTGGAGAAGATAGCTGGTCACCGGTCACGTATGTCAAATCACTGACGTAAGCTTCACTCACTCGGTCTATGTTGATCTGAACTTCGCTTGACTATGTACAAATTTCCCAAAAAGGAATCATAGCAGTAGGGTCTAATGATGAATAATTTATTGACGGCCAGCAATTTCCTCGTTCCAACGAGGCCATCCTAGGTATCCATCCATGCCAGAAGTATAAAAGGTAGGACGATGATACTTAGTCAAAGGATGCTCATTGAATAGCCGTTCGGGCAGGTCTGGGTTGGAGGTGAAATATCTTCCAAACGCGACCAAATCGACTTGACCTGATGCAGTCAGTCATGTGCCGCCGGCTGAAATATTGAAACTGATTCTCACCTTCCTCAATAGCTTGGGCGGCTGATGTCCCATCGTATCCTCCAGCTCCAATAACCGTTGTAGTCTTCAGAAGACGTCTGAATGGCCAAATAGACGCAGAAGCTGCAGTTGAGGTATCTAAAGTCTCACTTCGTCTCATGATATTCCCAGAAAAAGCGCCTTCCTGACTCAATTGGTCGTATCTAGGCTCAACAATGTGCACGTATGCGAGGTTTCTCTTTTCCAAAAGCGCGCAAAACACCGAGAAAGTCCCTATTCGATCACTATCATTCGTCTCCTGTAGTACATGATATGGTGCCAATCGAATTGCTGTCTTCTCACTGCCCACAGCCGCAATGACTGCATCTACCACTTCCAATGGAAACTTGAGTCTCGCCTCTATTGGGCCACCGTACTCATCAGTACGAGTATTGATATTATCATGAACGAACGAATCCAGCAGATACCCATTAGCACCATGGATTTCAACGCCATCGAATCCTGCAACTTCAACTGCCAGCTTTGCTGCATGAGCAAACTGGCCTACTACATCCTTTATATCTTGTATAGTCATAGGATGTGAGTCGACATACGACTCAGTGCCGTTATCATCCCCGAATAAGATATGTTCACCCGGTAGGTGTGCAGCAGTGGAACTAAACGGAGGCAAACCCCCTGTTTGTGAGGGCACTGATACTCGACCAACGTGCCACAACTGAACAAAGAATATTCCTCCTGCCTTGTGAACGGCATCTGTAATCGGTTTCCAGGTCAAGGCCTGTTCGTGTGTCCATATGCCAGGTGTCTGGGGAAAGCCCTTGCCACGTGGATGCACTACAGTTCCCTCAGAAATCAGGAGAGATCCAGGTATGGTGCGCTCTGCGTAGTATATGGCCGCAGATTCATTGGGAATTCCTGTTTCGTCAGATGCTCGCATCCGAGTCATCGGAACTAGAACGACACGGTGAGTAAGATTCAGGGACCGTGATGTATAGGGCGTTTGAAGTATTCCTGGGCCCGTTGAACCCATTTTCAGCATTGTAAAGACGTCAGTGAACTAATTATTGCGAAAGTTATGAAATGACAAATCTGCGGCAGGGTAACGAGAGGAGGAATACGAGAGGGGAAATACTACGGTCTAAATAACATCATAAGGTTAAATGCTTATCAATCATTGAACGAAGGTGCCATTATAGCTAGTTTCTAGTCCTTTCAGACAGGTTCTCGGTGGCTGACAGGTTACTTCGATTAAGGGTGTATTTGTCACATTGCAGTCTCTAGTTAACCATTACCCGGAAGAAGAAAGTGAGGTTAATTTGTCATCGTCATAGACACACTGACAACCCTAATTTAGTGATCCCACTAAGTACACCTACCCTTTCGAGGCAATGATATCTGAAAGCTTCATTGGACCGATTCTGTGCCACTACTAATTAGATATGCGTGGTGGCCGATGCCCATGAGTATATATACAGCCTGTTATCTCCAGAAGTCCTTGTATTTCAGTATCAAATCAACCAGCTACTTCTTACGAAATCTCCCAATCACTTCTCTTATCCATCCAATTGGAACAGTAAAAAATGTCGACTACTCTTCTCAACACCCTGGAGCTTCCAACCTCCAAGACTAGCATCTTCTATCGTGAAGCCGGTGACAAGTCTGCACCAGTAATCCTTCTCCTTCATGGATTCCCCTCTTCTTCCCACCAATTTGGCAATCTCATCCCTATCTTGGCGACAAAATACCGTGTGAGTGCACCTGATCTCCCTGGATTCGGCTTCACAGAGGTAAAAACAAAGATTTCCAATATACCTTTTGACAATCTTGCGACGACTATTCTAGAGTTTCTCGACACTCTATCCATTGAGAAGTTTGTCTACATTTTCGACTACGGTGCTCCAACGGGCCTCAGACTGGCACTCGCAAGGCCACAGGGAGTTCAAGCAATCATCACTCAGAACGGCAACGCATATGAAGACGGCTTGGGCGAGTTCTGGGACCAGATTCGAGAGCTGTGGAACACCAATAATGATCCCAAGGTTCGATCGAAATTAGCATCTGGTCTCCTAAGCCTCGAAGCCACCAAATGGCAATACGAGGAAGGCACCCAAAAATCTCGAGTCGTGGCTCCCGAGTCCTATATATTAGACTATGCATTGATGCAGAGACCTGGCAACTCGGATATCCAAATCGATTTGTTCTGGGATTACCGGACGAATCTCCCGCTTTATCCTCAGTTTCATGAGTATTTCCAAAAATCTCAGGTGCCTTTACTCGCGGCTTGGGGTAAGAATGATCAGATTTTCATCGCACCTGGTGCAGAAGCTTTTAAGCGTGATTTGCCGAATGCTGAGGTGCATTTCTTGGATGCTGGCCACTTTGCGGTTGAGACAGAGACGGTGGAAATTGGCAGTCTTATTTTGAAGTTTTTTGGCCCGCAATGGAATCTGAACTTCATCAATCCCGGAGCGAAAGGGGATGGAATCGTATCTCTCGTGATATATTCTAGCTTGTTTATTAACAGCTTGGGGATTCTAATGAGGTAGTGCAATTGATATAATTTGTGATTTTTAGTGTCCTATACTTTTCAACAAAAGTTCCCATCATGTCATGCTTCAATTCCATATTCTACGTAAAATAGGAGAATCGATATCCAATAAGCTAGCCACCAAAATAAATTTAACATCCAGTATATCTAATAATTATTTTACTGTGATTCGTCGTCATGAATCTCCAAGAAACATAATTACTCATAACATTGAACTAGTCAGGGTAGCGAATTGTGCTCAATAGCGGTGGCCTGCATGTCGTTAAACTTCATGGCCTAGCATGGCTGATATCAATGTAAGCCAATCTTTTTCTCTTCGTGCAACATTATCTCCCTCAAAAAAATGCAGGCACTCTAACCAGGAGTTGAATTCTAGCTCAGGATTGACAATTGTAATCAATTTCGGATGTAGACCAGCCTTTCCATTGATATTACCAGATGGAAAACCAATAATTTATGGCCCCCCTCTTCGAATGCCCAACATTTCTGAATCACCTCGAATTCCGGAAACAAATGTTACAAGCAACAGGCTCTCCTCTATCCTCCTGTAAAGGGAAGCATAATTCGAGTCTTCCTCGATCTTAGCGAGATTACTCAAGCCATCGAGCTTCTTCCGAAACGAACATGTGGCCCAAAGATTCTGACCATGATTGGAGACTCCCGAGCGCAGGTTTTGCATCGTCTCTGCAGCCTTCCTGACGAAACTGATCGACCAAGCATGGTTTTCCACAAAAGAAGCTGTTCGACAGAGTAACAAAACGCCTCTGTGGCCATTTACATGATTTGTAGGAAACCGGGGCTACTATATAGGGCGCTTCTGGTATCACCTCTTCCTCAAACGACGGTTCTATGGAATCAATTGACTCGTGATGTATTTGAATGCATGAACAAATTAGAAGAGCAGGAAGACTCCCAGCCTATTGCGGAGATTCTTCTGTGGTGTTCAGTGATTGTAGGTATCACTGCAGAGGGTAGCAATTATCAACAATGGTTTATATCCAAGGCATGGAGCTTACGCGGATATTTGAGGATTAGCTCATGGGTTGAACTAAAAGAGTTACTAGCATCTTTTGCGTGGCTTGACTGTGCTTCCGACAGGGCCTGACAAGCATTCTGGAATAAGATGGGATTAGAGAGTATGAAATAATGAAAGAGCCGTTGTGGTAAATCAAGATCCTTTGCCATTCGTACTAAATATGTCCATGGAAGATTTCAATGTTCGAAACGCGAGCTCCGTCATTGGGTCCGATGGATCAGCATATGTACACTATTTGCAGAGAAATGAGGGAGGGATATATAATGAAAAATAAACAAAATTCATCGACGTCAATAGCAAGATGGGCGCTCGCCAGGTAATCCAACTTCCACAATATAATCCAATTACTAATCAATGAATGCCGTTACCCCGATTCTCCAACTGCACAGTACCTGTATATCGCGCCTGGTCCGCTTCCAACCGCCTGTTAATGACATTAGACCCGAACATACCCAGCGTCAACGGGAATATAGCAGCTACGCAAGCCACCACGGCACTAAAAATAAGTGATTTCTTCATATTCGCTGGCGGATCGGCATTTGGACCAGCCTTGAGCTCTGTCTGGATAATTGTGAATATAGCGCCAAGCACTTGACCACCGGTCCAAAGCAGTGTGCTGCCGATTTCCGGCGAGTAAGGATATGTGATTTCGACGATAAATTCGAGCGCAACCGGTAAGAGTGCGAATGCGCTTGCGCCTAGGAGTGCGCATACGACGATACTGGGGGTAAGTCCGTATGGACTCGAGGGTGCGAAATAGAGGGCTATGTAACAGATAGCGTGGATGGGAATGGCAATTCGTATGATGAGTAGGTACTTCTTGAAACGATCATTGATGGGTGAGACGATTGCAGAGGATATCAAGCCGGCGATGATGAGAACACCGCCTGCAACGCCGGCTTCGGTTTCGGAGAATCCGTATGGCTCCAGGATCTGATTGATTAGGGCTGAGACACTGTTGAAGAAGCCAACGTACACGGAAAAGGGGATGAACATGAGCCAGAATTCGCGAACTCGGAAGATGCCCTTGACTGATTCGAGGAAAGGAGTTTTAATTACTTCGGCAGAGGCACATGGTGGTGTTGGAGGCTTTGCTGGGATGAAAAATGATGGAACGCAAGCGACAGTTGACTGCGCAAACAGAGAGTTAGACTAATATTCTAATAAGAGATCGCAACCAATGAAGAGAGGCGTACTATGACAGAGATATAGAGGACCATGTTGGGTATATCTCCCGGTTCGGAAGTCCACACAGAATCGACGAGCTCACCAATAGCTGCTCCCAGTGGATTGGCCAAAGTCGCCAACGCAGTCGCACTCGTTCGGCCCTTTTCTGAAAACCACAAGTCGCTATATCTGGTTGGTGCAGCGAGAGCAAACGGCTGAGCGAGACCTAGTAGCAACTGTCCAAACATGACCACGCCGAAGATACCGTTGTTCGCTTTGGTGCCGGCATATCGGATCCAGTTACCTACTAGGATGAGTACCGAGGCGGTGATGAAGACCGCTCTGGGACCTCCTTTGTTCAACATGTACATCACCACACTGGACTGGATGGTTAGCAATACTGCGTGCCTGGGAGAGCAGGAAGGTGAAACTGACGGTGTAGCCAGACAAAAAGCAAATAGAAAAGCCGTACTCAGCCAATTGATCGTGGCTTCTGATACACTGAAATATTCGGCCGATGTACTCGAGATTGAAGAAAAGGTTAACCACTATGTGCATTATCTTAGTAGTCTGTCCAGCAGTCAAGATAAAACACAGATTCCGAGTCGAACATACATCCCAACTAATCACAATATTCAACAGAACCAGCTGCAATAACCCGAAAAAGCGTCGTTTATAGACTTTGTATACGGGTGCTGTTGTCATCGTATCCGCGTTCATCGTCGTCACCTCATAAGACGGTCCGGATTTTGCCGAGGCCATCTCGATGTCCTTTTTATCTTCTCCATGGACAGACGGCGAAGGGTTGTCTGCACCTTCGTCGAGAGATGTCCCATTCCGGTACTCTGCTGATGTTCTCTGAAGATTCATGGCTCAAACAAGCAGAACATCTCGTGTGTGATTTAAGTCTCACAGCATCCTACCCTATTTAGACTTTGCAGGCCGAAACACTGGTACGTATAGTTCTACCCCTATTGACTCCGGCCGGAACTTTTGTATGGAGGCTTGTTCTTCATAGACAGACTTAACTAATTGAAAAGAAAAAATGCCATGAAGAGAAGAAAATGGAAGAAAGAATCAAGGTTGAAGTCGAAAGTACCTCATGTGAATGCCGGGTGCGGGGAAATGCCTTGGGTTGCATTTGATACGCCGGGGGGATCTTTGTACTTATCTTGCCCTAAAGCCTTTACTCCGTAGTTGAGGCTTAATTGATTGATCCTACTTTTGTTGCCGAGGATGAAATTTCTGGCTTGCCATTTATAGATACTCACGCGATAACGCTCTGCCAGTATCAAGCCATACTGTGAGCCTTCGTGTGTTGTGGCTGGACAAGAATATTGGCCAACCTTCCGGATCCGGTTGTAATTACTCTTCACATGTTATCGACAGATAAGTACGTAAGTGACGGTAAGTCTGCTATAGTATCTATATATATTAAACAGAATCAAACCCCGAAATCCTTTTTATTCAAGGATACCCTCGTGCCATATGCCAATAGATGCTCCAAACCTCATTGTAAATTACACGTATCGTCATATCTAGGCAGAGAGTCTGAAGTCCCCTCATCATTCCATTTTAGTACATCATCTCAACTTTCAGAACATCACAGGGATCATCTGCTTGAAAAGCCTGGCTTATACCTAGATAAGATAGCATTATTTATATGGGAGGAGTTCGGCACGCTTACAACGACATCCACTATTAGCAGAACACTTACTTCCATTGGGTGGTCCAAAAAGACCATCCGGAGAAAAGCAAGAGAACAGAATGCAGAAAAGATACTGTAGTAGATGCTCCGTTCACTGGATGCATGAAAAGTGACAGTCTTGCAAAGGTGTCACGTGGAGTGCGGGGTTAATTGAAGACAAGGCCGAACTGCTAAGACATCTCCTCTCTTCCCATGTTGAACGCTTTTATCATTTCTCTTGTCCAAAAAGTTTCCTCAAATCGAGTCAAGGTTTGTCAATCGCGAAGATCTGGGTTCCACCAGGGATGGGAGATCCCAACAAATACACCATTGGATGGATTTGCGCCATCACTACAGAATATGTTGCCGCAAAAGCCTTTCTGGACAAAGAGCATGAAAGCCTGGAGTATGGATCTGTCAACGATAACAACATTTACACACTGGGTGAGATGGGGAAGCACAACGTGGTGATCGCTCAGCTGCCAAAGGGGGGGTATGGGATCGCGGCTGCAGCCAGTGTCGCACGAGATATGGTACGCACCTTTCCCAACATCAGGATCGGCCTTATGGTCGGCATCGGTGGTGCACCTAGTAAAAAGCATGATATCCGACTCGGCGATGTTGTGGTGAGCGCACCCAAAAATGGAAAGGGCGGTCTATTTCAGTATGATTTTGGGAAAACAATACAAGATCAGGAATTCCGAACCACAGGTTTCTTAGACCAACCTCCTGGCCTGCTTCGTGCCGCAATGGGTGGCATTGAAGCTGAGTATGAAGTGGAAGGCCATCAGCTTGATGAAACTATTAATACCGTGCTTGAGAAGCGGCCAAGACTGCAGAGAAAGTACAAGCAACCAGATTTCAGTAGTGATCGATTATATCAATCACACATTGTGCATCCTCCCAATGACGAAAGGAGTTGTGCAGTAGTGTGTGGAGATGACGAATCGAAGTTGATCGTGCGGCCTGACCAAAGTGACGAAGAGGATAACCCAGCGATCCATTATGGCTTGATTGCGTCTGCGAACCAGCTGATGAGAAATGCCTTGGTTCGAGACAGGCTTTCTGCTGAGAATGATGTTCTCTACTTCGAAATGGAAGCTGCAGGACTGATGAACTATTTCCCGTGTGTTGTTATACGTTATACGGGGTATCTGCGACTACTCCGACTCACAAGAATAAAGAATGGCAAGGATATGCTGCAGTGGCTGCAGCTGCCTACACTAAAGACCTCCTCTCTCGCATTCCGCCAAATAAGGTTGAAGTGGATAAGAGGATCAGTGATGTACTTTCTTCGGGTTAGTCTCGAGCGAAGATTATACAACTCCTTTTATTAACAAAATCGATAGTTGAGAAGAGCATAAAAGAAGTACATAGTACTGGTCAAAAGACAAATGCTGCAATCGAGATCCTAGATAGTGATCGACGCCGCGAGAAAGTACTTGCGAAGCTGCCGTACGCAAAGGGCTCCGCATTCGACTCTTCTGATGAGGTTTTTAATCCAAGATGCCACCCAGAAACAAGAATTGACCTGCGTCGTCAAATCAGAGAATGGGCAGAAAATGGACAAGGAAAGTCGATATTCTGGTTGAAAGGAATGGCTGGAACAGGAAAATCAACATAAGAAAGGAAAACTAGGAGCCAGTTTCTTCTTTAAACGAGGGGAGGCTGATCGGAGTAGTGTGGCTATGCTCTTTACCACCATTTGCGCCAGCTCTTGGTCAAGATTCCGTCCCTGGTCGCTCACATTGAAATGGTAATTGATGCCGATCCCAATATATCTGACAAATCGATAGGGGAGCAGTTTGAGAAGCTGATCTATCTACCTCTATCCCAGGTTTGGGATCATCTCTCCCAAGCCCCGAAACTCATTATAGTGATTGATGCCTTGGATGAATGTGCGCAGGATGGAGACAATCTTCTTCGCCTTTTATCACAAACAATAAATAAATGGTCACCGAGCCTACAAATATTTATCACGAGCAGACCGGAGCAGCAAATTCGATCTGGATTTACGGATGTACCTGAAGGCGTACGTGAGAATATAGAGCTTCATGAAATACCTCAGCCTATCATTAAGTAAGACATTACTACTTTCCTCAGATACAGATTTGCGCAAATCCAGGAGAAGTATACGAAAGATGGCCGGTCACTTCCTTTTAACTGGCCTGGCCTAGAGTCGATGTCAGTGTTGGTTGAAATGGCTGTTCCGCTCTTCATTTTTGCTGCTACCCTGTGCCGATTTGTGGAAGATCCAGCGTGGTCGGACCCGAAAGGCCAGCTGAAAAAGGTTCTTGAATATCGAAAAGGTCACTCCGAGATGGATACGCTGGATGCCACTTACTCTCCAATTCTACATCAGCTGATCCATGGACAGTCAAAAAGGGCACAAAGATTACTGATGGAGAGATTCCGAACCATTGTAGGCACAATTTTTCACCTGGCTGAGCCGCTTTCACTGTCATCTCTGGCCTCGTTACTTGACATCGACAGCGAACAGATTAAGGGGCAGCTCTCATCTCTTCACTCTGTACTGAGTGTGCCATCCTCTGTGGACTCTCCGATAAGGATGTTGCACGTCTCATTCCGTGATTTCCTCGTCGATCCTGACAAACGTCACGCAAACTCATTCTGGGTGGATGAGACGGAAGCTCACAAGATAATCACGGCCAAATGCCTTGAACGAATGTCCCAACCAGGGTGTCTTCAGGAAAATATATGCAATCTGCGGAATCACGGAACGTTGCGAGCTGAGATCGATGGAAGAGTTATAGCCAACTATCTACCGCCAGACATGCAATATGCTTGCCGCTTTGGGTATACCATTTGAAAGAAAGTCAAACGGGTATCAGTGACAATGACCTAGTCCATGTATTTCTACAGGATCACGTTTTACATTGGCTTGAATCACTGAGCCTCTTAGGAAGAATTCGAGAAAGTATTAAGTTAATCAGTGTCTTACAAACATTGGTAGTATGTGCCTGTGAATTCGCCTTCTATAATTCATCTATTCTAACATTCCATTAGAATGATACAGATATGGAAATTTCCGGATTTCTTATTGACGCAATGCGCTTTATCCGAAAACACATCTCTATAATTGACTGTGCACCTCTTCAACTTTATTCATCTGCGCTTATTTTCAGCCCTATAACAAGTAAGATTAGGAATATTCATATCAATAAACTTCATTATTGGATTCAAAAATTTCCCGAAGTCGAATCAGCTTGGAGTGCAGAGTTGCAGACCCTTGAAGGCGACTCTGGTCCGGTTTACGCAGTGGCGTTCTCACCAAACGGTAGACTTCTGGCCTCCAGCTCCAACGACAAGACAGTTAAACTGTGGGATGCAGCTACTAAAAGCCTACAGCAGACCCTTGAAGGCCACTCTGATTCGGTTGGTGCAGTGACGTTCTCACCAGACGGTAGACTAGTGGCCTCCTGCTCTGATGACAAAACAATCAAGCTGTGGGATGCAGATACTGGGAGCCTGCAGCAGACCCTTGAAGGCCACTCAGATTGGATTCGTGCAGTGGCGTTCTCACCAGATGGTAGACTAGTGGCCTCCGGCTCCAGGGACAAGACAGTCAAGCTGTGGGATCCAACTACCGGAAGCCTACAGCAGACCCTTGATGACCGCCCTGTTTGGGCCCGCGCAGCGATGTTCTCGCCAGAAGGTTATAACAGCATACTAGTGAAGAACGATGAGTGGGTGACTCGAAATGATGCTAATATTATTTGGTTGCCTGCAGAGTATCGAACAACACGTTCTACCACCTATGAGAGCATGCTTGCTATGGGACATGCTTCAGGTCGAGTTACTTTTTGAAGTTGATCTAATGTCTTCATACTGTAGCCACTCTCATATTTTCAAATATCTTTTTTAAACGAAGGTCTAAAAGGAATTGAGTCTTTATATTGTACTATAGGCGAGTTGCCACCAGGCTTTTCTGTTGCATTGCACTTGTTACGAGTGTTCGCCCGATATACTCACTCTCTTTAGGTCAGACAAGCTTTCCGCCCTCGCTTCGCTCAGGCAGTAGGCGGGATTGTTTGAGTGCGTGGGTAGGCTCAGTGATGTCTTTTCGGTCCAGTATTTAGAATTCATGAGTTATTGGATGCGGCTGTAAGGCCATGATTAATGAATGATAACCTTTCTTTGCCTTCAATATCTATTCTAAAGAACGATTCGGTTCGTATAAACAGCTGTCATATTATATATCAAAATCTAATTAGGCTGCCATGGCTTCGATGCCTCGCGAAAAAATAATATTATTGGTAGTTATACGGTCCTCTGGCATTAAAACGGTCAGCTTATGTACATCTGTAATCCTTGATAACGTTACATATAGCTGCCCATGAGAAAAGACAGACGTCCGTAAATCAATACCCACAGTCTCTAAAGATTGGCCTTGCGACTTATTGATAGTGATTGAAAAACACAGTTTGACTGGGAACTGGCAACGGCTGAGATGGAAAGGCACTTCGGTTGGTAAGGATTCCAGTGTTATATAGGGGATCAGTATCTCTTCGCCTTTGTGGTCGCCGGTAAGGATTCGGGCATGAATAATATGCTTAGTTAAGCCAATCATGACCAAGCGAGTGTCATTGCAAAGTCTTTCCTTATAATCAACATAATTGGCGCCCCAACCTTGTGTCGTAAAGATGGAGGGTGGCAATCTATTCGGCTCAATCATTTGTAAAAACTTATGGGAAAACTCTTCACGGCCGTCATTGCTATCCCCATCTATATCAGCCTTATCGACCGAATAAAGAGTCTTCAGTTCGCCTGGCAGCACGGCTAACAAAGACTTACTGAGATCTTTCAAATCCACGTTGCGGACTGCAAGAATGGCTCGACTGGCCAAGAAATCAGGATTTGACCCTGAAGCTACCGACTATGCAGCTGGAAAAATACTCTCACAAAGTTCAGTCTCGTTTACTACTTGTGGTATCATGGCTGGCAGCTCAATACTGCCTTGCAAAGCTGGATCATAAGATATACGGCCTAACCATTGAGCAAAGATAGTATTGATTCCAGTTCCTTGCAGCCACATATTTTGATGGAATGTAAGCACTTTTAAACTTTGCTAGATATGAGAATTCTACAACATGGCACCAATAACTGTGACCGAGGGACCATAATGATAATCAGTAAGGTTTGTGCAAAATCACCGCTAAGCACAAATAGGATGCTGCCAAAGAGGGAATCCCTGTGTTTGATGATATCGCGGAGAGTACGGTCCACTGCCTCAAAGATATAGCGGTTCGTCATGGGAACCTCGTCCCAGACAATGAGATCAGCTTGGCGGAGCTATTCAGCTAACTGGGACTATACTTTAATATCGCAAACCGAATGCTCTTGGGTATTTAGATGAATACAGAGTATGATATAAAAAAGTCTTTCCAGTACCACCGGGGCCTTGGATGTAAAAATTGGTATAGTTTAAACTAGGATTCTCCAAATTGCTAACAATCCTCTCGAAAGCCGCACATTGATCATTGTTAAATAACTGGAGCATATTTTCAGCTGTTGCTTAAAGCTCTTTACGAACTGCTAGCTCGTCTGCAGCTAAATTAGCTATAGTAAATATTGATTGCTAGTCTGTTTTAGGATCTGGTAGGCTGAAATCCAAAAAAGTCTGATTGGCTTCATTACGAATCTTAGAAACGAGATATAGGCCGTAATTATCAATATAGGTTGATCGTTAGCTAGCAGAATCTAGCCAGTCCTCTAGCTGGGAGAGCTAGTGTGGCAGATCGTCACAAATAGCATGCTTAAATTGTTCCCATAGTGCTAGTGGATCTGTTATGGGGCTATATAGAAGAGCAATAGTGAATAGAGACCATAAATATGTGTTGGTTCTGAAAAGGCTTACATCTTCAAAAGTTCAAACCCATTCCTGGTCGTCCTCCAAGAGATTCATTGCTTGGCATGCAGCCCAAAAAGTTGGATGTAGATACCCATCAACTGTACGGAGATCTTCAAAATTGGTTGGATCTTCCTTGACAGTCAATAGTAACTATATATAGAGTACCTTTTCTCAGTTAGGACCGCAGTGATACATATAGCTCATTGAAGAGCGATTATGCGTCTGAAAAGCCCATTTTTTCTCCCTTCTCTTCTAGACGTAATGAATTGGCATCTGGGGGTATTTATAATATGGTGCGTCAGGCGGCAGACTACAGTTCTACTCAAAGAATCCTATCAGCATTAACTTTGCAGCCTGTTTTTTAACCTCCCCTTATTCGGCAGTATCGCTCTCATAGTAGGAATAGTAATAGGCGCCAGGCACGTGGACTGTAAGATGATGGATTGGTGGAAACTCTTCATATACATGGTTCTTGAATATCCTCCAGTAGCCCTCGGTTGGACCGCAATACCGGCATTGCAAATATAGGTCCACCTCGTTATCATTGGAATCGATTTTTATAGTAGTGCGGTCTGGCCCTTTGTAGATATATTTGAATAGATACTTGATTGCCATAATGGAGGTGCAAATCTCGACATTAATATGGGCCTTGGACAGCGACGTCAAATAGGGGCTGTAAGGAACGACCCAACGGTTATCGATCTAAATATCCTTACCCTTGACCTTCTTTACAAAGGCCATATTAAGATTGTCACGGTGCCGATAAATTGGACGACCATCCTCTGGGATGGCCGTCAACCCCATAAAGTTCTTAGGAAACTTTTTCGTGTACTTGATTTAGCCAGTCTGTTTATCCTTCTCCATGCAAGAAGTGGCAGGGTCATGCTGACCGCAAGGACCATGAATCATGACTTACTTGATAATTCCTGCCAGCTCTAGATCGTCGTTCCAATCATCAGGTGGAATTTCAATGCTGATGATCTCGTCGATAATTTCTGGCTATAAATATAGGTGGTGGTCCTGCACCTAGAGCAGCAGGTACATATAAGGGATGCCACGCTTTTGATATTTAATTGTCCATACATGGGTGACCGCATGTCTAAAAGCATGTTTCTTGCATAGCAGCTCACGTAAAGCATTAGCCTTCATATTGAAAACCCAGCTATTAAATCGGGCTAATCTATAGCTATCTAATCTGGTAGCAGCTCATCATCTAACTCCTTCCACTTTAGATTGGCTGTAAAAGTTATAAAAAGATTGGAATGGCCGAAATAACCGATCAATGCCATGGCATCTTAAGATTTAGTATGATAAAACGGTCCCCACCGATATAAGAAGCAGGTAATATAAATCCCATTTATCCGCATCCTGAGCCGGACCATCCATTAAAGCCAGACTGGAAGTGCTGCCAGAATAGAGATCCAACTGAATCTCCTGTTGATGATTGAGCAACCACTTCGACCATAACTGATTAATCGTGGCCCAGGAGTCAACAACGTATTATTGGAAAAGATGGCTAACACGGTGGAGTACATTGAACTTATCACAGCATATAAATAGATGATAGGCGTGAAAATCCAATATCAAAAGTCTATTGTGGTTATGTCCCTAATCATCTGAATTAGCCACATAGTCATCAACAAACTCTTCTAATTCGGGTTTATCTGGTTCTGGATCTTCAGCACCACTATGGTTATTATTGGCTTCATCGATAGCAGTACCAACTTTGTCAATATTTGTTATATTGCTAGAAGGTTCTCGCAATTGGAGACCCCAGTGCCAACCCGGATCGCTAAGGGGGAACAGTAAAACGTACTGAAGAGGCAGATAGACTGTATGACTGGGGTTGGCACGTTGTAGCTCTCTTTAACTAGAATCTAGAGACTGTAGCTGTAAATGCATATCTCAGAAGGTCTTTTTCTTCCAGTCTGGGCCCACATTAGGGATAATGGCTGCAATTTTGGACACTCTTAGTAAATTCTCGCGACGATGGCTGGCACCCACTTCTTAAACTAACTACAATTTAGCTGTTAAAACAATGTCAACTAGGGTTCGCCGCTGTTTGTTGGCTTGGAGTTGCTCATGGGCTGTTTGATAAAGTGGAATATATGGATTATTATAACTCCGTAATGTCTCTGTCAACATGGTCAGGATAGGATTGTCAACCAGCAGATAGTATCAATTAGCTTGAGATAACTGGGTTGCCATTGCCATTGTTTCATCGTAAAACCAAATCTGGGCATATGTTGACGTTGCATTGCTATTTGGCTCTAATAGACTTTAAAGATGATACAATCATACAATTAGCCATGTATCTAGAAAGGTCGGATTCCACCAGTTATGTGATTATCGGCTTGGTAATTGATCGATGTAAAGGCCAAGGCAGAGTTGTAATAACAGATGTTGTCCTGGAAAGCGATCGCCGGCCCTGTAGTGGAGGTGTAAAGCTCTTTTAGGTCGTCAGGGGGTGGTCTGATGGCTGGTAATAATACCTTGCCTTTTCGACAGCAGGTGCCAAACCGCGGAGCAACTATGGTGGATCTCTGGGTCTTTTTGGATATCTAATGGAGGGCGCCGTAAAATGGGTATTCTATCTACATACAGCCGAAAAAGAGTTGGCGGCGCCATTTGTATTGAGAGATAAAGCCGGCCGGGATGCATGGAAGTTGATTAGCAAGAACTATAGGCTGATTAGGAGCCGCATTCTTGTTATTTGCGGCTGGAATAGTTGTTCCTTTATTAGTGATATTTGCGGCTATGGCTGGAACTAGAATAGCTGGAGGAGGTACAGGAGCACGTCTGCGGGACTAAATGTTAGATCTATAGCCCTGGTAATAGGAGAGAGTCTTAACAATGCCACTCGCAAGCCTTTTTTGGGATATATCCAAAACTGTAGTGCTTCCTGCATTTTGGACAGCAAATGGTATTGCTTCAGAAGAAGCAGTTGATGAAGTGTAGGAACTGGGACTTGCGGAGGAATCGCGGTTCTAGAGGAACCGTTAGACATGATCAGGAAATAGCGAGATAGGCACTTATATGGCAGTCACAGTAGGGCGTTGTTGAACGGCCGTTATGGCGGCTCAACATGAAGGAGTCGACATCACATTGCTGATTACAGCCCTGACAGAAGCGCGTTTCAGGACCGCGGCGTCGTTTCCTCGAAGCCCGGGAAAGGCCCTGAACGGCGTTGATTTGAGAATTGGTAAGTGTTGGTTTAGCTACGTCCTGATAACATGAAGCACAGGATTACGCAGTAAGGATATTCCAAAGAGCCCATGAGCCTGATAATATTGATGTTATTCGAATATTATGACTGATCCCCAGAAAGGGGATATCCCCAGGGAACCGGAATAGCTAATATTCCGGTGTTGATACTCAACACCTGGGGATTCCCGTACACACAGTAAGAGTTTCCAAAGGCATGTTTTTATAGAATTGGAGATTACATACCGTAAAGGAGACCGAAAAAGTCTATGTACGCTTTCACACGCGTTGCAAAAAGCAATTCTATGTCCTTCCAAACGTACGCGCCGTAAAAAGGGGCATGGCAAGTCTTTACGGCGGCCGTATAAAGAAAAACAATATTTTGCATACGTGACTAAGCACATGACAAGCAGCCTAGTTACGGCTAACCACTATCCAGTTAATAGGGATAAGTCCAGCGCTGCTCAATCCCGATCACACTGAAAGGAACCACGGTGTCATTGAGGACCATAATTCGACGACGGTTTATCGAGTACATGTAAGCCGGCAAAGACCATGTTATACATAAGCCCACCCATGTGTAACCTATCAGCCTCTCGATTAGTACGGGCTAGTTGATCTTATCTATGGTGTATCAAGCTCTCTTTCTTGGCCCTCTTTCGCAAACTTGGAAACCAGAACTGACCGCAGCGTATCATGTGGTGGGCGGTGTTAACTCTCTTTTCACTATACTTGGCGTTAGCATCGTTTGCTAGATTACGATGTGAAATTAGTGATAGCGTCTTCGGATCCCTTGATATGTACATACTTCAATCTCCTCTCTCATGCAATACGATCCTCATGATCTGCATGCAGACTAACCATTACTAACTTTGAGGTCTATAGAAATTTGTGTTAGTTCCCATTCTCGCTGGTATGAGACAGCTACTATCTCGGTTTCTACCGCCATGGACATTGCATCAGACGCCGCAGGTAAATTATGCCTAACGGAGCAAGTTTCCAGCTCTCAAGTCAAATTGAAACCGCTTATATAGAGTATAAAGTTATCATCCTATCCAGAAATGTTATTTGGAGAGTCAAGAAAATCAGTGGGGCAAAGAAATTTGCCCTAGTCGCCATATCCCTCTTAACGACCGCCATCATCGCTGTAGCACTTACTCGCATGGAGGTAGGATTACGCTCCAAGAAGAGTTACCATGACCCTGCCTTCTCATCGTTCTAAGTATGGTGGAGGTCTGTGTCTGTGAGTTTCCTGCCTCTTATTATCACACTGATCCTTCGCTCCCCCCACCCTATATTTTCGTTTCCTCGTTGATGTTTCGGATTCTTCATGTATTTGTTGCTTCACAGTCTAACATATTCAGCAGTTATTATTGCGTGTCTCGCCTCCTTCTGGGCGTTCTACAATGCATCCACGAGACAGAAAGAACAGTTTCCACCAAACACGAGGGCAAACAGACTTCCTGGCATTCCGGTCTGATACGAATATCATCAATAGCATAAATTTGCTCGAGCAACAAACGAGTAGCCCACAGTTCTATTAGCTTTCGCAAAGTGGCCAGGTATTAAGATTCGTGGTTATAATAATTATACTTAGATTGTTTTCGGAAATCAGAGAGTGTGAGCCTTTCTCTAAATATGTATTCCTATGAACTGAATCGAAGTAGTCCGACTATCAATCTATGACAAGCTATATTTATAATAGAGGGCAAAGACGCTAGATACATGTGTTGTATAAACTGGAAACAGGACATCAATCTGAAATGCCGATCTGAAGTTATGAAAAGCACTTCTGAGCGATTGCTTTTTCCAGCTACTCAATCATAAGTCATACGTGACATTGGCGGCCATGAGGTCCTCGCAACAAAGGAGGACTTTTACGGTGCTATACAACACATCTCAACGTACCGGATGCCCAGGACAGAAATAGCGGGACCAAGAGGCGTCTCGCTGCTGCGTTTGCAGAATGAAGACTGAGAAACCACGGCCCCGTCTTTCAAGATCATGTGAAACGGCTCATCTGTCTGCTAGACGAGAATGTTGACCGGGAAGTGGATTGGATATGAACCGTAAACGCTTAGTTCTGTGTAAAGCATCATGAATGGTATTCATGCTCAGTTCTAATCCACACTTTTGGAAATAATGTTACTTTGGATATGCAGAGCTCTTCCAAGGTTGCCAGGAAAGGGTGTATATTCCCGATATCTGCCCAGCCTTATGTAGCTTAGTTCGTAACTGACTACCAACCAGTGTCGGCTGCACTCCGCATGCCAATTCTTAGGATGGAGGCACTAATGATATGCCGTCAGTAATGGCGTGCGTTTATGTTATGCCGAGCGTCATTTGATTCGAAATAGACTATGTATAGATACACGGGTTAATTCTTGCCGGTCATCCACTGCCAAAGGACATTACGGGAACGCTTTGTTTGATACTTAGGCCAATAACGAGCTGTCATTCCTTGAGCTTTGAAAATTGGAACAGGTAGTGGATGCGTCTGGTGTATCCGGTTGAAACACTTAGATTGCATGGACTGACGACTGGTACGAATTCCCTGCACGATTGTAAAGAGAGCCTGACTACTCCCACCTCTAGAAAGTCCTTCCTATTAGCCTGCCAGCTTAAAACACAGCTAAATGAGTGCCTTATTCATGTATGTTTCGATGGAGGGATACGTTTCCGTTCATCTGTACCAAGTGGACCACCTTTTATAGTACCTGCAGATGGGATGCACGACGCCGATCAATAGTTTTACGAAGAACACTGTCCATTTCCACGGAAAATTTTCACCGTGACTCCGCTGTGCTCCACGAATTTGCCGAAAACTACAGACCGGGACACTGGCTAGTACCCGAATGTAACGAGATGCGGAGGAGGCTTTTTGGGCTTCCTGGTTTTTCGCGGGGTGGTCGGGGTTTGAAGGTACTTGGGGGAGATAATACTTATTTTCAGATGGCACAACTTAATCTTTAATACTTTTTTCTCGGAGTGCAAAATCAATTGGAACTCAAATGTCGTGGAGGCGTTCAGTGCGCATACTAGAGGAAATCGCCACTTGAGTCGCGGCCATATGCATCTTGGAGATTAAGAATAATCATGTCGTCCCATTAAACGTCTCTTAGCTCATACCTAAGAAACATAGTTTCATTAAAAGCCACGCGTGGAATCGGGTATCATCCATGTATGGTGCCAGGGGCTGGCGGTTGCAACTTGGACCGCATCTTAAAAATCCTCGAAATTCTTCACAGATCAGTCGGTTGGTCGTATTAACATCATTGCCGAAGGTTTAAATTAGGTTGTTTCTACGTATATACGTAGATGGCCCCGAGATCGTGTGTGCGACACTCCGCTACAGCACTCAATTTCAACCCTCTAAAAGGGGTCCGTTTTTACCAGTTTGGCTAGGTCCGTGTTAATAGAAACCCTAAGTCTGGGCACAGCGGCCAAACGTCCAGAGATTCTTCATTTCAAGATTTCTATAACTCCATCCAAATGGCCTATTGCATATGTAATCTTAGGAGGTAACCCTACTAGCAGCCTTTGATCATATGAATGGTCAAGTGGCGCAACTAGCAACCATCGGTGAAAGAATACCTCCGTGTACTTCTCACAATTCGGCTTAGCTTTCGCAATATAACTTCACTCAGCATATTCAGGACTGATATTGGTTCCCAGATGCTAAAATGATTCGTCTCTTCTGTAAATTAGCCATAATGCGCCTCTTCCGACGGCACTTGAGGCCCATGCACTTACCCCTGATTAGGAAATCACCTGGAGATGAATATGGAATGGAATCAAGGACTCTACTTCGACAACACGGAAACGACAATGCTTCCTGTACAGACGATGATTCATTGCTTGGTCTTCTTGGGAGGACGGTGTGGCTGTATCGCTTGACTGGCATATATAAAGCCCTTGATTCCCTTGCCTACCGTGCTAATTCCAATATCAAGCATTCACAACTCAACGATTCTCTTCTTCAAATCCTTAGAACCCAAAAAATCACTTCAAGATGAAGCTAAGTCTCCTTCTCAGCTTGGCCGCTGCCGCATATGCCCAGCAGCAGAGCCTATGCTCTCAATACTCGAGCTATACCAGTGGCCCATACACCGTCAACAACAATCTATGGGGTGAGAGCAGTGGCTCTGGCTCCCAATGCACCTATGTTAACTCCATCTCTAGCTCTGGAGTTGCATGGTCAACTACCTGGAACTGGTCCGGAAGCAACAGCCAGGTCAAGAGCTATGCGAATTCGCAGTATAGCGCTCTGAACAAGAAGCTCGTGAGCCAGCTGAGCAGCATTCCTACCTCGGTGCAGTGGAGTTATAGTAATACCGCTATCACTGCCGATGTTTCCTATGATCTCTTCACCGCTGCAGATATCAACCATGTCACTTACAGTGGTGACTATGAGCTCATGATCTGGTAAATACCTCCCGTTGATCTTCTTGGGATTAAAATTGTTAAGAGAAGCTGTTAGGCTTGGAAGATATGGTGGTGCCCAGCCCCTTGGCTCACAAATCGGAACTGCCAATGTAGCAGGCATAACCTGGCAGCTGTGGTATGGTGTTAACGGATCGCAAAAGACGTACAGCTTCGTGGCGCCCAGCCAAACGACTTCATGGAGCGGTGATATCTTGAACTTCTTTGATTACCTCGAGGAACACCAGAACTTCCCTGCTAGCAGTCAGTACTTGATCGGTAGGCTTTCTAATTTCCTTCCTTTTTGCCAGTTGATTTAGTACATTGTGTCTGACATTATCGTGATATGGGTAGATCTCCAATTCGGCACTGAACCATTTACTGGAAGCCAGACAACATTGACCGTGAACCACTGGTCTGCATCTGCCAATTAAGCTGTTAAGATCTGCTAAATGACAGATAGACGTTCATCAATCCATCTATAGATAGGTGTTGATCTCACGTCAAAGTTGAAAAAAATGAAAGGACGGTTTTATTCTGTCAGGGACGCGCCCTGGAGGCCGCACCAAGATTTATTTAGTTGTTTTTCTTTTCCACAATGAATATTAGTATATTGATTAAGTAAAACTTCTGCGTCATTTCAAGTAAAATAATAATTTCACCTATCAGCATTTATACCGCATGTTCATCGGTCAACCGAAGGTCATCGGGTTAGGGCTGTCGATGAGCCGTACCTTTTAGCCCTAATTCAACAATAGTGTTAGATAACCCGGATATCCGGCGAGGCAGAAACCTTGAACCTTCAAGGTTTACCCCTGATGATAGTGTCAGAAAGATCGTCTTGTTCTGTTGAAGATCTACTCCACGTTAGGGCAATACTTGGGCACCTACGTAGTACATCTCAGTCAATCAGAAGCCACCTTATCAGAGCTCAAAATTATCCTCATATTTACCCTCATGACAGCTCACAAATCACCCCGCCAAAATGTCTATAAAAACCCTTCTTGGAAACTCATGTATACACGGGAAGAGAGAGAAGGGAACACATACAGATCTTGCTAGTCACTTCTTTTCTTTTCATCCCAGTAAAAACCTCTTCAGGATTGGCCTGGAATAAACCTACCAATCCGACAAATAGCAGCGGCAGTCGGCTCAACGCCATGCCGAGAACCCTATACCGAGACAGCGATTATAAAAAGCCATAAGTTGAGCAATTTGAGTGTTAATCGAAAAGTATTCTTTACATAGATCTACAGCAATTACTTCTTTTTAAACATGCCACTCAATGCCTCATTTGACGGGCCAGCTGGTGCGGCCGCGAAGGTGTCCATCATCGACTCAGGTTTTCGACTCTCCGGCTTACCCACAAGCATGTTACTCACCCCGTCAGTGGAATATTACGAGAAATTACCTGAGCTTGGCTCGTGGTCCTTTCTTGTGGAAAGCTCGAAGGGACGGAAGGTCTTGTTCGACCTTGGCGGCCCTTCTGATATCAGTCTTTTCCCTCCTCAGGTGGCTGAAGCTGTGGAGAAAGCCGACGCCAAAATCGAGGTCACGAGGACTGTTGCAGATATCCTGATTGAGAATGGCATTGAACCTGCTCATATTGACAGTGTGATCCTTAGGTATTGATGTTCCTGACAGTGGTAGATGTTTTTAACGTCTTACTAATACCGAAAGAAAGCCACGGACACTGGGATCATGTTGGGGATATAACAGTCTTCCCATCCACAACAGAGCTTGTAGTCGGTCCCGGGTTCAAAGAAGTGTATTACCCTGGCTATCCAACAAAGCCGGATGTCGAGCTGTCAGAAAGATACTTCGAGTGAGTTGCAGCCCCCTAAGCAGGCCTTCTACAGGTGTACTAACTATACTATATCAAGAGGCCGAAATGTGCGAGAGATAGACTTCTCCTCCGGCAACAAATCATGCATCAAGTACGGCGCCTTCCGTGCGATTGACTTCTTTGGAGACGGCTCTTTCTTCCTTCTAGATACACCCGGTCATGCTGTGGGTCACATAGCAGGTCTGGCACGAACAACTACAAGCCCTGATACATTCATCTTCATGGGCGGCGATGTCTGTCATCATGGGGGTGAAATCAGACCTTCACCCTATCTTCCTATTCCGAGTCAAGTGCGATCCTTCCACTCGAGCTCTCTCAACTCACACCATACCAGCTACCTAGACGGTGACCTATACCGAGAATGGAACATACAAAGGGGCAGAAAGCCTAATGACACTTTCTTTGACCCTATCCTCGCTGTTGATATCTCTCAGGCAATTCAGAGTATTAAGGAGGTGCAGGAAGCAGACGCACAGGACAATGTGTTCTTTGTATTCGCCCATGATATGCAGATTTGTGGTGTTGTTGATTTCTTTCCGGAGTCAGCAAACAATTGGAAGAGCAAGGAATGGAAGGGGAAAGCATTGTGGAGTTTCCTTGGGGATTTCACACCAGCAGCCTTGTCTAATCACTAGTTTTGCCCCTCAATATGTATTTATTTAGATAGTTTGATGTCCCTTGGCCCGCCAATCCAAATGGCATAGCATTGCTCGTATAAAATGCATCAAAGAAGCAGCAATTGGCTATATAAGAGCCGTAGAACGTTGATAAATCGTATCCCTTGGGACCTGTAAGGATGGAGAGACAGAGCGAACAGAGAGAAACCTTCACGCGATGCCTTCTGTCTCTGGCCCTAGAACCACTTTTTTAGCAGGTTTTCTATGTCAACGGCGTTCAAACCCTATAGGTTCTGTGAGATCTGGACTCTTCGGGTCTAAATTGCTGAGCAGAAAGATGTCCGTTAGAGAAGGTTTAAGTTTATTCAATTTGGGCGGCGGCAGCTGGCAACTCAAGAGGTAATATAAACCAGGCCAGTCGTACAGGATAACTGGCTGTACCGACCATTCTATAGGTCTTTCATCAGAAAGACAGTCGCTCAGTATTGAACCAAGGGCATTGTAATGTCTGTACGTTCCGCTTGTGAAATATCATACTCATATCAAGTATTTGACCTGGTTGAGAGAAATCAAACACGTTTGATGAAGTTGGAGTGAGACTCTCTTACCTTGACAATTGCTTTCCAAGGCACCTTGAGATTCAGAATATGTCCCGTGTGATGATTCTGGAGCAGCCATTCACCTCGCTCAATTTTCTCTAGCCCTGCATCTTTGAACATGTCTTTCAGGACGATATCAGTAAACCACCGAGACCTAGTGTCAGTATTCGCAAACACGAAAAGATATTGAAAGGGGCATATCCCACCTCCAGCGAATACATAAACGCCAAGGAAACATTATATCTTTGCCCTAGTGCGTCATTTACTTCTATCAAGTCTCCATAACAGATTTCAGGTGGTAATTAGCGTTAGGCTCGGCTGATTTGAACTATTAATTCCCTTGAAAGGGCCGGAGTACACAACAGAAGCTCTTTGGCATATGCTGCTGCTGCCGCTGCCGCCGCTGCAGCGTACCCCTGCCAGTCCTTGTCCTTGTGCGAATCCACTGGTCATTTGGTGGTATTTGCAGATTTTCATGGGTTTCATCCAGCATGGCCTTCGCTGCAGCCATCTCGAGCGGTATGGAGAAAATCCATCCGACTGTGTAATCGTCGTGCAACCGACAGATTCTGGTAGACATCGTAAGTATCTACAATGGATTTATGTGATCTCATAAATAGGCCATGCAACGACGGAACGACGACAGATGAATAGCATCGCAAGCATGATTATTAGGATGCTTCAGGGGGAGGAGAGACTGAGAAGTTGGGCAATCTGCCTGCAACTTTCCAGGGCAGCGCTTTGAGATCACATTGCAGCCAACCATTGTTGACTAGAACTAGATCGGAATCCGGATGTCCCAGCATTGTGTGCGGCAAAGCCTCTGATGAATTAACTTGGCCAGTTTCTGTTGGGACTTATCAAGTAGACCAAGGTGCTGTACGCATACCAGATGAACAGATGATATGGAATCTTGGAGTGAGGTGAATAATTCCTCTACTAGCTCTGAGGTGGTGGCCATACAGCGACATGTGTAGCTTCGGGTGCTTGAATAAGATGTCTCGTAGAACGAAAGGGCTTAGGATCAGGGCGACGGTTGTCATATAGTCAACCAGCATATTTTTTAGGCGTTGAATTATGTTGGGTCGAAAATCACAACCCCCATGTTGATTTAATTGATCCGGAGAAATCAGCCTGGTCTAATTGGCCGAGTAGAAGACGACAGAGAAGTGCCGCGTCTGCCGGATGCCGAATGCCGTTCAGGCGTCCTCCATTGCTTTGGGACTTGAGAGTTCTTCCAAACTCTTTGCGTCTTATCCGACGGGAATTATTGTCAACTAAGGCCACAGTCACGGTATTTGAATATATATTGGGTCTTCAAGCCCTACGACCGACAAATGCCTGTGCGGGACCGTGCAAATATCGTCTGTACCCGATGCCATTCTCGAAAGGTAAGAACTCACAGATCTACAGAAACGCCATGATATTTTATTCGATCTCTAAAATCGGTATAGATTAAATGTGATCTGCAAACGAGTGCCGATGGTATTTGCAAAAATTGCCGTCATTCAGATCTCCCATGCGTGTCAGTTAAATCTCCGGCGCAGACGTGTGACCAGGAATGTTAACGAACGCGCATCACAGACAGCGTAGGGGCGTTCGTAAACGGAATCCAGAAAAGTCTCGAGAGCGAAGTAGCATTCAGTCGATTCAGATTGAGCCGGTTCTCGGAGAGGCATTTCAGCCCTCGACCAGATCTAATACGCTCACATCTACCAAGCACACGATTCATGAAAGGGGCAGGCCCGGGCCTCCTGTTTCTCAGAATGCCGGCTTTGTGAGTCACTGTTCAATGATACAACAATTAGACGGCCCTGTCAATGTTGTGATTCCCAGAAATGCGGATTCCGATTCGTTGCGAGATGCCACTTTAAGGGTCACGCAAGCTTCGGTGCTCCTCAGACCGGTGTTACTCAGCGCAAGAACGGACGCATACTTGACGCATATTTTCCATCAATGTCCGGTAGTGGATTTGAGGGATGTCTCAGGAGCTCATTCCTCTATACTACTTCAACAAGGGGTTTGTATGGTGGGCGGCCTCCTAACACACGACACCAACGGCCCAGAACAAGCTCACGAATTGTATCAGAAGTTGAAATTACTGATGTCTATTAACTATGAAGAAGATTGTGTGCAGACACTGAAGGCTCTCTGTCTCATGTCTTGCTGGAGTGTAAAGCCATCAAGTCCCGTGAATCTTGATGGGCCGTGGATTTGGACAGGACTCGCTATACAGCTTGTGACACAAATGGGCTTGCACAGAGAAGGTACATATGCAACAAGGGCTAACTCGGGATGCCTACGGCGAGTATTCTGGTACCTCTTGGTACGTGACACTGTTACTCCTTTACCTGGACTCCATATCTGACCAGCACTTTAGAATAACGACTCGCTACAGGTAGCTTGCTGGGGTCGGCCTCCACGACTGAGACAGAAAGACTTGGATGTGAGACCTCCGACATTGGAAGACTTTGAGGTCCCGAACATGCAATCGTTAGTATTCATAGAGACAACCAAGCTCTGCACGGTAATGACTCGCATTGCCAAGTTATACATGGAAAGGCACCATATCCAACAATCGGAACTGTCGAGTATTGATGCTGCTTTGTGTGACTGGGTGAACAGCCTCCCAGAAGATCTTCGGCTATATAATGCAAACGATCAAAGAAAGGCGTATTACCGCCCGGCGTCAGAGTTATTCATTCAGTACTTCGTGGTTATTGTAATGAGTCAGATGCTGAGGTACAAGGAAAGAGACAGGCCGTGGAGAGTATCTGTTGTGTCACGCATTGCTGCGTCCTGTGCCTCTTTCCTATATGATGAGATATTATGTCGGGAAGAAACTGTCTTTCTTCTCCCGAATCACGGGTTCTTCTGCTTGGCCATCTCGCTTCCCTTGATTTGCCATTATCCTCAGCTGGAGCCGGAGAGCACAGTGAGGAAAAGAGACATAGCTATCGTCTGTTCTGTCCTGAACAAAATGCGAGATAGGTATGGAGATGCAGATATGGTACTGGAGAAAATGAGGAGATTGCGAGAGACCGTTGAGAGATCCTCACGAGTGAACGGAGGGCCCGATGCTATACCATCGGATATCCAGGGCTCTGACGTTCGAGCGAAAGAGCTTTTCCCCTTCCCACTCGATATGTGCAGGGAGATGAATCTGCTAGAATCGGTCAATGCACCTGATCCCCAGCATTCCCAAAATACCGGTTCTCTGCCGTTGGATGAGCACACCGATAATCCCTTCTTCGGGCTCAGTTTCATGGATTTTTTTGAACCGGATCCTAACATGTTCGACTTTACGATTGACTCTGAACCGAATGCATATTCGACGCAGGAGGTTTTCTCATGAGAACCCGCTCTTATCCCGAAAGATGAAGCCTTCCGCCATTCAGAGCAATCAATAGTCACAGCCAAAGGGGCTGAATGACAGGTTTCATCATTCACGGTATGGGAAAAGACATTTCGATTTGGCGATGTTAGCACATTTAAATTAACTTAATAAAAGAATCTTATCAACCTCCTGAAAAACCGGCTTCGTTGGAAATATGACAAGTCACTCCTGTCTCCTGTACGAGAAACTTCGACTGTCAGACCCATGCAGTGTTAGCGGACACGACACGTAGTACATACTGACTTGACAGCAATCAGCAACTAATCATGTTGTACAAGATCGCAAGATGAAGAATCGGATGGAGAAAATGAACTATAGCGCCGCCTACTAAAGCGGCATGGCTGAGCACCGCCCGATCGCGCCAAGCCCAACGGGGTAATGTCCCTGGATCCTTCTTTTTCCTCCTTCTCCGGAATTTCAGTTTATACAAGCCACCACACCACTTTCTCCCCGCCTCGCTTAGAAACTCCGGGAATGGTATAAAGGTATGCATGATGTGATCTTCTGGTCGTACCATTCGAGTCTCCTGACTGACCTCTTGTCCGTCCCACAAACACAGCGAGCGAGTATACGATCCAGCTGATCAGTTCAACTCTCCGCTTTTTCTCTCCTCTTTACTGACCACAGTCAATCCTTCCTGTCCGTCATGTCTTTCGCGTGATACACCGTCATTTATATAATAATCAACGTATATATTTTATTTCTTCTTTTCTTTTCTTTTTGGTGAGGATGGACAGCCTTCGGTCGAGTACGTCCTCGTACGGGGATCCCAGGTACCTTTCGACCGGCTATCCCAACGGCGCTGTTTCTGTGGTTCCGTCCCGCCTGGTAGATGGCTACCGGAGTGCATCAGATATGGCAACGGATGATAGGTCTCAATATAGTGGGGTATGTTGACTTTTACCCTCGTCGCAACACTTCGCTTTCGCTAACGAATTTATGCGATGAAGCACTCCGGCCCAATTCCGCAGACCAATGCTCCCTCAATCGACATCCAAGATCCGGTATTGTTACATCTTCTGACCGAGACCGCGATCGGAGATAGCGCCGGTTATGAGATTCTTCCATTCGAGGAAGTCGAAGACTTGAAGCGCGAATATGCTACTTTATCGAATCGGGTCGAAGGTACAAAACGGAAACTTGCATTGGAGACCAAGCTCAGAGATGCTGCACAATCACTACGCCGACTGTCAAGCTTAAAGAGCAACGGTGTGACGAACGGTGTGGCGCATCATCCCGAGGATGAAGAATTCACGATTAGTTCGCGGAAATGTGAAGAGCTCGCTCAGGAGCTATGGGCCTTGGAGAGGAGGGCACAGGATGTGCATAAACGCCTTTTGGAACATACAGCCGGAATACTTCAGTTGACGCATCGGGGCTTGAAGAAGAACGCAAATCGCGGCAGCATAAATAACGGTCTTAACGGTACTACACTCGACTTTGATGATCGAAGTCTCTACAGGGAAATGGAAACGGATGATCCGGGCTTGCGATCCCAAAACGGAGGCGGCGGTCTGGCTGCAGATATCAACAGTCTCCGAAGCACCGAGCAGAAATTAGAGGAGCTGAATGGACGTCTACGTGACTTACTTCTCGATAATCACAGTCCCCAGGATATAGGCCCACTGCCACTTAGAGTCACCGAGGATACGTCTCTAACCTTTGTTCAAGATCACCTTGCTTACCTCGAACGAAGCTTGGAAACCCTTCAATCCAGTGGACTTCGAAGGGGTGGACTCGAACCGGAAATATCGGCTACTGAAATGGGATCCGAACTCGGAGCCATCAACAGTCAATTACGAAGCTTACTTGGGCAAGCCGGTTCTCATCTCTCGCCGACACTGCCACCGCCTCCTAGTCCGACCGGGGAATATCTCAGTAATCATATGGACTATTTGAAGTCTGGAATGGAGGATCTACAGAGACGGGTTAACTCTCTACAAGACCAAAAGAGTATCCTGACCACGCAGATCCAGCAACAAAGAGAATTGAATTCAAAATCGGATGCTGAAAAGGACGCTCACGTAGCAGACTTGGCGCAACAGCTTGTTGAAACAAGGAAGCAGCGTGAGCTTTCTGAGCGTGAATTGGAAACCGTTAAAGACGAATTAGCTTTAGTGATGGAGCAGCTCGATACCGTGAGACAGCAGGAAAACATTCAAGATTCTCAAAGAGAGCGCGAGCAAATTGCTGCTCTGCAATACGAAAAGGAAGCCCGGTCTAAAGCAGAAACTGAAGTTCAACGCCTTCAGAATGAATTGACTCGTCTCGAGGGAGAATATGCACGCGAGCAGACAGCAGCACTAGAGCAAGAAAGGGAAGCACGATCCAAAGCCGAAACAGAAGTTCAACGTATAGGTGCGGAGCTGTTCCAAATTCAAGCAGAGTATGCACGCGCACAATCTACAGAGACAGAAGCTCAACGCCTTCGGGAAGAATTGACTCAACTTGAAGGCGAATACGCACGCGCACAATCTGCAGAGATAGAAGCTCAACGCCTTCGGGAAGAATTGACTCAACTTGAAGGCGAATACGCACGCGTACAATCTGCAGAGATAGAAGCTCAACGCCTTCGGGAAGAATTGACTCAACTTGAAGGCGAATACGCACGCGCACAATCTGCAGAGATAGAAGCTCAACGCCTTCGGGAAGAATTGACTCAACTTGAAGGCGAATACGCACGCGCACAATCTGCAGAGATAGAAGCTCAACGCCTTCGGGAAGAATTGACTCAACTTGAAGGCGAATACGCGCGTGCACAGACTGAATTGACTGTCGTTAAAGCCGAACTTGATGGAGCATATGGCACACGTGCAGAGCGAGCAGCCGAAGCCGCAGCCAGTCCGGCCTTGTATAAAGAAATCGAAGACCTCAACACGAAGAACATCAGTCTTGCCGAGGAGCTAGCCACCCTACGGGCCGAACGAGTTAACACCGGAGCCGACCAAGGCGAGCTTCAAAAGCGCGTCGAAACGCTTCAAAAGGAACTCGAAGAAACGATAGAAGATTACGAAGCAATGACCAAAGCAAGCATTGAATTTGAGAAGGAGCGCGAAAGATACGAAGGCACGATTGATAATTTGCGTGATCGCATCGAACAATTAGAGGCACAGCTCAGTGATGAGCGTATCACATGGATGGGCGTGAGTCAGACGGCCATGAGAGATGGTGCGACAGAGACCACTTCGACAATGGTATTGAAAAATGAATTTAAGAAGATGATGCGGGATACGAGAGCGGAGAATATGAAACTTCTTAGAGTAAGCTCTTACTCCCTTCTCTCATCTTGGCACGTACTGACGAATATCATCACAGGCCGAACAAGAAGAACGAAAGAAACTCGAAGCGCTGGTTCGCAGTCTCAAAATGGAACAAACAATCGGCAAACCGACTCTCAATCAGAGCATGGTCACCTAGGCCTTGTCTTTATTCTATATATACTAATAATCATCTATGGTTCGATCCCCTATAATGACAAGAAACCAACAAATGATCCTGTTCCCATTGATAATGCACGTGTGAAAATATGTACAGCGAACTTTTCTTTCTTTCTTCTCATCTTGTTTTATAGATATACGGGGAAGGGCAGGCGTCTTTTTTTTATTCTTTTCTTCCACTTTCGGATGGACCCAAGTCATTTATCGTCTTGGATGCTTGGTACCCTGGTAAGGATACTTGTCTACCAGTTTTCACTTTTTATCCCGCTTTCTTCTTGCACCTTTCGGGACATTCATGTATATTAATTGTATATATTTGATTATTATAATTCAGGTTTTCGGTGATGAAAGTTATTTAGGTCCGGAATTAAATCATTCTTTGAAGCAATTGGGATGCTTCCTAGTCTTTTTATGTACACAAGTCCAAGCCCGTCCATTCCAACTTCATCAACTTTAATTCCACTGACATGGACCGCGAGATTAACAATTCTTTATTTGAGTATGTCAATTCATATGAACAAGAATTACAAAATTGAGGATAGAGTAGGGCAACAAGAAAGTATACCAAAAGAAAATAATTTCCCTCGCCCATCACCGCCAAAAAAGGATTGACTGGACTCCAAATCCCAAATGCAAGATCTCTCATATGCGTCGTGTCGTAAACAATTTTTTCTTTTCCTTGGTTGTCTCACAGTCCTTTTGAGTATATGATATGTGATTGTGTGGGAGATAAGATTATCAGGGGGTTGACGAAAAAAGTATGTTTGTAAGATATGGAATAAGAAGCGAACGGTCGTTATTGTAGAGGAAAGAGAAGGGGTATTGGCATGCGTCTAATCAGTAATGGGTACTGGCTCAGACATGTAACCCAAAATTGTGCGTACAATGGCTGCTGTCTATACACCCACGAAAAATTGAGACGCCTCCATAATCTCCTCGTCACCCGCAGCAAAATCCCAGCCTACTATTCGCGAATCCTGGCTAGCACAGATAATCTTTCGCGCATCGAATTGAAGCTTATATATTCTTGCTGGTGTCATTGTCGGGTTATGGTGTCGGCCAGCTGCTATTGCTATTGGATGCACAAGTCCAGGTACAGCTCCTTGAGCTTGAGCAACAATGGCGTTAACAGCTTGCACTTGCTGTAACGGGATGTGATTCGGTTGGGGGTTATTCCCAGCTGGAGGAGGAGGAGGAGGGGCCTGTTGGTTGACTTGCTGTGGCGGTGCGGCTGCGTTCAATTGGGGCTGAGGATTGATATTGTGGTTATTGCTCTGACTTGGAACGGGGGCAACAGAGGGATGAATCCTAGCTTGGTGATGCAGTATCGACATGGTTCGAGACTGGCCTTGTAGCAACTCCATATAACGCATTGCTTGATCGCGAGCACGGGTAGAATATGGCGTATTTGCCATCGTCACGGCATCTGCATGGCGAAGTCGGTGTCCGACTAACCACCCGCCATTACGATCCTTTCTCCAAATGATAACTGTCTCGTCATACGAGCCGGAAACGATGCGGGCCCATCTGCTGCCCCCACCTCCTGGTGGGATGCTAGCACCTAGCGCTGTGACTTCAGTAGGATCTCTTGATCCTGCGTTTCGCGATGTAACACTACGACGAACTGCTGCTGGTCGATGTTGATAAGGTATGTTGCCATTACGATGAGCATCCCAGAACTCGTTATCCCGTGCAAGAGCTTCCAGTCGTTCTGCTTCCTCTGCGCCTGGAGGATCCCCAAACCCGGCTTGAACAGCCCGTACCAGGTTACTATGCCCAATCAGACAAGACACTTGTGCTGACGATTCATGATCGAAGATACGGACCGTGTCATCATTGCTACCACTGATGATGCGCCGGTTATCAAATTGGACACAAGCAATGCCCTTATCGTGGCCCAACACTGTCTTTAGGCATGATCCGTTGCGGATGCTCCATATTTTGATCAACCGGTCTCCTGCCGCTGAAACAATTTCGTCGCCGTGGATTTGTATCGCATTTATGGCTGCACCATGGCCTTCAAGTGTCATCAACAGGGTGTACGGCTCAAGCCTTTTGATATTGCCATTCGCGAGATTGGCTTCTAGCCACGAAGGAGAATACAGGGTTGTATCAATGATATAAGCAGGGTATTTGTTTGCTGCTCCTTTGACAACAGCAGGATAATCTTTATCCAATGGGGTGAGTGAACGACGGTTCCATATTTTGATGAATTTGTCTTTGGAACATGTCACGAGATAGCGTTTGTCGAATTTTAGATTCAAGACAGAGTCATGGTGCGCATTGGTCAATTCGAGGACTTTTTGACCCGTCGAAAACTTCCAAACGATGACTCTCCTGTCACTCCCTCCGGAGATGATCACGTCTTCCTCCGAGCTGGGATCGAATTGCAGACATAGTACTGATGTTTGATGGCCGCGAAGCGGTGGAAGGCTCAAACGCATTCGACTTAGATCCCAGACACGGATAGTTGTGTCGCGGCTCCCGCTGACCAGCCATTTATCTGAGAATTGAAGGGCATAGACGCATTGCTGATGAGCTTCATCTGGGTAAGCTGGATGGGGAAGCATAAAAGTGGTGAATCGGCCTTTGATCCAATTGTCTTCCAACCGTCTCCGTTGCTTATAAAGATAAGGCCAATTTATTTTAGCTGTGCCGTTTGGTAATCGAACTAACAGAGGGGAATGCCTCGTTGATGTCTCAAACTGATGGTCAGCCGGGGAGAATGATTGACCTGCACCGTTCACGTCTCGCATTTCTCGGTCATTGTCGTCATCATCTGCAGTGGTTGGCACATCTGCTTCAACAGTCTGATGCTGCTCGTTCCATGGTGGGTTGGACTGCGCGTCGCCATCGCAGGCGCCTCGCGATTGAAGGCTGGCTTCAGTAACACGCCTCTTAAGCTGAGGTTGGGGAGATTCGGAGTCGGCGTGTCTAGAACGAGATTTGCGGGTTTGGGACATCAATCGCTCGGTATGCAGTTCTTCATATCGTTTAATTGCGTCAATATCCACCCTCCACCCTTCTCTGATGTACATATCTCTCCATAGACGGGGATCGATAATACGATTTCTCCAACCGCGAGAGGCTAATGATGCAGTAAATAACGTGGCTGGATCGAGGTATGAGAATATTTCTGCAGTGATCTCCGGGGGTAGTCTGAGTACGGGGTCCATATGAAGTCGTGGCGTCAGTCGCTCCACGACTGAGGCGATTGAAGTTGTCGGTAAGCTGGAGAGTATAGAGTAGGCAAGCTCTGTGCCTCGGTCAGTGATAGTAATATCTAAACGGGGAATAGACACACACCGGCCCTCTCTGAATCACTGTAGGCGAGGATCCAGTCTGGTAGAAGCATCGATTCATTTTGAGCAGCGCCGTCCTCACCGTCTAGCTGACTTTTGGTGTCGTCGGAATAACCCTCGTCCAGTTTGTAGGACGCTGCCAATGAGGCCGAGGTGTATGGAGGTTTATCAGAACGCATTCGTAATATACCCTCTGATGAGTGCATAACAAAGGGAGACAGCTGTCTCCGATTGGCAATATCGTAGAATAGAGAAGTGAAAAGAGAGTGAGCCACCAGTGGCCCTACAAAGCACGCCGAGCCGGACCAGGCCAAAACAAACCTTCTTCGGTAGTGTCTCTTATGCCGGGTGTCACCAAGCGACTAAGTGTTCTGTGATGCGGTGCATTGGCAGTTATTGGATATGGTACCGGTAACGGACTCGAGCGATAAACAAACAGCGAGTCCTGTGACTCACGCGATCTGTAGAGGGGAGACGGGATTGTTGTACAGAGGTTGGAGAGAAGGTGAACTAATGACGTTTGGGAATAGTCTGGCACTTGATGCCTCAGGCCTCATTGATTTGTTTCGAATCTCGCATGCTTACTAAGCATACATTCACGGGACAGCTTCGCATGCCCTGTGACTCCTGTCCTGTATACCATGCTATCCTCCATGCATTCTAATATTCGTTAGCTTAAAGTCCGAACAGGGCTCATGGAACTGGCTGTTTTTCCTACTCCTAAATCGAAACATTGCATCTCTCATCATAGAAGAAACTTAGAAACATTGACAGTATCTAGAGCTTTCCTGATCGGGTTAGTCTGACGTGCCGAAACACGCTACGAGCACACTGCAATAAAGTCTAGTCAGCCTCTCGACTCAAGACTCGAGAGACTCTCTGTCAGTCTTCTCTTCTCCCTTTCCAGACGACCACTCTAGTCTTGCTTCTAGTTCACTCAGCACTGTTCTAGTGTCGCTGATTTGCCTCCAAGGATCAAGCCGCTCCCGTTCTGAGACTCTTGGCAGACTCTCTCCTCTCCACACCCCGACCACACAACTTTCCCTTTCCCCCCCACCACCATTACAAACCCCTGGTAAGTCGCTGTCCCGGACTTTTTCCGTCACAGGAGTCTTCACAAATCTCCAGAATACAGATCATCTACCTGGCAGTGGCCACTCTGTATTGCTACGTTTTATCGCCTTTTTGCAGTTACCGACACTGATCCCTGCCTGTACCGGGCTTTGAACAACATCAGCGAGTTAAACTGGGGCCGGTCCGGTGATTATTGTTGTTTCGCCATCCCTCGTGCGCGCCACGCTGGTAGCTTCTCGTTTTCCTTTGATCGCTCGATCTCGCGGTCGCCGAAATCATCGTCGAGCAAATACTCTCTACTCAACTGTCAACACGGATATTATATTGCTTGTGCAGGAGACCCTGGTGGCCTTGACTTGAACTTCGCTGTGTCGCCCCTGTCTCCCTTTCGACTTCACCGGTTCCGGACGCATTGACTTGCGGCACCACTTCCGATACCCATGATAAATAAGTCTTAGGCGCAACGGGTACGCTGGCTGGAACAGTTACTTGAGTGGTTAAAGTGAAGAATACACGGCGTGACCGAGTGCTGAAGTGCGGGAGGAATTCAACATGGATACTCCGACGAGCAACGGTCTCCCCGTTGGAGGCCCTGTTGCAGAGGACAATATCATTAACCGAAGAGGTGGCGAGTCCATCTACCAGAGCTGTGTGAACTTGAAACTTCGTCTGGCGGAGGTCCCCGGCTTTGAACAACATTTGGAAGAGATGGAAGCTGAAGAACGGGCCACAGCAGACCCCGTAAACTCCCTATGGACCTGCCTTCGAGCCGGATACCCGCTCATAACCATCTTCAACGCATCGCAGCCCGATGAGATGCTCGAAATCGATCCGGACAAGGTGCCGGAAGCAAAGAGACCGAAGGCTGCTACTTTCAAGTTCCTTCAGGCTTGTCTTCAAGACATGGGCTTTCCTCAGCAGGACTGCTTTCTGATCACCGATCTTTATGGTGAAAACACGACTGGTTTTATCAAGGTTAGTCTCTTCTGGGAAGTTACTCATGGCTGACCGTTGACTGACGAGAACAGGTGATTAAAATGGTAAACCGTGTACTAGACATACTCGAGATGCAAGGTCGTCTCCGTCGGCCGTCAGCAGCAGTTTCCAGTTTGCAAGAAGGCCCAGAGGGCACTGTAAAACTTACGAAACGTCAGCACATCCTCAAAGAACTACTTGTGACAGAACGTGACTACGTCCATCATCTGCAGAATTTGCAGGCGTTGAAGAAGGAGCTTGAGGAGACCGGAGCACTTACTGGTGACTCGAGCCATCAGATATTCATGAACTTGAACGATTTGTTAGACTCTGCGCAACGTTTCCTCATACGAATGGAACAACATTATGCTTTACCCGAAGAACGTCAAGATTGGGGCCACCTGTTCATCGATAACGAAGAGTTCTTGCGAAGATACGAACCATTCATCTCGAATCAGTTACAATGTGATGAAGTATGTCTTCGCGAATGGGACAAGATCAAGTCGGCTCCGCGTTCTATAGATTTACAGCAAATGGTCGCAATGCCCGCTACTCTCAACAGCTTTTTCGTCAAACCATTCCAGCGGCTCACCAAGTATCCACTCATGCTTGGGGTACGTGTCCTTTCTTTCTTTCTCTGCGTGTGTATGCTAATAATGGATTAGGAACTTCGAAAGCAAACAGATAACGAGGCGTTGAAGACACGGATCACAATGGCCATCGACATGATTCAATCTGTGCTCGATTCCGCAAACGACGCCATTGATAAGGAACACCTTCAAGCAGCAATGATTGATCTTGCGAATCGTGTTGATGACTGGAAAGCTCTCAAAGTGGATGGTTTTGGTGACCTGCTACGCTTCGGAACCTTTACTGTTTTGAAAGGAGAAGGCAATAAGGACTCGGAAAGAGAAGTAAGCATCAATCTTAGTTGTCTGCTAATACTGCGTTATAGATCTATGGCTACCTTGATGTTTCGGTTTGCTGACTTCTGTGCAACAGTATCATATCTATCTATTCCAGCGAATTCTCCTTTGCTGCAAAGATATCAATCCCAACAAGCAAAAGAGCAAACTCATTGGCTCAAAGGATAAGCCGTCGGCAAATCTTAAAGGCAAGCCACGCCTTCAGCTCAAGGGCCGTATCTATATGGCGAATGTGACAGATGTTGTGCTGCTTCAAAAACCAGGTATGCTCGCAATCCAATCATTATGGCGATACCCTTGCTATTACTCCCTTATTAACTAAGTATCTTCATAGGCTCTTATCGTATTCAGATCTTCTGGAAAGGTGATCCTGGCGTGGTTGACAACTTTATCATTCGGTACGTGAACGAAGATATCATGAAAAAATGGTACACGGACATCGATAAGCTGCGAGTGGAGAGTTATAACAGCCGCCACGCCCGCAATACCGGAACATCAGACTCAGAGTTCACGTATATGCAGAATATGGCAGGAATGGTCAATCCGTACCAGCAGGAATACGAAGCTGAAGAACCCGTTCATGTTCAGTCGGCCTCGTTTTCGGAGTTCCCAGTTAGTAGAAATGCGTCCAGCACCAGTCTTCGAGCCAGATCAGCGACAGGAGGTAGCAGCGGATCAATCGGTCTTCCTGCTGCTCGTCCACCTCCCCGTTTCCCCTTGCCAGAAGTTCCTCCCTTATTGCAGACACAGTTGTCAAACGGCAGTCTATCTCCAGGCGAACGGGTGGTCGGCACATCTTACTTTTCTCCGGTTACTGAAACCCCATCTACACGTTCTAGTTCACAGTCAACATTCAATTATCCCCGACAGATGACACCCACCAATGCGTGGAATGAAGAATCAAATCGGTACACTGCGCCAGCCTTATCTAGGGGAGTTTCAAGAGACGGGACTAACGGCAATCCTTATTTCAGTACATCAAACGGCGCTAACGGCCGTGTTCAACGACCATCTTTACCGCCAATGCCCGGGTCAGGGCAGACTTCAAGTCAGATGTCACAACGGATGCGATCGGCTAGCAGTCCAGATATTCACAACACTCCGAGATATATGAATGGCCATGCCATGCAAACGATCGACAACGTCCCGGTACCTCCAATTCCACCTCAACTTCAGAGTATGCGAGCACCGGTCAACCGCAGTCAGAATAACTCACCAACAAACAACGGACTCCCGATTCGAACAATGGCACAAACACCTCTTGGAACATCACGGCATATGCAAGGTGACTACAGTGATGGATATTTCCCGGCAATGGCTAACAGCCAGTCTTCTCTTTCTGAACATCCTCTATCCATGTCGGGCACCCTCGAACCAGATACACAGGCTTCCCAAGAGCCAATCATGCCAACTCAGCTGAAGGCGAAAGTCAACTTCGATGACAACTATGTAACTCTTGTTATAGCCAGCAACATTCTCTTCCGGTCCTTGACCGACCGGGTTGATGCCAAACTTGCTCGGTTCACCAATCGATCCATTGGCAGCAGATCTGTTAGGCTACGATACAAAGACGAGGATGGCGACTTTATTACTATTGACAGCGACGAAGCAGTTCAACTCGCATTCATGGAATGGAGAGATCAGCACCAGGACAGCCTTGCGCAGGGTCAAGTCGGCGAAATCCAGCTGTTCTGTCAAGCCGTCGAGAACTAAGAGTCGTCCGTTGCTAGTTTGCCATAGATCAAGCCTCTATAATTGCTGCTCGACTGATACCAACCAACCCATTTTTACTCTTATGATTCCATTAGCATTTCAATGAGGCAGTTTACGGCGTTTTTTTTTATCTTAATCTATGGCGTTTTTTGTTCCGGGTCGCAGATAGAAAGAAATGTTGGGTGGTGGTGTTGTTGTTGTTGTTGTTGTCTGCTGCTTCGCAAGATCATGGTCGTCTAAGCGTTCTGAATTGTTGTTCATCCTCAGGGAAAACCGGTACGTTGCGAGCGATCATGTCTGTTATTCGGTGTTGAGCATTGCTTCTATTGATTCAATGGCTTATTCTTTGCTTTCTTACAACTCACATGTCCCCTCGAAGTTTTAATCGTCCATGTTCGAATGTCTCTGGCCAGTCATACTCGAAATACCACCATTTTGATTTCTGGCCAGAGGCTATTTTTGCATTTTACAGCATTCAACGAACCGTCACGTACTTTGAGATGAATTTTGTTCTATAGTTATTCACATTTGACAACATGTATCGAGTTCAATCTTCAATCGGTTATGTTATGTCTAGGTAATTTAGCAATGCAATGTCAATTATTCAACCATATCCTTACATACCCTTGATTGTATCAGCAACTCTAGTCTTTTGATGCAAACTAGCAGGGATGTCTCTACCGGGTAGTCGGCATATCCTCAGGTTTTAAGATCTACGTACTATTGGGCGGTTGTAAACACCAATCATATTGTCAGTACTTGGATACATTCCGCGATATGCGCTGTGATCTCATGTTGGGCACTTAAGGGGGCGGCATTTTTTGTATGTCTTTCTTTGCTTTTTCTCTTTTCCTATCTAGTTTGAAACTGAAGCACGTCGTTAACGGATCTAGGATTTGAGTATACGTTACGGATGTACTTGTAGTCCCAAGCCTTCGGGGATCCCGACCGGATCAACGTATTCCTCTTCTGGAAAAAGAGCTTTTCCATTTCTGTGTTATGTGGCTTGCAAGTTTGAAGTTTGAAGTTTGAAGTTTTTTTTAGATTCTAGTTCTGTATAGGAAAATGACTCATGGTTCCGATGGGCTAGTATAATACTGACCCGGCGTTTCGTCAGCCCCTGGTTAGGGCTAGAATGAGTGAATTAATTGCGCTATGTCTTTTGGTAATGGATAAATACGTGGCGTTCCTTGAAATCAACAGATTCAATTCTGATTCTATCTCCAGTTAATATATCTGATTGAGTGTTGAGAGTGTTGAGGTATTGCATATCAACCAGTCTTGGCAATCTGGACGCTAACGAGTGGAAAGTTGTTACCCCGGAAAATACACAAAACTACATACAACACCCACAACAAGCCAAGATGTCGTTCTCCGGTCGCCGAGTGAGTATTCTGCGCCCTGCAGAAGTTAGGCGTTTCTCTGTTAGCAAGGATCTTTCTCAGAACGGTACGTTTCAAGTATCCTGAGCATAAATTGTTTCCCCTCTTATCGTGAGGAGCGGTCAGGTTTGTTCTTGGCGGACGATTTCTCCCATCATTGCTTGCACTTTGCTTTTTCCAGGATCAACAGAGCAATGAGCTAATCGAGAACTGTTGGATTTCAGAAAAGAACTCCGAAACCCATCGCAACTTCCGTTCTGCGCACGAAGGCCACAAACCCCACGCCGGCCTCGACGCTTCCCGTGCTTCTACCGGTGTCATTTGGTGTACAGAACGTGCCAATGAGCATGGCTTCTCAGAACATCCCCACGAATGGGCCAATTTAGGTCAGGGCGCCCCTGAAGCAGACGATGATATTGCTGGTAGTTTCCCTCGTCCCACGACGATTCCCATCGACTCGGCTGCCCGAGAATACGGCCCTACTGCAGGTATCAAGCCCCTCCGCGCTGCTGTGGCACGGCTTTACAATGAGCAGTACCGAAAGGGTAAGGAGAGTCAGTATACTTGGGAGAACGTGTGCATTGTGCCCGGTGGTCGTGCTGGGTTGATTAGAATTGCGGCCATTTTGGGGAATGCGTATTTGTCGTTCCCTATCCCGGATTATACCGCGTACTCTGAGATGTTATCTCTTTTCAAGAACGTATGCTATTCGATCATTGTTGCTCCAAAAGGGGATGAGAGCTGACCGTCTAGTTCTCGCCTATTCCTATCCCACTTTCAGAAAGTGATCACTATCACATCCACCCTGATAAGATCGCTGAGGAGATTGCTCGCGGCACCTCTGTACTTTTGACATCCAATCCTCGTAATCCCACCGGCCATGTTATCGCAAATCCATCTCTTGCCAAGATTCAAGATATCTGCCGTGATCGTGCCACTCTGATTTTGGATGAGTTTTATGGTGGTTACAACTACACCACTGACTGTGATGGAACGACATTGAGTGGCGCAGAGAATGTTATCGATGTTGACAAAGACGGTACGCTATCTGACCCCGAGACACAAGATGGAAGCTGACAAGATTTGCAGATGTTCTGTTGATTGACGGTCTCACCAAACGGTTCCGTCTACCAGGATGGCGTATCGCCTGGATTGTCGGCCCCAAAGAGTTCATCGAGGCTCTCGGATCTGCAGGTTCTTACTTGGATGGGGGTGCCAACGTTCCTTTCCAAGAGGCAGCCGTCCCTATGCTTAAACCATCCCTCGTCCAGGCAGAAATGAGGGCTCTGCAGGTTCACTTCCGTAGCAAACGTGACTATGTCGTCGCTCGTCTCCAGGAAATCGGTTTCCGATTCAAGGATATCCCTCAAGCCACTTTCTACATCTGGCTGGATTTGACATCCATTGAACCCCCTCTGCCGGAAAGTGCAAACATTTCCGACGGTTTGAACTTCTTCAATGCGCTATTGAAGGAGAAGACTATTGTTGTTCCGGGTATTTTCTTTGACTTGAATCCTGCCAAGCGTCGTGACCTATTTGACAGTCCTTGCCATCATTTTGTGCGTCTCAGCTACGGACCAAAAATGGAAGTCTTGAAGAAGGGGTTGGATGGCATTGAGCGGGTTATCCGTCGGGCTAGAGGAGAGAACGTTGGCCCGACACTGGAAGATGAGGTGGCCATTGAGGACTAAGTCTGGATGTCCGAAGGGCGTAGACGGTTAGCAAGAAAAAGAAAAAGAAAGAGAAAAACAGATTTTCGGTTGTAGATACATGAACATATCTATTTGAGGAATTTACGAATTTTTACGTGTGAAGAAAAGCAGAAAATAATAAATAAAATCATACCACTGCCGAGGCACGGAGATTTGTCGGTCGTTTCAGTCACGTGATTGACCGGCAGCAACTCATTCATCTGAGCTTCTTGTTTCGATATGTAACCACTCCAGGACAGCCATCGCTCCACCGCAACGGCAGCAAAAAGTTCACTGGTCTAGTGAGCTGTATGCTCACATGCGCCGAGAACACGCTGTTCCGCGCCATGGAATTACATTTCGACAATGAATTTTAGCGCTCTCAGTATCCTTAATTCCACGGTCTATACCATCCTCACGGTCGTACTCCTCGTTCTCACCCTCCTCACGCCGGGCGATTTCATCTACCAATGTCGCGTCAACCACAGACTCACAAATATCATTATAGTTACTGGGGTTTATGTTCTTACGGTTTTGGTCGGTCTGCTGATCTACGCCAGTCGGATTTATACGAATCGTACCGTGCTCAGTGGGATCCCGAAAGCATGGATACCTGTTTCGAAGGGTGAAGTAGATAGAAAAGTACAAAAGGCTGTGGAGGAAGGTCTTAATCGGAGCGCCATCATAGCGTTTCAAGCACGACCTCGAAATGTGTCGGACAAGAATAGCGAGCCTGTCCATGACGCTGAGCTTTCAATTACGCCTGATCGACCGCCATGGGGTTCGGTGTCGCATGCCGGATGGTCGGCACCGTCGTCTATTGATTTTCCGGGACTGCGATTCGAGTCAGTCATTGAAGAGTTGCCGCACTTGATTGAGGCCAAGGCCGTTTCCCTCGTTCCGTCGAAGCCACCGAGAGGGTTCCTCGATTCTTCGATAACTGAAGAAGAATACGACGCTCCAGATCCACGGTTGGTTGAGCTGCTACAAAGGCCGTCAACGATGGGACTACGTGAATATATTGCCCACCTTACAGCTTTTGGATTGATTAACCCTCCTGAACTGCGACCTGAATTCTTGGCCATCTATGAACGAGCTCGATTTTCATCTCGTCCGTTATTCGAGGACGAGTTTCGCGCCCTGATGCAAATATTTGCCGAAATCCTGCGCGGGATGAAGCAGTTGGATTATGAATATCTGGAAGAAATTGGAGGACTCGACTCGAGAGCTGATAGCGAGTCCTTTATCGGTCCGTCCGATGAAGAAGGGGAAACCGATACGTTGAACTCGGAGGAGAATAATGTTCCTCTACGGCGTGAAAGGAGTGCGGATTCGTCGGGGTGGAGCAGTAGCTTTCGATCCGCGCATACGGCGCCAATGGTACCCTCGCCCACGCCCTCTCGGCCTGAGGACCGATATGCGAGCGGTTCTCTGCAAAATCCGTGGTCTACATCTCTGTCGCGTCCTCGATCGATCGCTTCGCAGAGCTCGGGCAGTGGGAGTGTCATTCGTCTCACGAGGACGCGGAGTCCGACCGATCTCCCTTATGAAATTGACCTGTCAAGGTCGAATATTACAGGCTATGTATAGCCTCATGTTAATTCTTCTTTGTACATAACTACTACTACATAATACCATTCTTTTATTAGTATCCAAACACTTGTCCATAGAAATTTTTGTATTTATCTCCGAAATGCGTGCGCTCGGAGATGACGTTTGATCAGATAAGATAACTCCGAGATTGCGTCAACCCCCGCCATGAGGCGTGGAGACTTCATTCAGTTCTCTTAATACATCCTTAGGATCCTTATATACCTCTGGAAGTATTTCTTGGTGTATTAAGTGCTGCTTTGGAGAGCACTCCGTCACAAAATACCATGCAAAAAATCCTCCGTGCCGGCGCGCAACTCCTATCTCCGCGAACAGGTAGTCCCGCCACTATTACGAGTACAGACAACGAAAAAACCACCTTCAAAACAGCTCCCACACAAACCGCTCTATTCCCCAAAGTCGATCCAGCAGTAGACGGCGAAGATTGCGATCATGACTGCGCGAGTTGTACCGTTCATTATCCGGCTAGGTTTGATGTGGAGATGAATGATAAATTGTATGGACATGTGAATGGTTGGTCGACTCATGTGCTTGTTGCAACGGGCAAGACGGATTGGGTCAGGGATGTGGCGGATGAGAAGGGGAGTGTGATGGAGGCTATTGAGAAGGGGGGATTGACGCCTAGTAATGGGGTATATCTATCCCATATCCGTTTTTTGTGTGGTCCATGAGCTGACTTGTTATGGCGGCAGAATTTGAAGTTATCTGCTTCCAATATACCGGTTCCGGATGAATATCATCATGCCGAAGAAGATGGGAATAGACCGACTACTGTTGTCCTCCTGCCGGCATTCAAAATCATTGATCATGTTACTCCAGCACTTGCCCCGGACCTGATAAAGTACTTTGTCAATCCATCCATTACGACAACGACACCGTTACTTCATAACTCATCAACAACAGCATCACCAGAACCCTCTGCCGACAACGTTGAAGAACAAGATATCTCATCATTAACACTTCTCCGATCCCGACCCTTACCCCACGCAGCAGTAATCTTACTCTGCTCACAAAAGACCCGCGACGCACGCTGCGGTCAATCCGCTCCATTGCTCAAGCGCGAGTTTGAGCGTCATTTGCGTACTCTTGGTCTTTACAGGGATGCCAATGACGAACGTCCCGGTGGTGTCGCGGTTCATTTTATTAGTCATGTCGGGGGTCATAAGTATTCTGCTAATGTCATAATCTATCGACGACGGGATTTTGAGTGGTATAAGAAGAAGAAGGATGCGGTAGCAGATACCAATGAAGAGGGAGAAGAAGAGGATGAAGGTGCTGTGCAGGGGATATGGTTGGCTCGAGTGCGCCCGGAGGAGTGTGAGAATATTGTTAGGTTTACTGTTTTGCAGGGTAAACTTGTTAAACCGGATCAGTTACGGGGTGGGTTTGATAGAGAGAAGGGGTTGATTAGTTGGTGATTAGATGTTTTGGAAAGAACCTATAGCTAGATGTTCTTTCCCCTGGTTTGGGTATGCGGATAGACGAAATAGATCCATATTCATTGCTTTCATTCATAATTACTAGTTTATACACAATCAGAAAGATAAATACAAGATGCATCAAGTCGCCATGCGTCAACGGTCAAGGATGTTCGCTTCAAACTCGTAACGTAAGAAAAAGTCTATGTGCTAACCGATCAATTCTTCGCGTTATACTTTTCGTTGAAGGCATTAACAGCTAAGACAACACATTAGCAAGCAATCCTCAGACAATGGGAACAAAAAACTTACCAATAGCAATCTGCTTATACAGCCAATTTCGAGAACTTTCATCCTGAACCGGAATAAACGGCCCATTAGCCCCTCCCTTGAGCGTAATACTCATACCAGTCCGCTCTTTGGATATAGTTTGAATATCTGTAAGTTTGATCTCCCATTCAGAGCGGAGTTTATCAGAACGCACGAGTAATATACGGTCGTAGGTCAACATCACGATCATATCTCGTCCGGGGAGTTCAAGGTGCGCGATGTAGTCTTCCTTGAAGTATTTGCCGTCATCGGTGGTTTTGAGCCAGAATTGTCCGAGTGCTTCGCGCTGAAAGTATGGTCGGACAATACCATCCGTTCCGATGAAGCGGGTTAGACGAACGCGGTCCAGGCCATCGGAGTCAAAGACTGTTGTCGTGTTTCGGACACCCTCGGCAAGATCTGATTTCAAGTTAGTAAGATGGCTTGTACACGATTGCTATGAGAGAACTCACTAGATGCAAGATCAAACGCTCCAATGGCTGGCTTGGTCACAACACCGAGCATGCCCACTCCAACACCTTTCATAAAGCCTCCAAACCCACCCTTCTCTGCTCCTTGAAGTGGATGGCGCGCAAGACCCTCAATACCGCTCAAAATACTCGTGGCGAATGCATTTCCACCAGATGTAACACCATAAAGCGCATGTTTAGGCCTATTCCGGGCTTTGGACATGCGGCGCTGATCTTGGAACTCCTTGTCCAGAGTAGCAGCTGCAAGGCCCTTGGACATACTACCAGTAAATTTGGCCATACTATCCGAGAATCCAAAGACCGACTTCTTGACAAAGCTAGATGCACCTTTGGCGATGCCATAACCCAGGTCTTGAGGTCGATCGGTAACAAGACCTTGATATGGCTCGTAGAAAATATCCGCAACACCGGAACTCACAGTATTAAAAAGACCAACAGGGTTTCCGAGGAAGTCCGCCGATCCCAAAACAATATGAATTTGTCGCAAGAATTCTTGGGTGTAGTGTTTTCTCATGTTGGAGATGAGCAAAGGAATAGATACCCTGGCATTCTCTAGCATTAGCGCATTCAATCGGACCGGAGCGTCGTTGACATTGCCAATAGACATAGTCATAACGTTGACGAAGAACATGAGTGGACTTGACGGTTGAAGCTGATCTTCAGCATTCACTCGCTCCGTGCGCATGAAAGAAATGTCCAGCTGCATGGGCTGTAGATGCAACAGCTCAAAGTACACATCTTGTCGAGCTTCTTCATACTTTGGTTCAGGGATATCCAGATCTTCGTCACAGAGCGTACCCTCTTGTTCAATAGACCAGGAAGCACCGGGGACTTTTGCGAAATCGAGCATAGCAAAGACAAAGTCCTCATCTAACTCGAGGGTCATCTGTTGCAAGAGCAAAGTAGCATATTTGATATATAAAACACCGTACGAATCGTCTTTGACTCTTGTGACCATGGCATGGAAGATCGGATGAGCCTCCATTTCCTTTCCAGTTTTTGGTACGACACTGGGGTAGAGGAGAATCGGGAACACGCCTCCGTATAGTTGATTGTCAATCTGAATCCACTTAATCGTGGTGTCCAATGTCTGATACACATTGCTCTCCCGCAATTTGATTTCAATCTCACGGAATGTGCAATACAAAAGCTCTTTCATGTTTTGATTGATGAGTGAGATACCCACGCCACCTAGTCGCAGCTGTGCCTTGAACGTAACATCGGAGTTTTCCACCTTGACTTCAAACCCAGTTGCAACGCTAGTTTGGGATGTTTGTCCCTTTTGCTGTTGATATATACTCTTAGACGGTTTGTAGTTAGATAAGACCAACGTTTGCGTCGGGCCTTCTGCAACAATATTCAAATCGACAATGCTCTGACCATTGGAATTGTTATTTGTTGGAACCCTCATAGGGATTAGGTTTCCGATTTCCGCCAGCCGAATGTGTCGTTCCTTTCCGTTGCAATTCAGAACCAGTGACTTGCTCTTCGCGGCTGGATAATCCCAGGCATACGGCATGATACTACGAGGCGGCAGACGGTACCGAATGGGTCGCCATCCGCTGCTTGTATCTTCGTACTCGTCCTCGTCAACATTAGGGTTTGACTGATAGAAAATGAACTCCATATCACTTTCATTTCGCATGGAATACGGCCAATGTCTGTGTTCCATTCTCAAGTGAATGAAGATGGTTGCGTTCTCCATGGACACTTCAATCTTAATTAGACGTTGTCGCTGAGATGCCTTGGCTAATTTCACATGCGTGATGCCCACGTCGGCGATATTGAAAGGTGAAGACCATTGATTGTTGACACCAGGAAAGCATAGGCACAGCTGTTTCTCCGGGACTTGACGGAGGAAATGAAGAGGTACCAGATCTCCAGCTTTCATCGTGAGCACATTGGACGTTCCTGGTTCCCGCACCTGAAGTTCCTCATTAAGCTTGTTGTTGAGGATGAATCGTGGTGTAATCGTGACTACTCTGGTCAATTTGTACTTGCCCTCGCCCTCAGAAACGGACACTCCAGCATGAAATTCAGCTCGAGACGTTCTAGCCGGAACGATAACCTCAAAGGAGCTACCGATAGCATCGAAACTTTGAGGCTTGCTCCACCGAGAGTCACCAATTTTTATGATAGACCGATTCTTTGGATCATCAGTAGGATATGAGTACATATAAGGTTTCGCATGACAAGCTGCGGAATCAGAATCGATACCTCTTCCTGCTGATGTTCGAGCAGATTGCATAAATCCTTTGCTTTGAACCTCCATGCTAAGTCCAGTCTTGTTCAGCACAAGATACGGGCTATACACGCTGACTTTGAAGGCGCCTCCACTGTCAGGCACATTGTAATAGTGCAATTTGAGCCTTAGCTCCGCACCATGCTCATCCTTGAGCGGTAGCGAATCTTCTCGCCTGAAGTCTTGTGAATTGCCATTAATTATAGCGAATTCGCTTTGCTTGTAGACCGAGTCCTGGAGATCAATACTCAGAAGAAGCAAGTGAGATAATTCCACAACATGCACCGGACTGACACCGCCCCGTCGCAAAAAGTTGGTCCAATCCTTGCGAGTATTCTTGTCGTAAATTCGGTATTTGAAATCATAGGGAAGCAAATTCTGGATCTCGACAGGTGCTGAAAGTCGGAGCTTCATGTGAGGGTAGTTGTTGATGATAGGGTCACGCTTGTCGTAAGTAGCATTCAGTTGGAAGTAGAATGGCGGAGCTTGTTGTCCGCTTTCGCTGACGCACGTAATCGTCCGCGTCGGTCGACGGAGTAGGTCTTTCCAATACAATTGTTCATTCGACCAATCGTACCCGAAACCTTGGTCGGGGCGGACGACAAGTTGATGCAGGAAAGCTGAACCAACTGGTGCCGGTCGAGCATCACCTGGGAGAATTTTCTCAATTTTGAGCAAATGACCATCTTCAGGGCTGAAAACTCCCATCTCAACAGGTATCTGTGTGTTATTTTCCAAGAGCAATGGAGAGCGAAAAGTGATATACTTGACATTGTCTTCACCCAGCTTGACTTCAACAAGCAACTTGTGTAGAACTTTGTCCTTCTTAGGTTTCAAGTTATACAGCGTTTCGCCTTCTCGAATGACGGGAATGTGGTTGATGCTGTCAAAGCCGCTGCCCTCCAACTTGATGCCTACTAGCCCTGCATTGCCTTCTGGTGTGAGATTCTCACGCATTGTAGTTGCATCCTCAAAGCGCCAGGGGTACTCTTCACCGTCACTCAGTTTAGCGGCCGGTGCATTGTCTGCAACTTCGACATCTGCCCACACTCGAAGGTCGAATCCAGTGTAGTTGCGTATCCTATATGGTGCATCGGCTCCTCTAGGTTTAGATAAAACATCCTCGTCAGTGTTGAGGAATTGGAACGACTTGGAGGCGAGAGCAATAGTTGCAGAGGTCAAGGTCAAATCCATAGTTTTATGAGAGTAAGCCTCGATCGAGAAGACATCTGGGTTGATTTCCTTGGACATGTGGAATCCGAGCTGCCACGGTTCAATAAAAGGTTCCCAGGCAGACTTTGAAAAGTTGTAGACGTTGACGAAAGTGTCAAACGATGTGTCAGCGTTAAGAGTCGACGACCAGTCTCTGACATCCACACTGAACTTCTTGACGCTCCAATCCAGCAAGGGCAATTCGTGCAAATCTCCAATAAGGATTACCCTAATGCCGTCAAATTGGGCACCTAGTTCCTCTCTTCTAATGACAGCGGATTGTTGCGGTGCGAGCCTTTGCTCTGGAATCAAATGACTCCTTGCCTTGGAACTTGTTGCAGCCGAACCAGTCTTGCCTCCTATCGTAGAGCGCCTCTTTGACTTCTTGTCAGTGCCCTTGATTTCTTTGATTCGTTGCGGCTCATTCTTCTCGGGTCCGGTCGTAGAACTCGTTCTCATTTCTGACACCTTGTTCATAATCTGAGTGGCCAGAAGAATATCACGCAATGACAGTCTCAAAACAAGGGGCTCGACATGAACATCAATGCTAGTCAGAGCTGATCCTTTGTCTTGGGCGCGGCTATCAATAGAGACTTCGAGAGTGAAGTCGTCCAAAATCCGCAGCCGACTTGTCTCGAACTTATCCATTCGGCAGAGGAACATGCCCACTTTATTTATTTGCAGGGTGGAGACATGCTGATGGGAAAATAGCAACTGTTTTGTTCCCAGAACGATTGCTTCGGTGTTGGGTATTGCAGGATTAGCGATCATGATAACCTGAGCATCGACAATATCAGCTCTGAATGAGAAAGTCATTTGCTCTCCTTCCGAAGACATGCGTAATCCCTGCTCATCAAGAGATGACTTATTGCCACTGACTGCAGCACTAGATGCGGCATCAGAATCTTCAGGAGTTTCATCGATTTCTTCTATCTCCAACTGCTGATTCTGTGCAAATGCTTCACTTGCGAATGCCTGCAGAGCCATTAAATAGTCAAGCGCGAGTATAATGCGTGGACTGTCAATGGTGACCATGGCAATGACATGTTTCTTAGGTCCAGGTGACATTGAGACACTAGCCATGAACTGCTGCTGAACGTCGTTGTTGATAAGTGACATGATCTTGCGGAATTTGTTTGTCTCTTGGGCACGGCTATCCCTGATCGAGAAGGAGTGTATCAGAAGCTCTGATTCGAGGGCGCCATCACTCAGCATGCGCAATTTCACTCTGGTATTGTTCAGCGAGAATCTGGAGAGGCTTGAATTCTCCACCTGACCGACAGGTTTATTCTCTTTGGCCAAAATCAACTCCAGGCCAACGCTTTCGACCTTGAAGATCATATCGAGTTTGACCCACGTATCCTTCTCTGAATTGCTAACCGGACTTTGATTCGCTGGCTTCCTCACCTGCTGAACTTCTGAGTTCTGTTCCTCAGTTTGTGGACTGATCGATGGAAGTGATTGCATTGCTTCGAGTTCCTGCTGGTCGGTATCTGGAGTGAATACTCCAGGTACAGTCTTTGTAATCTCTAATAGGAATTTGAGTTGTGGTTGTGAGATTCGTAGCTTGATTGGAGACATCGTCCCCTCTACCTCAATGTCTGGACGAGGTTGGTCTGGCTGATGTTCGAGGTAACAGATGCTAAAGTCAAGATTGACCTTCTGAATCATCTCCAATTGTTCGTGTGTAGCATCATCATAATACAAATCAGAGGTGAGGCGAATATTGCGAATTCCGGTTGTGATCATATTGACGGCTGGGCTATCTTTTCGGTCATCTAGAGGAACAAATGTATTGTTTGCGTAGATTTCTCCAAGCTCTGCTGTAATAGTATCACGCTGCTTATTTTCCGACATAGCTCGAGGGAAGACCACAATTGGTGTGCGCACGATGATATCGAATCGCATACGTGACGCATTTTCCTGCAATTGATTTGCTTGACTTGCCGCTGCCTGTCGAGCCGCATTGAATATAGCTTGCATTTTCCCGAATTTGACCAGGAAATTGACAATTTTCCGGTATGGTTCCTCTAGCAGCTGAACTTTGATTGATCCAGATCTTAGGAAGACCTCCGAATCGTAGCCGGGGTATTCAGACGAGTCAGGATCAAAAGTTTGATATCTGAAATCGGCAAAGTTCTCGCCTTCAATCGTCATAAGTCTCCTGAGGGATGACTGCTCTGACGCTCCAATATTCACATCGTCTACCAGAGTCAGACTTCCAATCCTAGATTGAATCTGCATAGTTCGGCCGACTAAGAAAATGCCAACATCGGCAGTATTGAGGCTCAAAGTTGCAAGTCTCACTCCATCGTTATTCAAGATCAACGCAATACTCTTCAACTGTGACTTGATTCTGATTTTGCGTGCTTCTTGTGGTTCCTGTTGACCTTGAGATAGGTCCACGGAACTGCTACCTGGTGATGGGGCTACCGCTTGAGGCTGTTCAGGATTTGTAAAGGTTATCAGCACGAAATCAAGCAGTGTCAAAAGGGTCCTCCGGGTGACTATAATATTGATAGTGGACACTGCAACGTCAAGATTCATGTCAACCCCTTCATACGTCGAATGAAACTCGGGAGAATCCGGTCTGACTCGAACAAATTTGAGATTAAACAGATCCTTATCTTCTTCAGCGTTGAAACCTTTGGAAGAAATAATTTGTTTGAATTCCGGTGTCGGATTCTGCTCAATGTAGTCATCCACGCTGAGAGATTTCAAGGTCAGCTCAGCTACCATATCAAATGGCCGGAGGTAATAGTCCAATTCGAAGCCTTCAGCTACCAGCTCAGCCAGTAATTGGTCAGACTTTGCTTCTCTTTGATCAGACCTGAAAAGGGAACCACGGAGCTTTCCCACTGTAAATTTGAACTCGAATACTCGCTGGTGCAAGTTGACGGGCTGCTCGTCCTTCTTCGCAACTTCATGTTTGCCAGAATCTTCCGAGTCAGACTCATCATCAAGAAGAGGAATCTCTCTTATAGAAGATGGCTGGAAAGAGGCCGATCTCGCTCTGTTCATTGCTTCTTGTTCCGAAGATTTATCAACAATTTCTTTGACACGGTTAGAGGACTCGCCTGTATTATCTTCAAAGCGTGGAATAGCTATGTCGATCAGCTTCATCAGATTTCTATACTTCATGTCCGACATAGACGCATGCAACTCTGGTAGATGTCCGGAAACCCGCGTTCTAGTGAGAGCAGTGGATTTCGGAACAATACAGAGCTCGAGGACAAAGTCGACACTTATACGGTCGACAATATGGAGGTCTTTGGTTGGATCATCTGATGTGAGTTGCGCTTTGGTAGCTTCGATGTTGGGGCCAATGAGCAACTGGATTGAATCAAGCTTGACCAAGAACTTGTCGTAAAGAAGCTCCTCGAGCTGCTTATAGTCCTCTTCATTGTACTGCCTCTTCTGCTTTGCTTGCAAATCGGACATGGTACTTCTATCAACAAGCTCGCTGTTGACTCTGATGTGACCAGCATCAAGGATCAGGCAAAGAGCGCCCTCCTCTGTAATGCTCTCAGGGATGATTATAAGAGGAGCTTGCAAATCGAACTGAGCGTCTACTTTCCTGTGCGCTTCGAGAGCGTACTCAAGACCAGCTCTAGTTTGTTGCCGGATTTCCTGCACCGTGGCTCCAGCGGAGTCGAGAAGAGCTCCTACGGACTCCATGTGCCGTTCCGGCGGCCTGAAGAATCGGGCAACCTCAATGACAAATATAGGATTGTAGATGACCTCAATACTCTTGAGTTTGACCTTGACAGCGGTATCGGCATCACTTTCAAGCGGGTTCTGTTCGACTTGGAGGTGGAACAAGCTGTCATCATGCTCGGCTTCGTCCGAATCTTCCTCGTATTCCAGTTCATCCGACTCGTCTGAGAATGCATTTGCTACCTGCGCTTGAGAGTCTTTGACTCGTACAATCTGCGGGAAGATGCTACCCTCCGTAGTCCCGTCGTACACTCTCAAGCCGCCAAGGTCCAAATCCACAAAGAAGGAATCAGGTCGCTGTAAAGCTTTAGCTCTGAAGTTATCAAAGACGAGCTTCATGACTTCGGTTGCCGCGCCGTGTGGATCACGTTTCAAAGTTAAGCTACCTGCTCTGAGGCTGGAATTGACTTGTAACTTGACTGAATCTCTGGGAAGTTCCACACTCTCAGCCAAGGCTTTTTTCTCATCCCAGTCAATTGCATTGTATAATTCCTGGCGTTGCTCCTCTGTCATTGTTTCTGTTTCGTCCTCCTCTTGTTTCTTCGTTCCCCACATCCATTCGCTCCATGTTTGGGGTTTGGGAGGCTTTTTGACGCCAACGTTTTCTTTCCGTAGCTGGTTTCGTGCCAAAGAGCGCCAGAAGCGCAGATCTTCGTAAGTGTATTTCCTTTCCAGCTGATCTAGCTCTGCGTTCTGATCTGCGGTAAGTGTTTCTTCTCTCTTCTTTTTCTTAAACAGATAAATATAGGCTATTCGATCATCTCTCCGTTCTTTAATGTAATCCCAAGTCCATACTCTGTTTCTCTCATGGATTTTAGACAGAATAGCATTTCCGGCAAATCGGAACCAAGCTCGCGGGTCCTCCTTCGGGCTCATTGAAGGTTGTAGTTTCTTGTACTCCTGATGGCGGATAAAATAGTGGAAGAGATCCACCAGCATCAGTGTATCACGGTACTGATCACTATCAAAAACAAAGCCCAATTCATTGAATAAAAGGCGTGCTTTCATTCTTGGCCGGTCAAGCTTCCCCGTTTTGTCCATCTCAAGTCCAGCACGGCCACTCACAGGTCGAAGAATGTACTGGTTTTTCTCATCCAACTCAATGCCGCCTCTGAGTTTCATCATGAGGTCTTCGTGCGATATCCCTTGGGCTTCTGCACCAAAGTCCGCGCCGCTTCCTGTCCCCAGTAACTCCGTGTCGGTATTCCAGTAGACAGCCAAAGCTCCTAAAACTGCGAGCTTGTGTGTTGTCCCAGACGTAGACTGGATAAATGTAGGACGCCATTCTGAGTCTGTGCTCACAGCACTCAGTTCTTTTAAGGTTATGCCAACGGCGAACGGATGGCCGGGGGAAGCAATCGAGTCCTCGTACCGAAAATGGACGTTCTTGATGGATACTTGCAGATTATCAACGATGGCAGTTGTGAAACTCTGTGTGAAGCTTTGATTCCGCCTCTGTTCCTCCTGGGTCATTCCTTCCGCGTTACGCTCACGTAGAAGTTCGGCGCTTTCGAGTTTATCCATCTTGATAGCATGAGCCCTTCTCTCTTCCTCCTCTGGGTCGTAGTCGGTCTCGACCTTTGGTGCTGCCAAAAGAAACACATCCTCGATTTCCACCCTAACCGGCTTCCCACGTAGATTTGACCATGGAATAGACAATGTTAGCTGGCCGATGTGTCCTTCGACGACGTTGAGTGGAAGATGAAATTGATCGAGTGCCTCTCGGCGCAATTCGAGGTTGTGAAGCTTGACATCGCCCGACCAGATTCCGATATTGAGTTGTTTGCCGTCGAAGTTCTTGACGTACATGCCCAGAAACCTGTTGAGCAGGTTTGCAACCACACCTTCCAACATCGCTGGTAATAATGGCCGTTACCCAGGCCGGGAGCAATGTTTATACCGAGCCGATCGTTGCTTATCGAGGGTCAGAAATCGCTTGACAGTTCGTTATAGCTGATGCTTTAGTGCGCGAGAGTAGTCCTAGAATATACAGACGTTAGTGAACTCGACGAGAGCAGGTAAAAATGGTGCATCATGTACTTTAGGCAGCTCGGGAATATAGAACCATACTCAGCGAAGAAGACTCAACGATGTCCATTCAGGCGTGGTACTGATTTGTCGTAACGGATGCGTCTTGGATGCTCATTTGAAATCCAGCATCGAGCAAGTTGTGAGAAACTCGAGCACGGCGGAGTTCTCGAGTTCCTGATCAGATGAACAAGCCCAATGTCGAAATACCAGAAGAATCAAATCATATATCTTGTGTGGTCGCTGCGATAGACAGGGCGGATAAAATGAGGTCGTCCCTGAAGTTGTTGCCCTGATCGTATGAGTTGTTTTCGTCCGCCCGCGGGGAGGTGACGTCGTCAGCTTGGCAGCTGCACATTCATTTAGGCTTTTGCGTTTATGGACAGAAATGCGATTTTTTTATGCACTGGAGTTACTTGTTACGAATTATATGATATACGTATTCTCTAGTCTTTCCAGGTAACATCTACATAACAGTAGTTTAAGGGTTCCAGTGGAGAGAAATCTTAAGAGACTATACCGAGGATGATGATGTTCGCAGCCTCAGGCAGAAGTGCGGCTGTGGTCCGTGCGGGCGACCGGAATGAAAGCAACTTCGGCTCATGCTTTCATCACCGGGCTGCTCTCACATCTTCAGACTTCGCATCAATTCCGCCAACGCCGCATCCTCGCGACTGTCGAGAGTAGCTGAAGCTCTCTATACTATTTAATCACCCATCTCCACTCTATAATCTCATTTTCCAGCTTTCCGGCTTCAATTGGGCAATCCGTTGGTGATTCATTCCAATTCCTACTATACCCGAAGCTTTTTTCCACTCATCCACAACAATGCTTTACCGTATGTCGGCTGCCCGCGCTGCGTTCCGCGCTGCATCCAGCTCCAATGCCTCTGCCGCAGTGCGCTCAGCTGTTCCACGCAGTGTCTTCCGGGCTCAATTGACCTCCGCTGCGCGCCAACGCTTGACGTCCACACCTAACCTCGCTTTGGCCGTTCGCAAGCCCGTCACCACTGCTCTCGTCCGCTATGCTTCTACCGCTACAGACAAGGCTACTGGTTCTTCGGTCAGTAGAACACGGAGGTTCTGTTGAAACTTGACTGATAGATAATGTAGGCTGCTGGTCTTCCAGAGGAGGAACCTGATATGCTCGCTGGTGTCAAGAATGATGCGGTACGTTCTCTTCTATGTGATTGCTTTAAGTTACACATACTGAGTATTTCCGGTGCAGAAAGTCATCAAGGATACTTTCACTCTCAAGGAAGTTCCCAAGGAGGCTCTTTACTTCGGGCTTGCCGGTGTCATTCCTTATTTGGCCACCTCTTTGAACACCTGCTACCTCGCATGGGAAATCAACAACAATGTCGTCAACGGTTCTGGTTTCTTGCTCTCCGGAGAGACTGCATCCTTCTTGCTCCACCTTACTGAGCCTATTCAGATCGGATACGGTGCCGTTGTAAGTCGTAACTGGAACTCTGCATCCAATGGGAAGCTCTAACATCTACTTCTTCAGATCTTGTCCTTCCTTGGTGCCATCCACTGGGGTCTAGAGTGGGCTGGATACGGTGGAACTCACGGCTTCCGCCGATATGCCACTGGAGTCATTGCACCCGCTGTGGCTTGGCCCACGTTGCTGCTCCCCGTTGAGCACGCTCTTATTACCCAGTTCCTTGCTTTCACCTTCTTGTACTACAACGACGCCCGTGCTGCCGGCCGCGGACTTGCTCCTCACTGGTACGGCATGTACCGATTCGTGTTGACCTTTGTTGTCGGGGCCAGCATTGTCGCCACTCTGATTGGCCGCGAGCACATTTCCCAGCACGACACTGAGGAGCACACCTTGAAGGAGAAGATTCAGGCTCTTCTCTTCCTCCGCAAGAAGGAGATTGAGGAGGCCAAGAAGCGTGCTCAGGAAGAGAAGGAGGCTTTTGAAGAGTAATCCAGAGTTGATATAAGATTGAAACAGTAGTATCTGTCCTTGGATGGTTCAATTGTTTCTTTGGAAGCCACTACATTGCGCGTACTGATCAATGTCTCTAGGCTAGTCATTCTAAAGCACTTTCCTTTGTCGTTGTAGATTATTTTAAAAGAGTTTCAAATACGAGCTGTTCGAATGCGTACTGATTTAAGAGGCTAAATAAAAGCACCTCCCTGTCCGGGTAGGGGGAGCTTTGACCGATCCGTGGATATCGAGAAAGGAGCGGAACCCCGGAAGCTGACCGCATGAGCGGCATAGTAGTAGTATCATAGAGACATAAGTAGCCACTCTCCGGCTTACGTACTGATCTACACTTGCAACAGATATCCACTAGTTATCAATCATGGAAGCTGAAACCAGTACACGGGTCGTATATGAACTGTACTATGTAAGAGTTGTCCGTCCCCGAGGAGGGGCCCGATTCGATATCAATCAGGATTGACCAACGCGCGACAAGAGGTCTGGACCAGGGTATTATCACGAGGACGTACATCTTTTCTCGAGTAGGTAGGTAACTAAGGCGGGCTATATATTGTACCTCCGTGGGGAACAGTCAGCATCACGTGGACTTGTATTAAATCTTGCATTAGCTCTAAGGAGGAGATCGTTGCCAATGCTTGCCCCTTGCAACGTACTCTGTCTGTACGGAGTATGGTCATATAACTCGGTACAATGTACATAGGCGTACTAAGTCACGTCACCACTAATTAGCTTATGGCCGTGTGGCATGAATAGTATCGCTCTATTTAACTATTTAACATATCCCATTGCACTTATACAATTGATCATCGACACTCCAGTTCACTAGCAAGAAATATAAGCACCAAACCGAGGCCGACGACTCTCGGCCTAGAATTCCTTGCATTACAGACCCGAGGCTGTGATTGCTGGAAATATACAGCCCCAAGTGGAATCAATTATGCCTAAAGCCCGGTGGCTTGGGTAGACGTATCCAAAAAGAAGACAAAAGACAATAAAAAGAGCAGGTAGCGCGAGGAAGACAGGTCCAGACAATGCGGATATAGTGGGGGATGGTATGTACTTCGTAGATAGACCCAATTTTCCCGAGGTCGCCTGATCAAGAAAAAAAAAATTTTTTAGACGTAAGTCTAGTAGAGTAGACTTGTACGTAGTACTCTGTAGTACTCCATACTAATATCGATGCTGCGGGGAATGCCTGAGGGACCCCCCACTGGGTGCCAGTATTTTTAGCCTGAGGCCGTTCCTTGCTTGTTCTAGCCTTCTGCTCTTTGGCACTTTAGGGACACACAGTTAAAGCTGGCTGCTTCCCCTTGCCCTTCTCTCGGCTTTGCTCTATTTCTCTCTTTCTCTCTTCTTTTCTTCTGTCTATAACTAACTAATCTCTTCTAATAATTCTACTATACTAATATTTTTCCTGCTCTCTTCTCTTGACCGTGTTCTGATATAGAACGCTGATACTGCAATCTCATTGGCTCCCCAGCTGCCCTTACTGCGTCATCATCAGCCGTACGTCACTCTGGTAGTCGCTCCCCACCAAAAAGTCCTGCGATTTCGAACCTGCTTTGAGTCCCCTTTTTCTCCAACTGCCCCTGGCTTCCCTCTCTCTCCTTCTTGTACATTTAAACTTCTCATTGCAGTGCCGAGTCGAGTCATTGGCACACCCTCTATATAGAAAGAAACAATACCGCCCGCTTTATAGATATAGATATTCTTTTCAGCTGGCCATGGCTCCTCATAGACGTCGAGAATCCGTGATCAACAAGACCACCACCCATGACGGAGACCGATCACTCATTCAAGATGAGTCTTCGCGCACCGATAATCTGAAGGACAAGTTTATCGGTGCCATTGACCAGGGTACCACAAGCACCAGATTTATTGTGTTTGACGGCACCGGGCTACCGGTGGCTTCTTACCAGTCTGAATTTCGTCAGATCCATGAACATTCAGGGTACGTTTACAACCTTACGAATCTGAGGCAAGTACTAATATATGGTTCTGCAGATGGCACGAGCAAGATCCTCGAGAACTCGTTTCGACGGTAGAGAAGTGTATAGAGGAAACTATGAAAGCTTTCCTTGCCCTTGGACACTCCAAAACGGATATCGTGACCATTGGCATTACCAACCAACGTGAGACGACTGTCGTATGGGACTGGGAGACCGGAGAGCCCCTACACAATGCTATTGCATGGCCCGACACCAGAACAAAAGGGATGGTGCGCGAGTTGCGTTCCAAGCCAGGAGCCGATGAGCTGGACAAGATTTGTGGTCTACCGCTATCCACCTACCCTTCGTCCGTGACGCTCATGTGGCTGCTTCGCAACCGACCTGAGGTCAAAAAGGCCTACGATGAAGGTCGATTGGCTTTCGGGACGGTTGATGCATGGCTTCTGTACAATCTCAACGGAGGCGTCAAGAACAAAGTGTTTGTGACTGACGTGACAAACGCCTCGCGTACCATGTTCATGAACCTGCATGAATTGAAATATGACGACAAGCTGTTGAACTTCTTTGGTCTGGACAAGAACAAGCTCCGGTTACCCAAAATCGTACCGTCAGCAGACCCCAAGGCCTTTGGTAAACTTGCCGGTGGACCTTTAGCCGGTACGACCATTACCAGCTGTCTGGGAGATCAATCGGCCGCCTTGGTAGGCCATTGTGCCTTTGAACCGGGATATGCAAAGAATACATACGGAACGGGCTGCTTCTTACTTTACAACGTTGGAGAAAAACCAGTGATTTCGAAACATGGACTTTTAGCGACTGTTGCTTTCCAGTTGGGTGCTGATCGAAAACCGGTGTACGCTTTGGAAGGTAGTATTGCTGTTGCGGGTAGTGGTGTCTCGTTCTTGATGAACAATATGGGTTTCTTCCGTGACTCCAAGAAAGTGAGTGAGGTCGCTGCAACGGTACCGGATAATGGAGGTTGTGTGTTTGTGACTGCCTTCAGTGGGTTGTTTGCTCCGTACTGGATTGATGATGCCAAGGGAACAATATGTAAGTTCGGTCTGTTTCATTTGTCGTTCATGGCTAATTCTTGTCCAGTCGGTATCACACAGCACACGCAACGTGGTCATATTGCTCGCGCAACACTAGAAGCTGCCTGTTTCCAGACCAAGGCCATTTTGGATGCCATGGCCAAGGACAGTGGTCATCAATTGACTGATCTTGCCGTGGACGGAGGGATGAGCAATTCAGATATTTGCATGCAGGTACGTATACCTTATCCACCTATCTGGTCTCGACAAAGTTGACAAGGAGGTACAGTCACAAGCGGATATCATTCAAATCCCAGTCGAGCGTCCCTCGATGCACGAGACCACCGCCCTCGGAGCCGCAATCGCTGCTGGATTCGCAAGCGGCATCTGGTCCACCTACGAAGAACTCCGACACATGAACCGCGCCAACCGAAGCGTGTTCAAGCCGTATCTATCCGCCCACGAGAGCGCATTGATGTACAAACAGTGGACCAAAGCAGTAGAAATGTCCCGCGGCTGGCTAGATGCAAGTGAAATCGGCCTCGAAGACGAAGAGGAAGAAGCCGAAGGTGGCGAAGAGCCCGAAGTCGCGACACAAGAAACTGCCGAGCGAGTCGTACGATTAGTTCAAAAAGAAGAGGAAGATAGTAACAGCGCCGATGACGTTGCTGTTGGATCTGAATCGGATTGATCTTTCGACCCGATTGATATGACCACGGTAATGATGATTAGGCTTGTTTGTTTACTAGTTTCATGACATGACTTTTGGGTATTTTGTGAGCGGGCTTTTTTTCCCTTTTTATATATATCGGTTGGTTTGGTTCTGTCTTGCTCTTCTGGGCGGGTTTAACTGTTCAAGAAAGCGTCCGCATTTTTTTTTCGGGGGCAGTATGTGTTGTATCCATGTTTTACATATATTATAGCGTTTCTTTCTTGGACAGGATTTGAATGAAATCTAGTTCGTTCTATGACTTATTCTATAGGTTGTAATATCCGATCCGTTAACTGAAGCTGGAGTAAGCACTAACAATCACGATGTCGGCGGGTATCAGAGTACGTAGTATTCTAGCTGATAGCCACCAAAACTGTCGAAACAGGATCGATCACATCATCGGCGCATGAGTTTGCAAGTTGCTTATCTCTTTTCAACTATTACAATCCACAACGGGCTGTTCTGAATAGCAAATGCTACGTACGATACATAGTGGATGTAACTACTTATATCATCACCGCTTATATATCTCTTTGTTCTTTTTATCATGCTCATTTTCGTTTCCAGTATATTAATACGAGAATAAATCTCCGTGTACCAGGCTTAGTTATCTTTAAGGGTGGTCCAGGGACTGGGAAGATGAGACACGTGATTTTCCTTGCCCTCATCGCAAGATCTTATTCCTTACACACTATATGAATATGTAGCATCGAGAATTACATGCAGATCTACGATTTACATAGGTAGTTTGTTTATAACAGGATTTGAACCTAATGAGTAGTATATACGTAGCCAGACTGCTATTCCAGGATATATATCCTAGTTTGCTGCGGCATTTAACGAAAATCCTTTCAAGAAAAAAAAAAAGAGAGAGAGAGAGAGAAGCTCTGACCATTATTCATGTACGTACTAATGCAATACACTCGCAAGGCTCGAACTCGGAAAAGCAAATGGAAGAAATAATTCAAACGCCGATTCCTGATTGCCCATGTCCCGAAATTTTATCTATGCCGTACAATGAAAAGAAGAAATGAAATGTGAAACGAAAGATCCTAGAAACTCGAAAAGGAGAAGAAAAAACATCCCGAATCGTGAACGAGGATGAATGGAGAAGAATTGCGAAGTCAAGGGTCAAATGTATGACGCTGCCGTAAGACCATATCCATATTGCTGAAGGGAGAAGGAAAGATATCAGCCGTGACTGGTGCGAGAGTGTTTCTGTTCAATTCATCATGCTGCGCCATTTATAATTCGTCTTTCGTCCGGATAAATGGCTTCAATATCCCGATATTTGCTTTTTTCTCGCGGATACCCGGGCTATGGATGGACCGGTTACTGTACAATAAGAAAGGGAAAAGTTCTAGAAATTGGAATAGAACGACGATAAAATTGATTATCCGCCCTAAGCCGCTGAATCGTGTTTTGCTTTTTTCTGGCGGTTGTAATGAGATCGTTCTTCAGTCGTCATGACCGTGGGCTTTCCTGCTACCCTCTTTGATTTTTGCAGGTCCCTATTATTGAATTGAGTTAGTTCTTTTCTTGTTATACCTGTATTCTCAAGGAATTTGCCCGGAGAGACACCAATAGTAAATAACTAGCATATACGAACACCGTTCTTTTAGTGTCGTGTAACTAGAGTCTATGATTAGACCACAAAACGTACCACAATCTTCGTCAAGTCGGCGTTCTCTACTCATAATCATATTCATTAACTCTCTTGGTTTGGATGGGGGAGAAATGTGGGAAAACGTACCTAGCAACAATGTTTGGAGGGCAAGGTTTATGGGTGCTGGCGTATGTCGTGCACCAAGCATTGACCAAGATTCGGATATGGCCACAACGAAATGTGACTTCGATATGATCGCACATGTCGAATGGTCTTATCCTGTTGAAATTATACGATTTTTGTTTCTGTCTTTTTAATTCTTTTCGTCTTGCCCGCTCCTAAAGACACTGATCCGTGTATAGCGTAGATTGCAGATCGTTCATGAGACAAGCAAACATATTCAACAAGAACATTTGTCATTCTAGAAAGTCGTTAGCCATTTATTATAGGGAATCAGAACGGAAATTTGCATACAGAGTCTTTTCTTTCAAGTCATTTATTTCCCTGATGAAACATGCCGAATACGAATTGAGTAAGTAGGACAAATACCGATTTCAAAAAGATCCCAGCGTATTACCGTAATCTCAATGATCGACGAGGTCGTGACAACCGCAAACGAGAGACAGGCAGAAAAATGAAAAGAAAAAAAAAAATTTTCAAAGAGAGAGTAAAAAATGAATGTGTGAAGGGCTCCGAATCCTGGAACCTAAGGTACTGTGTCTAAGTAACCCCCATGCAAAATGAATGCAGTGGCTCCTACATACCTAACAAACTTGCCACTAGGGATATATAAGGTAAATATGAAGAAGCTTTTTATTTCTACGCTCTATTTTCTTTTCCCTTCTGGAATGAGGTCTTGCCCCTCACCTTTTTGATTAATACTTTGCTTATCTATTTCATTCACGGAAATGAGATTGATGGAGACCTCGTAGACTAGAAGAAACTCTACCTTTGAACCCCGACTTACACTACCTATCATTCATATAAATTATTACGCAGTGTAGATTACCGTTTGACTAGTATAGTAGTTAATAGTCAGGCTAGTCCTGTATATAATATCTACATACATGCATATATATGTATGTAGTACCATGTATGGCAGACGGAACGGGCCAGAAATCTATAATTGACAGGGATTCTATAATACTAGTATTACCGTTCCTTTTAAATTTCGTTGTATCCGCAGCTCATTCTCGATGGGACCGGACCAGAATCCTTCAGTCGTGTATGAAATAAACAGAGTGATCCATTTCCTTGATTGGAAAAAGTTGAAGAACACCCAGCCGGAAGACCAGGGTGAGTATTCCCGGCGATTCCAGTGAGATTGACCGCAATGACCGGCAGAGAGAGAAGATAATCCCTGTAGGAAGAAAAAGAAAAGAAAAAGTTTCTTGCGTTAATGGTGGTTTGCCCTTCAAGGATCGCCCTGGCTTGCGTCCCCGTTGAGTCTTCAACCTGTTGGTACTTGCTTCTCGTTACATGCATGACTTGAATAATAAGTACCATGCCATATCATGCCATGCCGTGCACTGTCCATGCAATTCATTTTCTATTGTACTCCTTATCAGCCCATTAATATTAATTGCCGGTATATGTACGGCACCATAACCAATAGGGAAATCCCTGCATGTTGGATCATTTTCCTCTTTTCGTATTTTAGGGAGCCCAATTTGAGTTTTGATTTATCCAACGTCCACTACGTTTCCGCTCTGTCTGACTGTCCATGTTTCAGGTACGGAGGCGTTCGTCGAAATGAGATTAACGACGGATAGAGTATTGAGACGGGGATGCCGCCGTACATAATTGCGCTAATGCGTGAAAGCGAATGGGATCCTTGAGTCTGGAACTCTTTTCCGGGGTTATTTGACTTATATGGCACTGACACTGACACTGAGTCAACTGACTGAGAGACAGGTCGAAGCAAGGGCTAGGACGCTGTTGGCCACTGTCTAAATGACGAGTCACGACTCGCGGCTGTCTCATCACGGACAAATGATAGAATTCTTAAGAGAGCGTATATTAACAGACTAGTCATGCATCCTTAGCAGGCTGGAAGGATGCGCGGCGCCGGCGATGCCATCCGGTTGGTTCGATGTTCCTGACAGCTTCGGGAATTAGTAAGGGTATGTATCCATTGTCCCGTTACTTGTTAGTATGACTCCATGCTACTCCGTTGTTTTTCGTCTATCCTTCAGAAAGTTAAATCAATTAAACTGTCTAGATATATAGACGCCGTTTCATAGCTTAACTCAAACTACATACTAGATAGGCATCAAAATCCTCGGGAAATCCCGCGGAACCTCCATCCCCAATAGCCGGTACTCATTTACAAGTAACTTGTAAGATTTCCGTATAACTTAATCCCCCTCCCTTCTTCTATGCGGGCAGAAGGGCCAAAGGAAATCATACCTGCATATCCCACGTATCTAATTATATCTTTGGAATAGAAATGAGACTTATCATTTTACCCTTTCTTTCACCGCTGCAAGTCAATGTACTGTCCTGCCGATGCAATGGTAACCCAAATCGGCAGGTAGATAATACGCAGTGCCAATTGACACACAGTCTGACATACATAATTGACTGATCCACTAGGTTGCCTTCCCCATGTCGTTCGGTTTCAAATAGATTGTCTCCGGTTCGGTCAATAGTTGGTGGAGTTCTAGACAATAAGTTGGTGGGCCACAGGTCATATTTGTCATGCGAGAAAGTATTGTGTTGTGATGTAGAGAAAGGAAATGGTAGAGATAGTTGAGAGGTGATGGGAAAGGTAGTAATTTTCTGGTAGAAATTATATGTAAAGAGTTGTACATATGATAAGACACTATGAAAAGGAAACCATAAACAATTCGACATTCTTTTATATGAATGGACGACGAGGTTATGATAAATCAGAATATGCAATGAACGATTATTTCGCCGTCGTTTCTGCTTCCGGAACTTGGGTTATTGGATTCAATCTCGCTGCAGCCAGCGCTTCAGGCAGCTTAAGCGGTGCCGATGGCGTAGACTGCATCTTGTCGAGTTTCTCGCCCTTGAGAACCTTCTCCATTTCCTCCTTGGTAAGCGTTTCGTACTCTAATAGCGCTTTCGTGAGCAACTCCAATTCTTGCCGTTTTTCGGTCAGGATCTTGGTAGCGCGAAGTCGACCTTCTTCAACCAGACGTCTGGTTTCGGCTTCGACTTCTTGTTTGGTCTCTGACGATAACTTGTCGTAGTTTGTGGATAGGTCGACGTTTCCAAGCTTCTTGGAATAACCGAACTGCGTTACGAGTGTGAACGCTGTCTCGGTAGCAGATTGAATATCCTGTCATGCTATCAGTAATGAAACGCAGTAGAAAATACAAAGCATTGGCTTACCGCTGAAATACCACTTGTCACCTTATCAGGGCCAAAAATCAATTCCTCAGCAGCCTTGCCACCCATAGCAACATCTATGTCTGATAAATACTCAACGTAATTCCTTGAAACCATGTCCATTTCAGGCAAGAAATGAGTGATACCCAACGCCATGCCTCGAGGGACGATGGTAATCTTATAAAGAGGAGTAGCAGACGGAGAAAAGTAAGCAACAAGAGCATGACCGGCTTCATGATAAGCAGTGAGCAGTTTGTCTTTATCTTGGATAATACGACTTCGAGCCTCTGCACCCATCATGATCTTATCCTTGGCCCAATCAAAGTCCTTTGGTCCTACCCTGTCCTGTCTGTATCGGCTGGCATGAACAGCTGCTTGGTTGACGAGGTTCTCCAAATCAGCACCAGAGAAACCAGGAGTGCCACGTGCAATGACCGCAACATCAACATCAGTGCTGACCTGTACGCCCTTCATGTGATGCTTAAGAATATCCATGCGGCCTCTGACATCAGGAAGACCAACGACAACTCGGCGATCAAATCGACCAGGACGGGTCAAAGCTTTATCAAGGAGCTGAGGATAGTTCGTTGCTGCGAGAATGATCACACCACTAGTTTGAGAGAAACCGTCCAATTCGGTGAGAAGCTGGTTCAATGTTTGCTTGACATACGCTGCATCACGTTCGTTTCGCTTAGCACCTATGGCATCCAACTCGTCAATGAAAATGATGGCTGGGGCCTTGGCACGAGCTTGAGCGAAGAGATCTCGCACACGCTTGGCACCAACACCGACATAAACTTCGTCAAATTCGGATCCAGACATGTAAAAGAAAGGTACGCCAGCCTCCCCGGCGACGGCACGTGCGAGAAGCGTCTTTCCGGTACCGGGAGGACCAACCAAGAGAACACCCTTAGGCAGTTTGCCACCCAAGGTAGAAAATCGGTCGGGGTTCAGCAAGAATTCAACCAGCTCTTGAAGTTCATCCTTGGCTTCATCACAACCATGAACGTCACTAAACCGAACCTTCTGCTGTTGTGGCGTAGCTTCATTGGTTTGAGTACCACGGACATTCTTCAGAACGCCAGTCGTTTCAACCAGGATGGTAATCAGGACAAGAGACAAATAAGTGAAGAAGCCAAAGTATAGAAGGAATTTCACCCAGCGAAAGACAGAGCTGCCAAGAGATTCCTCGACAACGACATACAACGGGGACTCTTTTGCGCCAGTTCCTGCTTGCTTCGTTGACACGCCGACCTGACTACCGTGAGCGCGAGCTGCCACCGCCTGTCCAACAGACTGTAACTGCTCAGGGTTTAGTGACTGGGTACCACCTGTGAATGCTCCTTGTACTGCGCCATCACTCCCAAGTCGTTGGAGAGCCTTGAGATAAATGGCCTCGGTAGCTGCGTTGTTGGCGAATTGACCGGTCCGATAACGTTCGACGACTATAGCAGGCATGTTTGCACGCAGTAGAGCTTGGTAGAACGTGTTCTGTGCATTAGCACTGCCGGGATTGCTATTAGCTGCCCTTTCCTTCTGCGCGAGGAAGTTCTGCGATAGTCCTCCGAAGAATGACCTATGTTGCTCGACCCTCGGAACTGAGAAAACATTCGGTCTTCGGAAACCCTTCAGGCCAATGCTTGATAGCGACGAGTAGTTCCGGGTAGATTGAGCGGAGTGACTGGCGCGAACGAGCAAGCTCGCTGTTTTTAACGTGTTTTGCCCGAATGTCGACCGCCGATATACCTGGCCTAGCACGAGTTGCGACCTCATCTTGTCGAGAGGTACTGATTGTAATGCTTCTGGGAGTGAAAGACGTTCGACCTGGATTATCCATTTAGTGAAGAGCACGCACCGAGAGCGATAGCTATAAACCCTTACCGATACCGGCGATGCTTTAGTATGCTCTCCGCGGGCTTGAGGGGGTCTATAGACGGTATGGACACAGCGCCATTGAGAGTTCACCGCTGACCATAGCTCGGAAGTAGCAGAATGTATATTCTATGTGTATTGATAAAATGTTAGCCAGACTCGAGAAAACCGTCATAGAGAAGTTGATCTTACCGGCACGTTCACCGAAGCGTTGAGTGCCATGACTGTAGCTCAGCGGCACCTGGCCGCAACCTCACTAGAAAACGACCACAATCCAAGGGTTTCTTGCGATTGCTTTGAAACCCAGAAGAAGTAGAAAAATCCAAAAAGGCAATGAAACGGTTGCTCCTGTTGCAGAGGATGGATTAATGGGGGCGATGACCGTATGGTGGTGATGCTGGTCTCGACTGCGGCGAAATTCATCGCCACGGGCCGCGCTTTCCTAAGTAGTTATAGTTAGTATGCTTAGTAATATATCCAAGTCACATGACCTTTACCCAACGTGTCACGTGCTCATTTTGTATCTATTGCCATTGCCTAGCAAGAGCTGTTTGATCTTCATTGCATACAATGTCGTGATACATGACATCGTGGTGAGTATGTTAGCCATCAATAATGATGTCGAGGAAAACCATCTTTCTGATGGGACCTCCATCTGGGAGACTACACTGGGATGACAAGGACCTTCTCCAAGTTGCTGTACCTCCATTCACGGAGCCTACTATCAGCCCATCCACAAACAATTCATCTAGAGCGGATATAACCAAATGGAGGGTTTTGCAAAGCGGGAATGCAGCCGAACTATATCATCCGGAATGGGCGCAGAATACCCTTTTCCTCGATACTGCCAGTTTGACTGCGAAGATGCCCAGAATATCCGATGATGTGCTTCTTTCGCAGTTCTATGAGCATTCATTATCTATTCTAGGGGCGAGTTACTCGTCCGAATCTGATAATAATGACACTACTTTACCCTTCGATGAAGAAAGTGGCGTGGATGAAAGTGATGGCTCGATGATGCCTGGCAGCTCTGAAGCACTACCTTTCCCTTACCCACGTGAATTACACGATATCAAGGATATTCCCAATGCTGCATATCTTCGATCAATTATCCCGCAAACTCCGAGCGTGACTCTTGTTGTGGCCGTCATAGGCATCAATCCTTTACGACGAGTCACCACTAAACAATCAAAACAAGAACTAGATATTCTAGAGCTTATTGTCGGAGACGAGACCAGGACTGGATTCGGAGTTACTTTCTGGCTTCCTGTACCAGAAGATCATCATCTGTGCGGGAGACAAGGAAACGGTTCTGCTACGGAATTCAGAGAAAAAATTCTAAGTATACGTCTTCGCGATATTCTTCTCATGAGGAACGTGGGACTTGGCTCTTTTCAGGAACTGGTATACGGTCAAAGTCTTAGGAGGAGTATGACCAAAGTTGATCTTTTACATCGACAACAGATTGACTCGCAGGATGTTCGGGGTGCATATTCTACCATCGCCATTGACACAACGACTCGTGAAGATAAGCTACTTTGCAAAGTACGCAATGTGCGAGACTGGCTGATGAACTTTGTGGGGACAAAGGCGCGTTATGGCAGGGATACTGCTGGTCAGCCGTTACCCCCGGATACTCAATAGACTGAGGGTTTTGTCAGTTGTTGTGGTTAACGAGACTCTGAAGTTATCGAATATCGCAGGTCATGATCTGGCTTCAGGGCTTGAAGCCATGTGTCTGGACTTTATCGCACTGGATGGGGAGGGCATAGTCTGACTTGAATGCAAGAGCTTCTTTTGTTTGCTTTCAGTTCCGCTTTGGTGGCAGATGTTATTACTCGGCTTTGCTTTGTGATTTTCCACTCGGCAGATTCATTTGCAGTTGTACAAGATAACCGGTTGAGATCGACCCTGTCGACCGGAAGACTACGAAGCGAAGGTTGAGAACAACGTCTACCACTGAAGCGGAACTGATAGCCATAAGACGACTCTGCTCTTGGAAACATACCTTTGAGGCCATTAAATTCAATTAAATCCAACCCGGTCCATGATCTTTCTATTCGGAACGTGAACTTAAATCCAACACAGTTCTATGGTCTCTTGAAACCCACCGCCATTTGCTTCGGCACGAGATCCAGGATAAACCGGTTTATTTTGAGAGATTTAATATGAGAAAATACTCGCATATATCTTCATAAGCAGCTCAAGCGATGAATACTTGTGTATTAGAAGAGAAGCACCATGGATTATGTTAATGGCTCACACTTGATGGAAGAGTAGAAGCTCATGATTTCCTTCTTGGAGGTTCTGCACCGCCTTGAAAACCAGGATAAGCAACACCAGGTTGTAAATTGGCTCTGGAATATGTTACGACATTGCCACGAGGAAACGTCGAGGATATAAGTCACATATCGATGAGATACCGATATTACAGCTACTAGAGATTCGCCAACCTTCAAATGTTAGTACTCGTCAGATTTACAACTGCTTTTCCTTGTTTCTCATTTAACCGAATCAATTCTATAGATCCTATAGACTCGTTCTAGATTTAATTAATGTCAGGGCTCTCAAGTTCGATTTCGGCTACATTTCGATGTTTCCGTCTCGCCATATTCCCGAAGCGGAAGTTGACCCCTACGTAACCCTACATTCATCCACGAACGTGTAAAACGCGATAGACACACCAACAAAAACAAATCTGAGAAATCGATTTAAATGTAATACAGGTTTCCTACTACTTGAAAAGATAGTAATAGCATCGTCGTGGACGAACAAGCAGGCATAGTCCTGAACCGAGTTCCATACCTGACGCTTTGGAGGTAAAGCCAGCAATGTTCGAAACCGAGACAGAGAAGACTGGGGGGCGGGCTTTAGAGCACAAGAGCAACGGAAGTAACGTCAATCGCGATATCGAGGGAAATAGCCAGAGTGAAAGTTCTACTCCTACTCCGAGTGGTGCTACTACACCACCCAAGTGTGTTCTCCCAGAAGGTGGTCTGCAGGGATGGTTGGCCGTGTTGGCTTGTTGGTGTATCATGTTCAATACATTTGGTTACATTAATGCCTTTGGGTATTTCTTTGTTCCTTGATCGAGGAAGCTACAGTTAATGCTAATGTGCTGCATTGGGTAGAATCTTCGAGGTGTATTACAAAAGCACCATGTTGCCTCACCAAAGTCAATCCAAGATTGCTTGGATCGGGTCTATTCAAGTCTTTTTTATGTTTTCGGCAGGACTTGTATCTGGTCCGTTGATGGATCGATATGGACCAAAGGTGAGACTTGACTTTTATAGCCCTGTTCTGAGTCAGGAGGCTGAGGCTAATCAGTGCAGCCAATCCTGATACCATGCTCAATCCTTTTCACCTTGTCGGTCATGCTCACAAGCTTATGCCGCGAATATTATCAATTCATACTCGCTCAAGGCGTTCTGGGAGGTCTTGCCAATGGCCTCACATATACACCTGCGCTGGCCGCAGTGGGACATTATTTCTTGAAGAAAAGATCTCTTGCTATGGGAATTGCTTCCAGCGGAGCGTCGGTATCTGGTGCCACACTCCCGATTGCTCTAAACCGCCTTCTCAATCGAACAACGGTTGGGTTTGGTTGGTCCGTCAGAGTGCTGGGATTTGTGATGCTCGTCACGAGTATCGTGGCGTGTTGTCTGTTAGCTCCGACGCACCCAAAAGACGCAGTGGACCTCCTCTCCTGCTGGAAGCTTGGAGAAACCCGGCGTACTCGTTTCAAGTAGCTGGAACATTTCTAGTCATGTGGGCTGTCTTTGTCCCGTTCTTTTACCTACCAGGATTCGGGCAATCTATCGGCTTAAGTGTAGATTTGTCCTTTTACCTCCTCGCAATTCTCAATACAGCATCGCTGTTCGGTCGACTATTCGGTGGCACAGTAGCAGATCGCATGGGCCGAATCAATACCCTATCATTTGCCTGTTTAATCTGCGGCATTCTGATTCTCTGCTGGTTACCCATCCGGTCCCACGGCGCGATTATCGCATTTGCGGCTCTATTTGGATTTTTTTCAGGAACGGTAATTGCTGTGTTCCCAGCGACGATTGCCATGACGGCACCTCAATCGAATCAGATTGGATCGTATCTGGGCATGGCGCTCGGCGTGTACAGTCTTGCTGGTTTGAGTGGTACGCCTATCACGGGAGCCATGATCAATGATTATAGCTCGTATCGGCCAGCTATCATCTTCGCGGGAATGTCAGCTCTGCTTGGGGCGATGATTATTTTTGCATCGAGGTATTATATTGCGAGGACCCGATGGATTGTGTAACGAGAGCCTGTCAGGTGGTTTGCTCTATAATGCAGCGAAAAGTATCAGTTCGTTCAATTTTCGTCCATTGGGCAATGGACGCCATCACGTGTAGCATGAGATCTTCTGTTGCCACTCAATGCGGAGTAATATGAGTCCATCACATGGAGTTTTTGTTATACTATGTACGTAGTACTATTGGTATAGCATTGATGAATTGAAACCAGCCATAGTAAAAAAGATCAAGCCATTGGCCTAGGTCCTAGGCATGTTTCAGGGGAAGTAGCCAAGTGGCTGCAAACGACAAGCACCTGACTGCGCCTGCCCCACACGCGTAAGCTCCTACAATCTCGCAACTTTCCCAAGCAGGTGACTGTTCTTTTCTTTTCTGACTGTCACCTCTCGCTTTCTGCTTCTCGCCCATATCATCGCGCATTGGGTTGCTGAGTGTTACTATTCAATTCAACACCGATCTCATCAGGACACTCGTTATAGCACTGTATACGCTGTTCTCGACTTTGCGTTGTCGTCATCGATTACAAGCCGGAAAGAGGACAGACCACATTTATTGACCTCTTTTCATTCATAATGAAGGGTACGTCCTCGGTCATGAACAATTCTTTGTCACAATGCTAATGGAGATTGACAGCTCTTATTCTCGTCGGAGGGTTTGGAACCCGTCTGCGACCCCTCGTGAGTTCCCCTCCGCTGCCTGTCTCAGATACAATTCGGTACCCCTTGATTGCGCAAGACAACAAAGCTGACATCTGATAGACACTCACACTGCCAAAGCCTTTAGTTGAGTTTGGCAACCGGCCTATGATCCTCCACCAGGTCGAGAGCTTGGCCGCCGCCGGTGTCACTGACATTGTTTTGGCCGTCAACTATCGACCAGATATTATGGTGCAAGCGTTGAAGAAGGTATGCAACTATTCGATTTCCTAGAAAAAAACTGGCTAATAAGAATCCCACAGTATGAAGAACAATATAACATTAATATCGAATTCTCCGTTGAGTCAGAGCCCCTGGGTACTGCCGGCCCCCTGAAGTTGGCAGAAAAGATCCTTGGCAAGGATGACTCGCCGTTCTTTGTCCTAAACTCCGACGTCATTTGCGAATACCCTTTCAAACAGCTGGCTGAATTCCATAAAGCACACGGCGACGAAGGTACAATCGTGGTCACCAAGGTCGACGAACCCTCCAAGTACGGTGTCGTTGTTCACAAGCCCAACCATCCCTCGCGAATCGACCGTTTCGTAGAAAAGCCCGTTGAGTTTGTTGGAAACCGCATCAATGCTGGTATCTATATCCTCAATCCAAGTGTTTTGAAGCGCATTGAATTGCGCCCAACATCCATTGAACAAGAGACTTTCCCCGCCATTGTCAAAGAAGGACAATTGCATTCTTTCGACTTGGAGGGTTTCTGGATGGATGTCGGTCAACCAAAGGACTTTTTGAGCGGTACTTGCTTGTACCTGACGTCGCTCGCTAAGCGCAACTCGAAACTTCTTTCACCCTCTTCCGAGCCTTATGTATACGGAGGCAATGTCATGGTAGACCCTTCTGCTAAGATTGGCAAGAACTGTCGCATTGGTCCCAATGTCGTGATTGGGCCAAACGTTGTCGTCGGTGATGGAGTGCGACTTCAACGATGTGTTCTCCTTGAGAACAGCAAAGTCAAGGATCATGCATGGGTTAAGTCGACTATTGTCGGATGGAACAGCTCCGTCGGCAAGTGGGCTCGTCTAGAGAATGTCACTGTCCTTGGTGACGATGTTACAATTGCCGATGAGGTTTATGTCAATGGAGGTTCCATTCTACCTCACAAGAGCATCAAGCAGAACATTGATGGTAAGTCATGCGACGACTGCCTTTAATATACTATTTACTAACATGTTTTTAGTACCCGCTATCATCATGTAAGGTCATCGCCGTCAACTTCGGCATCTTTCGGCGCATTGATGAATTTTCTCGTCCCAATTATACTCGTCATCCGCTCTCCATACGATAATTCTTTTCACCTGTTCATCTTACTCTCTTCTTCGGCCCTGGTGGCGAGAGGGGCTTTGTTTTGTCTTCATTGTACGCATCTAATCACAAAAGGCGCAAGTTGTCTGTCATATGTTTCAGGCACCGCGCTATCATCCACGATTCCACCATGGTACCACGTTTTATAATAAAAAAGAATTCCAACGTTGCATCTTCTATCAGATTTATTTCATGTCACACGCACATACCCCACTTCCTTCTCATCTGGACTCTTCTCTGCTCTTGAGGTTCTAGCAATCATCTTTTCTACTCAATGTTATTTTCCTCGGTCTTTCCATTCAGGATTCTGATTATGCATCTCTCCAACCACTTCTCAAAAGAAACTATTGATTTTCCAAGTATTTCAGCTTGGTTTATTGTCTCGTTCGTGGTTTATCATCATTTCTGCTGCTTCTTTATTTTTCTTTTTTAAAGGGAGGAAGGGTAACGAAACTTCGGTGGTTTAGAAGGTGGAAATGGGCCTATGGTATTGATCTAATCTTTCTGTTTAATGGAAAAGATGAAAATAAAAGACTTTCAGAAAGCAGGATAGTGCATATGCCGTGGCTATAGGAGGAAGAAACGAAGGTAATGTCTTTTGTCCTATTGTTGGATTGGGAGGCCGTTGATTAACTGTGTAAACCAAATAAGAATTAATTAAAAGAAAGCTAAGATATATGCGGTGTCTCTTCATTAAAAATTATTTATATAAGTATCTACCATGTGTATATACTATTATTGACCTTCTTCAAGCGTATCAAGTAACCCATCCCACTCAATCCTCAACTCCTCCATCTGCTGCCAACACTTCCTGCCCAACTCTTCAAACCTCACCCTATCTTCCTTCATCGCAACTTCCATCCCTCTCCTCCTCCTCCGCAACTTATCAGCTGCAGAGACATGTTCCCCATCAACAACACCACCATTACCCCAACCATCAGCTTCCGTACTGACTACAAGCGGTGAACCAAACCTATCCGTTGAGGAACCCCATTTCACGTGCCCGCCGCCTCGATCTCGGTACGGTTTTTCAGCTGCGTCGAGGATTAATTGCGGGGTGAGAGCGAGCCAGACGAGAGAGTTGGCGCCTATGTAGGGGGAGATGGTGTGCCAGGGCGATCCGAAGAAGCGCGCAAGATAGCTTGCGGCTGTCATGGCCCAGAAGAGAGGGAGGATAAGAGGGATAATTGATGTTCCGCAGATCCCTGGGTGGCCGACAAGGCTCACAGGAGCTGGTCCATTTGTCGCCGTTTCACTTTCATGCTCATCATCAACAGACAAGAATTTCTGTACCCAGGGCGCCGTACTCGGCAAATCCGACGTAAGAGCCAATATATCCGTTAAAGTCTTTGAGCTTTCGTATGCCACACTAGTCTTCAACCCTTGTATATCCTCAACATCAAACGATTTACCTGTAGCTTCAATACTACCAACCCAAATTATCCGTCCGGGCCCATTCGCCTGTCCCGATCGTCTGAGTAACGGCATCACATTATGAGCAAGCATATAATGCCCAAAAACATTTGCGCAAAACACCGCACCGAGGGGCTTTTCGTCTGGATGGTGGGTTTGTCGGGGGGTAAGCATTCCAAGGTATCCGACTTTGTAACTCGGCCAGGTAGTCGCATGCAACAGGTCTGTCGTAACGTTCCAAATTGCGCCTGGCCAATCGATTCCATACCATCCACCTATACCAGCGTTTAGAATTATAGAGTCTAGTTTTGGGAAATTCCGGTTTAGGCGTCTGCTTAGCGCTCGCACGGAGGGGAGGTTGAGTAGGTCAACTGTTTCGGCGAGTATGGAGATGCGATCCGCTACTTGGGATCCAAGACGATGCGCATAGATTTGGAGGTCATTTTTGAGAGTTTGGACTTGAGCGGGTGGGCGGCGTGTGGTGAATACGAGAGTAAGGTGTTTGGAGCTTTTTGAGGAGTCCTTTGCGAATTCATCGATTAGGCGGAGACATGTTGAGTATCCGAGACCGCTGTCACGTTTCCTTATGGTTAGCACTTTTCGTCTTCAGATTTTGATTGAGCACTCACGAATTGGCTCCGGTCACGAGTACGACGATATGATTTTCGAGATTGTCGGTAGGTCCTAGTTCTAGGCGTGCTTCATTCTTTCGTGGAGAAGAAGTTTGGACCGGCATGATGCAACAAGATAGTAAAGGCAAGGTTCAAGACAATCACTTGCTTCTCATCTCATTGCTTGAACAAAGCAGTCTCCAAGAAAGAAGGAGTTGGCCAGCAGTGAATGAGTGTTGTACGAAAGTTGAGGCTATCCCGTACAAAAAGCAACATGGAGCTATGCGAACATTGATTGGTCGATACTTCGGATCGACAACGATCTTTATGCCTCAGGCATAGATATCAAATCGTTAACCCTTAAAAAGTTAATGTACAATCGTACGAAGTGGTCTTTCAATTCTTTTAATCGACAACAGTGAAGAGAGCTCGGGACTCATTGCTCATATCAATTCCTCCTGCTTACGAAGAGATTCTTGAATTTCGTACTCACATACTTAGGGTACACGGTACACCTCTCTTGGCCAGGTATATCCGAGTCGTTCCACTGTGCATTTCATATTAATAGATTTCTAGACTATCAATTAAAGTGAATAAAGAGGATGATAGACAGAGTTCATTCTAGCTCTTATCAATAACCAAGAAAAAATTAGTCACTATCACTAAGTGATAATTGACTTGAAAACTAGTATCGAATTTTAGGACTGTAACTATAATCCACATCAAGATGAATCGAGTGAGGTCTATCTCTGGAATGTGAGATTTTAAACGGCTTACGACACTTGAATGAGTTTAGCGTACGACTATGAGAATTAGTAGAATCCTCTGAAATCCAGTTGTACCATCTCCTGCCTAAAAAGGTATCATTTTGGTGTTGGCAGCAAACCCTAGAAAATCTCGATTAGCAATAATCTCGCTGGTTCAGCAACCAATACCTGGTTCTAGAAGAGTGTAGTCATATTTTAGCTCAATCTGATAAGATTTAGATACAGAATATCGATCCATCAGTAGCAAATGATTGGCTTGTCTAGGCTTTAGTTGAGGTTGGTGAAGAACTTCTGTCGGATATGTTTGTTAGGGCTCGGATTTTCGGATCCGAGTTACTGTCGAGAAGCCCTAACTCTGGGAGGTAGCTATGAGTATACTGACATATATAATGGCTACAACTTTTCTCACGAGAGTATTTCTGTTTCGTTATTAGTATTGTGACGATTATTGTCTTCTGGTATAGATATTCAATATGGCGAACACTCGTGAAGAGCAAGGTATCACCTCATCTAGCGACAATATCAACGCTGTCATCAACGATGCAGAAAAGGGAAAGAGTAGCAGCATTTTCCAGTCGCCTTCCTTCGAGACATCTGGCGAGGTCTGCCCCTACACTTCATCCCTGTCTTCCCAGTCGTAAACCTCGATTAACATTCATCTAGGTGACCTGGGACGGACCCAACAACCCCAATGACCCCTACAACTGGCCAACCGCCCGCAAAATCACAATCTCCCTCATAATATCCCTCTCCCAACTCGTCTGCCTCATGACAACAAGCGTCATAGCCCCAGCGCTACCTCAAATCGCCACAGATCTCAACTTATCTGATTCCGAAGCACAGCTTGCGTTCTCCATCTTTGTGCTTGGACAGGCATTCGGTCCCTTTGTTATTGCTCCTATGAGTGAGGTCTTTGGTCGAAAGCCCGTTTGGGTTGTTTGTAGTATCTTTTTCATTTTATGGAACTCGGTTTGTCCCGTGGGCAATCTCAGACCGTTGATTATAGGGCGGTTCTTGTCAGGGGCTGGTGGGTCTTGTGGTGTTAGTGTATATACCCTCTATGCCTTTTTTCTATCTATCCTATAGATACTGATGGCATGTCTGAATCACGCAGCTAGCAGGTCCTATAGCGGTGGATATGTTTCGTCAGAAGGATCGAGGCAAATCGCTTGCTTTGGCTTCCTTGTTCCCTTACCTCGGACCAGCATTGGGTCCCATTGTCGGCGGGCTTGTCAGTCAATATGTCAGTTGGCCATGGTTATTTTGGGCCATGTCTATTTTCTGTGCTGCAGTCCTTGTTGCTGGTCTAATATTTGTGCGAGAGACATGCAAGCCAGTCTTGCTTCGACTCAAAGCGACGCAACAACTCCGGGAGGCCGGAGAGGGACATGTCACCGCAACGATGGTAAAACAATCATCACCGGATGACCGTCTATCATCGCGAATACTTGTGGGACTAAAGCGACCAGTCCAGTTACTACTGACGCGACCAATTATTCAAATCCTGTGTCTCATCAACGGCATCGGTTTTGGGATGTACATACTCGTACTATCATTTTATGCAACGGTGTTCATAGACCAATACCACCAATCAGCCACAGCGAGCAGTCTGCAATACATCGCCATTGCTCTGGGGAGTACCCTCTCAACCCAGACGGGCGGGCATCTCATGGACATCATTTTCGCTCGTCTTCTGGCCCGTCTTCCCGAAAATTCACCTTTACGTGACTCTCCACCACCAGAGTTCCGCGTCCCATTGATAGTCGTCGGTATCCTCATCCTCCCTATTGGTCTCTTCTGGCTCGGATGGTCTGCTCAAGCACACATTGCTTGGATCATGGTCGATATAGGCGCAACGATATTCGTAGCTGGGAATTTCCTAGGCAGTCAAGCTGCGCTTGCATACCTGTTTGATGAGTTCTCGACTCATACAGCTTCAGCGGGTGCTGCTATCAGACTGTTGGGGAATTTGATGGGATTCGCTTTCCCGTTGTTTGCTCCCCAGTTGTATGATGGGTTGGGATATGGATGGGGGAATAGTCTGTTGGCTTTCATATGGGTTGTGACTGTGGTTCCGATTCCTTTTGTGCTTTGGTGCTGGGGGGAGAAGTTGAGAGCTATTGGGAGGAAGTAGTCATCTACCAGGTCTACTTAGGTATGTGCATACCTAAATCGATGTGCGAACGGATTTCCAAAGGGGATGTAAGGGGTAAAAGTTATATCCATATGCATGAGAATAAAATTGGGAATAATGGAGTACTCAAGTATAAGCTTGTAAGCAAGATTATTAAATATTGGTAAAGCAATTTATAAACAACTGAATTTTCACCACGCCACCAAATAATCCTTCTTTCCACTGTTTATCCCGACAACATGCAGCTAGAATGTATCTGGAGAAGCAAAAAAGAGAGAAAGAGTCTACCTGTGCATTGTATAATCTTCGACGAGAACCGTACCTCAGGCTTCCTGCGCCCATCTACGTTCTCGTAATGGGCTCTCTTCGTCGGCTTCGGCAGACTTGCTGCCATCCTGTTCACGGCGCCATGCCCAGTACTCGCCTAGACGTACTTCGGCGTAGGAAGCATAGTCGAAATCGATTTGGGAAATGGTTGCTTGGATGAGAGCCCATACGCCCCTATAGTTCGTATTGTTAGCTGATTATTGGGCCGGTGAATGAAGGAGTATACTTACCAGTAAAACCCGGGTATTCCTCTAAACCTATCGACATCTTGAAACAGCTTTTCGACAACTTTTTGTTGCTGATCGGGGTCTACGCCTTTACCACCGTGCTGCGCGAAGCTCTTTACGTATTCTGTCAAGAATTCCCTCCGTACGGAACGAGTGGGCAACATGTTGTAGTCGCAATCATAGCCGCCCCATTCGGCAAAGTGGTTGGCAATATCGAATGCTGCGGGTGACGGCGTGGCGTATTCATAGTCAATGAAATGGACGTCTTGAGAGTCTGAATGGCCGTTGGTAACCCCGTTCGCTTGTGCGTGTGGTATTACAATGACATTGGCGCTCAGTAAATCGCAGTGAGCAAATACCAACTATGAATTAAGATCGTTAGCTTTGGGCCGGTATATCATCAATCACGATATGCAAATAGGTCAAACATACTCCATTTGCACCAATGCCGCTTCCATCATCAAATTCGTGTAGAGTACGCTCCAATTCGACCTGGAGTGCTTTTTGGCGTGCTCGCTGCTCCTCTGTCTGAACAGGAAGGGCAAGGATCCATTTCTGCAAAACAGTCCACAGATTGGGTCCAGCTTGTCTTGGTCGAATTGGAGTTATAGTGCCTGCTGTGGGTGCTTTGGGCGTTCCATCTGACTTGTACAGATTGTCCTCATCATGTGTAGATGAAGGTGTCTGACTATCGTCGGCCGAACCTGCAATGGGAAGAACAGCATGCCATTGACCAAGTCGACGGGCAACGCCTCTCCAGACCGAAGGATTGATGAGATCCGAAGGGGACGTGACATGACCGCGAATGAAGCAGTACAATAACCCGTTCTTGAACCGGGCTAGCAACGGAGGAGCGAGGCCGTGTTGGGCGAGCAAACTATGAGATCTAGTCTCCCCTATGGAGATTCAAACAAAAGTAATATTTACTTAGCATGGCAATGTCGCATTGGGGCACAAAGACAAAAATTTTGTCATGGTACATACTTTCACGGTCTATGAGTATCTCGGTATGGTTACCATAGGCGCGCATGAGCACGGCCTCATTGTCAATTTGTTCATCGGTCCAGCCGGGCTTCCGATTGACAATTTTCAGTAACTACGTATTGCCTCGATTAGTATACTAACCCCTCGAAGTCGGCCTTTTCTGAAAGCCTCTGGAGAAATGGTCAGTCACACACAGTATTCGTTATTCCGTCTGTGAATCGCACGAATTCAATATTGTTGCCAGGACCTTCCCATTCCGGTTTGATGGTGAGTACCAGTCTGAGGGCGGAGGCTTGTGAATCGGCGTGGTCGTAGGTGAGGGGTATATATCTCAGGGATTCGTTCGCCATTCTGACAAGCTGCGTTACTGTATATCAGTGTATGGGAGATATCGAGTCTGCGAACAAAATCATGTTAGCTGCACACAATATACACAGAGAGGTGCCAAAAGTCACGAGGAGAAGAATAGACATTATCCGCCACAATGACGAAGATCTCTTTCGTAGCTGCGGGAAGGTGTCGATCCGGAAAACGTACTCAATAGAATGTCAACACCATCAACCGTGTCTGTCTGCTAATCAGAACCGAGATGAAGTGTCAAAGAAAGAAAGGAAGAGTAGTGAGTTGCTAAGTATTCCGGCAGCTCAGCTTAGTAGACCTGGACGTAAGTACTGATAACCGCGAGAGCCGCTCGGTGTAGCACAAACCGCACGTTGCACACTGTGTAGAACGAACTGTACAACGAGAGGCCAGGATTGAAAGGGGGATGTGGTCTCGTGCCCACAAGTGCCAGCGAACAACAACAAGGGGTAAGGTCAGAAAATCGCGAGCGAGGCGGAAGAGGGGCTCTCGGTTCTCCACGCCGTGTACAAATTTAGCCTCCGCCGTTTGATGGTGGACTGCACTATCAACAATGTCTTTGCCACAGTGTCAATTCAAGTTCAAAGTTGTTATTTGTGATGATATCGAGTGGCCTTTCTGCTCAATTGATGTGTTGGAAGTACTCGGTCATGTCTCATCCGTCGTCCAAATTCGACTGACTTGATTGTGTCTCTCGTGACATGTGATTTTGCCACTAGACAGACTGGGCTAGTGCAGTCTGTGGGCCGCTAAGCTAGTTCCAAAGTAGTATAGTCAAGAACTAAGTGGCACAAGAAGACAACCAATCATAATATAGTATGTAGACCCATTCCAGCGGTCTGAGCTTCCTCATGTCAGCGTGCTACACCCGTGGATCTCCCTCCGGCGCGGATCAACTATGATCCGAGAGTCATGTGACCTCCGTAAAGGGCTCAGCGCAGCTGTAGTTAGCTTCGACAACCAATAACAACAACTAACATTAACACCTCAAATATCTCCACGTGCTATTTCCAGCCCTAACCCTATCTGAGCCAACCTCAAAAACTCTGCTCGCCCTAGTCCCACAACGGCCTAGCGCCTATCATCCGTCCAGCCCTTTAAAACGGCTACTCTTCCGCATTCCTTTCTTTCCTTTTCTTTCTTCTTTTTTTTTTTCTTTCATCTATCATCAGTAGAGGTTTACTTACTTATGTAAATAAACATTCTATTTATCGGAGCTCCGCTACGGCGGCTTGCTGAGAGTTATCCTTTTTATATTTTTGAGAAAGATATAAATGGGTTTCTTTCCGTTCCCGGCTCTGTAGAGCAATCGCGTCCTCCTTTTTCCCAATCATTATATGGCTAGGCTAGGGCTACGTTTCGACGAGGCTTCCCATGCGCTTTAGCTGTGGAGGAGACGTGATATTCTTTTTTCTCTTATACGTTAAGTTTGAGGGTAGTTTAGTGGTTTAGTTGTTGGGGAGTTGGGACTTGTGTCCCGTTGTATAGGTGGGGATAGTATATAATGAAAAAGATTGCCACAGATTCAAATGTTCTATATAAATGTAGACTCATCTGGCCACAGCACGCATTCATTCGGTCATTCTCTTTGGACTTTGACATGTCCAGCCTCTTCAGAACACCCAACCGCATCCATGTGCTGGGACTTGAATCTATTCCATTGATACAAGTGAGATTACTCCGTAGAACATCAATATTCTCATCTTTTTACGCAAGTGCGAGGAGGGGACAGATACCTTCTCCATTTATTTTTGGCCCTATTCGCAAATCCCTTCACCTTGCCAGACGACTTTGTCTTTTCCTTCTGAGGTCCGAATTCAAATTAGTTGATTGGACCTGCGCTGTGTATATGTGTATAGCCATTCCAGGCGAACGAGATATGGTGGGCAAGACTTACCCTGATTAGAGCCGGACTGCGATGCCGCCGTAGAGGGCTGCTGATCATCCCCTGTAGAGCTTTTGGTAGGTATATCCTCAGCTTTCATCGCCCTTTGTTCTGTAAGATAGCTATCATGGTTATTGCGACGACAGTGATGTCTTCGTATGCTGTACTGGACTTTATATCTACTTGACTACGCTGACTGTCGGTCATTCCCTTTGTATCAGTTCTTTGATAAAGAGTATACATCCTTGACATGAAGATAAGAAGTCTTCACTTGATCATTGGCTCAATCTCCAAACTCGGAACAATGCATTGTTCATCTCCTGACTGATCAAGTACCTTACCTAAATACTATAAAGAAACGGACACAAAGATTTATAAGAATAGGATACTTAATCGATCTGGGGAGAGCGGCAAGAAGAGAACTAGAAGAAATGAGAAACGAACAAGAGAAAATAAAAAAAAAAATTACAAAGAGTCGTCTTATAGAAAGAGAACACACAAATATGGGAACCCTAGCAAAAAGAAAAGTCCCTTTGTAATTCCTGCCAAATCATCACAAGAAACTGGGAGGGGACTCCTTTGCCTTTTCCACTTTGCATTTGTCTCATGACCATTTTCCAGTTTGAAGAGTAATATTTATTTCCATACTCATGCCTTTCCTCCACAAACACCATCAGCGCGAACCACACATGGAGAGAAAAAGATAGACACAAAGGACCACCAGATTTCTCCCCCTCATAGCGTCATTATTTAGTCACGGCCAGTCTTTCGCAAAGTCTCAGCGAGCCACTCCAGACCTTCGTACAAACCGTCACCAGTGGTAGCGCAAGTAGATTGGATGTACTAGAAGGGACAGCATTAGCATCAAGTCCAAGTTATTTTCGAGGAGCGATGAGGGACATACCCAGGCACGGCGAGTCAGACTCTGGAGACCGAGTTGTTGAGTGATTTCGGCAATGCTCATTGCATTCTGCGACAGTTAGTCAAGTCCATACTCTACATTCAGACGACTTCATGTACACACCGGCAAGTCCTGCTTGTTGGCGAAAACAAGGAGAAGAGCATCACGGAGTTCATCTTCGTTCAGCATACGCTGCAATTCCTCACGAGCCTCGACGATACGGTCACGATCGTTGCTGTCGACGACGAAGATGATACCCTGGGTGTTTTGGAAATAGTGTCGCCACAAAGGACGGATCTTGTCCTGACCACCGACATCCCACACGGTGAACTGAATGTTCTTGTATTCGACAGTCTCGACATTGAATCCTATCAGTTCCCATCAGCGATCTCGTTCCATTATTCTTTCCTTCATGCATGCGCAGGAACTCGAATCACATCGATAATCGCCAGGCCAAAGGTTGTATGAGAAAAAGAGAATAGGTCGACTAACCGATCGTAGGGATGGTGGTGACGATTTCACCGAGCTTCAACTTATAAAGAATGGTGGTCTTTCCGGCAGCGTCGAGACCGACCATCAGAATACGCATCTCCTTCTTACCCCATAGCCGATCAAGCAATCTCGAAACCACCAAACCCATCTTGGCGGTATTGAGAGGTAGACTAACTGTTAGACCGGAAAGAAAATTGTCAGCTTGGCTGAATATGTGATGATCACGAGGGGTAGAGTAGGGATTGCGGTGTGGTGGTGTTATCTGAGACAAAAACAAAAACACGGCGGAAGAAACCCAACTCAGGAGGCGCAAGGGGTCATGCGAGATGAGTCGATAGACAGTAGACGATAAGGAGGATAAAGTGCAGTCATAAACAGGCCCGAGTGAGAAGCATAAAATCTCATGATCGAGTTGTACAATTGTGGGGGTAGATGGTTTTGGTATTTCGCCTTGGGTTGTGAACCTCGTGTCCACTTATGGCTGTTGCAGCGAGCGGGCAAGGACACAAGAAGCGGAAAGAGAGCGGGCAGCAGGACATGAGGGAAGAGTCGGAGGAGAAAAGAAGAGTACTCACATTGAAAAGAGGATAGAGGGTATTTTTGTCGAAGATGAAAGCGAGGAGGTCTAGATGGAAGAGGGAGAGTGTAGTGTAGTGTAGACTTTAGGCTGGAGAGTGTTCTCAGCTATGGCGGAGTCTTGCCCAAGGTGAGCAGGGGGAGAATTTCTGTGCTTGGCCCAGGTCAAGAATTGCGCGGGACAGCGTAGTCTCGGTCACTAGGAAAGAGTATGAGTGGCACGTGATTTCAGCCTCGCCTGACGCATCCAACACGTGTTGACCACTGATATCTGAGATTACTGATGACTACACAAGAAGAACAGCAAAGCTGCCTTTTTATGCTATAACAATCTCACGTGTCTGCCTACCTCGAAAGGACACGGTGTTGGAACGATTCTATGAAACTGTGTTCTCTTCCTGATATCAGCGTCGGGTTGCCTCGACGACCGTATCTTCCTATGGGCCTATGGCTATCTGTCTGGTATAGAGATCAGGCACCAGCTTTTTTGAGACGAGATACCAGGCTATTAGGTGAGCAACAGGATCCAATGGCCCCTAAATCATTGAAAATCTTTCTCAGGAGTACTGTTTCGATGTGCTCATTATGTCGATGTAATGTATAACTGGTTACTCTTGAGAATGCGGAGAGCTTTTCTAGAATGACCACATCAATATGATCATTGATCTCATGTAGTTACCGCTATCGTCTCGCACGCCTTTGAGACATGAGCTCCATCGACTTCTGCTTCGAAGAACTGAACAATGTCCTCGTAACTGAGCGATATATAGTTTTTCCTTCGACTGTATCGCTAGCATACCCAAATAAGGTCAAAATACCTATTGATAAGACCATCAACACTGCAAATGCGATCCAGTACGCACGCAATGAGAGAGGGCCTTCAATATCTGGAATCTGGATACTGAAGTATTGAGACATCAAGCTCACAGGAAGAAACATGATCGTCGCTTTTGCCAATAGAATTGTAATGCGAGTCAGTTTTTCCACTGCTTGTGAGTCTTTCAGAGCGATCAAGTTGAAGTTCTGTCGATAGTCAGCACCTTCTACCATTGAATATGGTATAAAATATTACCATGAACGTTAGGGTTTCTTTCTCCGCCAAGCATGTATCAATTTCACTCAAGCAGTAAAGTCTTATGCGATCTGCTAAGCGCTCAAAGCGGCCAACTGCAGCTGATGTCAGTTGCACACCTGCAGTATAGTCGTAGGTGCCGGAAACATCTGCCAGGCTAAAAGACATATGCGCGCGATCAGGGTATTCTGCGTCATTAAATGTGTTCGCATTGCGGGTGTTTGCGTGTCGAATTTGAGCAGCCTCGTCACGCAAGAGACGCTGACGCTGCAGAATACGCGTGATGACTAGCTCATAGCTCTGATAGAGATGCTTCAAGATAGCAAGACGCCGCCCAAGCCAATGCAGATCATCTACCAGGTCGACGTTAGGCTTCGTCAACATCCTTTGCCTCTGATATTCAGTTAGCATTCATATATACATCACGCCATCATCAAAGAACTCGCCAATTCATCCAGCAGTGCACCATACTTGTGTTCTCTACGAGCTACCAGGCGATAGCTCGACACCCAGTCGTCGAACATATAGTACAATATCAAGCCAGGGCCGTCTTCCTGCTTAATGCTAGCTTCGTCAGGCTCGATGCTGGAAAAGTGGCGCACGCGCACAGATACCAAGGACTCGTTGTCAGAGACCAATGGATGTTGTTTGGATGCACCAGAGAAAATTGAAACGACATTCCGTCGAGTGGCAGCTACCAGCACCATTTCTTCTTCAATAGAGGGCATGTATGGACCAGGAAATGGGTTCTCTTGCATGGAGATGACAGTCCCTAGCAGGTAAAACACGTCAGAATAGTGGACAGCCGTTGTAATGTCAAGCACGCACCATCATCACATAGGATAATCCAACACCATAATCTTTTTCCCTCTGGTAGACCTTTTCCATTTTCCAGGATCTTATTGTTGACCTTGACCGTATAAAGGGAATTGTATCCAATGCATGTGTCTATGAACACCGATCAGCATCATCTCTGAACACCACAAAGTAGTCGTACATTTTGGTCCGTAATCCACTGAACAGAAATGCCAGATCTGATTGATGATATTGGAGAATGACAAGTACCCGAGAGAAGCCACTTCCGCACTCGCAACCGCAGGATCCAGCTTGTCAAGATGATAAGCCCCTTCTAGGTCTCTGCTCGATACTGTCTGTTGAGGTTTTTCGTCCGACTTCTCAGCAGGTTCCGACTCTAGTAGGTTTGGCTCTGCAACAGCAGTCTCCGTTTGTCTCACTGGATCTGTACACATCATCTTCACTAGGCGATAAGATAATCCGTACCGGTTTGCAAGAGCCTACAGATGGTCTGTTAGCTTCTCGAACGGAAAAGGAAACTATGAGACGCACTTTGATAGATTCTTTCTGGGTCTCCGGAGCCCACAGATGGCTTTGCAAAATCAGCAATTCAGCATTGACACTAAATCAACTTAGTCGTGACTTACATCCACCTCGTCCCAAACATTTTCGGTCTCTGACGTGCTTATTAGCCTGTTCATATCTTGCCTGTAGTGCAAGCCATACCTGATCCTTCATCAACGATACAAACTCCTCCTTTTGCAAATCAAAGCCGCACCATGCATCTTGATCACCAAAATCAAGAACGAAGTTGCGCGTAGTACCGTTCAGGAGTGTTTGTTGACACTGGCGGAAATAGTGAGCATCATCAATATTACTGAATTTTTCTGCAAGGGAAGGTTGAGAGGATAAGCTCTTGTAGTAATCGACAGCTGTCTGATGATTAGCCATGATAGATGAAGTCATCAGTCAAATCGATCAATGCTGATCGTCCAGAAGGGCGGCGTTGGATAGCCCCTGAGCAGGCGAATACCGAGACTTATTGAAGAACATAGAGAGTGATAAATTTGTAGTATTTTTTATCGGAAAGACTCCCTTCTGATATAATAGAGACGAAGAGTATGTAACATTAAAAGGCGAAATTGGATGAATGACCTTGGACTTAGAGGTCAGATGAGGCTTAAGGTGCACGAGGAGCTCTAGGCTACTGCAGCCGCCCGCGCCCTGAACCTTTCCCAGATGCACAAGCCACAGGTCATGGGAGCATCCCCATTGGCAATCATCAAATAGCTTACCTGAGTCCAGGTCCATGCTTGTTTCACAGTATGCTGCAGACAAGACTACCCTAACAACATGGAACCTGCAAGACAAGTGTCCATGAAGAATGCCATATGTGTCTGGAAGGAGATTAGAGAAATTTGAAGGGGCAAGAGCCAAAAAACACCTTTATTTTCTAGCCTGCAGTAAAATAGTCTGATCTATCTATCCAATAGATCTATCTACTCTCACAGAGTGTTCACTGAATGTTGAATATTTACTAATACACACTAGTAGCCAATCACATGACAAGTCACGGGACCTCTTGACGAAGCAAGTCTTGGCATTTCTGCCAAATGTTAGGGCATGCTAGTCCTGTTATGGTCTAGCGTCAGGCTCTTCCCACAAGCGGGGGAAATCTCTTCGCTTTTTTAAGAGCCTCGAGCCTCGTTACCTGTTGAATCTCGAAACTGAACGACATTTTACGCAGAGCCACACCATAAGAACTAATCATTCTTCTGGAAGACTGTCGCCATCATGTCTAAGATCACAGTCGGTAAGTTTTATACTCTACGAACAACTATGGAAGAAGAACTCGCCATCTAAACTTCAATTTTCAACAGCCGGAGTGCGTCAAAATGTCCAACAGCTTCTGGACTACTCTCAAAACACCAAGAAGCGTAACTTCCTCGAGACCGTCGAGCTTCAGATCGGTCTGAAGAACTATGATCCCCAGCGTGACAAGCGTTTCTCTGGCACCATCCGCCTTCCCAACGTTCCTCGCCCTGGTATGACCATTTGGTATGTTGTCCGACTTGTCCGGCAAGGGAAAGTATAGTTGCTGACTGGATTACAGCATCATCGGTGATCAGCACGATCTCGACCGTGCCAAGCACTTGGGCTTGGAGTCCGCCTCCGTCGACGACTTGAAGAAGTTGAACAAGAACAAGAAGCTCATCAAGAAGCTCGCTCGCAAGTACGATGCTTTCGTCGCTTCCGATACCTTGATCAAGCAGATTCCCCGTATCTTGGGACCCGGTCTTTCCAGGGGTTAGTCCCTTCCTTCTTTTCTCTCTCGGAATCAATAATGCTAATATCATCTAGCTGGTAAATTTCCTACCCCCATCTCCCATGCTGAGGACATGGATGCCAAGGTCACCGAAGTCAAGTCCACCATCAAGTTCCAGCTCAAGAAGGTTCTCTGCTTGGGTGTTGCCGTTGGCAACGTTGGCATGACCGAGGATGAGTTGATCTCCAACATCATGCTTGCCATCAACTACCTTGTCTCTTTGCTTAAGAAGGGTTGGCAGAACGTTGGAAGTCTTGTCATCAAGGCTTCCATGTCTCCTCCCAAGCGCCTGTACTAGATTCTGTGCTTAATTGCATTGAATCACATGTTTGGATCATGGTCCGATTGACTGAAAAAAAAAAAATAAATAAAAAAATAGGCTAGTTAGGTCCGAATAAAAGACATTTCAAACCTTGAAATTCCCTGCCGGATTTATAAATATGGATAAGATAGTTATACACAGAATAGAAAACGAAATAGCCGTCATTGCAGGTAATGCAGTTACTGCATACCCTCCATTAACTCCGTCTTATCAAGAACCATTCCTCTGATACCAATAAATTCACGAAGACTCTCCCATTCCTCACCCTCCTCTTCACCTCTCCTGTATGGATCCTTAAAACCCCAGGCTACTGCCACTCTATCGAGCGCACCTCGCTCTTCCTCTCTAAGCCACCGATTTCTCAGAGGAATACCAGGTGCCCACGACACCCGCTCCATTTGATCGTTACTCGTAGCAATGGCAATAACTCCTACAGAAGATGTAAAACCTATATATGCAAGTGTCGCTGTGAACGTGATGCCAGTCGCCATCGATGGATCCATTGTATTTTGCATACTAGCAGCCCATGTCGCAACAACATAAGATGCCAAGGGCGCAGTCGCCAATCCTGCAAGAGGAACAGCAGCATTCTTCAACAGTTTAGCTCTTGTAAACGCTGGGGCACAAAACGTCGTGTCAATAATAGCAAGCGCAAGCGATAAATTCTTCTGCTCCAGAGCAATCTCCAATGCTTCATTTGCTAGTTTTGACGAGATGGCATTTTTCACGCTTTTGGGGTTCTGTTGGCGGAACTGGATGGGTGATGTGTTGGGTTCTGGAATGGGTTTATTGGCGTACAGAGAGAATACTTGAGGGAGGTAGTCGGCTCGCTTGAGGAGGACGTGGATCTTTGTATATAGCTCGAGGACTTCTGGAGAAATGAAGACCTTTTCATCCCCTAAGAGCTCGGTGAGAAGCTGAGATATAATATCCACAATCCTAGGCCCTGACTTCTTGGGTATTCTGGATTTTCCGGGCGTGGCATGCTTTTCGTCAAGACCGAGTAGTGAAGATGCCGCAGTTGATTTTGTCGCCGTCGTCGCCGCAGGTGTATTTTGATTCTCTTTCTCATGCGGTTCTTGTGCTTTCAAGAATGATTCCATAATCTGTAAGCATTCTTGTAGTAGCGCAACTACCGCTTCTTCCGACACTGCTTTGTCTGAATGACGCAAAGCTTCGCATTTTTCTTTGATTTCGACCACCGATGACTCTATACCCGGGGTTGACGACAAGAGTCTTCTGAATAGATGCAATGGCTTCACGACGGACGGTCTGATCGCTAACAATGGAGCACAATCTCGTCGCAATGGCGTGTTGCTGGTATGATATTGAAAAGCGCTCCTCAATGGTGCGCGCTGTAACGTGGAATACGACACGGTCTCTGTTCGTTTCGAGTACTCGCAAAATTGACACACCGATCTTCGCAGCTTAGGTACCCCTCGAGGGCGTATAAAGACACTACCCATTGTGTGCCTCATTATGTTGTCGAAAGCAAAGAAGGTCAAAAGTCAATCAGACACGTGCCTGAACTTTCTGGCGCTAAAAGGAAAGCACAGGCGGAAATGTTACCGCCTAACAATTATGGGTCCAGATAGGCCGCGGACAGCCCAAGCCTTACTCGTTTGCGCCTAGCAGCACCGCCACGCGAGCGCTCAACGACCCAAGTGACATCGTTGGAGATACACTGACTGACAAAGAGACTTCATTCTGTTTTAGCTTCACCTACAACATCGTATGTCGGCACTTTTCTACGTCTCCAACCCTTCGACTCGGCGACCTTATTATATCGACTCGTTCTCACCCAGAACACCTGCCTTGCGGGTATCTGGGGTCTCGATCTTACAATCAGCTCACTTGTCCTTCAACTTGATTCTATAGAACATCACGATGCCTCCTCCGCCGCCGCCTCCCCCTCCTCCACCTCCTCCGAGCATGGGAGGTCCTCCTCCTCCCCCTCCACCGCCGCCTGGAGGGAGTATACCTGCTAGACCAGCTAAAGGTGCTGGTGGTACGGACAGGGTACGTTTCCAATGAACCACGAATCCATACATCAACGTTCATGCACTTGTGTCGGGCGAGTTCATTAGCTGACTATTTACATAGAGCGCTCTTTTCGCAGATATCAATAAAGGTGCTCCAAAGTTAAGAAAAGCAGTCACCAATGATCGATCTGCTCCTATTGTTGGGAAAGAGGCCAAATCCAGTGGTCCAGCGATTGGAGGAGCTCCCCCAGTACCAGGCATGCCCAAGGCACCCGGTGGATTAGCACCTCCTATTCCTTCGGCGAATAGACTACGAAGCAGCAGCGACGCAGGACCTACAAGAGATGATAGTGGAAGCTCAGGTGCGACCAGTGGTCCGCCTCAATTGGCTGGTTTATTCGCAGGGGGTATGCCTAAGTTACGCAGTCGAGGAGGCGTCGATACTGGTGCGAATAGAGATTCTTCATACTTGTCGGATTCAGAATCAAGTCGTCCACGAGCGACGGCACCAAAACCACCAGTGGGTGGAGCGCCGAGACCACCGGGAGCTCGACCACCTCCAGTACCTCCCTCAGCACCAGAGTCTCCTGCGCCCAATCCATTAGTCGCTAATTTGCGAAGACCACCACCAAGGCCTGCGTCACGGCCTTCGTCTACCTTGGAAATACCGCCGCGTGCTCCTCCACCTCTTCCAGGCTCAGGAAGGACTCCTCCACCACCTCCCCCATTGGCATCTCGAAAGCCGTCTGGTACGGCACCGTCAGCTCCACCACCGCCTCCTCCTCCTGCATCAGCGAACCCAGCACCACCCAGTGCACCACCTCCACCACCATCTATATCTGCTCCTAAACTTCCAGTCTCTGCACCCCCACCACCACCATCTTCAGCTCCACCTCTACCCAATGGAGCTGCTGCTGCAGGCGCATCAATTGCAATGCAAGCCGCTCGAAATGCTTTTGGAAATTCCCATAACCCTCCAGCTCCTCCAGCGCCACCTCCACCTCCACCTCCAGGCTCGGCGCCCTCACTACCACTCGCTAGTCCACCCCCACCACCTGCTACATCACCGCCCGCATTAGCTCCTCCAGGACGTCCGTCTGCATCTTCTACTCCCGTATCGTCACGTCCTACCTCATACGATGACCATTCCCTTCGAAACCAAGGGCGGTCAGCGCTAGACCCAAGCGCTTATACTTTGAGCAACGGAACATCGACCCCGGTTTCGCATCCGTCGTCACCAGGACCGACTCGAAGCGCGGTACAAGATAACCGCTTCAAGTTCCAGGATGAAAGTTTACTTCCTAAACCTCGACCTTTTAGTGGTGGAGTGCGGAGATATCGTGCTGGCAGAGGAAGTAGTGTTCCACTTGATCTTAGCTCGATAGGATAGATGACGCGTTGTTTACTGTTGATTATAAAAGCTTCGACTTATCAGCATTACTATTCCTACTATCGTATTTCTATCTACTGTGAGGATCAAATGGCGTGTTAACGTAGGGCGTATTTGATTGAAAGCTCCTTTAGAATTCCAAAGTGATCACATCGATCATTTCTAGTGCATGTCATACTCTGCGTTCATTAACAGATGAATCAATTGCTGTGTCTTCGCGCGCCATTGCGTAGTCAAGTCTGTTGCAGCGTCGGATTTGGGTTCCAATTCGTTCATACATCCATATTCGTCGGACGTTATGTATCGTATTGAAGTGCTATGTCGTAAAAAGCGGGCATGCCAATACCCTTACGAGGACAAGCCTCGTTTTCTTCCCTTTCCATGCCGGACACATATAATCTTCAAATCGAAGAGTGATAAGAATCATACATTCTTCGTCCCCCGAATAACCTCCCCCTTAACTTTACTCCAATCAATATCATTGTCAATCCCCTCATCCACCTCGCCGCAAATAACCACATTATCGCCTCGAATCAGGTAGAGGCCATGCTCAATCTCGGAACTGGGTTCGGGGTCATCTGGTGTGCGGATTATGCGTTCGACAGTTTGGGTGAGGACGAGGTTTGTGAGTTGGTCGGTTGAGAGGAGGGTTCCTAGAAGAGTGCGGCCGTCGACGGTGATGACGAGGACTTTTTCTGAGGGTTGTTAGTAGGTCTTTGTTTGTTGGGGTGGGTGTAAGAAGAGTCTGGCGGTATTGACGAGGGAAGCTCACTGTTGATATATGAGCTTAGAGACATAGCGACTGATTGGAAGATTGGTTGGGATCACTCCTCGAAATGTCGACAGTTTGATATCTCGATGTCGGTGGTAGGTAGCTAACCCGCGCACGCGCCGAAGTTCCAGACAGAGGGATGACTGGACTCAATGCATTACATAGATGAAGCATATAACGAGAGACTTGTCGAATTGAATTTGAAATGATTAAAAAGTGGCTGAAGCTATAGGCATGCTGTAAATCGAATGTTTGGCATGACGCTAGATGTTTCTGAGGTAGAGGTTGAGATGGATCCAGCTCAAATCTTGAGGTTAGCTCCACCTTTGTTTAAGTCTTGGCGCTTTGAATGAGGCTCCCCATTTTCTTCAATCTCGTTACATCTATCTGCCTTTTTCAGTTCATCGTATACAATCCCAGCATTAACTTCAATTACTCGGTCTCAACAGGAAATTATCGCACATAACCTGTTGGCAATCACCTATTGCGAATCTACGGCTTCAATCCCCGCAACCTACTCCGGAGCTGGCTGCGTCCATACTATTCCGTACCGGCGGATCCTCATCAAATCATCGCCTTATCGGCCTCGTATTGCTGACATTTACCTTATGAGTTTGCCTGCTGCAAACTGGTGTTTTTCCTAAACATGCCAACTCAACCAATTAGGCATGCTTCCTGCGTCACGCTAAATTCATCAGCCTGGCCCCGGAGATCTTCAGCCGCGTTCCACAGCTTTGGACAAGACGTTGTGAAAGAATTCTATGGCTGGTACCGCTTCATATCTGTATAAACAATTTGGGCTTGATAGGTTTTTGGTCTTACTGCGTTTGTCGCGGAGTACTGAAATGGTCCGTTTACCCTTGAGTGACATCAAGTACAAGCCGTGCGGCCCTTTACACGTCGGATCACCACATATATATACACGCCCCGCATACTATCAATAAGCCGACTCGCGAATCAACTGTGCTCAATGCCGGAATTGATTGACCTACTTTACCCGTGGCCAGTGGTCTCGGCACTGGCATCTCATCTGGGAATCGGGGATCTACTGCACCTATCTAGGATAAACAGCGAGTTCAGGGCAGTCCTACACGGCTTCCCACGTCCCAGACAATCGAGTTCGCCGTCGTCAAGCCCAAAGGATGAAGCGACTGCCGAAAAAGTGCGACAGGATATCTTTGTTGGCCTGCATCAAAATCCATATTGGAAACATTTGAAGAGTATTGCGCAAATGGAGTGTGCAGAGTCGGAGCATCGGAAGGGATATCATTTCGGTTTGTGTCGGTATTGTTCTAGCCCTGTATGCGATGCTTGCATTGTGCGGGTAGGTTGTTCATCTCGTATTCCTTGATTCTTATTCTCCATCTAACAACAGGTGGTAGGAATCATTCGCACAAAATACCAGTGCCTGGCGCACTCGAACGCGCCATCTCTGCACAGATTGCTGGGCACTAGGCAATCCGCATAAAAGTCGCAATTTCACAAAGCCACCTTCGACCTTGACCTCATATAACTTCCTACCGGGCGATGGAGACTTTTGTCGCTGTACTGTGCACGACGGTTGGCTCTGCTCAGGTTGTCGTAGGAAACAGTGCGAGGATGCAGAGGCGCAGCGAGTGCGTTGCTATGGAGAGGGGTGCGCGAATATAGCTGGTTGGGATCGAGAGAGACGAAGTATATGTCTTTGGTGTGATTTGCCTTTGTGAGCTGCATGGGTATGCTCGGGTAATCAAGTATTGCAATCTCGGAATGTACAACGCATGTAATGACTCGTGAGAATGAGCGAATTCAAGTCGGCCGAGACCTGTATAGATATGTCAGGAACTAGGGGCCACACACTGACTCGTGATATGGAGCAGTACCTGGACATGCTGACTCGCAACAAAGAGATTCAAGCGGTATGGCAAAACCTGACATGTCATAATCGCTGCCCACGTGCGGAACATCGTGCGATGCATACAGAGTCGGAGCACGGAGTTACTTGCATTACAAAATGCTTATTTACATTCAAAGCTTACTACAATAAGTCTAATGACCGTGCAGTATCAACCCTCGTCCAATCCTTCATACCGCTACGTAGTTAGGTATAGAAGTATAGAAAGTCATACGTAGCAAAGCCAATGATCCACCCCATGAAGCACACGTTCCACATCAAAGCGTATGATCGTTGCGCCCCATGCGGCGGTGTAACGATCCCCACTGCGGGTTGATCATCACCGACTCTTTTCTGTCGGTCATTGTTGTTTCTGATCTACTTCAAGTTCGAGGCAGAGTACTCAGTATATGTAGACTGAATAAGAAATGCTTCAACAGTCCAGCCAATCCGCGTGACAGAACAAGAGTCAGATACGCGCTAGTCCGCAACCGGACTGGTGACACACTTAGCGGCGGCAGCATTCAGCCACCAGCCAATGAGAGTGCGCAAATGGGGTACTTAGTCGGGCAACTAAGCCCAAATGATTCCCCTCCCTCTCGCTGAGTCTCGCAACTTCCCCTTGCTCAATCAACCTCACATCGCCGTCTTCCCAATGTCAAACCTCTCTGTTTCGTTTTCACTCGCTTTCCCGCCTCTCTCTGTTTGAGGCTTTCTTTGCGTGTTTCACTTTTAAATTGGTCTCGTCGTCTTTGAAGTTTGTGCTTTTCCTTTTGCTGGTTCCTTAGCGACTACTCCCAGTGGATATCCGATCTGTACAACAGTACAACAAGTCTAAAAACGATAGAAGGTGTACAGATCCCCGCACTCAAGTTCGATTTGTATCACCCACATATTCCGCCAGCATCACATCGCCCTCCGGGCTACTTGCCGCCGTCCTCCATGCGCTCCGTATCCAGTGCCAGTCGTTGCGTGCAACGCCCAAAACTGTCCTAAGTGACACTACCCTACCTATCATAAAAAAGTCAGCGCCATGTGGTTAGCCCGCGGCGTACAGTCCGCCATATTCTACTATGCCACATGCACTCCCTGTGCCGCTGCAGAGGATCGACGTCGCCGGAAGAAGGAGGCTATACGGACCCAGCGGGAACAGGCCAAGTCCGCCGTGATAGTTACCGATCAGCCACGATTATTCCCTCAGCCGACGCCGTTCAGTACGAATGTGGGATGGATGGAGGAGATTGCATTGGGACCGGGTCCGCCGGCTCGTCGACATCGCGCCAGGAATTGTCAGAACGATGGATTACCTAGGTTATCGTCCACGTCGAGTATGACCGTTGAAGGCTCTGTGTTATCGGGAGGGAGAGAAAAGGTAACATCTTTGAGCGAGAAATTACATTGGTCGCGCTTCCAGCGAGAGGATGAAATACTTTGGGGCGAAGAAGAGGATAATACCGTCCAGGGCTCGTCGGTTGGTATTTCCGGCCGTGCTCGCGCTGGAACGGGGCATTCGAATAAATATTACATTGCGAGAGCACCCCCCGTGAACGATTTGCATCCGCCCATAGTGAGCGGTCCGACGAGTCGTGCCGAGACACGATGGATGTTACAGCCGCCCCCTAGTGCCAAGGTCATGGCCGGGAAGGCCAGGCACGATGTTTCACGTGAAAGTCGAGGTTCGAGCATAAGAAGACGAAGTCGTATTGACATGAAGATCAAGGAGTCCGATGAAGAAGAGGAGATGATCCAGGAGGGGCAGCTGAGTTCCATCACGGATCGGCCTGACTGGTTGATAAGAAAAGCGACCAATTCATATCGTCGAACAGGCGATAAGAAGAGTCGGCCTACAATGCTTGAGATTGATACGAAACTGTCCCCGGGAAAAGTTGACGGGAACTACGGCAGTCTACAACCGCCCCCTACAGCAGCCACAACAGAAACAGGACGATCAACATCCATGACCAACGTTCGTGCATATGACGAATGGCATCTCCAATTATCACCTTCCTTTGACTCCCGGTCTAGTTCGCCATCGAGCATGGGGTCGCCGGACGACTCGCTCCATTGGCCGGACACGCCGTATTCACGACCTGATTCCAAACGCACGGCAACAGATCCCGGCAAAGTGTTTCATCCATCGTATCTCAATCTAGCGGCTTCCGCGAATCGAGACGAGAATAAAAGTATTGAAGCTATACATCTTGAAGTGAATGAGCCGAGATCGAGAGAACAGATGCAGCCATTGAAATGGCGATGGAGTTTTGATATTTAGCCTTCTCCCCCCTCCCTGGGGCAACATACCCCTTCCAACATACCACGAACACCTCTTGTACAGTAATCCACCATCCTTATTGCATTCTCTTTTCTAGCATCATTGCATAACCGTCTCTCGACATCCTTTCATTCAACCACTTTTTTTTTCCCTTGGCAAAACATACAAACGGCGTATATTCCTTTTCTTCTTGTTTATTGAATTTGAACTGCTTCCTGGAAGGTTGTGGAAGAGCTGTGTTCTCCATGACTTGTGTCTTCGTTTCGCTTTTGGTTTATCATTAGCCAGGTTATATGGTTGAAGATTCTTGCATGCATGCGTTTTCTTGTACAGTTTTTTAATAGCTGGAATGATAAAAGCTTCATTTTTGCTTGTTCATTCACTATTCATTTACTTGCCCGTAATCCATAACATCAGGTATACAAGAACACAAATCTATCAAAATAGAGTAATAAACTTGATGAACTTGCTCATAATAAGCTCATGAGGTAAGTAAATCCCTCACACTCATACCCATCCTCTTATCCCTCGCCGAAGATGACGACGAAGAAGCCAAACTAAACTTCCTATCTTCATTCCCTCCTCCAGCTTCACTCATTGATGCCCCCCGCCGATCCATATTGAGCATTAACAACGCCGCACTCGCTTCTTGGTCGATTATACTATCATGAGCCACGAAGACGGGACTCGCCATACTCGCCGCTGTATGAATGGATGATATACTTTGTCGATGTTGCTGCTGGTGTTGTTGTTGGGGTAGAATAGCGGGTGACGGTGTGGTAGATGCGATTTGTTGTTGTGGTACGCGATAGGATTGGAGTTGTGTTTGTAGATCTGTTTGTTGTTGTTGGGCGCGGATTTGGGGAGAGTACAAGGGACGTAAAGCTGGGGATGGGAGGATGGGATGATTGATTCCGTCTAGGGATTGGATTTGTTGTTGCGAGGAAGAAGAGGTTATGGGTCCTGTGTAAGGGGAGAAGGATGGGGAGGAATAGTATGTTGATGTTGCGGAGTGGGTTGTCCTGTTGTCTTGAACAGGTTCAGGTGATGAGGAACCTGATGATGATGAATCTTCGTTTGTCAAGGGAACAAGTGTTTCAGGTGATGTTGGTGATGGTGGTGCGAGGGGAGGATTGTTTAGTCTGGGCTTTTTGGAGACGGAGTTTGTCCGTCCTGCTGCTGTAGAGGCATTGTTTTTGAGCTCGGTGATGCATTCTTCCAGGTAGTTCATATAATCAATGCTTGCCTATTCCATCAATCAGTACATATTTCTGTAAAAGTTGAGTGTTTGATACACACCTGAAGAATAGCAAGCTTGTGCATCTCCTGTCCCCGACAGGCGGGTATCATATCCTTCAACGTCGCAAACTCCTCATTCATCTTAGACCGTCTCCGTCGTTCAATTAGACTATGCGCTGTTTTGCGCGCAATCTTGCGTCCAGCTGCTGAAGTAGCACTGGGCTGTTTTCTTTTCGACTGTTGTTGAGGAGAAGTGGCGTCATTAGTGGTAGCTGCTTCTGCTGGAGTAGCTGTGGCATTGTTTCCTGTTTTCGACATAGTTGCAGTCGAAACTGAGCCTGATTTGGCTGTTGACTGTTTCCTTGGCGGAGATTGTTTGTTTGCTGTTGCTGTCGCAGCTGCTGGTGTGCTACGATTAGTCGGCGCAGTCTTGGGTTTCATCTGTATAATCTTCCTTGACCTCGTCGGAGGAGGTGGCAGATTAAACTCATCCAGTGCCGCTGACGAAGATGTAACCGTCGTCGTACCTGCAGCAGTGCGTTTCGTCCCCGCGCGAGCAGTAGAGCTTACACTTGTCTTGCGCTCAGGTGATGCAGGTGAAATAGGTGGCTGTGATATCATTGACCCCTTGCGACTGTTTGGGCCGTTGGCAATCCCACTGTCGCTCAATGCGGCGGGTGGTAATGCAAATGAGTGCTCAGACATGGCGTCTATAGCCTGAAAGGAAGAGTCCTTGATAATGAGCTCGCCAGATGCGGCGGGTGTAGGAGGGAGATGAGCTGGTGGCATATCTTGTATCTTTTGATAGGCGGATGGATGTCACTGTATCACCAGCAAGGACAATGGTCAATTAGGGAAAATGGTGATGTTATACAGTACAGAAGAAGAAGAAGATATACGATAACCAGCAGGAGAGATCACATGCGCTGAGATGCTGTCGCGTGCCTTGTGCTCCAACAATCGCCCCTGATAGGCTGGCCGAGCTGGCCTGTAAAAACGGCTCTGCTGAGCACGCGACAGGGGCTTGCCACCTAGGGCTAGTTGATGATACGCTATGTATTTTATTTTGTATAATAGCACTGAAATAAAACTGTAACAGGTGGTATGGCATTAAAGTGAATCTGATTATCTGATTGGCTCAATTAAACATAGTTCGCAGCGAGTCTCACGTGTTTTGCACTCCCAATCCAGCCAATCACGAATCAACGTGCTCCTTGACACAACGGTCTTGGCACGCTGGGTAGTTCTCCCAGCTACAACAAACATCAAACTGTCAGCAACAACATAACAATTATAGAATGAGGAAATAGGACTCACCAGAAATCATTGTCATTCGGCAACAACTCGGCACACTGATTCGCCAAATCCTAGCATCGCAAAGAGCAGCTATCCTTGTCATCAACGCGTATCTCGGGCGCCTCGCTAAAGTCTAGCGCGTTGGGACGCGGTTTGCCGTTGGGTTTGGAGATTGGTTTGCTCCAGAAGGGCTTGTCTGAGTCCTTGTTGGTGGTGCTGTCTGCCTGTTCGGCGAGTTCTTGAACTGGGACGCTTACGTCGTTGGCGGACGAAGGGCTTGTCGAAGGCTTTTGGGCAGCGTGCGTTTCTTGAGCGGGACGATGGGCGGATGAAGATCCTGCTGCGACGGACTTTGATGGTTTTGCCGAAGATTTGAATTTAGATGATGGCCTTGGCTTTGATAACGAAGGAGCTGCCGAGGATGATGCTTTGGCAATCGAAGACATGGACAGCATGACTTTGCTAGCATCAGCACCAGCGCCAGCGAACGGTGTAACTGTGACCACCTGTGCCGACGAAGAACCGGAAAGAAGATCAATGGCACGCAATTTGGCGCGTCCGTTTCTCAAATTTGAAGGTATTTCGCCGCCGTTGTATTGTGCGGCCATTGATGTACCGGCCAGCAAGGCCACAGAAACGGCGGCAAGATTTTGAAAGTACATTGTTAATTTTGTGATCAGCCAGATCAAAGGAGTGTGGTGAGATAATCTGGACGAAGTCAACCTTAAATGAAACGAGGGACAGGGATGAAAGGAAAGTATAGACAGTAAGACTGAAGGAGCATCAATTATTTCAAAGTCGAACGGAGGTCTGCCATCCTCTTATACTAACGATTAGTGACTCTTGACTCTGACAGACACGTCATGCCCTCAAAGGTTGATACGGATAAGACGCGACTCGAACCAAGTTTGACACTGGTATGGATCTGCCGCGTAAAATATTTTCTGTCTACATGTCTTGCGGATCAAGCTTCAGCCTATCGGGCGATAGGCTTGAGGTATTTGGTGTTTTGAGCGGGATGGCTTGCACATTCCTTCCTACACACGATACATTCCGGAAGTGTAGTACGTATACGTATGTACTCAGCCAGTAGAGAAGAAGGGGCTTCAGTCGGCAATATATTTGCTATGTACATTGGCAATTGCTTCGTCAAGTATTGGCAAAGCTTCTTTGTGGTCCCAAAGCTTCTTTACGGTTGACATGGTTACTTACGTCAATGAAGCTAAAGACTTTTCTTCACAGCTATTGACATCAGCCATTGGACTTGACCTTCCTGTGCAGAGACACTTCTATCTGCAAGGTACCATATGAAGATCTGCGTACGACATACTCAGATACATGGTATGCATACCAACCCGACAACACCATAACCAAAACCCTCGGATTGACAGGTCTGCATGACAGTCTGCATTCAACTTACACCCACATCGACCTCTTGAGCTAAATGCTTTCAAATACTCTGCTCTTAATCTAAATCTTGGTTTATCTACGTCTAGGTGTGTAGAATCAGCTGCATGAGCCGGCAACACTGAATTCAATATATTAAGACTGATCCCTAAGAACTAGGGTGCGCACCAGTGTCGTTAGAAGGTAAACTAATTATTCAGGCTACTGCAATGTCTCAAGATCAATTGATAAGGAATAAAGGCACTACTCATAGCAATCAAACTTGCATTTGCGATTTCAAAGCTCCATAAAATATACATTCCTACCATAATGGCCACTCTACTGCGACGGGTTTTCGGCAGCAAAGGCGCTGCGTAAGCTGTTGATATCACCATGGTCTTCAGTACATGTGCAAAAGCCAAAGGCGACATCCTCTTTAATCATACACTGAAGCGCGGAAATGTGCCCACTACACAGTTTACAGCCCAGTCTGTGCGTCTCACAGACTGACTGACAGTCATAAATCAGTTATTAGGCTGTATACTGTCGACACCAAACGTAGCACGCATCGCGAATTCCGTGTTGGCATACCTGTCGGTGAGAGATTGACTGCGCAGTATCAAGCAACTCCGAGGCAAAGTAAGTGAGTTCACAAACTGTGGTCCCCAGATTGCCGTAGATAAAGACAATTGGGGCTTCAGCGGCGCCAGATTGGCGTTTCTGCTGATCCCATCGGCAGGCGACGATGTCGAGCATGACATTGTAATCGAGTGGGATCTATCGCTTGCACCCTCGGCCACGAGAGTTGTGTGCACATTTGGGTAATTTGGAGACGACGAGAAGCTATTCCGAGTCTTCATCCGACGCAACGAGTACAGGTGCGCTTCTGGCCGTGGTCTGCACAGGGGTTTTGTTTTTGCTTGGGCTCCGCTCTGTCCCAAGGATGAAGACATGATGCAGGATTTTCTCATGTATGAAATCGCCCACAATTGGCGGCGTGGACTTCGGATTTACAACTGGCGGAACTGAGGATCTTATAGATGGATGGTTCAATGATGGCATTGCGGAGTACTACTCCTTAATCCTGCTCTATGTATTCGGCATCTTGACAGAAGATCAATTTACACAACGGTTTAACTGGCGTATTTCGAGCTATTATACAAACCCTGATCGCGCAGTGCACAATAAGGACGTGCAAGATCGATTCTGGCTTCCTGGACGCGTACATCGGATTCCATATCAGCGCGGGTATATGTACTTTGTACAGCTTGCCTACAAACTACACAACTTGGGTAAAAGACCGCTTGATGAGTTAATTAGAGCAATGATCAAATTACGTGCAGCAGGGCCAGCCGCATGGCATTCATGTATAGTTGTCGCTTGTCGAAACAGAGCTGGGACGACCCATGGCACTAGGCGACTATAAGGACATGTCCAACGCGAAGCAAATCATACTACCATCAGACGGTGCCGGAGTTTGGATTTCGAACGGCAAATGGAACCTTGAGCCAGTGGCACAAGAGGAGTTCTATCTCGAGTTTCCAGAGGAGAATCTTTCCAGTGAATCTCGGGTGATTAGAGGTTTGGACCTCCAGTCAAGAGCGGCAGAAGCTGGCTTACGAGAGGGCGATGGGATCACTTGGGGATATAGATTTCTTGTTGATGAAGATGTTTGGCCAAAGTTGTTCACCATGAATGTGAGGGGAAGCAATGAAGAGACACTACGTAAAATCCACTTAATGGCCTCGGAGCTGGCATACGGTACAGAGTTATCAGTTCGCTTGATTACATTTACACTGTATATATGTTCAATCAATGCCACTACGCATATCTGTAGCACAGCAGCGTATCAAGAACTTCTCGGGCTCGCAGCTCAGCTTTCATCGACATCGAAGTATCGAGCTCCTAATAAAGCACAAATGAGATGTCAACACTAAACAAAACATCTAGCTCCAATTCTATCTAACCATAATATGCCCCATCTATTCCAGTAATGATCAAGTAAACAAGAACGTAGAGAATAACAAATCGAACATGATGTTGGCACACAAAACAGTAGCGCATGTAGAAGACTATTCAAAAAGCTTCTTCATCAACAACATACCAAAAGTATCCCCACCAGGCGACTCCCCAATCCTAATAATCCTATTCCCAGCTCTCGAACTCAGCCATAGACCATGGTCACTGTGACTTTCCACCTCATCTTCAACTTTGTGTCTATTTCGTCGATCAACGACACACATCCCTCTCGTCCATTGACCCACTGTCTCAATTCGGATATCCTCCGGTGATGTCGGTGTAGGTCTCCATCGCGGATCATCCGATGTCAATGCGTACCATACACAGACGGGGTCGTGCAAGGTGAGACTAGCTTTTGCGCCTTCATGGCCTGGATGGAGACGCTCAAGGGTTTGGAATACGTGCGCCATGAAGGCGTCGACCCATTCGGCTAGAGGACTGCCGGATTGGAGTAGTGGAGTGATGGTGTGGTCAAAGTCGCCGCGAATAAGATCGTGATGGCTTGTGATGTCCAGTGGGAAGAGTTTGAGTGTTAGTCGCTTACTGAGTTTGGCTGGATAAGGCCGTAGTCTTTTACTGGGTGGAAGGGTGCTTTGTGGGTTGGGCGAAGTTAGGGCAAACACACGTGCTGCGGCAACGGCGTCGGCATAGGCGTTGAACTCGCCTACTGGCGTGACCTAGACAGTTTTAGTCGTGCGCTTCGCAGTAATCTTCAGATGGGATGTTGTAGCACATACATTTCCTGGATCGTTGATAGTCCCTCCCATAACGACGACTTCCTTGACTCTAAGGAAAGTCTCTGGATCCTTAGCAGCCGCCAACGCGAGGTTTGTAAGAGGCCCGACAGCAACAATCGTGACGGTGTTCTCTTCATTTTCTTTGAGAACGCGAAGTATCTCATCTGAAGCAGGTTGTTTTGACGGGATGAATGATTGGTGAGATTCTGAAGGAGATGGGCCGACGTTCGGTAGGACTTCGGGGTCTGATATTGGATCGAAGAGATGTTCCCAAGACTCGCCGGGGGTGAGATGAGGGTGCTATCGTAATATGAGATTAGTGCATATATTTCCGGAGAGAACGCAACTCACGCTAAAGTGAATTCCACCCAGGCCGTCCTTTCCATCTAGAGACAACCAACAGGTTAGCGGCCAGACTCAGCTTGTAGCTCAGCGAATGCTAGATAGATTTCATACGGAAATAGTCTGCCAGCATCTTCTGGTCATCCAGCGGTTGTTTAGCGCCGACTGCAATGACGGGTTTGTGTGCTCGGAGCGTATCGAAGCCCTCTGGTCTGCCTTGTTTCTTGCGCCATGCCATTTCGCGTTCAAGGATATGCAGCATTGAGACGACGTTTCGTAAGCAGCTGTTAACATCAGCCGTTGTCAGAATTCACATATTAGGGTGGTCCGGAGCGAGGTGATCAAGCTTCTTGCAAGGAAAGATAGGAGCTGTATATTATCATACCTCTCCACTTCAATATTGCCAAATGTCAATGAAATAAGCAACACCTCAATCTCTTCCGGAGACGATGCAAAGGCGAGCAGCATAGCGAGAATATCATCGATACCCTATATATCTCGTCAATGACCCTTGGTGGCTCTCCGGACTGGGACATGACAGCTTACCGGATCGGTATCGATGATGATCTTGTTCTTGGCCATCGCGATCGAGTGTCTCCCAAGTGCTGTAAAGTAGTGTGTTCCTGTATGTTTTCAGCAGTGAGCTGAACTTCAGCTCAATTTGTACTGGGGAATGCCTTATGATATCATGCGGAGTCTCGAAGAAGTTTCCCCTCCCCCGCTATCCGCCAGCCCGCGATTGGCTGGTCGATTGTATACAATGTTATGCAGCATTCACACGATAAAGAGTCATCCAGATCTATTTCAGTATCAACTACGCTGCTTTGAGCCCGCGGCCAGAACTGTCTCGATATGTTTCCGGATAAAGGTGCCGCGCGGAATAAGTAGCGTGTCTCCGCGACCTCTGGTCGGATAAATCCGACGAATTTGGTGGGCAGACAGAGGGTGTACGTGGCCCAGGAGATTGATTCGGTGTGGTTGGACCAAGCGCGATGTTAGTAACACGTTGCTAAATGCTAGCAATTGCTAGTAACTCGACTATCGAAGCTTGTGTTGATGGTTAGAATATCCCCTGGGAGAGCTGTGCGATTGAGCTCAGATGATTGTGCCATCGTGGGCTTGGGAAAGGAGTTGATAGTTGTATATATATATATATATATATATATTGTATATATTGTGCCAATTTGTTGTAGAGAATCCATCAAACTGTGTATACAACAATTGTATAGATGGAGTAGAAGTAGTGAATTAAGTGTAGTGTTGACAGAAAGGAGAAGGCGGAGACCCCTGAAGCTCCAGAGAGGGTGACGTCCTCCCAGCCAACCAGGCCACAGCAAAGAGACCACCTCAACCATCTTGCCTCACAATGTCGCACTTCTCCTCCTCCACCATCTGACTCCTGCAAACAATATTCTCCTTCACAATTCCCTTGTCTCCCATTCTTTCTCTTTCTTTCCTGTCCTATCTCTCTCAGCACTGCTTTAATCCTCACTTCCTATCCCTGGGAAGCTTCTACTCCTTGCAAGGCTGCTGACTCGCTGATCACGACGCCCCAATCAACAATCCTGAAAGACACTTATCTCACCCTTTGATTTACGACATCGTCACTGTGCAGGATCTAGATTCATCATCATACGTCGCACGATCTGATCTTATCTGTGCCTAATCCTATTCATCAACCTCAACTCAAAGGACATCTGGCATCTCCATCACGATCGCGGAACAATAACCTCTGCATCCCAAGCCACACAGCCCCGCAACTTCGGCCTTGGGAGCCGAAGTGCAGCATCTTAAGAAACGTTTCTTGAACTCCATTGATCTGTCCTCATGAACTGAAACTCATACCACTTGTTCTGATCACGCTACTTGCGAAAGGCTGGTAGCATCACACATCCAATACCTTTCGCGAGTTCATTACTTTGAGGAAACCTCGTGGTAAGATTACACCTCGGCTATAATCGTGACTGAACCATCAAACTAATATGATTTGTGCTGCAGGTCACCATGAATCCATACGTGAGTTGGGCAATTGTGCTGTTGGTGGCTGCGGGACTGGGATATCACTATTCAAACGGATCGAAGGCCAAGAGCAAGGCACCAGTTCGAGTCGTCCCTGAGAAAGTCGAACCGATCCCCCAAGCCGCTAAGCCAAAGAAACAAAAAGCGCGCAAACAAGCCGAACCCGCAGCGAGCAAGAAACCAGAGGAGAAGATTCAGGAGAAGCCTGCTTCTACCACCAAGGCAGAAACCGCAATTGAGGAAGAAGAAGATATTGATAACAAGGAATTCGCGAGGCGTCTGGCTGCGGCCAGATCGGGTGTGTCTGTTGGTGAAACAAAGACAAAGGCGTCCAAGGAGAAGCGCTACAAACCATTGCCCCTTACTCAGGAAACTGCTAGCAGCGATTTTTCCACTCGCGCTCCGTCCAGCAACGGAGCAGACGCTGATGATGACTTGTCTTCGACCGACTTCGTCGCCCCTTCGGGTCGTGACGTTTCCGACATGCTCGAGAAACCAGCCCCTGGCCCCTCTGTTATCCGTGTGATCGGGTCCATGGAGACTAAGGCGAAGAAACCCAAGGCTCAGCAGGCATTCAAGCCAGTTGAAACCAAGAAGCAGCGCCAGAACCGCCAGAAGAATGAGGCTCGCAAGCAAGCTAACCAGGAGGCTGAAGCTGAGCGCCGCAAACTTCTCGAGAAGCAACTCCACACAGCCCGCGAAGCAGAGCGCCGCGAAGCGAGCCGCAAACAATCTGCAACCTCTCCTCCAAGCAATGCCTGGGCCAATACCAATGGCCGCAGCGCGGCTCCCGCTCCTGCAGCCAACGGCGCTCTACCCTTACTTGATACCTTTGAACCAACCGCTCCAGCGGCTGCTAGTGGAAGCTCCACGGGCGCATGGTCCAACAATCTGCCTACAGAAGATGAACAAATGCGTATTCTTGGCGTGACTGCCGAGGAGGATTGGACTACTGTGTCGTCAAAGAAGGGCAGATCAAAGAAGAAAGCCAAGGGAGACGAGAGTGCCAATGAAGCTAGTGCTTCTGAGGCTAGTTCCTCTTTTGAACACGAGACCACACCACAGCCAGTGGAGTGGGTTGCGCCAAAGGTCGCACAGGTCCCAATTCCTCGTGGCAAGAACCACCCTCTTGACTCGGACTGGGCTGCATAATTGCGACAGGATAATACCAAGAGACGGTATCGACTTTAATTTCTTTGTGTGTACACTTTAGGAAATCAAAACAGGCGCTTAAATCATTGGGTGGTATGTTTTTTTATTGATTTATTGACTTGCTGGAAAACGAGAACAGGAATTTGGACACGCTTGTCATGCATATGAACAAGTTGCCCAGAGCTGTTGTATTCTCTTTATTCCCTTTATTGTATTCTTGCTCTTCTTTTGTGTGTAAGTATAAGCTCGTTCTTTATTTGAGCTACAATCAATACCCTGGACTTTGTGTGAGTTTTCTAATAGTTTAGAGTAATCTGGACACAGTCCAGATCTTCATGTGAACATCGTCCGTGTCACTGTCTGTCCAGATGTAGATCTGGACCCGCTACTCTATCTGTAAGAGAGTCCGGACCCAGTTATCAGATCATATGACAGTATACAGCAGTCGTGATATATCAAAACCCATCCACAACAGTCCCCAACCCCTGCTCACTCGCCATCTTCAACAAATTCCTCGCAATAACAAGATCCATAATTCCCAGTCCGACACACTTGAAAATCACATTTCCCTCCTTCTCTTCAAGGGGCAAAGTAGGATCAACCTCACCCAATTCAATTAGTTGCTTCTCATCAACTTTGGCCATGATCAATTCCCCAGCTTCTTCCATACAAGCCTCGACCGAATCGACGTATATTCTACCCTTGACTCCCGACAAAAGTGTCCTAGAATCAATCTCTTGCATGTGCGGTTTATACGATCCGATCAATGAGATGAATCTCCTTTTGTTGCTGCTGGCCGTGAGATCGTTGTACGTAAATAATGGTTCTGTAGAAGGCGTACAGCAGAATATTGCATCACTCCTCGCCAGATCTGCGCGTAGTCGACTCTGATACACATCTTGCGTCTGTTCCTCGCGCGAATACGTCTCAATGTCAAGATGGGGATACCGTCCTCTCAAATCAGGCACCAATTTCGACGAAATACTCTCCTCAAGCCGTCGTTGACTTCGATTAATAAATATCATTCCTTCAATTTCCATCGGATCTGGGACAGCTAACAATGCAAGTCTCGCATGCCATTCAGCCTGTTTCCCAGACCCAAAAATCAAAATCTTTTTCTTCTTCTCCTTCGTGTCGTAGAACCGCGAAAATAGAATCATACTCGCAAGCGCCGTACGAAAGGCAGTAATCTCCGCCGCGCTCATTACACCCTCCAATCGACCCTCCGGAGAAAGGATGTTGATTACTCCCCTAATAGCATTGGTCGCCTTGGTCACTTTTGGTACAGTCACGACTTTGAAGCCTGTAGATTGATAATCGGATACGGGCATGAATAAGGTTGTGGACTCCCATTTTTCGTTGATGATGCTTGTTCGTTGCGGCTGGTTGATTATGTTAGTATTTTCAGTAGTAGTACCCCTGTGCTGTGCTGAGAATGCGTGCAAAGCGGTGGAGAGATGTTGGAGGAGGAGATGGGTTTCGTGGTGATTTAGGTTGTGGAGGAGTTTGGTGAGATCTCTTTCGGAGACGGCTAGCATTTTGATCTGATTCTCTTGGGATGAATTTAAGAACACAAGGATAGGAGTTGAAAATGATGTTGAAACAAGCTGGATTTTCAGCTTATGTATCTACAACGTCTGTCGGAGTATCCCGATCTGAAATTCGCTAGGTAACGATCCGCTGTCGGCATCATGCCGGCCCGGTTTATATCTCTTAAGAGTCTAAGTTCAACTAATAGTTAATCAACATAGTATTAACAAATATGCAGTGCCTCATTATAAAATTTCATATCATGAAGGGTAGTATATGGTTGTGGCCTTGGTCAACATATACGACACATCCGGTATATTATCTGCCAAAGAGTCCATCAGTTCTATCTGTTCTTCTTGACTCAACGTCCGGCCTCGCCAAGGACCTGGCTGATTCGAATATTGGGAGTATTGATCCCCAAACGGACCCAACCAGAAGGCGGGGTCGGCGCTCATGTTAATATAGCCCCCCTCACTCGTAGTGACTGGCACCGTTGTGTAGTTAGGGTCCCAACTAGGAAGACCAGGCACAATCGAGGGAAAGGTATTGAAGGGTGTAGAAGGATCAAAGTTAGGGTCACCGTACGAGGCATACATAGGTGTGTTTGCATACTGACTATGGTTGATGTTTCGTCCGTGTGGCTGTTTGCTGGTATTGGCATTCGGTGGTACTACATGAGCCTGTGAAGGCATGTATATGGGAGATGATGAGACCTGAGTAGTCGGCGGGGTAGACTGGTCTTGATTCGGGGTGTGTTTTTGAGCAGGTTCTGCTGAGGGACCTCTTGAGTTTGGGATGTATTTTTCTGCATCTGACGCCGTCGTCGCCGCAGATATAACTGTTTGTACGGAATGTTGTGACTTGGATGACGGACTTGAAACAAAAGGCGGCGGCGTTGATTCTTGTAGTGACACTGGTGACGGCTGGGTTGATGGTGTATGCACAACAAAAGATTCCGCAGTGTCATAAGCTTTAAGACATGCCGTTATGAGGCTTCTATATAGCTGTAGGGCGGACTCACATCCTGGCCATCGTTGTGCTGATATAGCGACCGCCTCCAAGGCGATCTGAAGATAGGATTTGACTTCCTCAATATCGTGCTCTATGCGGATATCAGGATACGAGAGCGTCCACAGCATTGTGGTGATGGCCATAAACAGAGATTGAGTGGATGCCCATGTCAAGTCAACAGAGCCAGTTGACATCTGGTCCATGTGCATTTTCACATTGAAGGCACATGCGTCGTAACATTTTCGAGCAGCTTCAACCGACGGTTCCGGTATTTGAGGAGAGGGCCGATGTAGCATAATAATCATGGTGTTCTTTCGGCCAACGAACCTGAACACAGACGGATTAGTCGCGCTACAGCCGACCAAAACATCAACGACTTACCAAGTTTTGCTCAGACCACTGCCGCCGTCCTCCTTGGGACATGATTCAACCCAGTGGTCTATTTTGGTCAACATCTGTTCGAACCAAGGATCTTGGTCACTGAGGGGAGCTTCTCGCTTATTCAAATAGAGTGTCCGCCGTATCTCTGCTTGCAATAATCGCATTTTGAAAAAATGTATTGCGATACACTTGGCCCAAATTGGCTTGGCTCCTGTCAGTATTCCTTGCGCAGTGATGAAACGGTCGTCCACGAGTTGGGGAAATTTGATATTCAAGTGATCATGGCTAATGCAAAATGCATTCGGACGACCTAAACTATGAGCAAGTCCAAATTCCATGGTGATGACGACCCATGCTACTCGCCGACGCATATCCATTTCCAAAACATTTAGCGGCTCGCCTGATGCGGACTTGGTGATGTTATCCTCTTCAAGAAGTCCCAGTTCCTGAGTGAGCTTTGCGGCTGCTCCAACCACCCAGTATGATGCCGTCCTGGTTGGCGTTACCAAAGAGTACTGGGCAATTAAGGCCAGACACTGCAGGGATCTGAGGTCCATTCGTTGCAGCGATGGCTGCAGAAAAGGCAGAGCTGCTAAGTAGTAACTATCGGCCAACCCCGCGTACTCGGGACTGAGTTTCTGCATACTGATTGCAATGACCATCCGTAGTTGGAAGTTTTGGACAGCGTCTTGAGATGCGCCGAAAACGTCCTCCGCATCTTGTCGGAACGTCGGCTCATGCAACACTGGAAGCATGGCTTGACCTGGTCATAAATATAAATGTTAGAACCGTCTTCGGGTTGGTTTCGTACGAATGATAAAAACTTCACCCACCTTTGACCATGTAGAGATCAATTAGCTTGTTGGTTAGCCCCCGTGGGGGTAAGCTGTCTTGAGGTACAGAACTAATCATCGGATAGACCTTAGATGTCGGCTTGGAGCTCTCCTTTGCAAACATGTCACGAATCTCTTGCGCAGTCATTTCCGGGACGACGTCTTTGATACTCTTCGAGTCGGTGTTTTGCTTCGCTAATTCCATTACCAGCCTCGTTATAGCAATCCCGCTGGACGGTCCTAAATATCTCGGCTCATCATTTGCTGCAAACCTTATACGACCGGCGCCTCGAACCATTAGCTCGGCATCGGCAGCGTGCCTGACTTCTTTTTCTGCTACCTCAATTTCTCTTTCAAGCGCACGAGCTCTTTCTCGTAGTTGGACTATGTAGGAGCGGGAAATTGTCTGGTTTCTTGTCGAGTCGTAGTAGACACATCGCGCATTGCTTCGTTCGCATGGTTCGCATCTCGGTATCCCTGGATCGCATCTGGATTTTCTCTGTGGGAAGATGAATGATCAGTTCGACAATATCAATATCAGTGGGTCGGATATCTCTTACTTGTCGACATCTCGTACAAGCCGTCAGTGTATGAGCTATCTTTCCATCCGGCGCATCCTGTAGAGTCTTGGCCGGTGCGCCGGTTTTCCACGGATTCGTAAAGTGCGGTCGAGACGCCGACTGGGCTGGACGATCTGCCATTTTATATCCTTGTATGCTCAAACTGCGCGTGGATTATTGAACAGCGGATATAATGGATTAGCCTCAGTCATGGTCCGTGAGTAGTTATCTCCCTGCGGCGTTCAAAATTTTTGGCGCACACGAAATATCATTTATTTTGTTTTAAGCGGAAAGCACAGGAGCATATGTTACACCGGCCAAGTTTTCATGTATCACGATTCTGTTCTCTTTGCTTCGGTATACGTCCTCTTCGCCGGCGACTTGGGTAGTAATAATGGCGAACAATCTGTTGAAATCGCAAGTAGTCGGACTAACAAGAGCCTCGAAATAGTGAAAGTTAAGGTCGACAAGCATTCCTGCTAGTGAGTATCCCCACCAATCGGCATGTATTGTTCATGAGGAGAAAAGGTTCACCCAGCCTGAGTCAGGGGTCTCTTGACAACGTTCCAGCTACCGTGCAGCTGGATGTAGCTTCTATGCCCGACCGTTGCTGTCGCAGGGTTCTGGATTTGTCGCAAATAGTTGTAGTGCGGGCTAACTACACTGCTATATTTAGAATTGATATTGGACAAGAGCATAAACCGCACTAAAGAGTGCAGTATGCTGTCAACGGTAGAGCTGGTCCCCGGAGTGGAGGGCAAGAGCGAAACATGAATCGCGCGAGGTTGATCTAGACGGTTGACTTTCTTATACGCTCTCTGCAATGGTACTACTTCTTGATAGCGACCGTATCATGCAGGGAATACCATATCGGTGAGTTAGATTGCGCGTGGAATGAATATGAAGCCGAACAATAAAGGTGATTGAAGGGAGAAGCCATGGGTATACACTCCAAGAAGTCCCCGAATCCGAAAGGAAGAGTCGCTAACCGTCTAGACTCTTTGTGATTGGTTGCACCAAGCTCTGCCCTATTGATACCATTGGGACACTATCTATTCGATGAATATAGCTAGAGTTTCTCACGTGTCATTTTTGGTAAGCAATCTAGATAAAAAGACTAAATAAATGGTGGTATGAAAACCACTGAGGAAAAAGGAAAAAAGGAAAAAAAAAAAACGTCCCCGGGCGGGATCGAACCGCCGATATCCCGGTAGTCTGCATGTTAAATAACATGACGATAACAGCCGGACGTCGTAACCACTGGACCACGGAGACTTGTTAAGATGCGACTTCCGAAATATGGCACTATTACTTCTTCCAGACAATGAGTACACGACAGCGATCTTATCATCTCGAACACTGGCACTGTCCGTTGCATTTAGCTGACAAAAGTGATTTGCTGAGCCTTACAGAGAGTATGAAAAGGAGACGGAGACCCAACGCCTCATCGATCTGATAGGACCCCCGCCTAACACAGGACAAAAAATATGATTGGTTGTGTAGCTTCAGGTACTAGCGGATCTTGTTTTTGGATGCCGATCTGACCAATCATGAGAGCACATCTTTCCCCATTTAGATTTGTGTTACTCGCACTGCGCAAAAAAGCATGAAGTTCCACACTCCACATCATTTTTGTAGGAGAAAAAAAAAGACGTCCCCGGGCGGGATCGAACCGCCGATATCCCGGTAGTCTCTCATATCGTTGAGATATGATTGTAATAACAGCCGGACGTCGTAACCACTGGACCACGGAGACATGTCGACCCGCCGAGAAAAATGTTTACAAGAATGGCCGAGTATATCGGACGATGGAGGCTCCGAATTCACTCCAAGTGTAATTTTAGATTGTGATTGGTGCAAATATGCCTTCAGATCTATATCGGTCTAATGCTTAAGATTCATTGAGATGTGGTTTTGAGAGGTTCCCTTCTTCGTGTAGCTCCCATGTCAATGCACGCTGATTGGTGCATCGATCTTTGGCTTTCAACCCCACAAGCCGCCCCCGGCATATCAGCTTCGTAGATCTCAGGCTCACCACCTTCAACCTTGCCAGGGTACACTCCGTACTTGGTTGCACTTCCTTAGAATCAGCCATTTTAGAAGTCAGTCGCTTCTTATTGGCGCAACCTTTTGTAGGATAGTGATACGGAAAAAGACGGCGTTAGGAAACCCCTGTACCCGGTTGATCAGGCTGGATAGCTGCTCACCCCGCCGATAGTCTGGTCACGGTCAGACCGTGAATAACTCCTCCTGCGACACGAAAAATTTTGCACTCTCGGTATATGGTCCATATTCCCTTACCTCGGCACATTCTTCTTGTGAATCTGTGACGAGGGATATCGTCTTACTCGGCATCATCTTCATCGATACTCATCCAAGTTGTTCTTGCCCACTGCCATTGAACATGCAATGATCCGTTTGTTGGCCACCTTGACGTCGCCACTTCCATAGTCCAAATTCAGAGACTTGCAAGAAGAGACGGACTAAGGAACTTTTCACTGGTGAGAAGAATGTGATACGACTGTTAGCAATGCCTTCTTCAAGCTTTCTCGATCATCCGGTCCTGAAAGTGAGCCGTCCCGTTGCAGCTTGCTTAAGATGTCGCACTGCCAAGATCAAGTGTGATGGGAAGCTGCCATCCTGTTCGGCATGTGAAAAAGCTGGCAAGGCCAACACTTGCTCTGGCGCTACAGATGAGTTTGCCAAGGGAAAGGAAAGAAGCTACGTCGCATCTTTGGAAGGCTATTGCGAGAAACTAGAGAAACGCCTTGCCGAAATGCGCCGTCTCAAGGAAGCGCAAGGATCGAATATTAGCAGTGGACAAGAGGTGCCACAAAGTTCTATTACGGCTTTTGCAGCCGAAAATAGTAGCTCAAGGGCTCATCGCAAGGAAGTTAGAGATATAGACGACTTAGTCGGAGACTTTGGCTTCCTGTACGTGCGCAGTAAAAAGGAGCTGCTTCCTGAAAGATGCTAATACTGATGATATAGATCCGTCAATGCCACATCACGAGATTTTCATGGCATCACGTCGAATGTGTCTTTTGCACAGTTACTATGGACGTTATCCACCGTGAAACTGCTTCCTCAACTATCCCCTCGATCACTACCTTCTAGGCAAGAAGCGACAAGTCTTATTCAATACTATTTTGACAATATCTTGATACAGCTACCACTCTTTACTGAGACTACTTTCTGGACCTCTGTGGAGGCCGTTTATCAAAATGGTGGCCGGTTCGCGAAGCCGATTGATCAATGGATGGTATATATGGTCCTTGCAATCGCATCTGCTTCACTATGGCATCAACAGCCGAGCGTCAATCGGCAGTTTGCTTTATCAATGGTATCCGCAGCAATGCCGCTCGCAGGAGAAGTCTTACAGCCTGGTTCAAGCCTCGGCGTCAAAGCTATCCTTCTTCTTGCACAATATTCACTTTTCGATCCCGAACACTTCAGTCCTCGTTTTTTAGTCTTTTTTGCGGCTCGCGTCATGATAGATCTGGGGCTCCATCAGGATCCACCAAGAGAAGTAGTTTTTGATAGAGAACGTTTGGAACAGCGACGACGACTCTTTTACGCGCTTTATACCATGGATCGGTAAGATATTTGCGCGAAATCTACCACGAAACATACTAATATTGTTCTCCTAGGATCGTGTGTACGTCTCTAGGGCATACCTTTTCATTTTCTGATCATTCTGTGGATGTTGATCTTCCAGCCGTTCGTGCGCTTCCGGGGAATTCCCCTGATGAAAATGTGTTCATGAAGAGATTGGACTGTGCTATACACATGATCAAAATCCGCCGGATTTTATCGAAGGGCTACCAACAGATGTACTTCGATGGACGGGATCCTGTTCCTCATGCGCTAGCTCGAACATGGAAACTTTGCGCAGAAGCTCGAGAGTGGTATGCCAATGCACCGACGACTACAACCACTTCATTCGGTCTCTTGTACCGACTTGAACTACTATACTGTACAATTGTTTTCCTATCGCCCTCATTCGGTGACCCGGATATTTGTGACTTTAGCCGAGTCGTGCTCTTTGATCGATGTATTGACTATATCAGTCAGCTACATCAAGTTTTGGAACAGCCGGGCAGCCTTCCCTTTATGACATTTGTGGAGATTCGGCGGGCTTATCAGATTGGAGATCGATTGGTTAATCTCTTGGATGAGAGCTATGATTTGCTTTTGAGTAATGAGCTACCTAAGCCACCAGCTGTACCTTCTGGAACCCCTGATCCTCCTTATCTTGCTGTCGAGGACAGGATCAACTGTCGACCACGCGCCGCAAGGTGTCTGGAGTATATAATCGACATTCTACACTACGGTTGTACTAGGTGGAATATGCGAGGTGAACTGGACAGTTTCGCGCGGGACTCAACGATAGTCAAGCAGCGACTGTCTCCAGACGCTGGATCATCTTCTCAACCGAGCTCTCAGATGCCATTATATACATATGTTTCACAGGGTGTGATATCTACCGACGCCGAATCTGTGTTGCAACCATATCCAAACCCCGGCTCTACCTACCATTAACAAAGATAATTAGTGAAAATGTGGCAGATATACCTATTTGTCGTGTCATTAATACCCATCCCTAATTGAAATCTATAGCATGAACTCATGTTGACTTGTATCACATGATACGGGATCGAGGGGGTTCGTTCCTTCCTTATGCTCGTTTTGAGCACACGTGATTATTTCTCGTGAGGGCTCCGAACCCTCTTCATCTCACGAGATAGCACTTACATTGGAGATTACATCACATAAGCTTTCTGTTTTAATACAATTCACCATGCGTTACTATCCGTTTCTTATACTTGTTGCAGCCTCTATGTGCTTCACTCCCCCAGCGAAACAGCTCTCCAGCACCGGTGGCCATATGAACCAAATCCATGGAAATCGAGATCGCCTCATCGAGGATATCAGGGTCTGCGGCCAATTTCTCAATGGCCTCGATGCACTTTCTGGAGAAATGGCCAGTAACTCTACGTTATTGAGCTTTGTCGAGGCTTGTGAGAGAGTCGTTGTTGCTTTGGGTAGGGAACAACGTATACAATCTCAAGAAGGGCGTGCCATTCAGGGCTTAATTAGAAAGGATTGGCGATTGTCCTCTGGCGAAATACCAGGAACAACTCCGAGTGTGCCCCGCAAACATGTTGCTGCCTCTCATGCAACTATCCTCGAACACACCTTGCTCGACTACGGTAAAGATCATTCAGAACTCAAGTACCGTCGGGAGGAAATATGTGAGGACAAAGTTTGCGCAGTCGAAAACCTCCACGATATTTGCAAGGTCCAAAAGATTGATCCGAACATGGCTCAGACTTGCAAGATGTGCTTCCCTGAGAAGAATACTCAACTTATCAACGCACATTGCCAAGCGAAATGGAAGCGCGAGCAAAAGGCATTCTATGTTGTTTCCTTCGTCCTTATTGGAATTACATTGATTAGCGGGCTTATACTCTATATACGACGTCGTTATCTTCGCGCGAAAAACCCTCACGCCGACGAGAACGCCACTAATGAAACGGGGATCAACCCACCAGGGGAACTCTATTACTACGACGGACCGAGATCAATATTGCCAACGGAACGACACAGCTCACTAGCGGTAAACTGTTCTCCAGAACCTCGTCAGAATGAAGACTCAAAGAGATATCACAATTCATGGGATGACAATGAAGACGGTGTGATAAGCACATCTGCCGCTCACCGAAGACTCAAGCAACTTGGCATTCTCTCAAGAACAGGGCGCAAGAAAATTCACGATTTGTTTGATTTGGAAGCTCTGCAGTCCAGGCGTGGGACTATAAAGGATTCCCAGCGACGCTCTGATGAAAAGGATAGAGTGCCAGTGATGCCCTGGGCCCCAAACGCAAGTGTCCGATTATCTAGCAGATCCTCCCCGACTGTGCGACAGGCAACACGTTCAAAGACTCCGTCAGCAGTTGAATTGCAAGAGATGGCATGAATCCTGACACTGGCCTCTTGATTAATATTTATTCTTGATGCGACTATGGTTAAACCAGTTCATGAAGCGGTCAATGTATGTTAGTAACATGATGAGCGGTAATATGTTTTTAGGAAGGTATAGATCACTTATTGGAATTGGGAATACCCTAATAGGAGATACCTAGGTATACTGAATGCAGCCGAATAGCATCTTGCGTCCTATACAATTGTCACTGTCCCCTCCAATCTCCAGTGATTCATGCGTCTGGGCAGGTACCATCGTCCTCTTATATACAGACGGTACGACAGTGTAAGCAACCACTCTGAAGGAGAACAATTTAATGAGCTTCCACCATATCAATAACCAGCGTCGTCATTCTCGTACCTTGCTACTAGATTGTCTAATGAGGAGAGCTTTACTGAACTACCAGCGTGACTATCCAAAGATGACCAGGGGACGGACGCTGCTAATGTCAATCATCTCAACCCTGCCCACTGCAAACAGTCGGTTCTCACATTAGAATCGCAATTCAGAGGACTGGTTCCTCACTTCATTTGATCTTTGATTAACCCTATTCAGGGGTTGGGATGGCGGAGATCCATTAGACCATTCAAATCTGTGGCACTTAAATGTTTTATGTATTTGGATTTGGCTTCCCTAGATGAGGCCAACGGCCTTTTGTCTCTATAAAGTCAAAATCAGAATCCTGCTATTCAGAATTCAAAACAGCTGAATGTATGGGTTGACAATGGACGCTTAGTAGTTCCAATCAATACGCTGGGAGCTGACGGAACAGTATTGTACTCTGATGGCGTAATGAGCGGTAGGTGTTTGTAAGAACAATGGAGGCTTAAAGTACAATGTCTGCCTCGCAAGTGGTGTAGTGATAGAACAGAGGAATTATGTTTCGGGATAAAATATCCATGGCACGTGACGTCGGGTTGCAAGCTCCGAGTGGTGGGCAAAGTCCGTCCGTGCAGACTCAGAAAAAGAAAGCTAGAACGCGGGTCACGTGAATCACGTGGTCCTCGGTCGCCTTTGCCGTCATTCCTTTCGCCGTAACCTCACTTACCACTCATCTCTCAGCCAGCAACCAGGGCATCGTTGATACAGTACTCTCACAGCGAACCCCGGTGTTGTCTCTTATCGTCATTTTGCCGCCGGATATTTCTCACTTATCACATATCTTCGCATGCTTGATGCAGCGAGTTCGAGCGATATCGCGATCCAGGATCATCCCGTGAGCGAAACTCTGATCTGCCGTCCCCTTCGTTCGCTCATCGGCCTTTGCAATCAATCGTGTCGTTCTTAGCCACTCTGAAGTGGACGGAGCCCGGTGCTTTTGATCGATCAGAACATACTCATCGTCAATTTCACGACCAGGCTCATGTCCGATTCATTTTCGCTGGCAGGCAACGTCTCCCCAACCTCGTTCTCAGCCAGCAACCTCAAGGCGAACCATTCGCCTGATATTTCAAACAACTCCTATCCACAAACCCCTACATCTCCTCCGTTGATGTCAGTCGGCGCACAGAACTATGCCTCCAATTTCGCACATACGCATACGTCCCCCAGCCACACGACGACGTCAAACGGACAACCTCTCTCTTCACCCCCTTCGTCAACCCCCATGTCTACTCAAAACTCACAGCAGCCCACTGTGAGTGCAACGGCCTCATTCCCTACACCAGCCAGCAGTGTCAGTGGTCATCTGCGAAATACGACCCCAGCAGATGAGTCGGAAGCTGCCGATAAGTCCTGGGGTCAAGGTATACAGAATTCGCATGCGACAGGAAGTACGGAATTTGGTAGCGTCGACAGGACAGGACACAGACGCACAGATCACGATCGGCATAAGTTGCCTGAAGGGTCCAATATGAAAGGCCGGCCGCCAGTCGCAGATGTCGACATGATGGATATCGATTCGAAGGAGGATTTAAACTCCTCCATTCGCGATTCTAGTCTTGATGCATTGCAGCAAGATATTGGCACGGCCTTTCATCTTTGCAAATCTGGTAAGGCATTTTCTTCTTTGACGCAGATAATCCCTTTGACTGCACTCGTTTGTAGGTCTAGGCTTCTGTGTCTTTGTGTTAACACGTTCCGCAAACAGTTCCTACAATTACAGGCCCTGATCCGAGCTTCGATCTTATATCGTTGTATGGGCTGGGACCAATTGGAAGATCAGTTATGAGAGCAGATCCCACAACGGGTGAAAAGATTAATCGTCTTCGCAAGTCGTACGAAGGCAAGCTGAAAGGACTAGGCCTGTCTGGAAGGAACAAGGCTGTAAAGAACGAGAATGGACAGTCGGGAGGCTTACGGCATTTGATGATGTGGCCGGAAGAAGAATGGCAGATCCAGAAAGTCCACGGCAAGGAGATCAAATTTGCAGAAGCCGAATCCTCGCTTCAGAAGTTGCAAATGCGGGCCATGAAACTGGAGCCTGGCCCGATTCCAAACAGCGAGTACTGGGAAGACATCCTCGGCCACGAAAAACCTGCGAAGCATACCAATATTGAAAACGGAAAACGAGCAGTGTCAACCCCAAATGCCCTTCGCCCAACAAACCAAGCGAATGGCGTCCCCGCAACTACTGCAGCACCTGAACGCGCGCGTCCTACCCGTGGAAAAAAGCGGCATTATGACGACAATAGTTTCGTCGGTTATGGTGAGGGCTTTGTTGACGATGATGACGAAGCAGCACTTTATTCCAATAGTGAGGATAGGAGTGGGAAGAAAAAGCGCAAGAAGGTTTTTAAATCCAGTCGTATGATTCGTCAGACAGACTAGCTAATGGATTCTGCACAGGAACACATTACCAAAATGTCTCCTATGCCAGAACGGACGGGCAGTTATGGGGTCGGCATGTATGGAATCGGGGCTAGATGACTGATTTGGACAGCACAGATGATGACGGCCTCACGATTTCACACTCGACAGGGAACATGGCCAGAATTTTAGATCATTTTTTTCGACGTACATGTTTTTTATGCATGGAGGTGCTGGATATACCCGCTTTATTCAAAATACTGGGACGGCGTTTACGGATGGTGTTGATTATTTTTTTTTCTCGATCTTTTAATCTTTGCAGATGACGGTGGTGGTTTTTTCCAAAACCATTCCTGCTTTTTTCCAGGGTTTCCTATTTCCGAAGTCTCGTCCTTCGTCCTTCTATTGTTCCTTTCAGCCCACCATTTAGGTGATGCCACCACACCATGACCATTTCTTTCAGTATGGAGATATGCTATTGTGTTCATCAGGGATTGAAAAAATGGGATGGGTTTATGATGCGATCTGATGATTTGATGGGCACACAACAATCAAATGTCAGCGTTTTTGTCTTTTTTTTTCCGAGAAGGAATGTGGCAGGCTTTCCGCGCGACTTGTATGCTTGAATATCTTCATTTATTTTTTCTCCTGCTACTGTCGCTTTTTTTTATTCTTTTTGACGGCCCATATGAAGTTTCCTGGCTGGTCGATCAATGTATTTTGAGTATGAGCTCGCTTTGTTCTTTAGCCCTGCTGACACTACAGATACGTCGGATAGGGTACATAGAAAAATCCAATGAAGATTATGCGAAACAAATGGTTAGATTCTCCGGCAATCGTGAACTCCATTGTCGATATCGAAGCCATCCCGGGCCAACCCCCCGATGTTGCTTCTAGCGTGATCTTCAGATCTTGGAAGTTGGGACTACTGTATAGCCAAGATTTATTAGCGGGGGACTCTCCCCGCCCTTATCAGGCTGCAATCCTCCATTTGTCGTTTAAATACCAAGATTTATAAGCATTGAGTCACCATTCTTTTCGATTTATAAGGGATTACAAAAGCCCTCGAGACGACACCAAGAGAAAGAGACGTGGACAAAATGACTGAAGCACAAAGACCATTCTCTTCATTCCGTTTACTATCATTCGATATCTACGGGACCCTGATCGAGTGGGAAAAGGGCATTTTACAAGCCGCCTCACCAATTCGAGAGCGTCTACTGGACTCCTCACCCTTGAAAAGGGATGACATCGCATTTGGCGCGGTGTTCAACAAGCATGAAGCCAGACTTCAAGCTGCCCATCCGGGAATGACATACGACAAGATCTTACGCAATGCTTATATCGCGGTCGCAAAGGAGATATTGATGCATGGCGACAGTCTACCAGGAGAAGATCACTTGCAAGCTGAAGGCGTGGCTTTTGCAGAAAGTATCAAGAACTGGCCAGCGTTCCCAGATACTGTCGAAGCAATGCGGAAACTCAAACGGTTGGGATTCAAATTGGTACCCTTGTCGAACGTTGATCACGGCTCCTTTGGAAAGACTCTTGCGGGACCATTGGGTGGTCTCAAGGAACCCTTGACTCCGGGATCAGAGCCCTTAGATCCCTTTTTTGATGCAGTGTATACTGCGCAGGATATCGGGTCGTATAAACCTGATCTTAGGAATTTTGAGTATCTGATAAGTCATGTCAAGGCAGAATTTGGCGTGGAGAAGCATGAGATATTGCACGTTGCGCAGAGCTTGACGCATGACCATGTTGCTTGTAAACAGATTGGATTGACGAGTGTATGGATTGCTAGGGGGGAGAATGGGAAGAGCGGAATGGGAGGTGATGCGCAAGAGTTGATGGGCAAAGTGTCGTTTGCGTGGAAATTTAAGAGTCTGAGGGAGTTTGCGGATGCCGTTGAAGCTGAACTGCAAAAATAGGTCAATGTCAAGCAAAAACCTAGAGAGAGGGTTTGTGAATAATGTTCCATCTCAACAATTGTTTGGTAGATAAACTGATAAAAGTTATGAGATAAGCGATAAGCGTAATCCGATCTTTAAGTTACCTCAAGTAGACTTTCTTCTCAACTGCCCCTCATTCTCAGTAGCAACTCGTCCCTCAAAAGCATACTCCACGACTCATAAAGGGCAACATACTTTTGATATCCGAAGCAGCAGGACGAAAAGCCGAAATGTCCGATAAATTTCACCGGGCCCTTTCGGCCATTGACGAGGCACACTCTCAAGACCCGAAAGGGCCCGGACCATACCGACTGGACAACCACAGAAACAAAATCAATCCCTTACGAACTTCACTATGCCCAAAAAATGACTCGTATCTAGACTCTTACAACCCATCTGCCTCAGAACTATTACGTCTCGCAATCCGTGCCCAACATCTTCGACGCTGGGAAGTACCCCGCTCATCGTATCCGGCCACAAAAGCCGGGTACTTGAATTGGCGCACTTTCCTAAAGAATCGCCAGGCTGATCAGGCGCGGCAAATATGTCTTGATGCTGGATATTCGCCTGAAGAGGCTGGACGGGTCGCCTCGTTGGTCAGGAAGGAAGGTCTGAAACGGAGAGCGGTTGAGACTACTGCTAACACAACTGTTGATAAAGGTGCTGAGTCTGAGGAAGACGAGACACAGATCTTGGAAGATGTGGCTTGTTTGGTGTTTCTGGATGATCAGTTTGCTGCTTTTGAGAAGGGGTTGGATGAGGAGAAGATACTGGGTATTTTGCGGAAGACTTGGGCGAAGATGTCGGATAAGGGGCGTCGTATGGCGCTCGAGATTCAGATGAGTGATAGGTGTAGGGAGTTGGTACAGAAAGCGCTGAGCTCATGATATTTTATCATAACAGGACACTGTTTTCTTGAGCGATATTGTACATGGTATGTGATTCTATGTGTCTAATCCGTTTAACATTGCTTGAATACGTTCTAATCACACAGAAAGCGCATGGCATCTGGTATTGGGATCTTATTCCAAAAACGCCATACATTTCACTTCCACGTGAGATAAATAGAACCATGCATAAAGTCGTAACACTGCCAGTATGTTCATGAGACTAGACATTGCCATCACTATTGATTAATTTGACAAGCGCAACAGCCGCGCCTGCAGCGAGTCCACCAACCACACACATCTGAATGCCTCCCATCACACCAGCCCAGATATTAGCCCCTCCTTTCCATCCCCTGACAATGCAAGTTTTCACATATCCAAAAGCGAAAAGGGTTACTGCCATGACAATGACACTCGACATGAAAGCGGTGTAAACCTGGTTGGCGATAAAATACGGAATCAACGGGATGAACCCGCCGATAAAGTAGCCAAGGGTCAATGTCAGAGCTGACATGTACGCTTGGTTACAATCTGGCTTTGATTCCCGGTGATGGAAGGTAAGGAGAAAGTCTCGTAGCTTTTCCGGCTCAGCCTGGAGAGAGTTGGTAATTTCATCGATTGCACCCGGTGAGAGGTTGTAGTTTGCAAACGTAGAGGTGACCATAGCGCGCGTCTCACCAGGATGGTCAAGGATTTCGTTGACCTCTCGCACTGTTGCCTCATACGACTCACTGCATGCATTTAATTAGTTATTGCTATTTCACTGAGATCGTGCAAGGGACTGAGGGGAGTCATACAGCTCGCTTTTTGCGCCAACATAGCCACCCAGTCCCATAGAGATTGCACCGGCAATCAGCTCTGCTAACCCACCAAGGACGACCACCTTTGTATCGCCAATAGCCGAAAGTCCTGCGCTTAGCGCGAAGGGAACTGTAAGTCCATCTGAAAGTCCAAGAATGGCATCGGAAATTAATCTCGGATTTATGCGAGAGCGGTTCCCGCTTTCGTTACTGCGAACCGACGCATCGTCTCTGTTGTGATTGTCGCCGTTGTTGGTCCCCGCAAAGGTGCTGTATGATCCGTTCATTTGTGCTTCAATATCTGTGTCACTCCCGTCGACAGTTGAGCCGTCTATATTATCCGAATCGTAAATAAGTAAAGGTCGTCCTGGAGATCGTATGTCAGTATTTTGGAACCCAAAGAATGTGAGAATAAGCTCACGTAAATCAGGTGACGGGGATGCGCTTTTCTTCGCCCAGGTTCCTTTCCTCTGATTCTTATCCCTGTCACTCTGGTTCCACGACGGGAAGAGTTTGTTCTTCAAGAACAATAACGCCATACTACTCGTATGTGTATGAAGGGGGAAAAAGGTGATTCTGTGTCGTCAGAAGAGACTTACGACAGAATCCAAGGTGTTTTGATTCAATGGCCGACCAGATTGATGCGTAGTAAGTCCGTTCAATAAAAGCTGTAAGATGGCGACTGGCGGACCGCGGTATTTGAAGGAGATTCAGCCCATCCAATGCAATGTCCCAAGGGATGAATGGCAAATAAGCCTGGTTCGTGCAAGGTGAATTATGTATGTATTGATGAATGGAATGAGTGCATTCCAAGTAAGTATCTAAAAGGAACTGGAGGGGAACTATGGTTAATAAACAGAAGAAAGAAGGAGGAGATCAAAGCAAGCGCCACCCAGAAATATCTGAACGATTACTATCCGTGCTCCCTGATTGGCAGGCTTGCAGGCATAAACAGCTTAACGTCATGCAGATCGATCTCGGCTCGGTGGAGACCCCGTAGCTGTGTTAGCCAATGAAAACCGTTATAAATGTAAGCTGAAGCCTTATACTTGCGTTATCATTGGACGGCTCGGATTTGTACAATAACCTAGTTCTCATTGGCTACATACATTTTGAATTATGAAAAGAGCTTTCAAGCAGGCTCTTCAGAGTCTTCACCGCTCTCTCGGTATCCAATCTATCATTCTCTCGTCAATAAAGCTATTTGAAGGGTAAGCATATGAAGAAGAATGACACTTACACCTCATCGCCTGGTCAATTCAGACAGATACAATGGTGCTCCTTCGAGTCTTCATTCGAAGACTTGAGACTGACGATGCCAGAAACGACATGTGTTCATTTCCAAAATTATTTTCAAAAAAAAAAAAAGGTCAACATGTATGATTATAATGAGCTGTGTCCAAGTGACGCTCTTTCTAGGGCTAGTCTCTAAGCCTCATTCACAGGCTTCACAGCGGGTCTCCTGAACATTTAGCAGTTCCTACATTGTTCTAGAAACCTACCTGACATGATCAACTTTGTAGAAGAGACATTGCTACTTGCGCGAATCCCAATCACGGCATATATACATATTACGTAGATATATATACAGGAAGAGGCGATACGATACCCCAGTGTCATATGAAAGTCGAACAGGACGGACCGCATTTACTCCGCGGCTAAGAGCTCTTTGACGGAACAGATAGCCTGTCAAAAATGTGGGAGAAAATTATCGAATCTCGACATGTATCTGTCTGCGTACCAATTCGCTGCTGCTATAACGTATATTGTCTCGCACCGCATTCGGAACATTGTCCACAAGCCAAGACCCCTCTGAGGACGGCTCTTCACCCACGGAGGTACGGCATGTGCTTCCCGATATTGATTGAGGCTTGTTCAAGGTGCCGATTCAAAATTGGCATTCATGGAACGGTGTGGAATGACGAAAGACCCGACCCTGGCTGTCTCAACTGAAACGCTATTACAGTCGGATCGAGAGCCCTTACAACCTCGGGCGTAAATATAGTGCCGATGGGGTTGGGGCTGAGCATAGTTGTTCAACAATGCATATATCCCCGTAAGTCCGGTATTGATGGGTGAAGCCTGATACAGTATACCCAGCTATAAAGCAGTGCTCCATAGAGTTGTAACTATTGTCAGTCGGGATCTTGATCGTGTCGTACCGCTCGAAGATACCGAGGTCGAAATGTCATTGACATGTATGTATCAAGTACTTCATCGCCAAGGTTAAGTTGCGTATTTGTTGAAGATAACAATTGTTGTTGTACATATTCAACGGAATAACTCATCAGTTCAACCTTCGAAAGGTGATCCCCAACATAACCCAAAATCGGTTGATTTAGGCTTCCACGAACGAGTTATTGCGAATCTATAAATTTAATCATTATATAACCAAGGTTTCAGAAGCCCTTTCGTCTCAGTTGTTAAATTCATTGCACATCAAGGAGACACGAAACTAAAGTCCTAGTGAAATCAGTCAGAATGGTGACATACACTGGTAGCTGCCACTGCGGCACTGTCAAGTACAAGTTCGAAACGTCAACACCAATTGAAGAGCAGAAAGTGATAACATGCAACTGTATGCAAACCAGTCCCTGACCATGCACCATGCTTCCAGACAACCAAACTGACTCGCGCGATGCTGCCTCGTATCTAGGCTCCTACTGCGCTGCGAGTGGTAGGCTTCTCATTCATTTACCGAATACTGATTTCTCTTTTACCGATGGAACGGAAAATATTTCAGTATGTTCATTCTCCTTGTGCATATTGGAAAAGGGATTGTTCTCCTTTCCTAGGGTTACATTGAAACAGACTTGCTCACTATCAACCCTTTTCTCAAAGACCTACCGCTTTGGATCCATGTCTATCATAACTTCGCTTTGCAAGACCTGTGGAATCCAGGTAGCATGCGAATCCAGAGCTAAGAATTTTCTGTTTGGAATGGTTGGCATTAATGTAAGTGTCCGCTCCTGTCAGCTCCATAGGGTATTCATTAGAGGCTGATCCACGCAACCAGACACGAACAGTCCATGGAATTGACCTAGAAGCTTTGGAGCTTCGTAAATTCGATGGAAAGAATTTCAGCTTACCACTGTATGTCGAGGAAGATTGAGATCTCAAGGAGCTGGAGCCATAGTTTCAAGGGGTCAACTGGCACTGGACCGGATATAGTTATAGATATATGTATATACACCAGCGCGGTGTACTGTTGAGCGCTGAGGTCGTCGAATGCTCTGTCTGCTCATAAATTCTCCTAATATCGGTATTTGCGAAATAAGCATGAAATTTTGCTTTTCTCATCTAAATCGTCTATCTTTCAGTGGAAGGATAGGGGGCGTGCGCTGTGGTCGAAGGGGATCAGGCTATGTCTGCACAAAGTCGGAATTACACTCGCCATCAACGTAAACTGTATGAAATTTTAAGAAATACTCGAGTCTGCCAGATCAAAAAGAAAAGACGAAAAAAAGGACTTGATAAAAGAAGGCAAAAAAGGCAAAAGAAAAATGGGACGAACCCGGATCGAACGGGTGACCTTTCGATATATGTGAAACCAAAGTAGACTTCAGTCGAATGTGACTCCCAACTACACCACCGCCCCATGATTGGTCTTTTGACGAATTTAATGATATACATTTATTATTCATGCTTCTTAACTGAGTCGGTAATTGGGTACAATGTTCAGTGAGATCACTTCTTGAAAATACTGCTCAATTGTATCTGCATATCGAAAATACGCCACTCGATGTTTTATGCTCGCCTGACCAGATTGTGGGGTCGGTATATGCATAATTGCATATAATGATTGATTACAGCACGCTAGTTATCCCCCATATTATCTCGGTCAGTCAACCATCGCCATTCTCTGCCCTCTTTTTCTCCTCTACGCTGTATCAAGGGGAAAGTCATTGGACGTTTGTGGCTCTTCAACAACCTCAATGTCGAGCAATATGCCCTCATACCATTATGAAGTTATGGACATGACATCCGACAGATACGGAACCACAGGTCCACAGATTGCGGCTCGTTTTGCCAGCCTGGCAGCCAAACAACTGTCGCGAGACCAGTTGGGTCAGTTGCACGAATTCCAAAAGCTCGCGAAGGCAGTCTCGGAAAAAACTCAAAACAATTATCGAATGAAAAACATGAGAAATTCCACTTCTCAGATGTGCAATTGTCGTATCAGGATCCCGATAGACTAGGCCTGAAAATACTGACATGATATCATCTTGCATTCGCAGAAGTACGATCAACAACTTTTGGGTTAAAAACAATAGCACTGTTGCAAGAAAAAGGCCGCCAGTTGGTTTTTGGGTACGACTGCCTGGCGTGCCGAATTCTCCAAAGACCGCACAAATTACCCAGCAAGGAAGTGGGAGACGCCACGGATGTTCTTCATGCTATTTCTCCGTTTCCTGTGAGCCTTGGGGCTCCCATCCGGAGCAAAAAATCTAAGGGATCTGGGGTGACACGGAATCGAACCATGGATCTTTAGTTTGCAGAGGGATTTATAAAGATTTTATATCTTCAGACTAACGCGTTCCCAACTACGCCACCACCCCTGATTGGTCAATTGCGTAGCTTTGTGGAATGCCTGGATTGAGAATTTTTTCCATAAGTGGGATGGTGGCTCCAAGTCTACTCAACTTCGATCTCAGGACTGCTCTTTTCACAGCGGCAGCAGGATTAAGTACAGCAATATGGACGATTTCAATGAAAATAAGCCCATGAGACTCTTTTGCATGGTCCGAATAGTATATTAGAAATGTCTCTCGCGTTGATAGTAGAGATCACATGGATCATCCTCACCGAAATACAGATTCGAAGACACGATGTTGCTGATATGAAGATTCATCAATGCTTGTACCTGGGGAATTAAAGCAATAACACGAGCAAATATGATCCCGATACCTAGAACATCCTGTAACATGCAGTACACTTTTATGCACGCTGCCATGCAGGGTACGCTTTGACACTAGATTGACATTGCATATATATGCCAGCATGACCCAAATAAGATAAGAAATGCATACTTGCATTAGTACGAATCTGCAATCCTTTGAACAGTTAACGCGCTTACCGCGACATAGTCTTTCGAAGGGTATCGTGACCAGTTTGATTTTTCTATCCTATCCATTAGCTATATGCACCTCCATTTTCGATGAAAAACCGAATTCGATTATCTGCGATACTAGCGCTAATTAAGCATATGAGCTAAGTATAAAATGCGGAGGAGGGAAAAAGTAATGACGGTACGTAATAGTTACGAGGATTAAATAATTCATTCAGAAAGGGGGACAAATCCTCTTTAGCAACAATAACCTTGGAATCTGATCGCACCTAGCACTTGTAAATTCTCAATAGTGATCTACTAGTAATAATTTCGTTGCACGTCCTGACTAAAATCCTGCTGAAATGATACCTACCAATCAAAACCCCATCCTTATGAACCAAACATCCAACATCCTCATCCCTCTCCACCCCCCCAATATTCAAAAGCAACCTTTCAGAATCATCCGGATCACCAGCCCTACCCCAGCCACTCCTCGCCTCCTCACTTTCACCGCGAAGATTCGATCTGACGAACCCGGGACTCATAGCAAAGACCTTTAACCTTTTATCACCAAAATCTCTCGCCTGTAGAACCGCCAAGATGTTCAAGGCAGCTTTACTGATTTGATATGCTCCGTGGCTCTGGTTTCCTATCTGCGCGTGATCTGGTGTTCTGCGTATCGCGTTGCGCAGCACGATTCTCGCGCCGCTGCTGGCGCATATTGAATACGGATTCGACGATCTTAGGAGTAAAGGGCGAAACGACGTCGCAACGACAGTGGGGCTCGTGACATTGGTCTCCATCAAGAGACGAAACTCAGAGCGTATATCGGACATGTTCAGCCCGCCTATTCCGGCGTTGTTGACGAGGACGTCCAGCCAGCCGAATGCTGTGGTTATGTATTCCACTGCCTCGTGATGGAGGCGTCGTCTGTGACGTCTAGTTCGATTGTGGAAATGGTTCCTTTGAGGTTTGATGAGCAGGATTCAGAGAGTTTGGTTAGGGCAGTGTTGAGTCTGGTGAGGCCGGATATGATTATGTGGTAGGATGGGGGTTGCGCAGGTGAGTATTTTGGAGGAAGCGAGGCCAATGCCGGAGTTTGCGCCTGTTGCGTTGTTAGGATGACAATTTGGAAAAATTAGGTTTGAATAGTAGGTGCGGTCCGGTGATGAGAATGATATTCGAAGCCATACTATTTTGTCTTGCTCTTAGCTATAGTACTACTACTACTACTACTGGAAGAGCGAGCAGTGAACGCTGAAATTCAGTTTCTCGAGAACACCTGCAGTCTGTCTCCTTTATATCGACATCTTTCCTCCATCGATGTGCTGTCCATAACCTTTTATGGCTAGAATAGTCAAATAAAATATCATCACCAAGTGCAAAACCGGAATCATCAATCCCTAAGAATCAGTCAGACTTAAGACCATTTCTGTTGCCGTTAATGCCTTTGTACAGTTCCATCTTCACAAGAAGCCTGGTACCGGGCTGGTTCAAGCTGTGCTCGAAGTATGTGATCACAGCCTTAGTTGAATTGGGAAAGTGTCTCTCAGGAACATCTAGGTAAGATCTCTGAACGAGCATTAACAACGGTATAGATATGAGACATAGTATCTAGGGCAAAGAATGTCACGTGTCACACTTCTACATCTAGAGACATACCCCGCGGTATACTCAATAGGGTAGCCCGTGCTTAGTCATGTAATCCTGAGGGAGTTAACACACAGACACTTTTCTGCTCCTCCCGTGCCGTGTACTCCGTACCCTGTCTCAGCCTATTCTTGTTGCTCGACTTCATCGTGTACTCGACCAAAGAGGACTAGGTAATCGATATGGTTTCAACTTTCGAGTCTGATTCGCCTGCTGGTTTTATGTGCAGTAGGGGCAAACCTTGACAAGAGTCGTATTTTCATTAGAAAGAGGAATTATCAACGCGTTGCAGATAGAAGATAGCAGGTCAGTGCGCTCAGCGGAACAGGAGAACTGGAGGGACTGTTCTGTGCAACTATCATGACTGCGTACATACCATACACTCAGATACCTCAGCCGCGACGACTATGAGCAACGCCTAGTCAGCTACCACACCGAAAAGAAGAAGAAGAAGGATTCGCAGTGCATACAGCAACTAAGGAGGAAAAATGGCTTGGCTGCGTCACCAGTGCTTGTCATCTGATGGCCAGTGCATACTTAGCATCTGAGTTAATTTTTGGTGTTTGTGTAGTATGTATGGCTGATACCGTATTCTTCGTATATGTCTCATATGCCGTTCTATCCGTGCTCGTCTCCGTTACGCGTTAGTACGGCGTTACCATACCAAACTTACGTCGCAACCCGAGCCGCCATAATCGGCAAAACGGACCTGCAGGGTAGACTTTCTACTTGAAGATACGTACTCTCGTCTTGTCTTCTTTCAATCGTTCGCTCCTTTCTTGCCATTCATTCGCTCTTTACTGATCGGTGCATGAACCCGGAGATATATTAAGATCTCATATCCCGCCTGTCATTCCTTTGTTTTTGTGCCGTGTTGCCCTGTCTTTGCTACGTATTTCTGCTGCTACACCACTTGACCTTCACTACAACCCTTGAAACTACTTCTACTATTCCAATGTATCATCAATCAACCTTCCTCTCTCACAGCAGCGCCAATACATCCTCAAAAAGCAGCAGTCCGAACAACTCCAATACCATGGACCTATCCCAGTCTCAATCGAGTCTACCCCTCGCCATGCCACCCCTCGTCAACAACATCAGCAACAAGCTCCGAAACCGATTGTCCCTCAAAAATGCACGCGCCGCAATCGCAGAGAGAGAAATCCTCAAACGCGAAAACCGGGCTGCGAGGCCGTTGACGCAGCGCAATATGGACACTTTTCTGATTGAGCAAGATCTTCACGATGCGCGTGTGCGTCGGGCCGAGAACTTGCACGTGTCGCAGTGGCTGCAGCAGTTGCCATGAGCATTCTGTAGGTATGTTCGATTATTTGCATGTTATCCCTTGCTTTGACTAACAACATACTGCTACTAGCTACGTAGTGATGCAATTGTCCGATACCCCCCATACGTGTTCGTTCGTTGTGTATTCCTACCTCTACCCCTATACCTGGAGACGGCGTACACCATTGATACGAACCACGAGAACGAGTTCTCCGCCGTGACCTCGATACACATACGATTTCGATATTCTTATTGTCTAGTGTACTATGTCAAACGGCACTGAAGAAGCCCTGTTATAGCACATGACAGAAATGGCCATGTCAGTTGCAAAGTGACTACACGCGGTGTGGATATTGAATATCATTAGAGCAAGTTCACGATAACTTGCTTGCGCATTTCGAGGCAGGGTCTATTCTTAGACTAAAGCAACAGTCATGTCATGATTTACGAATTGTACATATAATAATATAATGTTTAATCAAAGCATGCCAGCCACGCAGCAGCATGTCATCTTCAGATTTTCTCAATTCAGTGTAATCGCAAATTTTGTAGTTCATTGCGTATCATTTTGAGGGATTGATGCATGCAAATGCATACACAAATTGACTTTCTGCTAGAGATGCCCCTCACATACGACTACCTGCACAGACACAATGATAACCACAACAATCTGCAGTTGTGAGGGACCTCAATAATGAACAGACTTGCAACACTAAGCAATACAAGAGATGGATACAAAAAAAGTTGCCATCATTGGTACGTTTCCCAGTCGACTGCTTGGACCTACCCCGCAAAGATCTTCCCTTATTCCACCACGACCTACAATTCAGGGCAAAAGCAACCATGGAAAACTATACCTAACGAAATCTCAGGCGCCGGCCCTTCGGGCCTGGTCACGGCCAAAACTCTTCTCCACCAGTACCCCAAGGGCTCCTTTGAACCCATAATATTCGACTCCAAGCCCGTGGTCGGCGGAATATGGGCCGTGACCAAGCCAGACGGCAGTACTACTAACTTCAATCAGCCATCAGACTTTGTGGATTGTTATATGCGCACGAACCTGAGTCGATTTTCTGTTTCTTTTTCGGATCATTCCTGGAATTTGCATGCCAATAATGGCGATGTCAATGCAGGTCGGGGCGAGGAGGAAGATATGTTTCCGCAAGCGTGGAAGGTTGGGGAGTATCTAAAGAGTTATTCGGATAGATTTTTGCCAAAGGAGACATTGAGGTTATCTTGTCGAGTGATTCGTACGCGACGAGAACAAAATGTGACGACGAAGAAGTGGACAGTTGAATGGACTGATCAATCCCACTCCGAGCATCGTTCGGAATCATTCGACTATCTCGTTGTTGCATCTGGATATTTCAGTCGTCCCTATATCCCAACTATCAACGGGTTGGATCAATTCCCCCATGATAGAATCATGCATACCTCTTCTTTGAGATCGACATGCCAAATACTCAGTAATCTCGAGGAGGATGACGGTAAAATCCTCGTGGTCGGTGGGAGCATGTCCGGCGCCGAAGCAGCTGCTTCACTTGCCCTGGACTTGTCATCTCTACCTAGCCAAAAATCGGTACATCACATCACCACCCGCCCCTTCTGGGCGATACCTACTTATCTCCCCTCAAACAACCAACCAGGTTCTTTTCTCCCACTCGATATAGTCATGTACGACCTTTCTCGAAGACCGCCTGGTGATATTCAACATACCCTGGGACCCGTCACGAGGGAAAGAGCGAATATGGTTCATGCATACTTTGAGTCGTTGATTGGATCAGATCAGTCTGATATTGCGAAGGGGTTGGCAGTGGGCGCAAAATCTGATAGGGATAGTGCGCCCTGGGTAGCTGTGACTGATCACTACGCTGGATTTGTGCGTGCGGGTGCTATACGTCCGAGAATTGGGAGGATGTGTGCTACTCATTGGACTGAAGGGGGAGCCAAAGGTGTCGTTGAGATTGAGCAAAATGACGGGAAGATACTGACGCTCGACAATGTCGCCGCTATCATATTCGCGACTGGTTTCACACCATTTGAGTCTCTATCTTTCCTGCCAGAAGACGTCCTGCAAACCTTGGAATATACCGAAAACGAGACCGTTTTCCCGATACTACTAGATGAAAAGAGCGTTCGGAACCCTAATATCCCCGACCTGGGCTTTGTGGGTATGTATCGCGGTCCGTATTGGGGTGTCATGGAAATGCAAGCACGAAGTCTAGCACGTCAATGGAGCGGAACCCCCGAACCGATCACAGCTGATACTACGAAAGTGAAAACACTCAGGACGGCCTTGTCACTACGCGCCCAATTCCCAATGGGCGACTATGTCGGATTAATGGAGACGTTTGCGCGCGAAATGCAGATTCCGCGCGAGTCATTGCAGACGGATAATGCGGAGGACAGGAATGGACCTGTCATTCCAGCACGATATTTTGTGTCTACAAACACGGATGAAAGCATTAGTACTAGTAGCAGCGAAATGATCGACTCCTTACGGAATCTTCTTCTGTCGCAGGCATCACCACACAAGGAACGACAGCGAGGACTCTCAAAAACGATATTGAGAGGTCTGCATGGTTATTGGAGGTATGAACGGAGTACGTCGTCTGAGACGATGCCTATTACAGGCCAGGCATCGATTCATCTCCGAAAGGTCTCTTTTAGTCAAGATACTGGCTTCACGACGGAATTCGTATACGAAGAAGACAGTGGCATGACACAAAGTTTGCATGGGGTTGCTTTTCGAATTCTTGAAGATGGATACATTCATACTACGAGACATGATACAACCGGTAGACTTGAGTTCATCTCTGTTGAGAGCATCGATGGCGACGCACCATACCAATGCCGACATTTTGCCAGGGAAGTTGGCAAGACATCTCAGATTGATAGGACATTCATCTTCAATCTGCGAGGGGTAAATATAACTTCATGGGAAGCAATCCTCAAAGACAAACAAACAAATACGGCCACAATTACCACGTACATGAGAGCGAAATAAATCTCGAATTGTTTCAATTGGAAATGTCAAATATGGTTCACTCCTTGAAGAAATAGATTCATAATAACATATTCATCAAGGAAAAAGTTTTCGTACGAAGCGAAGTCGGGACCTTTTCTGTCAAAAAAGAAAGATTGAATCTGTCATCTACCATTTCGTGCTTATCGCTGCATATATTTTTTAAGTCGTTTCTTTCTGCGGGTGAATTTTTCGCTGGAGAATTCGTATTGTTCAATAGACCTTCTTCTTCTCGTCGACGCTGAATTGGCCGGGGCCCATGTTGACGAGGAGAAGGAGACCACCACTATGATTGTTAGTCTGGTACCACAAAAGAGAGAAAGAAACGTACACAATGGATAAGACCTGGAAAAAGTCGTATTTGGCAAAATCTTTGTTAGGATGATGAGGTTTGAGCTGGAGGATGTCAGTAACCGCTCGGTGAAAACATGGGAGAGAAAGGAGAAATACCGTCCAGAAATTGTTGACTAACACGTTAAACACGCTCAACAAGATAACCAAAATCACAGCACTCATCTTGGCCTTGAATCCAACCACAACCATGACACAAGCCACGAATCCAACCAAACTGACCAGCACACGCCAGAAAGACCATTTCCCAGCAAAAACGAAGCCAACAAAAAGCAAAATCAACAGCACCCGCCCGGCGAGTTGCACATACATCTTGCGATCCTTTTCATCGAGCTGCGGCAGACCAGCAGGCATATACTTCTTACGCACCCACGAGTCAGAAATGACCAGCAACAAACCGCCGATAACGCTGAGGTTGCGAAGGAAGAAGTTGAGATCGAAGAGGAGCCCGTATCCGAGTGCTTGCGTCACGACCACACCTAACAATCCGCCCACGGCGTATTCACTGTGTTTGCGGGCGATAACCATGACCGAAGCAGCGAGCATGACGACGACATTGGCAACTAGGAAAAGATGCGTGATACCCCAGGGGACTGTTCTCAATCGTTAGTTTTGATCTATTTGGTCCTTTCCCGGGTGTAAGTCCCGGCTTGTGAGATGGTCAGTCATACTGTGTCGGTAATCCCGGAGGAACATGAGTTGATCGTTCCATTGCGTGATAATACGGAGTGAATCTTCGAGGAAGGTAACGACGATGAGAAATCGGCCAATTGCAGGAATATATCTGTATCGACACGTAAATCAGAATTGTTCTCTTTTCCCTTAAGGCTTGGAGCTCCGAACACAACAAACAAACATACGGTTTAATAGGATCAGACAGCGTATCCAACCAGTCCTCAATCTTGCTGGTTTGCTCACGAATAGTCTCCAATGGACTGGGGTCGCTCGTAGCGTCTTGTCTGCCCGGGTTCGCAAAGGGACTCTGGTGGCCGAGGTTGTAGCCCGCAGTACCGCGTATTTGGGCCATGATGTAAGAAAGTGTTGTAAGGATGCTGTGGTTGTTTGTTTATGGCCGGTTTACGACAGGTAAATAAGAAATAAAACGCAAGAGGAAGCAGAAGAGAAAGACAGACGACTGAAGCAAGAATGTCCGGTATAAGAGGGAGGTGTTGCAAGGCCAGAAATGGAATATGTAAGGCGGCGAAGGAAAGAGGCCACGATGCGTTTTCTTAGCTAAGGTTGCGGCATGACGGGATCGCTGTTTAGCTCCACCTGATCTTTATTCCTTCATTTTCATATTTTTTTTTTTTTTAAGTATTTGATCTACGAGCACACAAATGAATGCCTTTCACTGCGTAGATTTGATCTATTGATTCAAGAGTCCCTTCCATACCGCATGCTTCCATTCTCCATGTTCATGTCCTTCAGTGTCTAGGTCAAGAACAAAGATGTATACTGCTAGACCCGCGGAATCACTAGCTCACCACTAGGCTAACTGATGAATCCAGATGACACCTCGGACCCCCGAGCTGGCGTTGGTACACCAAATCCTCAATAAAGACTGCTGATGTCAATTCCAGTGCTCAATAACCGAGAGCTTTCGTCTACAGCCTAGTTCGTGAGATATACTTCTACTTGAGGAGTGATTCTAGTAATTCTAGTAAACAAGCGTATTATGTAGCATTCTCCATGACGTCGCCGCATTACGGCTTACCATATCGATCTGAATAAAAGCAACAGAATATTATTTCGGTAGAGCAGAGAACTGTATCGTTTTATATCATATACAAAGAGCTCAAGAATCAAGCACCTCCCTCCCTCTTGGCATATTCATCCTCAATATTCTCCTCATACAACCGATCCGCCTCATCCTTGGTCAACTGGCGTGCACTAGGCGCATTTCCCGAGTCCATGGCAGCAGGCCGTTCGGAGTGCGGAGGAGCAACGACGCCGTCACTCGAAGCACCGATGCGTGTGCGTGTGCCTATTTCATTTTGTTGGAGGTAGGCGATGGCTTCGAGGGAGGCAGCGCCTGCGCTGCCTGTGGACCGGGTTTTGGTTGAGGATTGTTGTTGTTCCTTGGATGGGGCAAAGCTGACGGGCATTGTGGGCGGGATAGAAAATGGAGGAAGTTGAGCAGTTTGAAGTAGAGTAGTTGTTGGTGTTGTAGGTAGTATACTTGAAACGGCAGTGTTCAAGGAGTCGAGATGAGGCTTGTGTCAGTTTAAATAATGCCCTGGTGGCGATGCTATGTGGCAAGGACGTCACTTTCCTGAACTTCGAGCATGTCGGACTGAGCTTGAAGCTAGAAACGTCCAAGTAACCTACTCTTTTCCAAGTAACCTACTCTTTTCGATGGCTACCCCTACCATACATACTTACGAGGCCTCTTCTCCAATCCCCAGCATATAGCTGGGTGTTTGATGAAAAGAATATAATACCACATAGTGGAAGGTGCCAAAGAATACGCCTGCCAATGACCCGAAGGCCGTTGGACAGACTGTTCCTCCGCGCTGTGCAATGCAGGGACCAATCTGTGGTGAACCGCCTTCTTGATCGCAGTCACCCAAACAAGGTAAGTATGAAGAAAAGAAAGAAGAAGAAAAATCCTAAAGATGTCGGGGGGAGGAAGCCGCTTATATAGACAACAGAAAAGGCGCTAGTTCTGTTTGGGTTAATTAAGCGAGGGGTGATCTGGCTGTTCTGGGGGCTGTGATTGGCTGGGTTTTAGATGGAATGTGTTTGTTTGGTTTGCTGGATGTCTGCAGGATGTTTGCATGTTTGGTCTGTTTGCAATGTTTGTTTATTGATGCTGTCTATGGACTGTCGCTAATCAGGTCACTCTCGTTATTATTCAATATTCATCAATATGGTAGTATAGTTATGGATCAGCTCCAGCAATCAAGCTACTGTCTACTCCGTACTGCTAAGCGCAAGGCAAGCATCAACTGCCAGTCCGACTCTGTATCCAGTCAGTCATGTCCTTAGTCTTCAAGCAACGTCCTACGTACCTTCCCTCTTTCATCCGGACAACATCGTCGATAATATCTTTATCTAGATTCGGAAACATGCCCGATAGTGTTCTATGAACAGTCAGTAAGAACGAAACAAAGCGCACATCGGTCACTTACTCTACCACATCTCTATGCTCTGCTCGCTGTATCCTTCGAGCCTCTGCTGCTTCGGCGCTGGCTTGCCGAGCCGCTGCTTCTTGAGCATCAATACGCCCGGGATATTCTGCTGCAGATCCCCTCTCTGGTAATGGCGGTGCATTTGCGCTGTTTTGTTGAGGCCTTCTGTCGGGCTCTGCGTCCTCTGAAAACATTCGTCCGATTGATGACAATGGTTTCTGAATTGTTCGAAGCAAGCCTGCAACGGGAGCATTTTCGTCGTCGTTTGTCGCTAAAGGTACCTCCCGTCGTTGTGGAGTTCTTTCAGTATCAGCTGATGCCCGCGGTGTATCCTGGGCACTTGACGTTTCAGATTCGGCTTTCAGGTTCTCCTGTGCAATCGCCGATACAGCGGCCTCGACATTCTTTTCAAACTCCTCGTCACTAACGGTCAAGCTTGTGCGGTCAAGGGTCTCAATGAACTGAATAGCGCCAGACTATTGCCGTCAGAAATTCTATTCAGGTGATACAGCTACGGTTGATACTTACCAAAGAAGAGAGATAATAACCTGCTTCTCCCCCGAGCTTATCTTGGTTGCGGAAACGTAGAATGTATTGCACGTTAGAAATGAGATGTTCCGGATTGGCTTTCAAAACGACATAGATCAAGATAGGAACAAATGAATCTGCCGAGGTATCGGGATTCTTGGAATGCTTCAAGAGTCCTGCCACCAGATATAAACAACAGTCCTTACAATTCAATAGAGCATACGTACCGAAAATAACCTTACAGCAATTCAAGATGCAAATAACCTTGTCCCGCGGAGCTCTATAACCCTTCATTTTGGTCAATTCTATAACCCGGTTAGTGTTGTAGCTGAATACAAGTTGTGCAAACGTACCTTGTTGTGCAAGATTGATGAATCGACGGCCGTTGTTGCCAAGTGATGGTATATCTAAATGCTCTGGTCGTATCCAGCTATATATCCGTATTTTCTGAGCCAATATCTCGTCCCGCTCAACATCCTCCTGATGCTGTCCTCGTCGACCAGGTCCGTGTATTCTTTCCAATTCTCTTCGTTTGTTCCTGCTCGCGCTTCGTGGCACGGATGGAGGAGGTGGAATAGCGGGTGAAAACGTCTGGCTGTACAGCCTATTCATTACCAGCTTTTCCATTCCTTCCTTTGCATTATCAAACTCTGCATCTGAAACGTTCCTCCAAACCTCACACTGAGCCATTTTGTTCGTTATAAAGGCTAAAAAGTCGCTAATGATTTTCACCTGTTCATGAACCAGCCACTGCTTCTTCCCGAATTCTGTTAGGAATGAGCGCAAGAACTTGGCGACAGGGTCCGCGGTTCGGTGGCGCAACTGTTCAAGGAATCGATGGAAATCAAACGGCTGATCGGGTTCTGGCTCAGGAGGTGGAAGCCCTGTTCTTGAAGATGTTGATTGCGGGGTTTCGGGTACATCACTTCTAGCTTTCGGAGCAGGTTTCGGGATCATCAAGGGTGATGGTATGGAAGATGGGCCGGAGGACGGAAAATTATTGGCGCTCTGGGGTTGTGGCTCGAGGCTCGATCTGCGTGTTGGGAACTGGTTCTGTTGGCCCTTGAAATGCTCTGCAAGTTCTAATCGCGGAGACATGATTTCTGTCTCGTTGGGTCCCTTCGTTTCATCGGAGAACTGCTCCATTATACTTTGAATCTCTGACTGGTCGTCATCGTTGACTTCGCCATCTTCCTTTCGCTCGTCTAGTTGCTCATCTCTTGGTACGCTTGGGAGTTCTTTCTCGTTATATTCGGACGGCAACCCCAGCGGGGAACGGGGTGCTTGAGGAGTCTTGGGGGTAGGATCAATATATGCGTCGTCTTTTTGTGGAGGTGGAGGTGGAGCATCGGCTTGGGTATGAACCTTGAGGGTTTCCTGTTCCTTCGAAGAGAGCGATAACTCTTGCAATCGCTTCGTGTTGGCATCGTGAGTGTCTGCACTGCTCCTAGCTGTGGGATCGTCCATGGGGGATGGCTCGATATGTGTAAGGTCTGGGGTTTGTTCTGCCATGTTGACAGCGGAACTAGGAACGGTATTCTCAGGGGTTGCGGCTATTAAATCGTGTATGTTTTCATGGCTTGCGTCTTTGAGCTTGTCATCGTCGTCCAATATCGAAGATCGAGGTTTATCTGATGTGGGCATGAAGCTTGTCCCCGCGTCGAGTACCTAGTCCAAAATTACTCAGAGATGTCGCAAATTAGTTCAAATAACAGTACAGCATGCTGCCTGGCGTTAGAAGCAGATAGCCAGTCAGTAATTCGATTAAACTCAACAGTCTTTCTCTAGATGTCTCGTATCTGTAGCAGGGTCGTCATTCAGGTGCCCATCCCGCAATCTGTAGCCTGCTTATCATTCTGCCGCTGTATGCCGCCCTGGTTCCGGATACACAATTTCACATTCTTTCCTTTTGTCACTCTCCTCGATGCTTCCAGGTTACCAGTGAGTTGAGTTGTTATGTGCGGCATATTCTTCTCTTTGAGCGCATCCGAGCATGTTTTGCCTCAAAAGAAGACTGCGACGTGGCTTCGAAATCGAGGACCCGATAACTACCACACTCATTTAGTGAAACTAGAAAGTCCTGGACTGTCGACATCCGCTCCGGAGACCATATATCTCACATTTATCTCGTCGGTTCTGGCACTGCGAGGCGACCACGTTACCAGCCAGCCACTCGTGGATACCGACAGTAATTCTGTCCTCTGCTGGAACGGCGAAGCATGGAAGATCAACGGCGAGCTCATTGATGGGAATGACACACAATTAGTGTTTCAAGAGTTGATTGAAGCTTCCCGATACCGCCATGATGTTGGTGAATCGGAAGAAAGTAGACTCAATGACTCTGTTGCTAGACTAACGAACATAATCAGCAACATTAGAGGACCGTTTGCCTTTGTATTCTACGATGGAGTCCATCGCAGATTATATTTTAGTCGAGATTGTCTTGGAAGGAGATCTTTACTTCGTGGCCAAGATGACCATGGAAACCTCAAAATATGCAGCGTCTGCGACGCATTACCAGGGGCTTCTTTTGAGGAGGTGGAGTGTGACGGGGTTCATGTGATTGACCTTTCACGAATCTCACTATCGAAAGATCCCGAAGGCACACGCAGTATATCGTATGAGGTGGAGGTGATACCATGGTCATATGGATCAACGGATGCTCCGCGATTGAAGAATCCAGTCGCTCCAATGAATCGAACGTCACCCAGCACAGATCCACCGTCTTTATCCTTATCCTCCTCTTGTGTTCATACGCTGGAAGATGAGCTTCGTCTGTCAGTGGAAGTTCGTGTCCGAAATATACCACAATTAGGACATGGGAACCCTGGTACCGATGCTAAGGTTGGAGTACTATTCTCCGGCGGCTTGGATTGTACGTTGCTCGCTAGACTTGCCCATGACGCGCTTCCGAAAGAAGAAAGTATTGATTTAATCAATGTCGCTTTTGAAAATCCTCGCGTTGCAGCTGCTTTAAAAGCCAAGAATGAGAAAGTGAATGGGAATGAAGAGATGACTTCTATCTACGAGAGCTGCCCGGATCGTATCACAGGTCGAGCTGGGCATGCTGAACTACAAAAAGTTTGTCCGGATCGCGTCTGGCGATTCGTTGCTGTCAACGTACCATTCCAAGATTTCACAGCACATCGAGATGAAGTTATTCAGTTAATACGACCACACAACACGGAGATGGATCTATCCATCGCCTGTGCTCTCTACTTTGCGTCGAGAGGGCAAGGTGTTGTAACCACCAATGATAGTAGCGATGCAACTACAACATACACGACAACTGCACGAGTGTTACTTTCTGGTCTAGGTGCAGATGAGCTCTTCGCTGGCTATGGGCGTCACGGAATCGCTTTTGCTCGCAAAGGATTTCAAGGTCTAATTGACGAGATCGATCTAGACGTTGGTCGTCTTGGCAAGCGGAACTTGGGCAGAGATGACCGCGTCATATCGAACTGGGGACGCGAGGCTCGCTTTCCTTTCCTTGATGAGGAGTTTGTCTCCTGGGCCACACAGACACCAGTCTGGGAGCGGTGTGGGTTTGGTACAGCCAAGGCGAAACCCATACCGGACGATGATCTTGGTCAGATCGCAGAAAACCTTGACTCCGAAAAGAAAGCCCTTCGTTTGTTGGCGCTGAAGCTAGGCATGATCAAAACAGCGCGGGAGAAGAAACGAGCTATTCAATTTGGTTCTAGGACTGCTAAGATGGAAAGTGGTAGGAGTAAGGGAACTCAAACAATTTAGCCTCTTCTTCTCTTCACATTTTTTGGGTAATCTTACGTGCTTGGAAATCAAGGCTTATCTGCGATGATGACAACCAGAGAGACAGATACTTATGAGAGTCTTATTCCTTTACTATTATCTCTATACTGGGTCTGGCATCTGTTCGAGATGTGCTGCGCCCATCTACTTCCGTCTGCATTTCAAGTCGAACCACGCCCTCGTCCTCACTCTCCTTGTTACTCTTTCGTCTTTTGCGCCCGTCGAATTATGCATCACATGAGTGGAGCGAATTCGATGTTTGTACGGAATGAAAGATCAAGGCGATAAAGATAGGTATGCGTGATGTGTGGTTTCCCACGCTTGTCATTGTGAATAGAAGGAAAGAATGGGCGTGCCATAACGAAAGGCAAGGAGCCAGTACGAGTGGTAATGGTTTGGGCGATCACGTAATCGAAAAGACTCGATGATCTGTTAAAGGCAAGTCTGAGCTGAGCGTCATTGACCGTAGACATAGACCATGATTCCTCCTCTTTGTACCGAGAACTCATGCATCTTAGATTCTGATGTGTTGGCAATAATGATTGAACAGCAGCGCCGAATCGCCGATACTTTAGCCCTAACTTAGATAAGGGCCGTCTATAGTTACCAAAAGTAGTTAAACTTACTGACTCGTTTTCTAACAGTAAGCAACTGCAGATAAGGATGGAGAAAGCATTGGATATGATATTGGATACTGAGAGAACGGACAAATCTCCGTATGCGGGGTTGCGCAGGTAGATATCTACCTGAATCATCCGCTCTGCAACGTAGAGAAAGCAGCGTAACTGGAAGTATCAAGTCTCTACGCATTGGTTACCGGTATTGGACTTCATATTCTGATAATGGCAGCTGTACACCCTCTCGACCCCCTCACTCCCCAGGAAATCACCCTGGTAAGCTGGAATCACAACCCCAGCCTGGATTTGTTAAGGTTGACCGATAGAGGAAACAGGCTGCACACATAGTACGCAACAACTTCCCAGGTCACAGCTTGATCTTTCGAGTTATCGCACTATGGGAACCACCAAAGAAAGAACTCATACCATACCTCGAAGCTGAAAGACTAAAAGAGCGACTCCCAACTCCTCCGCTGCGTATCGCTCAAGTCCTCTTCTACGTGGACAAGGCGACGCAATACTGCTGTGGTCAGGTCGATTTGGCACAAAAGAAAGTGACAGAAATAAAGAATCTAAATGGTCACCATGCCTACGTCGACGCTGGGGAGATGAAGAAGTGTGAGAAGGCGTGTTTGGATGATTCGCGGGTTCAGGCTGTTATCAAGGCTTTACAATTACCTGAGGGAGCTGTGGTTGTTTGCGATCCATGGACCTATTCCCCTGATGGGATGAACGATATGACACGGCGTTGTGTTATGGTAAGAACAATTATTTTCCTTTCGTTGTAACCATATGCTAAAGACCTAGGTGATGTAGTGCTTTTTCTACGCGAAATTATCACCTCATGGAGATGCAAATCACTACGCGTACCCTTTGGAGTTTGTTGCTGAGCTGTCGGATGAGTTGAAGGTCATGCAAGTCTTAAAGGTCCCCTCAGGCATGAATGACAAGATGACCACGGCGGACGCAAGTACACTGAGACCATTCGACAGGGCCAAGATTCACACAACCAGCGAATATCATCCCGATTTGTCTACAGAGCGCAGGGCAACCGTCAAACCTTTGACTGTCTCTCAGCCACTCGGTCCATCATTCCAGACGTCCGGAAATCTGGTGGATTGGGAGAAATGGAGATTCCGGGTTGGCTTCAATTATAGAGAAGGCCTTGTCATTCATGATGTTACGTATGATAACAGGAGGGTCTTTCATAGACTCTCGAGTTCTGAAATGTTTGTTCCTTACGGCGATCCTCGAAGCCCTTATCCTCGTAAGGCGGCGTTTGATTTTGGAAACAATGGTGCTGGAGTCAATGCCAATAATCTTGGGCTTGGTATCTTCCCTTTCCAAAGCGTTTTAAAGTGAGTCATGCTCTGGGCTAACTATATATAGGATGTGATTGCTTAGGGCATATCAAATATTTCCATTTCTGGCACCACACCAACGACGGTGTACCAACCAAAATGTCAAACGTCGTCTGCTGCCACGAAATCGACGACGGTATCCTATGGAAACACACCAACTACCGCACAGATAATGCCGTTGTCACTCGATCTCGTGTACTCGTGCTGCAGACCGTCATCACGGTGAGTAATTACGAGTACATCTTCGCCTTTCAATTCAACCAAGCAGCAGAGATATCCTATGAAGTTCGAGCTACGGGCATTCTAAGTACAGCTTTTATAGACAGAGGGGATTCCGTCCCGTTTGGAACGGTTGTTGCTCCTGGAGTCATGGCGCCGTATCATCAGCACCTCTTCTCCCTTCGTATTGATCCTGCCATTGACGGGTATGAGAATTCCGTTATGGTGGAGGAATCTCATCCCATGCCCATAGAGGATCCTAGAAGCATGACCAATATTGGGTATATCACGACTAACAAATTCGTCGAGCATGAAACACCCCTGGACACAGATAATCGTGTGGGACGTGTATTCAAAATCATCAACGAAAAGATCAAAAACCCCGTCACTGGGGGTCCTGTGGGATACAAACTCGTACCACACTACTCACAGATGCTTCTTGCACATCCCTCCTCATACCACTCTATCAGATCTGAATTCGGCAACTATCCGATCTGGGTGACTCGACATCATGACGATGAGCTCTTCGCGGCTGGAGAGCATACTTTACAATCCACGACTGGATCTGGACTTGCGACTTGGATCAAGTCACGCAAGGATAACCAACCGGAAAGTGTTCGGAATCAGGACCTTGTGGTATGGCACACGTTTGGTACGACGCATAATCCTAGAGTGGAGGATTGGCCGGTTATGCCGGTCGAGAAGATGACGGTTACCTTGAAGCCTGTGAACTTTTTCAGTCGCAATCCGGCATTGGATGTGCCGATCTCCAACCAGGCTGATAATAAGAGTGTGTTGGTTGAAGATGAGGCTGAGAAGAGTGCTTGCTGTGGAACAACAGCTCGTCTATGAAATGGGATTTCGATTGAAACGCAATTGATGCTAGCATTAGCCATTACACAGATATAGACCAATAGTTGTTCTCATTGAGGAACGGTTATCATCGGACTTTTGATCACTTGACCATGTATGGATTGGTCTGAATTTCGAGACATTCCCGCTCGTGTAGGATATGCGGTGGAACCACTTGATACTACATACCCATAAGAGATAAGTTGACTGCTGAACAATTCTTAACTAGATAAGAGCTCCAAATGTGGACCATGGTTGCGGGGTACTGCTCACTGCATGTTGGCCCTTATCTCCCTGGTGATAAGCCTTTACTCCATCATGTAACTGGCATTGCATTCCTGTATCAGAGAACAGAACGAGCAGTGAGGTCGAGATGGCTTCTTCAAATAGTACACCCGACAATAGAGACTTCAGCTTGTTCCATCTAGGAGATTTCCAACTGGAATCAGGAGAAGTCCTACCACAAGCATTCCTGGCATACAAAACATTTGGAGATATTAAAAATCCTGCAATCATTCATCCGACCTCTTATACTGCATGTACGTAGCCTTTACCTGTTGAACCATTAGTATATCTCTTGCTGATTCGTTCAATAGTCATTCACGAAACAGCTTCAGTTATCTTAGACTCTCGAGCTTCCCTCAATCCTTCGAAATACTTCATCGTCGTCCCGGCACTTTTCAGTAATGGACAAAGCACATCTCCATCCAACAGTCCAAATCTCCGAGACAAATTCCCCTCCATCACTTTTGCCGACAATGTGCGCGCACAGTATCTCTTAGTCACCCAGAAACTGGGTCTCACAAAAGTCAAGGCTGTGGTGGGCTTCTCTATGGGCGGAGCTCAGGCTTACCAATGGGCCGTTCAATATCCTGATTTCATGGACGTCGTCGTGCCTATTTGTGCCTCGGCGAAGAACGCAATTCACAACAATGTGTTTTTGGAGGGTGTCAAGAGTTCCTTGATTGCAGCCCGTGGAGGAATAAGCTTGGGTATAGGGAAAGGTCAACGATATCCCTCAAACGAGCCCTGGACACCTCAACAGAAGGAAGTCGGCCTGAAGGCCTTTGGCCGGGTATATGCTGGCTGGGGACTTAGTCAAGCCTGGTATCGACAGAAACTCTTCACCAAGTTCTTCGGCGCCAAGGACGAGGAGGAGTTCCTCCAAACGTTTTGGGAGCCATGGGGACTCAAGAATGATCCTGATGATTTACTTGTCATGCTGCAGACTTGGCAACTTGGAGACATTTCAAAGTCTCCAGAGTTTGGTGGTGATCTACGAAAAGCATTGCAGAGTATCAAATGTCGAGTTGTAGTTGCACCTGTGGAGACGGATCTGTATTTTCCACCGGAGGACTCTCGGTTTGAGGTTGAGAATATGCTTCCTGGAAGAGGCACTCTTGCTGTTGTTCCTAGTGTTTGGGGACATTGGGGTGGTGGATGTGTTGATAGTACGGCTGATTTGCAATTTTTGGATGAAGCAATGGCGAAAGTATTTGCAGAGTAGCCTAGATTGACGAACTTGATTTTGAATCTGAGCAACGTTGGTTACTGGTTCGCCAATAATGTTCTTTTGTAACTATTTTCCAACGCAATTTATGCATACTAATATCTGACTTCGGGTATATCTTCCCATAAAGTGTACATACGACCATTCATGACAAGGCGTCGCCAGCTTATCACGAACAGACATCGGATACCGTCAAAACAATGAAGAGGTACTATCTTGGGTAAATCTGTACTTAATCATTCAAACGCACCTCAACTAAGCCTAGCGCTCTTTCGATCAACTTATGTATTTGCCGTAGTCTGCCAAGCTGCTGACTTGACCAAGTGTTCTCGCGGGATTACTTTCAAAGACTTTCAGCTTTTTCAAAATGGTTTACGCTCGACTACCACAATCCCGAATTCTCTATTTTGGACAGCGAACCCCGCAACGATACATGATGTCGTCCACGTCGCAGGTCAACAAAGAGCCTCTCAGCGTGATTTAAGAGTGAGATGCATTCTTCGAAGTGCTTTGCGTGGCCTTGCTGATATGCTTAACAGGAACATCCTGCATAACGGGAAGTGTGAATGTTCCAAGAGAATATATGCATTCGGTACTGGCTGTCAATAGATATCAAGTCTAACAATATCCTCGTAGATTACGACGAAAGTCCTGGAGTCGGAATGGTCATTAAAATGTACAAATCTCGGACCTTGAGGATTCTGTCATTATGGAGGAGCGCTGAGAGCTGGTGTCGATCTCGCCAAAACCAGGCTTCGACGTGTTTTCTTTTAAGATTATGGTATGAATTTTCTTTCCATAGGAACCTGCTTCTTGGTTGCTGACGTCTTTTGAGATGATTTATGTGATGGTCAACGAAATGGCCTTCCGGGTCAGTGACGACGAACTAAACTCAGCACACTCGTGGCGCTATATACTATGTCGGCATATCTCTTATTTTGCGGATGAAGACCGTCTCAATCGGCTTTTCGAATATAGGTAAAGAAAATCCGTTCTACGAGCGCTTGATCGGTCTCGCCAACAGCTTTGGTCCCGAGAATCCTATGCAGGCTTTTCAGCGTTAGGGTTATGTGGAGCTAGGCCTAAGGGACCTGGTGGGCAAAATGACTAACTTAGACCCGACGAAGAGGAAAACTGCAAGAGAGGCACTCCAGCACCGATGGTTCAGCGAGACTGTTTGATAACTGAATATTTAGAATTGAAAGATTGGTTCTCAACGCAGTATAAAAAGACGGTTTGGTCTAATTGTTGGCATTGGAGGAGGAATCCTGAGCAAAGACGCAGATATCCGTCTAGGCGATGTTGTAATTAGTACGCCCACTGATAAACACGGGGGCGTGCTGCAATATGACTTTATAAAAGCACTGAGTGGAGGCCGATTTCTTTACGACAATCAACAAACCGCAAGCTAGGCATCTCACGCATGGGAACTGTAAAGAAATCGGTGAATGGATCGTATAGACTCAGAGGATTGATATCATCCAGTAATAGTGATCAATGGCCAGCTGCTTGTAAGTATTGATAAGATGATTCGATGCGTTGAATCTCTGTGTATTACTTGCCTTGTTCTCACTTAGTTACATACGACTCAGGGGGTGAGACTATAATCAGTCCTCGGATCACTAGTCATCACGTGACCTTATGATCATATTCTTCACAAGAACTATGTTATAGACCATCTCGCAGCAATAGAAGAAGAGAAGCTAGGCAAGTATGCTCGAGAAATCGCTCTGTCCAGATACAGAAGATTGTTTTTACCGCGCCGACCATGAGAAGTACGTACAAGAGCTCTGAATTGCAATGCTTGTGATCGAGGGGTTATCGTATCACGGCGTCTCAGAGTACATAACGTTCCAGTATTTCAATATGGAATCATCGCCTCCGCTAACACTATCGGCAGAGACAGTAAGTTGCGAGACAAACTAGCCCAGGATTTCGGGGCCACTATGCGTGGAGATGGAAGCTGCAGGATTGATGAACACGTTCCCGTGCCTGGTCATTCGAGGAATTTGTGACTATGCAGACTCCCATGAGACTAAAAAGTGGCAAGGGTTTGCTGCGGCTATAATAGCAGCGTATGCAAACGAGTTTCTGTTAATCACGCCGTTCGATTGCTCAGAAGCAAGACCCAATGAATCATGGAAAAGGCTTTAGCCTATATATCCGATCCATTCACCTATATCTCAGACTTGCTGTATCACCAAGAATGGTGATACCCAAATATTAATCTATCTAACATCCAACCGCCATTTACTCAGAAGTGGATACTACGAATTAGGGCTATCGATATCTACAAGGTATACTAATTTACCAATTGGATAGACTGGGGGACTCTGACGGGTTTAGCCGACTAATATCTAGGTACGTACGTACTGATTCGAATAACGAGAAGAGATAAAAAGTTCGTACATATGGAGATAAAGTTGAGATTGAGATGATTAGATTAGCAAGCTAATATAAAAACACAATAACACAAATCTGGCCACGAGTCAATCCAAGCATCACCAAGGAGACGTCAGAACCGGCACAGACTTAAAAAACCCAGAATGAAACACAAATCGAAATATTGAGACAGACAATTTGGGAGTGAACCCCAGTGGGCGACGTTCGCCAAAAGAAGAAAAGGCAAAACGTCAATGAGACATGATATATAACAAGCAGAAAAGTTTAGAAAACACACTTTTGTCTTTCGGAGCGTCATTATCAAATTGAATTTCAATCTGACTGGTACTCCTCCCACGGTGTGAGGCGTAACCCAGCCCCCCACCACCGAGGTAGCCACTGGCTACCGGCCCATTGGTATTAACAAGCACAAAATATATAAATAGCCATAAAACAAACTTTTGCACAACACGCAAACCATGATGGAGAAATCATAGATTAAGAATTGTCGTAAACTTGAATGCACAGTGCATTCAAGTTGTCTTTCAAGGATCGGAAGACATCGCAGTTCCTGCGAGAGCTTTCCAGTACTCTACGTCCTTTTGCGATTTGGCCAACATTGCCTCGAGCTCTCGGATCCGATCTTCCATTTGTTCCTGCTTCTCTAGTTTGCGTCGGCGAGACTTACGCGCAGCCATGGTATTTCGCGCACGCTTGACGGCGACTGGATCAGACGGATCATACTTGGGCTCAGGAAGGTTTCGCTTGTTTCGAGCTTTTTGTGACATGACATCGCCATCCGTAGACGACACCGGAGAAGCAGCCGACATATTAGCAGTGGAAGGGCGGGATTTACTGGTCTTCTCCTGCGCAAACGTTGAGAAAGGCATGTCAAAGTTCTCACCGGACATGTCATTGCTGTCCGGGAAGAGGGAAGCCCAGTCATTAGAATCGGCTGGTAGATCACTGTCGGCGGCATAGACGGGTGATGTGAACTGAGCAAAAGCTAGGCCTGCAGGCGAGTCAAATGCAGATTGTGGAGTACCAAGTTCGGTGGAAAATGACGAGGGCGGACCCGACATCAAGTCCTTTGGCGAAACTGTGCCCGGAGGCACAGTCGCCGAGGAACTCGTCATATACGCGAATTCGTCAAGAAGCGGAGAGGCCATCATAGACGAGATCGGTGAAGTCAAGTCGTCCAGCAGAGGGCTTTGAGTCGGAAGATCAAAGAGATCTAGTGAAAAATCTGGAAAGGGGAAAGAGTAATCGTTAGCGTCGGGAACTGAGTCAGATAAGAAAGGATGCGGGGTCCAGGCGGTGTGAGTAATTACCTTGAGCGATATTGGACGAGGACATGACTCTTCGATGCGGTTGCGGATACGTTTGATGTTGTTTATGCTGATTTTTTTGATAGTTTGGAGTGTTTTGTGTGCTGTTAAACAAAGGAACCGGAGGACGGTTTGCAAGCGGAGAATTTGAAGGCACAGAAGCTGCGTAAAGACGTTGCGCGAGACGCTTCTGGGTCGATGGACTGGACCGATAAGAGCTGGACGGAGGAAATGATGACCCTAAAGACTGTGGAAACAATCTGTTCACTTGCTGAACGGATTTGATCTGCTGCTGGTGTACGTTGACACTGCTGTACTGAACTGTGTGTCGGCGGTTGACCAGAGATTGGTTCTTCACAGATACTTGATTAAGGCTGGCACTCGGATGTGCTGGCGAACGCTCGTCCAAGGAATTGACTGGCGGGCGAGAGGCTGGCTGTTGTGGATAGAGCACGAAGTCCTGTTGTAGATTGCTCTTGTCGTTGTTGTTGCTGTTGTTCAAATTCGGGAACTGCGCCAAAGGCTGCTGGTGAGGGGGGTAGGGAAGCCATGATTGCTGTTGGTTATCCGTGGTGAACGACGTGACGTCGGACGAAATGGTGGAGGTAGAGAGAGATCCTAAAAGGGAAGACTCTGGAGATTGGATTGTTGAGGGAAGTATGACAACAGGGGGATGTATTGTGTTGACTGTCGCTTTAGCAGGGACAGAGGATGGGTCTTGAAGGGACGAGACGCTTAGAAGGCCGCCATTATGGAGGAATGCGATGATCTCTTCTCTTTTTCTGGAATCACTGAATATTGTGTGTTGGTGTGTTGATGGATGAAAAGTTGTGTGGAGATGGGATGAAAGAAAAAAGAAAGAGGAGGAAAAACCAGGCACCAACTTTGGGGGAAATCAGGCAGTCTTAAGGGACGGCAGCGTAAGCGAGGGTGCGAGGGAAAGCCCGCGCTTGCCCAGAGGGAGACTCCGAAAGGCAGAATTGGCAGGAGCCATCGGCCCAGCCTTGCTGCGGGGCCAGATACGCCAATAAGAGAGAATTACGCACGCGCTAAACCAATCTGGCCCTAGGCTGTGCATGCAAAGTGGAGCATTTACGAGTGAGTCATAGCCTCTACGCGTTCTGATTGGTTTGAAATCGAGCCGCAGTTTCCCTCGCGTCGCTCATCGCACGCCTTTCGACAACGGCCGTGATGGCCTGAGGCTCGCGCGTCTTCTTCTGTCCCTTGCGCCAATCCTCTTCTTTGCCCACACTCCGCGACACCGTGAAATGCTTTATTGATACACCTTTTCCTGATCGAGGAACATATCAAATACTACGCTTGTGGTCACTTGCGTCTCCTGCGACTGATTGGGGACGGCACTACATTCCTTGGATCATTAGCTCGTGGGCTAACGCTATTTATATGGAGCAACTAGTTATGTATGTACGCTTGGGATGACTCACTCCACTCGTTACAAGTTTAGTACTTTTTGTGCTAACCCAGGCCCGTCGTGAAACGAACTCCGAATCCCACGCAGAATTTCCTTCCTTTTGACCCCGACGTCAGGGACCGTGGAGTTGCATGGACGGAATAACTTCTCCACCGTGGCCTGCACAACACTTACCAGGGCTGGCACCCAAGGTGAAATGCCGGAAATGCCTGGGCAAAACTCCACTCACAAAATTACTCTTCAAAAGTTTGACGAGTTCCTTACAGCAGTGCGATTCAAATCGGTCTGCTACAAACGCATTAGAACCGCGACGCATTCGATGAATGGTACAATGCTGGCACTCTTTAAAACGGTCTCCCTGGTGTACTCCGTACCGCAGGGGCCCTCATTGTATGCGATGAGCATAGCCACATCGCAAGTCGCGTCCGGAATAGAAATGTGTTCAGTTCATTCCGGCACCAATACCGCACGGCCCCGCGCTAGGAAGAACTAGGGCTCATCTATTCAATCCATTCCACCGAAATGTAAAAGCAGGAATAACGAGAAAGCTCAGAAAACAGGTTGTTAATCTATTACGGTTTGTTGCGACTTGCGAGCAATCAGGATAAGGGTCCGATATATAATTCCTGGCGACGGGGGACTACAGTGTCTCAAGCATATCGAATGCGCGTACTTGCACGTACTTGCATTTCAACAGTCAATCAGTATTTAGCATGAACTGCTCACCGTCCAATTCTGGTCTTCGATTCGTCTTCAACTCAGCCGGAAGCGCACCGGGCGGTGAGCCACTCAAGACGTTGCACTAGCCTGATTAGTTTAGACTCATCTACGGACATTCATCCAATCTCCGGCGAACTGTCTAAACTAGCACTTACCTAGTTTAGCAGCCGACTTAGGGTTTTGGACTGGCTGGTTTAATGGGACAACAGTCTGAACAAACGGTGCCGATTATCCATGAATGTTCAATCACATGCGCCGACGACAATGAGCCTAGCCGCGTCCTATGAAATGCTGAAAGATCCTTTATTTCATACAACATAATTAGTCCTGGGCAATGCTATCCATTGTCTGTCACTGTCCCGATTACCCGCTATCGTACCTGTTATTTTGGAAACCTTTGCTTGTCATTGTTCCGAAACCTCAAAATCGACAAAGAAGAGGGACTCGCTTACATTGCGGAGAAAGGCGTCTCTAATTCGTATTGCGAGAACCGCGTGAACTGGTCTCATAGCCGCTCGACAACTCGAGCCGTCGTTGCCCTCGGCTATTTTCAATTCTGAGCCGAAACCATCAAAGAAAGCCGAATGTCTTTATACTTACGATCAAGCGGTCAGTCATGAACACCCCGTCTCTGGCTCGCTTCGTACTTAGCGGTAGCTCCTGCTGGTATGGAATCCGGAGATACAAGACACATGGACGGTGTCAGAATAGACCTAAGCACTCTATTCGGTCACTCTCCCTGCTTTGTTTGCTATGAGATGGCCACTAATTGGTTCAGTACGAGCGCAAAATGAACTTTCAAGCCAGTATGGCACGCCTGGCAGTCCTTGCCTGATGCAATTTCAATGCCGTGTATTCCACTGGCAGTATTCTGAGTTCTTTTTAGTACAACAGCCAGAGGGCCAACAGTCAGTTCCGAAGAGAGGACAGCAGTGCTTCAATTGCGACTATCATGATTCAAAATCCCACATAGGGAGAAAGTATTCCTCACCGCAACCACGGCCGACATATGCCAAGCTGTCAATCCAGTTGTACCACGTCTAGAAGCAGATGTGTCGAATTCGGAAAGAGCTTTTTTTTCAATATGATTTTCTTGAACATCGAATATCGTCCATGAAGACAAAGGGTACAGGAGAAAAGCAGGACATTGGATGTAACGGCAAGGGGCCTGGGAGAGTCCGACAGATGCTTATTCCAGGGATGTAGCTATGGAGGCAAGGGTGCCATATCATGATATTCTCTAGAACAACTGATCTCTACTTCTTATGAGGCTACAGGGAAGGTTGAGCTCAAAGTCGTCGCAATGGACTTGTTCAAAACTTAGTCTTCTGGAGGAGTTAATTGATATGCGGTTCTTATCTTAATCGTATGGCCTGCGTCTAGCTGAGATACTACCGGCGAAGAGGATGTTTCCCACGGAAACAACTCAGTCGCTCTAGACGATGCGTACCAGACGACTAGACATAGCCCAGGCCTCAACAATTATTCACGTCGAACTGGAGAATCTTGTATATCGGTGTAGCTGACCACTGATCTTACCGACTAAGGAGTCTATGGGCAACAGGAGGTACAGTCTCGTCAAAAGTTTGCGCCAAACCCGTCCCAGATACCTAACGCATTGATGGCAGAGACTAAACGGGAATGACTTGTATATTCCGTAGTTGTTCGTTGAGCGCAAAGGAACTTGTACACCACCAGGAGATTGTATGCCGCGAACCAATTCCAGATCCAAGAGGCACCTCCCACACAAATATGGACCACGACGTTGAGACCAGCAGTTGGCGTCAGAGATGAAAAAAGAAAGTATACACTTGAGCATACGATCTGCACTAAAAGGTAGAAGCCACAAAGCACAGCGCGCTATGTAGTCCAATGAGTGGAAATGATAGAAAAAGCAACGAGTCCAGGTACGGAGTACATGTCTGACACCACTGGCCAGGGTACGTATCGTGATAGGGTTGAGTCTCAATGAATTGAATCATGGCATGAACAAGTCATGCCAAATCGTTTATCGCCGCCCGTTCTTCAATGAAACCCTCAAGATGAAAGAATCCTGACATGATTCACGATTCCCTGCCAGTCGTTGTAACTGCTCCATGTCACTGGTCAGCATGCCCCCAAAGTCGTACCTGATGGACCCAGTTAGGGCTGCAGGACGACCATCAGCCAATCACATCGACGAATTCCTTGACCATCGTTAATGTCTGAGACAAAAGCCACCACACTAACAATCACCGCTACACCACAACTATTTTTGCTCTAGATTTTTCACTTTCAGAGTTCAGACATTGAAAATTTTTTGCTTAGCGAATGCTCTAGACTTTGTAGACGAGGTACGTAGGAGGCTAGTAGCAGAGCTGTGGAGTTTAGTCGTGGGAATGAGAATACGAAGGAGGTGCCTAGTTGAGCGAATCGGAATAAAGGCCACTTTCTTCTAAGTTCTTGCCTTTTTATTGGTTGCATCTAGACCATAGCCAGTAAAGTACTGTTTGGGAAAAGCTGTGGCTGATTATTTTCCTAGCTCGTCAGTAGTACGGAGTTCGTATTAGTACTGCTGTTCTCTGGCAGAGCAGTGGTACTGAGTACGAGTCTGCTTTGAGAGCAACGAGTCGACAAACAGATAGGGATGCCTATACTTTCTTTGGCAGAGAAGAGGACAAACTCGTGATCTGTCGCTACGTCTGATTCGATAAAGGTACGTGACTCTGCAGCCACTCACAGCTTCCATGCGGAATTCGGCACGGCCCATTCAGCCACCATGATTTGATACGCGAGTATCAAATCACATCATTCGTACTTTTGGCGGCGAAACGGTCATGCGCCCATTCAACTTTGACCATCAATGATGCAGCGGCACTCCAAATGCTGCAAAAAAGAAAAAATCCCATCTATTTGGCGCTCATCTTGATACTCGTACGCCTGTCAGACTGTGTGTTTCGGAGTACATCCACGTTGCCCTCGTGTATCATCTGGAGTCTGTGTGGTCAGACGAAGGAAGAAATTTTTAAAACAAAAATGATATGCAGAAACCGGAAACTAGCCAATCACAAACAGCCGCTAGTAAAATAAGGGATCGCTCATGGATCCTGTTATCTGCATTGACTCGTCGAGGCTGGACATGTGACTACATCTTGACCTCGTCAAATTGTATGCAAATCCGCCTCCCAGATTTTCGTGTATCGACCGTAATAGGGAAAAATACTGCCTGCCTCAACCGTAAAACTTGATAAAAGAGTAATTGCATAGATATGGTAGCAGATAACGGCATCACATGTCAAATTTGCGAATTCATGTAGATCGTATGATCGTCACCCTCAGCGCTTAACCATCACGTAAAAGGAATGGGATTTTTTTTGCCTTGTCTCTCACTCTCCGGACCAGAAAAGCGGTCAAGTCATGATGCCATGAGTTTTCTGCCTCTGGCTGTTGTCCGTGTCCTTTGAGTTTTTGCTGTGTGCCTAGGGTTAAGTCAGCCAGCCAGATAGGGATGTTCTCCTTTTCCTTCTGCTGGTGAGTTAGTCAGCAGTTTCCTTGGTTTTGGTGTGGCCCACACGGCATCTGATATTTTGGCTTTGGCGCTAGTTACTATGTTACCGTCACGACTGAGTATCCCATACTATGCAAAAAGCAAAAACGTAGCACGTAGAGTGTTGGCTTCTGCACTCCGTAGACGAACTAGATATATTCCACGTGTTGTAACATAGTTATCACGGCGTATATGTGGTTGGCATTTGATGGTTGTGAAGAATTCGAGACAAGATGTATGTGCGCCGTGCTACAATCCCTCCTTACACGGAAAATAAAAAGCAGTACCGACTCCACCGTATGGTACGTTACAGCCCACGGAGCCGTAAAGAGATAAGCGTCACCTGATTATCGTGTGTCTGTAGATGCAATCCGAACCACATAGCTGAGCCGTATCGAGCCATGAATGTCATTGACGAATGGGATAATGAACTCGGCGAATCATCTCAGTACAAGTAAAGGATAATGCCTGTCATTGAGTCCTGCGTCCTGGCAATACACAAGAGAAAGGGGAAGTCAGAAAAAAGGAGGCTAACGGCAGCTGCAGTGGATTAGGTGTGGAGAGCTCCTTTCGCAAGGCCAGACGAGACGATCGTCAGGCGCCAGTGTCCCGGTTGGGCTTAGTGATGTTTTATTCGTAATGCAGCGTAACGGGTACCGCTATTTCGACTCTAATTGAGCAATATGCGTAAAATACGGTCTCGACGTACTGTTTATCTAATACAAGCGGAGTGGGGCAGCAGTGCCTAGTCCCGTCCAAGCGCCTTCCCTTTGGTCGTCCTCCCTGACTGCCTCCTTCCCTCTGCCTGGACCAGCGCTAGGCCCGTTTGGGCCGGTCAGCTATACACCTTTTTCTCTCCCTCCTTCTCGCCTTTTTCTCTTTCTCTTCTCTTCTCTTCTCTTCCTCCCATATCTTCGCACTCTTCCCTAATCCTTCGCAACTTCCCTCAACAGCCTTCGGCTTCTCTTTTTAATTGTGATACCCCAACAGAGTTCTTTGACAGCTATTGCTTCAAGTACTCTTGTATTTTCGTTGAGATACCCCTTTCCTAAAGATACCCCCCTCCCCTCAACAAGTGATACCCACCTGTTCTCGCCAGCGAGCTCAGTGTTTGCAATTTTATCTTCCATTCAAGCAAACCACTCCATTTATAATTCTTATATCGGAACTACCTAATATTCACCAATATGTCCGCCGCCGAAGTCGCCAAACCCGTCGAGGAGACTGCTCCCGTCACTGAAACTCCCGCTGCTGAGCCTGCTCCTGCGGCCACCGAGTCTGTCGCTGCTCCCGCTACCGAGGTTACCGCTGCTGCTGCTGAGGCCACCGAGGCTGCTGCCGCTGTTGAGGCTCCGAAGGAGGAGGCCAAGGAAGAGGTTACTCCTGCTACTGACGGTACTCTTGGCTACAAGGGACCCGGTCTCGTCAAGTGAGTGCAATTGTGCCGACATTTGAAAAGTTGGAATATCTGCTAACGCAATCTCCACGACAGGAGCTTCCGCTTCACCAAGCGCTTCTTCTACTTCTCTGACGATGCTGTCGAGGCCAAGAACTTGACATCCTATCTCGCTTCTGAGAAGAGCTCGGCTGCCGCTCAACGTACCGCCGCTTGGGCCACCCAAACCGGAAAGGGTCTCCTTCTCTTGACCAAGCGCGCCGAGGACAAGGCTACCCCTGCCGGCATCTTCAACTTGGTATGTCAAACCATCTTTCGTCCTTGTTGTCTTGTATTCTAACGCGAGGGAAAACAAAATAGTCCGAAGTTAGCGACATCTCTAAGGAAGGATCTACCGAATTCTCCTTCAAGACTCACGGACACAAGCACGTCTTCCAGGCCACCTCCGCTGCCGAGCGTGACGGCTGGGTCGCTGCTTTGACCACCAAGTCCAGCGAGGCTGAAGCTGAGAAGGAGACCGTCACTGGTAGCGAGGGCTACAAGGCTGAGCTCGAGAAGATCACCAAGCCTGCTGTCGTTGCCGCTGCTGTCAAGGCTGCCCCTGCCCCTGAGAAGGATGCTAAGGAAACCGAAACTGCCGCCGAGGACAAGAAGGAGGAAAAGAAGGACGACAAGAAGAGCCGCTCTCAATCCCGCAAGCGTACCTCTATCTTCGGAACCATCTTGGGCAAGAAGGAAAAGGAAGAAGCCAAGGAGGAGACCCCTGCTGCCACTGAAACCACCCCTGCGGAGGCTACTCCCGCCACTGAAACCGCTGCAGCTGAGACCACCGAAGCTCCCACCGCTGAGGCCACTACTGAAGAGGCTGCTCCTGCTACTGAGGCCGCTGCTACTGAGGCTCCCGCCGAGGAGAAGAAGGAGGAAGCTAAGCCTGCTGCCAAGCCTAAGCGTGCTTCTATCTTTGGAGAGTTCTTCAAGAAGGTTGCCAGCCCCAGCAAGGAGAAGACTGAAGAGGAGGTCGCCCCTGTTGCCAGCACTGCACCTCAACTCGAGAACCCTGTTGATGAGAATGCCGCTAAGCCCATTGAGCCTGAAGCCGTGACTGAAGCTCCTGCTGTCGAAGCTGCTACTGCTTCTTCTTCTGAGACCCCTGCCGCTGAGGCTGCCACCGAGGACAAGAAGGAGGCCACTACTCCCGAGAACAAGCGCCGCACTTCTTTGTTCGGTACCTTGGGCAAGAAGAGCAAGACCGAGTCCACCTCGGACGGTGAAGGCAAGAAGACCAATAAGCTTGGAGGTCTCTTCCGCAAGCCCAGCAAGGCCGTGAAGTCCGAGGATGACAAGAAGAAGGAGGCTACCCCTGCCGAGACCATCCCTGAGGGTGAAGACAAGCCCGAGCCTATCGCCAAGGATGTCCCTGCTGACGAGACAGCTGCTCACGCCGCCGAAAAGACCGAAGAGCCCGCTGTTGCTGCTGAGCCCGTCAACGTTACTCCCACTGCTGCTCCTGTCCAGGCTGCTGCTTGAAGGAGAAGCGCCAGAACGAGCGTAGTGGAGTTTGAAAAATGGTGGGATGGGGATCACCCTACTCGTTCTGGCATATCCGCGGCCTGACGAATGACAATCTGATGTTCTATACCCCCTTTTGATTCTTTCTTTCTCCCAAATTTCTTTCGTCTTGGGAAATGAAAATATTTTAATTAATGTGCAGGACTGTTGACAGGACTGTTGGAATGTTGGCGAGATGATGATACCCACTATTTCTCTCTCTCTCTCTCTCTCTTTCTCTCTCTTTTCGATAATTGTTCTTTTTTTGTCTTTTACTTGATTTTGATGCTTTCATCCGAAAACCAAGAAAAAATTTAGTACCGCAACGATACCCGAGTCCAGCTCAACATGAACTTCTTCGAAGTTCATACTTGATGTTTGTCTCCGTTGTGCATTTGTCTAACTCTTTGTCTATCTGCTAGATTGATACCACTTTGCTTTTGTCCTGCTTTTTTGTGTCTTTTTTTTGGTACCATGATCTTATCTCTTCGCTCTTCGACTTGGTTGAAGTTGTGTTTGCTTGATATATCATGTCGCTCGTTTCCTTATTATTACACTATAACCTATACACACTTATCTTTATAGTCAGACAGTCCACGGCTAGTCAGCATCAGTATACTGATAATAATAATATGTGATTTGTCTATCTTCCTCCATTTTGTAATACGTCATTGTACGGAGTACTTCGTAGTCTTTTGCCGTAATACAAAGTAAAATGATTCGCATCATTTGATTGTACAGAGATCTCAGTATCTAGTGGGTCCACTATATCTCCGGTCATCTTTTCACAACTTCAACTATATATCATACAGCTACCTCATCCGGCTATGGCAAGGACGTGTCTACCAAATCAGGCATTAGCATTTCAACTGTCACTCAGAAAAGGAAGGGGGAAGAAACTCACGATGTAATACTATCCATCCTTTCCGCAGTCAACTTCAACGTAACCATCAACAACTCCTGCGCAATCTCCGGCTTTTCAGCCCTCAAATCCGCCCATCGCTCCTGATCAAGGCACCAGGCCACACAATCCTGATCAACTTTGACAGTAGCCGTACGCGGCGTGCCGCCAAAGAATGGTAATTCGCCGCATGGTCGTCCCGCAACAATCAATTCAGAGTATCGTCCTTGGGGCAACTCGTATTCTGCGCGAAGCATGCCTGATTCGAGAAGGTAGAACATTTTTGGTTCGTCGCCTTCATAGTACAGGACTGTGTCCTTGGGGTATGTCTCGCGCCGGAAGTAGGCGCATGCTGGATACCAAAAGTCTTCAGATTGATGAGTTGTGAGGCCCTGGAAGGTTTGGAGGAGGAGGGGTAGTGGTTGGCGGAATGTGGTCCATTTTTGTGCAATGTTCGTTGCTGTTTCGTCTTCGCGGAGGGTAGAAAGGGCGGCTTGTTGGAGATAGTTGCGTCGTGGTGAATGGCTGTATGGGTCTAGAACGGATGGTAGGTTGCCGCTGCTGGGGACCTCCAGAGACGCTCTGGAAGACTGCTGCTGTTCCTTAAGGGCTTCCTTGCGACTGTAAAATACCTTGAGGTATTCATTTTCGCAATACTCCAGCGCCGAGTTCAGGTCCTCGAATATCTGAACCAGACTCTCGTCGGCAAATAATCCTACATTCTGTAGACTTTTGCCTACTTCACCTTCAACATCTAACCCTGAAATCAACATCTGCACGTTTCTCTTTCCCAGAATCCGATTGATCCGCGTTAGAGCTTCGGCTGCCGAGAAGTCTAGACCGTTGACGCGCGAAAAGTCCAGAACCAAAAACCTTATCGGCTGTCTCATGAAAGCTTCCTCATCGATCAGACCACGTGCTGTAGCTTCAACTTTGACTATTGTCCCGAAAAACAGGAACCCAGACAGTTTGATAATCAATGTCTGCCTTCCCGCCTCCTTCAGAAATTTCTGCTGAATGGGAGGTCGTCTAACTGTGGACGCTGTGAATTCGCCAGAATAAGTTGCTCGGATCGCTGACTTGCGTGAAGTCTGCACCACAAAGTTGACACAGGCAAGGATGATGCCAACGAAAATTCCGATAACAAAGTCCCATACACCCATCGTCACGACGATGATGACGACAGTTAAATACTCCAATCGGTGTAGCTTGCCCCACGTGTCTACCAAAGCCTCTTCCATTAGCTCTATCCCGAGCATAAAGATCAATGCCCCAACAACGAGAATTGGAATATAACCAATTATAACCGGCCCAACGACCATGATCCCGGTGGTAGCTGCTGCCAGCATAATACCTGCCAGTCTCGAGTCACCTCCACTATTGATAAACAACAGGCTGTTGGTGTATACAAGGTAATTCTATCCTAATTAGCCAGTCATACATGTATGCTGTTGCTTTCTGGTACTCACCTGTATACTTCCAGCAAGCCCAGATACCGTATTTGTAATACCGTGTGCAATCAACTCCCGGTCAACACTCACGTTGTCTTCTCCAGTAGATATTCCAAGAGCTGGGACATTGATAGGGACGTGAAGTATACCAAAGAATGTCAGTGCAAACATGGCAGGAATTGTCTCAATCAACGCCGACCAGTTGACAACGCTGAAGTCTGTAAAAATGGTCAGAAAAATAAAACAAGCATACAAGCAGTTCAAATACATACCATAAAGGGTGTAAAAATGCCACCACGGATTAGACGCCGCAGGCGGCTCAAACACCCAACCACCCGCTCGCAATGTATGCATATCAATGCGTGCGATAAGTTTGACAAGATAAAACAAAACAGCCACCAAAATGAAATATCCCCCAACCAAGAAATTAGATTTGATGAAGCGTCTCACAATCAGAAGAATAATCGCAAGAGCAAGTGGTATCGTCCAAAGAAACAAGGTATCAAGCTGGAAAAGATGTCGTAACGTCACAAGATTATACTCCAGGGAGCCCGGCAATCGTGCAGAGACTTCAACACCGGTAGCCACAAGAAACCATCCCACGCCGCCGATGCAGCCGATCAAGATGTGGCGAGGGAAAAACCCTATAAGCGAGCCTAGTTTGAAAACACCCATGAGAAAGAAAACGACACCCGTCAAGATCGAGCTGAGCGAGAAAGAGAGAATGGTTGTAGCGAGAACGGCTCGAGGATTGTCTTCACCAACTCGATTCAGAACCATAAAGGCCATCTTATGGAAGAAAGGGACAACTTCAATCATTTCACTGCCTATCCCGCCCTTGAAGACAGAAGCTCCAGACGAGAAGATCAGCTGTGAAATGATAGTACTGATATAGTAGATGGATATACCGTCAGAGCCCAAGTCGGAGAATATGGCTTCGCCGAGAGGAAACAGAATCATGCCGTAGGATAATGCGTCGAGTATATTGAGAAGCAGTCCCAGGAAGACAGCAGGAAGGAGACTAACAGGACGCACAACGCCTTCTTCCCAAATGGCAAGGCGGTCCCAGGACTTTGGATGCGTCGTAACGTAGAAAAACTTCTTAGTCCTAGAGTATGCATCCTGCAAGAAGTTTTTGCGGCGATGGTATATGTATACAGGTTGACTTTCAATATCTCCTGATGTAGTCCCATAATTGTACCCTTTCGATAGCGTTCTCTTGCGGATGAGCGCGGTTCCTTCATCCGGCTGATTCTCCTCTTCTGCTTCGTCTACGTGGCCCGAGGAGTCGGCATCTCTCGGGTTGTAGACATCCGCAGAGGTGCTGGTCTCTGGCCGGTTATCCAAAGTGTTAGGTGGAGAGCTGCGCAAGATTGCCGTTAGGTTAGAAGTCGATAGCTGCCGTGTAGAAGACATTGACGACGCCTCGAAACGAGCAGATGTCTGGAGGTCGCTTGCGGTAGGACGTGAAAGGCGGTCATCAGCACCATGACTAGACCTACGTCTTTTTGTGTCTGGTCGAAAGATGTCCAGACCCGGTGGGATGGAATCATTCAAATGAGGCGCAGAAGCAGCGGACAGGTTAGTCTCTACATCAGAGATGGCAAGTGAAGCAAGCTCCGCCGTCTGTTCCCGGACACCTTGCGAGGAATATTGCGCCGGATCTGCAGCGTTTGTGAATGAGTCAAATCCCGAGCAGTTGATGATTGCAGGAGGAAAGCGGAATAGAACCAACCTAAAGAGCCATGAAAAGACCTATGATAAAACGAGCGAGCCGGAGTCTTAACATTGTTCAAGCTGTGCACAGAGTCCCATTTTGTAATTGTCGGGGATGAAGGCGCTTCAGCTGCTGAGCTACCGATGTAAGAAGCGTCATTCTGGTCGCTGATGATGTTATCGGTCTGATTGCTATCAGTTCTTCCTAGCACATCATCATTTCTGGAGATGTAGGAATTGCTGCGTCCGCGGCCGCCGGATCGGATGTCCATTGTCGACTTGATGACTACTATGTGCAATGGCGCAAGAGTGTAGTCAAAGCCATTGCATGAATTGGTGACGACAAGGAGCAGAATTGAAGCAATTGACAGAAAGAAAGAAAGAAAGATAATGACGAGGGTGAAAGAAGTCTGGAACGGGCCCCGCTGTGGGTTCCTTAGAAAGAGGCAGCTAACTACAGATAAGCTGTTTACCTAAACCCTTTACTGATTCTTTTTCTGTAAGAGTGTATATATTTCTGTTCTTTAGAGATATACACACCAATTGAGCTATACACCACATGCTGATTGCCACTCGAGCCGGTTTTTCATCGACGAGTCTAGAATTACGTTGCTTATCTGCAAGCTGCACGACGGTTGAACTTTTGCCGCAATCTTATTGGATAGTTACTGATTCCTTGTAAAGTGTCGAGGAAAAATCATTAGGGTATCTAAATGTCATAATATACGTGATCACGTTATATCAGCTCAGCTGTAACATCAATTCAGTCGCTGCAGATATCCCTGCGCAATCAGGCGCTCAACATCGCCTTGCCGGACGTAGAATTGGCTGTTCTTAGTGAGGTTGATGGCCCTTTTTCTCAAATCAGTCATTCATCTTTCAACCAGAAAGAAAAGAAAGGAAATAAACATACCCATATTCAGTCTGAATCTCGCCCGCATCCTTCAACACGCGCACATCAATAAACAAATCCTTCGGCGGCTCCAGACTCCCCGTCAAATCAATATCCGTCCATTGCCCTTTATACGCCGCCAGCATCTCACTATACAACCGGAAATATTCCTCTTCCTCGGGACTCAATGAATTCTGTCCGGACATTGTTCTTGCTGTAGTATTCGCAGGTATATTACTCTCTTCCGTCGAATTTTCCTGTTTCCCATCATTATTGTTCGCGCCACCAGAGCCAGTGGAGATAGGCTGCTGTTGCTCCAACACATCAATCCCTTTCCAACACATCTCCTCCAATTTCTCCGCGCGAACCCGATGGTAAGCTAACAGACACCGCTTATTCCGTCGCATACACAAATGATCGACTAACAACGCGCATGCGATGGCCGGTTGTGCGGAAGGGTTGAACGATGATTGACTCCCGTCGGCACTCTCGAAGGGGGCTAGATGGTGCGCGACATCGTTGTTGAGGTCGCGTACTTCACGGGCTACGGAGCGGACGATCTCGGTTTGGTATGGGGGTAGGAAGGCAAGTGATTGGGTGCGTTTTGCGTGTTGGACCTGGTTTTTACTTTGCATCAGTGTTGTTCGCTTGTCTTTTTTTGCGTGTGTTTGAAGAAGGGATGGTACCAATTTATTTCCTAGTTCGCCGTACATCTTGGAATATTAAATGTCTTGTAGTAGTGATAATAAAGACTGGTTGGTATGTTACGTCGTAAAGCAAATTATCAACAACAGAAACACGTGAGATTGAACCGTTGCGGAGACTCAGGTATCCATTCTTGGCCTGGCGGGGAGCCAGCAATTGGCTGTGACAGAACCTCAGCATTGGAGTTGATTCATCACAAGACGTTTTGAGCAATTACTTATAGGTCAAAGGGTTCAGAACTTGCATGAAACTATGCTGTATACCAACTAGTCTTACTGCTGCAGAACCTAGCTGATCCTGTCAAGGGGCCGAAAATCAACACATCCACTTCTACACTGTACAGTTCACAGAACATGTATATTAAATCATTGATGTCCATTCTCAGTCTAATATTCTAGCACTTACATACAATCACAAAAACAACAAAAAAAATTGTGCTCCGAGGCTAATGCCTAAGACGACCCTTCACATCCATGATTGCGCGAACAGAATGCCTCCCGAGACCCTATCCCATAATACACGCGTGCCATAACGAGGAGAAGATTGACAGAAAATCTCCTGGCCATAGATGCAACACAAGAGAATTAAAGGAAGTTGCAAGGGAAAGAATAAAAGCTCAACAAGCAAATGCATTGGAATAAGGGGTAATCGAAAACCAACCAACCGGATTGAACCAAGGAACGAAGAGCGGAAAAGATTCACATTGAGTACATCGCATCAAACATAAAGAAAATATTAGAGGCGTTGAAGACGGATTCCATGCTCTCATCTAACAAGCCTAGAAGGGGGTATCGGGGCATCTTTTCCTGTCTTTACTCAAACCTGACTGAGATTACCGCCAGTAGGAGCTGTCGTGGCATTCGTCAACTCGAGAGGATCTTCTTTGATCACTGTGGCCCACCATAAACCGGTTGGTGGTGATTCTGATTATGAATCCACTGATCAAAATCTTTGCCAATGACCTCAGAGCCACCGATTCCCTCATCTTCGCCGCACTGGGCCCATACCTGCTGTCCCTCCTCAAGAGGTTGCATGGTATAGTTGGCATTCAATGAATCGTAGGAAACACCATTGTTTCCAATGGGGCCACTCATTGGCATGTATGAGCTGAGATCTTGATCATGCTGAGGCCACATTGTAGACATGTTGACTTGGTTGTAAGAACGCAAGTCAAGTCCAGCTTGTTGAGAAGCCAACAGTTGTGGATCCAGCTGACTATCGTCCATGCGAGGCATAGTAGCACCATTAGAATGGTTATTGTTGCCACCATTTGCATTTACAGTGGTAGAAGCACTGCTGGCGCTGCTGTATGAACGCAGCAGCTCTTGGTTGATGTTACCCGGAATACTGGCCAAACTAGTTGACGCGCTGTATCCATTGTTGATGACATAACCGGTTGGTCTCGCAGCAGTGTGCGCATCATCAGACGATCGAATCATTCCTGGGTATGGTCCATGTGCATTCATGTAGTATCCACCATGATGATGATGATGATGATGATGTTGTTGTTGTTGTTGTTGCTCGTGAGGTGCCATGAGACGTGTCGGCAAACGTTGGCCAAGAGTCATTGGCCATCGATTATGAACAGAGTCAGGAAATAGAGGGTCCTGGTCGTATGGTGTCGATTCACGACTGCCATATTCGTTCTTGAAGACTCCGGTCTTCATGTGCTTGTGAGGGTTCGGAGACCTGTGGGGACCAAGCTGATAACCAGTTTCATCGGCCTCACTGCCTTCATCCTTGGCTCGTCGCTTTTTGCGAGGCCGCATCTGTGCCTTGTTCGGAGTAAACTTGTAATCTGGATGTGCCTTGTGATGCTTGTCTCGTTCAACCAAAGCAAGTAACTCGTACTGTTCTTTGATCTCGGGAGGCTCCAGTGCCCAGCTTTGCCCCGATATACACGACACGATCTGATGGTTGCTCTGCGAACACAATTTCTTTGTACGTTCAGAATAAGCAGAGCGGTATAGCATGAACGAGTTCATAGGTCGCGTGACCTTACCCCTCTTAGCAGCTTCTCTCCGACGTTCTTCGGCTGGTCGATTAATCCAGGCTTCCATGTCTTTGAGTGGGACATGGGTCAGGTGCTGGGTTACCTGGCTCAAGGGCCCTGTAAGCCTAAAGTCAGCAATTTTGTTGGCCTTAGTGGCCTTAGGGCGGCGTCGCAAGCGTGGAGCCTTCAAGACTCGGACTTTGTTTGAATCGGGATTCATGCTTCGGAGGCCAAATGCAGGAGGGAATTTGAAGTCTTTAGTGCTGCGTGCAGCCAAAAGACCAGTTTCTGGCGAAAGACCAGGCGTGGGAGATTCAGAGTATTGAGACTGATAGAGGTGTCAGTAGATGCAGATGTTGCTGACCAGCTACCACTTACCGAGTCGTCAATTTGAATGGGATTCTGTGATCCCGAGTAATGCTGAGGACATGTCAGTCAAGCAGATAATCAACATGACAGATGTAAAACTCACAGGGAGTGGAGATATTCTAGACACAGTCATGTTGCTTGGATGTAGCGAACCATTCGAAGGTTGTCGATACAGAGAGGGCTGATTATGTGATTGTCCGTTCAGTTGATCGTCGGAAGGGACAGTGTTCTGTTCGAAATTGGAGCAATTCGATGTAGAGCTGGCTATCATGTCTCTACTCGTACGAATCCGATCCAAGTAAAGGAAATGAACCTGGACAGGCGCGATGGTTCCGAATCGACCTGACCTACGGGAGTGCTCGGCTCTTTGGGGTCCAACTTGCGACTAAGATTGAACTAATAGAGTCTGAACAGAGGGAGTGTCGATGGTATTGTCTTGGGTTTCGATGTGACTGACAAGCTGAATACTAGACCAGTATCGCACAGAAGAGGCTTTCAGAGGAGAATGGCCGTTTGTTAATTTGAAAGAAAGCTAAGCAAAGCCGACTAGAAGACAGACAGTTAGGACGGACGATTCTTGATGAAAAAAGGTCCTGATCTGGGGAGGAGTAGAAGAGAATGAGAGGAAGAAGTGAAAGAAGAGAAAGAGAAGATGGTCTGTATTTGTAGGAAGAAGGGCAGTGGCGAATAAAGCACGGCGATCAAGAGCAGAAGAAAAGATGAAGCAGACCAAGTCTTGGTGGGAGAGGAGGAGGAGGAGGAGGAGGAGGGATGGAAAGAGAGGAAACGCTAGTGCAAAAACACTCACTGAGGTACTTGCCGGAGGGGGAAACTCACCATGCGCCTAGCTTACTCGCGACGACAGCTGAATAAGGGACTCAGAGACTGAAACTAGAAGGAGTATTAGGTTGATCGCAATGACCAGCAAACACGAACTGTCGTGCCTTGTTCGAAATCTGAGGTTTTGTTGTCTTGGTGATGGGATGTTTCGTTAGGCTTTGTTGTCGAAACTGCGAATTGCGCTGTCAAACATTTGGTGCGGCACCGCTTTCAGCTTAATAATAGCAGCAGCAGAGCAGTTCCAGCTGAGTGTCTCTTTGTTGGTTGTGGTGATAATCTATCTTGGGGTGGAGGATGTCGGTTGTACCTGGAGAGATAGAGGGGAGCAAGTGGAAGCAGCAAAGGTTTCTTTTTTGTTTGCGGCGAGATGTACCCAGAATAGACAGACAGAAGAACAAAGCTCACTTGAGAAATCTTCACTCACATGAAGAAGATGAAAAGGGAGCAACTTTCTGGAATTCAGGGTTATTAATATCAAGGAATTAAAATTAAAAATGGGAACGCAATTTATGGCAGATGGGCTTCTACATATAGACACAGGATGGAAAACTGGATGCTGGAATGGGGTAGCCCGCATTGGGGCAAGAAGGAAGCACGGTGTTTTGGCGCTTACTGCTTACTGCCTAGACTGCTAGACGCAACGAGCGAGGCTTAAGGCTTAAGCTAGCCTGATCGCTTGCCAATTGGGTTTCTGCTCATTTTATGTGGACCTGACAGGAGAGCTATAGAGTGTGGGCTGTATCTATCTATGTATGTTGATTATTACGGAATACTCCATGCGGCGTAGGAGGCATGTGGAACCAGGGCCCGTTTCAACCACGGTACGCATGTTTTAATCGGTTCTTAATCTTGCGCCCGCCGTATTTTTTGCTTGTTCTGAGATTAGTTCGACCAGGACAGTCTGATTGGAGAATCAATAACATGTATGATGCCAAATGAGTGGGAAAGCGGACGGAGAGAAGACCTGGAGATATGCGTAATGGTATTACCAAGTACTAGCGCGGTATTATGCATATCGGTACGACAGCCGTACTACGTGCTTAAGGATATCGCGCTAAGACAAGCCAATCCGCGACAGAGAGTTTGCGCGCCCCAGATTCCGAACACTTTTGCAAAAGGTTCCACATGGTACGTACGGATACGTACTGATGGGCAGCAAGACACTGCCCACGTTGAGCAGACACGGAGAAACATGGAAGACAAGTGGTTTTACTTTTTGCATTTTCAAAGGCCAACGCCCGTGTGGCAGATCATCGGCGCACTACACTAGTAGCTTTGCATCATTTAGTGATCGGGGAATTACAGCGAAAGGGGAATTATTCCCCAGAAAGTGGTCGAATTTGGGAATGATTTGAAGTTTAAATGTAAATTGTTACCTGTACGTTTTCGAGACGAAGAGAGATACTGACAAGGCCCACATTGAGTGAGAATAAAATGAATTCAGATGCGTACTCCGTTTCTTCCCCTAGAAGCGGACTTCTCCGCGGGCTTATTGTGGTGGGTTTGCGAACCAATAACCATGTTGACGCTCAGTTTATGATCACAATTCAAGGAAACCATCAAGAATGATAGCCTTAGTCAATTAACCCGCACGGTTTGTCCCAGCTGGATGTCGAAATCTTGGACTAACAGAACTTCCCACTCTGCCCTGCCAATCATTTCGAGTGCCCCTCTTCTTGTTCTCACCCATGTCTATAGTACGGAACATCTTATAACCAGATATTGGCCATGTATCTCGCAGCAGTGGCCAGAGTTAGTGTACTCTACGTCGGACTCCTCTTTAGACCCGATCCTGATCCACCTATAACATGACGACGGTCACATGAGCAGAGTCTGCATGCATTACGTAGTAGTCCACAGGATCATTTGCCGTGCATACAATTTACATGGATGCGCCAAGAGGAATTATCAACATTCGAGTCATTTAACCCATGCACCACAGCCAAATGTGGTAATGCAGAGTCGGGATTTTCTTTCGAATTGTTCTTTGATTCAAGACTGAAGATATTTTTACTCTAATCTTTACGTACGTACGCACCGATCCTATTCTTCTTTGATCTCTGAAAATTAAGCTAGATATAGACAAACTAACTAGCTCATGCATGCATACATACAAAGAAACCATCATCATATCGAAGGTTGGATGCATACACAATCAGATGCGTGTGTTTCAGAATGATTCTCGAAGCAATGGACGTTCCTAGCCTACCAATCACACATCTGTAAATTGTATTTAGGTTTACTCCATTGAGGTATAATCTGCGAACTCTTTGGGGGCACGCGGAGATGATGATTCTTGAATAGGCCCCGTCCTACATCTACCAGCAGTGGGGAATTTTAGAATTGACTGATACTGGATTCTGTTTATGTAAGGAACGGTGCACAGGCCAGTCGATATGGAAGATACAAAAGTAGAGGACGGAGGTAATTTACCGTATCGTACGGCGATCAGTAGAATCAAGATCACTGATATTAAGGTTTTCACCAAGCGATAAGGTTTATTAATGGACAAATTATTGAATTACCAAATATGCATACACATGTACATACGCTTAGAATGCCTGCCCATAGATGATAGAACATATGGAAAAGAGCATTGCCATCCGAAGCGATCAGACTCTTCCCAGTATGGAATTGCCATTGATTGACAGCGGGATGTTTATTCCCCTGACATATCGACAGGCGATGATTGGTCAGTCTGGAAATACGCGGCATGTATTTTTGTTGATCATTAATTTCATGACACAAAATACGGGGATGTGTATTATATTACAAAGGCAACTTGGAATTGGCCAGCCATGTGGCAGGTGGATACTATTTCCTGGTGGGGCACCCGTCTGACTGTTAAGGCTTATTTCTACGTATCTTACACTTTCTGTTCTTAGCTGTCTTTGAGTATATCGACTGTCTAATGGCAAGTGTTGTAATAGCTCGTAAGGAACGATAATCAAGAGAATGCGTGTTTTGACATAATACGGAAGAAGCTGAGTCAGTACCATTGCTTTCGCAGCAAGTCATCTGCATCTGCGTCTCATTAATCAATAGTCTCAACTCCATGACTACTAGACAGAACAGTTTGGGGTACGGACGGGTGAAGAAAGAGTCAAAAATCAAGAAGAGTAATACCCATTTCTGGAGTGACATACATGATTTTACCCGTGATATCTGAATTTCGCGCATAAAACAAGAGAATTATTTGTCTTCGTATCAACTTAGTTCACATCGGGAGATACTTGTCATTGTTCGAAAAGTAAATATATGGTTGAACGGCTTGACAAACTGACGTTCCGATAGGCCTGTGCCATTTACTCTTTTGGGTCAATTCTGCGAGGTTTTGAAGAATACAACCTTTAGTTAGGGCATCAACACCATGTTCATCCATTTGTTACTCGACTTGACATGACATTGCATGTTGTGAAACAACAATCTACATTAGGGCTACGCCTCTCTTGCTTCTAGAAGGACCTGCCAGGAGCTGAATATGAGGCTGAAATGGGTTATGACATTGTACAGAGACACATGAATCGAGTTGGAGGGCGAAGGGTTCAAAAGCGGTTGACGAAAAACGGCCCTGCCAAGCCTGGCGTGGGAAATGAACTTCATGAATCGCCGGAAATGGCGGCCTTTTATATTTTCCCGGTTGTCTTAAGAGGCCAATATAAGACGGCCAGGCTCATAATAGAAAATTAACTTTGCCTAATCGAGGCCGCAACCATGACTCAAAGGAAACTCTAATTTGGAGAATCAGAACCGCGTGGCATGCGATACCGAAGCTATCCCCCTTTGATTGCGTGCTTAGATCCTATTTTCGGTGTAAGGAAATTCCCTTACTTCTTCGGTATTGGCCGTCGATCACTCTAGTCGAATGAGCATGAGTCGATATAGATACGTCGTTCTTGCGCAGACTGAAATATTGAAGAGTCATGTCGGGAAGATCTCGTTTTGACGATATTTTGATATCACATACATTCAATAAAGCTAGTCCCTTGACGGGAGCGACGGCTGTACCTGTGTAACTGTGTAACGCCAGAATGATATCCAATTTTTGGTTCACCCGTATCTTGTACTCGGTGGCTGATAAACTAGAACATCATATGAACAGCCTTTCCCTGCTCATCGGCGGAAGGTCTACTCGAGGCCATCTGGAGAGTAAACGATCCAGACCTCCAGCCGATTTTATTGATTTGTCGAACCAAAAGGTCAAACACTTGATTAGTCTTGTTTAGTACCAGTATGACTATGTTCAGACCCTTCTCCAGAAACTGGTGGAGACACCTTTTTTCTTTGATAGTTTGCTTGTCACGGACTTGGCTAGAGGCTGGGCTAGTCAGTTAGGATCGGCAGATCGAGCATCCTAATGGCTCCCCTTTTCTCCCAGAACCCTTGATTCGACCAGTATCCCAAAACGGACAGGAGAGGCTAAAAGGGCCATGTGGCAATCACGGGACATGATCGTCGACATGGAACAGGGGGGTCCGCTATGAGTTTGAAGCCTCTTGACATGGATATAAAATCGAACTAAAAATCTTGGCCTTGGATTCTGATTTGATTATTCTCATGAATTCTCTCCGTCATGACCGATATGATGACTGCCTTGCCCAGCTACCTTTGACCCGATCTCGTCGGGCAAAATCCCAGAGGTTGATACTCTCCTAGCTGGGTTTCGTGACGGTGGTGGCTACAAGCAGGTGAAACGAATCTTATGTAGAGACATTGGCTCGACTCGTTATACTTGAGTACCAAGGTTTATGCCGTAAGGCTGGATATTTATCCGGTGCCTTCCAGGTTTCCATATTGACCGAATGCAATTGTAGCTTACTAAACAGGGATCAAAGAATCAAAGACAGAACAGCATGGCCTGCATGGTACAGTCAGAGTATCGGAATCCAGTGATCATCCAGATTCTGCTGCTTATATGCGTGATGCAATCCTGAGACACTGCGCACGAAAATGTATGTTGATTGAGGTTACTGTGCTGTACTAGTACAAGGACGTATGCGGGGTTTAGTCCAGAATATGCCTAGTCTTGTTTCCTCCAGTGGAGATGTATCGAGGCGTAATACAATTACAAAGAAGGTTTTACATACCGGGTTGTATCACATATTTTTTGAGCGTCAGACCAAGTGGGCCCATAACACATCTAGACTAAGCCACAGTACGGAGCTAGTGCTGAACCCTGCATATCGCTCCTGACTAATGATAATGAGAACCGCCAACCTAATCACGCCTAGCCGGTGACATATTGGCGCCGTTGTACTGTATATGCAGCCTGTCACGTTCACGTCGTGTATAACTCAAGAACCGGTGGCCAATCGCTTGATTTTATGCAAATGATTCACGTTGCTTCCCTGTCGAAGATCATAATGATTCAACTACATCTGTGACCGCCATATGTCTTACCGTCAGCTCACCCAACCGTTGAGCCACGTAGTTATTATGTACATTCTTCCAAGTACTTCCACCGTATATTCTGCCATGTCTTCCCGCGCATGACCGTCATTTACAAGCGCTCTATGAGTACGGTACGTAGCCGCCCGCTCTCAACTTCCTATCGCGAATCATAACCAGACGCTCCGTGGCCAAAAGCGGTTAGGAAATGAAAGTTTTTACTATTAATGCGTACTACCTCGTGATAGACAAAAAAGCATGGAGTAGTTATTATCCGGCGGTGCGTGATTGGCCTCGTCCCGAGACCGAGTCGGAGACTCGGAGCTGTCCGTACGGAGTAGACAAGGCTTGCCCCGAGACCTTCAATCAATCTGAATCTGATTGGTCGCCAGTTTCTAGCATTTTGACTTTGATCTGCGACCCCCCGTCGAATATCTAGCCGATTCTTAAGATCAAAGACTAACTTAACTTCTAAGTGGCATATGACTAAGCTTATCGTAAATCACACTTAGTTGATTAGTTGGTAGCATTACTCTCGTAACTACTACTACATATGACCAGATACCGCAGTGCTCCGCTGCCGGACCGGTCACGCTGATGTGTTAGGCTGACAATCTCAAATTGCCTATCCAATGCCCGTCAGGATGCACCTTCGTATGTATTAGAGCTTGACATCTCCGAGCTGTCCTCAGAAAGTCTAAACACATCCATACATACATACTTTCTCGGACATGACATAGGAAGTCCATGAATACCAAAAATCCCGTTATTAGAGTTTCTGGGGAAAGCCTTTGCCGAATGTACTCCGTACATATGACACTTTTGAGAACGTGTCCGTGTTACCGTACTGGTTGTCAGGTATCAATGGTAGTACTTTGTACTAGAACATGTAAGAGTACATATTGACGCCATGTTGTACATCATCTATCACATTGACCCTCAATTCCAAATCTGCTTGACCAGATAGCCGCTCTACTGTGTCCCCGGAAAGTGGATCTAGGTATTCCCCGCGATAGTGACGGCTTAGACTTGATCTCCATAAGATAGAAGTATGGTCCCCGAATGACTGATACTTAGTCGAATTGCCTGAACTAGTGATGTACAGATGTGGGGATACATATGATAGTGGTCCCAGTAGTAGACACCGGATGTATGAGCCTCATTTTTCGGTTCATCGTCAAGGGTCATGACTGGCCTGCAAAGTGCCTAAGAAGGGTTTACGTGTATGTAGTTTTATTCACTGTTACCTCGTGAGCTTCCCAGCGGAGAGGCAAGTCCTGAAGTGGTCTAGTACGTAGTGTGATTAGTGAAATGCGGCTTTTCAGAACTCGGATTATGTATCGTGTCATTTATTATTCTCGAGTTGACAGCTGAAGCTTCACTAAATCTCACTTTTAGCATCGCAAATCAGTCGATCGGGATCTGGCTAGCTACAATCCTCAAGAGAGATCGAAATCTAGTCAATAATAAAATTGTCTTTCAGAATTTGGGCCGAGTGCATACAAAGGAACTCGACAGCAGAAGGATGTCAAATCTCGGTTCATGTTCAATATCTTTGTATGAGGTGAAGAGTTGTCAATGAAATTGTGCTGTAAATTTGGACATTTGCAAGGATTATACTACGTACTTTCGTTTAGGGCCTGCAGCTAGAGATCTATGCGATCCTGGAGGATCTTGATTCTTGAATGAGCACTAAGAGTACTTGGATAGACTATGGCTGATAACTAATCAATAATCTGTTCAACCATCGTAATCTACTAACTAGTAACTGCAACATACCCATGTCAAGTACACACTCGAGTCACCATGACCCTAGACAGTTCGTCTCCAGCCTAACGGCGCAGTAAATATTCAATATGCATATGTGCATATATGAACCTCGAATTCGAATCCGACTGACCAGGAAACCCCCCCTCCCCACCCTCAATTGATCCATTCATAAAAGTTGACATGGGGGTAGATTGAGTGCATAATACCCTGCACAAAACTTCACATTTTGGCTGTCTCGGATTTATCTCTTCTATCTTTTGCGTAGTACATAGTCCCCAATTCCTAGTGCCCTGTTACCCAAGGCCATGATTAGGGGTTTCATAACCGTGTGCCGGATGCCTGTCAGTGACACGGCCGCTGATTAGCATGCTGTTGCCCTAGATGAGTATTATGCGTAATTTATGAATATATATGTATGTATGTATTTAATTCAGTGGTGTGGTTGAGAAAAGCAGGGTTCGGCACATGCTCGAGACAGGGATCTCCCCTGTAGTTTGCGAATCAATGAACCCATACCCACCTATTTCATGGGGCAAATCCCAGCCCCATGATAGGTGCGGGGAAGTCCGGGAGGCGTTGAACATGATAAAATAAAGTTCTTTTGATATTGATCAAAAGGCTTGGCTCGGTGATGTCAACTACGCGCCCTCTTTGTATGTGTATGGGTATACTTCGGATATCAGAGTTTTAAGCCTAAATATCCCAAATCTGTACCAAGTGGCTGATCCTGGAGTATAATACGCATTATATACCCAAATAGGAATGTACTTGAAATCCCAGGATGAGGACTAGTTATCTATGCGTTGCTTTTGCTATAGTTGTGTACGTTAGGTAGTGATGCTCGGTTAGTACATCCAGATTTCCAGATTTATATTCTGAATGGCAGGAACAAAATGTGATATATCGTATTGTGCTATTGCTTATTTTGTAGTCTAAACTGAGGTTGTTCTATGTGAGGTGTTTAGTATCTGTGGCAGTGGTTTGTTCAATGTTGTGTGTACAAGTGTCAAAATTTTAGTGCATAGAATGAACAGAATAAATTGATTTATACAAAGTTACGTAAACAGATCTATAGAGGTAACAACATCGATGTGGATGTAATGAATATACCTCTAGGGCTACAGACTAGACCGACAATGCAAGATACTGAACTGTATCTACTCACACCATTACTCCTGTAGCTATCCGACTTATCAGATCCTTCAAATTTTAAAATCTACTACTTTACTGATATTCTTATAAGAAACCAGGTCGTAGCTGGTCCTGATTAGATTCTACACGGTCCGATTGAGAACGTGACTGTCCAAACCCCACTTCTCTAGCCGTCGTCCATGCATATCGCATACCAAGCAATCGATAGTTGATATATCATCATATACAGGTCGAGCACTGGGAAGTGAATCGTGATAATACAGGTTATGAGCATTTTCTACATAGCCATTAACGACATAGCGAATGATTATCGATAGGGCTGATGAATCAGGTACAACGTAGAAGGCTAACATGTAGTACCTAGACATCAATGAGTATCCTCAAAGCATGGAGTGATACATCCTCTCATGAATGCAAGACATGCATGTGTATTCATATATGCATCGATATCGGTGTACCTAAGTAGGTAGCTATATTGACTGATCGATATATCTACCTGTGGATCCATGTTAATCGCATACATGAGCAGGCATAGCTATAATGCATATACCTAAAACTGATAAAGACCTCAATCAACCATATCTACCAAGGAGTATACTGAACTCCAATTGAGAGCAGCTTATAGGACTTCACCATCAAAAACCATGCATATATACCGCGCTCCCCTTCGTAACATCAGTGTACCAAGGAAACAAATGCAATACAGGCTATAAAAATTCTACACGAATCTGATCCCAGAAATACAAACGATTTGATTGTGACGAATGCAAGTAATACGTCCCATTCTAGACGTCCATCTAACCCAATGATAATTATAATCTAGTCATATAATATGCAATACATGCTTTTGGATCAACCAAAAAGAAAGGGGGGAAAAACAAAACCAAGGTTAATGCCCGTTCACACCGTTGTTCTGGTCCTGCGTGTTGGGGCCGAGAGGTGGTAAGGATGACGGTTGTTGTACATTATTCTGAGATGGAGTCGTGTTCCAAGACGACAACGGTGGCAGAGTTGTGCCAGTAATAGTATAAGTCGAGTCGTGTCCTGCCGCAACCTGATTCTCACGCTGTCGACGTCCTTCCTGTTCCGGAGTCATCGTTTTGACTGGAGGCGGAATAGGCGCGTCCACCGAACTACGTCCCATGAGTTTGGGACTGGGCTCGAGTCTGTGAATTGGAGGTAAGACCGATGCACTGCTGACACTGCTTGCTGTCACGGGCCGCGGCGAGTTGTTCTTGGTCGGGCTGAGACCAGAGAAGCTCATATTATTTTGAGATCCAGGTGGTGGTGGAGTGTGGGAAGGGAACGACTCGGAGAAGGATGCTGTACGTTGGTCTATACTCGGAAAAGATGGGATATTCCGATCTTGGGGTCGGGCTATTGGCCGATGTTGTCCGTATGGTGTCGTCGGTACCGATCCATTAGAGATGGCTGAAGGAGGAAACCCGGCTAAAGGTCCAACATCACGATTCCCCTGGGTTGGTGACATTGAAGGACGATTTTGAATGGGTGAAGGGTGCACCTGACTTTGAACGGAGTGTGAGGATGATGGGCGGTGAGATGATAAGGGGTTGTTGGAAAGAATTCCTTGTAGGGCCGCTGACGAGTGTTGTACTGGCTGCTGCCGCTGAATGTACGCAGGCTCAGGTAGGGAACTCAACGGAGATGATGCAGGACCAACACTCCCCTTGGACGGGGATCCAGGCGCTGCAAAAGAACCCCCATTGGTAGCGGGTTGAAAGCGACGTTCAGGAGAGGTTGGTGCTCCAAACTGTGGTTGATTTGGTGGTAAAGCAGGACGTTGAGGGAAGGCTGTTGCGTTTGACGGTGCAGGTGCAGGTAATGAGACCTTTGACGCTAACGGGCTTTGTTCCCCCTCCTTCGCGGCTGGAGCGGTAGTGGTTGCTGGTGAAGCAGATCCGATACGGAATTTCAAAGGAGGGATCTTTGGTCGGCTGGCTTCCTCTTCTTTGCGCTTGCAATCGGCGCAGACAAAGTGAAAGTCATCCTTCTCGGCCTCGTCTTGCGAAATACCCAAGCAACTACTGTGTTGCCAGACGTTGCAACGTTCGCAAGCGACGCAATGTGAACCATCATCCTGATTAAAACTGTGAGCAATACGGTGTACCACATTTCGTTGAGAAGACTTACAATGTTTTCCCCGTGAACACCACAACCAGAGCAATCAAAAATCCATTGATCCTCTTCCGCAAGCTCTTCCATTTCCTTCCTTCGCTTATCCAATTCAGCTTTGATCTGTCTTTCCGAGACTCGACCCTCTCCAGACTCGAGCTTCTTCTGTTCCTCTTCTAATCGTGCCATTTCTTCTTCGTGAAGTATACGTTTCGATTCTCTCTCCTTGATTCGACGCTCCCGGGTCATGATACGGTTCTGTCGTTCTTTTTCCATCTTGTGTTGGATTTCCTGTTCCTTGCGTGCAGCGGCAAGCTCCATTTCGCGCTTGCGAGCTGCTTCCATCGCCTCCCTATCGCGTCGCTCTTTGTCTTGCTTCTCAGCCAGACGACTGGAACGTTTGGCGCCAGCCAGCAATTGCATATTGAATAGCTCCTTCTCTCGTTTCTGCCGTTTGCGCTCTTCTGCTTCAGCGGCTTTTCCAACAATGGGGAGAACTCCTTCCACAAGACGATTTCGAAGTGACTTCTCGTTCGGGTCTCTAGTCTTTTGTAAGGAATCAATGAATTCTTGGTATTCGGACAAGTTGGTTGCTAAACACTCCCACTTGAACTCAGGTGTTGGTTCTTCAATCGAACTCTTCTCGGTTTCACCGACATCCTCATCGTTTTCTTCTTCAGCTTTGGCAGAAAGTCTTCTACGCTTCGCAGCTCTAGCGGCAGCTCTAGCCTTCTTAGAATTCGCTTTTGGTTTAGCAGCGGCTGGTGGAGGAATAGCCGGATCGGTGCGACGATATAGACGGTTGTCATCTAGGACGTAGTAAATCCGGTCCTTACTATCCCAACCAAATTCTTCAATTCTCTATACGCGTGTCAGCCAAAGTTTTCTACCTCGTAGACTGGAAGCACAAACCCATTGCGTCTGATCTATCTCCCGCTGCTCAGGCATCTTCTCTCGGATGCGATCCGGATTCCAGAATGTCCAGAGCGACAATTGATGTAGTACTTTTAATTTCAAAAACACATCGAAATCTCTGAACTTGTTCGGCTCTTCATCGTATCCGAAAGGGTTGACGAGGTGAGGGGCTTTGGCATTGTATTGGCGACGCGTATATTCGTCGAAATTGTCGAACCTGTTCGTAAGACTGTGTCAGTTCTCTGATTGTATCGAATCTCCACGGAAGTATCATACGTTAATCCGCGATGCGACGAGACGAATTTAAGCAGCGCCAATCCGATTTCCATAAGCTTCTCCGAAGGCTCGGGTTTGAGGCATTCCATCTCCAAGTCCTATACGTGATATATATTAATACCCATATACATGCTTCAACGACGACAGAAAGATATACCTCAACACCCAAATCCTCATCAATCTTCATAATCTTCCCAAAAAAGAAGATATACTGCATCAACGAAGCGAATTCCCAGCAATTCCGAATCCGTTGGAAAAGACTCGGCTCTTCCTGCTGTTTCGTGGAGGACGCCGCCGCCGTCTCCATTTCGGAGTGAGCTCGCTTTCGCGATACCATGATGGATGGTGGGCGTGGCGGTGGAGCGCGGTGCTCGAGATCTCTCGTTATTTTTTTTTGTCGCGAACGGGATGGAGCTTTGGGATTAATGACGTTTTTGCACTTTTTCCTGAGGGGATGGATGAGTAAGATAATAGAAAAAAAAAAGGTAGGCAAGGATAAAGAAAATACTAAGCCTAATGGATAGTCTGAATATAATGTAATGAATTCAAGAATGTCAGGAAGAAACGCGGAGGGACGGACTCTGAAATTCGATAAGTGAACGAACGGATCTCGCAAGCGCGACGAGATCGCGGGCTGCTCTTTCCTCCCGGAGTTTTTCTTTTAGGGGCGACAGCGTGTTGGCCTTGTTGCCTTAGATCTTGGCGCGATTGCTGCTGCGCTAGTCCTGTTTCAGTTATATCTGGTTTATGGTCACGTGATGTGCTTCAGTATGAATGGTTTGATTTGAGCAGAAAAATGAAGTAAGTGAACTATTATATTTTGATAGATAATAATATGACAATGTGGCAATGTGCCATGAGGATAACTGGTCACTCAATGGAAAATCCAACGAGCTACAACCATATGCCTAAGGACATAATAGACATTGAATTGAAGCAGAGAAACAACGTAGACCTGAGAAACAAAGCATCTAGAAGGCAGCCAAATGTCTTCCTATCTGGAATGCTTCCTCTCATAATGATGACAGAACACAAGACGCAAGATTTTGGTAGAGTACAACATAGCAAGGATTTTCTTTGTGCAAGCAGGAAAGTAAAGATGACAGCAAGGATAAAAACAATTTGTGAATCGAGGTAAACGCCGGGTCCGTCGTCAACTTTCCAGGAAAATATTCATGTCGTCCTTCTGCCATGCCGAACAGAGCAGTCGACCTTCGAATAGATGACACCAACTGCACCAAGATCAGTATTCGAAGACCGTCTGGTCGTCCTTGTCGCAAAATCGTTGAAGGGAAGAATACATGATCAAACAAATAGAAATGCAAAAGCAAACATCCTGGTATCACTCGTGTAGCTAAACTCTATAGCGCAGGAAGGGTAAGTGAAGAATATCAATAAACACAGCAACCGTATAATGCAGGGGAGAAGGGAGGAAAAGCTTCAAAAATGAGAATGAAAGCACCCCGAAGAATCATTATACCGACCATTTCTTGTAAACCAACGAAACATTCCTAGAATCATGCATATGTGCACGAAATAGATAGTCTTCCAGATTGCAGGGCGAAATAGTTCAGCCGTTTCGTAACAGGCATGTCCGTCAAAGTCGATTCCACCACGAAACTGAAGATTGACGATCGTTCTTTTCGCACGTCATTTCCGAGAAAGTAATAAATCCGATAATAGAAAAAGACGAAATAGAAGATCAAATGAAGAAACATATATCCGAGTTCGCCATTTACCGTTCCATGCAGGTCGTGAAGTTTCATCATCCTATGGATGAGGATATTGGTATGCGTAAAAATCTGTCCATTCACATAGAGGCACCAGTAGCACTTCCGGCGTCCACATTATCCGAAAGATTGATTAGTAGCTGCGCCAAGCAACGTTTGGTAGCAGCGTCATCGCGAAGGACTGACGAAAACGTCGCGTCGCGGAGAGGTTCCGGAAGACACTGCCGTAAGGCCTCGCGAGCACGGCTATTGTCACTCAGTCTAACCATAATAATTAGTTGACCATCTTTGTATCACTGGATTTTCCTGCTAAACTCACCTCAAGAAACAGCGGACTACATGTTTTAAAAGTCGCACAGTTTGCTGCTCAACAAGCTGAGTCACCATGTTGCTCAAAACAGTGCCGACGGCGTAGAAGCGCTCATAAGTAGCACAGATATAATTTAAGCCCAAGTCGTCCAAAAGGATTTTCTGAACAATGAAGATGGCAACAGTCTTGCTAAGCTCTGAACCGGTCTCCATAATGCGAAGACAGAGTGGAATGATCTCGGTTGTGAGCAGAAAGTTGATCACATCGGAAGAGTCATTCTTGACGAGTGCACCAATGACGCCGAGGGATGTCAGGCGCAAGTACTCGAATGGACGAGACTTGGAAGTAGTATTGAGGAAGGGGTAGAGAAACAACGGGATGTGTGCTAAAACCGTTGTTAGCTAGTGTTAAAATGGAATGGTCACAAGAGATACGTACCGTTCAAAAACAGAGTTCGGGTATCGTTATGTGAAGCAACACACTGAAGTAACGCCAACGCGTTGCAAACCCGGTTCGAGGCAGCGGCCGTCAACTGCGAAGGGTTCAACAATGGGTAGACGGAAATAATCTCTTGCAGCAACGCAGTCATAACGCCTACGAATCAGAAGTCAGCGGATGGCTCTCAAAATAATGACTGACGTACATACCAAAAGAGTGCCAGATGACGAGAGCGAGTTCCGGAACTTGCTCACGCTTCTTGCTGAGTTCCATCAAAGCAGTTTCTCGTCGATTGGGATCAAGCAGCTCTGCAACCCAAATAAAGACTCGACGGCTCTCCTCACTAATATTGCCATCCATACCAGCGCCAGCTGAAAGGGATGAACCATCTGCGTTCAAGCCTGCACCGTGGTTGCCAGCGCCCTGTCCCTGGTTACCAGCGCCCGATCCATTCCCTGCCATTGCGATGCGATTGTAATGTTGCTGCTGAGCGGCGGCGGCGGCAGCGGCAGCGGCAGCCTGTGCTTGGGCATGTTGTTGTGCGGCAAGCGATGAGTGCTGTTGCTGCTGTGGATGATGCTGGGGTTGGTGATGTTGCTGCTGATGCAACCACGACGGCTCGGCCTGCGGATATTGATGCTGGTGGGAGAAAACGTGTTGAGTCTGAGTCTGCAACATGGCTGCTCAGACTCGCTTTGAGCGAATGTTTTGGTTTATCGGAAAAGTGTGCGATGTCTCCGAGGGCGGAGAATGTTGGCTGGGGTTGCAGGAAAGGCCAAGGGAAAGAAAATCGTCACTGTCCTCCTGGGTCGGATCACCACTGTCAGGACCAGTATAAGTTGTGTGCTGTATACATGAAACAAAAAAAATTCCCTTAGATTTGTAGCAGTTGTCAAATGAGAGCTGACTCAGTGGTTGCGAGGCAAGTGAGAATAAATGGGTAGTGGGAGGAGTGCGAAGGTGAAGAAGTGCCGAGAGCGCAAGAGGATCGGTGAGTTCGGGACGTCCTTCGACTAGCGCCAGGCGGGGCGTTTTACGCTGGCAGCCTTAGGCTCTCACTTTCTCTTGAAATTCCGCCTGGCGATCCATTTACGTTAATCTACTTTCAAGATTATTAATTGGCATTTTTTCTGCCTCTTAAGCTTCTCTCACTTGGCTACCGCCGGGTACCTACTTACGCTGTGTGCGGACTGCAATCATGACGGAATCAGCGTCACGGCTGTGTGCGTCTTATAATCATTGCAATACATGAGAGACGAGACTATCCGTATCGTGTTCAACCGTCTTCACGAACGTTATCTCACTTTATCAGCCTATGAACTTCGCTCTGCGATCTACGTGGGAGCCGCTTGAATTTGGCCCCTACTCAGTCTAGCTCTCAGCTCGTCAGCCTGTAATAATACGTTCTCTGTCTTTTCGTCCGGGGTCGCCTCGAGTCTCGACGGCTTCTGCGGATGTGCTAGGACACTCTTCATTTAAGCTCATGGTACCGTATCCTTAGATCCGGATTCATGTAAGTAATTTTTCTGAGTAGTTAGTCTTCAGCTCTATATTCATCCAACTCATAATTCGTCAACGCTGGACGAATCGACGCAATCTGACCAGGGTTACTAACCAGATATAGTAACACTAGCCGTATGTGGTGTAGATTAGGATCCAGCCAATCAGCATTCCAGAGATGGGCGAGCCTGAATAATTGGGCAATTCACTAAAGTCACTTACCTTACATTGCATCACATTGCATCTACATATGTCACTACAATCTTGATATTCATGAGATTTTTCATTCATCTTGGCTAGCATACATCAATTCATACCCTTTTGATCATTCAATATTTACATCAGTCATTGGCAACATGAGAGGAAAAGTCTGAAGGAAAAAACCAGGAAAATCTTCAGGAGCACTTCCAGGTCGACAATCCGGAGGAAAGGAAAAACATCATAACGCCTTCATGCGAGATATATATGAGCGTAACATGCAGTGGAATGCAGCGTGTCTATCACCGTTGGGATCGAGATCTTCTCGAGTCGCGAGTATGTCGCGTCTGTCGGTCATCTGATTGTTCGCTACCTGATCATGTTGTTAGTCTCATCTCTGGCAGATTTCAGGGGAGGGATCGAACTTACTTCCGCTGTAATAGTCACTGTAATAATAATATGAACTTCCAGGACCATAGCTATACTCGCTCTTCTCATCTTCGTGTTTCCGTCTCCGAAGTCCCAGACACAATGCAAGCGCTCCAGCAATAATGGCAAACCATCCGAGCCAACCCAGGCCAGATTTACCATTATCATCCGTCCGCGGCGGACGAGACGGGCGAGTACCGAACCACGTCCGTCGCGGGGGTGGCGCTTCGCCGTGGGAATGGTGAGAAATGCGTTCCTCGACATAGGTAGTTTCCTTGCGTCGTCGGGGTCGAAGACCAAGAAGCGCGAGCAATCCATCAATAGCACCTCGAACACACAAACAAGCACATAGCAGAATCAGCAGGAATACACCCGCAATTACACCAATGACAATTCCAGCAATAGCGCCGCCGCTGAGACCACCGCCGTGGTCCGCTTCAGAAATGACTGTAGTACCATTCGTCGACACCGGGGCAATAAACGCCACAGTCGTGGTGGCCGATTGAGTCGCCGTGATGGTCTCTGCACCACTGCTCGTTGGACGAAGAGCTGGTGTCGCGGTGCCTGTTGGAGCCTCTTCTGACGAAGCTCCAGCCACACACACGCCGTTCTCGCATGTCTCAGAGGCACTACAGCAGGTTGTGCCACAGGTAGATTGGCCCAGGGACACTGCGCAGGTAGTCGTCGCGGTGGGTGGAGTAGTGACATAGCTGCTGTAGACAGACGTGACTGTCGAAAGATCTGTTTGCGTGTATGTGGTGGTGAAGTACTGCCATGATCCCGAGCCAGAGTTACCACCTCCATTAGAACATTCGGCCTGGCCGAGGTTGTTTGTTATACATGTTTGTGAGGAAGTGCAGCATAGCTGTGCGTAGTAACCGCATGGGTTGGCGCAGGCACGTTGCTCGAGTGCAATGTCGTATGGCAAGGCTGTGACTATTTGCGAGCAGGCTGGCTGCGTTATGGCAGCGAAGAGTGTGAGGAAGGGAATGGAGGAAAAGGAACGCATTGCGCCCGTTGATGTGTGTTAATTGACTGTTTGATCTAGTGGTGATAGAACAGCCAGGTATGTGACGTCCCACCAAAGAATAGTTGCCAGTATAAGTAGATACTGGGAATACCGTAGATATCGTCAACAATCGTAAAAATGTCAAATATTGTGAAATTGTATATTGTACTTGGAATGTGAGTAGAAAAGAAAAGAAGAATCCAAGAATGAGAAAAGTCAGAAGAAGAATTCACGTGGTGGTTATCGTGGTTGGGTGTGCTCCCAGCCTCTTTTTACCAACCACCCGATTTCGTGATACTATCCGCCAATCGTCACCACCGCAACCATTGACCCTTGTATGTTGTTTCAAATGAGAAAAGTATATTCAGTAGATCAGAGGAAGATCAGAGGAAATAATTGAATGGCTGGTTTCTCATTTCTTTCTGGACAAGAAACTGTCTAGAATCGTAGAATGTTCACGACGGCCCATGACTCGGTGAGTTGGCCTTGCTGCCCCTCCCTGCTATGCAAGCCTAGCTTCACTAAACAAGTCATCATGCTTTGACCGCCGATTCGCATCTAGACTCTACCTCTATCGTTCTCTCCGACTTGCAACCCAGTGCAAGCATGCTCTCTTTCTTTTTATGGGTCCTTGAACGTTTCCGCCGTGACAATCAAGCCTAATTATGGAGTAGCTGCGTTGTCAATCGGTGCTTGCTGTCAGGCACAGATGTATCTCCAATGCGTTTGCATTGCATACTCTGTTGCTCTAGGTAGCTCACATAATGCGACCTGAATAAAAATCGTCGTCTGATTCTTTTCTCATTCTCAACTTCAGATTATTGAAGTGAGTGTGGTCTTTGACAGGCTTCAACTAGATTGATCGACCCCGCAAGTACCGGCCGGCCTTATCGATAGCTGGCCCGGCGACCGATCGTGTAAACATTGAGCTGGATAGCTTCGTTTCAGGTGACGATTCAATATCTGTATTCATTGATACCTCTAAGTCGAGACAGTATATGTTGGAATAAACTATCTCTCAGCATTCCACACACCAACTCCACTATTTACATTCCACGGCATAACGTACATATCTCCTAGTAGTATGAAAGATTCCAATTCGTATGTACCTAAATCTTAAGACAGAAAAAAAAAAAAGAAAGAAAGAAAAGTACAACCAACTCCGCGTGTGCCATATACAGTGGTTAGAAAGAAGAGACAGATTCAAGAAAGCATCACTCAATTGCCCGATGATCATCATCATAAGCTCATATAAACATTCCCACAACCCCAGCTGCCGCAGCAAGTAAGATCTCATGAAGACTCGACTTCCGAGTTGGCGCATAATTCCCTGCAACAAACTGACCACCGGTTGTTGTCCCACCCGACGTGCCAAATGCGGTACAGTACGATTCCTGCAATCCATAACAAGCTTGCCGACTCAGACTCGAGCAGGTCGACACCGCGGCGGAAGCAGATGGTGCCGCCGTATTGCCTTGAACCGTTACTCCCCCTCCACCACCGCCCACTATAGTCACTCCATATTGCCCACCGAGCGAGGCAATACAGCTGCTGTACTCGTCTTGACAGAAAGAGTAGTACGAACTGCAACTCGCGGCGTTGCTGAAAGTCGTCGGGATATACACAAAAGGGAATGCTGCACCTGGTATCGTTGATCCCGTTATGGTCGCTCTCGACGCCGTTGTCGATGTCGTGCCTTGAGGAAACATGAAACCACTCGTAGTTGCAGAGCCTGAATTGCCATTACCACCAGTAGCAGTCGCACCGAGTGTGCCTGTGCATTTTGCTCCTGTCGGGCAGCAAGCGTAGTTATTTGCTCCGTCTACCGTGCATGTCGTTCCCGATCTGCAACATATCCCTGAGTTGCCTTCGTTTGAGCAGGTATTGTAATTGGCGGGACAGTTGCCGTCACGTTTAAAGAACTCAAAATCGTGAGCAAATTCTGGGAGTGCGGTAGAAGCAGCTGTGGCTGGGTGGGTGAATGGCGCGAGCTCTGGTTCTAAACACCACGATGAGGATATGAACAGTGTCGCAAGGGACAGTATAGATTGTTTCATCGCTGCGACCGGGTTGGCACCCGTCAGTTGATAAATTGCCAATCTGTTGCGAAGATGGTTGTCTTATTTCTCAGTAGATCGAGTATGTTGAAGAAGCTCGACTGTTGTTGGTGGGGCCCGGATGTTTTCCGGCGTCAACAGTCAGGTACCGGGGAGTCGACGTTGTGACGCTGTATGGACAATCACAGGTAGCCTTCTGTAAGAATTATCGAATTGAGTATCAGCAGCTGAAGCGTTTATAAAGGTGAAATTTCTAGAAAGACACAATTGAAAGACGGTGAGGCTGCCAACCAGAAGTTGCGGCCCTAACTAAGTTAATGCCACGGCAACCGGCCCACTCGGCGACATCATGCACTCTGACACTTTTACAATGAACTTCTATCCATCTTATTCTCGGTACTTTGAGACCGAGTCTGAATAGATTGATCAACAGCTCGTTTGCAGCTCTTTGTTCATGGAAATCGCAGTGATTGAGAAGATACTAAACATCGACCATATTGGGCGGACTTGGACGTGAATTTGAAAGTACCTGGTACAAAAGCGTTCTGTTTATAACAGTCACTTCGCTTGCTGCCCTATCCATGTCTCCAGCGAATGCAACTGGAGTCAGGCCACGGCCCGCTGCATACGCATATTGACTGGGATTCGAGAACGGTAGCGTTTCAAGATGGGCTACGATACTCTCAAGATTCATTCAGCAACATACACTGAAGCATGAATCGCAGTCTTTATACTGCCGACCAGACGGCAGGCTATCTTCGGTCAACAAACTTCGAGTAGTATTGCCAATTGAGTGATGCCTTGTAAGTCCAGACAAAACTAGGGAGATATTTCACTTCGATCTCTTTTCTGCTGGACTTCATCTCGCTCAAAGTCTTTCAACGGCGCCGGCAAAGGACGAGCCTACACGTAGTCGGTGACATTGATCCGTACCATGTTATTTTGTAATCGTCAAGAGTAATAATTTATACAAAATCCATGTAAATTCTTAAAATCTCAATGATGCGTCCCGATATAGGCTAGCGCGTAAAGCTTCTCCGCAGCATCCGTCTGGACCAATCGGCGTGCTCTTATTACGTCTTTGTGCATTTGCAGCTCAAATCTTCTTGACTTCAGCTCTGGTTCTATCTCATCAGACTTGTCTTCTAGTTTATGACAAGACAAAGGACAGCTTCTATCACAGTATCATTGTCATTCTTTAAGTCATCCTTACCACGGACGCTGGTGTTCCCTCATTGTTCCCGAGGCCTTATCCCGACTAGATCTACTTTGTTTCAGCATGCCACCACGATGAACACTTCGATAAGATCTATTATACGCCCTTCTATATAATCATCTGAAGCCGAGACTGGAGATTGCCATTCATTGCGTTCAGATTGCAATTGGCAGCCAGCAACTTCAGATCAGGTTTCTTATCAGGCCGAATCAAGAAAACGGAAGATGTCACATGTACCACCAACGGCAGTATCGCCGTCCTCTGCACCGACAAGTAAAAGAATAATCACATGTTCGTTCTCCCCAAGTCAATCAGAATATAACGAGACGAATTAACAGTCATAGCATCCAAAACACCCTTCCACTTCGCCGCCGGCCTTGCATCAGGCCTCACCTCCTCCATCCTCCTCCAACCCGCCGACCTCCTCAAAACCCGAGTCCAACAACAATCCAAACGAACCGCCTCTCTCCTCGACACAATCCGCACTATCCTCTCCTCTCCTCACCCAATCCGCAACCTATGGCGCGGCACACTCCCCTCCGCACTCCGAACGGGATTCGGATCTGCGCTGTATTTTACCTCGCTAAATGCATTGCGACAAGAAGTTGCGCGTCGAGGACCGGTGGCTATTTTACTTGATGGGAATAGCAGTAACAGCACAGTAAAATCTTCTTCAGCGTTACCCAAATTATCGCATACAGCGAACTTACTCACGGGCGCCGTGGCCCGAACAGCAGCTGGATTCATAATGATGCCTGTGACAGTGCTCAAAGTGCGCTATGAATCGGATTATTACGCCTATCGCAGTCTCGCCGGTGCGGCAAAGGATATTGTCCGCACAGAAGGTGTGAAGGGACTATTCGCTGGATTTGGCGCCACGGCTGTTCGTGATGCACCTTATGCAGGGTTATACGTTGCGTTTTATGAACAATTCAAACGGACACTGAGTCGAATACAACCTTCTACTGCGTCGGCTGATACTGATAAAAGCAATAATAATAAATCGAATAATTCGACAACTATAAACTTCGCCTCGGGCGCGCTTGCAGCTGGTCTCGCAACAGCGCTGACGAATCCGTTCGATGCAGTCAAGACACGCATACAGCTCCAACCAGGGAAATACAGGAACATGGTTCATGCGCTCAGGTTAATGATCAAGGAAGATGGGGGGAGGAGTTTGATGAGTGGGTTGGGACTGAGAATGGGGAGGAAAGCGCTTAGTTCGGCTTTGGCTTGGTCGGTTTATGAGGAGTTGATCATGAGGGCGGAGAGGAGGTGGGAGGCTGAGGCGAGGGAGATGAAGTATTAGATGGATTGTCTCGAGGTCTTTAGGGTTAGAACTCTGCTCTGTGAAATACTATTTGTAACATCACCGAAATCGATAGTTGATTTCAACATCATAACATCGATATATCCATATATGTAATCAAGCTTTGCTAAATATATCACATGAAGCAAGTAAACAGACATCGTATCCAAAGTGAAAGAAGAGTATCAACCCAACAAAAAAAAACAAAGTCAAATCAGAAAGTCATATCTCGTTAATCAAACATCCAAGGAACTCCAAATAAGTCCCAAAGCATGAAAGAAGGATTTAGAATTATGTAAAAATCCAAGATTTTCCAGGATTCTTCTTCCGAACCAGATACATCTTATCCCGCTTGCGGTCGTTGACCTTCAATTCGGTAAGGGTGGTCGATGTCTCTTCAATGAGCTTGCCACCACCGTGACCACGGAGTCGACGAGTATGCGCAAATAGTTCCTCCTGGAAATCTTCAGAGATCCATTGTTTGATGATAATGTAATTTCCGTCGCGCTATTTATACGTTACGTTAGTTTCTGATATTTCATTTCTGCAGATATTGAAACTTTGACTTACATCATCCCAGTCCCATGGAAGTTTGTATGCATCCAATGTTGCAGGAAGCAAGTACTTGCGGTGGACCTATTGTTCTGTTAGCATAATCCAAGTGCTGCAGCAGATCTCTTGTCATAAACCCACCCTGATGAACGTTGTCTTTTCTCGCGGAGGCTCCAAAACGACAATTGCACCCTCCTTCTTTTCCTCTTTCTTCTCTTGCTGCTCATGCTTCTTCTTGAGCATCTTCTCAATCTCCTCCTCGCTGTATCCAAACTCAAGCTTCAGTCTCTCTCGGAACTCCTTATCCTTTGCCTTTTGCTCCTCAATCTCTTTCAATTTTCGTGCTTCCTCGGCCTGTTGCCACTCCATAATGGCCTTCCTCTTGAGTTCAGCAAGCTCCTTTTTCCGCTGTTCCTCCTCTAGGGCCTTGCGAGCTTCCTCATCTTTGATCTCCTTGATGATTCGATCCCTTTCAGCCTTGATCTTCTCTCTCTTTTCGATTTCCTTCAAGTGCTTCTCCTGAGCCAAACGCTTAGCCTCCTCTTCTTCTGCGGCCTTTCGCTCCATTTCTTCCAGCCGTTTGATCTTAGCCAAGCGTCGGGCTTCCTCTTCTTCGGCCGCCTTTCGCTCCGCTTCTTCGAGCCGCTTGACTTTAGCCCGGTAGTCAGCAAGCTTTTGTTCTTCCGCAGTGCGTTGTTCTCGCTCTATTTCTTCCAGTTTCTTGATCTTGGAACGATAATCAACAAGTCTGTCTTCCTCCTCACTGCGCTTCGCCCGTTCTAGTAGTTCAAGTTTACGCAGTCGTTCGGCAAGCTCGTCCTCCCAGAGTTCCTCTTCGGCGAGACGGCGACGGGAGACAGAGCCGTGTCGCTCGTCGCGACGTTGCTCTCGGCTCTTAGCTATCTGTCGCTCCAAACGTTCAATCTCCTGTTGCTGCTTGGCAAGCTCCAAGTCTTGACGGATATCATTTTTGGCAAGTATACGCTGGTCCATGAGTAGTTCCCAGTCACGCTGTTGCTGACGAGGTGACGGGGTACGAGAGGCAGGGACATCTGCGATGATTCTGGGACGTCGGTGACTGCGGATAATGTCGATTTCTTCAATGTCATCTTCTCGTGCCATCCGTTGCTCGATTTTGCTGCGACGATGATCTCGAGAGTCCTGCTTGGCATGGACATCGTTATGAACATCGACCACCACGATCGGATCGTCTCCTCGGCGGCGCCTGCCTCCCGTGGAGGCGGAGCGGCGGACCGGGGAAGCGATGGCAACAGGGCTCAAGAAGGCATTAGAGCTTGGGCTATGGCGTCGAGTGCGAGAGAACGAACGACGTTTGACTGATGTGCGACGTCCAGGACGGTGGAAGGAAACATCCGTCTCTGAGAATTCGGACTCAGACTCGGTGTCGTCGTCCGTAACCCAATGACGGGGCATGATGAAGCTATTTGTACGTGGTTTTTCAAGGTCTGTTTTGGAGGCTGTAGCAGGATGTCAGCAACAAGGCTTGCTAAAGATGAAATGTGCGGTAAATACCAGGTGTAACAGCGACAGACGATAAGTCTATCCAACGACAGGCTTATCTATCGCTGTATGTGTGGTGTCTATGTAAGCAATAGACAGACCTCAGCCACAGCCCTGGTGATAAGAGAGAAAAAGGTAAGACAAGAAAGAATAAAAATAAATAGAAGAATAGAAGAAGAGAGAACGAGAGAAAGAGTCCAGCTGAGCGACTGCCTGTGGCGGGGGTCCTTGCCAATCGTCAATGCGGACGGCAGGAGCGGGGTGGTGCGACGACGCTCCTTATTGTTTAATTCTCTATTGTTACTAAAGTCCTATTCAAAACGATCGAGCTACATATATTATATGTCGGAACTAGTTCTACATGTTCTATAAACAAGCATACTCCTCTTTGATCATCGCATCGCCATCGTACAATCAGAGGCTCTGCGGTTGGGCGTCAAGCCAGTTGGCGCTGGCCCTAATCAAAGGGCGCTTCGATGTACAGCTTGCAACGCGTAGACAAGTTGTATCTGCAAATATGGAGTCAGAAGCCAGAGTCACTGGCCACTGGTCATTCCCAGCCACCTCATGAGGTGAGTCCCACTCTTGGGCTCAGATGGAGGTCAGGCAGTCAGCCTTATCCGTCATTCCTCCGATCAGGACAATCGCGATCTCAAATAACCATTTCTCCGTACTTCGCATACAGATACTACTAGATATGCTACGTAGACAAGTATTGGACGTGGCTCGGGCGGGGCCGTCCCGATGCGTTATCCAGACTCTGAAAGCGCCTCTGATCACTCTATTTATATAGTTATCACCATTTTGGAATCGAATTGTCAGCAAGATATCGGGCAATTTATGTACCCACCTGGGCATACTGGGGCGAAAGATGTGCCCAAGTACAGTACAGGGGTGTGAGACTATTGACGTATGTATCTGCATTGAGTCGGCGACTATTACATTTGCACACTGACTCCACCTACAACGCCTTTACAGCGTTTCCCCGGCTTGGATAGGCTTCAACGGAGAGAACTTACTGTTCCATATAGATTATTATTATTATTGTTCAACCAGAACCGATGTCTTCAAGGATACCTGAATTCTAAACTCTTTCGCATCCCCGCCGACCACTATGATATCATCGCTCTCCCATCTTTCAAGTCTTGCGCTTCAAGGATCTCGGAATTCGGAATTTCGGACTTCTGTGAGGAATATCACGAATATTCATGTCTAAAGAAAATTTCTGATATTTCAAAGCCAGTTCGAATTATCACGGGTATTTGCTAGGTTTCGACTCTCCTGTTGGGGTTAGAGAGACAACATATCAACCAATTTCCGATCCAGAAGAGCATGATTTCTGAATGATGTTAAGCAAACTATATTTTCCAAGTCTCTCGCGCACGAGACAAAAAATAAGTCGACACAGCTAGGAATCCAGTGCCGAGCAACGCAGACATCGAGGCAAATATTTGCAGTCCAGAAAAATCTGTTCCAGACTGGCGATTGAGGATGGCACCCATAATGGGCAGTCCAGTGAGGGAGCTAAATCCAAACTTAGTTTTTTGCTTGTCTCAAAAGAAGTAACAATACTGGGGTACGACTTACGCAGCTCCCATCGCAAGTTGAAAAGTGCCAAACCGTTGACCGAGGGTTTCCAAACTTCCCGTTTTCGCCACGCAAGGCATGAGTAGGGACACAAATGCTCCACTGACGAAGCCGTATACTAAAGCAAAGAGAATGATTCCAGCATGCGATGGATGGTAATTGAATGGCAGCCAGAGACAAAGTATTGAACCTCCAATAAGGGCGGAGCATAGCGTAATGACGTTGAAATGGCCGATGCGGTCCGCGAGATGAGGGGGGATAATACGGCCGGGTATAGAAGTTGAGCTAAATGGTGATCAGTTATAAAGGGAACCTTGGAAGCATGTTGCAGGATGAGCCGTACTTGACAATGGAAATCAAATAGAGAGCAAGTGTAGGAGAAAAACCTTGCGCTTCCGCCATGCTAGAGATGAAATCAAAGGGACCCCAAAGTCCCCACCTGTATAAATCAACAACGAGTTTGTTAAAAGGTAAAAGGAAAAGATAATACTAACATGACCAAGAAAGATCCCAAGATATAGAATGCGAACGGCTTATCATTGAAAAGGGTCACATCAAACCACGGCGTCTTGTTATTCCAAGGCCTCCGAGGCAATCTCCCTTTAACCATGAGGCACGACGCAGCGAGTAGAATGCCAATAAAGAGAGCCGTAAACCGCACCGCACCATAAAACCCTACATCTTGAATCACTCGATTGACGAAGATGGGGAATATAACTCCTCCTAAACTAGAGCCACTCGTCGCAATGCCGACAGCTAATCCACGCCGCCTGATAAACCACTGACTGACGCAGACTATTGACGCAGTGAATACACCGCCGGCACCTATCCCGAATACTAAACCTTGTGCTAAGAAGATCTGATAGTATTCATCTGCAAGACTGGTCATGCAGAGTGAAAAGACGCAGAGAAAGCTGCAGGGATAGATTACTGGAGCTGGGCCGTAGGTATCAATTATACGCCCGTAGAAGGGTCCAAGAGCCCATAGAAGACACAATTGGACCGCGAAGACCCATGCAATGTCTGAGGAGGTGTATGAGCGGAGAGAGGTCTCTTGGTAGGTTGTCTGAAAGACACCAATTCTGTGTTGCATGCCGGTTAGTGATACTCCTATACCTAATTGCAATACGAGGATCAAGAGCTCACGCGTTTAGGAATCCAAAAGTTGCAAATAATGCTAAAAACGAACCAATGACGCATATCCATCCTCGGACGCCCTCCTCTGGTGATAGAATAGGCCCATTGGAAGGGGCTTCCTTAGTTGTTGCCTGTGTCATTGACTCTGTCATATTGTCGACTCTTTTGCAAAAGGAATATCGAATCAACCAGATTTTATCCATCGTCGAAGCGTTGAATTGCTCCCCTTTTATACTCTTCTTCAGCCGCATTGGTTGCCTCTTTAGGGCATTGATTACTATGATTAGGGCTAATAAGGCTGGCGGAGTACCCCTGTCCAATCAGAGTGTCTACATGCCGGAGGACTGCTCCACTTGTCGGCGCCGCTTTCCCTTTTTCGTCAGTTCAGATTTGTCATTCTTCAAGCATTTGGGATTTTCTCCTGAGATTCTCCAAGTGACTACTAATTCTAAGGTATCCATACCGATCATTATATGATGAAGTCGGCCGACATTTTACAGCAATTTGTTTGCACAAATTGCAAACTGCGCAAGAAGAAATGCGACAAGGTGAAGCCGCGGTGTGGGTATTGCTGCCGGTGAGATAGGTTGGCTCGATTGATAAAGGTGGAAGAGCTGATGTTATACGATAGAAAGAGTTTGAGCTGTCAATATCAAGCATCAAATATAAAGCAACTTTCAGTTCAGCCAAAACTAGCCCTAGATGTCTCCACCAACCCCATCATACGCTCTTCTTTACTTCTCTCCAACACCTTGTCGGAAGTCTTACTATCGCAGCCAACAAATGTCCAGTCCACTCTATATCTACGAGTGTTGAGTATTATACGGACAACTAGCCAGACTCTAGAGGACATAGTCACACGTTATTTTCGTGGAATTCATTCATTTATCCCTATGCTCTCCCGCTCACGTGTCGAAAGATGTTTGGTTGACCATAGCACACCACCTCCGGCAGGTTTCTCCGTCTTACTTTTAAGTATGTGTCTGATTACATACCATCCGGACTTTGTGCCTCCCTCTGCACATCCACTTGATCAGGAAACTCTCTATTTGACCACCAAGTCTCTTTTCGCGCTGGTGCAAGCATCATTCCCGCCGTCGTTGCATCTGATTCAAGCCAGTATCATTATAGCGACGTATGAGTATGCGAACGGCAGGATCCATGATGCGTTTGCTTCTATGGGTGTTTGTGCACGCATAGGATATGCTGCTCATATTGATAGTGCCATTCCAGTGCAAGGGATGGAGGTCGGAGAATACCAAGAAGCTGAAGAAAAGGCTAGTACATGGTGGGGAATTGTCATCTGGGAGAGGTAGGTCGTTGTCCTTGTGCAAATTCTCAATTTACTAATAGCCAAATAGAACGATTCTGTGCGAGATAGCCAATCTTCAGCGACCCTTAACAACAAGGATTCCGGGCAGTTTAGCGGATTACCGAGATGGTACAACACTGCATAAAGCCGGGGCCTCCGGATCTGAATCAGACACTGATGCCTTCAAGTTTTCATGCGCTGTACAGGGTACATGGCTTTTGGACCAAGTCATCAAAACCCTGGACATGACAGATCCTGAGGCAAGGTATAATCAGCTTCATGGTCTCGACCATACTATTCAGGGCGTTCTAGTTGTTATTCTGAACCAGAGTCAAGGGAAAGGAGGTATATACTGCACTGCGATTCGTATACTTCTCAGGTAGGTTATACGTCCTTCGCCTTAACATGTAAACTGACTGAGAGATAGAGCTCTTATGATCATACACTCACATATTATCGACTACATGACAACAGAATCAGGTAATGAACCCGAATTTAGATCGAAGGAGAGAGAGGAACGGCTTAAAAGTTCACATGCAGCAATGAATACAATCACCAAAATGGTCGATGAAATAGCAGCGTCTCATACCAGCACCGTGTCCCTTGTTGATACGATTCCACCTGGTTTTCTCTATGTGATCAGGCAAGTACTTCAGTATATTCGGGAATCTGAGACTAAGGTCGATACATGGGACGAGGTGGAGAGGCGGTTGAGCCGTGCATCACTGAAGTTTGAGTATCGATGGGGTGGTAGAGCCACATATGGATGATTCTTGTAAGTTTATGACATTGTCGATACTTCTCGAAGTACAAAATCCAGTACCAAAATCCCACCGGAATCCCACCGGGGAGGAGATCCATATCATCCCACAGCGGATAAATTCCGCGGTCAACTTAGTAATCTCCATCCTGCAATCATCCTCTTATTCTCTTCATTTGGAGTATCCTTTCTGACAAATTAGATGAGCAATTTTTTGTAGCTTGGTCACGTCAGCTGGCGTAATTTGGGCATTACGGTAGATACTCGGCTTGTAAATGCCGCTCAGTCCGGGGGTTGGATGTCTCGTACATATGTAGACTCGGATCCGGAATCTTCGAATCCATCATCAGCCAAAGTGGGACAGTTAGGCAATATGTTGTGAGTATGATGTTTCATGTCAGAAGCCCTTCCAGGCTTCCGGTGGGATATTTCTCAAGTGGCTTGGAATTGTATAGACATAAATAGTCAGATCCTCACTTGGTACAATATCAAGGTTGTTCAACTCAATTATTTGTAACTGCGAGCCTCAAACTATCAATCACGAAACCTGTAACTTCTTCCACCTGCGAAACACTCAGCACTATGGCTATTAAGAATGTCCTTGTCGTTGGGGTAAGTGTATTCTTCAAAATCCAAACAATGCACTCAACAATGAGCTAACGCATTGCAGGGTGGAGGCAACCTGAGGTTCGTGGCTTCAACCAACCTTCCATAATAGGCAATTTTATGGTCCAAAACTAACGCACCACAAGTCCTGCCATTATAGACGCCCTCGTCAAATCACCACACAACTACACCGTCTCAGTCCTCTCTCGCGCACATTCCACATATCAACCACCCTCAGGAGTCAACCATCTCAAAACAGACTACACCCACGACTCACTCCTCTCCGCGCTCAAGGGTCAAAACGCCGTGGTCTCTGCCATTGCCGGAACCGCAATCCCTGAACAAAAGAAGATCATTGATGCAGCTATTGAAGCCGGCGTGCAACGATTCCTTCCATCAGAATTTGGCTCTGATACCACCACTCCACTTGCTGTGGATTACTTCCCGGGCTGGGCACCCAAAGTTGAGATTAGGGATTATCTAAAGAGCAAGCAGGATAAGATTGAGTGGACTGTTGTTTTTAATGGTTTCTTCTTTGATTGGTGAGCATTCTTCCTGTTTCTCTTAATCTGCGTTAATGTTTTAACATCATCAATAGGGGTTTGAAAGTTGGTTTCATTCCTGTTAACGGCAAAGACAAGACCGCCACTATATTCCCCAAATACAAAGACGTCAGATTCTCAGCAACAAATCTCGAAGACATTGGCAAAGCAATCGCACAGGCTTTGTCGCCAGAAATCGCACCCAAAACAGCAAATCAGATCCTCCGCATTCGCACATTGACAACATCTCAATCCGAGCTTCTAGCTACCTATGAGAAAGCCACCGGAGAGAAATTCAAGGTTACCGAGGCTGATCTTGATGCTGCTGTATCCGAGGCCAAGGGCAAGTTGTCAAAGGGTGATTTTAGTGGTATAGGCACCCTTATTGTTGCTGCTGCCTTGGATACGCGCACTGGTAATGATTTTGATAAGGCGGGTAATGTGTCGAATGATTTGTTGCAGTTGCCGAGTTTGAAGGTAGAGGATGCTATCAAGCCTCTTCTTTGATCATTGTCAGGTCAAGATACAGTGGTACGTTAAATATATGAGAACCTTGACGTATGTTTGCTGTTTCTCGCTCGTATTCTCAAATCCTCACGCAAATGGGATGCCTATAGACCGGGTAGTGCAGGCAAGGATCAGTGTATACTCTCATGTTTCAGTATCAAAATGGTAGTTCATAAGCGGTTGCAAGCTTTCCTATATACATAAGTTCGTACAATATACAAACTGGAATCATTAACAAGTAGCTCGAGGATCGCAATGGTTCGAATATGCTCCGCCACTAAGAATTTCGTACATATGATTCGTCAATCAAAGACTTAAAGTGATGGCCGTATTGAAGTTTTACGGCTCAGGCCTGGCGTAGCCAAAAGTTGTTATTGCGAGTTACCGACATCGCTTCCTGGGTTTTCGTAATAGTCGCAGTTCAGAGTCCTCGTCTCTATTTTTTCTTCTTTTCGCCACAGGGCATCTTATATGTTCGTCGTTTCCTTGTAGAATCCGTCATGACACGTTATGCCGATGCACCCGTCCCCTTGAAAATCTGCTCAATATGTTCCCTGCTCTTCTCATGCGTCGTCTCGAGGTAATGTAGTTTGTTTTCTAGTTCGTTGATATCCTTCTTCAAAGTCTCGTCCTCGGATGCTAGTCGACTGTTGACGGCATCAATCGGAGTATGCAAGAACCTAACATAACGAGAATATAGCGTCAGTCTGGCGGTGATATTGTACTTCAACGAATTCAGCACCTACATCTTTCCAACGCCTTCATAAACATTTGTATCCTTTGACAACGATCCAAGTTCACTCGATGTGAGTTGCAGTAGTCGGATGTCGCGTTGTTTTGTGGAGATTTGTGTTTTCACGATGCTAATTTGTTGCTGTGCGGCAATTGCTCTCGATTCGATCTCTTGTACGAGCTGTTATATAAGGATGTATTATTAGCATGAGTTGATCATTCCTTCGTGGGACTGAGGTATCGTACTTTCTGCAAAGCTTCAGGCGGGATAGACATTTTGGCGAGTGATTTCGTAATAACGTAGAGAATCGACGGGAATTGAGAACACGATATAAACCTCTATATTAGGCGCAGGGGAAGCGAGCAGATATCAGAAAGAAAATACAGATAGAGGCAAGCTTGGAACGTCTGATTGACGAGCTTGGTGTTGACAGAGAGATAAACTGATAGACACCTTGCTGGAAGCGGTAAGGGGAGTCGAAGCTACCCCGCCGCTCCGCAACTTAGGGCTTAGGGCTAGGGTAATAATCTTATCATCCGGTCGTTCGCCTTCTATCGTATCTATATACATCTACCATTAGGTTAATCTCATTACTTCTATTTAATAGATTTTAAATGTAACACGGACTTTTAGCTTCAGAAATTTCATCTGAGACTGACTAGACTAGCGTTACCGACTCAGCACGAGGTGCCATCATCGTGAACAGTCGTTAGAGTACATATAAGATCAAATTGTCACAAAAATCCATATAGTTTAGAGCTCCGGCAGGGAGATCAGATCCTGGAAGTGCGCTTCCTCCATCACAGACTCTAGAGGTGGTAATTCCTTCGATATTTTCAGTGGGCTAAGCCCTTCAGCAAGCTTGTTTATCTCAACTTGTCGTTGTATATCGTTCCATGCGTATACACAAAGAGCCTCTTTATCCCTAATGTTTTGTCGTATCCGATCTTGCACCTTTGACTCGTTCACGTTATCATAATATTGGTATCCGCCACCTCTCGGCTCGAAGTGGAACTTGAGTAAACTCAAACAAACACCTCCTAATTTGAAATAGCACCGGTAGCCACGAGTCTTGATCTAGCCATGAGTATTAATCTAGCCACGCGGCAATCTTGAGATATCTGATTGACTCCTTCCATTGTTTCAACAGGCGTAAAACTTCGCTCGTAGATATTTGCCTCTGTCAACTTCCAGGTATCGCAGTCGACTCACATTAAGGTCTTTAAGTGTAGCCGACAATGGTATTGGGAGGTAAAACTGCAGTATGAGGGGATTCGATGGCGACAGCGGATTGAATGGGCTGCAAATTTTGTAGTTTCCCATCTTTGAAAGGATAAGCCCCCCTTAGACCCAAATGTTTGAGATGTTCGGGTCTGGATTGGAAAGGCAGCTGCATTGAATTTGGTTCCAAAGAGGAAGATAGTTTGAGATGATACAAGTCAGGGTAATTGTTAACGACTTCAAGTTCTTCAAGACTTCGAAGCGGCAAAGAATGGATCGTATCAACAACCATGTTGATGAGTCCTGTGTTTTCATAATTTCCCGCAAGGCCAAAGAAATTGATATCGACTTTAAGAGCTTGCAAGTTGGTAAATCTTTTAATTGTTGAATGTAATTCTTTGGCTCAGTGCAGAAATTTTTCAGGTTGACCGCTGTCGCTTCTATCATATAATACTGGCTAACTTCCGGACATTCGGAACCCACAGGCCATTGGGGACCTCTTTGAGCATAATCTGTGCGTCAAAATCTGTATTAACATCACGTAAGAATTCAGAAAGGAAAAGTCAACTAACCAAGTCAAGAATTTCAGTAGGACGTTTATCCATTTTGAAACAGGAAATGATCCAATGTGAAAAGAGAAAAGACTCCAATATAACAGAAGCTGGGAAGCTTGGGGAGCGCAAATCGAGTCGAATAGATGCAAATGCAAAAGATTTCAATAATGAAAAGTTACATAGAAAAAGAAGGTGACCCGAGATAGAGAGGGGAAATATAATAACAGGCCATAGTACCACCTCGTAGCAGAATGATGGAAGTTTAAGCTCAAATGCGAAGCCATGGCGAAATCAGTACATTTTCATTGATATGTCCCAACATATTCCGCACATTTGTTTCCGCTGAAGATTGAAGATGTGGAAAAGGTCAGGAGTAGGCTTCTGAAAATGTCAACAATAAAACTAGAAAACAGGGAAGATGGTAAGAGTAAATGTTCTGATATGAACAACAAAGTGATCAACATTAGCAAAAGGTACAAAGGTTGTTTATGCCAATACTTTGTGCCATGCTCTATGGAACAATAGCTACTCGCTAAATTCAAATACGCTGAATCTAAATATTTACTGCTTGACAAGGAAAGCTTTGGATACAGGAGCTTGTCAACATCTCTGATTCTAAAGAACAGCTTGTAGAGAAAGTTGATAAATACCTTACCGGAAATGGGTAAGACTGCCCCGCCGGGCCGAAAATAGGTCTTAGGGTTCAGTTGATAAGCTTATCATCTTGTGCTCTCTCAACTGGAGGCTCTAAACAGATGTTGTTAGTCAAGCAACTGACCGCCGATTCCTGCAGGATTTGCAAACTCCGTGCACTTCCACGACTACCGAAATGCGACATTCGAAGCCGTTCGATTGGTTAAAGCTCGTTTCGGATAGAGCGGAAGCGTTGACTGGGTTAGTGGGGTTCCGAGACGTGCGCGAGTCTGTATTAAAGACAGATTCTACACCAGCTGCAGTTATGCAAGAGAAAGAGTCGTGTACTCGCAGAGTCTTCGGAATGATTGATAGAGTCATTACTAACGTTGCTTGATTTCGTGAAGAATATATCTCGTTGATATGTATGTCGTTGACGGTACATGCTTCAGAGTAAAAGCAAATAAACAAGAATGTAATCAATGTTACGAGACTTGTATTGACTAGTCTAGAAATAGTAGAGTAGTCTTACAAATGAGTTCAAAGAGCCAATCGTATCTGCTTCCAGCGCATCATGGGTACCAGATGGGGCTGGACTAGTAAACACGCTAGAAACGAACGATCTCCGTACCTTGTAATTTAAAGTCTTACTAAGGCTCGACTGTTCCTAGTCTACGTCACGCATTCGGCCGTCTTCAGCCTTCCTTCGCCCACTTATATACCACACTCTCTCTATTCACTGCTCGAAAAAAATAGTCTTTTTGTGGAGTATTTACTGCAGTTATATCCTTTATTCTTGCTGAGCGCTTTGTCCGGTTACTTATTCACGGTTCTGTGTTAAGCAGACCGTGAGCGATCCCACTTCGATCTTGAAGCTTTGATCGCTCGCTACTTGAGCCTTATTGAAATAAGGAAAATGGCAGAGCATTGGCCCCATCTTCCTTTTATTCCCTACCCTCCTTCCAAGGCTGGATACTGGAGTCCCGTGACATCAACCTTGAATTGGTGCGAAGAGGTACGTATACCTCTCACATGGCAATCTCGGTTTTCCGGCCGAGTAAGTGAATAATGATTGCTAATGATCTTCTTTGATAGGACTACTATGCGACACCTTATTCCGCAGAGATTGTGAACTCCTTGACGAATTTACTGTTTTTGTTATTGGGAATCAAGGGAGTGTTAAATGTGCGAAAACATGGCCACGACAAGGTTTTTGAGGTCGCTTTCTACGGATACTTGCTTGTTGGGACTGGCAGTTTTCTGTTCCATTCGACATTGAAGTGTAAGCTCATGATGCCCTTCTTTCCGTATCATTCCACGCCATAGACTAATGATACGCCTCGGCACGACCCAGATCCTATGCAGTTGGTCGATGAGCTCTCAATGATCTATACCACATGTCTCATGTGTTACGCTTCCTTTTCATACTCGAGATCAGCACCAGTCAGAACTTTCCTTGCTGTTGCTCTTACTGGCCTCGCGGTTTTCATCACACTATACTACCATTACCTGCAAGACCCCGTCTTCCACCAGAACGCCTATGCGCTTCTCACCACCATCGTCGTTCTCCGAAGCATGTACACCATGGAAGTCGCCCTGCGCCCGAAATGGCGCAAATCGCGCGAAGAAGATCGAGCAGCTCGTGAGAAGCAGGGTCTTCCGGTCCCTAGCAAGGAGAGACAAGAATACGAGAATGCGCGCGACCTCAAGACGCTGAAGACAATGTGGTTCATGGTGGTCTATGGTCTGGCAATGTTCCTTGGCGGTTTTGCAATCTGGAATTTGGATAATTTCTTCTGCAATACGTTACGAAGTTGGAGGCAGCAGATTGGTTTACCGTGGGGTATTTTGCTTGAAGGTCATGGTTGGTGGTGAGTTTGCCCTTATTACGACCCTCATGGTGCTCTTTCCATAGAATAACTGACTTTGTGCTATAGGCATCTCATGACTGGAATTGGCGCGTACCTCTATATAATCTGGGGGATCTGGCTACGACACATCCTAAACGGAGAACAAGACGAATACACGCTTATATGGTCGCATACGTGGAACTTCCCCGAAATCGTCCGCTCTCCAGCTGCTTCCTCGAAAAAGGTCAAATAGATTCTGAGTGCGGATTCTACGAGCTGGGCTCTTACCGATTGATTCGGTACTTGTAGGGGTGATCCTGTGTGTATCACATGTGTGTATGTGCATACAAGATGATGGCGCAATGCGATGATTGGCGGGCTCTGATCAGTTTTTATAGACGGAAATGCTTGATGGGTGTCCACTGTTCCCTCAGTCTTTGTATTTGTCCCTATTCCCAAGGGAACTGAAAGATGAAAGCAAACGAGGGGTTTGCTCTACCCTCTGAATGGTATGGACGGGGTAACGGATGAGATTTGACGTATTATTAGAAACATTTTTAGAGAATTGATATTCGCTTTCTTCAAGCTGAAGGCTACATGTACATCCAGGTAGAGCCCTCTTTTGGGGAAACCCCACTGTAACCACACCAGGAGAGGTAGGAGATAAATGTCGGATACTATATACTATATATACATGCCCAGGCAGGCGTCAGTAGACCAGACGAGTCCATTTATGTACTCCCTCACAGCTTCGGCTTGGAATTTCCATCCGTAGACTTCGCACCCTTCACAGGAGGCGGCCCAACTTCCTTCAACCACCGTTCATCAACAGTCGATTTCTTTCTCTGTGTTTTCTTATTCCAAGTGTTCTGGAATGCAGCCTCTTCTTCTTTCCAACGCTGCAATTCTTCACCAAAAAATTCGACTGCTGCCTGAGCACATTCCGCAACTGCTTCTTGCGCCAATAAGTGTCCCTTATCCTTGAAATAAACCGATTTGACTCTTCCGGCTGCTACGCCGCCACTGCCACCTTGGCCAATTCCCGTGTTGTCCATTTTGTCCTGCATCATGGACGGTGTACACATGAATGATTGCCCTGCAAAGATATATAGTACGCTAGGTCTGACGCGGGGTAATTGAGAGAAGATGTAGTTGGGCTCCATGCGGTAGAATGGATACGTATTTGGCCCATTGGGTAAAAGATCTGGCGTTTCAATGCGATTGGCAGGTTTTTCGTTCTTGCTATCATAATCATAATTAGGTCTTGAAAAGGTAAAGACTTCTTGATGCCGTGTCGTGGTAAGTGTAACGGGCTTATCATCGTCCTCTGACGATGTTTGTGGTTGTTTAGGCTGTTCCGGATACACGACGGTTGGTAATTCTCGAAGTCCGTATTTAACCCATCTCTCGAGAACACGTGGGTTCCAAGCTTTGTAGAATGGACTTCGCTTGAAGCTCTCTGCCGCTGCTTTTCGGGATGGCCATATGTCTCGTCGGTGTGTTGAGAGGATGGTGTTCGTGGGGACATAACGGCCCTTGAATTGATCGGGATATTGGGTGGACTCACGCTGAATGACGGGATCTAATAGTACTAGACTATGGATAAGGCGTGGTTGTAGAAGAGACAAGTATGTTCTGATGAGAGATTAGATTTCCAAAATTCCCAGATATGATGGGATGGTCTCTAACAGCTGTGCTCCGCCCATGCTATGGCCAATTCCTACAATTGGACGTGGCATCTCCTCACGCTTGAGGTTGATAAGGTGCAACAGATCTCGGGAATGATCAAACCAACTTGCTGCGAAAGGTCAATCGTCCCATTCGTATATCATGCACTGCGAAACTCACGATCGTTTCCAAGTTTATTTTCGTTAATCACTCCGCTCTGGCCTTGATGCGCCACATCCGCCATCCAGATGCTGCGTATTTTGAAGCCATACTTTTGTGACTGAGCATAAATATCTTCCCAGAGCGGCTCATAGAGTTCCTTGGTCATAGTTAGTGATGAAGGTCGTTATGTAGTCAGGATACGCACCTTTGAAAATCCATTCGCATGCGCTGCAATGAAAGTAACATCTCCCGCTTGCGGATGAGGATTATCCAACGGTATATACTGTTTCACAGCAAGATACAGTGTCCCTTCTTGTGATGTTGATGTCGCTCGTGGGTACTCTCGGAGATACTGGCCGGGAACGACATGTTCCACGATGCGAAACGGAAACGACATAACTGCGATCTTTTTATGAGACAGGGACCTGAAAGGGAAAAAAGATCAAAATGTTCTTATAAGTTCATTTTAATTAATTGTCCCTTTGTCTATGCGATATAGTTATCTCTTTGATATCCGATACAATTGCCGGGGTCTCCGCATTTTGCTCGTTTCTTTCTGATTGCGATAAGACCGCCCTCTCGTGAACCGAGGCTGTTACAAGGATGGATGTCCGAGCCAATCAAAGTTTAGTTCTGAGTGGTAATATACGTACTGTGTATGTAAAGCTTTGGGCAATACAGACTAGTCCGTGTTGGTTAATGCATCACGTGACTCGGCGTTTATTGCGCGTCCGGCAACCGCGTCATCTGCTCCGCGTTTTATCATCAGACTGTCCAGCGCAAGACAACCTTCACCAGAACACAACTGCCAGCAGCAGCTGTGTATTTTCCATCCATATTTATCTTGTTCGTGTAATTTAGTGGACACATTTTGATCTCTCTTGTCCGAATTCTCCCGGCGTGGGAGAAGAGACGGGGCCATGACGGAGAAACAAAAGGGTCGTCCGCAGCTGCTTAGCGACTGCAAGATATGTGTCGCCCGATGTAACAATCTTGAAGAGGATGCTGTGATGCAGGTACGCGCAATACCCACGATCATCACTTGCCACTAAAATACACGAGATTACTGACTTGATGAACTCAATCTTAGTTGGATATTTTGATCTCAGAACATGGCGGTGAAGCAGTCATACACGAGGAACCAGCACCTTTCCCACCAGTCGAGCAGTTCACTCATATCATCTCGCTGACTGCCGATTTCCCTGCATACCAATCCGCATGCGACGCCATGATCCCCGTGGTTAAGCCTCAGTGGTTACAAGCCTCTATTGCAAAAGGCAAACTGGCGAACCCCCGCCAGTTCAGCCCTGACCCAAGGCTATTTTTCAGCGATGTCGTCGTGACTTGTGGCGATATTCCAGACGGTGATAAAGACGCGATCATAGGTGGAGTGATAGCAATGGGTGGTTTATACTCGCCTCGCCTGACTTTTCAAGTAACCCACCTTGTCGATCTTAGTATGGAGTCTGATAAGGCGAAACTCGTTGTCTCCAAGAACCTAGGTGCTAAAATAGTGTTGCCTCACTGGTAGGTGAATCTTTGTCTGTATTTCTCTGTCCCACATCTGACACTCGATTTCCGCATCAGGTTCGATGATTGCTTGAAACTTGGAAGGAGGATTGATGAGCGTCCTTATACTCTGCCTAATCCTGAAATCTTGAATGCCGGACCAGATATTCCTGTTCGTACTTTTGGCAACGCGGCCATTGTCGGAGCGTCTACGCCAGAGCCCACTGCCCTACCTACTCCGAGTCGTTCGCCAAACCACCACCGTAGCTTGAGCGTTTTGGAAGGCAAGCACATCATGCTCTCTTCAGATCTTGGAATTGGAAAGCATCTGCTAGATTCTATTGAAGACCTTATCAAGCAAGGAAATGGTACAGTCACCAAGGACTTGGGAAAAGCAGATATGTTCATTTGTCGATACCGTGAAGGCTTCGAGTATCGCACAGCCTCGCGATGGAACAAGGATGTCGGCAATTTGTCTTGGCTCTTTTATCTCATTACACACAACAAATGGACATCGCCTCTTCGACGCTTGCTCCATTACCCTGTTCATCGTGACGGTGTCCCCGGATTCCAAGGGTTCCGTATCAGTTTGTCCAACTATGTCGGTGAAGCACGAGCATATCTCGAAAACCTGATCCAAGCTGCTGGTGCTGAATGTACAAAGACGCTCAAAACAGACAACACTCATCTCATCACAGCTCATGATAAGAGCGAGAAATGTGCAGCGGCCAAAGAATGGGGCTTACAAGTCGTTAACCACCTCTGGCTTGAGGAAAGTTATGCAAAGTGGAAAATGTTACCGGTCTCCGATCCACGATACACCCGTTTCCCCCCGCGTACAAACCTAGGGGAGGTTGTCGGTCAGACTGAGCTCGACAAAGCCGTTCTCGAACGCAACTTTTTTCCCGCAGACAGCAGTGTTGATCAGAGTAGAGTCATGCAGCAAAAGGATCAAAATATAGCTGCAAATACTGAGGTCATCAAGACAATTTCACCTCAGGGACAAACGAAGTCTGTCACAAAGTCATCGCCTGCTCCGTCGAAAACAACTGCAACCACTACACCCCACACAAGCAGGTCATCCTGCAAGACATCAAATACGGCAGACGCAAAGACGCCGATCATTTCTCGGTTCCTAGCAGACGAAAAAGAAAATGTTACACCCTCGACGACAAGTAGCCGAAAATCTAAAGAGGCTGCTGCTGCGCGTATACATGATATTGCTCCTGATATTGCACTTTACGAGAAAGAAAAGAAACGAGTTGGTGGTGTTGTCTACGGAGGACGGCGCAAGACAGACCCAGATCTCATTGTTCCTGCAAACAACAAGAAAAGGCGATCCGCAGAGCCCGAAGAAGAGGATGATGCCGAGGAGGAAAAGGAAACGAAGCGACAGAAGAAGGTTAAGCCTCCTGTGGCCATGCATCTTATGATAACTGGATTTCAAAGATGGGTTGGCAATCTGAAACAGGAGGACACAGACAAGGTGAGTCTCGAATTTATATATGATTGTAAGCAAATCCTAACTGAGTCCAGCGACACCTTCGCAATCTGGGAATTGCCATCACTCAAGACGCAAAGAAATGTACACATCTTGCTGCGCCATCCATTCTCCGTACACCAAAGTTTGTCAGCGCCCTTGCCTATGCCCCTGTTGTTGTGCATATTGATTACGTCACTGAATGCCTTGCGAAAGATGAGCTACTTGACCCTTCCGATTTTGCCTTGGTTGATAAAATTACCGAGAAGAAGGTAGGCTTCAACTTGGCGGCAACCCTTGAGAGAGCAAAAACCAACAAGAACAAACTTCTTCGCGACTATCGAATCTGCTGTGTCGAGACCATTCGTGGTGGCTTTGATGCATTCAAGTCAATTGCCGAGGCGAATGGTGGTGAATGTACATTGTTCCGGGGACGTGTCTCCATGAATGACCATCGTCGTCGAGACCCGGACTCGGAATCAGATGAAGAAGAAGACCACCTGATGAAAAATGATGTATTCCTTGTGAGTGGTGAGGAGCCAGAACACGTCAAAGTTTGGCCCCGATTTCGTCAAATGGTTCTTGAGGCTGGGAAAACACCACGCATCGTCAATGTCAACTGGCTGTTGGATATTGCCATGTCTCAGGAAATTGGTTGGAAGGATGAATATGAATACAAAACGGATGTGGCTTTCTGAAAACGATCTGTCTTGGTTAGAGAGGGAGTAACGGGGGGCGCGTACATAGTACATAGCGAGAGGATTAATGGCTTTATGCTTGTTGATAATCGGTGCGCTGGTTTGGTTCTCGGCGTTAGACTTCACCAACCTGATATGATTTGTTTGGATGCACCTTTTTTTTTTTTTTTTTTTTTTTTTTGCAGTGTCACTAGCGTGGGATATCATTGCATCGATCAATGTGTTTGATTGGACTTCAGAAGAATTTGACTCCTTTCTCATCATCGTTTCCGAATACCTGAGCTTTGCCACTTTTGATGAGTACATTTAAGGACTTGAGCATGACATCGGAGTCCATGCCATGAAATTCTAAGGAAATTATCAGTTTGCTACTGTTAAAAAACTTTAGTTTGATGATCATTCCTTGGTTAACATACCTTGTGATATAGTGGCATCTCCATGTATCAATTCGTAGACTGTCAGAACGGTATTCTTCTGCGCTGTGTCCTCGATCTGCACTCAATAAGCCACAAGCCTGCCATTTCCAATACCATATGGGACAACATACCCAATCTGCAATCAACTTCGCCCACTCCTCCGGCCTCCTCCACCAGATCCAAGCAATAGTCCTCTCACTCACTCCCGTCCCAGACCTCGCAGGAACCCATTCAGCCCTCCTCCCACCACCACCATCCTCCTGCGCTGTCGTCATCCAATCTATAATCGTCTTGGCCTCCTGTATCCCAACCCGTTTTCGCATCCGCACATTATAGAATAGCGGGGAATCGACAGCATCAGTCAACGAAAGTCGAAATGTGCGATGGAATCGACACCAATCTGAGATTAGGCTTGCCCAGCGTCGCATTTGCGCCTGCCGTGTTTGGGCGTTGGGTTGGATTGTGAAGAAGGCGGGCCAGTCGTAGACATCGGGGAATTTGAAGCCGGAGGGGGTCGTTGTTCGCAGTCGGGCACTGGTGGTGGAGGAGTCACTGGGATCGTTGTATATTCTTATTGAGGGATCGTGGGATGAGATGGTGCTCGCTGGTGTGAGGACGCTGGCTGCCGTGGTGGGCGCGGAGAGGAACGAGTTTGCGGGAGAGTTTGTTGACATGCTGTGCTTCGATTTGGAGTATATTTATTGACTTCTATTCTATCTATGCACCATTCCGAGGGGATTGAAGTGATGATCCGATACTTGGTGCGGGGTGTCAATCCAGGTCCGGTGTAGAGGTATGATGATACCTATACAGTCTGATTCGTGTCTTAGCAGAACGGCTCGTTCACGCTCGTTCAGCAACCTTTGAAATAACTCGATATCGTATAAGCAGAAAGTTGGTAGGGTTCGTCAGAACTTGAAGCTGTAGATGTCCGATCCCCGCTCTGGCCTTTCCGCTCTGTAGGTAGGACCCACTACGTCAGATCTGCTATGACTTTTGATTAACCTCCATCCTTTCAATCTTCTCTTCCGTATTACACGCAGGGATGTTTAATACTTCGATCTGATATAACTACCTATACCCAATTGCAATTGCATCGTGTTATTAGCTTTTCTCACTTCCTTTGGGCCAAGGTCAGCTATAACCAATCCAGTCACGGCGAGAAAAAGTTTCAACCAACAAAGTTCGCCGCAACTGCAATCGACAGATTGCCCTACATCCCAATTGCTTCTACTACAAAGAACCCGAAGCTTCAATAGAATTATAGCACCATTCAAAAATGCTTAGCACCAAAAAGAAGACCGTCCGTCGCAAAGACTACCTCGAAGCGCAAAAGTCAGCACAAGCCGAGGGCGCAACTGACTTGCCCAGGAAACGATATTATCGTCAGCGAGCACATGCAAATCCTTTTTCTGACTATGCTCTGGAATAGTATTTTCCCCCACCACCAGGTTCCATCGTTCCAATTGGAAAAAATGACTAACTGAATTGCAGCCCCTTATCACCAGCTCATATGGACTGGGCGTCGCATTATCCCGCTTTTGTAGATCCAGACACTTCAAAAGTCACCCTGTCAGGTACACGAAAACTTGTAAAGGATGTGGAGGTCGCTGATATTGGATGTGGTTTTGGTGGATTATTGATCGGACTGGCACCAGTACTTCCAGAGACCTTGATGGTTGGTAAGTTCGCTAGAAAGTGCCGAGCCGTTACAACTTCAGAGCTGATAGGTATATCTACTTCAGGCCTGGAAATCCGAAATCAAGTTACAGCATATGTCAAAGACCGTGTCGCCGCTCTCCGCAATCAACAAGCCAGATTACGCGCAGCTTCCTTCTTAGCCTCAACACCTAATCCTACAACGGAGGAAACGCCGCTCTTTGAAAACGGAAAGGATCAAAACCAAGATCTTCCAGAAGATGCCCCTGCTCTCCCAGACAGCAAACAAACAGCCAAAACCCTGATCCCGGGCGGATATCAAAACATCTCCGCCATCCGCGCAAACACCATGAAATTCTTGCCTCGCTTCTTTGCCCACCACCAACTCTCAAAGATCTTCATCTGTTTCCCAGACCCGCATTTCAAAACTCGCAAACATAGACAGAGAATCATCTCCTCGAGTTTGAATGCAGAGTACGCATTTGTCCTGAAACCCGGTGGATTGCTTTATACCATTACGGATGTTGAGGAGTATCATTATTGGGTTTTGAGGCACTTCGGTGTCTATAACCATGATCACCACGACAAGGAAACTACCACAAATACTACCGAGATGGAGAATGCCAAGGTCACAGAAGAAGATGAGGAAGAAGACGAAGATGAGAATTCAGGCGTAGCCCGTGTCAGAGAGTTGTTCGAACGTGTATCAGATGAAGAATTGGCGAAGGATGAATGTGTCAGAGTCATGCGCGAAGAGACTGAAGAAGGGAAAAAGGTCGCGAGGAATAATGGGCCTAAATTTGTGGCTGTTTTTAGGCGGTTACCCGATCCTGAATGGTCTACGTTATGAAGTAAGACTTATGAGGATGAAGGGCGCCAGAAATATTAGCAACTTCGAACATATAAAAGTATTCATGAATCTCCAACTTGACCTAACGCACCCCTATAAAAACAAAACCGACAATCTAGAGATATAGCAACCAAATTGCTCGCATAAATACATCAAATGACCTCTCTCCGCGCTAGATATGCACAACAAGAACCTTACCTTCAACACAGCATACCAACTACGGTTTCTGACAATAAAGCTTCGGCAAAGCTACGCTTTCAACCGTCTAGCTTCACATACCTCACATACCGCGAGCTGTACGGGTCCGCCAATGATACGTCCCTTAGCAGTACGTTTCGGTTCGCCTTCTTTCACAAAAAACCGTCCTTCAGGCCCGAAGCCACCGCCGCATGTATGACAAACAAAGCATTTATCGTGCCATTGGCCGCCGAGGGCTGTGACGATAACATCCTCTAGTACCGGCTGCTTGCAGCCGAGGCATCGGGATGCTGTGCGACGGGAGTGGCAGCGCAGACACCAGGCGAATCCGTCTTTCTCTACAAATGGTTTCTCTTGTGAGAAAGGCTATGAAACAAGTCGGATATGTCAGCACGGAAAATAACAGTCTAGAAGTAAAAAGAAAACGTACATCACCGCATTCAGCGCAGAAGAAATGACCCACGTGCCATTCGGCACCACAGGCGACAACAACCTCTCCTTCAATTGGAGTTTTACAACTTTTGCAACGGGGGCTGAATAATTCGTGATAGTCAAGATGACAGTAGAAACGCAACCCACGAGCGTCGTTGTCCTCAGCTGCGGCTTGAGACAGTCTCTCTTCCCGTTTCACTTCTGGTTCTTGGTAGAATGCAACACACTCCAGTCCAGTTCCGCAATGATAACAATTGAAACATTCGGGGTGGAACCGAGATCCTGCAGCTGTAACTACTCGACCCTCAATGGGCAGCCCGCAATTTGTACAAGTTGCTGTTGGGACACCAGCCCTGGTGAATGGAGAGTACCATTTACCTTGAGAAGTTGGTCTCATGCTTTGAGGATTATCAAACTTGCGGCGCCTAGACGCGACAGACTCAGATGCTCCAGTGGATTCCTTAGGTGGTTCAACGGTGATCGATGGGGCATCTTCCTTTGAATCGTCGAGAACATTGATGGTCGGAATGCTATCCGGTGCCTCGACGACGTTAATAACCAGCGGCCCGTCTTGGGAGCAACTCGACTTCTCTTCCGGGGGCTGCCATGCCGGGTCAAAGCTGATAATAGGCTGTCCCGGCCGGTCACTGACAGCTGTAGGCATAGGCAATTTCGAACTGCGATCCTTCAGCTTCATGCTTGTGGCCGCTCTAATATCATCACTCCGGACTTCCATCCCATTTTTCATGCGGATTTCGTCGGCGTCGTCGTCTTCTCCCTTCTCCTTCTCCTCCTTCTTCCTTCTTAACTCCGGGGTTGTCTGGACAGGGGCATTCGTAGTGTAAAGAGGATTTCTTGTCTGACTTGGCGGGTTCTTGTGTATATCAACTTTGTTTTGCTTTCTGTCGAAAGGAGAGTTCCTTACTCGAACAGGAGGATTCGAGCCTTGCGGTAGAGAGTTCCTGGGCTTTATTTTAAGGGCCGATCGTACATTTGTAGGTGAACTCTGTCCGACGGTCTGGGTGCTCGACTCCTCCGGTTCTTCGTATATCGAGTCTTCTGGGTTCCTGAAGATGCCCTTCGCGGATTCGTTGCTCACTGTCCTCGCCCTTGGCACAACATGGCGAGACTCGGTAGAATCATTTTCGGAAGGCAGCGCGAAATTAACTCTTCCCTTCTTCCTAATACTTTCTCTCGTAGACCCGTTCGAGCTTCTCGGAGACTGTGCCTCTTCATTGCTTCCAGATTCCGAAAGAGACTTTCGGTGGCTATAGGGAATGTCGGTACCACCTATGGCCTGGCTCCTAGCGTGACTACCCTTCTCTAGATGTTGTCGGAATCTGTTGGTCCCGTGGAGATCTGGGTTGCGATAAGCGGCATGTGGATTTTTGTAAGCCGCTCCTGGATTCTGATGTTCCCAAACCAGTTTGGTCGCTTCGTCCTGGGCAGCAGAATGCAAACGTTCCTCATCTTGCAAGTCCATTTCCTCCAGCGCATCCCGCAACGAGCGCGCTTCTTGTCGTTCCATCCAGCGAGAGCCACTTTCGCGATAGACCGCACTGGGTGATACGGATCCATACTGAGATGTAATTCTGGCGCTAGGCGCATAGCTTGAGCGCACGGAATATCCACTTGGCTGCTGAACCAGAGGGCGTCCGGCAAAACTGTTGCGGTTCATATCAGAAGATCGTCTGCTGTTTGACATTGCGCTTGCAGAACGAGGGTATGGGTCTGTATGCGTTGACTCCTTTGCCGACGACTCGCGCCATTCGTTCATGGACAAAGCGGATGCGGCTCGTGGAGGATCCTCGGGAACCTTGGACATGGAGGTGGTGGAACGAGACGGCAAGGGACGAGAACCATTTGGTCTGGAGGGTCGGTTGGTACGAAGGTCTTTCAAGTAGTTTGCTATTTCGTTGCGTCCGCAATATCAGTATATTTTTCGGTGACGCGACTTGATTTTAAGTTGACTCACCAACTTGGTCATCGGACATGTAAGTCGGTCCTGGGGGACTGGCTTTCCTCGAGGGATCTTTCATACGATTCCTGTGTAGCATGGAGGGTGATGGTTGCGATCGTTGACTCCGGAATGCTGGTGATGCTCACAGCCCAATAGATAACGGATGAACAATGTGGCAGAGCCGGCTGACCAGGGGAGATGCGATGTCTATCTGCTTACCTACGCAGGACTCGGAGGAGGCCCGACGATCTGGGCCGCGATCTCCACACCACAGGATATTGATAACAAACAGACTTGAACTGAACCCTGTAAGGTTGAGGATTGCGTGGAAAAATAAAGATTATTGAGAATTAGATACGAGTAGATGGTGCATTAAAAGGATGAGTATGGTAGGATGATGAATTGGAAGGAAATCAAGTCGTGGTCGTCTCAGTTGGCAGATGGAGGCTGGCAAGGAAGGAAGAAGCTATGACCACCTGACAACAAAGCATCGCATCCACTGTTTATGCTTATCGCCAGCAGAACACCTCGGTACGTAACATACTTCGTAGGAAATTGATTTCTGGGACAACGCAATTGTTCCATTGAGGTTCCAAAATCTATCTATGCGAAGCTATGAAAACCACGACAACGACGATCTTTAGCCAATTCGTATCTGTGATAAAACAGGCCGATACGATATACGATAGTCGTATTGATCATGTCAACAAAAACAAGCCGAAACCGAAAGCAAATAAATCGTCGCGAGGCCAACCGCGGGGCAGCCCGAGTACATGACAATACAGTACGATAGTCGTAATATTACCAGATCTGTATTACAGCCTTACGGATTGATTGACTCATCGCATAGAAATCAAATCTATTATTTTGGGCATCTATACCTTTCCTAAGATGAGCATACGTACTTTGCGTTTGCCAGCGCCACGCCCGCCTTTTTCCTTGACAGAGCTGACATTCACCTGCACTCTCTCAAATAGCTCGACCGTCAAAGACCTTTCAGTCTCCGGATGACTCTTGTCCCAGACACGTAGAGTGTACTCTTCAGCATCATATTCGCTATCTCGTCGGTGGGCAACCTCTCGCATTTGTTCGGGGTCATGCACGTTAGGAAGGATCTTTTCTCCGGGTAACATGAAATCTTCCAATCGCACAATACCCTCGATACCAAATCGAGGGACGAAGACAACCACGCCGTTCTCGAAGACGCGCATGATATATCCTTCTTCATCAACACCGAGGTTCTTATCGTTACCCTTGTTTTTAGCCATCATCTCACCCCGAGCCTTCAGTGCTTGGCCGACATAGTACTCAATACTGGCCCGTCCCGCAAACTGTGCATTGCGATGACGGTAATTGATGTTCTTGCAGACGTCCTCCAGTTGACTTCGTCGGCTAAGACCTTCTGCTGAAGTATATCCGATAGCAGCGGCAAGTTGTCGATGAACGATAAGATCAGCATAACGACGGATAGGAGATGTAAAATGTGTATAGATAGGCGAAGCAAGTCCGTAGTGCCGGAATTCAACTTCAGCGTGTGCACCCGCAGTGAAGTACTCAGCTGAAGTCATACAACGAGTGGCCAAAATACGGACCAACGTATTGAAGAACGGATTTTTTGGGTCAACACACTTGTCGAGAGAAGCGGCCAAAGCCCCTGAGCTTGAAACATCAAGATTGAGACCGCGCTTCTTTTGTAGTTGAGTAGCCAACTGCTCAAAATTCTGAGGAGGGGGGGATGCGTGTCTTCGCAAAAGAGCAGTTTGAGGGAATGCGCTGTAAATCTTAGAAGCTACCGTGATATTGGCGAGAAGCATGAACTCTTCAACAAGGCTATTTGTCGCCAAATGCGCCTTCGTCTTGACATCAGTGAGCGGGTCATTGAGTTCCGATTCCGTCTCAATTCGGATTTCGGGAGACGCAAGGTTCAAGGCACCAGCGTCCATTCGTTTCTGCCGAAGGATTTTGGAAAAGTGTAAGAGTGTGCGCATGCTTTGGGTCAGCTCATCGGTCTGAGAAGCGTCATCAATTCGTAACTGAGCTTGCTCGTAACTGAAAGCTTCCCGTGACCGAATGACAGACTTAGTAAAATCAGTGGACACGACTTCTCCGTTGGGTGTTATCTCCCAGATGGTGGAAAAAGCGAAACGTTCAACATATGGTTTGAGTGAGCAAAGATCAGTTCCTAGAAGCATCGGAAGCATGTCGATTCTCTTGTCCACCAAGTAGACAGTGGTACCACGCAAACTTGCTTCTAAATCCATAGCATTGTTTGGCTTGACAAAATTGGATACGTCAGCAATATGGACACCTACTTCATAGTTTCCATTTGGTAAAAGTCGTGCATGAAGAGCATCGTCGATATCTTGACAACCGGGAGGATCGATACTGCAAACTAAAAGATCTCGTAGATCTCGCCGTTTGTGCCAGCCAGGATGATCCATATTCGTAGGGACCCTCCAGTTGTGGCCCTCGGGGGGTAGACAATCCAAAACCACCTTCGGAAATGGTCGATACTGCACGTCATACTCGAGAAGTAAGGCTTCTGTTTCTGCCCCCTTTGTTTCTAATTCTCCCAATGACCGTACAAAGTGGCCTGTGGGATACCGAGAGTCACGGTCCCAGCTGTCCACAGTCACCAAAATTCGTTGACCGAGGAGCTCTGCCGCTTGTCGGGTCCTGATTCGGATCTTGGGTATACGCTTGTCCATGGGTAGTACAAAAACGGATTGCTGACGCCTTCCTGAATTTCCCTGGGATAACGTTGACGAAGGGTCGACGTGTCCAACGTATTGACGCCAGTTACGCTTAACGATTCCCACAACTCGGGCAGTCGGCTGGGCTTTCCCTTCAGCATTTTGCCCATGGGCTTTTCGCACCTCTTCCTGGAGAGCTTTCTTTTCTCTCTCACTCACAATGACTTCTGCTTCTTCACTGTCCGGATTCTCATTTTTAGTGACCGCTTCTTCGTCTATGATCTTTGACGACGGTGACTTCCACTGATCTTTCGGTAGAATCTCAACAACCACCATATCGCCAGAAATAGCTCGGTTGCTGTTATCGCGCCCAAGGATGAGCAATGGTTTGTCAAATGCAGGTACGCTTACAGAACCTTCCAAGTAATTGTAGGGAGAAACATTAAATATGCCTTGATGCATTGTTCCTGCTCGTACGCCCGTCATCATCCTTGACATCGTATAATATTCTGGGTAGAAGAACTCTGTTCTCTTTCCTCTTTCCTCGCGGGAGTCATTAATCATGTCGATCAAAGTGTCGGAGTCCTCGAGATTTGACACGTAATCAGCGAGCGACAGAGCCACGACATTTTCCTCTTTCGCTTTTCGAAGATTCTCTTTGTCATCAGTGAGTACAACGATTGCCGGAATAGACTTTTCTTTCTTGACAGCCTGACGAAGATGTTCAGTGTACCAGTTAGCGACAGTGCGCACAGCCCGGTCATTTCGGTCATTGATCGATTCATCATTCTGTCGGCGAACGTAGGTTTCGAGACGGAATTCGTTGAAAAATAAGTAGAATCGTTTTTCGTCCGATTTTATGAGGGAAATAAGACGGTTGTAGAGGGGTAATGAAAGATTTCTAAGTTCTTCCAAGACGGTTTGCAAAATGATCACGTCGTAAAATGCGCCAGTGTGCTCAAAGACATCCATGCCATTCAACAGGGCATTTGTATCCGGAACGATGTAGTGGCCTTCAGGAAAGGCTTTAGTGCCTGCAGGGCGATCGGAAAGAACGAACGGCGCAACTATATTAAAACATAAAATGTCAATGGCAAATATCGCACGGACCTGTAGTAAGAACGCCCACTCACTGTTTCCGCTTGCATCTGCTGGCGCATAGGTCGGACAAATTGCACATAACTGGGAAGAGCATGGTATATCTTGTCTCAAGTATAATTCGCGAACGATCTTCTGGACTTTGCCGCTTTTTGTCGACCTGATGAAGACTTTGCTGGACACATTTTGAGCCTGCGGATTCGAAGAAAAGTCTCTTCGTAGACTTTTCATTTTGGCGCCAATATAGTCTGACTGCACAGTACACCGTCCTCCCTGTCAGATAGTAGAGCCGACTCTTCTGTATCGGCTGTGGCTTGCGATATTGAACAAGTCTTGGTCGTTGTGGAGGTGAGGTTGAAGCAAAAAAGCGGGAGGTGAACCTTCAAACTTCCGCAAAGCTTATCGGGCGGCTTATCTTATCAACCTCCTCACTTATCACGCCATATCGAGCGAGGAGCAACTACTTCATCTCCCTTAGACGTATCTATAGAGCTTTGCTGATGCTACTCATACATCCTTTATTCTCTAAAATACACTGTCTCGCTGAATTTTGAATAGCATCGAAATGGTAAAAATTGTACGTCAACCCCCACCTCTTAATCAAGTAACTATACAAACTTACTCTGTTGTAGGCTGTAGGGCAACTATGTTCAACGGCGAGCATGGCACACAACCTCGCTCAATGCCAGACATTAGTTAAAAAGGCGATAGCTGCAGGTGCCAAGGTGCTTCAATTTCAACCCTAGCTCCCACAACAATTCGTTTATTTGACCATCACTGAGAAGATAGGCACTATTTCTTCCCGAAGCCACCGACTATATTGCCTCTTCGAGCGCCGAGAGCGTGTCATTAGTGCGCTCTGTACAGCAAAGTGAATTTGTTCTTGGTCTTCAAAAGGAAGCCAAGAATGCAAGATTACCAATTAATGTGGGCATCCATGAACCTGCTCAAGGTGGAATCAAGGTGAAGAATACCTTGATATGGATTGATGAGCATGGTGAGATTGTGCAACGGTATCAGAAAATACATCTCTTTGATGTTGAAATCAAAGGTGGCCCAGTACTCAAAGAAAGCGCGTATGTTTTATGGCAGTGATGGCGAAGGGACATGTCAGTCTGACAAATTCATGCAACAGGAGCGTTGAGGCAGGTACCCAAATCCTTCCACCATTCGATACTCCTGTAGGACGAGTTGGTCTTGCTATCTGCTTTGATGTAAGTCGAATCAATACTCACCCAGTCTTTGCGCTAATTACTGGAGCAGCTACGATTTCCGGAGATCTCCATAGCTCTAAAGCGCCAGAATGCGCAACTTATAACATTCCCATCAGCCTTCACTGTACCTACGGGACAGGCGCACTGGGAAGCTCTTCTCCGTGCTCGTGCTATTGAGACACAGTCATATGTGGTTGCTGCGGCACAGGTGGGATCGCATAACGAGAAACGGAGAAGCTATGGACATTCAATGATAGTCGATCCATGGGGACAAGTCGTTGCAAAGTTGGGAGGGGATTCCAAGGAGCCCGAAATTGCGACTGCCGATGTGGATTTTGACCTTATTGATAAGATACGGAAAGAGATGCCTTTACTTCGCCGTACGGATGTCTATCCTGTGATATGATCATTATCATCATGAATCATAGCATCATGACATGACCTCGGGAGCGTGGTAGAACCTCGATCAGTGTATTTTTGTCTTTCTGAATATAGCATCTAGATGTCGAAGCAAACGCCTTCGCAACCCGCGATGAACCCTTGACACCCACTCTCTAACAAGACCGAGATTCACATATAAATATGCCAAGAGTCATATTATGGAAATGAAACAGAAGAGATAAGAACGTGTCTATCAACGTGTCCCAGCCATCTTTGATATGACTGCGGCACAACAGATCAGAATAGAGACAAAGGAGCCGATCGTTATGTACAACGCAGTATAACATCATGGAAATAAAAAGAAAAGCCCAGCTAGCATCGACCCTATTTCTGGGCCTTTTCGGGATCCTCCAAGATACCCTCTGCTTCCAATCGTCGACGAGCCTCCTCCAAGGCCCATGTTTGTATCCTGTATTATAGAATTAGCAATGCCTCCTTCGATACCGAGAATTCAGTCGTTCACATGATTTGTGAATATCTCGGTCGTGGAAAATCACAGAGTCCTGTGACTCAAAGGAGACTCACGAAGTGTCTGGCTTGAAGACATATGCAACACCAGCAGCAACCAAGCTTCCAATAAAACCGATGTACCAGATATTCTCCCATCCTTCCTTCACGTACTTTTGACCGGGCTTGACACCGAAGAGCCAACCACTGGGCGGATCGTAATGGTTACCATGATCGGCGGAACGCAGGGTGCTTTGCGTAGAGAAGGCGCGGCTGGTCTGTGGAGCGCGCAAAAGACAGCGAGAGCGGAGAGCGATGGATGTAGCTTGACGCATTGTGAATAATAGTAGTGAGCTGAAGCAGTGTCAAGGGTGCGGAATCAGAGAAGAGTTCGATGGGAACGATCGGGTTATTTAGGGCGGGCGGATCGACTCCTTTCGGTGATTCGGCGCTTCAGTAAAGACTGAAGTTAATTTTCATGAAATAACGGAAGCAATTGAATGCCCTTGATGGGTTGCTTTTCGAGCTGGTGGGTGCGACAGCTTTTGGTAGTCGCTTGGTACACGAGATTGACGTTGAAAGTAGCAGGGCCAAGATTGAAGCTAACGTTTGGAGGTTTCTCCGGGAAAGGCTCGATTGTTGATGCCTTACGGGACAGGCATCAACTGTCTTCGATGCCTCAGGCAATCATAATCTAACTCTGTTAATCTACACGCGGAAAGACGCGTCTCATCGTGTTTAGGGCAACAACTCCATACAATACTGTACCTGCGAAAGTCCTTGCTTAAATACGACGCCTGAACATAACTACACAATTGGGAATGCTATATTTACAATGATTCATATTACTTAGGAACGGGTATTCAAGGTAAGTGATTCATTCGCCCGAATATGCGTTATTGAAATCGCTAACTCCATCGAATAGATAGTAGTGTTTGCAACTACGACACGTCCATCATGAGCACGAAACAGAACCCATATATTTCAGCTACTTCGAAGTCGAAATTGAGCAACTTTCAATACGTTCCCAATAAGAATGGTGCCACTCCGAAGAATCGTTCGCCTAAGAAGTCCACTGAAGCCACCGCCAATGCTGACAAGGAAAACCAAAGATCATGGATGAATGGTGTGATGGAACCACCTAAGTCTCCAGGCAAAAGCTTACCGTCGACACAACCAAAAGAGACCAAGCCATTGAGCGAATGCCCCAAGACGCCAGCCAACAGAATTCCACTAGCTGACCTCATAAGCAACGCGGAAGATGTTATGGTTATGCCCTCGGGTCAAGAAGTAACACCGGACGATTATGTTTCGTGGCAGCCAGCCCCACGCAGTTCCGGTACTCGACGAGATACAAGCAGTCGGGGTAAAAAGAGACGGCACAGCTCATCTCCTACAAGTTCACCACTCAAAGATGGTACCTCGAAAAAGCCCAAAGGATTGTTCGATATGAAAAACTTCGAAGGTCTCCTAAAGACTCCTCAGACCGATGTGGCAACTGATCTATGGAACAAGTACATTGGAAAGAGCAATCTTGAGGGAACACTGGAAATACCAGCGAAACTCACGAATTTACCTTCATCACCCAAAACACCGGCGTCGCAAAAAACGGGACGAGACTCTTCAGCGTTGCGCAGGTCAGTCAGCTGCAATGTTGACTGGCCTTCATCCAAAACAAAGCGAAGGAGAACCGAGGGCGTTGATGGCGCTCGTACAGCCCGGGACCTCTTCTCTCGGTCAAGAAGCAATGTCCTTGACTCTGGAAGTTCTACGAAATTGAGCTTTCTCCTGAATAAGATACAAGATACTCTAGCAAGCACGAAATCAAATCCAAAAACAAATCCGCCCTCATCACCACCCCCTCTTAATGATTACGTACGGGAAGATCTTTCTCCCTCGCCATCCAAGAAGCAGCAATCCAAGCCTTCTAGCAGCCGCCACATTCCAGAGGTTACTATGGAAGGAAGGAATCTTGGGGATCAACCACAACGTATTCGCAAGACTCACAATCTTAAATCATCCTCTTCAGACTTTGGAGACGATGATCTGGATGATGATCTATTAGCATTAGTGGACTCATCAACGCAACCAGTTATGGATTGTGTTCATGGAGACGATGAGGTGCTCAACCAAGTTCCTCAGGAATCCTTGAGTATACCTCAACGAAAAGAGATGAACGAAGACCCGAAAGTCCAGCAATCTCGTTCGCAAGACAATGATGACGATGACGAATTTGGTGATGATATTGGGTTCGAAGAAGGCATGGAAGAACTACTCACGCAGTATGATAAGCAGATGCCTAGAATACAGAAACAAACACTACCGCAAACCACTGGAGGTTCGAGTCATGTGCAACCGGGGACAGAAGTTCAGCCTGACGCAAAGACGCGAAATGCCGGCATTGCCGATCAAAATTCGTTTTCGGATGACGAGTTTGAGGATAAGGATCTGGACCTTGATAATGTTCTTCAAGAGTTGGAATATCATTCGCAAGTCGGTTACCCTTAGCTTATTTATATTTATTAGATACTTACTATGATTTATGTGTATAGAAACCTAAAGCTCAACAAGCTATCAAACGCTATCTCATTGTTCAGATTGTGCAAAGCACGTATGTGACTCAAAAGGGATATAAACAACCGGAACAGGTCTGCATCTACCAATTCCTCCACTCCAAGCCAACTTGTAACTCATGTACAAAATCTATAGGTACTTTCTGTTACGGACGAGAAGACAGGCACTTCAAAAATCATCATCTTACGAGAATCCTGGTTCGACAGTCCCTGCACGAAGAACTCTTACATCCATTTGATTGGCGATTACGACCATAGAGGTCATTGTATAGTGGATAACGCTCACAATATGATCATCCTTCATCCAGATCACCTCATCTCTGCTACTGTTGTCGCTGACGCCGTCACTTGTCAGAGGCGTGCCGTTTTACAGGACCGAATCAAGGCAACTTCTGATATCAACGCTCCCCAGGTGTATGGTCACATTCTTCATGAAGTATTTCAGGAAGCTATGAAAGTCAATCAATGGGATTTGCAATCGATGAGGACTTTGGTTGAACGAATTCTAGTTCAATATGTGGAGAGTCTGTACGCTATCCATATCAGTATTGTCGAAGCCGTTGAACATGTTATGAGTAAAGTCCCTGAGTTGCAGGCCTGGGCGGACGTTTTCCTTCGTCCGACGCCAAATGTGAGACCTCAATGACGAAGTTTGAGGATGAAACATGAGCTGACTTTGATTATAGGCCGACTGCATGGTTGAAGACCGTAACGGATCCAAAGCAAATCTCAGTATTAACAAATTGCTTGAGGTTGAAGAACACGTCTGGTCGCCAATGTACGGCCTGAAAGGCAATGTTGATGCGACTGTACAAGTTGCGTACAACGATGGTGGAGATCAGAAGACATTGACGATCCCTCTGGAGATGAAGACTGGCAAAAAGGACACCAGTCACAGCCACCGAGCTCAGACTTCATTGTATACACTTTTGCTATCCGATCGTTATGGTGAGTATTGCTTGGCAGATATAGGAAGTAATATGCTGATTCTGTGCAGATATTGAAGTCACCTTTGGATTATTATATTATCTTGAGATGAAGAAAATGTTCCGGATTAGGGGTGTTCGCCATGAACTCTTACAGATGATCCAAGAACGAAACCGGCTGGCTGGCTTCATACGAGAAAAGATGGATCTACCACCAATGATCAAACGACAACATCTCTGCAACCAGTGTTATTCAAAGACAGCCTGCTTCGTCTACCATAAACTAGTCGATGATGGAAATGGCGAGACCAGTGGACTTGGGCAGAAGTTTGACGAAGTCGTTGGCCATTTGGATTCGCGCCATGCAGACTTTTTCCAGAAATGGGACAGACTTCTAACTCTAGAGGAAAAGGATATGATGAAATTCAGGCGCGAGTTATGGACCATGCTGAGCACAGAGCGCGAGCCTCTAGGTCGTTGCTTCAGCGGAGTCGTCATTGAGCCTGGGTCCGCGTATGAAGATCCCAGTGGTTCGAAGATCAATCGCTTCAGGTACACTTTTGTAAAGTCAAAAGCACCCCCTGGCTTTTCTTTTACGGAATCTCAGATCACACTGGGTGAGCCGATTGTCATATCAGATGAGAAGGGACACTTTGCCTTGGCCAATGGTTACGTTGTTCGTGTCAGTCCAAAGAGAATATCGGTGGCTGTTGACCGCAGACTGCACAATGCGCGGGTCAGGTGTAAAGAGTTCGATGTAGAGCGAAACCAGAGCTTCAAGGGTATTATGGAAGTTGGTCAAAACAGCAGTTCGGGCTTAGTCGAGGATTCAGAAGAAGAACAAATGGTATACCGTCTGGACAAGGATGAATTCAGCAACGGCATGGCCACGATTCGAAATAACCTTGTCAGTCTGATGGAGAACTTTTCCCTGTCTATTCAACTGAGGAAGCTCATCCTCGAAGGGAAAACGCCTGAGTTCAAGATGGATTCTTCTTCCCTTGATGCAATAGTCAGCTCATCTCAGGCAAATCTCAACATCGATCAAAAGCAAGCAATCGACAAAGTCATGAGTGCAAAGGACTATGCTCTTATCCTCGGTATGCCGGGTACTGGTAAAACCACAACCATTGCTCATATCATACGAGCCTTGGTCTCACAAGGGAAGAGTGTTTTGTTGACATCTTACACCCACACTGCCGTCGATAATATCCTTCTCAAAATCAAAAATGACAACATCCGAACACTTCGTCTCGGAGCAGTGGCAAAGGTACATCCTGAAGTACAACAGTTCGTGGACCTGGCAGCTATCCCCAAGAAGTCTATCGAAGAATTGAAAGAATCCTACGAGCGGTCGGAAATTGTGGCGACAACTTGCTTGGGCATCAATCATCCAATCTTTAACGAACGTATCTTTGACTATTGTATCGTTGACGAGGCGTCTCAAATCACATTGCCTGTTTGTCTTGGCCCTATTCGAATGGCAAAAACTTTTATTCTCGTGGGTGACCACTATCAGTTACCACCACTTGTTCAGAGCAAGGCCGCTCAAGAAGGTGGTCTTGACGTGAGCTTATTCAAGTTTTTGTCTGATGCTCAACCGTCGTCTGTTACTAATCTCGAGCACCAATATCGCATGTGTGAGGAGATTATGTTGTTGTCCAATACACTCATCTATTCTGGACGACTGAAATGTGGGAATGAAGAGGTAGCTTCACGATCAGTCAAGATACCGAACTTCCATGACGGTATCAAGAATCACCACGTCACTTCAGTAGCAGAAATGACTGCAGGACGCTGTCCTGGTCCGACTCAAGCTCGTTGCTGGCTTAAAGATCTCCTCGATCCCTCAGCCAAGACCCGACTCGTCAATACCGATACATTATCTGGCCGTGGCCCAGAGAACCTGGTCGGATCACGACTCACGAATACCAGCGAAGCAACACTATGCGTCCAAATCGTGCAAGCATTCATTTCATCTGGCATTTCCCCGCGTGAAATCGGTGTTATCACATTCTACCGCAGTCAATTATCCCTCCTTCGCCAATCCTTACGCCAGTACTCAACCGAACTCGAGATGCACACAACCGATAAATTCCAGGGTCGAGACAAGGAAATTGTAATCCTGAGCTGTGTACGCAGCAACAACGATAAGCAAGTTGGTGACCTATTACGTGACTGGCACCGAATTAACGTGGCTTTTACTCGAGCACGGACAAAATTGTTGGTGATTGGAAGCAAATCCACACTTCGGGATGGCAATGAGCTACTACAAAAGTATGTCTCGCTCATGGAGTCGCGACAATGGGTTTATGATTTGCCCAAAAACGCGCTGCAGGACCATGTGTTTGATGCAAGCGAGGGTGACAGTGCGATATTTTCACCTACGCAACAGAGACAACACCACAACATCCAAACTTCACCATCGATCAAAAAGTCGATCAGCAGCAATGTTCGATTGACTCCAGATAAACACCTCAAACGGAAATACAATGGTCCTGGAAGTCCATTGAGTCCCTCAGCGCAACACAAGATCTTCAAGAGAGAGAGCAAGATGAGGACACCTGAGAAAAGGGGTAATAGAGCTACAATTGCGGAGAAGTTTGTGCATAAGAGACCTATTTTGCATGATTTGTTGAACGAGTTTATAGGCTGATGGTAAGAAGTTGGAATACGGTTTCGTTTGGGAGAATGGATCGTGTGGTTTGGAGATTGGAATTACGTTTTGGCCCTGCGGGGATTTGTATCAAGTCATCGAGGATTATCATATTAGTAGACTTAGCTTACTATATTTGTTACATGCCAAGATATGAATGTGATGATAGTGAGGTGATTCTGATATCTTGACTGGTTTCATTACAGTAAAGTGTAATAACTTTTGATCTAACATGCTCAAATCCATAGGGTATCTCAATTCAATCCAATGCAATGCAATACAAAGTCATAATCAAACATGAAACAACCCTTCACATCCCTCTAGTGACCCGCCGATCAAAACCAGAGCTTCCCTACGACGGCGCCGTTCCTGCACGGCTTCTGGCCCGTTCAAGTACCTCCGTCTCCCGGTCGCAGTATATTGGAAGCGGCCATGGTTATCCGGGTTCGCTCGGAAATTCGCAGGCATGGACAGCTCGTCGTGGACGAAGCGAATGGGCCTTGGCCGTTTCCGAGTCGTCTCCGGCCGTGCTGACGGTGAGCTAGACCGGCTTCTCTTTCGCCGTGACCGGTTTTCCGAATGTGTATTCGAGAATGCGGCTTGCCGCGTCGTGGAGGGTGCATATACACCACCGTTGATAGGTTGGGGTACCTGCTGGCGGCTTGTGCCAGCCCAGGGACCGTAAACCGTCGGATTGCCGACGTTTGTGCCGTTGATGTAACCCCCGTACACAGGACGTAGGTAGGATAGAGGTACGATTATGGGTTCGGGAGGCATTGGAATGTTAATGCCTTGGTTTTCGCCGACAAGATTAAACGTCGGAGGGACATCAGGGATGTTGACGTTTGCGCCTTGTGCGGCGGAGTTTGACGTTGAGTGCCTGTCATGGGCACTGATGTTGGAAATCGTCGACGTATTTCCAGCGGGCGCTTCAACGCCGAGAGCGCCCTGTAGGCCTTGAGAGGTATTGAGGCCTTGGGGTTGCTCAAGACCAACTGTAGGGATATCCGACGATCCCTCCGGCTGCACAACGTCGAGGTTAAGTTGATCAATAAGATCAAAAAAGTACCCGTCGTCGTTTTCCGAGGTGTCGAATGCGATGAAAGGGATGACGGTGGAATCCATATTGAAAGATTTGAAAACCAGGGGCTCGTGAGAGACTAATAGTAAAGAAGGAATGTCTCGAATAAGCCTTGGGGGGAGCCCCTGATGGGAGCAATGGGTAGAAGAGAAGAAGTCTTGGATAAAAATCAACCCTTTGAGGGAGCAATCGGATATGATGATGATGGTGATGAAGAAGAAGAAGAGCAAGTCCGAGTGTTTTGAGCAATTCGATATAGTACAGGAGAAGAAGGAAAGAAGGCACCAGGGGGAGGCACTTGCCTCATATACTTGTCACTGCGGCAGGCATCAACGTCTCCTACAATGGGAATGATAACTGCAATTGCAACTCAGGTTGACAGCGAGGCGCCAATAAACTCCCAGGCTACAAAACTGCTACCTTTGGTCTCGGCACTCTCTCTCAAAGAGAGAATGGTATAGCCGTCCTTATTTTCAACCGCGACTCGGGGAAAAGCCGAGGCCGATAGAGCGCTCCAGACACTCAGTCTGTCCGTGCGAAGTTCCCGTTGTAGGCTACCCACGGTCAGCACGGTAGATCATAAGGTTAAACAGACACTCACAGGTAAGAAACCAACAATTGATTGATCCAACGTGACCCCATGACCCCTTGCCAGCGGAGAATCACAAGAGCGGTAGATTGTAATTGTGTCGACTCGGATTGAGGCACCGCATACCGACTGAGGTACGGATCAATTACGTCGTCTACGGAGATACGGGGCGATTGTAGAGAGACCAGACCAAGCCATTCCGAGACCTCGTTGCAATAATCCTCCAAGGCAGCTAGCGAAGACTGAGAGCGTACCTCATCCATGGACAGCGGTGGGACTCTGACGACTGGGTGGGCGATTTCCTCGAATTCGCAGTCTAGAATCCTAGGCTGATACTTCTGAAGTGCCGCAGCAGCTGAGTTTAGTGAGCAGGCAGCCTTGACATGATCGTAGTTACCAAACTTACCTTTGTCTAGGGAGTTCTGGGAGACAGCATCGCAAATCAGGAGCCAGGTGACGGAGGCATTGAGTACATTTCGACAAGCCCAGATAATACGCTCGAATCCTTTCTTGCCGTGCAGCATCGATGGCTGGCGGAGATCGATCTCAATTGCTATAATAGCCTTAGAGCAAAGTTAAGGGTTATAGAAGATGCAGACAGAACGAACCAAATCTCTCCTTTTCATGTTTTCTGCCTCCACTGCGGATCGGCTTGCCTGTGAGGCCAGTACGCTCATATTTGTCTCGGCTCATTTGGAGGGTGAGGATGCCTGGTAAATCAGGAAGGAACCACAATCAGCCCTCCGCGCTCAACTTTCTTGTCTATTCTTGCTCTTCCACACAATTGTAGATACTTAATTGGTCTAGCTGTAGATTATGCGCTCACCTTGCTCTAACGAAAACACATCGTCCACTCCAGGTCTTCCTTCGGACAGGATCAAAACAGATCCTACTGGCGTCAGATAGCTGACACAGTAGAGTAAACGACAAAGAACTAAAACAAACCTGGTTTGACAAAGTCATTGAAAAAGTCACCCTCAAGTAGCGTGATAAGCGGCATGATGACTTGGATGTATCGGGGTCTTCCTAGTTTCTCTCGTATTGAGCTCCATATCGCGGTATAGACATCCTTGGGCAGGATCAATTCTATCTGCACGACATTAGGACAAGAGATTTCCCTGAGACTTCGACAAACTTACGGTGTGTACAAGTGAATGATGCGATATAGTCGAAAACGGCGCCTTTTTTGAGTGTAGCTCTTGAGGATCGACAGCTTCTGGTATCGGACCAATCGTGATATAACTTTTTTCATGCGCTGATGCGCCTTCTGCAAAGTCGAGCATCCTGGTTGCTGACGCTCAGCTTTAGTGGTATGAGCTAGAACCGTTTACGATGCTAGAGTGCGGTTTGCTTGAGATATTTGTGGCAATCGAAAATTGAAAATTTCAATCTTCAAATGAGGTTGGGATAAGCTCAGCCTTGCGATGCAAATTTTGTGGGGAAGACCCTTCCAAGAGACGCTAACCAAAAATCACAAAAGTGGTTGTTTAAAAGACACAGCTCTTGTAATTTTTGGTTAGCGTGTGGAATGCTTAGTCTGATGCAGCTAAAAGGTCTCATACAAGTGCTGAACGAATCATCTTGCATACAAAAAATTCCTACATTGGTATCAGTCATAACGGCGATAGACTACATACTCTATGACCGATACTATCGGCTCAAACAGCTTATCTTCCAGTTTCTCTGCTGGATTACTTGTTGTCATATTATCGTAAGTTGTCAACTGTCTATCGAGTCACTGATACCTAGGCAGAACCATGGTTGGTAATTTTCTACCTAATCAATGTCAGCTTACACAGACATATATTTATGATACTATCTCAAACCATAATCCTATCCAATATTACAATCCACCCCCAGCAGCGCCGACAATCCTCAATCCGCCCGCATTACTTCCCTCCGCCATAAGCGAATACGCCAGCCAATACCTCGTCGGATGCCACGCAACAGCCGGCACACCCGCAGTCGCCGGGATCTTATGAACACTATCCCCCGTCTCAGCATGAAAGATCTCCAACCCATTCGGCCCTACTTCCTCACTCGATCCGCAAAGAAACCTTCCATCAAAACTCCAACTAACACCACGGATCGTTCCGCCTCCCTCACTAGACACGGTCCGCCGACAGACCCAGTCCGTCGTATCCCATAACGATATCAATGCGTCGCTTCCGCCGACTGCGAGATAGCGACCTGTAGGCGCCAGCGCGAGTGCTAGACAGGCTGAACTGTGCGCGTTCAAGGTATGTTGTAAATTGAAAGAAGGGTAGGAGAATATTCGAACTGTACCATCGCCCGTTGTTGCGAGAAGATCTAGATCCGGTGCGGATGGGGTAGGTATATGATATGAAAATGTAGTCGCATTCGTCTGCGTATTTTGCGGATGAGGTGGTAATATCGTATACGTCGACGGTGATTTTTGCTGCTCGGCCAACGGAACCGAAGAAGAAGAAGACGTCCCATTATGAATCGCTATTGTCGGAGTCGACGCACTCTCCACCGAAACAGGTACCAAGGTATCATCCTTCCTACCAACCATAACAACCCTCCCATCCGCCGACCACGACAACGTAAACGCCTCCCCTCCAACATCTAACTTACTGACGCAAGTCTTTGATCGAACGTCCCAGAATCGTACTGTACCATCACTAGAACAACTCGCAAGCTCGGCGTCGCGCACAGGGTTGAAAACCACTTTCTCGATTCCGGCTGTGTGGCCGCGCAGTTCGGTCGAGTATCGCGCATTTGCGCGCTCAGGGTTCCATATACGTAGCGTCCTGTTTGCGGAGCCGGTGGCTATGAGTTGGCCTGTTGGATTCCAAGCTAGTGTTCGGATACTATCGACATCACATCCTCGTCAGTTTTGTCGTATTAAAGACTACTTTCGTGGTGCGCGGAGAAAGAACGAACGTGTGAGAACCAGGCCCTCGCGCAACGGGATCTTGATAATTCTGTGTTTTTAAACTGCCAAACACATAGTTAAAGCGATCTTTGTGTATGAGCCTTCGGTCGGGTTGTTTTGAAGCCATGCTTCGAGCTCTGTGTACGCGGGAAGAGAGTTGGGAGCTCAGTGTTGATTCAGTTGAATGCGCGCAATCACAATTGTGGGATAGGTGTGTTTTGCGCCTTCAGATAGCCATTCGTATAGTATTCTGCGGTCTGATACTCGGCAGTTGCAAGTAATACTCTGATGTAAGCGTTCAATTGGTGTCGTGAAAACAAAGAGCAGTCAAAGGAAGGGACAACGGAATCATCAATTATCAGTCTTAGGTGCCTTAGGCAGAAACTCCGAGATACGCCAAAAGGTTACTATCAGAATCCATTCAAAGAAGAGTCAATTATATTATGTTTTATAAGCAGAATAATACAAGATAAGAGTAGAGTTCACATTATCAACAAAATATTCCCAGGGTATGAAGATATCGCCATACATCAAATATCCAAACGCCATCAAAACCATCAGTAAAGACATTCATCAAGTCGTGCATATTCCAATACCCCCCAGAAAATCTTAAAGCACACGCCTTCAATAAGACGCATGAGACCGTACGCCTATCCCAGAATGTGCAACTGCAATAGCAACCCTCTTCCAGTTCATCACGATGGCCAACCATTCCATCCCATATTCTGAAGTAATAAATCGAATTGACGGTCCGAAAAATCGTTCGTATTACCCATCATCTCACCAACTGCATTACTTGCAAGACCCGAACCTTGTATCAAAGATTCCCAGTTTCCATTGGTATGATTCTCCATGGCCAGATCATCCATACCGGTATTCAATGTATTCGAATCAAAGAACGGCGAAAATGAGACGTTACCATTGTTGGAAAACCCATCGAGGCCCGCGCTGAAGTCCACGGGACTTGGGTCTAGGGGTACTTTAGGAGGCAGGTTATTTATCGGGCCGCCTATGGAGGTTTGCTCCATGTTCGGAGGAGTGAATGCATTGTTCGACGATGAGTTCGTGGTCTGTGGTGACGCATTTTCGGAGATAATATGGTCGCTAATTCCGCTAACGACAGGCGAGATATCCATATTGAAGTTTGTTAACATGTCATTGTCATCTCGGTGAGGAGTATGGTTATTGGCGGTATCAGTCGAAGTCTCAAAACCTCCCTTATGGTACATAAATGACGATTGTTGCTCGTTTCTAGACGTGTTATTCGACCTTTGACGGTTGGGGAGGGATCCGAAACTCTGCGAAGATGCTGGCATTCCTGCAGGTGACCCTGAATGATTCGCATTTGCGTTTTTGTTTGTATTTCCCTCGGCAAGGGTGTCTGCTTCCGATGAGCGAATATTGACGATAGGAGCACACGTGTCGCTCTCAGATTGCTTCTAATGTGTCAGCTCTGCAGAAATACGCTACTGTCGAAATCACAAATCACTCACTACTTCTTTACTGCGCATACTCCGCATGGAGGAACCAAAAGTTGTTCCACTTAAATCGACATCTAACTGAATCAGGAAAGACTCGGTCAATGCACTGAACTGCTTCAGTGCACCCAGTGCCGTAAGCAAGAACTGCAACGAGGACTTGACAGCCTGACCTTCAGGTCGGGATTTGAGGTACTGCACAAACACTCGAGCAGCGACGTACAGACAGAAAGCGCTGAATGGATTCAACTTGGAACCGTTAGTACGAGCCCAGAAATGTATGAGCCACAAGACTTACCAAAGACAGATCAGTATGGCTGACCATCTTCATGATACTAGCAATCTGGTCTGCTGCGATGATACATCTTCTTTTACTTTCAGCCGCAATCTGATTCATAGTCTTGTGTTTTTCCGCTTTGAAGATTGCCGCTTGATGTAAACAGATCGTAGAGGTATGTATGGCCATGTTGGAAAAGACAATGTTTGGGTCAGCAATGCCTTGTGGTAAGCGGAGTGCCTGAGGGAGCGACAAAGAAATGTTCAGGAGTATATTGTCGTAGGCTCGATGCCGTTTCCAGAATTCGCCGTTTACATCATCTTCTCGATCTTGAGGATCAGGTCGATGAAGATGTGTCAAATTGAGGCCAAAAATGCAAGCCATGACAGCTACGCTGCCCAAAGGAGACAGATTTGTAATATCGCCAGCTAGCACATCTTTTAGCGATGGCGCCTTTTCCGGAGTGCCTGTCAGATAAGCTTCTTCACTCGCCGGTAGATTTGTCATAATCTATGAATACAACGTCAGTACTGCTCTTCCTTTACACATACTCCTCAAAGCATCATACATCTCTCTCGTCAAACACCATCGGCCATCCAGTACCGATACTTGCATATCGGTCTTGCGAAAAAGACATCCAGAATGTCCGTCGTCGTTCTTCTCTCTCGACCCAATCACATGGGGGAGGCACGCAATGTTTGACATCCAACCCAACTCCATCCAAGCGATTGAAGCACATCATAGCAGCCATTCTTGCGCCTCTTCCCACGCTTATCCATGCTCTCGGGAAGAACATTTGTTTGAATTCGTACAAGCCTATCAACACCCAGGCTTGGCAATGACTGACACTGACCATATGCTCGCCGTGGCCCTTCATTTCATCCAGATGAATATACTTCCTAGCCCGAGCATACAGATGCTCTTCCAAGAAACTATACTTTGGCGTTATAGACGCAGCCAATGCCCACATTATATACCTTAGACAAACAGGTGGACGCATGTGAGGAGCTAAACTCATAGAGGTAAAGAACCTAGGACGATGGATCATGGGATGGGAGGGGTGGATTTTTTGGAAGAAGATATCAAATCTGGGTATTAGTAAGTGACGTTGTTCGGTGCTCTTGTTATTAATCCATAGCAAAAAACCTTACAGTTCATCCATGACATCCTGCGTTGGTAAGGGCTCCTCCAAACCCAAACTAAGGACCTCCCATGACGATTCCGCATCGAGATTCGAGTTTGTGGTAGGTGCTCCATTTTGAGAGGCCTGAGACTGCCTGATCGCATCTGAATGCTGTGATGCGGAATTGTTTACGAAATTCAGGAGATCTCCTACCCCTGACATGGTGCTCGGTGCTGCTGGAGGCATGGACGTGCTGGGAGGAGCGTTGCGACTCGTCTCATTCGAAGAGTTATCTGGTTCTTGGTTCTTCAGGAGGATTTCAACTTGCGCTACGTCGGGGTATCAGTAAGCTGACCGTGAACTCTCATTCACTACCAACGGATAACGTACCTAATCGTGCCTCCAATTGTTTCACATATCCCCTCTTCGGTCCGCTCTTCTTACGCACTTCGTCGTACGCACAGTTGTGGCCCACGCGGGCGCAAGTCGCGCAACTCGGTTTCTGTCCGTCGCATCTCAATTTCCTCTTCCTACAAACGATACAGGCCACTCGTTTTGTGCGGGGGATCGGGTTATTGTCGTCTTCAGTGGGTGAAGTGTTGCCGCCTGTGTTTCCAGACTGTGACTGACTTGCATCTTGAGATATGGATTGTCGGGAAAGGTTGTTAAAGTAGTCCTCGTCGGGCTCCGTCATGGTTGAAAGGTGCGGGAAACAGATGTCGATATAAATAGGTTGCGGTCCCTCCAGTTGTTGAGAGCTCGGGTAGAGGTATTATCGAATCCTCGAAAGTCCGACTAAGTTCTTCAAAATATCGAACGCAAAGAGAATCCACTGTATTCCCAAGCTTATAAGACCGCGGTAGTTCCTGTATTGAATTCAGATCAGTGTCATTCACCATATGACTAGCGACACAAAGAATTGGGGGGTTATGTTAGTAATACGAGTGAGATAAGCACTAACGTCACACTCTTTCAGCTCTGCCCTCTCACAAGTAGCGGCATATCTTTTTGATCTGCAAATAAGTTGGAAGGCTAGAACTTGATCATGCTGTATCTTCGATCACTGTTCGGTTGATAGAAAGAAGGAAATATTCGAATGCCTAATGAATCTACTAGCTTAAGGACTCTATCAGAGCTGACTGCGCCATGTTGCCCGCTGATTGGCCGATCCCCATGCCGCATAAGTGGATTAGTAAGTCGGAACATTTTCTCCGACATACCGACTCTTACTTAAGTTTGAATGGAGACAATGAAGAAAGAGAGTAATATAATACAGGTTATACAGGTAGCTAGCTCTATGATCAAACTATACATGCCCTATTGCAGAACTCCAGAATTGCCTGCAATAGAGACTAATCAGGAGTGATACGTATTGTTCCGTATATTCGATGACAAATTGAGTGGAAAGCGAACACGAAATTAAGTTTAGTTGTATCCTCTGCGACGCTTTCCTTGGTTCCGGACACGAGGGACAACAACAGCTTTGTTGATTTTCCATTTGGGACGAGTCTTGTAGCCGGATTTGGTCTATCATGATATCCAAGTTAGCATACAGGCACTACAACGGGCAAGTAAGAAAGCCACATACCGGAATACCCCAAGGACTCTTCGGGTGCACATTTCCCTTAGATTTACCACGGCCACCACCGTGTGGATGGTCCATAGCATTCATAGCCACACCACGTACGGTAGGACGAATGTTCAGCCATCGTGAGCGACCAGCCTTTCCAAGCTGTGTATACTGGTAGTTGGGATTGCTAGCAACACCGACTGTGGCACAGCAATCTTTATGAATCAGTCGCACTTCACCGCTCTGAAGGCGGATTGTGACATGGCTGGCATCGCGCTGCACTTTTTGACGATCTCGCTGAGAGAGTCTCTTCTCTTCGGTTTCTCCAGTGCCAGCCTCGGCTTCTAGTTGTTGCTTGCGTTCCTCATTCTTTTGCTGTTCGGTTCCCTTGGCAATGACTGTAGCGAACGTACCCGCGCTGCGACAAAGCTGACCACCTTTGCCTGGTCGTAAACCGACATTGAAGATTAATGTACCAACAGGAATCATGTGAAGAGGTAGACAATTTCCTCTCCATGCTGTTCGCGCGGCAAGCACACCAGGGTCGATAACTCCGCCCATGCTCTTCCAGAGGTCATCTGGAATACCGGGCATATAACTCTGAATAACATCACCGGCTCTCATGCCGTCGGCGGCCAGAATGTAGCTCAATTTTCCATTGCTTTGGGCGCGAACCAAAGCAATATGCGCAGTTCGGCCTGGGTCATGCTCAATTCTTTCCACAACATGTGGACCCGGATCATTTCTGGCAAAATCTACCATTCGAATTCGCCTCTTGTGACCTCCACCACGGTGTCGCACCGTAATTCTACCACTATGATTACGGCCACCCTTAGCATGACCTCTTTTGGGGAACGTCAATCTATGCACAGGTCGACCTTTCCACAAATGATCATTGATAGGTCGTCGCAAATGTCTCACACCGGGAGTTCGAGGCTTGTATGTCCTGACTAAAACACCGGCTTCATCTCGGGTTGGAGGAGGTGCGAAAGCGATGCTCGGGTCGAAAGAGGAGGATTCTTCAACTGGAGGGCGTTCGGTTTCGTGGATGACACTCGAATACGATCGGAAGGACGAGAACGAGGCGCCGCGGATTGGGAGCTGAAGCGCTCGTAAGAAAAGTCGAGGCTGGAATGATACCGCCATCTTGAATAGTCGACGGATGCTGTACTTAAAATTTCAATAGAAGGGAAGGCGGCTAAGCCTCTCCTGCAAAAGTGGAAGAGAAAAGAATATAAAGGATGCCACGCTTAGAGCATAGCATCAATGGACCTTGCCCTTGATGACACAAAAAGATAATGTACTCTATCAGAGCTCACTGGTCATCGTGGTTCAATTGGTCATTTCTCCCTCCTGGTGTCGAGATCTTTTCGGCTTCTGATGGACTCGGCGGAAAAGTAGCGTGTGGCTTAGAACATTTCACGTGATGTATGTAGTTTGCACGGCCACAAATAGTCGGTGCAGCGTGTGGCTGGTTACAATATGGTAATAAATCACGTGATATACTTGTCACGGTCACGCTTGTTGCCGGGGTGACGGGATGTTTTTGTCCCCACCAGCGCGCTCCTCGCAGGAAAAGCCCGTCGTATTTTTATGTATTCTGCATACACGTTATTTACAGCTCTTCGTGCGAAAAAACAAAGGCTCATTCTCTCTTCGCGGTATTTCTTAGGGCATAACCTGCCAAAGTGACAGAGAAAAAGTAATAATACACGTATCGTGCTGTTACGGAGCTTGGCTCTTCATACAAAACTGGCAGTCGCGTCATCCTCCTCAATTCACCTTAACAACAATTCTCTTCACTATCCCGACAATTCTTTTCTCCTCCTTGAATCCTCACTGCTCTTCCTCTACAGATTGTCATTCCTGCCTCTGTATTCAATTGTCTTCAGCTTTATTCGGTAAGCAGCATTTTTCCCGTCATCACCCGGACGCGAGGTTTGCCCTGGCTGGCAGTGGGGTCTATTACCGTCACTGTCACCAAGGATCCACGCTAAAGCCCAAGCCAAACATCCTCCGTCAACCTCTTCAATTCTACTCTCACTACTCTGTGTAGCCTCATTCCCCATCTCACGCCTCATACAAGACGCGCACATTCTTCATCCTCTTAAACTGACTCCATTCTCATCTTATCCGCACAGAATTGCGTTACTCGCTACATTAGACACGCTTATTGCTTAATTGTCGCGCTCTCAGGACGTGCCTTGAAGGTAAAAAGCCCTGCCAACAGCGCGAAAACAGCTATCTTCATATATTTGATTCGCTTGTCAATATAGAGGATTATGGGACCATTAACTATTCTCGAACTCACTTGCTGATCTAACTCTCATAGATACCTCAGCATTGAATACTTTCCACGTGTGGTATGTCTAGGGATACTTCCCTCATTCTTTGATAGCTCCGCTGCAAGCTCCAAGGCTAATGGAATGCAGCACGAATACTCTGACAACCAATCTTTACATCAGTCACCGACTGGTACATTACCTTGATCCTTCCGGTCATCTCTCTCTCATTCGTCTTTTGACGCGTCTCTTTCTTCGACGTTGATTAATTATGCCTCCGGTAAGCTCCTGAAATCCTCTTTTCGTCATATCACGTCCTTTACCGGTTGCTTGATTTCCATCACGTCCGAACATGTCCTCATTTACCGTTCTTCAGGCTCGGAGCCTCCGTCAGAGGACGGTGACCAATGAAAACGACGAAAATGCAACATCAACGCGCCTCACAAGGGCCAAGGCAGCTGCCCTCAGTTCAGCAGACCTCAATGGAGGTGAACTCAAGAAGCCAGTGCAGAGTAAGAAGGCAACAACGACCACCTCAAACACCACTCAAAGACGCCGTGCTGCCCTCAGTAATATCAGTAACGTGACAAAAACGGATCTTGTCGACGCGAAGGATGCCAAGAAGGCTGCCAGCAAGACTGGCCTCACATCAAAGTCAACGTCGCACCCCGGTGGCGTTCAAAAGCTAAGCAGATCAAACACCACTCGTGCTGCCCTTGGTGTCAAAGACGCCAATAAGAAAGCTGCTTCGACTACCGAAGTGAAGCGTCCCGGAAGTGGATCTGGTGTTAAACGTTCGTCCAGCCAGAAGTCCGTCAAGGAAGATCTGAACCAAAACGAGGAGCCACCTCGTAAGAAGCTTGGTGTGGAAAAGAAAAAGACGGAAGTCATCCAGCAACAAATTATATCTGAAAATGTTACTGAAGTCGAGGTGGACGTCGGTGGTGCGAAAGACTTGGAAGCTGAGGGTGTTATGGATCTAGACACAGAGGATCTTGATGATCCATTGATGGCCGCTGAATACGTGGTCGAAATCTTTGACTACCTCAGAGACCTTGAACATGAAACGCTTCCAAGCCCAGACTATATTAACCATCAACCAGAACTTGAATGGAAGATGCGCGGCATCCTGATTGACTGGTTGATTGAGGTTCATGCAAGCTTCCGACTTCTCCCTGAAACCCTTTTCTTGACTGTCAATATTATCGATCGCTTCCTCTCCGCTGAGATTGTTTCTCTGGATCGTCTACAGCTGGTTGGCGTTACCGCCATGTTCATCGCGTCTAAGTACGAAGAGATCCTGTCCCCTCACGTTGCCAACTTCAGTCAAGTCGCAGACGATACTTTCTCGGACAAGGAAATTTTGGACGCGGAGAGACACGTCCTTGCCACGCTGAACTACAACATGAGCTATCCTAACCCTATGAACTTCCTTCGGCGTATCTCCAAGGCTGATAACTACGACATCGAGACGCGTACATTGGGCAAGTACTTAATGGAGATTAGCTTGCTTGACCACAAGTTTATGGCTTACAAGCAAAGTCACGTAGCGGCGGCTGCTATGTATCTTGCGCGTCTCATCCTTGATCGTCCTGAGTGGGATGCCACTCTTGCACACTACTCCGGCTATACGGAAGAGGAAATCCAACCCGTCTTCCTACTCATGGTCGACTACCTGCACCGCCCTGTTGCACACGAAGCATTCTTCAAGAAGTATGCCAGCAAGAAATTTTTGAAGGCATCTATTGTTACCCGCCAATGGGCGAAAAGATACCATTCTCTGTATCTCAACAGCGAACTCGGAGACCTGGCACAAAGCTAGATACTGACTGAATGATCCACGACACCTTCATCCTTATGACGTCCTTCCAATAGGGCTTACAGTTGGTCGGCGCTATATTAGGGTTGATTTTGTTTTATACCGGGGCGTTCTCTATATTTATGCGGGCGCTGGAGAAATGTTTCATTTGCATATTACGATGGCATTAGTATTCGGGCTTTTCTTTCTACTCTTTTCACTGGCGTTTCACTTCTCTTGCTTCTTGCCTTCGGTCTGTGGTTTGCGTCTCTACACATGTTTCCACAAACATAAACCAGGAGGAAGACCCTTACGGCTTCGTATATGGGATTCATATAGGTTATATGGATTCGACACAGACTCGATATGCTCTGCGCAAAGCGAGAACATGTCCATGACTTATCTAATTCGGGTGGTTGCTGACTGAGGTGGCTTGTTGATTTGACTTTGCGTGTTGTGAGGAATTTGTTTTGGCTTGTGAGGGATTCGGGACACTTAAAGGCTTTGGATTGCACTTGAAGTTATATTGATTGACTGTTTGTTTTAATGGGCGTTGTAAATATCGTTTGATTCTGAATTCGAGACATTTCTATATACTTCTCTGTGGTGTTGTATGCTAAGTAATGACTCGGATCCGGGGTCAGAGATAAAACTCTCCGCGAAAGGCTCGGTTAACGGCACCGTGGCTTGCTTAACATCAGGGCCTAAGCGGAGATAATCTGGGGGGCTGGCCACTGAAGAATGGCTACCGAGCTTATCATTTCAAACTTCTCCAACCAATTTCTTCCACAATTTTTATACACACATATATTGTATATATAGTATACATATATAACTGGAAAGAGAGAAAAAGAGAATGCCGCACAACATCCCAGCATCATCATCAACATGTCCATTTTGCAATATCGCGTCTGCACACCCACCACTGCCTCCATCATCAGCATTACAAACAGTCCCACAGCAAGATCAGCCCGCTGGGAACAGTCAAAGATCACATGCTTTTTTGATTTTATCGACGAAATATGTTCTCGCATTTCTAGATATTATGCCTTTATCTAAGGGGCATCTACTCGTTACGACTAGGGAGCATTATGAGAAGGTTGGAGAGTTGGGGGTTAGGATTGGAGAGGAGGTTTGTTCTTTTTTAAAAAAAAAAATAATGCTGTTTCTGCTTTGTTTTGTGTCAACTGACGAAATTGATGAAGCTGGGTAAATGGCTCCCAATTGTCTCGCGAGTAGCTATGAGAGTCATCTTTGGGCAGAGTAGTGCCACGGAAGAACATCATTGGAATCTTGTGCAGAATAATGGTATGTTTCTTTTCCCACTGTCCTTTCCCAGCAGAATTTTTGTATTGTGTGTTGCCTTTAACACAATGAAAATCGTACAGGCGAAAGAGCAGCCCAGGTAGTCCCCCATGTCCATTTCCATATCATCCCCAGACCACCACTCCTGTCTGCGGATGCAATAGCTCAATCGCCCGGTTGGACGATGTTTGGCCGAGGGCGTAGAGAGGACTTGGATGATGACGAGGGCGAGGAGCTTGCGAGGTTATTGAGGGAAGAGCTTGCGAGGGAAGTGAAGAGGGTGAAGCAGGAGGAAGGTATTGATTTGGATGTTGATAGGGATTACAGATTGTAATACAACTCTGTAACAGACTGCGTTTCTGGAGGACTCTGTATATTAGACACTTCTACTGAAGTGGATTCTTCATATCATGGATCTTGCATGGTTTTCAGATCTGCTCCGTTCTAGAGCTTTTTTCGGATGGTATGTTCTTTGGGGTGAAATACTATTCATGATCATTGTTAATGCTGCCCAAGAATATTGCAGTGTCAAATACTATGCATACCTTTCGCCTAAACTCGTTCAATTCATCTGCCGTAACACCATTCGGATCATCCGTGATGGATCTTATCTGAGAATCCGCAGATACTTTTCCTTCTGCCAATTTCCGGTAAGTAAGCAGACGGCGTGACCCTGGTATCAATTAGTTTGTAAGACAGAGCCGGCTTGACTCAGGCACCCCTATTTTAGGGCTACTTACAGGAAGAGAATTGCTGTACGCCAACATTGGTGATTTCCAGCCTTGGATGAGTTGGTATTATGAGTTCTACGTCTTGATCATTCGCAGTGGGCATCCACATAGCAATTCGGCCTCCAACAACCAGAGTTCGGGCAGCAAAGTCCAGAATGTCGTGTTGCAAAGTAACGAATCCGTATGGCTTCTTGGGAGGCACATAGTCGGGAAGCCTAATAGGTAATCGGTGAGCTTTCTTATTGACCACTCGTACAGAAAGGCAGTATACTCACGTATGCGCTAGGACTCCGTCTTTGTATACGGGTTCCTTTGACCGTCCATCTCTTAACCCCAGAACCTTGAGCCCTTCGCGAATCCCATACGGAGGATCACATATGATACCATCAAGAATCGGGGTGTCCCTTATAGGCGTATTCGTGAGATCCGACATGAAAGCATCCAGAAACTTATCTTCAGTGCCGTACTGTTGAAAATTGGTGTATATCCCCATTGGATTCTCCTTGGTGATTTGGTGTCTCCCCTTGAAACTCCTGCCATCAATATCTGCCCCAAAAGTCGCAGCACCAAAGTACGCTGCGGCAACCAAGAAACTTCCAGTTCCTACAAAGGGGTCGAAGAATATCTTTCCGGGAGCTGCATGTGCCATGTTTGCCGTGACTAGGGACAGTTCTGCGTCCATCGATGTCGTGGAGATGTATTTTCTCTTTTTCAAATCGTACTTGTCCATCATGTGGCGGCTGCTGGCGCAAATCCAGCGTCCGAAGTATACATTTTTGAGTCCTTTGCGCCTACCCTCTTTGGTCTGTTGGTCCTTTTGTTGCGTGTGGTCTTCGTTGGTCCCTTCCACTTCATCCTTTTTTTCTTCAATGTCCGATACATAATCCTCGAATATGACAAAGTCCTCATCAGGATTTTTCATCTTAATAGGCCCCTGGAAATCAAGGTACCCGAAACTTTCAATGAGATTTTTCTTTTCAACTTGTGACCTCTTTGCCGAAAAGGTGTCTATGAAGAAACGAAAGGACACGTCCTTGTAATCATTCCAGCGATGTTCTGTTCTGCGTCGTACATCTGCATGAAGCTCCTCATGGGTTTTTCCTCTGCCCCATAGTTCATAGAGGTCTTGAGCAAGGATGCTACGAGAAATCACTTTGCGTGCTGCCTCCATATTGGGGAATTTGGCGATGCAGAATGGTGACTGTTCATTGTTAGTAACTTTGGCACCCGCAAATGAAAAGACAGGTATGACAATCGCGAGAAACTAATGAACTCACGTATTTATCGTAGTGAATAAACTCGACATCGACTCCAGCAAGCGTGGCAAGGGCTTCGATTTCGGCCTGTCGAAAGGTCTCGTGCGACTGGGCAAACCGGATTACGCACTCCATTTTGTCAATTGGCTATTTTCCGACCTCAAATAGAGTTCCTTGTCATCTAGCATGAAGTTGACCTTTTCCTAATACTCTTTTCGTGTTTGTTGTGGTCAGTGAGGGGAGGAAAAGCCCCTCCGCCGGCGGACAGTGAAAATATTAAAAAAAAAATATATTCGGGATCCTCAGGCGCCTTCTCCAGGGCCCAGGCTACGGGGTCAGTTGGAAATTCAATTCGCCTTCGCGACACGACCACATTGAATAGCAACCAACTGCGAAAAGGAATTGTTAAAGACTGGCGAAGAAAAAGCCTCTAGTACAATTTCATGCTACAGGGCTACGGATTTGCCCCGTGAAACGAATATCAACTTTACACTCTGCACATGTGGACAAATTGCCTATCATCATTACTCTAGATCACTAAATTCGTGCAGTAGCCATGCCATTCCATCGGCCTCCTAGCATTAGTCGAACATGACTATTCAACCACAGAAAATCAGTAACGCCGTTCCCAAAGGATGAATGCCCACAAAACAAGAGTCGTGAAAAGCCTATGACACGCTATACAACGCTGAATGTATGCCTTGACAAATAACCCTCTTCTTGCGCGACTTCAACCTTCTGATCATCGGGTATCATACTGTGTTCCAACTCCCACCCAGCTCGTCGACAAAGCTCCGCTACAACTACATCACAATCTCCTAACAGATCGATATCGAAGCCGATATGTGATACAGGCTAGATAGCATTAGCATGGGCACGGGTACCGCAAGATAACATCAACTAGAAACATACTGTGCGTGATATGTAGATCTGAGGTACTGTGCTCGGTATAATGCTGGGAACATCAGCCACTGGCGCTACTTTCATGGATGTCCCAATCACTATAACCAAGTCGGCCACCTCGCGATCTTCCTCGACTAGTCGCCTTCCAAACTCATCAGGAAGGTCTTCTCCAAAGAAGGTAATATCGGGCTGATACCGTTAGTTTCACACATCAAACCGCGCGTAAAACGTGCACTTGACTAACCTTCATAACACCAGGGGTAGGAATGTCATAGTCTTCCTCATCGGAGTCCTCGTGAGAAGAGCCCTTCTTGCGATTATTTTGAAGACCGTTCGAGCTACGCTTCCGCTTCAAGGCTTGCGGTTGCAAAGCAATCTGTTCTTTGCAGCGCTTGCAGAGAGGAATCTTACCCGATTTAATAGTGTCGAAGATTGCATCTCCTGGCACTTTAAAACCACATTTGGTACATGTTGCTGTTGCAAAAGACCCGTGACATTGCACAATCTTCTCGGGTTTAACTCCCGCATTGGCCTCAATATTGTCGATATTTTGTGTATAGTTCGTCAATAATTTGCCCTTGTCCTGCAACAGCTTGATGAAAGCGTGGGTAGGAGAGAAATGCTTCTCAGTAGGAAGGATGTCCTTTGCGACCGAAAAGAAGATGCTTGGATCCTCGTGGAAAAGCGAAATATCAAATACCTCCTGTGGATCATTGAGTCCGAGATGTTCCAGTCGCGAATAAAGACCGGTGTCTTTGGAACGGAAGTCTGGAATTCCCAGGCTAGTAGAGATCTAAAGAAACCTCATTAGCAACCAGACATGGAAACCGCAGAGCGGGATATTTCACTTACCCCGGCGCCAGTAATGACAATAACGTTCTTCGACTTCTTCAACAGGTTAACCGCATCCTCGATAGAATTGTACTCGTTTAACTTTTGCCGCTTCGCGAATTCTCGGGAAATGACAATGCCCAGTAATGGGTGGTAGGCCTCGTCAGGGGCATCTTCAAGGAAAGATGGAGGAACGACACCAAAAGCAGTCAGGAGTTTCTTTGCTGTTATTGTACCCTTTCCAATCGTCTCCTCGACAAAAGCAACCTTTCCGATTTCGCGTAGGAGCTTGCGATAGGCGGCTGCTTCTTGTGGTGTGCATGCATCTGGGACTGAGGGGAACGGTTAGGGTCTTGCAACGGGTGGCGATAGGTCAAAAGTCAGATGCTCACCAGATGAGAGTTGATCATCTCGAACAAAATGAAGTGCTTCTTCATACAATGAGTCCGTCTCCCATTCTTCGCCAGATTCATCACTAGCGTCCCTCGCATCAGATGTAGGGGATTTTGACTTCTCTATCGCGGGTCGCGACAGAGCATCATCCTCGATCTTCGCATCCCCCGTCTCCACCACATTCAACTCCACGACTGAGGTCTTGTTGAGAGTATCCGACGTATCTGGGCCTGGCGCGAGATCCATATTGACAGTCGAACACAGGCGCCTCCCCTTAGCGCCTCTTCAACAGTGAAAAATCCACTCACATTGGTGTTGGTTGGAATATGGAACGGTCAAAGAAATAAGCCTATCGTGAATCTTATCTAGACTTATCAGCCGGATGTTTATTAATCCGCCACCGCACGGCCAATCGGAGTAGCGTACTAGCGCTGCATTCAAAAGATTCAGGAACATGTTTCGCATTTATGTCGATACAAATCTATAAATTGAGAGAGTAAGAGTAGTATACGATAATTTGTTGATTGAATTGGTATCGCTCTTTCCAATGTAGTAAATATAATTCATCCATATACACTCATTATGAATCCTTCATCTCGTGATCTTCATCATCATCAGACTCGGCCTCAATCTCCCCATCCCAATCTTCTTCGTCCTCATCACCACCAGGGAAAACAGGCCCGTCGTCACTGTCATCGTCCATATCATCGCCGAGTTCCTTATTTAGCTCTTGAACAAGTTCAAGTGCGTGATCCCTAAGCCTTTCATCTTCGTATTCAAGTTTCTGGTACAGCTTCAAGCTTTGTTTGAGCCACTCCCGACTGGCAACCATGGATTCGTGGCGTTTTTCTTCAGATGAATCCTGTTTTTCTTTTTCTGCCAGCAGATACAAACACCATCCACCCAAATACCAAGCCTCAACACTCTCATCATCCTCAAGGATCAATCGTTCCAGCACCTGGAGCGCCTCAACCTCCATTTGTACTTCCATAAGGAGTCGCGAAAGACTGATGCGTGAAGGAAAATCTGGAATCTTGGGGTCTTCAGGTGGCAAGTCCTGCCATAGCTCTAAACTACGAGAAAGCGCAGCTCGCGCATCGTCAATGCGCGCCTGGGATATTCTCACAGATGCCAATGTCTGCAAACAATCTGGTTGATCAGGTGCAACAAGAAGAGCTTCGGTGATAAGGGTTTCGCATCGGCTCTCGGCGTCTTCTTCCCATCTATAGTATATTAAAGTTAGCTGTAAATAACCATTTGTAAACCCGGCTCAATGAAGGATAAGTCACTCACGAGAGATCAGTCATATATAATTCCACCACACCACACAGAGCAACTGCTAACTTCTTCCTCTTCTCATCAAGTATCGAAGCCGTATCTGAGCCGCCATTCTGTTCAAGTGATTGTATAATATGTCTCAAAGCGCCGACACCCTTCTCATACCAGGCCACACTATCTGCACCACCTTGTTCACTTAATTGCGCAAGCCATAAAAACTTTTCAGCTCCTCCACCTTGCGACTCAGGTATCGTGCCTTCTGGATCGAGTTGTACTGCATGTAAAAAGCTTTCTCGAGCGGCGTCGATCTCGCCAAGTTCGACGTATATCTCCCCGACAAGGTTTATCGCTGATAAAGAGTCGGCGGAATTTTCTTCGGATATTTCGAGTATTCGCTGAGCTAAAGGAAGAGCTGCCTCGGCTTGTCCGGTCTGTAAAAGGATAGTGGCTTTTTCGAGTAATTCCGTAGCATTGTCTGCCATTTTGCGTTTGGAGACGACTTTGCCCACTGAGTGGAGGACAGACTTTTCGGACTTGGTTGAACTTTTCTTGTTTTTGGTCCTCGATTTGCCCATGCTCCGTTAGGAATTGAAGTAGGAATTTGAAAGACTGATATTCAAATTTTTGAACAGAGATGATACAGAGAAATCGTGTCGTGAAGTTTTGAAAGTTGACATGCCCAATTTGAAATTGTAGATAATTTTTGGATCTTTTAGACATGTTTGCGATGTTTGCATGCGGGACACAATCTCTACTCCACTGTGTATGAAGATCAACTCTCAAGAACTGGAATTTGCGATAGAAAGACTTTCCTGTCAATATTTACGTCAATTTGCGATTCCGTTGCACATAACCTAAGTTCTGGCCTATTTGAAGAGATCATAGGGCTTTTCGATTCTTGGAACGTGTTATAAAATTCCATATATGCTTGCTCATTTCCATTTGGAATTGCAAACATGGGCCGCGAAGATCAAGTCGAGGAACGAGAAGTCCTCGACTCGATATTTCCAGAAGAAATTACAGGTACGCTCAAGGCAACGTATAAGATGCTTATACATCTGCTAACCCGTATACCTGGGGATTAGATTTATCAGACACATCCTACCGAATAACTATAAAGCTCGACGTTGATGAAGACGAAGAGAATGAGGAGGCACCAACTCTATTACTACAGGTTTCATATCCAGAGGCATATCCTGATGTGGCCCCAGATCTTGAGATTTTAACACCACCAAATTCCGCAAAACACACACGCTTCGACATACAGGAGGACAAGGCCCACCTGATGAACGCACTTCAACCTAGCATTGAAGAGAACCTTGGCATGGCCATGATATTTACCCTAGTCAGTACGCTAAAGGAAGCGGCGGAGACATTGATAATGGAGCGTGTGGCATCCGAAAGACAAGCGCGCGAAAGAGAGATTGCACAAGCCGAGGAGGAAGAGAATCGAAAGTTCCAGGGCACACTTGTCAATAGAGAGAGATTCCTTGAATGGCGGGAGAGATTTATGAAAGAGATGGAGGAAGCAGAGCAGAGAGAACGGGAGGAGAAAGAGGCGGAAGAGAAGAAGAAAAAGCCGTCTGCTCGTGAAGAGCAAAAGCTTACAGGACGACAGCTATGGGAGCGAGGTTTGGCAGGCAAGGGCGACTATGATGAAGAGGGCGAAGAGGAGGTGCCATCGGAAGGAGTCGAAAAATTGCAAATTTCATCCTAAAGCGAGAGATTCTCATGACCTGGTGCGAAAGAACCTTTTTTGACATAGCGAAGGAACAAGGAAGTGGCTTCGTCTACCACTTACCCCCCACAACGCAATTCATCGCTTAATAGCAAACTCTACATGTATATGTTGTAATCAAACTGGAAGATCAAGACAAGAGCTTGCAGCTTGCATCAGTGAAGCCTTGCAATTGCCGCCTGAAGACAAGCGTCCATTTTCAACAGAGGTACTCGATAATAAGGAAACCGAAGTAGCCAGCTGAAGTACATCAACCGACAAGCTGCCTGCCATATTTCTGTATCAAGGAGATCCAGGAGCCAACCGATGGTGGCTTTTCAGTCTCCTTTCTAGCTTCTTTAGCTTCTTCTTCCTCTTCTGCAGCCAGTTTACGCTCGGCGAGAACGACCTCCCACATCTTCTCTGCAAGTTCTTGTTGCTTCTTCTCAAACTCTATATTATCATAGAATGCCTTCTTGTAACACTCCAGAGGACTCTCCATCCAGGAACCTTCAATCCAGCGTATTGGGTGATGCGCATGTATCACTCGCGGAGTGACAGGTTGACCTTCAATGAGACGATCCCAGTCTTCCTCATCCTTTGCAAAGAGCGTATCGATAAGCAGTCTCTCACGTCTTTCCACTAATTTGTCCTTGAAGCGGAGTTTGTACCGAATAATTCGGCTCAGATTCTGCGGCTGCGGTTTTTTGATTCGCAGAAAAGGTACACCACGAGCGCTCACGAGTTTAGGTATTTGGCGTTGACCAGCAACGAATGGTCTTGGACGCGATAAAATCGGCTCAGCGTCTGGGTGGCGGTACATGGTTTGCTTTTGGAAAGCTATATTTTCGGCTGTTTTCTTTTGCTGTGGGCTGAGCGTTTTCGGTTTTCGAGCTTCGGTTACTTGTTGATGCGTTCGACTTCCAATGTTTTCAACGATTTTCTTGATTCGATGTATGGCCTCGTTGTCTCTATGTGATGCTGCGTGCATCGTATCTAATGCCTGTATATTTTGTTGAGCGGATTTTCGTTACGCGTACTAGGGATTTATGTCTATACCTCGTAGCCTGCCCGCAGACTATGTATCGTTCTTGTTGGGCTCAGAAGAGATCTGTTTTTATTGAATTCGTTCCTCACGATTCTCGATAGTGATTCCCTTCCGCTCGCTGTCGACGGTAATTCCGAACATTGTCGCAAAAGTGCTCGATATAGGGCGAAGCCTAACGAAGAGTTAACGATTGAAGTACTGGCATCTGTGCGAGAACAAGAAACCGACATGTACGGCGGTGGACGCCATTCTTTCCAGCATAGTCTCCCCACTTCATTAGACTGAGTGATTGCGATTTTTCGTGGGATTCTTCATGGAGCTGGGGTGCTGAAGCTGGGGGTGGTCCTAAACTAAATTCACTGGAGCGATAGCACTATCACCACGTGACTTCATTGAATCAGTGTTCTTATCGGGCTTATTTTCAGTTTACTAGAGCATTTATACAAATTGGAGGAGTACCTCTGTTCAGTGCATCAATTCTCCTAATGTAGCTCCTTTGAGAATGCAGATAAGGGATTGAATCAAAAGCCCGCTAATACATAGACAGAAATGCATGAATCCCCATATACCAAAGAGAAAGTGAATGTAATAAGCCGTTTATTCATAATACACCATTCATACCTCAAATAAATGTATGTCGTCTCTTAGAAGGTGGTGCCCTCTGGAGGTTGGGGGAGCTTCTTGTGCTGGGGTAACGCCATACACCTGCAAACACCAGTCTCAGTAGAGTATTCAGAAATGTGAATTGAGAGAAATGCAAACCTGCGAAGCTCCAGCAAGATGGTCTCCATGGTGTATTCCCTCTTCCATGTTGTTAGTAGCTTTGATAGATCGACCTGCGCGGAGTCAGTCAAGTGTCAAAAGAGTGAAAGAGTACTCAATCTAAACCAACCTTTCCGGTCTGCGGGTCAACGCAAGGTAGGTTGATTTTTGATACAAAGTGTAGAGTGGGTGGTACATCGGGGTATTCAGGTCCGCACTGGATGTTGACACTATATATCCGGTTCTCGTGTACGCTCTGTAGACTGTCATTCAGCGGGGATCCCAGCATTTCCTTTTCATTTCCTTTTGATTATACATACATGAGGGGGTCCAAGAATAGTTCCATTCCAATTGGTCATTGTAATATCATCCCCATCGGCGAGACCATATGAGCATGCCTCTAATGGCAGCAGAAAACGCACTCGTCAGCTATTGGCTTTGACTGACGTAGGGAGTCCTATACACACCAGGTCCTAGGCCTTTCTCTCCCTTTTCCAGCTCCTCAAGTAGACGAAAGTTTCTTGGAACCTTGGCCATGGCGATATTTGCTGCTTCCGTATGTTTGCTCGGGTATTCGATATGGCAGGTGGTTGTGGTCAGAGTGAAGCAGACAAAAGTTAGAGGGGCAGATGAGGCAGGGCAGTTCCGTCCCGATTGTCCATTGGCCAGCATAGACACCGCGGAAGATGTGGGTCTAGCCGACACGTGACGTAGTGTCTTCAGTTTCACCGCTTTCGGGGCTACCAATCAACGCGCATATATCACTCCATATTCCGGCAACAAGGACACGATTCCATGCATACTTTCGTTGTTGTCTGTATAAATCTCCATGTTTGATATAGGGAGGCATCCGAAACGTCTCAAAAAGCCTTAATGTCTTGCAATTTGTATTTTTCTTCACATTGTCTCAGCAGAACTCCGCATACGACAATATCGCCCTAATGGACTTTTGAGCTTGCCAAGCGTGAGACCACCAGCAGATTCATGTGAAATGGTACTGCTACAATACGCATGATTGGATATGTCCTCTCAGATATTGCAGGCAGAGCTCTCGAATCTGATACAGGAGTCAAAGCGCAAATACTCTGATTTGAGAAATGTAAAAGCCCGAATGACATGCGCCAATTCAACTTGAGCTAACAAGCGTAGGCTGCCGAACAATCACTAAATGACTTGAAGGCGTTGCCTTCAACATCGGAGGCACAGATAACAGCGGGTTGGTCTCCTTACCATCTGAGTATAGGTGCAATTAGTAAGCTGAAGGGACATATCCAGATCTCATACGGCGTCCGCACTTTGTCACTCCGTTCATACTTGCTTGCCAGACACGGCAGTCCAAACTCGCATCAATCGGAGTTGTTTGCCTGCAAAGACTCGCAACATCGCATGCGATTTCACCTCATCGGCTTAATGATACTTTGTCTGCCTTGCGCGACATCACAGGGCTAGGTATGCACATCCAAACCAGCGTTTCTGTGTCCTTACTAATTCCCTGATAGGCCAGGATGTACAGCTCAAGATCCTCCAGACCTTACCGGCCTTGCTACAGAACTACTCTGATGATCTGAGCGGAGAACTTCTTGCCCATGTTCTGGAAGTATGTGCCACGTTGCAAGCCAGCAAAGTCGCTGCCGTTTCAAATACGGCAGCTGCAACCTTGCAGCAACTCGTTAGTTCGGCATATGAAAAGGTCTCGGTTGAAGATGGTAAAGATTAACAGCTTCCCTTTTCTTCTGCAGAGAAACTTCGTACTGATCTGTCTCATTTTACAGGCATTATACAGAATGCAGTTACGGTTCAAACGCAAGTCGGAGGATCGACTATCGATATCGGGGTGGCTGCGTACGATGCTCTCCGGGTATGTACAGGCGCTTATGTCATTTAGTTCAAGAGCTTATAAGTTTATGTAGATTTTGAGTGATCTATGTCGCGCAGTTGAGGGCGAAAAGCTGGAATTCCTGCACATCAAGGCTCTTCCACCCAATTTCGTCCTCGAGCTCATTGAAAGCATCTTAGTCAATAACATAAAGCTCTTTCGGAATCACCCCGAGCAGATGCAGTTGCTTCAAACTCGCCTCCTACCAATGACAGTCAAGCACCTTTCAGAAAGACATAATTTTGCCCAAACTTTACGGGTTACCCGAATACTACTGGTGCTTTTGCGTCATTTCATGAGCCTACTGCAGGATGAATGTGAAATGGCACTTGGACTCTTGATTCACCTGCTGGAACCCGAGGCGTCATCGGAATGGAAGAGGGTACTTTGCATGGAGGTCTTTCGCAGCTTGCATTCAGAGCCTAGCTTGATCCGGCTGATTTACACATTGTTTGACGCAACTCAAGGAAGAAAGGATATAGTAAAAGATCATATGACCGCCTTGTTCAAAATAGCGTCAGAAAACCCGTCTCTCATCGGCGTCAGTTATCAGTCTACCGTACCACAAGATGCTTCGCAGTCTCGATCCAACACCGATGATCAAATTACGCTCGATGCTGGAGGCGTTGCTGGGGTCATTGCCGCTCCGGTAAATTCGGCGGATGAGAGTGTGACGGGAATCAGCAGCCAATGGAGTACGGTTCGCACCCCGTACCTCGAACTCCTTGATAAATCAGAGCCGCCTCCTCCTCCGGAAACATATATCTATAGTCTGGTTTTGAATTGTCTGGGCGCATTCGCCGAAGGTCTCGCTAGGTTCATTATTCCGTTAACAGTAACAGAGTCAAAAAGCAAGCGCAGGAAAAGGATGGCAATGAATGATCGGGAACAAGGTTTGAATGATCTGCAAAGGTCAGACTCGACGAAATCAAATGGATCTGAAACTAGAAGACAAACAGTACCCCTCAATCCATTGGAGCTTCGAGATCACCCCCAAAGTTCCGCAATTACATCTAGTGCTGGAATCATCGAATCATGCTGGCCAGTTATTCTGAGCACATGCTCCATTTTTTTCTACGCCGCATTAGACGCAGATTTCTATCACAATCTCGTACGATCCTTCCAGAAATTGACACATGTCGCCGGTCTCCTTCGTCAATCTGTGGCGCGAGACGCATTTCTATCTACCCTCGGAAAGGCTACTCTCCCTGCAGAGGATGCGATCATGAGTACAAACACTCCCGAAGCCCGACGATCGATGAACCCAGATGCCGGGATTGAGCAGTCCCTAAGTGCGCATTTTGACACACCCAAAGCGTCATTCGAAGCCGCAAGAGCCTCATTGAGCACCAGGAACCTTCTCTGCCTTCGGGCTTTGTTAAATCTGGGAATCGCTCTGGGACCGACGCTAGATCGGACTGCATGGTCTATACTTCTTGAGACTTTGCAAAATGCCGACCTAGTAATCAACTCCCACGTGACGGCTTCTGCTAAACAGACACCAGTTATCGGAAACGGAGAGCAGACCGCACAAAGCGGTGCCGATATTCCCAGAGCTAATATTGGAAATGAAATACTTGCTGTCTCGACTGCTGCATCGAAGATGTTTGAGAGTACTGCAGATTATCCGGACACGTCCTTTCGGTCAATACTTGAGGCACTTCTAGGTTTGTTGTCCGCTAAGGGGCGAGGAGTGCTGCCGACAGCTGTATCCCCTACGAAACCCGCGATCAATCAGTCTTTTGCAAATTCAAGAATCCTGGATGACGAGATGAATATCGTGCTAGACCGGACTAAGGAACTCTGCGAAGCGAATATTGAACGCCTATCAGTAGTAAGTCAGGATGAAGATATTGCGTGGAATAACTTGAACACGAACCTGCAATCGATCATAACAAGTGATACAAATAGCCGAAGTCTTCGGTTGAAAGCGAGCAGTATTCTTAACTACGTTATACTCCAGACGATGAAACATGGATGGTTCGAAGACGATTCTCGAAACAGTCTACAACTTCGGAATTTGCAGTCGCTACAATCGCAGATTACGTCTTTATATGAGCAACGCGACAGACTTACCAGCATAGATGCGGAGGCTCATGGGCTGGCCCTGGACACACTCAAGATCATGCTTGAACAATATGGCGAGGCTTTTACATCTGGCTGGGATTTGATCTTTGAGTTAATCTCTAGTGTCTTTGAGAAGCCCAGTCTACAGAATGAGAATGAACCAAACGAGACACTTTCATCCAGAAAATCTGTGTCAAAGGCTCGAGACTGTAAGGCAAGGTCTCCACGTCTGGTCCGCGCGGCTTATGCTTCGTTGCAACTCATTGCGTCCGACTTTCTCACTTTACTTCCACCGTCATGCCTCCTTGAATTGGTCGATTCATTGTCTTTTTTTGCATCACAAGACCAGGATTTCAACATTTCGTTGACCACCACCACCTTTTTCTGGAATGTATCGGACTTTCTCCAGAGCCAAGTCGGCGCATTTTCGATTGACGAGTCTATGGATATTTCCATAAGCGAAGAGTCGCTCGCAGGATTAGCCGATGATGCTGACATATCTACATCGAGAGGAGCGTTGTGGTTACTGTTACTTCTCCGCATTGTCGATCTCACTACAGATAACAGGTCCGGCATCCGCAATAGCGCAATCCATACTCTCCTCAGGATCTTAGATGCATATGGCCCACAGCTCACCTCTAAAGCATGGCATCTTTGTTTGAATCGAGTATTGTTTGTCATGATATTTGACATTCAAAAGCGAGTAGTTGAAATCGAACGATCTGCTACTGAAGGGTCAAATGCTGCGAAAGAATGGATTGAAACATCCGTTGTTCTCATCAAAGGTTGCGCTGACCTTATCGCGACATTCTTTGACACGATTATTCAAGACCCACGATTCGTTGACTCCTGGAAACGCTTACTCGAATCTTTCCAGGAACTAGTCCGAGTTAACAACTATGGGATCAAAGAGGCAATATTCGCCAGTACCTGTGATATAATCAAGCATGCAAAGCCTTCTGGTGAATTCAGCAAAGAGGCTGTTCACTGCGCCTGGCTTCTATGGAAAAACAATCATTTGGCTCCTGAAGGCGTCCCTTTAAATCTGGACGAGCCGAATCAGGACGCGCTCATTGCTTACTTTCGATTTTTCCAACAAATATACCGGTTATACAGGGATGAGTTGTCAGAGGAACCTGTTACACAAATTTTGCATCACATGCGAACAGCGATCTGGAACGCAGTGGTTTCGAGATATTCGGTTGATATTGATCACCAGTCAACTTTGCAGGAATTAGTCCTCGATTGCATGAAAACTCTTTGCTTGGATAAAGACGAATCACAATCTGACATTGTGATGTGTTTAGCAGATTTCAGTGATGCTGCGCTGACTCAGTGGTCAACGGATAGAGACAAGAGCCGACCCTCATATGTAGCATTCTCCAAGAACTCGACTAATCTTCTTAGCTGGTACATTTCCGAACATGGCATCAAGGCGGACATCTTTTCCGACGGAGCATTGACGGCGGCACTTCAACATCTGGCCCATCCTATTAGTTGCAAGTACGAATGGCGTGGCAAAGACCGTGAGCAACTGATCTGGCAAAAAGCAACGACAGCCGCTGTGAAAATCGTTCGTGTTGCCGTGCCGTATGTGGAGAGCAAGTATAGTGTGGCTGAAAACTCCAGCATCGTTTCATTTTGGTCTACTGTCATTGATATCACTCGAGGGATAATTTCTGCAGACAACTACAATGACTTTGGCATACCGGCTTCTCGGATCGCAGCCGATGAAGAATTCGACATTGAGGCTTTTGAGTCACTTGTACCGCTCCTCATCCCGTCCTTGGGAGCAAGCAATATCCCTGACAGTATTCGAAGAGACTTTGCGTGCTCTTTATTTCGATCTTCGCTTATCTATCTCCCTCAACCAATGGACAGACCCATGGAAACTCTACTCGAAAACCCACTTCATGACCTGTACAAAATTCGTCGTGGCAGAACATACGATCCATCACCCACGGCAAGATCACGCATGGCATATGTACTCATCGACACGATGTTCACGCTCGCCCAGGCATCGTCACTTTCGTTCCCGGCAAATGACAACGACCAGATGGTAGCTTCAAACACCACATCTCGTATCGCTATTGCACGCTCAATCCTACCTTATCTGATACTTCGATCTTTTCTCCCCCTAAAATCCTACATCGCCGATCAACCCTTGCGCGGATTACAGCCACAACCAGCACCGGCACATCGCGAGTTGGTGCGTATACTCGACCGTCTATTCACTCTACAAAGCGAGCCTGCAGCCATACCTGATGCACCGTGTGGCATCGCTTCGTCGTCTCAATCACCATTCTCCGCCAGTGGTAGTAACCCCAAATCTAGCTTCGTGTCAGCAAAAGCGAATGGTCATGAGTCCCGGTTGGTATATAGTAAACATCTTGGATGGGTATACCCTCTGATCGTGAAATGTGTCCGGATCGCTGGGAAACAGAAACGGTGTGGGAATGATGATGTCGTGGTATTGCATCATTTGACTAGAATTTTGGATGCTGTGTGTGAGAATGACGATGGAGATGAAGTTTGATGAGGTCTAGATGGCGGAACTTTCTCGTTTTGATTTTGTCTTCGAGTATTTTGTTGTATAACCACCCTTGTCTTGATAGATAAGTCCTGGAATCAGGGGTATGTGAATAAACTTTTGAGCTATCTGATATAGGTTGCTGATACCTTTTAGAGATAATTATTCCCTGAGTAGTCAACTCATATTCATTAGATATCTCGACTTCTGTATAGAAGTCTAACAAACATATGAAAAATAATAACTACAATTCTGATTCACGCTCATAAGTATTAATTGACATACCGTATGTATCTCCCTATGTACGTATTACCGACAATCCAAATCAAGCTTAACCTTAACCTTAAGCTTGAGCCTGCGCTTCGGGTGCCGAAGCAGGATTCGAAGACGACGAAGCTTCGGCTTGACTCTGAACCGGAGGCTGATGATATTGAGGATTCTTGCTTGGTCCAACAAGGACTTGTTGCTGTTTCTGGATCTGTTGTTGCTGTATCAATTGCTGCTGCGCGACTTCAGGCGTAGGGGCGATTTCGGGTGCTTGGCGGTAAAGGACGATTTCTGATTGTTTGAAGTATCGGCGGGCATCTGTTGAATTTTCACAGGTTAGTATATGAAGATCGCGTGAGGAGAAGAGTCGGAAGTGGGGCATGTGGAGGTCGAGACTAGTGTATTATGCTGGTAATGATGTCGTTTCAATTGCCGTCGGCTATAGAAAGCTTCATAACAGGGTACCGCATATCAGGTAAGGGTGTATGAGGTACGATACGAGGGTAAGAAACAAAGTTACGGCAAGAGAGGACTAACCTTCATCAATCAAGACCAGGCTGAGATAATATCGGGTTGAGTATTTCTTGTTGACGTCGCGGAAAGTAGGTGACAGGTCGAACCCACCAAGGAATAACCTGATAGGAATCGTCTCGCCTGCAGGAGTTCATTAGTTAACATTGGATGTACTTGATTTCAGCGTCCCAATGACCGTACCTCGTGAAGGAGATCCATCCATAATCTGCCAGACACGTTAGTCACTGCACGACCTGCAAACAACCAACTAGTCGCGAACATACCTCAAATCTCACCAACGTTTCACTCTCGTTGTATTGATTAGGAGCTGCTCCTGTCGTTTCCCGTCGAATGATCGATAACTCCATATGTTTGATCTTCAAACGAACCAACAGAAAATATATCCGCCCAACAATGACATCCTTGAGATGGTATTGTGATTTTGAATACTCAAACTCAATGTGCAAACAGTCCTCAATTCCGACATCCATCTTGATAGGGCTGTTGGTCTCGGGAGGCATGCGATATGAGTAAACCCATAGATCCTTCTCTCGTATGACATCGGCCATGCGCCTGGAAACTGTGACCCGCACAAAGTATCGGAGCTTGACGTTGATTCCGTTGTATGACTCGTATTGCTTTTCGACATTCTTGAAGTTGAAGGGGAATGTTTGGGGGTGTTGTAGTTCGCCTGGCGCGGCGAGTTCTTGTACGAGAGATAGGAATTCGTAATGGTTGCCGCGGTCGAAGAACATTTCTATACATGTCATCAGCATACAAGTAGATATTGACAAATGTATAGTAGAAGAGAAAAGACATACCAATTGATCCAATAAACTGCACTTTGATGCCCGTATGCTCTAACCGCTTCCCATCCTTTGGTCGAACTGTAACCGCACCCTTGACAGACTCTCCATCCATGTAAAGCGGGGCTTTCTCGCGACGGCCTTTGTCCAGTTTCACATCAACAGTTTGTCGTTCATCGCTATCCTCGAGAACGATGTCGATATCGACGGGTGTCGAGAAGAAGAATGGAGCCATTGCGACTCAGGGAGCTCTGCAATAGCTGTGCGGACAGATTATTAACGGATTGTGGCTGGTATGTAATAGAGCATTGAGGAAATTCGAGCGTATTGTATCACTTGATTCGTTCAACTGAGACTGTAGCTATGAGAGTTTCTTCAATGTTGAGGACGGTGCTGATATGGTGGTTAGTTAGATCGGTTGCCTGCCCTCTTTGTGGCTTGGCAAGTTAACGTAAGTGACCGCGGAGGAGCCTTACGTAAGCAGAAGCTCAACGAGGGCATCATCATCACTAGAATAATCAAAGCAGTTCGAATGCTGATAGTTGAGAAGTATAGTATAAGTATAAGTGTAATTCTTGTAATTATATTTTCTCACAATTCCCACTGATTATATCGTGGTAGGGTGCTGTGTACATTTGTTGCGATTTCAATTAAGCATTGAGGAACCTCAGCCAATCAAATCCATCGTTGTCAAAGAACAGGGGAACCGGTTAAACGTTGATCGTCACATGGTTGAATTAGCCGGCAGTTATGTCTTCATGTTTGTTTCAGCATCAAATCTAGAGAGTTATCGATGAAGTCAACGTCAGAAGATTCGAGTTGGTAAATGTAGGGTGTCCGTATCCGCCCCCGTAATGTATGGTAATGACCGTACATTATCATTATGCATATGTATTAATTACGTAGTTTCAGTGTGGATAACGACTAGCGTGGGGGAACACAGATTAGACATCATCGTATTAATCGCTGTATTAAGCCGTATTGAGGCGGATCGCGGGGAGCAATGCCGGTAAATCTGCGATATCTGATTGGCTTTAGGCTCTTAGCTCTGCATGATTGTTACACCCCTTGTAAGTATCGCATATCTCACTCTTTCTGCTGAAGAATATCAAATGGAGAGTAAGCTATCAATGCAATGAGTCATGTGTCAGTCGAAGAGTAAATTTTTGTTATCTTATCGTGATTTGGCGGTCACAAAACAATAATTCACTATGACGTCTTGATATATCGTCATATCCAGACTGGAGTGGATGCTGCATTGCTTACCACACCGTCGGAAGACACTCCACTGTCCTGGAACTCGACCAAGGAAAATCGGTAAATGGTATGGGGGACCGTAATTTAAACGGTGTACCCCCCCGGTACGGAGGTATATATTACCAGATCTGCTCTCCTGCCTTTCTTGAATAAATAATTTTGTTTCTCTTTTTCTCAATTTCTCGACTTCAATCCTACGTTAGCAGCCTCACTTCAGTTGAATATATTTCGAGAACCGCTAAACCGAGTCACTCGTATATGACATATATCCTGCGGTATCAGCCTGTTTCCCAACCAGAATAGACTCGTCTGTAATTATCCGGGACAGAAAGCAGAGCTATTCGCTGCGCAATCCATAATCCGAGCACGTCCAACTCACATTTATTGTTGCACCAGTCAGATCAAGAACCCAGCGAGAACAGGAGGAAGGCGCAATTGACTCATAAACTTGATTGAGCGGGGGAGAGGTTTATGAACTATACACATTGGTTCACATTTCCACGGATCCAATCAACACATTAGTTCCAAGGTTACCAAGAGAAGAATCAAGATGCTTTCTGCAAACGATAAATCTTCGACGACAACGTCGAATGGACTGAATTCCAACCTCTTTGGTGGATATACCAGGCAACAAACACAACAGCAACAATCTACGCGTCCAGAGCCATATTATCGCAGTTACAGCCAGAATATGTCTTCCGGAGAGTCGCTGCAGCATATCTGGATAGTGACAGGACCCGCAGGGTCAGGCAAGACGACCGTTGCAAAGAATCTTCAAGCTGAGATGGGACTACCCTTTTTGGAGGGGGATGATGTACGTTTTTCTTTTTGAGCTTCTCCACGATGCGCGATTGTACAACGTAGCTAATCTGAGTGACACCCGACAGTTCCACCCGCAATCCAATAAAGATAAGATGGCCAACGGCATACCCCTTACAGACGCAGATCGATGGGACTGGCTCATATCCCTCCGCGACGCCGCCGTTGACATCCTCTCGAAACCAGCAGCAGATACCTCCACCACCAACATGAGCGATGGAACCCCTGCTCCGCCAACAGGAGTAATCATGTCCTGCTCCGCCCTCAAACTCAAATATCGCGACGTCATCCGTGTCGCCGAATACTACAACCCATCCCTTCGCATTCACTTCATCTATCTCAAAGCCGACGAGAAGACTCTTATGGACCGTGTAAATAGTCGCTCAAGTCACTACATGAAGAGTAATATGGTGCATTCTCAATTCGAGGCTTTGGAGGATCCCTCCGATGAGAAGGATGTCATTGTCATTAATGTTTCGGTGCCTCCTGATGAGGTTCGAAAGCAGGTGTCGGAGGCCGTTTCGAAGAAACTTGCGGAATATAATTGATAGCCTTTTCTTATTCTATTTGTCGATCTCTTATTTCTATCAGCATGAAACATAGCGGATATAGCGTCCGGAGTTTTTAGCCGCGGATAGGGGTCATTGGCTACCAACTGTGTTGGTATATTTCGGTTTGTGCTTTTGGTTAGATAGTATGATGTTTGAACTTCTGAGTATCAAGGTAGTTGCTTTACTGGCAGTTTCGGTCGAATTATAGCGATTGCAGCGAGATCGTTCCATATCCTCATGATTAACATAATCCTGGACTGAAACATGATATGCAATTAAATCTATGCAAGTTTAAATAAATCATGTATACATTCATCGCAATCGTATCAACATCTTATCCGGTGACTCCACATACTCCTTAACCTTGCTCGCCATCCTCGCCATCGTAGCACCATCAATAACCCTATGATCCGCACTCCAACTAAAATTCACAATTTCCCCCTTGGTCACTTGACCATTCGCATCAAAGACGGGGAGTATCCTCGATCGTCCAACACCTAATATAGCCACTTCCGTCGGCACAATCACTGGTGCCAGGTATGTACCCCCTATATTACCAATGTTGGATACCGTGATGGTTCCTCCCGTGATATCGGCAGGTTTGAGTTTACCTTCCTTACCCAATGCGCTTAATCGGGAGATTTCAGCGGCAATTTCAAAAATTGATTTGGCGCCGACGTTTTTGATATTGGGTACTATGAGGCCCTGGGGTGTATCCATGCCGATGCCGATGTTGTGATTTACGCGCATTATCAGTTTTGGTGCAGAGGGATCTGATATATCGACTTTGGCGTTGAGGATGGGATATTCTTCAAGAGCTAGAGAGACTGCTTTGACGATGAAAGCTAGTGATGTCACTTTTTGAGTGTTGTTTGGGTCGCTGGCGAGCTTGCGTCGAAGGGCGGTCATGGTGTTGATATTGAGTTCGTCAGCGTATAGGAGATGAGGGATGGTTAATGATTTGGTCATGGTCTTGAACATTTGTGATTGAATGTAGGTTAGTGGTTGTGTAGTTTCGACTTGTGGTGAATCGCTTGATGCCAATGCTCTGGTAGCTGTACTGGGGGGTACTACAGATGCTGTTGCGCCTGTCGTTCGGAGTTGATCTCTCTCAGAGATAAATCTCAGGACATCTTCCTTAAGTACTCGCCCATCTTTGCCGGTCCCTGTTATATCGAGGATGTTGAGGTTATGTGTTTTGAGCATCCCGCGCACGGCAGGTGTTGCGAGCGATGCATATCTTGACGGTGAGTTTTCCTTTTGCTCAGATGTGACTTCAATACGAGTCTCCGTAGGTTGAACATTCTCGCTGACTGTAGCTGGCTCCTCTGTATCTGGTTTGGCCGGTTCTTTGTTCGTTGCTTGTGCAGGGATATTGTCGTCTGGATATAGCGCATCATCAACCTCGATGTCACAGAGCGCCTGTAAAGCAGTCAGTACAGGTATTTCAGAATGTATCTTGGGATCAGAGTGAGAGACTCACCCTTCCTGTTGGGACAGTGTCGTCTGTCTGAAAGTGAAGCTTCTTGATGACGCCGGCATATCTCGATGTAATCTTCAAAACAATCAGCTACTTCAACACCCCTAAACTATGCACAGACAAATACACACATCATCAACAGCCTTGTCAGACTGGTATTGGCACAGAGGTTTCCATTCCTCCACATGTGCGCCCTCTTCGACGTACCACTGTATGATCTGGACCTCCGTTATCCCTAGACGATAGTCAATTAGCCATTTATCATACTAGAGCACTCAATCATAGATTCACCCTCTCCAACATCCTTCAAGACTTGTGACCTGACCCCCCAGAAAGCAGTAGAACCATGAAACGCTCGACGATGACGGTCCAAATTCAAAAATGCTGGAGTAATTGGACGCGTGCCGCGAGAGACGCTGCGACATAGGAGTCGACTTGAGTGACCCAAGGACCTCATCATGATCATGTCGCCGAATACAGATTCATATAGTGCCACTGAAAGGAGAGAAAAAGAAAGAAAATCAGTCGCTTATGTTCCTGTTATTATTGTCAATGAGCAGCGGAGTAAAGCGGTTAGACGAGGAGGAAAGGGCGTTATCAGGCGGCCGATGGTAGCCGAGCTCTTATCGCTTGCTTCTCCTCAGTTAACCACCTCAATGCAAAAATTTACGAAAATATATATATATATATTTCTAGGCACTACTGAAGACCACTAGAAGAACGGAATACACCGTGGAGAATTTGATAAGTGTACACTATAACCGCCAGGAGGTCTCCAGCATATTAATCTTGCGCGACAAAGACGACGAGATTAAAGAAGCGAAGCGCGTTCTCTGAAATGCCTCGATGATATTTTAACTGCTGGAAAATTACCTCTGTTTTATCATTGAACATCATCGAATTACTGAAATCGCCATTTGTATGAATTTTCTTGTGATTGTTGGAGATAGACTCCACAGGTTCATTGTCCACCCCGCAGCCTGGGTGCCTGAGGCCACTAACTAGATCTAGTATCTAGGCCGAGAAGAACCCAGTTGACACAAATAGATTTACTCATATAGATCCACGAGACAGCCTTACCGGATCAGATCGCTGCTCGCGCGATGAACTCGCCAAGCACAAGACAGCTGACTTGATTGGCGCTCGTGGAGGCTGTACGATGCATCTCCACCTCTCGATGCCCCCCAATAATCTGAGTTGATCTCTCCATATCCTCCTTTCTTTGCAATTCCCTCTCATTCACACATTATCAATCATTGTATATCAAGTACCATACAGTAAATACCACAGAATGGCCCAGCCATTGACCATTCGCAACCTCACTTCAACTCCACTGGAGTTGAAAACCATTGAGCGCTTCCCCCCGCAAGAGAAGCGCAAGGAAGATGGAATCCAGGCCTTTGGGACAATGGCCAAAAACTTCACGCGCATGGTGACCGACGCCGCGACAAATGTGACTCGTGCATCTAACACTGCTCAACCACTTCCTCCGGATGCGCAACCATTTGCTCACCAGGATGTTAGTATTCGCATTGATCCATTCGGTACCAACAGGACAGACGTCAAAACATTCGAGAATGATGATAAGGAGCGCCTACGTCTGACCTTCGAGGTTGACGGTGAGCAACACCTTATTACCGTTCCTGTCCCGACAGTCGAATCGGCCGAGATGCGGTGCTTGACAGACAACCCCCGTCATCGATTCACAGGCGTCTATGTCACACAGGAGGGTTGTCTTGCTATCTTCTCTTCAGCACAACTCAATGCATGGATGCGCGAACTACGGGATGATACCATGCTTTCCTCCCTGTCGATTCCCGGCACGCATAACTCCCCTACCTGCCATGTTGCGCCTCCCTCAGTGCGTTGTCAGGCAGCCAGTCCAAAGGAGCAGCTAGAGAACGGTGTGCGGTTTTTCGATATCCGGGTGCAACCTCAGTATCCCGAAGATCCTTCCAGAGACGAGTTGATCCTCGTCCATAGCGCCTTTCCTATCTCTCTCACTGGAAACAAGTATTTCAGGGACCTCTTCAATGTTGTGAATGAGTTTCTCGATCGCAACCCTTCCGAGACTCTTATTATCTCTCTGAAGAGAGAGGGCACTGGCAAGGCCACGGATGAGCAACTCAGTCGCATTATCCGCGATCACTACGCAACCCCTGAAAGCCGGTGGTACACTGACCCGAGGATGCCAACCCTAGGTGAAGTCCGAGGCAAAGTCGTCCTTGTGAGACGCTACAATATCGACGAGCCACAGAAGGAGGAACATGAAGGAAGAGGTTTCGGCATCGACGGTAGCGGTTGGGCCGACAACACCCCGAATGCAACCTGTCCGGGCGGAGAACTCTGCATCCAGGATTTCTACGAAGTCCTAGAGACTCAAAACATCGACAAGAAGATCCAATACGTCAATGAGCACATCGCCCGAGCAGGTGCGGCTCGTTACCCGTTTGGTCGTGGCGACCCGAATCAAAAGTATCCGTTCTTCGTCAATTTCTTGAGTGCGAGCAATTTCTGGAAAACTCAGACATGGCCTGAGAAGATCGCTGCTAAGCTCAATCCGGCTACTGTCAAGTATCTCTGCTTGAACCATTGCGATCATCCCGACGGAGACTGGGGAACCGGTACTCTGGTGACTGACTGGGTTGGGTTGGATGGTGATTGGGATCTTGTGAGGTGCATTGTGGGTATGAATGCGAAACTGAAGTTAAGGGAGAACTGATCTGCAATCACGCCCCCATCGGAACAAAGATCGAGGTAGTGAGTTGACGGCTAGGTGAATTAGATAACTAATCAAACTGCACAAATGCAATGCCAAAATTGATATATAAAAGTATGGTACAGATGGAAAGTAGTTAATCATACAAGTTAAGATTCCTCCTTTTTCTCACCGCCATTCTGCTCCTCCTCCAACACGCTCCTCCGGCTTTCCATGGTAAGATACAAACTCTTACCAGCACCTTCCAATGTGGACGTAACACTAGCACCGATGGCTTGCAATGCATGGACGAGTTGAGCACGAAGACCATCAATACCGCTCTCAATACTACCGACCCATTTCGTGCCTTCAATATCGAATACTCGGCCATCTACTCGGGCCGCAACAAGCATCAGCTTCTGTAACCCGTCTTGGACTGTCAATTCATGGTATCCGGGGTTAGCCTTGCGCGGAGGCGCAGAGAACCCCGTCGCCTTGGGTGCGAGAATTGAAAGAGCGGCCTTGAGATGCTCCGGCGATACACTGGGGAGTGTAAGAACGGCAAGCGGACCGGATAAGACGGTTGTCAGTTCATGCTTGCCCTTCATATGTCGTACGGCATTGTGTACGGTACTGGAAAGATCGTGTAGAAGGATATCTTCCTCTGCTGCAATCTTTCCCGTAACGCTCTCCGGCCGGAAATAATCAACAATGCGTAAAGCAACTTCAAAGATACTCGTCTGAATGATTTGTAGTTTCACATGCGGTGCCAATGGAGTCGTACTTCGCCCCTCAGAGGTTTGTTGTTCATCGACTTTCCTCAAAGCCTGTGTCAATTCACGACGAATTGCGGTCCATTCTATAGACTGCAAATTGTTATGTTGAAAAAAGACCATCAAAGGCGCTGTACGGACAAGTGATGTGTATTGTCGAAGGAGTTGCGAGCGGCGTGCTTCGGGTCGTCTGTGAGAAGGAGGTTGAACGGAGGAAGTTCGAGCGATAGGAGCTGGGTTTCTCTTGACTTGTTCCAACGAGGGAGGAGGAACAACAGCAGACGAAGCGGTGGCGGCTGTTTCGGTGCTTGCATATCGAGTGTTGTATATCACCACATTTTGTTGTCCTGTTAGGCGTTTCTGCGTCCGTACCGGCCGGGGAATATGTGTGGACGAGAGTTGCAGACGAGGAGGCATTATGATGATCACCTAATGACACCCTACAACAATTGTAGACCACGGGATTGCAGAGCGATGATAAACAATTGGCCGACAGAATGACGGGCAAAAGTGTTGCAGAATACCCGATCTTAGCTGATCAAGAAAAGCTTCATAAAGTTTGTGCTGATGCGCCGGCGGTGAGTTTCTGCCACTATAAAGAAGGCCGACATCCCACGGCAGCCAATAGGATATCAGAATACAGGCATGTCCATTCTGCCGCTAAGATCCGCCTGAGTCACAGTATGAGCACACCGAATATCTACATACCCCGCGCTCCCATTGTCAGATTACAAGATTGTCAATTAAGAGAATATAAGAGTCTTTCTTTACTTTTTCGAGTCTGGACATTCTCTTCAACTTGACTCATCATGGCTGAAACCGCCAAACCAGAGCCAGTCTCGATTTCACCCCTCCTCCAACGCCTTGCATACCCCGATGTCGCAAAAGTCCAAGTATCAGCGGAAGAAATCGCCGCGGCTTTTGCGCTGATATTCGAGGATAGGCTGTCCATCATACAGACAACTGCTCTGCTGACTCTTCTACATTCCACCGGATTGGATCGTGACTCAAAAGTCATTGCGCTGTGCTCGAATCGTATGAGGGAAGCTGCCAGCACCGTTGACAGGCCTGCATTGAGAGCTGTTGTCAAATCGAGAGGTAGAAGAGAAGGAGAGTATAGAGGAGGATTGGTATGCTGCTCTGCACCAATTGGAGTAGAAAAATATCAGAGACTAATGCTACAATTCATTTAACTAGTGTGACATTGTTGGCACAGGCGGCGACTCCCATTCAACCTTCAACGTCTCTACGACCTCATCGATCATCGCATCTGCTCTGTTGATGATAGCCAAACATGGCAATCGCTCCCAAACCTCCTTTTCCGGCTCAGCAGACGTCCTGAACTGCATCCTCCCCGTACCGCCGAAGATTTCAGCCATTCAAGCAAACGATATTGCCAAAGTGCTCGAAGAGACCAATTACACTTTCCTTTTCGCTCCCAATTTCCACCAAGGCATGAAATATGCGGATCCCGTTCGTCGTGGTCTAGGTATTCGTACTATTTTCAATCTCATGGGACCTCTGGCCAATCCTGTGGACTGGGCGCTAGAAGCTCGAGTCGTTGGTGTTGCCTATCAGAGTCTAGGCCCTGTTTTCATTGAAGCTTTAAGGTTAGGAGGATCGAAGAAAGCTCTCGTTATCTGTGGTGAGGAAGATATGGACGAAATAAGCTGTGCTGGGCCCACGAATTGCTGGAGGCTCTCTGAATACCCTAACCCGACATACAAAGACGATGCAGCCAACAACGACGACGATGACGAGGCCGACGAGGATGATGATGATGAAGACTCCGTGCCTCGGACACTCACCAAGCTCGACATCTTCCAACTCCACCCTAAAGATTTCGGCTTCCCAACCCATCCCATAACGGACGTGTACACCAAGAAACTGCCCAAACAAAATGCAGCAAAGCTTATGAGTATTTTGCGCAATGAGCTGGACCCAGAAGATCCTCTGATGCACTTTATCCTCATGAACACAGCTGCACTATTGGTGACGTCCGGAATATGTGAAGCTGAGACTAGCAATATGGGTCCTGGAGATGACGGTAAAGTCATCACGGAGCGTGGACCAGGCGGTGGTCGCTGGAAGGAAGGTGTTAGGCGAGCGCGATATGCGATCACAAGCGGCCAGGCTCTGAGGAGTTTAGAGCAATTTATAGAAGCCACGAATCGGCTGTGAGTGAGACAGCGGAGTAAATTCCAAGGACTTGGATAAGCCGATAAAATGGTATATATGAACCTTATTTCAGGGAATTTAAGATCCAGGAAATGGACCTATGGGGAATTTTTCATGAAGGCAAAAAGATATTTTGTATTTTTAATATGACTCCTTTCATGACCATCAGGTATAATTCAGAAAAAAAAAATCCAGAGAAACCAAACGCGCCATATGAATGCGTAGTAACAGACGAAAGAACCGGAGTGGTAAATGCGACCATCAAAACCCCGGCGAGAAAATCATAGAACCGTCATTTTATCGCGCCTCGAACTGAACGATTCTATACCATCCAAAGAAGTCAGCAAGATCTCCTCTCGAATCGAAAACTTTATGGAAGAAGAAAAGAAAAGAACGAACCTCTTCGTCCGCTCCTTATACAATATCCGATGTCCACACTCCGTACAACGCAGGGTCGCATTATGAGGCAAGGAGAACTTCGCATCACATTCACCGCAGATATATCGCACTGACTGTACTTGAGGTTGGGCAGCGCCATAGCTACCGGCACCACCGCCGTTGCCAAAGGCGGTTTGATTGTTGTCGAGGGCGGGGACTTGGTAGGCTTCGCGAGACATTTTTTTTTATTCACTTTGGTGATGTCTATTTTTAAGAGTATTTTGAGAGATATCTGAGAAATAGCGCGCGTGCGTGTGTATGTGTGTGCTTATTGATATTTGATTTGGAGATATTCAAAGTTCTTTGAGGGAAGTGAGGATGGATATAAAATTGATTTGATTACGAGAAACTTTGCAGTGCTAAAGTTATCGACTCACCGCCCCCGCCGGCATCTTTATATGTTAACCGTATACGGAAAGCTTCTAGAAGGGCTCCATCGCCGCCTGGAATTTTGGGAAACCACCGATATCGGCAGAAACACAGAAACACTAATACGTATTCAACTTCTGAACAGCATATCGAATCGCTGACTTATATGTAGTCTATGTAATGCAAAATGGGTATTTACATATGCAAATTGCCATCAATTCACCAACCTCCGCCTATCTTGCCTGCAAGTTCAGCAACTCGTGTGGTATCGTTGGCGTTCTTGTCCTTACCCACATCGCTTTCCACTTTGCGGAATGTCGTATATACAAGGTCTTCTAACCTTGCTCCAGTCATATTCGTCCAATGCTGAAGGATATTATGTGTTCTGATCTCCATGTGATGTAGTGAAGTGAGAGTCGCTGCAGATTTGGCTTGGTCTTCAGAGTCTGACTCCGCGGAGAAGTAGGCCTCATCTACTCGCGACAGCCACTCACGCTGCTCATAGGTTGTATTTTTCTGTGTCATTATAGTGGAATCGTCAATAGATGCATTATGCATGTTAGAATTTGCTTCTCGAGCATCTTCGAGACGAATCTGACCGCCTCCGTTGGTGCAGCCACCAGGGCATGCCATCACTTCCACAAATGCATAATCAAGCCCTGAAGAGCCGTTCACACCAGAGCCAGTGGTTCCACGCTTTGCACCAGGCAAACGTGAGGCGCGAGCTGGCTTCATCTTACGGACAAGATTCTGAATGTTGCGGAATCCGTAATAGCGAGCTGCTTTCATGATTGTTTCGTTTGACTCCGACACCAAGGAATATTCAACAACGTCCGAGTTTCGTCCTCGTTGCGCTTCAATTCGACTACCTGGGTGTCTTTCCTGGTGCGAAGACAGTATATAGTAAAGATATCCACCGGAGGTTCCGTAAGCCAAACTTTGCTTCGATGTATGTGTGCCTGAAAATAAGAATGAGTCGATAGTAGAGTCCGGAAAATGAGGTGCATAAGCTAGAGCCAAGGGTTTCAATGGTAAGGATGGTAGTGATATGTTCCGGGATGATGCCAGCATCAGTAATTCGCGCGAGGTAATGACACAATCAACGTCTCGGACAGGAGACTGAGAGGTATTTGAGCTCTTATTCCATGCCGCTTCGGTCAATTCTTCGCGACTAGCCTCTAACTTTTTATCAAAGCAGGGCATGACAGCCAAATGCCAGATTTGAGACGGAGCGATGCCCAAAGCGCGGCTTAAAATAGACTTGACAAAAGTACCCGCTAATGCTTGAGGTGATTTCAAGCGTGAAAGATGCGGTAGAACATGTGGGTGTGTTTTCTCGGCATAGCATATCCATCCAGGGCAAGCAGATGATAATATGGGTCGCTTCGGGCTCGAGTACCTCCCACTTTCCTTGCATGTAGAGGGTGCCGATAGGGATTCGGTGACCTCCTGAGCAGCAAGTGTAAGGACCATTTGCCGCAATACGTCCGTATCAATAACCCAGGTAAACCCATTTCCATGCTTTCCTCCTGAACGTAAGCCTTGCGGTCCACGAAGAAGCTGATCAATCATATATCCCGCCTTGCGCTCGGAAATACCGTACGTCGCAGCCAAACTCGCCCTGACCTGCGGACTAACACTAGCAACAAATATCCGTTCATTGGGTTCTATCTCTCGAGACGCACTGATATCTCCATCTTGGGCGACTATTAATGGCGCTGGTCGATGGGCGTCTAGCGTATTAAGGACTTCGGCGTGAGATTGTAAGGAAATCAGCACGGCTTCGGCAGAGGTAACGCAACCCGAACAGGCGAGGCAATCCGTAAGGGAGATCTGGGTCGGAGCTTGATTCTCGGGTTGGACTTTGTCTTCTGTCGTTACTTCATATGCATTCTGGAATTGTAGTGACTGATTAGAAAAAATTCTTTGACGGGGAGAGTCCTTCACATTCTCACCTCTGCGCTAGCTGTACTTTTCTGAGGTAAAGATTCGACAGGCTTGATACACGCTAATCCAGGAGATATAAAGTCGTTCAAGTCATCAGCAGACAGAATGGCGCTCATTGTCACGGACGCGCGGTGAGTAGACAGCTCCGATTGATCAGCCCACGACTTCTCCTGGCGATACTAGAAGCTGACCCTGATGACTGTTAATGGACAGCGTTATTAAAATTGTCGTCATGAAAAAGGTGAAAATTACAACATCAGAAAATATGTTGCTTAAGCCTCAGGATGACAAAAGAATTCTTGGATTTGTCACTCGCCTCCGATGGGAAGCGGCAGTGGCGACCTACCCCGCCGGAATCGGCGCCAAGATAATATTAATTACAACGCTGGCCATTGGTTGCACGACTTAAAAGTATTCAAAAATCTAATCTGATGATCATTGCGATGCAATAAGAAAATGTCTGATAATGTCTTTTAAGATCCAAAAGACTATGCGATCTGATATGTGCACGGAAATTGGATACAAAATGTCACTTCCAATATGCCTTCCTTAAATCTTCTAACTTGACAGCCCTAGCTGCGTCAACGATGCTGCTCACTGTCGAAGCTATGGAGTGCTAAACCCGAACGACAGATGGCCTCGCACCAGAGTACAATTTTACGCCCGGATTTCGACATATAGCTATTCGAGTTGTTCAAAGACTGTTGCTGGCCGGAAGCATTGAAATGAACCGTGTGCCTAATTCAGAAAACCGTTGATCAATCTTGCGTTGAACAGCCATGCGCTGCTCCATTTGCTGTTGAATCTTCGCGCGCTGTTCATTGAGAAATTGCTCCATCTGATGATCGTAGAGCTGGCGATGGTTAACCTAGTCGGGCAAGAGACTATCGACCGCCCAGAGTGCTCCTTTTTGTGGTGGGCCTCGTCTTCCTGGATGCTCTTCGTTTTGGTGCAGCTACCTCATCCTTGTCGTCATCCTCCTCTTCCTCTTCCTTCACAGCCGTTCGCTTTCGTTTGCTATTCACAGCAACCTTTTCCTTCTTCTCTTCCACCGTATCTTCGTCGTCGATTTCCTTTGCTACCGGGCCCGTCTTGCGTTGAACTGCTGGTACCACAGCACTAGTTCGGCCGCCAACGGTAAGGAAAACGATCTTGTTACCATTTGGAAGCGCGGAAGATTGGTTCTTCTTTCCCTTGCCCCATCGATGCTTGAAAAGCCAATCCTCTGGGAATTGTTCCGAATCAGCGAGTACACGCACAGATGTCGTGCAGACGTAGTCAATAGAGTTGTGAAGTTGTTGTATTTGCTCGTTAGTCAATGTATTGCTATACTGCTCCGGATGTATCTTGGAATGATACAGAATTTCATCACTATCATTGTTAGACCATGCACGAAAGTGTAAATTCTTTGACTTGCTGGAGCTTACCCCATCCAGTTGCCGATGCCACTAATGTTGGCTTGATCAAGCAGTAGTGCCTTAATCGGAACTTTTTTGCCTTTGATTTTGTCCCGCAGCCAATCCAAAGTCAATATATCCTTATCTGTGAGGGGATCCGGTCCATTCTCTCTGAGAGGAGTATATTTTCGAATGTCGTCAGCCGGACAATCGACAAGCCGTATCCTCGCCAATCTGCGAGGGTCTACAAATGCTGCCTCTGTTTTCGGTGTTTCATCCGTTTCAAGCAGAAACTTCCAATACTTCGGCGGCCACTCTTTGTCATCGGCGTTGGTCGTACGGTAGTAGTATGTATCGGCATTTCTGATTTTCAACCAGCCCGTCATACCGAAATGCATCACGACATGGGGAGGCTTTGCCATTGTGATCCAAAAATATTTACCCTGCTGGCCAGCACCTGTGATTTTGTTCCCTTGCATTGCCTTTTGAAACTCAGCAGCGGTTGTGCCTGCTTTTCCATAGACAATATCGTCATTTTGCACTTGCACGTTCGCCAGTGTCCTGCCCACGAGATGTTTCCGGATGAAGTGCACGATACGCGCGACTTCTGCGAGCTCAGGCATAATATTCTGTTGCGAAGGGGGGTATCGCTGGTGGGAGAAGGTGTGGTATTTACAGTACTATGAATATGGACAGTTTAGGCAGGTCATATGGTAAAATGTCAAAAGTTGGGAATAACATCAATATTGGATGCGACGAGGCTGAACCGCGTAAAGGGGTTTCAATGGTCGCGCGTGATCCCGTGACCTCGTGACCTGACTCGGCTAGTGAGCTGGACCGTGCTCATTATTGCTTAGCTTCTCCATGACGTTCTGTACTTTGCCATTTGTACATACTCTTCTGCAGATAGATAGGATCGCTCTGTTCTACAATCTGCTTCCGGATGAATCTGAACTGGTTCTGGGCGCAATCAGTTGTATCGTCACAGGCTGAGGAGCAGTCCTCTGGCAAGATGTCGTCGCTATCCTCGGTCAACTCACCATCGTTAACTCCGCAATTTTGCTTCAACGAACGAGTCTTGCGAGGTACACTGAGAGCCACGAGTTTAGTGCATTCTAGATTTATGCTTACATTCCATTACCAACAGATTTCCTCCGCTTGTCTCGCTCCACTATCGATGATTCAATCACCCAGAATCTAAATGCCTTATTAACACCTGCTCGCGAAGGGTTCAATCCATCATCCACTGACGTGCGGCAGCTCGGCGCGTCAAGTAGACGAAACCCTTCCAAAGAATCATGCGCAACATTCAAAAACAGTGTATTGTTTCCTTCATGGCAGAGCAGATCAGATGTTCTCAATTATTGTGCCATGGTGGCAACGAGCCCTGATCCAGAAGACCCCGGCGTTGTATCGCGACAAGTGGAAACTGCGAGAGAACAGGAACGAGTCGTTGACGAACGTTTAGACCCTTACTCTGGTCGATACTTTCCTCGCGAAGCTCGCACCGAGTCGCTGGCCAATCTTGTCCGAAACGAAAGGAGTGTGGAACAAATCATACGAGCACGAACTTGGGGTATAGTCTCTGAGCGATGTGATTATAGTGGATCTTGGGAAGATGCTTTGAATCAATGGCATGAACATCAGAAGTGATCTTCTGATGCAAATAAGAGCAGATATCGGGTCATCACTTCGGCGTCCCCCGAAAGCATGGTGCTCGATAAGTATATATAGTTCATCTGTACGACTACGGTGCATTGCATGGCGTTTTATATGGGAAACAGCATTGGGTGCGATATAGTAATTGATAGTCTCCTTTCGTCATATATACCTCTTCATTGTTGAGACCAGAAGATGTTACTGTATGAAATGACAATTACTGGGAGGAGGTGGTTCAGACATTCTCCCAAGGTAAGTATGTAGCTGTTCACTTGAAAATGCAGTATCTATGAGTATCCCCACTCCCACATAAAAAGATCGTCTGGTGAATAGACAGTCTTAATTATCAAGTGTGAAGCACATGCTTAGCGACAGTCATAGTATGACAGTAATGGAGCTGTTGCTCCGCTGTGCCGCTAGCGTCTTTTTCAGCAGACGTTGCTGGTCCCCGCACCCAACCTACTCAATCACCCACCTCACCAGGCTGATCTGACGAACGACCTGTGTGTGAAATCCAAAAAAGAGGTTGCTCATCATGCCTCAGCAATTGAGCTCTAAGGACTCGTCGCTGTTCCGACAAGTGGTCCGCCACTATGAAAACAAGCAGTACAAGAAGGGTTTGTGTTATGAACACTTTGCGGTAAACTTGCAAAGAGTTGTATGAGCATTATTCGAGGCTAACTTTCTTTTGCAACAAATATTAGGTATCAAAACGGCCGATCAAATTCTACGCAAGAATCCCAACCATGGCGATACACAAGCGATGAAGGCTCTCATCATGAGCAACTTGGGACAACTGGAGGAAGCGTTCGCTTTGGCCAAGACGGCGCTTAAGAACGATATGAAGTCTCATGTGTGCTGGCACGTTTTTGGTCTTCTCTACAGAGCCGAGAAAAACTACGAGGAAGCTATCAAAGCCTACAGATTCGCTTTGAGACTCGAACCGGACTCGCAGCCTATCCAACGTGACCTCGCTCTCCTTCAGATGCAGATGAGAGATTATCAGGGTTATATACAAAGTCGCAACACAATGCTCCAAGCTCGACCAAATTTTAGACAGAATTGGACAGCCTTAGCGATCGCTCATCATCTCGCTGGGAATCTGACCGAGGCCGAGAACGTACTCAATACCTACGAAGAGACTCTGAAGACGCCTCCACCCAGGACAGATATGGAACATTCTGAGGCTGTCTTGTACAAAAATACAATAATCGCAGAGTCTGGTGATCTGGAAAGAGCACTAGAGCATCTTGAGACCGCTGGAAAGCGCTGCTCAGATGTCTTGGCCGTCATGGAAATGAAAGCGGATTACCTTCTTCGCCTCGACCGAAAGACGGAAGCTGAGGCGGCTTATGCTGCTCTTCTTGATAGGAACCCCGAAAACTCTCACTACTATGACGGTCTTATTAAGGCAAAGGGGCTTGTGGATACAGATCACAAAGCTCTCAAGGCCGTGTATGATGGGTTCGTGGAGAAGTTCCCTCGCGGTGATGCTCCTCGGCGCATTCCCCTAGACTTCCTCGAGGGCGATGAATTCAGAGAAGCTGTTGATAGCTATCTCCAGCGCATGTTGCGCAAAGGAGTCCCGTCTCTGTTCGCCAACATAAAGGTCCTCTACGATCGTCCAGCCAAGCGGGACACTGTCCAAGAACTTGTCGAAGGATATGCGTCGGGAAAGATACAATCACAAACGAACGGCTCATCTGAGTCCCAAAAGCCTGAAGACAAGACCACGTTTGAGGCTTCGACTTTCTATTTCCTTGCTCAGCACTACAACTACTATCTCAGTCGAGATCTCCAAAAGGCTCTGGATTATGTCGAAAAGGCAATAGCTCTTGTTCCAAAGTCTGTTGACTATTACATGACGAAAGCAAGGATATACAAACATTATGGAGATCTTCCCAAAGCGGCCGAAATCATGGAGGAAGCGAGGAAGCTCGATGAGAAAGATCGCTATATCAACTCTAAAGCAGCCAAGTACCGACTCCGCAATGATGAGAACGACAAGGGACTTGAAGATATGAGCAAGTTCACTAGGAACGAGACTGTTGGTGGCACTCTAGGTGACCTCCATGAAATGCAGTGTGTATGGTACTTGACAGAAGATGGGGAGTCATACTTGCGACAGAAGAAACTTGGACTTGCATTGAAGCGATTCCATGCAGTTTACAACATTTTCGACACATGGCAAGAGGACCAGTTTGACTTCCACAGCTTCTCACTACGCAAAGGCATGATTCGAGCATATGTCGATATGGTTCGATGGGAAGACCACTTGCGAGATCATCCATTCTACACTCGAATGGCATTGTCTGCGATCAAGACTTATGTTTTGCTGCATGATCAACCCGATCTTGCTCATGGCCCGATGTTTGCGAACCTGAATGGTGCGGATGAAGAAGAGAGAAAGAAGGCAATCAAGAAGGCTAAAAAGGAGCAACAGCGGCTAGAAAAGGCTGAAGCTGAAAAGCAGGAGCTGAAAAAGGCCAGTGCTGCCAACGCCAAAGGTGCTGATGGCGAAGTTAAGAAGGAGGACACTGATCCTTTGGGCAACAAGTTGGTTTCAACAACAGATCCTCTTAAGGATGCCCTGAAGTTCCTCGTACCTTTACTAGAATTCAGTCCTGGCGATATTCGCGCTCAGAACGCCGGATTCGAAGTCTACGTCCGAAGACGTGAGTATCTTTCTCCTTATCTGAAACCAAACCTAGAAGATACAAACGAATATTGACTAATATCCAGAAAAAAACGCCCTTGCCTTGAAATGCCTACTTGCTGCATATGCTATCGATTCATCGGACCCGACATTGCATGTCCAACTCGTACGCTTCCGACTCGCACTCAACAATTTGTCAGAGCCACTACCCGAGAAAATATCCGACGTTATTTTGAAAGAATTCGAGACTATCCTCCCCAAATCCACAAACCTCAGTGAATGGAACAACTCTTATTTGATATCACACAAGGAGAGTGTAGACCATGTGCGCGCCGCGCTCTCAGCTCGTTTACTCATCTCCCCTAATGAAAAGGCGGCATGTGAGAAAGAACTTGTCTCAACGCTGGACCTTGCCAGCACGACTTTAGAAAAGGCAATCTCTGGATTAGAAACGTTGGACGAGTGGAAAGCGGACCCTGCTACCAAAGAAGCATACAATGAAAAAGCCCACAATAAGTGGAAGGAGGCCTCTGCATTTACCTCACAGTAAAGCAGAAGTGAACCCTTGCTTTTACCTTTGTTCTTTAATTCATCTTTGCTTGCATGCATTTGAGGGTTGTACTTTTTCCAGCGTGTGATGGGTGAGGAGAGTCATGGTTGAAGTTTGAGATGCTCAGTGGGAAAATTAACCTTGATGAAAGTTATGATGGAGGTTTGATTCTAGCATTTGCATAGTCATATGATTATGATACCATATCATTGTCCAGTATGCAATGCTCATGTATCATAGAGCCACAAAAAGGGAATAGATGGGAGAGATGAAAACAACACTTTTACAGTGTATCCAGTTCGACTTTCTTTAAAATCTAGGCCTTGCAATCTGTCCCGATGACTCTGGTTAGAATGGGAATCTGGTTCATACAGCATGCGAGACTAGATACCATGGGCTGGATTAGAATGGCGTTGTATAAAAAAGTAGTTATGCTAATTTACAAAATGCAAGATGCAATTATAGGACAACCAAATATTGTTACATAAATCGCAGAAGGGGCTAGGGCGCTAAAGGAGATGGACGATTAGGATATCCGTCTACTCTCCATTCTCGTTATCCAAGTTCCCATAAATGGGCTTCCTCTTAGCCACCTCCGGATCTTCGCCGTACCCATAATCGATCCAAAGTCGTTGCCATAACGGCAATTTCTTGGGTCTTTCGCCCTCTCCCAAAACCCACTCTGAGCCTTCATCAATGCGTTTGGCACGTGCCTCTTCCTCAGGAGCGAGTATGTATCGACTCATACGAGAAGCGATGCGTGGATCAATGACCACATCGTCAATCCATTCGCGCTCTTCTTTTAGAAGGTTGGATTTTGCTGCAGTTTGAGTATCGTTGCTGGCACTAGCTGAGTTCTCTTCTTCGATTTGTGATTTTCGAGCTTCGGCTGCTTTTCGCACGGATTTGTGCCATTCCTTCTCTTCGTGCTCGAGAATGGTTTGCTGCTCATAGGTCTGTTGTGACTGGTTTACTTGAGGCTCAGAGGTAAAAGACTCATTTGACAGATTCGATCCAGAGTTTTCTGTGTAAGTGCCTTCGTGATATGGCCTGGTTGTGGAGGCCAAGACAGCTGCAGCGATCTCATGGCCAACAGCGTCCGCAAGATAACGTTTCGTCAAATAGCGATATATTCTGATAGGAGTGTTCAAGATTCCTAGAAGATGAGGGAAAGGAACAGGTAAAGAAGCTTCGAAAGATGCGGGGATAGTAACGGGAAGGTTTCGAGATGAGTAGTCTGCAGTTGAAATGTATGCGGACGTGGGACCCTTTGGTTTCTCTTTTTCAGGTTCAGTAGAAGGTTTCTGTTCAGGTGTTGAGGCTGAAGCACTGTCGGTATTTTCGGAATTTGCAGTGGAGAGTGTGTTAGCAGATACATTAGATGCGGTATCTGCGTCCGGGGCTTCAGTAGGTAACTCCGGAGGAGGCGGAGGAGGGTCGAGAGGACCCAGCCAGCCCTCATGAAGACCTCGAATGTATTCCTTCCATGTATGGCGTCCAATCACAACATCGCCTAAAGGTCCAGGTTCCTCTGTAATTCCCATTCGTCGTCGAGTTTCAGCGATTATCAATTCTTTGCTCGGCTCCTTAACCACCGAACTCTTTTCTCCAGCCTGTCGTCTGTAGTCGCGAATCTTCTCAGCCAAACCCGCTCGAACTTCGCCCTCTTTCCTTCCCTCAATGACCTCGTAATCTAAAGCCGCAGAAACAAGAATGGGCTTCACATATTCAATGAAATATTCGCGAGCAGAACGAAGACCATCTCCGGGAGGTGCAGAAAGGAAAACTGTAAGTTTCCGTCTATTCTGTTCTATAGGCAGTGTCTCTTTGGAAATGTGAGCGACAAGGTCGGCCCATTTCTGTTGTATGCGCTTTTTCTGTCGGCGGTCGTAGGTTATGGCGGTTGCGAAACCTCCGGTGATAGACAAAAAAATCATCCAATTTCGCGAGGGTAGTCTAAAACGGAAATTTGGAATTCCTATAATGCAAGTCAGTCTCTGGCCTCATTAAGATGGCACAATACAAACATACCCATCATCTTAAAAACTGGATTCTGCGGTTTGGGTGGAGATGGAGGCTTCGTCGTCGATGCACTTGCCGTGCTCGGCGTTGTGCTGGATGTACTGGCATTTTCAGACATGGCTGCTGATACCTACAGCTATATCCAAATTGATCGCGATTATGAGCAATGGCCTGAAGCAGACCGATGGACGTAGCTAGATCTAATAGGAACCCAAAAAAAGTTCACGGGCCGACTGGTCGTTTTTCGGAGCATTATATAAGCGAGTGCTGATTGGATGACTACAATTAATTAACTAGTTAACTACTCTGTAGTTAATGCCGAACTATATCAAAACAAAATGTCAACTCATCTTTCAACTACATGTATATCGTGGGAACATTCTGGCCATACTAAAATGAATCGAGAGTCTGATATCCATTTATCGCACTTCATAGATTTTCCTCGGTCAGCTGGATACTATTTGCAGCTAAATGAGGCGCGATTGGAATCAAGATTGAAGGTTTTTAGGCAATCACATTGTTTCAATGTTCTTCTATACTTCAACATATAGCATCGGCTCAAGAGGATTCTGAGAGACCAACCTCCTTTCTTGCCCAGGCTATTGCCTCCTGCACATCTGGTATCCGTGCAGCCGGAGAATGCAGCAAAATTTGTGAAAGATCGTCCGCGATTTCCTTGCCCTGGGACCGAAGCCACCATGTCAGGACGGATTCTTTTCTGCTCATCCTATCTAACAGAACAGCAAAATATAATATGATCAGTAAAGCCATAGGCTCTGATTCCCTGACAGCGATGAAGAATTTCGGATCGTTTACACTGGCAATTGTCCAGCAATAGTTCTTGATCAGATCTCGTTTTTCCTCGGCAAAGCTATACTTGATATGGGCGATCGCAACTTGATATATTTGGCTATCCCCAGCAAGGCATGCCACAGACGGATCACCTATATTCCACACTCCAATCTGATCGCTGGCTGTAGTAAGTTTGTCCAGAGCGGCCCTCATGTTGGTATCCAGATCGTCCAGGATTATCATGTCAATGCTCGACATTATCTCATATTGACATTCTGGGCGGGAAGCTCCGCTCATTAGGAGCGTGTTTGCACTGGACATCATACTCAGGGTTGAACTGAGTCGGTCTAATGCTCGCGGTTGAGGTGAAACAACAAAGTTGAAAGCTGCCATAAGCAACGCGAACGGATATAGGTCATTGATATTTCCTTCATTAATGCTCTCGAGCTGATCGCGCATTACAGCTGTAGCCTTTGCATAGTATTCGAGGGCCAGCCTCATGTAGGCTTTTTGTCCCGAGTGAGCAAAATCTGCAGCTGCCAGCGCAAGTATTCCATTCATGAGACAGCTGTTCTTCAATGCGGCTTGCGGTAGATACACCTCGAGATATGCTTTGTCCCTCGGAACACTATAAAAGCCCCATGCTGTTCTTGTTAGCCATCGATGCATCAGCTCGCGCTCCAGTATATTGTCTGGAGGGGAGCTCGGTGACTGAATGAGATGCGGTGTTGACTTTTCATTGGATGTATATTCAATCACGGTCTTTTGAGCAGAGGCGCGTTGTCTCTTCCTCTTAACAGCATTGCTGCCTACAGACAAGAACTTGTATCTCTGCACTCCATAACCTGTACAAAGTATCTGTAGACGCGTACACCTTGGACATTTGGCAGGTGGTTCCGGTGGATCACACTGCACTGAAAATGAGCCATGCTGTGTCCACGGGTGTTGTCTGTTCTGTATGGTGAGAACCTACTCTTTTCTTCTGTTTTCTGCAGGCATCGCAGCCTCTGCTTGTGGGTACGCCTGGCATTGAGGCTATGTAAATCGCAGAATTTGGCTAGTAAAAGCCCAAGTTAAAGCTCTGTCTTCTCAGTAGATCTTCCAGAGGAGCGACCATGCGTGATGTTAGCTTCAAATAGGCTTAGTGTCATAAGTCACGTGATATATTGATAGGCGGTCAGAACTATACAGCCAATCAACGGACGCGGAAGATCAGTTTTTCCCCGCCCTTTAGCCGAACCTAACAGACCCTTGGCGTAACCAAAGAGGATTAGCGCACTTCCCGGTCTGTACCTGCCATCGATTCCAGGCTCTTTGCACAGGGTCATACAAATCAATTGCTGGATATATTGTATATCTGTCCAGGTAGATTGGAGAGATCGCACTCGAATTGCCAACTAGAAAGAGCTTGTCTACGTGTCCCCAAGCCAGAGCACACGTTCTAAAGTTTGAGAACAAAAACTCCACCGTTCGGCGTCCCACACGACGGTAACTGGCCCGCCAGTCAACTCCCCTTTCCCGTCCTGGCCTTTGGCGCCTCGCCCACTCGAACTATGCTCTCCTGTTGGCCTGTTGCCCTGTGATCGGTGTGCTGTGCTCGTCTGTCTGTTCTTTAACCCTGGATCAATCATTCTGACTGCTGCTTTCCATCCTGTCTGTCTCAACGGATCACAAATATTGAACGACATCTCGCCTCTGTGTGACCTGGCTCGCTTCGGCTGGCCATCAGACACATGCTTTCTGTTTCACTTTTTTGGCTGTTCTGAAACCAACCGTCAACCCTTGATTTCTTCTCGACCCCTCGTCCCTCCGCCCCCTTTCTTTGACCGCAGTCGAGAAGGTCAAAACATTCATCCTATTGCTTTCAAGTCAAGGCAAAACGACCGCCCAGAATGGATCCGAATAACAATCGCCTGCACTTGAACTTTGGCTTCAACAATAACAACAACAACAACGACAGAAACTACAATGCGGCGAACAACCGTGTCTACCCCACAACACCCTCCGCATTCCCGCAACCAATATACCAGGGCCAGGATTTCATGGATCCTCACGGTGCGCAGAACACTGGCTATGGCCAGGGATATTTTGTGAATGGGCCTTACTCGCAGCAAGCTCATTATCCTATGCAACAGCAGCAGTATGCCCAACATAACCTCCCATCTCCTCAGGCCGCCTACGGAGCTCGTGTGCCCTACAACAACGATGGCACGAACGGCCTGATCCAACAGTTTTCCAATCAAGACTTGAGTGCATCCCCCCGGTCAGGATTGTCTCCACGAGCTGCCTCTCCCGCTCAGCGACCTCGGACTGCTGGCTCGACCGGGCCGCAACACGGAGGGCACCTGGCTCCTTCAATGGCTAATCGCAACTCGAAGCCGGCAGGGGAAGAAGAGGAGCTTCAAAGATACCCCGAGCGGTACTCGGAAAACGTCCATAAGCGTGGTAAAGCTGCTAAAGAATTGATCAATGTTTTCTTCCAAGAGAACATTGAGCGTGCCCGTGAGCGAAACATGCGGTAAGACCATCTGTACCGTGAAGCAACAATACAAGATGAGACTAACTTTAATCTACCCAATGACAGATCCGTCAACCTGGACAAGTTGGTGCAGAGCAATAGCATGCCGGAAGCGAAGAGACGAGCAGAGGCAGAGGCTCTGGCGAAGAAAGAGTCGAATTTCCTGCGTTTCCTTCGAACCAGGGAAAGCCCATCAAACTTCCAGACCATCAAAATCATCGGAAAGGGTGCATTTGGTGAAGTCAAACTCGTGCAGCGGAAGAGCGACGGCAAGATTTATGCTCTCAAGTCATTGATCAAGACAGAGATGTTCAAGAAAGACCAATTGGCCCACGTTCGTGCAGAACGTGACATTCTTGCAGACTCCAAGGACAATCCTTGGCTAGTGAAGCTTCATGCTTCGTTCCAAGACAGTGCCTACCTCTATTTGCTGATGGAGTTTTTGCCTGGTGGTGACCTTATGACAATGCTCATCAAATATGAGATTTTCTCAGAGGACATTACACGTTTTTATATGGCTGAAATTGTTATGGCCATTGAGGCCGTGCACAAATTGGGCTTCCTTCATCGGTGAGTCATTCGATTCAATGTAGTATGTCGCTGAAATTTCCCTAACATTCTGTCTAGTGATATAAAACCGGACAACATCTTGCTGGATCGAGGCGGTCATATCAAACTCACAGATTTTGGATTGTCCACGGGAGGCAAAAAGACACATGATAATGCATACTATCAAAACTTGCTGAAAAATTCGACATCCAAAGACAAGAACAGGAACTCAGGTTTCTTCTCGGACGCCATCAACCTTACGGTGTCTAACCGTGGGCAGATCAACACTTGGAGGAAGTCTCGTCGTGCCATGGCCTATTCAACCGTCGGAACTCCAGACTATATTGCCCCGGAGATCTTTAATGGTCAAGGTTACACCTACTTGTGCGATTGGTGGTCTGTTGGAGCAATCATGTTTGAATGTTTGGTTGGTTGGCCCCCTTTCTGTGCTGAGGATACCACAGATACATATCGTAAGATTGTGAACTGGAGAGAATGTCTATATTTCCCAGACGAGCTTGTTTTGTCACGAGAATCGGAGGGTTTGATCCGAAGGTAAGTTACTTTTGTCGTCCGAATATAATAAGATGATTGCTGACGTTAGCTTGTTCTAGTTTCCTATGCGATGCCGAGCATCGTATTGGTAACGAAGGTGGCCAACACGGTGGTGCTACGCAAATCAAGAACCATCCCTTCTTCCGTGGCGTGGTCTGGGACCAACTACGCAACATTCGTGCACCCTTCGAGCCTAGACTCAGCTCCAACGTTGATGTTTCCTACTTCCCCATTGATGAGATTCCTCAGGAAGACACGAGCGCGGCGCATAGGGCACAGGTCCGCGCAATGCCAGAAGAACAGGAGGCCGAAATGAGTCTTCCGTTCATTGGCTATACCTATAAAGCATTCAATGCCTTCCAGGGCAATTGAAAATTCGACACATCTATAACATAGAGTTTTCTTGTTACAAATGGCATATTTTATACGTGCATTGATGATCCTTGGTCGAGACTGCATATGAAAAATATAATGGCTTGAATAATGTACTTCGGCCATTTGTTAGATCTACTTACGATACAATCTCCTCGAAGTTCGCGTGAGCTATAAACTCGCTTTCGAAGACAATCTCAATCTCTATTGGGTACTTGGTTAGAAACTATTTGTTCATACCAGTTCTCTGCATTTTTGGATTTCGTCTGTATTGCCATCATCGCTACCCAGGCAAAGCGTCGAATTATAGTATTTAAAAAGTCTACTACGTATGAGTAGGACCTAGCTCAAAAAATCAAATGAGACCAGTAAAATGACCACATCTAACCATAGAATTTTATATCATGACAAAACCACCCTGAACGCCGTTCAGTATGAGAAAGAGAAACGAACTTTTCCCAACACAAATAACACTAAGGCCGAGGCGCCAAACCAGGAACTCCGCTATATCTCTCTTCACGCTCAGTCTTAAACATAATCTGTATCCAAAACTCCTTGCTATCCTCATCAAACCAAGTCCAATATCTCCCTTCCCTTCGATCAATATCTCGAGCCTGAAGCTTAAAGCCACAAGTCTGATATGGCTCGGCAGCAACTAGAAGATACTGAAAATTCTTGTCTGGCGGATCATCGACCTTTTGCTCAAAGGCCGACATGAATCGAACACGCGGCACAACACCGGGGGTGATCTCTTGGTACTGTAATTGGAAAAGAAGACCCAACTGCCTCGTTAGGGGGTCGCGTGTCTTGGTAATTTTATAACCTGGTCGACCAATCTTGACGACATTTTTCTTAACTTGCACTCCCATTGCACCCGGTAAAACCCCATCTTGAGCTTTGCCTTCTTTCTGTTCACGAGCCGCTCGTCGGGCGAGGTTGGTCTGATGCTTGCGACCTTGGGTATGAGCGAGATAGGAGCCGTCATTTTGGTGAACGGTTAAACATAATCGACACTCAAAGCTGCCGAGATGATTCTTGAAGAAGTAAGGGTCTTTGGCGAGATCGATTGTTTCGAGCGCAAGCTTTCGAAGACGTTCTCGACGGTCCGCGTTTGTTGCAGATTGCGATGCGACACCACCGCCACCGAATTTGGAACCAGCGCGATTCTGTATTCGTGTTAGTAAAGACCTTTGCTTTGTAAGTATTACAGGGACGTATAGCAAATTACTTACCTGATAATCCATGATGGCTTTGTGAGTGAGTTATATCCTTGGGTAAATCTGAAGACTGAATTGACCTTCAAGAATCCGTCCATAAATCGGATGGCGGTGGAAAGCGGCAGAATAGTTGGGAACTTCGACCTGGTATCCACTTGATATGCCATCTCTGATTGGATAAGCTCCCCGGTCTCAATGTGTGGGTCTATCAACAAACTGATTTCACCGCTGTTGTACTCTTCACGGCTCTCATATTGCATAGTCGCAGGGATGAGCCAGAATACCAGCGTAGGTCATCGTCTATCCTTTGATGGTGCACTATGCACTGTGCGGTACATCGGCGAGGTCGAAGGCACCAAAGGTGACTGGCTTGGCGTGGAATGGGATGATCCATTGCGAGGCAAGCATTCGGGCGAGCATAATGGGAAGAGATATTTCACATGTAGTTATTGACCTCTTTTTGTTGAATTTTTCAAATGTATGGTTTCTTATTGATGGAGTTAATAGGCCTCAGTAATCAGCCCACGGCTGGTTCATTTGTGCGGCCTACTCGGCCCATAGACAAACCCCGAGCCTTCCTCGAGGCACTTCACGAGAAATATGCATCGGAATTCGAAGAGGAGATTGCAAAGAGGCAAACCTCGAATAATAACGAGAATTTCCAGATGAATGATACTATACAGTTCAATGGTAAAGTCGTGGAAGAAGTTGGCTTTGAAAAGATCAGGAAACAACTCGCCGAACTAAAGGAGCTCAAGGTTGTTCTTCTAGATGGTCTGCGAATTGCAGGTGTCTTGGCATATGGTGGCCAGAATGAGCCCGGATATGACGAAGAATTGCAGAGGACTTCCCAGACGTGTCCCAAGATCACCGAACTGGATCTTACTCGAAATTTGATTTATCGTTGGCGGGATGTTAATGATATCTGCAGGCAGCTGAAGAAGTTGAGGAGTCTGAAATTAAAGTACGTATTTATTATCCCTGCTGTTGAATACATGCCTGACCCTTGAAGTGCAAATCGATTCGAAAAAGTTCAACCTGGCCTAGTGTTCAATGGCATTACGGAGCTACACCTAGATGAGACTCTCATGCCTTGGGATGAGGTACGTTTATGGCTTTTAGACGATGTTTACGAGTCTCCGTACTTATATCTCAGATAGATATCTTCGATAGCGGCTCAATTTCCGAACCTAGAATCTTTATTGGCCTCATCCAACAGCTTGACTTCAATAACAACAACTCTACCTGTCACTTTGAAGAGCCTGGTCCTCGAGAATAATGACTTAACGTCTCTTTCATCACTCAAAGCTCTTTCTGAGCTTCCAAATCTCTCACGATTGATACTTCGTGGGAATAATTTAGACACGGTCTTTGCTTCACAATCAGGGAACGACAACGACAAATCGACCTTCCAATTTTCACGCACCCTGAAATTCTTAGATGTCTCTCACAACAAGATTGATTCATGGCTATTTATAAATGATCTTTCTACAGCATTTCCTGGATTAGACTCCTTACGAATATCCGGAAACCCACTTCATGACAGATCTATCGCCTCTACCAGCGTTACCGGATTACCCGAGAAGCCTATGACAGCGGACGAGGCTTTTATGCTGACTTTGGCTCGACTTGAGAATTTGACATCTCTCAACTACAGCAAGATCACGCAGCAGGACCGGACTAATGGAGAGCTATATTACCTTTCTTTGATTGGTAAGGAATTATCAGCCTCTTCGGTGTCGGATGAGGCAAGGATCCTTGCTACACATCCAAGGTATTCGGCGTTATGCGAGATATATGGAGAACCTGACATTACGCGCTCGGAAGGATTACAGGGGCCTAATATAAAGCCAGGATCAGTCGCTGCCCGATTAGTGACATTCGAATTCTATCAAGTACCCTCACCAGGAACGTCAGAATCTGCCATCGATACAACAGACTCAGCAAGCAAATCATGCCTAATACCCAAGACATTCGATATATATAGAATAAAGGGCATTGTATCTCGTTTATTTGCTCTCACACCTTTACGATTTCGCTTGGTGTGGGAAACTGAGGAATGGGACCCAGTGGAGGAGTTCAACATACTTGGCGGAGAAGAATGGGGTAGCGATGAAGAAAATGATAACGTGGCTGAACCGCGAAAGCGAGATATACAAAACAGTGATCCTACAGTCGTCAAAGTCGATGGGAGCAAGTTTATTCGACGTGAAGTTGAGCTTGTTGATTCGACGAGACAAGTCGGGTTTTGGTTTGACGATAACACCGATCGCGTACGGGTTCGTATAGAGCAGTTATAATGAAGTCATGGATATGAGCACCTGGGAATGAATACATTCGAGGGCGTACTGTAACGTGTAGTAGCCACAATCGGTTGCCGCTTTTTACGGTATGTTGTCCTTTGCCGAGCACTCCTTGAGTATTATATCTTACCATATTGGACTGTATAGTATGTGCGCAGCTTTTCTACTGATTTTTTAGTCACCGCATTCTGCCATACTAGATCAAACGGTATGGTGGTATAGGTATAGACAAAGGTGGCTAGATGGGTACAGAGGTGTACAGTGAGACTGTGCCTCAGCGTTTACCTCCATTACTTAGATCTCCTATGGAGGTGGTCAGCCGTTTTGGCCTCATACTGTTAAGTATATTTATTTCTCTACTGTCTATTATTCTCAAAATATCCTCTTGAGGACTGTGGCCTGGAAAATCTTAGCCCGGCACCACCCGACCTTGTGCTAGAACCATGAACGCTTGTTTCAACTGTTTTCTCTTCTTGCCAGCCCATGAAGCTTTTTAAAAGTATCAACTGTCTTTCTTTTTGCAACGGCAATAGTATCTTCAAATTGAGGGCTTCGTGAGGTGCTGGCTGGTAGTTAAGCATGTCAATCCCCTTTGCTAATGGCATTTACCGGCGAGACTTGCCTTCTCTTTTGTCTCCATTTCCCTTCAACTCGTTGGAGCTGTTTGAGCTTGCCATAATCTTCAGAGAATAGGAAGAAAGCCGGTAGAGTAGAATTGAGTGTCAAATCCTCCTTGCGGTGCGCTTGCATGCCCAGGTGGTTATTGAAGACACTCAGAACGGTGCCCATTCAATACCGACAATCTAACTTTAACTGTATAATCACGGTGACATAGAAATTACGCGAAAAAAATTTTTGGAAAAAAAAAAGAGCGTGACTTCTGTCCCTGCACTCTATCTGTGTCACTCGGGATATAAAATGAGTATCATGATACATATATTTGCAGCTATTTAGAGCTGTCAATTGATGCCAGAGACAATGTTCCAAGTTGCTGTTCATGTTATCTATGTATTCATAGGTAGGTCCATTTTCTGTTATACTACTTGAACAGCTTTTCCTGTCAACTGGTAAGTTGGTTGTGTTAAGTAGATTCTGGGGCCCAATATGACTGCATTCAGTGTCAACCTCTGGTGACTATCGTTTCATGGCTGTGCCATTTCACACTTTCCGTGCCCAACATCTCCTATCTGCCAGCTCTAATTTGTGTTTCACCAACCTCTCCGTCTTTGCACTTGTGAACCTAGGACCACCAACCATTCTGAGCGGACTAATGGACGATTTGCTGACTATACTTCCACAGAAGCTCTATCCAGCACAGTTTGTATGACCATTCAATGGCCCTCTCAGGTTCTTATATATTAAAAGTAATCCAAGAGAAAGATGGCTAATTTCACCGACGTTGTAGTTCACTACTCGCGTTGATAAACTGAATTACAAAGATATGAAATACGTCATTAAAGTCTTAAAGAGCGACTCAGCATACTAGCGCACGTTGTTCTAGTGATAGGAACGCTTGTATTCATCCTGACACCGACTGGATTACTATATCACTGTGTTAGGCATTAGTCAAAATGGCAAATTTTCTCGGCCATTACAGGGTAAACTATCAAATTCATAATCTTCTTTTAGCTGTCAACTGTCCCTCGGCCTCATGAGAGTCTTGGTGCCGCCTTTGCGTGAGTATCCGTTCTTTGCCACAGTAGAAATCGATCCATGAAGTAACAAAGACTATTAGATACTGTGGGCTTCTGCTGGTTTTTTTTGGGGTTGAAATCATGACCAGAGGATCTGTGCCGGAACCCATGTGGAATGCTATGGCAAAAGAGAGAAGTCCAGCCTATCAGTCCGGTCAAGAGCTTCTTTGAAGCCAGCAGAGAACTGAGTTGGCTGTAGCATATATCGACCAGTTCGGGTAGGCAAAGTTCGAGGAAGAACAAGTTATGTCCTTGCCCGGCTTTGAGAAGAAAACAGGATTTCGTTCAACATTCATAGTTATAGATTCGTTGAAGATAGCAATCATGTCAGCTATTATATAGACTTTCCGGCCCAGTCTCAGTGTGGGTTAGAATACACTGCATACTCAATCGACGCAATTCATACCATACTTCAGGGCTGAGGACAGAAAAGGCCGAAAAAACAATTGAGATGCTAATGAGCATCTACACTGGACGTCACAAGAAGATTCTCAGACATGATAGCCTATTTCTTTTTCATACTTGTCAGCTTCCTTATGGTCTTCACTCCTCACATGCTAGTGAATCAGTTTCAGACTCACTAGGGACTGGGTCAATCTCGGCTTCCAGTTCACTTCTGGTGGCTAGCCGTCGTCCTACTTAGAGAATGGTAGTTCTCCCAGTACACATGAGATTCTAGCCAACCAATGGAGCATAAGTTGAGCGATTTGGGTGATATAGTTATGGTTTTTCTGTAGGCGGCTGTCGTTGGATGCCGTGCAAATAAGGTTACTTAGAACTAGATAGCTCCGATCCGCCGCCATTTTGGTTTCTTCAACTTCCAACGTCATACCGTCACCACACATCACCACACCACCCTTCACAGCAGACAACCTGCAAAAATCGAACAAAATGGCAGAATATTGGAAATCAACGGTGCGTCAATTTTGTTTTGATTTATTATCAAGTATTTACTAATGCGACAATAGCCGAAATACTGGTGTAAGCACTGTCAGATCTACGTCCGAGATACCCCATTCGAGAAGACACAGCATGAAGCCACGGGCAAACACCAAGGAAATCTGAAACGATTTCTCCGAGACATTCACCGTAACAAGGAGCGCGAAGAAAAGGAGAGCCAGAGAACCAAAAATGAAGTAGAGAGACTTCGAAACCTCGTTTCGGGGAAACCAGCTGGAGATGCGACACGAAACCGACCTGCGGCGACAACGTCAACCACTGCACCAAGACAAGTGACCGCGGAAGATCGAAAGAAGCAGATCGCGCAGCTAGCAGAAATGGGTGTCGCTGTGCCCGAAGAATATCGAAGAGAAATGGCCCTTGCGGGAGACTGGCAGACTATATCAGAACGAAGAATAACACCGGTTGAACCAAGCAAGGAAGAAGCAGAGTCCACCAAACTTAATATCGGCGTGAGGAAGCGAAAATTAGAGAATGAGGAAGATGAAGAAGAGGCTCAAATGATCGCCAAACCTACACATAGGGGATGGGGCAATACGACACGAGATTATCCTGGCACTACTGAGGACGAAGATGACGACCTTGATGCTCTTCTCATGAAGACGACGACTGTTAAGGAAAAAAAAGATCCGGACCCGAAGACGGTATTACAGTCCATCAAAGCAGGGGAGCAAGCAGAATCAGGGGATGTTGAGAAAACGGAGAAAGACCCAGACGGCTCAGGCCCGAGTACAATATTGAAAAAGGAGGAACCTGACACGGGAGACTCTCTCGAGACACCATCATTACCAGTGGGCGATGTTCCTGTGTTCAAAAGGCGTAAAAACAAGGCTTCAAAGCGATGAAATGTCACTTAACAGTCTTTGCATTGGCATAGACTTATTCCATATGCTATGATTTGCTCATGATAGACTTAAGCATAACTGTGCACATTGGATAAGACGTTTCACACGTTTCAGAGCACAAATACTATTATTGTCCTTAATGAATTTGTGTGAATGATCCAGGATAGAATTTCAGAGTATGGAACAATGTGATTGGTGGTGACACCTTCATTGCTTAGTAATGCTGGTCCGGACTCTATTCAAGAAATGCAATTCGTGAACCAACCAATGCCTCGATATAAATTTTGTATGCCATCTTAAATTTTGAAGCTGATCTACGAAGCCCTGTTGGACTCATTGGGCTATATTAGCGGTGCAGTTGACTCTGGACCTCCGACTTCGATCTTTTATTCCTCGAGTCCCACTCTCGAACTTGCGGTTTCTTTCCAACCGCAGAAATCTTAGCTCACTACTTCGACATCTCCACTGCTTCTACAAACCTCCCCGGACCTGTTTTCAAACGTTCAGATGATTATCAATCGCACAATCTTCCACATGTCGTATCCAATTATATATCGGTTAGCATCTCCTTTTCGTTCATCAGCTGTGCTGTTCGCGTCATGATACTCATGCATGATATCTAGTGGTGTTCTGTGTTAGACCGAGTTCCTAGGTACGCAAGACAGGATTGTTCTCCTTCACTTCTCCATTCACTGCTATGGGACTCCAGTTGCAGCTTTGCTACTGAATTTTTCGCATTACTCGGTGCTTCCAACGCTGCTTCTGTACTCGCCCAAAATCGCCGCTTTGATTCTGTTAGATCTGATGCAGCTATACTAAACTTCATGACTACAGAAAACACGACTTCCGTGCTACATACGTCGAATTTGCCCACTCCTAAGCGTTCCTCATTCTGGGCAGTCATTCCACAATGTCGGAGGCTCAGTCAAGTCAAATCCCCAACGGGATGTCGCCTTCTCCTCCTACCGCTACCGCTACCACCGATACTTCTACGTCTGCTCCTGCTCCAGCTCCTGCTGCCTCTTCTCCAACTCCCGCCCCAGTAGCTAGTACGACTGCTGCTGCTCCTGCGCCTAGCCCGTCTCCTACGCCTGTTGCTGCGGCTTTAGTTGCTACTGTTCCTGCTTCTGCGGTTCCTGCTCCTACCGCTCCCGCTGCCGACCCTCCAGCAGCTCCACCAGTTTCTGCGACTGCTCCTCCTCCATCGTTTCCCCCTTTACCACCGATTTCTACGGAAGATTTTGAAAGAACCACAGACTTCACGAATGGCCTTCAAACCGCACCTGTCTCGTCTCAGAATGTTACGAATGCAAATGTCCCAGCTACTTCATTTACTGCAGTCAATGCGCCAGCTACAGTCCCTGCGCCAGTACCAGCACCTACAGCGGCGCAAATATCGTCTGCGCCTCCAGTAGCAACTACGAACGCACCCTCGCAAACATATTCGTCTACACCGGCCGCTGCTCCCACACCTTCGCCTTCGACGGGACCTGCGGTTGCGCCTACGCAAACACCTTTGTCTCTGCCTCCAACAGCCCCTACGGCGCCGCCTCTATCTGTACCTCCTTCTCCGTCTCTGGTAACGACATCAGCTCCATCACAGCCTTCATCAGTTAATCCGGTTCCCCCTCCCCCAATGTCACAATATCAAACAACGCCGAATGCCCCATTGAATCCTCCACCAATGCAAGCACAACCTCCCATGGGATCGCCGCATCCAACTACTGCGCCTCCCATGCAACCAATGGGTCAGTATAACCAGGCGTATTCTCCACAGATGGCGCAAATGGGTATGCAGACACAAATGAGTTATCAGCTTCCAGGTGGTAATAACTCGCGTTCACGGGCGCATCAACGAGAAGTAAAGAGGCGGACAAAGACGGGCTGTCTGACTTGCCGTAAGCGCAGAATAAAGGTAAGACATGATTTGCATAGTTTTCAGGGGAAGAGACAGGAGTCGGAAATAAGCAGTTGTTGGTGGTAGCTCTTTGGATGTGGTGCGGGAACGCGGGAATTTTCCACGTTTCGTGGTGTCGCTTACCTCCGTTAACTAGCTCGCGCTCCCATCCCACTTTGCATAGAGCCCCGCCGACCTCTGTCGCTTCCACTCTGATCTTTTCTCCCCTTCATAGCTCTCAATTAGAGCGGACCGTGGGATTGCGCAATGTTGCTAACGCATAATTGGTAATTTTCTAAAAGTGCGACGAAGGTCATCCAGTGTGCCGCAACTGTGTCAAAAGCAAACGCGAATGTTTAGGTTACGACCCGGGATTTCGACCACAACCTCCACCCTCCGATATACGACCTGCAAGCATACCCCAGCCTTCGCTTGTCGTGAATCCTCAGGAAAATCATAACAGCAATCCTTATCCTTCCGCGCCCCCAGGTTACATCCCCGCTTCAGCTCAGCCCTTCGCTCCCTCTGTCCAGTCGGATTCTTCTATCCAGTCGTTTGACCAATCCAATAGCAATCGCCAAGGGCCTGTCGAGCCTTCTGTGGAGGGAAGTGATACTATGTCGGTTATGGCAAGTGTACAGGATACGATTGACAGTTCCATTTCACAAGCCGTGGGAACACCCGATCTATCGACACCAGTACTCATGCCGCTCTCCGGTCAAGTCGGTCGACAAGGTACGTTTACCATGGAATAATCCTCTATTTTGCATAGGGCAGCCAGGCACTAACTGTTCTTCAATCGCAGAAAAGGTAAAGATACAGGACCTTTTGGCGCTTCAAGGTATCGCGCCGCCTCCGCCGTATCCTATCGTTCCTATTCAGCAAGCCCGTTTGGATCAGATACAGACTGTTTACCTTCATACATACGCGCCAGCCATTGATCGATTTTTAGAAACACGATGGTTTCGCGACAAAGGCTTGTCTCAGTTGTTGACAAATGCGCAACTCATGGCACAGTACTCGGCTCTTATTGATGCTTTCAATGATCCAAAAATAGATGATGTCGCTGTCAGAGGACGCGTGGAGAGTTTCGAGGCGTCTGTTGTGTGGGATACCATGTCTATCTGCCGTTCGGCTCGTAACCTTGTGCGAAATGGCAGCACGGAACCCACGCAGGAATACGATTTGCTTACGACGGCAAATCGATTTGATATTCTGGAAGCTCTGATCACCGATGATCATCTAAAGGACAACCCATTACGAGCAGATCTCACTCGCCCCCCGCCATCAAATCTAAACCCTCTTGAAGTCCAATTACGTACTCGGTCTTTGAATTTCTGGAATTGTATCGGACACTTTCTTACACTGCACGATAACGAGGCTTCATCCGCTGTTGAGATTGATGAGACCTTGGCTCGTTGTCGTTCGCTGCTAGACGAAATTGAGAACCGAGATGTGTTATATTCCATGGCTATTGGACGACATCTGGGCCAACGTCTGTCAGACTTCCAACCCCGAAATAGACCAGAAAATTCTAGTGACGAGCGGAACGCGAATACGAAGCTCATCGTCGCACAGAGATTCATTGAAGACGAGTCTAAAGACAAAGGTACAACGCAAGTTGTAAAACGTCTATGCGGCATGGTCCATAGATTATGGGAGCTGAAAAACATCCTGCTGCCACGTGCTTGAAACGATTGACGATGGAACTCGATGATGCGAATGCATGGAATTTTGATTGATAAAACATACTAGCTTATGGCGTTAAGGTGTTCAAAAAGAGAAGACTTTACATTCTTTTTATTCATGTATTATGGAGACACGGCGTTTATGTCTTTTTACTGTTGTCTCCTGCAATGGTCTTCCCGTTTCCCACTGAAGGGGAGAATACGGTGCTCTTTGTGTGACTATACCCTTTTATTTGGATCTTGATTTAGAGCGCCAGTATTTTCAAGGATCATGCGGTCTATGATCGAGAGATCAATGCAACTTGTTCGAGTCCTCATTATAACACTTTCAACCTACCTAAGTGCAAACATTGAATACATCAATGACGAAAAAATGTGTTCTTAAAGGTTACATGTAGAAACGATCTATATTCTTGCGCTCTATAGTAAAATACCGCTCATCGAACAAATATATAGGAAGAAATAGCACACCTCGTCTAAAGATCTGCTTGCTCAGGTACGATACTCTTCAATGTTCCCTTCTCAAGCGCCTGGCGTACATTACTAATCGCCCATTCTTCCATTGCAGTATGAGTCTAGAAACGAATCACGGTCATAATTAGCTTCACCTAAAAAACAGGAATAGTGATAGGGAACAAACCTCGTAAGACCAAGTCCCCATATGGGGCACCAACATAACATTGGGATTCCCCAAAAGACCCGGATGAATCTTGGGCTCTTCCTCAAAGACATCCAAGCCAGCAGAAAAGACTTTACCGCTATCCAAAGCTTCGACGAGAGCTGCTTCGTCTATAACCGCTCCTCGAGCTGTGTTGACGACGACAACGCCGTCCTTCATCTTGTCGAATTCGGGTTTGCCGATGATATGGTATGTGTTTTTCTGTACCAAATTAGCCCTCCCTCATGGGCCAAATTGCTAGGGCATGGGTGTACTCACGTTAAGGGGTAAGTTCAAACTAATCACATCGCTCTTCGCCAATAACTCATCAAACGTAACATACTCCGCGCCCACAGCCATGTTCTCACTAAGCTGCCGCCTATTATGATAAATAACCTTCATCCCAAAGGCCTCCGCTTTCTTTTTCAGATTACGTCCAATCCCGCCCATGCCCAGGATACCAAGAACCTTCCCCTCGGGATCATGACCGAGTGGAGGCGCAGGGTCACCGCGCCATTTCCCTTGCCGAAGAGCTTGCATACCCGTGTTGAAGTTTCGAATGGCGCCGATGATAAGAAAAATGTTTACATCAGCGGTAGCATCGTCGACAGCCGTGGGGACATTGGAGACTCGAATAGGTGACTTGCGTTCACTGCAGGCGTGAACATCTATCTGGTCATATCCAGCTCCTAAGTTTTCCCTCAGATCCGATCAGCCATTCGTTCCTGAAGGGAAAGGGAGTGAGATATGCATACCGCAATGCGCAAGAAACAGCAAAGATTTTGGCAAGACCGAAACAAGCTCTTCATCAATCAGACCTGTGATGGCAACTGAGCCAAAAGTTCGATATGCCGCTACCACGCCATCCAGCTTCCCGTCTTTGCATTCTTGGATGAATTCAGTGCGGTTGGTTGCCTTTGTGGTTATGAGGTCGGCGATGTCGTTCAGAGCCTCCCATGATTTGCGGGCGCTGTGGTATGTCAGTATGAAAGCTTCCAGGATACAGTCACAGTATCATATCTCTTTGTAGCTGGGAGACTTACTGCTGTATATCTCCTAGAAGGAGAACTTTTGGCCGAGACATTTTTTTTATAACGTTAATGTACCGTGGGATCGGACCGTCAATCGATATGGTCTGCCAATATAATCAGCCCTTCAACTGACTTAAAATTAATTCCCAGATTCAGCGAAATGTAACGTCCTGACAAAGATTCCTAATCAATATTTCTAATCAATATCTATAATCTGGATTTATAAGAGAATCTCAATTGACATGACTCACTTGGAGAAAAAATGATGTTGACTTCGCGCATTCAACCTCCAATTAAAGTGCGGGGTATTGGGGGAACGGCAAGATCTTCGAATCGGCCGAATGGTTTTCTGTTACTACGTAGGCATGGCCAGGTACAATTTATTGAAAGATGTTGTTTTTAGGAACTTCATCCAACTGGTGGGTTTGGGTCATATGAAATTGCAGAATGGTGTACAGATCGTAGAACCTAATTCTAATAGCCATAGATTGGGTTGTCATATTGTGATAGCCATGTCGGAGCTGTTCAGGTATTTGGTCGCGAAACATATAAATTGAAACCTGGATTCAGCGAACAGATGAACTCCTAGGGTGATCCGTAAAATGAGTTGGCCCGGATCACGCCCTCTGTCAACATGGGATCTTAGTGAGAAAACCCACTATTGGCCCTCGGTGAGAACGCGAGTCCAATCGAACTTTCGCCAGCGTTTTCGAAAAGGCTCAACTCGTCGATCACCGCCTTTATTCCACCGGCCTTGCTTTTTAATAATATCCGGAGGAAGATCCAGCATCCCCCCTATCGTCTCTCGGGCGAAAAGATCCCCACGAGGCCATCGGTGAGGGTCCTCCACAACATGACCTAAGCCACCATCGAGCTCGAACCAAACATGGAAGTATGGCATTTCCTTCACCAAGGTCCGACGGAAAGCCAGCTTGCCCAATCCCTGTTTAGACTTTGCTAGTGTGTCTATCAATTTTCGATGTTGCGTCCATTCAGCATCTGCCGCCAGTATAGATTCTCTGAAGAAAGCTGGAGAGGTTTCTCCTAAACTATATGGTAGAGGAACTGCTTCCATGGATGCATGACGTTTTCGATCTGGGTGCGCTGCATTTTCATAGAAGATCACGTCCCGGCCCTGGTCATGGTACATCCGCGTGAGGCTCTTCATGAAATTGCGAATCTCCTCCCACTCATCATCGTCGCATTCCATCAAATTCGTGCGATGTTGGATGGGAACAATACTAGCGCTTCCTTCACTGAGTTCAGGTTCCGTTGGCAAAGTCAAGTAGATACGTGTTGCCAATGACACAATCGGGGCCACTGGGGGTGTATTTGTATCTTCATGATGACACAGTGGGCAATTATCCAAAATTCTGTTCATCTTGTGGAACTCGCTGATGGCTATATTTTTTAAGTTTAGTTCTGATTTTTGTACTCGTCTAGCGAGTTTGGCCGCATTGTCGTCCATGTATTCCAAATCATTCTAAAACCTTGATGTTAATAGATGGACGTTAAGGTGTAATGCATTGGCTCCGACTTACATCAAATTTGGCATCCTTTGCAATCCTTTCTGCGAGTCGCATACCTTCTCCGCCGGCTTGGCCGCGCGTGCGTCGCTCTTCTACCAACATGTCTTCAATCGACATATCCTCATTCTCCTCTACTTGACCACGTTCACGGCCTCGGCGATTTTCAACGGGTTTGACTTCGCTTCTAGAGCTTCCGGCTAACATTCTGTTCTCCATAACACCGAGAACAACAACGTCGCCTTCTTTCCGGTTCGCCATCAAGGCCGCTGCCGCATTATATTGTTCCTCCAACTCGGCTGCTTCGGGCGAGCCTTTTAATTTTGCTTTCATCATTTTTGCGCGAAGCCTGTTGAGGGCAGTGGCATCCAGATGCTGCGTTGTTTTCGTAGGCTCAACGGTGTCCATCGGCTTGCCTTGTTCTCTAACAGGAGATTCTATATCTCGAGGATCACGGGTTTGAGGATCCCTGTGAACGCCCTGATCGAGCTTTCTTTCTTGAAAGAGCTCTCCGCTGGGCTTATCCTTTCCTATATATGACTCTCCGTACCTTTCTCTGCGGTCCAGTTCAATCTCCTCTTCTCGAGCATCATCAAAAGACCGTAAATCGCCATATCGTTCAATTGCGACATCTTCCACCTTTTTGCCTGACTCTTCGGCTTCTCGATACACAGCTTTCAATTTTACCATTCTCCACTGTGAACCCGCATCGCCAAAGGTATAATTGACTTCATGTTGCGCAGGCTTATTCTCAATCTTCTCGGGAGACTTCTCTTCCTTTATATCACGTAGATGGGTATTAAGTTCCTTATCGTGGATTTTCAATTCGACATCGGCTCTGAGCGATCTCGACTCAGGCTGCTTTTGGGTGCTTTTGTCCGGTCTGTGTTTATACTCGATATCGTCGGCAGAGGGTGGCTGCATCCATGAATCACGTTTCAAGTCATGCGCACTGACTTTGACAGCCGACTCTACGACCTCGTCTTGGGCAAGATCATCACCATGATTGCGGTCATGGCGATGCCGTCTCTTGTGAGAGCTCTCGCCCTCGTCGTCATTTTCGTCTCTTCGCGATCTTTTATGCCTATGTATGCGGTCGTCGTCTTTGTCTTCGCCTCGATCGCTATGTCTGTCGCGTGTTCTAGACGAATTGCGATGATGATGCCTATGATGGTGATGATGATGGCGGCGTGATCGGGAGCGGTCTTTGTGGTTTTCGGAGTCCCTCCGTTGGCGATCCTCCGCAAGCGATTTTTCAAAGTCTTCTAGCGTCATAATGGTGGTTTCCAGTTTCAGCCTGCTTGTAGTGGATTCATGGCGTAGCCATGGATGTATCGTTGACAAAGTAGTGAGTTATCCAAAAAGAAGAAAGCTGTCGTTGAGCTGTCCGAGGAAGGAATGACGTTAAGAGTAAGGGGCCCCACTTGCTCAAGGACAAAACCCAAAAGTTTCTCGCCCCGCGGTGAAACCTACGGACTTTGCTTATCAACCGGACAGCATCGCGTGAGTATACTCAACTGCCAGAGTAGTCTTTACGAAATTTGCCTCTTACTGTTTATGGGCGATATCTGATTCTCTGCTGTGATAAGTACTTGGAATCTGGCTTCATAACAACGCAGTTTGCGTGCAACATGGCGGCGGCAACCACAACAGCAGGAGCGCCTGCAGGTGAATCTACTTCGCCAGTAACCATAGTATGCGTTGGCATGGCAGGTAAGAAGAAAGATATTTCATTTTCCTATGTTCTCTATAAGCGGAATGGTTGCGAATCTTGTGTCATGAGAGCCGTTGAAAATCTGTCATTGCATACAGCGATACCTCGTGTCAAATCGAAGCAAAGACTGACACGAACTTTGACCGCCTCTTAGGCTCAGGAAAGACGACTTTCATGCAACGAATTAATTCACATCTTCATTCCAAAGGGAAAACCCCTTACGTCCTCAACCTGGATCCGGCAGTCCACTCCGTGCCGTTCGAAAGCAACATCGACATCCGCGACTCGATCAACTATAAGGAAGTTATGAAACAGTACAACCTGGGTCCCAACGGAGGAATATTGACTTCACTTAACCTGTTTGCGACAAAAGTAGACCAGATCATCGGTCTCTTGGAAAAACGGACGGCACCGGTCGATCCCGCTAATCCCAGTGGACGGCCGATTAAACACATCCTGGTCGATACCCCTGGGCAGATCGAAGTGTTCGTGTGGAGTGCATCCGGAAGTATCCTGTTGGAGACTCTTGCGTCCTCGTTTCCAACTGTCATTGCATATGTGATTGACACACCTCGAACAAGCTCCACTAGTACTTTTATGAGTAACATGCTCTATGCGTGCAGTATCCTCTATAAGACCAAGCTTCCTATGATACTAGTCTTTAACAAGACGGACGTACAGGATGCAGAATTCGCCAAGGATTGGATGACCGACTTTGATGCTTTCCAGACTGCTTTACGCCAGGAGGAGGATGCCGGTGCGTTTGGTGCGGAAGGTGGTAGCGGTGGCTTCGGTGCGGGTAGCGGCTACATGGGATCCTTACTCAATAGTATGAGCTTAATGCTTGAGGAATTCTACCGGCATTTGAGCGTCGTTGCGGTGAGCTCGATGACTGGAGATGGCATCGACGAGTTCTTTAGTGCCGTGGAAGAGAAGCGACAAGAGTTTGAACGTGATTATCGACCGGAGCTCGAGCGCAAAAAGAACGAACGTGCGGAGCAGGCTACGAAGAGACGCGATATCGAGCTGGGTAAGCTTATGAAAGATATGGCTGTGTCGAACAGGGGTAAGGACGAATTGGCAGAGACTGTAAGTGAGGCAGAGGAGGACCCACACGGACGCGACGACGCGATTGGCGCCGACGAAAGCGACGGCTCCTTAGGGGAAGAGGACTCTGCTTCCGCGGATGTCGGTCTGGCCTCACGCTATCAGCAAGCGCTGGCAGATACTTCTCAGACTCAGCCTTCTGATCAAGACATCAGTTTCATGAGATATCTTCGAGCCAGTCAGCCTTAATAAAGAGATACTAGATTATTTCTTTGACCTCCTCTTTCCTGATAAGTACCCACATGATCGGCCGAGGCATAACTGCTGCAGCGCCGGGGATCTCCAGCTAAACCCCCATGAGTCACTAGCCATCTCAAAATGATAGAATAACCCGGCGATCCAAAGGGGATTTTGTCACGGTCATAATTCAAGAGGAACTGCGACGATGCCATGACATATCATTGCCTGTGTGAGATCTCGGCTGTGTTTGGTTATGCATTTTCATGCAAGGCCGTTTCTTTTTCCTTGGGCTCCACTGATCAGTTTTTCCTTTGGCGCTGTCAATTTTTAATGCGCTTGTCTGGCGACCTGTCGTCATGTTCGTCCCAGCCGTGATCCAGCTTTTCCTAGTCGGCCGCTCTAGAGTGTTTCTGTTGCGGTCATTGGTGGAGAAGAGCACGACGCCGCATGCAAAATTTCCTGTATTGACCGGCCTGATCGGGTGCCATCTTGTACGGTATCACTATCTTGTACGGAGTACGGAATCTCCACATGGTTCCGAAACGTTGGAGCGGCGGTGCCAGAAGCCTAGAATCGAGGCTTCCGTCGATTCTAAGTGAGGTCGTAACGACCAGGCTACCATATACTATGTAATGTGAACATTTTCCCTGGGCCTCACCGAATATTGCGATGTCTCAGTTACTCAGACCGCGTCTTCTGTTGCCGGAGATCCCTATCCGGACTAATAATAGCGTAGCGAGGGCTGTTCAATGATCGTACATGAACTAGCGTTAGATGTTTGGGGAGGGGGAGGGACACTTCTGTATCGGGCCTGGCTCGTCAAAGACATCTTCCATTGGCGATGGCGCCCAGTACGGAGTACGGGGGACCCCGTACTAGGATGGCGTCCTTTCCGTAGAGTCATTAATTCTGTGTTGTACTGAACCCTGACTCATCCTTCAGCCTTTGGCTGCAGGGGCCACTTTTTTTGGGTAATGGCACTGATATCCTGAATTTCCTGGCAGACGTTGGCGTCACGGTCGATGGCCAGCCTGTGGTCGTTTTGTATGTGTCGGCGATAGCGGAATCCCTCTGGCGTTCGGGAACAGCCGTTTCAGCACCAGAGTCTATCTTCGTTGACGAGGATCGGCCCCTCGATCGATCATGATTCATACGAACAGATTCATTTTCCTGGGATTTTGATGATTGACCGAAACCGCTGTTGCAGGGTGCCAGAGTAGCAGTATACGGATAGAGCAGCTGTCGCACTTGCAGGGGGAGTCATCCACGTTACTGACACGACACTGAATCTCCAATCCAGCCTATTTGCGAGAAGCTCGAGCGCAAGGATCAGCTCGCGGGAAGGTGGTTGTACGCTGGGTCTCCGCAATCGCATTGTGCATGTAACTACTAGTGTTAGGTGCGCGTTGCCATATCCATCCTAGTATGACCAGGACATTAGCATTATTATTTCCATGACCCACCTGTGGATGCGATTGACTTGTGCCTTCTGCATTCTAGTTCGCCCGGGGACCAGCACGTATGTATGGACGTACATACGTCTTGCGGCTTGGGCCTGGCACTGCTTGCATGAAGCTGAAGGGAGTCAAGGGAGTGAGGCGAGCTGTGAGTGGCCTCTACGTGACAAGCATTGACACCGACTAGGCGATAATAAGACTCGAGTGCCCCTCAATGGTCCTACTATATGCATGGATTGTCGGGGGAAAACAAGAAGTTCTTCCCCCGCGTCAGACGAAGGTCTAGTTTTCTACTAAGAGAAGAAGAAGAAGAGGGTGAAGGTGAAGGTGAGGGTGAAGGTGAAGGGGTCCAGACTGGTCGTGCTGTTTTGGGCATTTTCTACAGACGGGCTAGGCAAGGAAGGCGCTGACTGACAGGAGGTTGCTCCTTCCTTGCTTGCAGAACCGTGACTTCTTCCGACGGAGGGTGAGGGGGAGGAAACAGGTCAGGCTAGAAAAAGCAAAGAGAGAAAAAAAAAGCAAAAAAAAAAGCAAACACGAAAAAAAAAGTAACACGCAAGACCCTGAGTCTAGAGAGGCACACACCAAGGCACGACAAAGAAGAAGACATCTTCGTTCCTCTCGTTTATTCAAGAGAAAAGAATGCAACCACGTCAGCAGCAGCTATGATATGAGAAGCTGGTTGTTTCGCGTCTCGTTTTTGCTTTTGCTTCCCTTTTTGTTTTTGACCCTTCTCTGTGCCTGCGATCTCTGTACCCAGACTGGGCCATCTTAACTATCTTATGTCCCTAAATTAACCCTTTAGGCTGTTTGTATTTGCATGCTAGTCGACATCCAATCAGTGACCGCTCCGACCTTTTTCCTGACAGCAACTGAAGAATCACACGTCTATCCGGCACCGATGTGTACTAAGGCTATGGGACGGTCGTTGCATAAATTGACCGCATGGCTGCGTCGTTTCTACACCAACAACGGTCGTCGAGAGAGCGACTGTCATCCGAAGCGACCTGACTCAGAAGAGTCAGACTTGAGCACCAACAAGAAGTTGGAGTCGAGGACTTCCAGTGATACAGAGACAGAGTTTGTCCAGCACCATACCCTTGTCAGAGCGAGCACGATGGCCAACCAAACATTTGGACCCGTTTCTCCCACAAGAGCGAGAACTGGAGCGCCGGACAGCGAGGAATATAAGAAGATGGTAGCAGGACTGACGTGGGTTGAGTCCTATGCTGAACGGGCCCTGTGGAACAGAAGTGCTGAACGTATTTGATATAGTTTCCGAGTCATCTCCTGCCCTGTGCTTCAAGCTAAGAAACTTGAGGCACGACAGTTCTGTGCCAGGTACAATGTTGACGATGATATCCTAAAGGACGACACGATACCCTTGCATGAGCTCTTTATGGGGCTACGCAAAGAGCGTGAGCGTTTGCTACGCACAGTCATTGGAACCGTTGGCCAAGGACCCGTCATTGAACCCCCATTCCACTTCCAGTACGGCTGTAATATCACCATTGGTGATTCATTCTATGCAAACGTGAAGTCTGTTCCTCCTTCTATTTCTATTTCTCTCGTGGCTGGCTGCTCATTACTCACACACGCCTCTTTACAGTCTACGAATCATGGACAGTGGGCTTGTTTCTATTGGTAATCGAGTTCTAATCGGACCGAACGTCACCATTGTGACTGAGCTCCATGAGAAGGAAATCATGTCTCGCAGGAGTGGAAAGGTGTTCGCCAAATCGGTTACGATCGAGGATGACTGCTGGATAGGGGTCGGAACGACCATTCTTCCCGGCGTAACGATAGGCAAGGGCTCAGTCATCGGCGCTGGGTCTATTGTCACCAGAGACATTCCCCCAGCTAGTGTGGCATGGGGCAATCCAGCGCGGGTTGTAGAACCAGTCAACGACGCTGGCGCGGTCTTCGCTGGGATCAATTAGTGGTTTTCTGCGGTCCATCACGTTTATCGTCAGATACTGGCATCTTTTTCAATGCTACAGACTTTATTTACATCTACAAGAGAATGATTGCATACGGTCACCGGATGATACGGCGTTGAGGGATCATATCTGCGGGGTATATATACTGGCATGCTTGGGTTTCTCCTACACTTGCCTCTTTTTTCTTTTTTACGAATTTCGGGCTCGTCGGAACTTGGATTACATTTACTCCTGGCTCTGATACACGCCGGTATCTTAGCCAGGAAGGAGATTGCGCGTCGTGTACAAATGCAGTTTGCATATACCTATGGAGTAACTAGATCTTGGACAAAATCTCAATTCTCTACCTACCAATGAATGTTAAAGTTTCGGATCTCATATGCAACGAACAACGTAAACAAGAGTCGTACTTGCTTCAGCTTCTCCACTACTCGATCTTAGATCTTGTTCTAAATTTTAGTCCATGTACGATCGATACCTACGTAGCTATAGTGGTTTTAAGAGTAACGTACTCCGTAGTACGGAAATAGTAACTAATGCAAACCGACAAAACATTACATCATAGACCGAACGGCATCTTCCCAACCTGATCAAAGGAGACAGTTCAGTCTCCCACAGTCTTCACAATTTCTCTTCGATAAACATTCCAACAGAAGACTTTCATCGAGGTCAAGTTTGAAAAGGAGCTGCATAAATCGTTTATTTCCTGAACAGGGCTATTCCCAGCCTTATATTCGATCCCAACTATCGTGTTGTCCCGCAGATCGACTGAATCAGAGCAAAGCACTCGGACGGGGAGCTTATTGCCAACCAACCAAGTTCTGAACATGGATGTGAGCTATCCCGGAACGTTCAACGGATGCAGTCTCAAATGAGTCATACTTCCTCGGCTGAACCATGCTTTTTCTTGTTCTACCATTAGATTCTGACTGTCTCTTTGGGCCAGGTCTTCAACCTGTACACCTATGGCTCAAGCGCGTGGCTAGCGCTGCAGGGTCTAGCTTTAGTTGCGACCCCCAAATTGATCATAACGCTGTTGATTGATGACACTCGACCTCCTTCAGGTTAGTGCCCACTTTCTTTCTTTTTTTTCGTCCTGCAGATTTCGATCGAGGTTGCACTGCAGGTTCTGGATCTTGGAACAAAATAAACCTTGTCAGTCTGTTTTGAGTGATGGCTGACTGTCATTGGTAGATGTCGAAGCCTACCTCTCCCGAGCGTTCGGTCTGGCCTTACTTGCAGTTGCAACACTGACCATCCTGCTCACGGGATCAGTGCCGTTGGGATCCTCAGTCGGCGGCGTTGACACCACTACTACATCCACCGAAAACGAGAATGCTCGCTCCCCTTACGCCGTGCCAACGGTGCTAGTCACAACTTTGTTTCAAGCTACGTTAGCTTTCTACAATTACACCTGGTACCTTGCCAGGAGTCAGACAGCATTGGGTCTAGGTATGGTTGGATCGGGTGTTGTGGCTGCTGTGGGAGTTTGGTGCATGCTTTTTGGCACAAGTAAGGGACGCATTAGTCGGAGGACAGGGGCTGATAAGAGGACGTCTGGATTTCCGTTCAAAAATGCTGAAGCTGATAAGAGACATCCGGAGCGGAAGAGGTTGTAAGGTTTGTTTCTGTTTCATAGAATGGAAGAAGTTGTTGGACACGGAAGGGTGAAAGATGCATGCTGCTTTAATGGCATCAAGAAACGGTCTTGGAGTCATTCAATGAGATCAATCTGCATTTATCCAGGGGCTGTATGGATCTGATATCACAAGCCGGTGATGAGACAACAAAAATGTATGATACTGGCGAGTACGTATCCTGTAATTATACTCATTGTTCGCACTGTATAGTTCAACAGATTATTTTCCGAGTCGAAGCTCATATCCTTATCGCAAGTAAGGGGCCAGCCGATAAGCGGACAATCAATAATCCAGCCCGACCTGTCCAATGTTTGTAAGCCGTCCGCTCTCCACCCAAATCGCCGACCGAGAATCCAGTGCCGCTTCAACACAAGTCTTTATAGCCTAGCTCATGATTACTACTACTCAGTATTTGTTACCATCTACACTACTTAAGCTAAATTATTGATTATCCGTTACTGTTATGGACAGCTCGGAGCTGCCGCATCTACCTACCAGTCTCCCTTTGAGCTCACAGTTATCTTCCCGCTTCAATCCTCATGACACCCAGTCCTTTCAGGGCTTTTCTTCTGCCATCGGGGATATAGATCACAGCTTACAAGCTGTGAGCAATTTTGTCAGTATCATACATATATCCCTTGATGAGTGTTACTTAAGTACTTGACTATGATTACTAATTCACCTTATAGCAGCAGCATTTCAATAATGCCAACGGCCGATATGATATAGCTCCCCCACCGCGATCAGCCCATGACCTGACAACCAATACCCAGATCGGTTCAGGTCGGGCAATCTCGCAGGTGTGGAATAATAGTCATGGCGAGCTGGAGTGGGTGGCAGCATCCATGTCTTCATCCTTACCTAACGCGAAGAGCGGCGTGCAGAATGATGATACCTCTCTGCAAGTGGGCGGGGACGGCTTAGACGCAGCTGCTGAAATCAAAGATAGTCATCTAGGAGGCATGAAGATAGTGCTGAACCCGCCTGATCTTGATGCTTGGAGAGAGCGGTTGTTCAATGTTGATGAACCTATTACATTGACTGAAGAGCAGTACGTCCTACTTATCTTCTCGTATAATATTGATCTGGACCTTACCATGCTAGATTCCAAACTTATTTCCCACATGTCGACAATATCTACTCCCATCGCTCCACGCAGAAATACAAACGCAAACCATTCGTCTCTCACTATTGGGACTGTCGCCTCAAGGGACGACCCTCGGGGACACCCAAATCCGATGATCCCAATAAAAAGAAACGCAAACGAGTCGCCCGGGAGCGGGATCTTTGCGACGTGAAAATAAAGATCACGGAATACTTCCCTGAAGCTACTATGGCTGATATATCCAATCACCAGAAGAGTGGAATCGATTCGTCAGTATTGACGAGCAACGGTAACAACCATGCCAGCCCGACAACTCTGTTTTTCCCAGACGGAGGGAGTGATGCTCGTGGGAGCTCTCAGCCTTTTGGCATGCTGACTCCCGATCCTGCCTTGGCTGAGAACTCTTCTCTTGCGGCCGGTGGTCAGAAACTGTATACCATCCAGCGAGTAAATGGTAACGGCGGAAATGGGAAGACCGATGGGATTGGTGGTGGTCATAGGCATACCTTAGAGGACAGTGACCGTGTCAAGAAAAACAGTGTACATAGGTATCTGCTCAAGAAGTCGAAGGACGAAAAGAAGGCCATGGTAAGTGATATATTTTTATTTTCTTGTGGTTGGCAAATGTCAGGGATGGTAGCAGCGTGGGGTTCATGCCTACGTCACATATTTACCCTACTTTCAACTGTCAGTTGAGATTGAGATTGCACTTTTACATCTCAAAGACTACATTTTTCGTCTGTTCCACATCGGAATTTTACAGTCTAGAATCATCTTCTCTTTGGCTTATCGACCATGGCTGACCAGCACAAACAGGCTCAGCCAAAGACCTATCACAAAAAGGCAACTGGTGAAGCCCACACCACTGTCCTTAAACGATCGCAAGAAAATGATCTTAAATTATTTGGAAGTTGTTTCTGGTACGTTATTCATCCATAATTTCTGCCAGATATCTGTTCAAGACAGCGAATAACAAACTCTAGCCCCTTCGTCCAACGCGTATGGATTGCGCTTGAAGTCAAAAATATTCCTTATCAGTATATAGAGGTTGATCCGTATGAGAAACCACCAGAGTTGTTGGCTATTAACCCTCGTGGATTGGTCCCTGCTCTTCTGCATGGTAATTGGGGCTGCTATGAGAGTAGCGTGCTTTTAGAATATGTACGTCCTTTTCCTTTGGCTGAGTTGCTGGTAGTCATTTCTAACGTGCTGTGTGAAATAGTTGGAAGATTTGGATGAAGGGACTCCCCTTCTTCCTCCGGGTGATGCGAAGCTTCGTGCTCATTGCCGATTATGGGCCGATCATGTTCGTCTCCCCTTCTTATGACATGTGCAATCGACTTCTCGAAAGGCTGACTTGGGATATTGTTCATGCAGATCAATCGCCACATAGTCCCTAGCTTCTACAAAGTCCTGATGGAGCAAAACCCTCAAAATCAAAGTCAGAATGCTGCGCAATTGCAGGAAGATATTGAGAAATTGGTCAACGCGTCGCACGTTCACGGACCATTCTTCCTCGGTCCTAGCATGTCATACGTTGATATCCAGCTTGCGCCCTGGGTACTTCGTCTGAGTCGCGTCCTAAAACCGTATCGAGGATGGACTGAGCCAGCGATGGGGAGTCGTTTGGGTAGGTGGATCCAAGCCATTGAGGAAAATGAGCATGTCATGGCGACGACCAGTAGTGATGAGCTTTACCTGGAAAGCTATGAGAGGTATTCGGGTTTGTTTAAGTGCCAAATTTAGACACTAATCTGAAAAGGTTGACTGAGTTGAAATGTGCAGAAAACCGACCGAACACTTCGCAATTGGCGAATGCGATCAACAGCGGCAGGAGTCTGCCTTAGTCCGTCTCAGGTTTTACTATCAATCTGAATTAGTTGAATATACCCTGCACCATCTGATATGTAGGTAATACCATAATTCGATGCTCCTTGTTTTGTATTCTTGCATTTCGGTCCGAATAGACCTAAGCGAAAGCATCTCGAGAAACCAGAGTACCTCTACCGCGAGGACTGAACCCAAACCCGCCCCGTCCACTCCCGTCAGGACCTCTGGGGTTTCTAGAGGGTCTTATAGCCTGCTGTTGCTGTTCACCATCCGATCGCTCTGTAGGAAGCTGTGGTGGTCTTCGCTGTGAATAAGAAGTCGATGAATTTGGCTTGGTCGAATAACCCGGATCATATAACTGTCTCTGCTTCCCTGTACCACCTGGAGAATCGCGTTTCTCGCGATTATTACTGTTGTTGTTGTTGTTGCTGTCCCTGTCTCTATTGCCATGACCTCGATTCCTTCCACGTCCACCACTACCACCGCGAGTACCACTACTATCAAACCCGGAATCTCTATTCCGCGACGATGGACGTGTACCACCCGGTGATGAAGTATTGGATCCAGGCGTAGATGAATTCCCAAACAGTCGCTCTCTAGCTTCTTCGTATTTACGTTGTTTCTCTTCTCTATCCCTGAGAGCTTTGGCTTGTCGCTCCTCCGGAGTCATTTCCGGAGGTTTATTGGTCTCTTCGTCGGAGTCTGACAGATTGGCACCACTGCCATTGATGTTCAGATTCGAAATTCCTTCGCCCGCTGCATCGATGTTATTGTTTCGAACGGCGATTTGGGGTCGACGGCTGAGCACTGTGACGGCAGGTTTGAAATCTTGTTTTAACGGGACTGCGGAGCGGGATTCGATATAGTGGAATGTCTGTGGTGTTTCACTTTGAAATTCAACGTCAGATTGTCGTTCCACTCAGTTCAGAAGGAGATGTATAGAACATACGCTTCCTCCCATAGTTTCCTGTTGAATTCTGCTTGCGCCGCTCTGCGTTGTGCTTTGGTTACTTTTGAGGACACTTTTTTCGGTGGTGTCTCAGGTTTCTGATCTTGATTCTAGACTCTTGTTCAGTACACAATTTTCATGGATAATGCTAGGGAGACATACATCAGCCAAACTCTCCCAGTCCGCTTCCCATGCATCAGGAACATCTTTCTGTTCTTTGCTCATGATGAAGTACTTGGAGGAAAGTTCGAAGAAAAGAAAAATTGCCGAGCGACAGAGTCAAGTATGAACAACGATGCTGGGGAAAAAGATAACGGCGATGCGCAATGCGAACAATATATACTATGACCGTTTACCCCAGTGTTTACTCCGTCATGATATGCGCTCGCTGTTGAGACTGGAAGAAAGCATCAGATGGTTTTGTCGTTGTACAAAAATTGGGTCTAGCCTGCCCGCCTTTTGGAAGTGTGCCAGCAATAAAATGCGGGGCGGACCACTTTGTCTAATCAGCGTCCATCTTCATTCATTCTTTTAAGCCTTGAACATCTCCTATCCTGATAGCATGTGCAGTACATATCTGGACATCTAACGCGAATTTGAGTCTTCACGTACCCAATCCGACTGTCGCTATGTCTGCTGGTGCGTGTCGCTCTATACTACGTTCTTACAGTAGTAACACTACATCCAGACTCCGAGCTAACTTGAATCAATACAGACCTCGACGGTGACTCCGAAATGCTCTCCTCCTCCGGATCCGATTCTCCAGTCGGTACCCGTACGCCAACATTCGATAAACCCACCGAACTCTCTCCTCCCGGCTCACAAACAGCATCACATCATGAAAGCTCTGGCGGCGCTGGCTCCTCCTTAACAGCTGTATTCGACAAGTTAGCTGCAGAACGTCCTGGAGACAGCAAACCGGGAATGCAAGGCAAAGATGCACCTGGTGCATCGTGGAAGAATCAGCGCGCACAGGAGGAGTATAGTCGGGCTTTGGAGCATGTGGTTGATCAAGAGTTTAGTTTGCGTGAGTTTCTCCGTCTGTCGTCCATACTATTGGAGTTTGGTTTATTGACATTTAGGACTATCTGATCAGGTGAATTTGGCGATCCATTCGACGAGTCGGATATGTTACAAAGTCTTTCGAGGGGATAGAAAGAAATGCTTTGAGCGTTCGGGCTACTTCTAGCCTGTTGCCTGCCTATCGAAGCGATGGAATATATCGTCTCCAAAGCCAGGTCGGAACGTATCTCACGTTCCAACTAAAAATGGTTCTTTGACATCAAGACGTATGATACACCCATAAAGGACAGTCGTGGTTCCGGCGTACGTCGCAAAAGTCCTCATAACCGAGGTCAATTCGACCTGATCATACAGTCAACCAGAACATGTCCTTAATGATGCACCACCAGAATTTGTTACTTCAGGGAGGACTGACGAAACATACACACCAGAGTCAAGACTCACGATAGCTTTATGAAAATGAAATAATGAACTGACATATAAGTATATCGTCCATTGAGTAGCTGTAATCGGTGGTAGATGGTTGGCACGGCAACGCCACTGTTTGGGAATAGTCGGCCAACCACGCGACTTTACTCCTTAGTAAACTTCCCAAAATCAATTCCCTCTCAACAACGCAATCTGTATGAACTATCATAACAGAGCATGATTATCACTCATATAAACATTCGATTTCGTTTCTTGACTTCTTAGCGCTGCATACTACGTACCATACCGTCTTCCTGTGTTATCCTCGATTGGTATTCTTCCGCAAGACAAAAACAACAACATTCTTCGCGTTTAGCTCTCATTCTTTCCCCGCATGTGAACGTCATATCGAATAGCAGAGGCTTACGCGATTGGGGAATTGAAGACTACCGGCATATTAAGAATTTGACATTGCACATTCCAGTAAGCGAATCCACACGCGCGTCTGTGTGGGAGACATGGAGGGTATTCAAATGACCAGCACAGCCAATGCGGCTATTCCAGCGTCTCAAACGGTGTTACCAATGTTGTAGGTCTTCAATCACCTTGTTCTCGACTTGTCGGTTTCCTGTGATCAATCCTGGATGATGCGCTTCAAGCGTGTTCCAAAGCCGTCGAACGACAATTTCAACCAGCAAAACAGTGACTGACGGTAGGGAGATATAGCATCACCCAACTCACGGATCAAATCGACTTTGCGCCGACCGCGCCTGGCAAGAAAATCCCTCTACGATCTTGGGAACGTCAACCATCCACCCCATTCTTAGCACGGCACAAATCGCGCAAAATTTGGAAGCGGTTCAGAAAGAGCATGGAGGCGATTCGCTCGCGCACGGCGCCGTCTACTGCAACCAGTCAAATTGAGGAGAGTGACTTTGCGAATGAAATCAGTCAGTCGGCAAATGCGGCGTATCTTCGTGCAGTAAAACGTCAACGGGTATTAGCACATATGCAGACGGAGCGGGGTGGTTCGTTCTTGGAGACCAAATGGGAGTTGGAGATTGGAAAAAGAAAGCGTGAGCGATTGGATGATTATTATCTGCATACAGTGCAGGTTGTACCCGATAGGTTACTAATTACCGGAACTAGGCAAACTCGTCGGTCGTCCTGAAGATCAACAATTGGTCGCGAATGGCCAGGAAGATGAAAATGAGGCGGATGGCGATAATCTGGCACAATCATTGGACGAATTCTCGCAACCTGTTGGCCTGACCGCAGCGGCCGACGCGGAGGAGAATAACACGTCTGATGATGATGATACCGACCGAAGTGCTGTTATTTCTGAGATTGTTGATCTGGCGATAGATGCGCAAGGTGGTCAGGTTTCAGCAGAAGTACGAGAACTTATTGCAAAGCAGGAACCAAGTCTAGTGCGATCGGCTCTGCGTATGAACTCTTTGGACGGCGAAGACGTGGCACTGTTGAGTGAATTCTTATCGCGGGCTCAAGCAAAACGAGCAGCGAACGCCGTAATGGCATCATGTGAAGAGAGTGAGGCTCGTCAAAAGATGGAAGTAAGCTCGCCAGCGGTACAGTCGCGCCGAGCTCTTGAGGAGCTGGATGTCAACTCGCCGTCTATTCAGAAACCAGTAATCTTGACTCCCGTCAAAACCGAGAAACTACCAGAATCTCCCGATGCATCAGAACCGACGAATGATGATACTAGAGACTTTACGTCGTCGCCAACAGTTGCATGTCGCCGTAGCACTCGCACGAAACCTACTACCCAGCAAACACGTAGTCTACGACCAGCAGTACCAAATCAGATTCCAGTACGACGTGCGAACGGGACGGAGTTTGTCTTTTTACAACGAACAGAAGCTCAAGAACTGGCGCTTACAACCCGCAAAAACACGCGCCGTAATAAGGGTAATGCGCTGCTTCCGAGATATTTGCTGCAGGCTATACTTAAGCACGAGCGAAAGGACGGAACAATGCAACCGTTTGCCCAGCTTGAAGAAAAGGATACATCTCGGCAGTCGCCTCGCAAGAGGTCTTCCAAACCCAAACAAGTGTGCTGGAAAGAAGATAAACTGGTTGAATATGCACCGGAGAAAATCTCGGTGTCAATTGAGTCTCCTTCTCCCAGCAAGAAGAAAAGCAGTTCGTCTCGACGTGAGGGAAGCAAGTCGACAGCAGCCACAACGCAAGCTCTACCAGCAACACCAAGCAAGAAGGTGCGCAGGATCAATCTGCCAGCTTCTAGTAGCGACGACACAAGCGCGCGAGCTTTCAAGCCCATGCCGGCTGGCACTCCGATTCCGAAACGTAAGAAGCTCACTCCAAGGTTGAAGAGTACTTCCGAGTCATCGTCTAGTCGTTCATCTAGAGATACTGTCCCTGCTGCAGCGCCAACCACAAAGACAGCTACGAAGCAGGCCCCAAGCAGTCAACAATCTCTGCCCAAGATCAGCGGCATCCCAAGAAGCAAAACGCTCATCAAACCCCCCGTATCTTCAACACCAGCAACATCTGCGGCAGGAGCGACACCAATAGTAAAACGAGTGCGAGCCAGGAGGGCGGCAGTATGAGTCTGATTTTGTTTGTTTAATTTCTTATTGACTGTAGTCCTGATCAGCAAGTTTAGTACAGTACTATTGATTGTTGATACCCCCCGATGTTGAGTTTTGTTATTCTTGTATGTGTTTAGCATGATAATTCTATTCCAGTTTTCGTGTAAGCATGGCTTATATATCACATAAATTGTTGCTCTAACATCAATCCGATATGGTGTAACGGTAACATAAGCCGCTTTCATCTGAGTTCCTCTGATACAACCGGCTAGCCCCGGGTTCGATTCCCGGTATCGGAATATGCGATCATCTTTTTTTATATTTTTTATATTATCCATATTTGATACTTTTAGCTTGATTATTGTTTATAAGGATTGATTAATTATAGGTTGTTTGTCATGTTGGCGATCTAAGCTTTTTTTTTATCTGCAATGAGATAGATGATATACAACTTCATTCTTTTTTGACCAAACGTCTCATAAATAACACTCATTAGATTCCAGAAACATGACATAGAGATTAAGCCTCATCGGCCCAAACATCATACCCAAAAGTATCCTTCATATTCACAAACCGGCAATGACGGTGATCAGCCACGGCATTGACAGCCGCAAAATCTTCATCGGACAATTCCACCGACTTGAAATTCGACTCAATTCTCGACGGGGTCGAGGATTTCGGTAACACGACGTATCCACGTCGAATACCCCATGCAATCAGCACTTGAGCCAGGGTATAACCGCGACGCTCAGCGATGGATTTGAGCGTCTCGTTTTCGCTGACTTTCTCGCCGGTGCTTGGGACTTGGTTCTGTGAACCTAGTGGGGAATAGGCCTCGGGGAGGATGTTGTTCTTGAATAGATATTCAACCAATTCCGTGTTGGGGAGGAAAGGGTGAATCTCGATTTGGTTGACGTGCGGCATCACCTTGGCGAAGGACTTCATTTGTTCGAGGCCCTTGATTGTCCAGTTCGAGACGCCAATGGCGCGGGCTTTTTTGGAGTCGTAGATGCTTTCCATGGCGCGCCAGGTTTCTTCTGGGTTCTCGGTCAGGTCTTTAAGGATAATGTACTATTCAATGTTAGCTATATTTTTGGGAGGGGGGGGCGGTTTGTACGAGGCAACGGTACCTTTCCATCAGGACCAATCTTGGGCATCCTCTTCTCATCCTTCTCGGCAGCAATGGGCCAATGCACCAGGAACAAATCAATATAATCCACCTTGAGATTCTTCAAAGAATTCTCAAACGACCAAATCACATCGTCGTAGCGATGCAAGTGATTCCACACTTTGGTGCAGATAAAGATATCCTCGCGCTTGACTGACGGGTTCTCCTTCAAGAAATCCTGAACCGCATCACCGACTTCGTCCTCATTGAGATAGAACCATGCGCAATCGAGGTGACGGTATCCGATGCGCAGCGCGTGGGTAACGGCCTTGTAGGTTTCGCCTTTTGCGCCTTCGTTGGCAAAAGTGCCGAAGCCGACGGCGGGGATTTTGACGCCGTTTTGGAGTGTGAATGTCTTGCCGTCCGACATTGTACTGTCAATATAACAATAAATAATACCTTGATGGAAAAAGTAATAGATCTGTATATGTACGTATTGGTCTAGGTGAACTATAGGGGAAGAATCAATTGATGAGGGAGAGGTGTAGGAGAAATGGCTTGGTGGCTGCGCGGGGTAGCTATGTATATTTTTTACCAAAGGACGGATTACATAGCTCCCAGGTACCTTTCTTTACCCAATGCCGCCAGTTGACCTGCGCAGAAGCTGTTGCATCATGGAATTTTCTTATTTTGTCTCATTTCCCACCTGTCTACCAATCCCGGAATCTGATCGAATGTCGTTATTGAATCATTCCGTCATGTTTCACGGACTGCTCCCTCGTTGACCCAACACCGTCCGGTAATCGCCGTACAGCTAGGTATTTTTCCTACCATTAAGAAATCTTTAAGAATCTTCCTGAGTTTCTTCTGGTCTAGCGAAAACTCTTCAACTTTGAGTCTCAACTATTGGAGGATCTTCCAGTTAAGTCAACCTGGAAAAGCAGTGCCATGACATCACCGCCCGTTGTGGATGGATCTTAGGGTTATCGTTACTCTATCCTCAACACTACGCTACCTACGGAGCAATACTGCATAGATAAGTGTCGTGTGAAGTAGTAATAGGATGGATGAACTGTCCCTCTACGTACTCTGTACTGTACTATGTATACAGCACATGCATGCTGTGCCCATCGCTTCATGTCTGAGCTCATACCGTTCCTAGACGGCTTGCTGCAGCTTCTGGGATCATTCCTTAGGGCAGCGCTAGCCCAGCATTAGGGTCTTGGTATCTCTGTGGCGCCCTTCAGATCTCCTAGTGGCGGCGCCGTACCCACCGACATATGTTCATGGCGTTACACGACTCGGAATGTCTTTTAGGACCACACACCACACAGCACACTGGTATAGTAGGCAGACCGACTGTCTATCATAGCCGAGGAACATTCTTATTATATATGCTATGCGTGGATCGCCTCTCCTAATGTGCCCCGGTGCCGTGCGCTGCTGATTCATGAGACTTGCAATGCAACAAGACATCAAGCATCCACTTTTTATGGGTCGCGTACTCCTCCTCTTCGCCGTCACGGCGCTCCAAGGTATCATCATACTGCCCGAGTCCTCGGTTCCTGACTGGTGTACCACTTCCAAATGGGTCCGTACTCCATCCCATCAGTCAGTCTATGCCCAAACCGTGGAAATCATGTCAGCGGCATGAGACTGATTGACAGACAGACATGCTGAATGACGGCATTACAACAGTTGTGATCCTGAGCTTGAATACTCGAGAATCATCGAGGCAATTCACTCGGGTAGACCAAAAGAAGCCGAAAGTCGGCATTATGCCACTCGGCTTGGAGCAGTCCGAAGAAGAATTTCGGTGAAAAGCCCATGATTCCTTATTGGGCGACCGAGGGCAACCGACCGAGCAAACCCTAACTGTCTTATTCTGAAAAGTCATCTCCAGCTGAACGAATAAAACTCCGTATTCCTCCGTAATAAGCCGCTCCAATCAGTCTGTTGCGACGAGATAGGGTGAACCACTCTTAGCATACAATGTCACCACAGCCTGGGAGAATCTCCCGCCAGATCCACATGTTTCAAGAAACGTAATTTACTAGTACATGGTTAGGTGATGACGATAATTCTTAGGGATGATGATACGCACCCAGTGGAGTACACCTAAACCGTTTTCAGCAGGGCCAACTAAGTATCGATATCGGTTTTAAGGAAATCCAGTCAATAATGATGATGATTTAGGGGAAACAAAAAAAAATAATTAAAAAAAATTAAAAAATAGCGAGCATGGAGATGGCTGCCTGCGTAAATAAATACCCTGGACGGCCCCGTCAATCCATGGTTCCTTTTCTGGTCGATAGAAATTCCCTTCTTGCCTACATTTCACCTTTCAACTCTTTGATTTCACTCAACATCTATTCTATTCTTATCATACCATCCAACCCAACTTGCCTTGACATATTATTTAAACGATAAAGGAAAACCTGCAACATGCCTCGCTTCGACGACTCCGATATTGGAGCCGATTTGACTCAAGTCCGCTCTCCTCGAGACAGCAGACCCAGCGTCGGCGGCATCACAGCTTCAGATGGCACGACCCTCCCCATCCCCGCAGACCCTCATCAATCTCAGTCCGGTCGCCGGGAAAGTGAAGTCGTCGAAGTGCCAGCTACACGCAGCTCCATCAGCGATGCCACTCAGTACATGCACAGCTTGAGCTTGCACCCGTCCATGCGGGAGAAGCGTGGCTCACGAAACTCCTTCGGCACTTCGCTGCCTATCCCCCGATCTCCCCGGCCTTCCCGTCTTTCCTCTGTAATCTCGGGCAAGGATGCTGCCAAAGCTGCCGTCTCTCGCGAGCTCCTGGCCTCTCAGGTCCAGGATATGGCCAAGGAGAAAGTGGCCGCTGCCAAGAACATGGCCTTCGCTTTTGATATTGACGGTGTCCTGGCTCACGGTAACCAAGCCATCCTCGAGGCCCGCGAGGCTTTGAAGATGCTGAACGGTGATAACGAATTGGGCATCAAGATTCCTTATATCCTCCTTACCAACGGTGGTGGTAAGACGGAAGAGGAGCGATGCCAGCAGTTGACCGATATCCTGGAGAGCCCCATCTCCGTGGATCAATTCATCCAGTCCCACACTCCCATGCAGGCTCTGTCTGAATACTACGAGACGGTCCTCGTTGTCGGTGGTGAGGGATACAAGTGCCGTGACGTCGCACAAAACTACGGCTTCAAGCACGTCTACACTCCCAAGGATGTTCTTGCCTGGGACCAGGAAGCCTCCCCCTGGAGGAACTTTACCGACGCGGATCGTGCCGGCGCTCACCCCGTCGACTTCCGCCGCGTCAAGTTCGATGCTATCCTCGTCTTTGCCGACTCACGTGACTACGCTACAGATATGCAGTTGATCATTGATTTGTTGCTCTCCGAGAACGGATACTTCGGTACCCGGTCCAAGAACCCCGAGTCCGGCAGCATCCCCATCTACTTCTCTCAAGGTGACATGGTCATGCCCACTCAATTCAAGGGGCCCCCACGATTGACCCAGGGTGCATTCCGTATCAGCATTGAAGCCCAATACAAAGCTCTGACCGGCACTGACCTCGAGCGAGTCGTCTACGGCAAGCCTGAATTAGCCACCTACAAGTACGCCGACGAGGTGCTCCAGGCCTGGATGGAAGAAATTCACAACGAGAACCGTCTTCCTCAAAACGTCTACATGATTGGCGACAACCCAGCCTCCGACATCATTGGTGGCAACATGTACGGCTGGAACACCTGTCTGGTTCGCACCGGTGTCTTCCAGGGCGGACCCGGCGAGAACGATCCGAACAGCCCGGCTAACTTTGGCGTGTTCGATAACGTTCTAGAGGCTGTCAAGGCGGTTGTGCGCAAGGAATTGGGCAAGGAGTTTAAATTTAAGTGGAATGAGAAGATCAACCCTGTTCTTCACGGCGGCGACGGTCTTTCTGCCGTTGAGTAATTGTTGTTTTGTTTAAAAAGGTTTTTTTTTGAACTTTTTTTTCTTGTTTTTGGAGTGGCGTTCGGAACTACTACTACTACAGGATGACAATTCTTGATGTTTTGACTCTGGTATACATTTCGGGTACAAATTTGCATGCATGGATATCCACGAACTTTGACGATAGAGAATATGATAAGATGCTTCATTTTTCATTTTTGTTTCTTCCCATTTTTTTTTTTTTTTCATTTTTTTTTTTTTTTGGGTTCCATGTCTCTTCCCCGGTTATCGAAAATGTCTAGAACGGTAGACAGGATTTCTAGGAAGATGACTGAATGAAGTAGTGCTGGCGTCATATCTGGAAACAAACTCCAAACCCAAAGACCTTGTCCGTAGAAAGACGAAGAATCTAGACTTGGTGATCATGATCTACGAGTTTTACAATCTCTTCAAATGAGGATGGCGCTTCTTGAGTCTTACCGCCAACAGACACAGCGGCAAATATCATGGTAGAGTTGGTTGATGGTAAATTTCACGTGGGGAATCATCAAAATATCTTCAAATTTAAGAAATTACCTGTTTTGGATATGGTCTTGCTACTTAGCATTTGATTGGTCCATATTCTTGGGACTGATGATGTCACCCGTAACATCACCCATACACACTATTACACAATATAAATTACCGCTAATCTCACTATGCAGCTTAGCGCATGCCCTAAGACCCACAAGTACCTACTAGAAATATCCACATGGTGCTCCTTTCCATTTCAGGCAATTTTATCAACCAACGGTCGTGCCGGAGATCTGTCTTCCGAGCATAGTTCAAGCGATCTTTGTATCGAATCAGACATAGATGTACTAGATCCTAGATGAGTGGTTTTCATCCCGGTCTGTCGGTGTGTTTCATTGTTTGTTGTGTAGATGTAACACTGTAGGGATTGTCTGATGGTTAAGATAACCTTGCAAGATAAGACAGATAAGGGTTGATAGAGCTTTGTGTATGTTAGGGCCCTATCACGCATACACGTCGAAGGAAACATCGATATCAATAGATGTGCTAGATCAATCTACCTTCATAATGACTTTTCCCAGATGTGACCCTCCATACATATACTCCAACGCTTCCCTCGCCTCCTCAAACCCAAACACACGATCAATCACAGGACGAACCTCAAACCGCTCCACATAAACCGTCCTAATCATCTCCTCAATCCTATCCTTAGGACCGACATTGATCCCCTTGAGAGTCGCATTCTTCCTTATCAAACTCAGGGCAATAGCTTGACCTGCACTTTCTGCGTTGGAGGTAGTACCGGAAAGCACGCCAATTGCGCTGATATTTCCACCTGCAGCTATGCATCGTATACTATGTTCCATTGTTGCGGGACCGCCTGTCTCGAAAATAATATCTGCGCCCTTTCCGGATGTGATGTTCAACACTTCGGTGGCCCAGTCGGGGTTTGTTTTGTAGTTGATTGTGTAGTCTGCGCCGAGTTGACGGGCACGTTCTAGTTTTGCGGCTGAAGAGGATGTGATTATAACTGTGACAACCAGTAAATCATGATGCTTGTATACTTCGAGGGGGTTAACGGAGAATACCAGTCAACCCCAGCGCCTTCGCCTGCTGCAACCCAGCTATAGAAACACCCCCTGTCCCAAGCAACAAAACAACAACCGCTTTCCCCCTTCTCGGCCTATCAATCTCCCGATCCCAATTCAGCGCCATCCACGCCGTAGTCGCTGCCGTGGGTAATGTGCATGCCTCATCAAGAGACATATACCCCGGCACACCAACTAACCCTTCAGCCGAGAATACTCGATACTCCGTCAGAACACCATTTTCCGGAATTCCGATTCCTGATGCTGCATGTTGAGCGGTTGTCGGTCCTGTTAGATGCGTAGGTCGCATTAGACTGATAACTCGATCACCTTTCGTCCATTTCCCTGTATCCGCAACGGAGTCGCTGACTTGTACTATGATACCGCTCGCATCGGAAGTTGGGACTAATGGGTGCGATGGAGTGGGATAGGAGTCTTTGAAATCCCCGTTTATGACTATGTATTACTGGTCAGTGTATCTCCCCAGCATCGGCTTTCTTTCGAGGTAGGGATACTTTTGGCGTCGCGATGGTTTAGGGCTACGCGGCTGATTTTGACGAGGACTTGGTCGTCTTTGAGGTCGATTGGTCGCGGGACTGTGGTTAACTTGAGGTTGTTGATTCCATCCATTAATGTTGTCCATTGTCTCATGGTGGTTGTATTTTCTGCCATCGTTGAAAGTTTATGTTTACTGCATGCTATATACCTATGCTATCAGGTAACTCAAGTGGGTTTTATATACCTAGAACGTAAGGTAGGTAGGTAGGTAGATGGTAGACGCTGACTAATTTCAGGGATAGTCTCCGGGTGGGATAACCAGCTGCCAGCCTATCATTGATAGTTAATCGTGCAATTGTTGGATTGTTGTCGTTAACGATCAGTTATTCTTGAGGTACGATCTGTTTAGCTTTAATCTAGCCTTGATGGTGGGCAGCACGTGCATTCTTCCTTCTCCTGTTATCCTGATTCCTCACACGGCATATGTGCGGATTAGCCCTAATTCGACAAACCATGGAGGCCGCAGGGTGCAGGGTTTTTTGGTAGGGCTGATACAACAACAACATAATCAACAAGGGGTTTACCCAATCGCAGAGTTTTAACATAAGTATCCTGCCGACTTCTAACCGCATAGATAGATAATTATCTCTTGTTGGTTGGCCGCTGGCAGTGGAATGCGATGGCTCCAAAACAGGAAATATCGAACCATCCGGATAATTTCCTTTTTGGGGACGCATATTGCTTTCCGGCGGGGGATGTTGGACGAACCCCTCCACGTCTTGCCTCAGATAGGAAGGAGAGCACAACGTTTAAATGAGCAGTATTACCTATATATAGAGACTAATTAAACCTCCTTTACTATCTAATCATTAAAAGCAAAAGAGCGAAAACAGACAAAATGGCGTCACCAAGCGACATCCGCGACGTCACTCTCACCTCTACATTCTGGACATCAATGCAAACCCGTTCTCGCGACATCACCATCCCAGCAATCATTCACGCCCAGAAATCTTTACAGCACTGGTACTGTCTAACATGGAAGGAAGGCCATGGAATCAAACCGCACCCGTTTTGGGATTCAGATATCTACAAAGTCACTGAAGCTGCTTGCTATTTTCTGTTGAAAAATGATGATCCCGTTTTGAGACAAGAAGTCGAGCACGCTGTTGATATGATTCGTGCGTCGCAGCATGAGGATGGGTATTTGAATTCGTATTATACTGTTAGAGGTATAAGTAAGAGGTGGACGAATGTGAGAGATATGCATGAATTGTATTGTCTGGGTCATTTGGTAGAAGCTTGCGTGGCCTATGAGACGTTGACGAACAGTAGACGACTTTTGGAACCTGTCATGAAGGCATTGAGGCATGTTGATTCGGTCTTTGGTCCCGAAGAAGGGAAACTTCATGGTTACCCTGGTCATCAAGAGATCGAAATCGGGTTATTGCGCCTTTACGATCTGACCAAAGATCCACTGACCCTTAAATTGGCTAAATATTTCATCCTGGAGCGAGGTCGAAAGGATGAGAATGGTGAGATCTTCTACGATCATGAATCGAGGGCGAGAGGAGGGGATCCATACGATCACATGAGTGCCGAGATGGTGAATTCTTACCTACATCCTAGATTTTATGAGTATCACCAAGCGCACGCACCGCTTGTCGAACAGGATGAGATTAAAGGCCATGCAGTACGCGCCATGTACTTTGTCACCGCAGCCACGGAGTTAGTCCGCTTGACAGGCGATACCCAAGTCAAAGCGGCCCTTGGCCGTTTGTGGCGAAGCACGGTCGACAAAAAGATGTATATTACTGGTGGAATCGGCACCATACGACAGTGTGAAGGGTTTGGACCGGAATATTTCTTGAGCGACACCGAAGAAAGCCAAGCCTGTTATGCTGAAACATGTGCTACCTTTGCTTTGATTGTCTGGTGCTCCAAGTTATTGCGTCAGGAACTCAAAGGCGAGTATGCGGATGTCATGGAGATCGCTTTGTACAACGGGTTTTTGGGTGCGGTTGGTCTGGACGGGAAATCATTCTATTATCAGAATCCATTGAGGACTCTTACTGGCCGTAAGAAGGAGCGCAGTACCTGGTTCGAAGTTGCCTGTTGTCCACCCAACGTCGCAAAATTATTGGCACAGCTTGAAACATTGATATATTCATATCAGCAAGATCTGGTTGCTATCCATCTTTGGATTGCGAGTGAATTCACCATCCCTGAGAGTAACGGCACTGTGATTTCGCAAACGACTAATCTCCCCTGGTCAGGTGATATTGAGCTCAAGGTCAACGGACCAAAAGCAGTGAAACTTGCACTCCGAATTCCGGACTGGGCAGTATCGAACTATACATGCTCAGTATCAGGTGGTGAGCTCAAGGACGGATATCTCTATCTCCCTGCTTTGACCAACACCACGATCAACTTGACCTTCCCCCTACAGCCACGCAAGGTCTATGCAAATCCCAGAACAGATAAGGATGAAATATGTATCATGCGCGGACCAATGGTCTACTGTATTGAGGATGTTGACAATCCCGGCGTCGATATTGATCATATTGCTCTGATAGATGGTCCCGTGGCTGATGCTCCTGCTGCAACAATCGCTGGGGTGGAGGATGTGGTGACTGTGAGTTCGCCTGGGAAGGAATTGGTTAATACCAATTGGTCATCATTGTATGGGTCAGAGGGATGGAAATATAGCGAGTCGACTAAACAGTTGACTTTCGTACCGTATTTTTTGAGGATGAACAGGGGCGGTAATGGTGGGATGAGAGTGTGGGTAAAGAGGATATGACCTGATTAGACTTGAGTGTTTCGATAAAATGTTTAGGGGTATTTACATGAATGTTATATCAATACTAAAATACGTAGCATGACCACTTTCTGTTCACTCCAGCTTCGAGATCATTGATTGATTGCTCACCAAGCGAGTCCCACTCCCAAGGGTTACGAAGGGCTAATACCCTGACGTTTTTGTGACTTATGACTTAATTGATGTTCGAGACATACGTGCCAGCTTCGCCATCAACCATCTTGGTTTGCTCCTTGATACCAAATTCAGCCGTAGGAATTCCCTGAGTGGAATGTCGACCTTAAGTAATGTGAAGAAAACTGTGAATCCGCATATGGCTACAGCAACAGCCCATGAAATACGAAGCTAATGGATATAACTGCTAACCACCTTTCCCTGCACGCTCTTTGGAAGCGAGATAATAAAGTCGCGGGCCGCGTTGCCGTGTGCTCTACCATTTCTCAGTGCAGCGCGAGTGACCGTATCGTCAATCTTCCAGATGTTCTGGTCGAAAATGTTATTGAAAACGGTCGCGGGGATGGTAACGCCCTGGATATCCCGGTATTACAAAAATAGGACCTGGTCGAGGTCAATACAGCATTGTTCTCATCAGTCAACTCCACTTGCACAGCGGATAGAAGGGGAGTCGTATTCCATGCTCATACTCCGCTTGTGTATTTAGTGGTCGCTAGTGCCGAACAGTCAAAGCCGTGTCTCTGCCACTACCATCTATCTCACATGGCCATGCTCAGGACGAGCAACTAGAGGCCAGAAAGCTTGACATCATCGACAACAGTATTTTGATATCTGACCAGCAGGACCCTCATAACTAGCAGTCCCAAGCTACCGATTTAGTACACCACAAACGATCATCGACTTTTCCATAGGCATTGACGGACCCTCCCACGGTCTTTCTTTCGGGGACTGGGCTGAGCTGTTCAGTCTCGGGTGCGATTACCATGAACTCGCACCTCTCACGCAGGATTGCATTCTTCAGTCGATTCCGGTCCATCTGCAGAGGACGTCGGTAGTGTCTCCTGTCTAGAGACGCGGTTGAACGGGTCGATGATATTCGCAACAGCAAAACCCTAAATAACACAGCTCGACGAGCGACCGCCTTAACAGAAAGAAGCGAGACGGTATTCGACAACTGCTAGATCTAAACGTCCGGCTATACGATTACGTAGCCAAGTTCCCGCTCGGAATAAAGCCTCCAGACAGAGTCCATTTTTTGGATGGGTGGCTGTCCGCGATCCAATTTGGGGGGGTTTCCCCTTTCTAATCATGCTTTTTAGTATACTCAGTCCATGGGCTGCAACGCAACGCAACGATCGTAGGCGACGACGCCAATATCTGGAATCCGTCGCGATGGGAGCGATGGGCGCCAAGTCGGGTCAGTTTCTTCCATTTAATATGGGCCCATCGACGAAATGTTCCGCATGACACAGTCGCTCATTGACATACTGAAAAGTCTATATCCAAGTACTAGCCCGCTCCGGATTTCGCGCCCGACCAGAGCACAGTCCTACTGATTCTGTTCTCCTCCAACCGCGTCTTTGACATCCACGAGGGGATTTTGGCCATATGTGTGGATGCATCCAGCATACGATTACACCTGTTACGTCTGACTCGCTGTTCTGCCACACACTAAGGACGTCTTATAGCTGGTCAAAGAGCTCAGACGCCATAAGGATTATGAGCAGCATCTGCATCGCGATGGCAGACAGCATTGGTGGCGCAAATGAGCCAAAGCGGAGCTGGGGTAGTGGTAGAGTCTTGCCATCTTCTTCCTCTAAAACTCGTGGACCAGTTCAAAGTAGTCTTGGTCATATTGAAGAAATTGATCTGACTTTCGGCACGCGGTCTTGTTTCCTAGTCTTCGCCGATAAGACAAAATCTGAAATGTGTCGGATGGCAACAGCTTTGATTGACGCACGCCTCAGCTGTTGCCGAACATGCCTAGCATGCATGGAAGTGGTTCTTTACAGAAGTTCATGTCTAATTCTTAAGCCGCTCTCCACCTCATCCTCTGTGTACATCCACCCAGCGCATGCTCAGTGCTTAGCATGAGTTAATGACTGAAGTATGATTATCACGTAACATTGCGTAAGCGGCAAGGAATTGCGATGGAGCAATCAGGGTCGCTACACATATCATTCACGTATATTGTACCTAGGTAGCAATCAGAAAGCCAGCTTCACAAATTGACCTGGTCGAAGCTAGGATGAATTTTGATTAGTAATTCTTCAAGAAAATTCCACAGCTCGGATCCGACGCGCATGGATATAAGAAGAAACGGAACAGCACTGCATCAGATTATGTCCAAAAAAAAGGTAGATCGAAGGACATTCGGTGTATCGGGGCTATCTTGTCCGGGTAAACGAAGATAGCTATGATGATAATCACGACGATATTGGCATGTTCATGGCCCAGAACGATAGAACGCTTGATTTGGGCGAGTGGATTGGAGAACGTGGACAAGTCGAGATAGGCAGATTGAAAGCCTAGGCTTACTGACGGCAACGATACCCTCGTCAACACAGTGGCAAGACTTCGGGAAGTGGAGCCTTTTCTTCACCGGCGTACTCAATCTTGAAAAGTGTGTTGAATCACGTTGTGGTGGAATAATGTCAGTAGTGTTGGTGTATATGACACTAAGAGTGGAAAAGAGAGAATAAAAATAGAGACAGCAGTTCGATTTCGTCAAGCCTAGAACTTAAGGCTAAAAAACACCCCTGAATCGCTCCAATAAAGGCCGCCGCTGTGATTGCCCAGACGATCCTTCTACTCCACTGCTCGTACCCTGTTGCGCTGCCGCAGCAGATGCTGCGTCTAAACGTCTTCTCAAATCTGCATATCTTTCACTATCCTCGCCATCTCCACCCACGCCATGCCCACTAGCGGCCGAGGAATTGCCGGTAGGACGTCTCGTCTCTTTCTCTCCGACTATCCAAGCTGGTACCCTCCAACTTCGGGACCCTGGTAGAATATCTGCACGCCATGAAGTTCCGATAGCCCATCCGACAAATGCCGGCAGGAGAGATGCTGGAAATTGGGACAGGGCTAGCTGCGCTGCAACAAGGTAGGTTGTTGACTTATCCGACAGTAATATTGTCAGGGAACGTTTGGAGTTGTCGTTGGCATTTTCCTCGTTTGATGACGTAGTATTCTGACGGTTTGCGCTTCCCCCGGTTGTCGAAATACGATATTTGAATGTATGAGGAATAGATGAGTGGTATTGCGCTAGAAGAGCAAACAGAACCGCTGTAGGTCCGGATGGTAGATAGTTCAAAGTGCCGAGCGACAGGGGTCGCAGCACAAGGGCGAGAAAGAGAGGTGTGATGATCGTAGTATAAGGCAGGACGGTCACTAAGAACGTCTGCCAAGTAGAATGTTAGCCATTCGGGTCACTTATACAGCCGGATCGGAATACTCACGGCTAACTTCCTAGATCCCCAAATGCGCTCAACCACCCGCATATGGTATGCAAGCATTGCAGCAAACAAAACCTCCGTCGAATTGGCATACCCCGCTACCTGCCAGAGAAAGATACGCGAGAATTGTCCATATCGCCATAAGTGGATGTCAACAAGGATATGAGCGAGATATTTGACGTCGAATATGGATAAAGCAATTGACGATACGACTATGTAGATGACCAGCGATTTGGAGACTGGAGCGTTCGCGAAGCCGGAAGACAACATGTTACAGATCAATTTTTCTGGCGAGCCAAGATAAAAGTGCTGAAGATTCAGCTTAGTTACTTCGTAGATCCGTTGATCTAGATTGACGTATATTTATCAATGCGAATATAGGCGATAGCGGAGTGATGATGTTGACGTGGCGCTTATTGTCGCAGATACGATAGCTCCATAGCACGCCGTTGAGTCCAATTGACTTGCAGTCGTCGTGATTAGTAAGTATCAGTGCGTAGCAGCTGCGACGACAATCCTAAGATAGTGTATGAGGCGTTCGTGGGTGTTTGCAGAGTACATAGTAAGATGTCGTGAATTGTGACTTGGCTGCATTAGGATTCGGGGCCGGCAGGACATGTGACTTCGGGCCAAATTAGCCAATTATCGAGATCCCGACTCTTTTTTTTTCCCAACCTCGGCAGTCTCAACGTTCCAGCTACACATTGACCAGTTATCGCTCTGGAATCAGTCAGCACCCACGGGCCAAACTTGTGCGTGAAGTGTGATTCTTCATCAGTATTGTTGTCGATTCTCGAACCGGTAGACGCAGACGCGGGATGTTGCGGCCCAACCGGAGAGACATGGAAACGGCCAAGAGGACTACGAAGCAGATAGGCTTCTTGGCCTGCAGCACAACCCTGTAAATGGGCCGGTTTTCGTGGCAGTATCGGGTTGCCGAGAGTAAGCAGAACCGAATCCGTTACTGCATGGCACGTTGACGCCGATATATATCCTACCTACGGAGTATGTAGGCCTTATCCACCCAGGATGGACGCCCAGCCTTACTCGGGTCTCAAAGGGCTTGGAACATGTGTCGATCACCGCAGGAGGAAGGTTTCTTCAAACTTTTTTTTCGGATCCCTGGCGATCATCCGCTATGACCACCCTGGCCTTCAAATCCAATCATTGAGGACCGTTAGCACCACGCACTCGCGTTTTCGGTCTAGATCCTCACATTGCTAAACGCTATGGCTGTTCTTCGTCATCTTTGAATCTTTGATACAATTATCAAGCCCTGCACTTCCCTTTTTGAGGATTTGCAGTGGCTTCTCGAGACTTTCAAGATAAGACGTATGCAAGAGAGACCACCACACTTCGGGAATTATATCGATATGAGGCAACTCGAATACGTATGCTTTTTGCTTTTGGGTTGCAGTTACAAAAATTCTCATACATATCTCTCCGCCTCTCAAATCCCGAGACTAAAACGTGCTATCTCTGCTTCTGCTAATATGCCGTCGCGCATACTTATTCGTCACCCCTGTCACATAGGTTACATTCTCGCAGCCATACGGAAAATATTGGCGGAACTTTTGTGGAAAAAGGTTTGAAGATATGTATCTGGATGCCTGCAATTGCTTGAGACTAACCTAGATAGTGTAACTGATCTGCGCAATGAGTAAGATAAGGAAGCGTTAGAAACCTGAATGATGATCCCCCTGCCCGATCTTCTGTTGCCTCCCCTCCCCTCCCCTTTCTCGTCGATGGCATGAAGATCATATATAGGGACCGTATTCACCACGTTTGACTGCTGCAATTTCTCAGAATTCAGCTTCAGATCAATCATTAGGATCATACTTCCCAAGCTTTCGATGTAGCAAACTATCTTGTATTGTCAACAAGAGAGATTGCAATTACAACTTGGTTATCTTAATATTGATTACACGTCCAGTGCCCCGCAGCAAGCGGCACAAAATGCCTGAGGTGATTTCCAAAGAACCAGCAGTGCTGGTATCTGCCTCCTCGTCCGTGACGGGACTGGCAGGGCCCAGCCTTAAAGAACCAGCAGTCCAGGTCTCTGCCTCTTCATCTTCATCAGTGACAGAGGCCGAACCACCTTATCACATCCTCTCAAAGAGGCAAAAATGGAATCTTGTTATCTTTGTTTCTCTAGCAGGTGCCTTCTCGCCTCTATCTTCCAACATCTATTTCCCTTCTATTGACACCATATCCCACGACCTCAATGTGAATACGTCTCTAGTTGCTTTAACCATCACTGTTTACATGATTGTCCAAGGTATTGCGCCTTCCATCTTCGGTACTTTCTCGGATACCTGTGGTCGTCGTCTCACGTTCGCGATCAGTTTGACCATATACACGGCTGCCAATCTGGCTCTTGCTTTCACCTCTAACTATCCTATGCTGATGGTTCTGCGAGGTGTACAGGCCGGAGGATCTGCAGCTACTATCAGTATCAGTGCTGGTGTGATTGCCGACATTGCCAATCCCGATGAACGTGGCGGATTTATGGGGACGAATGCTGGTGTGCGGTAGGTCACAGCTCTGTCCTAGATGTCTTGATCATATCACTAATTCATGAAATAGCATGACCGGCCAAGCTATCGGACCGATTATCGGAGGTCTATTGAACAGTGCATGGGGCTTCAGAAGCATCTTCTGGCTCCTATTCGTCATGAGCGTGATGGTTCTCAGTGCCCTTCTCATTTTCCTACCCGAGACGCAACGAAGCAAAGCAGGAAACGGGAGCGTCCCCCTTTCAGGTTTCCAGAAACCACTGATATATTACTTCAAACCACCAAAAGCATGGGCAAATTATCAGTCTTCGGGAAATGCAACAGAAAAAGGTGCATCACAGAAGCCAGGTCCCAAAATCAACTTCAGGAAAGCATTTTCTCCTATGGTCTACCTCTTCGAGAAGGATATTGCAGCACTCCTCGCATGGGGTGCGGTGGCATACACAGCCTGGAGCATGGTGACATCTTCCACCACGACACTGCTTCTGCACAGTTTCCCGTATCTGAAACAGTGGCAAATCGGTCTCTGCTTTCTACCAAATGGACTTGGCTGTGTTTGTGGCTCCCTCAGTACCGGTTGGTTGCTAGACCAAAGCTTCAGACGTGCTCAGGCTCGCTTCAAGGAGCAACACAACATCCCCGCCGAAGAAAGCGTGGTGAAAAGATCGGATTTTCCTTACATAAAGGCTCGGTTGCGTCTCGTGCCCCTTTTCAGCATCATTCTCATGGTAGCCCTTGTTCTTTACGGGCCAAGTTACAAGATCAACGAGTTGCATAGACATTACAGCCCCAATCTCGCCGCTCCGCTCATTCTCCAATTCATTATTGCGTTTTCATCTACGTCGATCTTCAATATCAATTCCACCGTGTTGATTGATTGCTTCCCCGATCGACCTGCCAGTGCGACTGCACTTAATAACCTGTGTCGCTGTCTGTTGGGTGCGGCTGGAGTCAGTGTCATCCAACCATTGATTAATACTTTGAGAGCTGCGAAAGCTTTCTCCGTTGTGTCTGGGGCGGTGTTACTGTGCACACCGTTGATTTGGATTGAATGGAAATATGGTGAGAAATGGAGGCGAGAGCGAGAGAAGAGGTTTGCGGCGAGGGAAGGAGATAACTGATTCTTTTTTTCTTCTCCGAAAAGAGTTATGAACATATTAGATCGGGTTTCAAAAGTGGAGGATACCTAGACTATAGAGTGCTAGAAGTGCGATAGATTAGATTTTGACGTTTGCATAATGTACCTAAGTACCGGAGTTCGATTTTGATATAACAATGCATGATACTTTCTTCTTACATTGAAGTGACAACAATACAATCTACCAATTTATAGAGCTCTGGCCTAAGATGGTAAGACCTGAAACCCTACCTACAGGAAAATATCGAGAGGGAGGCATCCCAGACATTGAGTAACCCCCGCTACAGGTATTGATCACCGACACCATGTAAAGGTAGCCCTAGCCAATATTTCGGGGAAATGGATTTCAAAACCAAAACCAGCATAACAATTTTTCAAACAGATATCCTCTCTTCCGGAAGACTGTAGGTGATATAATTATAGTGAAGACACTGCCTTAACATTGTGTCCAGCAACCATCGTTTCCGCCGCAGCACCATGCAGCCTATAAAGGACAACCTGTCAGTAACAATAACAAACCAATACAAGTGTCCATAGTATATATTCAAGCTTACACAGGGATACTATATAAACAGTCAGTCAAATACCAATAAACATCCCGTAATATCTCGAAAGTAAAGGGCAACTCACCGAGCCACCACATCTTTCCTTCGGCTCATCGCAGCAGTAACCTTTATCTCCAAAGCAGACATTTGAACCGTCACAACCGGCAAGTGCGGAAGTGGTGAATAATGCAAAGATGATCAGGAGGCCTTTCATTATGTATGTTGGAAGAGGAGGTAATCGGCTTGGACTTTGAGGTTTGTAGTAGCTCTGTTGGATGATTAATATGGACTCGAAAACAGGATCGTCACTGTTATTTATATTTTCTTCCGTCCAAGAGGACTACAGAAATCCATGGATGTAGATAAGGTCCTGCTGAGATCGAACTGCTTTGCAACCATACAGTGAGGTATGTAGTAGTATAGAGTCGCCTTGAGTTGGTTACGATGGACGTTGGTTGGTTTTGGGGGCTAGTTCTTCAGTCTGTAATTCTGATTCTATCTAGTGCTTTGACAGAGACCCTCGTGGGTATCAAGATCGACGACCAAGAGACTTAGATATCTAAACAGGAGTTGTCAACGGCAAATAATGTGCCGTATAAGTGGTAAGTTCGGGTTGGGTTGGTATGTCTGCTACTTAACTGTCATCTACCTAGCATATAAAAAGCCCTTGGAGTCAGCAGGGACTGCGGTCAAGGTCACATAAAGATAAATGTTTCATTTGGGTAATGTGATAACAAATCAATACTCCATATCTCGAAAGATAAGGGGACTTCCAAGGTTGGATCTAGTATGGAGCGCAAAAAGGTAAGATTCCGAGGCTGAGTTAGGGCTTCGATGACCCGGCCCTAAATGAATACGAAGACTAGACCCCTGGACACTTATCCAGACTATGACAGTATAGTTTTGAATAAATGACAGGATATCACCTGACTCACGTAGACGCCTGCTTCGGTGCCATATTGGGACTAGCCCGTTTAGGCGAGGTGTTGATATCAATCCTGGACCTCCTCACCACTTAGCTAGAGCACACATGACAACATATCTATGAGCCTACAAAACCTTTATCAGGCTGTGCGCCAGGTTCGTTCCTGAGTTTTCATTGGCGGAACGCTACAAGCAATGATCTCTTGTGGATCTCGGCTGACCTAGGATGCAGTAAATCTGTACTCGCTAAGTCCTTGATCGATGGTGTGTTTGCGGCCTCAAACTCGGATGTCTCCATTATGTACTTCTTTTTCAAGGACAACGACGAGCAGAACAATCTTACTACTGCGTTATGTGCTGTACTTCATCAACTGTTCAGCATGCAATCCCAACTATTGCGATATGCATTACCATTCTGGGAAAGAAATCAAGAGAAGATTCAGTTTGAAGTGGACGACATGTGGCGCATTTTCATGGCTACTACATCCGATCCAGCATTTTGGAATACGATTTGCGTGTTTGATGCTCTCGATGAGTGCCGTGATCAAGACCAAAAACAGCTAATTGAGAGACTTCGTGAATTTTATGACCGACCTCTGCATAGGCAAGGAAATTGGTTAAAGTTTCTCATCACAAGTCGACCATATGATGATATTCAAGATCTTTTCGGCCACTGACTGAGTCTTTCCCGCAGATCCGTCTCTGTGGTGAAGAAGAGAATGATCAAATTCAAAAAGAAATAAATCTGGTAGTAAAAGTCAGTGACTGAACTCGGAAAAGACCTGGGGCTGCGGACGGACACACAAGAGCGGCTCGAAAAGGAGCTATACGGAATGAAGCATCCGCACATACCTTTGGTTGTACCTAGCAGTCGATGATATCAAAAGAACGTTGAAAAATAGTCTTCGGCCAGACCGTGAAACAATTCCACCGCTTCCAAAGAATGTCCCTGAAGCATACGAAAGAATACTCAATCGAGTTCCTTCGGACCAAAAAGCAAAGGTGGAAACTATTTTGCAAATTATTGTTGGTGCGCGACGTCCACTAACTGTTCAGGAGATGGCTATGGCTTTGGGGTTAGCGACGACCCTAGGTGCAGAAACTGCAAAGGAGGCAGGTCTGAACCCTAGTGGATTAGATAAAAAGATACGGCAACTCTGTGGGCTGTTTGTTTTCATCAAGGAATCCAAGATTTATGTCATCCATCAGACTGCAAGGGAGTTCCTTATTAGCAAACACGATAGATACGCTAGCTTTAAATGGTGTCTTGAGCAGCGCAAAACAGAGATACAAATGACTGAAATATGCGTTAAATACCTTCTTATGAATGACGTGGTCAGTGACGATAGAAAATATATAAGGAGCTTACTTGATTATTCTGCAGAAAATTGGGCTGATAATTTTCGAGACGTACTATCTCCAGAAGATGGGCTAGTGGATTGGGTCTGGAGACTATACGATGTTACCACCTGTCAATTTCATCTGTGGTTTCCCAACTTTTGGAAAACAGCAATGCCGTATCATGGGGACCCCAAAATGGAGGCATTACATTTAGCTGCATTTAATGGCCATCAAGACATTGTGCGTCGGATTGCTTTGAATGAGAGAGGTGCAATTGATAAGACCGACAGGTCAGGAACAAATGCATTCCAGTGGGCTTGTGTACAGGGATGTTCTAGGGTCGTCGAACAACTACTGGAAATGGGAGCAAATGCCAATGCTCAGGGAAAAGAATATGGCAATGCTCTCCAAGCTGCTGCTGCTAGAGGACATCTTGATATCGTTCAACGACTCATCGAAAACGGAGCCAATATCAATGCTGAGGGAGGAGATTATCATAATGCTTTCCAAGCTGCTGCTGCTGGAGGACACCTTGAGATCGTTCAACAACTTATTGAAAATGGAGCAGATGTCAATGCCCAGGGTGGAAAGTTCGGCAATGCTCTTTATGCTGCTGTTTCTGGAGAAGATCTTGAGATTGTTCAACGACTCCTTAAAAATGGGGCGGATGTCAATGCTCAGGGTGGAGAGCTTGACACTGTTCTCCAAGCTGCTGCTCGAGGAGGACATCTTGAGACCGTCAAGCGACTACTGGAAAATGGAGCCAATATCAATGCTGAGGGAGGAGATTATCATAATGCTCTCCAAGCTGCTGCTGCGGGGGACATCTTGAGATCGTTCAAGGACTCATCGAAAATGGAGCATATATCAATGCTCTCTACGCTGCTGTTGCTGGAGGAGATCTTGAGATTGTTCAACAACTCATCGAAAATGGAGCAGATGTCAATGCTCAGGGTGAAGAGTTCGGCAATGCACTCCAAGTTGCTGCTGCTGGAGGTCATCGTGGTATTATACAGATATTGCAGAACTCCAATTAGCTAATTCTTGGGCAACAACTTAACTTCACTCATGAACATAGAGGATATCATTCCTCTGTTTGCCTATAGTTGTCTACCATCGATCCGGTGGAATATGTGGCTTATCTACAGGCAGAAAGTCATGTTAATAGTAGTATTCCCTTGATCATTCCAGTCTATTCTACGATACGTTTCTAGATCAGGACGAAACGACGGCTATTCATGGTTCTTGACCCGTCTCGTCCTACTTTGGTTCATCAACGCCTTCAGTTTTTTAGAATAGCGCAGACACCAGCTGCTCCTGTATGGAAATTTTCGCGAGAATCGATCCTTGATCTTGTCCCAAATGAGCTCTTGAACCTTCAACTCAACAATAAATGCATCCTCCTCAGGCGTGAATCGAATCCTTGTCGCGGGACAGGCCGTCTGCTGATATGGCCGAGGAGATTCTATTTGTCTGCTTGCGACCGATGATGAAAGATGCGTCTGTGACAACTCCAAGCAATAGATGACCTCAAATCCACTAGATCGTAATCGAAGAAAACCCTGGACGGGAATCGGCTCACTCTCTGCGCTCATATCTTCCGGCAGTGACTCCGGCCGCTTAGCACGTAGAAACTAGAAAAGTTAGAACGCATACTAAACATATAAATTTTAGCAAAGCAATGTAATAAGTTACTTCGCTGGATTTCAATTTGCCAAGACAATAGGGCTCATCAGCCGGTCATTCCTGTAGTCTAACAGCCTCAACTGAGACTAATCACTATCAAAGATTGAGTTTAGGCTCTAAATATATTGCCATCATACTATCATCAAGGATATATAAAGCCAAATAACTAATGAGAGTTTATACCACTGCTTGACCAAGGTATAATGTAGTCAATAACTATCCAATCCTCAAGCATGCCAGCTTCAATCCATAGCCACCTTTTTTTAATCAATTGCAATGCTCATCGACATTGTTATATTCCCCGAGGAACTTAATACCTCATCATTTCTGCAGAAACTAAATCGACTGGGCCAGTACCATTCCAATGCCGTTCACTGGATATTGGCACACCTCGACCTACTGCAATATTGGAAACTCTATCAAACCTATCATACTACTGAGACTGCAGTCTATAGGGAACACGTTATCAAATAGTGTCAAAGAAAGCACACTACAACCTGTGATAAGTTAGTTCATGTCGTAAAGCTTGGTTGGCAGGTAAGTCAGATCAGAGTAAACTCCTCACCGAACTAAGATTTGGTGGTATTCTGCTAACGAGAGTGCCACAAAGACGAGTGTCGAGTCATATCAGGAAGATAATAAGAGAGAAGTAACTGTGTTGACTAGCTTAGAGTGATCCGTGTACAGTATGTACTCTTATACCCTAGGTTGTACAGTTAATAAAAGACAGTAGAGTAAAACTATATACAGGGTAAATGAGCTTTCTTTTGTACTCCTCATATCGAACCACCTTAATTCACTAACGAAGCAGCATGCTTCGCCATAGCGCAGTATGCTGCTTCGTTAGTCACGTGATCATGTAACCCTATCATAGTCACCTTTTGCTTCGGGCTCCCTTGTTCCGTCATGCAGTAGTGCTGTTAGCTTTACTAATTCATCGGCTGTGACTTCTTGGTTCTTATGACAGTTCAGTCATTGTTGGAGAAGTTTGGCGTGGGCGGAAAACCCAGGAGAAAAAAGGCTGGCATCGATTCTCTGGTATATGGGCGAGGAGGTGATGTCAGCAAGATGTAGGTTTCCGAAGTTTGAATCAATTTTTTGTACTTGTTCTTTTGCTTTTTAAGTATCAGTTAATTCCATCGATTCACAAGCATCGAATTTGAAGCAAAGCATGGTACAGAAAATGCCACCTATGTATGAACGTGGAAATGTCGTGTCGGATGTAGAGGATGTTTCTCTTTCACCTGCCTCCTGACACGCGCATCTTTCATTACGACCCGCAATGCCCTCTGGAAAGTCTCCTGCCTCCCTGAGAAGACCAATATAAAAAAAACCTGAAATGTTGAGGAGAATCAAGTATTTAGCTGGAGTAGGTAAAGTTCTGAAAGAAGATGAGAGAAGGGCCATGATCAGGGCTATAAATAAGTAGACTCACCATCTCAACAGCATTACAGGGCTGCATACTCCCTTTTGGCATGTACTGGATAGACTGAGTGCTTCATAGATGGCCCGGGTAATCAGTGAGATACCACACTCGCTGAACAGCTCAGGAAGCCTGAGTCTTGGACTGAAATTCACTCAGTGAGCCTGACTGTGAGCCCCCTCACACAAGCGGCCGCTGCTAAGGGAGAAAAATCCCACCGAGCAAAGGAAATATGGTACGTAGAGCTACCTAGGTATTCACATCTATAATATTGTTTTAATACAACCCCAAATAATAAAGATCAGTAGATAAGCTCATAAAGTCATAGAATCCTCTCTAGCAGACGCAGCCGTCGCCTCAGCCAATGCCTGATTATACTTATCAACCGCCAAATTCAGCGCCGCTATAGTCGGCGCAAGTAACTGATTAACCACTTTCTCCCCACCACCAACACCAGCAAGATTAACACGGATTTTCTTCCCTGTTGCCGCAAAGACTTCACGCGCGTGTTGTTTTAATTTATTGATTTCCGTCTCCTTTTCGGTTTCTGCATTCGCGGCGACGGATTCAATGCGTTCTATTGCGCGTTTGAGGGATTCAACGAGTGAAGCGAGTTCGCCGGCGCGGTCAGGGTTGCCGGATAAGAAGGCGTTCCAGAATTGGTTCAGAAATTCGGTGGAGGTTGCGTGTGTGAGGGAAAGACGGTCGAATAATGTTGATGATAGACCCCATGTCCCCGAGTCGGAGGTCACGTCGGCTTGTGCTCGTCGTTCACGGATAATGTCAAAGATTTCCCTCGAGGCCTTTTGCATATTGACCTTTGATCCAACTACTCGTCTGGCTTTTGCTTCATCATCTTCGTCATCCTCATCTTCACCCGGTTCGACAATCTTCCCCAGATGAAACGATCCGTCAGCGGGCAGAGTCTGCTCAAGATCGGTCTGTAGAGAAACTATAATCTCCTTCGGATCACGCTGTGCAAATAATGCATTTTTCTTCTCATTGCCATCCTTTTCCTTATCCTGACCAAAAAACCGGCTTTGGTCGCGGATATTCAGGATAATTCGGCTCCGTTCTTCATCTCCCTTGAGATCTCGTAATAGTAATTGGTTATATGTCTCTTCATCCATTCCAACCGGCGCTGACGGGTCACCGTCAGCCGGTGCCACATTGGCCATGATACTTTCACTCAATGCATTCAGGGTCCGGATAATAGGCACTTTATCAATCGAAGCAGGTCGCATATCGAAATCAGGACGGTTTCCCTGCCGTTGACTGTGATTGACCTCATTCCCAGCAAGATCAATGAAATGCGGTACCTGAGCATCCCTGACGCGGTCGGCATGTTCATCAACTTTTAAATATTTGTCCAAAATCGCATCCGTAGCGTCAGAATCAGAGACACGTTCTCCTCGAAGCTTTTTGAATAATCGACTCTGGAAAAATCGTGACCAAAACTGTTGTTCGCTTAATTTCGGGACATTCTCATCATACACTTTCTTAACCAAGGGATGCTGATTGAAAATGAGCTGAATCTGCTCCTTGGTAATATTCAGTTTCGTAACGTTATTGTCTGTACGAGGTTTCAAAGTCGACAACACGTTATACGAGCCTCTCGTCTGCGCTCTCTCAATCGCATGAGCCCGCAATAGATGGACTCTACTCGACCAAAACTGAGACGCAAACTGACCAACCGACAATGTTTCCGGTCTTGTACGGAGTGACTCCGTAAACATCCGTTGCAGATTCGCATCAGATTTGAGTAGGGACTGCTGCAATTCAGCATCCGCTTTTAATTTATCATCATTATCCCAGATCGCTTGCCCCTTTCCAGAAGATGAGATTGCGTTCGCCATGGCCATTGCTGCTGATAATCCTTCGCCGGTGGATGTTTCACCACCCGCCGTCGCAGGAGCCGCAGGCAGCGCGGACGAAGCTGCTTTTGCTGCTGCTATGGCGGAACTGAGAACATCCTTGATCGCGTCTGCTTCGGCACGGGCGTTGGTGCCAGATGTAAATGTGAAGACGTATTGTTCTTGAGTATCGTTTTGTTGGGCGAAGATTCGTAACATGACTTTGGGATTAGTTGCAGGGGTTTGCTGTAAATCTGTATCCAAATATCAGTAACGACCATAGTCTCCTCATATGGGCAGATTAACAATACTGGTCATATTCTGCACATTCACAATCACTGCACTCCCAGCACCTCCTGCCGCTGGTATCCATGATATCGATTTATGATCCTTCGAAACTGTAAGGGTGCCATCTTTCTTTTTGTATGAAGCTGACGCAGATGGAGTCGCCATTTCGATCACAACTTCTCGTGAAAGATTATTCAAAACAACTCGGTAGAGCTAGCTTTTCACGGTATTGGAACCGGATTTCGAATACTGCTTCCCCCACCACCACCGTCCATCGGGAAAGTGAGATTGTGAGCGTCTGTATGGCGAGAGCTGTAGAATATGTCGTCGTTGTGCGGAATCGAGCTGTGAGAATGCGTTGTGCTGGTGTATGAGAAATTGATGTTGGACTGGAAAAGAGCTCTAGGTGAGATGATCTCGGGAGGCTAGAACGCTCTCCGTCATTTCTCGACAAAGTCACGTGCACAACAACTTCTCCAAGAAGCAGGACATAAAAATTTAACACAGTAATCTCAATTATATTTGCTATCAGAGAGCGAGACTTTTTAATGCAATTATTAATAATGACAATAACTGTAGCAATCATTTGGGGTCATATTTCGTTGGCGCTAGTAATGATGCAACAACATACACACTTTTGATATCAAAACGCTAACTCACAGGAAGCAAGAGTGAAGAATTTTGGGAATAGAAATAACAGCGCCGCTAGCAAATAATCTATGCATAGTCGAAATAATTCAATCGTTTCGGCATCGAAAAACTTGCAGAACGCTTCGATAATCCAACAACTCCGGAGCATGCCGTATGCAAGTCAACAAGGCAGAAAATCAATCACTTTTTAAACATGTAGTGACCATAGATACCTCCCACTTCACCAACAGTGACAGGGATCTTCCTCATTCCCCACCACCGAGCTCCCATCTTCCACGAGCGAGAACCGTCGTCTATCGTCCACTCGCCAGCCCCTTCGGTTTTGATAGGTTCCCGCACATACCAGCCTCGACGACCAAGTTCACGAAGAGACCAGCCGTTTGATTTTGCGGATTTTGTGCGGTCGCGGAGAGGGATCATGAGCTTGTCGCCTAGTTCGATGACTTCCAGTGGAAGGCTTTGAGGGGAGACCAGGACGCAGAGTCTGGGGTTGAAAAGTGTCTGCAAGGTAATGGAGGCCACTTTGCTAACGTCCAGGTAGTGGAGAGTAGATGGTTGCCACCTTTTCTCAGACTCGGAATCTTGAGGGACGAAGAATGAATTAAGATCACTGGGAGATAAATCTGCGCCACTGAGTCCCAGTTCCTCCAGATGTTTGGCCAGAGGGAGCAGAAGTGGAACGTGCTCAGATGTGATTCGTGCGCCGTTCAGGTTCAAAGATCGCAGAGTCGATGGTAGTTTTGGGAGGAGAGCAGTGACATCGTCAGATTCAAGAAGACGGTAGCGGGAAGGATCGCTCATCAAGTTGAGATAGACCAACGACTCGGTAACGGCGGGGTGGGTTGTCAAAAAGTTCACAACCTGTGAGCCGGAAAGTCGCAAGCATTTTGAAAGGTTCAAATGGGTGATTTGAGCAGTAGTTGGCAGGGACAACAGAGCTGTCGCAGTGACTTGTGTCCGTCCAAGATCCAAATGAGTCACGTTGACCAATCGTGGCAGTAGTTTCTCAAAGATGGCAGAGGGTAATCCACTGCACTCGTGCAAAGATAGTCTTTTCAGCTGCGGCAAGTATAGAGGGATGGTGGAATCCCCTGAGAACGCTTCCATAAAGCCCGTTGAAAAGGTCTGCGAAGAGCATCCACAAAAATCGACAGTGCGCAGCTTGGGCAGACCACCGAATATCTTTTGCACAACTGCGGTGTTAATGTCGGTCTCCAGATGCTCCTGGAAGAGTCCCTCCATCAGGTTTGGAAGTAGATCCAAGCATTGTAAAAGCGTCTTGGAAGTCAAGTTTTGAATTTCGGCGTTCATTTGTCGCGTCCGACCCAGTCCTACCGAGGTAAAATGCGAGAAGTCCAGGCGACGAACAATAGTCCCCAAGGCTGGAAATTGAATGAGATGCTTGAGCAGCTTAGAAAAGATGACTGAATGAGGGATGGTGATGTTGCGGTAGAGGACACTGAGGGTTGCCGAGTGGAGAGTACGAGATGTCAACAAGCAAGAAATAAGATCGACATTTCGTGGCGTGTAGCCATTTGGTGGAAGTTCCACGGCCAGATAGGATATGATTTGGACTAAGTTTGAATGTTAGCATCTTCAGCTGCCTCCCTATACACCTCATAAACTTACTGAGTACTTCAACAGGGAGATCTTCGATAGTCAGTCGTGCGCGTCTCGGCTCGATTTCTGCGGGCACCTCTTTGATCGTTGGACGTGAGCCCGTCGTATCCCACATCCAACCTGTCGAGGAGCTCCTGTGACCCAGAAGACTGAGATCGCTATAGCTCTTGCTCATCTTTCGTCCTCGCAAGCGGATCTGCTTCCAGCCCATGAATCCCCCGCAGGGACAGCAGAATTCGGGCATCTGATCGACAGCGGCCGCCATGTCAGACGTAATATGACCGCTGTCGTCCTTCAACTTGGTGGTTGTATCTAGAAAGCTCTGTGCGATTCCGTCAATATCTTCCTTGACAGAGCCAAAGGATGCTCGTCGAACGCCACTTGAAGACCTGGAGTGAGATCTGGAGCGTGACCCTGATGAGTCTCTGTGATATTGAGGGATGGAACCCTCTTTGCTCTTGGACGGACGAGTAGTATGAGACTGGGATAGAGACGGCTCCATCTTTGCCGACAAGGGAGTCATCTTTATATAGACGGGAGCAAGCGGCGTCCCAAGCCAATCAAAAACAGATACCCCGGATTCTTGCGAAAGTTTCGACCAGATCACCGAATTCAATTTAGTAGAAAATAAGGCGAAGAAGGATCAGGAAGAGGGGCAGGTCGCAAGTTTGGATGTTGTTAGTCACAGAAACCGTGGATTTGCTGCTAAGATGTGCGGCTGCCGTCGGACAAGAAGTCAGTCTTTTCTTTGCTAAACAGATGCGCTGTTCTTTCTGATGGCGTCAGAAGCTCAGTTATTTTTCCTTTTTCTTTCTCGATAATCGACTAAAATATGCAGAGAGGCGGATACAACGTACTGGGTCTCTATAGACTCTTTTGGTTTGGGAATTTTGTACGGCACATGACTAGCCAAGCCCCAGCTTGTTATGACTCAACTTTTGTTTCTTCTGGTAACTATAACTAAGTCCGTCAGAGCCGAGTCGTTTATACTGTAGTTTTGCCTTCTGTCAGATGTGGCTGGCCAAGGGGGCAAAGGAATGAAAAGGAAAAGGAAAAGAAAAAAAAAGCCCTTGAACGATGGCAAATCCGTTATCCACTCGGCCCACTGCCAACCAGAAGTTCTACTCAACTATCTACTACATAGTAAGCAGTAGGAAGCTTACATTTCAATCAGAACTGAGAAGAATATAAGAATGGTGCAATAGCAACCCATCCCACAGTCGTGCATTTCATTGACATAATAGAAACCGTTGGCGACAAATTGCATCAACTGGCTGTACCATAGTACAATATATGATGAATCCGAACATCCGACCACGATGCTTATACTCGATGAGGAAGTTTTTCCCATAGAAAGCAGTACGTAATCTCAAAAAGAATAGTTAACTAGTTAGCTAACTTACCCCAGAGTTCAGTCACTACTTACATAACAAGAACTCTCTGTGCCAATACTACTACCACATGGAACCTGGGCCAACATGCCAGGAATTCTTATTGTATCCTCGTGACTTACTCCAGTAGATCAGTCCGGCCGTAAAGGTCTATGAGAGGAAATCAGCTGATACTGGGATACATTTCCACTATTGACCAGCTTACTCCGCAAATTGATCAGAGCTCCCCGACCCATTCGCTTTACTAGTACGGAGTAGTTAGTTACTAGTAACTAGCTTACTTAGTTAGTAGCTAACTTAACTATTGTTGGGAACTTGGGATTCTAATGGATCGGCTTTTCTGCCTGGCGTATGTAAGGTACTGGACAAACAGGGTTAGGGTTAGGGTATACTAGACTGAGATTGATAATTGATTTCATTCAAACAGCTGGACACAGAAACACAAAACACTGACAAGCCAAGAATAGCCTGTAATTGGCAACTCATGTAATAATCCTATCTAGTCGAGACTCGACCACGCTTCATACTCTCCTTACACTCGGTGCAATACCATTTCACTATACTCAATCAGCATCGTCCAGAAAGAAAGGAAGAGAGAAGACTCACCATTCCGTCCAGGCGGTTTTGCCAACCCCACACACGACAAATGGAACCACTCCGTCGGACAAGCATCATTATCGCACGCAACCATCTCTCCGAAACTGACCTGATTGCAATAACAGTACCGCGGCTCACTCTCGTCATCTTCATCGTCACCCTCGCGGGATGATTCTTCCTCTTCTTCTTGTTGCGCAGCCTTGGCTTTGTATGCTGCCGAGACAGTGCTGTTGCTCTTTTTGTGCGTGTTGCGTTTCGTAGTCGAGACTGTGGTTGTCTCTGAGTTGTTGTTGTTGTTGTTGTTGCCGCCACCGTTGTTATTATTATTGTTGTTGCGTGAAGACCGGACTCTGGTTTGTGACTCGGAGAATGTAGACACCACCGGAGTCGATGTCTTGGATGAACGGCCCTTGGCAGAGACAATCGTGGGGAGGACAGGTGACATCTGTCCTGCGGAATTGACAGCGTCCAACGGCTTCATATTATCTAACCGGTTCTCCTTGTCAAGCGCCAGAGTTGCTTTTGTGTCCACAGCATCAGTGTTGGCATCTGCTGATCGAATATCTCCAGGGTCCAGTTGAGGTATCTTTTCTTGCGCAGGGTCCTCTGCCGAAACATTGGCCTTGGAATCCAGTGGGTGAACTGCTAATGTTCCCGGATTAGCATACTGGCTATCGAAGGGACCATCTCCAGATAAAGGTAACGTACTGTTGCTATTTGTGCGATTAGTTGCCGAAGGTGGTCGTTGGCGAGAACCAGTCGTCGATTGCTGAGCACGAGAAGATTGTGGCCTAGGTCCTGGGCTCGGAGCACTCCTGGGGGGATTGAAAGTTCCAATGACAGGGGGAGACGGCGCCGAAGGTAAATCCACAGTTGACGTAACGGTGTTATTCCTACAAGTCGCATAAACGACAATCAGTAAAAAAAACAGCTTTTCTCAATATCAACAAGACATACCTCTTGCGACCAGCAGTGGAAACAGCATTCGGCCCTCGGGCTCTCTTTTTAGCTTCAGTACCGGCACTATCTTTGGAAGCCGTGCGTCCATTATTCGTGACAGTGCTGGTAGACCGTTCCATCGCAGCACTACCCGTCTGCATGGCGGCTGGTTTTTCCACAACCCTCCTTCGCTTCGAGACGGGAGCAGCAGCTCCAGAGTCCGCACCATCACCACCCGCACCACGGCCCTTGCCAGTACCCTTGCGTTGTGCTACAGGACGGGTTTCATCAAAATCCGACTCCGCCTGACCACGACGTTGTTTCCGTGCTGCCGCTTCCCGTCGAACCTCGCTTCGATGAGCCGCGACTTCCGCTTCATGCAGAGCTTGAACAAGGTGCGTAGTCGCCGTAGCAGCTTCGCGACGAGGACGTTCCGTTGTAGTCTTTGCCGCAGCCTTAGCAGTAGCCCGATTCGAATAGGCCCAGTGAGTGAGGCTACCCAGTCTAGCCTCTTCGCTAACTTCTGTGGTGATGTATGGATAGACGGCGTCGAGGCGATACAACTGGTGGTCAAGTTCCTCATTTGCGTTTGTCAAGACGTGATTTTTCTCGTCGGCGGTCAACATGAGGTCAGATAGGGTGCGGCGAATACGATCAAAGAGCAGGCGACGTTGTTTACTTTCTTGCGACTCGACATTTTGCGGGTCATTCTGCCAATATTAGTTAGCTTAAATAAGATATAAACATGTCAAAACATATAAGCTAGTATAACTTACCATATGTGCATACTCCCTCACCTCCCCATCAACGATCGGCGCCGGATTTTGCGGAAAAGGCACCGGTCGCGAATTCGACGCCGTCAACAGTAACTGATGTAAATTATCCTCCAACGCCCAAGCCTTTGCATCAACCTCCTTCAAAAGCGAATTATGCCGACGAAACTCTCTCGGCAACGCCGTAATCGCATCGGTGAAATGCGTTAGAGCCGGAAACAGGCCATGAGGAATGTTGTTGGCTGCTGCTGACTGAGCAGCAGCGTCATCGGCAGAGGATTGACCGTAGTAGGGGAATGAGCGAGCGGCAGTTTTGGAGACGCGCGATGGGTTCGTACGAGTTTGACGAGCGGTGGTGCGATTTCCTGGAGCTTGGGAGGTCGGATTGAGGGCGGTCGCGCCGTTGGTGAAAGCTGAAGCCATGCTGATGGAAGATGAGGATGAGCTCGAATGAGCAAAATCAGAGCGACGGAAACAGATATACTGCAAGTATTTGTGAAATCAAAGATTAACCTGCCCTAGACCACCGCAGAACACAGAAAAATCAAACAACATGGGCGGCGTCAGAAGATGCAGCAGTGTAGGCGAGAGAACGATTCTTCTCTAGACAAAGGCGGTTGCCGCAAGTCCGTGTCCAAAAGCGGTTAGCTCCGGCGATAAGCTGATTAACTTTTTTAATCTTACAACTTCAATATTATATAGAAATAAATAATACAGATGCATTGCTATCACAAAGTAAATATGCTGGAAACAGACGAATTATCAGTTTTACATGAGGATATGATACACCAGACACAAAACTGCCCGGTATTCAGTTCTATAAAAAGCAAAGGAGCTGTAACCAGACCCTTGACATATAATCAACCACCATTTACTCCCCCTTAAGATGGTCCTGATGCACGCTGAAAGCATCCTCTAACAAATCTTGCTCTTCCTTGACGTGGCTGGCCTTGAGACCCGTGGCGACAGAAGCACTTGGAGCACGACCGGCGTACAGGACGTGGCGACGGTTGTGGTGCTCGGTAGCATTGAGCAAGGTCTCAATACGGGGCTGGACGAAACTCCAGGCACCGGCGTTGAGAGGCTCTTCTTGAGCCCAGACGATATCCTTGGCGTTGGGGTAGCTGTCCAAGTTCTCCTTCAATTGAGCCCAGGGGAAGGGGTTAAGTTGCTCAACACGGGTGATGGCAGTGTTGCGGATACCGTTGGCTTCACGGTGCTTGATAAGGGCTGCATAGACTTGGCCAGAGCACATAATGACGCGCTCAATCTTTTCGGGCTCATCAATCGAGGTACCGTGGGCCTCGTCGGGGATGATCCAGCGGAAGTGAGAGTCGCCAGTGAATTCTTCAATGTCGGAACGAGCAATAGGATGACGCAACAAGGATTTCGAGAAGAAGATAATGAGTGCTGTGAAATAAATTAGCTGAGATGATAAATAAGAGAAGAGAAGACTTACGTTTACGGAATTGACGGTTGATCTGACGACGCAAAATGTGGAACAAGTTGGATGGAGAAGTCATGCAAACAATCTGCATGTTGCAGTCCTGGTGTTGACGGTCGAGCTTGTCAGGTGAAGGGAAGACACGAGGCTCTTCGTTACACAATTGCAACCAACGTTCCATGCGTCCAGAAGAGTGCTCAGGACCTTGACCATCGTAACCGTGAGGAAGCGACACGACCAAACCAGAACGTTGCAACCATTTCACTTCACCAGAGGCAATGAACTGATCGATAATACACTGAGCGTTGTTGGCAAAGTCACCGAACTGAGCTTCCCACATGACAAGGGCGTTGGGAGAGGTCAAAGAGTAGCCGTATTCGAAACCGAGCCTATACCCATCAGCAACTGATAAGACACAAATCAGACAAGAAATACTTACACGCCGAACTCGCTTAGAGACGAGTTGGAGATGACGAATGTGCCTTGGTCTTGGCTAATATGCTGCAGAGGAGTGTAGGTAGCTTCATTCTCCTGGTCGTGGAGAACAGCGTGACGCTGAGAGAAAGTACCACGCTCAACATCCTGTCCAGAAACACGAACGTGGTGACCCTCCTTGACCAAAGTACCAAAGGCAAGAGCCTCTGCGGTAGCCCAGTCAATGTTCTTACCGTCGTCAATAGCCTTCTTCCTGTTGCCCAAGATACGCTTGAGGTTGCGGTGGACATTGAAGCCATCGGGAGCTCCACCAATCTTGTCACCAATAGACTTCAAAATCTCGGCGTCAACCCCTGTGGGCAAATGAGGCAAGACCTCAGTGGCCAACTCCTTAGGGCTCTTGAATCCGTTCCATGCAGACGTCAACCATTCCTTACCAGTGGGCTGGTAGTCCTTGCTACGGTCGAAGCTGTCGTTCAACATACCCCAAACCCACTTCTTGTGCTCGTCAATGTCCTCCTTGGTGAATGTACCCTCGGAAATGAGCTTGTCAACGTAGATGTCGAGCTGGGCCTTCTTCTCGGCGATACGCTTGTACATCAGAGGCTGAGTGAAAGATGGTTGATCAGTCTCGTTGTGGCCTTGCTTACGGTAGCAGACGATATCAATGACGACGTCGCGCTTGAACTCGGCGCGCCAATCGGCAGCAACCTGGCAAACGTAGTTGACAGCTTCGACATCATCGCCGTTAACGTGGAAGACAGGAGCGTCAATAGCCTTGGCGATATCGGAGCAGTAAGGAGTAGAACGAGCAAATCGAGGATCAGTCGTGAAACCAATCTGGTTGTTAACAACAATGTGGACGGTACCACCAGTAGAGTAAGCGGGGAGAGAGTGGAAGCCCATAGTCTCGTACACAATACCCTGCGCAGCAAAAGCAGCGTCACCGTGCAACAAGACTCCCATGGCAGTGTTGAAATCCTTCTCGTCTCCGTTATAGTGCTGAATGGCGCGAGTCTTGCCAAGGACAACAGGGTCTTCAGCTTCCAAGTGAGACGGGTTGGCAACCAGGGACAACTGGACACGCTTTCCGGAGGGAGTAGGACGCTCAAAGTTCATGCCAAGGTGGTATTTGACATCACCGGAGCCTTCATCGGAAGGCTCGGCGGAACCAGAGAATTCACTGAAGATAGATTCATTGGGCTTGCGGACGACATTGGAAAGAACATTCAAACGACCACGATGAGGCATTCCGATAACGATGTCTTTGATTCCGTAATCGACACTGCGGTCAATAAGAGCCTTCATACCAGGGACCAAAGTCTCACAACCTTCCAAACCGAAACGCTTGTCGTTGGGGAATTTGGTAGCCAAGAAAGCTTCGAAGCTGGAACTCCAGATCAGACGGTCCAGGATACGGCGCTTCTCGTCGACGGAATACTTGTAAGGTTGGGGGATTTCAAAGCGGTCACGAATCCAGTCGCAGGGTTTACGGTCAGGGATATGGATATACTCGACACCGTAGGAACCGCAGTAGATCTTCTCGCATGCAGCAATAATCTCTCGTAGAGTCATCTTCTTGCGAGACTCGGTCTCGAAACGAGGCAAGATACCAGGACCAAGAGTAAACTCCTGGTCAAGATCTCTCTCAGTAAATCCATAGTGATCGAGTTCCAACTCCTTGGGACGGTTGTAACCAAAAGCCTCTGCCTCGCCACGGATACCTAGAGGGTCGGTCTTGGATTTGTGGTGACCACGAGCCTGGTAAGCGCGAACAAGAAGCTGCACCTTCAAATGGTTTGTCAAGTCATGTCCGGCAGCATGCATATGCTGTGGCACGCCTCCGACGGGAGTAGGGACGATGGTTGGGGGAGGTTGGAAGGCTTGCGAGATGGGCATATCGCCATTTTCCATGTTCTTGAAATACGTTTGCCAGGAGATGTGTACACTGGAAGGATCGTTACGCCAGGCAAGGTACATCTCGTCGATGTAGTTTGCGGTGTTTCCCTGGAGGAATGAATCATTGGGATCCTACATTGGTTCTCGCGAATTGCGCAACGACGCGCAGCGAGAGTATATTAGCTTCAAAAAAAATATCGTCACATTGGCCGAGAAAGAGGCTTCTTACCACTCCCCGCGAAGTCTCCTCTGCACTCTGTGCATATTCTCTCCGGCCAGCCAAAACACGATCCACAACAGCCAACGGTCTCCTAGCAGTCAATTGCAAATTTGATCGTGCACCAAGGGCATTGGTCTTGGAGGTAGCAAGGGAATGAGACCGGCGACACGCGGAGCAAGCAGAGCTGCCACGCAGCAACAAGCTACTGCTCGTCGCCTGTTTTGAAGCGATGGCTCTGAGCATCTTTGTGTTGTTGAAAACAAATGAATCTGAACAAAAAAGGAGAAATTTCACTGTTGCTGTGAAGGCATGTAAACTGAGCTTTCCCTTTTTTCCTTGATGGAAAACGCGGCAAGAAAGGAAAGCAAGCGATTAAGGAATAGGAGTGGAGAGATTTCCTTTCCCTTCAATTAACTGCCCTTTCCAATAAAGTTCGGAGGACAGAACAAACAAAGAATATAGTCAAATAATGAGGAATACCAAGAAGACAAGGTATGTCAATGATTTGGTTAGGGAGTGCGTAGTATGGAGTAAGAAGAATTAGTTGACTAGCGGACTAGAATCCGAAGTTGCGAAGATCGGATTGAGCCGGGAATGATGTCGATTCGGCTATGCTTGGTATCACTTCCGTCTGTGCCGTAGAGCCGCCAACTGTTAAACTGGTTAAACGTCGAGAATAACCACGATTGAAGAGGGCACCAAGTGAAAAACTCTTGTCTGAGGCATATATAGTCCTTGAAACCTGCACATGATGATTCTGCAACTCTGTCCTTGCCGCTGATTGGGGGTACTACATACAAAATGCGCCATTTTCTAGGCTTCTCCTGTGGCGCATACAAGTTTCTCCTTATATTCGCTGCTGTCTGATTGGGCGCTCTGCTGTGTCAGGTAATCGACTTAGTCACGAATTACGTTACTTGAACAGAGCGCTCACGATGCTTTTTCAAGCGAAAAGAAGAAAGACAAATATTATATAGATGTATTAGTATATACATGCAGACATAAAGAGAACATCCACCGTGGGTGCAGCCAATGCAACACACAAATACCTCCCAAAATGCCATGTAGCAGATCAAAAATCAACTACGCGAATATCAAAGATTAATTCGATTAAATGCATATCATCACATTCATGAATTCGTAGATGAGCTGATCAGGCAGTATTACCAGCCGAACTGCGTCTCTCACCACCCGTCAACCTGTCGAGCGTAACGGTCGGACTCTCAGGTAGACTCTGACCCTCCGACAAGGGCGGCTGATTCATTATACCGCTGTTATAATAATAAACTCCACTGAAACCAGAACCGCCATTATCATACTGCTGTTGTTGCTGGAATCCCATCTCCGGATTCAAATCCACGGGGCTGTCCTCCGGGATACTGAGGAAACTGCCTCGATTCGATGCACCCACCGGTCCAGGTTGAGGCGATAAACTCCCCGTACTGCGAAGACTGCCGTTGCTACCCCCAAAAGCACCTCGACGAAGTTTCATAAGTGCTCCGAGAGTCATGTCTTCTTCATTATATTCCATATCAACCAATTGCGACAGTCCGGGATTGGGCTGTTGCTGCTGCTGCTGTACGGCAGCAGGCCCATGCGTGGTCAGCGAAATGATGGAGTTTCGAGTGCTCCATTCACTACGTTCAGTGATGGGAGTCAAGCTCGGTTCACGAAAGTTTGCGCCGCCGCTGTGACTGCGATTGAGGGCTCCTGCGCCCGAAACGCCAAAGTAACCGCCGTAGATCGGCTCGTCGTTGCAATTCTCGTTATTGGAACGGGCATAAAACCCAAATTCCTGCCCGTAGAACCCTTCGTCGTCATTCTCCAGGGCCTCTGCATTGGCTTCAGCGATGATGAGATCATCGTCAAATCCATCATCGTCGTCATAATTGAAGTCATCGAAAACCTCATCGTCGAACCCCGAATGCTGGCTGCTCAACCGGTTGTCATCCGAGACCAGACCGGGATGCGATTCTGCAAGGTGAGAATTACTTCCCTGACCAAGTGAATTCTCACTCAGGCTGGTATTTCGTTGTAAATTACCCGCAGCGGCTTCATCAGCCACTCGGGCCAAGGCACTATGAAACGCTTCCAGATTGTGTTCAGAAAGTACACCGCCTGGTGCTTTTGCGGTCTCTATGTTACCTGCACCTGCACCTGCACCGCCAGTGGGTTTTGACGGGGGAGGTCCATTCCGAAAGTCCCAAGACTCCGGACGAAACTCACTCGCTAAGCTGGGGACATGTCTCATCCGAGATTCCGTGGTTTCCGGTTCGTCTCCTTGCAAAGCTACCGGTATCTTGGTACCAGGATAGAACTGGCGTTCGTATAGTTGGCCGGTGTCGTCGTCGAATATGGACTCATCGAATTTATCGTTTTCCTCGTTCTCCGGTAATTCGCCAAAATCTCCGTCGTCAAAATACATGTCGTCTTCATCCTCTTCTATAAGCGGGAGTGACTGTCCAATGGCGGCCGCTATTGTTGTTGTCAGGTTGCCCACAGCAGTTCCTTGAGCACTATTCTCGTTCTGGACGATTCCTTGATCTTCAATTGAAGTGTTTATATTTAATGGTGCTGGCATATCCACCTGCACATCACCACCAGTAAGCATACCCGACGCCGAATAACCAGGCGTAATCGGACTAGCAGCAATAGTAGGCAGCATCGGAACAAACGTAGACTGCTCAGAAGAAGTCTTGACCACCCCTGAAAACCCCTGGAACTCGTCGCCATACATATCATCCGCATCAGCATTGACCCCCGGTATCCGCTCCTCGAACGCGCCATCATCTTCCATGGCATCGTAATCAAAGTCGTCGTCATCGTAATCACTGAAACTTGATCGTTCTTGTTGCGCTTTTTCTCTGCGAGCGGCTTCTTTTTCCTTGTGTTTCTCTTCTAATAGTCTCTCCTGTACGGAGGATCCTACACCATTCATATCGAAGCTGAATCGTGACGCATCACTTTTCAGACGGATGGGGATACTGGAAGCTTGTCCCGTGGCTTCCATTGACTTTCGCGGATTGGATCGTGGCGTGGCTTGAACTGAAGGTCCAGGTAAAGGTGTTACGGAAATGGTCTCGCTATGCTCGTTCTCACTCTTCTCGACTTCAATCGGTTGATGATGGTTCTCATCATGCTCCGGCAGACTAGACGGCAACCTGCGCGCAAATTCAGGCAAATCAGCCACGTCAGGACTCCCTGTCCCTGCCTCTGTCAACAAAGATGACTGCAAAAAACCCTTGTTTTCCACCTGTAAGACTTTGCCATCTTCTTCGAAATGTTCTTTGAATACAGGCGAATGTTCACTGTGGCGCGTGGCTGCACTAGATGGCAAACTGCTCTTCTTAGCCAATTCATTACTACCGTCTCTCCCTGCTAATTGAGGTCGTGGTCGTGGCGCAGAAAAGTCATGGACAATACTACCGCGGATTCGAGGATCATAGTCGTCCGGAATGGCAGGTACCAAATTCCGGCCACCTTCATCAACGCGAGATCCGATGAACTGAGAAGACCTTCGCCGAGCCAGGAGAGACATGGGATTCAGAAGATGACGTTTGGTCTTGCCATGTTTCTGTTGACTCGTATGTTCATGCTGCGATTGCAATTGCTGCTCATGATCTCGTCCAGATAGAGAGCTCTCCATTTCCTTCAATGTAACACCCCCAATAAACCCCAGCTCCCCATCCACATTTGTATTAATCCGTAAATCTTTGCCAACAGTTTTCCTCGGTCGTGCCCCTCGATGTTCCTCAGCTTGTGCATTAGTCCCATTGCGATTGAATCCCAACCTCCACGACCCATTATTCGACTTTTGCTGTGAATGTACATCCGGCTGAATCGAATTGGTATTCGAAGGCGAGGACGCCTGAACCGGTTCCGCAGACACCAATGTCTCTTCTTGCCTCCCCGTATTCCCCGGGCTCGAATGAGGCCTGACAGCCAGATTATCCGTAGATGACGCAGACGGCACTCGAAGATTATTATAAGAATGTTGCGAACTCAAGGTAGATGACAAGCCCTTATCTTCACCCCCACTACCACCACCACCACCGAGAAACACAACGGATTCCGGCCGATGCTCAAACTGGGGTGAGTCCTGCGTTTCAATAAACGTTCCATTCAATGCTGTTGTCGTTGGAAGTCCTGGTAGACGCGGAGGGCCGTTTGTAGTATAAGCGGTAGTCGGCGAATATGCTGCTCCTCCTCCTGCTGCTGCTGCTGTTGTCGGTCCAACGGGCGACACCGAACCACGCGCAGGGCTTGGTCGACGATGATCGCGACGCCAATACGAGAAAACGGTGGACGGCGGCATTGTCGCTGATTGTATCAGCGGTCCGACTTGGAATGTCCGCGTCCGGTGCGAAAACGGGAAATGTTGCACCGCTTAGGGTGTCGCCGATAACTAGATCTTCATTGTCGTTGTGATAGGGCAGCAATCACTTTGTGTAATGCGACAAGCTGCAGAATATGAAGTAATATATCGCACGGAAAAATAGAAATGAGGAGGAATTAGCCTGCTGTCACTGGCATTTAGATCAGATCATCTGTTGTCGCTGCTTAACCAGTCCCACACGTGTGGCCTGCATATACGATCTTGGTTATAGCCAAAAAAGAACGTTCTAGAGGTCGTGGGCCTTGAAAATGTTCAATGTAATGACAATATAAGAGAGGACAAATAGTGGAACTCTTCGATGAAGGTCGAGAATAATATAAATTAAAAAAAAAGATGACATGTAAGTCATAAGGGTTAACTTGGTTAACTTAGTGGGCAGAATTCTCAACATGTTTCAGTATAGAGTTACCGCATCCCGGGTCAGCCGAGATCCACAAGAGACCATTGCTTGTGGTGTTCCACCAGCGCAGATACTCAGGGCTCTTCAGTACCCACTAACACATTCCTTCCACTGGGTTTGGATTGATACTTTGATCTTTTTATAAGCTGCAGCTGTTGCAGCAGCATACGGCTGCCACACGCTATTTTATGGGAGTCAGCGTAGTCGTAGATACCTCGAATAAAAAGGCAGGGAAATGAATCTATCAGCCCTAAGATGACAATCAGTCATAGTAGACCACAATGTGAATACTTTAGTTCACCAGCAGCTTCTATCTTAAAACATAGAATGTTTCCCTTCAATGTCCACTAGTCTCTTGGGATAGCATTCTTCATCACTTGGTCTGCAGACTGCAGACCTAATAATCTCATAATAAATCTTAGGAACTATATCAGACTGACTGTTTCTTTTAATCATATTTGCATTATCACAGCCCGCAATGATCCCTATATGACTTCCTTCCTTGCATATGAACAATGTCTGATCAAAAGAGACGATCCTTCTCCAAACCAGGATGTTGGAAACGTATCATGGCTGGGTTGTTTGTAAGTATTTTCAATAACAACTTAGGAATTTTGTGGTGTCCCCGAATATGATTGGCCTGGAGGCTGAAGCTGAGAGACTGCATTCAAAACGATACGCTGTGAAGAAGCACCTAGCAAATCTATGTACTATGTAGTAAATAGCGTACAGCGTGGCTGCGCCGTTAGCCGTAAGAGGCCTCAGTAGCGGCCATTTTCAACATCGATTTCACAGGTCCTCATATTCTAGGTGTAATAGTATAAGCCCGGTCATTGTTCGTGATGTAGATATGATTCAAATCTCAGGCCTTAGAGCCTTCAATATGGGAGGACTATTCTAACATTGCATCCCGTGCCCCTAAATACCTGACTATCATCGATCGATGCGATGCTGGGTTTCTTTTCCAACATAGTGCAGTGGTTATTAGTTAATTGCGTAGCACTGTAAACTTAATACACGGAAATACAGGACGGATCTGCAGAACTTATGCAAGTCTTGGGTTCCTGAATGTTTACATCTCCCGTCCAAATGCGCCCATGAAAATTCCACGGACGGGTCCCATGGGAGTTGGAGAGGTCTAACAATCTAGGCCACTTCGCGCTTTTCCATGCCCTCAAGGGCGCTCTCTTGGCTTCCTCAATTCCATCATTCAACTCCCGCGTCGTCGTTCTATCCGCCGCAGGCTATCGACAATCCAAACCAGGTTCGACGATTACGTCTTCGACAATCGCCCAGAAGAATATCAGCCTCTTCTCGGCTACGCCCACTCAAGAATCGCCAACGTCTATACGGCGACTGAGATCAAGCACCGTTTCGCTTCCCAGGGCTTGCACGCTACGGCCGTGAATCCGGGCCTGGTTGGCGGCTGTGGGTAAGGAGTGGGAGGGGATGGGAGGGAAGTTTTTGGAGAGTGTGCAGGTTAGTCCGCCTGCGGATGAGAGTAAAGGTCCGGTGAGTCCCGGGTATGTTGAGTACGCGTATGATGAGGATGCGGCGAAGAGCTTGTGGGAGGATAGTCTGAAGATGGTTGGGTTGGAGTAGTTGTCTATGATGTTGTAAGGCTTACAATCATGCAGCATCATGTATTAGGAGGTGAAACAGAGTATATAATAAATGGAGCGTACAAGAACTCTGCCCCCGATTCCTCCGGCTTCCAAAGTCAATCTGCATATGCTGAACCTATTTCACCAAACCTCTCATCAAGTCAACCCCTGAAAGTGCGTCACTAAGCACAGAGAGCGTTTCCTGGAACAGCCTTTGCTGGGTCTCTTGTCCTTCAGGGGACGCAAAGACCTTGTTGAAACCCGAGGAACCCTCATGAGATCGATGGAGCGCACTAGCGCAAAGACCTGGGTTGACGCCGTTGACGGTGACATCGCTTCCGACTTTGGTGCTGAGTTCGCGCAACCAGAGCAAATCGAGAAGCTTGCTTACGTTGTAGCGATCCATGCTTCCTTTCTTGGATGAGCTGGGGTTGTCGAGTTCCTCGATGATATTGGACGCCTTCTGTTCGTTGAAGTCAGTCCAGAAATGCACCTCGGATGTGACAATTGTCAGTCGGCTCGGTGTTCCTGTGGATCTGGCGGTCGCTTGGAGAGGGGAGAAGGAGAAGGGAGAGGGCGGCGGTGCCGAGATTATTGACCTATATTAATAGGATTGGTGACTTTTATTTTGGTGGGTATGGAGCACAAGCACCTACCTGCACATGAGCTTCATGACCTGTTTTGGACTTGATATAGTCCAGATACTTGACACCAGCCGACAAGATAACAATATCCAAGCGGTCAAGTGTCTGAGCGCGCTCGCCAAAGCTTCTGATGCTCTCGAATGACTCGTAGTCCAGCTCCCAGACTTGAACATCGCATGTAGGGCTCTGTTCTAGAATTACCTTCTTCGCAGCTTCGCCTTTGGAGACATTCCGGGCTGCGAGAATCAGGCGGGTCAATCCATGTGCTGCCAACTCCCTGCTAGCCTTCAATCCTAGACCGACATTGGCACCGGTAATGATGGCTGTCTTGCCATCAAGACGGACACTCGAGGGGATGGGTTTAGGCTTGAAGGTGAGTTGCCGGTAGAGAAAACCTAGTTGGCCGCCCATCGTGACTTTTTGACGGGAGATTGGGGGATCGGAACGATGAGTTGATGAAGCAAGTGATAAAATCATGAATTTAAAATAACAAAATGAGAAAATAAAGCCATCATCTTTGAAGCTTTGCTGGGGCCCACAACCATATCGGATTTGATTGCTCTCTACCGACAAGTTTCGGTCGAAATGCAGCAGACCCCTGTCCTGACCTTTGTTACTTTCTTTGGTCTCAACTTTCCATTCATCAACCAACCAGGATCCGCTAACCACGTAGGCAATGCATAACTACATAGTACATAACACGTATTATACTATTAACTGGATGTTGTCCCCGGTGATTACGCCTCGCTGCCCTTGCATTTCCGAACGCCGATAGATGCGGATAGATGTAGGCTTGATATAGTATTGAAGACTTGCATACGGCCTTGGCTTAAAATGGAAATTCCTTTTCTCTTTCTTTCAAGGCTACCTAGGCGCTTTATACGGATGTAAAGTGCATTATAGCTAATTGGAATGGGATGAAACGTGCTTGCAAGGAAAAACGGAACGGTATAAAATCGGGCAAACGAACATTCCATGATAGAGTCAAGAAGAAAAGGAAGAATATGAATCTTGATTACCGCAATGGGTGGACATATTGGTCGGGTGGTATGTACCTATGCTCTGGAATTAATCTGACAAGAATTCGTAGAATACAATTGGCTTGATAGAGTTCCCAGAGTCCAGACAATTCTTGAGACTGCCTAGGGCAAATTGACAAAACAGGTGTAGTCTCGAGGAAGAATGATTATGGATGACTACCACCGTACATGCTGTCTAGAATAGCTTGAATCCGCCAGGGAGTAATCTTTGGAAGACACCAGCCGGATCATATTTTCCGGCCACAGACTGCAGCTTAGCATATCTTCCTTCCCCGTAATCCGCTAAGGGACTCTGGCTAAAGTGGGCGTCGCTAAGGAACGTGAACTGCAATTTCGTGCTCCTGCCCTGAGTGAAAACGTCAATGGCATATATTATGCTCTCCAGAATGGTGTTCACGGTGTTCTGGTCCGCCTCGTTAATGAATCCGATCTGAGGACTCGCCCCTGTTCGGGAGTCAGCATCCACTCCATGGGTTGTGAGAATGGTAGTTTCAGGCTTACAGAGCTGGGAAATCTCAGTGACGTTCAATGGGTCGGTCACCTCAGTACTAATATGACTACCGTCAACCTCATGGTTCGCAACAAGACATTGGGTCTGAGCGAGACTGAATTCCTCAATAGTCTAGAGCTTGCCTTTCTGAACAACGAATCGCCGCTTACAGAGAACATCGAGCCTTGGGCTAGTGCGAATGACGATCCTCTTTCGGCGGTACCTGTCATCACTTGCATGGATCCCGCGGCTTTGGCAGCCAAAAAGAGAGAGGAAGAGGCTGCCGGCAACGCTTCCGGGGGCCTCGTTCCACGATGGTACAGTGACGGACGAGTAGCTCTCGTAATGCGCGCATTTAACGACGCACTAAAACACGAAGATGACGCAACTAGAAGTAGCAGCAAGGACAGCGGTAGCAACTCAGCAGTTGCACAGCTGCGAGGTCAGTATGATGAGTTGATTAAGGTTGGGCCAGATAAGGAATCTCAAGCAGAGGGACTGGTTACCAGTGCCATTTGTCAAGACAGTTGCGGATATGCTTTTCGTGGACGCATCAAGCATAGACACCCCTAAAACAGTGGCTGCTTACGGTGTTGATAGTTGGATTGCAGCAGAACTTCGAAATTGGTTCAACACTGTGTTCAGGGCGGATGTCAGCTTGCTCGATCTGCTGGACACGAAGAATAGCATTTCGGCTCTGACAATTGCTATTGTTAGCAAGGCGTTGAAAGCATGTTTCATTATGGAATCGAGCTATTATCAACGATATAAAGTAATAGAAGTCTACCGTTATTTTCATTTATGCTCTCCAAACGACAGGACTAGCCGGAGCGGACCAGCCCCGGAGACTCACCTCGACAGATCCATCTTGAAAGAATGTAGACCTAGAACAAGGATATACATATATTATGAGGAAGTGAGACAGGCTGCATGACGCACACGCCCACGTCAGGCTATTTTATGTTACTTAACTCAAGGAATTACGAAGAGGTAGAAGCACGGAGAGCTTCAAGGATGGATATCGCTCTAGGTTCATTACTGACAACAGGGATACAAGGCAGGATGCTTTCTTGAGGTCATACCATCCAAGAAAGACGAATCTTCATTAAAACAAGGCTAATTGACTCCGTACACGGTAGAAAAAGGAAGAAAAAAGGGGGTATGACTCGACATATCACTCAAACACCACCGGATATGCTATGCTGATGCGAATCGCTCAAATGCTGAAGTATCATTCAAAACGGAAATTGGCTGGGGTCATAGAAAGAAATTCAGCAGATGCAAATTGATAGTAATTCCCCTACCTGGCAACGCTCTGTCGCCATCTATCAATGACATCTGCTTGTCTCGGGTCGATAATGTCTTGCTGCATCATCGCTGCATTGTGTGGATGTTGCATGCCGCCGGCGTAAGCGTTCATACCTGCACCACCGGGCATAAATGCGGTATTGTATGGCATGTTTCCGTACACCGGATGAGTTTCGTAGCCACGCATTGAAGGATGAAGACTGGGTGTCTGTACAAGCCCCGCGTGAAAGGTCATGCTAGGTGGCACAGAAAACCCTGTTGACAATCGTTGGGTATGGGCCGATGACAGCTGACGAGCATGAGACGCAGGGAACCCACCGTGGGATGCCGGATATGCCGAGAGGATGTTGGCCATACTCTGAGTAGCCCGCACATTTCTCGGAGCCTGAGTATGCTGTGTCTGCGCAGCTTCGGCTTGTAGGCGTTTCTTTCGTTGAGCCAGTGTCTCTTGCTCTTCATCGTCCTCTTTTGAAACGGTCTTCTCGGCTGGCTTAGTGGTCGACTCTTCTTTTTTAGTCTCAGGCTCATCCGGCTCGTACAATTTTCCAAGCTCACTCATGATTTCGGCTTCAAATTCAGTCGAAATGACGCTCTTCGTTTTGTCTTTCTTCTCCTGTTTGAGACGACGAAGTCGTTGAGCAAGTGTCTCGCCTTCATCGCTGTCCGATTCTACAGCAGCAACTGACTTGAGCTGTGTCATGGTGCTGGCCCGTTTGTTTGGCATCGCCGAAGGAACTGGTTCTCCTCGGAGCCTTGCTCGACGTTTACTCAATGGCTCGTTTTCTTCAAGCTCTCGACGTTCCATGAGACCCAATGGACGCTCTTCCGCCGCAGGGTTCTTGTTGCCATACAATATGCCAAGCGGAATATCTTCATCATCGGCATCGTCAGGGTCTTCAGCGGCGTCCGCCTCCCAAGCTAAAGTAACATGTTTCTGTCGTCGTTTATTGCTCTGTGCTTGCGCAACCGCGTCGAGTTGCAGCAAGGTCGAGTGTAGCCCATTGGGGAAAGCTTTGGCTGCTGATCGGTTGCGTTGTTTCTGTTCCTGTTTCCTCATCTCTAATTCCGCGAGAAGTGTTGTTGGGCGACCAAATGGCATTTGCTCATCATTATCAAACAGCTCGACTTCACTGAAACCATCATCTTCTTCGTCTTCGCCATCATCACCCTCTGTGTCTTCCTCGCTATCGTGCGTGCCACTAGATTCATCATCTGACGACGACTCTGAGTGAGGCTCAGAGTCATTAGGATGCATTGGGTCTCTCTCGGCCGCCTCATTGTCAGAATGTGGATGCAATCCTTCGCCTGGGACGAAGAGTACACTCTCACGAGGTCCAGGTCCTGATCTGAGTGCACCTTTACTACCCTTTTTTCCAGCCAACAATCGAGACGCGCGTTTCTTATCTGACGAGCCATACACTTTGCCTCCAGGACTGCCAACGATGGGATGATCTGTAAATGCAGACACAGGCGCATGTGTAGAAGCATCTAAGATACTGTCCAGAGTAGTAACCGCAGAGTTATCCTTCAATTGAACCTCAAGAGACCCGAGATTGGATGACGGCTGATCGAAAAAGACACTGGCTCGTAGTTGCGGAGGCAGGGTTGAGAGTTTCTTGTTCACACGCTGTTCGTGTGATTCCTCGCCCTTTACTTCCTTGTCCGTAGCGCTTATCATTTCCAGCAATTGAGTGCGACGTTTCTCGCTATTGGGGTTTGCGGATTGTTTCGAAAGACGCTGCGGAAGATTGAGGAATTTGGGTATGGGAGCGGGATAGTAGACCATATCTCGGCCAGCCTGGGGTTCTTTATGGGGTTCGGCGGATGTCGCTAATGGTGGCCTGTTCAATGGCAATCGGCGCGTGGAACCCGGGTCTTTGGGGTGTGGAACGAAATGGACGCCGTCGAAGTCGAGGAAAAGATTGGTCGCCTGCTGATAGGTATCGGTCGACTGCGCAGTCAATGGGCGATCAGGTACCTCCTGAAACGGTTCCTCAGCTGCGTACGGACCAGGCATTTCGAATTCATTTTGGCGGGCATGAGCTGGCAGCGGACGCGGCGTCAAGATAGGGACGTCTTTGTCGTCAAAGGTATTAATTGCTTCGGATACCATTTCCTCTTCCTGTTTTGGTTCCTGAATCCCCTGTAACGGCGAGGTGACGGAGGTAGATCGAAATCGTGAACCTGAGATGATTGACCCACGCGGGGAAGTAAGGAATCCGCCTGGGGAATATCCTCCAGAGCGAGCGGCAGAATTGACAGCAATGATGGAGTTTGACAAGGAGCCAATTGACATCTGACGCGTCGATGGAGAATCAGGTCCCTGATAAGCCGAGGAAGCTGAAGAACGCCGCTTCTGCTCGAGATCTAGCTTACGGAGCTCGACCCCTAAATCGGAAGAACTCATGCTGAGGCGCTCGGCGCTCTTCTCTAGCCTCTCGATATTTCCGACATAAGCGCCTTGTAAAGATTGCAAGTCAGGGGTAGGGTGGCGTAATGGGATGGAAACGTCGCTGGAGGTACGAACTAGCGGCTCGGGCGACGTGGATCGTGGTGCTATCTCCGCGCCAGTGGACAAGTCGGCAACCGTTGAAGTTTGGCGAGCGCTATTTTCTGTAGTCGCTGGGACCGGGTTGTTTTGTTCGATGGGCTCTTCGTAGTCGTCGTCTTCGACGAGCTCGTAGCTAGACGACTGAGTTTTGTCGCTGTTGTGTATGCTGTCGATCAAGTTACCCAGTCCCTGCTGGACCAACGCGATCGACTCGTGTGCTTTTTGTCCCGAATTAGCTGGATGATCTGCGACATCTGAATCACTTGACTGAGACGCAGCGTCATTATCGTCAACCTGAGCAACAGGGTTGTAATCCATTGTGAGAGATAAGAGTCGTGCAGTTAATGGCCATGAAAGCAGGAGGAGAAAAATAATCTGTTCACGATGACAACACAACAGGTGCCAGCTAGCTTGTGTACATGTGGTTCTTCCACAATAGAAACCAAGAGTGAGTGAGAGATGATAAGAGTGATAAAGAGATAACTGAACCCCCAACAATGACTCCTGAGGAATTTACTCTTTCATGACGCTGGTAGTGGTAGTTGGCAGAGTGGTCTGAGAGGGTGAAGTCCAAGTCTGTATTCTCTTCTTTTTTGCTTTTTATTTTTTTGCAACAAACAAAATCAGGATTCTTCCTTTCTTGTTTGGTGGTCACTGGTCCCTGGGCCTTCCCGTGACATTCCTCGGCCGGCCTAATAATAACTCTCCAAGGATCGACTGTACTCTGTACCCGCCATACAGAAAGAAAGTTGAGACATGTCCACTGTGGAGTTTACTCAGGCCTAGACTGCTTGACTGTGCAGATGGTACCTGAGCTGACTGTGCCATTGGTGCAGATGGTCTTACTACTGCTAACACAAAGACACTGTTATTTTTGGAATCTCTACAGAGTACTCTGTGCATTCGAAGCGAAGTCAATTGCTCGGCTCGATGCAGCATACCAGCTGGAATCGAAATGTTCCACCCGGTTTGTAATCCTATTACACAGCCGTAATTTATTTAAGACATTCCTATTGCTGACCCCACCACCCGAGTGCTTCGCGCTTCGTAAACCTGGTACCAGATTACGTATTTTTTTACTTGAAAACCACATTCCAATCTGCACGTGACAAAACGCGATCTGAGATGCGCGAGCCAATCGATGATGCGAGGCTAGCTATGATCTCCAAATTCTGCAACAATTCAGTTGATTAGAGGACTGGCTTATACAAACACGAGAGAAACACGCTTCGCCTATAGCGATCTATCACCAACGATTTGTCTACCGATACCATGTCCTATTACGACATTGATGCCATCCTGACGGACGCTCAAGTATGTGTTCTCGCGACGTGCCAGTCCTCTACGATGGGATCCACAGACTAACGGGATATCTCCGGATTACAGAAGCTCCCGTGCAAATTTGAACTGGAAGTGCCGGGTCTCGGATTCCTCGAGGGGAATCCAGGCGAAAATGTGTGTCTTTGATGACGACTCTGAAGAGGCAACGACTAATCTGGTGAGAATCACAGATTAAGGCAGGAACGCAGGTAGATCTGCCGTTATGGCTCGGCGAAATGCTTTCCATCGGGTACGCTACCCCGGCCAATGCTTAATCTCATTGAAATTCTGTTGACTTGTTGTTAGGGCTCGACTCGGCACATCGCGACTCGTGACACTAGACCTTCCCTCCGCACTCTCCGAGCGCGTGTTGAATGCGCTCAAAGCAGATCCTCGAACCGTCGATCTCCGTTCACTGGCTCCTCATTTTTATAGCCTCGGAATCAGGGTATTGGAATTGTTCGAGGAAGATAATATGGTGGATATATTGAGCGATGTAAGTGTGGGCGTTGCGATATTCTCTGGAGTCTAGTAGTTAAACGGATTGCGACCCACTCAACAGACATTTCGAAGAAGGGCGGCAGAAATTGCAGACCATGCACACAATTCGCGGGGTGCTTTAGGCGAAGGGGTCGAGTTCCTTAGGGGATTGGACGAGACGGAAAGACAATGTAATTCCTTCTTAACTGCATAGATGATGCTGGAGCGGTCCGCTGACACTACTAGTAGTATTCCGCATAGCTCACGATAGTGCCAAGGAGATTCGGGTTTGGGCGGGCGAGGCCAAAAAGCCCAAATAATCGATATACCTGATGTATCAGTTGGCGACTTTGTTTCATGTCACGACGTCACGAATCCACATGGAGTTAAGAGTGTTTGATGATACCATTGCCATTGCGCGCGAGCAGACGGGCCATAATGATTAGCGTTCGTCAATCAACTAGATCCGTTAGACTTGCTTTTCGTACGTGTGGTGTACGGAGAATCGTCCAAATCAAACAGGAGTTCGTTCTATAAAGCAATTGTTTGGCTGTCGAACAAAACCTGAGTGTCAGTTATATTGTTGAAACTGACGAGTGCCATTGACCAAAGAAGACGTCTGTCCCAAATAGGCTTAATGCAAGGGGTAATCCAGACCAGCCACCGTTGCGGGCAGTCTTCCGATTGGTTCTTCAGGACACTGGCCCACTTCTTCCCGCCGAGTCATCCAATCAGCGCATGCATTTTCATATCAGCTCTATCACTGGCCAATCAGATCCCCGAATTGGCCGTCACGTCTAAAGTAGCGATTTCATGCTGGTTTTTCGCCGACAGAAATCTTGGCTGGTCCGGACTCCTCCTGATTATCGACTCTTCGCGGACTCGTCAAATCGTTTTTTTTCTGTCGTCTCGTTCGTTTTGCGCCTTGCCATCGTCCCTCGCTTATAATCTCAGACCCCGCGATAAAGATAAATGCCTACTGCATACATCTGAAAGCCACACTTGCCCTATATTGAAGCGTGCCGAGTTCTACCTATCCCATTCTGTGTGATATCACCGCCCCCTCGCATATTTTCCACTCTTTTGATATCGACTATTCGATGCACCTTGTCTTTGCCCTCGCTAGATCTGCCAATCAATAATCGCTCGAGTACTCCAACTGCTGAGAGTCAGAGGCAAAATAACCTCCGACGCTGGGTGCGTCTGCGGGTACAGAGAAGTGCAGAGCAGCACCTGCCAGGAACGCAGTCCCGCCTTCCACATTTTTCACTTTTCCCTTGCGCACCTATATAAAGGAGGGCTATCGCCTGCAGCCATTTGGGCAATATGAGTCTCCTCGACCAGCGGCGCCGATCGACTACGGGGAAATCGCCTTCTACTTCACCTGCGTCTTCGCCTTTCTTTCAGCGTACTCGCGGCGTGTCTCCAACGCGACGGACATCCTCTCGAAGGCTCTCTGCGCGTAAGTTTGTTTGTCTGTATTGATCGTGCCGCGCAATATTAACGTCAATAGGAACTCCGGATACTGCGCCCCCTCTCCGTCATTCTTCGTCTCGAAAGATCTCTCGCAACAATCCGCCCCACGTCAATAACGGTAGGTTCTGGAGACTGGAATGCACACTACATCCCACTAATACCTTGCTGCTCAGATATCGCAAAATCACACATCGCCATCATGAACTCACGACCTCACACTCCAGTTCACCAGGACTTTGGTAACGTCCCTTGAAGGGTTTACTTTCCATTCTACTGCTAATCAATCTTATAGCAACCAGCACCGATTCCGCCACGACCCTGGTCAACCCGACTTCGACAATACTCCAAGGATTGATCAAAGAACAGCGTGCAGCTCGCGGGTCACGAAAGACGCCTCAATTGTCAGAAGATGCTGATCATAGACCCCCAACCGCGGGATCGAACTCCCAGTCGCACGAGAGTCCGTCAGAGAAACAGCGACGAATCAATAGCTTCGCATCCTCTGGTCTCAAACAGCCGCGGGATATGGGTATCCGCGAAATGGATCAGGTTTGGATCTCCTCATTTAGGCAGAAAGTCAGCTATCTGACAGTCGAATAGTATGTGTCGAAAATGAACAAACTGAACTTCGACTTGAAACTTGAAATATTCCATCGCACGCAACAGATCGCCTCGTTGGAGAAGAAGATGGAGCGTATGTATGAAATGGAAGAGGAACTGAAACGGATGCATGGTTTAGAGAACGAACTGAACGAACTGCGAGAAGTTGAAGAGATCAACCAGCGACTGCGAGAAGACAATGAAAAACTACAGTCTGATCTCGACGAGAGAGACCATGCGCTGTCTGAGGCGGCACGCATGATTGCCGTATACGAGGAAAAGGTTAAGGAGCTTGAAGCCGGCCGTCTGCTCGGAGACGGCTTCGCAGATGACGTTTCCGAGGCGCACACTCCAACAGCGCAATCCTTTGTCGACATACCAGATCGCACATCCTCAAGGAGGGGAACAGTCCGTCGGCCACACAAATCATCTTCTTTCTTGCGTGAAGAGAACAGGAGCACTGCTACTCTACGAGGCCTATTCATAGCGGAGGAAAACAAATCGGTCCGTTCAGTCAGTGAATCAACCTTGGGAACTACTGTTGATTCGATGGCGGATCCCCCATCACCGAGATTGAGTATTCTAAGTGAATGCAGCTACTTCTCTCCGCAAGATATGCTGCCGCAAGGTACTGGATTTGATCAACTAGATCGCTTGGATCAGCTTACCATCGTCGGGAATGACAAGACACCCGTGGTTACAGCTCCCAAGACAGAATCTTCCAAGGACCATCTCTCTGATCGAATTAGCGATTGGATGCAATTCGACGAGCTTGCTTCGCGAAGAAAATCCAACGACGGCAATAGGCACCGAGCCCGTGCTTTTTCGGACATATCGAGAAGCTCACACGTTCAAATTACACATCTAGATGAACCGTTTCAACCGATGCGCAAGACCAGACACAGCCAATATCCGAGCCCACGCCAGGAACACTTGGCTACTTTTGGAGGCAACTTACCGCCAACTCCGGATACGATGAGCACCTTCCGCCCTGCGTTCAGAAACGGATCTAATACCAGTCTCCCCAAGGGCAGGCTTGTCGGAGGAGATGCGACCTTTCCACCATTGAGCCGACCACGTTCAGTCGGCGAGCTTACCACAAGGAGTGCTAGCAGGAGCGTTCAGTCTGACGGCATTGACACTACAGCCAGCATTGATACACAGCGCAATGTGCAGAATAGTCCTACCAATCTGCTCTCTTTCAGTCACTACGGCCGGGGGTCAGCGAAAGCGAACCGTGTGCTAGGACCTGGTAGCCCAAGTGACCCGAGACTGAGCTGCTATGGCGGGGATCTCCTTTTCAACGGAGACGGCGTTGAAAGTCTCATCTCTGACATGCCGGTCGCCCGGACTTTATCCTTCAAGTCTAAGATTCCCGTCAAATCCTCAAACGAGCTCCTATCTTCACTCGCGTTAACTCCGCAGGATTGGCTGGAGGCAGCAAAGGCGGAAGATGAAACGAACGAGGCCGAGAAATCCAATGCAAAGCCGGAGGCTGAAGAGAAGCCGTCGATACTTGTAGTAGAAAATGATGAAACCCCTCCTACGAATACCGAAGAAAGCTCAATTCAGTTGAGAAATCCACCGCTCCGCCTTCGTGCCTGGGCTAACGAGTCATCACCTGTCACCGAAGCACACCAACATCGTCGACGTTTGTCGCTTCGCCCTCCATTCTTCAGTCGAAATCGCCAGCAACAAGAAACGGGACCGGTTGCTGCTTCCTCCAAAGGACCTTCTCCTTTGCCGGATAAGTTGCTGGTGCTGAAGCACCGACGAACTAGCTCAGGACCCGGTCTCAATTCCAACGAAGGCACCTCTCGAGCATCTAGCCGTCCACTACCAAAGCCCTTTTCTGACGTCCGTCCTTCGACGGCTTCTCGGCCGATGACCTCTGACAGCGCAGAACCTCGCAGTAAAGGATCCTTTTTGTTGGGTTGGATGAAGGGGGGTTCACACAACAAAGAATCTGAGTCTACAAATCGTCTAGGATTGGCTCGTCCTACTACCGAGCGACCCAGATCATTCGCCAGCATCGATATTACTTATTTGAACCTTGGTCAAAACGGAGAATCAGCGGCACTTGAGGAGGAACCCGTCTGGCGAGCTCGGAGACGTTCTCGAAGGATGGTGTAACTGCTGTTCGCAGACATTCTTCCAACAACAAGATACCCTTTCTGTACAATACACCTATCTTTCCATCCCCATCATACACTACCCATTACGGACTGCCAAGGGTATTCCCAAACTACTTTTGGAACCACACATGCACATATTACCCGCTATTGTACCAATACTTGATCCGTTTTCATACACATTGTCACCACGCCACTATTGCTAACCAGCATCACATTGGTCGAAATTACCAAGTCTCACTGTCTTTCATCTATCTCATTACTACTAGTACCACATCTGGACCAACCGTCTCGCTTTCATTCTGTCTCATACAAGTCTGTCCACTTTGTGGCCACACCAACTCTCTCTTGTTTTGTTATTTCTCTCTTTTCTTTCTCTGTGGCTTATCAGTGTTCTACTACTTCACTTGTCCCTATTGCTATGGGTTATGACTATATTACGGGTTTCATGTACATTTTTCAGGACAGCCAGCAGTGTTATGTATGATATTAATACGAGAATTGCTTCATGAAAGGATATCAAGCAGCGCAAGTGCTTTGTAAAAGAGGATCCACTCTAGCTAGGTATCTATAAATGAAGCAAGCGTTTATATTAACTATCTTAACACACGTGTACTGAGTACATCACAATGTATGTACAACTTCTGTAGTTACGAGGTAGCTATCAATATCTTGCGCTGATTACCCAACGCTAGTAAATAGCTGATTTAAGCGCCGAAACGCTTCTCAGCAGCCTTCCAGTTGAGGACCTCCCAGATAGCCTTGAAGTACTCGGCCTTGCGGTTCTGGTATTGGAGGCTGTAGGTTGACAGTTAGATCTGTTGTTTTCTTGTTGGTGAAGGACGTAAAACTTACTAGTAAGCGTGCTCCCAGGCATCGACACCGAGGAGAGGAACGTATTGACCGACGACAGGGTCCTGGTTCTATTGCCCCAAAGAAATCATCGGTCAGTTATCTGCAACTATCTTCTGTGGAGGGGGCACTTACAGCATAAGTCTTGATAGAAATACCGCCCGTCTCCTTATCCTTCACCAACCAGGTCCAACCACTCCCCTGAATCCCCGCAAGAGCAGTATTGAATTTATTCTGAAACTCCCCAAAACTACCGTACGTATCATCAATAGCCTTACCCAAAGTACCAGAGGGAGGTTCACCACCACCGGCACTCTTGGGCGCCAAGTTCTCCCAAAACAGGGAATGATTGAGGTGACCACCACCGTGGAAGTTGATGAGTGGTTTGAGGGCGATTTGGGCTGCAATGTCGTTTTTGGCTTGTGCTTCTTGAAGTTTTTCGATGTTGGTGTTGTAGCCGTTTACGTAGACGTTGTGGTGGCCCTTGTGGTGGATTTCCATGATTTTGCCGGAGATGGAGGGTTCAAGGGCTCCGTAGTCGTCTTGGATTGATTAGTCTTATGTCGTAGTAATGTGGCACAGAATGAAGGAGTATGATATGTGTTGATGGACTTACATGATAGATCAGGAAGAGTGACTTTGGTACGGACAAAGCTGGTTCCAGCAAGACCAGCACGAGAAGCCGAAGCTCCTGCGCGCATAGCCGAGCGAGCAGTAGAAGTACGAAGAAGAGAAGCAGCCATTGCAAATGTTTACTTGATATATGAAGTTAGCAGGTGTTTATCGATTGAATATGAACTCAATTGGGATAGGTGAGAACTTACTCGACTCAGACAGATGATGTTTGGAATTTAAAGGTATCTCTCGGAAAGACGGGAGGGAGCATAGGCCAACAAAACGTCATCGCCGGAATGTTTGACGGAGATATGTTTTTCCGTATTCACGCCAGAGCTTAGCTTATCTCCGTCCAGAAAATTAGCGATAAACAATTATCGCAACTTGACACGAGTATAACAGTGTCGCTAACTGAGAGCGCGCTACACTCTCTCTGTGGAGAAGCGAAGAGGTGAAGTTTGTACAGACGGTAAACGGTCACGATGGGCTACGACGACGATGAATCTCCGTCGCGGTCGCCCTTTGCAGGCCAGAAACGCAAAGCCGGAGACATGAGCTCTTCAGACGAAGAAGAAGAAGCTGCTACCGCTCGACCATCATTTGGGTTTCAACCGTTTTGTCGTGCTGCTTCTCGCTCCGAGTCTCCGCCCACGATGACCGCTGGATTGGGTGGCGGCGCTGGACGAAGCGCTTGGAACAATACAACCCCCACTGCTACAATGCAAAGTCGTGGACGCGGCGGAGGAGGAGGAATCGATAACAAAGGAGGCTCTATTATGGGGAAAAGCTCATTTGCGGCCCGAATGATGGCCAAGATGGGTTACGTCGAAGGTCAAGGTTTAGGTCAAGATGGTCGCGGTATCGTCAATCCTATAGAGGCGCAAGGACGTCCACAGAGGATTGGTCTTGGTGCCGTCAAGGAAAAATCGAAACAGGCAAGAGAGGAGGAAAAGCGACAAGCTGCTGCTAGGGGTGAGATTATTGAGGATAGTTCTGACGAGGAGCGGCAAAGACGACAGAAACGAAAAGCTCAGCAGCGCAAACTGGATGGGCTTAGTGGAGTGTCGACGCCGGTTGGTCCACCTAAGAGGCGGTTTCGGACAGCTCGTGAGTTGGAGGCGGAGGTTGAAGGTCTCGTGGTACCCAATGTGCTCAAGTCGCTAGTTGATGCCACGGGGAGAGAGCAAAAGGTTCTGACGTCCACAGCTGGGTTGATGGCACCAATGGAATTTGTGAATCAAGCAGAAGGAGAAGCCTTGAAGATTGCCAGGCGTGCCCGTCACGACCTTGAAGCATTTGTCGATGAATGGAAAGGACTGACAGAGCGGAAGAAGTTTATCGACTTGGAAGAGAGTCAGGTAGTCGAGGAGATGGATACTCGGCAAGTCAAAGCAGAGCAACTGGGACGTTTAGTATCTACACTCGAAAGCATTCAGATAATGGAGCCAAAGGACACTATCGTGCAACGGTTCGAAGAGGTCACGAGCAAACTTGAATTGATCGAAGTTGAATATCGGGACGTCATTGACGAGTATCAACTGTCAGACGCAGCTGTCGCTGCAATTCATCCTTTGTTTCGCGAAGCTATGGAAGAGTGGGAGCCCTTGAAGAATCCTACTTTTCTCGTCGCGGATCTATTACGTTTGCTTCCCCTTCTTTCGAGGAAAAGTCAAGAAAGCGAACTTGAACAGCTACAAAGACATCGACAATCTACATCATCTTACGAAAGTATGATATATTCTATATGGCTCCCTCGCGTGCGTTCTGTGCTCTTGAATGAGTGGGACGTTTACGAGCCCTCGCCTGCTACGTCGCTTGTTGTCGCATGGAAGGACGTCATTCCTACCTTTGTCTATTCAAATATTCTCAACCAAATCATCGTCCCCAAGCTCAGTGCTGCGATCAAGAAGTGGAAACCTCGTAGCAGTCGTCGGCATCCAGAGTCATCTCAACAAGAATCTCGGTTTCCATGGTGGTTGTTCACTTGGCTACAGTACCTAGGCGAACGGCACACTAACCCCAGACATGCAACTGGATTGCTTTCTGATGTGAGACGAAAATTCAGGGTTGTCCTCGATACATGGGACTTGCGAAAGGGCCTGTTAACTAGTATTGATTTATGGAAAGAAGCTCTTGGCTCAGAGTTTGATGTTGCCCTTCACAAACACCTACTGCCACGACTCGCGCGCCATTTACGAGAAAACTTTGAAGTCAACCCACAAGACCAGGACTTATCTGCATTTGAAGACTTACTTAAATGGAAAGATCTCTACAAATCCAAGGTCTTTGGTCTACTTCTGGTTTCTGAGTTCTTCCCCAAATGGCACAACATTTTGTATATATGGTTAACGAACGATCCCAACTTTGAAGAAGTCGCCGAATGGTTTACATGGTGGAGATCCCAGATCCCCACGGAACTCAACGAACTCGTCATGGTCGATGAGGAATGGACAAAGGGTCTCAAAATGATGGACTTGGCATCCCAGCTCGGTGATCGCGCCGCAACAGAACTTCCTCCGCCTGAAAAAGTCCCTGCCTTCGCACCTATCGCTGCCAGTCTTGAGCCGGAAAAGACAGCTGCTCCCATCAAACCAGCGAGACCAAAAGCTCCCATCAAGGAGATTGCTTTCAAGGATATTGTGGAAGAATGGTGTGCGGATCAGGGGCTTATTATGCTCCCTTTGCGAGAAGCCCATCCGCAAAACGGACAGCCGTTATTCCGTATCACTGCCAGTGCGAGTGGGAAAGGTGGTGTTATTGCATTTTTGCAGGGGGATGTTGTTTGGGTGCAGAATCGTAAGGCGCGGGATATATGGGAGCCGATGGGGTTGGAGGATCAGTTGGTGGAACGTGCAGAGGGGAAGTAACTGACTACAAGACATACAGTTCTTTCCGCTAGGATCTGGCTTATTTGTAGGATAGAACATGTCGAGGATGAGTATATAACGATAGCAATGATACCATATCGATTCTTCCAATACGATTGTTAGGCTATCGTACTCTAGTTGATCTACGTAGGTATCGGTTCTTAGGGGTACATCTACCCTGAGAAATGGCATTGAAAGTCCATGAGCGTTCCTGGCGTTCTAAATAATACTGATGAGAAACCACGGATCATATTGAGATAATCCATTAAACAGCGATGACATGGGTACCGTTGCAAATCGAATAGATAGCATATCAATACCTAGGCATCGCTGGTAGACGCTGCTCCTTTACGGCTATACATACCGAAACCATTTGAGAGCATGCCCTACCTTCCAAAATAGGAAATGAGCACACGAAGCTCGCATATTCGGATATGCGCAGAGCCAGCTTCGAAATCATTTCGGGTGCTTGTATTACAATGATGCAGTACTCCATACAAATGTAACGTATTGCTTCCAGTAAGGTATCGATATCAGTTGTGTAGACTCAATGTCGTATTCATGTCCTTGGTTGGGTTGTGTATATTCATGTACATCATATGCAAAGAGAAGAAAGAGATAAAGAAAATCTTGAATTAAATAACGCAACGGAGGTAGCTCCCTGTCCAGAATCAGTCTTATCTTCGAATGCCGCGTGTCGAGAAATCTTGTTTCGGTTTGATGATAGAGAGTCATCACATACTGCATCACTATTTCGGCCAAGGGACATGATAGAACGATGCATAAGTGATATAGTCCAGCTGTAAATCAACCGACTCAAGTAACCCGACAGTATGACCGATAACGTCGCCTTTCAATATTTAGTGATGGTGGTCTCGTCCTTTGTACATATCCCGCAACGTCGATCCAGGATGTTGAAATGTGATAGATCACATTTTCTGCCTGTCTGCCTGATTAGGGAGGCCGGTGTCTAGGACAATTCTGTACTAGAGTAGAGTTTCGCTCTCAATGCGTGTTGGCTGTGCTGAATTAGCTCAACTGCTCCAGCATATCGAATTAATTTAGTGCTACTATATCAGACCCTTGTAAGGCCCGAGAAATCCACCGTTTAAGCCATGGTCTTGGTCTACATCCAGTCCTATGCGTGATATGGAACACGCACATATATGGGTGACGGAGATATAACTACCGAAATATTATGGCTCATAGAATGTTATGTCAATCTAAAGCCAGGCGACCAGAGTACTTCTCAGATGATCGCCGAAGAAATTGCGACAAAGGCTTTACAATCCGATGCTTGCAAGCATCTTCCATTTCTCCGGCTGCGACTACGTACTTGAATCACGCTACTGTAACTAAGAAGTGAGTACAGTGGTATTCCTCCCAACAGAGCGAATATCAATCTAATGGCTTGGGGCATGTACTATGTAGTCATCGTTCCCAGCCGCGCCGTCCTAAAGAGAAACTAGATATGCAAGAAATCAGGATCTCGAAACAAAGTTTCACAAAAGTACTAAACTTAGCACTGTAGTAGCATCAGTAAGCACTAACACTAAGCAAGCGACGAAATCCGAAACCACGGGATCAAAGGACAGGGATATTATGTTTAGAAGTGAATATCCAATAGTCGTTCATTAACGAGAATATCAAAGTTTCTTAGCTTCTTCTTTTTCTACGTACATTTCTTCCAGCATTTTTTATGGCCCATGAGAATGCGTAGTATAGATGGATGAATGGATACTCCTCCATCCTAGCGCCGATCTCATCGCCACCAGATGACTGTCAAACATATACAAGGCCACCAATCATCCGCGTACGGCAGAAGTCGGTTGGGAGGACCGTGACATCTTTCAGCCTCTCAAGGCCATTAGCAGGACTTTAGACTTTAGTGTACCATGTGAAATTTCTCGTTGACAAGATTCGTTATGATATAGGCGACTTCGATCTCAAATGTTATATCGGTTAATCACCGACAGAGATATACAAAGTATACGAACAAATAGACCGCACCGTGTAGCATCTATATTATCCCTAGGGTACCTTATGCGAGGTATTTCTCGGCTTGCTACTGGTAGGTCATCAGCTGCGTTGTGCCCTAAGATAGGTTTCATGTACGCATCTCACTTACATACACCGCGGGCCACACCCAAGCCCTGTATTCTTAGCATCAATCGTCTGGTCCGTTTTCGCAATTCCGTCGTCATCCGTACGAATAACGGCGATGTTTGCTGAGAATATGTGTATGTATATGTATATATTTTAATCTATCTCATCACAATTCCGAATAACCACGAGAAACAAAACATCACATAGTATGCGATTTTCTTGGGCTACTGCATGGAACAAGCGCTTGACAGTAGAAATCTCACTCGTGGGACAATATATTAGTAGCGAAATGTGGCGTTCGACGTAGTATTTCATTTCCTTCTTTCTGTTTCCATGCAGCTAAACTGGTGATGCGGGGGTTCATAGATAAAATTCAGAGAATTTCCGAGCCGGTCAGCTGTTCGGCGCCTCTTTTCTGCCTATAACGAATGAGACGATAGACTGATATATTGGAGACCGACGACGAATGGCATAATAATCAATCAGAATGCTAAGTGGCTTGAGGGAGGCAGAGAAAAGGGGAGTCGATTTATCACCCCTGTCAATTACAACAGTCCCAAAAGGCATGAAATTTCTCGAGAATGGCTTTTTATAGAATAGGAAAAGACAGCCATGATGTACGTGCTAGTACCGAGTCAGATAATGGACATATTTTCCACATGTCAAAAGTGGTAAAGTACGTCGTACAGAGTCCGCATGGCTTGGCTGGATAGGCAAATAATATATCGGATTTGATTTGGGAAGAGATTTTGTGTCCTTTGAGCCGAGGCTTTTCTTTTTGGTCGTAGGCGAGTGTATGTCTTACAGATTTAATATCAATGTCTCGGCGCCAAGGGTCTCGTCTGGACTTCACGTATGGGCAAGGGTTTTGATTATTATGCATGAAGAAGGATAAAGGATGGGAGAAATGGCGATGAGATGGTGGAAGAATTAGTTAGTATGCTTCGTATACGGAGTTCTAACGATAGGAGAGGGAAGGCCGAACCGACCAACCGGACTGTTGGGTCGTATTAGTATCGACAGAATAGCGTATGGTATTACGTCTCGTATGATAACTTACGTTAATTACCGTACTGGTGGTGGTCATAACACCAACTGGATTCAGGTAGCTTATCTTTGATCGCAATCATGAAGTTTGAACTCATGACCGTTATGCCTCCTCATCCTGATTGAGACTCATTCAGCGCAGGGAAAACTGATAGATAGTCGGTCAAATATTCCCAATCGGCGACTAACTATATACTATCGAAACATCACAAGGTACGCTGTAGAATTTAAGCATATGGCCCTAATTGCCCAGGATGAGTAAGACAATCTGATCAGATTGGATCAAACTCATCCAGTGGTAGTGCTAAGCTATCGAGTAGCAGGCTTATTGTTTGACATCAATGTAACTATGTATCATGCTACGTACTTTGATGAGTAATCGCGTGTGGAAGAGAAGGGATCAACCTGGATTAGCCTCAATACAGACGATATCTTGTCTCTACATATTTTCCTGACATGGAAAGAAGTTCTATTGTTTCCGCCAAGAGAAAGGGACTATATCAAATCCCGATCGTATGCGTATATCTTTCTTCAAGTTTCTTGATAGAATAACATCGGGAATAGTAACGTCACGAAGCATTCGGTAATTAATCTGCCAAGGAGCGATCCGCTGCCAAGCAATTGAACGATAACGGGCCAATGTCCTTATTGAGTCTTTGTGACCGTGATGACTTTGTTAGTCTTTAGAAAAGTGAAGCTATTCTGGAAGAATGCATTGTTACATGGAGACACTCGCAAAACCTGGGGTTGGGGGTGCCTTATGGTACAAGGATTGCGATCCTGCCAACCCATCACTTAGCTGGATGTCTAGAACGTAATCGACGCTGCAACAACTTGCAGGGAAGTTAGATCTGGGATTTTGTGAATGGCGGTAAATCATCGTCAAAAACGACCAGTAGAGCCTCGGCGACTCGGAGAAGCGTCTTCGATGCGTACATAGCTCAAGACTCGAAAGCTGCCGGTGTGCTTCGAGTGACTAGATGCTTGGCGGTTGCCAATCTGTCGGGTTGGTCCGACGTGGCAGAGGCGATGTCATACGGTGAGGTCAAATAAAAAATCATGGCAAACCCCCCCTTGGGATGGCGAAAGGGAAAAAGGGGCCTAGAGAGTCGGGACTGGCACTTTGTGTCAGGGGTCGAAACTGGGAGGGAAGGAAAGAAAGAAAGAAAGAAAAGAAAGAAAAGAAAAAAGAAAAAAGGAATTCAGGTCTGAAACGAGACTTCGGTGTACATGGCTGAAAAGGATAGCGGAATGATTTTCAAGTACTGTGAGGCTATTCCCGTGTCAGATAAATATGCCGCTGAGCTTAAAAGCTTTGAACCCCCGAAGTTACCAAAGTTGGAAGCTCAACCATCCCCGAGCTTGAAATCCGATACGGTCATTGGTTGACTCTAATACCTGCTTCTACGTACTATCAAAAAGAAGAATCGTGTTCGTCTCACATCTACGGCCTGGTAATTGCACGCTGCCGACCAAGCGACAGGTAGAGGTTTCCGTAGGTAGTCTTAGTTACTACTAAACCAAGCGAATTCCATCGTAGCAAAATGTCCTAAGCGAAATTGCCATAGAGATCCAGTATCAAGGGTGCGGAGCCCAAACTTTGTTGACCCTGAACGAGGGGATCTCGCAAGCAAAGACCACAACCTAGAATTTCAAACTGAAGATACAATCGTCTGCCTTCTCATTCGCCAGCCTGCCAGAAAAGTCAAAATATTTTGAGTTTTGCCCCAGAAAGCCACCAAAGCTAAATATTTACTAGTACGCACTCAGCATCTAGCCAGCCCGGAGTGAAAGTGGAGTGAAAGTAGAGTGAATATTCTGGCCAGACCCGAGCTATCTTTTTTCTTCTTTTCATCTGGTCGAGGAGTAGTGCTATCAGAGTACGAAGTAAATACGTATTTCGTAATACGATACATACGTATAATACGGAAAGCTGCGGTGAGATGGGATCAGACCCACTTGTTGTGCAGTTTTACGGGAGGAAGCCCACTTTTTTTTTTGCAAGTCGACCCGGGATACTGGATATGTTATGCCAATCAGCATTCGCAATTTACTGGGGCCTGACTCAGTTCGACCAATGACAGAGAAGGATCCAAATACCAGTTCTGCTTGACGGTGTTGTGCAGTTTGATTGAAAATCCCCCGTAGATTCTGGTTTCGGTACATTATTCATGAATTCTCGCATTCATCATACCACCATATTAGCTGTTCACCCGCTGAAATGGTGGCATCTTAGCGCCAATGCTTGTGGTACGGAGTTCGGAGCACTCCGTACTGTACGTGATATAACATACAATAAATACAATGTGCGGGGAAAGAGACACTACGGACAGGTGTCAGCCAATCACATCCAGCGTGGATATAGATTCAGGCATCCATTGGAGGTTCTCAGGCACCTGAGCTGAAAGGTATTTTGCCTAAATTAGAACGTATTTGGTAACGACCAAGTATTGAGGCATTTCGTACTGTAATATACGTAAGTGTGGAAACCGACTGTATTCCTTACAAGCTCTTATAACCCAAGATAAGAACTCACTTGTAATTCGATCAATCACGGATCAACTTCAGAAATGATTGGGTAGTGCCTACCCCGGTAATAATACACGGTAGTAATGGGAAATCGTATTTTTCATTTTTCTTACAACGTTTCGACTAGGATAATACGCGAATATTTACTACGGAGTCGGTCGCTCTCCAGAAGTAGTATTAACATGCCTGTCAACGCAAAGATTTTCACCAGGCTGAGGGCTGTTAACTGCACTTAAGTTCAACCCTTGTCGTAGACGATGCACTCTAAATTAGCTAGTTATTGGGATGTCATTTTAGACGGCGGGTCATACACATTGTTTTTACACACACGAGTTGACTCTATATTACTCGCCCTTCTCCTGCTTGTTCCTCCATCGGAACCTATGCATGATTTATCGCAATCTCTTCTTTACAATTTACTACTACTTCGTACTTTCTGGGGCAATCAGAAGCCCGTTCTAGCCCCTCTCCGCCAATAACAGTACGTACCCTGCGATCCGTTAGAAGCCAGAAAATCCAGCTGGTCCACCCTACCAAACCCCGGGCTTTTTGCAACCTTCGAATACAAGCCTTGTCCATGATCAGTCAATCTCGCCGGTCCATTTATTCGAAATCAGTCAGCCAGATATATATTCCTTTTATTCTTAGTACTTATTATTATTATTTCACCGGCCTGCGTTCCTTCTCCTACCCTTCCGATTATTTACCAACCCCACTCTTCTCCCTCTGATTATCCTCTCCACATAAAGTTCTCTCTTACTTCTCTTTATTATCTTTAACTTGCGGCAACTCACAAATTCAACGTTAAGCGAATTCATTTCTATCTCTGGCAAACATGGCTCCCGGAGGTTCACGAGGGTTCAACTGTTCGTGGGAGAATTGCGGCAAGGTAATACACAACGCTTCTATACTGCACGGCTTTAACTAACATTGCCAGTCATTCAATCGCAAATCCGACTTGTGCAGACACTATCGCATTCATACCAACGAGCGCCCGTATCATTGCACAGTACCTAGTTGCAACAAAAGCTTCATCCAGCGCAGCGCCCTAACAGTCCACTCGAGGACTCATACCGGCGAAAAGCCTCATGTCTGCGACCATGAAGACTGCCGCAAGGCCTTTTCTGATGTGAGATTGAACACTTTTCGGATTCCATATGCCTATTGCTAATCAGTGATAGTCATCGAGTTTGGCGCGCCATCGCCGTATACATACCGGCAGACGCCCCTACATCTGCTCCGAGCCGGCGTGCGACAGAAGGTTCGCGTGACTCTTTAGCCAGGCAGATATCAAACGGAACTAACTTTTATATAGCTTTTGCCGAAAGACGACCTTGACAAAACACCAGAGTCGTACCCATCAACCGGGCGTAAACACACGCCCGTCGTCAGAAGAGGCTCCTACACCGGAAAGCATGACATATCAGACGCCTGTGATGACAACAATGCCTCCTAATTCTAATCAATATATCCTTGCGCAACAACCCTACTATCACAATGGACCTACGCCCACCACTGCCGACTTCTACCAAACCCCACAGCCTGCGATACATTTCCCTCAGCCCCAGGCAATGGTACCTCAGCCTATCCCCACCGCTGGACTTCCAACTCCCCCCTTCGAGCCACAACACTATGCGCAAATAATGCAACAACAGCAGCCCAGATACGACCCAACTTATATACAACCGCAATATCAATCACCAACTCCGCCGTTTGTCGCGCAACCGCAACACCATATGACAGCAGATGGTCGTCCTATAGTGGCCACATATCATCCAGATCAATTCAAACCGCCTGCTCGAATCTTGAGCTCACAGGAAGGTACGGATTGGTCTTTTCTCGGAGTAAGCTGAACGCGGGGTTTTTTCATTTACCAGCTATGTTAATCCGTTTTTCTCCTGCTCTCAGTACCTTGGCTGGAGGTGCAACCCCGGACCCGGAACACAGGACTCCGAATTTCGGTTCTGGAGTGATGAGAACAAGTCACTCCTGGCCCTTCCCCCCTTAACTGATGACGATTTATGTGGAGAGACAAGCGTTTTTGCAAAATGAATCACTTGACGATTTTTTTTCTCTTCGTTGCGCCTGCAAATTCTCATTTTATGCTTTTATCTCTCGTGATTCGAATCTACTGATTTACGGATATCAAATGACGGGCTCCGGATCTCGAGGCGGTTTTTCCTCTCTCTCTTATGACTTACTGGTTGGCATATTGATTTATTGGGAGGTCCCGTCGAGAACCCTTGATAGGGTTAATTTACTGTCTTCGTTTCATGTACGAACTAGTTGTTGACTTGCCTGCCATCTTTTTTTCCTTTCTGGTCTTAGTTTTTTTATTTTTGCGTATAAGGATCGATCACCCGCCTATCCTTGTCTTTTAACGGTCTAGCAAACCGTTCGATTGTGATTACTTGATACCCCCATCAATCATCATTCATTCATTCGTTCAATCAAATAATCTTTTAACATCTCAATCTTCGGCAGTAACTATCGGCAATAAACCGCACGATCTGTCTTCCAAGAGATACATGTATCATTATCAAGTGGCAAAACCTAACGCGCGGGCGAATAAAATATGACATTTTGCCATCGTGAGAATATATCGAACGGACCGCAAGGGCTACATTCGGAGAGAAATTCTGGATACCGACTTCGTTCGGTCTTGTGGCCGAATTGATGACCCTGGGATGGGAAAAAGATCAAGCTAGACTCTGAACTAGTTAGTCATGTCAGCCTATTTGATAATCGAGTATGATTGACAAGAAACGAGCGAGCTGTAAGAATCCCGTGGACGATATAAGAGGGGCAAAATGCCACCGGGCTTTGCTGCGAAACTGTTTAGAGTTCTTGTCCTAGTTTAAAACTTGATAAATGGTTAAGGGTCCATCTCCACTTCAATTTCTAGAGTTCAACCATTTATTCCATCTACTCGAACTAAAATCACGGCCATAGAGTCAGGGCAGGGAGAAGCCTGCCTGCCAATAATTTTGGCTGATTCAAAGGGTCCATCTGATTTGACTATGATTATTACCTAGGTACGTTCAAACCTTAGTTATTAAGTTGTGATAGATACTTTAGTCTCGTGTATCAAGTAGAGAAAATATTACTGATTGTGGCAATATTTCCATTCTTCCTTTACTACGTAGTAGTACGTCCAACTCGGCTATTCGTGGACCAACAACTTCGAAGTTGGCAAAGCCCTTATTACGCGTCCCCGGTGGGTTTCAAGCAGGAATAGCCTATGTAGATTAAGAAAATATTCCGGGTCTGTTAGTGTGATGGATGATCTCACTAGGACCTTCAACCAAAGCAAATAACCTGATTTCTTACTTTTGAACACCGTGCATAAGGATATTCTGTAGGGAGACGTCTAACTGGGCGGCAGATGATAATTCTCTTCCTTTCTTCCTGCAGCTTCACGACATGCGTATGAGATATGCCTGTCTTTCGGAAAAGGGTTGCGACGGGAGGGAGAATACCTAGGTACATAAATGATTGCAGGTTCATTTCTTCTTTTCTTTTGCAGCTGTTTCAAATTGATAGAGCAGTATACGTAGTTTTGCATGGCTAGCTAGATGGTTGCATATCTACTGTGTCTCCATAGATAGTCGGTACGTAATCTTATGATAGTGGTGAAATAGCTACAGCTATTGAAGACGAGTCTGGACTACGAAGATCCAGACTAACTAAAGCACACGGGATGGTTTTATTTCTCTAAACCGCCTCACTATGAATTGATGTACAAAACATGCCTATTTAGGTAGTTTCGGTAAGGTATTAGGGTTAAGCAACCATCAAACTCAAAGGCTAGTATGATGGGTTTGCCGACTGTCGGGTACTGGTAGAATTGAGAGAATTACAGTGTACTATTGTCGCTGGGTCCAGAACATGTCTACTTGTTTCAATCCTTCGTTTCTTCTTCCTGACTTGACTACCACTTAATATGACACTGGTCAGTCATGATTGGTTCCAACAAAAAGCCATGGGGTATGAAGCCGGGGCCAATCTTTCCGTTAGCTTGTTCCCGTACTCTGTACTGATCCAGGGATCTGGATAGAGCTTAGTCATGCAGTTGATCCTACAAACACCGAACTCTCTAACACTAAAGCAAGAAAAAGGAACGAAAGTATTCCACGGCTAATAACGATCGTTTTGAATCAGCCACGTTGACATGATTGAATCCAGTCAGTTTGCAGCAGAAGAGAGCGCAAAGATTTCTACGCCTCGTGACTGGATGCCAGCCTGAGGCATGTACGGATTACATAATGAGAACCGAGCTCTGGCAGGGCCCCACTTGGACTACCCGCTGACACATTAGGCCTAATCGGGAAGGTAGCTAGCTTTCTTTTTAACCCATTTCCTCTGTATTTACCGAGTAGAACTGCAGGGATAAGCTGGATAGTACGAAGCAGTTAATAAGAGAAAAAGAAACAAGCATTAACTAAGGAATATCATAAATAACGGGAACCGATGCTGAAAAGCAACTGTTGTGGATGGATACATCCGTCAAGGTTTGCCCCAAGATCAGAGTAAACCATGGTAAACCATGCGTCAGCAACGATGATGCTATCACATACATGGATCGAGATGAGATAGTCATAGAAAAATTTAGTAAGATCTACGATAGCATCGTAGTCGAGACTCTATACAGCTCCGAGGAGATACTATTAATAAATGACGCCCCATGATTCCTATTGACTTTTGTTTTGTATGGAGAGCTTTCGTATCAATCAACCTAAATGATCCTTGGCTCCTTTGCTCGGCTTGCCTGCTTCACGTGTTCTTCCTCTAGTTGAGAGACCCTGCATTTCTCGAAAGTGAAACAACGTCCCAACGATGCAGCCACGCTGCATCGAAAATATGGAGTAGACTGGGGTCTTTCTTCCGGTATCGTATGCAATGGAGCGATGAACGGATTGAACAGCTCGCGTTAATAAGGGAGAGACTGCGGGTTACTATACTTTGGCTAGTGATCTCTACGTTACTCTTTGAGGTTCAAGACCAAGAAGAAGCCTGTCATTTAGTCTGTGAAGAAAGTCTAATGGATATTCGAGATGAGGTTGTTGGTATTGTCAGTGTAAGCATTATGTGTATTGCTACTAACTGTAATCTAATGGATACCACCAATGGAATTAGCTTGCTGTGTAATATATTTCCGTATTACAGATGAATGTCACGCAAATACTCCGTACAAACGTAAATCTGGCAGGACACCCTTTCCGGAAAATGGGGTAAGAACATTACACTTAGCTTACAGCGTACGTAGTGCTTACTATGCAAACCTGGCTGTCATACGTACTTGTAACAACCACATAGATTACACGACACTCACGCTTCATAGACGTCCACTAGCCAAGACCAACAGTTGAATAAACTGTGGTCAGTGGTCACCTGTTGAAGATCACTCCCTTAAACACATCAACCTAGTCGAGTCTAATACAACGGCATGTCAAGAACAACGTTTCAACTTAAATTGTAACAATTAGTGGCCTGCAGACCCTGATTCCTGCCTGTCTATTGGTTCAGACCACACACGTCTCACCCACTCCCCTTACATGAAAATGAACTATGACTTCATTTCTCAATCGAAGCAATAGAAAAGAAGAAACTGCACAACTAAGGATTTATTGCTTGATGGGCAGTTTGTAGTGTCTCGCCGAGGAGATATTCGACATTCTCAAATCTGATCGTAGGGCGAAGGTTGATCGGGATCTGCCACGACTAATGCATTGAGTTTGGGCCAGCTAACTAACTAAACTTAACTAACATTCATTGATTACAAATTTACATTTCGTAGATACAAACTACGTAGGCTAAGCAGCATCTACAAGCCACAAACTGTCAACATCTACCACGCGGTTCATGAGAAACTGTATTCATTTGCTACGTACGGCGTAGCCCAAAAATTTGACGGCATCCCATGAACAACTGGCATACCCCGGAGTCACAGATGTATCATACGTAGCTACGGAGTTAATACTCCGTCACTCCAGCTTAGTGTCTCAAGCTGATCGGCCGCAGAGTACGGAGCATGTGCTATACTCGGAATCAAGTTCCGGTCATTTTATACATTTCATGATTCAGATATAGACTGTGGGTTGCACTACAGCTATATAGCGTGTATGTTACATAATGTAAGCCGTCCGACGAGCAGAAAGTAATCAGGGGAACATGCATTTAGGCTTGTGCCTTAGTGATTGTTAGGGTTGAGCCCGTTTATCAAGATATTCTTTTCTTTCTAGGTCTTATTGACTACATACATGTATGTACGTAGTTGAGATTGAAATCTTGAATCAATATGATTCGGTTTTACACTATCAGTTGTACGTTACATGTATGTAACGGTACTTACAGGTACTCGTCCTGAGCAGTCTCGATTGTAAGGCTGTATGTAATATCGGAGTATCTCGGTGACATTCCTCTTGTTTGCAGTGTACTATGATCATACAGACAAATAATGTTAGTAAGGTGGGTCGAAGAAGGCCGTGGAAATAATTGGAATCCACTTATTGATTATAAGCACGCACTAGTCTATACATCTCCCTAATTGCGTCTTTGTACTTTATTGAAACAGATGGTGGATATAGGAGATTCCGAGCGTGTATTTAACTAGTTTTAATGATATATACTATTTTAGGAAAGGTCGCTCTGTGGGTTGTACTAACATTATTTACCTGTATGACCGTAGTATGTATTATCACAATACCGGGGTTTGAACAGGACCCATTGGTACGTATTCGGTATTTTATTCGACCCAGCAACAATCGCAGCATGTCATCAGATTCATCTGATTGGACAACTATCAAATACCAATCTCAACTTCATCCAACACTACACAGCCCCATATCCCGTGGCAATTTGGCTAGTACATTTCGCCAGTTGCTAAAAGTCAGACGGAAATTAAACCTATCTGATCATTCCTACAACTTGGCTCCTTGGCATCCGAGAAAACGAACACACATGTCAACGACATGTCTGGCTAGACTGATTGAATTAAACTCAAGCACTACTAATGAACGATCCAACCAGAGCTTCGAATAGACGAGATGGCGCATGCTACCAGGATACCTAACCCATATGGATCAACGGGAGTGATAGTGAACCTTCTTTTGACGCTCTTCCTACCTTTTAACGGGCGTATGATAGAAATCCGTGTTTACACTCCGGAGGAATCACGACTCATGACTTTGTCCACTTTGATAAGGATGAACTTGCTATACAGACCTGGGTTTTACTTTCAGTGACTTTCTTCAATGTTACTCAACAGGTACCGCAGACTCGTCCAAATGAACTTCTCGCCCGGGAAACGAGAAACAGGGGTTTAAAATGACTCGATAATCAAACTTTAATCAAGCCATGTTATACTTCAAGTTGGGATGTTAAATTTCTTTACATACTGAAGTGATTTTAGACGTCTTCCGAAATGATAGCGTTGATCGAGCTTTGATTGCCGGCGTCGTGTAAGTTATTGCTGATGAATCCGACGATTTATCTACCTATCTACGTAATCTTCCTTCCGCGGAGGTTGAAAGCTTATTTCGTAGGCGAGTACCCAGGTAAAGTCTCCCATTGAGAGTTTGGCACGTGGATGTTCGCTTGCCTAAATCTTTCGACGTTGGCGAATCTGTTCAGGTTTCTGATTCCGACATATTCTCACGTATGGATGAGGGATGAGTGAGGATGACTTTTGGTGACCTTAATATGGCATTGTTGATGTATCTTCCTGCCTGTGCCAGTTGGAACATATGCTCCTATCCCCGTGTCTGTTTTCTCAAGCTTCGGACGAAGACCCCTTTGAAACAGGATAAAAGTGAGATCAGGATCAGTCGGGGGTTGGCGTCTACCGTACGCAAAGGGTCTGCGGCCGACTTCTGACTGATGTAACCCAGAAGAACTTGTTATTCCTAGGCCAATCGCCTCTGACAGGTGCCCGTTGTAACTGAAGAATATTTCCGATACGTGTACGGTAAAGGAATATGTTTTATCAGCGATATTGATCTGTCATCATCCCTTGTGCTCGGCAAAGGTCTATATCCCTGGCCGGATAGTTCTATCTGCTTGTGTAATTAAGAAATCAATCTTTTACCCCCCCCCCCCCCCCCCCCAGGTAACAACGCAACATAGTCCAACACAGCTTGCTCAATCCCATTAGGCTGACCGCTAATCTTCAACTCATCACCCTTCTTAACGGAGATGTTTCTGAACGTGACTCTTGAAGCAGAATGGCCGTTCACATACTCGCTCGGAGCGTGCCCTAACGTGTACTTGTGATCCCCATTCCATTCTCCGACTTGTTTATTATTGATAGACAGTTTCCAATGCTATATTCCTCCAATAACATCATAGTAATTCACTGCAATGTCATATTTACCCGTCGGAAAGTTGATGTGTGTGCTGGCGGTGCCCGCTGTCGTGTTCGACGTAGTAATAATCGTGGTGAAATTTGAAGCAGTCTCGAATGGATTCACTACGTATGGAGTGTATCCGACCAAGTCCATATTCTCTCCTTGGATCCGCCAGGGATAATTCTCAGTACCGACTCGACCAGTGTCATCAGGAATTCCAGAAAGATTGTGGTAGAACTCAGTAATGGCATCGCGCCAGACGACCGGCCTGATACTCAAGTCTGTACAGAACGTGATTATACCTCTCGTCGTCAATTTTGTCTTTCAAAGTCTCCCATTTCGTGGGAAATGTTTGTGCGGCAGCTGCTCCAGTATAGTGTGCATCGTAGAAATGCTGAATAACCGTCTTACCGGACTGAAGTTTCTGTGTATAAGGAACGTGATGAAACCACAATAACAAGTCATCCGGTGTTGTCTCAATATTTTCATATACAGAGTATATTTCTGGTGGATATTAGCCGGAAAATCCTGTGCCATTCCATACCGTTCTGTCCATACCGATGCTTGTCCGATCCGCCCGGGTCCATTGACCCCATCCATTGTTATCTTGGGATGCTGGATTTGGTCCGTAATGGGCATAGAGGATATTAGTGAGAGTTTGTACGCCGAGATTTCCACTGTATGATTCGTACGCTGGTCATGATTCCATTGACATTTCTGTGATGGTATCGATGGCCTCCCGATCGAGCCCAAATGTCAAGCGACTCCAGTCCTGGATCATATGTACAGGATCGTCGGAAGGATTCCAGGCCAAGCGACCATAAGCATAAAGATTCGACATGGCAAGATGGCCCCCTAGTCACGTCGTGTTTGTGCCCACGTTAACAACCCCCGCGAACCAGCCGAATGAACGATTGAATCTTTCCACGGAGACGATATCGCTCACACGGGATGGCTTAGAGTCGGCTCGAAGATCGAAGTCAAGAATCGTCTTCCATAATGGAGGCATATAAACCAAATGACATTGCTGACCGAGGTATTCCTGAAGTGATTTGAAGTTCAAGCGCGGTGTTCGTATGCGGCAGGTTGGCGAACAGCGGTGATACAGGTTCACAGACTTGAAAATCTATAGGCCCATATTTGATTTGGACAATGACATTCTCATCGAACTCTCCGTTTAGGTCCTTGAAGAACTCTACAGCGGCATTTGCGCGATCTGCTTTCCAGTCCGACTCGTTCAACTTGTTGTAAACAAAGGAACGGAACATCAATACTCCCCCATGGGGCTTCAAAGAATTTGCAAATAGATTGGCTCCTTGGGCCAGTGTGCGGTTGTATACAAGTGGTCCTGCTTGACCTTCTGAGTCTGCTTTGACCAGATACCCAACCATGTCGGGCACAGCCTCGTAGAGCTGATTTGTAATATTCCACCAGAACTTGATAACACCCGGATCTAAAGGATCATAAATACTCAAACCCCAGCCTCCTGCGGCGAAGCAAAGTCTAGGGAGATGCCAAGCTGAACACCATACGGTCGAAAAACGTCTGCAATCCTGCTGAGACCCTGGATGTTCTCTGGCGTCAAAAGAGATGAGTTGGCATTCACGTTGTTTACCACCACAGCATTCACGCCAATAGATGCCAACAGACGAGCATATTCGGCAGCTCGAGTTAGATCACGAACGATAACTCCATTTTCGAAGAAGATTGAGGAGCCTTCGTAACCTCGCTCAATACTTCCGTCAAGATTGTCCCATTGATTTACGCATCTGATCGGCGCATGCGGATTACTGATATATGCAATGTTTGTAAGTTCCCCTGTGCGAGCATGGAGAGGTATTCGAATGTGCCGTACAAGGTTCCTCGCTCATTCCGACCTATGATCCGTACTGAATTTTCGGATATGTTTAGCGAGAAACCATCTTGAATCAAATCATCCCAGCTGTTTCCGATTCCAAAGGTCTTCGTGAAGATATCAACTGTACCAATGACAATAGACGCGAACTGTGATTGAGACTTATTCGAGCAGATGATATCGACGTCTTTATGACGAATCCCCCGTAAGCCCTTTTGCAGTTCTCGAGCAGCTGTATACACTAGACTATTGATAGAGCTATTCAGCGTGATGATGTTGGATGGGAAGCCAGTCAGGAAATGACTGGTGAGAGAAGCTGGCAACAGCGCATATCGAAGCCAGCCATCGAGGCCATTTTCGGCTATTGCAGGACTGATTAAGCATGTTGGTATGATATATAAAAAAGCATGCATTTTGGTAGAGCGGCTTGCCGTATTCCATAAAAGCATATGGAGAATAAGGAAGTCTAAATACCTATATCAAGAGCCGGCACGTTCGATCAAAAACTCGCATCCATGGACACATAATTAACAGAAGACATCCCAACTAGCATCAGACAAATAGCCTAAATGCCAGCGTATGCCTTCTACTGCTTCAATATTCTATCGCTGACGACACAAACCTTGGAACGTCTTTGGGATCTGCGTCTTGAGTGCGGGGGATATCCACAGGTGAATAGCATCACAGGTTCTGTCCCCGGCAGAAAGAGGTAATCACACTGTATTTAGCCAAAGATAGGACCTGACGGATTCAATGAATAAGCCAGCTACTAACATGTGAGAGCCAAGTGATCAATTGGTGACTGGTAACATCCATTTAAATTGAAAATAAAAGTGTCGTCCTTGAGTACATCCTGATTCCATTATGATACATATAACGCCATATTAGCACGAACCCCTGAGTAACTAGAATCATTTCTCGTGATAAGTCGTATGCTCCACTGTCCGTCGAGGCCTCTTTTCTAAAGACTTTCGAACAGGATTGGGAGCTTCAAATATCTCCGCCATCTCTTCCAGGGTGCGCTCTTTCGTTTCAACAAAGAAGAAGTATATGATGGCGAATTCCACCAAGTCCCAGAAAATGAAGACGAGATAGTAATAATATCCGATTGAGCCGATGGCTGTAGCTGTTGTGTATTGTCCCAGAATGGATGCTGCTGAGCCGAATAGTTGTCCAACCGCTGAACCCTTTGCGCGGGTCTCAGTATCTAGAGTTTCGGCGATGTAGAAGGGGATGAGTGGTACTATACATAGTGCAAAGATGGCACTAAACAGGTAGATGAAGAAAATGCCGGTATGGCTAGCTGTACGGTTGGAATAATCCACAGAGAGTTTGGTGCAGCCAGTGACGATAGCCAAGCACATCGACATGCCCAGGACGCCGCTCAGTAGAAAAGGCCGTCGACCTACACGATCTAGAAGGATAGCTCCTAGGATGGCCAATAACCAAGAAATGACTGGATTTAGAGCATTCAACAAAAGTTGCATGTGTGGATCGTCGATTCCGGCTTGCTGCACAATGACCGGGAAATAGTAGCTGACCAAAGCATTACCGGAGTATTGCCCGAACCAAGCCATTCCAATCACGCAAATCATACGCCGACGAGCTGACCGAGTATTGAACAAGTCCCTATAATCCCACCAGCGTTTGTCGGATCCAGTCTCGCGTATTTGGCTTTCCATCTCGACAAGCTGCAACCGGACGTAAAAATGTTCTGTGGACCCCTCGCCGTGCAACTTAGTCAGGATCCTTTCAGCTTCTTGATGTCGACTATGAGCCATGAGCCACCGCGGAGTTTCAGGGGCGAACCATATCCCTATAGCAATAATACCTGCAGTGACGAGCTGGAGCCAGATGGGTATGCGAAAGGCTTTTTCTCCATCCAGATAGGCGGTTCCGTACGTGACCCACGAGGCAATGATGCTTCCAATAAAGTAGTTTGTCTGCATGAGACCGGAAAGAGGACCTCGCCAGCGAGGATGAGCTAGTTCTGACACAAACACGGGGGCAGAGACGTTGACGAAACCCTGCCCAAAGCCACACAAGAATCGACCGCCAAGGAACATTTGTCTCGAAGTGGCGGGGGCCTGTACGCAGGTTCCAATGACGATAAAACAGCAACCTAGAAAAATACCGATTCGCCTGCCAAGGAGATCATTGACGGGACCGGCGATGGGAAGAGATCCTAGGCTGCCGATATTGTAAATGGCAAATACTAAACCGGTAGAGGAGCCGGCTGATTTTCTACACATTTGTTCAATTAGTTCACTAGCCGATAAGCCGTGTGAGTGGTCTCAAAGTGCGCACTTACAGTCCATAATAGTGTTGATATTGAGGCTGGTGATGGCACCATTATGTTAGGTCAAGGTTTTTCTTGTAATGCTTATAAACCAAAGACTAGGCACTCACCATAGCATTTATTGACGACATTAAAGAACCATCATAACCCTGCAATACAATACACAGATAGCCCAACGCCAATATGGCGTACAGCTGGTACATGTGGGATGTCCACAAGCTCAACCGGGGCTCCTCGCCATCGGATGAGCTGTGGGATGACTTGTGCACCACTGTACGGATATCGACTTGCATCTTCATAGTGTAGATTGATCTCCCGAAGAGGCCATTAATTTATAGGCAGGTAGATATTCGACACTATTAATTAGACTTGACCTAAAACCTATCGATGAGGTTTTTCGGCGCGGGCAGTCTGAACTCCACCCATGAAAGAAAGAACATGAGCAGTCAGGATGGGCGGACGTAGATCATATATGAAATAGAGGAATATGACCGGATTAAACAAGATTTCAGAATTCCCTGCGCGACATGAGAGTGAGAGATAAAGAAGAAAGATGCTGGGAGGCCGCCAAGCAGAGACCGCCGTTTCCATCCCTTCCTCAAAATGGGTCCGCACGTTCTTTCGTTTTGGTCGGCGCCCCATAACCCTATCTGGAAATATGGCCAATGAGAGCACCGTATCTCGTTCAAGTCTCGGCATTGGAGCTTGTTTCGTCCAATAAGATACTGGATTATCCGATGGATCCATATCGTTGGAAGTCTAGATCTCTGCCTTCTAGCCGAGCTGTCAGATGTTCTTCTATTGATATCCCTTCTTAACTAGACTATGCAGGATGGTGCATTGCCAGGTCATTCAGACTGAGCTATGTAGTACTGATGAGTCAGGTCCCAGTGGTTCGGGGGCCAATCCGCTGATGTATTAACGATTAGGTGCATGCCTGGTTGAACTGCCAATTGAGTTCCGATTGAAAAGGTTCTCCATTAGTGCTCTCAAAGAACGACCTAGACGCCACGCAGACGCATTGAGATTGAAATATGTACCTATCAGGTGCTGCCAATATTTACGTAAAATACTAGTAGATTGATTGTCTCACTGTAGGTTACATCCAAGCAATGAGTCCAATGACAACTCAACGCCTTTTTCACGCTATTTTTTAGTCCAAATCTGCAATATTTGCAAAGTCTTGGCGCTTTAAGTGAAGACACTTTGTTTTGACAGTTGTAGGCCCTAGAGTATTCTCTATCCGATACTCCGAAGGAATGCTAATACTGATGCTATTTAAAAACACGTACGCTAGCTACTTAGTGCGTGGTTCACTCAAACACCGCACGTGCCCTGGAGCAAATGAGCCGGGTTATCTGATTCTGGGGGCTTACTGTGGGCCAGAGATCTAAACATGACTGGAAAAGCTTTTATGGAGCACATACAGAGTACGGAGTACACCGAACATGTTAATAATTCCGTGGCTTGCCAACTGGCTTCTTAATGGGGCTCTTGAATGACGCACTTTGGACTGGTTCCTAGTCATACCTAGGTATATGAGCGTATATATAAGGGTATGGATCTTGCGTTCAAGCTTATATATGTGGCAGGGGACAATCAGCAACTATTAATAACTAAGCGCTCAGTGCTGAAGAACTTTGAGAAATGAGTCATGTACGGAGTAGTGTCAGCATTGAATTTGCTTGAGATAACTAACTAGAATTTCAGATCTTACATAATGTTTAGTAAGAGTTTCAGAAATTTTAGATTTTGGGGCCGTCGATCTACGAATGGGGGCCACTTCAGTGAATTAATTACTGTTTTAGCTTGTTTGTACATCTGAAAGTATAAGGCTCAGGGGCTAAATTATTCTCGGCTTTACGTGTGGCATTCTTTGGCAACCAAGAAGAAATCCTTGCTTTGGTTCGGTCGAATAATTCGGTATGCTGGTTACAAACATCAATTTTTGAGTATACTTCAAGAAACCAGCGGATGCTCTAATGACTACGAATAACGCTTTGAACTTTCCACAACTCTGACATTGTTGCTTTAAGATTTGAAGCCACTGCAATCTACCCTGGACAAGGATCCCACAAAATCTGCAGCTACAAGTATTCCGCCATTATCTTACTCACCTGCGAATTGGCCTAGTTATTATGGTTCCACAATGATCATGGAAGACCTAGCCACAGATAAATTTTACGATGAAGGTCTATCACATGTCGATTTCCTTCTCGATATTAAAGGAGCGACGAGTTAACCTGAAAGCAAAGACCTTGAGGAAAGAATAGACCGAACCGTTGTTGTTCATAAAATTATTAGAACCTCGAAATCGATTATACTATTATATGCCTTACACTCGGAGTACTCGGAGTGCACTCATGAAGATGACCTCTAGTCATGATTTTGAAGCCTAATCTTCTTAACATGACGAAATCTATGACGATGTATTTTGTCAATATTTCGCAGGTTACACGACTCTCGTGTATCCATCTTCTTTGCAGCTCGTAACCCTTTCTTCCCTTTCCCTTTCCCCGTCATCACTCGCCCTTCAACATTGTGATAAGCAAGCTACTACAAGGCAAGATTCCCGTTGCATTATTCGATCAGGCGAACAATCAAGATGATTTATTCACTGTTGCTCCTCGCAAGCCTTGCGCTCTCTGCACTGGTACAAGGGTACACACCTGCTCCTGTCACCACAAACAATCCGTTCCCGGACGTCTATACTGCAACATTGTTCGATAGCCCTTCAAGCTCAATCCGAGGCAGTATCACTGTAATTGCTGGTCCAGGTGGTGTTGGCTTGTCTTTCTCTGTCCATTTCACTGGACTACCTCCCGATCTTGGACCTTTCCGTATGAGACGCTCAACTAATTTCTGAAGTGAGAGAGATACTGACGCATCACAACCAGCTTATCACATTCACGTCTTGCCCGTACCAGCAGGCGGTAATTGTACTGCCGCTGGGGGCCACTTGGACCCCTATAATCGTGGGGACGAACCTCCTTGCGACCCAAGTGACCCCGCTACTTGCGAAGTTGGTGATCTTAGTGGGAAACATGGAAATGCTACTGGATCTGTTTTCTCTACCGGGTACATAGACAAATATTTGTCTACTGTCCCTAGTGACCCTGCTTTCATTGGCAGGAGATCCATTGTTGTGCATTCTTCTAACGGGGCGCGCCTGAACTGTGGAAATTTTCAGCTTATATCAGGCGCACAGGAGGCTGTTACTCGTGGGACCCTGGGTGTCATAAATGAAACATTTAGTGCACCTGAGACTTTTACAACAAAGACAACGACGAGTCGCTCCACTGCCATAAAGGCTACGACCTCTCACCCAACCTCCACGAAGACCACTACTACATTCCCCACTCGAACCTCGACTCATACCACCGGCTCTTAGTACTAAGCATTGCCGTGTGCCAGTGCTTAAAATCCTATGAAAGCTATTGAAGCTTTAGGTTCAGTTAAGACTACCTAGGTAGACGAGGGTTTCTGAGGCTGAGGCTGAGCGAAATATTTTATACTGGATTCAAACTCATTCGCCTGATTGATACTATAGGGTACTACAACCAATGCTAATCCCATGAATCGAGATCAATTATGATAACCTCAAACTGCCACGTAATATAGTACGTAATAAACAAAACCTAAGGATTGACTATGTTGCTTACAGAATGTTTAGGTGGTTGACCGGAAAGTCATCTACACGCCCATTACGGCATGATTAGGGCTTAGACAAAACGCAAAAAAGTCATGAAATCAGAGTTACCTGGGTACCTGGGTACCAGATTATTAGCACTTATGTCGTGTATATCTAACCAAGTATAGAGAGAACTTAAAATCTACTCAATTTGGCTTTTAAAATAGATCTAAATATGTTGCTAAATTTCGCCCAAGGTTAACACCAGTCAGGACTTAGGGTTGCGACTGCAGAGATTTTTAGATGACATATGTATGCTTCATTTTTTCAAAATGAGTACATTCTACATCTATATTATTTTCCTGCAGGAACCAGACCTGCCTCGATAGCTTTGATCTGCAATGCCAGGAATTTAGAATAAATCCGGCACAATGCCAGATTACCACCCATATACCAGAAATTGGGGTGCCCCGAAGGACGCCACATCTAAACACAAATCTCATTAGCAAATTCCAAGCCCAGTGGAACGTAAGAAGAAGAGGGAATCTTACAGCGTTCAATTCGCCTTCTTCATCCAAATCCCAGACATCCTGGCACCGATCCGCTACCTTATCACCCAGCACCTTGCGAACCGTTGTACGCATATTATCAAATCCAGTCGCCAAAACAACCATATCAGCCTCTAACTCTTTCCCATCTGCTAGAAGCAAGCTATGCTCTGTGAATTCCTTGATGCCCTCTGGAGATTTGTGGACTTTAATCTTGCCGTCGGCGATCAGTTGACTGCATCCTATATCGATGTAGTAGCCTCCTCCGCGAGTCATGTATAATCGCAAAAGGCCACTTTCGTCGATGCCCTTGTAGACGTCAAAGCCGGCTTTGGCTAATCCTTCGAGTATATCTTTGTCTGCCTCGGAGAGTCGGCGGGTGAGATGGACGTTGAATGCGAAGGCGACCTGGTATGGGAGGGATGCTGACCATATATCGGCTTGTTCTGTTGGTGGTCTTTTGAGCTGTCAGTATATTGAAGTAAATTGAAGCATTCTGATCATTGATAGTAACTCACCCCGATTCATCATGGGTCCCTTCATGTAGCATGAATATACCCTTGTCGACAGAGAGAACATATGTGCCCCTTCTCTGCAACATAGTAACATCCGCCCCATTTTCATAAAAGTTCTCAGCAATGTCATGGCCCGAATTACCTGTTCCGACAACAATTACCTTCTTCCCGCGCACGTCGTACTCGGCGGCATCTCTATGCTGGGACCCATGATACACAATCCCTCTAAAAGACTCTTGGCCTGGGAAAGTTGGAACCTTGGGTTCTCCTGAATGTCCCGTGGCAAATACGACATGTTTAGGATGCAAAGTACGTTCAAACCCGTCTGGTTTTCGGACAGTAACGGTCCAGGTTGATGTATTATCGTCATAACTGGCGGAAGTTACAGATGTGTTTGTCCAGACGTTGAGTTCCATGAGACTGGCGTATGCTTCGAACCAGTCGCCGAGTTTGTCCTTGGGAGTAAACTGGGGCCAATTTTTGGGGAAGGGGAGATAGGCCATGTGTGTGTATTCGGCTGGGTCGTGGGTTGTTAATGTCTGTACTCAATTAGCATTAATATCCAAGTCACCATAGTATGAAACAGACGCACGCGATATCTCTTTCGCCAATTGTCTCCAATACGTTCATGACGATCCACGAGCAAGGCTGACACACCGAGAGACTGCAAACGAGCCCCCAGATTCAATCCTGCTTGTCCTGTAGGGAGTCAGCTATATGTAGCCCATATAGAGATACAACAAGCATACCAGCACCAACAATCAAAACCGTAGGTTCAACACCTTCAAACTTAACAGCCCTCTCTCTTCTTTCCTTCCAGGTACCCCCCGCCGAACCACCCGGCAAACTATCCAACGTCCCATACAACCTCTTAGGCCCAAGTGGCTCCTCGGCACCTCTCAATTCCTGTAACGACGTATAGACAATATACGCCTTCCATTCCTTCCCCGCATCATCCAACGTCAACCTAAAAATACCAGTTCCACGTCCAACTTTGGTCTCAAAATGGAACATGGAGGAAATAAAGTCGACGCCCGGAACACCATTTTCCGGAGTCTCGATATGTGGTACATATTTCCCGCTTGTTTGTAAGGAGAAATTGGATAATTGGGAGCCAGGTTGGAATTCATGGAGGAATGAAGCGATGTTTGTAGCGGAGTGGATGGTACGGAAATCCCATTGGAGAGCGATATGATCGCGCCAGTAGGAGTCGTCGTGGAAGAGAGATTTTATATGTTCTGCTGTGATGTTTCCGTTATTTGAAGAGAGAGTGGTCTCGAGATTGGTGAGCCATTGTTGTGCAATTGCCTTGGGATCTATATTCTCGTTTGAAGATACAGAAGATAACCTGGGTGGTTTGGGAAGAGAAATAACGTGGTTTGCTTTTCTTTCTGCCTCTGTGAGAGTCGCCATTTTGAGTAATTATATATACGTCGGTAATCCTCAATTTGAGTTGATGGAAGTTGGAGTGAGGTTGCCGTAACACTTATATAGCCATTGGAAACACAATGTGTAATGCATGATTCCGCGAGCGATAACTCAAAAGGTAAGTCGACCGACAAAACATCGTGACGAGGATACTTTCAGGTACCTCCAGTGTTCGGAACTCGGACCTATCGCCGACTAAGAGATATTGCAGGTACCTCAACATCCGGAACTCGGACCATCGCAGACTGTTGAGGCAGTTGTAATTTCCCTTCCTTTTGCCCGTACAAGGTCACGCATACAGACGACAGATGGTCCTTGCCAAGCAGTATGCATTTTCGCAAGAAATGTCAGATGAAGATAGACTGCAATTGATATCTTGATCTAAATCTTTATCGGGCGAGATCGACAACTCGGGGAGGAAAAACAGAGTGCGGGGGAAGCTGGGGAAAGGAAAGTATCCCGAGAGTTGAAGTCGGCACAATTGCCCCTTTCTGTTTTCCCACCTTTCCGTGTATATGTGAAATCATTTGATTCATGATACAGTTCTATTAATATATTTCATGCGTTCGACCGATAGTAATTAGTTCCATATGGAGCCTTGATTTCTGTTTAAGCTTCTCGGTGTGAGAGTATCAGCTGTCTTATGTACATTGCATCGTTGAATATCCCCCTCAGAGAACACACTATTATAGACAAAAAGCTTGTCCAACTGTAGAAAATTATATGGATACGAAGAATAAGCATGGTAGAGAATCCAAATGGAACACTGGAGAAGAATAATATCCATCATAAAACTTCTCTCAAACACCTGTTTCGCCCAGATGCACAGAAACGGGGCAGCAAGAAAGTGATGTGGGAAAGGAACAAAATAGTATATGCAACTCAAACGAATAAAAGATAAGAATAACCAACCACCAGGGTGACAAAGTGGGCATATGATGTACAGCTAAGAATTCTAAACTCCAAGAAAGGCAATAATAACAAGAAATGGACGGATGGAAGTAGAAATCCCAAAATAAAAAGAAACAAGCAAATCAAGGCTCGTCGTTAAATCGTGGCTCGTTTTGATTATGATGAGTCATCGGCGATTGATTCACCCACTTCCCCTTCGTCCGGAACATCTCCATTGTCAATCACCAGTTGCACGTCCTTGACAGGATGCAACAGCATGGGAGGTAGACACAAGCGACCCTCGCCGGCAAGCTCTTCTTCTTCGCCGCCGTCATTGTCAACTTTGTATCCTAACCAGCGCCGGTACAGGTTTGACGAGAAACCTGCAGAGTAGAACCATGTTGTTCCACGGAAGTTGTGTTCGCGGTCTCCAAAAACTGAAGTACGGGCTCCTCCAGATGCGCCGTTACGGCCTCCGTTGAAGACCGAGTCCACATATCGTGGTGGCCATTTGCGGTCGATGTACACCGAGTGAGGCACGTATACAGCTTTCAAGCCGTGGTGCAGCGCCGTGGTTGCAGGCCACATTTCCGAGAACATTGTGTGTCGTTTCATGCTGGTCTCGCGGTGCATGGTCATTAACAGCCTGCGAGAAAGTCGAGACGCTGTGATGATAGCAGCACGACGTCCGGGGACGCCATCTTCACGATGATATCCAGTAATGTCATTTCGGAGGAGCCATGTTGTTCCCACCGGATCAAATAGTGGATTGAAAACAATGAGATCTGCCTCTTCACCGACGCCCCACTCGTACCTATCCTTTTCCATGCTTGTAGGAGGAGTGACGTCCGTTTCTAGCTCCATGATATCGTCCTCATGCGGACGGACTGGGCCCCAGATGAAGTCCTCGCCGTGTCGACCATGGTCCTTGTGGTAAGGATCGGACTTGTCTTCGCTATCCTTAACGGCGCTCCAAATGTTGTTGGGACTGTTGGTACCTTTTTCTGTCTCCACACGAACCGTGTGCATAAAATCTTCCCATGGACCATGCACACTGGGGACATAGAACCGAGAATTCCGCTCCCATAAGCCCTTGCGTGGTTGTTTATGAGCCCAACTAGCCGCCTTGTCAAAGAAGTGATACCAGTGTCCAGTATGCCGAACATCCATCTCCCAATTCCACACATAATCGTACTCGGGGTGAAGATGAGAAAAGTACTGGACTGGCATGAAGGTGCTGCGATAAACGCCATGAACGGGCAAACCACGTTCAAAACTCTCTTCCAAGCCACCATAGATAAGATTCATTTGTCTCTCCGACCATAGGATTCCCATACCGTGGAATTCTTCAGGGAGAGCGTCGAAGAGCACACGATCGTATGTTTCTTCATCAGACCAGATCTGCAAATTGTCATCCTTGACATGGATCAGGAACTGTACAGTATATTCTCCACCGGTCATCAGGGATAGTTCCGTGATGAGCGCTCGCAGGTACAAGATATCCTCTTCTGTGTAATGGTAGTCGTGCCAAGTACGAATCAAAACTGCAGTACGTGGTAAGTTGGTTGTGCCTTTTGCGTACTCCTTCTCGGGAGCAGGGGGACTCTCCAAGTGTGCCTTTGGAGGGGCACCAATTGGCATGGCAAAGGCACGATCCAGGCGAGGATCTCCAAGTTTAGTGAAACGGTGACTGTTAGCAATCACACAGCGATTCTGTGCTGCAGCCCAGTTGACCTCACGGAAGTCGACAGGAGGAACGTCCGCCCATACACCCTCGGCACCCTCGCGATCACCTTCCATTCCCGCTCCACTGCCGCCTTTCCGGGCGCCGTATCCAAGACCATAAGGACCAAGACGTCCAAAGCGGTCAAAACAAACATCGTCGCGCATGCCTATCATCTTATTCGAGCCCATGATTGCGTCTGGAAAGCCTTGAGGCACACCGGCATAATATTGCAGATAAGGCAATCTAACTTGATTATCTTCATCAAGGAAACACTCGACTTTCTCTCCGTACTTTTGGATATATTCTTCTGATTGGTAGTTCGGATAAGGATTGAAAGCGGAACTGGACATCGGTAGGCCGTCCGAACGCTTTTGCACAGTCTTCCTCACTTCCTCCTCTTCTTCCTGTTGATCAGATCCACCCTCTTGCAAAGCTTCGTCCATGGCTAGCGACAATTCGTCCAAAGTGCCGTCTCCTGGATATTCCGGAATGCTTTCATTTCGTGGCATCAGTGTCCTGATACCTCCATGGTAGCGTTTCAAGAATGGGAAACTCTCCCATACGTGTGGTTTGGGTACTGGCTTGGCCACATCAATAGGAACCTGCTCAGCACGGCCGAACAGTGTAAATCGGAAGAGGTTGAGGACGAAAATGACGAGCGCGACAAAGACGGCCAGACAGACACATCTCATCAATCGATGCGGCATGATCCCATTTCTCCGCGGTCTTCGCCGCCGAGACGGGCTGCCTAGCATGGGAACGTGAGAGCTCAGCGAGCCTGAGGTTACTCGAGATGTATCGGAATATACGGGTTCGTCGTCACTGAGGGAGGAATCGTAGGCTATAGGGGAGGAAGCCTTCTCAGGGTCTAAATGGTCGCGCGGACGAGACCATTGGTGCGGATCTCTATATCGTGTCGTCTTGGACATGGCATTAATATGAAATTGGGATCACGGGTCGTCAAAATGACGTCCGCCCACGGTTGCACGTGCACCAGGGTGATTTTTGCTTTTGAGTTTATTCAAGCTGTGGTTTCGCCGTATATTGTAACGATATGAGAAGGAGCGCTGCAATGATACTGAATAAGACAGATATACGAGATGAAATGATATTAAAATAAGAAGATCAGGTGTAGAAGCAGTAGCGATTTGTCAGGATCATGATGAGAGGGGAATTGGATGAGACAGATAGAATAATAACAGATGGTCGATCATCGTGGTTGGAGGCAAGAAAGAAGGTAAATAATAGGAGGAAACAGTGGAGCGGGATACATGCAAGCCAATAGTCGAGCCTCAGGCAGGGACGAGCGCGTTGCTCAAGTGACCCAGCTGCAAAGTGGGCCAGAGTCAATAAAGATTGTCCAATAAGCCAGCAGTTCCTGACACGTACGGTATATGATAGGCGGATAGAGATTTTATGTGGATACAAGGTTGTTTCCCTCAGCGAATCACAGAACGCTTGGCAGGGAACTGTGCCGCCCCGGCGTGCAGTCTGATTGGCTGGCAGGCCGCGGTTACACGCTTGGCGCACATCGGTGCCTCAGGCGGCGTAAGACCCCTGTCCGATCCGGGAAGGACCGTCTGTCGCTCCTGCCTCGTGGTTTCAACTTCCCGCTTTGGTCTAGCTCGTGTTGTCATAGCAAACACTCTCTCAAACAGACCTTAATTGCCATTGTCACTCTCCCTTCTTAGCCCAAGAACAACAGCTTCATGTTCTCGGCTCAGGGGATGAGAGCTCATCAGACAACCGCCAATCAGTCCAGCCCCAGCAAAACCGACATACTGTAATTTGTTAATCTCGACAAGACCACTTGGTTGAAAGGAGAACATACCATAACCCACATGGTCGTCAGAGCATGGTGCAACGCATGTCTGGCAGCTGCCTGCTGTGCCGAAGGTAATGAATTGACTATACCAATATTTGCTGCAGCATCTCCGTTCGAGAGCAGACCTCCAAGTGAAGGCCCAAGAGCCGCCGTCAGACTGGGGCCTTGCTTTACCATCTGGTTTTGGAAGACCACAGATCCCAAGACGATCGAAATAGCGCATGCTATAGCCCGGACAAAGCCAATGGTAGAAGTCGCCGTAGCAGCATTATGCTTGCCCACGATCGCCTGCAAGGAGAGCAAAGGCGCCTCGAAGTTTAGTCCAATGCCAATTCCTGAGACGATCTGAAATGTTATGAGCTTTGACCAGTTGAGGTATTCATCGAGGTTGATGAGCAGGCCCACGCCGAGTGTCATCAAAGCCAGTCCTAAATATGTCGTCGGCATATAGCGTCCGGTTTTTTGAATGAATAATCCGGTCAAAGCTCCCGAGAAAGTGATGGCCAAGATGAAAGGTAGGAAATAAACTCCGGACATGATGGGACCCATACCAAGGACGGCCTGGAAATATAGCGGCATGTAATAACCTTGTCCCATAAAGACGAGTCCATGGCAAAAGCAAAGAAGGAATGATCCAATCCCAGATCTATATCGGAAAAGCTCTATAGGGATGACTGGGTATTTCGCAATCTGTTTCTCATTGATAACGAATAGAGCCCCGACAACAACAGAAAAAACAAGAAGGCAGACCACGGTTGCAGAACTCCATGGGCGTGTGACACCGCCAAAGTCCAGTCCTAGGAGAAGCATCACGGTACTTCCGATGACGAGTGATCCGCCTGTCCAGTCGATGGCCTTCAGACCGTCCCACATGGGCGTTCGAGGGGTGTTCAACTTGAGCGAGAACAATAATAAGACAAACACAGCTCCGATGATTGGCACTGTTAATGTCAGCAGCAACAACTTATACGGCAATGCACAAATTTTCCAGACTTACAGTTGATATAAAAGCACCACCTCCATCTGCAGCGAGTTTATACACGTTAGCTATCACATCCGTGGGAATAGGATCAAAGGACCCACTGACGATAGCTTTTCCGAGAAAACACCTCCAAGGACAGGTCCCACTCCACTTGCCATTGCCCATACCAAGGAAAGCAATCCAAAGTAAAGTCCTCGATCTCTCAGCGCAAACAAGTCACTCACGCAGATATTAACCAAAATATTCAAGGCGGCAGATCCCACACCTTGGATTGCTCGTCCCGCGAGAAGAAGACCGATTGAATCTGCCAATCCACAAATCATACTCCCGACAAAAAACACCACCAACCCAGCCAGCAACAAAGGTTTACGGCCCCAAATGTCCGATATCTTACCCCATGTAGGCATTGTAGCTGTATTGGCTAATGTGTATGCACTACCGATCCATGTGTAGCCGGAAGCGGATTGGAAGTGACCTGCAATTTCCGGGGAGGCTGTTGCAATGATGGTCATGTCTAGAGCTGAGACGAAGACGCTTGCGCCGAGTGAAAGCATGATGACTGCAATACGAGACGCTCTCAGCTTGGGTGCTCTTGACGCTGGTTCTTGATCTCCATTTGGCTGCGCTGATGGTAGGGCATTGGTAGATGACTCTATCGGCTGTGGGACAGAATTGCTCTCGGATCGCTGCTGCGACTTTTGCTGTTCATTGCTGACAGTCTGCGTTGGTGTTGCAAGTGATTGAAGTTCGATGCTCGTCCCACAACGGCTTCCGCTCGCCACAGCTGTATTTTCCATGATTGTTTATGATTCCCTTATTGTGGAATGCAGAATTGAACATTGAACATTGAACAGTCTGTAATGTGATATTAGTGTTACTGTCTGGTTGTCATCGACCGAATGTAAGCCCTAAGCCATTAGGGTATTGGCCTAGTCCGTAGCAGGTAAAAGACCATTTAGGTCCAACCAATCGGATTCTAGCAATTACTGTATCCGATTCCATCCAGGCTGCAAGCTACTTTTATGCATACCAAGAATTTAGGAGTTCTAGGCGTCAACGGAGAACATTCCATTGCCCCGAAGAGCTCTGGGTGGAATCGATCAGGTACTCACCATGCCCCGTGAAAAGTAGATACAAGGGGCCTTCAAACTCATTGTTTCCACAGACCTATCACTGATCAGTGATGTTGACCCTTTCTGCTACATCTGTCAAAATCCCCCACATTAACCCTAACATCACAAATCATATCCACCATGACATGGTGCCACTCCTATCCTGAAAAAGACAGATCAAAACGCTCTTGGATAGTTGCTCCCGATCGACTTCACATCTACAAGCCATTACTTAGGGGTTTGTCGGTGAGGGACTCAAGGACAAACAACATTCGAAAAAAGTAGGGAAAAGGACAAAAAAAATTATCACGTGACCTACGCAGGGATCGAACCTGCAATCTTCCGCTCCGTAGGCGGACGCCTTGCCATTGGGCCAGCAGGCCATGATACCTAAACCCGCAAATATCCATTCTTCAGTGTGCTGGAAGCCTATGGAGATGGATAGACTACTCCATAGGTCTTGAAAGAGCACGTAAGTACTGTTCAATGCCTAATCCATAGTTGTTTGATCGAAGCTGATACGTCTATTCGCCCTACAGTAGTTCTAGATCTTTACGATTCTCAAATGAAGAACGGCCTTACTAAATGTTCCAATGATATTTGCTATTATTCCCACCTTCAAAGTCAAAAACGATAAAACTCCTCAAATGCCCCAGGATCATAATCCATATAATGTAAACCCAATTGTCTTCTTCTAGTACATTCTGTGTACTGTATACATCTTACCAAACTTGAACCCGGCTTGGCCGATCAATTCTAAGCAACACGACCAGCCTTGCCAATCTGAATCCGCTCACCCGTCCATTTATCATCACTGCGCAGCACTGGCCAACTCTGACCATCCTTCTTCACTAATTTGATATCCATCTTAGTGCCAAAGATATTATATGACGATGCCTCTGGATCGATGGGGCCGAAAAGATTGAATGTTTTTGTAAATCGTTTGTTGTCAGTGGTTGGAAGGTCGAAGTCGACTGTGTTTGATGTAAATGTGACATTGGCTTTCTCCTTATCGATCTTTTTCAAGTATAGTGATGCGTTGACTGTGGTGGCTGTTTGATAGAAATCGGTTCTAGATGCTGTTAGTGTGAAGTCCAAACAAGGAGCGATAAAGGAACAGTTATAGAACCCACCGAACATCCTCCACCTTCTCCTCTCCCGCGGCCTTTCCCTTACCAACAAATAAATGTCTCTTCTTTTCCGTGCAGCCAGGAATCTTCATAAACTCATCGAATTCAAGGACCCTCCTCTTGCAGCACGACCAGCCTTTACTACCTTCGTGAAAGATTGGTTGGCCAGGATGGTGTGCGCATGTTTCATTGTCGCGTGAGATATCCGGGTTGTAAGTGGCATTGCAACCTCTGCGCCGGCAAGTGGCATTCGCAGGAATCGAGAGTGAAGGGTCGTCAGAATCAGGCTCCGGTGGAGGCGCAGATGCTGTGTTGGGTGTAGGTGTCGGAAGAGCAGCGGCGGCGGCAGAAATCGGCGTCGTCACAGGAACCGATTGTTCACTGACAAGGTTGGCTAATGCAGCGCTATCGATCTCTTTGGGTCCCTCTTTCGGTGTATCGTCAATCGTGGAATGTTTGCCGGTTGTGCAAGGTGGGATGTTCAGGAACTCGTCAAAGGTGAGAACGCGGGGTTTGCAGCATTTCCAGCCTGTGTAATGATGCCATTTATACGTTAGCGCTGTGTAATCCAACTCTCCAAGTTTCGCATAATATGGCGTGAAAATACCCTTTTGACCCTCGTGGAAGACTGGTGGCCCCGGATGATAGATACAATCCTCTTCCGGATCAGTAAAGACCTTTCCGCAGCCTTTGTGAACGCACTTGGTCGCCATCAGGAGGGGCCCTGCACTATGGGGTATATGCGACAATGAGATAGAAGATTCGCACGTTTTGTACTGGCATATAAGGAGAAGAAAAGGGAGACTGCTCAAAAGTCGTCGAAAACTGAGCTCACTTTCTGTATCTTTCGATTTGCGGGGATCTTCCTCTCCAAATCCGGTTAGTGCGGAGACTCGAAGGTTCCATAGAAAGAAAGCTTGACCGCCGCGTTTCAACTTCAACTCAATCAACACGAGCCAATCAATCACTTTCGACTGTTAGGATAAAGATAACTGGCATAATGCGTTTCACAAGGACGCTGCTCAATTCGCAGCCGGCTCGACTGACACTTTTCACCCGCGCGCAATGCGGTCTATGCGATACCGCGAAGTTGACCCTTTCTCAGCTCCAGCAGCGCCGGACCTTCCGCTACAACGAGGTTGATATCATGGCACCGAAGAACAAGAAATGGAAGGATGTTTATGAGTTTGATGTACCCGTGCTTCATGTTCAACCTGCAAACTCGGACGAGGAATCCAAGCTACGGAAGCTATTCCACCGATTCTCTGAAGTGGAAATTGTGAAGGTGGTTGACGAAGTAGAACGATGAGTGAGTCTTGTTTCTCATCACGTCTTCGCAAGACTTGGACTCTGCGTGATCCGAGTTGTTAATCAATGTTGACTTTCCGAATCAAAGTTCCTCCTCCGGGCGTAGTTGGACCTGTCATGTTCGAGCATTTCGTTGTAGGTCGTTTCCGTCGCAAAATATCATGGCCACGAATTCGCAGAATCCATCAAATGCTTCGGTAATGAGAAGACTGCGACCTCGGCCAAAGAAAGTCCCACCATGATAGCGATCTGTACTCGCAGGGTTGGGTTTAGTCGATCTTTCCTACTTTTCTTTTCCTCTTAATCTACGACCACGGAAAGCCTACTGGGTCCTGTCGATGGCTCCACCTGAGCGTCTATTTCGATTTGGAGGAAGAGGACACCCTGGCCACTGAAAATGATTTTAGCCTGTTGCATGTACGGCACGCCGTTCTCGGCGGTTCATAAATGGCAAACCAAGCTGGCCAGTAGCCTACTGGGAAGTTGAGGCCGCATACCAGAAATGCAAGAGGGAAATGTTAAATTCGAAGACTGGGGTAACTAATTGCTATGGATGACAACGGAGGGTCGAAGTACATGCTCGCAAGTGAGCATGCACTGAGTGACAATCTCGCTGTCGCTGTTGATGAGTTCTACATAATCACCAATCGTGCCATTAGCTCGAGGGTCATGCTGTAATTCAATACCATGCCCAGAAACGGTACGAGTTGAAGAAATAGTTGAGTTCCTCCAACACGCACACCTAAATCCTGATTCCGGTTGCCATACTCAGTGCTTGCACGAGGATGGGCAGACTCAGCTCTGTGTGTTCCAATAACATTAACCCAAGACATGTATAAAAAATTGCTTAAAGTCTACACAAGGACCCACTGGCTGACTGCACATGCAATTTCGACAACTCGTTCGTAGTTCCATTCTTCCACTTCATATGTCACACGGACCGAATTGAAATCAAAAAGCCATGAATTGTAAACAGGTAGTATTCAGCATTGCCGGTTTGCCGTCTTTTGCAGTGTCGTCAAAGTACCATAATACGATTGCCACCGCTGCACTAGACGCCATGATGTATGAAATCGTGAGGAGGATAATCTTAATTCTCTGAAAGGCTGTAGACCAAACACAGGTTTATGACTTGGATCCTTCTATCCAAAACTGCCATCACTACATTTCCCTTTCTGTTCACTTGGTGACACTCATCAGGCCTTACCTAATTTTTGATGTCCATAAAATTGGGGGACAAGGTACCTTCGAAAGGGCCGTAAAGAAAGATTTTATTCTTGTTCACGATAGAGGCATCTGGAAATGGCATCTCCGCATCCCCGCATCCTCAAGAGCTTCTAGAAACATGTCCAAATCCGGATGCAGGATTATAGCTTCAGTAGCTTTCCATCCAGGTCTGTTTCATCCACAATCTGGATTATGTGAGTCATAACACAGTCCTTGCATTGGGAAGTTAGCTCTGGGGCGCCGCCTAGCCCTAGGGTCTTCTTGCTACATCCGGCTTCCAGCCGTTCCACAAGTCCATAGACAACATTCGAATTGGGAGACTTCATAACACATCGTCAGCACTTTGCTCATAATTCTATCCCGTTCATGGCAGATGATGGTGGAAGATGAACAATCGGTTTACTCTCACCTGCCGCCGTAATTTGTCTTGAAAGCACAGAAGCCGCCAGTGAACGCATGCCCTCTCGTGGATGGATTAGTTGCTTTGACGAACCCCAAATTATGACCTGTCGCAGAGCCTTTGTTTATATACGACCGGTTTGCTAGGTTTATCAACATACAGGATGTGACGTGGGTCATACCGGGAGCTGCTGAGGTTCATGATTCAGTCCTTTGGCGTTTTTGGGATTATCGTTGTCTTGATCAAGGCCCAGTCAAATCATGTTTGAAGCTGTACCCCGGCGAGGCTAGACGGTCCCAAAGACTTCCTCGCAAGATGGAGATTTAGTGGTCCAGTTTTTGAACCCATTCCACTTCAATAATCAAAGATGTAATCTTAATGACGAATAGCCTTTGCTCGTAGATCGTTCGAAAAGCACACACGCACATTTAAGGAAGGCGTTGAAACAGAAAAGATAGCTGATCGCGTAGTGTGTATGATGTTTAGTGAAGCCAGCCAGTGTGTTATTTCAACAATGTGTGCCTGCAGCATTTGGCTCCGCTGTTCCATTCAGTAAAATCTTGTTCGTGATGTTCTTCATAAAGTGATCGATGGAATTCTGATGCTGTTCTGGAGTCGTGCTGTTGTTTAATGACTGTACTAAAGCCTGTTCAGCGCAGACGCGATTTGACTAAAGGCAGTATTGATGTAAACTGAGAGAAGATGATTGATTTGTGTGTCTGCTTCTTGCTTTGCAGCTTGTATAGATTGTATACAAGCATCTTAATCTTGGGAGATAACGTCCAGTCCTCCATTCGGATACGGATGATGATGGAGTTTTTCTTGCCCATTCTCGGGCTGCTCAAAATCAATTGATAAGGGGGTATGGCATTGAGGGTAGTCAACGACGGAATACACACCGAAAGAACGCATATAATCCTTCGCACATTGTCGACCGAAGTTATGATGCCACCGAGTGAAGACCTAAGATCCAGGGCAGGAAACGTCTTGGACTCGGCATCTGCACCCACTGAGACTTTGACGAGCATTCGAAGCATCCGAAAGACCTGGACAAATGTTGGGGGTTATGCTGAACAAGATCAGGACAACAACATCAAAGGCTTTGTCTAATTGGTGAATTCATTTGGTCTGGCGGAGACGCTTTTCTTACCTCTCTATTCCAACTCCATTCTGAACAAGACTCCTGATGCATTGACATAATAATGTCTTAACCTAACTGGTATCAGCGTATTGTATGTGATAGATTCTGCGCAAAACATTACCTCCAATTCCTTGCAAGAAGCATCTTTGCATTGGTATCAACATCCGTTCACGGAGGCAATAGCTATGATCTTCTTCTTTGGCATTTTGATACCCAGGTAAGTTTCTCGCTAATACGGCTGACAATTGCTTCGAAGGACGAATAAATGAGCATTCAATCCCCATAGAGGCGAAGATATCTATATGTAGGTTATCATTGGAAAGGTGTATAGCTGATGCAGACTTGGGATAGATTCAGTATTGTCTCCATGGCTCAAGAAGTGTGAAGTGTTTGGTATCACGAAATAATAGGAGACTATCTGGACCTTAGTCCACTCAGCTAAGGCTGGGACAAAGCCGACCAGTGCACAAAGTAGAACCTTGGAAGAATCAAAAATTCGTCATTTTTTGTGATCTACCAGGGTATAAGCCATCGATCTCATGTATTCATAGTGATGTTATGGGCTGACACCATATGGGTGGTTCGGGACAGGGCCCTCACTAACACCGCCCATGAAGCTATCTTCTGATCTAGCGAGTGAACCTAGTTGGCCAATACTCACCCTCCTGGACTTATTATCCGGAGTATCTGTTTTGATTCTAGTTGGCAATACTTAGGCCTCTGGAAACTGGAGTTATTGTCCGGAGTATCTGTTTTGCATATCCGGACTTACAAAGGAAACTCTAGAGAAACAGCACAACTCTCTATCTATATATTAAGTGTTATGCCCAACAAGAATTCGCATGTTTTTCTCTTTTTCCCTCCTCATGTACATTATCATCTTAGGAATGAACTCATAGTGTTTCATATGACGGGACTGGCCCGTAACAGTGAGCATGTGCGTTTCCTGGAAGCCATCATTGCCCAGTTGAATATCGGTTGCCCGTAGCCAAAACGATAAGTGCCATATGACCTGCAGTAATTCTCCTCTCCTCCAAAAGGTTCAGAAGAATAAGGGGGATAGGGGAGGTGTAACAGTCTCATAACTTCCAAAGAAACCTTGTTTGGCATTATTTCATCGATATAAGGCTCAATCCGGTGTAGTTCTCAATAAGTTTGGAGCGAAGACCTCTTCAGGATTATCTTCAAACATGGTAAAGGAGAATAAATCATCGTTTGATGCATCAAGGAACCGAAGTGATTGACTTTTGAAGTATTGCTGCCAATTTTCTTGAATCCCTAAAACAGGTCGACTTCATCAACATCGGTCTTTTCTTCATATGGACTTGTCGTCTGTATCACATTTCCAAGACTCGTCGTGTAGGTTACAGCTCATCAGCAACCACACCGTCATATGCTAGCTGGTCAAAGTTTGCTTGTTGGTGTCCAACTCGTAGAGCTTCCGGAGGACATTATTCGTTCATTAAGCTTTTCCGTCCAGCCTGATCGGAGAGTTGGCCTATCTCATGACTTGTAGCGAATGGACCATTTACTGACTTGAGGAGATAGCGTCATGTTGTAGAGCGGTGCTTTCTTTCTCGGATTCTTGGAGAAGAAAAACATGAATTCGGCAAATGCTTGATTCAGACCCCTAATGGAGCTCGCACAGTACTAGCCTAGAAGTTGGCTATAGTTTCTGACCGTTGTGAGTCTTCGACATTTGTATCCTCCAATGGTAAGTCGTTCATCGTAGAATCAGATTTCTGTTCCATTCGCCCAGTATTTTTAGCCCCGTCCTCCGCCATAAGGGAACCAGCGTTGTGGACACCACTGGGATCAGCGGTTGGTAAAACCCAACTGTCCGTGCATTTATGCTGATTGACACTTTCTGATTCTGGTTTCATCTCGTGCTCGGAAGGACGAATTTCCATGTCGAGTGAACCTCCAAACAATGCATTTCCTCCGGCATTGGCCGCATCCCCCGACTGTCCACTCCTTGGGACGCTCTTGCTTAATGAATGCCTTATTCAGACTCAGATTATGGCGAATACTGGTTTTTCCGCAGTGTGCCATGCGATTGCCCCTACCACATTCACAGGGATCTGATCAAAGCGGATACCTTTGCCTTTTACCGTTCTAGGGACTCTGACTGGCAAAGTCCACGATGGCGGCTTCCACGGAGTGTCTCTAGCCACTGGAATGTTTGCCGATTCTCCGTTTTCGGCATCAAGTGTGGTGTGACGGTGCCAATCTGCTTGGTTTGAGTACGCTATTCTAGCTAACTATCTCGTACAAGAGGTGCTTGTCGACAGGTAATATTAAGCATAAAGGGGAAAAAGTAGGAAATGAAGTAAAAGGTCTGGTTCTCGCTTCTCATGTAAATCTCTGTGCAGGGCGCCTTTCCCTATCCAGTTCCGACGTCTGATGTTGATATCACTTCCCAATACGGCGCAGATAGGGTTACACGGCTCCTAGCCCTATCCGTGAACTGAGACGGGAACGCAGAGCCATGCCCAGCCGTCACATTCGGCATCAAGTGTGGGACACACACTGTCTGTGGGCTTATGGTCTGAAACTGCCATGAAGCGCACACGGCACTTAATAGTAGGCTAGTAGCCCACGTACATCCAAGTGATAGGCTGGCGGTTATGATGATGATATCTTGAGCATCGAGGGAAAGTGCCTTGCTGGGGGGCATTATACTAATTCCGTGCTCCTAGTTTGAAAATACCGGCTGTCCGTTCATGTGACATTATAAAACTCTCACATGCATTTGTGGGCTCCAGTTCTTGATGGGAGAGAAGATCGGTGTGTTCGGTACTATACTATCTGTGATACAGTAGTTTGCATATTCAGAGTAACAAACCGAAACTCTCTTCGCTTGCTAGAAAGTAGATCTAGAGGCTTGAGTCCTTGCTTGTATGGGCAAGCGTGCAAGCCACGCACCCTATTATGGTGAACTATACCGATGTGGCTACAATCATAATGGGAAAGGACAGTACTTTATTTCACACTAATAGCCAAATTATCTTCTAGACAAATCAATAAGTTCTCAATTCTGTTGTGGATGGTGGGAGAAAGAAAGGAGAACATTTCAAAATACAGTACCTCAGTTCAGCTACCCCGCTGCCAACACGCCCCGTGCGATCACGGTCGGAGGTGCTTCGACGTCGGCTGGAAAGTAAAAAAAATAAAAATAAAAAGGAGGATTCATTCTTGAGATTAGAGGTGTTCCGCAGATTTTTGTGGAAAACCGAACTTTAGCGTCCGTCTAATGCTCACTATAAGGGCATATTCGAATAGAAAACGTAACATGAGGAAAGGAAAGAGAAAGAAAACAACAAGTTTTTCACGCGCATACAATCTTATATAGGCAAGGGGAATTGGGAGCTTCCGACGGGCTTCTCTCTAGGAATAGCCTCATGTCCGGGGTTGCTGAGATTGTCGGGGCTGCCGGGGATCGGCAGAGAGCGCTATTGTAATATCCGGCCGGATATTGGGTGTCCGTTCGTAATCTGGGAATAGCTTCATGTTCGGGGTTGCCGAACAATAATCTAGCGAAACTATATATGTCAATATCCGTGAGAACTTCTCCCGAACATGGTCATGAGGTCAGCTCATAACAATCTAGCAGATAGACAGTTGCTTACAAATGCTTTACTCAGGCAGTTGTATATTGCTGGTTAAGTAATCAAGGACAGCCAAGCAGATATCATTAGCATGATAGTCATCAATTTTATTTATTCTTACTGAATAAAGAGTATCTTTACAAGCAATTCAATCGCGAACTGTAAACTGATATACAAACAACGCTGCAGACAAAGTCCCCCTATGCTGTACTCTGTCTATAGCCCTTCGTGACAACTGTAGTGGCACCAAGATGTCGAAGATTTGAGTCCGCCCTTTCCTGGATCATGGTATAACGCCCGTTTTTGGGGATAGAATGTCATGCTTTGTGATCCAGAATTGTATTTTATCACCATACATGTATTGTAAATAAAAATTTGTATGAAGGAATACAGTATTATATCCGGATTAATATTATTCCTACACAATTCTATATTTATTATGGTGTCTTCTTGGCACTGTTTCAGAGGAATGTGAAGAGAGTTTGAGTTGTTACTCTGAAGATGCAACCTACTGTAGTCTGTTAGCAATAGTAACAACATATTGAAGGATTAGCAGATGGTTTACTGTTGATTAACAAAACTAACCAAGGGATGTCGGGAACGGCGCTGAGGAAGGAATAAGGGCCCTACTGGAATACAAAGAGGTGCCGTCGATGGAATCGCTAGGAATTGTAGCATCATGAATAACTGGCTGAACCGGGATCATAGCAGTTCAGGATGTAGTGTATATAACGATGTCAGCTCGGGCATGAACGTCCATGAATGATACTCAAACAGAGGTTTTGGATCGATTCATATCCTCTAAGTTGTGGATTTGAGTTTCCGGTTCAACATTACTTATGATCGTCGTCGTGAAAGTGGAGCTTGGTTCTAGTGTCAACCGGAAACCCTTCAGTTGGGTGGTGACCATGTAGTTAGGGTTATAGAAAGTGATAGAAACGAGTGATTGAATCACAGGAGATGTTCTGTTGTGCAAGGACAGTGAATTTGTTGAGCAGTATGGTAGCTGAGAAATTGCTTGCCACTGTTGAACCAATGAAACCCTTGCTGATACTGAGACCTAACGTAACTTCGAGTATGACTCAGAGATACCATCTTTTGTCTGTCCCATGTGATGTATGTTCATTGTTCGTAAGGTCCTCAACGCCTCCTTTCGAGGCCCCGATGTGGTAATTCGAGATTATACAATCTATGATCCACAGCAACTTCTTTCCGAGGCGGAGATCGAAAAGACTGGCCGGCGAGCATATCAAATGACTCATTACGGGATATTGAAAGAGAGCGTGGACCATATCGGACTTCAATACATTGTCCAACCTCCACTGGCCGAAATGGTCTGTCCGGTGACCCATCGACTTCGTTCTTCCGCCAAGAAAGCACATATCTGCGCAATATCATCCACCGTCGCCAGTCGTTGTTCGACCGGAGTGGACTTCTTTTGTGCCTCCACAATGTCCGGATTGATTTGATAGATCATGTCCGTATCCACCGGACCAGGATTGACGCAATTGACAGTATGTCCGTCTGCACCCAGTTCCGCCGCCCAACAGCGAGTAAACCCTTCCATGGCTGCCTTGCTGGAGGCATAAAGAGAATAACCTGAAAGTCCTGCTCGTGCAGCGACGCTGGCGATGTTGATGATGCGACCCGGCCGTCGTAGATGAGGCAGGACAGCTTGCGTCATCAACATGGTACCTCGCACGTTTAGATCGTACACATATTGCAAGTCCTCTGCAGTGACTTCAGACAGTCGCTTCTGTACCTCGCAGCCAGCGTTGTTGACGAGGATGTCGATGCCGTCGTCGGGGAAAGCTTTTAGTGTTGCGGCAACAATCTGAGATGGTCCTTCCAATGTGCGTAGGTCAGCTTGGACTTTGATAGCAGACCGGCCATATTGGTAGCCTACTATACAAGACAGAACCTTGTCAGCTTTGGCTGAGCTAGATTCGCTAGTATAGGTAATCACGACCTTGAACTCTCGTCAGCGACAATACGACTTTGCAACGGGGTCCAGTAATACCTTTGCTCCACGTCTAGCGAATTCAACTGCAAGCCCTTCGCCTATTCCACGAGATGAGCCAGTTATGATAGCTACTTTCCCATCCAGAGTGAGGTCATCCATGTTGTGATGTCCAGCCCAGGGAGTATTCAGTATGCACAATGAAGATATATGTCGGAACGTGAATATCAAACCCTACGCGTTTCGGCACCTGATTACTTAATCTCACGTGGCACGTGCGTGCCGCGTGTATATCTAGCTAGCTATCCCCCGTCCCCCTCGTTCTTTAGCTTCGATTTCGAGTTGATAGGCGACTTCCTTATAATTATTCATATCAAACAGTCAGAAGCTCAAATTCCTCACCCCTCTCTACCACCTAGCTCCCAGGAGTGCGGCCCTTGACGCGTCTCAACGCGTCCGGCAACACCATGGCGCGTAAAGGCCCTGGTACAGATGGCCCTCTACAGACAGCCCTACTGGAATCCACGTCTACAGCCATAACAAGAGCTTCTGAAGGACAGAAGATCTTCAGCCCTATAGCTGCATTCCTTGATAAACACCGCAGCCAAACCACCGGCCTTGCCCCTCACCTACTGAGAGCCCTCACCGCTCTAAGCGATGACCTTGCCTCAGTAGCCCAACAACATTTCAACACCTATATTAGCGGCATCTCGACGACCTCTATTCTACCTGCCCTATCCCCTTCCCCTTCCTCTTCCCCCATCCCAAATCCCTTACCCTCTTCATCCCCTCCCTCACATCCCCCCTCAGGTCTTGAACAGTCAACTTATGCGACTATTACCCAATATACCCCAGTCAAATCAACTCCCACTACTCACTCTAAAGCCTCTGTTAAAAAGCCTATACCTCTGGTGAAACAACCCCTTCCTAACAACTAGCTCTTCGTACGTCTCCTAGCTGACCATGCAGCCAGAAAAATGGAAGCTTATACCATCTACTCTAGCCTACGGTCTCAACTAAACTTAAACAGTGCAGCACTAAAAGAAGTTTAAGCCACAAAGACTGGCTTTGCACTATATCCCTCATCTCTAGAAGCCCTCCTAGCTTTTGAGGCCTAAAAAGAGATTATCTCTGCATTCTTTGTTAACTGCTAGATAGAACGCAGCTCCCGATGGGTCTCGTACCAAGTCACTAATGTGCCAAGGAAAATTAGCCAAATCTTAAATGGTCGATACTCTCTAATCCCTGTCAATCCTACACTACTATTCTCAGAAATTAGTAAAACTACAGGGCTCAAGCGAGTCCCACTAGATGCACGGGTCCGTGTCGCTTATATAAGCACATCGCTTATATAACGTAATCGGTAAGCCACCCGCCCATGTAAGCAACCCGCCCACCTCCCCGAAAAATAACTCTCTATATTGATTTCAAATCCCATTTTTCGAATCCGCATATATTTCTCATACAAAAAATTAACTAGCAGTACGACTAGGACATCGGTTTATTTTATGCCCTTCAGCACCACAACCACTGCAGCGGAATTGACGGCGTACGATTGGTTGAGAAGCTGGGAGCTCCGGCTCAGCCGGAGCAGTAACAACAGCTTGAGATGCCTCAACCTGACCTTGTACGAGCGCTTGAGCTTCTTCTCTAGTAATCCCTTGCTCAATAGATATCTGCTTATTAGACCTTTGGCGCTTTTGATTCTCTTTTTCATTTGCAGCTCGTAAATCGCCAACTTCTTTCCGTGCAAGCAAATAGTCATTTCTAGCCGTTTCATAAGCCTTTGACATCCGTGAAAGAATCTGATCAAGGCCTTCAAATGGGTTTTCTGTATGCTTATTTATACGCTTCTTTATTGTAGTTGACTGGCGTACAAATTGGCGTGTATTTTGTGGTGTTTGTAAGCAAGATGATTGTGTATTACTTGATCGACTTGGAGGGGGGGTTGGTGTTTTTAATTGAATATCAAGCTGTTGAATAACTCGATCCGGATTGAAAGGCACCAATCCGGTGGCTGTGAAGCTATTCCGAATAGTTTGAGCTTTATATGCCATTGTACGAGCCTGTGGAAATGCCGTTAAAAAGTCGATTTTGTTGATATGGTTGAATCCAAGCCTCATTCGCTGTTCAACAAGCTGCCCATATTGTCGCTTTAAAACCGCAAAACAGCCAACATCAAGAGGTTGTAAGAGATGCAAAGAATGAGGTGGCATGCAGATAGGGATAATATTATTCTCGGTGCACGTACGGTCAAATTCTGCAGTCAAATGACTTCCATGACCATCAAGAATTAACATTCGATATCTTCCCATTGTGCGATCATTGATATAAGGAATAAAATGGGTTTTAAGCCATTCTAACCCTATCTGATCTGTAGTCCAACCATTATCGCTAATATTGATTCTCCAATCGCTAGGGAGCTCATCAAACCAGCCTAATCGTACGTTTTTCTTTGCTTTAAAAATAACGTACGAAGGCAGAGCCCAACCGGTTGAATTTGTTGCTTCAATTGCAGTCACCCATTCTCGATTTCCGGGCTGTAAAAGCTTTGGCCGAGCATATCGATCGCTTCCGGTAATAACCTTTGCAGTTGCACAAACTCCCATAGCAAAGCCAGTCTCATCAAAATTGTAGATATCTTCCGGAAGGATTCCATACTGAGATATAGCATCTTGTACGCGGTCAAAGTGCTCTTGAATTATCTTTAGGTCTTCGCATTTGGCACGCTCGTAGTTGTATCTTCGTGAGAATTTTGAATCGATCTCTGGGCGACGTTTAACAAGGTTATATACCCATTTTTCTCCAACCTGTTGATTTCCAGATTGTGATAAAAGATAATTAGCAATTTCTCGTACAAGAGAATGCCGGGGGGGTAATCCACGTCGATCTAAATCAAGCACCCATTTGACAAGTGATTCCTCCTCAAATTGAGTCAATTTATGGTTGTTGGCGCGCTTTTCGGCCTTATATTCAATGCCTTTCAGTCGATCTCGGAGAGTCGTACGAGGAATATCATAAATCCGTGTAACTTCACGAATATTGGAGATTCTTCCATTTTTCAAATCGGAAACAGCTAACTGAATTCTTCCCTCAATCTGAGCGCTTTTTGAAGGGTCTTTTTGCGAATCGGTGGCATTTTTACGCGTTGAAATATGGTAAATCAATATAGAGAGTTATTTTTCGGGGAGGTGGGCGGGTTGCTTACATGGGCGGGTGGCTTATCGATTACGTTATTAAGCGATGTGCTTATATAAGCGACACGGACCCGTGCATCTAGTGGGAGCCGGCTCAAGCCTATATCTATCAGCGAGACTACCACTAGTGCTGCCAACCCTGATACTCTCTCCTCAAGCTGGTTTGTCAACTTCCCAGAAGGCACAAAATTACCACTGCTTATCCAGCTACGTCTTTTTGGCACTATCATCAATGCTTATCATCTCTCTAAGAAATTAATAGTTATCTAATACACCTAATACTAGAAATGGTATAATGCACGATCCTATGCCTGCTCCTCTCGATGCCAGCTATATGGCTCCTCAGAGCATACTGAAGAGGGCCATGTTAACTAATGTACAGCCCCAGAGCCTCATCAGTGCCCTCCTAGATGCATATACTGTTATAGACCACATCTAGCTGATTTCCCAGAATACCTCCTGCGCCCTAAAGGTAATACTAAACATACTAAAGCTCAGCAAGCAGAGATCCGCAAATCCTGCGCTATAAACCTCGTAAAAGCTCAAACTGAAGGAGGATGCAGCTCTTAGCTCTCCATAGGCACATAAGAAAACACCTATAGCATTAAACGAGATGCCATCTTAGCCTCTAACCTATAAGACTATCTCTCCTTTCCGTTTAGTAACCCCCCCACCTCGCGCCCTAACTGAAGATCCTCCAATTACAGCACGTGCCGTCTATTTTATAACCCCTCAGCTATAAAACCGGTTTGCCTCTCTTCTTAAACAGAAGCTATGATCTATCACTATCTAACTCAAAAGGCGCCCGTCAAAATCCTACAGTTAAATGTAGGGCACGCGCTAGATGCATATGAAATAGCTCTCACATTAGCATACACTAGCAAGATTGATATTATCCTAATCCAAGAACTATATACATTCAAAGATCTTAGCTGACAGATTATAAAAAAACATCCATCATATGAATGCTTCTCCCCAACTGACAGTTGGGTAATAAGTAGTCGACCACGAGTCCTCACCTATGTCTAAAAGAAGAAAGGCATTCGGATCTCCTAGCTTCGCCCCTTCACAACTAACACTAAAGAGGCCTTAGATCTCCTATTCCTTCAGATTTTCTCGCCTACAGGAAAGTCTGCTCTGATAGTTAATATCTATAACGCCCTAGCAGGCTCCATCAGAGCAGGTGAAGCTACAAAAGCTCTTACAACCCTGCCAGAGGTATATTTCCCTTAAGCAACGATACTCGTAGGCGATCTTAATCTACTACACAACAGATAGCAGCCCTCGCTACATCGCAGCCCCACACCTTCTGCAGAGCCATTTATTAACTGGCTAGATCTCTAGGGTCTAGTACTCATCTCTGACATAGACTGTCCCATACATGAAAGGGGTAACATATTAGACCTCAGTTTTGCCTCAAGCCCTCTAGCACTCGCGGGAGCTAAAACTAGCATAGCGAGCCACCTAGATGCAACCTCAGATCATTAACCACTAATTACCACTGTATTATGGGATCAGAGATACAAGGAAACAGCTCAGAAACTGAGATTTGAATTTGACACGCTAGATCACACCAGCTTCCTCTCACTCCTCGCCTCTAATCTTGCTAGTATCGAGAGCTCAATCATAACAGAAGAAGACTTTGATGCCCTTGCCGAAAAACTGACATCTGCAATCCAAGAAGCATATAGAGGCTCTGCTAAGAGAACCCTGACACAAGGTATAGGATAACCTTGATAGAATGAAGACTGCAAGAAAGCTTTACACAACTACCGCTTAGGCCTCTGCTCAAAGACAGACTTCCGCAGGATAACTAGATGGTCTCAACAATAATTTTGGCGAGAGAAGCTCTCTACGGTAACATAAATGAAGAATGTCTTCAATGTAAGTAAATAGTATAAGTCCATAGGCACCTTCCAAAGCCCTCCACTAAAGGATCCACTGAGACCTAACAGCTTCCCAGCAGTTGCTATACATGAGAAATAAGACATACTAGTCCGCAATCTTCTCTAAAACTCAGCTAAGGTAGGAGATATACCTTTGAACTCCCTAGCAGTCTCTACCACTAGTCTCTACTTCCCAGACATATCAATGACATAGGTGGAGGAGTCAGTACTTCAGGCAGGAAATACAGCCCCTAGCGCAGACGAAATCCTAGCCTGCATACTCAAAGTAGCATGGCCTTTGATTAAAGATAAGGTACTAATGCTATACTAAGGGTGTCTAAATATTGGCTATCACCCAAAATACTTTCAACACGCAATTTTAGCAATTATCCAGAAACCAAAGAAGACTGATTGGTCCTCACCTAGATCATACAGACTAATTGCCCTCCTCTCAGTCCTGGGCAAAGGACTGAAGCGCTTAGTGGTATGGAATATAGTATGGACCTCTATACACCACAAAGTATTAGCAAGGCAACAGTTTGGGGCTCTCCTACTAAGATCTGCAACTGACCTAATCACATGCCTAACACATGATGTTGAATAAGCAATAAATTAAGGCATGACTGCCTCACTCTTTACCCTAGATGTCAAAGGCGCCTTTGATGCCGTGCTTCCCGGCAGACTGATCTACAGATTATGTGAGTAGGGCTGGCCTACCAACCTCATTCTCTGGATTGCCTCCTTTGCCACTGGGCAATCAGTTCAGATCCAACTTGATGGAGAGATCGGCCCCTTAACAGACATTGCTTGCAGTCTTCCACAAGGATCTAACCCGCACACTTTTAGTGAAAGCTAGATCTATTACAATATCAGAAAACACTAAACAGCTATATCTACGATGGCTAGGAATCCTCTTTGATAAAAAACTAACGTTTAAATAATATATTGAAGAAATAGTATCTAAAGCCCTCACTGTGGCTAATACCCTTCGCTCTCTAGGGAATACTATCTGAGGAGTCAAACCTCATTTACTATAGCAGGCTGTATCAGCCTGTATACTTCATAAAGTATACTATGGCGCTGAAACCTGGTGGCCAGGACGTACTTGCCCTAGGCCTTTCTAGACTTCAAACCAAGTTAGAGAATATCTTAAGAAACTAACTAAAGTAATACTAACAGGCGCAAGAGCAGTCCTTCCAGTTTCCCGCACAATCCCAATACCTGTCCTTTATCGAGAGTCTGGATTCGCTCCACCAGAAATTGAACTAGATCAAATAGCCCTTCTTATAACTATCCGCCTACAGCGTCTCAATCCTTATCACCTACTTCGAAGACGCGCAGAACAGATTGCTAGTAATGGCTGACAAACCAGCTGATTTGCCTGCTGTATACTAGCCCTCCCCAACTCTAAACAGATAAACCCCCTCCAATACGCTCCCTAGCACCCTCGCGAGTCTTATGAGAATATCTAAGCTTAAATAGGAGCTCCCATGGGACGCACTAAGGAACAGGCAGCAGCTGATTTCATGGCTTTCCAACGCACCATCCCTAGCTTGGATATTGTAATCTTTTTAGATGGATCTAGGCTAGTAGACAGACGTGCAGGGGGTGGCTATATTGGATTTTAAGCACACCATTAGTTCCTCCGCTCCTCGCTCTCATATGGACATAGGAAAGAAGTCTTTGATGCTAAAGCAGAAGCTGCTCTAGCTAGTGCTCAAGCAGCAATAGCATACCCAACAGCTCAATTTGCTACCAACTTATAGATCTGTCTTGACAACCTAGAAGTTGCTACACGCCTTCTATCTCCCTCTACAGGATCCTTTTAGGAAGTCTTTGAATCCTTTCGCACCCTTGCAGCCACCTGGCCACTACGTAAAAGACTTCCACACACCAAAAGTGAATTAATCTAAATCCGATAGGTCTCTAGACACACAAAAATCCCTGAGAATGAAGCAGCTGATCTTACTGCTAAGGAAGGAGCTATCTCTACCCCCCTCTCTTTATACAAGTCCTTATATGCCTTGCTAAAGAGATACGCCAAGACTCAATCCCTTTCTACTGCTCTGACACGGTGACAGACTGTAGCACCATAGATATACCAAGATCTAGAAATAACTACATCTCCTAAATGCCCTGGAGAGCTTTAACTTAACTAACTTAACCTTGGCTATATTATAGTGGCCCGTACTAGTTATGGAGACTTTACAGACTACCATGAATGCTTTAATCATGATGATGCTTACCTTCTTTGTTGGTATGGAGCACGAAAAGCACCTCTATATTTCTTCTTCTGTTATATAGCTAAGAGACGAGCCCCCCGCCCTCCTGGACCCCCTTCTGAAGTCATCTCTTTTCTTTTAGGTACTGCGAAGGGAACATAAAAACTAGCCACATGGCTAGCAGAGACTCGTTTCTTTGAGGATATCTGTCCTCGCCAACCTCTCCTTAGCATCTAGCTAAGTCAGCCCTACTTTCCCTTTATGTATCTCTTTTCTTTCTTTCCTTTCTTCTTTCAAAACTCACTGCTTAAGTACTATGGTGGTAGAATTATGGGTCATGGAGCGTAGGTGGACCATTGCAGCTGGCAAATACTCAAAACCTACCCAGAAATGGACCTCCCTGTAAGACCACGGCAGCTATGGAAATGCGCCAAAGAGTCTCTTATTTGTATATAAATCCGATAGGACCTGAAGCCCGAGATTTACCCCTCGGCGGCTTATGTCCCAGTAGGGATCGGTGGGAAGCGTGCGAGTCACGAACCACGGCCGTTAAATACACACACACACACACCCTCGTTCTTGGGGATCAGTCACAATATTAGGAATCAAGATATCTTCATATTGTCAGGCTCATTAGGCCGCTTCGTGTTCGCGCCTTACTACCGTCTATGCTTCGTGATACGGACCGTAGTTAAACCAACAATATATTTGCGGACAAGAATGTTCAAGTGGAATCTTGGGATATTTTATACATTGCCAAAATAATCACGGAATAACATTGAACCATTTGCGAGGTTGGATGGGAATCATGGCTAACCTTGGAAGCGGACAGCCTCCGTTGCTTGTCCGCATATGTCCGCATTGATCATTTATGCCCTAATCACTATCTACGTCATGGCTTATTACTGACTCACTGGACATTTAGTAGTAACATGACTCTTTTTAATAATTAAGACATTTAGTCAAAGGTACATATGTACATGATTCATTTGCGTGGTAGTTGCACTGATGTATATGTTTGTAGGTGCACTGATAAGGGGACACTCACAGTTTGATTATACATATGTATTAAAAGAATTTCTTAGCTGCTCTAAGATGTGACCATCTTAAGTATGTTTATTGTGGCCCCTATCTCATAATAAAAATAAACGTCTGAACAAGTAAAAGATGGTTGAAATACACTGCCACTTATAAGAAAAGTTGAAAAAATACACGACATACAAGTACTCCTGAGCATATGGAAAATGCTTTCTAATTTCAAGAAGCACAATTCCGAAAATGCAAAAATAAAAAAGAATTGAAGTCGAAAGCGGTCGAGGAAAAATAAATAACAGAAGCTGACTCCATGCGCCACCGCCAATGCATTGAAAACTGAATTATACGAAGGTAGCATCGCATGCTATATCATGCTATATAGGGTTGATAATTGGGACAGGCGCTTTGGGTGTGGTGCTTCCTCCAGACCCAGCAGAGGGAGACTGTTTCGGTACCGGTTTACCCTTCATTTGTGAAGGTGTGGGAGGAGAGCAGTTCTTCCGACTTAGAGTAGGTGAAGCTGACTGCTGGACAGGTGTCCTCCGGTGCGTTGCGGTTGTCTGTCGTATAGGCGTATGTGGTGTTTGCCGAGGTGGGGTCCCTCTAGTCGTACTTTGGCGGTCGTTGCTGAGGGAGCGGTCACGATCACGGCCAACACTGCTGCCGCCGGCACTGCTTGTCTTACCACCACGCTTTACCATTCGTCCAAGAACAGCAACCAATTCAGCGGCATCCTCAAAACTTTCATCATCCATCCCTTCTTGCGCATTATACACATCTGCAATAGTCTGTTTTGCTAGTCGACGGCAAGCATCGGCATCGTGGAGACAGTCATATAGATATGCTGCGTATTCAAGTTTGACAGATAGTCGGAGAGGGTGCGACCCGGGGAGCAGCGTATCTGCTAGAGTTGCTGCATGGCTGAAACATGGAGTCGCTGTCTGCGTATAGTCAAGAGCCGGTAGTAGAAATGATGCAGCCGGTTTAGGTGGTGGATATGGGTTCAGACCTGGAGGACCCTTTTTGACGCTACTTTCTGAAGGCATCCGAACCGGCCCACCCTCACTGGGTGGAGGAGTTTTCGATATTGATTCTCGATTTGGATCTGATTGATCCTCTGTTGGTGTATGACGGACGCCATTGGGCAGATTGGTGGAGCTCGGTAGACTTGATATCCCTGGGGTATGGATGGCAGGCTGATTGTGAAAAAGCACAAAAATGTGGTAAAATGATGCGCGCAATTTGTACGCAAGTACCTTGAGCAGGATATAGTCCTGTACCATCGGTAATATGTACTGCTCCACAATCACCAATCCTTCGCGCGACAGCCATACGATATGGTAATACAACTGTAAAGACTTGGTCTCGCGCGTCGGGTCCAAGCGGCGGAGCTTCCGAGCGCGAACCAGTTTTTTCGACAATATTACAGATAGACCAAGGATCTTGTACAGCATGCTCGAAAGAAACGGGTTTTCATGGCGAGTGCTTGCCGCCAGTTGGCCCAGATACTTCTGGTCAACTTCGTGAGAGGCCATCCAAATAGCAAATAATGAAACCTCCAATTCCTGTGCAGAAGCACCCATGTTAGCGAAACTATCCAATTCCTGGTCAGAGTCGTCTTCCAACGAGTCATCCATCTCTTCGGGTAGCCACGCCCAGTGGCTCGCGTCCTCTGTCCCCATCTTCTCCAACAGAAATTCAAACACGCAAAGAAAACGACCAAATATAATGAAATAAACTGATAACGAGCAGATAATTCACGGTTTTATGTATTGGTGGTTGTTTTGGATGACCATGTAGCCGCCGAGTAACCCGCCGGCGGCGGTCAGGAACCAGACTGGTGAAACGAGCAGGGGGGACGAAAATGGAAAATAAGCGCTTACCTAAATCCCTGAAGATTATGATCAGCAATTTTTTGTAATTCATATAGATTAATTGCGCAATTAACAATCAAAGTTCGGCGTTACTTTGTCGTATTCGAAAGGGGTTGAGTGTATGGAAGAAGCGCGACACGCCAAACTCGTTCGAAACCTTCGCAGTGTGAACAGTCTGTAAGATACGCAAAAGAAGCGTAAATCGGTTCAAGAGTTGTTTGATAATTCACACTGCTCGGTAGAAAATCGTTTGAAAGGTGATGGCGCGAAATCCGGAATGGTAGTCGTGGGTTGCGAAACCAGAGCTCCGATAATTTTTATCAGAGCAAAAAAAAAACCTGACGGAAATGCACACAACTTTGCAAGTATTTGTACAGTGATCACAGAGAGCTGAGAGTAAAACTGCAGAACCAATAGTGGTATGAGGTTGAAGTGGGCAGAAACAGATAATATACAGGCGCAACGCTAATAAGTTCAATAGGGTTGTAAGGCGGCCGTCATGGAAACCTAATAGCAACGATAGGACTATGTAAGTCCTTGAAATAGATCCGGGTCGTGATAGCCTCTAATTTGAACAGTTGGGCCCAATGAGGTAGGAACATACCTGGTAGCTCAGGTCGATTCAATCAATCAATAGATTTCGATCGCTCCCCGGGGCGTGGTTCGGTCTTCGCTCTGTTAGATGTCGATTCCGTAGAGGTCTCCGCGCCAATCAGAATGATCGTATACCGTAGAGCAAATCCCCAGGCGAGAGTGAGGGAACAGAGAAAATGTGGCTGTACAGACTCTGAAAGTCGCAATTCATTGTGAGTTGTCAGGCGACGAAAGACTATATCTCTGCTAGGCCGGAAGACATGGTGCGGTGGCAGGCTGTATGATAGTAATAAATCAGGCACAAAAGTGCAGTTCCGCCGCACCGCAACTCTGCCTACGTAAGTAGACAAAATGCGCAGGGGCAGACAACACACCACAGTGACCTAATTGAGGCGGTCAATTGGCTCCCATTGACCGTGGGGAAAAGGATTTCCTAGGTCAATGGCCTTGTTTTCCAGGTGTCTGATCGATGACAGTTGGCGGGTACAGCTGTCAGCATGAAATCCAATACCGAGCTGCTGGAAGAGCGAAAAAAAAAAAAAAAAAAAAAAAAAAAAAACTTCGAGAAGGAACTGGTCCCCTTCCTTAATCCGCACAATTCTCTAAAGGCCGTAAATGATGCACGTCATAATATTGTATGCCTCTGCTATCTCTTTCCCACTGGTACGGCGAAGGTGGAAGCAATTGTTCGATCCTTGGCAAGGAAAAAGTTGGGGGGTCGGTGGTGGGCAAACGCAAGCCTGTATGCATACAGGAACTACGTGTCAGAGCCAGAGCTGTTCGCGACGCCTTTAGCCTTGGACCGGGGGGCATTAAGCCGCGGCGATAGTGGAGCAGCAGTCGTCAGACAGCCCATTCAGAACAGGTGAATCCCACGTAGATCGGATATCGCCAGTGTTTAAGTTAGCGCGACACCTAAACCAGTCCGTTTTCCCTATTTCAATACACCAGAGTAATTTTTAGACTGGCGCTTGCCAGCGTGGCAGCGGGCTGTCCCACCAAGACTTTTCCTGAGCACGACCACAGGACTTTAGGGGCTCCGTAATCGTAGCAGGAAATCATCGTCATCAATGCCACCCCATGATGCTATCTGTGGCTATACTCGACAGTTGTTAGGCAGAGTGTGGCGTTTTGAAGACGGTGACTTCAACATCGATAACTTTGGTACTATTGGTACGAAAGTACGTAGTAGCCCTGTATTTCCGGCGGAAACGCGCCAGGGATGTGCATAGCTGTATGCCGTATTGCTCCGTTAATGATCAATTTTCAGCATGCATACGATAAATTGTAAGAAAACTGTTGTGTAGTGCGTAATGACCAATACCCACCGCCAGTTTGCCCGTATCGGTGGCTATCAGCTAGGCCAGGGACGGCTAGCGGATTACTGTTATGGATGGCCTTCTGGTAAATTGGATTTGGACTTTGGGGACGTCAAGTGCGCAGCTCATGTAGGTACCGTGTGCCAGCGAAGCTAGACATGCAAGAGAGTGGGAAAGGAGAGTGCAAGAGGGTGTGAAAGAGGATGGAAGTCGATGTCTGGATGGAGCAAGGGAGGATCCAGAAAGGGCGCGGCCCGTTGCTGACCCAGACAATCATGGATGCCTGATGCCTAAGGCTTCGGCCTTAAATTCTCTGCCTTTGACTACTTCGTATCCCAAGTCTTAGCGTGCTCAACGTCTCTCTCTTGGATAGACTGAACTGACATACGATCCGAAATGCGCTTACAGATTGCCCCCCTACATTGATGCGCTCTATGTATAGGGTCTGGAAGTTGTCGGCTTAGCGGCTCAATTGATTGACCGAACCACCCTGCTTTTCATATCCATATATTGTTCCAATATATTGGCCGGTAACATGAGATAAATAAAAAAAAATGTCTACTCTCAGATACATCCGCTGATCTTCTGTTTCCTTCAACATCTACGGAGTACAGATGAAATAATTTAGATCAGATCTATATACGTTCCATTTTGGGACTAGCGTCAGACACCCACTTGTCAGGTGACCATACGTACCAGACTTCCTTTGCCGAGTGGGGGTTTTCCTCTTCTCAGCTGCCACCGCTTTTGTGAGGCGCTCGCAGTCAGCCTCACTGAGCGGACACTGAGAGTGCGTCTGTGGACAAGTCAATCTGCAACTAGGATCGGAATACCGGGGAGACCAGAGTCTTCAGGAACCCCAACTGATTTTGAGCAGCACCGCTGATATCAGAATACACCCTCATCGACCATTTGGTGGAAAAGGGAGCTGGGAGCCCTTCCAATGGATTGCTCAAATGATCTATTGAATGAATCAAGAAAAGGTCAAGGACATAGAGCTTGCTGGTGGTAGAATCAGGGTCCGTGGTTATGTCCTCATGGCGGAAACGTTCCATAAGCTCCAATGGTCGAAGGTTAAAGAGGCTCATTGGAAACTGAGAGGAATCCAGAGAATCCCCAAGCATCATCGGCGGAAGAAGCTGGTTACCGGCAAAAATAAACAAGTGGAACCTGCCGTTGGACGGCATGACATCGAGCAGGTGAGCATGATTTCCATCGATATGTCGAACGGCATCAATTGGAAGCAGACGTCTCCCCGGCGTCAGTGGCTCCACCGCTTTGCGCTGGATTGGCGTTCGAACGTTCAGATCAACAAGCAAGTTCGGAGGTACTCATACCCACACCACTTGTGAATCCATACCCCGATTCCCATGTTTCGCGGAGGTTTTGGCTTTGAAGTTTCTCTTTCTGCCCACTTGACGGGCAAACTGGGCATCAGATTCAATCAGCTGCTTGGCTACCCAAAGTCTCTCCTGTTGATATGTCTGGAGCAATGCTGGGTTTGCGATACCTTTCAGAACAAGTGCCAGTCTCCATGTTACTCTATATGAGTTAGAAATGCTGACGTTCATTTCCTGTCCTGCCTTAGGGCTATGTGTATGGCATGTATCTTTGAGGAGGAACACTCGCTGGGTTTGATCACAAAACTTATGAACAACTCGTTGTGCAACACAGTATTGGCTGATCCAAACTATATCCGTGATTTTCATTTGATAAGGATGAATAACCTTTTTAATGTGCGACTGGATGATATTGGTGAGTTTGAAGGCACTGTTTTCACAGACGACATCCTGTGCCCGTTTGCGCCGAGGCTCTCCTGGCCATTTTCATCGATTTGAAGAAAGATTCGGAGCCCCTCATCCTTACGAGGAATAAGCACACAACCGCCATCAGGGGTTCGAATGGCGCAGCGTCGCCTGTAATCTGGGAATTTGGTGTCAACGTAGACATCTACCACAGCCCAAGCATCTTCGCTGCCCCGTGAGGATGATTGCACCCCCGTCGCTTGACGGATAGCACTTCGTGCCCCATCAGAGCCCAAAATGTACTTCGTCAGACAAACTTGTATGGCGCTGCTGGCATTGTTTTTAATGTATTCTGTGGGCGGCCATTCGGGTGTATCTTCATTGTATTCTCGTAATGAAGGAATTCCATGAAGCGCTGCACCCCTTGCACTTTGGACAGAAGATTTTCTTCAAAGGAAGCTTCTGTCATACCTTAATCCGTATTGAAAAGATACTGGTAAGGTGTAGCTTTGGAGCAACTGAGTATTAGCTGAAGTTCACACAGCAGAAAATTTCTGCAGGATGGAGCATTTACCATGGACTACCTCGGCTCCCATGAAATTTCTAACCAACGCTCCCACGCTATCACACACCTAAAGGGATGTTTCTGTGAGTCGGTGGCCATTGCTGTCAAGATCATGTAGCAGAATCATTGTCTGCAATATTTCCTAAGTACGGGGTTGAAATGCTTTTCTAGATCAGCACTTTCGTCATTGCAAATTAAAAGGCAATCTCTCATTAACAAACTACTTGCATGTCCAGTTTGAGTCCTTGTTGGACGCTCGTCAGGTAAGGGGAAATCGATACCATACCCTTGTAAAGTGGCCGCAACCAGCAGCGCCAGCGCCGACAATAAGGACGTCTGTATGCTTGAGTTTTAAGGGTCGAGCCCAGTTAATAGAATTTGATTGTCATATGAAAACAACTAGGGAGGTTCTTCAGATGGTCCCTTCAAATTGACGGTGGCACTCGATAGAATGAGAAGCTCTATGCTCTGGGTTGACCATTTTCTTTATATGTGTGGCCTTCTACATCTAATCCCAAGTTTCATCTCATCCTCCAGTACGAAGTCCAGATTTCAGAATGTTATAGCAGTAGATTAATACAAAATGAGCTCTGACAGTTTTCAACATCGAATCAACCCGCAAGTGACGCAAATGCCGCAAACACTAGGATAGCCTTATTGGCTCGTGTATACATTAACGCGCGATGCAAACATGATCATACTACGAGTATGATGTCTAATATAAAACCCTGTCAAATTTCGTGGCGAAGAGATTACTACGTAGTAGAATCTAAAGGTGCGTCTGTAAATATCCCTTTCGATTTCTTGAGGGGAAGGAGCAATTGTCTCAAGCACAGCCGTGCGCCATAACATCATTGTAGAAAAATAAAAAGGGTGTGGGTTGGCTTATAAAGCCAATAAAACAATGTACGTACGTCCATACACGCGCTTCAGGTGGTACTCCAAGTACTATGGTGTCAAATGTATTCAATGGTCTGTTCTCTTCTCTTAATGAGGCCCCGACGCGGTCTATATAGTCCTTGCTTGACGAGGTCACGTGTACCTTCACGTGACCTCTCCTTGGTTCGCGTCGGTGCCAGGAATCTCGATTGCACCTATAAACCAACAAAGGGACTGTTTATGTAGAAAAATTTAAAATCATGAAAAATGTTCCTGATGGTTTGCTCATTTCTTATCAAATCGGCGGGACTCTCCTTCAAGCTGGTAGAAAAGACCGTAAGATTTGAATAATACGCCGATACAGTTTCTAGTGCCGTAGACTACTACAGCTTTTCGTTATACAGAGGTGTGTCGAGAAACGTTGGACTGGTTGAACCACACACAGGTTCCACTTATCACGAGTAAACAATGATAAGGGGAGTATGAAGTTTTAAGAGAGAAGATATCCTTAACAGAAGTAAACACAACAAAGGTAGAAGAGATCCCCCGTACAGCCTGGTGCCCGTACGAGTTAGAGTGCCTTGCTGACTCTCAATGTAGCTAAGTTAGTATTCAAGTCACTTATGTCAAAGAGCAATGAAGAACGAGACTAGATACATGGTAATGAGCGTGCTTATATAGATCATTGAATCAATCCTCCTACCATTTCTCCTACCTTTCCATGGTATAGCCATGGTATATCCAATCACTCTTCCTGTTTCCATATACCATTCTCCTACCATCCAAAGGTATTCCCCATGGTTGTTGGAGCCAAAATCACGTGACTAGCAGAATACAGAAGTCGAACTACGGAACGATTCGCAAATACCACAAAAATACCAGAATCCCTTGAAGGGCGTCCTTTTGGTGAAATGGTATTACGTTTAAGTTCCGACAGAGCCTGTGTCCCTAGCTACCGCTTGCGTGTCTTTTCGTAAAATGACAGGCTATGGTGACAGCTTGTTCAGTACAGCGCTTTTCCTGAATAGTGCTAACACTCCTGCAAGTTGGCTTCGTAACATGTGGGTTTTATGCTGCATGGTCTATATCAGGCCTAGCTGTAATATACGGTAAAAGTAGTGACAAAGTGAGCACCAAAACGGAAAGGGAAAGCCGCGGCGTGTCAAAGGAAATCCGGTACGTAGGTACCAAGTCAACACTCAAATCTCTCTTTCATCCCGTTCCTAGATTCTTTTCTAAATTCGAACTCTCGCCAAAAGAGAAGGAAATAATATTCAAACATAATGACCACAGCACAGCTGGTAGACACGTCTACCGCGTCTCCGAATAGTTCCAGTTTTGGACAGAATGACGACCCCATCAAGCTATTTCGATGCTGGGTGCGCCAGTCTTGTGATGACTGCATCTCGATGAGAGATGATCTGGACTGTAGTTGGTGTCCATTTGTATGTTTCAACTTTACATGCTAAGTTCACTTCTTGGATGCTATCTTTGTGCTCAGTTTGCAGCTGGAATTTTCATATGGCGTTTCATCTTGAATCTTCCTCTGATCAAGTATCGCTAACACCACATGCAGTCGTCGACCTGTGTTCCTAATCCAAGTCCCAAATACCCCCTTTTAGCTCCCATCGACTACCCAGATATCTGTCCGCTCGGAGCAAAAGAGCGCTGGGAACTACGCGCAGGCGGTTTGGGTTGCAACGTCAGCACACGCAATTTCCTATCCGTGATTGTAGCGGTTGTGAGTTCTTTCGCACTGATCGCGCTGATTGCTCTGGTTCTTCACGGTTTAAGTAAGATGATCCGGTGGTGTACGGAAAGAAAGAGGAGAAGCAGGAGCAGGAGAAGCCGTCTGGGAATCATCTTTTTCAGAGGTTCAGATGGCGACAGAGTTGATATCATTGAAGACGCCGGCCGTCGACGACCAGGACGATCGTCTCATGATGGAGTTTCCATTGACGAGACAAGTCCACTGCTGAGGAGGATCAACCAAGATATGGGCGTATAGAACTACGTGGTTTTATAGTAGTTAGCTGATTATATCACTACTGAACAATGAATATCATGATCGTTCTATGTATCGCAGAAATCGGAGCACCTGATGCACCGAGACCGGGAGCCCCTCCTTCTAAGGTTCGTAACCGAACCGGGCGACCGAGCTTCCCCTCGTTGTTTACTTTTTCTCTAATTCCTCAGCAACAACTTCAGTTTCTTCAATTAATCGTTCGTATAAGCAGCATTGGTGAAGCTCGCATTTGAGTAATTCATTCTCTCTTCTCGATTCATCATGGCCGGCTTCCCATCCCTCAAACCAGCTTTTACCGTACGGGTAAGTGAGGGGTCGTTATCGATGATTCGGAATTCCGCATCGATAGCTCTGGTGTGAAATACATGCTGACTTTTGACTCAGGTCGCGGTTGATGCACCATTTCCTGTTGGTATGCTCTCTCAGATTCCAGTTATATGACATTGTATGGGGAATTGTGGTGGGAAAGGAAGATGAAGCGTGTTGACACATTTCCATACCTGTAGGAAGCCATCACCGCAAGGCGCCTCTTGTTGTTGTGGTAAGTCATGGATCATCTCTTCTCTTCGAGAGAGATAGTCCCACTAACAGAATGAAGCCAATGGTCGGAGGAACCGTCATCTCAGAACCCGGCTTTACCCCAGCCTTGAATGCTAAATTCGAAGGCATTGGCAATGACTACATCCGCAACGATCCCGATGGAAAGTATATGCGTTTGAATGCCCATGGTGTGGTAAAGACAGACGATGATGCAGTAAGTAGGATTTTATAAGTTAGAATATACATGCATCGGCAGCTGACAATGATGTAGTTAATTTACATTCATTATCAGGGAACAGTAAACTTGACCGAGGGCGTTGTCAAAGCCTTGTCAGGTCAAGCTGGCGATGCAGAGACGCCGTATGGTGATAGCTGTATGTGTCCTACCTTGAACACAGGTTGTCTATTCATATACTAATGCATATATTTTACCGGCTTTAGTCACCTCGTTTAACATTGAGGTACGTTGATTGCCCCCCTCATAATTGTATACCAGACTTATCGTTGCATAGACTGGAGATGAGAGATACAAGGACCTCGAGAACGGAGTTTTCGTCGGTCAGGGTCATTTCGTTACCAAGACTGGAGAAAAGGCCATTGTCGAATACAAGGTCAGCCAGGTCGTTTTGGGTTAATCCCGTGGTTATATTAGGTTCAACGACAGATCATTATCTTGAATCTGGAAGATAGTGTACAGAAATCAAGAAAAATCCAACGTCAAGTCCGGATCCACTTTCTTCAACACATCCAGTATTTCTTTCCACGCCTTCTGCTGTATCTTTTGTCCTTCCGGTGAGCTCACAATCGGACCCGGACTGAAAGAAGGTAGGTTAGTATCGGGAAAGAGTACCCAAAGCGATCAAACAGGATGCTACTCACTCAGTCAACTTCTGGTTCTCTAACCATTTCCCATGCCCATCCTGCCTGACCGCAGCATCAACAATTGTCTTGGCCCCATCTGCCGGAGTCCGCGCAGAGACCATTTGTATGGCTTTCAACAACCACGGAGCCCCTTCTTCACGCGAAAGCAGCTCACTCTTACAGAAGCCCGGTGTCACACTGGTGACTATTACTTTCGGTTGACCTGTTTGAGAATCGACGGGCACCAGTTTTGAGATTTCTATATTAGTCCATTGATTGAACAACTTGCTCACGGCGTATCGTTCCACTGGGCTTTTTGCCTGCAATTCTCGCCATTGTTCCTCGTTATTCAGAGCTTGGAGGATGTGTGGTGCGGATCGTTGTGGGAACTGGGCGACTTGGTGTATATCACTGGCAACGATGACTAGATGCGGTATTGATGGAGAAGAAGAAGCGGACGAAATCAAGATCGGTAGCAACTCGAGACCTAACAAAGCCGTGGATAGTCCGTTGACTTGGATCTGCATCTCCCAGCCGTCTGGGGATAATTTCCAAATCCCAGAGGCTAGACCTGCATTCAAGATCGCGGTGTCAAGTCTCTTGCCTGGTTGGGAGACGTATGCTTTCATTCTATGCACGAATGACATTACGCTCTGGAAGCTTGACATATCTAGCTTCCAGACTTCGATGTCTGTCTTTGTTGATTTGCCTGTGGAAGTCCTTGATAGGATGTCCTCACGAGTTCTTTCTCCCTTTTCGACTGATCGAACACCCATGATAATCTTGGATGCCCCGAGGGAGACTGCATGGCGGACAGCTTCGAGTCCGAGTCCGGTATTTGATCCTGTTATCAGGACGGTTTGGTTGTTGAAGGAGCCCGGTGGTGGCAAACGCACAGAATGGATTGGTTGAAACAGTGTCTTTAGCATTGTACCGGGTCTATGAGAGGATTTGAGAGATCAATTGTGAGCGATGTCTTCTCGACCGTCCCGACACAATAAGCCAATCCGGTGGCTGAAGGCAATTTGTGAATGGCCCTTCCAGGCTTTGTTGAAGGCAGATGACTATCCATCCTTTATAGACAGCTCGACGACCATTCCTCTTGCAATAGAACCCGATGCCTATGACATTTCGATATGCTCGTCGGATGAATATAGTACCGGTGCAAATACAGCTGAAAAATATCCAGTAACAAAGTGTAATATGCCGACCATCTGGCCAATGAAAGATGAAGACGTCTTTCAAAATTACCGGCCACTCTGATAAAATTACGAAAACCAAGCCACGTCTTACGGACATATTTCATAGCACTAATTTTTTGATATTTACAAATATTTCTGAATATTCATCCGACACCGAATGAATGCCTTGAGAATCTTGATTGGTAAGATACTGACTAAATGACTCGGAAAATAGAAGTTGCTCACCAGACGCACAAGTCACGTCAAATCTTGAAGATATTTTCGCTGCCTAGAGTTACCATATCTGTATGTGTCTCCTTAGGTATACAGACATGTCGCTTGACATGGTCGCGTGTCGGTACAAGTGTCGGAAACTTCGGTCAAACTACCGTCGAGTATATCTCGGATAGCTTATAACACGCTGAAGTTATAAGGCTTCTAAGTACGAAAGGCTTCTTGAAAGCAAAGTCTTAATAAAAGGATGAATATCCGGTTCGATAGAAGAACGTATACTCAAGTTGTCAAAGCTAAGGGGTACTTAGCACGGTTAATTCAAGACGATAGAATAAACTAAATACATGATGAACGAGTGTTCTTATATATTCCATCATCATCATAGAAATCATAGAGTTTCTCTGATTTCTCTGATACTTAGATCATATCCATCATAGAATATCTCTGATATCTCTGATATCTCTGATACCCTAACCCTAATGGTTACGGATAATCCTTGCTTCCGTAGTGCAGTAGTGTAACACTATCTAGTCAATCCATTGGCTGCGGATTCTTGATTCTTCTGACAACAAGATGGTGATGGGGCCAGAGTGTAGATGGCCTATAAGGATTGCCGTCAACTCAGAAATAACAAGGTGTAGTCGGTATGCCGAATGGGAACTGTCAACCAGAGACATACCTCCAAAAATACATTCATAACTACTACAGTATCTGGTTCTCAGGAATCGATGTGCAACCCTAAACACTACCTACCTACCGCAGCGCCTTACCTACACCATATATGCTTGGCAACCCAGCAGCTCTGGCAGTAGTAATAATAATTAAAGCATGTGAAGAAGCAAAAAAAAAAGTTAAACGTATCTAATATGAGCGACAGGACTGGGATTTGAACCCAGGTATCCGAAGATACTGTCTAACATCTTCCCAAACACCATAAACCAGGGTAACCGCGATGAAAAAGGGGATAGGGCATTCGAGGACAGCGCCTTAGACCACTCGGCCATCCTGCCTAATACGAGACTCGCGATTTTCCACTGGAGGACCTAATTGTCCAACGCCTGTTACACAGATGTCGCTTGACGTCCAGTCCTGAGCGCACGTGGGTAGAGAAGAAGGATGCGGGATCGTGTGACTGATTCCCCCAGATGGGATGGCTGTCATCGGATCAGGGCTAACTATCCTTAATAACTCCAAAAAGGAGTCGTCTTCTCTCGATGTGCTTCAACAAAACAAATAACTTACGTGGAGAGAAATATTCACAGAAGATAGTGATACAGCACGTAACTATTCTCCGGCCAATCACGGGGCTGATCCTGCGGGCTGACGTCGACCCTCCGTTGATGTAAGGATTAGTTTTCCTTCTCGACAAAATCAAGTCCTACACTCTTTTACACACCACAGGCATATAAATCAGATATTTCAGTGCGGGATTAGCAAAAGAAATCTCACTGCAGTTTATTTGATGTGTTGAGCTCTCCGATTGTATGGTTCCCGCTCAGTCGGGCTGCCACGAGTTTTCGATATACCGATTTGACGAGAGCTATCTGCAGTTGTAACGATGCAGCTTACCTTGCAACGACTGCTGGTCGCTGCAGTTGCTGCAGCCATAGCAGCGACAGCTTCGCCTCTTGCTGCATTTGAGCAACAGCGGTTGAACGCGGAGTTGCAGCGGCCAGAGCTAAGTGTCGTTGGCCAAACTATCTCTCGGAAATTGACGGGGAAGTTTCTTCATATCACAGGTATTCTAACGCCAGTGGAACACATGACTGAGGTTAAACATGCACTAACAGTTCAAAGACTTACATTTAGATCGATTTTACGTCCCCGGGTCTAACACTGAGGATGAGGCCTGTCATCACGGAAAAGGAAATGCAGGTTACTTGGGGGCGCCAGGGTCCGAATGCGACTCGCCAGAGTTGCTGATCAACCAGACTTTCGAGTGGATCGACAAAAATCTAAGAGACAAGGTTGACTTTGTGATTTGGACTGGAGACTCTGCCCGCCACGATAACGACGAGCGTATTCCACGGACAGAGAACCAAATCGAAGAATTCAACGCAGCCATTTCAAACAAATTCATTGAAGTTTTTAGCCATCGAAGTGATCACCCCAACGAGGCTTTGATCATCCCTATCATTCCCAACATCGGCAACAACGATATTATGCCACATAACATTTTCGAAAAGGGGCCGAACCGGTGGACAGAGAAACTCGCTCATTTATGGGAGTCGTTTATTCCAGAAGAACAGCGTCACACTTTTGTGGAAGGCGGATACTTCCACACCGAGGTCATTCCGAATAGACTTGCTGTATTCAGTCTCAACACGTTATACTTCTTTGATTCCAATCAAGCGGTTGACGGATGTGCCCAGAAGTCGGAACCGGGGTACCATCAAATGGAATGGCTGCGCGTACAGCTGCAGCTCCTTCGCGAACGAGGAATGAAGGCTATACTTATGGGTCATGTCCCTCCTGCTCGATCGGCTGATAAACAGGCCTGGGACGAGAGCTGCTGGCAGAAATACACGCTCTGGTTACGGCAATATCGTGATGTCGTGGTCGGTGGTTTATATGGACATATGAATATTGATCATTTTATGCTGCAAGACTCGGATGATGTGGACATGGATAGTCTTCTTCGTGAGGAGCGTATGCCACCGTTCGTCACGGAAAACAACTACGAGAATTTCACCATCGAGTCCAAGGGCAGCTATCTTAGCAGCCTACGTGATCTGTGGGCCGAGTTACCGACACCGCCTCAATCCGTTCTAGAAGACGAGTGGTCAATCTCAGATGCAGACGATGATGTTGACGCAACAAAGAAGAAAAAGAACAAGAGCGACAAGAAAAAAGAAAAAGAAAAGAAGAAGAAATTCTTTAAGGAAATTGGAGGCGAATATGCAGAGCGTTTCTCACTCACCCTTGTTTCCCCTAGCGTGGTTCCGAACTACTACCCGAGTCTGCGTGTGATTGAATACGACATTACCGGGATGGAAAAGGTCCCTACATGGGCCGAGACACAACACAAGACTGGGAAGAAAGAACAGCAATGGGCAAACCATGAGCTCGAGGTTCAGAAGAAGTCTAAAAAGACACCGATACCGGATCCACCGTCCAAACGGACTCCTCCCGGACCTGCTTATTCGAGGCAACCGTTGAGCTTGTTGAATATTGTACAGTATTATGCCAATATTACTCAAGAAGACAACACAAACGAAGTTGCAACGAAGGAGGGGGGTGAAGAGGGAATTTCATCCAAGAATTTCCGGGTGAACTACCAGCTAGAGTATCACACGGGGGAAGATGATGTCTATAAATTGCGCGACTTCACTGTGCGCAGCATATACAACTTGGCCACGCGCATTGGGGCGGGTGATTCTCCTTCTTCATTATCCGATGCGACATCTACAGCGACAGAAGACGAAAACGATTCAACCAGTACCAGCAAGAAGAATAAAAAGAAGAAGAAGAACAGGCCGAACAAGAACAACAAGACATGGAAAGCATTTGTTGAGCGGGCGTTTGTCGGGTTTCATGACTATGATGAGATTGAGGATAAGTTATAGTTGGTTTATTTGCACATTTTCGCTATGGATATATACTTCGTACTGGGTAGGAGAGCTGGGCGTTTCGGATTGTGGTGTGTTTATATCTGCCCAACATATGATCTTCATGCCTAGATGGTAGGATGAGCCTTGAGAGATTCCAATGTCTAATTGTCCATGGATATTTCAAGGCTCAGGGATTGATCAACTTCTTAATTGTACACATTTCAAGATATACTATATACCCATCATTGATATTTGCAATTCTTTTTCTTTAGATTCGAGTATCTCCACTACAACTTGCATATCAATGCTTTGTAACCGGTAGCTAACAAGTCATCGATTTCCCCTGACTTTCATCAGTAGAACTACTACTATCCTCATCACTTTCCTTTTCTTCGCTCTCCTCAGCAGGACCCCCAGCAACCAAGCTAGCCGCTTCTCCATGAGACTCGGTCCGGGAAATGTGATATTCGAAATTGAGTTCACCTACTAGTTTTTTAACGTTGCTGGTTTGAAAAGATATTCAGTAAATGTCCAAACCAATAATTTTAAATGATTATTGCTCACCTTAAGAGATCCCTCATACACCACGCGACTATCGACCTCAAGACTTCCAGCGTGATAAAAGCCGTAAATGCAGGATCTTCCAAATAGCGCACGTGAAGCAGATTCTTGTTCATCTTTTGCATTCGTCGAGATAAGGGGAATGACGATGGCGCAGACAAATATGGAGGTAAAGGGAGTTTATTGGTGACTGATGCCGAAAGATGACTGAGAAAAGATGCGAGTCTAGCAGACTTGAAATCAACAGTTTCAAGGGCCACTTTACCCAGTTGAGTAAACCATTCCTTTTCTTGCCTTTTCTTCTCGGCTTTGTCTTTAGGTTCTCCAAGTCGAAGTGATTCTTTTCGTCCTTCGTCTTGCTCTGTTTGCTGCTCTATTTTCTGCTCATGGTTTGTAGTCTGTTCAGCAGAGGTGGTGGGCTCTTGAGGTAGGGGCAACGGAAGGAGTTTTTCCAGAGACTGTGTGGTTTTAACCATCAGTGCCATGGCGGTCAGTGAGCATTGGACCTCCAAGATGATGTCGTCGTATATCCTTCTGGGAAACTTGCCACCAATGGCAGGCTCAAATTTGCTGAAGTGGCTATATTCCCGCAGCTCATCTAGCAGAACCATCTCCTTCCTGAATAATCTTCGAATCACGCGTTCAAGCTGTCGCAGTAGGGCCTGAGGATCCCTAAGGCCATCGCGAAGGCCACCGCTGAACCACAGTGCTGAGTTCGTATGAGTTGCACTATAAAACTCGGCGAGCACAAAAATGCTCTCACCAAGCATTCGTCGCATTTTATGCTTCGCTGTGATGGTGAACGGGAATATCGTCCAGAAGATCATGAGACCACAAGCCACTCCCACGGCCAAAATTTTGTGAAGGGCAAATACCCAAGTCGGACGGTTTGCTAATCCTGCCAACTCTGGGTTTTCGGCTTCACGTACCTAGGAAACTCCCAGAAGTAATAAGTACAACTGTGTCGACTAGGAGAGAAAAGCATCAGTGTTGTGAACCTACCTCTAATTTGGTCGCAATAATTTCATTCAACGTCGCAATAGCAATTACAGAAGAGTCCAAAACTTGTGGTCGTTTGATGTAGAACCAATACTGTTTTGACGTAAGAAAAAGTCCATATGATGCCTGACAATAGACTCTTACCTCGAACATATTTGCAAAGTATAAGAGAATGATAATACCAGCGGTGTTCTCGTCAACAGTATACCATACTATCAGAGACAGGAACACAGATATGGTTGATCCAATGATTCGACTCATTAGGCCGACGCAAGTCTCTCCAGTGGTTGGGTTCATGCCAATAACAATGAGAATCATGACCCAAACCAACCTACGCGGAATGAAAAAGCTGCTGGTTCTCTCAAGAAATGCTAGTATACCAACACAGAATGAAGCTGCAGCAACGCGAAAGCCAAACAGACTATGCTCAGATATGATAACCCGACGAATCAAGCGGAAAATGTGACTTGACTTCTCCCAGAGGTTGGCCGGAGGCATATGTTCGGAATCTTGAGGATGTACTTCCTCACCCCCTTGGTTCTCATCTGGTGTCGAGTCTGACGGCTCGCTGGGTTCTTCCTGAACCAGAGAAAACCATCTTTTGAGGGAGGTGTCTGTGGGGAAAACTGCCCTATAGGATGTCATAGTGCCATCTGCTACTTTGCTGTCTGCAAACTTAATGAGCTCATGCGTTGTATGAAGCAAAATATCCTGCATGTGGCCCATGTACAAGACCAGGAAGAACTCCAGACGAATTTGAGGTCCGGATGTGATAATCTCGCGGGTCTTCTTGGAGGAAGCACGATTGTTAGATCCCTCCCTAGCGTCATTGAAAGCTAAAGATGCCAATTGCCCTGGAAAGTGTCTGCGCCGGCAGAATGTCTCATGCATTAGACGTTCAAATCGAACGACGAAATAGGGTTCGAGTGGATCGAGATCAATATCTCTAGACTCCTCGTCCTTGGGAACAGTAGCTGGCGGTTCGGATTCACGATACTTAAAGAAATGTCGTCTAGACATTAATTTTGTGACCAGAAGAAAGTATTGAATGCCAGTAGCAGCCAATGTAGCGGTCTCTGACAAGTGCTTTTGTAGTGTGGTTATTGCTTTGTGTAATTCTGCTTGTTTCTGCAATATCTCCTCTTCGGAATCACGCTCAAGAACCTTCATCTGGTAGTTTCTTTCATTTTTGATATGCATGTCGAGCATACGTGGAAGCATTGAGATACCGGAGAGGGGTAACAAAAGAGAGCCTAATAACTCTTCGATTCTGACGGCATCTTCAGTGCTCAGCTTGCCTATAGCAAACTCCTGTTTTGAGTAAAGCAAGTCTACCTGTAGCTTGCTAAACAAAGAGCCCAGGCTAGACATCTCTAAGTGCACTTTTTGTTTGGATTCTTCTAGTTTGGTTGAGAAATCCGTTCCATCCACGGCCTCGGAACTTTGAATGGGTTGAAACCGTCTTGGGAGCCCATCAGCAAACCACACGGCCGGATTCTCAACTGTCATTCGTACAAAGCCAGATTGCTGTTGTAGCACTGCTTGTACTTTCAAGGAATAGTCTCTTGCGTCTTTCAGAAAGAACGTACGACTAGTCATAGGTAGAATAAAAAGCGAGACTACCGAGGCAACAGCGAATGCTATCAGCATGCTTCTCAACAGAGACAGCATGTATTCCACTCCTGCCTCGAACGTCTCAAAGCCACCATACTGGGTGATGTTGAAGCATGTAAAGATCGAAAAGGCTATAACGGGACTTTGAAGCTCTATCGGACGCCAGGAACGCATCGCATTTGCCAGCCTAAGTAGAACACAAGTTGATCAATATTGGTGCATATAGATCCTTTCAACTGGCCAGTAAGCAAGTAGTTCTCACTCACCAGATCACGACAATAAGCCACACGGCAGAAACTGTGTTGGCATCGCTGCTGTATCCTTTCTGAGTTTTGGGTGTAGTGGCATCTACCCGACGATCACCCTTTCCTGCTCTGGTCGCACTTACGAGAGCCATGCAGGCTACACATGCGCCGAGGCACACCGCTAAGACATTGAAAAGCATAACCTTGACAAATTTACCACGAGGCATAAGAACATGAGATGTCACTGCTACTAGTGCAGCTGCATCGTTGGTTGCGTCGGTAACATGAGAAACTGCAGGAATCCGTGCTCTATCCACAGATCAATTTCTGGGTGGCTTTCTCCAGCATCAATCGAAAGAGGTAGGAGCTTACAGGGCAACAACAATCGTAGGTGTTAAGGCAGCCTTCATCATCAAAAGTAAGGTATGCCCGTCCAAATCAAGTGATGACCACCATGTTGTTGGATTCAGTCTCCTGGAACAAGATGGATTGTTATTATAAGACGGAGAAGAACAGTAAAATTTGTAAAGCATGAGAGCAGACTGACTTCCAACATTTTGCCGCCAAGGCTTTAAAAGCCTTTGAGAAGGCCATTGTTGCTGCTTTAGTCCCAAGTGTATCTCAATACCAAGGCCCTCCGCAATCGTGAGTCTTGCGGCCACTATGTAGACCATTGTTGGCACAAACACTGCGCGCCAAACATGCCGTCGTGTATTCAGAGGATGAGTTTCTCTTCCAATTCCTCTGTTGTTTCTCTATTGCTAGCACAGAGAATCGAGCATTTGACGACAGATGGGGTGGCTCTCGCCATGACGCCTCCCGTGGCCAATTGCCGGCCACTAGTTCCTGATGAGCGCCATTTGTTGCTCAGCCAATATCAGCAAATGCCACGTTTTAATTGCTTTGAATTGTATGAATGGGGAGTATGAGAATGAAGGGAAAGAAAAAGAGGATGATGGATGAGGTTCCGAATATCGATTGAAGAAGGGTAACCGCGACTTCCTGTTTAGGCCATGCCAACATTTTCAGCTCAACAGCTCAACTTGCACGTGCCGAGCTCAATGGACTACTGTATTTTACAGCAAAAGCCCTAACGAGTCTGCGATAGAGAAACACAGAGTCATCGATGCTACTCGAGATTGCCGCATTTGGCAACTCAGATAAAGCTTGGCACCGATGTCAGCAACTGACGTCATACCTCGCGGTCGGACAAGAAATCCGCTTGAGATTTTTTTTTGTTTCTTTCTGCGACAGCCTCAGTTTGATCGTCGACTAACGATGCTTATACAGCTACAAATATAGCTTATTGATGGTGTCTACCGCTCCATTCGCTATCATTCCTTGTTTCCAGCTACACTCCTGCAGTCGGCGCTCGTCAACAAGAAGAAAAACACCCCACCATCATCGCTGCAGCAACAACCCTGCAAGCAAATCAGCAAGACGCAAACTCCCCACCTCGTTCGTCTGACTGCGCAGCGACAGCCTATAATAATAATAGCGCCAGTGCCACACTGTTATCTGCGTCGTCTCTACTTTGCGTCATGCATGCTTCGCTCGTTATCAGCTGAAACGGTTATTTTGCGACTCAACTCCATCTCACATTTAACTCGCAGTTCGCGGATGCTGCTACTATGAGTTATGTGAATTTCAGCACTCTATGTACTTGATAAAAGGGGATTGACCTGAGAAAAGAACAATACAATCCCAAAAATATGAGGTCCGGTCTACAAAGTCCTGGCGCAGTTCCATTGTTGGCAGTGCTGGTCGCAGCCTTGTTATCGATAACGCCGAGTCTTTGCGAAGCTTGGACGAAGCCGGGAAACAGTCCGAATATTGGTATGTGATTTTTTATCAAAAAGAACAAAAAATTAAAATTAAAAAAAAAAGGGAGCATGGAACTTTGCTAATAGACTTTACTTTTACAGAATATCAAGCTGAGTCGAGTATATATCCAGCTGAATCTGTGTCGACAATACCACCACCATCAGCCGTATCCGCGCCATCTATAATCAGCACATTCACCAACATAGATCTCTTATGGCAGCAGGTCTGCCAGGTTACTGCTTCAATTCTATCTTCCTACAAACCACCACTGTCACACGATCTTGGATTTGTCGGTCCTAACATCTCATCACAACAATTACAGCAACCAGCCCATAATTCCAGTGAACCACATTCCATTACAGGAGGCGCAACGTCGATAACGATATCCCTTTCAGCTTTACCCCGGTTAGCGAACAACGGGAAATCGAAGCGTATCTCCTCCGCTGAATATGCCCCAAATCAGCTAGAGAAAAGTGCGCATGTTAATTCTTCTAGTCCTGTGGATAGCAAGGGCAGCTACATGGCCATTCTGATTAGTCTGGTCGTTGCGATTATGTGGTTTTAGCCTCTCGGATGCTACTATAATCGGCCCACGTCGTTATGTTTGTGCTCTAGACGAGGCTTTTCTGGTATATGATTCCTTTTTGTAAATCCCCTGAGGCGTTAATTGGGTCGGAAATACCCCTAATGATATTAATATGACCGGACGTCATGATTTGGCCTGAATGACTGCTGCTGCTTTGTGCATATGATTTTATGCCCCGACGATTTCGTGGTCCTATGAATACTTGTTTAATACTGTCCATAGATTTAGATAGTTTGTTTGAATTCACGCCATTCAACTCGGCATTCGAGCCATGCCTGACCAGACACATATACATGGATGCAGACAGACTGAAAGAATTATATCCTAGCGTCCCTTTCTAATCGCTTGATACCCGCCTCGTAAATCTTAACCAACTGTCTCACCCCCAAGTCAAGCAATACATCCTCCGATCCACCCGGTATCCTTGCCGTAGGCACATCCCTATAAATACGCTCAATAAGCTCTCCCCGACCGGTACGAGTCAACCCATTACCACCAAACAATAGCACAGCAGTCTGCGAACATTCATTAAGCACCATACCGGCTTTCGCTTTCGCCATAGCCGTTAATCCACCCAATTCGCGATCCGCGTCTTCCTTTTTCAATTTTGTCATTTGAAATAAAAACTGTTCGATCCAGGCGGATAGTGACTCTAATTCGGCTCCTGCCTTGGCAAGTCGGTGTCGTACAACTGGCTGCGCAATGAGTGGTTTTGAGAATGCTTCACGTTTAAGCACATATTCAAATGCGGTCGATAATGCGACTCGAGCTTGCCGGGTAACGCCCACGGCGATGGAGAGTCGTTCATGGTTGAAGTTGGTCATGATGTATTTCATGCCTGCGCCTTCGGCGCCGATGAGATTGGATATGGGGACGTGCACGTCGTCGAGTTCGATATAGGTTGTGCCTGAGGTCTCGTTTCCGCAGACTTTGATGGGGCGCATTGAGACACCTGGGTAGTTCTTCAGGGGGACTAGGAGTAAGGAAAGGCCTGCTGCGCCGGAGCCGGGAGGTCCAGTACGGACTGCCATGGTGGTATATTCAGCCCAGATACCGTTCGTAATCCTTTACTGGCATTAATAAGGGCCCTCAGAACGAAGTGGAAAATCAGGATACCATTTCTTAGTCCCGTTGATAACATATTCCTTTCCGTCTGCTGACTTCTCGGCGACAGTCGTGATATTGGCGACATCACTTCCGGCATCAGGCTCGGTAATAGCTATGCAAGCCCTCGCCTTGCCTGTCAACAAGTCTGGAAGGACTCTCTCCTGAAGCTCGCGAGGTGCGTATTTGACAAGAGGTGGGATCCCATAGGCCATTCCCGCGGTTAGAGATGAAGCAGGACCAGCAAGGCCTGATCGACTCATCTACATGTATAATCAGTAATCGACTGCACACGACGATTTTGAGGGGTAAACGAACCTCATCAAGGTAGATGCCAGTGTGTAGATAATCCCACTCCTCAACCTTAACTCCCAGGATATCGTGTATCCCCAACCTCTTCAACCATGGGACAGGCAACGGTGGAGGTAAGTTCGGGATAAGCATATTGTGTTTAGCAAAGGTGTCAAAGACATGTTGAGGGACGATACCTTCGCGCTCATAGTCAAGTGCGTATTTGTTGAGATTCTCATAAATGAAAGCACGCGCTTTTTTCTGAAAGGCGAGATGTGATGCGGTATAGTATGGGGAATGGAGGCCACGGAGGTAAGGTGGTTCCGCGAATGGGAGCGGATTAGGAGAATTGGTAGCCATGGTATTTTCCCTTTTCTTCTCTCAATTGACGTGTCAAAAGGAGGTAGAAAGCTGAGCCAGAAGGTGTTAAAGAAAGGACAGAGAGCTATGTATACAGTCTTCTGTGACCTAGACGGGGCAACCCTTGGAGAGTTTGTGTTTGTGGGGTAGGCCCACTGGACGGACCGAGGTCTGAATGGGATGGATGGCTTCAACTCACTCACCCACATGCGGGGAAGAGAGTATGCTCCGTGATACTCAGTAGTCCGTGCAAATGGGTGTGAACTATTCGGTATCTGTTTACCTGTTAGTATTCATGATTCCTTGCAAGAATAAAGTTAGTGTCAATTAAGGTATTCAAGCAAGGGGGTCCGGGGTTTGCGCATTCCATTGTGAGAGCTGCTTATATAGCTTCGGCTGCAGTCGACCTTTGTATATAAGCTTAGAGTAGAGTAGCCTTCTTTTAGTTAACTCGTTGTCATATTTTGGGAGCAATTGAAGTTTACCCTCGTCGGCTGAATTGTCGAATGAATATCGAGACACCAAGTTGCTGCTCTTGATCCAGATCGGCCGTAGACATGATACCGAATAATTTGTGCTTGATATAGAATGTCATCGAGCTACGCCAGTGCGCGTTACTCGACCGAGTCCTGCGCACATCGGCTGGGTTCCAGTAGTAGTCTAGAAGCACTGACATTTCCGATATTTGTTCGGTTCGACTGCCCAGGAAAAATTGCTTATATTGTTCGTTCATTTCGCATAACCTGAGCTATCATCTGACATAAAACTACAATCAAGACAGTATCCCGTTCTCGGTTGCCAATCCGGAAGGGTCTTCGCCCCTAGCCACTATGTTTTCAACGCCGCAATATTATCTGAAGAAATCGCAAATATCGTTCGTACGCCTCGGCGCGAGGCTCGACAGGGAAAAGCTTTCAAATATTCTAAACAACACGCTTGACCTGTTTCGAATGATCAGTCCTCAGTCCAAGGACAATCGATCACATAGAGTAGATAAAAGTTTATACCTCGAAAAACCGCTTCAGCCACCAAACTTGGAAAATACCCTCTCCGATAAGGAATGCGAGTTGGAAGATGCTCCACCATTTCACACGTGCATTTGTACTTTCGGCCGTATTTCGGTGAACCCTTTCTCGTACGACGATGTAGGATTGCTCGTCGCGGACTTGAGACAGCGACTCGGAAAGGCGACGAACTATGAATCGCTAAGGTCAGTCTGGGAAATTATATAGTTGGCAGACGTATTGACAAAAGTCCGTACCTTCAACTTCCAGGGGATGCTGTTCCAGCTCTGATTCAGGGACGTAGACAATTCCATGCACATTGAAAGAGACTTCTTTGGAGTTCGATGTCCAGGCCTCGTTGCTGAAGCAGTAGGTGAATTTTCCATCTCGCTGGGCAGTGAAGGAGTAATCCTCCGATGAGACACTGTTCTTATAATATTGTCGGTTTCCGGCAGGATCTTCGACCTGTAATGTAATAAAGTTAGATTCCGTATCGAGAAATTTGGAAGAAAAGAAATCAGGATGCATACCCAGAAATCAATCTCTAGGTTACCACTACCACCAAATTCCCGGTCGCCGACTTGAAATGTAACAGTCATTTTGTCATCCTTGTGCAGCTTTTCGTGGAAGCATTCGCGCGAGTGAGCTTTGAGTTGAATGTTGTGAGCTGTGGCAGCCCCTATCCAGCCCAGCATGGTCACCAGGACCGCGGACGTTGAGAAGCGCATTTTCAATATTAAAATTATTTGTACCGAATATTCTAATTGTAATACACCGGAATAACGGGAGTTGGAGAATTGAATGATTCAAGCGAGTGTGTTGATGAGTTCGACGGACTTGACAAGGTGTCGATTCCTGGTCGTATCTTGAAGTTGTGATGACGCTCGGACCACTTCCGAGCCAGTCTATAAATTCGGCTTACCCTGCACTACAACTACACAACAGTGGAACACTACTCAAGAAAATAGCAGCTTATTATTGAACTTGACCGTCGCCATATATTCCTTCAACTAGATTCCCGTATCCCATCGTTCAATAACTCATCCCAGAAGCATCCAGCGGACGAATCGCCAAAAATGAACAAATCTACTCGAAGGTATTGAACAAACAACTGTTCACTCCAAGGGTAGCCTAGCATTACTTAGTTATATCGCACATGCCCAAGCATCACTCTGTCACGAGTCCAATCCAGACAAGTCCTCCGAGTCGTTGCTATCCCTTATGTCGGTATAAAGACGATATATTTTTTATGTGTTGAGTCTAGCAAGGACGGAGGTCTGTTAACTCCAGCTGCTCTACTTTCTAAGATAGAAGGGATGGAGGTGCTGCAGATATGTACATGTCATATTGATTTATCCCGAAGAAAAGCAATACGAAATCTATCTTTTCTAAGGAAATGCTCCGTGTTGTGTCGAAGTGATTGTACGGATATTGAGGTATGCCTGAGGCAGAAGGAGCTAGACCTGACAAGCGGACCAATCACGTTGAGGAAAACAGGCCGTGGCAATGAAGAGGTTCGAACCATGGATCTGATGTTTATGGGATGGCTGTTTTACCCCTGAAATTAGTCATGTTGCTTGTATGAACATCAACTGGTGACTCGCAGCCATACAGTTCTATCTGAAATATCAGCCCAATCACGGCTTCCCACATAGCATTACAAGCCAATACTCTGTAATTTTAATAAAAGCGTTGAACGCGTGTATGGTAATTACTGTGGTACCGCGCCTACCTTTCTGGGAGGCATCATCATGGCGCTAGACCAACGGGAACTTTTTTTCGTGACGTGCGGTCTTGACCTCCTTTCCCGTTTCTTCGACCATCGGACGTTCTGCCTCTGTCATCTCTCCTAGACGTTCTTTCGCCCTAATTCGCCATCAAATCATCGCTCGACCTTCTCTGAACTGCTTCCCTTATTGCGTGCGCCATGCTCTCATTTACCGCATGCTCCAGGTCTCTGTAAATCTGGCGTCGTGATACTCGCAGAAACCGTGTGCTTCCACATCGATTTCCGACCCTTGTACGCGACATTTCCCACTCCACAGATTCGCTGATAGGCTTCATTGACAACAGCATTTAGCGTCTCGTCTTTTTTTCCGACGGGCATTCTGTCTAGAAATCACCTCCCGCCTTGGTCATACGTGCTGCGAGCCGTCCAAGGTCCCCCTGATTCCTGACAGTTATATCTCTTGAACTTCCATGCTTCAACATTTCAGACTATAACGGGCGCGGCAAGCAATTGCTTGCTGCAATAGACGACACGGAAGGTGAGTCCTCCCCTGTAATTACAATGGCCTATACGGCTTCCTCATAGGCCGATCTTCCATTTCTATGATTCGCGTTGCTACGACAGTGTACTGATACGATTTGTCTTCTCCACTTTAGAGACCACTTCGCCGGCATTCCTCGAATTGGCATCCTCGCCGTCTAATCGTCCGCACGAGCAGATAACACTGGCAAACGAATCCCCTGTGCAGACATCAGTTCCGCCATCGCGAGCGACCTCGCCCGCAGCTTCCAGTGTCATAGCACTTGGGTCGCTAAGCCAACGACAACCGCCTGCATCTCCGGAATCGCTCCCCTCTCTTCCCAAGTATCCCGGTACGTGGGATTCTTTGTCTTCGTCATCCCCTGAGAATCGAAAGGCAAATAGCGCATATTTCACTGCTGCTTGGGGCTCTCCATATGCAACTCCCAGCCCACGTCGGCTCTCCTTGACACTCAGTCATCAGCCTAGCTTGAACCTCCCGTCTCGGGACAATTCTCCTTCAAGAGGTCGTGGTTACACATCCGTACGTGGTCCTGGATCGTTCCGAACAACGTCGACGTCGAGTCAAGTACCAAGGCCACTTCCCGGATCGGTTGGTCCATCTTCCACCCGAGACTTTTCAGGCACACAGGGAGCTTTTTCGTTCAAACAATTCACCGAGGACTGGATCGATCAGTATCTCTCTGGCCAGCCACGCACAGAACGGACGAACTGGTTGAGTGACGACGAAGGCAGCGAGGCGCCATCCTTCTTCACTGCCCGTAACAATTTCGGCGACGATCCAACTGAAGGTTGGCTGGGTCTAGACGAACCGAACGACGAGGATCCCCTGCGGACACCTACTGCTTCCAATTCCCTATCAAGTAGATCAAGAAAGGGATTTGCTAGAGGGCAACTTAGTCGTACTCGCCAAAAACATCTTTCCACTTTCAGTACTGCTACTTTAAGGCAAGAAGACGTTTGGGGTTTTGCATTCGGGGACGAGCATCCGTCAGCCGAAATGTCTGATATAGCGGATGCACCCCTGCCTACAGCGGAGCACGACTCTCCCGCCGAGTCTTCAGTGGAGAAGCCTCTGCCGTTACCGCCTACGGACGATGCCACAAATATTGAAAACGCTGAGAGTGTAGCGACTGATGCTAACTCACGGCCTCCATTACTCAGTCAGAGCTCGTCTCAAGGCGGGAGGGCAAAGGTATTATGGCGCAAGAAGACGTGCGTTATTGCAGTGCCTACCGATGATAAGAGGGGTTCAGAGGAATTTGGCTATCGCTTACTTACGAAGGAGGATGTCGAAAAACGTTTGCAAAGATGGCAGGATGAAGGATATCATGTGGAAGGGTTCGACGTTTTCGCGCCTGAACAGGACTCACTTTCGAGCCAGAATGGTGGCTTCAGCCGGTTACCTTACCCTGATGAGACCGAACCCAAACAAGATAAAGATTCGAGAAAATGTGCAGTGAGATTTCCAAACCTTGGCGAATGGGCCGTATACGTTCAACAACTGCAAGAGGAGAAACTCCGCGCACTAGGAGTTTTCCTTGACGATGATCCTCCAGTCACAGAATCCCCTGCGACATCTATGGTACCAATGGCCCCAATGGGGATTTTCCCTGGCCATATCACATCCCCACCAATTCCGACATCGTCTGCTGCCAGTAATCCTATGTTTGGATCCCATACCTTTTCTCCTCATTTCAATCAGTCGACCAATCCAAGTACGCATGCTGAATCGCTGGCGTCGCCACCGCCGCAGTTTGGTGGACAACATTCATTTTATGGCATGGATGCGAATTTCGTGCCTGGGCTACCTTATCCTTATCAACCAACGCCTCCGGTTGCAGGAACTTTGACTCCCCAGAGTCTGTTTAGCGCACGTCAAGCCAGCTTTGCAGGAACGGGTCCTGGCGGCATGCCAAACTTGAACGCAATCTTCTCCCCTGTATCTCCTCTCAATGCTGACGACATGTTCAATCAAAGTACGAATGGCCAGCGTGATCGTACAGACTCAATCCGAGATTCGTCATACCGAGACTCGTCAGCAAACAAACGACAAGTTCGTGAGTCGCGAGCAGCAACACTCATCATGGATGAGTCCCAGTTCGAGACTGAACACTTCCAAGCGTCAAATGTTGAGATTGCGCATCCTACACCTCGGGGGCACAGTCACAATCTCAGTGAAACGCTACAGAAAGGTCTGGATCGGTATTCTCAGGCAGATTATCATCTAGAACATTCAATTCAACGACAATTAGAGGAACCTGAGAGTGACCTGCAGAAATCGCGGTGGGCGATTGCTGAAGATGAAGCTCAACCGTCACCGGCCCATGCACAGTTCTCAATTCCAGACTCTTTTTCCACAGGCCACCATCGCCTCTTTGGTGAACAGCAACAGCAGCCTATGGGCATTATTCAAGATGCTGACGAGATTGATACCAATCCAAGTCTTGCCGCAAGCCCCCGTGAACCGAAACTTGATATGAGCCATCACCCCTGGCACAGTGCTAAACCAAGTTCTGGTTCCTTCGTCGCGGGGCACAAATCCAAAGCCTCTTTGTCAGGCCTCAATGTGGAAGCACAGGAATTCAATCCTACCGCGTTCGCTTTCCAAGGAGGAGCCTCATTTCAATCAAATGGTCTTGGAAACGGCTCGGTATTCTCTCCCACTTCGTCTGTATTCAAGCCTAGTGGTTCAATTGGCAATTACAACGTGGCAGCTCCTTCATTTACACCTACGAGCAACGATTTCAGCGCTAGCAGCACTTCATTTGTACCTAGCGCGTCAAAGGGATTCACTTTTTCCACCGCGTCCTTCAACGTGGACGCACCCGCTTTCAATCCAGGTGCAAGCGTCACTTCCAATGCTTCGGACGCACCTAGTCATCACAAAGGCAGTATCTTTGGAGATATTGACTTCAACCAGGTTTCCAAGCCGAAGAAAGAGTCCAAAGCGATCCCTATTGTCCGGCCGGATGATGAAGATTTTGATGGTCGTAAAAATGAAGCCGTTGAACGTGGTGTACCAGGAACTCCACCACGTCAAAAGCGTGCTCGCCGCGGTGCTGGTGAAGAAGACAAGGCTGCCGAATTTGCGGAGCCGTCGCCACTAGCAGAGGCTACTCAAGCCCAAGCTACAGCTACAGCAAATCAATCTCACAAATCTGCTGAGGGCAAAGAGAACGAAGCCCCGGAGCAAGATGAACTGGAGATTCCTACAAAGCCGGCAAGCCCTAATACTAAACGTCCCTTTGTCGAAGATGATGCTGCTTCTGTGAAGGATATTGCTGAGGACACCAACGGGAAGAAGACTACTCCTCCAGTTGACACCGAACCATTCCCCTCCGTGCCTGATGACGAGATTGTTGAGCCTACTAATTTGGCCATCGACGAAAAGGCAACCAAGGAAATGAAAGAGAAGGATAACGCACCCTCTGTCTCTGAAACTGCACCCCAACCTATTTCTGAGCAACCAAAAGCAGAGCTACCGAAGCGAGAGCCAAGGAAGTCTCTCTTTTCGGCATTTAGATCATTCACATTCCGCCCTTCCATCTCAGAATTTGTTCCGACTAAGTCGCCTACTACTAAGTCGCCTACTGAGACAACTTCTACCACAGAGCCTGTCAAGGCCCAACCCGAAAAGCCCAAATCCGGACTGTTTGCATCCCGATATGCTGTAGCGGAAGAAGATTTGAAAGTTACCGAGTTAGCCTCGATCAATCATCAGTCTGAAAAAGACGCCAAGAAAAATGATGAGATTGCCCCCAGTGGTCATGATTCGCCCGACGAGGATGAGCTCAATGCTGTAATGGATCAGCTCAATGGTGATGATTCTGATGTGGGTGTGGAAAGGCTCAACACTCCCTTACCGCCTCAACTGGCCGTAGAGACACCCGCTGCGCGTTCGATGGAGCAGACGCAGCTTCCACAAATCATTCGCAGTGATGCTCCAAGTCCAAGTCCTGCAAGAAACTTCAACCATCTGTTGCGAGGTGCTCCAAAGATCACATCCGATCTGGATGTTAACCAATCTCAGCACTCATTTCCGCAACGAGGCTTTGCTTCAGGTGCTCAATCTCCAGTTCGTCAACTACATAGTACGAACGAGCATATTAGTGACTGGGACGATGTCATCTCGTCCGGCGAGGATGAGAAGCTGGTACAACGAAGCAAATTCTTTGATCGTCACGTTAATGCACTTGTCAGTGAGGTCTTGGCCGAGAGATTAGGTCCTCTTGAGCAAGCACTAAGCATCATACAAAATTCCGTGGTTTCCTTGCACTCACAATCCACTGTGCGCCAATCCTTCAACGGCAGACAAGCAGATGTGGAGCATAGCGATGCCGACGACGAGGATGATGAAGTCAATAATCCTCGGTCAATCTCGCCATTGAGTAAACGGGATAGAAGGTTGGAGAAGATGAAGGGCGCCGTACTGGAAGCTCTAGCAGCCCACGGCTTCGGCCGACAAGAACCCAACTCATCTTCCGCAAATCTTGATGCTATCCAAGAAACACTGGTTGAGCTCAAAGCATTGACGCAGCAACGTCAGCAGCCTGAGCTTCCGGACATCAGGGGTATGGTTCAAGAGGCACTCGCTATCCACGCCCAGGCCAGCGCTAGAAAGACGCCCCTTTCGGAAGCTGAAGAGATCGGAGCGGAAAGTCTGAAATTGCAGTTAGATGGTGTGAAGAGCATGCTTCGAATGGCCGATGAACGTACCGAACAAGAAATCAAAGCTCGTCGTGATGCTCAGGAAGCTTTGACAGAAGTCCAGAAGATGCTCGGTCACGCCGAAGGTGAGGTTGCTCGCTACCGCCAAGCTGCTGAGCAAGCAGAAAAAGCTGTTCGTGAACTACAGGAAGAGAAGATTCCTCAACTGGAAAAGGCCCAGACACGATGCGAGACACTTGAGAAACAGCAAGAGTCATGGGAAATGACGTTCTCGGAGCTTTCCACCAAGAATATTGCGCTGGAGGGTACGCTTGACGAGTATCGCGTTTCGCATGATTTCTGGAAGAAGAAAGTTGCGGCCATTGAAGATGAAAATAAAGATTTACAATCCACCATTTCACACCTCACTGCTCGCGTCGAAGACAGTATGCGCGCTAGACAGAGTCTACGTGGCAAGTTTGACAAGCTGCAGGACGATATGGCAAACGTCACAAAGGATGTTACTCGCGATCAAGCCAATGCGCGAAGAAAGGAAGAGGAACTCACAGCCAAATATGAAAGTCTTCGTGCTGCGTACGATAGGGAAGTGAAGTTGCGCGAAAAGCTCGAGATTGATATTAGCGAGCTAGAGAAGTCTGAGCGAGAAACTGCCAAATTGAAGTTTATTTTTGCTCAATCTCAGCAAGAAAACCACAGGCTAGAAGAGCTCGTTGCCAGTCTGCGCCAGGAGAGTCAAGAACATCAGAACACGGCCGCACGCTTTGAGCGGGAGTTTAATGAAGCTCGTGAGAGCAGTCGTATGGAGATCCAGCGCACCAGAACTTCAATGGAGGCCGACCTTGAAGCAGCGAACAATCAAGTCAATTATATTCGTGCAGGTCTCGAAGCTGAGATCAACCGCTTGGAAGGCCAACTTGAAAATGTCCGCATGGATGCTGATACTATGAAAGAGCGATACGAGCTCCTCTTGGAAGAAGCTCGCGAGAACAAAGATTCGGCTATGACGGAATTGGCTGCAGCCAAGGACATGGCGATGGAAGAACAACGCAAGACACATGACCGTGTTCTGAACGATCTCCGCGAACGCCACGCTCGTGCTCTACATAATGCTTCTGAGGATCGACAGCGGATTGAATCGTATATGAATGAGAAGCTAGGCCTCAGCAACGAGAAAGTGGCTCATCTGCAAGACCGCGTCGCTCATCTGGAAGAGAAGCTCGAAATTGCCAAGTCTGCAGCTCGTGCAGCTGCTCAAGCGGCTCAAGCCAAGGGCGTTGTTGTGCCTCCTACCGCACAGCATCACAGTTCACCATCCTTGTCTTACAGCAGGGATTCATCAGTCCCTGAGAAGATTTCTCCTCAAGCTCTTCGCGAATCCATTCTTGTGCTCCAAGATCAATTACAACAGCGGGAAAGCCGTATCGAAGAGCTAGAACAGGAGCTCAGTGAAGTTGACAAGGAGGCACCCAACAAGATCAAAGAAAGGGACACCGAAATCAGCTGGCTTCGAGAGTTACTTGGGGTTCGTGTTGATGATCTCCAGGACATCATAGCCACCCTTTCACAGCCTTCTTTTGATCAAAATGCTGTCCGGGATGCTGCGATCCGACTTCGGGCAAACCTACAAATGCAACAACAGGAGAAAGACAGGGCAATGTCAGGCCAGGCGTTCCCTTCATTGGCTGATATTGCTGCATCACCACGTTCGCTCCCGCTTGCAGCAGCCGCAGCTTGGGGTAACTGGCGCAAGGGACGTGAGTCCTTCACATCAGAAAGCGGGGCTTCTCAAACACCTTCCAAATCAACAAACGGTGGTTTCCTCTCCGGGCTTCTTACACCGCCTAGCTCAAACGTGAGATATACTCCGAAAAATTTGAGTGCTCCTCCAGGTCCAGCCCGTCTTGCAGGCCGTCGAACAGCATCAGAGTCTCGTCCATTGCGAGGATATAGTCAATCATCACGTTCTTTATCCGCGCGACAAATGGACAAGCTTCCTGTTGTCCATCAGGAGCCGATTGAACCACCGACAACACCACCACTTCTGCGAAGGTCCAGCTACGATCATGATGCGGAGCAAAATAGCTATGACGGCAGTGCCTTGATGGACGACGGTGAGAGCATGATAGCTGCGGACTCTCCTCATGGATCCCGAGATGGCCTCTTTGCCCGTGACGAGTAATCTGGTCTTGCCAAATCTCTCTTCTCCTCTCCGTTCCAGAGTGTTCATATTTGATAGTATCTATCTAAATTCTTTTGATCTGCATAGCGTTATATTTTTTACGGCCCATGTTTGTTTTTCCGCTTTCCCCTTCTCTATTGTCATTTTCTTCATACCTTCTATTCCTATTATCTAATTTCCTGCCTTTTACCCTTTTCCAAATCTTGATACCACTGCTGCCTATTCGTTACAGCTCTATGCATCACTTATACATTCACTGTTAATACTTTTATTCAGCACCTTCTTGTCGTGTGTTGCTGCCTTTGTGTACAAAAACGACATGTCCATTCGTTGGCAACCCCCCAAAATTATTTCCTTGTTTCCTTGATTCTGTCTATTTACTGGTTCTATACATTTTTTACCATATTGAAATTGGAATGTACCTATTCGTTATTCCCTGGAAGATTGACGTCTTCATTATTATTGTTGTGTATGTATTTCTATGTGTACAACAGTTGTGCTTAGTTTATGTGTAGAGATATCCTAGTTTTTGATCAGATGTTTTGGTGTCATCCACTGCCACGACATGGATGTTGGCTTGAAGATAGACCGTATGTAGTAATACATCGCGTGCATGCCATGAGAATTGAAGGTTATAGCACTGCCTTGGCATTAAGAATATATATATTGAGGCTAGAGAAGGAAGTCGTAGCTGTAAAATACAGGTGCTGAAGTAATAAAAATAATTAGGCCTTCGCAGACGGAATTCCCTTCTCTTTGCCATAATTAAAAGCCTTCTTAGCCAAGTCCGGGATAACGAACAAGAATACAAGATTACTCAACCAACTAGCCGCCGTATCAAGGAAGATATTATTCCTTGGACTGGGACCAAGCGCACTCGTCCGCATAATCTGACCGACAGTGTTCGTGATAATCTGGAAATCACCCCTCTCCAGTCCCTTAATGGCAATAGTAGCAACTTCTTCGGGGAGTTGAGGCTTATCGGCTTCTTCCATGATATGAGTAACCTCTGGTTTAAGTTTTTGCTCATTCTCGAAACCGGGACTGGTCATTCCCATGGGGAAGACGATGTGAATCTTGACGTCAGTTGCAGGGGCATTAGCGTCTTTCTTGCGACGAGCGCCGTTGTACATTTCGATTTCTTGGACGAGGACATCGGATAAATTGCGCATGGCGGCTTTTGGTGGTGCGTAGGGGCCGTATCCAGAGACAGCAACGAAGGCGAGAGTGGATGCTGTGAAAATGAGATGCCGGGGCGGTGGCTGTTGTTCCTTTGAGGTTGCGCTTTGTGATACTGGTACCAACCATCTCCTCAACGTGGCGTGCGCAGTGTATGCGCTTGTCCAATAAACAGTGTCCATTTGATCGCGCAATGTCTTGATGGGAACGTCGATGAAAAGACCTGGATGACAGTATCCGGCACAGCACCAAACAACATCGGGGGCTACCCCATTATTCCACGCCGTAGTCTCATTCAACAGGCGATCCGCGGCATCGGGGTCTGTCAAGTCTGCGCTTATAAAGTGGAAGCGTTGCGTTGATGAGTTCGCTGCAGCGGCCTATTGTTATGTCAGTCTGTACACAATTTAGAAGTAATTCGAGTAATAGCACACCTGGATATCTGCAATCGCCGCTTGAAGTTTGTGAGCTGATCTCGAGGCAATGACAACATTGGCGCCTTTCTGTGCAAGTTGAATCGCAATCGATCTACCCAGGCCCTCTGACGCACCTGTTATTAGGATTGTCTAACACAAGATGAGTGGTTAGTTTTCTCAATTGCCTCAATGTCGAGTTCCGTTATCTTACCTTCCCATTGACGGGGAATTGGTTTCCGCCGAAACCGAGCATTTTGTAGGCCGAGTAAGTGATAACCCCTACGATAATGGCAGTAAAAGCAATGAGTCCCTTGGAATAATCCATGGAGAAGGAGACTTATTGGAAAAGGAGAGGTAGACTCAATAATATTTAATGTTTACTCATTGATATTGTCAAAGTATCCAATCAGAGTCTGTCGTCAACAGAAGGCGGTGAAACTTGTCATATACCTAACCTTCTTGCCGATACCTGGTGTGGGGCATAGAAGGCGGTGAGAACTAAATTTCTGTACATGGTCAAAAAAAAAAGTTCAGGTTCATTTTGTTTACCATTAAAAGACTACTCAAACGACGACAATCAATATGGCCGCCAAAAAGAGGAAAAACGACTCATCATCCGGGACGAGGTATGGCATTAATGAAACTTTCGACAACTCCGAAGATGAGTTCATTGCCGGGCGAGATCAAATCCTGTTAGAGGACGGTCCCGAAGCGAAAAGAAGGCGCAAGTTACAAGAAGAGGGTACGTTTCGCAGACAATCAAGAAATAAATGGTCTTTCATACTTACATCCTTGTAGAAGCCGACCTTCAACCCTCCGATGAGGAGGTTCTCGGGTACGATGACGAGGAGGAAGAAGATGAGGATGATGAATATGAAAACGATTACACGTCCAGAAAGCGAAAAGGTGGATCGGATTCCGGGTCAGACATAGGTGTCAATGATGAGGAAGAAGAAGAAGAAGAAGGGCTCGAAGCCTGGGGTTCCTCAAGAAAAGACTATTACAATGCGGATACGATAGAAACCGAGGCAGACGCCCTCGAAGAAGAAAACGAAGCAAAAAGACTCCAACAGAAACATTTGAAGGCTATGAAAGAAGCGGATTTTGGCTTCGATGAAATTGGCTGGCTGGAATCTGGCCAAGGGGCCGAAGATGGCAAAGACGGCAATGATGGTGTTGTTACGGAAGTACTACCTCAATTAGAGATCACGGACGACATGAGTTCCGAGGAAAAACTCAAACTGCTCAAATCGAGGTATCCGGAGTTCGAGCCTCTTGCAAAGGATTTTGTCGACCTACAACCCGAGTACAAGAACATTCTAGCAGAAGCCCAGAAAGCGGAAGAAGCCATGACCGGTTCGGAGACGTCTGTTTCAGTACCAATTCTCAAGTTTCGAGCACTTGCATCCTACCTCGGGTCAATCAGCATGTACTTTACTCTTCTTACTTCCCCCGCAGAGGACGGTGATGGGAAATCAGTTGCTCTGTCGCCAGCAGAACTGCGAGATCATCCTATCGTGGGGTCTTTGGTCAAATGCAGGAAGCAGTGGGAAACTGTCAAGGATTGGAGTATTCCTGAAGCATCAAATATCGAAGAAGACGTCGAGGCGGAAGTCTCGGGAGAAGACGTGGATATTGAACCAGTCGTGCAGCAATCCTTGAAAGATAAGAAATCGAGCAAAGCAACCCGGAAAGAAAAGAAGACAAGCACATCGCAGCAAGCAGCAGAGAAAGCGCGCGCTGAAGCCGAAGCCCGTCGTGCTGAGAAAATCAAGAAAGCTGAAGCTAACTTGGCCGATTTGGCGGACCTGGTCAAGACGTCGAGCAAAAAGTCCAAATCATTATCGAAAACAACAGTCGCCCAAGCTCAAGAGGACGATGATTCCGATCTCGGCGACGAAGGTGCTCTTACAACCCGCGAAGCTGAGGAAAAGGCCAGAAAGAAACGCTCTCTACGATTCTATACTTCTCAGATTGCTCAGAAGGCCAACAAACGAAATGCCGCCGGCCGAAATGCTGGTGGTGATGAAGATTTGCCTTACAGAGAACGTCTCAAGGACCGCCAAGCACGTCTTAATGCGGAAGCTGAAAGACGTGGTCGTGCCCAAGCCAACGAGGCTGAACAACTTGGCGGCGACTCTGATGAGGAAGATCACCGTCTCGCACGCGAAGTTCGTGGTGATGCCGCTGGGACAGATGACGATGAGTACTACGACATGGTCGCTGCTCGCAACAAACAGAAGAAAGCAGAGAAGAAGGCTCGCGCTGAACAAGCAGAGGCCGCTCAAAAGGAAGGCTACTACGAAGAAGTTGAAGAAATCGGACCCGACGGTAAACGACGTATTACTTACCAAATTGAGAAGAATAAGGGTTTGGCCGCCAAGCGGAACAAGGATGTACGCAACCCGCGTGTCAAGAAGAGGAAGAAGTTTGAGCAGAAGAAGAAGAAACTTGCTAGTATTCGTCAAGTGTACAAGGGAGGTGAAGGTCGTGGAGGTTACGGCGGTGAGCTTACGGGTATCAAGAAGAATCTTGTCAAGAGTGTTAAGCTATGATCAAAAAGCTCGTTTTCCATATATTATTTTGGCGTTTTATGTATGATATGGTCGGCATCGGATCCTGGATACCAGTACATATTGCGTTTTTTCATGGTTCATATCTCTACAAATACCTACACAAAGTGGACAAACTTGTCGCTTATTACGCCGCCTGCTTCCCCAGTAATAATATTTTGGAGACATGCGCAATCCCGAGTGAGCATCAAGAGTTCATCAACCAGACCTCGGGATGAGGCGGCCGCTCCGGTGGTCAACAAATCCGCTAAATCCTGCGTAAAATGTCTTCCCATGTTTGTCGATAGGTCCATTTTCAGAAATCTGCGGGCAATCCACTCCTACAGAAGGGAAGAGCAATCAATATAGCCGCTCTCCCATAGCATTTGAACAACATCATCCACAGAGACATGCGCTTCCTTTAAGATTGCCTCCTCTGCCTTGAACATCCTGGCACAAGCTGCGACGAGATCTTGTCCTCGGGCTGATAGTGACACAAATTCGTTGTAACGATAGCTTCATCGACCCCGTTCATAGCAGCACATCTGTTGTACGTCATAATTAGCTTTGATTCATACCTAAGGGTCTCTCACATGGATGAATCCATACGGTGTTCCGAAGCTCTAATTGCTGCGGCCTGGCTTAAAACTGGTATTGTCAGCTTGTAAATACCTATCATCGCTTGAGACTTCGAACATAGCTACTTGTAGAGAGAAGTGACCTGCTCTTTAGCGTTTGCGATTTCCTTATCCATTCGGACTTCCATATGACCGAAGCCTAGGGAAAATCACTGTGGCAGAAACCCATTTTCGAAAATCTCATGGAAATGAGTAGCAGCGAGGACTTTAGGCCATTCGTCACCGAGACTTAAGAGGTATTCGAAAATACCACAAGCTAGACCAGGCGCCATCTGGTTGAAAGTAAGACTGAGACTCAGCTAGCATGTTTGTTAAGATACGCACGAGACTCACCATTTACATCAGTGCCTTTCCCGAACTTGTCAATGACAATCAGACTTCTTCGTGTGGAAAACTGCTGCAGCAGTGAAATCTGCTGCAAGTCTAACATGAATATGCTCTGGATCTGAACGTAGTCCGAGTTAATGTTGTTCTCCTCCGGCCAATTCGACATACTTTTGATACAGTTTCAGGAGTGCTGATACGAGTCAAGATCCTATCAGTAATACCTATTTCTGCGTTTTGAGCAGGAACATAACTTAGTTATCGCCTCGGGCCGATACCCATGGCAAGTTTTCTCACCTTCAAATATGAGCCAGATATACTATCAAGGCAACCTTCTCGTAGTCAGCGATGTCTTCCTCAGACTTCCCAGTCAAGTGCAAAGCTCACCTGCTTCATGTATACGCTCTTGTTAGAGAAGTGGGGTCCAGTTAGCAGCAACATGCCCGGAGCATTTGACCGCAGTCTATCGGGAAGATTAGTAGTCGTCCCTGGCTATTGCGATCCGCAGCCACCACGTAAATTGCAATCATTTGGGATGTATGAAGCTACTGTCAGCTCTTGAAGAGGGCGTCTCGAGGATAGGGTTAGCAATCCTTCATGTCTCATGATGGTCAACCCTAACCGTCCACCCTTAATTTAAATCACGTTCTCTGCGCACATTTGAGGTCGAGCAAATTTGTAGACTTCTGATATAGCCATTGCAATATAACTAGATTATTTGTTAGAACAGAACGATTTAGAATAACATCAGTTACATTCACCAGTCAAGCTCTCCACACAGATCTGAACACGCCGAACCCGTCTGCTCATATCTTAGGACATTCTGGTCTATCTCGAGAGTTATTTCTATCTCTCTTTCTGGAGGTAGATGATTAGCATTATGCTTTATGCGAAGCTTGCTCATTTTCTTACCGCAAACAAGCCCATAAATATCACCTAGTTCTCATCCAATTCCCTCATTCTTTCGTCCTTGAAGACTTGCTCCCAGGTTCCGCCACTTCCCGTATAAGTAACTCGCCCTATATTATCGAAAGGTATGGGAATGTTGAATCCTAGTTGGCAAAAATAGATCACATTGACCTCAATTTGGGGCTCTTCGGGGATGATGGAGGCAATGTCGATAGCGTCCTGTTTCAGATATAGCATGCGGCCTTTGAAGAGATCTAGGTCACACTCCGCTCCTTGTTTGATCACTCTCCTTTGCTGGTCTTGCGACTCCTCAATATCTACCTAGTCTCGGTCGGTATCGGTACCAAGATGGGATACTGCATGCCGAACAGTCTGGTATATAAGCTTCCCCACTGTTTGTAGTGATCACCGATGCTCCAAGACTGAGTGGTCGCAATCGTACTGGATTGACGGGATCTGTTGCAACCCTTCGCTGGGCGCTTGAAGCCCTGAACGAGTTTCTAGGAGCGGATTCTCTTTTGCTCTTCAACGACGCCATCTTTGAGATGTCTTTGAAAGCTGAAGTTGGAAGACTTGGTTAATTGCGAGTAGGGAAAGTGAAGTGTGTGGTTTGTCGTTCCTTCCCTCTGGCAACCTCCCCAAGCACCTTCCACTTTTACTCACGAGACTCCCTACTTCATTGTATGGGAGACGCGTTCTTCATTAATACATGGTCTTCTTTTATATACACAAGAGTGGCGTTGCCTATCATACAAATATCAGAAGATCCAAAGATAACAACGATGTATACAGCAAAAGAAAGAAGGAAAAAACGCTTGCCACGCCATTATGTTACACCCGCTCCAACAAGTGCCTCCATACACAGAAAATTATGGAGAAACTCCAAACACCAATCGAAATATGCTTCTTTTCATTAACCATGACTCGCTTTAGGCAGGGACGACTTCTAAAGAGTCTTTCTCCTTATTGAATTTCACCCGTGCAGTATGGCCAGCGGTGATCTCGCCCCTGATGATCTTATCAGCAAGCCTGTTGCCGATTTCTTTCGAGATGAGCCGATTCAGTGGACGAGCTCCATAGCGGGGATCATAGCCCTTTTCGCACAGCCATTGCTTGATCTCGTCGTCAACTTGAAGTGTCATTCGTCGATCGTCCAACCTCGCTTGTAACTCCTTGAGACGGATGTCTACAATATCCCGGAGAGCATCCTTGGACAGCCGCTTAAAGATGATGAACTCATCGATACGATTGAGGAATTCCGGGGGATATGATGCTTGTACAACGTCCATAACAGCTTTCTTGATATCAGCAGGAAGTTCTCCCTCATCCGGAATTTTGTGCTTATACAAGGGATCTGCTCCGACGAGGATATCAGCTCCTAGATTGGAGGTCAAGACGATAATCGTATTTCGGAAATCAACCTTGTGGCCCTGAGAGTCTGTCAAGAAACCCTCGTCGAGGACTTGTAGGAGAAGTGTCGAAATATCACGGTGAGCCTTTTCGAATTCATCGAACAACAAAACGGCGTACGGCTTTCTGCGAACAGCTTCAGTGAGCTGGCCAGCGTCATCGTAGCCAACATAACCAGCCGGTGATCCGATTAAACGACTGATGGTGTGCTTTTCTTGAAATTCGCTCATGTCGAATCTCAGAACTGCACTCTCAGTGGAGAAGAGGAAACCTGCCATCTTCTTGCAAAGCTCCGTCTTGCCAACACCGGTGGGACCAAGGAACATAAAGGATGCTAGAGGCTTGTTCTCGCCGCTTAGACCTGCTCTCTGCATCCGAACAGCGTTTGCAACAGCTGAGAGAGCCTCGTCTTGGCCCCGTACCGACTGCCGTAATGAGTCCTCCATGTGAATCAGTTTCTCGACCTCTCCGGACATCAACTTGGTCACCGGAATACCGGTAGTACGTGACACCACGGCTGCGATATCATCTGCTGTAACCGAGTCGTGGATTAAGGTTTCCTTGTTTTCATTTTCGGCACCTTCCTTGGGTAACTTGGCTTCGAGACTGGGGATGACGGAGTAACGAAGTTCGCCGGCCCTTGCGAAGTTCCCTTCGCGTTGCGCTTTTTCTAATTCGAAGCGCGACTGCTCCAGTTCTTGCTTGGTTCGTTTGATGCTTTCAATTTCCTCCTTTTCCTTGTTCCAGATCTCCATGAGCTTCGAAACCTCTTCTCGTTTCGCCTTCAACATCTCTTCTAGCTTGGCTCGACGCTCTTTGCTCGTGACATCCGTTTCCTTGCGGAGAGACTCTAGTTCAATCTGTATCGTCGTTATTTCGCGATCTAACTCTTGAATAGAATCAGGCTTGGACTCTTGTTGTAGTCGGAGTGCCGAAGCAGCTTCATCGACCAAATCAATAGCTTTGTCTGGAAGAAAACGGTCCGTGATGTAGCGGTTACTGTATGTGGCAGCTGCGACGATTGCGCCATCCGTAATTCTAACACCGTGATGCACTTCATATTTGTTCTTGATACCACGCAGAATCGAGATTGTTGAAGCCACTGAAGGTTCGCTAACTAGGATGGGTTGGAAACGACGTGCTAGGGCGACATCTTTCTCGATCAAGCGATACTCGTTAAGGGTTGTTGCGCCGCAGCATTGGAGTTCACCACGGGACAATGCCGGTTTCAACAGATTGCTGGCGTCGATGCTACCTTCAGCCTTTCCAAGACCGAGCAATGTGTGTAGCTCGTCGATGAACAAAATAACATCGCCTTCTGCATCTTCAACTTCCTTCAGGACAGACTTTAATCTTTCTTCGAAATCGCCTCGGAACTTGGCTCCTGCGATCAGCGAGCCGAGATCAAGTGCGATAACCCTTTTATTCTTGATACTTTCAGGCACATCGCCTTGCACGATTCTCTGCGCTAGACCTTCCAAGATGGCAGTCTTTCCGGTACCGGCGGCTCCAATGAGGACAGGATTATTCTTTGTCCGACGTGAAAGGACTTGAATCGTCCGATGAATCTCTGCATCTCTTCCAATAACTGGATCGAGTTTGCCGGACTTGGCCTTCGCGGTGAGATCGACACCATACTGCTCGAGTGCGGATTTCTCTTCACCTCCGCCGACGTTCATGCGATGTGTACCGCCTGGTGGATGTGGGCCACGACCTGTGGCATAGGTTCGTGCAATCGTCGTTGATAGATGGTACGATGGTTGATAAGGAAGGTTAAAGCGAAGTCTTGAAGTCTGGGAGAAAAGGCTGTTTCGAACAGAGGGTTGACATGATGTGACAGCTGATGGCCGGCGTAGGCCTAGCCGGGCAGTCCGCAGTCTGGTGGCAGACAACATTGTGTGTGAGTTTGTAGTTACTTTCTGCAGCAGTTACAGAGAGAAAGAATTATCCGTGGGATGATACCAACATATATATTACAACATATTTATGATGTACGAGTAATTGACCCCAAAGTGGCAAGCTAATGCCGACGTTTGGAGAGCTTTCTGGAAAGAAAAGCTCGGGTGGATCATGCTATGCTGCATCGGGACGGCGGGGAGCTCGCGGCGTGCGCCAAAGAAGAAAAAATTGTGGCGGCTGGCCAACCGGTCACGTGATAACCCCCTTGGCTAGCAGCCCGTAAAGGAGGGGCTCCCGCTAAGCAAAAAGAAAATTCTCAACCCGAATTTTAGACCACGTTGGGCTATCCTTTTCTTCCTTCTCTCTCCAATACATCTTCACATCTCGACTCTCCTCTTTCTTTTTAAATATATCCATCTTCCTTCCTTTCTTCAAAATGGGTTTCACCGACCTCGTTTCCGATGCTGGCCTCACCATCGCCAACAACTTCCTCTCTACCCGAAGCTACATCGTTGGGTAAGTGGTCAGCGCCTCGATTTCGCATGTTTTGTTCAGGTTCTGTTTGCTAGCTGTGTTTCTCTCTGTGCTTCTACTTTTATGATGAAATCAAATTGGTCCGTGTTTAGGAGGCGGCTTAAGACACCGCTGTATGACTACACACAATGCGAGCAATCGCGCTTCTGATGTTTTGGCACTTATCCCATTTTGAGTCTTTGTTATGGCAGTAATGTTTCATGATCTTGAAGGTTTATGACTAACTAGTCCCTTCTGTATAGCCACACTCCTTCCCAGGCCGATGTTGTCACATTCAAGGCCTTGAGCGGTGCTCCTGACGCCGCCAAGTACCCCCATGTTGCTCGCTGGTACAAGCACATTGCCACATATGAATCAGAGTTCTCCACCCTACCTGGTGACCCCTCCAAGGCCTACACCACCTATGGACCTGAGTCAACAGAGCTTCCTACCAACCCCAAGGACAAGCCTGCTGCTGCCGGCGATGATGATGATATGGACGACCTCTTCGGCAGTGATGACGAAGAAGAGGAAGACCCAGAGGTTGTCAAGGAGCGTGAGGCTCGTCTTGCTGAATACAAGAAGAAGAAGGAGGCCAAGCCCAAGCCTGCTGCTAAGTCATTGGTTACCTTAGAAGTTAAGCCATGGGGTGAGTTGATCCTTTGATATACACTCTCGCTCGGTGGGGATTATGCAGGGATACTAATAAATCGCTTGCAGATGATGAGACCAACCTCGAGGAGATGGAGAAGAATGTCCGTGCCATTGAGACTGACGGTCTCGTCTGGGGTGCCTCCAAGCTTGTTGCTGTCGGTTTCGGTATCAAGAAGCTCCAAATCAACTTGGTTGTTGAGGACGAGAAGGTCTCTCTTGATGATCTCCAGCAGCAGATTGAGGAGGATGAGGACCATGTCCAATCCACCGATGTTGTACGTTTATCCTTTTGCTACTGTTGAAATTTGGGGATGGTACTAACGTTCTGACTAGGCTGCTATGCAAAAATTGTAAACGTGATATGCTTAATGATATGAAGAATAAGATGATGAATATGGAGACTATGTCTTTCAAGATCACTAAAATATCATGACCTTTTCCTGATCTTTTTTTGTTGAATATTAGACACTTGGCCTGATGTAGATTGGGTGATAAACAAAGATATGATGTATGTGTCCGTTGATGAGTATCATTTTCAAATTTGTCTCTGCAATATGTAGTATGTAGACAGACACATCCCATGTCGTAAATGCATAGTTATATCTCGACAGCAAAAGTGTCGACCAAAATCCTGTCGCGGTGGGTTTTGCGCTAGAGGGACTCTCCGCATCCGTAGTACGTAGCTAAGCTAGATGCAACCATGACATTTTCAACCACCAATCAACCTCAAAATCCCAAGCAGGACGATTCAGTATCGCATCTGTCGCACTTTTGACATTATTCCTTCCAGCCGCGCAAAATTGAATCCATCAGAATATATAGAGGATACAATTGTCCGATTCCATCCAGAGCCATCGATTTCGACTACGTCCAACCGCTCTTCATCATGGGATTCTTCTCACGCATCATCACATTCTTCGGCCTTGTCCTTCTGGCTCATGCGTGAGCACTCAAGCCTTTCTATCTGCATCACGGAATAAGCAATCCTAACTCTTACTTTACAGAGGGTACTCGGCCCACGAACATACAACGCTCTACAGCAGCGTCACGCTCGCCGCCAGCACATCCGGCACAAACCCCACAACAGCGAGCAACTTCTTCGCCGTTGTGCCGCTCGACATCACAATAGAGGCGTTGGTGTCTGTCGTCTTGGTGTCGACTGGTCTAGTTCTAGGAGCTGAGAAACTCAAGCCTATCACACATGGCGCATGGGCAGGTCAGATTGAGCGGGAAGGTGGCGCAAAGAATCCGTACAAGAATTTGGAGATTCGATCTGGGTTTTGGGATGTTAGAGTGGGTTTCTTCTTTCTTTTCGCTCGTCGTTGATTCTGGTATTTTGGGTGGGACAAGTGCTAATTGATTTATCAATGTAGAAAAGTCGTCGGGAGTTTGCAGATTGGATGCGCACGCAGGGTCAGGAAAACATCATCAAGTCGTGATTCACATTTTATAAATATATCAGTTTATGGGTGTGAAGGAAAATAGTCCTAGTTGTATAGGTATACCGCAGTATAATCGCACAATTCATATGCCACCTGTTTCATTCGCCGGTTTAACATTCTGCGCTTGTTAATCCCGAGTCTTTCCAATATCATCAGTGTCCACATATCCCTCTCCCGGACTGGTTTTCGAAACATCATCCAGTGGCATTCCTTTGAGCGACATCTCTCCATGAAGTACCACGGAGATCCTTTCTAAGGCGCTGATTCACCAGACTCGCAGGCTCAGATCCATTCACGCTCACAGGTTGCTTACAAGTGCCGCAGCTTGCTTCATAGAGAAGAAGCTGAAAGAGTTCTCGTCGGATATCGTTTACTTGATCTAGTATAGTAGATTAGGATGTACGAAAGTAGACACGTGATCTGCATGTACGTAGTGAATACTAGGGATAGTCCTAATTTTCTGCATACATAGTAGTTGATCAAAAAAATTTACTAGTTCTGCCAATGTCAAGTCACCAGTCCCACGCCAATGCCAAGCGAGTAACCAGGTCACTCGGAGACAGGGGTTGCTTGCATGTCTGTCTAGTTGTCTGTCTAGTCAGTCGAGACTGGATTTGGCTTTGTCTCGTCGTGTAAGTTTGTCGATGGTTATCCTGCGGATTTATATGCCGGAGTTGTAGCCGGCGTATACTATATAGTATAGCCAACTGAAGATCGTCTGGGACTATTTAGCGAGAGTGTGATGCATCACAAATGATAGAAATAATTTCTTGGCAGGGTCTGATGCCTTGGTGCCTTACCTATGAATAGCTACAAGTAAGACACCGACTCCACAGAAGATTCCAGCTACGACGCTACAACGCTACAACGCACAACGCACAATGCACAACGCAGCGCTTTCGCAAGATCAGGTTTGTTGCTGTCTTAGTGGTAAGATAGTCATGGCATCATCCCATAGACCAAGTGAAACAGGCCTGGGCTAGTGTGGACGCCACCCGAACATTATTCTGCGAGGATGAAGCCAATCAGTCTGGGGAGGTTATGTAAGGATCAGAGTGAAGATTCGATTTCATTGGACTTATCCAGTGCAAATAAGATTGCTCAGTCTGCTAGTCCAGCGTACTAGTCGGGCGAAATCAGGATTGCACCAGCCTTCCAAGGCAGTCCCGTGTTTGGCCTTTGTTTATAAGAGACATCCCCAGCTCTGTACCTGAGGAGCTTTTCCTTTTCTCTCCTCACTCCATATTTTACCTCCTTCGACGTGTCCCCCTACTTCGCGTAGATATCCAACGTCGAAATCGACGAATCCACTCGTTCAAACCAGTTCCCTATCGTCACTAGCCATCATGCGTTCCATCATCGCTGCCGCTGCTTTTGCGACTGTCGCTATCGCTCAGAGCGCCGACACTTCTGTCACTCCTGTCTCGGTGGTATGTGCATTTTGCCTCGGGCGGATTGACGGATTGACCACTCTTGCTAACGTTCTTCTGTGTCATAGTCCAACCCAGCTACCCAGTACTTGACCATGACCAACTCTCTGGGTGTGGTCACTGGCCAGCCTTCCGTTGTCACCAGCCAGCCTGAAGCCGCCACTTCTCAGCCCCCTGCAGCATCAATCCCTGCTGGCCTCACTTCTCCTGTTGTGCCACTTTCGCCTACCACCACTGACACCTCTGCTGCTCCTTCTGGTAGCTCTGCTACTGGTTCTGGCACCGCTACTGGCACTGTCACTGGTGCTACTACTGGTACTACTACTGGTACTACTACTGGCACAACCACTGGTACTACTACTGGCAAAGTGACATCCTCTGGATTCTCCACCGCTACCACATCCGAATCCAGCACTCACACCTCTGGCACCTCCAGCTCTTCTGCCTCTTCCACCCACGCCACTGGTGCTGCCGCGATGGCTACTGCTGGCCCCATGGGTCTTTCCCTCGTCGCTGGTGCTGCCTTTGCCATGCTCATCTAGAGCTGAGAATATCTTCCCTATTTGATCATGAGACTGTCTCCTAATACCTTCCCACGATTTCTTCAATGTGTTCTATGAATTCCCCCAAGTCCCTGCCTGATTGTTACCGTCACAGGCCTGTCATTTTCATTTCGTTGTACATGCATACCATAGGCGTACAAACCGAGTAATAATATTAATCGCATTTCTCAGATCAGTCATACCCTAATCAGTTAATCGCAATCTAATCGATAGGCAGCATTCTTTCCCCGGATTTACTAGTAAAACGGGCTCGTAACGATGGTCAAATATACCGTACGATACGAGCCTTACCAACCACTTTAGGAAATCATATTATTGCGACACGAAAACTCGCGTCGCCGTTTCGCGCCTGGTCTAACCCGATCGAGACATGACGCGTTGTACTGATTACCAAGCTCGGTATAGCGCATCAACAAACACCGTAAATGCGATACACAACACGTAAAATTACCGATTTCGGCCATCCCTTTGGCGGCGCAACCAAAACAAACGCTCCAAACAAAAAGACGGCCGAGCTCCCGCTTCCCGGGCAACCTCATCCTGCTTTCCCTCAACTACGTAAGATTACTACACACTTACTTGCTCACTCAACCAAGTCGCACTGCTCCTGGTATTTGGAAGTGATCCTTTGTGCTTGCATATTTCGCCGCGTCAGTGACGATTCACCTGCGAGCTAGCCAAACTCGAAATAAGCAACCGATTTCTCGAGTGACGGTGTTTTGCGACAACTCCGTCCAAGCGCGACTTGTTGAACAATAAAAACATTGACTCAACTGTCGACGGCTGACCACATCACACGTACAATCATGGTACGTTTAGCCACTATGCCTGAGTCGTTACTCTAACAATCTACTAACCCATCAATAGGTCTCCAAGCTGCGTCGGCTCATTGCCGACCATGCAGACCTCCACAACAACGAACTTCCCCCGAATTACCTCTTCTCCCCAGCAGATACTGAAAACGATGATCTGAGCCAGCTGGTTGTGATGCTCGCTGGACCACAAGGTACTCCATATTCAGCTGGGTTATGGCGGTTGCAGCTTCGTATCCCGGAAGATTATCCTGCAAGCCCACCCAAGGCCGCATTCAAGACACGCATATGGCACCCCAATGTCGAGGAGTCGACGGGTGCAGTGTGTGTGGACACTCTCAAGAGAGACTGGGAATCCAAATTGACATTACGGGATATTCTTGTGGTATGTTTTTGTCATTCCCTGAATGGGAAGAAGGAAAGGAAACTAACACATTATGCAGACCATATCTTGCCTGCTCATCCATCCAAATCCAGACTCGGCCTTGAACCCTATGGCAGGCTCCCTGCTACAGGATGACTACAATGAATTCGCCCGCCAAGCACGCTTGATGACGTCGATACACGCACCAGTACCATTTGCTCTGAAACAAGCTGTTTTACAAGCCAAACAGCGAGGAGAAGATCCTGAAATGGCTGCTAGATCCGAGAATGAGCAGGAAATTATAGAACTACGACACCAACCCAAATCATCATCGCTGGTCATGAAGAAGAAGCATTCGGAGATATCACCACCACAGCCCTCTAATGCGGACGAAGACATGGACGATATCGAGGACGACTGCAAGGAAAACGATCCATCATTATCACCGGAGCCGGTCCCTATTCTATCGTCTCAGCCTAAACGAAATGGGCTTGCTAAAAAGCCTCTATCTGTTATTCCGACCACCCCAGTCTTGGAGACGGACATGATTATGCTTGACTGTGCATCTGATGACGAGGACATGTTGAGCGATGGTATGACTGCATCAGAGCGGAATATCGCCGCCAACAACACCATTTCGCTCAAGTTTTCATCTCCTTATTCGTCTCAAAACTCATCTGTATTCTCAACCCGGTTCCAAACCCCTTGTTCATCTCAAGCATTTCCCGGTCTGCACAACACTAATGACTCGACGCCAACTTCCTACGCAATCTACAAGGATGACGTGGAACTCGACAACGTCAACAAACTCCTCCTCATGGACACTCGTAACAACCGTCACTGCCGTCGACCAACCTACGGCAAGGAGAATATAACCGGTTCATTCTCTTCGCTACCTAAGGAGTTGTCAAATACATCGGATACTCCACCATTCTCAACACCTACAGGTGTAGTCATGAAATCACTGAGTACATCATCATCCTCGTCGTCAATACTATCGCCATCAACGGCAGCTACGAGACCCTTGTCGCCGACGAAGGTCACTAAACCGACTTTTAATGGCAGCAACAATACTAATATAACTAGTACTCGCAAAGCTGTGTCCGGCAGAGGAAAGCCTAGAATCGGACTACGACGACTTTGAGTACCCTGCTTTTGGTACATAAAAAATGAAAATAAACTGATGACAATGATGAGATATGACAATTCTACGAATTTCATTACACAATCTTTTGGATCTTGGTTTAGGCGTTTGTATTGACGCGATTTCAAGACTTCATTTGCATTTTTTGCACCGGACGGATATGGTCAGTTGGCTGATTGGATTGGATTGATATATTCTAGCGAGGTGTACGTAAAGTGGCGTTATTGGTTGCTTGAGGACATACATACAGTCGACAGTTTCATACATATCTCAGTTGAATCTGAAATTCATCCAACGTACAAATAGTGTAGAGATCAAGATCAATGATTCTGCATTTTGGTATAATAAATAAGTAATTAACAGATAAGCAGCTATGTAAATATATTCCTGGGATAAAAACATCTCAAACTCGCTTGCAGGTAGGTAGGTAAGCTCTCCAAGGACTTCGATACAACCACTCTTTACTCGCACAGTAAAGATAGATCGCATGAGTTATATATAATCGAGCTTCCCCCTCAATTTGTCCTCGGCGTCATTGATGATGCTTGATAACAGAACGCTAATCAGATGCAGATGTATGTCCCTTCCGTGACATCCAGTCACCAGTCCAAGACTCAATATTGCTGCGTCACCAACCATTTCATAGAATCGAACCACGGATGTCAGACGGAGAGGAGATCTTCATCATAGGATTTCATGCGGCCACCCGTTCTAGTGCATGCAATGATTTGAACAATTCACATTCCACTCTGAAAAAAATAACCCAAAACCAACCGGTGTAACAAGACTTCTTTGATTGACCAAGTAGCGGATGAGTTCACAAACAATAAGCTATACTCAACCCGTTGGACATTGGTCATTCCTCCAAGATAGTTCATGCTTAAACGATTAAAAGATATCAACCGAGGTATTAAAGATTTATAGAGCGTATGGGTTGACAGAACGGATAGTCAGGCACCTGTTAAATTTAGTTAGCCAGCACGAAACAACAGTTACGAGCAAAGAAAAAACTCACGGTGGGCTCTTGCTCAAGTCAGTCTTGAGAATAATGGGCACACGAGTCATTTCAGTCACGTCTTGAATATATTCACCGTCCTCCTCCCGAAGCTTGAAGAGATTGAGATACTTCTCCTTATCGGTCAATTTGGCTTCTGGTGTTTCGCTAGCGCTAATTGCAATCTTAGGATCAGAGCGAGCCCGGTGCGGACCTTGACCGTCATGACCGTTGCGAGTCGGTGACGGGGGCATGCTTTGTGTTGGGCGATCTGCAGAGGAATTGAGCGACACTCCAGCAGCCATCTCAGTCAATTCTGAAATGTCATCATCGTCGTCAAAGAGAGCATCAACGTCGTCCGTAGACATTGTTCCAGTCTCGGTTTGTTTACGCTGGGCCTCCTCTCTCTCGCGTGCCCGCTCGCGAGCTGCTTCTGCCTCTTGAGCAGCCGCCGCTGCGTGGGCAGCTCTAGAACTGCTTGCATTGGGTCTTTCATCTTCCGGAATGTAGGCAGAAGAGGGAATACCCTTCTCCCAGTACAATTCAAGGACGCGAGTATCTTTACGATATTCTGCTTTCTTCAATGGAAGCTGGTCGCAATGCACACGCTTCTCGAAACCGAACTCAGGAAGGAGTACATCAAAGGCAGACTCGTAAACGCAAAGAACGATACCTTCGCTGATGAGGTCACCGCCAACTTCAGAGCGCTTCTTATCCATGACACGGCAGGATTCAATATGCACGCTTTGCTCCTGGGCGTTGTGTGCAGAATCTTTCTTGTTGTTGCACTGCTCGGCAGTCTTTACCAATGTGTCGACATCGTCCGTGAATTCAATAGCCCCGTTAGACAGGACGGCCTCCAATTGACGGTGAACAATAACGTCAGCGTAGCGACGAGTAGGGCTCGTGAAATGAGCATAAAGTGGCAAGTTCAGAGCGTAATGTTGGCGTTGTGCCTCCGTAACATTACCAGCAACATAGTATTTGGCACGTTGCATTGCCTTAATAAGGACGGTTTCCATACCCTACACGAGTTAACTTGAAGGGACACGCAGCGGCTGCAACTTATTACGCACCTTGCGAAGATCAGCATCCTTCACCTTGAACAGGCTAGCTTGCAGGGAACCACTGCTTGAAGGGTCAATTTCATAGCCTAGTCTGTTCATTCGGTCGACAAAAGTCTGTAGGCGGCGAGGGTTTGGAACAGCTTGGCGTCGAAGGAACGCTTTCTCGGGCATAGCGGCAAAGAGCTTGCGTGCAACAAAAAAGTTGGCTTTGTAGCTCAATTCTTCAATGACTTCATGAGCTGGCGATGAGTCGAAGATGTTGAGTTCGACTGGTATGTTCTCATCGTCAAGCTGATAAATCAGGCGCAGGGCCGGGATATCGGTAGCACGGTTGCCAAACCTGGCCTCTTTGAACTTGGTGGTGATTGCCTGTTAAAGATGTTAGTTTGAGACAGCTGTTTGGTAATTACAAGCATACTCACTTCAAGAAGGCGAATATCATCAGCATTCACACCGTCCAACGGACTACCAGACTCTCCAGTGATGGCAGCATTAACATCGTCGTAGGTCAATTTGCCAGAGCTCTTGATTACACTCTTGCCAATCCACACATCATCATCGACAGCGCCAGTCGCGGTGTCAACCTTGAAGACAACACTGACAGTCAAGCGTTCCTGGCCAGGAAGCAAAGAGCATATTTCAGTCGATAAGCGAGGTGGTAGCATATTCACAACTCGGTTCATCAAGTAGACTCCTGTTCCTCTCTTCTTGGCTTCCCTATCGACCAATGAGTTCGCCTTGACAAAGTGGGCGACGTCCGCTACGTGAATACCAACTTCAACCTTGCCGTCAGCAAGCTTCTTGATGTGAATAGCATCATCAAGTTCTTTGGAGCCTGATGGGTCAATCGTGAATGTAGTTTCGTCCCGGAAATCTCGGCGGTTGGAGAGGAGAGAATCGCCTTCGGAAGCCACTGTCCAATCTTCCCACCCGACATTCTTGAGCACCGCCTCTGAGAATTCATCAGCTGCGAAGTTATTGTCGCGCAAAAGTGCGTCAGTTTCCACTTTCAAGTCACCCATCTCGCCAAGTTGCTCAACGAGAGTGCCGAAGGGATGAAGAGAAGTGATAGGCCACCGCTTAATACAAGCGACGAAGATACGGTTGGCGTAATCCTGATGCTTCTCGACAAAATCACGCGGTGCTTGCTCAGTGGGGATAGCAATCAGGGGTACACGTTTGTCAGTAGGTTTGAACCAGACAATCTTAGGCTTGTCTTGCTGTCTGTCCTGTTGACGACCATGCCCGCCGTCTCTGGCGGCACGTTCAGCCTCCTGCTTCTCCTTGGTGGCTTGACTGCTAGGGCGCAAAAGACCCAGAGTTCCTGAGAACATCTGCCCTGCAACACGTTCAATGACAGCAACAATGTGACCGGCATACAATGGCTTCTGCTCATCACTGATCTCGTCCTCCTCGACTAGCAGAAGGCTCTGCCCTTCGACTTCAACGTCGTCGTTCTTCTTCTGGGTGGGGCGCTGGCGTAGACTACCACGACGACGAATGCTACCGTCAGGGCCGACCTGTTGGTTGTCGCCATTGGCACCGGAATCGGAACGAGACAACTTGTCGCCCGATCTAGAATCGGTGATGTCCTTGCGTTTCTTCTTTTCTTCCTTCTCGCGCTTCTGAGACCACACCTCGTCAACATCCAACAGCTCTACGGCAACAAAGTCGCCCTCGAGAGCTCGATTACGATCTTTGCTTCCACAGATAAAGATATCAGCATCGAGTTCCGTGCACGTGACGTAGGCGTCTGAGCGGTTCTTCTTGTTGACGCGGAGGATGCCAGCGACGAGTTGTCCATTGCTGAGGAGAGCAGGCAGGTTCGCTTGCGGGAGGTACGGAGTGAAGAGTGTCTTGCGCTGTTGCTGTTGTTGCTGCGCAGACAATTGCTGAGGAGCGTGCTGGCTAGCCTGAAGGCCGTTCAGTTGACCATTCTGCTGCATAGCCTGAAGTTGGGCGAGTTGGAGCGGGTTCAGTTGCTGGCCATTGAATAGCTGTGGAGCCATGACAACCTGACCTTGAGGTAGTTGGATCAATTGAGGGGCAGCGTTGGGATATTGGAATTGGCCAATGGAGCCAATGGATTGGTTCATGGATGCACGCGAGCGGTGGCCCGGTTGGAAAGTATTCCCACCTTGCTGTTGTCCGAATCCGCCCTGATTCGATTTCTGCTGATCCTGGTTATTGTTGTTATTTTGTTGTCGCCAATTTCCATCAAAATTCCTTGACGGTGTACGACCATGACCACGCCTGGGATGTTCCGCTGGGCTACTCTCAGGAATGGGAAATTGGAACCCAGTTGCACCACGACCAACGGCCATTGACTGACTTCTGCCGTGGGCTCCACCGCGCAAGTTGCCTGCACGCTGCAGACCCAATCCCTGGGGTTGAGGAGTCTTTGGCTTTTCTTCAGCAGTTGGAGATTCTGATGAACCGGGAGCTGGGAACTGGAACCCGGCTGCAGTACGTTTTTGTTGCGCTAGTTCCGCGGCTTTCTTTGCTTCTGGTAGAGCTAATGAGTGACGGCGCTGATGACCTCCGCCAATAGGCCCACCTCGTCCCCTTGACGGGCCACTGTTCTCACGATTTTGGTTTCCCTGATGATGATCCGCAAAGGCTGATCCTGATGCGCCAGAAGACGGGGCTGGCGGCGGGCCCATTCCCATGCCCGGCAAGGCAGACTGATTTCGGCGATGAGAAGATCCGTTATTTACGGGAACTCCGAGCTGTTGAGGAAATTGGAAAGCGTGGACCTGAGGTGATACACCGGCCATTGTTCCCTGGCCAATCTGGGGAGAGAATCCCGATACTTGACCAAGAGGTTGTTGGGGCTGCAGCAGTCCCATGTTGACGTATTGTTGATGCGTGGCTGCAATTTGCTGCTGTTGCTGTTGCAGCAGCTCAATTTGTTGCTGAATAGCTAGTTGTTCCACTAGTGTTCCCCCAAGGTCAGTGTTCGGCTTTGCCTCAACGGGCGGTGGAAAACAACTTACTCATAAGAGGTGTCAATTCAGATGGACTTCGTCGGTGGGCAATATGAAGCCGGCGGCCAGCAGGACCTGGAATCCCAGGCTGACCTTGTTGGTGGTCCATCTTGCCGAATCAAAGTATATAATGATAGGTTTCTCCGTGCTTGATGTTGAAAACCGGAAAGTCACAGGTTGTTACTCCTATGAATGCCGAGTCACAACGATGTGATTATCAATTGTAGACTGACAAGGACTGCTCGAGTCGGTTGCCGACCGAGGATAATCCAATTCTGTGCGGATTTCGAGCGAGGGCAGTTGTGACGGAGCTAGTAGCAAGAGGAGATGATGTCAGCGATTGGATTCTTGTCACGTTACCAACGAAACCCGGGAGAGTACATGGAGTGACAAGTGATAGGAAAGAAACAAGTCACACACAAGCATCTGCCCGTAGAATGATTGAGAAAAGGCCACTCACTGTTATTTCAAAAGAGAGTCTCGAATGAGTTTGAATAATTTGATTCCTTGGAATGAAGGAAATCCGAGACTGCTGCTAAATCAGGCCAGGATGAATCAAACAAAATGACAAAGCCAACAGCAATAATCGTATATATGAGGCAGTCAACGCAACAAAGAGTATGCTTGCAGAACAAAACTTGACACCGGCGAAAGCAGAGACAGAAAAGCTGATGCAGTGATTCAATAAGGTTGTAGGTAGTTTTTCGAACAGGACGGGCTACCGTTTAACGAGGGGCAGCTTTCTATTTTCCCGGAAAAGGGGGACAATTGTCAATGGAGCTCTTGTAGGGATCAGACAGTCGAGAAAAGGATCGAATGTGGTCGACGGAAAGCGTCAGGTCGATTCAGTAACGGTTGACTAGGATTTTGTGGGCACACACACGACGGCCTCGATGACGACGACGAGCTTCAGGGTGAAGTTCAGGACGAAGTATGTTGGAGGAAGAGAGAGAAAGAATTCTTTTGGGAGCGACCAAAAGATGAAAGAGAGAGGGGAAGAGAGACTCCCGCGGATGGAAAGATGGATTGAGCAGGAGGAGCAACTGCGAAGTGAGGTGCAGAGCTCAGGGAAGGAGCCGTGGAGAGTTGGCCTTTTCCCGATTGGGCGGGTACGGCAGCAAGCGGAACCCAAAAGGAGAGAGAGCGAAGAGAACGACTCACTCAGGCTATTACTATCGACGTAATTATATTATTCTTGCGTAAGAGAACGACAAGCGGAAATAATAATTTGAATGAGCGAGAGATCAGAGGATGACAGAGCGGGCGGGGGTAGAGGAGGAAAGGCGAAGATAGGTAGATGTGTGCGAGTGTGGGAGAAAAGGAGAGAGAAAATCTAGATGGAGATAAACTACGGGGGCGATTGCCATTGAGCCATGGCATGCAGGTGAGTAAAGTTACTAACTCATACGTGTGGTGAGGTCAGTCAGATACGTAGTCATTTGTAACTAGTCTGGAGAGTCTGAGGCTTCCACCAACGAACACCTCAGGGCGGTTGTAGGAACCTTTCTTGTAACGTTCGCCATCTTGGCTCGTGTACGGAGTACAGCTAACTAACATGGTGAGGATGAATGTGCTAAGGAGAGAGGGACAATAGAGAGAAAAGGCGATGGGACCAAGACGCTTAAGTTCTTTGGGGAGCGGGGAGCCTCCATCAGCCAATGAGACTCCCTTATTGTAAGCCTCCTCCCTCGAATCTCACTCTTAGTATCACAACACTCAAAAGGCTTCATCCTGGCTTCAGGTCTACTATCACTACTCGCCCATCATTCCAGCGCAGAACAGGTTGCTCTTATACTCCGCTCCCGCTGAAGAAATTGGCCACCATACTCCGTACACTACACAAATGGAATGCCTTCCGACTTGCGAAGACAAAATGGCATGCGTCTAGAACCCAATCAGGACTAGTCTAACTACACTAGTGAGTACTGGTGGACCCCCATATCACGGAGGGGCAGCTTTCAGGGGGCTAAGTAGGCGCGCGACTACTCTCGACTTTGAGCCAATTCGAATATACGAATTGGAGCAGAGGGTATGTGAATGATTCAAAGAGAAAATATACCACTTGTCAATACGAGGACAAGAATCCGAATACCCCCCAGGCTTCAAGGGGGAAAAATATATAGGATAACTTTGAAACACCACCTGTCAAAGCTCGACGGGAAAGCTCCGCTGGTGGGGGGTTGACAGGATCCGCGTCTATCAACCAACAACGAGAGCTACCGTTTGAGTCTGTGTATGCGCTCAGCATTTCCCATTGACCTTAAGACCTTGCCCCGAGCGTGTACGGAGTATATTTATTTACTCGTTGATTCGGGTATTGTTACGCTTCAGAGACTTTTTGACCCCTGCACGGAGTAATCAGATCAACAGTTGCAGCCTCGGTCAGCCACTCCGTACAGCCAAAAATTATGCTCCTGGTTAGTCACGTGACTCAGTTGAAATATCAGGTGACCGTGCCTTTACACTGATGCAATCCAGACAAACATAGGGTTAGGAAGTACTAGATACAACTACGGTCCGACCTTCAAAGTTCAGACCTTCATATATACAAGCAACAATCCCAGCTTCTCAAAAATTCTCCCGAAAGGACTTCACATCATCTTTCATAAAGGTACAAGATTCCTCTTGCAATGTTCTATCACTCTTTACCATGTCTTCATTGTCCTGAGATTTACCTCGACAAACATGGACCAGTCGGGACAAAGCCCTTGAAGGAACTGGTTCTTGACGGGACAGTCAGCTAATTGAGAAGGCATTGGCAGATATTCAATATCCAGTCAGCGGATGCTACGAGTAATTACGAAATTGACCTCACAGTAATCTCACTGGACCGTCGCATCCGCGTTCTCGAGTCTTCGCGACGCAAAATGGCACGCTGCGGCTGTCAGTAGGCTCACAGCATTCACAGCCATATTGTTATTCCCTCACTTCAAATCCTTACCGAGTTCGAATCTTACTTTTCTTTTCTTTTTTCTGATGTTGATCTGCTACGCTTGTGTACTAGTTTTGTTCACATCGAGTCATCATGGTTGGAAGGCGGAGTATAGGCAAAAAACTAGACAGCCCGTCGAGGCAACTTGTCTACGACCTTGCCAAAGATCTCCAAGCTATACGATTACATCACGAGGATCTGAAAAGGGTCTATGAATATCGAGCCCATGCCTTGGAGCAAGAGGAGGATGAAATCGATCGCGTTCATCAGGATTTCTACTATGCGGCCATCGATAAAACGTACGATTACTACGACGGACACCGTCGAGAAGCAGAGATCGTCCTTCAGGAACATCTACGAGAAGAAGAAGAAAAAGAAAGGAGGAGACAAGAGGAAGAGCGACGGCGTCAAGCAGAAAAAGAACGGCTAGAACGCGAACGAAAGGAACGTGAAGAAGCGGAACGAAAAAAAGCAGAAGAAGCTCGATGGGAAGCAGAGAGGCTCGCTCGTGAGGAAACAGAGCGCCGTCAAGCTGCTGAAGCGGAAGCCAAGGCCCGCAAAGCTGCCGAAGAGGAAAAGCTTCGCCGCGAACGTGAAGAAGCAGAAGCAAAGGAACGCCAACGGCAGCAGGACTTGCAAAAGGCTGAGGAGGAAGAGATACGGCGGCAAACACTAGGAGCTGGAGGAGGCATTAGTCAGGAAGAAGTGAAGGAGCAGGAGCGCTATCTGGAATTGCACAAATATATGAAGGAATTGAGAAGATTTGTTCTCGCGGAGGGAAAGAAAGATCCAGCTTTGAAGAGCACAGTCGGAGACCATCGTCGGGCGATTACTAAATGTCTTGGTCAATTAAGAGAAGGGCAGGGGACGGCTGCAAACAAGGGCCAGGTACTTTCACACATTACCATTGTTAAATATCATGTTGATTGAATTCTAACATCGATAGGTAACCGAAATCCGAGACATACTTCGCAAATCCCAGGATATACCTATACCCTGTGATGTCCGTCGATTCTTTGTGCACGCGCCTGAAGAAATCACGAATCTACCCGAAGACAAGGCCAAAGTCTCGGCCGTCTTTGTATATCTCCTCAACATATTCGTCAAGGCTGTTGTCTCACAGCTCATCAATGAAGCAGGCATCAAGCTTGAATATGCAGAACCACTAGGAGTTGTGGTTGCCCAGATCTTTTCGACGGAGCAATTCTGTTTTCAAGGGCATGCCTTTTCTGATATCTTTTGGGCCAAATATCGAGCGTCCTGTCCTGCACTGTGGGGATTTTACGGAGACGAAAAGACCGTCGCTGGAAAAGAGGCATTGGGTTGGAAGCGAGTGGAACCCGGGGGCCCCTTCTTGCAAGAAATCGATCATCGTCAACGGATGGTTGGGTTAGGTGGTGGCTTTGCAGCAGTGACGTTGCGCAACTTTGGAAAGACGAATCGAAAAAACCCGTTTCCCAACTATCTGTTTTGGAGAGCGGTAGCCAAACTGGTCTCAATACCACCAGGTAAACTGCAAGAAACCCATTTCTATATTCTATATGCCATGTTACGTTTCTCCGCGGACCGCATCATTGGCTTCTGGGGTCATGCAGGACTGGGTCTACTTCGGAATGCTATCGTCGATCTGCCTAATCGTGCCATTAACAAGCAAGGCGGTGCAATTGGCCAATTGAAGGTTCTCAGGGGATTGTATTCAACCGAGAAGAGCATTCTTATTTGAGGTTTTTTTTGGGCTGGCGTTGACGATACGGTGTCATATACTGTATCGTATCGGGTTCGGATTCGGGCTCGGATTCAGGTTCGGGTTCGCGGTTTTAGAGTTGATAAGTATGTTGATGTCGATGTCGATATCGTTTTCCCTATCTTGTACCCTCTGGGTTGTAATTTTGAGAAAAAAAAAAGAGCCAATCTCTAGCATGATTGCCACTCATTCAACAAAAGCAGACATCCATTCGTCGGATGATCAGATGTAGAAGTGCCATATCTCGGAACAATTCCAAATCTTCAAATCTCCTAAACTTTGATGATTATTAATCGATTCCCAAACTAGAAATTGTAAAATGATAGGAATTTACAAGATGGACGCCATGTGGCCATCACGTGGACCCCAACCTTAACATCCCGGTACTTACTACCGTCGTACCTTTACTACCTTAATCGCGCCTCTTCATGTTTATAATTCCAAATACCCGGTGGCGCTGAGAAAGCTGTCCCTGTTCTTCCCCTTCTCGGTACTATTCATTTACTCAGTGGCGATATGACCATACGTTCTAAGGGTAGAAGCATCAAGTCGAGACTCATGCCGGACTGAAGAACGAGTTGACGTCGGAATTCGTTTTGACATAGGCCTGACTCAGCAATTATGGTTGTTAGTTAACTAATTAGTTAGTATAACAGCTAAACTGGATGAGGTAGGGAACCTATAATCTTTCATTTGCTAGCTTCTGTATACATATCTATCATATTGCATATGAATAAAGAACAATGCTGATCGAATCAGTCGTATGAGTTGTACCTACCGTAGACTACGTACACTGAATCTGTGGGTGAGATGCGGCTAATAATCTAGGGCTGAAGTCCGAGACCGGGGGTCCCATTTTCCCAATGTGGATAAAGATTGTACTTGAAGAAGACAAGTAGTACAGAGTATGCTTCGGCATAAAGTGAAGAAATATCGGTGAAAACGGGCCCCGCATACATACAGCATTAGGGTTATCACTGCGGAGTACCTACACCTTTCCTCCGAGCAAGTGCGAGATCTGGAATAATATAAGGTGGTGTAATCTTAAATTACATTTGTCGTGCAATATTTGGCCCTATTTGTGTCTGTTCTCGGTATTTCGCATCTTCAGACCCTCATATTTTCTTAGGTCATGAGTGGGTTTTATGGGGAATGTAGTACCTGGCGTCTGTTCGAAGAACGCTGGTCACAAGACGGAGATACTAGTTACCTTAGTAGAGACATGTGTCTCAGACATTACAAGCCCCAGTCTCGAAAAAAATGCTATAGATATCTTCTTGGTTTATGAACATGAAGGTTATGTACGGAGTGACATGATAAACAAGGCCATCTCATCATAATATACTCCCCATCCGTCTTTACCGACTTTTAAAGCAGCGCGGGTACACGGCCAGCTAAATATGCAGGTCGTCTTCGCAGCCCGGTGTCTAGCCCTAAAGGCGAAAAAACGTGCACGGTACGCAGATCGTGCTTACCAATGTGATTACTAAACTAATTTCGCCCGCTGTTATAATGGCAATACGACAAACATGGCTATGACATAGGCACTGGCCTATGGATTTCATGGGATATTGAAGCTGATTAATGCTGATGCTAGATATTCTGCGGTGATATGAACGCCTTTTACCCAGTAGTTGAAGAATGGTTATAAAAGCAGCAGGAGGCGTGTGAAGAATGAGAAAAAAAAAGGCGAAGAAAAGAAAAGAACTATACAGATTCCATCCATCAAATCCAGGTCTAGCCTCTAGCGCGCTTGTTTAAGTATGTATGATCTACTTGTATTCAAAATAGTTTATTTGACATTTGAGGCACTACACCGGATCCTGATCAGCCGCCGTTCACTACATCATCGCACTTCATCAACCGAGGATCATGTATATAATGTCCATCAGTAATCTGTAAAAAAAAATCTGGTCGACGCAGCTGAACTCTATAATACCAAATAACTTGCATCACTAACGATTATCTCAGCTTGGCGTTTTTTATTCTTCTAGATTCCGTTGCTTCTATGTTTGGGCTTGTGGCTTAGTGAGTATAAAGTTCAGGGTTCCGCATCACGGGCTACGTATATCGAGATATCTTTTATTGCTTCACTAGGTAAGAGTAAGTCGGGGGACCGCGTCGGGATTTGTACTTGAGAGTACTAATTCGATCCGTGAGCACCACTGTATAGTGATCGGATATACATCAGACATGTCGGATTCAGGAGACTCCTCAAAGGCAGAGAAGAAAAGGGAGTACAATAGAAATGCCCAGCGACTGTTTCGTAAGTTGGTTCAGTCATATTCCCTTGCGGCGAGCCCCGTACTGACGAGACACATCAGGACAACGTCGGAAAGAGCATCTCAAATCGTTGGAGCGTGCTGATAAGGAGCGCTCATCTTCACACGCTGAGGAACTTCAACGTTTAAGGGAAGATATTGAGCAGCTGAGAGCTGAGAATAGAGCCCTTAAATCATGCAGCAAGATCTCCTCACCACATGCATCATCCGTCCCTTCATCTGTGGTCATGCCTGGGAGTCCGTCACCATATCCGACCAGCCCCTTTCGTTCTCTTGAGTTGTACGATTCTGCACATGGTTCAGATGACCTAGTAAGATCTCCATCAGAGATCCAAGGAGAGGAACTATATCAGGAACGCCACGAATATAGAGCTCGCGGGCATCGATCAAGACAGACAACGGGTCCGGATTCCTTCTGCGCCCTGTTTCCCCAGGACATTTCCCTCGTTCGTCGCAATTTGCATTTACAACTAGCCCCCGTCCTGGATTTACATATAATCAGCAACCCGCAACTCCACCTATCAACACTTGCTGCGATAGGACCCTCGCTACCACCGGCACTTCAACCGACTCTGCTGCAACTCCAGACACCGCACCATGCATATATTGACCTGATTCCTTCGCCAAATCTGCGTGATGCTTTGATTCAGGCTGGATTTGCGGTAGCAAATTCATTTCTTACCGAAGTCTGTACGTTTGTGTACGAGACCGAGGACCTGGGCCAGTTGACAATCTGGGGCCGGGATTATCTGAATGTCATGTCGTGGGAATTCTCTGAGGGAGTGCTCAAGGCATGGCCGAATCTTTTGACGGCCGAGTGGAGAGAGCGGGCGAATTTTTGGCGAGCGCAAAGGAGTGAGCCGTTGATTATTTTTGATTGATTTGGTTGGCATTGCCTGATGTGATGCTGAATGTATTATTACTCGATTGCTTTGATGGATAAATGGTGGTCGCATGGCAGAGGTGTTCTTGACTGGTTCATTTTTCGGGATGTGAGATTTTGATATTATGATAGCGCAAGGTTATGAAGCGTGATTTTATTTGAGAATCTTCTCCAACCTGTTGCAAATAATATACGGTACTGTAACGAGATATACTAAAAGCGCGGGTTGATTGGTTGGTGACGTATTATTATGGTAATACAGCTGTTCCTGTCGCAACATCAAAATTATTCTGGTCTTGACGTCACGAGATCGCATTCTTGCTTCGTCGCGATTTCGCGATATCCATTAAACACATCTATCTTCTTCAATAATGCGCCTGACGATTTGTATGCTTTACTTATTGATGTGCTTATGACTTATGAGCCATACCGAACAAAGATATCAATAGCATTTACACCGCTACAATGCTCTTCACAGGCCTCAACTTCCTCTTCTTTTGGATGACATGGACAACCCTCGTATTGTCGCATTCTCCACTTCGAGTCGAACTGTTCGGCACTCTCGCTATACGACTGGTTTTCTACCTTGCACCTTCAGTCTTCTTTTTTCTATTTGATACTATACTTCCCTATGCGGCTTCCTCTGTCAAGGCGCAAGGCCATATTGCGCTCCCATCGGGCCATAAGCGTCGCAAAATCAGTCGCAAGGAAGTCAAGATCATAGGATGGTCGTTATTCAATATTCTGCTTAGTATTGTAGTGCAGGGCGCTGCAGAATTCACTTTGACTACATTGCTTCGGAGAAGGAGCTTGATCAAGGTTGCTGTGCGATTGCCGTATCCCTGGGGGATAACTACCGATATTGTAAGGGGTTTTATACTAAGAGAAGTCAGCTTGACCACTTTGAAATTGCAATCGCATTGTTACTGACTATTAGGATTAGATCTTGAATTATTCTATTCATCGTTTTGTACTTCACAATGAAAGGCTCGGTATTACGCGACTCCACGAAACTTGGTATCATGGCCTGAGAGCACCCTGGCCGTTGACGGCCCATTACGACCATCCACTTTGTTACTTGCTGTGGAAGTTCCTTCCCTTATACGTGCCTGCTGCCCTATTCCGTTTCCATATGATCACATACATGGTCTTTCTCGGACTCGTGTCTCTCGAAGAAACCTGGACACACTCCGGCTACTCTACCGTTCCCTTAGGATTTGTGCTAGGTGGAATGGCTCGACGCACGGAAATGCATGTAATTTCAGGCGGAGATGGGAATTACGGCGCTTGGGGAATTTTGGATTGGCTCGGTGGTTCTACTGCTGATGAGAATGATACCATTGAAGAAGATGTGCGAGCAGAGCTGGCGGACTTGGATATTGATGCAAAAATTCGAAAGGCTGTTCAGGAAGCGAAGAATCATATGGGAGATTCTGTTGAGAAGGAAAGAGTCAAGACAAGACGAAGGGTTAACGGCAATTCTTGATAGTGTATAACAGTATACCGCAGATGATCTATGCGTGTAATATAAGTTGTAAAATGCTTAGTATCTAATGCCATTATTAAACTTATAAGACAGAAGGAACAAGAAAAGTTGGGTTGGATTTTCGTTGTGCGGTATCTGGATCGTAGAGCAGCTCACACAACAAAGAAAAAAATCTAACGCAGTATTGGAAGCTGCTGACTTCCAGAAATCGAGTTTACATGTGTCTCATGATAGCCCATGTGAAAGAACTCTTTTTCTTTTTAACAAAAAAAAAAAGATATAGCAGATGCAAATGATGAATTTTTTTGAAATATCCCCCGCTCGTTTCAAGCCCATATCCACAACACGGTATGGAGAGAAACAAAAAAAGACATTTGCAAACGCCGAATCCTCCTTTCTCATGTGTTGATAATAGAAAGTTTTTTGTTTTGCACATCAATCGAAAAAAAGAACATAACCCCTTATGCAAATTGTCATAACTTTACCACTTCATCTCGTGAGGCTTGTCGCCTTTCCGGAGGCTGAAGCTGGTGGCAAGGTAGCTGGCGAGGAGATGCTCCTTCTTGATGTTGGCCAAAAGGGACTGGTCGATGGCCTTTTGGTCGGCGGCGCGAGCACTGGTAATCTTCTTCTTCTATAATGACAGATGTATTAGTATCCCTGCTCAAGCTTGTTTTCTCCATCGGTTTTGTGTAAAGCAAACGCACCTCTGGCTTCTCTCCCTGCTTAAAGAAAGCCTCCTCAGTCTTCTTCTGCTGAGCCTTCTCCTTGGTGAAGTAGTCAGCAGCAGAGACCTTCTCAAGGGTAGCAGAGTCGATGCCGCTGAGGTCGACCTTGCCGCTGGTAGCGATCACATAGCGAGCGTTCACCCGTCGGAGAGGGACACCGTTGATCTTAAAGGGGCCGGTAACGAGGAGGACACCCTGGGGGAGGTGCTTGAGGAGAACAACCCGCTTACCGCGGAAACGACCAGCGAGGAGGATCAGGATAGTACCAGGCTGGAGGCTCTCACGAGGCTTGGCGGGGCGGGCGGTCTTGCGGACCTGTGCAGATAACAAATGTTAGCTTTCGAGCTCGAATTGAATGGTTCCTATCGGACTGGAGATGCAGTGTCTTATTGGATTGAAAATTGGCCAAAGAACAGGTCTCTCCAGCTCTCGATATGCTTGGTGTGATTGCATGGATGTTGTCGTCGAAGTGTTGGCTTTGGTGAAGCAATTATAAGCTGCTGTTGTCCTTTTCCACAAGTCACATCTCGAGAGCATCAAGAGTTTGTTCCTTGGTCGATCCAATTCCATATCGCAAGACACTGCACTCTCGACCGGCTGCCTCTTTTTGTATAACTGACTTTCTTGGGTTGCGACTCATCGTCCACGGGATACCACTTCTGAGCCTTCTGGCTGTGGTGAGGGATCGTCCGCTCGCCCTTTCCAAACTTCTTCGTCTGAGCGTCCGACATATTTGCCCGTTATGTGACGAAGAACGTGTCCGGAAAGAAAATGGGTGTGTTGTCGACGATGGTAGTTGTTGAGTCGGAGGAGTTGACTTGGTGTGGCCCAGAGCGGGAAATCGTGAGGGTTTGTGGGCACCGAAAGCCCTATCCTTTAACCGAAATGCGCTAGTGCTGATTCGGCCGTGCTGTTGCGGGCTGCTGATTGGCTGTGGGACTACGGTACTCCGAATGTTCCAGCAATGCAGGATTTCCAGTCTACGGCTGTTTGGGAGAGCATGATGTGCAAGAGCCTGAGAGAGCTTCTGACGTACCGTTGCAAAGCTTACCTTAGCCACTCTCTTCCAGCTCCAACAACCCTCATCCTCGATTTCTTCTTTTTGTCTCTTATCATTCTTTTCGTCTCAAGTAAAATCACAATGTCTATAGCAGCGCCAATAATCACGTTCAAGGCGGGTATCTGTGATCTCGATGTACGTCTAGATAAAGTCTCCCGCATATGAAGCTTGCCAAAACAAACACTGACTTACTGTTGCTTACTAGACTTCTGCCAACCCACCCCAAGTTAAACCAAAGCCAACTCCAGGTTATATTTATCTCTATTCAGAAGATGATCTCATTCATTTCTGCTGGCGGCCTCGATCTGCTCCAATCACCGAGCCTGAGTTGGACTTAGTAATGGTGCCATCCGACGGCACTTTCACCCCGTATCGCTCTACTCAAGCCAATACTCACGCTCCCACAAATGGGCGTATCTACGTTTTGAAATTCTCTTCCAGCTCACAACGATATCTTTTCTGGCTACAGTCCAAGAGCCAACATGAGCGCGGCGACCTTTCATACTTCAGTCCGCGAGACTTGAAATTAGGAGAGATTGTCAATACACTGCTACAAGGAGAGGAGGTCGATGTACAGCAGGAGATTGCGAATTTACCTTCGAACAACCGCGGTGGGGATGATGGCGATGATGACGCTACTATGGAAGACGTAGAAGGGACACATCATACCAGCGAACACCATGGGGGTCACGGCAGCGGCGGCGCTGGTTTTGACGCAACTGGTGGTGATATTCGTGAGGAAGGAGAAGAATCCCGTGAAGGCGGTGCAGATGGTGGTCGAGCGTAGGTACATCTCTCTGAGACTCAATTTCGGTCAGCATCATGTCCTATATCTCGTTGCAAGGCGTTTTGTGGAATGCATACTTTTGTTTACAAGACTGCAACCTAAAGGGCACGAACAGATAGCATATGTTTCCTGCATTGAAAACAAAGCTATATATCTAGACTGTTCTTTTATCGTAAATTTTCAGACTTGCTGATGATGGATATGTGTAATAGGGCTTCTGCTGCTCAACCCGATGCATCTTCGGTGATACAAGGCCTTCTGAACTCTCTTCAAGGAGAGATTCAACCGGCTCAGTCTCGAAGTGATGAATACCTCTATACTACTCTCGCCGACTTGTTATCACCTTCATCGACTATTCCCATGATTGAATCCGCCGATGATGAGAAAGTGGACCACTTGTTGAGCTTTCTCCCACCGTCCCTTCTTCTCTTAGCACAGAACATCGACGACATACCTGTATCCGACATGAACGCGGAGACAGCACAAGCAGTCCTTCTATCCCTTGATCTCGAGCAAAAGAGGGATATTCTCCGGCGTGTGTTGCGGTCCCCACAGTTCACCCAGAGTCTGGGAAGTCTTACCGTTGCTATCAGAGACGGCGGCTTGCCTAGTATTAGCGAGGCACTCAAGATTCCGGTTGAAAATGGAGGGTTTGTCCGCAGGGGCGGCGTTCCTCTAGGCAGCGGAGTTGCAGTTGAAGCTTTTGTGGAAGGAATTCACAAGCAGGTCACGGAAAAGGCTCATGGCAGCCGAGGAGACACAATGGAGACTGACTAACGAACTTTTTTGAATGTTCCATAATCAGAGGCTTATTTTCGGGCCTCAATGATATGCTTCAAGGTTAAAGCTTTAATGCTCCATACGACATATTGACCTGGATATACACATATGCAGTCTATGCAGCTTCTGCATAAAAGTAGACAGACTTTAGTCTAACTAATAGAAGAGTTACCTTGATGTGAGACGTCATCCAAAATCGTGGCGTGTAAGATACGTTTCGGATGGTCCTAAGGGGTTCACTGAGACTGTTATGTGTGTGGCTGAAGTTACTAGGAGGTTGAGGCCTCCTGCTTACCTGGGCAAGAGAGCATTCCACTTGTACTCAGTAAGATACAAGTTTAGCACGTCGCTAGTACGGAGCAATGCTGCAGAGCTGCGCCACACCAAATAGCGACAATAATCGATTAGGGCGTGGTCACTGCGCAATCTGATACGTGTATACGTCAATGAATATTGAGGACACAACAGTGTAATATTTCGGTAAAAGAACAAGGAAGCTCACTTATTACTCATTATTCACATGAATGAAGTAAAAATATAGAGTGTAAGATATCGAATCTAGGCCCGAAGACTAACATCTAGGTGAAAATTACCATAGATTTAAGCGCTGCCTTAGAGACACTCAGCCATCCTGCCTTTGGTGTTGTCTCCTGTCACAGTAGCCTGTGGCTAGCGCTACTAGACATCTCTCCATCATAGTAAATTATTTAGATATAACCTTGGAAAGATTGGACGAACACAGTCTAGAAGCAATGCTCCTCTTCAAGAAAATGTAGAAATACTCCGAGACGCGTAGCATCGATGGTTCGTGGCTGGTCCCCGCTAAGAATGGAGCCGGCGGGTAAAATTGATGTCTCACTTAGCCTTGAGACTGCATACAACGATTTGTATTCTGTATTTTTAGACTGAACTACGTACTATCCCTTTCGGCTGCGCACGGAGGTCTTTCCCAGACACTACGCATTACAATTACCTTTTTACAGAGTCGATTCTTATTGTCGCGTTACAGAGAAGACTGGGTCTGCATACTCTCTTGCTGTCGAGGTAGTACCCTTTCCGATCATCCTTCGTGAAACCTACCCCTTTGCATCCGTCAACTACCCCGGAAGTCTAAACTTGACAAGTCTAACTCTTTGCAACTCTTTCAGTCTCCGACATTGATCAAATCAAGATCGATTCACGACAAGACACGACACTTTCCGCGTTTATAATCTTCATGCGCCAATATCGGTGATCTAGATACGTTATTGGCGATGCGTGCGGGTGACTAGAGCAGTTGCCAGCAATCATGGCATCTAACAACAATCAGGGCCATGTACCTGGTCAAGATCCGTCCATACAACGACCAATCCCTCTACAAAATCTATCTAGAGATGAAACCGACGATTTTGAAAACATCGATGAGCGCCGAGGGAGAAGGAGAAGCAGTGGCGCAAGGAGTGGACATGGACCGAGACGATCATTACTCACAGGCGGAGGCTTCAAAACCTACGAGCGCGTCGCGGAAGATTCACCAAGTCCCAAAGATAGAGTTGGGTTACGGATTACGCAGCCGTCGACAGCAAGATTCAAAGAGAACAATCCGTATGCGCCTGACGATCATGACTTTGTCGAAGACCCAGGTGGTTTCGCCGAGGCCATGGGTTCGATAGGTTTTGGCTTTCGTTCGTCGTCACCGCGGCGTCCGGATAGCGAAGAATTTATGATGAGTTCGTTTTCAGGGCCGTCTGGACACGGTGGAAGGGTCAATCCCGATGATTACTTTTCTTCTCCGACAGTACCGATCGATGACACGGCTCCGTTGACGGATAAGAAATATCTGCAACCCATCAGCGGTGCAACTGCCGAAGAGCCCGAGGGCCGCGCGAGTATGCAAAGTATCAGACTCGGAAATAGTTACAGTAGCTCCCGCTTGGGTGATGATCTGGAAACGGGAGCCGGGGGGAAGAGACGGGGCAGTAGCAGTCCAGGTGGCAGCCCGTCACGTTCGCGCTCTCTATCACCATCTGTTTCCGGCTCCGCTTTGCACAGGGCCGGTACCGTGATGCAGATGATGTCACAGCGTGTGGTCAATCTAAGTAATGAGCCTGTTGAGCAGGCGATTTTACGCAGAGAATCCATGAAGAAACCGAGACAGGATGAACCCAGCTCACCCGGACAACAAGACTCTACCGGCATTCCTCACCGAACAGAGAGTATGTCCGAGAAAGGGAGCACTCAAACGACCTGGAGAACACATGTCAATCCATTCAAAGGAAAATCTCTCGGTATATTCAGCCCAGACAATCCATTGAGAACATGGCTATGCGATATCTTAGTATATCCAGCTACGGAACCCTTTATACTGCTGGTCATTGTGGTTCATGCTGTACTGCTTACTGTCCAATCCGCTCATTCAGTGTGGACTCACCCAAGGTCTGAACGATGGGGTTCGCAGCCGATAGATTATGCATTGTTTGTCATCTTTGTCATATACACGATCGAGTTGTCCGTGAGAATTATAGTCTCCGGTTTTATCTGGAACGCGGCGGAGTACAGTACTCTGGACAGGTCCCTCGGTATCAAAAAAGCAATTTCCGAACGAGGAAAAAGCCTATTATCTCTCCAACGGGGACCTTCAACGAAGAAAAAGTCTGTCACTTTCGAGGACAGCCAGCCCTCTTATTTACGCAAAACTTTCACTGGGCTACAGCCATTTACCGATACCTCAGATGATCCTCGCCATGGATCACGTAAACGACTTGCCTACAGAGCGTTTCTCAGGCACTCTTTCAACCGATTAGATTTTCTAGCCGTTATTTCATATTGGATCTCGTTTGGCCTACAGATCACGGGCTACTCTAGCAAACATGATATTTATATTTTTCAGATGCTCAGCTGTCTACGTTTACTTCGACTACTTGGCATCACTGATGGAACTTCGGTAAGTCGATTGCATCGATCCAATAATTTCTTAATCTAATCATGGCTTAGGTCATTCTGCGGAGTTTGAAGAAAGCGGCGCCATTGCTTGTACATGTCGCTTTCCTCATTGGTTTCTTCTGGTTGCTCTTCGCCATTGTGGGCATTCAAAGCTTCAAGTCCAGCTTCCGCAGATCATGCGTTTGGATCGATCCTGCGGGTCAGAATAACTTTACCATGAATGACCCTTATAATGTCATACAGTTATGCGGAGGGTATCTTGATAGCGTTACAGGTGAGGCGAAACCTTGGGTTTACGCAAACAACGAGCCTTCGCTGTTCAGTCCAAAAGGTTATCTTTGCCCTCAGGGATCTATGTGTATTGAAGGAAGCAACCCATACAACGGAACAATGAGTTTCGACAATATTTTCAACTCTCTTGAACTCGTCTTCGTGATTATGAGCTCCAATACGTTCACCGATCTTCTTTATTATACCACAGACTCAGATTATCTTGCTTCGGCCTTATTCTTTGCTATTGGGTTTGTACTCTTGAGTTTGTGGATGGTCAACTTGCTGGTCGCAGTTATTACATCCTCATTTCAAGTCATTCGAGAAGAGAGCAAGCAAAGCGCTTTCGCCATGGAGAAACTAGAGGAACCTGAGATTGATGAGTTGGGACATTACAAGGTCAATCACCTAAAAGTCCTTTATGAAAAGACCAGGTGGTTGTGGATAGTCTTAATTGCATACGATTTGATTGTTCAGTGTCTGCGAAGTGCGTCCATGAGTCACAGGACCGAAAGATTTATCAGCGTTACCGAAACAGCTGTTACCTTCGCCCTCTTGTTGGAGATCATTTTACGATTTGCGTCTGACTGGAGACACTTTCATCATAGCAAGCGCAACATTATGGACCTTGCTCTAGCCGTGATCACATGTATCATACAGATTCCACCCATTCATTCCTCAGGTCGGGCATATTCAGCCCTTACGCTCTTCCAGATCTTACGTGTGTACCGCATCGTTCTTGCTTTTTCAGTAACGAGAGACCTCATCATGGTGGTGTTCCGCAACGTTGTGGGTTTGCTTAATCTGATCCTCTTCGTGTTCTTGATGACATATCTTGCAGCCATATTTGCAGTGCAATTATTTCGCGGTGTTTTCCCTGCCGTCAACGACAGCGGGAATACGATTGATATGTCATTTTTCACTATCTACAATTCATTTCTCGCCATGTACCAGATCCTGTCCAGCGAGAATTGGACTACAATTCTGTACGGCTCAACTACATACACCAAGGCTTATGGCACCTCCTGGATCTCGGCATCATTTATCGTCATGTGGTTCATTCTGTCGTGTTTCATTATCTTGAACATGTTTATTGCTGTCATTCAAGAGAGCTTTGACGTCTCCGAAGACCAGAAACGCCTGCATCAAGTGAAGGCTTTCTTGCAACAAAAGGAGCTCGGATCCTCCTCAGCCAGTAATCTTGCTCTTACATCCATATTCAAATTTGGCCGCAATAACGCTAGGTACCGTGAGCCCTTGGATTATGGTCCAGCTACTATGGAGATGCTTCTTAAAGATGCTGTGGTTCAGGAATTCCTTGACGAGCACTTTGATACATATGACGCTCAGACGCCACATCAGTCATCCGTGGACAAAGATTCCGTTCAGCCAGGCTTGCTTTCTATAATCTGGACTAAGATTTCTAAGGTATTCCTGAACAAGGAGCCTAATCCCTTCTACTCCAAGTTGAAGTTCTCAAAAGCGTACGATGAACTTGATCCTCGAACTCTTGCGAAAGAGGTTGTGATGGCGTCCGAGCAACGCAAGGTCGCACAGAGGGAATACCTCCAACGTTATCCCTTATACAACAAGTCTCTCTATCTTTTTGGGCCTCATAATCCTATTCGAAGAGCATGTCAGCGCATCGTTGGTCCAGGACGTGGCAATCATCGCTTCGAAGGCGTTGAACCTTATAAGCCGCTATGGTACACTTTCTCCGCATTTATTTATGCTTGTATCGTTGCAATGGTGTTGCTGGCCTGTATCACCACTCCGCTGTACCAGAGGGATTACTTCTTGAGCCGACAGTATACCCCTGACAATTGGTTTGTGTGGACTGATGCCGGGTTCGCAGCAGTCTTCACGGTGGAAGCTATGATCAAAGTCATTGCTGATGGGTTTTTCTGGACTCCGAATGCCTACTTCCGAAGTTCCTGGGGTTTCCTCGACGGTATTGTGCTGATAACTCTCTGGATCAACGTTTTTACTTCCTTGTTTACCACTGGAAGTGTGTCCAGAATTGTTGGGGCTTTCAAAGCCTTAAGGGCGTTGAGACTTCTCAATGTCAGCGATAGTGCTAGGGATACGTTCCACTCTGTTATTATTGTTGGTGGCTGGAAAGTTATTTCTGTAAGTTTCTTCAAGTACGTGGGCTAGTTTTCACACATCTAACCATATTTCCAGGCCGCTTTCGTTTCGTTGAGTTTCTTAATTCCCTTTGCCATCTATGGCTTGAATCTGTTCAATGGCCAAATGATATCATGCAACGATAATAATCTTTCTGGCAGTCTCGATGGTTGTATTGGGGAGTACCAAAGCTCACCGTTCAATTGGAATGTCTTGGCACCTAGGGTAGCCGACAATTCGTACTACAGTTTCGACAATTTTGGAGAATCTCTATTTATTCTCTTCCAGATCGTCTCACAGGAAGGATGGATCGATGTGCAATCGAGGGCCATGAGTATCACCGGAGTGGGCCAACAGCTTCAGAATTTTGCCTCGCAAGCTAACGGTCTCTTTTTCGTCATCTTCAACTTGCTCGGTGCAGTTTTCGTGTTGACATTGTTTGTCACTGTCTTCATGCGAAATTACACAGAACAGACTGGAGTTGCCTTTTTGACAGCCGAGCAACGTTCGTGGCTTGAATTGAGGAAGCTTCTAAGACAGATATCACCCTCAAAGAGGTCGAATAATGCTTTTGCTGAGAACTGGCGTAAGACATGCTATCGACTCGCATCAAGGAAGAATGGTAAATGGGCGCACTTCATCACGACTCTGCTTGTATTCCATCTATTGCTTCTCACATTGGAATGGTATCCGTATCCTGCTATGTGGGATCTGATCAGAGGTATGTCGACACTCGATGATTCCTTTATTCGGGCGCTAAGGTTTGACAGATGTACTCTTCTTCATCCTGACCCTCTTTTATATTGCGGATATTACCATACGTATCATCGGACTCGGTTGGCCGCGCTTTAGGCGAAGCTCGTGGGATCTTTACTCCCTTCTGTCCGTACCAGGAACCTTCCTAACCGTTATTTTGGCGTTCATATTTCGCGACACCAGAGGCATGAACGCTATCCCGCAGCTCAACAAGTTGTTTATTGTCTCTGTCACTCTCCTAATCATTCCTCGCAACAATCAACTCGATCAACTGTTCAAGACAGCTGCTGCTAGTTTGACGTCTATCGTCAATCTATTAGCGACATGGTTTGTCCTATTTCTCGTATTCGCCATTGCTATGACGCAGACCTTCGGACTTACAAAATTCGGAGACAACGAAACGAACAATCTCAATTTCCGGGACGTTCCCAACGCACTCATCTTCCTCTTCCGTACCAGTGCTGGCGAGGGCTGGAATGAACTCATGGAAGACTTTGCAAGCATGAAGCCGCCATACTGTACTTTAACAGATGAGTTTCTTGACTCTGACTGTGGAAGCGAAGGATGGGCCCGCGGTCTTTTCATTGCATGGAACGTTATCAGCATGTATCTCTTCGTGTCTCTTTTTGTTTCTCTCATTTTCGAGAGTTTCTCCTATGTGTATCAGCGAAGCAGTGGCCTTGGTCTCTATACTATTGACCGAGATGAAATTCGGCGTTTCAAGGAAGCTTGGGCTAATTTTGACCCGGATGGTACTGGGTTCATCACCAAGGAGCATTTCCCGAGGCTTCTAGGAGTAAGTTTGATCAATCGTGCTGCCCACTTGATAATACTAATGTATCAACTTAGGAACTTTCCGGTGTGTTTGAGATGCGCATCTACGATGGTGATTTCACTGTTGGCCGGATACTCGAAAAGTGCCGAACTGGTCCTAATCCCCGAGATTCGCTGGTTTCATTCAACCCTGGAGAAAGACCAGGCAGCAATGAAGTCGATATTGCGAAGCTAGCTCGTATAATTAATCGGATCCCGGTCGAGGAAATTCGTGCTCGCCGAAAACGACTAAATATTTTCTATGAAGAAGTTTTGGTATCGGCTGACCCGGAGCGTGGAGTCTCGTTTTCCGCGTGCCTAATGATTCTTGCTCACTATAAGATCATTGTTGACAGTAAGAGTTTACGGCTTGAGGAGTTCCTTCGTCGTCGCACCAGGCTTCGACGGGTTGAAGAAGCTGTTCGACGAAACACTGTAATGGGCTTCTTTGACACCCTGCACTGGGCTCGTCAATTTCGCAAGCATATTGAGAGTCGCAAGTCTGCTCGACTTACAGCTGTGCCGCAGTTCTCGATACCTGAAATCTTTGTTGACGATCAAGAACATCAGGGAACCGAGGATGATCCTTTTAGTGACGAGCCGAGTCCCCAAAAGGATTCAAGGATGACGTTATCGTCACCAACTTCTCTACCAAAATCATTGTCGCCCACCAGTTCTACTCGACCATCTCTACAGATCGATACCAATATTACGGCAGAGGGATCATCCAGCGAATGGTCGAGAATTGGTGCCGCGCTATCACCACGTCAAAATGCACCAGACCTAAATCTGGACTTCCCGGACGGTTCCCGCTCCTTGGGTGGGCAATCATCGGAAGGCGGTCATTCGCGAGATAACAGTGTCATTGTACAGGATATGATGCAAACTTTGGGTGATTCGGCTTGGGGTGAAAGTATTCGCAGAAGCTTTACACAGAGACGTTCGGGTTCTCACCAGTAAGGTCTGGTACGATATGGAGGCTATATCGTCTGTCATAACATACATCGGAGTTGTTGTTGTCCATGTGCTTTCTTTTCCCTTTTTTCATTCTTATTTCATCCATTCTACACAATCTGTTTCTATCTACACCTTGTTTCTTTTCTACTTTGATCTCTTCTGCTCTATGCATACATAGATTGCGGCATTGGCACGATTCGCACGACAGGGCATAGGCGATGGCGTTTTGGAATCTTCACCATCATTTTCTTTTTCTTGCTCCATATACCACGTTGTCCAGACTTGTCTTTCTTTCTTTCCTTTTCTCTGGTTTCATGGCTTTTCATACGAGACCATGGAGCTATCGTTGAAAGATGCATGTATGATTCGAAGAGTGTGACGGCGTTTAGATTATAGTCGTATAGGAGGTTTATATCACTTCAAGAGTATTATAGCTTGGCTTGTGTCTATCTAGGTATCTATATACGCAGTGCAGCCACTGGCTCCTGTATCGTGCCGGAATAAACCTTGGGACATGGTCAGAATCAACACACTCCCAAATCATAAACAGAATCCAAATTCTTCGGAATAACACCGGCAGCCACAGCATCCTTATACGACCAACGATAATCACCCAACTCAGACTTCCAAGACCAAAACAACCAACCACCCTGCTTCTCATAGGCAATAACCTGAGCCGCAAACCATCTGGCATAAAAGTCCTGGTTAGTGCTCGGGTCCCAGTCCGGCGTATACTGTACATTATCGGGGACACTCAGACTCCATTCCGTGACGACGGTAGGTGTGTTACCGCCACGGTCATCGTTGCATGAGCTGCGGATGTAGTCATCCTTGCTGACGGCGACGCTCGAGTCCCATTTTACATACCGGTGATCATCGTAGGCGGCGAAGTAGTTGTCGGTTAGGTATTGGGTTGGATCTCCAGAGCCCCATTTGGCGTTCATCATTTGGATGTGTAGTTCGTTGTTAGCGGCGATGCCGAGGGATTTTTCGGCAGCGCGGATTCTCTGGAAACCCCGAATCAGGAAGGAGATGAAAAGGCAAGGGGAAAAAAAAGGATGAAACTACTTACACTGAACGCGTTCGGGTAGTAAGATGACAATAAATTTCCGACCTGGTTGGAGTCTTGTACGGGCTCGTTGACAATTTGAAGCATGCCAACATTGCGGAAGCTGTTGCTAGAATGGATCTGAGTAGTTATCCATTCCAGGAACTTGAGACCTCGCTCGAATTGATAGTCGACATAGAATCCCGGGCTTGGAGCGAACTATCCCGAACCGACTCTATTAGCTGGGGACACGTGGATATGATGGTGGTTTAATTTACCTGTCCAGTATCTGAATTCTGTGCAACCTGCGCGCCAGGGGCACCATGCAAGTCAATAATGATATAGAAACCATAATCACTAGCCCAACCACATATTTTCTTAAGATATGGCAATGCTCCTTGAGGGAAATGCTCGCTATCGCTATAGACAATATCCTCTCTTATCCAGTAGCCGACAGGAATACGAATGGCATTCAATCCATAACTCGCCATAGTAGCAATATCATCTTCAACAATCCACGAGTCCCAGTGGTCTTGAAAGTGGCTATTCGCAGTATCTTGGCCCACGGCACTAACGCAGTCAAACTCTGAGTTTTGGTTTGAACATCCCATGTCACTCCATATGTTTTCGGCAATCCAGGGCTCAAAGACGAACATGGATCCGAGGTTGACACCTCGAATCTTACCGGATGCAGGCAGCCAGCGTTTAGTAATGGGGTCTGTTTTGTTGAAGAGGTTCTCGCCCTTGATTGAGACAATGTCTTTGTGAATGCCGGGCATCCATGCTGAGGCAACCCCGGAAAGGGCTGCAACGGTTGTCAATGTCGTCCTCATCTCGGACCGTCTAACCCCCTAAGTGATATGATATTCTTTTTCAATTGTCAAGGACATATTCGCCATCTTATATACTCGGTGTGGACATTTGTATTTTCCTCGTAAAGGAAATACATGCTGGAACCTTTTGACCACCGACGTCCGACCTGATTTGTGGCCAGGTGGATAATGAGATGAGGTCGCTTTCTTGCAACCCCTCAGCGCCCTTTCGGAGATACTCGAACGAATAGCATTCCGTTACTGAAAACAGACCATGCCTATAGCACGAGATCATAAGATTGTTAATATCTTCGAGTAACTTTTCAATTGTGCTGACATGCTTGGCGGGTCGGTATATGTAACCCTTACTTGAGCTATGGGACCTAGCCTGACAATTTTACAGTGCCGGCCGGCCGAGACATGTTTAGCGAATGGTCAAGGTGATTAGGTGGGAAGATAGTATTGCTACGATGGTCGACCCTCGAGGACTCGCAAATAACAGGTACACATCGTGCGCCACTCAGCACGTTGATTCAGGGTCAGATGAATAGTTACACCCGTGGACAGCAAACTGAAACTTGAACCACACACGTTTCTTTGTTGAGTTTTCCATGGTGTACTCGTCTAAATACGTTGTGAGATTAATGAACAAGTAAAACCGTTAAGATCGACTACAGAGGGCCAGACGGTGGGAAATTAAGCTTCTCTCGGGGATGAAGTGGCTCTCTTGAGCCGGATAGGGGAACTGGGGTATCAGACGGCTTACAGAGGCCTTAATTAGAGTGGCATTTCATACATCAGCCAAGTGAGCTAAGAGGTAATCATAAATTAATGGATTTGATTGATCCTTTGTATCGTGGGCTTTCTGACTGCTTTGCAGTTGAAACTTGGATGTGAATAGTATCGTATGTCTTGAAAATCCAAGGGCATCTCTGCAATATTGCGGTATTATCTCGTATCTGATAGCAATCGAGCTTTGATAAGTCAACATGTAGATATTTAATTGAAACGAGTCTGTCCCGCGTGAAACATCATCTTGGACCAATCAAAAACATGGCCGGCCATGTAACCCTAATTTCACACGCCTTCCTGATTAGGAAATCCGATTCGATATTCATTTTGATCTTAGAGTGGAAGAGAATCACATCGTTAAGTACATACTAGTATTGCTTCTTGCTATGGTTAAGACTATGAGGTGGATCAATTCGTGATTATTCTATCAGGGTATATTTATTAATCGATCAGCAAGATTCTCGATTGAAATCCACACGGATGAATCAACTACCTAGATATCTGGGTTTCAAATAAATTTCACAGGGCAATTGATATTGATAAGTTCAGCAATCTACAATATGCTTCATCCAGTCTGGACCTCACGACGAGCGCGTGGCTGCTGTCGTATCTGGATATATCAAGCTTGCCGAGGTGGCCACATAGCTAAATGGAAGGAATATATAATGACCTTTGGAGGACTACAGTCTTTGATCATGCTAAGATTGAAGTTTCTCCCCACGATTTCACTTACCCAGATTATTATCAATCAATCTAGGATCTGCCATACAGTACGCTTATCACCGACCATGACCCCAGTGTTCAAAGGCACCAAAGTCCACACAAGAAGAGAATATGTTACTATCCAGGAGATATGCTCGCATGAGCATGGATCGACGGAAACGGGTAAGTGAGTAGCATTCTGTAAGCCACCGGAATGTGGAATGCAATATTAGTTAGGGGGAGGTCGTATGTTGCAGATGTGTCGCATATATAGTTATACATGAAAACGTGTGAACTGAATAAGCATGCAGCAAAAGTGATCTATTGCTTGGAATTAAGCGTAGTACGTATCTTCGCTATGACCTTAATGTGGGAAATATTTTCTCCGATTAGATAAGTTCCTAGTATCGATAACGTAGTTCACTAGTGAGTTGGCCACACTAGTGAGTTGGCCACACTAGTGAGTTGGCCACTTTTACCCGAAAATAACTCTATATTGATTTCAAATCCCAATTTTCAAAGCCACATACAAAAATATATACAAAAATCTAACTACTAGTACGATTAGGACATCGATTAATTTTATGTCCTTCAACACCACAACCACTGCAGCGAAATTGGCGGCGTACGACTGCTTGAGAAGCTGGGAGCTCCGGCTCACCCGGAGCAGTAGTAACAGCTTGAGATGCCTCAACCTGATCTTGTACGAGCGCTTGAGCTTCTTCGCCAGTAATCCCATGCTCAATAGATATCTGTTTCTTAGATTTTTGGCGTTTTTGTTTCTCTTTGCCATGCGCAGCTCGTAAATCACGGTTTTCTTTCTGTACGAGTACAAGATCATTCATAGTCGTTTCATAGGCCTTTGACATCCGCATAATTGCTTGATCAATCACTTGATTTGGGCTTCCTGTACGCTCATTTATACGTTTCGTAATTGTAGTTGACTGGCGTACAAATTGGCGTATATTTTGAGGGGTTTGTAAGCAAGATGATTGTGTATTGCTTGATCGACTCGGAGGGGGTGTTGGTGTTTTTAATTGAATATTAAGTTGTTGAATAACTCGATCCGGATTAAAAGGCACTAATCCAGTGGCTGTGAAGCTATTCCGAATAGTTTGAGCTTTATATGCCACCGTACGAGCCTGTGGAAATGCCATTAAAAAGTCCATTTTGTCGATATGGTTGAATCCAAGCCTCATTCGTTGCTCAACAAGCTGCCCATAATGCCGTTTTAAAACAGCAAAACAGCCAACATCAAGAGGCTGTAATATATGTGAAGAATGAGGTGGCATGCAGATTGGAATAATATTATTCTCAGTGCATATACGATCAAATTCTGCAGTCAAATGGCTTCCATGGCCATCAAGAATCAACATTCGATATTTCCCATTGTACGATCATTAATATAGGGAATAAAATGGGTTGTAAGCCATTCTAATCCTATTTGATCTGTAGTCCAACCATTCTCGCTAATATTGATCCTCCAATCACTTGGAAGATCATCAAACCAGCCTAATCGTACGTTTTTCTTTGCCTTGAAAATAATGTACGAAGGAACAGCCCATCCAGTTGAATTTGTTGCCTCAATTGCAGTCACCCATTCTCGATTCCCAGGCTGTAAAAGCTTTGGCCGTGCATATCGATCGCTTCCAGTAATAACCTTTGCAGATGAGCAGAGTCCCATAGCAAAGCCAGTCTCATCAAAATTGTAAATATCTTCTGGTAAGATCCCATACTCCAATATAGCAGCTCGTACGCGATCAAAATGTTCCCGGATTATCTTCGGATCTTCGCATTTAGCGCGTTCATAGTTATATCTTCGTGAGAACTTCGAATCGATCTCTGGACGGCGTTTAGTCAGCTTGGTTACCCAATTCTCACCAACTTGTTGATTGCCACGTTGTAAAAGCATATAATTAGCCATTTCTCGTACGAGAGAGTGCCGGGGAGGTAATCCACGTCGATCTAAATCAAGAACCCATTTGACAAGCGAATCCTCCTCAGATTGAGTTAATTTATGGTTATTGGCGCGTTTTTCAGCTCGATATGGCATGCCGTTGATTCTATTTTGAAGAGTTGACCGTGAGATATTATAGATCTCTGCTGCTTTCCGTACAGAGCGTATTCTGCCATTCTTTAAATCAGAAATAGCTAATAGGATTCGTCCTTCTTGCTCAGCAGAATTTTTTTGATTTTTATTGCGAATTGGTGGCATATTGACGCGTTGAGTTGTGAAGGATCAGTATAGAACGCGTATTCGGGTAAAAGTGGCCAACTCACTAGTGTGGCCAACTCACTAGTGAACTACGTTAACTAAATAACTTAGTTACTTACCATATCAGCATGTTGAACGGATACTTGCGATACAAACCGCGTCTGAGAAAGGGGCGTGTTGGAATGCATACGTACTGGCCCCTGGTTAGGGCTACGCTGTCGTAGGGCTTGGCTCTGACTCGACACGAGGTCCACGGCAAGGATTTCATTGTGCGCATTCAATATTGCCCGTGGATTAATGATTTGCTTTTTCGGTCAGAGTTCAGCACTGAGCAGTCCGCGATGACCCGGGAATTGGCCGAGATATTTTCATGCGGCATCAGCTGTCAGGCAGACGAATACAAATAATGTTGGCAGTCTGAGATCTTTTGGAGGAGAGTTTCAGAACTGTCAGTCAGATTGCAGCCTCAGGAATCGACGGATACAGCCGTTCCGCTGGATCCTGATTGGCGGAAAGACCGGACTAACCGCATGCGGATCAGCAACATGAAACCGGCGATCTGTGATGCTTCATGTGTCAATAGTCAATAGTATACTCTACGACTCGAGACTCAGGCGATGCTGTCTACTCTGAGTAGACAGCAGACTCGTAGAGTGAGACATCTTTACTAAGTGTACTACCACGGCAGCGGTACGGTGGGTCAGCTCAGCCCCTAAGATCACGAGCCTTTTTTAGTGTGCAATAGTCGCTCACTAGAAGCCTCCTTCTAGTATGTACGGAGTAGTCGACTGAGTACATAGTATTGACTGAGCAGAACGGACGGGACTCGGGAGTAGATGCATAAGCTATAACGTATTCAGACAGGCTCTTTCAGGAGGCCTGACTTGTAACGCTGGATGCGAGCAAGTTCCTGAACCGTTGCTGTTACAGCTCGAGTCCGAAACCAGACATGAATTCTTTCGAAGGCAAACTAAGGAGGATCCAGTTTAGGCCTAAAAATAATTAAACGCGCCCCCCTTTATCCCCACCGGGCATCTCCTAGAATCCATAGAAGGATTTCGTACATATACCTCAACACCACATCTGCTACAAGTTCCGGCAGCCGCTGTCTACTTTTATTTTGCTTTCTACTGTTGCTGCGACCTGTTGTATTGTTGCCACGGCGCTTATTGATTGTTTTGCTGTTGACATTATTCTTTTCCTGACAATCATTTGGGAAGACTTATTCTGATTGCCGCCACGACCCGAGGTTCTAGAAGCCCTTATTCATTGAAACGTTGACAATTGACAGCTCGATAGCTACATTGTCTCAATTGTCTCAATAGCTACTACGGCTTTTACCTTCAAAAACGCAGCAAATTTTTTCGCAGTCGGACCAACGCGGAGTGATTGGTAATTCACTGCTCGGGGCTATACTTGCCGTTTTATCCACAACGTCATCTGTTTTTCCTCCCTGGCTTTTTAATACCGGCCACTTAAACACCGCGAATTTTGTCAACATCATCAACAACAACAAAAACTTCAATTTACTCTTAAGAGTCACCATACTGAGAATCGCGTGCTGTCAGCGGTTATCCATCTCCTACATCTATCATAATGCAACCTAAACATACAGTCAGTCCATCTGCAACTCTCGAACCATCACCGATGGCAGACATTAGCCTCTCCCTCCGCACAGCGTTCATGGATAACGCTCACTATCGTCGCGAGAGCGACTCCCTATCTACCAGCGCCCTCAGTTCCGCGAGTGGAAGTCCAACTTCATCACCAACATCCGCCTGGCCCTTTCGCAAGCATCGATTCTCAGGGTCTCACACCACCGAACCAAGCAGCCGGGACCGCAGCCGAAGCCCATACGCCAGTATAATCCCCTTCTCCTTCCGTCGCTCATCGCCATTTTTCCTTCGCCGACGACCTTCTGCTGTGGATCTGGCATTGAGCGAGGAACGGTCGCGTTGTGATGAGGATGTCATTGAACGGGTTGGGTTGAGCATGATGGAACCGCGTCCCGTGGATCCGATTCCCATCGCCATGGATCTGAACAGCAATCTTCTCAGCGACATGGCTAGTCAGCGAAGCTCGTATGCTCCCTCGTCTCAGGGCTCGATCCGTGGGATATCCCAACAACCTCGATATGTGATGGGTGGCATCATTGAGGTCATGGAAGGGAATGCTTGATTCTTCTTTCCATGACCGAGCCATTCAACCTGTCCATTCCGTTCTACGCTGCCGTCTTGCATCAATTGACGGGTTTCTACCTTGGCGCTACTCTCCTCCCAGGCGGAAACATATTTATTCTCATTCACACAAGTCCATATTTGTTTTCATCATACATTTACAACCTCAACAGCATTTTTTTTTTCTTAGGGACGACAGGGGCAACCCATGATTACCATGTCTTTTTTATTGGCGTTTTATTCTATGGGAATATCTCTCGGCTGGGAAAGGAGTTTGGTTTGTTTATTCTTTCTTCGTCCCGTTCATTGGAAGTCTACTTGAATAGGGATTATTTCATGATATCACTCGGCGAAATGTTTATGGTGTTTATATGTGTTTGCCGTGCTCGGATTATGAGCTTAGGGAGGATTTATTCTTTGTCTCTTTCCCTTCTTGTCCAAGTCTTTTGACTGGGTAGATGAGAGGAGTGGAATTATTAGATTTTAATTCAGGGCATGGGTCATTGATCAAACAAAGTGTTCTTTGATAAAAAGTAGACATCAATTCAGCCGCAAAATTGAAGGGTATCATAATTCATAGACCAGGACGCTGAATATTACTAAAAGAAATAAGTTTTGTGCCAGGAACCTTTGCACCACGTATTCGCTCTTTCGACGCCTTTTATACTGGAAGAATGCATAATAAAAGCAGAACCCCTTCCCCTCAAAAAACTCAATTATATGTAATCTTGAAGATTACACATTCGCACTCTTCCTCTGATTTGGCCACAACTGTCCCCGACACTGCGCCTCACCACACAGACACTTCACCGCATTCGGATCATCGCTACTCATATCCGGACTCCAACCAGGATTATAGTCGAATGTCAACTCAGTACCAGCGGGTATATCGCGGCCCGCAAAAAAAGCAAGATCGTAGATTCGTTGGTCGCCGTGATGTGTGGAGACGGGAATCATTTTACAATTTGGGTTGCATGAGTGATTCATGAAGCGTGATGGACCGCCGAAACGTTGGCCGTCGACGACGTAGGGCTTCGCCTTTGAGCCTGTGTTGTCTTCATCTTCGTATTCATGGATTTCTTCGTCATCGTCCTCTTCAGAGAGGGTAAACCAGTCCAAGGAGAAGAGATAAGATGGACTACTGTGTGGTCCCCCTGTGGCGTCTTCGCGGAGATCAGCTTCAGCAGAGGTAATCACTTCACCCAGATAGGTATCGATAAACTGCCCTCGATGGATGAATTCTGGAGATCTCAAACCAAAGCCACGGTCACCGGTATGGAAAATCTCGAGCCTGATTTTCTTCCATATTGGACAAGCGGTTCCAACATGTTGAAAGACAAGGGCACAGAGACGAGCATTCATAGATCATAGCTTTACGGTTTATGAAGCTCTTTTTGAGCAGTAGTTTTCCATTGCGATGTTCGTAGGCGACCATAAGCTGCTCCGAGTCTTCTTCCTTCGACAAGCACGTGCATCTAGTCGGATCACATTGATAACCACAATCACACCCGTAATTAAACCCTTCAGGGGCCCGAGTGACCCCTTGCTGAAGTTTGTAGGTGTTTGTAAACTCAAAGTTTGAAGCTAAAATTCCTGTTCCATCCCAGTCTCTTGCCATTTTCACGGGAGGCCCTTGGATTGTTCGAAGCTTCTTTTCTAAGAGTTCACGCAGATAGATTTTCCGGCCGTGGGGAGCTCTCTGCCTACTCTTATGCACGGGAGAAGATCGTATAGGCAAAACCTGTAGATCACTGTTTGTAGATCTAACTTGTGGATATCGTCCTCTTTTTGCTCGAAGCTCGTACATCTCCAAAGGATAGTATTTCTGCTTGACACCCTTCGGCTCATCTGGGTCAGATTCCTCGTCACTTTCCGACGACACTGACGGGAGTCTGTTTATTTTGCGTTTGGAAAGTGATCTACCTCCAGAGCTGTCTGAGGTCGGAGGCGGTGGAACAACTACCATGACTTTTGGAGTTCGTTCAATAGCTGCGCTAACAAAAGGTGACCGCGTGTGGCGTGGAGTCGGAGTCTTCTTTGCCATAAATGCAGATTTCACGGAACTGCTTCTGGAAGAGAAATTGCATGAATCAGATGCAGGTTGAGGACGAGTTGAAGATGGTTCTGACAAGGATGTTCGGTTTGATATTGAAGGATGGACTGTAGGCGCTGGAGGTAAAGAAACAAACGGCTGGGGTGTTGGGCCCATCGATTCTCGTTTGATGGCGTGCTCGGGTGTAGTAGAATGGGAGACGGGTCTATCCCGGGCACTGCTGGTGCCAATCGAGGCATTGTCAACTGTATGATTGAAGCCATTGGTCGCGGGTTGTGGTCGGGTAAACACAGTCTCAGAATTTGAGTGACCTCTCACTTCTGGCCCATCTGTAGGTGATTTGCGTTTGAATGGCCGTGGATCACTGACTTTGGAATTGGTGAATGCATCCAGCAGCACTTTTACCTGGATGATTGTCAGTGCATATTGAAATCGAGTTATGTATGTAATGTATGTAGTTGGTTGCAGTAGTCAGTGAGCGCTCACTCACTTCTGTCTCATCTGGAGGTGACTTGCGTTTCAAGGGCCGTGTCTCATTGCTTCTGGGCCTAGTAAAGGCGTCCAGGAGAGCTTTTGCCTAGATGATTATCAGCTCAATTCAATTATATACTGTTGTGATGCAGTATCCCAGGGATTTCCCACCTTTCTCTCATGTGTAGATGAATTTTGCTTTGGTGGCCGTGGTTGACTAATTTTGGGCTTAGTAAATGCATCCAGGAGCGCCTTTGCCTAGGCGAATATATCAGCACACATCCAAGTCGACCTAAGTACGCATGAAATGTTGTGTTGCAGTAAAAACATCAGATGCTCTCAAATGGGTAACAGCTTAGCCGGCAGTGACCAATGGCAGTGGGAATAGGCTCCGACTGTGATCTCCATTGGCCCCCCAAAAACACGACTTAAAAACAAAAAATTATATTCAAAAAATCCGCAAAATTCCAAGCAACAGAGTGATATAAAAATCAACAAAATAACCACCAAAAAAGCGCGTGCCTAGAGGATGATTTCTTGCCTAGCGGCCCGACGGTTTGTTGTGTGTAGAAGCTTACCTGATCCGCATTATCCTTATCCTGCTCCTCCTCCTCGTCGTCTCGCGTCAGGTCAATGATCTCACGCGGAAAAAATTGGTGCGTCGGTGCCATCATGACGGGACGAATAAATCTATTATTCTTTATTTTTTAGAACATTTATCCATCCGTAAAGCTGTCGTCCCAACACGTCGTTGTTGGGCTAGGCCTAGGTAAGGGGAAGGGGAAGGGAAAGCAAGCCTAAGTTTCCTAACTTTGAGGGTCCAAGGAATTAAATAGGTTTTAAATACTAAGCTTAGATTGATTATTGTTAGTCACGTGAGCTTAAAGTATATTTATTTATCATTTCCTATATTTTTCTGTTTTGAATAAGAAAAAGTATTATAGGATTATAAAATCAATAAAAATACAAAAAAAAAATAATAAAAAATTAATATTATTTTATTTATTTTCTATCTTTTACCATCCTGACTTTTCAGCTCCCACCACATGGAGACCTGTTTTTGATATCAGTCTAGTAATTTATCGCCAGTTGGCGGTTTAATTGCGGTTTCAAGCTAAAAAGAAGCCCAGGCATGTGACGGCTTAGCCTTAGCTTCAGCAGGCTTGGTCCCGATTAGGTGTCAGAAGAATCAAGAAACTACAGCCAATGAAGCAACTGGACAATGTTACACTACTGCACGACGGAACAAGGGATTATCCGAATAACCCTTAGGGTTAGGGTAGTATAGTCGAGCATAGAGAGACTATGTTTGATACGACTTAGTTAACATAGCCAAGATCGAACGACTATGTTGTGGATTAGGTATTTAAGGATGATCATTCACCATGTAATTAGTTTCATTTTATGTCTTGAATTAACTGTGATAACTTGAGTATACGTTCTTCTATCGAACCGGATATTCAACCCTTTTAGGACCTTGCTTTCAAGAAGCCTTTCGTACTTAGAAGCCTATTAACTTCGACGTGTTAATAGCTATCCGAGATATACTCGACGGTAGTTTAACCGAAGTTTCCGACACCTGGGTACAACGTGCCTTGTCCAATAACCCTAATGTCCTACTCCCTTATCCGGATAATCTATTGTTCCATCGTGGGGTTGTAATCATTCCGAGACGGATATCAAACCAACACAGCTGCTAGCAGTTTGGATTTCAACCACAGAACGTAGGCCAAAAATATACACTAAGTGATTGTCGGAAACTTCGGTCAAACTACCGTCGAGTATATCTCGGATAGCTTATAACGAACTGAAGTTATAAGGCTTCTAAGTACGAAAGGCTTCTTGAAAGCAAAGTCTTAATAAAGAGATGAATATCCGGTTCGATAGAAGAACGTATACTCAAGTTATCACAGTTAATTCAAGACGATAGGATAAAACTAAGTATAGGGTTGTAATAGGAGGTTAATCCGATGGTTAGGCAGGAGGAATCATCAATATGGCAGAAGGTTATTCGTGTGTTCAATCTTCATTGAAAAGGTACTGTTGCTAACATACAGAGACTGAAGATTGAACGAGGAAAACTACTCTCATTCCAGCAAACCTCCTTCTTATGCATACAGGAGTCGTTGGCAGGAGATCTCATGTTGTATCCCTACTTGGGGGTGGCTTGTCACAGATGTCATGTTGTACTGTTTCAGTACTGTTACAAGGGTAAATGAGTGTCCTTTTATCCATCCTCAATTGTATTCCCTGATACAACAGAATGTGTCGCTTGATTATACATATTGTATTTCTTGATACAATATGTCTAATCGCCTGATTAGTTCCTAGCCCTAACTTGTCTTAGTCCGGCTCTTGGCTTTGTACTATCCCGTGATAGGTAAAGCCCTAGGCTAACTTCTTTGGGTAAGTGTGACAGTTTATCCATTGGCTGTGACGTTCTGATTCTGACAGTGATGCGTCCCGCGATGAATTCAATTATGACGAATAATTCTAATTAGAAAAGGGGCTAAAAAAAAAAGCCAACTGGCGGCGCGGAAATGGTACAAACGACATGGGCAAAAAAGTTGAAATGTTTTGTAACGAGTGCTAAGCCCAACAAATCCTATTGAGAGGACAGCGGTGTTGGCGGAGGAAACTAAGTATGAGGATCTATCTAACCAGGGGATATGGCCTGTATTTATAGATCTTCATATCCCTACGGTGTATACACATGTCACAAGAATCAAGTCACGGCCAATAGATTATCCTGTCCTGGATAGACTACTGGACGATGGAACAATAGATCATCCGGATTAGGACATTAGGGTTATTCGACAAGGCACGTTGTACTCTGTACCCAGGATACAATACAATCCAGAGCGGATATGATATAAGGACACTCATTCATGTTTCACCATGTATTTAGTTTTCTCTACTGTCTTTTATCAACTGTACAACCTAGGGTATAAGAGTACATACTGTACATGGATCACTCTAAGCTAGTCAACACAGTTACTTCTCTCTTATTATCTTCTTGATATAACTCGATACTCGTCTTTGTGACTCTCTCGTTAGCAGAATAACCCCAAAGCTTTAGTTCAGTGAGGAGTTTACTCTGATCTGACGACAGAGGTTTACGACAAGTGCCTTCTGATTCGTCGGATACCCGCCGCGTCGGGGATATGCATCACGTGATATCAAACGCGGTGGACCGTCCTCCAAGAACACTTGCATGTTTATATTCTTATATTTGTCCTCATCGTACGGAGTGGAGAGGGTCTATTAACATAGAAACCCTATTTACACTAGAAGTGCGTCTAGGTGGTCCATTCAGCGAATATACAGCTCAGTTTCTGAAAATATTACCTAGTATAAGCTTCATCGCCATGTCTTTTCAAATCCTGTATGTAGGACACAGTACGAGTCAAAGTATTGCAATAACATATATTATTCACAACTATCTACAAAATTGACACTTACAATCGTTGAATTAAAAGAATAAGCGGCGCCATGCAAGTAATAAACTCTCTGAAACCAAACATGACTATAATGTACAGTAAGACAGAGAATAGGTAAGATGAATAAACAGGCGACGTCAATAGGTATTGTGAGGGGGAACGTGGAACCGAGAATATATTGATGAATCAGTACAGGCAGATATTTCGTCAGGGGGTACGTAAGTAAAAGGCAAGAAAACAGACAAGGAAAAAGGAAACTTAAAAAAACCAGGCCATGGAAAATTCATTAAAGTCTAAGAGCGTCCAGGATCCTCTTAGCCATCTCTCGGTACTGCCACATTCCACCAGAGACCTTCTTGAACTGAATGCCATGGAGAGAAAACAGCGGAACCTTGACAATCAGAATTTCGAACCGCAAAACGAGATTCTCACCAGTATCGCTCTGCACCCGTGTTGTGGTCTCACCAACTACCCGCTCACCCACAGCATTGGTGTTCTCTTGAGACTGCCCGTAATCATCCGACACCTCTGAGTTGGAAATGAAACTGCGGTCTGGAGGGCCTTGGTTGCGCCGACTATATCGAGACGAATGGGCTGCTTTTGTTTCTTCTCTAGCATCTTCATTCGCCCTCAACCCCCCAAAGCTGATTCTGCGTCTGTGACTGGAAACCTGACCCTGTCTTTCAGGGCTTGAAGGGCGAGCATCAACCACTCGATCGAGGTCAATGCTGGGCGCATGACGACAGCTGAATCCACCTTTGATCTCTGTATATTCCACATTCAGCTGCTTGAGAACGCGGATGATATCGGCCCGGATAAATGGCAGAGGCTTGCTACTTGTCGTGGAAACACTGAAGAGGCCTTTAAGGTACACTGGCTTAGCAAAATCTTCGCCGGTATTTGGAGTTTCCAAGGCATTGCCAGTGTTTGAGAGATCACCGTCGTCTTCATCTTCAGGAACAGTAGCCTCTCTGGCTTCTTCCCGACGAGCTCGACGGGCTTGAATACTCTCCCGTCGAGCGTGTCCAAGAGATTTGGCCCGCATAGCCGGTGCTCGAGGTGCGGTTTTGGTCTCATTTAGTGGAGCTGGTTCTCCAAGACCGGCCTTTTGCGCGCTGATCTCGTTAACACCGAGACCGTCAGACCCGCTTGTGAGAGGCGGTTCATTGAGATTTGAGCCATTGCCATCTGTACCGTACTTTCGCGCCAGCCTGCGGGACCGATAATCGCCAGAGTTGACACTTGCAGACCTCTCCAAGTATTTGCTGGATCGTGACTCCTGAAGTTGTGCCCCTGCTGAGCCGGGGGGCCGGAGGGGGTCTTGCTGTGTCTGGCTATCTGACGCATGCAATGTAGTTGGTGATGGCTCAGCACGCCTGGTTCTGCGAATACTGAAACCACGATGCGGTGGTGAGGCCAAGTCGGCAGGCGGCTGGACATTAAGGCTCGGTACATTCTGTGCAGAGTGTTTCTCTCTTTCTCCAGACTCGCGACCCCGTTCTCTAACTCTGCGAGTACTGAAACGTCTCAGAATACCGGCTGCAGTACTCTCTTTCTTGGCGGGAGAATCGGCCTGAAGTGCCGCTATATTCGGATTGGGGTTTGGACTGGCCGGCTGGTTGACATGGAGTTTCTTGATTCCATCAGCCAAGTCGTCATCGCCATGGGTCCTGGCTCGCGGGCGGCTTCTGCTGCTGGTATCCTTTACTCCGGGTACATCGTACTGATTCGTATGTGCAGTCTCTGGTGCTGCCAAGTCCGGCATTTTCAAGGCGCCGTCAGATGGGATAGACAGGGCTCCTGGGTTCTTGGACGCCCGTTCCCGCTCAAGTTTCTCCTTCACGAGAAAATAGACAGAAATGAGAGGACTGTAGGCATTAAGCGGGTCACTTCCAATCTGGACGGCCTCGACCGACGGATTTGACAAAGTCTCTCTGCTTGCGGAGTTCCGCCGTCGGTAAAAGTCAAAGACACCTCTTCTCTTGTCAGTGCTTGGGTTGGGGGTCGCTGATTCTCTAGTAAATGACCTCGCTGCGATTTGGTAGTCCTCAGATTCCAAGGTCTTCGTCAATTGAGCTGTAATGAATTCAGGTGGTCCAAAGTCGAAACCCGTCATCTTCTCCACTACCTCTGGATCCAGTGGAAGTTGAAGTGGCTCTCGCGCCGGGAGGTAGTTTTCTGGTGGTCCATTGAAGCCTTTTGTCATCCAAGGGTGATTCATGATTTCAGCCAAACTAGCTCTTTTCTTTGGATCCGTGACTAGCATTCGTGATATTATATGACGACATTCTGCGCTCAATATGTTAGGATGTGACGATTTCTAAGAGGCATGTAACGAACTTACCTGACGTCAAGCCCTGTGGGTATTCGACCTCGCCCTTTTTAATCTTAGCATGAAGATTCGGCATGCTTTGGTCGTCAAAGGGGACCTTGCCGCAGACAAGGACATAAAGGACAATGCCAAAACTCCATACATCTACTTCAGGACCGGTGTATTGACGCGCCTGCAGTAATTCGGGAGCGGCAAAGTACAAACTTCCACAAAATGTACGTAAATGGCTTCTTGGTGAAAACAGGTTGCTCAAACCAAAGTCAATAATCTTAATATCACCGGTCTTGCTGATCAAGATGTTCTCGATTTTGAGGTCGCGGTGAACAATACTGTTGCGATGACAATAATCCAGAGCACTGGCGATCTGTCGGGCGAATTTCCTTGCTTGCTTCTCTTTCAGTTTGCCGTGAGATATGATATAGTCCAGCATCTGACCACCGTTGACATACTCAAACAGCATGTACCAGTGATATGGCGTACGAACGACGTCCCGCATTCCGCATACATATGGGTGGTCAACGAGAGAAACGATGGCAGCCTCCCTCGCGGTGCGAATCTCTTTCGACCGGTCGGCGCGCTCAGCGTCTCTTCCACTTCGATGCTCGTCGGTGCTTTGCCTCGGGACGACCTTGACAGCGACCTGAACATCGATGAGTACTTAGTAACAAGGACATTCGAAGATACAAAGCAAAAGAGATTATTTACCTGCTCGCCCGTTTCTATGTTCTTTGCAATCTTTACTTTGCCCATGCTTCCAGCACCGATAGTCTTACCGAGGGCCCATTGACCTGTGGGTGTGGATATCATGGTGCGTCGTTTGGGCTGACTTGGGTTACCATGGCCGCCTGCTGATTGCGCTGCCGCAGTGGCAGCGGCAACGTTGGCCGTATTTGTATCAACAACGGTTCCTGGCATATCGACCGAGTTTCGCTTATGTCGAGATGAAGTATTGTGATGCTGAGAGGCTCGAGCTGGGTCGGGGCGGTGGGAGGTGAGCGGGCGCTCCTGAGAACGATCCCGGGAGGAGTCTCTGCGAGAAGAGAGCGGACGGGCAAGGTTAGAATTCTCGAAATCTCGACGTGCTAAATTTGCAAAGGCGGCTTGATTGGAAGGAGGTCGACGGTCATAAGACTGAGATCGTGAAGAAGAGTGTTGGTGGGAGTAAGATGATGGGGGCCTGGCGGTCGTGCTCCGAGTCCTGTGGGGAAGATCCGATGATGGGGGGCGATGATGCGCGTGAGGGCGGGAGGACGAATGGCTGCGAACAACCGTTGGACTGGCAGCAGACATACCTGTTGCTTTGATTCGAAATCGAAATATACTGGAAGAAAAAAAAAAGGAGATAATTTTTTTTTATTACAAAGTCGCACGATGCAAGTAAGACAATGCTCGCTAACCTGCCGCCGAGGAGACAACAAACAGTTCGTTTCGTTTCTCAGCGCGCTAGATAATAGCCGCGGAGATTATTAGGTTCTGTTCTTGTCCTGGGTTTTAACATGCCATGTAAGTAACATAACAGGGCCGTCGGGCAGAAATCGAGAAGAAAGATTGAAAGAGGATGATTGATGATGGCTGGCGAACGGTGGATGTAGCTAGAGCAACGGGAGGCTGGAGGAGAGAGGTGCCAAAACTCCAAGCAAGCCCTAGTCAGCGAGCTAGTGAGCGGCTAGTTGACTTGATTTGAAATGACGCATGCAGATGAGTGAACAAGACTGCCACTGTTGAAGACGAATATTGAGGCTGAGGGATTGTTAAGAGGAAGTTGAACGGATGACAGGGAAAGCGGTAAAATCATTGACGGATACGGCAACTCCCGCGCAACCTGAGATGGTCACATACAAATTTCTGCTATTACTGGTTTACACGGCTGAACTGTATCTCAGAACAAGCCTACTAAACTGACCCATATTCAGACCAAACCTTGGAAATGTGAGAGCTTAAGATTTGCGGCCCCGCCAACCACCGCAAGCCAATAGTGTGCCTTGGTGCCTGAGGCTGCTGCCCAAAGATTCACGAAGCATAGATAGACTTGTTGAACTTTGGAAAATGTCGACTCTAGACGAAGTACATGCATCTCATTCTTTCTGTGATGTCTGCTCGATAACCCCAGATGCTTTTCAGTTTCAAATTGAACTATCAAACCTGACATATGTGTATATATGCACCCTTTCGGGTATAGCCAGGCTCTACTGTACTTTGCTAAACACTATAAAGACTCCCGTCTCTTACAAGCATCTGACTATGTTGCGGTGTCCTACATGACTTTGGTCAAATGTAGTAGTATTAATACTCTCTAATTCGCTAGAGCACCCTATACCAATCTACCTAGGTATGCTTAGTCCAGCCTTTTCTGTCTTTCGAGCGCACCGAGACAGATGACGTTCAATTGATTCCGGTCAATCGCGCTTTACTGACCAAATCACTGTTCCTCCCGTGAGAGCCTCAATCTTGTCAATGATTGCATCGAAAGGAATGAAATAAGCAAGGTCCGAATTTGTGCTGACTCCAAAGAGCAGTCCAGTCACTCGATGTCTAGAATTCGGATTCTGATACACCTCAGCAAAAACGAAAGCACCCGAAACTCCTAGTTACGCAACATGTTCAGATGATAGGCCACATTCGCTAGAACGCACTATCGGGGAACGAACAATGTATGCGGCGAAAGTCTTGTGTGAATGCTCGTCTAAAATGAAATCAACATTCGCTGTTATGCAGTGTAGAGGGCCCATGGTGACTCCAGTTGTTCGCCCAAGAGTCAACTTCCCCCCAACACACACACACACACAATTCTGTAAGATAAATTGGCAGTCTCCCATGAACCAAATAAACGAGCTTTATCCCCGCCCAATGGCCAGCGCCCAAGGAATTGACAATATTCTGGCATGACATTCAGCTCAGTGATGTCAATCAATGCGATATCTATCGCGAAACTGTGCTTGAGCTGGTCATTCTCATGGACGCATTTGCCAACTGCTGCAGCCTTTACACTGCCCACGACGCGGTTTTGAATCGCCATGCTGAATCTTTCCTCGCAGGTGTCGATATTGGAATCTGAGACGTCTCTGAGTCTGCACAGCCTTTCAACGGCTTCAATATTGGTCCTGTCACGTTGTTGATTCAGATTGATTACCGCTATCCCAATCCGCTACGACATGCTGGTACTTCTCGGGTACGTCGGTGAGGTGTATCGAATGCTCATACTCCGGGCCATATGGCTCGATTCCAAGATCAACCAACTCACGTTGATTAGCGGTCTCGAGAAGTAAACTGTGAATCTCGATAACAGCTCTTGCCCATGATTTTGGGTATTTTTCTTGTTTCCGTGGATCATAATCACAGAGAAATAAGCTAGGGCTTTAGATTAGGGCTTCTCAGTCGCCAGTCGTCAATTGCTCCTTCCCATATCTTTCAACTCTTCTATCCTCCTTGATTTTACTGCTCCTTCTCCCCTTCTCCCAACTGACATTCAACCCTACATATCTTCAAAAGATTTCTTTTACATTCTCTCCTTCGATTGGTCTCTCAAAACGTCCCCCTTGACTGGGTTTAATCCCTTCACAATGGCCGACGTGACGCGTCAATGTACGTCATGCCATAAAACTCTGCCAGTCGATCATTTTCTATCGAAAAGTGGTGGTCGTACTGTGAAAACCTGTCTATCGTGTTGAGAACGCTCAATTCGCTTCAAAAAGCGAACTAGCAATGAAGTTGAGGTGACAGAAGATCGACGTATTCCACGTTTTATGCAGCCAACTACAGCATCCCTACGTCGTATCGCTCCTCCTCCACAACGCTTGAGTGCTCAGCAATTCCAACAACAAAGTCAAGACATTCAAGGCAGCCAGCAAACTCCTTCTACACCATCGCGAAGCTCTCCTGCTCCAAGATGTTCCTCAACCTGCTCAGCGACATCAGTCCTCTAGCTATGGATGTTAGTGATACACCTACACCTTTTGCGAGAAGAATATCTAGCTTCTCTTCTGCCATATCGAGGACGCTCTCGACGACTCTCCAGTCTGCAATCCACGCCTCACTGACCCATTGTGCCAAATCATTTCGCATGCAAGACCTGCCAAACTCCCCGTCATTTCAGCCGTCGAATCGCAAATGGCCTGGATATTTGCGAATACTGTCAGAACTCGAGCATACCATTTGAGGACCAGCATAAATTCTGTGTTAGTTGTCAAAGAGACATTCCCATGCCCGCATTCTTCGATGAAGAATCCCATGAACACGCCCACCGTAACCCATGTCGTGCCAGGTCTATGACCCAACCTGAGACTGACCCCTCTTATATCCCTGAGAGTAGTAACGTTCACTCCAACGATACTCCTATATTGGCATCTACTCAGGCAGAAGAACTCCGAAGAAGGCCCCCTTTCTCTTCCTCTTCCTTATTCACAACCCCCAGTATCTCCAAGCTATTGGAAATCTCTGCCCACCTGCCTGTCTGCTGCTGCCACCGTCACTCTCACCATCTCCATCTCATCCAAACGACAGCAAGGATGCCTTTCTTCACTTAGGTCGCCAAGATGCTTGGCCGCCTGCCCGGCTGTTCATCAAGACCGTCAACGTCCTCGCCAAGATCCTAGAGTTTCTAACTCTGATCTACAGTATTCTCAGTGTCATCAAGGATATTCTAGAGTTGGTCAAGGGTCCGAAAGATGGCAAACCTCAATGGGGCGCCCAAGTAAGTATATCACTCCCCGTTTTATTATATCAACAATCAGCATACTAACTCTCTGCTAGAACTCTCAAAGCTCTACCATCCTCCAAGAGCTCTTTTTATCGGTTTTTCTTCCTGCTTGTTTCGTCACGGGACTGCCCGCCATACAGGTAGACGTCGGTACCGCATTGGGCCTAGCGTGATCGTAGCAAGCACATCAACCTCGCACGACACGGATCTCAGATAGTTAGCTAGACTTCTCAATATCACACTCTCTCTAGCCCATCATCATTTCGAGTAAGTATCATCTCTAGGACTTGATTTAATATATATACTGACTTTTATCTAGAGTTCAATTTCCGGTTGGTTTTAGGGGAGGATTTTGGGAGTTGGGACTGATTGGCTCAAAAACTTTACTACGCGTCGTTTTTTTCTCTAAATTAGGCTAGCGCCTAAAAGCTTACGCTCTGGTACGACTTCGGTGGAAAAATGCACCGTAGACCCTTGTAAAGCCCAAGAACAATGTCGACTTTCACCATTATCCATCAATGCCCATTGAGCAGGGGCAAAATGGTATGGTCCCACACTTGAATAAGCAAAAACCCAGCAACACATAGTCCTGTCCAAGCTCTTCATTACTACTTCTACCGAAAGAGACTATCCTTCTGTTTCACCTTCCCTCATTTTCATCCAACGACTTCACAAGCAATGCGCGACCGCCTTGGGCTGTCGAGAGCGCGTAAAAACGCCCTTCTTGTTGCCTTCCACGCGGAAAATGGCGTTACCAGTTTTGAAATCTGCAAAATTCCACACTTGCTCTCCCACCACTGACTTTACCCGATCGTGTACCCGGTGGTACATATCGAGTAGCTGAACTTGGAATTCCTCGCTCCATGGGACCGCCTGAATTGAATGCAAGCCACTTAGCGTATCGGCGCCATACTCCGTAATAATGATAGGTAGCAAAGCTCCTCCTCGAAAAGTACCTCTGCTGTCTTCAGATCGCCCGTTTCACGGTACCAACCGTAGTAGCGGTTGAGACACAAGAAATCGACGAGGTCCGCAATCTGGTCTGTTTCGTATGTCGAACTAGATTCATTGGCGAATGTGACCGGGCGCGAACTTGGATCAAGCTCTTTCGTCAACTCTATGAGAGGTGCAAAGTACTCACGAGCCCCTCGCTCGGCCGAGGCAGGCTCACTAGCAATCGACCAGAGCACCACACATGGGTGATTTTATCTCGCTGTACAAGTTCACGGATGATTTGGGCGTGGGCGTCCTGTGTCCGGCTATTTATTGTGTCTGGGGAAAAAGTGGGCAGTTTAGGTCGACCCAATATGCCGGAGACCATTGCGAGATTCAGACCAACCGCCGCTGTCTCGTCAATTACAACGATACCATGCCGGTCTGCAAAGTCCATGACTTCCTCAGCATATGGATAGTGTGACGTGCGGAAAGAACTGGCCCCAGTCCAGGCCAGCAGTTCGAAATCATAGACCATAGAAACTGCGTCATGGCCCTTGCCACGAACCAAATGATCTTCGTGCATCCCAAATCCAGTGAAATAGAAGGGTTTGCTGTTGATAAGAAATTGGTTTCCCCGCACTTCGACAGTTCTAATGCCCGCTAGGACGGTATATTCGTCCGTCAAGGTACCACTGGAAGCACGGATGTTGACCTGGACCTGGTAGAGGTACGCATTGCCGGGTTGTCACAACCTGGCGGCTTCGACCGTGACGCATCTTTTCAGGCCTTCTGCTTCTGTGATAACATGCCCTTCCTCATCGCGCACAACGACATTAATGCGCGAGGAACCTATCTCCCCATTCGTTTTGGCACCGTACTGGATGGTTCCAGTTGTCCCGTTCACACCCGTTACGAGCGTGACATCTTCAATATAGCTGGGTGGCACCGAGTATAGCCAAACGGAGCGAGAGAGGCCCGCGTAATTGAAGAAGTCGTGGTTGTAGGTCTGGCGTCGTTTGGCATTCAAAGAAGACACCTCGATCTTTCCCGGTGGAATCGTTTCGTTGGTGAGTTCGTTGTTTACAGCATCGGTTAAACAAAATTTTTCTCCTGCCCGGACGTAAGCTGTGATCTCGACTTCAAACGGGGTATACCCGCCGACATGCGTGGTCGCTAGGTGGTCGTTGATAAAAACGCGAGCCTCGTGTGTGGCCGCGTCTAGCCGCACAAAATAGCGCTCCTGCTGCCACCCCCGGGGCACGCGAACCTCTTGCTGGTACAAGGCCCATCCGACGTGATCATGTATCTCTTTTTCAATGAATATATCATTGTAGCTGGCAGGAACGGGGATATCACGAGCACGTCGTTGCGGAAGTGGCTTGATCCACGCCAGAGGTTCAGCGAGTTCTTCGACAGCCAATGCAAAGCGCCAGATTCCATCAAGCGACAGAACTTCTCGCGTGGACGTCACCTGTGGTTTCAATATCGTCCGTTATTGAGCTGATGAGCTTCTCCGAACAGCGGCAATTTGCATTGAATACAGTCACGCTTTTGTGGCTCGAAGGATTTTCCCGGTCAGCAAAAAATCGAGAGACTAGTGGGCTTATCTCGTCGGCAATTGATGTACAATCAAGTGATCGAACCGGTAGCCGACGCAGACACCCTGTATTCCTCCGCATTGTTTTGCTTATTGCTCTAATTGGATGTTACGAAAGAAGGCCACCAGGTGAACCTCGGGTAAATAAAATTTAGAAGCTGGGGAAGTTCCGGGACCAATGATAACAATTGAAGCGAGAAGACCAAGTTTTGCCGAATATTTGCGGGGAAACTGTATCATGTCAATGGCCTTCCAGCTGTCAGGAGCTTGGCTATAAATTCCTACAAACCCTTCTTTCCAGCAGTGCGGGCATACATTGTTCACATATGCATTCCAGTTTTGAACCAAATTCGCGCAACAGCAGCAGCCATGGTCACAGACAGTCCGCCAAAGGCAAGCCTCCTTTACAATTTATAAGACTTGGGAACTGACGTGCGATCCTGGACGACATACCGATGTCTTCCGAGCATGAGCATATCGTAATCGGCCAGTCGCCGGTGGGGATGCAACGACTTAAGCAAACTGTGATCCATCTCATCTCAAACAGAACAAGAGGGCGTTTTTGTGGAGTTTTTCTATCCTTCTCTTCTTGTTCAATTTCGGCTTCGATGCACTTATATCCTCTCTTGCGACCGCCTATCCTCAGTTCCGAGAGCAATTCGGTAGCCTGTATGATGGCAAGTATGTCGTATCTGCGACATGGCAGTCGCTCTGGTCTGCAGGCAATCTACTTGGCGCTATCATAGGGAACTTTTTGGCAGGGGCAACAGTCGATAGGTTTGGTCGTAAATTCTGTTTCTGGGCCATCTTGATCACTTCGGTCGTTGCCTCGATTGCGTTGATCCTGGCCTCAAGCGTTAAGGTCTTGCTTGCTGCTAAGCTGGTTTTCGGCGCGACTAGCGGCTTATCGTACACTGCAGCTCCGCTTTATGCCACTGAGAATTCCCCAGCGCCAATCCGGGGTCTGTTGATGTCGTGCTTCAATTTGTTTGTCGTCATAGGGCAGTTTGTCTCCGTTCTTGTTTCGAGCGGCACATCCACTATTAATGGCACCTGGTCATAGCGGGACGCGTTCGCCATCACGTTTCTCGTGCCCGCCATTCTCTTACCGGTGATTTGCTTTCTTCCCGAATCTCCTGTTTTCCTGGTCATGAAAGGGCGTGAGGGAGAGGCTATTCGGGCAATCAAGCGCTTCTATGGGCCGCACCACGAGCAAACACCAAGTGAAGTCATGGCTCAAATCAAAATCAATTTACTAACCACTCACGAAACTACTACGATTTCTCACTGGCTTCAATTATTCAGTCACCAACACATCTTACGTACCTTGGTTTCGGTTGTGCTAGCAGTCAATGTCAACACTATCGGGACATCCTTTGTAATCGGGTATCAAACCTATTACTATGAACTTGCTGGAGTTGCAAATTCGTTTGCTATCACCTGTGGTGCGTTTGCCATCATGACTGTTGGCAGTATCACAGCCATATCCTGCGCTGATCTGCTGGGGAATCGCATCATAGTCGTTGGAGGCGGCTCGTTGCTGCCCCTCTGGAATCTTCTAGCGGGCTCATGCGGATTTGCAGATGCCAGCAATCGTGCCGCTCTCATAATAACAGTAGTGCTGATCGCTTCGTGGTCCTTTATCTACCATCTAAGTCTTGGGACGGTGTCGTACATCGCCCTCGCAGAGATACCTACTCAGCGACTCCGTCCACAGACGCAGGCTCTGAGCGCCATTATGGCAAATGTCTTTGGATTTGGAATCAGCTTCTCGATTCCATATCTGTTCAATCCTGATAAAGCCAACTTAGGTTCCAAGATCATGCTGATCTACTTTGGTATAAGTCTTCCTTTGGTGGCATTCCTTTATTTCTTTATGCCTGAAACACGAAACATGACTTTTGAAATGATTGATCAACTCTATGCATCGAACCTCAGCCCGAGGAAGTTTGCGTCTACTTTTGTTGGGAATGATGTAACTGAGGTAAAAGCAGCCGTCTGAATTACCTCTCCGTGTACGAGCAAGGGTGACGAATCGTAACACAATAGCCTTTTTCTGTATGCTTCGATTGATTATCGTATTATTATTCAATTCAAATCAAACGTGTTATCTGGATCCGGGTCTCTATGAACCCCCAATCTTCAGTAAACCTGACCTCGTCAGCTGGCGCATACCCTTCATGCATTACCTTGATGACTGGATTTGAATAATTCTTTCATCAAACTTACGTATGACCAGTGCTTGAGATGGTCAAGGCTAGATCATATCTTACTTCAATGAGTTTGCCTTGTTTGTCTCAGAAAGAAAGCCACAGATCAGTCTCACAGTTCCGATATATTATGAGTTCTATGATGTGCTGCATGATGCTGCTGAGCGCAAAGAAGATTTTGCAGACATTGATGAAGATATCGCAAGTGCTGTAAGAGAGAGTATCAATAAGTACACGAAGTACTACACTTTCATGGATATCTCCGACACGTATTATACTGCCCTGATCCTAGATCCTCGTATAAAGGCAGATCTCATTGGACGACGAGGGGACACTGGCAGGAATATTCTTAATGTCCTCCTTGACAATCTTCATGAAAAATATCCTAAGACTACAGATCAGCATACTATGGCAGAGGCCCCAGAGCACAGCCATAAAAAGCAGACAGTTGGCAGCTGGATGTTAAATAGAAATTTCGACGATATCCGGGTTGATGCCATTGACATGGAAGATCCAAATTGGCTATTCGAATAGTGGAGAGTCCATAGGAAGGGTTATCCTCGGATGGCTGCTGCTGCTAGAGATTACTTAACAATCCCAGCCTCTGAAGTCTCAGTTGAAAGGTTATTCAACTCTAGAAGAGATGTACTTGGAGTACGGAGATACTCTATGAAGGGGAAAACTTGAGGATGCTAATGCTGTTGGATGATGTATATCGTTAAGCTGATGATGATGATTTATTACGCACGGATGGACTAACCCTATAGGGCACTAGTGCGCTAGATATATATAATTTGTGTGTTTCTGACCTGTCCTCCTACAAGCTATGACCGTTCGACGTGAGGTTATTCGGAAGCGGGGAAGTTGTTCCAGCCATGCGACTCTGGATAGGGTGGACGGGAAGGGTTGCTCTGATCACGTGGTAACGCCACGTGATATATGGGGGCGTAAATGTAATACTTAGTTCAAGTCTTCAACATTGAACACGCTAGTTAAGTCACGTGCTGTGTGCATCAATTAACCAGACTAGTCCAAACTCCAACAAATGCGACTTCCTGCTTCAGCCAGAGGTCTTCCCATGAATGACTTCTCTACTTTGGAACTTCCGCCATAATAACCACCACGTTAGCAGCAATCATGACTACCAAGAGATCGCGCGGCGCCTTCGAGGCCGATCTTCAAGCCGCGCAGTCTCCTTACGTTTTCTATGGCACACCACTTCCTCCTCTCGACCCCGGTACGCGCGACGATGGTTCCTACGTCCCCATCTGGAAGCAAGAAGTCACTGATGAACGAGGACGGAAGCGACTGCACGGCGCCTTTACCGGAGGTTTCAGCGCCGGGTGAGCTCGACGCATTTGGAATTACAAAAAAGAAGCATAACGACTAAAATAAGATTTGGTACAGGTATTTCAACACGGTGGGCTCAAAGGAAGGATGGACACCGTCGACTTTTGTATCCTCTAGGCACAATCGTGCAAAAAACGCAAAAGTCCAGAAGATTGAAGACTTCATGGATGAAGAAGATATTCGCGAAGCCGAGGAATCCAAACAGCTACAGACGTCCGAGGATTTTGCTGGACTGGGCGCAACGCAATCTCAGGCCATAGGCAGGCGTGGTATTATCGATATTCTCAAAACTGAAGGTGAAACCATGGGGGTCAAACTATTAAAAAAGATGGGTTGGAGAGAAGGGCAGGGCATTGGACCCAAAGTGAGGCGAACAGCCAATCTCGACGATAGCAGCACCTTAGCTCAAGATGATACTCATCAACCTGAAACTCATTTATTCGCCCCTTCAGACTCGCCGATGGTTACATTTGTGCGAAAAGTAGATCATTTTGGTCTTGGCTTTCAGAGGGAAGAACGACTTGACTCCGACTTGCGCTTAAAGGATGATCAGGCTCATCAGGAGAACTACGAAGATGAAACTAGTGATTCATTTTTTGGCGGGCGGCTAGCGACGCAGAAGCCGAAACAAAGTAAGCCGGTTCCACGTAGAGGAGGATTTGGAGTGGGCATTTTGAACGATACTGGCTCCGACGACGAAGATCCGTATTCGATGGGACCCCGAATATCCTACAATCGTACCATAGGAGGCGATAAAAAGAGAAAAAAGAAAATCAAAGGTCCTGAAGAAGGGAAGACGGTGGGAAGGGCAGCTAATCCACTTCTAAGCAACAAACCCGTTTTTATCTCCAAGAAAACATCCCTAGCTGGGTTTCGCAAGTGTCACGACGGACGTCTACCACTTGACGGCTTCGTTCTCGCAGACGCCATTTCTGGCTTGTCACTTTCTGCCGGCAGAAATTATGCACCACCAGATATACCTCCAGGTTGGAAGTCATCTAAGGTTCCTGTAGCGCAAAGAGACTCGTCCAAGTACATGTCAACGGCGGACGCGGCTAAGGCGTCGAATCTTGACCCAAAGTCTCGTGCCGAGCTGCTTGGCGAGGAACAGCTTCCAGGAAAATCCATATTTGATTGGATGACCCCAGAGGCTCGTGAGAGGCTTGTCAAAGCCACTGGCAGGTCTGATCTTCCACCGGCCTTGGGAGAAAAAGCCCCTAAAGGTTTCCAAACATCGGAGGCTGAAAGGCGTAAAAATCTCTGGGATCTTGTGCCCAAGCTTGACAAGGCTGCTGCTGTCCAAGCTTTGCAAAGAGCAGTCGGTGGTTGGATGCCTTACTCTGAGGATGAAAACAAGAGAGCGCGCTATCGCACGTTTCTAGAAGTATCAGCTGGTTTGAAACAAGACCTTCCGGATCGCCTGCCAGGATCCACAACAGATGACTGGGTAAGAGAGATGCAAGAGTTTACTAGGGCAGCTGAAGTCTTTAAACCAATATCCGGTGTTATGGCCTCGCGATTCACTTCCGCACGCTCAACGCCGGCAGTGACTTCAAACCAGCCAGATTCCTCTACCGCTGATTCTCTACTAAGGCACCCGCCGGCTAAACCGGAAGACCCAGCAGAAGAGGCGGCGAAGATTGGTATGTTTGGTCCGTTGACTCGCAGCACAGTATCGTTCTACCCGACTCGTTTACTCTGCAAGCGGTTCAATATCAAGCCTCCTGCACATGTTCAGATGGACCCTGGGGATCATCCTATGGGAGGAGTATCCAGTACAGGCGGAGTTCCTGCAAAGACGACACACTCAGCAGGAAGACTTGAGCTTATATCTCAAGATACAATGGATCAACTTCTTCTGGAATCTGGCCTGGCGATGTCCGACAAACACTCACCTGCGGCAGAACAGAAACCAGTTGCTATCGAGCCTGAACGGAATGAGGCCTTGGAAGGCGAACGACCGGGCGAAGCTGTCTTCAAAGCTATTTTTGGCAGTGACTCGGAAGAAGATGAGGATTAAATAATACTTAGGATGATATTCATGTATAGTCGTATTGTAGTTCTATGCTACATCTGATTTCTTTGTCCAGACCGTACATCCCCTAAGACATCGAGTTGATAAAATGACAAGCTTTCTGAGAAATAGTGGCTGACGTCTTGGCGGACAGTTTCGAGATTGAGTATGAATATAAATGAATTATAGTAGATGCATGAATTTACTTACTACATATACCGTTATCATAAAGCTCTTACAATGTGACAGGCTACCTCCCAGAATGATTGGATCGGTCGGCATCGATGAACCAACTAGGCTGGCCCCTCTTTTTCCCCATCTCTCTGTCTCGCTCTCTCCACCTAGATAACCGCCAACATACGACTGACTCTGGCCTGGTCGCTGTCTTGTTCAACTTATGATAATCGTACTTGTCGATGATGTCGTCAGTCGTATCTTTGATGGTTCCGAATCCTCCGCAGTTCAGTGATTACAGGTTCTTTTGACAGGGATTCATTTAGGGCGCATTATCCACCTATTTCACTTCTAATTATCTCGAACCCTTGGATTCTTGACTATTTTTCGTTAAACGTAACAACATTCGGAGACTTCGAGATTTGATTCAGGTCGTTCTTTTAATATTCCTCACCTTGCCTGGAGGCGACTGACGACTCTTTGCTAACTCTTGTTTCGGCGGACGTTGCACTTGATTGTGATCCTTTGTGCTTCGAGCAATGATCATGCAAGATGGTGAGTGGATTCTCTTCTGTCGACCACGGCGCACTTAATGTGCCATCGAGTATGCAGACTTACCCCGCCAATTGTTTACGAAAGCCCTTTCGGCATACTAGAAAATAAATGATTGAGGCTAACTGTCAAAGGGTTGCTGCCTTTCGCGTTCAAGTAATGAGGAACAGCCATTCCATGCATCCACAGCGACACAGGAGCCTCAAGAAGATGCTCTTTCCACCCATCACTCCGAGCAACACTCACGCCAACAAGCTTCAAATAGTTCGACTCGTCGCCGTTCTCGCCCCAGATGTCAAGGTGTGGCGCTTCCATTAGACCAACACTACAACCAGCCGATCCGGCCGCACATCTGGCGCAGTAAGCGGCGCCTATGGACACGAACACAAATCGATCGAGAGCGGGAAGAATTTTTCGATACCAGGGTTACTGGCCGGGAAGAGGTGTGGGCCGCTCTTCGTGCGGCATTGTCTCTATTGCGCGAAGGCGATATTGAGACGGCGCAGGGAATTATAGACGCCGCCGGAGTTACTGTTCCCACCGGCGATTTTTGCGACGGCTGTTACGATGAAAATGGTGTGTTGTATCGATTACCTCAATGTATCGTGAGCGATCCGGACAATATTGCGGATGACTCTGGTGCCGCAGCCGGCGAAACTGACGGAGTGGACGATGATATGGAAGATGGAATATCAGATCGCAAGATTGTTTCGGAAGAGTCAGACGAGGAACTCATTTCCGAAGATGCTGAGCGACGTCGTGAGGAAAAAGGAAAAATGAGCGAGCGCGATATGATTAGGGTCCAGGCCCGGTTAAGTGACCGCGGTGGGCCAGATGTCATGATATCTATTGGAAAGACACAAAACGTGAGCTTGCTTGCTCGCAAGATCCATAGTGAGACCAAAGTATGTATCTCATGCAGATGGCAGGTGATTCATGAGCTAATTTCGCTGCAAAGATGTCCAACACTCAGCGTGTTCGTATTGTTTATCTTGGTCGAGTGCTGAGAGAAAATGAGCCTTTGGTCGACCAAGGCTGGAAACAAGGTCACGTCATCAATGCAATGGTTGTAGCTCGGCCAGCGTCTTGACATTTAACAGACTCAGGATCTGGAATTTACTTGTGGCCCAGTCTGGTGAGGTAACTACGCCAAGTATCTCATCTCGACACATCTGCTCGTCGTTTTACTGCATTATTTTCTTTTATATCGGAGTTCTAACTGACTATTTTCGCACAATACCCCAGCTGTTCTACATCAATGATACTTCCTTTTGTTACTGTGAGCAGTGTCTTCTACAGTTCCTGTATCATTTGTACATGTTTTAATTCTATGCATCAACAAAGGCGCAACTATATCTTCATTATCCTGGATCGACCTCAATGTCGATACTTACTGGCGCCTAATCTCCACTCCGTACCATTACCTGCTTTAATGATCTTACTGAATTCTATCCATGATTCAAAACCGAGTCAGTATTCTCGTAGAATATATCATATAACCAGCCACTCAAATAAAGAATAATCAATTAAGGGATCACGATATGAACAATCTTATCTGATGGCCCGATAAGAAGGGCGGTGAAAAGCGGAGCGGAGCTATCACCGCAATACAAAAAAAATAATCGCAAGAAAAAAGATATCTTAATCGACCAGCATCAGTAGTGCAAATTATTCTCCCACGCAACTTTTAGGATCAGGCCCTCAGAATAATTTTCTTATATGGTTCAATTCTAGTCTCATACTGCAACCGCAATCGCGGGACAGCCACCATGGCTACCACAGATATCCAAAAAACGCCGTTCGTGAGGGAATTGGCATCAAGTGGTGAGTCTTCTGTTCTTGGATTGCTATGGTCGTTCAGATGGCTCATGAGGCGTAATACTGATTATTCCAATTCTAAAGATCGCAAAACTCGCGACAAAGCTCTTGAGTCATTGACGCTCTTCCTGAAAGCGCGTAAAGATCTAAGTCTTCTTGAACTGCTGAAAGTCTGGAAGGGATTATTTTTCTGTACGTACTTCTATCCCTCTTCCCTTATTCAATTTTGGTCCGCTGCTAATAAGAGAGGGGGAAAAGGCTTCTACCATTCCGACCGCCCTTTAACACAACAAGCACTCGCCCGCTCTCTCTCATACTCTCTCGTCCCAAGTCTCCCGCGCGAAAGTCGACTGCGTTTTCTGCGCGCATTCTGGATCACGATTGGTCGGGAATTCCATGCTTTGGACCGATTACGACTCGATAAATACCTGTATCTGATTAGGTGTTATGTCGGCGTTGCGTTTGAGATTTATTTGAAGGGGAAGATTAACGATAAATCGGATAATGAACAGGAGGACTCAACCGAAAAACACGAAGAAGAAGAGGAAAATAAAAAAAGGAAAAGAAAGGGAGATGAGAAATCGAATAACGGGAAGAGGAGGAAACAATCCGAAGAAAACAGCGAAAACAACGGAAAGGGATCAAGTTCTGAACGGGATGGAAAATGGACAGAACTAGAATCATACATCTCTCTTCTTGAAAAAGGGCCTCTATGTCCCATCAACTTCGATCCGAGCGAGAAGAAGCCCAAATCCAACGAGGATATAACCATGCCCCACGGCCCCGACGGACTTCGATATCATATTACTGATATCTGGCTGGATGAGCTGGAAAAAGTTCTTTCCTCAAATGACGACGGTGATCAAGACGGAAAGACCGAGGAAGTATCATTGAAAGATCGCCTTGACGTTCCTATTGGATTGCTATTAAGACCATTTGAGAGATTGAGAAAGGAGAGCCAGACCAAGTCTGTTCGGATGAAGGTGGTTAGTGAGGTGTTGGAAGATGAGCGATTGGCCGACTGGGGATTTAGAGAGCGGAAGAAGGTGAGGAGTAATGAGAGTGAAGACGATGAGGAGGATGAGGATGAGGATGATGAATGGGGTGGATTTGATGATTAGTCTTACCTTTTCTCTGTTTCCGAGGTACTTATTTATGAGAAGACACGGTCAATTCTCTGTATAATTTCCAACCATCTTATCCTATTCATAGTCTTCTTCAACTGCATTGCATAGCTACATCGGTATTTCAACTGCTTCAGGGTCACCCAACAGCAATACTGAGAAGAGTATATGGAACAAGATTAACAGAGCTATCCATTCAGACACCGAAAGCAATATAAGAATCATGATAGGATACAAAACCAGAAGTGAATTAAAAGAAGCATACTCAGTGGCTATGTAACAGAATGGACAGAGAATAAAAGTGACTGGATTGAAGAACCTTAGTAGCGCCATCATCATGATCTGCTTTGAAAGAACCCTGACATGACAGCGAAATCCACAAAAAGGAGATATGGATTTGAGATATGATTATCTCATAATCTCTGAGACGGAGAGGGAGTGCGGAAGGTAATAAGTGGTTTGTGAATACACAGAAGATGTGAAATCAAGAAAACAAATACGCTGCGTCCTGAGTTCGTAAAGAAACGGCGAGAAGAGAACAGTAGGAGAAAGAGTCGAGGGTATAGTGTTATAGACAATGTAAGGCATTAAACCGAAGGCTTTTTCATCCCCTACAAAAGAGGAACGATCTTCAAAGTTGGACTTGCTGTATTGTACCAATATAGCACCAATGGTTCGTGTGTCATATGCTCAGGCACATATGTAATCAAGATTGCTCGTTAAACGATCGAGTTTAACGGAATTCGATCGCGGGGGTACATCCGTGATCTTCGATGTGCTTCAATTCGAGTTTTTGGTACCTAAAAGAGACATTGTTAATAGTAGTTAAAACAACTGTATAAGGACGCGTTCTTACTTTTCGCTTTTCGCGTGAAAATAAATTCCACTGACAGTTCCTTCAACCTGATTGAAACAGATATAATAGAAGCCTTCAAAGCTTGCTCCGGAGATTTGCCGTACCCGATGATCAGGTACAAGGAAATACTCCTTCCAACGCATGAACAAGTGCTCGCGCTGCGCAAAGTTCCGGTATGTGAAATCGGCTTTCTTGGCCTGTTTGGCAAGCGGCCTCCACGCCTCGAATCGAGCCCAGTGCTGCATATCCGTCTTCTCGTTGGCGCCCCAGCTCTCGTGCTTGGTCTGAAATGTGTGTTTTGTGCCAATGATTTCTCCTTCGAAAAAGGTGGTTAGGGTAGGGTGTTCTTCGGTAAGGCCTGTACGATGTTAGCTGGCAGTCCTCTATGAATGAACCCCGAAATTAAGACACCCACCTTGAATGCGCAGATATCCACATAGGTACGACTCTGCCATGTCAACGTGTTTGATTTCGACATGGACATTGTACACTTGGTGGTCGGACTCCTGTGTACCTTCGAATCTGCTTCCAGCGCGGAGAAAGGAACATGTGTGGTTTGGAACAAGCTATTAAGTATCAGAACATCATCCAAGCAACCGGAGACGATGCCATTGAACATACCCTGACATTGGAAAACTCGTGACTGAGCGACGAGGATGTAGATGAGGATGAAGTGACAGATGACGTCTGCGAAGTCGGGCTGCTCGACACATCATCTTTGCCGTCCGAAGCCGAATTGGCTGGACTGGGAGAGTCCATATCTGTATCATCTTCACTTTCACGTCCCTTCATAGACGATGACTCTCGAGCTGTCTCGACCATCAATGACGTAGCATTATCACCTGTTGCCGTGGACTCGATGGTGGCCGACACGGTGCCTTCTTCGAGAACATTGCCATCGCCATCACTAAGAGAGCGCTCCTCACTCGCGACCGAAAATGCAGATGCTCGTATAATTTCTGGTGGACACAACGTATGCACAATCGGGTCTTCGACGAGGGCGCTCGCGGTTAACGGTGGAGTGATTTCGCTCGGCGTCGGCATTGTACCGGTTCAGGTCAGAAGGAAAATGACATCGGAGAAGGAGGACGATCACGACAATATTCAATTCAGGCACAAATGCTGGCAATTATCTTGAAGAAATAACAAGAGGTATCTCAAAAAAAGGATCAAAAGGGCCCTGAGTAAGCAATGACAAAGGAGTTTCTGCTCTGGCAAAGAAGAAGTGAGGAGACGCCCAAGATATCGAACGTGGTTGTCTTAGCCCAAACAGGAAAGGGCAGGCATGCTATGTCTGATCAGGCGATCGCGGGGAAGAAGAGGTCACTCCCACCATTTACCTTACTTGGAGATATCACTACCGATCATCTATACAGCTATCTTATAATTATGACAGTCAATATTGTATTGTACTGTTCTGTTTCTGCGGCATCAGCCGGTTCAATCGCGACTGACTCATCAAGCCCTTCCAACGATTGCCCCGGATTTGGTATATACTGCCATGATTGGCTCAATTTGATTGATCGAGTCCAGTTAACACCAGGAAAAATATATTTGCCAATGAACGCCACCGTCATTCTGATATTATCATTAATTCCAGACTTTTTCACATTAAAGCAACGAGACTGTGGATCTAGATAGGTTTGATCTGTGCAGAAAGAGCTTTGTTAGTACAGCTTCCATAGTGCGTCACTCAAAAAGATTGAAATACCTTGAAATGGAGTGAAATAAGTGAGAAGACAAGCGCTTTGAGATCCTGCACCAGGTAGTAGAAGACTCGGAGGCCTTCTGGGTCGGCCGACTCGGTCACGTCTACAAGAGATCCAATCTTCGCTGTCTATAGAAGGCATTAGCATCTCCGCTCGGCTCGCGCAATGATTCCTGTATGAAGTACCTCGAACGAAATGTGTTCACTGCCCAGTCGGATTTCCAATTCCTGTCGTCCGTCTTTGTTCTTCTGCGGCCATTTGGAGTCGTCTTCCCTTGAGGCAAGTTAGCGACGTAGACAACAACCGAATAACGACTTCCATACTTCATGATCTCGCTGTCCTTGATGATGCGCTTTATTTCGGCAATCAACAGCGAACTGACGCACACTGTATGACTCTCATTTAGTATTTCAAGACAATCGCAACCGTTTGAGTATCGTGGAGCTCACTTTCTTTACGAATGAGCGAGTCATTTCGGTAGTTGGAGTTGTTCGCATAACGAGCAGAGGCGCTTCGCCCATCGCCGAGGGTACGAAAGTCAAATTCTGCGCAGTGTCAGCTTGCCGTTGTCATCTCAGAACCGGCCTCATTGATCTCACCTAGAAACTCATGTCCAAACCGCCCAGAGTGACCTGAGCTGCTTGCTGTTAGCAGCGGAGGAAACCTGGGCTATAGTGTGCGCTTACTAGTAGCGGAGGTAAAATGGTTCGTTGACGTCTGACATGGCGCTGTAGATATCAATGCCACGAGTGAGAGAAAGAATGTTGACGGCGTCAGGGTTGTCAAAATGAGGAATTGGCGCCTGGCGGGGAGCGCAACGATGATTGGCGGCTAGCTTGGCTTAGTCATCCACACAGTCCGGCCAGGTTGCGCTGCCCACTCCTCCAAACCACCAAATGGACAAGTAAACTAGACTCCGGTTCCTGAATAGTTTGTGCTGAACAAGCGTCCAAAGACAGTGGAGGAGCTTGGAATTCGGATTACGGTCCGACTGACTGTCTATTTGATCAAGGAGCTTCGTTGAGGTATATTCGCACCGTGCCCCCGCCAATCTGTCTGCCGCTGACCCTGTGTAGCTCCTGATTCAACGTTCGTTTATACGTTCCTTCACCAACAACAGCAACCATGGCATCGTATCTGGAAAATGCATACAGCTTGGTCCATCAGGACAACTCTGCGGACCAGCCCAGTCTGCAAGAATTGAAAATGCAATTAGAAAAGGGTACCGACGAGACAAAGCAGGAGACGATGCGGAGAATCATAACAATCATGCTCAATGGCGACCCAATGGCTGGACTCCTCATGCATATAATCCGTTTTGTCATGCCGTCGAAGAACAAACCCTTGAAGAAACTTCTTTACTTCTATTACGAGATATGCCCAAAACATGACGCCAATGGCAAGCTGAAGCAAGAGATGATTTTAGTCTGGTGAGTTAGGTTACCGACAAATATTTATACATGTCTCAGTCTCAACTCGTGCTAATATGCCTGGCTAGCAACGGTATCCGAAATGATCTGCAACACCCCAACGAGTATATTCGAGGCAATACACTCCGTTTCCTCTGCAAGCTCCGTGAGCCCGAGCTCATTGAACCTCTACTCTCCTCCGCTCGCTCTTGCCTGGAACACCGTCATGCCTATGTCCGAAAGAATGCAGTGTGGGCCATATCCTCTATCTACCAACACTCCGAATCGTTGATACCCGACGCCCCTGAACTCATTCAGACATTCCTTGATTCGGAAAGTGATCATACTTGCAAGCGAAATGCGTTCGCCGCTTTGATGTCTATCAGTCACCAAAAGGCTTTGGAATATTTGAGTCAAACATTCGATAGTATTCCAAATGCTGACGAACTGCTTCAATTGGCTGAGCTCGAGTTTATCAGGAAAGACGCTGTCCAGAATGCTCAAAATAAGGTGAGTTAGGAGACTACAGAACAAATTGATTCCAGTGCTAAAATTACAACAGGCTCGGTATCTACGGTTGATCTTTGATCTTCTTGATGCATCAGCAAGCACTGTCATATATGAAGCCGCCACTTCTCTTACCGCCCTTACTAGCAACCCTGTCGCTGTCAAGGCTGCAGCATCGAAATTGATTGAGCTTAGCATTAAAGAGGCTGACAACAACGTCAAGCTTATTGTTCTTGACAGAGTGGATCAATTGAGAATTCGGAATGAGGGAGTGCTCGAGGATTTGACGATGGAGATTCTTCGCGTTTTGTCCAGCCCCGATATCGATGTTCGTCGCAAAGCTCTTAGCATCGCGATGGAGATGGTGTCGAGTAAGAATGTGGAAGAAATCGTGATGCTCTTGAAGAAGGAGCTTGCCAAGACAGTTGATGAACAATATGAAAAGGTATGCGCCATCCTTGTCCCTTATACAATAGCATCTCTGACAGGTATGACAGTCGAGCGAATACCGACAACTTTTGATTCAATCCATTCATCTCTGCGCGATCAAGTTTTCGGAGATTGCTGCCAGCGTCGTCGACTTGTTGATGGACTTTATTGGCGACTTCAATAACAACTCAGCTGTCGATGTCATCTCTTTCGTTAAAGAAGTAGTGGAGAAATTCCCTAAGCTTCGTCCGTCTATCATTGAGCGCCTGGTTGCCACCCTCAGCGAAGTCCGAGCCGGCAAGGTCTATCGAGGTGTTCTCTGGGTTGTTGGAGAATATTCACTGGAAACAAGTGATATTCGTGAAGCTTGGAAACGCATCAGAGCTAGTCTAGGAGAGATTCCTATCTTAGCCTCGGAACAGCGATTGTTGGATGAGGTGCCTGATGACAATGCTACTGTACTTGATCAGGTCAATGGTCATTCTAAGGCGGCTGCCCCCAGTGGATCACGGAAAGTACTTGCAGATGGCACATACGCTACTGAGAGTGCTTTAACAAGTCAATCCGCTGCAGCTGCTAAACTAGAGGCAGTCAAGGCCGCTCAAAAACCTCCTCTACGACAACTTATCCTTGATGGTGACTACTATCTCGCTACGGTCCTGTCATCTACTCTCACAAAACTTGTCATGCGACACTCCGAGGTCTCTCAAGATGCTGCTCGAACCAACGCTCTTCGTGCTGAAGCCATGCTCATCATGATCTCGATCGTTCGAGTTGGCCAGTCTCAGTTCGTCAAAGCTCCAATCGATGAGGACTCCGTAGATCGAATCATGACTTGTGTGCGTGCCTTGTCTGAATTTTCTGAACGAAAAGAGCTTGAGACCACATTCTTGGAAGACACTAGGAAAGCATTCAAGACTATCGTGCAAACAGAGGAGAAGAAGCGGGCAGCGAAAGCAGCCTCTGAGAAGGCCAAGACCGCAGTTCAGATTGATGACGCTATTCCTATCAGACAACTTACCAAGAAGAACGCAGGGGAAGGTACTGATGAAATTGAGCTGGATCTCATTAAGGCTACAGGTGGAGATGCTACCGTGGAGGACCTCTCATCTAAGCTCAGCCGTATAGTACAATTGACAGGGTTCTCAGATCCTGTATATGCTGAAGCATACGTTCAGGTCCATCAATTCGATATCATACTGGACGTGCTCTTGGTTAACCAGACAACGGAGACGCTACAGAACCTCTCGGTGGAGTTTGCAACACTGGGCGATCTGAAAGTCGTTGAGCGCCCAACAACACAGAATTTGGGACCTCGGGATTTCCTCAACGTTCAAGCTACAGTCAAAGTATCCTCAACTGATGCAGGTGTCATCTTTGGAAATGTTGTTTACGACGGCTCTAGCTCTACAGAGACTCACGTTGTCATTCTCAACGATATCCATGCTGACATCATGGACTATATTCAACCGGCTCATTGCACTGAAACGCAGTTCCGCACCATGTGGACCGAGTTTGAGTGGGAGAACAAGGTCAACATAAACTCAAAGGCCAAGGATCTCCGCGAGTTCCTGAAGCAGCTGATGGAAAGTACTAACATGACCTGCTTGACGCCCGAAGCATCTCTTCAAGGTGACTGCCAGTTCCTGAGTGCCAACTTATATGCCCGCAGCGTATTCGGTAAGTTCTCCTTTTCTAATTATTTCTGCACACATCTGGCTAACTCAAATACAGGCGAGGATGCGTTAGCGAACTTGAGCATCGAGAAAGAAGGAGAAGACGGCCCGATCACAGGCTTCGTCCGGATAAGAAGTCGCTCGCAAGGCCTCGCTTTAGCTTTGGGTAACCTCAAGGGTCTCAAAGCATCTGCTGCATAGAATGTTGATAATAATGGAAGATTTGCTCGAGTTTCTTGTCCGCTAGCGGTTGTTGTTTTTGTCATTATGTCTAAAATTTTTTACTAACGCACGGTGGATTCTTTTCTTGAGAGGCATGTAGTATTCATAATAGCTTATAAAAGGATCGATGGTCTTGAATAGGCCAGAATGAACAGATTACGTTTTGAGAGGATTCAATTGGGAAGATGTGGGAAATGATGGCCCTTGTATGACAGCTACTATCATTAACCTGTGCCATTTCGTCATTAATGGGCTTAGATTAATTTTCAGATAAGATTTATTTGACGCTGAATCGGATGTCGAGAAGTCTGATGGGCAAGGAAGATCTTGTCAGACGCAACTTGCCAATGTGTCACAGGATAACTGTATACTGGTTCCATCACACAGAAATGCGAGGATGCCACTAAGAGATAAAGGTATAAGCGAGAGCTTTGACGCTATCCTACTTGCAGCTCACGAACACAGCCTTACACCTAACCTATCATTAAAAGCAGCGAAGCATGCTGATACCTTCCGAGTGTCCTCGTTGATCGGAAGTTGAAGCTAACAAGTACTTTATTTTTACCTAGGTATTTAACTAGCTTACCACATTAGAGCACAATATAGAATATGAAAGGGAGAAGGAAACACTTCTAAATAGACATCCAATGTTTGGTATCGTCAATCGATTCCGTACCCAAATACATCAAGTCAGCAACCAACAACGATCCACGTCTAATCACGCCCACATAGCTTTGTGCTTTTTGTTGAATTCCACCTGAAGCATCTTGAACGCCTGGAGAACTTGCAAGAGTCCTTGACCATCAAGAACTGCATCTGTATCTGGAGTCAAGAAAGGATCAGCGCTACGTGATATTGTGTATGCCCACTGTCTCCAGTCCGGGAAACACAATTATCTTCTTCGTCGTCACTCAGATCATCATCCCAACTGTCGGACACGGTTGCCTTCGTCTTAGCTAGTCGAATGGCTACGGGTTTGGCCGGCTGCTTCCCCTTGCTTGAGATCGGATAGCTTACCATTTCAGAAGTTCCTTAGTGTTTTCCATCATGTGAGATCCAGGGTCTCTTCAGAGGGAAAAGCTGGGAAAGGTAGTATAGGGATTCGAGAAGGATGTTGAAGCTAAGATAGAGTAGGAATACAGGAAAAGCCAAAGCTAGAGGAAGAAGGGGTTTGGGCTGTATTTATGCAGCGCCAGATCCTGCCTTACCGGTACTGCCCGTCCAATACTAATCTCTGTACCTTTGTCGGGATCCCAATGTGTGAAACCGAAATTTGGTGCGCTGTCGATTCATTTGTATTGGCATCTAAGTCTCCATGCATACATCCCAATGGAGCATAAGGTCTCACCAGGCCTAGTGAATGGATGCCCAGTCTCATGAGGGCTAGAGTCTCAATCCGATCAAGCCCGCACCGAGATCATATTGCAGTTCATGTTTCATTTCCCAAATGAGCAGTAACAGCAAAGCTGCGGATCTGCATGTTCTTTGGTCCTCTTTTATGCTCCCGCTATCAGCCTCTCACCCCTCCATTGCGGCGTTAAGTGACCTGGAGAAGGTCATGATCAAGATTCTTACCCTTGAGACTCATCATTGTGGTTCGTGGATTCTGGTGAGAGCGGTCACCTACCCTGATAAAGGATGAAAGAGGAGATGTCCTCATGATGCAGCTATATAACCAAAAAAGTTCTTGCTAGTAATGGATGATTTATTGGAGGAACAGTGATACTTATACCCAAGGGCTGGCCCCTTTTTTGTATAAATATCAGCATATGTATATGAGACGACCTTGGAGCATAGATGAAGGTTGGAACTGAAACGTAATACTATTTCACCAAAAAGGACGCCCTTAAAGGGATTCTGGTATTTTTGTGGTATTTGCCAACCGTTCCGTAGTTCGACTTCTGTATTATGTTGATGTGCTAGTTGTTGTTGATGGTTATCTAAGCTGACTACAGCTGCGCTGACCCCTTTACAGAGGTCACATGGCTCTCGGAACATAGTTGATCCGCGACGGAGGGAGATCCACGGATGTAGCACGCTGACAAGGATGGGAGGAATAGAATATTTCATATGCACACATTACACTCTAGGACTCCTTGACTGGCCAAAGAAATAAATATATTATAGAACAAAAGGTACACGAACTGTTATATGTCCAGTAATTTAGTCTTTCAACGGCCAGGAGGCACAGATATTTCAGCCTGAGCTTTGAGGGAGGAGAGAGACTGGTTCACTAACTAGTCTAATCTTACATATAACTCAGCTTATTGACAGCAAAAAATACGCCTATATAAACATTGTGTTTTGAGAAGATTCAGTGGGTGAGGTATGTGGAAATCCATGGATGTCAGTCCTTATATGGCAGCTACGCTGCTGGGAGAGAAAGTGCAGGAGATATGAGATTATCACATGTGCACAGGGGTAATCCAATGGCAATCTCAAAAGAGAAAGCTTTGCGAGACGTCCTGTAAGACACCTAGGAATTCACTATTTAGGCAGTCAAGAATAAGGAGGAATAAAGGATAGGCTTGGCAATCTAGCCGGAATGCCGGCAACTAAGTAGATATGTACCTCAACTTACCTAGGTAACTTGACTAGTTAGCTGCCTGGAGCATCTCTCTGACAGCTGAACTATTCTTCCTCTACTCTTATAACACTCCAGTTTTATATTTATTGCCAATTGGATTTTTGCTCCTTGCCCTCTATACTTCATACGGTCCCCATAGCAATGTTGCAGAGTCAATAAAAGCAGAGAAGAAGAATGTCCGCCGACGAGCATCCCGCCGCCGCTTCCGCGCATACGACGCCGAATAATCTTGAAGACTTGAGCCCGGATTGGTCTCTGGCAGTGGGAAATAATGTTATCTTGGCTCTGCAGTCTGACTCGCTCTTTATCAATGGTATGTCGGCATACGTTATGCATCCGCATTGGCATCCCCGCTGTTCTGCATCGCGCATTCTAACGTACTTCCAGATCCAAAGACCAAGAAGGACATTCGATACTGCGGGTTACAGGTAGTCGGTAAGGAGCCACACCCCTTACCACGTTGTATTTTCAGCTGGTTAACTATGAGTAGCGTCCACGGCATCTCAAACAATCCCCTTCTACGACATTCTCTCCGCGCAAATCTCCGATTCGGCCCTTATCCTCAAATACGCAAAACCCGTCGTGAAAGATGACTATACCCCAAGCACCCTGACCTACGCACTCGACGGGCAGACACCAACCGCCAAAGCAGAGATATGGGTTGAACAATTACTCAAATTAGCATACGGCGAAGCTCAGCGGAATAAACGATTACGGGTTTTGATCAACCCCTATGGTGGGAAAGGGTACGCCAAGGAGTTATATAATGAATATGCGGCCCCGATGTTTGAAGCCGCGGGTTGTAAAGTCGATTTGGACATGACGAAGTATTCCGGACATGCCACGGATATTGCTGAGAAATTGGATCTTGACGCTTACGATGCGATTCTTTGCTGTTCGGGAGATGGTCTCCCGTATGAAGTGTTGAACGGATTCGCAAAGCGACCCAATGCCACTGAGGCCCTTGCAAAAGTCGCTGTTGCCATGATACCCTGCGGATCCGGAAACGCCATGGCGTGGAACCTCTTTGGAACAAATAGCGTCAGTTTGTCGGCTTTGGCTGTCATCAAGGGTCTGCGCACACCTTTGGATTTGGTCTCCATTACTCAAACGGGTAGTCGGAGTTTGTCGTTCTTATCTCAATCATACGGAATTGTAGCAGAGTCGGACTTGGGTACGGATCATTTGCGGTGGATGGGCGCCGCGCGCTTTACTTATGGATTTTTGACTCGACTCCTGCGTCAAGCTACATATCCGTGCGACTTTGCTTTTAAACTCGAGACAGATGACAAACAAGAAATGAAGCAACGATATCTCGAATACAAGAAACAGAAACGAGCCTTGCGACCAATCGGCGGCGGTGACGAGGTTATTGGCAAGGGCTTACCGCCCCTCAAATACGGCACCGTCGACGACGAAGTACCAAGTGACTGGCAAACTATTTCCACAGATACACTGGGCAACTTCTACGCCGGCAACATGGCCATCATGACCGCCGAGGCAAACTTCTTCCCAGCCACCGTCCCCAACGACGGATTAATCGATGTCGTCACGATCGACGGCGCAATCGGTCGTCTCAGAGCATTATCCATGATGACCGCAGTCGAGAACGGCGGGTTCTTCAATTACCCCGAAGTTGAAGTTCGGAAGGTTGATGGTTACCGACTCATTCCTCGGGATAGGAAAGATGGGTATATAAGTGTGGATGGTGAACGGATTCCATTCCAACCTTTTCAGGTAGAGGTTCATCCGGGTTTGGGTACGGTGCTGTCTAAAAGTGGTCATTTGTATGAAGCTCAGGGGCCTAAGTGAATCGAACGTTCTTAAATGGAATTGGCTTTGTTCCTTGCTTTTCGTTCTTGTTTCGCGTATGATATCCTGTATAGCTTCATTCTTGTATAGTATAGAGTACATAGGTATATGCATAGTCAGGTTGCTGGACTCAGTCTTACGACATGATGCTTTCCCAGAACTTGAAAGAAAGGAACGCAGTATTACGTAGTAGGCATCTTGTCTAGTTTAAATATACGGGATTTGCTTATTGTATTCATGGTTCTCTCTGCTTCCGAGGTGAGAGCACGGAACGTTATGGCTTTGAAGCGTCCTAGGTCATAGAATATCAGATGAAATATACAGACTGTCATGCACTACCTAGATAGACACAGCCGACCAGAGGAAGAAAATGCACGTATAAATTACATTATAGTACTTCAACCAACACGAGACTTGAAGTCGACTCAGAAATAACAAAAGCGAAATAAAGGTAAAGAAACGGTGAAACATGTCGTTCCGGGTATCGTCATCGTGTACTGAGAGTAGAAGAAGATTGGGAATAAAAAGGGTGCGAAAGGAAAATCGTGCTATATTCCGAATCACATATATGTGGTCGAATTGTGTCGACTACTAGTAGCACTTGAAGTACTAGCAGTCGAACTTCCGGCATCACTAATAGGAGTCTGCGGCTCAACCACAACCTGATTCCTAATAGAGACAATCCATTCGTGCTGCAGCAATTCTGCCGCGGTGGGCCTCTTCATAGGATCACGCTCGAAGCAGCGACTTAAAAACTCAATACCCAAATCACTGAGTTGTTCGCGAGTCGGTAGTTGAGGTTGATTTCCCTGTGCGATGTTGTACATGATCGCCCATTCGTTGTCGAGGCTGGACCAGGGACGACGGCCTGTGGCCATTTCTAATATGACGCAGCCAAGGGACCAGATATCGATCGCGCCCTGGCGGTCGACTAGATCGGATGTATCTCCTCGAATCACTTCGGGGGACATATACATGGGTGTGCCGGTCATCGTCTTCTGGTTCTTGCGTTGTGGGTCTTTGGCACCGCCTATGCCATCCTTATGGCCGCCGACACCCACATTGTTTGTGAAAGCATCGGCGTTAGCAACCGTTTTGCCCTGGCGTGCGATGATCTTAGCGGCGCCGAAGTCGACATATTTAATGACTCCATTGTGGTCTAGTAGGATGTTCTCGGGTTTAATGTCACGATGGATGATGCCAGCTTGATGCAAGTAAGCCAAGCCTTCCAGAAGTTGAAGAGCATAGACCATGATGAACGTCTCGTCTTCTATGCGGCCGTGTTCGAGCAAGCCCGCTAGCGAGCCCCCGGAGCAGTATTCCATGAAGATATAGACCTTGTCGCGATGGACTTCAATACCGTAATATGAGACGATATTGGGATGATCGAGAACTTCGAGAACACCCATTTCATCTCTAATCTGCTGAGCAATCACAGGGATGAGTTGAGGATCCTGAAGACGAATCTCCTTAACAGCCATAAGATAGTTGCTGTCGAGGTTGATCGCAACGTAGACGGAACCAAACGTTCCACCACCAATGAATTGACCTTGCTGCCAACGGAGTGTGACATTAGTTGCAGACGAAGACAGAACGGTAAGCGACCTGTCAGCCTCATTTGAGCCTTCCAGTACTTTGCCGATAGCATGTCGTTTGGCGTTTTCTTCCACCCGCATATCTTCAACCGTGGCAATGTGTGCAAGACGCTGCTCACAGACGAGTCTTCGCGCCTCTTCGTCGCTGAGGATCCGGCCTCCGCCACCGTACCTCCTTGAACCTCCGCGTGTTTCGTCCAAGCGTTTATTTTCAGCCTGTGCAGCCAACGTTGACCTGGCACCCATGATATCAAAGTGAGAGATGAGCACTGACATGCAGCCAGCAACCTTCACTCTGAGTTGGGAGTACTGCGCATCATCCATGGATAGAAGATGATTGCTTGAGGTGATTGCCATGGCAAACTCCAAAGCAGCTACTGCCCATTTGAATGTCCTTCTATCTGAAGCATCACAATCATCACAGATAAAAGATATCCATTCGAGTGACAGTTCTACCAAGCGAGCGCTATTCATAGCCCTTCTGTTTGCATCTACGTAATTGGACGAGCGCTTTCCGAATTCCGTGGCGAACGCATAGCAGGCTTGGATCAGCTCCGTATTATCGATTCCTTTTTCCCTGAGCTGCTGGCGGATCACAGCGACACTGTCCATAATAGTCATCGACAACTTGAACGAGATTTTCTTGATCTTGTTCAACTCAGCATTGACTCTCCCCAGGTTCGCACGCTGCTCAATAGCAATATCGAGATTCATATTCGTCAACTGAGCTAGTTCATGGCGTGCGCTGACAAGCCTCTGCTGTGTACCATCTGCAACAAGACGGAGCTTTCCCGGTCGCACATCAGTCGGGTGCTCCAACCCCTCGACTTCCATGACCTTGCCGATCCATGACAACGGACGCTCGGGGCGAATAACCAAGATATAAGGGTAGTTGGATCCATCCTTAGGATCATCCTCTTCGCGGAAAGAAGTCCCAAGAATTGATTGGATGTCAGCATGCTGGTTCCAAAGGGCGTGATGAGCGATCAAATACACCCCCTTCTGTCCTACGGAGTCGTTTGAGGTGATAAGGAAATGATCAGAGATCAAGAGAGCTTCAAAGAAATCATCAGCGATGTCTCCGCCCAGGTTATATTCCGTTGCATTCTCGAATAATTGTCGAAGGAAACGTGAGAAACGGTAAAGCTTTCGTTGGCGGACACGGGTCGAGTCTAAACTACTCTTGTAACGCTTGTCCATATCAACAGGATCTTCATCCTGCCGAGGAGACAGCTCCCTCTCAAAATGAATCATTAGTCGCTGCAAAGATTTCGCAGTCAAAGCACTGTGACATATATTAGTTTTGTATGTGCAGAGGAGTCTGTGCTTATTTACCTGAACTGTTCCGCAACTTCAATATCACCACTCTGAAGTTGGCGACCAATCTCATTTGAGAATCCCCATTCCTGTTCCAGAATTTCAGCCTCCTTGAATGTGTTCTTATTGGCGTTCAGTTTCCAGTTGAGAAGTCGGAAGTAGTACTTCATCGCGTCCACCACGACGTTATCGAAGTTCTCGTCAATACATGGTGGCAGATCCCAGCCTGGTTCAGGCTTAGAGATAACCAGGTAGCGTTGTTTAATTTCGACAGCAACCCTCATCAGAATCTGAAACTGCGAGATCATTTGATCCACAAGAATGGGCGATTGCAGAGCTGGGTCTTTCATTTTCTTGGCGTAAGAGAGACGTACTCGAATGATCTCCTGTATAAGCCGAGACGGAAAGTTGATCAGAGTGAGTAGCTCTTCGATATACGGGGGAAGATGACGCTTTGAGAAAGCCTCTGCATTTTCAATGAGCGTGCTCTTGGCTTTGTCGATGACTTCTCCTATACCGATAATCATGTTGTGTTCGCCCTGTAGAGTTTTCAACCCGTCTTCCTTCATAATTCGATCAAGGAAAGATCCGTCATCAGACAAATCAGTACTGTTCGATCGGTCTTGTGGCTTCGTAAAGTCTAGCTCGTCGTTGCCAACCCAGTTCTGTAGAATGGCCAATTCAGTGTTGATGAGCTGAGTGATATTGTGCCAGGCACAGACCGCATCGCAGCTCTCATGAAACTGGTCCGAAGCAGCCCTTGGGTTGGCGGTTTCCATCTCCTTTCTGGTAGGATAGAGATCTTGGCATTGACCAATTTTGGCCACGATGTCCTTGACCTGCTCGGTAGCAGGTTTACCAATTTCCTTCTCACCCTTGATCTGAAATGCGATGATGTCCTCAATAACAGCGCCAAGGGATGCGCGAGCATCTTCAATGAGCTTCTTTTGTAGTAGGACGCTTCGGCCAAGTGCCTTGGCCCGTACTCCCAGCCAAATATCACCGTTCATGGCAGCAGAGCGCCTTGTTTCCGTAGATCCAATCAATCGCTGTTTTTCCTGCTTGACAACATCGCCTTTGAGTACGGAAGCCAACATAGCATGCCATTCCAGCCGTTCCTGATTTTTGGGGTTCTTCAACTCTTCGATCGTGGGTTGATTATCGTTCTCGGGGAGGAATAGTTGGATGTCAGGGTCGTATTGATCGTCTTCAAAGGGCATTTCTGAGGATGGCGAAGGTTCGTCAGCGTCCGAGTCGACAGTTGTCATCCCCTGAAAGTCTCCAAACTGCCGGTACCAAGCTTGCGGATTGGCGCGTAGCCGCTGCACATAGGCCTTTTCCTGAGCGCGATATTGGGCATTGGGATCTCGGCGAGCATTCCGCTTCGTAGACGACGACCGGCGGCCATCGTTCTGGAGGTTGATAAAATGTGGTGGCCGTCGTTGAGGCGCGTATGTGCTCGACGGTGTTCTTGCAGGTCCGGAGGGCCGTTGTTGTAGCCTCAGGTCGCGGTCGGGTACAGGAACATCGGACAGACCTTGTGCTTCAAAAGCAGGATTCCCAACAAGGCTACTTCCACGTGGTCGACCTGTAGGGCGTGATGCCCATGTCGTCGGATATCCCGTTGAGAGAGTGCCAAGGGAGCTCACCATGGACGGAGGTGAGGTAGCTAAAGGTGTGGATTGACCTTCTATATCGCCCAGATCGGAGGCTGATCGGACAATAAAGGACGGGGGCGAGCTGTACTCATCTCCCGAGCCAGACCCGTCGGAATCGGGAGCGTTCATGATGATATCTGCAGTGTCCATTTTAGGCGACGTTTTGAGGCGGCCAGGTCCCAGACAGCAGTATCTGCGAAGGTGTAGTAAGGGTAAGCCGTGGTGGTGGCGGTGCGAGGTCCGGAAAGAGGATTGGAGGGTTTTTGTCCCCAACGGCTGTGGCGGTGCTAAGATGTGGCTTGTCGATATCAACACAACTTTTGACTGCAACACTACTGACACATACTGTAGGAGTAAGTTTCAGGCACTTCCCAAATATTATGTTTGTGAATGTTGCTGCAGATTTCGAGTTTAATGTTGCCGTTGTTATTGTTGTCATCAACCAGCTGCCTGACAGATCATCGAGGCACGAAGCGGGATCGACATGGGGTATTGCTTCATACGCTCTACGGCCAGATCTGCTGGCAGAGAGTAGGGATTGAATTGCTATATTTAAATTAAACTAAGTATTCTATCCGACATGTTTGTTGTTTCTTCACCAGCCCAGTCACATTGAATGGAATGCGAGCTGATTTTGACCAGCATCGTACTTAACAAAAAAAAAACCATACACGAAACAAGCCGTGGTCTACCACATTCACAAATAAGCACATATTCGATTAACAAAAGCTTCGTCCTTCTAACTTAAGCGTATTGCCAACTGACTAAAATATCACGTGATCAAAGATTATGGCAGATTCCGAGTCATGCCGGCTGCGAGCTGGAGAGCCCATTCATCTCTTCACGTAAACGAGGCAGCTCAAACAGATTTAGCGTTCTCCAATCATGTGGCGGGAGCTTATCTTTGTTTTGGGCCTGAGGCTTGTTCGCCAAGTCTTTTAGGGAAACTGATAAGGATCACGATAAGCAGAGATTTGTGTAGGTAATCGCAAATTCATCGTAACTACTCTGTATTTATTCTCGCGATTTGGAATCGACTCATCGAGTCCAGCTTGGAGAGCCGCGGGTTTTCGCCGTCCAAACAGAAGAAGAATCTGGTCTCGCTCGGAATGTATTGTTTCACCAAGTTCGCTTGTCCTACCGTCAGTTCCTTCCGTTCTAGAAGACGCAGCAATGCTTTGTTCGAAGACCCTTGATGTTTCGTACGTAGTTCGTTGTAGAAAAGATCAGAGTCATGACAATTGATGTCATGCGCCAAACGCGCACACGTGGAATTCTCCATGCAGAGACGCGCGATATCGCGATTGTATCATGCAATGTCGATATGGTGGTGCTTGGATTTCTAATGAGCAAAAGGATCTCGATCGCTGATTGGTTGAGACGGGATAGATAAGGAAATTTTAGGTTGGCCAATCAGCGGGAACGGTGGAGATTAAGGCCAGGTGGATGCCTCAGGATTCTTTGGATGCAGGAACTTTCTCCATACACATCCAGCAGCAAGCGAGTGCGTTGCCTGACTAGTCGCTGATGCATATTGTCTTTGTGTGCCAGCAACCGAGTATGACCTCTGGACAGGAGATGCGCCTATTGTGCAGACATACATCCGGTCCATAATAGGTGCCAAATCTATGCTTGCAATAGCGGTCCATTGGCAATAGACCGATCCCGCGGAAGTGATGCTTCTCCAGGATTGAATGAACAATTATCCGAGTTTCGATAGTCGAGTTATCTCGAGGAGATCCACGGAGACCCCCAGCATACTCCGTAGTGGAGATACCCAAAATGGCCCCGTCCAACCCTAGTTCCCACGCTATCTTCGCTTTCGAGAAAAAAGAAACAGCGATGGAAATTAGTCAGTTGGATCTGTTATCTCTTGGCATGATAATAGTGGATTCCTATACCATGACAGCCTGCTGCAATCGCCAAAGTAGTATGGGTCCGCTCCGCGATATTCTCGCCTGGAGGCTTGGAATCTTAGTACGACGTCTCTTATATATCCCTGCGTCGTTCCTTCTTCCTGCCTCCTGTTTCTTTTGCTCCTCCACTCTCTAGACTTTAATTCATCTTCAACAGTCCACCTGCTGCGCGGGCGTTGTCTTCCATCTTCGCCTCGAGGAGTCGACCATCGGATATCGACACACACCATCCATTCGACAGGCCATTGAGAGATCCTATACATACGCAATGTCGGACAGCGGGGATTACGTTCCTCTGGTCCCTTACAATGGGACCGATGCCACCGGTGGTGATTCTTTGACCCAGGATCTCAACATCTACTACAATGTACGTTCAGGAGTCCGGGTGGGGAGATCATGTACTGACGACGGCATCTAGGCCGGTGATATTGCGTGGATGATTACTTCCACCGCACTCGTCTTGCTCATGATTCCCGGCGTTGGGTAAGTCACGGGATCTCTTACTCAACGATTCACTCCCCCTCTAATACTTTCGTTCTGCAGTTTCTTCTACTCCGGTTTGGCCCGTCGTAAATCAGCGCTTTCCCTGATCTGGCTGTCCATCATGTCCGTCGGTGTCATCTCCTTCCAGTGGTTCTTCTGGGGTTATTCACTCGCCTTCTCTCACACCGCTGGCTCGTACATCGGAGACTTGAAGAACTTTGGTTTCATGAACGTCTTGGGTGCTCCGTCTGTAGGCAGCACCAAAGTGCCTGATCTTTTGTTCGCTGTCTACCAGGGAATGTTCGCTGCCATCACGTAAGTAGTCCTGAAACCTCTATTGGAAAAGGGTCGTTCTAATAGAAAGGATCACAGTGTCGCTCTTGCTGTTGGCGCTGTGGCTGAACGTGGCCGCATGCTCCCTTGCATTGTCTTCATGTTCGTCTGGTCCACCATCATCTACGATCCCATTGCCTGCTGGACATGGAACTCGTCCGGTTGGGTATTCAAGCTCGGAGGTCTCGACTTTGCCGGCGGTACCCCCGTGCACATTTCATCTGGCGCTGCCGCTCTCGCCTATTCCTTGATGCTCGGCAAGCGCCGTGGCCACGGTACTCACGAACTCAACTACCGTCCTCACAACGTCACCCACGTCGTCATTGGTACCGTCTTCCTCTGGGTCGGATGGTTCGGATTCAACGCCGGTTCCGCCTTGAGTGCTAACCTCCGCGCCGTCATGGCTGCCGTTGTGACCAACTTGGCCGCTTCCGTTGGAGGTGTCACCTGGTGTCTCCTCGACTACAGACTGGAGAAGAAGTGGTCAACCGTCGGTTTCTGCTCAGGTGTCATTGCTGGTCTCGTTGCCATCACTCCTGCTTCTGGCTTCGTCCCGGCCTGGTCCGCTGTCGTCTTCGGTATTGTCGGTGCTGCTGCTTGCAACTACGGCACCAAGCTCAAGTATTTGTTGGGCATTGACGATGCGCTTGATATCTATGCTGTTCACGGTATTGGTGGTATCGTCGGAAACCTTCTCACCGGACTCTTTGCTGCGTATGTATTCTGACGGCTTGAAGCGTCTAAACGCCTGTGCTAACGTTAAAATAGCGACTACATTGCTCATCTTGACGGTGCCACCACCATCCCCGGTGGATGGCTCAACCACCACTACATCCAGCTCGCTTATCAATTGGCCGACTCCGTCAGCGGTCTTGCTTACTCCTTCTTCGGGTCCTGCATCATCCTTCTCATCATCAACTTCATTCCCGGTCTCAGCCTTCGATCCACTGAAGAGGACGAAATTATGGGCATTGACGACGCGGAGATTGGCGAATTTGCTGTAAGTACTTAAATTTTTTTCCCACCATCCGTTTACAAGATGCTAATGACATATCCTATAGTATGACTATGTTGAGATCACACGCGATGTGATTGGAGCCACTGATGGAAACTCCATCCCCGTCAGCAAGGCTAACTCCCTTGAACGACCAGTCGAGGAGTCCAAGGTCTAAATATACTCGACTTTGAGTCGCAGACCAGGGGTCTGTCAATTTAGTTCGCTTATAGTTGTCCCCCTTCATTTCTATAGTTTATTTTCTTTTCTCTTGTATTTATCATCGCATCAGGATGGTGTACATGTCGAGCCGCTCATGAGATATAGAGTGGATATAATAATCATTACAGGATAGATACCCAATCAACGATTACATTATATATATATATATATATATATATTCGTTCAATATTGTAGGCATATTGGATTATGTTAGAAATAGTAGAAACCCCCCGCCATGAGTGAAAGCGTGGAGGTCATTGGACAATTTATGAGAAGAGAATCGAAGCTCAAGCTCATTGGCCCCACCCAGACTCACCTTTGTACAACCCAGTCCTAGCTACAACTTGGTCCTATCATACTTCCAAACTTTCATTGCGACATTAAATATACTAACAACATCAACCTTGAACATTCTTTATACGCGCCATCGAGTGGAAGTCGTTCACCATGGCGGAAGATGAGCAGGCACCGGTATCAGCAGGCGGTTTCCCTACGGACCCAGCAGACTTCGATAGCGACCCGCGCATCTCCTTCTCCAAGCTTGACAATAAATTTATTCTAGAGACGGAAGACGGCCAGGAATACGAATATGATACTGCGCTAAAGCGATGGGTGCAAACTGTATGTCTGTCGTTTAATACCCTGCTAATGATAGTCGATTGCGATTCGAAATGACGTACTGATTGGTATTCATCTAGATCGATGATGCATTACTGGAACAACAGCGACAAGCGTATAAGGTTGAAGGAGTGGATGAGGAAAAGGAAGTGACACGATCCCAGCTACGGAAGAAGAAACGAAAACAGCCTGATGATGTGAGACACTTGCTTTCCCTAAATGGTTCGTGAACACACAAAGACTGAACGATTTTGTATCAAGGAGAACGGCCAAAAACCAAAAAGACAGCGCGTCAACACCGCCGTATACATAACCTCCATCCCCCTCGACGCAACCCTCGACGAAATCCGCGACGTATTCTGCAAATGCGGCGTAATCGCTGAAGAAATCGACAGCGGCCGACCACGAATAAAAATGTACATGGATGAAGCGGGGAATTTTAAAGGTGAAGCGCTCGTGGTGTACTTTCGGCCGGAGTCGGTGAATCTAGCGATACAGATGTTGGATGAGTCGGATTTTCGGATAGGACAGTCTGGTCCGTCGGGGCCGATGAAGGTGCAGGCGGCGGATTTTTCGTTTAAGAGTCAACAGGATGTGCCTACGAGTACGAATATGCGGGATAAGAAGAAGATTATGAAGAGGACGCAGAAGTTGAATAGGTAAGTTACTGAAAAGAGGCTATCTTGGTTCATCGCTAATGTTCTTAGTAAACTTGCCGACTGGGACGACGACGAGCCTTCTGCGGTACTGGATACGAGCTCGCGGTTCGATAAGGTGGTGGTCCTAAAACATATGTTTACACTTGAGGAAATTGAGGTACAAAGTCTAACAGCAGAAAATATGCGAGTAGCAACTGACGTCCTGCAGAAAGATCCCGCCGCTATTCTTGATATCAAACAAGATATTCGCGACGAATGCTCCAAGCTAGGCGATGTCACTAATGTTGTCCTCTATGATCAAGAGCCTGCAGGAGTGGTGACGGTGCGATTCAGCGATCCGGAAGCTGCCCGGCAGTGTGTAAAAGTAAGTGACGGGCGCTGCTGCTTGTCATTAGAGCTCTACTAACAAGTCGTCTAGACAATGGGAGGCAGATATTTCGGCGGAACTCAGGTCGTCGCATATATTGCCGATGGCTCTGAGAAATTTAAAAAGACTAACGAGAAGCGAGCAGCGCTGGAAGATCTGGCTGAGGGTCGTGATCCGGACGAAGAAGCAGATCGGCTAGAAGAGTTTGGATCGTGGCTGGAAAATCAAAAGGAGAGCGAGCGCGTGGTGGAAAGTTTTGCTCGATGAGGCTTGTCTTGTATCTGTATCACTAGTAGTCGAGTTGTCTGCTGTACACTCTCTGTACAGTGTATAGTCTTGGCTAGAGCTGGTGGGGTGCATAGTGCCTGAGGCTTGCACTAACCTGGCTTAGCTGATTGGCTAGCGTGCTCTGTTTTCTTTGCTCTGTAGTCTGTATGCTGGACGAAGTATCTGGCAAAGATGATATTTTGGATTGTTCATTGCAGCGAATAGTTAATGTATCAGGCTAATCAATGGGTATCTCCATCCAAGTTGTTGAGAATCGAGTGCAGAGAGTGCAGAGAGTGTAGTTATGATGGTTAATGTTTATTGTTGACTTGACACGCTAACCGCATCCACACCCCCTGAGTGGCTCCTGCTTTCGTGCACGTCTCTCACTCGCTCTCCCTGACCGCTCTCTCTCTTCTTCTCCTCGTCTCTCTTCTTCCCTTCCTTCTTGTCAATACATACTCCCATTTTTTTTTGTATACCCTCAGTCCATCTTCTACCTCAATCCCTTCCATCCACATCCTTCAAAATGCGCGAGATTGTAAGTCCCTTTTTCATTTTCTTTTGACGCGTCTCGGGTATTTGTGTTTTGCACAAACCCCTGATCACCCCACTTCTGGTATGTGTGTTTTGAAATGCTACGTCGTGCTAATCGGTGGATGTTATTCGAATAGGTTCACCTTCAAACCGGTCAGTGCGTAAGTATTATCGATATCGATCATGGAAATGCACTTGTTGTCGAGATGATGTTAAAGACTAGCTCATAACAGGGTAACCAAATCGGTGCTGCTTTCTGGTGAGTGTTTACCCAAGCTTTCGATCAAATTATCGCGACGGTCGCTGACTATTTCAGGCAAATCATCTCTGCTGAGCACGGTCTCGATGGCTCTGGCGTGTAAGTCTCGATACGGTTTCTAACGACTCGACAATATCTGATAATCAAACAGTTACAATGGCTCCTCCGACCTCCAGTTGGAGCGTATGAACGTTTACTTCAACGAGGTACGTCAGAACACATCCAACTAAAAACAAAAGCAAAAAGCTCATCCAATGCTTAACAGGCCTCCGGTAACAAATATGTCCCTCGTGCCGTCCTCGTCGATTTGGAACCCGGTACCATGGATGCCGTCCGTGCTGGTCCCTTTGGTCAGCTCTTCCGTCCCGACAACTTTGTTTTCGGCCAGTCCGGTGCTGGTAACAACTGGGCCAAGGGTCACTACACTGAGGGTGCTGAGCTCGTCGACCAAGTCGTCGATGTCGTTCGTCGCGAGGCTGAGGCTTGTGACTGTCTCCAAGGTTTCCAGATCACTCACTCTCTCGGTGGTGGTACTGGTGCCGGTATGGGTACACTCCTCATTTCCAAGATTCGTGAGGAATTCCCCGACCGTATGATGGCCACTTTCTCCGTTGTTCCCTCCCCCAAGGTGTCCGACACCGTTGTTGAGCCTTACAACGCCACTCTCTCCGTGCACCAGCTCGTTGAGCACTCTGACGAGACCTTCTGTATCGACAACGAGGTAAATCACAACTAAAAATATGAGGAATCGAGTTCGGACTAACGAGTATAGGCTCTCTACGACATCTGCACCCGTACCCTTAAGCTTTCTTCTCCTTCCTACGGTGACTTGAACCACCTCGTTTCCACCGTCATGTCCGGTGTTACCACCTCCTTGCGTTTCCCTGGTCAGCTCAACTCTGATCTCCGCAAGTTGGCCGTCAACATGGTTCCCTTCCCTCGTCTTCACTTCTTCATGGTCGGCTTTGCTCCTTTGACCAGCCGTGGATCTTACTCTTTCCGTGCTGTCACTGTTCCTGAGTTGACTCAGCAGATGTACGACCCGAAGAACATGATGGCTGCTTCTGACTTCCGTAACGGTCGTTACCTCACCTGCTCTGCTCTTTTGTATGCTTACCCCTTTTCTGATGTTCTGATACCGTACTAACCTTCTATAGCCGTGGTAAGGTCTCCATGAAGGAGGTTGAGGACCAGATGCGCAACGTCCAGAACAAGAACAGCAGCTACTTTGTTGAGTGGATTCCCAATAACGTCCAGACCGCTCTCTGCTCTGTTCCTCCTCGTGGTCTTAAGATGGCTGCCACCTTCGTCGGTAACTCCACTGCTATCCAGGAGCTCTTCAAGCGTATCGGTGATCAGTTCACTGCTATGTTCCGTCGCAAGGCTTTCTTGCATTGGTACACTGGTGAGGGTATGGACGAGATGGAGTTCACTGAAGCTGAGAGCAACATGAACGATTTGGTCTCCGAGTACCAGCAGTACCAGGATGCCTCCATCTCCGAGGGTGAAGATGAGTAGTAAGTTACCCGACACTTGATAACTTGTGCACGGTACTAACTTAAATTACAGTGCCGAGGAGGAGCCCCTTGAGGCTGAGGAGTAAATTTAGTTTGCTTGAATCATCAGCATAATACCCTCTGATTCTTTCTTTCTTTTATGTTGTTACACTTTGATTCTTGAGCCCAAAATGCAGTCTAGTAGCTACTGAGATTCAATGTGTCGATACATTCCATCCACCGACGTGGGTTTGCGTGATGTATTTATCTGTTGTCAGACAGAGTAATTAATGGAACAATTCATGAGCATTTGCCTACGATGGCTCCGAGGATGTTGTCGAAACTCGCTAGAATCTACAGGGAACATGCACAATACGGGAGTAAAGATGCATTCAAACAGAAGCCTAACCGGCTATCTAATAATATGAAGACCCAGCAGCTAACAGGACATATTAAAAAAAGAAAAAACAAAAAACAAAACAAAAAAAGAATAGTAAGTCACAATCCAGCCTTCCCGATCTCATAGCACCGAATGTATGCATGTCTCATCAAGGTCGTATATCAAGTCGTAGCAAAGAGTAAAAGAGAGACTTCATTCAGTCTGTAGTTACAAGTGTCCTAAAGAGACTAGAAAAAAGGACACTGCCCCCTTCGCTCTTTCTCCAAAGTCTTCATCTCACGTTCCACATAGTCCTTGCCCTTACCTTCGAACTTTTGCGGGCCCATGTCACCCAAGTCATAGCCCTGAGGATGGTACTTATCCCCCTGACTACCAGGCACAGGGTACCCCAAGATACGCGATATGATAGCAGCTGGACTCAACCATCTATTCCACAAAGTAGGTTTGACATAGAACGGCTCTGCCGTCCAATGTGTGACATGATAAGAACCAGTTTGACGATCCGGTTTCTCGGTGAAGGAGACATGACGCATAAACTCAGGCCGAGGAAGGCACAGATTGCGTATGAAGAACTTGCGTGTTTCGAAAGCGAGAGAGATCATCTTCTCTGCGATATAGGGGGCACAAGGGTAAATCATTGCGTGACGAAGACGGTCATCCATCATAGAAGAGACGAACCAGTTGCCTAGGAACTTGAATGGACGTGGGAGGGCATAGGTGAGGATGGCTGTTGTCTGGTCGGCAGTGTCTCGGTTTGTTTGGGCGGGGACCATGGCCTTCTTTTCATATTCTTGTGCCCAGGCAGTGATTTCATCGAGCCAGTGGATTCCATCTATGAAGCCATTGACAGTGCCACTAGCAGCGTTCCCTTCTTCGGCAGCCATCGCGGCGGCTTTGGCGGATGGGAGGAAAGCAGAATAGTCAATACCCAGAGCATCTCCGACAGATTTCCAAAACACGCCCATGGCACACCGTTCCAGTTCAGTGGCTGTACGCCATTCGTACAAGTTTATGAAGCGGATGGGTTCTGTTGCAAACAGGGACAGTGTGTAGAGCATGTCTTCTTCACGGACGGAGCCCGAATTACGATACCCTTGATGCAGATACTTTGTCCGAGAGAGTCCCAAACGAGAACGCACTGATGCTGGGCTGTGGACGATGAATTCGCCAATCAGGACGCATGTGTCAACATAGCGTTTGCCAGAGTTGAGACTATTAGAAAACTGCTTAGTTTTCATCAAAGTTTTGGAGATCGTCGGGATTCCGTATGTCTATCAGAGCACGTTAGTGTCAGAGTATTCACTTTTAAGGGATGGTAAGACGTACGCGAAAAAGTGCAAATTGGAGACTCTTTTCCACGGTGAATGGAAACTCGAGCTGAGCCATTGCTCGTTGAATCTCCCATGCTTCTTGATCTGTCATTTTTGCCATCGAGGCATGCGTATCGTAGTTGTAGTGTGCCTCGAGCTGTCTGATACGACGGAAGCGAAGTGAACGGACAAGAAGCACATACGCTCCCAAGATCACGGAAGCGTAGAGTGTAATCTCTAACATGGAGAGCTGTTGGATTGAGAGGATCACCTCTCGAAGATAGCTGTATATACTATCCATCACGTGTATTGCTCTTGGGGTAACTTGGTTGATATTGAAACCCATGTCGGGTATGGCTTTGAAAGCCTGAGAGGAGCTGGCTAGGAGAGGGGGAAGGATACTTGCAGAGGAGAAGAAGCAAGAGGTTTGATTGAGACTCTCGAGGGAAAGAGCCATGTCGATATGCTTTGGATCTCTTTGTCTATGTTTGCATTTTCAGGGCAACCACAACACCGCCCTGGCAGGAATCATGTGAGAAAAGAGATGAGGTGAGATGATTTGATTTCTAGACAAGAACAGTCAGTAAGGCTGTCATGGTGAAGAAATCAGGGATATTTATGTACCATTCCAACAGCTGGGCTAGTATCGAACATCTATGGATCTCATAAGGCTCCCACGGAATATTTCACAGCCATTCAAAACAGTTCCGGGCATATTCCCAACAGGCCAAAAAACCCACATGTATGGCTGGGCTATAGACGTTCTATAATATGTAGCTAGGCTAAAAGCATGCACGAGACTGTCAAATCTAGTCTGAGAACCGTCACACATGAATCCCGATACGTGGGAACTCAATCTAGCAAAGGGTCCCGGGGTAAAGAAAATAATGACCACGGCTCGAGTATCTATAAGCCTCCAACAATTCATTGGCCGGAGAATAAAATAAGATATCGACAAGAGAAAGTGCCCTAACTAGGCACCATCGTCTCGCATTTCGGCGTGCCGAATCCGCTCCACCTTTTCGCTCACTGCATACCTGTTTTGTGTTGATGAATGGATTGTAGTAATACATAACTGATTGCCTGGTACCTCACACATTTCATATTCATTTCCCACATCTATACTTTAGCTGATATCGAAGAATCAATCCCTATAACAAGGGAAAAGAAAAACTACCTTCGGTTTACTGCATACGTCCTCATCTTTTACGCGCCGCCATCTACATGTATGAAGTGACATGAACATGGCTCATGAACCAACCAGAAAACCAAAGCCGGGATTGTATCCACGAGGCTGGAGAAGCAGAAGCCGAAGACGAACATGTCAAGAGTTGATATGACTCGAATTGCATCATACGAGGCTTCCCGCATGCGTAGAGCTATATAACTACGTGCTAAGTAGCAGGGAAGTTATAGCTGACTTGCAGGGCTGTTTGACTTATTCCCTGTCGCGGGCACATCCGTGGTATTCCAGCGCTTGACAGTGACTAAAAGAGCCTCTATGTATGACTTCCAATCAAACCTTGATGATTTCGGCCTTCTTCATCCCAATTCCTTCTTTTTCTCCTCGAAAAAGACAACATAAACAAGTACTTCCTTTTTTGGGAATAATATCCCGAAAAGGAAATTTCCCGTTCTCAGTCTCGAAACAATTTGCAGCGACAACACAGCGCCTGCAACTTTGCAAGTGATCACTGACTAAGAAAGTGCATATGTGGAAGTATACTAGGCTACGCCTTCAGTCGTATGAAGTGCCCTGGGTTTAACTAAGCTGCGCGCTAATGTATAATATGGATTTTAAAGCACGGCGCAATACCCTACAACATAGTTAACTACCGAGGCTGAATTCTCAAGAATGGCAGGTTTCACCCACTCAGAAGTTGATATCTTGTCGAGAGTGTTGGGTTTTGTTGTTGGTATCTATCTGATGCTTGTCACCGTCGTGCATGATGTGATGCGACACGATGCATCTGAGAAATGTCTGTCTCTCTTTCTGCCAGACTGCGGGGGTTGGGGTGTATAATTGGTTGAGCAGCAATACCCATAAGAAAGAAGTACTTGGAAATCATCAATAAGTATTTTCATCGATCTTTCTTTGATTCATACATACTTGACAATGCCTTTGTATGTCCGTGGTACCTATATAGAGACAAATGGAACAAGGGGGGTTCTTTGTTAGGGCTAATTTACTCGGTAGGGCTCAACCGTCTTGCTATGTAACTTCGGGACTCTTCATTTACCCTGGAGTTGTACAGGTCCCTCGTCCTGCGTAACCTCTCATACCATCATACGTGTTGGAACGGATCGAAAGAGAATGTAATAACATCGACTAGATCCCTGATTGCTGCACAGTGGCGGCAGTTGAGAGTCAGGTGGATGTCATCTACCTAGGTAGGACGCCTCATAGGTATCATTTGTAATAATTTATGAATCAGTGAATACCTAGGTATGTAGGCAACAGCGACAAAAAAAACATCTCATCACATTCTACTCCCAACCATTTATCGCAATTTCGCCTCGAAGCGCTGCTGTGCCGCACTTATATAGCGTCCTCTCCAGTTTCTCCAATTTATAATAGCCGAGACATATGTAGCTAAAATCCTCGCTTACTGACCAATAGACGATCTGTGAGCTACACCTCAGCTGTGATGTGGACTGTGCTAGCTACATAAGTCAGTGAACCGTGAGAAAGCAGAAATTGGAAAATGTACATATGGCTTATCATCTGAAATCGTGTGTTGGCTATGAAGAATAAAAATGTGAAGATCACATGGTTGCTTACTCCATCTCCGAGATCGAAATAGTTCGTACGTACGTAGGATAGATATTGATCGAAACAAGAAACTACTAGATCTGCTAAGTACATACATAAGCGAGATATACAGTCTCACAGGTGAAGTGTTTGGAGGCATGAGGAGCAGGATTTATCAATATGGGTTTCGGATTTGTTCAATCCGACATGTCGTCCAACCATGAGTTCCTATGCCTTACGTAGGTATGGATCTTACTTACACCGCTTATAAGTGGCCCATCACGCTCTTCAGGTCGATTCATCTTCTGGTCTCCGAACTGGGTCATACATGGGCATGGGTATGGGCCCTCAAATGTAACTAACATCTTTCTTCATCTGGATAGGGCAGAAAATACAAACAAAGCAGAAAAGCGAATCGGAAAATGAGACAACGATGCAAGTCATGCTATTGCCACTTATAGTCAGTACTCAGGTGCAAACCGGGGAGAACTAGTTGGAAGATCAACGACTATTCTCATTGTTGCAAATTTTAGGATGATCGTTGAAAACTCGGTAAGGATTTTGGTAGCCTTTTCTTCATTTTTGATATAGTACATAGGTATGTGCCAAAGGTTCCAAGGCGTTGGTGCGATTGGTGAAAGTATTCTACCTAGGTAAGAGTGATATATTTTTACGCTAAGCTGTTGTCGGAAAAGAGAAAACTTGAATAATCAAACGTAGTCATATATTGAAAGTCGACTGACCCTGTCTAAACGAATGCATATCTCTATACCCTAGAGAATGTCGAGGTATAATGACAACAACAATAATAAATAAAAATAGTCTCAACATGTACAAGTGAATGTAAGAATAATAATATCGCACTTTCAGCAAAATAAACCAGATCAACTTCAAGGGATAAGCACTCAATAACTCCGTATGCTATGTTTGTTCGTCCATTTGGCAGGAAACCGAAAGACCAACCTGACGACTGTTCGACAAGTTGACAAATCTAGTAGTATGCTTTTCAGGGGAGAGAAAGATCTGAACACCGAGCCACCCATGTCTATTAGAAAAATTAATAGCCGTTAGGCAATTCACCCAAAAAGATAATACCCAACTCCTGACAAAAAGAAAAGAAAGATGCGGAATATCGAAAAGAGATGATTATTCATGCCAATCAAGATTGGATATTTTCTTAAATATCCGGCTGATGTGTTAACCTCACAACAGCCAGATTTATTGCAGCGGCGCCTGGGAATGAGAGGTAGATCGCCGACTACCGAATGTAGTCATCGTGTTCGACCGCGACCGTCTCGAAGTAGAGCGTCGTCCACGACTCGGCACGCGGTCTGGAGGCGCATGTTCAAACACCGGGATTAAATCAGGATTCTGACTTGGTGGAGTTGAAGACGATAGAAGATCGTAGTTGTTCACAATAATCGGATCGTCGTCGGCAGTTTGCGGGTGAATATCAATACCCTGCTGTTTGTCCAGGCCCGAATGTGGGCTGCTGCTTGACAAGTGCCACGAGTCTTGTTCGCCTGGGTTACGTTCTACAGGCGACCAGCCCGCAATACTTCCCGCAATAACTCCAGCCATCGCAGCAGCCGGTCCAAATGCCGAGTTTGACCGAGACCGTGGAGTGCGGTTTCGAGAACGTGACTCTGGAGTGGCGGGGGGAGGGGACGATGGCTCGGCGTCTCCATTGTTCGATCCAGCAAAGATTGATTCTTCGCGAGAACGTGATCCGCTACGTGATCGAGGGAGGAGAGTTTCAGGGTGCTGCAATTTGTGTTTGATATTCTTCAGACGTCCACCACGAACCGTCTTCAAGAATGTCAGCTGGTCCCGAATCTCTTCCAGTGCAGGATTCCACTCATATCGACGCTCTTCATCTGACACCAACACTTGAGGTCCCCGATTCTTCTTGCGTTTCCAGAACGTTGGGATAAGTCGCCGAACAAACTCATCAGGTATCAGTCGGATTACAACGGCCATTGGGATAGATATCACGCCAAGAACAAGTGAAACTCCCCACTCAGGACCATTCAGCCGTGTGATGGCGAAAGCTTGGCCTCCAACGAAAATAATCAACACTTGTCCACCGATAATGATCAGTTGAATTCCCAAAAACCAATAGTTGCGGAACATTCCCTCGAAAATGTTGAAGTGATTATCCAAACGACGACAATTATACTGGTTGAAGATTTGCATCCAGACAAATGTATTGAAAACGACCGTCTTGAGCTCTTTGCTGGGATCATCCAGATTGGTGAACACGTTCATGCTCCGCAAGATGCTTACTCCAGCAAAGTTCAATATCAGTGTAATGACCAGTTGATAGATAGCCTGTCCAATCACCATCTTCCACATGGTGGCAGTGATCAAGGGAGCGGATTTCGGTTCCGGACGACGCTCAAGAACGGACGCAGCTGGTGGATCAGTAGCTGAGATATGTTAGCTTCGTTACTTTTTCAAACTAGAATAACTCTGGAATCTTACCTAGTGCAAGGGCCGCAAAAGTATCCATAATCAAATTGACCCAAAGCAACTGAACCGCAGTCAAGACGGAATTCTCGTCACCGCTGGCAACCGCTGACACAAAGGTAAGAATGACGGCAGTGATGTTGACAGTAATTTGGAACTGCAAGAATTTCTTGACAGCGTCATTAACAGTGCGACCCCACGACATGGCCTTCACAATAGAAGTGAAATTATCGTCCATGAGAATAATGTCAGACGCCTCTTTTGCGACTTCAGTTCCCGAGATACCCATAGCAAAACCGACATCAGCCGTCTTCAAGGCAGCAGCATCATTGCTACCATCACCAGTCACAGCAACAGTTTCACCTAGTCGTTTAAGTGCTTCCACAAGAATCTTCTTGTCTTCAGGACTGGACCGTGCTAAAACTTGTAGACGAGGAATAATTTGGTTCATTTTCTTTGTGCTTAGATTCCTGAACTTGGGACCCTCCATAGCGACACCGCCGGCCGTGTAGATATCACATTCCTGAGCGATGGCTTTGGCAGTGTTGATATTATCACCAGTGACCATTCGGACAAAGATACCTGCACGTTGGCATTGCTGGACAGACTCGGTGACGCCCGGCCGTAGAGGATCTTGGATACCCACGACACCTATTAACGTCATATCTAAGAAGACAGCGTCAAAGACAGCCAGGTTTCGGTCATCCTCTTGCGTAGGAGCTCCACGAGGTGGCCATTGTTCAAAGTCGCGATAAAGCAAGCTGATAGCTCTCAGAGACCGTGAGGCGTATGTGTTGGCAATGTTGAGAAGACCGGTACGAGCATCATCACTAATTGGGACACTGCTCAACCCACTTTCAATCTTGTTTAACACCCGAGTGGATTTTCCGAGAAGAATTTCCGAGGCTCCTTTGACAAACATGCGGTACTGGCCTTCCTTTCGTTTGACGACGACAGCCATACACTTGCGACCGGAGTCAAAAGGAACGATTTGAACCATATCAGCATTAGAACGTCCTTCACTGACGCTTCCAAGACCAAGATATTCTCTCGCAAAAGTTAGCAAAGCCGTTTCAGTTTTTGAGCCGATATAAGTCACTCGTCCGTCATCCTCCTGAGACTCAAAAGCTGTCGAGTTTAGGACGATGGAATCCAACAGGAGTTCTTTGACATCAGAAGACAGACCAGAAACCAAAGTGGAAGGAGAAACTTCTCCTGCGTCAGAACCTGTGTTCTCATCGGACTGTGATGATCCGTTCTTCTGATTGTCAAAGAAGCGATTCGACGCTCCCAGGCATCCTGCAACAATCTTCATCACGTTCTGGGTCAAAGTACCGGTCTTATCAGAGCAAATGGTAGTAGCGTTACCCATTGTTTCACATGCACGCAGTAATCTGACCAGGTTGTTGTCCTTGAGCATCCTAGTAGTGGCGAAAGCAAGAGCCAAGGTGACAGCGAGCGGCAGCCCTTCAGGGACAGCAACGACGATAACCGTGACGGCGACAATGAAAATTTGCAAGAAAGCCTGACCCTTCTCTCCGGGACTACCCAAAGAATTCAACTGGACGCAGAATTTGATGAATAGGACGACGAAAAGTAAAAGACCAGCGGCAAGACCGAGTTTAGCAATATATTCAGCGAGCACATTGAGCTTGGATTGCAGGGGTGTGGTTTGGCCCTCATCCTGAAGAGACATCAAGGTCTTTCCATACACTGAATGAACACCGACGGCTGTGACCATAAATCTGCCCACACCCTCAGTCACCTTGGCTCCGGAAAGGATGAACGGATCCAGTTTATTCAAGGATTCGTGGTTCTCGATGGCTCGATATACGTCGTCCGCAGAGTGCTTGCGCAAAACATCCGATTCACCAGTAGTAGAAGACTCGTCGCACTTGATATTGTGCCCTTCAATCAGAACACCATCAACGGGGACCAAATCACCAGGCTCCAGTAAGATGACATCGCCGACTAGAATATCATGAACGGAGATTTCGACCGTCTTGCCGGATCGGATACCCTTGACCTGGCGGTCCTCCTTTTTCTTGTTGAGTTTGACGAATTGCAGTTCCTTTTGATAATCGTTCACTGCTCCGACTGTAACCACGATAAGGATGGCGATTATGATTGCGACACCTTCAACCCATTGCACCCGAGCCTCGCCATCGGTAGCTGTAACAGATTGATAAATTCCAAGCGCCAGCGAAATGACTGCAGCAATTGAAAGCAAAATAAGCACTTTATCGTTATAAGCAATCCACGCAAGCTCCCAGATTGTCTTGACTTTCTTTTCAGGAAGTTTGTTCTCTCCAAAAATTCGCTTTCGATCTGCATATGCCTCTTGAGACTGAGAATATCGGCTCGATTGCGTCCGGTGGGTGTCTGTCCGGCTGACTGATTTCGGTTGGTGATTTCCGTTCGTAGCATGCACGGCATCGTCAAAGGTAACGGTGCCATCCAGATAGGTTTCGTCGATGCTTAAGCCAGAGTTTCGATCTGACCTTAACCCTTTCTCCAAACCTTTCATACCTCCCACGGCGTGAAGTGCACCAAGACTCTTCGGATTGAAGAATTTTTTCAGCTGACCGGGTGAGAATGCAAACTTATTATCCTCAACTTCGAAATCCTCCTCAGTCCCCGGATCTGGTCGCAAAGCTTCCTCGTCATTCAAGAATAAGGTGTTCCCGCGACTGAAGTCTTGCGACATGCGTTCAGTATGCGACGGACTAGACTGCACATAAGTATCACCGCCGAATGAGTAGTCGGTGTTACTTCCGTTCTCGGACTCTATGGAATTGCCCCGAGATCTGGCGCCGGGAACTGCGAGAAAGTTCGAATGACTTTCACTGTTCAATCTTGAAGTCGGAGAAGAGACATTATGTGGGGAGGTCGGTCTACTTTCTCGATACCATTCGGATGATGTTGTTGATCGTGCGTCGGTGGGCGAAATGCCCGAATGTACGGTAGTGTCTGAGTTGTCGCGCGACAGTGACGGGGTGCCGGTCTGGCCTGCCTGGCCTGTTGGCGAGCTCTGCTGGAAGTTCTGATCCGTTGGAGTCACCGGGCTCACCGCAGAGGTGTCAATTGTGATTGTAGGCGCCCGCGCACGACGCGTAGGGCCCTGATTCTGGGAAGGCCCCCCATTCTCAGACATCTTGCCTTCGGTGCCTTTTTGATCTTTCTTGAAAGAAAGATGGCGTCTAAGGGAACGCGGAATTAAATGTCGATGTATACCTGGCCATCGATATTTGAAGCCAACATCAGTTCAATACAGAGTGCAAGCTAATGATTTGTCGAATGATCGATTGTAACCGAGCACAGGCAGAACTGAATATGGACACTAGATGCTGAAAACGACATGCAAAGTTAGTGGTTACACATGCATGAGCTTGGAGGTAAGCTGCTTCATATGCTTATGGAAGACTAAGAACCTACCAAAGGCAAAATGTAGGAGGCGCAGCACACAGTAAGCCCGGAGAGGTCCGTCAAGAGAGAGGCGTATAAAGAGGCAAAGAACGTCTGTGGACTCTTGGTATTTTCTTGAGCACAAAACACGAGGCAGTTTTCGGTGATTGCAAGCGCCTTCAGACGTTGAGCCGTTGTGTTTGGAGAAGAAGTATGCAGGGCAGAGGAGAGACGGGGACCGGGAAGGAAGGCGCCTGTTCAGGGTTCCAAAAGTCCCTGGATTCAGCCCAATCACACGACAAGAATGTTTGGCGGTCAAGAATCCGGGAATTGCAAGGTTTGTCCAGACCTTTTTCTTGCTGGAAGGATCATGGATACGTACTTGACAAGCGAGAGGCGACTTGATTCATCCGGTTCTACAATAGCGACTAAGCCCGTCTAATTTCTTTTCACTCCATAGAATCTACCAGTCCCGGAATGTAGCTATCTCGCCACTCGGTCACATCGTGAAAATTCTCAGGAAAAGATATCAGGGCCATGGAAACAAACAACATGGCACTCGTTTGGAGATGATCTTGGCATAGCAGCACTGCCTCACATTTGGCGCTAGTGTTTCCGCAGTGGGTAGCACCCATCTTAGTGTAGCGCTTGCTAACACGGAGACGGCCTAGTACGGAGGGTACTCTCTATATAAACGGCCTCTCCTGTCTCGATCCATGATTCCATAAACATCGAGCCATTGAAAGACGACGCAGTAAGTGACCGTGCGCACCCCATAGTAATTTTGACATTTTGCAGAATTCATGCAACAACATAGGGAGAATGTATGATTCATACCCAAATATTTCCAACTGAGGCTAAGCCTCATTAGCGCGCAAGTAAGAGTGCCTTAGGCTGGCTAGACGAAGATCGGATCTCCAGCTCAGTCCGCCAATCATAGCGTGATTATCACAAACGCTAGGACGCATCGGGGAAAGTAGTTCCGACGTTGACTGAGTGCGATCTAATTGGCTGCTTTATCACCATCCGTCCTACTACGTACATCACCTTGATTCACTCCACTTGCGCATCTCCTAGACTCTCCTACGAGTACGGGATAATATGATCTGATAGAGTTGGCCTGGTGACGCCATGCTCAGGCCCTGCCATGGCCGCATGCAAGAGGGTTTACCAATTGAGTGGAAAGTTGGGGTGATGCGACGTGTTTCATGCTTGATCTGATAACAGTATCACCTTGGCCACCTGGTCACGGTCTATTCGATATAGCATTGCACCAGTCTACAGTCCAATAAAATGATAGATCGATATTGACTATTGAAAGGATTGACTTGTCTGCCCTCACAGCCCCCTTGCCAATACCACAGCTACGTACGTACTACCCTAATCCAAGCCCGCCTCCCGCATTTATCTCTTTCGGCACCTACGTAGAGAGCTTACTCATACGGCGCCATCAGCCGATTTCCCAAGACCTTTCCAACAAACTTCTCCTCGCCAAGCGCCGCCGTATGAGCCCAGGGCTTCAAGTGAAGCTCCTTGTGTATCGTGTCCGTGAAACAGGTACTCCATTTCGATCGGGGGAACGCCTTCGACACAGCCTCAATGGTCTCTTGGTGTACGAGATCAGAGAAAGATCCGGTGTTATCTGATAACCCCGCCAAGTCAATTCATAATTTAAAAAAAAAGTGTACTTGTGTGTCTCTATGAGTCTGAGAACGCTATACGAACCGAAAATCGTCGCCAACTGAATCAGTTGTCCCACGGCAGTAATCTTGCCAATCTCACAAAGATCCTGATGTCGGATAATTGCTTCCGCTACACTTTCAGCCTGTTCTCTGGGCGCGATGGCAGTTGCATCATCATCGTCGTCAGCATGCTGAAGAACATCTAGCGCAAGAAATCCGCCGTAAAACTCAAAACTGAGTCTCGTCTTGTTCAGATTTTCTTCCGTAGTGCCAATGTCATGTAACAAACAACTCAGGAAGTATGTCTCGTCGGAAAAGTCCCATACTGACCCTCCACTGGGTTGGAGACGGTATTGCCTGATCGCTTGCCCAAAGTAATAGACTCGCAAGCTATGGTTGTAAGTGGTTTCGGGGAGATGCGCCTTTGCGTAGGCCTGGATGCGCTTGGCGAGGGCTGTGTTTGGGATGGAGAAATCAGAGATTGAGTATGCTGGTGGTGGCGACGAGGGCTTGGTGGTAGGATCGTCGAGAAGTTGGGTTGCGGACGCTGGGACGGCCGCGAAGCCGTATTCGGTTATTGGGTTTGAGGACATCGAGATGGTACCTGAGCGTCTTCCTGATAGGAAGGTATATTGCTTGGCTAACTGGCCTGTATAAAGTAGTTCTGGCTTTGGGTAAGAGCCTGCTATCTACAGAACTGTTCGAAACATCACGCAATTTATACTACGACGAGCCAGTGCTCTGTTCATACCCATGACTATTAGTAACTAAGTTAACCATTACTTGATTAAGTATCCATTACGCTCGGGACGTTCTACGCCTTGTAATTGACAGGCGTGTCTTTGAAATCGGGTTGAGGCACGATGCTATCTACGTTCTTTGGTCGACTCTCCTTCCAATTAAAAGACATGTCAAAGCCAGGGCGCCGACCCGGACATCCGCCCATGTGTTTGTTTGTAAGCTTGATATCCCAGTCTCCATCTGTCAGCCGGAATCCAGGGTTGAGCGGACATACACTTACGGTTACTTCCTATGTGAGTTACTTTTTGAATACAGTTATGATAGATTTTTTTTCCGTCCGTACATTTAATACAATGATTCTCCCTATGTTCCGTGTAAGACTCACTTTTACGGAAGAAACCCAAGCACAAGTACTCCGTACAATGTGACAAAACTACCTCACTCAAGATCCTACTAACGCTAATCGTGATTCTCCGCCACCTCGACATTCCAGATACCGAGGTGAGCAGGCCCATCTGCCTTCTTCCTGATCTTCGCTTCGGCAGGAGCGTTCACTATTGCTACTGACGCCAAAGCCATGGCATCCGCCAACTCTCTCATGCGGCGCGTATGCTGGAAGCAACCAAGGATGTGGGTGTCCTCTGCAAGTGCAATCGCCAACTCCATATTTCGGGTCAACAAACGGCGATCGAGTTTCAGACTGGCATAGTACAGAGCGCTGAGATAATTTAGAATGATGTCTGGGAAGTAGGTGTTTCGAATGTAAAGCAATGGCTTCATATCACCGTCTATATTGAACCAACATTAGTTTCCGGTAATAAGAACAAGGAAGCAGAGAACTTATAACTTACTCTTCGGTGGTGTAGTAAGCACACCGCATTCTCTGTCAACCAACGATTCTACATGCTCGGTTGCATTTTCAATGCATTCTTGTAGACGCGCCGAAAGCATTTCGATCTGCATGTCATCTGGCTCCACGGAGTTCCTAAGCCTTGTGATTAGAAAAAAGCATGTTAGCAAGAGCCTAAAAGCGACGAGAAGAACGCAAAGCAACATACAGTTCGAGATGCTCCCATGCTTCCCTGAAATCATCCAAAGCAACGTATGACCAGATAACAAATTCCAGGTCAATCAGAACAAGAGCTTCATTGTATCGTTCGTGCCGTTCATCCTCAGTCTGAGGGCGGCGAAACCGTGAACTCTTTGAAGGACTCTTTGTCGGACTACGGAGCACTGAATTGTCGTCTACCAGAGAGAGGTCATCAAAGAATGCACTCGAGCGTATATCATACCCAAGGACTTTTTGTGATAGCTCAGACAGAGGTAATCTCTCACTGAGCTCTCTGGCTTCCAGGAGCATGCCGTTACCTGTAACACAATCAGATTTCGTGATTCAAAAGGTCGTGTCTTGATAAGCTTACCGAAAAGCCTCTTGTAAAGAAACTCCATTGAGGCGCATATAGTTCCCCACTTTGCTTTAAGAAATGTAAGCCATTCAACGCAACGGATCACTCCCTCGATCTTAGCACTCATAATTTCTCCAGTAAACTTTTTGCTAGGTGGCAGTAAAATCACGACCCCCTTCGCCTTATCACGCCTGATTTTATGATCAAAGGTGACGGTACGCTTTTCTGACTTTGGTGCTTTGGCAACGATGTACTTCGCAAGAGCTATCTGAACTGCCGACATATCAATACCGTGTCTCTCCAAGAGATTGGACATTCGGTCCTGGTCTCGAGTTTCTTTGATGTCGATCAGTACCCGCACAACGACTTTCGGGGCCAATTGGGGTGGCATGAAGGATGCGTAAAGCGGAATCCAATCCGTGAGCCCAGCTTGATGCAAATTTTCGGCATAAGCCATCACATTCAACGCACCTTTCTCGGAGAAATGTGCGTCAGACCGAGTATATGACAACCTCTGCGTGACGATGTACATATGACTTATGATGCGCAATGCGTCCTTGTCTCGAACCGCGATAAGTGCTGAGCTATCAACGCCTGTTGCTAGGATATCTGGCACCAAAGACTCGTTAAGCAAAGCCTTGTTGCTCTCTGATGCTGCATCCGCCATCGAAAGGAAGAACGAATCGAAGTTCCTCCCTAAAATTGCTGCTTGTATTGTCGAATAAGGGTTGCGAGCTTCCATGCCAACGGATTCATGCGATTTCAAGCTATCCAAAAACCTTTTAATAGCATTGTAATCCATTGGCCCAGGAACAAAAGGCACACTCGCCAGAGGAGAATGGCTGAGCTTTCTGGAAAATTGAGAGCAGAATTCTCGATAGCGCGAGAGTAGGATGTTATTGTAGAAGACATAGAGGTAATCATCCCAGCTTTGACACACATGATATGCCGGTTCTGTCTCGCCACTAAGCAGGGCATACACGGCCTTTTCATAATCACCTGTGTTTGGGTTCCGAGCGAGAGCGGAGCACGCCGCTCGCCATGTATCCTGCGACTGGCAATTCATCATGCGCGTCATGCTATCACCCACTTGCTTTTTTGTACCTGATGACTGATCTTCGACCCTCGAGCCACAAAGACTCACCGCGCGCCAACCTTCAAGACGCTCTTGAGACCATTCTTGAATTTTTTCCCAGGTCTCACCCTGTCTGAGCATCTTCCAGCAAGTCAACCAAGTAGCTTCTTCGTAGAACTTGTCCTGTTTCTGCAATCCGTGCTTCTGACGAATGACAGCATCTGGGTCGAGTTGAGTGATCAAAGGTTCTTTGTTGTCAGAATCCAGTAAGGAGGCCAGCAGGCCCGGGGAACCCGGCTCTAGCGGCTGTGGCCATGCCCGTAGTCGTTTCTGACCTTTAATGGATTCCTTGGTGTACAGCCAACCGTGAGCCCACAACCCGCTACCTCTATCTGCCTGAGCTTCCAAATTTGCAATCATGGCATCCAGATGCTGGGACGATGATTTTGCCTTGACCTCGAGCCACCGCAAAACCATCGCACACTCTGCGGCATACTTATCAGCGTCTAAGAATTGGAGCCAGATTTCCTTGTCTGTGGAATAGCGGTGTAGATTTTGGAATACAGATTTTTGTGCTTCTTTGCAGTGAGCTTGTGCTGTGGGTTCATCTAAAGCGATTAGATTGAGGAACAGATCCCAAGTGTCAACCTCAAGCTGTAATCGTCGCAGATCTTCTTTGCTTTTTGCGTCTGGTTGATCTGCCACACGGCTCGTGTTCCAACCCATCTTGGCCTTCTGAATTGTGCTTTGACGGGATGCATCTTTGATTGCGTCTGAGGCGTTCTGATGATAGCTTTTAATCAGAGAGTAGGCGGCCTGGTAAGTAGCATCTTGATCACGATCCTGCTGCTTGAATTTGTCAAGCTTCTCTGCAAAGGCTTGCATTTGGCGGGTAACGCGGTCGGCTGTGTGTCGCAAGGGATGCAGTGCTTCTTGAATACCTGAAGAAGTAAACATCGACGAGTGAGGGAGACGAATGGCTAGATAAATAGAATTAGCTGCGTTGAAGTGAAAACAACCTCATGTCGCAATTTCTTACCTGGACTACTCTGTAAAGTCCTTGTGTTGAAAATGTCCGTAGAGTCAATACCATTGACTTTTCCAAGTGACTCTACGGTAAGTTCTTCTTCTCTCTCTTCCTCCTCCTCTTCTTCCTCATCGTTGTCGACATTGCTTTCTTCGTCTTCTCCAGTTACTTCTTCATCGTCTTCAACGTTGTCACTCTCATCTTGTTCCATATCATCAACACTATTTTCATTGTCGCCGACCTGCTCGTCGTCATCATCGTCATCGATTTCGATGACATCGGGTTCGTTGTTGAACTGGGGTTGGGTTGGCTGCAAGCAAGGTATTCCGTCAATAATCTTCGCCAACAAAATAAACATCCAGCCTCAATCACTTACCCTCCCAAAAACAAAGCTCGGCGCATTTCGCGGGGCAGCCGGCGAGTGAAATACCGGCGCCATATCGTCGACTCACCGTCTGAGAAGTGTAGTCGAAGTGAGATTGCAATGAGCCAAGGTAACGTGTTTGCAAAGTAAGATCGCAAGAAGGAAGCCTTGGAAGCTCTTTTGGGCGGCGACTACGTTGGCGCGTCTGCACTATACTAAAATAGGACTAGTGTAATAAAATCTCCGCCTCTCTCTTTAAAAACAATTTTTCTTCACTTTTCTTTCTCTTCTTCCTTTTCTTCTTCAACAAATGTCTTATAGGCAACCATTAGAGTCTCGGATCTTACTTTTCAGTGTTTGACAAGCCGCGCTCAGAGTTGTCTTATATTGAACTTGTCAGTTTCTACAACTAGTCCGACTCTCCTCGATTTTCATTGATTTTCAATATGGAGGTTTAGACTGCAAAGGAATTGGTACACACCACAATCAATGCTAAGATATGTTCGATTCAGGGACTGAAGTCGGTCTATTGCTATATATGATAAAGCTGGTTATGCAACGATATAGGTAGAAAAATTGATTTTCCATCTCTTTGTTAAAAAAGAAAATATGAACATATTCACCTCAACTGCTGCGCCCTCTGTCTCATCTTGACCCTGAGTAGGCTGGCGTTTGGACAACTGGGTGTCTTTGCATCCTCGCCGCGTTGCTGGTAGAAAGCATTGCAGCATTCATATAGCGCGTCTATTTGGGCCTGGCACTTCTCTTCGTTGTAGGAATTCTTGGTCAAACATGCTGGCAGTTCATCAGTACTCGTAGCTGGTACCAAATGAAGGGGGCTAACCCTGGATGGCACACTAGAAGACGCTGTTAGTGGGAATGACTTAGACTAGCTAAGTGAGAGTACAGCCACTACTTACAGCACGAGGGTGACATGGAGGGTCATAAGCAAGATCATCTTTCAGATTACCCTACAATTGCGTCCATCACTATCAGTTCTTGACCAGTTGAAGTCCCAGGAAGTGAGATATGATTTGTACCATGATGAAGACCACGTGATTCCATACAAGTCATAAAATGCCTAAAGAGACTTCGAAAATCTGATATGAGGCACAAAGAGAAAAATATAACCAGATCAATATATCTATCTATTTACAATCAAATTCTGTTTCCTATATGACGTGAAGCCTGAGGCTGCTCCGATGCGCCGCAATATAGATTTTCCGGGCTAGTGGGGTTCTCACTGATTGGGCGGTGGCGGCGAGCGCTTTCATCTTGCGATCACTTATTTTCTTTGACTTCTACATTTCTCACCTCTCACTCATCCTTTCCTCTCTTCCTACAACTGAGCTTCGAGAGTCTTTCATTCTACGCTTAGACAACTCGCTCTGTGCTTTAAGTATGTCTGTTTCCTTCGTGCCCTGCCAGTTTACATGCTTCGGACCTGTTTCTATTCTCATCTACTTCCATGACTAACTCCGTCTGATTTCTAGCACGATTTCCAGGCTGCCTCTTCTTTCGTTTTCACCTCTCTTAACATACGCGCCCTCTGTTCGCGAAATGGCCGACAACGCAAGTGCTGACGGCGCTGCTCCGGCGCCCGAACACCTCAACATCAAAGTCACAGACAACCATAACGAGGTCTTTTTCAAGATCAAGCGCACAACTCAGCTGAAAAAGCTCATGGACGCTTTCTGCGAACGACAAGGAAAGCAAGCTTCGACCGTCCGTTTTCTGTTCGATGGGACCCGTGTTCGCCCAGAGGATTCTCCGGATACTGTAAGTAGAGTTGACTACATTCTTCTAGAGTCATGGGGGGAAGATGACGATCAATTTGACATAACGTTATTCATATTGACTAACGATATCCTTTTCCCACAGCTGGATATGCAGGACGGTGATACCCTAGAGGTTCACCAAGAACAAATCGGAGGTTAGAGGGTCACCTTTAATATCGAAATCCTTCTCTCCAGCCGACTTTTACATGTGTGTTACGACAGCGAATTTGGTCATTTAGGACATAAAAATGTTTCAAGCTGAGCGATGATTTTGGCGCTGACAGCCTTGTCTACAAGAAATGGGTCTTGGCGTGCATTTTGTTTCATTGTCACATACAAGTGCTTTGATCATACTTGTCCATCGCAAAATGGTTCCACTAAATAATTAAGCGTATCCAGACTACCTAAATCTGCGAGTCAATTCGCACCCTTTTCTAGTGTCGACACAAGACTAAATGATACCACGCTACTATCACATTCAATCGAAGACTTGTATTATTCGCTATTGAAACTCCATAGGCAGACGACGGTCTTTTATGATACAAGTAGAAGCAACGGGAAATGTGACTCTCCGCGCGTCATGCGTCCCATACAGCTGCTTTTGCGCGTTCCTCTTCCTGTCTAGCTTTCGCCTCCTCTTCCTTCTCTTTATTCCGACGTTTAATCTCCTTTTCTTTCATAGCTCTGTCATACGCTCGTTGCTCTTCCGTCCTTTTCGGAGCGCGTATCCCCAATGCACCAGCAATCATCCTGCTAGCTACCGCTGTCTGTTTTTCCGGTCTAGCGCGAGCACTGTCTCTAGTTGACGACGTTGAAGTAGATGTGGTTGTAGGAGGAACTCGACCCCATTGTGGAAGACCATAATCATCTCCGTCGAGGTTTGTACTGGGTGTTGAAGGAGGTGCCAATGGTCCCTCTGATTTGGTAGCTGCCAGTGGGCTCTTGAACTTGGCTTTTGTGTCGTCTTCCTTTTCTATCTCCGTGGTGGAAGCTTTTTCATCATCAGAAAGGTCATCCTCCCATGAATCTGCTACAGCGGCCTTCTTTTTCTTTGTGTTGTTCTTGTCTTTGCTTCCCTTGGTGAAAGTAGTTGTAGCGTCTGTTGCCGATAGACTGAGCCGCGAAATATCAGGACCGGGCCTTTTGTTCTGTATGCTCAATTCTTCTAATGACTTCTCGAGACTGGCTGTTACATTGGGACCAGGTCCAAGACGGACAATTTAAAGTGTTAGCTTTTCCTTCCTTGATATGAAATCACGATAGTACGGACCTTTGGACTCTGCGGGGAGATCACTGGCCATATTTACCCAGGTCTTGCGAAACAATCAATCTGCTGGCTATGAAAGGGGAAATTGGAGTCGTCCTTGGGTTAATTGAAGGTCAGGAAATCCAGGCACAGCTTTCACTTGTATAGGGATGGAAAACAGAAAGGGAATGAACTGCGTCATTACCGAGACATGCGACAATGCCGCTGTAAGTTTCATCCCACCTGAAATACATACGCTATTACCGTAATTTAACCCCTCGTTTTTCCGGGGTCAGTAATACATTGATCTGATTAGCCGGGGAGATGAACATATCCCATAGATCTGGCGATCTTCAATTTCTGGCTGTATTTGCTTGTCAATTCTTGGTATTTGTAGAGCAAGATCACCCTTAGAGATCTAATGACGTATGTCTTTGTCGTCTCCTCCTCAGCGCTGTACGTAGCTCCCTGCCTTGAAGATAACTTAATTACTCTGTTACTCTATACTGGGTACGGATTCTTCAGTCTTACAATCGGGGGTATGGTTCACGCAATGCAATCACTTGAAGTTCGGATTGCTACTATTGAGCTGCCTGCGTCGTCTATCGTGCGTTGCTGTGCTGTGGGAGCTGCTCATGGAGAGTGCTGGTGACGGAACTCTGTCCGGTTCCTAGAAATTCTCTTTCTTGTGTCATTCAATCGTCGATATTGACTATGTACGAGATTGCATGTTGCTTGATTCTTCTTGACTTTCTTCCGCAGCCAACCCTAATCTGATCGACACCAATTAGCCCTAATCCAATCTGATATTGAAGACATTGAGCTAGCAATTGCAATCTTCTCAGCACTGTTCTTACCAGACAAGTAATTCAATTAAGAAATCGAGTATATAGATTGACTTGTTCGCATGTGAAGACAATTATCGGAGAGTAAGCCGGTCGTAGTCTCAGGCAACGTGATATACTAGGCTAATATAACACCGCCCAAGTAGCCGACTTCGGAGTTGGTTGATCGGCTTCACTCCCGAACAATTACCCCAGACTCTCTCTCTCTCTCTCCGCATCTTGAAACTCTATGCCCACCAGTATATCCTGGGCTATACTATACAGCCTACTCTGATCTGGAGGGAGCTATTTGAGACTTAATTCGCGCCTGGTACAAAGGTACATATATATACATATATATTTTGAGACCGACCGTTATTACAATCCTTGATATAGCGTCCACCAAATGACTCGAGCACTCAGTCTATTCCATCAACAGCAAAATTAGAGTCTATTGAGCAAATTTTCTTCCAAAAATAAATGAGGAAACTAGCATAGCGATGATGGCCAAGACAGTCCCGCATATTACGTCCCGGCTTTCAAGGGCTCGCACAGCAAGATTTTCAACATCATCAAGATCGTTTGGATATGCCGATACGCTACCCAACCTGAAGATTGGTGCACACACCAAGGTATTATATCAAGGATTTACTGGTGTGTAATCAAGCACTTACTGTCTGTGTGCCAAGCTTGTATTAACCTTTCTCCTAGGCCGTCAGGTAGGAAGATCAATGCGAAACATTACGCCTCTCTTCTGCTGACATCGTGTTCTTCAAGGCAACTGCAAATGCCAAGGAGTCATTGAAATGGGGAACAAAAATTGTTGGCGGAGTTAAACCGGGGGTGGAAGGTGAACATTTGGACTTACCCATTTTCCCCTCGGTGAGAGTAGTAAGTCCCGTCATAATTTTAGCTGAGTGATTATAGGTACTGAGAAAACTGAAAGGCCAAAGAGAAATCAAATCCGGATGCATCTGCAATCTATGTGCCAGGGAATCAGACAGCGCAAGCAATTGAAGAGGCGATAGAAGCTGAGATTCCTCTAGTCGTTGCCGTTGCAGAACATGTTCCAGTACATGATATGCTGCGAGTACGTGGTGATTGCATACAGACGTTGTACTGTTGGTACTAAGATTTGTTTAGATTCATTCCATACTCCAGACACAGTCCAAGACGAGACTAGTAGGAGCCAATTGCCCCGGTATAATATCTGCAGTCGGCAAATGTCGTATAGGGTTTCAGCCTTTACCATGTTTCACCCCCGGTAGAATAGGGGTCGTTGCCAAATCTGGCACATTGAGCTATGAAACGGTGGGATCATTGACTAGAGCTGGCTTAGGACAAAGTCTTTGCATCAGTATGGGAGGTGATGTGCTGGCGGGAACAAATTTTGTCGACGCGTTGAAAGTTTTTGAGGATGATCCGGACACCGATGGCATCGTTCTCATTGGAGAAATTGGGGGTACCGCTGAGATGGATGCGGCAGAGTGGATAAAGGATTACCACAAGAGGACGACGAAACCCAAGTGAGTCATATACTCGACCGTCTTCATTAGCTTGATACACACTAACCATTAAAGGCCGATCATGGCCTTAGTTGGAGGATTGGAAGCTCCTAAAGGCCGGGTAATGGGACATGCTGGAGCATGGGTCGCACCCGGCGAGCCTGATGCTAGGGCCAAGTATGAGGCACTTCAGAAGGCTGGAGTAACTCTTGTGAGCCATCCAGAGAAATTCGGGCCTGGAATGAAGGAACTCCTCAAGGACACTGGACGGCTTTCAAATTCTAGCGTGAGTAGGTGACTGGAAAGTTTTCTTTCTACTTGTAGTACTGATATGAAGTATAGCTATCATCAGCGTCAGCTGGTCAACGGAGAGGATTTCACACTGTGAGACGAGCCAGAGTTACTGTCTGGCCTGCTCAACGCCGTTCCCTTTACATCAAACAACACGAGGCTTTTGATATGCTTGAAGAAGCAAAAGTCCAGACGCAAACGAAACAGGCTTCTCCAGATGATTTTCATCTATCAATTACCGTTGATCGAACCTCCCTTTCGCCGTGTGTGGCTGTCTCGTCTGGTAATCAATCTCTAAAATCGTCCTTAAGAATCCCGTTCAACTACACAAACCCTGCATTCTCCAGAGCTGCAGACAATACGATTCAATCGGAAATCGTCTCGTTCCTTGGTTACAGCGACGAGTGCCAAGAGACAGTGGGAAAATATCTCCAACAGCTCTACAAAATATTCAGGGATAACGAGGCCTTTGTGTTGGAGACAAGAGCTTCATTTTCACCGGATAAGGAAGTAGTCGTGCATGATGCAAGATTTGGATTCGATGATGCTGCTCATAAGAGCTCTGGACGGCATGAGAAACTGCATCAGCTTCGAGATATTGCTGCTGAAGTTCCTGAAGAAGTTAGGGCAGAGAACAGTGGTATAGTCTACATTAAGTATGCTTTTCGCCCTATGTGACTGCTAAATGACTGTTACTGATACGTTGACTTGCCTGATTAGACTCGAAGGCGAAGGAAGCATCGGTACACTGGGTAAGTACCTCATAGGTAAATTGTCTTTGACAAAGCTAATTGTCTTCAGTCAACGGAGCTGGCCTTGCCATGAATACTGTAGATGTTCTTATCCTGAAGGGCGGCAAACCGGCCAACTTCCTAGACACCGGCGGCAAAGCGACGGCGGCCACCGTGAAGGAATGTTTTAGTATTTTGTGCGAGGACGCCCGAGTAAATACTATATTTGTCAACATCTTCGGTGGGTTGACTAGATGTGATATGATAGCGGAGGGTATCATGGATGCCTTCCGGGAACTGGACATGAAAGTACCCGTCGTTGTACGATTAAGGGGTACCAATGAAGAAAAGGGGCAGAAGTTGGTTAGTATTTGCTTTCTCCCTATGATGGTGCGCTCCTTGGTCGACAAGTATCTGACAGAACCATACTCGTAGATTGCCGAAAGTGGTCTACCATTGCATGCCTTTGACAGTTTCGATGAAGCGGCTGATAAGGCCATCAGATTCGCAAGAGCCGAAGCCTCATGAAGATCTCAGCAGGCTTAGAGCAATGCAGATACACTTGAGATCAGAGATATGGGTCGGGATTCGGGCGTCAGCTCAACGTACTATAGTAGAACGGCATTCACAATAATGCATTATTGGACTGTACAGACTAGACACTGGTGAACTGTCATTCAAAGAATTCTTGTTGGGATTCTGTGTCCAAAGTTACCGAGGTATCTTCCGAAGAGGGTATAGTCAATCGGAATGGGCCAGGCAGAAAATCCACCATTATGGAGTTATGATCTTAAATCCATTGCTTTTATTATTCTCGGCCCGACGGTCATATTGATTGCTAAAAAAGCAAAGCAATTGAAGCCTTGAAGCGCATAGTAAACTACGGTTAGGCTCGGTGAATATGTAGTTATAGTGTAAGGAAAAAGATTCCAGCCTAGCCCCGAATGGCTCGGACTTCCGCTGGTCCGCTTTCTTTCTCTGTTTTTGATGGCATTCAACCCACCCAAACCACGACAATACGCAGTAAATATCTGCCTGCACAATTCCTACGGCCGTTACTGAGGATCGCAATTATTTACTGAAGGCTCCACTGCGGTATTCTTCCACAATGCTGGCCGCCGGATCTGCTGGGCGGGTCGCATCTGGCGCCGTGTTTACAAAAGCACCGATTCCCTCGTTCAGATGGAATAATCTTGTGCGATACAGCCATAAACGCCTATCGCTTGCAAATTATTCTACAGGTAGGTTCAAATAATGACATTGATTACATTAAGCGAATCTAACAATTCCGACGAGCAGGCACCCAATTCCCCAAACCCCGGTCGAGATTGCGCCGTTTCGTCGGATTCACCACACTCGTAATATTCGCGTTTACCACAGGAGCTCTTATTGAGCCTGCCCGCACATTATTAAAAATGGCGACTGTCGGTATACCTTCAGATGAAGAGACTCTCACACTTTTCCAACCCTCGGACGAGTTATCCCAACAGATCGAGACACATATTCAGACACACCCACTAGCTCTGAAATACCGCAATGCAGAGGGCTATACTGAATCACGACCGCATATGAAATTCCCGACAGAGGTTCGCGGACGTCATCTTATTACAGGCGCTCTACTTGGGCCGAACCGAATAGTCGTCCCTCCGCTGGTTTTCCAGCAGGAATCTGGGAAGGAATTGATTGCCATCACTTACTTGGGACAAGAAGTATGCGGACACCCGGGCATTGTACACGGTGGCTTGTTAGCGACCATGTTGGATGAGGGATTAGCGCGGTGCTGCTTCCCTGTCCTGCCAAATCATATTGGAGTCACTGCGAATCTCAGCATTGACTACAAGAAACCCGTGACTGCCGATACTTATGTTGTGTTGAGGGCTGCGACGGTAAAACATGAAGGTCGCAAGGCATGGGTTGAGGGACGGCTAGAGACTTTGCCGGATGGCGATGAGGAGCCGGTTGTTCTTGTGGAGGCGAAGGGGTTATTCATTGAACCTAAATACGCAGCTGTAAGTCATCTGTCCTTGACGCTCAGGTCTTATTAGAGATCTCTTGCGCTGACATTATTTAGAGGCTGCCTAGTCTCTACAGAGCAGCGTCATGAAATGAGGTAGATTCAGCGTGGCGTTGAGGATATTATAGATAAGTTATGGTTCTTGGGATATGCATATTACCTCTCTCTCTCTCTTTTTTTTTGGGATAGAGCTTTAACCTGCTTTTATACATATTTATTAAACGTAAATGTGAGATATCGATAATTGTATATGCCCAGGCGTAAGATGTAAGATGTAAGATATAGAGTGGAGCCGGCGTGATGACGGAGTTGCCAATGTCCAATGACAGTCTTAGAACTAACTGATCCCGACTCCTCATATTGAGCTTCCCAAGCTCTCGACAACATCAACCCTAGCAGCTATCACCCTCGACGTCTTCACACCTCGTGCCCGCTTCTAAACGAGCGCGGTAACAGGTTATATTCATTCTATACGATCGGTCTAGCGACACTCATAGGCAACTGCCAACATGTCGAAGCACACCATGTACCAGTTACTTTCCCTCCCCACCTCGATCGTTCCCTCGCACCACCACGACGACGCCCTCGAAGCTATCTCCTCCACAATCGGTGTCGATGGCTCAGTCTCCTCGTTTCCGATTCCCGAATTCAAGATCGGTACATTAGATGCCTTGGTACAGCAAGCGGAGGAGCTGGCCAAGTTGGAAGGTATCTGCCAAGCTGTCGTGGGGAAAGTCGGAGAAGCGCTCAAGGGCGTTCTCGGAGATGATGAGGAGCAGATTCAGAGGATGAAAACTGTCAATGATAGTATGTTATTTCTTTCGTCGAGATTACGGATATGTGTTGTTGATCATCGTTATGGCAGAACCCGTTGATCAGTACCTACGTACATTTCAGTGGAACAAAGTCAAGTATCGAGCGGACAAATCGATCGGTGAATTAATCGACCTTTTGAAAAAGGTAGGCAATGATTGCCTTGGTAGAATGCTACGCGATTCGGAGAATACAGCTGACAATGAGTAGGAAGCTGCTAGCATTGATAACGATATTCGAAGCAAATATTCTCAGTATAACCAAGTCAAAAATACTCTGGCAACATTACAGCGAAAACAAACGTACGTATTCCTGGGCTAGTAGTTAACTTCCACGGGTTTCGTCCTCTCGCTGACGTACTGTTTTGGTGCAGCGGAAATTTGGCAACGAGATCTCTAGCCTCAATTGTCGATCCTCAAAAACTAGTTCGAGACTCGGAGTACTTGGAAACACATCTGATTGCAGTTCCAAACGCACAAATCAAGGATTTCTTGAAGTCATATGAGACAATAGCTCCAATGGTGGTGCCACGGTCCGCAAATCTAGTTGCCGAAGACGACGAATTCAGCTTGTATGCGGTTACGACGTTCAAGAAACACAGCCTAGAATTCACTCATAAGGCTAGGGAGAACAAGTGGATACCTCGCGACTTTAAATACACAGAAGGTGGTAGGGAGGAAGAAGCAAAGGAGGTTGAGCGAGTGGGCGGTGACGAGCGCAAGCTATGGGGTGAGACGATTCGACTTGGTCGGACTAGCTGGAGCGAGGCAGTCATGGTTTGGGTTCACGTGCTGGTCTTGCGAGTCTTTGTTGAGACTGTGCTTCGATATGGATTGCCTCTGGATTTTGTTTCTTCTATTGTTCGGGTAAGTTTTTTCATTAGCTATTTACTTCGTATAAAAGGCGCATTTCTGACGACATACAGACAACACCGAAAGGTGCTGAAAGGGCAAAGAAGAACCTGGATAACAAATACAATTATCTCGCTGGAAACGCCTTTGGCCGTGACAAAAAAGGCCGAGTCAAGAAGGACGACCCGAATGAAATGCAGGTCGCTGGTGAAGGTGGCGGAGCTGATTATACGGCGTATGTGTATTATGAGTTTAAATTTGAATAATTGCTACATATCACAGTCTGTATATGTCTTTTTTTTGGGAATTGAGCAATGCATTTTGATAGAGATTTAGTAGCGTATATATCTACTTTGGTAGCTATTACTGTACAGAACAGTTTGAGATCTAATCAAATCTTTATCATTCTAGGTAAATATGGACATGAATGGTAATTACAATGGACAACATTTTTGTATGTAGACAGAAGCGAGCAGAATCATGTAAAGGTTATCATCTAGTTAGCAGGCTTTGCTGGTAAATATCCCTTCGAGTCAAGATAAGTAATAATCTGAGCCACGGCCTCCTGAACCGTAACTTCATTATTCTTGATGTGCACCTCAGGCTTGAGCGGAGCCTCATAAGGAGCACTGATACCAGTAAACTCCTTGATGACACCCTCTCTAGCCTTTTTATATAGACCCTTGGGGTCTCTCTGCTCGGCGACTTCAACGGGGACATCCACATAGACCTCAACGAAGGGCAACCCGGTTTTCTCACCAGGAGTAGGTACCTCATGCAATTTCCGCGCAGTATCTCTATCAGCACGATACGGGGAAATAAACGAGGTAATTGCGATAGAGGAACTATCAGCAAACAGCTTTGCGACTTCAGCGATTCGGCGAATGTTCTCGTTGCGATCCTTTTCGCTGAATCCTAGGTCCTTGTTGAGGCCGAATCGGATGTTGTCGCCATCGAGGCGGTAGGCGTGCACGCCGCGGGTGCTGAGGAGTTGGTGCTCGAGTTCGACGGCGATGGTGGATTTGCCGGATGCTGAGAGGCCGGTGAGCCAGATTGTGAGGCCTTGTTGGTTGCGGAGAGAGGACCGCTCGGAGCGGGTGAGGGCTGCGGCGTGGTATGTGATGTTGCTGTTGAGGTTAGTTATGGTCGCATCAACCAATGTCTGCGGCGGAAAAGCTAATGTCGCTGCTTGAGCAATGCAAGTAGCACATATAGAGCTGTATTAGATTGATGCGGGGAAGTATACGAGGGGCAGAAACATACGTAGCCATTTTTGGGTCTGTTGATGCAATTGACGTCTCTCTGCTAGATGGAATGCGGATATATATCAGGTAGTAATCTGAATTATCCCGACGCAAATTAAATAATGAAAAAGGGTATCGTTAAGAAGAAAAAAGTTGTAGATATCTTCCATCAATCAAGAAAAAAGACGCCGCATCAGAGGAGATCTACACTAATCCTGAAAAGGTAAGGCACAGGAACAGCGATGGCGTGATTGCGGAGCTCCAAGTTGGGGAGTTAGCCCTAATTTTCCTTTTTGGGAACATCTCTTGTCTGTACAAGTTGTCCTTCTATCTTCGGGAAATTTCACGAGATCAATGTTGTTATAGTATACAACAATTAGAGACTTATCGTCTTATTCGTTTGTACCCTATTGGAAATGTCTGCTTTGACAATCTTAATGAAGAGGGTTCAGCTTTGCTCTGTTCAGAGATCAAAAGAAACAAAATCATATAATGCATTGTCTACTCTTTCAAAACCAGAAGTTGACAAAAGGCTTCTCTATATTTACACAGGTACAGTTCTTGGAATTTGTTAGTGCTGGTACTTATTGTTATCAAAATACAGCAACAATGGGATGTTCCTTCTATTGCATTTAGGTTGTTATACTCTTTATTCACACCTGTAATGCAGTAATTTTAGCTACTTAGAAAATTGGAATAATGGTATCCTTCAAATAATAAGTATAGCACTTGTTATAGTATTTCTTGTTGGGAAAAGCCTTGCCATTGCCAGGTACAAGAACAATCCATTGCCCTGACTAACTGGCCCGACAAATCCACAATGTGTACTATAAGCTAATTCCTCACAACATCACACAGACAATGGATTGTATTATTGTTATTTTCTTAGAAACTTGGTGGCTATGGCCAGTTAGTCAATAACAAAAAAAAAGAGACATTGTTGGACCCTCCTATCCAGTGATGCGTCCAGAGCAAGGTGCTGCTGCTGCCTCTTACCGATGGGGCTTCCACCCCAGCTCAATACCTTCCCATACTCTATCATCCTACAAGCCTTCCATTATCTTGAACATACTCGACTTTGGCTCTTGTGTATCAAATCTAGCAGTCTTTGAGTTTGACATCCGCATCTTGATACCGACAGACGCACAAACTCGATCAAGCACTTCATTCTTCAATCTTAAGCTACAGGAGCTACATTTTGCTCTTTGGCATTATACTGGAAAGCAAGTCCCAGAATCCATATGATGCTCTTATCGGTGTGGACAAAACCGTATCAGATGCTCAACATGGGTTCTCTTCTGGACATCTGCAGGAAGTTTCTTTCGATTGGTAAGTGGTCGACTATTACCAGCTAATAAAAAAATGGTCTAATGATTCGGTAGGCAAAGAGCAAAAGAAACGAGACTTCCAATCGATCTATTCGTACCAGATTAATTCTACGCTCGGTTTACACTTTCGGCTTTTCAATACGACGACGGAGACCTAGGCATTCACCCTTTCAACCCACCAAAGGTTCTTAATATTCTCAAAAAAAAGAAAAAAGAAAAAGACGCCCTCGCCAATCTCAAGCGATAATGAGAATAAACGAAAGACTCCAGGATCTGTTCGAGCAATTCATTGTACGATCAAAGCCTTTCAATAGGGAAAAGAGCGATCTATCAGAAGCTATATAACTTGTTATAAAAGTACTTCAAAAATATGCTGTACAGAACGAAATACTTGAACATTAGTAGCGAGACTTAGTTGACGCATTAATTGGAGAGAAAAAAAAGCCAGAAGCGAGGCCGGCCACTAGGTTTAATTGATAGGGATAATTCTGGTAGGCACAATTCTTACCAGGTAGAATTGAAGCTGCACGACAGCGAATACAGGGTATTGAGTCACAAAAGGAACAGGGAAAGATTGAGGCAGCAAACTATTGTACATAGGAGGCATTTACGCGCTAACAGAGGGCCCAAGAGATCCAGGAATGGCGGGAGACTCGAACCCGTGAGCGAGAGGAGAAAAGGCGTCAAAGAGAACTTGAAAAGGAGCAGCTTCCGTATAGCCCGGGAAGCCAAAAAGCAGGCAAAGCGAGGTAAAGAAAAGCCAGCGAAGCAGGTAAACACTAAAAAGAGGCGATACAATAAGGTTATTGAGAGTAATGAGGAGGTTTCTTCAAAGAGGCCAAAAATAGGCATATCTCGTTCTGGGCGAGAGATCAACCTACCTATACAAATTAGGAATTATATAATTATACTGATTTGTTCACTGCACTTTTTTATCTAATAATAATAATAATAATAATAATAATAATAATAATAATAATAATAATAGCAAGTCGGCTTGCTATTGATAGTGTGCAAATATTGGAATTGTGTCAAGCATGTGTAGCCTTTAAATATAACTAAATCTAATGTGATCAGATCAAATTTCAACGAACAATTCATGGGCAAAGAAGTATTTGGGCCACGGTTCTGTCAACCATAGTATAATTAGTGGTTGCACTCACATTCATCGGGGTTCGTTCTCTGTTCAGTGGATGATCAACGTCTAATGCCGTAAGAGGGTAACCCTGTTTACCATAATCTAAATACGTTTACGCCAATATCGCAACTTGTATTTTTCAAGACCATGCAATTACATTTGTGAGAAATGATACGGTTAAGATGTACAGTACGTGACAGCATAACCGTTGAGGATCATCAGAACCACATGCCCACCAGATAACATGGGGATTTTCAGTGACAATCATTCTTAACCGGAGTCCCCACCCTCATAAACATTGTTTTAACGGTAACTTTACACATTCGATGGCTATAACTTAAAATTACGTGCAAAATATCAAGGTCGTTTTTCGTATTGATCATTACAATCAGTGCCGTTTGTCTTCTAGAACGTTCACCTGATAGACTCACTAATGAGCCATCATACAAATCATCTTGGCCGGTTCATACAAGAATCAATGTTCAGGGATCTTTTAAATGAGGTAAATTAATTGATGTCAGATGTTTGTGAGTCAACCCGATTTCGAGAATGAACTAGGTACATGATCTCTTCACAGGGTGGGTGGGCGCGCTGGCACAGTTAGCAGGCTATGATAACATTCATTCCCACAAATTTCCTTCCTTCTCATTGGCTTGCCCGTCCCCCTAGATTTTAGTCTCCCGTACGTTCGACACTCGCTTGCTGCCATCCTAGGTAGGAACCCAGTGGTGCTGGAAGAGATAAGAAGGAAAAAGAAAGAAGCGGCTGGAGAATGTAAACCAAAGTTCGATAGGAGAGGAAAAAGAGGGCAAGGGAAGAGGCCATATATAGGGTGGTCGAAATGAATCAGACACCCAGAAACCCATCGAAGGGCGTGAGGGACTGTCACTGAAAGGAGCCAGAAATGGCTCCTAAGCGCCGCAATTTTCGACGTTCAGCAGAGCGACACTGAAACAGACAGGAACGACAGGAATGGAAGTATGGGTGACACGGCGCACGGCAGACGGTGGGTCCAGTTTAGATCACATGACTGTAAAACGGTGTGGAGAAATGTCGTGGCAGGAGAGTATTGGAATCTTTTGGTACTAGTCCGAAAGGGGTTAGGCTCTGATAGGAGCGTACAATTTGGGTAAGGAATAATTGACTCTGATTTGCACGTCCTCTCAAATCCCCTCTAGATACACATCCCTGATCCTCTTTATGTACAAAATGTAGTCTGCTTTTTGGCGCTCTTGTTCTCGCGGATATGTTGCTTTTCCGAGGATTCAAAGATTAGTAAGTACATCCGGATTGGGATTAGCGTATCAAATATCCAACAGAGAGGGATCTACACGTGATTGCGGGCTTGGCGGAGCTTGGCGGAGCTTGGCGGAGCTTAGCGAGATGCTTAAAACGGCGTCGAACGACGCTCTTTTCGGCATCTCGCTAACCGTCTTATCGTATAATTAAAATATTAACTAGTAAGCTATCTTTCTTCTCTCTTTAAGATAATTCCTTTCTGCAAGTCTAGCGTACTAATAAAGGGATAGAATTTTAGTTGCCAACAACAAGTCTAGCCAACGCTCGACTCGTGAATCATCTGATGTGTGATGTTTCCTTGTCCAATCCTCGCCTCATTTGTAATACTTGCTCAAATTCAACCAAGATTACATGCTAAAACGCCATTGTAGTTTTGCACATAGGTATCTATATATCATAGTCAGCAAGTTCCACAGATGAAAATAAAGAGTATGCAAGGTAATAAGTATCACAAAATTAAACTAACCAAGATTAATGTCGTTAGAGTTGCTACTGTATCCAGAATCATTAGTGCAATAGCAGTACATATCTGCTTCCTCGATAGAACAGTCTTTGCAAGAGCCTCCAAATCCGCCACTAATAATGGTCAGTTTGAATTATGGAAGTAGAAGAGATCATTCTTACTTTGATCTCCACTAAAAAAGCGCATAAGATTAGCCATAAGCTGCTTAACAATCTGTGAGGATGTGAGTTCACTATACCACAAGGTTACCATTCGAATTGGCAATGCAGACATCGAGATTAAGACTGGTAAAAACATAGTCCCCTGCATCATTGTAGCACCATCCACCCAAGCTTGAGCCTTCGACGTTTGGGTAACCGTAACGGCCATTACAGGATTCAAGGTAGCCAGCTAAAACACTGCTGCCGAAGCTAAAGCCGAGAAGAATGGAATTGGTGAGATGCATGATTTAGATGGCCGAACAGATGCGTTAGAATAGCCGAAGAGTATGTGATGGTGTGTACATGTGATAAACCGAAGTGGAAGAATCAGCTCTTTATAGAGCTACCTGGAGTGTCTTGGGCTTGTCTCCATTCTCACAACCTGGCTGAAGTTACACCGTAAGGAATAGAGAGAAACTCCACGCTATCCTGATGAGCACCAGGCATAACTATTTTAATTAAACCAACATTGAGGTGTTTTACTGATGGGACTAGTTTTCATGACTGAGGCTTTTAAGTACCAAGCGCTAACTTAGTAGCTGTAACTAGACTTACTCTGATAATACTCGAATACTAAAACCTATTAGAGGCTCCTAATATTTAGTTAAAGGGGCCGAAAAGAGGGGCCTAAAAAGGCTTAAAAATTAATCATGTCAACCATAAAAACCAAAAGGCTTAAGCTTAGCTTTGATCCCTGTGCTTCTCGTTTAAATTATCTTCAAACATCCATTTACTCTGGAGTAGTCATTAACTAGCTTTGACAGATGACCACACCGTGTTCTAGGCCTCAATAAGACTTGATTCTCATCCTTTTCGCCCCCAACAGATATATGAATCGCATATTCAGAAATATTAGTTTCTTAGAAGGTGTTGAATATCCCGGTGGCTGCAACGTGTATGCTTGCTAGAGCGCATTGCTGCTGCTCCAGCTGGTGTAGTGGCTATTATACCCTTGAGGACTCACCGCTCCGCTAGAAGTCTAAATCTATGCTCCAAAATTGCTCAAGGAGCTTGGTTTCCAGCATGAATTTTGCTGCTCTAGCGGCGTATTTTCCATCAGAGAGAATCTTCCTTGCGTCAGACAACCATTTTCCTTCATTCTTCCACGCCTCCTTGAACCTTGGGACAGCTTAGTAAGATATGTGTGACTGTTTGTGCTCCACGTCGGCACTGACATTCTCCATCGTCGATTCCCGGAATCTTTCTTTGGTATAGGAAATGGCGCAGGCCGATATTTCCTGTCCACATCTGTGTTAAGATAGATGAGAGAGGCCTGCTGAGTCTAGCGTGAAGCTCTATATTCTTCTTCGATGGTTTATCAACGATCCGGAAGAGTGTACGGCCTTGCTGATTCCGTTGCCACTCCTGTTCCCACTGTTTATAAGCTAGAGTCTTTAAGTCTCTCTTGAGAGCTGACAAAGGTTGCTGGAGTCCAACTAGTCTTGGGGTAGTACTGTCCATGTTCACTGGAATCTGTCTTCCCCTACTATTCCGGATTAATCTCCATCCAGTGGCCTCTTTTGCTGCTCTGTCCGCTCGCTCATTGCCCTCAATTCCCTGGTGGGTCGGGATCCAGTGGATAGACACCTGGACACCCTGGTTCCGAAGCTCATCCCATTTTTCCGCAATGCTTCCTAGGATCTGTTGACCTGTCTTTTGAGTACCATCGATCGCCTGAATCGCAGCCTGGCTGTCGCAGAAGATTATCGCCTCTCTTACTATCCTTTGCTGCGCCATCTCCAGGGCCATATGTATTCCTACCAGTTCCGCCAGGAATATATTTGCCTCTGGTGTTCTTCCTACGAATGTTTGTCTTATAATTGAGAGGTCATATTGGACAGCTGATGCCCCGACTTTCCCATTAATAGCACTGCCATCCGTATATATAACAAGACCCGGGTTTTGCTGGAGAATCTGGTCATGGGTGGTCTTTGCTGTCTCAGCGTTGATAGCTATGTGTCCCTGGTGGTTCCCACCAGGAAAGGGTCAGGAAGGGGTATCTCTGTTCCAGATTCCTGATTCTTTCAGGTCCCCAAATTGTTTCGCACCGGTACTTGTGTCGCTCTAGTGGCCCCCATCTGCTCGGGAGATTGTGCCAGCTTTTGAGGTAGCCATCCCAGATTCCTTCCCTCCAACTCTGCTCTAGAGTTTTATAGGAAGGTGTAGAGAGAATCCGGAGATATGTTTCCGCCGTAATCTTGTTTAGATGGATCCGAATCGGGAGGAGAAATGCCTCTATATCGAGTGCTGCTCCTGAAACGGTCTTGAATGCCCCCGTGATGATCCTGGCCGCTTTCTTTTGTATTGCTTCCGGCTTGCCTACCACTTTCTCCCGGTGGCTATCCTCGGAGTTCAATGGAGCGTACCAGATCGATGCTGCGTATGATATTTGTGGTAGGATTCATGAGGCCGTGGCAAAGCTTCTTATCGAGAAAGGAGCTGATATCAATATCAGTGATTGATCTGGATTAACAGCACTTTATCATGTCTTATAATACGGTCATGAGGCCGTGGTAAAGCTTCTTATCGAGAAAAAAGCTGACATCAACATCAGTAATCAGACTGGATCAACAGCACTTCATTATGCATCACAGGATGGTTATGAGGCCGCAGTAAGGCTTCTCATCGAGAAAGGAGTTGATGCCAATCTTAGTAATAAAATTGGATTAACGGCACTTCAGTATGCCTTACAAAACGATCATGAGGCAGTGGTAAGACTTCTTAGCGAAAGAAGCTGATGTCAACAACAGCGATCAATATGGAAATAGGGCTTTTTTTGGTGGAAGAATCATACATTACTGTAAACTGCAGGTGTTTATTTGTGAATCATATAATGATGTCGACATTCTGATCCATAAACAACGTTCAATCTCTGAGATAGATACTGATTAGCTATTTCAGTTTGATCATCAATCTGAGCATGATCCGCTGTGTCTATTTCTTTGGAGGAAATAATATAACTTATACTAGTCTATTGCCCAGGTCTATAAAGACTAAGAAGGAAAGTATTTGTCAGCCCTCACTCCCCCGTGCATATGCATGTGACGAATCGTCGCCAACTGCAGTCACTGAATCACATGCCATATCAAAAATCAATGCGTCTCGAAGAAAGTTGACATACAGAGTGGTCTACAATCAAGTTCTTACTGGATTCCATAGGTCAGATGCAATGCTTCATAAATATTTCAATCAGATATTCAAGCGATGAACTGCAGCAGCGTGATTCTGCCAATGCATCCATTCTAAATATTCCATTCCATCAGGGCAGAAGTTACAAATTTGATCCTTCAAATGCTTGGGCCGAAAATGTCTGAGAAGACTCTGATGCTAAGAGAACTTCTTGCCGCATTGAAAGCAAATTAAGGGTTTCAGCGGTTTTGATGTGCTTCTGATCCTGCTCATGTTTTTTCTTCGCAATAGACAACTTGTCATTATCTACATTGTTGGACCTTTTTACCGCTTTCTTATGCGTATCGTTATTACTCGCATTTCGCTTTCGCTTCTGTCGGCCCCGAAAGGGCCCGCCTTCCTGGAAATCACAGTACAATACAATGACTTCTACGCCCACATTGCGACGCTGCCATTCTCCTTCAAGTGTCCATACGGTCGGAACAGTCGTCAGCCCTTCCACAAGTCTGACTTGCTGAAGAGGCATGTCATCGTCCAGCAGATCTTCTTCAGCCGCATCATCTTCCTGTAAGATTGTGCCGTCGAGCTGCTCATTAATGCCGATAACTGCTTGTTTCGGTCCAAACTCGCGCCGAATCTGAGCTAAAAGCTTGTATCTGAGTCTCTTACGAGTATTGAGAACCCGGCTCTGTGCTTGAGCGAGCTCTGAGGCAAGCTCGGTGACTGGATTCTGCTCATAGTTATCCTGCAAAAGTTCTAGCTCACGGATGACCTCTTGCAACTCTAGTTCACTCTCCACGAAAGCCTTTTCTGTGTCGTCCAGAAACCGCGGGCAGCGTTTATCTTTATTTCGATTGAAGCTATTCAGAGCCCGATCCCAACGCTGATCTGCCTCTAAACCGAAGACCACTTGTTGCATCTGAGTATGATTTCGTGTGCGATAATGTTTGAGAAAGGTTGAAGTGTCCGCATGGTTCATGATGAGGTTACACTCAGAGTCGCTAACCCACCCTAGCACTTCATGTCAGAAAGCACGGTATCTCGAATTTCAAGCAGAACGACTTACCAGTTTTGTCTAGCAATTTCTTCATACGATATCGAAATTGATGATAAAAGAAGACATTTAAGAGACCCATGATGAATGAGATAGATTTGATGGCTCCGTAGAAAACACCATCAGTCATGGGTTGATCACGTATAACACGTGGCTCACCATCAGTCTCTTCCACTTTACAAAATAAGTAATAGTCGTCCATTTCTTTCTTCAATGGTAACTCTAGCTGTTGGCAGCCATGCATCACAAACAGTCGACGCAAATCATCTATTGACTTAATGTTAGCTTTAAATGCATTGGCATGGAGCAGTAGACCCATAATAGACACATAGGGACTGGAGACGAGTGAAACACCATAGATGATTTCCGGAAAAGAGAAAGTATTTCTGCACTCAAGGTTAGAACAACCAGGTGATTAGCTACCTATAGGGGTTGAGGTATACCATACAATGCTTTGGTCCCAAGGAGTTCCTTAATATACTCTGGCTCGATGTCAATTGAAAGTACAGGTGGGCCTCCATGAGGGTTACGCTGCAGGCTGAGACGAAGATGCTTGTACTGTAGTCGAAGAATAGCAGTTTTGCGACCAGCAGTGAAAAGGCCAAGCATCAAGGCTAAGCACAACATGATCCGCTGGATTCCTAGGTAGAACTGTTTCTCCCGTGTTCGGAGAACTGTTTTGTTGAAAGGAATCGTGTCCTTAATATAGACCGGATCATTCTTACGACGCTGTGTCCTTAATTTGAACTCAACGATTAATTGTGTGATGCCCTACAACACGTTAGCTACTAGTGATATCAAGCTAGGACAGCTACATAGCATACCGTGCGTAGGCGCGCTGCCATACTCTTCTTCATCCTCCGCTTTTTCACCCGTTAATAATATCCCTGCAAATACTTCCAGTCTGTCTTTGAAGAGTTGGCACTTCCATAGCCTTTACAAACTCGGTTGTTTTTTCCATGCCGAAGTCTACAGCACCAATGTAGAAAGCGATATAGCCAATCCGCAGATGCCCTTTGGAGTGCGGCCTCCGGTTTGCTCCAGTTCAAGCGGTGACACTTCTCTCTGACTTTCACTTTGCAGAACCTATTTAGTACCCGAAATCAGTTGGAGAATAATGATATGAACAGGAACAATACAAACCAATGCCAACGATCAATCACTCGTGATCGTAGTTTCTTAGTGTTGCCAGACATGTTAAAATCCGGATCAATATCGGAGAGGTTTTGGGTGGGATTGTCGCCTGGGCCTTCATAGCGCTGATTTTTGGAAATGGCGAGTTTTTTAATGCTGAGAACTTGATGCGAGAGAGTCCCAGACTCTTCAGTATTAGAAGAGTTTGCCATCGTACTCTATTGAGTTAGCATCTAAAGAGAGCTCATCTTGAGTTTCGGACAATCAACATCCGAGTCTTCGGCACCAGAGTCTGTTTGATCTACCTCTGAAGCAAATCCATCTTCTGGCTCTGTCAGATCAGTATCAGAGGGTTCTGCCTCGTTTGAGCTTCCTTCTTTGTTTGAGTTGTCCGAATCGTAATACCAACCACAAGCCATGATCGTCTGCGTTCAAGGAGAATTTGGCTAAATATACACACTTCCATACAGGAAGCTTAAGACGGTAACGAAACTGAATATCAAATGAAATGATACGAAACAAAACATGACGGTCCATGATTTGGAAAGTGGGAAGAATATCGGGATTTTAAAGGTGGGAAAGGACTGGTAATGGGCTAAAGTAGCGTGAGCCTTCATAAATGGGAATCGATTACCCTCACTCTACAACTCTAGCAGTGCTGGCATGAACTGAAGTGATGATTATCGAAGCGAAACTGCGACCAAGTCGTCTGGCGACACCGAACCACTTGATGTGGAGATAGTGGAACTTTAGCAGAAATGCGCAGGGTGCGTGGTAATAAGGCCATAACCCTGTCTCCAATAGAATGTACGGAGGGAGCTGAATACGACTCCCAAGATAGTTTAGTTCCGCACCCCGGGTACAAATTGAAATTCTTAATAAGAAAATTCGCGTTTAGCCATCTCCTAGTAGTAATGGCTTTGGTTGGCTAAAGGGAGTATAATTCATCATTGGGCATGCGCCTATGAGCTGCTAATGTAACAAGAACTGCTCCCACCAGTATCTATTAGGATAGTAGTAGAAGAAAGACTGGACGGAGTATAATTGACTTCTTCGAAGATAAATCATATTCTATTCTTAAGATTATTAGGACAGGTTTTAGTGACAGTAGGTAAGAATAAAGTAGGATCTTCATTGGCAAAACTGCCTCCTTTTAGTTCAAAGATGCATCATTTCACTACGTTGTAAATATCTGGACTAAGGGTACTTGTAGGTTTGACGTTATCAGACTGCAGAGATGTGGTATAGTCAATGTAATCATTGAATTGATTGATTGTCAGTTCTTATATATAATATTTGCTTACCAACCCCTGGAGGCGACTTTACCCAGGGGATAGGCATTTAAAGTCTCAATGGCATTATCGTCACCACTAGATGCAGCGGGTTCAGTAATTTGAATAGCTTGTATGTTATTTCTCAATAGTATCGGGGTACGAGCTCGATTTAATGCACAACAATCTTTAGAGAAAGCCGTATATGCACTGAGAGGACCGCGAATGCTGGGGCTTTCAGCACGCTGGCAACACAAGCATTTACTCTCACGTTGAAATCGTTCACGTTCCTTAGGAGATTTAATATGCCTAATCTAAGGTCTGATATTGGTATTCTAGGTGTTATCTATACAGTATCCTACAGGGGTTTGTCTGGGTACAGGGGCTAGAGTGCTACCATGAGAATTGATACTACTTTGCGGGGATCCAGTTGTTCGATTTCCCTTTTTAGGTGTCGGACGAGTTGCTTTAGCCATTTTGTAATCTTATTCTAGTAGAGAAGCGGCAGTATATAATTCTCAAAAATTCTTAAAATCCTTGCCGCTGACTAAATCCTTGCGAATATTATATCAAATCTTCCTGTAGAAGTCATATGATGACACTAGGATCACTCTCAGGGTGGCCCATACGGATATTGATGTTTTGGAAACACATAAGAAAGTGTTCGGTGGTTTCATCATCTCTCTGTCTAAGGGTCTTCATTTCAGCACGAGCAGCAATGTATTCATTTGGATCAAGATAAATATCATCTAGCAGGTCAATCAGATCCTTTGGGGTGGCTTCTAGAGAGGCTCCTGTATATGCGTCAACAAAGTCCCTGGGTTCCTTATTAAGTTTGGACAGAATGTAATTATTTCCTGATTGGTAGATGTGGTACAACACAGTGGATTTGTAAAGCTTGCTAAGCACGGCATTCTTCCATGGCTTATATTCAGCTTTTTCTCCTGAGTAAACCGTAGTATCAAGGAAGCAAACGTTCGTGCCCACTCCCAAAGGCAAAGTCTCATGAAAGCATATCATTATTGCTTCCACATTTACTATAGCTCCTGGATAAGTATTTGGTGTGGCGCCAGGTATTTCAATACTTGGAATAATCACATCTTCCAGCTCAGTAAGATATGGGTCTATTGGGAGAGCGGATTTCGACGTCTCAGTAATTATCTATACGGAGGCGTTCTTCGAGGTTGCTAGCGCATTCTCGTCCAGTAGGATAGGCTTGAGTAATCTTTTGAATAGCTTCTTTGGCATGAACAAACTTTTGTTTAAGTTTCTCACATTTCTCTGTAAGATGGTGAAGTGAGGCAACTTCAGAATCAAGTTAGTCAATAGTTTTCTGGCTGCATTGCAACTAATTAGTTGAATAGGCTGCCTCTTTTTCTGTTCTATGTAGAGCTTAAGTACAGTGCGTAACTTATTCTCAGATTTATTTAGGGCAGATTTTGTTTCTGAAGCCATACAGATGGTAGCGCATACCATGAGATACTACTTCTGAGGATGGGTTTTCAGCATTTATCGAAGTCCTCTGGGTCACGATTTTAATAAGTTCTTGGGTTCCATCTGACTTTCTGTTTCGAAAGGAAATTGATGAGTTGTAGAAAGAGCCTTTTATCTGGTCTAGATATTCTTCATTGACAGTTCTAGTATCTAATATTAAGCTGTCGGATTGATCATAAGCGCTTTTCTAGCATGCTCCAGGAAGCTTTGGGTAGTTAGCATTTCCTGGAGGATCAGCGTTTACCTGGTCTGGCATGGTAAGATATATTGCTATTCGTTGCTGTAGTTGAGATATGTTCGATATTGATTTGGAGCAGTTCAGTCGAAAGTAGAATAATGAGATGCCTCTGTTTCTGGGAGCTTAGACAGTTATCGAGGAACGAAGACTTTTGCGTGTTAATAAGAACGATATTCTGAGAAACGAGCCTGCACTAGGACGCGAGAATGTGTGAGATAGAAACGATCGAAAGAACTTTTTGCTAGAGGAAACGGATTTTCAGAAGAGACATGCTCGCACAAACACGCGAGAGTGTGCGAGGTAGAAACGACGAAAAGATTTTCTTAGAGGGGTGACGATTTCCGGGTGAAAATGAACGAAAGAAGCCAATGCGGCTAGATGTTGGAAGCTTAGGAAGTGTTAAAATACTAAGACTTCGAACTGAGTGTTATTAGGTCCTGTAAGGAAATCGGTGAATGGATCGTACAGACTCAGAGGATTAATATCGTCCAGTAATAGTGATCAATGACCAGCCGCTTGTAAGTATTGATAAGGAGGTGATTCGATGCGTTAAATCTCTGTGTATTGCTTGTCTTGTTCGCTCATCTAGTTACATACGACTCAGGGGTGAGACTATAATTAGCCTCGGAATCAATAGTCATCACGTGACCTTATGATCATATCATATTCTTTACAGGTCCTAACTAATAAAACCCTAAGCTTGGGAAAAGAAAGGAAAAAGAGAAGTGAAGGTTTAGGCTACAGACAAGTTGATATGATCTCGCAATTCTGCCATTCTTAGGACACTTTCCCCATAAGACCTTCATCCTATGACAGCTACCAATAAGATCACGAAGGTGATTGATGTTAGATATAGCGAACCCTGTAATGCCAAGGGCGCCAACTATGATTGATGAAGGAATCCATGTCTTTTGGAATCATACGGTAAAGTGATAAAACCTGGGTAAAGCAGTAGAATGTCGAATATCGAGTATTACAGAAATTGGGTAAATCTAAGTATAAGGTTCCATCTCCGTACTATGTACTATACATAGTAGTAGCGAGGCGGGGCATTTGACAACTGATTTGCGGGCCATGGTTCGGCCCGGTCCTTTCTCAGCTCCGCTATTTGCCTGTATCGGAATATCTTTGTTCCAACCGATGCGGAGCTGTAAGACACTTCCCGCAGAGGGTCAGCCAATGGCGATCCAAATATGGCAGTCCAGATAGTCCACCAGCGTATACTCCATACTACTCTGTACACACAATACATATAATTACACGTCCCACTCAGGTTCACAATATCTAGAACCGATTGATGAAAGTCCCAATCCAAGAATTTATAGAATCTTCCAGTCTGCAGGAACCTATTTTTAAAAGCTTATGCGTGGTGCTAATTGTAACTATCTGCATCACCTGTGTTAGAGAGAAACAAGGTGACACAAAACTTGATTGTGTACAAAGTTACAGAGTACATGCCCGATACAATACCATACATGATACGTACCATTCCCTGAACGTGACAATGTGATGAGACGAACTAGTAATAAGAATAGAGACTTGCCCCACCTGCAATGTGAAGCAATAACTACTCCGTGCAGGGCTAGCAAATCGAGATGTTCCATTGAACACAATTAAGGGCTCTTCCTTTGTTCTAGGCTTACTTTAGTGCACATCGAAATTCTTTGTTTGCATGAACTAATGCATGGCCCATTTTAGTCTGATTAACTTAATACTAGACCATAATGGCCGATCGGTTTACAGGGTACTTATCACGACAAATAGGCATAGTCTAAGATTACAAACACTGTTGACAGAAAATAGGCATACTCTACATCAGCCTATCAAAGAACATCATCTATAACGATAAGCAAAAGCTTTCGAAGTATCCAATAGCCGAAGTCACTTATTTATAACGATAGGACATTGACTCTTTGCAACATAACTGGGATGTCACGATATCACGCAGACTGGCGCTGCAAGTATTCCACCATATAATCCATATCCTTACGAATAATCATCTTCGTGCTCTCATTGCTCCCAACGCTGCTCGCATCATGACCGCTCGTTTTCCGCCTCGTAGCCTCGACCGAGGGGCCATGCCCCGCTCTAGTACTGAGATATCCTTCATATCTTTCTCCGACGACGGCTGATGTAGTTGAGCGGAGGGCACTGTTACCGGTCATGCTACCGCCACCGCCTTTCTTCCGCGAAGAGCGTGACATGGCTTTCATGGCGTAGCTACCACTGATCTTGCCTGTACGATTCCGACTTCCAGAGCTGGTCAAGAACTCGTCGCCTGCAGTGCCATAGTTCGTACTCACGGCGATCATGAAGGGCCGCAGGCAGAACGCAGTGCACGCTATCAAAGAGTAATGCATCGCAGTTTCGGCCCAGAGGTACGGTTCGATGAATGCGAGGGTTGGATCGAGTGATTTGAACGCGGGTCCTTCGTAGTGTAAGCGTAACACCGTGAAGATGATAATTCTGTCCAAAATCCAAGTCAACTAAAAGCGATGGGCTATTTTCTTCAACTGAAGTCCTTACAGTAAACGAGAGCAAAATGCAGATAGGATGACAATCTTCCGATTTAGAGAAGTTTTAATACCGTACACGACGGTAATGGCGAGCGCAGGCCATGCGATTTCCGTGATGATGTCCAAGGCAGTGATAAACCGCCATCGAGGAAGCTAGAGCGCTTTAAGTCAATATCTTGTTTATTTTGAGGACGGATCTTGAAACCATCGGATTCACATACCAGACTCGTACAATGCTCAGCAGCAGGTTCCCCAGGCCTGTCAATGACCTCACAGTCAACAGTAATGAGTAAAACAGACACAACGAACCATGCCGTGCAAACACCCCCTACAACCCATGACGCAAGGTTGTGTTTTCTCTGTGGCGTCAATTGAAGTAAAATAGCCATGACAGATATTTTGGCAAGGTACAGGCTGATGATATAGAAGACATCACTGGCGACAAGCATCTTCAATTCGTTCATCAATCAGTCTTTGTCTTTTTTTGCCAGAATATTAGATTCGTGGAAAAAGATAGACGTACATTCTGAATACGCACAACAATGTCAGATTTTAATAACTCTATCGATGTGCCAAATCCATAATGGGCTGCCGCCAAGATTATGATTGACTGTATCAGAGCCATAGCCTGCAGGAATTCCCCGTTAGAACCGTTAGAATACAAACCGAACCGTTCTCTCCTGTACAGGGGAAATAGAAAATATCTGACATACCGAGGAAGCCGCCAATATCCAGTCAGCGATACCAAAAGTTGAAGTCAAGACGAATCGCACATATAGTCGAATCAGCCAGCACACCAAGGTGATGGCCACCCCAAGCGCTGTAGCAATTATAATCCATGCGCCATGATGTTGGTCATCGACCACCTCAAAAGGCGGTGATTGTCCTGGGGGAACAACAACATAAGACATGGTATAAGTGTAGTAAAACTTCGCCAATCCGTCAAACTTTTGCAAGAAACATCGCCGGTAAGGCAATTATACCAGAAGAAGGGTCTACGGGGAAAATCATCGAACTGTCCCGGAGGCTAAGCTTAATAGGCGTCGCTTCCTTTGCTACCTAGGGTATGCAGGCCCAGACTGTTGAGCCTTTTACCAGGTGTGCGAGGTGGTAGAATTTTGGAAAATCTCTACTCCCTACCAAGACTCGGAGCTCAGCAGTGCTTGAATTATATGCACATATGTTTCTTATTCTACACCATACTTATTTAGAGCGAAGCCAGGATTAAGCGTGTTAGAGTCTAGGAGAGATAGGGATTACGAGTCACCCCGGTTCCAGATTTCCTTTTGTAGCACTCTCCGTACGTCGATAGGAACAGGAGAGCTGGAATGCAATGGAGTCTGGACTAGCCCAGACGAGCGGATGCTATCCCGCATTCAACCATCTCAATTTATTTTTTAGACATGAAAAGGTGAAGCCGAGAAAAGGATATTAAATTTAATTGCACTACCTTTGCGGTGTTGCATTTTTCTTTGTTCCGGTAAGACTAGCGTGAGGCTATTGATTCCTCCCCTCCTTCGGTAGCTCCGGCCAACCGCTCGATATTTCCCTCTTTTTTCCTCTCTTTTTCTATCTCGTGTAATCCGCCCTGCCGTTTACGGTTTCCATCCCTCTCAACCCTGGGACGGTTAGAGGGCCTCATTAGTAGCATATCGAACGAAATACCTCTACATCCAACAATGGACACGGAGACTTCGAAAAGCAGTGCCTGGGTGCAGACCGATGTTGAGGAGATGAATCAGTACCATGTCCCAGCCAAATATCTGGGAAATGGGGCCGATAAGCGTGATATGAGTGCTCTAGGAAGAGAGCAGGTGCTACGGGTGAAGAAGTCTTGACACGAAGAAAAAAACGCAATTGATTCAAGCAGAGCTGATAAGAGAGATTCTTAGAGAAACTTCAGATTCATCTCTATTCTGGGATTTGGTTGTACTCTTATTGCGACATGGGAGGTTATTCTTACGTAGGTTCTATCTTTGAAAACGTTCTCTTTTCAAAACTGGTTTGTTTGCTAAAAAGGATTAAAGTCTTCTCACAGATGGTCTTACTGATGGAGGCACTGCTGGGTTGATTTGGGGGTTTGTCATTGTATGTGTGGGTTTCTTGCTTGTTTTTGCAAGTTTGGCAGAGATGGCATCAATGTAAGCTGGACTGGCTCATAATTATCTATCCAATAATGACTGTTGCTGATGATGAGGCTACGTTTAGGGCTCCCACTTCAGGAGGACAGTACCACTGGGTATCTGAATTCGCACCGAAAAGCTGTCAAAAATTCCTCAGTTATGTCACGGGTCAGTCTACTCTCAATCTCTGGTGAGAATGGGTCTGACAAATGGATAATTAGGATGGCTCTGCGCAACCGGCTGGCAATGTGCTATTGTCTCTATTGCATTTCTAACAGGCACCATCATCCAAGGCTTGATCGTACTCAACGACGAATCTTACGTATTTCAGCGATGGCATGGCACTCTTTTGGTCGTTGCCATCACCGCATTCTCCGTCTTCTTCAACACATTCTTGGCCAAAAGACTACCAATGGTGGAGGCCCTGATTTTGATCCTGCATATCGTCGGCCTCTTTGCCATCATCATTCCTCTCTGGGTCATGGCTCCGCGTGCATCGGCCAAGTCTGTCTTTACACAATTTAACAACGATGGAGGTTGGAATAGTCTTGGTACCTCAACCTTGGTCGGATTTTCCGGAACAATCACCGCTATGATTGGTTATGACTGCGCTGTGCATATGTGTATGTATCCATCCCAATAAAGGAAGGACATTAGCTAACAGTAGCTGAACAGCCGAAGAGATCAGGAATGCCAGCGAAACCCTTCCCAAAGCCATGATGAGTGCGGTTGTGGTCAATTCTGTCCTTGGTTTAGTGATGCTGGTCACAATATGTTTCACACTGGGCGACGTTGACAGTATCTTGACCTCTCCTACTGGTTATCCGTTTATTCAAGTGTTTTTTAACAGCACGGGCAGCTACGCCGCTACCAATGTCATGACTGCAATATTGATTGTGACATTAACAGCTAGTACAATCACTGAAGTAGCCACTGCCTCTCGTCAGCTATGGTCCTTTGCTCGTGATAACGGTGTACCATTTGGCGAATTCTTCAGCCATGTAAGTTGAAACTTGCAAGATCGGCCGAGATGCACAATAACAACCAGTCAAACAGGTTAATCCCGGTTGGAACATTCCCTTGAACTCGGTCCTAGTCGCCCTGGCAATCACTGCCCTACTCTCTTTGATCAACATTGGCTCAACGGCTGCATTGACCGCCATAGTTTCGTTGACTATTACATCTTTGATGTCCTCCTACATCATCTCTATCGGCTGCCTTCTTCTTAAGCGCATCCGTCGTGAACCACTGCCTGAACATCGCTGGTCACTAGGTAAATGGGGTATGGCTATCAACATTGCTGCTCTCGTGTACTTGTGCCCGGTGTTCGTCTTTGCTTTTTTTCCCCTCACTAGTACAGTCACTACTTCCACCATGAACTGGAGTGGTGTCATGTATGTGGGCATCATCGTATTTGCCACTGCTTATTACTGGCTGGGAGGCAGACACAAATTCGTGGCTCCGGTTGCCTTGGTGAAGAGAGAGCAATGATACTACGGTGTGCTTGGTATTCAACTCTCATCGCCGAGTAAAGGCTAGACGAGATATAGGCGTGTATCGAATAAATAAACTGTTGAAATAGATATACCGTTCGTAATATAACCGCTCCATTTTTTTTTTTTTTTCTAGGTGTTAAATCTGTTTGAATTCCTGGGACTTCCAACTGCGGGCCTGACAAGTGCTGATTCACTCATTTGCCCTGAAAAGACCTAAATCTGACATGTGGCGGTAGCACAACTCATTCGAGAGTCCAGGTTTGGCCAATGCAAGGCTCATGCTATGCGGTAAAGCCTGTCTCGTTGTAGCCGTTACTCCGTATTCGGCAAGTTGGGGCTGCAGCGGGAAATTCTTGTCCAAAGGGAAGCGTCTAATGGGTCACGGTACGCCTAGCGTCTGCAAACCCATTAAACAGGGTCTAAAAATAAGTAAAAGTTAGGGCACTTCAAAGTGCATTAGCGCACGCTGAGCCCGCTGATGTCGATGCGGGACGGAAATATCATTACCCAGTCAGGGAAATTAAGAACACGATCTCTGCCTGGATTCGTACGTACTACTTCGTACTACATAGGAGATAGAGAACACCGGCAAAATGTTATCATTAACCACAATTGCTATAATCGTCCTAGTCATTGGGCTAATCTATCAATTTTTCATTTCCCCATATATCATCTCACCGCTCTCCAAAATCCCCAATGCGCACTTCACATCCCCCATTACATCCCTGTGGATATTGCATAAGCGCAAAACGGGGAACGAGGTCAAGACTATCTACTCTCTTCACCAGCAACACGGCCCTGTTGTTCGCCTAGGTCCCAATGAGCTCAGCGTCAATTCCATCGATGGTCTGCGGACCATCTACACCGGCGGCTTTGAGAAAACCCAATGGTACAGTGATATCTTTGTCAACTTTGGCACCGATAATCTAGTCAGCACCCAGAGTTATAAGCCACATTCTATCCGGAAGCGCATGCTTAGCAACGTCTACTCCAAGTCGTATCTGCAAAACTCGCCAGACCTACAGAGAGTCTCGCTTATTATTGTGGTAGACCGATTTCTACCCCTTTTGGGCGAACTGGCTCAGAAGCGGGAGGCAATCAATGTATTTCCGTTACTGCAAGGGCTCGGTCAGGATTTTACTTCGGCATACCTGTTTGGCTCGAAGTATGGGACGGACTTTATCCACGACGTTGCCAAGCGTGAATGTTGGCTTGACATGTATGAGAAGTTCAAGGTCTCGCACCCCAAGGAACGCAGTTTCGGCGAGTTTGAGCAATGGTGTCTTGCATTATGCGATAAGGTTACGAATGACCTAAAAGAGGGGAAAGCAAGCAGTGATCAAGGCACTCAGCCGGTGGTGTATGCGCAATTTTATCGGAGTCTACAGAAGAACCCCGAGATTTGGGAGAGGAAGAGGCTCATGTTAGCTTCGGAGATGCTTGATCACCTTATTGCTGGACATGAAACATCGGGCATCTCATTGACCTACACGTTGTGGGAGTTATCGCAACGCCCTGCCCTTCAAGCGCGTCTTCGAGTGGAACTCTTAGGTCTCTCGCCGACTCTAAGATACGCATCACGAGAGAAAGCGAAAGATGGCTCACTACCATCTACACAGTCCTTGAATAATCTACCGCTGCTGGACTCCATAATCCGTGAAACCCTACGCCTGCATACAGCAGTGCCCGGCCCACAACCTCGAGTTGTTCCCTTCTCCTCTCAGCCGGTAACCATTGAAGGATATCCAAATATCCCAGGCGGAACAATTGTCAGCAGCTCCGCATTTTCATTGCACCGCATAGCGGATGTCTATCCTAACCCGGATGAATGGCTCCCCGAGCGCTGGCTCAATCCCGATAGTAGCACTTCCGAAGCAATGAAACGCTTGTTCTGGGCCTTTGGTAGTGGTGGAAGGATGTGTTTAGGGAGCAACTTTGCTCTGCAAGGTACGTGAATTAGTCCTACTGAGTGTCGAGTAGCACTAATTCAAGGTGTAACAGTGATTAAACTTGTTATTGCCACAATCTACACTAATTTCACCACTTCTATTGTAAATGACGAGGGAATTGAACAGGAGGACAATTATATTGCTCCTCCGAAGGGGCGCAAGCTGATTCTTCAATTTATAGCCGTATAGAGATACCTCTAGCCTTCTAGTTGATCATTAGAACCAGTATGCATAAAGGTCTCAAAGGTTTCACACCTAAGACTGCCTTTGTAGTAGTTCTGACACCTAAAAATATATTATGTCAATCCTCGAAGGATTGTCGAAGTAAGAGTATTATTATTGACGACGAATAGCTTCATGATTTGCAATCCTAGTCGTGGATCATCGGTCACGTTACGTGGAGTTTAAGGTCTACGGAATCCCCCGGAAAGGGCCATGATTTGGATGTGTTTCTGGGCCGGGGGTTCGGGGGTCCCGCGCTTCTTCTATCGAGTCAAGTCTAAAGTGGTTAGCACGGAGCTAAACCAAACCAGGATTAGTCTATTACCCAATCGAAGTTACCCGCAGATGATGCTTAGGCGAAGCGAGTACTTGTCGATGGAAAAACCTCTCCACGTCGGTGGAGCAGTTGATTGAAAGATCGGCTGAGGCAACGCGAGATTCTTTCGATTACTACCGTATAGAAATATGCCTAGGCGCATTTTCGAAAGCCAAAGTGATCGCAAGAGGGATATTAGGATAGGAAAACCGCTTGACACGAACCTGTTCTAGGAGAGTGACAGGGCACCCTCGAGTTCAGCCAGCTCAGATTGAGATAGAACCTCCAACGTTATGAACTAAGTGATGAAGCTATCTCAACGAGGGCGGGAATGAAGCCTAAGTGCTCTTAATGGAAGTTGTTAAGGCTAGCAGAAAAGTGGTTGCCGGATGTGTTAAGGGCAAGGCCTACACTGAGACCGAGCTACTTATCAATCTGGACAGACACAACGCACCGCTTTCTAAGTATAAAGGCATATTGCGGGAACTGAGCTAGGTTAGTAGGAGCCAACTATACGAGTATTATGCCAGGCGGGTATTACAAGTATAGACTTCTGCAAGACATGGTCGGCTGCTGCTAGAGGGAGACTTCTAATAGTAACGGGAAACTGTTTTATTATAGTAATGAAGGAGCGGGCAGTAGCGCTATGAAGATAACCAGAGGGTAACTACGAAGACTATGTTCTTAACTCGTACCTGGGCCATGGCTATCTAACTGGTGTCTATGCTTCCAACTCGTACTTGGACCACAGTAGCGTGGTATCACTGGCACTTGTACTGATATTTTATTGGTATCGACCGGACTTGTTAAGGCTTTGCCACAGGTGACCGCGAACCACCCAAGTCCTATTGTCTCTGGCGCTCAATCTTGGTCAGCTTTGACGTCAAGGGGGCATACAATGGAGTCTTCAAAGAGAGACTGCTCCAGAGACTCAAGGCAAGGGGAATACCTGATAAGATATTCAATGGATCAATGCCTCCTGTTCGAGATGTACTGCAACCATTGTAGTTAATGGGCTAACAAGTGAACAACGGGAGCTACCTCAAGCAGGCTTACCACAAGGATCACCGCTGTCCCCAATACTATTTCTCTTCTTTAACGCAGACCTCGTTCAGCACAAGATCAGCGCAGCAGGAGGCTCGGTAGCTTTCGTGGACGACTACACAGTCTAGGTAATAGCCCGTCTGCTGAGGCGAATCGATCTGACATCCAGGCCATCATTAACAGAGCTCTAGACTGGGAGAAACGAGGCGGAGCTACATTTGAAGGGGATAAAACAGCCATGGTGCACTTCACCTGAAAGACAGATCTATCGAGCAGCACTCCGTTCACAATCAAAGGGGAAAGAGTCAACCCGAAAGAAAGTGCAAAGATCCTAGGAGTAGTAATGGATTCCAACTACGCTTCAAGAAACACATTGTTAACGCCGTTACCAAAGGACTTACAGCAGCCATGGCGCTGAGAAGGTCAAAGATGTATATCATCTCGGATAGCAAGGTGACTATTTAGGGCCACAGTTGCACCAGTGGCAGACTACGCTTCTGGTATGTGGATGCATACCTATGGGACAAAGGGAACACAGTTTTTAAACAGAATACAGTTACAGGAGCTTTTCGGACAGTCGCAACAGCAGTGAGTGAAGCAGAGGCAGGGATTCAACCTTTCCATAACCGACACATGGGGAAAGCTACGAAACGGTGGATCGACATACAGGCCTTACTCAAATCGAACCCACTGAGGAAACTGAGAACTATTACAATCCGAAGCTTTATATCTCCTTTACAGAGAATAGCTCAGCCACTAAAAGCAACAAAAACTGAGCGGATAGAAACTATCCAGGCATTCACAGTACTACTGTGGACAGTCCGGATACTAACGATATGTGAAAAAGATGGGGATAAAGCTATTGAGATTGCTAATAAAGCAGTAGGCATTCTAATTGCTACAAGCGCATCCACCAGATCAGGGATTGTGGGCATAGGGGGTTGCATAAGAGACACTCAAGAGGACAACAATGGGAACAACATGTCCAGCTAATCCATCATCTCACGCAAATGCACAGAGCAGAATCCTTATACAGCAAAGTTAGAAGCGATAGTAGCCGTCCTGGAACGTATCCCGCCTGAGACATGCCAGAGAGTGGATATCCGTCCTTGGTAGCAATCAGTCAACCCCGTCAACAATCAGGTCAAGAAACCATCCGGCGGATATATAAACAGATTCAGATCTTACAGCAGCGAGGAAACGCAGTTAATGCAATTTGGATCCCAGCGCACACAGATATTAACTTGAAACAGATCGACAGGAATAGAATGTCTACCAGAAGCAACTATTCCAAGCTAAATCAACCGCCCTTAGAATCACCCTTGCGGAACGACAACAAGAATGGACGCTCCCTGCAGATATCGGAAAATACTCAAAGGCTATGGATACAGCTCTTCCAGGAAAACATACCAGAAGCTTATATGATGGACTGAACCAGAAGAAGGCAAAAGTCTTAGCCCAGCTTCGGACAGGAATGATGAAGTTCAATAGCTATTTGAATAAGATAGGCTCAGCAGAGTTTAATCTTTGCGCCTGTGGCCAAGCAGGGGAGACAGTGGACCCTTTTTATTCCGCTGCACAAGATGGACGTCAATGAGAGAAGGCATGAACCAATGCACAGAGTTAAGACGAGGAAACCTATCCATCTTCTTAGATGGGAAATCACGTTCAAATTCGGATCGATGGCAACCAGATATGAAGGCCGTTCACGTAGCAATCAGCTATGTGATTGCAACAGGAAGACTGGAGCAGGAACCCGCAGCCGAACTTCAACCAACACAGTGAAAAATGAAGTAATCCACCCCTTACCATCGCTTCTTTCCGATTCAATCCGTTATACAGGCTTTTGGTATGCTTTCCTGGAAGAGCTGTATCCATAGCCTTTGAGTATTTTCCGATACCTTCCGGGAGAGTGCAGTCCTGGTGTGCAGTCTTCATAGCAAGTCTGCTGGCTGTTGTTTTAGCTCCGAACGGCTGCTTTTCCGGTTGACATCCTATTTTTGTTGATCTCTGTGCTTCCGCTTTTGCTCTTTATTTCCAGTCCATATCGATTTGTGCTGGGACTTAAATGGCGTTGACCGCGTTCCCTCATTGCTGTAAGTACTGAATTAATGTATGTATCCGCTGGATGGTCACTTGGCGAGATTGTTGACGGGGTCGGGTGATTGCTGCTAGTGCGGATATGTTGCTACTAAGGATAGATATCCATCTGTGGTTTGTCTCGGGTGAGACGCGAGTTCATGTCGGATCTGTGAGAAATGGGGTATGTGATTAATGCGCTAGTGCCTCCTGGCGTAATAAATATCATTCATTCAAGCTAGAGGATGGCATCCCTTGATAGGAACGAGGCGGTATAGACGTGGCATTCTTGTAGATGGATATTCTCTCAACGAATCCAGACAAATATCAATAGCCTCACAAATATTGAAGTCAAAACCAAACCCAAAGTTTATACAAATGCATTCACGACGATCCCATCGTGGATTCCATTCCATCGCTCCACAAACTACGATTATTCCCGAGTATCGCTACCCCGTAGCGTGGTCAACCCCTTCCCATTCCAATACTTATGAAAATGGAATGATAAATCTAGAACAGCCTTTTCTGTCTGCTAACCCCCTTACTTGCGGTTTACATCCATTGTCAGGTCGATAAAGAGATCTGACCGCGTGGCTGCCATTCATTGTTTTCCCCGTACGTCGTACATACTTCGCTTGATAAGTCCATACGCTGGAGATATGCAAGATTGATGATACGGCTGAATGGCCTGGGCAATCATTCCTGCCAGAAGGTTAACTTCGCTTTCTTCTTTCGCGAGATATCTGCCCCTTGCTGAGGTGAGGGATATTAAGACGCTGTGTTCACATACGTTGTAAGTTGCAAGTGTGTTTTGACTTTTGGGAAAATATCTTGGGCTGGAAGCAGGAAAACTGACTCTGTTGTGTGTGTCTCTCTAGGAACCTAGGTTCCTAGGAGCGGAGATATCTAGCTACCAGCGCGCTAACTACATCCGGTAGGCGGTGCTGACTATCTAAGGGCAGAATCCCAACAAAATATGTTGTTGTTTCATGCCCAGCGATATGTACATAATGTTGTATTTCCAATACCGAAATTTACGACTCGGGACGAACGACAACGCCTTACATACTCGTACAAAGGATCAAAACAGCATGCTGCAGGTTGTGCAACATACACTAGCTCTGTTCTCCAGAAAATGTCACTATTGTTGCTTCGCTTTAAAGTCGGTCTAGCGAAGGATTCTGCAGGATGCCAGGAGGTAGGATTGACGGATTGACACTGGGGCTGAGAGTTGCAGTGTATATACGAGGATGCTTGTCTAACATGGCTAGCGAATAACTGCTAAACTCCCATCAAGGATGTTAACTAGTAGTAGGCACTATGTACTACTTTTCTCATGTATCATGCAATTAAGTCCCTTTACAGAGTGGCTATATGGAAAAGCCACTCTTGGCCCCTATTTAACCACCAATACTGGTGGTACGGAGAGGTACGGGATATGTCATGACATTGATAATAGTAATCGCGCATTACTATTTGCATGCTCTCCAGAATAATTAGGCAATCTATAGAAATGATAGACACTTTCGGTGTGCCCGATATATATTACTTGCATACAGATACACAGATACACACATCTGCCGGTAATACGTACAGAATACGATACATTAGCGTACGGCCCCATACATAGGTCGATCATCCACAAAACCGCCAGGAAAAACGCCTTCGACGCCATTCCCGTTGGTCCCTTTGTTAGTTAATTAATTAAGCTTATGTCATATTTCGAGATGACATAGTTAGAATCCTTTTATGAACACGTCAGGCAATTGATTCATGGTGTACGATGGAGGAAGTCTTCTAGAAGCGCTTTAGTGGGACATGTGAAACTGAATAGGCAACCCAATAAAAGCCGAGCCGTGCAGATTGTTAAGCGCCGTATCGGGTGGTTTGCAGATTCGTATAGGGATACTACTCTAAAGTCTGAGAGTCGTTCACCTAGGTGATCTTCTCAGTCGTACACCGGGCTGACAGTTCATCGTGGTAGTAGTTGAACTGTCGTACGATAAACGCCATCCCAGCTCATTGGTAAAGAGGATATGCAATCTTCCGAGTATGATGTTTCCACAGGTTACATGGAGTGTGACGGTTGTCCAAACTCGCGAGGTGTCAGTTTGAGGCATTTTCAGGCATATCCCTGGTTGCGCGAATATTGTATATCTTCATCTCGCAAAAATTTTCTACCCGAACTTCCCATTCTGCCCGACGGAATTTCATTCCAGTGAAGCAAAATTATTAAGCACATGACTGTAAAAGTTTCTCCTACTTCCACATGGAATTGCTGTAAAACTGCAAAGCTGCTGGTCCAGAATCCCGGTCGGAGCCGCGGAATGCAACACTCTAATCAGTTTCCCCATGGGCCGGAATATTTTTCTTCGAGCAACGTGACTTTTACCCCGTGGGATCTCCAGGTTTGGTTCCTTTGTGATGCGTTGTGTGGTTGGCAGTTTGCAGTGTTTGCATTGGATGTTGAGCAAGAGTATGTACATGTTCATGACGTCGCAACAAGCAAAAACAAGCTTCGGATGTCGGCGGCCGAGCACTATGCCGTAATGGGCAAGTCATTTTTTTAACCACTTTGGGACTTTCTACTATCCATGTCCTTGGGATCGCACATCTATGTAGCTACCTACAATCTAGTCTATTCTTGACGATTATTCTATAAATCAGTTGGCACAGTTGAAATAAACAATGGCATTTAATTGTATGCGGAGATAAGCACGCAGATCTAAACGCACGGAAGGCCGTACCTGGAATGCCGTCATGGCGTCTCGGGAAAAAAGTATGTCCGGTTATCGGCCCACAACCAAGTCGGCCTGCCGAAAGTTCGATGCCGAAGCCTCTTATTTTATTATTATTATTTTATTATTATTCTTGTACACGAAGCGTCCCGAGCATTCCACCCTATGTACTGCTACTTAAGTATGGCTCTGGTATTTGACTTTGTGGCTCGTTCCTGTCATTTTTCGATTCGCGTCGATATCGGAGTAGTTGGCGACGGCGTTGGGTGCAACCCTTAACCAGCGATCCATCCGTGTTCGGACATGCCGCCCAGTCACGCGATTTACGAGCCCCCAAGACGGAAAGATCTAGAGCACCGACAAGCATACAAAGTTTTATACAGAGTTTATACTAGAATAGAATGCTTGCATGCGGCATTTCAGTCTCGATGGTGATTACTCCAACCACGTTCGCTGTATCACCCGTTGCTCAGCGTCGAGCATCGACGTACAAGTCAGATTTTAGTGTACAGGTCAGTGGAACCGAGCGGGCCTTGGTGTCAAAAAGAAGAAGCCATAGCTGAACAATGACGACAGAAAAGGATGCATCAGGGCATCGAATGAACCTTTGTCAAGACACGATCGCGCCCCACTCAAGCCAACCAGGGGTCTGTCCTGGTCATTAGTGCCTGGCTGTACGGTACGTACTGAACTTACCGACTTTTTCAAGTAGTTTAAATTTGCCTCTCTTCACGTCGCACCACCAGTCGATCGAGAAAAAAAAGCAGAAGACAAGAGGTACTAACACCGGTGAGGCAATGTATGATTACAATGTAGTCTATTTTGTTCAGTTATCCCTTGTTCTTTACCTACGCGTAGGTAAGTCGGGTCGTACCATGCCACTAACATGCACGATCCTGATTGGCTAATTAGTGGATCTTCGTATCGTATCCAGATGTACTGTAAAGCCCCAAACCAGAACCACTTTTCGTTTCTTTTGTTTTTCTCCGTCTGCTCTCTCTGTCTCTCTCTTACCTCACCTGCTGGGGCCCCAGTTCTCTTCCACCAATGGCCCCAGTTTTCTGCGTGGATCTTGTCATGCCCTACTCCGGACGCAGAGGCTGGTTGAATGCGGACAGGTAAAGATATATGAACAATGGTCCACCCCCCTCCATCGATCGTTTTCTTTTTCTTGTATTTATCTACTAGCTTTACTCTCTAGACAGCAAAAAGTTGGCCCAACCCAATCTACCTCTAATTCTACTTCTATTCTCATTTTACTTCATCTTCACTTGTCTTCGTGTGAAGAGTAAGCTTCACTAGACACAGCCAGCCTGTTGCTTGAGGCTCGTACTTTTCCTATCTGGGCCGCTCCTGCCTTTTTTGTTTCACGTAGCACCTGCTCAGCACCTACCCTCGAGGTAAGACGACACTGGTCCCTCTCGTTCGTTCCTTCCCTTTGGCGACTTATCTCTTATCAATTGCACCAACCGCGCTTTTCTTATCAGCCGCCATTGGCCTCCTTCCAGTTGACGCGTTTGCCGTTCTTAGCACCTTCCCTGCCTGCCTCCGCGGCTGCCCCTCCTGTCAATATTTCTACTCCCCCTCCTCCTCTTCTTTTCTTCCTCTTCCTCTTCTCTTCATCTCTCTCACTCTCTCTCACACCACACCTCAGTCCAGCTTTACCCAGCTCTCGTCATTATCATTCATTGCACTTTTCGATCGTTTCACCGTTCCAACTCTATCTCGTCTATCATATTTTCTGACTCGCCTTCATCTGAAGCTCATTCTTCTATACACTCTTGTCTATTTGTCTCGTCCTGTCGACTTGGCACAGTCCTGACTCTGTCAACATGGCGTCTACTCCTGAAGTTGATCAGGCCCAGAAACCAGTCCCTATCGAGGCCAATGAAAAGGTCCACGACTCCGAAACATCCTCCAGCACTCAGGCAGAATTGGCTGGTATCCCTGACTTTGAGAAGCCTCCCCGTCATACTCACTGGACGGTGGACAACGAGACCCATCAGCTTGAACCAACTTCCAGTGCTCGTAGCGATGGCAAGATTCTGCTCAAGGAAGAGGATGTCTACGACCGACTTGGCTACGGTTTTCCCACATGGAAGAAGTGGATGATCCTCACTATCATCTTCCTTGTCCAGGTTTCTATGAACTTCAACACCAGTCTATACTCTAACGCTCTCGGTGGCATCTCTGAAGAGTTCCACATCTCTGAGCAAGCTGCTCGCTGCGGTGCTATGATCTTCCTTGTCCTCTACGCTTTCGGTTGTGAACTGTGGGCTCCATGGAGTGAAGAAATTGGACGCAAGCCAATCCTCCAGGCCAGCTTGTTCCTTGTCAACGTCTGGCAGCTTCCTGTCGCTCTAGGTAGGAACTTTGCCACCATCATGGTCGGCCGTGCACTCGGAGGTCTGTCCTCTGCCGGTGGTTCCGTCACTCTTGGTATGATTGCAGATATGTGGGAAGCAGACAACCAACAATATGCCGTGGCATACGTCGTTTTCTCCTCTGTTGGCGGTTCCGTTCTGGGCCCTGTTGTTGGTGGTTTCTGTCAGGAGTACCTCCACTGGCGCTGGTGCATCTGGATTCAGCTCATCTTTGGTGGTTTCGTCCAACTCTTGCATTTGTTCCTTGTCCCTGAAACCCGGTCCACCATTATGATCGATAAGATCGCCAAGAAGATGCGCAAGAGCGGTGAGAATCCTAACATCTACGGGCCAAATGAACTTGAGCCATTCCGTGAGCGTTTCTCGGCCAAGGAAATCGGAATTACCTGGATTCGTCCTTTCCACATGTTCTTGACCGAACCCATCGTCTTGACACTATCCTTGCTTAGTGGTTTCAGCGATGCCTTGATCTTCATGTTTGTCCAGTCTTTCGGCATGATCTATAAGCAGTGGGGATTTGGTCCTGTCGCTCAGGGTCTTTCGTTCATCCCTATTCTAGTGGGATACTTCATTGCTTGGTTTTCTTTCATCCCAGCTATTAAGCGCAACATCCGCGAGCGTGCTGCGAAGCCTGACGATGAAGTTGCACAGTATGAATCTCGTCTCTGGTGGTTGCTCTACACTGCTCCTTGCTTGCCCATCGGCTTGATCGGTTTCGCCTGGACTACTCAAGGGCCCCCACTTCCTTGGATTGCCAGCATGATCTTTGCAGCTATCGTCGGTATCGCCAATTACGCAATTTATATGGCTACTATCGACTACATGATTTGCGCCTACGGTCCATACTCTGCGTCTGCTACTGGAGGAAACGGGTGGTCTCGTGACTTCCTCGCCGGTGTTCTCACTATCCCGGCCACTCCATTCTTTGAGAATATTGGAGGACGTTACCATATCCAGTATGCCTCGACAATCTTGTGTAAGTCTTGACTATCTCCTTCTCCATGGCAATATCTCTGACATGAAGTCCTAGTCTGTATCTCCTTCCTCCTTGTGCTCGCCGTGTACGTGATTTACTGGAAGGGCCCTACTCTTCGCAAGCGCTCTCCTTTCGCTCAGCAGCTGTCTGACGCGCGTGCCACTACCGATGGTTACGGCCATCGCCTCGCTCGTTTGCCGACTGGTTCTCGTGCCAACTCATTTGCCCGTTCTCAGCAAGAATTGCGTCTGCGTCAGACTCTCGGCAGCCGTCAGAATAGCTGCTACGGTTCACGCGCCAACTCTCGTGCGAACTCTCGTGCGAACTCTCGTGCTAATTCTCGAGCAAATTCCCGCGTCAACTCCCGTCGCAACTCTCTTGCTGAAGTCTAACGGGAGTTTGATTTATTATCACCTATGGTGGCAATGCAATCTGAATAAGCCAATACCTGACAACTCCTGAACCAATCAATGATGACGAGTCTGAGACCAAGTCTGCCAGCCTTTTGGTTTTTTTTTTTTTAGGCACCTGGTTTATTCTTGCTGATACTCTCTGTTTCATCTTTTCTTATGATGCGCAGAAACGAAATTTGCTGTTTTGTGTAGATACCCATTTTTTATTCTCTTTTCCGGTAATGCTGCATTGTGCATGGTTTTCGTTTGCTGAGCGAATTTTTTTATTTGCGATTGAATGAAGGAAGTTGGCCGTGACGTGGTTTGGTTTCTTCCTGAACCTGAGCTCAGGTATTTAACGGGGTCAATTCCAGTGAAGAAGCTTCATCGGGCTCGGCGTTCTTACGGTGCAAGAATCAATTCATTCATGTATCTTATTCAACTCATTTCTGTGCTGAACGGCCCGCCAGCTACTAATATTGTTTGTATGTATGAGTACTATTCGTACGTCGCGCATCATACTACATGCAGTTCTTTACATTTCATGCTAGGTACCTAGTAATGCATGGTATTAAGTATTGAAAGTACGAATGCTGAAGTAAATATTTTGGCTGTAGACTTGAAGCAAAGTAGAAACGCTCAACTCATACGAAGACATATATCAAGAAGGACGATGGAATTTACTCTCAATCCACGGCATGGGAGTCACCGTCGCCTTTCGCAACTTATTTCTCACCAAGACCGCGACCTCAGTACCCTTCTTATGCAATCCATTCTTGATGTACCCCATAGCAATATTAGTACCGCCGAGAGAAGGACTCGGCAATCCAGAGGTAACAATACCAATCTGAGTAGGTGTCTTATTCTCTTCAGTGATACTATTGGGATCAACGATTATTGCGCCCTCACGAGCCGGCGCACCCTTTTCAATGGTAAGACCAATTCGACGTTGAGGGAGAGTCTTTGGGCTCGCGAGCTGAGCGAGTATAACAGAGGAACCATTGAATTTGGAGGAAGGTGAGTTCTGGTCTCGTCTGTCCTTACCAACGACCCAGCCTAATGACGCTATGGGAGGGGTCTGCGCGGTTGTAATATCGTGGCCGTAAAGACACATACCCGCCTCTAGACGGAGAGAGTCTCGAGCCGCGAGACCGGCGAGTCGACACTTGTCTGGTTGCGAGAGGAGGAGTTCGGTGACTTGGTGCGGGAGGGTGGTTGCGCCGTTGGAAGTGGGGATGGAGATTTCAAAACCATCTTCACCTGTATATCCCGTTCGGGAGATGAGGAGACGATGGGCTGTTTTACTTCCGTCGGGGAATTGGAGGTAGAGTTCTCGTGATTGACCAAAGTAGAGTGTATTCAAATCTGTTGATGCTACGTCTTCGCCTTCACCGGTGTAGATGTATGATTGTAAAATGGATTGGGACAATGGTCCCTGTAAGGCGATCAGGGCCCGGTCGTTAAGGATTTCCCATTTGATGCTATCTGCACCGTGTTCGGCGCGATATGCGTCAATCTCGGCCGTGAGAAAAACGAGATCTTCCTCTCGTCGACCGGCGTTGGTCACAAAGTAGAAGGATTCGGGACCTTGTCTGGTTATGACGGTGTCATCAATGATACCGCCCGTACCGTCTTCAAGAAGACAGGATAATGTAGACGTGTTGTTGGCCAGTTTGTCGAGAGACGAGGGTGTGACTTTCATAAGAAGCGGAAGAGCTCCGGGGCCAGTTAGACGATGCTGCACCCTATACATATAACATCAATCAACCTGAAGATAGATGATTCTGGAAGGGGAGGGCAGGGGACTAACATATGGCTAACATCAAACAAACTCGACTTCTCTCTCGTCCAATGATGACTCTCCGTGTGCGAAAGATCGGAATATTGCAACGGCATATCAAAGCCGGCGAACGGGACCATTTTGGCTGCATATTTAAGATGCAAATCGTACAATTGAGTGCGGTTTAGAGAATTGCTGCTGCTGGAAGAAGCATATCGCACAGATCTTGCTGTGTACGTGGTGGGTGATGCATTTCGTCGTTGTACCGGGACTGATCTTCGGAGACCGGTGATAGCGATTGTATATGACGTCTTGGGGATGCGACTCGCGACAACAGTAGACAAGTGTCGCGCATTCTGAAGGGGGTTTGCAACCCGGTAAACGGATCTTGTAATTCCAGACATTATTATATCTTTCAATTGATTTTCTGGAATTGTGTGAAAGAGATAAATTTAGAAGAAAGGGGAAAAGAAAAAAAAGGAAAAAGGTACACCGTCAGATGAAGCTCGAATGCCGATGCGGAGAAAGAAGCGGGCAACTGCAGCGATAGCGGGAAAGTCACATGAAGATAAGACGGGAATGGGTTTTCCGATGTCGAGCGAAAAAGCCCTAACTCGGATCTACGTCGAGGTCAGTAACAAAGATATAGTTATACGTTTCAGTTGTAATTAAGATTAAGATTGATAAAAATGCCATGACTGTTATTCGATTAAATAATAGCGAAACAGCAAGTTAAGAATATAAAAAGAAGGTAAGGCGTTAGTGTTCTATTAGAGATCCTAATCAAACTGCAAGCTGTAGTAGAGGATCAACAAGAGCCAATCCTAAAAATGAATGACTGAAGCAATCTTCCAGAAGACAACCATCTTGACTAAAGGCCATTGTCGGCGCAAGAGAATGGTCCTCCAAATCCGCCTTCGTGATAACTTAGGATGACACTTTCGACAGATGCCTGGAATCATGTTAGATAAACGACAGCGATAGCTCGCACGATGATAACTTACGTAGGTGCCCGCTCCCAAGAAATACAAACCAACACCGATGAGGAAAAGATTCACAATGAATCCAATCCAGCCGCGAAGACCACGAACTTTGTAAAAGTTGGGGCCGTGGTCGGCCGCTCGCATTCGAATGTACGCCACGCCCCAGAAAATGAAGCCGAAAAATGAGTCAAAGAGCGAACTCATGATCGACTCAAGATCCGAGAAGAAAGGAACGACTTCGGCGATAATAAAGGCAAGAATCCAGAGAATAGCAAGAATGCCAGCCCATGACGCCCATCCGACAATGGTATGCTGCGACTTGTGGCGAGTCCCATCAAAGAAGCGCAAGAAGACGAAACGAGCAGAAACAGAGGCGTAGAGGACGCCCAGGAAGATAAGAGTCGGGATCATGAAAGAAAATGCGACTTTTTTGTAGGTCTCGTCTCCCAGGGAGCCAAAGGCGGGGCTTGTCATGTACTGGTTTCCAGTATAAGCGTAGATGACAGCTCCCACGATGCTGAAAACAAGCACCTCGGCTATGGTCACGGCGGTGACAGACTTCCAGAACTCCTGGGGATCCTTCATTTCTGCGATGAAACTTGGCAGTGTGATTTGGCCGATGAAGGTGTAGCTGATGTTGAGGAAAGCACTCATGCCATTGACGAATGTCGTACCGGCGACGGGAAAGGCCGTCACTAGGGGGTTTCCTAGTTCTTCGCTGTATCTGGCAGGATGATCTTCAATGCCAGCGAAGATGGTGGCCAACAGAACTGAAAGGAATGTAAAAAATGCAGATGCTGTGGCCATGTGGGAGAGGCCGCTGAACGTTCTGGGCAGCGAGAAGAAGAAGGAAATGATTGCGACGACAACAGAGAATGTGATTGTGCAAGTTGCATGTCCTGTCATGGTGTTGAGATACTTGGCGCCGACCAGACAATGCAGCCCCTGGGTTTGTCAGACTAGAAATATAGAAGAGAGGTAGGGGAAATGCTTACCTGAATGAAAGTATTGTTCAACAAGAACATCACAGCAGTAGCCCACCAGGCAAGCTTGGAATCCCAGAACAGATATTGGCCAATGTCGCATACATCGCGAATTTCGGGATGACGCAAACAGAATTTCCTATTCAACAACAATATGAGTATGAGGAATTGAGCATTTTAAGGGGTAACGTACCAGATTGTGAGCGACGTATACAGCACGACCAGAGCGATAAACACCGTTAGGATCAGACCAGGAACCAGACCCAAGACGGAGTATGCCCAGGGGAACGACATGATAGCCAGACAGATATACTCCGAAAAGAGTAATGCGGCAGTCTACTCGATCAACACAGATACAGATAGTTGAGCCCATAGGATTCCCGACTCACCTTCTGCCAGCTGCACGTCCGATATTTAATGGCACTCTCTGCCTCCAAGGCCAGTTGCTTCCCGATAGTAGCGCGATCAATCTCGACATCCGCTATGCGACTACCACGACGAGTCTGGCTTTCTTCGTCAGAGCCATTTTTACCATAAATGACATTGTCGGCGTCCTTTTCCGGTGCGTGCGACATATTCAACGCCATTTTATCTGACGAATGAACTCGTTCTCGAGGAGAACGGCGAGGAGCGAGGTGAGTGAGCGAGTTAGGTAACCTTGTAACTGCATGAAACTGTTGTTCTAGCTGTAGCTGGGCTGATAGCCTCTTCGGGGTTTGTAACGAATATTCGAAAAATAAAGTGATAAGACTCGACAATGTGTCGAGTAAATCTCGGGGCGGGGACGAATTGATTATCAACAAAGTCGAAAGTTTCACCAGAGGAGAGCGTCTGATTTATGCTATGACTGTAAACTAAAATCTTAGCACTCTTAGCATAGAAAGCAAGGTTGGTCGGACAGTTTTTTCCACGCTAAGCTCTAGTGTCAACCACGGGTGATTATCTCCGGACGCACCTAATTGTGGTTTGTTGAGCGAGAGAACGACGAGAGAGAACAACGTGCGGTGGATGTGTCGAATGCTGATTAATTGGGTGTGCAGTCATTGATGAGAGGAGACTGGGAGTTGGGATGAATCAGTGGAGGACGACATCATCGAGCACAGTGAGTAGCATCGCGACTGGGGGTGGATCGATCGTATGGGGACTATGGGGCAGGGCTTGGAGCTAGACGTCGCTGGCTGATTTTAGCGTTCGATCTCGCTGTATCGGTACGGTAATCTATTGCCGATGACGTGCCGGCGGGCCACTCACACACTGGTACGCGAGTAATTGTGACGCTGCAATACAGCTTAATATGCTCTACTTTGCAGTAACAGGGCTTCGTCCTTCTAGAAGTACAACGTGCACAATTATTTTCTATTTATTTGAGGTTGTCTATATAGTAACATAGCTGATTGCGTTTTGTACATGCCTGAGTCAACGGGGTCAACTTATATTTCTCTGGACAATCATCACAGGCTTGAATTGCATTCAGCTTCCGCATTGGGACTGGCGGAAGGTACACTCTTGGCTCTTGGGTCTCCGCCAGCCTATGATTATCAGGGAGAACTCTGAGAAGAAAGAAAAAAAAAATCAACTCCAAGACTTGGGGCAAAACTGAGACTAATTATTGATAATGAAAATACAGCCGGTGGATCATTCACTGGCCAGAGGTTCATGGATATAAGACGAGCGGGTACGGCGTCACTGAGAAACAAAATACAGTGGGGTGCCAGATGTCTGAGGCGTTAAGGCTGCATTCAGCGCAAAATCGGGTATATCCGTATTTGGACTAGCGTGTGGCTTGGTCCCTGACGCCTCTTTGATCTCTAAATTGACTACTTCTATTTTTTGCCAATTTGATGATGGCAGTCGAATGGGATACATAAAGAGTTCCTGGAATATACATACTATTGTGTTACTCGCCAGACTATACAAAGCAAGGATCGGTGGACAACTACCACGTGGCAACAATGAAATATGCAGTGCCATGTGATTTGCTCCCCCTAGCTGCATCCACTCTTACAATCCACATGGCCTTGGACTTGATCTCATATAACGCCCGCTGTTGTGGAAGCGTTTTTACAAATCACTGAGTAATGAAAGCTGTCATCACTGCCAAGCGAATAAATAACCGAGGCCAGGTCCCGACGAAAGTCTTCCAGTTTATTGACAGTCCGCTATTTACATGTAAAGACGACTCAAACAATTCATACCAACCCATCATCCTCGTCCGCCAACAATGCTGCGTAATCGTCCATAGATGCAAAAGTAGGTAAGTGACGAAGCTTGCGCTTCTTCGACTTCTTTGTTGTCGCGTCGTCGTCTGCAGTGCTAGCCGGTAGAGCGACTCCGCCCATATCAACATCAAGGTCAGACGGTAGGTCCTCGTCACTGTCGCGGAAGGCTTCTTCGTCCGAGACATCCATGTCGAATGAGTCCTCGTCGTCCTCATCCTCATCCTCATCCTTAGGGGCAGATGCTTTGAGTGTCTTTTGTTTGACCTCCGTCTCAACATCTTCTTCCTCTTCTTCAGCATCGTCAAGATCCACCTCCTCTTCATCTGACTCATCGTTGAAAATGACTCCCCCATCATCAGAGCCCTCGACATCCTCGTCGTCATAAGCTGATTCGAGATCATCCATATCCAAATCATCATCCTCGTCATCGTCCTCAAGACCAGGGCGTGATTCCACAAGTGCTTGCCAGATCTCGGATTCATTACCACTTTCATCACCCGCTTCTTCGTCACGGGCAACAGGATCCTTGGCCCTCCTCTGAGCTTTCTTACCCGTCTTGTCCTTGCTCACTCGGTTGAAGTATTCATGGAAGAATACGTCCTCGGCAGCAACATCCTCGGCGCGTTGGCGCCAGAATGCTTCCGAGTTGACAGGTACTTGTGCACGTGCATCGCCAGCCAGAGCGTTGGCACCAACCAGTAGGTCATGACTGTCGGTTCCTGCGAGCGGCTGCATGATCGACTGACCACGTGGTGTACCAGCTGCCTTGGCATTACGGTAGATGAATCGATCCAAGAAGTGAGTCAACGTGTGCAGCGTGAGGTCTGGCTTGCCGCTTAGGGGCTCATGGTTGAGAAGGTGAGAAGCCAATGCAGAGACTGAAGGATGAAAATGAGAGAGTAGGGGAAGCTAAACAACAGCATTAGCGTTATCGTATCAACTACAAAGATTAAAACAACTTACCAATTCCCACAAGCAACTCTTGTCAGCATTGCTGTGCTGAGGATCTCTCTTTCGGGCATCGTACCCATTGATGACTTTCTTCGTGGTCGTTTCCGCTTGCTTGGCGGTCTCACCTTGTTGATCCTTCTCGTCAGGTACATCACGAAAGACTTCTTCCTCGTCGCTTTCATCTTCCTCTGGTTGGTCTATTAGAGACGATAACGAGGGATATGTCTTTTCCAGTTCTCGTATCAGGAAGAAGACACCACAAATGAAAGATGGTTGATGTAGTCCTAATACCTGAACAAGTCGTTTGACAAACGCTTTCACTCGTTTAATGCTCGAATCGTTCTTCAACGCCTTGTACAATAAGTTCAGGTAGAGTGATTGCTTGGATGACGTTGCAACTCGAGGATCGAGAAGAGACTCGTATAGGGTACGATAGAACCGATCAGCTGCAATCTGATGCGTAGCAGTGAGCTGTTGAATTAGCATCAAAGCTTGGATGCTTGTGTTAAAGTTGGAGGAATGAGTAACTCGGAACAGGGTATCAAGATGTTTGGAGATCCTACATTTCTCATATTAGTCAAGTATATCGATTTGAGGGATCCGCGCACATACCGATCAGTATCGGAGCTGGTAAAAGGATAAGCTCGGTTGACTCCAGTAAGAACAGCAGCAATCAACTTCTCTTTTAACTGTTCATCGTGTTCTGCTTGGGCTTTCTGTGTCTTTGCATCGTCCTTTTTGCCTTTCTTCTTATTGTCCGCCTTCCAGCTCTTTTTATCCGTTGATTTGAGCAACTGAAGGAAAACCGCAAAGTAGATGTCTAGAAGTTGAACAGCAACCTTCTCCTCCTTTGTGCTGAGAATAGTCTGGTTAAGTGTGATGATTGCATAATATTTAGCATGTGCGCTTTGGCCAGGTCGGAAAAGGAATTCTTCAACACTTTTGATGATAGTTGGCTTCATCAACGGATGAGCTTGACATAACTGGAGCAATAGATACGATGCCCTTGAAGCTATCTTCTTTCCAGTATCACCGAGTTTGTTCACCAACAAGCGCAGCAAGTTGGCCTCTTGTTCGGGCTTCTCCTTGAGAAGCTCATAGACGTAACTAACGGCTCGAGTACGCGAAAACTCAATTTCATCATTACACCAAATCTCCAACACCTTCAGAATCTCGAAAAATTGAGCCTTGAGGTAATCCTCAAATGCCCAGACGATCAAATGTTGAGTTTGAAGACCACCGGGTAAAGGATCATGTTCGGTCCATTTGGTCCCAGCTTTTTGGAACGCTGCGACAAGCTCCGCATGGTTCGCAAATGCTTTCAACTTGCGGTCGCTGGGCAAAAGTGTCCCTTGCGCAAATAAATCCTTGAGAGACCGTAAAACATCGACGGCCTGGGCACGACTACGCTTTTTCGACAATGCAACAAGGTCTCCCAGGGCCTTGATATTGTGAATAGGCGACTCTTGTACAGCCAAAGTAAGCGCCGAAATCTTATCGCTCAATGTTCCCGATGTCATAATAGTCGAGTAAAACTTGTGAGACGACGAAGATGATTGCTGTTGAATCTGCGAGTATAACTGGTTCTCCTTTTCAAGCAACGAGGTGGCATGTTGTTGTATTCGGTCTACAAGGAATTTCGGAAGGCCGGTAGTTACCTTTGGAGCTGAAATTGATGGTAACTCGGTTTCGTACCAGTCTGCTCTAGGCATAATAGTCTAGATCAACAGTTAGTATTTTGCCACTAAATGTTTGATCCACGAAAGATTTACCAATCGTGAATATTCCTTGGGAAATTGTGACTGAGTCTCCGCAAGAGCGATCTTTTTCTTATCAGCAGCTTCTGCAACCTTCGCTTTTGCAACTTTTTTCGAGGATAAATTGGTGTTATCACCCTCAGATGCACTCGAATTTGCGTCGACAAAATCTTCAATCTCGTCCTCGTCTTCGTCCTCCTCCTCTCCACTTCTATCTTCACTAGCAGATGGTTCCTCGACTTGATCATCCGCAATCTCAGGATTGAACTGCCCAGCATCTTTCAACAATTGAGCTAATTCTTTTCTCAACGCATCATCACTCGACCCAGCCCTTTTGTTCGGGCCAGATGCGGGCCCTTCAACCTCCGAATCTGAAGCTACCTCCGCCACAAGATCAAAATCTTCCTCGCTACCACCCAAAGCCAAAATCTCTTTTCTTAAGATATTATCCTGACTTCGGTCTATTTCGGCATTTCCACCTTTGGCGGGTTTGTCAATAAATTCTCCATCCCGATTCCGTTTTTTGCCCTGATTCGAATTCTGTGGCTTGTTGGTAGTCTCTTTCTTTTCTCTAACATCTTTCAACGGCGACTTCTTCGTTCCAGTTCTCGAGTTATTGACTTGCCTCTGAGACTTCTTGTTCGCGGCGTCTTTCCCGTCTTTCAATTTTTGTTCGATATTTCGAGTGAGGTTGGCAAGTGCTCCGGCGTCAAGAGAGAGGATATTATCATCGGCAGAGGCTTTAGACTCGCCGACATCGTGAGGTTTTTCGGCCTGCGAAGCTTTCCCTGTCGAAGAGCGTTTTTCCTTATTTTTTGCCATGACCACTCAATTAATTGCTGGTCAGGTCCAAATTGGTTATTGTTCGTTGATTTTCGATGCTTTTTTTTCTGCCGGAAAAATTAGAGGGACTCCGCCGGAGAATAGTTTTGCAGTTGCCGATATCAGAGGAGCTCGAGCCATTATGGGGGCTGATTCGGGTTTAGCGCTGTTCTAGAATATCTCCACTTAGTCTCCAGCTTCATTTCGATGTCCTTAAATAAATAATTGTCTATGAACATTCAATTCTGATATCTTGACGGCTCTTGGAGCTAGATGTTTATAAAGTGCAGGCTACTTACAAGTCCGAGGCCGACTCCAGGTCTCCGGCTGGCCTACCCCAATCAATGGAACAGATCTTTGATTTTGAAATGCAATATCCATGTGAGTAATGTGTCTGAACAGTTCGCTTTCTTGCATACTGATTCTCTCTAGTATGATGGCCGTAGTAGAGTGTCAAACTTTTGGATACCAACTGGAGGTATTGAGAGGAAAGCGGCTGAAACAGTGAAAGGTTACTATCCTATCAAGTAGCTTCCAAGTACTTATGCTGATAAGCCTTCCTAGAAGATGCAAATGACCTCCTGATTAGAGCTGGCTTTATACGCCAAGCCTACTCAGGTATTTTTCATATGCTGCCATTGGGGCTTCGCGTGCAGAATAAGCTAGAGGCTTTGATCGACAGGCACATGGAATCTCTTGGTACGGAGCCGGACACATCATGCTCGATTAATCGAAAGTGAACTATTTTCTGATTTCATCTCAGGTGCATCAAAAGTTTCCCTTTCATCTTTATCATCCCAAGAACTATGGGAGAAAACTGGGCGCTTAAAAAGCGGTTCTGAGGTGAATGCTCTCGATATTTTTTCCATGATCTAGTCTAACGGTTTGATAGGTATTTAAGTTCAACGATAGGAAAGAGTCCCGATTTCTACTTGCTCCTACGCATGAAGAAGAGATCACTTCATTGGTCGCAAGCTTAGTCAATTCATACAAGGAGCTGCCATTGAGATTATATCAAATTAGTATGGAGTTTCGAACAGCACTAATACGTGTTTGGCCTGCTAACATCTTTCAGCCAGGAAGTATAGAGATGAAGCCAGACCGCGACAGGGCCTCCTTCGTGGCCGAGAATTTGTCATGAAAGACCTGTATACATTCGATTACAATGCGGAGCAAGCACTAGCGACCTACGAAGCAACGCGAGAAGCATATAAGCGCATATTCGACACGTTGAAAGTTCCCTATCTAGTCGCTGCCGCCGATTCAGGGAACATGGGCGGCAACCTGAGTCATGAATTCCACTTCATCAGTGACAAAGGAGAAGATACGTTGATCAGCTGCTCTCATTGCGATTATGTATATAATGAGGAAGTATCAGACGGCCGCGCATTAGGCACTGTTATCGAGAAGCCATTGACTCCTCCTGTGCCGTCAGAGTCTGGTGTTGGGACCGATAATCCCCTGGCTATATCCGTAGCATTATGGACAGCTATCTCCAAGGATAAAAAGACTCTAGTGAGAGCCTGGTACCCACGATATTCGACACCAGATCTCGGCAGTGAGCCGCGAGAAAGAGAGGTCAATTCACACGCTATTAAGGCTATAGCAAAATCAACAGGAATTGATCTTGATACTGGCGTGGAAAGTCCGGTTGCACTTTGGTATATTGATCTCAAGAAAACGACTGCTTCCGGCTTCCAGATGGAATCGACATCTGCATATAAGATTCTCGATATCTATGACTCGCAAGTTGCCCCTTACAGTCGCCCGCCACTCAGTGGACTTCCAGAAAACTTCGACAAAGTCAAATATCCCGTTGAATTTGCGCTATTGAATCGCTTCCCTGGCACTAAAGACGGGCTCAGTTTGACGCGAGTTCTCGATGGCGATAAGTGTCATAAGTGTTCTGAGGGTTCTCTACATATGCACAATGCAGTGGAACTTGGTCACACATTTTATCTCGGAACCCGTTACTCAGAAGTGCTCAAAGCCAAAGTCTTTGTGGATAACTCGGTGATCAAGTCTAATGAATCTAGCACGAATAGCAACAAGTCCCAGAATGTCCCGATGGAAATGGGCTGTCATGGAATTGGCGTTTCCCGTATGATATCCGCAGTGGCAGATGCACGCTCCGACATCCGCGGTCTCAACTGGCCAAGAGCCATTGCCCCGTTTGAAATCATCGTCGTACCAGCTCGTAACCTTGAGCCTGAAGCCGAAAATATCTACGATCTTTTGAGACAGCATACAGACACCAGCGACATTATTCTGGACGATCGTACCAAACAGGTCGGATGGAAACTCAAGGACGCTGATCTGATTGGGTATCCGATTGTAATCGTCCTCGGAAAAGCATGGAAGTCGGAACATAAGGTTGAAGTGCATTGTCGACAGTTGGATGGGCTGCGAGAGGATGTTCCTTTGGGCAATCTGGTCGAATACGTTAGATCGTTGTTGGCAAGACTATAACTAGGTCGTAGAGGCGGCCAAGTGTAGATTACTACATATGTAACATAGATTTTTATCATTAGCATCAATAGATTAAGTTTTTGTGTCTATAAACCACATCTACTTTGTGATGTTAATACGTATCGTATGTACTGTAGACTTTAGGGTTGATACAAGTGGGTTCACATTCCCCACCCACTGGTTTGCGGCGAGAGCTTGGATGGACCTCCCACAACTTCACTTTATTTTAAACTGCCTTTTTGCCTCGCCAGTTCAGCCAGTACTCTAAAGAACCGGAACTCGAAGATACAGGAATAAACTGCAGTGATTCCGCCTTACATACAAGTTGTAGAAAGGGCACCGGCATCACCGGCTCGAAAGAAAAAAGAATGCCACCATCAGATACCCCCGCTTCCGGATCAGTTCCACCAGGAGCAGGTACGTTCTGCTACAATATCCGAGCAATTATGCTCCTCGATGGCAATCCTCAACTAATTGTCATATAATAATCAACAGTCGATGTCACAACCCTCTCCGTACCACAACTCCGCGCCCTCCAATCCCGCCTCAACTCCGAACTCGAGCAGCTCACCAATTCACACGCGAAACTGCGCGCAGCTCAATCCAAGTTCCGAGATTGCGTTCGAACAATCAACGATGGCGTCGTGGGGAAGAAGTCGCAACAAGCAGCACAGTCAGCCGATAATAGTATTCTCGTACCGCTAACGAGTTCGTTGTATGTCAAAGGAAAGCTTGCGGATAGGGAGAAAGTTATTGTGGATGTTGGCACAGGGTTTTATGTTGAGAAGGTGAGTTTTCTACCGAGAAGAAATTCTGTCTGGATTTGGCTGCTGACCTAAGATTGTTCGATCAGACCACCGCCAAAGCTATCGAGTTTTACAATAAAAAAGTCAAGGAGTTGGAAGCGAACATAACCGACTTGGAAAAGATCGTTCAAGGGAAAAGCACAAACTTAAAGATTATTGAAGATGGTATGACATTCATTTCCACTAACCATCTGTCTCATGTATCTAGCTAACTATTATCAGCACTTCGACAAAAGGTAGTGAGCGGCGAAGCCGTCACGGCTCCCTCTGGCTAAATTCTTTCCTTGATACTATGTTGAAACCCCTAGTGCGACAGGTGTTCAGAGAAAATCAAGGGCGGTCCCGAAATAAGAAGTGGGTGGATCATGCAGTGTATTCTGGCGAGAATGGCATAATGCTAAATATGACACGATGCTGTTATAGCCATGACAAACATGTTTTCCCATGTGGAAACACTAAGTATGGGAACATCATTGAGAGACGTCGATGTAATGTCTTCGTTGACAGCTTTGCTTCTGCTTTGTAACAATCCAGGAATAAACCTCTTTATCCTCATGTCGAGGACCAATTTTCATCAAACTGTACGAGATTGAAATGATACCGAACCAAACGATAACAGTCTCCACGCTCATTAATTGTATTCCCGTTTGCGGGGACGAAATCTTTGGTTCAGTCCAGATCAATGAGGATCCCTTCAGGAACGTGCCTCGGTTGAGCCATGCTTGTATATGACTGTGATGATGGTCGCGGTATAGACACCATGGGTTGTAAGCCAGCAGGATTCCAAAGCCCCGCGACGTTTGTCGTGATCATGATAAAACGTTCGAAGGCGGCCCTAGGCGTTTCCCGTTGCCTTGGCTGGAATAAGGCAGCAAGAACGGAGTTCAGATCCCGGGCTTGATTGATATTCTTCAGTCTCGTGTCCCAAGTTCGACCATATAGAACAGCTTCCGTGAATGATGTCGGAGTTTTAAACTCCATATATGAACTGGCATCTGCATTATGACGTATCGGACACACCTTTGGATAATAAATATCATAGCGAGCTATTTCCAAAACGTAGTCTGTCTCTTTTATGGGGTATTGCATCGTAGATTTCTCGATAAGACGGTAAATCTGTGCGTTGCTAGGAAGCATGCAGTGTTGTTTGGCTGGTGTTACCAGAGCATTTCCAGGTGTATCATGGTTGAATTGTAGACTGGCTTGCACGTCACGCATGGAAGGACTAAGTTGACCTGGATTGAGTATCGTTTTCTCCCTGATTTTGAGTTCCCAATCAGCTCTGCATTATCACGGGTTAGCTTCACTTTTCTAATCCAGTCTAGCAATCATGAATTCACCTTTCTGGATTGAGCATGACCGCTTGCAACACGGGCCTTTTCTCAGGCCGTGCTCTGTCAAATTCAGTTTCGACCCAACACGTGCGAACCTTCTCATATTGTCCTCCGTGTGCCTGAAATTCGACCTCGAGATGTAGTGACGTGCCGGTTCTTGAAGCGAACTCAACCTTTACGGAGCGACAGGCTGTGGAGACTGGGCCTTGGCCGTTTTCGAGTACAAACAGATGACTCGCCCGGTTGATATGGTCAATGATCTGATCAGGTTCCAATCTAGCAATGAAAGATACGTTAGCGTATATAAGACATATACACAATCTTTGGTCTTACGTCGACGTGATATGACCTCTGGTCATTTCTTGTGATAGCATATCACCAAACTCGTCGAATGAATATCCATTCTCGTGGTCCTTTGGTCGGCGGTACTGCTCGAAGATGAATGAGCCAAGCGTGACTCGCATCTGTGCAGTACCTCTAAGCTGAGGTACGACTCGAAGACTTTGCATAAGGGCAGATGACAACTGATCGATGTTTTTCGACCACAGCTGAGCGTTATCGATCAGCATACAAGTGAGCTGAATCTCACTTGTCACAAATGTCACTATGACCTCTTTCGGATTGGGGGTGGCTTTCAGCAAGATAGATTTCACATATCTGCCAGGGCATGGTAAGCCCATGAGATACGCTTTTCTTTTGATGATGTGACTAGACATCTCGAGGGGTTTCTATGAATCGAAAGTCAGTAAAAAGCCATGCTTACGTTGACAAATTTTCAGAATCTCCCCGGGGTACTAAACTGGTGGATAGATATTATCGAATTCTACTTACTTCGCTCAAGCCCTGGGTGGCATCTTGAAGAACGAATTTCCCCAACTTTGGCGCCTGCCTGTTCCTTGCGAGCATTCTTCAGTCAGTCCAATGACCTCTCAGCGGCGTAAAGAGAATCGAGAGCCTCTCAGAATCAAACGCTCAGTGGTCGCCCTCTCCAATGATAGCTCTAAAGCGGGATTCGGGATATTATGAGGCCTTCGGCTGTAGCATGTAACCGGTGTTGGAGTCCTTCTCAGATGTAAACTGGCCGACCTGAGCCCAAAGAACTTTCTGTCGTCAAGGGCCTAACAAGGATAATCTTGACAGGTCTTGTTCCCCGTTGCTCTATTCTTCGTGATACTGAACGCGAGAAGAAGTCGGGTCAAAAAGAGGAGCGAAGCTTCTCGAGTCAGCAGGACAACAAACATACAAAGTAATTCTGTGACGACAGCAAGAGAAAGAGACAAGAAGGAAAATTGAGAACACAAAAGAAGTGAGAACAGTTGAAACTCGATTTCCCAATGGTTTGAAACCTTGACAACTAGACTGTGAAGAATGGACACACACTAGATGATCCGATATGGCAACGGTAAGATGATCATGTAGTGTGTAGATTGGGAGAGGCGTGAGGCTATTCTTCGCCGTTGATGAAGGGACAGGGCAAAGTTGTACTTCCTTTCTTTGACGGGCGTGCTCTCCCCAAGGACAGGTAGCCCTCCCCAGTGAGCCATTCATGCGTTTTACATTTTCTTGTGTCTGTTTTTTGTTCTTTGATGTGATGATGGATGTAGTAATAGTAAATTCATTATACACCCGGAGGAACTAAGCCTAAAGGGCTCCAATACGCTATTCGCCCTCCATTTCATACACTTTGATCATGGTCTCATGTTGAGAGGAAAAGCTGTATCAGCTGCAAAAATGCCTCTAGCCCATACATTATGTCTTGAACATTCCCTTCTTGTCGTTGTAGCCATATTTTCCCAAAAGCAATAACCCATCCCTCTTGGACCGGATTTCCCGCGCGTCCATTCTCGGTGTAGTTCTGTGAAACTCTTCCCTTAGTAGCAATTTACCAAGAGTACTTCTCAAAATAGCGCTTGAAGTAGCTGAATGCCTCGCTGGCGACAACTCCAGATAGCAAGCGAAGGTCTGGCAAATCAAAACGTGGCCGAACCGGTAGAGATAGGTGAGTTACTCTTAGCAAAATCCCGTGAATATCGATTGGTGCCAGGTAGGCAAACGACCAGAAGGCTCGTCGACGCGGCCGAAGTTGTAGAAGTGTTCTTTTGAAGCCCTTCTATCCGGTCGTTCAAACCAACAAGGGGTTTCCCACTGGAGTTTCGACTTGGAAAGTTCTTAGCTTCAGCTAGACCATGCAATCCAGTTTACTGACGTCCCTCACCACGAGGGACTACAATGGATGTCCTGATTAGGCAAAAAAAAAAAGGTCATCGTAGGTAAGCGCTAGTCTGCTTCAGGCTTAGCTGAAACAAGAATGCGCTAACCGAATCGGTACAGATCAAGACGCGACGCGTCCCACAAAGGAAGGAACGCGTCTGCCAAATTAGGCAAGATTGAAATTTGGCGAAGGCGGAGAATCTCGGACATGGAGTACAAGCTCCAACGGTCCAACCAAAGCTACGTTAAGCACCGATTCCATTCTCCTGACTGAATACAGCTACATTTTCAGCCTGCGAACCCCATGGCCGCGCAAACGAAGCCGTCGTCCCGCCGAAGTATTCGAGATAACAAGGAAAGGGCACGACAATGGCTCACGAAAGGAGCCCTTGTGCGCGAAGACTCGGACGATGAGCTGGGCTACGATGATCTTCCCTGGGAATGGATATACGAAGAAGATGGAAATGAAAATAAGCCTCAGGCATCGGCAACTGAGGAAGATGACCAGGATTCGAAGACTTTGCGGCGACGTTCTGGGCGGCCGAACAAGAAAAGAAAGATTGTGGGCGCTCGTATGGGTAAATTCGAATGCAGACTGGGGCATGTGGTACTCTTAAAATCTCCAGAGGCTGGGAAGGACTGGGTGGGCCTGATTACAGAATTTCTCGAGGAAGAAGACGACGACGATGAGGAGGAGATGATCAAGTCTGCCAATATCATGTGGTTCGCTTCAGCGGAAGAATTCTTGTCGACAAAGACGAAGAACAGAAAGAGAGTAGATGCTCTGCCCAACGAGCAATACTTGACAACTGACTTTAACGTGAACCCTCTAACCTCGATCAATGGCCGAGGAAAAGTGATGTCAAAGGATGCCTTTTTCGCCAAATATCCGAACGGAACCCCGCCTAGAAATAAAGCAGAACTGGCAGAGTATAAAAAATGCATTGTTTGTCGAAGAGGTGTCAACCAGCTTCAAGGGAAATATACCGAAGAGTTCGTCTGGGAAGATGTTTACAAGGGCGATGAAGCAAGCGTGTTCAAACTGATCGAGTTGATCAAAGCAGGCCTCAAAACGGCCAAGAAGCGTAAAGCAGCTGATGAAGATGTGAGTATCCTGTACACCCTGGCCGGCTTTTCTGTTAAACATTAATTCTCTACAGTATGTGGATATGAAAGACGGGGACGATGAAGCGCCCATCACACCAAGGAAGAGGCAACGCACAACTGCTCTCCAGGTCACACCCCAATCAAAACGTAAAATCCTTACGACACCCACAAGCAAACGGTTTGCCTCCCTCAAGTACATTACTATGCTAGACGGCGTTGCTAACAGGTTGAATCGTATAGCATTGTGGTGAAAAAGCCACTGGAATTCACTCCACTTGGAACTCGTATACTTGATCCAACTCATTTCACGTCATCGCCATACCGTCAGGCACGATCGTTACTGCATGTTTCAAGCGTGCCGACTTCACTGCCTTGCCGTAGTGCAGAGTTTGAAACTGTATATACTCACCTGAGTGCCGCAATCGCCGAGGGTAGTGGTACTTGCATATATATCTCAGGGACACCAGGTACTGGCAAGACGGCCACTGTCCGAGAAGTGATTGCTCAATTGAACAATGCAGTGTTGGATGAAGAAATGGATGACTTTATCTTTGTCGAAATCAACGGCATGAAAGTGACGGATCCTCACCAGTCCTACTCTCTGCTCTGGGAAGCATTGAAAGGAGATCGTGTATCACCCTCGCATGCACTTGATCTCCTCGAAAGAGAATTCTCTCATCCGTCTCCGCGTCGAGTTCCGTGCGTCGTCTTAATGGATGAACTTGATCAACTGGTAACGAAAAACCAGTCAGTCATGTACAACTTCTTCAACTGGCCTGCTCTCCGCCACTCGCGTCTAATCGTTCTTGCCGTTGCAAACACTATGGATCTGCCGGAGAGAACTCTTAGCAATAAGATCTCGAGCCGTCTTGGTCTTACTCGTATTACATTCCCTGGTTACAAACATACAGATCTCATTGAGATCATCTCCTCTCGACTCGCCAACGTCCCTGGAAATATTGTCGACCCCGATGCCATCCAATTTGCCAGCCGAAAAGTTGCAGCTGTTAGTGGAGACGCTCGTCGAGCGCTAGATATCTGTCGACGGGCCGTCGAAATTGCTGAACAAGAGTGTGAAGCAAATGCCGCAAAGAACGGTACCAATAATCTCATGGATATCGACGACACAGAGTCTCTTCCGCCCACACCAAGCAAGAGCACTATACGCAGAAATAAGAGTCAGAGAGGTAATAGCAAGTCCGTTGTCAAGATTGAGACCTCCCAAAAGAAGCCATCAAAACAACAAACTCTTCCACGAGTAACAATAGCTACAATAAAGCAAGCCATCCAGGAAGCAACATCCACCCCTCTACAACAATCACTTCGCTGTCTTCCACTCGCGGGAAAGCTATTCCTTGCAGCTCTTCTTGCCCGAGTCCGCCGCACAGGTATATCTGAATCCACAATGGGTGACGTCTTAGATGAGGCACGACGAATTGCGGATGCAGCAGTGGCAGTTGCCGGTGCTGCGGGATTCAGTATCAAGAACTTCCTACTTGGAAAGGAGAATCCCGGTGCAAGAGTACATGCCATGGTTTTTGCCGCTATAGAGCTTATGAATTCGGGCATTGTGGCACTTGAGACTGGGGTTGGGATTAGGGTTCGCGGCGGAGGGGATAGGAGTAGCAAAGTGAGATTACGGGTCGCTGCTGAAGAAGTCAATTCTGCATTTAGAGATGATATTGAAGCTAAGGGGTTTGGTCTAGGCTTTGATCAATAGATGTATGAGTTTACGAATTGCATAGTTGGTGCTGAAGCATTGGGTACGGAGATCAATTGCATCTGTTGCCAACACCTTAGCCAAGTTATTATCTTATTTTCTATTCGCAATATAATCCATAACACATATCTCTAAAATTAGTACAGATCAATTGATATACACTAGCCTATATGTAGCTATACATCAGACTTAGAGAACCCGAAGATAAAAAGCAGAAAACACACGGTATCTTTTGAACATATCAATTAATGAAAATCTTTATTTTGTTCTCTTTTGTGGTATTTGTGACTCCCAATAACTCCCATACCATGCGAAACAATAGCCACAGAAAACACTAATATCTTTGTCGACCCAGAGTCGGTTTCCAGTCCAAAGGATGTGATTCTGGAGTAGCTTCGTCATCCGGTTTCCACACCTTGATCGTCTTATCTGCTTCACCGACAATCAATCGGAGACCCGTACGATCGAACGTCGCCGACATAATGCCAGCTTCGGCGTCCAAGGATCCAGGCTGTGCTGTAGTATCAAGAGATTGGAACCGATGACCTGTCTTCCAGTCCCAGAAGGACATGGATCCGTTGTCTCCGCCGGAGAAGAGAACATTATCCTCATTGACAGCGATTGAGTTGATGACTGCATTCTGGCCTTCAAAGTTCTGCATAAAGGCGCCTTCGGGACATTTCCATTGTTTGATGCTGCCGGTGCTAGCACTTGCGAATGTGAATTCCTTGGGATGTATAGCAAGACTTCGTACACCCTTTTTGTGATGTGTCAACACCCCCATGGTCTTGCCTGCCGCAAGATCCCAAAGACGAACTGTTGAGTCTAGAGAACCGGTGATGATCTGAGGATCGGCTTCCTGGCACTTGACATCGGCGACAGTACCCTTATGACCAGATAAGACGTGAATGTTACTGCGCGTTCGCATGTCCCATACTCTTGCAACGCCATCACGACCTCCTGTAACAAGAACATCGAGTTTCGGGTGTAGAGCAAGAGTGTAGACGCCACTTAAATGGCCGTGGTAGTGTCGAATAACTTTATTCGCTTCCAGATCCCAGCATTTGACCATCTTGTCCTCACCGCAAGAGAAAAGATATGGATGACGAGGTGACACCGCAAGACCACGCACAGTCGATATATGGCCAGTCAATGTGAGACGAAGCGATCCTGTCGCCAAATTCCAGATTTTGATAGTCCGATCACCTGCACCACTAGCGAACCATTCGTTATTAGGCTCTACGGCCAAGGCTCGTACCCAACCGAGATGGCCGGAAATCACTCTCATAAGCTTCCAAGGGGGATGCCAGTCAGGTCGTTGTTGTGGTGTCGCCGACGGGCGCGCAATAAGGCTTTTGCTTTGACTTTCAGCGGAAGATGGGCCGGCCGCGGTCGATTTGACGAGAGCCTGTGAGCTGCCACCTTGCCTGTCCTGACCCTGACTTGATATTTTCGGACGTTTCGTACGCGCCGCAGCTGCTTTCGCTTGCTTCTCGGCAAGTGATTTGGGGAGTTCTTTCACGTCTTCATACTCGGCTTTCCGTCGGTACGAGAGACCTATTGAACCATCCCCAAATGTCGAGGGCGTCGCCATTAGGTAGTCGGATCCGAATAACTCAACAGTGCGTTTCGCGGATTGGCGCACAGATTGGTCGGCTGGCGGTGGATTCGGTACCACGTCCATTGTGGTTGAATGGTGAAGGTCCTCGCGACAAATGCTCGATATTCAAATTCGATCGACGGAAAAGATATCGTCACGACCACGTACGAGTACTATCCTGGTTCAGAGAAAGTACTTTTTGTAGGCTATATTCATGTATAGTACGCGACAAGTCGGACGTGAATTGCGAATGGTGGACCGACGTGGAAAACAGCTGATGATGGAAGAAGACGATATTTGCGGCGGACTGGAGATTCGGAGAACTTTCATCCAAGAAGCTCGAGCCACTTTCCCCGTTGCGGGCCAATAAGTTGGCCCCGCATGATTTCTCTCTCATCATCAACTCAAACATTCACCTAAATACTACTTTCATACCGTTTCTTTCTTACTTTGAAGCTGCATAATGGCTGCGGAACCTGAAGCAAAATTTGCCATACACGAGGCAGCCCGTGAAGGGAAGAGTAAGTACATTCGACGAAGAGAGGTTGAAGCATTCCCGCTGACTATTACCAAGCTTCGGTAGTGGAATCGCTATTGAATGTGAGTTGATTTCGTCTATGAATATATTCCTCTCAGTTAAACAATTTTCCTGACTTATTTCTCTAATTCAAGGCAAATCCAAAACTTGCATCGCTTAAAGACGACGATGAACGTCTACCGATACACTGGGCCGCGGCATATAATCGATTACCAATCGTCGAACTACTCGTCACGAACAAATACTTTGATCCAGATGTCACGGTCCGTCTACCCCCTGGTTTATGATCACTTTTGATGAACTTTATTCTCATGATACTGGTTGCAGGATGGTTCCGGTTGGACGCCGCTCATGATCGCTGCGAGTTTGAAGAATGCGGAAGGGGACGCTATAATTGAGTTATTACTACGCAAGGACGCTGATGTGAATATGAAGAGTGTTTCCGGTCAAGTAAGACACTATGCGCGGTGACTTCTGGAGAAGTTATTCTAACGTCTGTTACTTGCTCGCAGAATGCTCTTCACTTCGCAGCCTCAAAGGCCAATCTTTCCACCGTCAAAACCCTCGTCGCTCATAAATGCAGTGCGCGTGTCAAGGACAAACGTGGTCAACTCGCGCTCCATAGGGCTGCCGCCGTTGGCTCAACCCCTATATTGAAAATATTACTTGAAGAGGGCAAGAGTCCCGTCAATGCCACTGATGTTGACGGGTTGACTGCATTGCATCATGCCATTTCCGAAGGTCATGGAGATGCAGCAATCTTGTTGATGAAGGCCGGTACGGATCTGGAGAAAAGAGACGCGGATGGGAACCTAGCTATTGACTTGGCACCGGACGCTAAGGTACGTACTTTTGTCTTTCAAGTTGAAGATCCCAATTGACATGGCATATTCCAGGTTCGGAAATATATTCTACAGACTGCAGAGCGCGAGGGCATAGAATTGCCTTGACTGGGGAAATTAACTGGTAAAGTCTAGTGGTGGCTTATTACAAACAATATAAGTACCATCAACTTACATAGGTTCGCTTGCTTGCAAGATGACACATGTACTAAATGATATATATACATTATACGCGAATGATCATCGATGACACCAAGAGGCTCGAGGCTTTGCCTCACTTCATGGTACTATCAACCAGCTCTCGATATATCTTCTTGAGATCCGCAATATCGGCTTGCAGCTCGTCAACTTGCTCGCTCTTCTCTCCAAGAAGCTCTAGTGTGGTTTGGTAACGCTGGTCTAGTTCTGCCACCTGCGATTCCAGTTCTTCGATGCGGCTCTCTGCTTTACGCTTCTCTTCAGATTCTCGCATAAGTTCGACGACCTCCTTTCTGGCTTCGTCTCGCTGTGCTGTGATGCGTTCGAGTTCATCCTTTGTCGCTGCCCGTTCACTTTCAAGCCGTCGGACAGTTGCGCTCATACGCTCAACAAGTTGCACAGATGGACCAGCTCCAACTGTGGATACTGAGATGATTTCATTGATGCCGTTACCGCGAGAATGGCTTGTCTGCGCTCCAAATGCCGATGGTGTGGCGGGAGTTCCACTATAAAATTCATCTGGCTCCAAGTTGTGGATAGGCGGTGCGCCCAACAAGTTGGGATTAAGAAGACCTTGCGATGCGTGTGGCGAGCCCATGCCCTGGAATGATGGGAAGGAATTCGTTCGTGAAGGAGCTCCCATGTCTACTTGAGATGGGAGAGTGGATGAACGGCGGCTCAATGGACGACTGTCAATGGTAAGAGGGTCGAGGCCCGTCGATCTACGGCTTGAAGCCACAGGTGACACTGTTCGGGGCTCTTGTAGGAAAGGTGGCGGTGAAGAAACTTGATCTCTCCATCTTGCCCGTTCTTCTTCAAGCTTCTGAGTCCAGAAAGCTTCGGTCGACTTCTCCTTGTCTGCTAATTCCTTTCGAACGGCGTTGAGCTCTTCTTCTGACTTCTCCACTCGCTGCTGGAGTTTCTGCAATTGCTGTTTGGTTTCCAGCAGGGAGTGGTCCAAGTTTTCAATCGTCTCCTTTGCAGTATCGAGTTCGTCTTCTGCTTTTTTGGCTTTGATATTCTAATAAAACATTTCACTCATTAGTACGAGAAGCAAGAGTTTTGATAACAGATATATGCACGTACCACCTCCCGAGCCTTCCGCCTTAAATCTGCTTCTTTACGGGCAATTTCATCACGCTCTTTTTCCATACCATTCAACCTTGATAGTAAAGAACTCTCAATCCCTTGCCAATTTTCACTGGCAACAGCATACTGGGTCTGCAGCGTCTCGATTTGACGAAGTAATTTAGCCTGCGTCTCTCCAGCCGTACTCGAGGAAACTTCCTCGGCCCTCGAGCGAAGACTCTCCATTTTGCTTTCCAGTACTGACTGCTCGCTCTTGAGTTCAGCTTCCAGTAGGCGAGCATTCTCCTTCTCTCGCTCTAGATTATCCTGCAAACTTCGGATTTCTCTTCTCAATTTTTCCTCGCTGAGTTCTCTTTCTATCTTTGCACTAGACAGATCGTCTTCTAATTCGGTGATTCGACGTTTCGAATGTTCCACGACTTCCGCTTGAGCTTTTGATTCTGCTGCTTCAGCACGAGAAACTGCTCTTGCTAACTGACTTTTCAATTCCTCCACCGTCGATTTCAATGCATCTCGTTCAGAGGTGATAGAGTCGAGGTCCTTGGAGGCTCTCGATTGTGAATCCAGATTCTCCTGTGCTTTCTTCTCTGATGCCTCTGCTCGTTTCGCTCGTGCTTCTGCTTCACTAGCATCACGTTCCAGTTTAGCCGTGCGTCGCTTCAGTTCGATTTCTTGTTTATTGCTTTCCGCCAACTGCTGTCGTAGTTTCTTGATGACAGTTCGGTTGTCCAACTCTGTCTTTGACAGTTTCTGTCCCTCTTCAAGTAGTAGCGCTATGCGCTCATCCTTTTCTGCTAGTTGTTTTTCAATACTACCTGGCTTTGCAGCCGAAGCGGCGTCTCGAGCCGAATCGGCAGCTTCTTTAGCCAGATACTTCAATTTAGACTGCAAGGCATCAATCCGTTCAATGTATTCATGCATTTCCTCTTGCCATCTAGACTCCGTAGCTTTATGTTCGGCTCTGAGCTCCTCTAACGGGCCATCCAGAGGTGAGTCCAAATGCTCAGGTTGTAAAAGGATGTCTGAGGTATCGAAAGTGCCGTGATTGACTGACTCATCTGTAATTTGAGACTCGATAATTTCTTGAACTCCATTCCCGACTTCCTGATTGCTGCTATCTGATATATGTTCGACGACTGACAACTCCTTGGAACTTCGCGGCTGACTACCCGAGTCAAGACTATCTCTGGTCACAGTGACAGTGACGGCTTCATTGTTGCGACTTGCCGACACGCTTTGATCCAAGCTAGTTCTTGTATTGTCCATACTGGTGCGCATTTCGGTATTTTGCAACGGAGTCGACGAACGAGATAGCACTTCAACGGACGATCGCGGGCTGCTGGACATCGTCGGGGTCTGCGATTTAGCCACAGCCCTTGCCAAACGTTCTTGCAATCGATCATTTTTCCGAGCTGTAGAGGAGGTCCGAGTAACTATATGACAATAACCGTTGTTAGTCAGTGTTGCGACAGTTCGATAGTGTGCGCCGTTGCTTACCTCCGGTGGCCGCTTTCGTGGCAGTTAAACTAGATTTTGAAGCTGCATCATCAGCTTTTGGTGCAGACGACTTTGGTGTTTCATCATCGTTGGCCAGGATGGTGTCGAGTCGAGATTCTACCCCAGAGACAGCCTGTTGAAGTAAAGCCCCGACACCCCATCTCGATTTTGCCTGTTGCGAATTGGACGTCATTGCGGTAGTGGAAATTCCAGCCGAGGATCGTTAAGCTGCTATAATCATGAAATAGTCCTAGGACAGGCAGCAGGCGAAGTTCGGTCAGACGAGGAGACGTAGTTAACGTTGCAGCGGTTACGCAAGGCGAAGCCAATTTCGACGGGTGAGAGCCATCTATCCACACCGGATTAGATGTAATGAGAGTTATTCATTGGATCAGTGTAAGATGGGAGCGATATGTGTGTCACAGGAGGGATACGGACAGAGGGACGTTAAAGAAGTGGACGTTGAACCACCAGGTACCATCAATAAATACGAAGCGGGCCAAATTAATCTCGATACGGGTCGTCAGTGTCAGCCGCCTGGCAAATCAGAGGCCACGCGTGTTTATCCTTGGCGAGATGACATCTTTTGATGAGATCTATAAGTCTGACAGAACAATAACATTTGTTCGAGTGCTAAGTCGCATATAAAGTCTGAAAGGTGAGTACTGGTGGAATTAAGCTTGGGGAGATTCGTAAGCTCGGAGTACGTCGTCTCCCAATAGCTCGAACCGTCCATACATGCCCAAGTCAGTTTGCATGTAAGATTACAGTTATCATGTGTGCTTCTACAATTATGCCCCTCGTTTGAAGTCTATTGTAAACTTGTAAAGCATGGTGAGGACGTTGCCCGGAGTACGTATTCTGAAGAGAGTAGATAGACTGTGGGTCTCACCTGGTCAAGCTAATCCAAGCTCCGTGTAGCCTGCGGTATTCCTGCGACATCATCCTGCCGCGAAGCCTTCGTTCTCACTTTAACACGCAGAGAAACATTGCTTTAATTTTGCAATTTACTCTTTTAGTCGACGCAATGTCGCTCGAGCCGCCCACCTACCTCAACTCTCTACAGAACAATATCCGTGCTCGACCTATTCCATGGGATGGTGCAGTGCGGGCAGGGAACATCACTGATGAGCACTTGCGCAAGATCAAAGCAGTTGACAAAGTCAGAAAACAAGAACGCAAACAGACAGTTGAAACCGATTTGAAAGGGTACACGACGCTTCTTTCTGGTGGCTCTAGCGAGAGGAGCGTGCTGGAGTCGGCTTCCCGACGGACTGATATAGTGCAATATATATTGGTTCTAGCTGCAGACCTGATCAATGGTATTTTTGATTATATATCCACGATATAATTTCTCCTAGAGACTCCGCTAATAGTTTCCTTGCAGACGTTCCTGCTCTTGCATCGGCGCTCATCTCACATCCCGAGCCCTACAACGTATTCTTACCACTTCTGCGTCACTCCACAAACCCCGAAGATCCCATTCCACTACTCACATCCGCATTTTTGACGAGTCTTGTGTCGACAGCACTCGTATCGTCCCAAACCTCCGAGCGAGAAGAGGAAGCACTACCACAGTTGTATTCATACCTGGCGACTTTGACGAAGAATCAAGACAGTGGCCTTCAGGATATCGGTGTTCAAGGGTTTTCGGCACTTTTACGCAATAAAGCAGCCAGAGAACTTTTTTGGAAACAGCGCAAAGAGACTGTTGACCCGTTGGTGGAGATACTTCGCACAGCGGCTGGGGGTAAAGATAACGGTTCAATCAATTTGGCTAGCTCTTCTGCCGGTAGCAGCATTCGCACTGCCGATATCAGCATTGGCGGCGGAGTGGGATTGCAACTGCTTTACCATGTGCTTTTGGTCATTTGGCAGCTCAGTTTTGAGGGCAGTCTAGTAGGAGATGAACTGCAATCGTAAGAGACCCAATCTATGATAATTGATTTGATGATCTGCTAACAGTCTCAGGGAATATGATATAATTGAATTATACACACAATTACTACGACTTTCACCCAAAGAGAAGACAACACGACTTCTCCTAGCCACCTTGAACAATCTTCTTGTCACTAACCGCACTACACTCCTACCTGTGGCAACATTCGTCCGCCTGCCTGCGTTGCTTTCGAACCTGAGCGGCCGCCACTTGACCGATCCTGACCTTCTTGAAGACCTTCAGTCACTCACGGAGTTGTTGGATGAGTACACCAAGACGCAGACTACATTTGACGAATACGCAGCCGAATTACAATCCGGACACCTGCGCTGGTCTCCCCCTCACCGCAACCCGACGTTCTGGCGCGAAAATGCACGCCGCATTCTTGAAGACGATCGTGGTGCCTTGCCCAAGAAATTAACAGAGATTATCTCGAAGAGCTGGGAGAACGACAAGCAAGTTCTAGCAATTGCATGCAATGATGTTGGAAATCTGGTCAAAGAGGTTCCGGAGCGTCGAACTCAACTGGAGAAACTGGGATTGAAGACCCGAGTGATGGAGTTGATGACTGATCATGATGAGTCGGTGCGATGGGAAAGCTTGCGTGCAGTCGGAGAGTGGCTTCGATACAGCTTTGATAGATAGGCCGGTCTCTTTTATGTGGTTCTCATGTTTGTATATACGTACCTTGGCTTGTTTAGTTCTCGTTCTCCTATAAATCGAATCAGTATCCTATGGGTCAAGCGATCGACGGCATGTGGGGAGAAATTGCATTAAGTTGAGGTGACTAAGGCATCAAGGCTCCAATCGTTGGCGGCTGATAAGACCCCCTCACCACCTAACTAGACTGGAACATCCTCAACTTTTTCCTCGAACGAATTCGCAACTCCATTATATCAACTACCTCGTTGTTTTCTTCCTCTTGACAACTGGAATATATCGATTTGTCAGCACACATCAGCAAGATTGAGTGTTAGTCAGAGGATCGATACATGCCTCTCCGCATTATATTTTTATTCCCTGATATTGATAAGCATCGGCCGGACTTTTGCATCCCGACATTTTCGCAAGTGCAGGACGGGGAACTCGTCTGATGTGGCCCATCCCCGTCCTCCGCAGTGCTCCATATTTCGCCGTTGATCACAAATAAAATATAAAGATGTCTCGGTCTTTTACGGGCTGCAAGCGATGCAAAGCAAGAAGGCAGAAATGCGACGAGCAACACCCAGAATGTACGTTCGGATTTTACCTTTCTCTATACATTTGTCTTCTTGCAAGGATGTTGACTTAAACGAAATATCCAGGCGGACGATGTAAGGCATCTGGAGTGCAATGTAGATATGCCATGCAACTTCAGTGGGGTGGACGAGCCTTTTCACGATCGAGATTCGGTGCCTGTGTCGGACCTGGAATGCAAAAACTGGGTATGTCTACTTTTTAATGGCTGTATAGATTGAATCAAGAATACTAACCATGTTTCGTTTCCTTCCACGTGCAGAATATTCTCCGGGCGAGTTTATCTATACTACCGTGAAATCTGGAAGTGCCTCGCCTGCAGAGTCACCAAATCCTAACGGCGTCTCTTCACCGTCCTCTCCATCTACTGATCTGCCGATGACACGTGCAATTGATCCATTTTCGTCCTTATCAACAAGTCAAAAAGCACTCCTCCACCATTTCATCAGCGATGCATCAAGTGTCACGTCATGTCATAGTGGAATGCAGCAGGAGATCTGTCAGATGATCGTCCCCATGGCTTTACAAACACCTTCCCTTCTATACGCAACCATGGCGTTGTCCGCTATCCACCTTGAGGCATTGAATAATCATTCCGGGACTGTCAAGGCTGCACCAGATATCGCAAGGCTGATGGCACGGAGTCTGGAGCATTTTCGCCTGGAATTACAGGATTCCTCGCGCAAAGGCTCGGACGCTCTCTTGGCCACGGCACGTACACTCTGTTTGGCCGAAATACATTCCGGTGCCATTCAGCCGAACACGTGGAGGGCACATGTGGAAGGGGCCAAGGCATTGATGAACACAACGTCACAATCGTCGAACACCCCAGCAACAGCCTTTCGCAAATATCTCGATCGCTGGTACCGATCGATAGTTGCGCTTACCGCTCTCAACGGAAATGGGCCTCCCATTGGCGAGACTACGAGTCACACAGCGACGACAGTGTCTGATGATGATCCAGATTATCTGGACGACTATTGGGGGTTCACTGTCCACCTGGCGGATATTTTCCGCGCCATTGGAGCGTTAGCTTGGCAGCGACATCAGGAGAGCATTACCACTCCCCAGTTGAAAAAGTTGGAACTAGTGAAAAAGGAAGAGGAAGCAGAATCAGATTTTGACGAACAAGCAGCGAGATTAGAAAAGTCGGTCCTCAGACTGATAGCTCGTTACAGTCAGATAGGTGGCCTTGTTTTCTACCCGGGAGTGAAGGAAAAGCTTTCCGAGGAGTCGATACAGGAGTTTATGTTATGCAACGAAGCTTTTCAGCACACCGCGTTGATACATATTCATCGGCGGGTACGTAAAGTACCTGCTTCTTCACCTGAGGTGCAATATTCCGTGAAACGGATCCTGGCATGTACATCTCAGATTGTCCCCCGAAGCGGTCTGAGCCCTTGGGTCATGCTCACTACGCCGCTGTTTACCGGTGGTTGTGAGGCGCTAGGGGAAGATCGAGAAGCATTCAAGCAACTACTCACGTCACTGCACGATACCACACGCATACCGAACGTGTTGCAATCGCTAAAATTTCTCGAAATATATTGGGCTGATGGAGCACAGAATGAGGATGAAGATTGGAGCCATTTCCTAGGTACGCCCTCCTTCATCCTGATATGGCAATTGAGATGGCACCTTACTAACTCATGCCAACAGATCGAATGAGTTTCGACTTCATTCCGTACTAAGTCCATGTATAGGATTGACTCATGATAACGAATAACGCCGGCCCGAAGAATACGACCTATAATTTCTATATGGCTAATTTGACGCTCATCCCGAATGACATCCATGGATGTATAGCGACGATGTACGTGTTTGGTGTTGACTTCTTTCTTGTAACATACTGCAGTATACCCAACAATGTAAATGATGATACCTCGCTCGTTCTTGACATGCTCCAACTACGTGCCTGAGTACGTACTTCTACAGTCTATATATGTAGTAGTTTGCCCTGGCATATTACGTATCACTAACAATCTATGATCTTGCATAGTTTCATTCTCCAGCTCGGAATCGGACTCCCGACGATCTGTTTCGGTTCTGCCTGCATGGACAAACAATTTGCCAACGAACTCGTATTTAGATAATAGACACCCACCGGGTACTTACATTTTAGCGTTCGATGGCTTGTAGATATACACAGGGCTATAGACATGTATTCATCGACCTATTCCTGCTGATAATGGGAGAATGAAAGAGCACCGGAATTGATATACTTAATCAGCGATCATTGGATACTCTAGATATCAGTATGGAGGCACAAGAAATACGTGCATACTGCATAGATCAGCCGGTCCACCGTCCATATGGAGATCGTCAATAAGACTAGTATGCTAATGGCGTAGTACATCGTATTCTGGACCCTGCACGTTGCAGAGGGTGCTGCCCGTATAGTCCCTGTTGCATGGCTATTGTACTGAGGCTGAAGACAATGAATTGCAAATGTAATGACGCATCAGGCATCATCATGAATAATTCCCCTGTAGTCTCTTGCAAAGTTGAAAGGAGAGCCAAGAGTTGAAGTTAACTGGCCTAGTCCCCTTTGGTAAAAATTGACCCCTGAAAGCTAAGGCCACCGGGTGCTAAGAAGATCCCGTGATCAGCCAATGGGAATCCTACTGGACTGCATGCTGGCCCCAACCCAACTCCATCAACTCCAAAGCGGACATACTCCGTGCTGTTATTATTGGCATCCCTCGCTGAAGTCAGTAGTCAAGTTATTCCTGAGCTGAATCCTGACTCGCTACGTCCGTTTACGAGTTTCCTCCACCTTGGCAACGTTGATGGTTCCTGCATGCACGCCAACGGCAGGGCTGTAGGGTTGTATGTCTAGCCAGCCAGCAGCCAGCCACTGCACCGAGCTACAATTGTAACTTGACGCTGAACCCTGACTGGCCGCCCGTCAAGGATGCTGATCGTGCAGATTTCCTAGCCACCGTCCAATCACCAAATATACCGAACAAGCCTCTCAAATACGGACTTTGCGGCCAAGGGTACGCTCGGCCGTGGTGTGCCGCTTCGTCCCCACCAAGCAACACAAAAAAGAAAAAAAAAGGAGACGGGAAAACCTACAGCAGATACACGCCCATTGGCCCATCTGCTTTACCCCTTAAGCGCCCACCGGTCTAGTCGACTTAGACTCCTGGACTAGTTGCGAACTACGTGAGCGATTCAGCGAACCGAGGAAAGTTCGAATTGTGTGCAGTGACACTATGGCTTGATCTAACGATGTTAGGTAACCTGGGCCATCCCATCTTCTACAAGCTAAGCTTACGCTAGGCATTAGTCCAGCGACTAGTGCTACGATGGTACTCTACTCTCTTCCCTAAGCTTGACCTCCCTCCTTTCCTACCACCACTGAAACCACGCCCAAAGTCTGCCGAATAGTAACGCCAAAACAGTCACTTCCTACTCCGTCCTTAGACCGCTGCTTTAGGCGCGTGTGCACTTGCCCGTGCTCGTGGTCATGCCTTGCCGATCAAGTCGTTTAGTCCAATCCCTTCTCTTGGTCTGTTTCATCTGAAGAAGGTTGCAACGGATGGCCAGAACCCTTGGCCTGCTTTCCAGTGCCCACTACTGTCTTCCTTCAAGACAAGCGGCCATCGATATTTTTAGTTTCTTTCCTTTTCCATTGCTATTTGCTCACCATGAGTAGCATGGAGGAAGTTATCACCGCCAATCATCCACCGCCAATCGCTACTGGTTCCGGTGGCTTTTCCTCCTCCTTTCTCCGCCGCCAGAGGAAAGATACAATCGCCTCCAGCTCGAGCTTGACCTCTATTGCTACTGCTAACCAGCACGACCTCTCTCCTCCTCCTACCCTCTCTGACACCGATCCCTCCGCTCGATCGATCATCGCATCTAGCTCATCCCCGGTCCGCAGGAAACCTTTGCCTAGCAATGCTTCCCCCGTGATCCTATCTAGATTATCCCAAGGTTCATCTGTCTATTCACCAATACACTCTCCGCCACCGACTCGAATACTTCCCCCCCTGCTGCCACAGACACCACCGTCCTCAAGGCCTAATGCTATTATTCCAACCGGCAGACAATCTATAGACCCTTCTTTAAGGCAACTTGAAACTGTCGACGAGGTTCTTCCTTTTGTTCCAAGGGATCTTGACCGGTAAGTCACCTTGATTCTTCCCTCCCTTCCCTTGTTTTTTTTTTTTTCTCCTTTTGAGTCAATCTCTCTCTATCTTATCATATCCTCTCCCTTCCACCGCTTATGCGAAGTTCATTTTTCCGCTCCCGTCACAGCCCTGGTTTATATGAAACACGAACTTCAAGCTAATCGGAATTGGCATTATCTTCAGTTATCCGCGTGGTCAATCTCCATTGATCCCCTTTCCCATTGATACGTCTCACAGCTACAAAGACTTTCAGCAACAACAATCCGACTTTTATTACGACGGTATTGACGAAAACGCCTACCTGCCGCATGGGACCCCCATTCATTCCCGTCTTTCTAGCGAACCTATCATTCCGGTGCTGAGGTCGCCGCCACCGTCTACTAACCATAAGAGATCCGAGACTATGGCCTTGCAGCCTCCTCAGAATCGTCCTCCTCCTCTGCATATTGACGCCAGTTTATCAGCTATGCCCAGCTCAGGGGACAAACAGCCGAAGACGCCCGGTAATAAAATCACTTCATTCTTCGGATGGAAAACAACCTCATCTCCCGGAGCAGAGTCATCAAGCACTGAAATCAGTGACAATGGCCGGTCACCATTACCTTCGCCCTTACCACAATCTGCTAGTGCTCCTTCTTTCTCGACCAAAGCCACTTCATCTTTCCCTACCTCAGTATCAGAAAACAACATCCATGGATTCCCTCTTCCCCCAGCCCGTCTGGGATCTCTCAGCGGTCCTCCTTCTTCCGGCAGCAACGCAGACTTGATAAATAAGATCTCGGAGCTCGAAGCGGAGCTTCGGGAGATCAGCTCTGAGCTCGCTGGCTCGATCCGACGAGAAATGGAACTAGAGGACCTGGTTGAGAGGTTTCAGTTAGAGTCACATAATGATGCTAATCGAAGGACAAGTGATTACTTCTCGGATTCTGGTACCAGCGGGTCGATACGAACGGGAACGGATGGCGGCAAAGTAGAAGATATTGAACGAATCAAACGAGCCGCTGAGCAGGAACGAGCTCAATTGAAAGTCGAATTAAGTCAGAAATGGCAAGAGGAACGTTCAAAGCGGGCGGCTTGCGAGTCTCACGTCCAGATTCTGGAGAATCAAGTCCAACAGGTAATAAGCTTGCTTGTCTCTCGCTATTATTGTACTGACCCACGTTTGTAGTTCCGTGCTCAACGCGTCGACAATTCGAATCTTTCTTCTAAAACTAAAGAATTGGAGGTTGCTTTAGAGGACACCCGACGAAAACTTCTCGAAGAAAGACAGCTTAAGGACAACTTTGAGGACTTGTTGACGGCCATGCGAGTAGAACTTGAGCAACTTCGAAACGAACGTGACCATTTCCGTGATGAGATTGTTCCTGCTTTGCAAGCAGGACAAAAGAATCGGTTCCAGGCCATAGCAGAGGAAGACGGCGTTGGCCGCAACCGTGGTTCGGTGGTTGGCTTGTCAAGATCAAATTCACTAGCTCGGATGCCGAAACGGTCGAGCATGGCTGGTGGTGGTCTATCGCGGTCGAATTCCATCTCAGGCAATAACAGGCCAGTGGAGTCCCGCGAATCATTGGCTGACCGAGTGAAGGATGTCGAAGCCCAGCGGGATGCTTTACACCAGGCACTTAGGAGTCTTCTAGATCGACAGGCATGGCAAGCTCGTGAAAATGAGAAACGGATCAAGATTCTCGAGATGGAGCTCACCAAGGCCCAAGATATTGGCTCTCCACGTAAGTTGGGCTACGAGAAAGAAGTGCGGAATCTTCGGGAAGAGATTAATCTCCTCCGACGACGGGCCGACGAAGCTCTTGAACAGAAGTGGCAGTGCGAGAAAGGACTGAGTGGTCTCAAAATGGATCTGGACCGTGCAGAACAGGAGACTACCTCATTACGTTTGCTTTTGCAGGAGCATGACATTTCGCTACCCGCAGGAATGGATATGGCTTCGAACGAAGAAGGATTAGCCAATATGCAGGCCACCTCATCGGCCTTGGAATCAGCTTATCAACAGTTGCAGGAAGAGATGGAATCGGCCGAAGCGAACCAATCTTGGTCCCCGGAAGACATGAATCGTACTGAGGCTCTAGCTGCACAGGTCCGTCGGCAGCTCGAGACCAACAACGCTTTGCGTGGACGTCTTGCAGAAGCGATTGCCAAGGGAGAAAGAGAACAGAAAATGTCTGCATCACGCATCAACGAAATGCAAAGCCGACTGAGGACCTTAGAAGACACGCTTATGGACGCTCAACATCACTCAGAAGATGAGATGGCCAAACATGAAGAAGAAATCCGAGCATTGAAAGAAAGTCACAGTGTGCAGCTCATGCGGGCTAAGATGGGAATTAGAACCCCAGTAGCTCTTTCACCAAATCCAGCGGCTTCGCCATTTTCTGGTGCACGATCTCCGCGACTTGACGTAACGACGACCGGAGATGGGGTTCCGTTGAGCGAAGCAGTCTCGGTAGCAAAACTCGAAGTTAGAGTCAAGGAACTTGAGAAGGCTCTTCGGGATGCTGATTTCGAGATGGAAGAAGTCGTGCAGCGTATGAACAAGGCACAGATCGAGGTCGCGGAACTACAATCTGATCGGTAAGTAGTGTCTGCTTTTTTGGTCCATTTGCGTGAAGCTAACTGTGTTATAGGGATGAGGCACTCCGCCAAACTCGTCGTCTTGAAGCTGCAATTATGGCTGAACGCGAAAAGGTGAAACAATAATTAATGAACGAAACGAAGCAATCTTGAACTTGTACAATATCGAAACATACTGTTTATTCAGTATATACATTTATAAATATATACGACCCTCGAGAGTCATCGAAACAATTTTATTCTTCGACAGCAGCAGTGCTAGCCATTCTGATTGGCTACATCACGACGATACATTTTATACTTCTTTCACCGGTGGTTTACGGAAAATAAACCCTGGCTGTTTGCTTTTGAATACCCTTGAGCACTTTCTTGCAATTTATCTTTTTCTGGGGGGATGTGTCCAATTATGGGAGGCGGGAGGGTTTTTTTGGTCCTTTTTGTCCGCTTCTGTGTTTGCATTAATGCTGCGTCTGTACATATCATGGAGTCGCGGCGTGGAAAATGGGGCATGTATATATTGTTTCCCAAAGGGATTACCACCGAGATTGGCCATATTATAATCGTGCGGTAATATATGCAAGATTAATATTGGTAACCTTCCTTAAAAATCTTACAAAAGTAGTTGATGTAGGTAAATAATATAGATATGATATCCCAATGGCTTGGCGTTGTTTCCTATCGGGGCTTATCGATAAGAAAACGCGCAATCTGTCTTGTCCGCCTCACCTCAACTTTCCATCACTTTCATGATTTAGTCTTACTTCAAGTTGTTAAAACTGATTATTCTCTCCAGTCTATGTACTTGACGTACGTTATTGAACTATAGCAAGGCAGTTTATACATACCACACGTCTACGGCCTGTCTATCTTTGAGACAGCTTCTTTTGCACCGGAGAGCGACACTATTCGAACAACTATCATAAGACAAAATGGAGTACTTACAAGGTCAGCATCCATGAACTATGTCTTTAGTTAGAGTAGATCCGTTACTAACCTCAAACCACAACAGATAACATTCTCCCCTCTCTTCGCACCTACTCAATCCTCCTCTTCCGTAAAACCTTCTCAACCATCACCTCGCCCAAAGAGGCGGACCAGCTTCTTTCCAACCTCCAACAAGACTATCTCGAACCATACCTCATCATGCCGCTTGCAAACATCTTGGACTCTTCGTCAGCCGCATTCTCATCCGCAAATATTCTATCGTTCCTCACACTCCTGGTGACGTTTTACATATCCCTTCGCGTACTGGATTATGCGCGGCGAGTGATTATGTTTTGGGTTATACTCATATTGCGATTGACATTCTGGGCTGCTGTGATCAGCATCGGGGTGTATGTTTATAATGTTGGTGTCGACAAGGCTACGCAGGATGCGGGTTGGTTTTGGGGTATTGCGCAGGGATTTTTGGAGGATTTGGTAGCTAATAATGCTAATACGGAGTCGACGGCGGGGCGTCAGTATTATGGTGGTAGTGGTGGAGGATCGCGTGGTTATGGCATTAAAGGGAGTGCTGGGAGGAGTTCGGGGTATTGGCATAATAGTAACCGACGGGCCTAGATCCCATCTGAGTGAAGCTGTTGGAATTGGAGCTTTGAGAGAAGTGCATCAAGGGTTTTACATATGTGTTCGGTTCAACCGGTTGGCTGATGTCATACGATTAGGAGTCAGGCTACGGTATTTTTATGTTGTATTATTCTATGCCGTTATAGATACATCCCTGATTATGCAGGAATTGCTGGGTTAGCAAAATGAATAATCGTAAGTCGTGAATATATGGCGCTGGGTTGGGGGCTGTACGCCGTCCTGATGTCTTGTGTCTTTTCAGATCTTTAGACTGTGAGCGTGGAAAGCGACGCCGGTTGAGCTCGACTCCAGTATCGGTCTCCAACCTGGAGGCATTGATGTTTGCCTCTCTGGCTGTGATGGTGTTCGTATTGATCATCAACATCTGACTCAATCATCCGCATCTTCCCAATCAACCTCTTGTGCATCGTTCGGCTCTCGCGGCTCCTGCGCTTCATGGTACTGAATAGCATCATCGATATAACTCAGAATAGCACCCACGCTATCCTCGTCCGAGACATCCAACTGCAAAAACGAAACCATACTGAAATCATCAATCAGTTGCCCGACAGCTCTATTCAGACGGTTAAATGACCCTCCACTCATCAATGCATCTTTCGACGAGGGGTCAGCTTGCAAATCCAATCCGTGTTCGCGTTCTTCTTTGTCGTCCTCTTTCGCCGCTTTCCCATCGTCATCTTCGTCTAATAATTGTACATCAACATTGACAAATCGTTTTAACCTGCGGCGCCCAACCATGTCTTTGACTTGATCCATCTTGCTCAATATGTTGATGTGGGGCATCTCCAACAGGATCATCGCCGACATTGCGCTCAACGTGCCTGCAAAAAACTTGGCCTTATCAATGACAAAGGTACTCTCGAGCAGATACGCGGCACACAGCGAGATATTCAGGGGACCTTGGCGACTGAGGAAGTTGGTCAACGTCGGCAAGAGCGGGATGTGCGTATACAGCTCGATCTGGCCGGGCATATCAAAAATGATCAGATATTCCTCGCTCAACGGTTCCAGGGCTTCGGTCAGGAAATCCAAGTTTTGCATCAGAAATTCAAAACAGTATATGAGGCCGCCGTTGGGCCCCAGCTCGAGTTCTTCCATTACATCTTCGAGGGTGATCAGTTCGCGGATGTCGAGGTCCGGGTCGTATTGAAATGTTTCGGCGGCGGGGTCCAGGTTGACGTAGAAACAGCTGCGACGGGTGTTTTGAAGGTGTTGGATGATGGCATTGCAGAATGTCGTCTTGCCGGCACCAGCAGGGCCCATTACCAGGACTCCGAACTTGGACATTTTGGAATATTTGACTGCTTTTGTATGTTAGACTCAACGAGTTCAATTATTTTGTAGAGCTTTGCCGCTAAAAGGTGGGGTGTGGGGCCTTGTCTGTATTATTACCCCTGCATACGGATTGATTACCGACTATGTATTTATACCCGTCTTCCTGTAAAATCGGGGAGTAACTATCGGTAACCGGTCAGAGCAATAGCATTGTAGCAGATGATACTAACGTCAGTAAAAGCAAAAATACATATATCGAAGTTCATTCAACTGGCTGAATATGCCTAGCCCTCAATTCTAGGTCAATCCACCTCTGCATCGTAGAAGGGACAGTAAATACTTACGGTACTGCCACCCTCCACCGCCTGCTGGCGTAATATATGCTCGATTCTCGCGCTCCCATTGGCTGCTCTGCTGAAAACGCAATACCAGCCGGGGTCCAACAGCCAGAAATTGCGCCATCACTTCGGACTCCGTGCTCGGCGAATCTGCATTTTCGACGCTGGATAAAACGAGCCTGGAAACCCCCCACCATCCCGTACAATCTTTTTTTCCTCCTCAATCTTTCCCATCCATCCAGACTTCTTCTGTCTTTCTCCCTTCTGCTATATTACTCAATTCCTACTCTATTCTTTTATAACTTTGTTGTTTCGTTCATCTCCATACACACATTCACAATGGGTAGCTTGAGCAACGGTGCTAAGACAGGAACTTTCCTGTTCACCTCTGAGTCTGTCGGTGAAGGCCACCCTGACAAGATCGCGTAAGCTTTATTTACCTCAGCAATGCGTTTATGCGATTCTGTCAGAGTACTAATCTCAATCTCAATTGAACAGTGATCAGGTCTCTGACGCCGTTCTCGATGCCTGCTTGGCTGAGGACCCCCTCTCCAAGGTAAGAAGAAGACATACCGGACAGCTTTCCGGAGACGGGCAAAGAGGTTGGATTGTTGACACGTGGCAATAGGTCGCCTGTGAGACTGCTACCAAGACCGGTATGGTCATGGTCTTCGGTGAAATCACCACCAAGGCCAGACTCGACTACCAGAAGATTATCCGTGGTGCCATCCAGGACATCGGATACGACGACTCTTCCAAGGGTTTCGACTACAAGACTTGTAACGTCTTGGTCGCCATTGAGCAGCAATCCCCCGATATTGCTCAGGGTCTCCACTACGATGAGGCTCTTGAGAAGCTCGGTGCTGGTGACCAGGGTATCATGTTCGGTTATGCCACCGACGAGACCCCTGAGCTCCTCCCCCTCACTCTTCTCCTCTCGCACAAGCTTAACCGCACCATGAAGGAGGGCCGTCTCGACGGAACCATCCCCTGGGTCCGTCCTGATACCAAGACCCAGGTCACCATTGAATATGCCCACGACAACGGTGCCGTCAAGCCCCTCCGTGTCGACACTGTCGTCATCTCCGCCCAGCACAGCCCTGATGTCACCACCGAGTTCGTCCGCAAGGAGCTCCTCGAGAAGGTCATCAAGAAGGCCATCCCTGCTGAGCTCTTGGATGACCGCACCGTCTACCACCTTCAGCCCTCTGGTCTCTTCATCATCGGTGGTCCCCAGGGTGACGCCGGTTTGACCGGACGTAAGATCATTGTCGACACCTACGTAAGTGGCCTCGGGTCAATTCTTCCAATTGCTCTCGCTAACAGATTGATACAGGGTGGTTGGGGTGCCCACGGTGGTGGTGCTTTCTCCGGAAAGGACTACTCCAAGGTCGACCGATCTGCCGCTTACGTTGCTCGTTGGATTGCCAAGTCTCTCGTCAACGCTAAGCTCGCTCGCCGTGCCCTTGTTCAGCTCTCCTACGCCATTGGTGTCGCTGAGCCTCTCTCCATCTTCGTCGAGACGTACGGTACCTCCGAAAAGAGCTCCGACGAGCTTGTCAAGATCATCCGGGACAACTTTGACCTCCGTCCTGGTGTCATTGTTAAGGAGTTGGACCTTGCTAAGCCCATCTACTTCCAGACTGCCAAGAATGGTCACTTCACCAACCAGAACTTCGCCTGGGAGAAGCCCAAGACCCTCAAGTTCTAAGCTTACAACCATACCCTTATTCATGACCATTCTCTGTGATGATTTGACGACACGGCTTTGTTTTCAACAATGCAAAGCATATAATTCTAATAGACATAAAAAAGCCTTTGCGGTGTATTCTTTTTCCTCGTTGTTTTCATATTCTTGTGTTCCCGAGGTCGGCGAAAAATTCAACATATGATACCATTTTCATCATTGGCATTGGAAGAACGGCGTTTTCTTGTCGGATTTTTTCTCTATGTGAGCGGGAGAGATTTATCTTTTTTGAGGTCGCACTAGATGCAGTCAGAGATAATAAACAAATTCTGCCTCCCAGTCAATTTTATGTCAACGTAGTAGTTGTATGTTTCTCAGGTTGTATGGAGTATCCAGTGCTGTGAAGCAGTTGTAGGTACCGTAGTTGGCTAAGAATTAGCGTAGTACAGCGTCAAAACGCGTGACGCCAGATCGGACCCGCATCTTGCATGCCTCAACTCAACTTATCAATCGCCAATGTAAAATGCTCCGGAACCCTCTTCTCTCACCTAGAACACCAGTAGAGCTCTCCGAAACATTATATCTCCATTTGTCCTTCCTGGGTCATAGAGACAACGAATACATATCCGAAATCAATTATGCTTTACGTTGCGTAAAGCGCGTTAATGGCTTCACGGGAAACTTCAGGCGTTCTCGAATCAACGAGCCTCACATCCTTGAAGGTGATCAATGGGCCGCCCACATCTCTTCTCCCACCATGGAAAAGACGCAAACTATCTCATACAGACGATATCGTCGACCAGACGTCTTCATCCCAGACAGTATTCACTGTCAAGGGGCACGCTTCATCCCTGTCGGATAACGAATTCAAATTAACCCCGATCGAGTTTCTACCTCGCTCTGTATTGCCATTTTTATGGCTCGATGCATCTACAGCGATCCAGTCAAACAATATCTTCGCAAGCAACGATGCGGTCTTGGAAGGAATGTTCAACCGTCGAGACGGTGCAGAGGAACCAGATGCCGAACCCCAAGTGCTAGCAACACGGTCACTTTCCAACGGCGCCATATACGTGATAGAGCGGGTGAAGAGGGGAATATATGCGATGACAAAGCTTCAGTCCACAATCGAGGAAGGTGAAATCCGAGCTGCTGCAAAAGCGGCCACTGCTATGACGTTGAAAAGGTTTCGAGTATGGAGCACTGCGGATGTATCGAAAACAGATAAACTCACCGATGACTGGGACTGGAGGGAAGCAGCTCGATTGCCAGATCATATCCCCCATTTTGATTCGTTTGCTACAACGGGTAAACTGGATGTCTCAATAACGTTTGAGGATTATTGCAGGACCGATCATGAACCGGGCGCGGTTGAGAGTCAGGTATACATTGGGGATTCGTTCCTGGCACTTGATGGCATCGGATCTAATATGCAGGCACATACCCGTACTCCGCCAGAGGATAGTGTTCGAGCACCTCTGCTTGAAGCTGAGCAGGACAACGCGCCGCCCACACCAGATGTCATTATGGAGAATCTGAGAACCCAATATCTGGAAGCTCTGTACATCTCAAAGGTATGTGTCCAGCTGGATTTTATCTCCCGGTACGTACTAATTGTCATAAGACTTCCGTGGCATACTTTGCCAAAGGTCCCTTAACGCGATGCCGCAATGCCTTTGCACAGTACAGCTCAGACAGTGAAGTGCCGAGCCTGTCCAGTCAATACAGGGAATCGATATTATCAGTCAAGAAGATGGATGCCAAATATCGAGAGACGCTTCCGGTGATTCTTCGCAATATGACGCTATTACTATCCGACGACGAGCGCCCAAAAAAGCGCAAAAGCAAGAAGAAGAAACTAGGCAAAAATGGACTTTACTCTGGGGAAGATGAATTTCTGCAAAAGTACTGGAAGTCGCGACAGGTCTCAAAGAGTCAGGATGGCATGGAAGAGACCAAAGAAGAAGAGATCAAACGACACATTTCAGATTTGCGATTACGAGAGACGCAACTTCAAATCCTCCTTATTCTTGAAACTATACATCTTGAAATGACCGGTGTAGCGCCGTCAATTGAAGATAGTAGAGGACAACAAAAACCAAACGGGACGAGCACAAAACGGTCAAAGTCTAAGAAAGAGGAAAATCTGAATCTTCTTCTTGAGCTTTTTATCGATCGACTTTGTATCTGGCATGCTATCAGCGCAGGGGAGGGTATTATTGCCGAGTCTCTCAAAGAGACTACAAACAATCATCTTTCTGGAAAGAAAATCGAGAGTGACGCTCTGCGAGATTTCTGCAATGAGGTCATCATTCCTTTCTATGCCTCACGTCTCCCGGATCAATGCAAGACCATCAAGAAGAAGCTGGGAGGTGCTAGTGAAGTTTCTCCAAGTCGTCCAGCAGCACCACCTAAACTAAAGACTTCTACATCTTCTGCCTCTGCTTCTTCCTCGAAGCATCAGTCCGGTGTCGCTGACGGACAGAAGACACAGCCGCAACAAAGGGCTCGCCGTACACTACAAAGAGTTCTCACTGATGAACAGGCATTCAGCGCTCAAAGAAGCCGGCATCCATCGCTGATGAGATCAAGCACTACACCAGCTCTACAAGAAGTCAAGGGGGAATCAGTCGAACCGTCTCTACCGTCGCTAGGCGGTAGCGTGCGAGGTGGCATTCAAGTAGCTAGACGCGTTGACAAACGCGAGGTTGACTTGAATGCAGTAGCCAAGGTGCACGAGGCAAAACTCAAGAAGATGAACACTCTGTTGGAGCAAAAGAAAGAACTTGATGCTGCAATCACTGCACTGCGAAAACCGAATCGCGAACTAGTTTCCAAGGAAATTGCTGATCAAGCCGAGAAGAGGACCTCGTCGAGCTCGCGCAAATCCAAGAATCCAGTACGCAACCCACTTGGGCAAGGAGTACAGGTCATGGCTACACCAAGGGGTACAAGAAAGAGAGACGTGGGCGCAGATCATCCGTCTCTTCCGCGCAGCTTCATGAAAAACCCTTCTAGGACGAAGCAGGGAGGTGCAGATGAAACATCTCCAGAGCTAGGCAGTGGCATCTCCCTTGTCCCTGGCTCTACTGTGCGGACCAGTGTGATAACGAGCTCGGTTACATCTAAGCGCAAGTTCAGCAGTATAGCTGAAACCCCTTCTCGCGGAGCTTCGAAACGATCCGACCCTTTGAGTACTATGGACGAGCATGAAAGTCTTTTGATTAACACACCGGTTTCTGTTGTATCTTCGAAACCGTGTACTAGGCAGCTCTTCAAAGTTCCCAAACTTCCTGTGATGACGAATCGGTCCACTGATGAACGCCGACCACAGCCAGAGAACTCTCCATTTGGCAATGACGTTACTATCAGCATGGAGAGTACGGCATCAATCGACCAAACACCACCAGCAAAGAACAAAACATTTCATATCCAAGAACAAGGACTCTCCGCCCCAAAGGCGATGACGACACCTTCATCCCCTGGACCTGTTTTCGAGACGCCTATTAAAGGGAAGCTACAAAGGGTGACACAAAACGATCCCACCGAGATAATTCAGAGTACGCCTGTAAAGTCTATATATGAGGCATTGGGTTGGAACGATGATGACGATGAGTTAGCTCTTTGAGTGGGCGAGCTCGATATGTGACCACGAATATACATGTTTACTATGCATAGCATATACGTCTAGAATTTATTGTTTTATGCGTTTTCATACTCTCGGCTTGTCAGGTACGTAGATAAGTAACTGCGGATTCGGTAGTTGAATGGAAGTACGGCAGAAGGCCTCAAAGAATCTAGGTCAGTCAGTATACTTAGCTCCAAGGTTTTCGAGATGGATATTTAGATGCTCTTCATTTCCATACCAAAGTAATAAAAACCGAGACCAGTATAGACATGGAGAGGCCGTCCTTTCCTTATAGCCAGGTTCTACTGTAATCCTATATTTGATTCAACCTCAGCCTAACCCTATCCAGGTCAGTGCACAGAAGAAGAATCGGAGTACTTACTTACTTTGGCTCCGAATTTTGAGCCGTAGGATCTGAGACATCTCGAAAGAGTGGTTCGTTCATTCAAATCTGGACTGGAATATGTATCCTTTAATTTCATTCCAAGGATCGGGCTTATAAGACAGGACATGGGTCTATTAATTCTTAGCCTGATAGACATGGATGGATGATGTATTTAAATCCGGTCCAGTTTGATATTTGGTTTGATACGATTTGATCCAATCACAGGTTTAACCCATTCTGTGCTCTTGTTCGTGGGGTAGTTTGTTTTCCAACCGGAAAAAAAAATGAGAATAGAACCATAGATAGGCATTGCTAGATGGGAAAATAATAAAAGTGATCAGGCGTTGCGTTTCTGCAGGCCAGTGAGTGTGGGTTCGAGTAGGAAGAATAACCCTTTTAGGCTTTTAGGTAAGTTTCTCCGGATCTGTATAGTCCATAACTGGGATTGTGGAACATCCAGGAGGAGTCATCGTAGGCAGCAACCGCATAGGTATATCTGACGGGGAGGTATCATACCTGGGGTGAGGAGATGAGTCAAAGTCGTCATTTGTGAAACGAGTCTTCTATGAACATAAATATAGACGGGGCGTCTACAGCAAGATGGGCTGGGACTACGTGTGTGTGTGTGTGTGTGTGTATGTGTGTGTGTCACTGTCAGGGACTAGGATCTCATCGCTAGCATATTGCGTCGTGTTCTGTATAACTGGTGTTGAACGTGTCTCAACGTTGATGCATTGAATCCAACCGCCACGATTGCTCCACAGTGCAGTTAGTAGTAATCGTATCCACATTCGATCGTCGGCTAAAAGCAATAGCTTCAAACCCGAACTGACATCGAGAGCGGCGGAGAGTAATCGCTGGTGAGCAAAGAATTGCCGATAGGGTTTATCCTAACTTGGATACTATCACGAGATCCCGGGTATGAGACAGCCACTCGGCAGACGAAGTGGGGGAGAGAAGAGGGGAAGAGAATGCGGACAAACACGGTCTTCTTAACTAGTCGCGGCCCATAGAAGCAGTCGCAGCAAGATCGAGATGTATAATCAGGCAGTGCTAGGTTAACGGGTGTCATTGTTTTTGAGGTTGTCTCAGCCGTCCCAAGGGAGAGGAACAAAAAGAAGATGTATCTGATCCAGAAACAAGGTTGAAGATCGTCGCACGAGTCAGTCCCTGATAGACGAGCAATAGTTTAGATAACGCCAAACAATCTCAACATGCTGGTCCAAGCTTCCTTTGATAAGATAGTTATCAGCAGCGATTGAGTATTGGTCAATCAGACATAAAACCAATGCAAGCCATACGCAGTCCATAGGCGGCTGAGCATTACGTAGTAGGCACCCATCAGGGACACACTCATAGGCAAAATGCTCTTGAAGTGCAGTGATGTTCTTCGAGGCTCCACTTCGGTGGCCAGATTCCGCAGTGCTCATAACAATCGAATGCATGGCGCAAGATAGTAGCAGTAGTAGTAAGTTAGTAGTACTCCGGTCCGGACGAGGTGGTACTGCTACCGTTTAGCTTGCTGCAAGTCCAGGATCAATCCATCACGAGGATGGGGTTTGGAAGGGCATTCTGCACGCTGATTGGATGATCGCTCTTCTACCAGGCCTGTTTATCCTTGCGGTTCCATTTTTGGGGGGGAGACTTCTGTGAAGAGCCGAGAGGCGTGAGAGAAGCGAAGCTATGTTCTGTTCTGTTCGTTTCGATTCGGGTCGTCATCACTCGGAAAGATGGTCTAGACTGCAGGTACTAGGTATATCCTTTGAAAGCTGGCCTGTAGCACGACCCCAAGCAGTGAGTACTAGCCATCACTCAGCTGACATGCCGAATCGACCCGAGCAAAGCGGATTGATTTGGCATGGGCGCGGGCTTGAAGAGACCTGAGAGGCCGAGACGGGAGCGAATGTCTGGAATGTGGGTGTTCGCATAAGCTCGAAGCGAATGGACGAGCCCGGGAAAGACGGGTGATTGACAGGAGGGGAGATGCTGAGAGGAATGAAGAATGGAGGAGAATGATCACGGATGGCACATCCGATGTTGTGTGTGTGTGTGTATGTGTATGTAAGAAACGCGTATCGGAAGGTAATTAATTACGCGCAGTCCTTCTGGATTGATTTGAAGGAAAGCTGCGGGCACAGACTTCTTGCCTGTTAGTTTCTTACTGTATGGAATGGCGCGTGACTTTGCAGTTGCAGATCCGTCGATCCACTCCGCCTGTCATATGCCGTGCTAACGTTGGCATCGTCTATACAGTTTTGAAGCTGACTGTTATACAATCCTAAGACGGGACTGTCTTACAGCATCGTGTAGCCGGCACGGCATGCCCTCAGCAGCCAGCAGCAAGACCGTTGACCGTTACTATCTAATCTACAAAATCAGTAAACATCGGACCCTATGCTCCTGCCTAAACAATGCCATGCCCATAGCCGATACACACAAGCCATGTTGAGTAATCCTAATCGAGTCCAATTATAGCCTGGACAGCCAGGGTAAGAGAAGCTCATGTCCCCTGGTCTGTATTCGAATGTTCGATCGAAGAAGAAGATCGCTTGGCCGGTACCACTTGGGCGAGTTTATCTCTCGATCTCTCCAATACCGATCTTCGAGGCTGACAGCGACCCATCACTCGATCGTTCTATCGGGAATGTTGAAAGCATATTCCCATCTCTCTCTCCCTCCCTCTCTTGAACAGCTCTTGGTGTGACGTGAGAGAGCGGGTGTATTGCTGGTCTGTATCCTGCTCGTGTTTCGACAGTGCGACGTACGGTATAAGCGAGGCGGCCTCCAGAGAACTGCTATATCAACTCTTGATGTTGAAGTGAGAGAAGAGTGAAGACAAGATCTTCTTCTCCGCGCCGCTTCCCTTCTGGGTTAGAGGCGCAGCCAATCAGAGGCGGGCGTGGCGCTCAGCCATCCGCCTGAAGCATTTCTCATCCAGGGAAGGTGCAACCTTCCCTCTGCTCTATCTGTTCCCGCGCTCTTTCCAAAGTAAGTGCTGGTAATTCGTCTTATCATTTGTTATTGACATGCTGCAGTTACCTGTTCTGTCTGTATATAGCTTACCAGCTGCTACTACTACTACTACTACTACTACTACTACTACTACTACTACTACTACTACAACACCTTATCACCATCTCGCCCGTCTGGTAGGGAAAGAAAAAGCAAAACCAAACAGGAAAAGAAACGACAACCAGAAACAACACCAACCCCCCCCGACCCCACTCGCCCTGCGAGACATCCACCCAGGCAGTTCTTATTGCTATCTGTTTCCGCCCGCTCCTCCACCACTCAACCGACAAAGTCCCTGCGTCGTGCTTCTTCTGTGCTTCGTCTTTCTTCCTCCGTTCTTAGTGAACGCCCTACCCGCTCCAGCATCGCCTGATTATTCGTCCCTCTCTACTCTTCAGCCGGCCGACCGACCGACCGACCAGACAGCCAGAACTGACTGGCTTGCCCCTCTCCAGTCTTGACGATTCGCGTGCTACATCATACTAGTCATACTCTGGTCCATACTGCCGTGTACTACAAACTAGTACTAGTGTTGGCGTGGACCACGGCTCTTGCAAGGCCCTTGGAGACACCAATTGTCATTGCGATCAACCTCCATTCTTGGACCCTAGTCTCTCGCCGCTAACAACATACACATAAATCAGAGCCATCTCCTGCCCTGCCCTGCCCTGCCCTGCTCTGTGGCGGTGCAAGTTACTCGGCTCGGCTGAACTGACCTGAACATTCCTTTCCTATCGACACTCGCCACACCTCGCTCAAAGTCTCAACCCCCAGCCGCCCGGCGCCCCTCTTTTTCCTTCCCGCTTTGGCAACTCTACTATTGTTGGTAAAGCTTGCTTATTCAACCCGCAACCGCGCCAACCTTGTCAATCCGCTCGCGATCTTAACTTTTATCGAATTATCAGCCTGCATGCCACTTCCGCATCCCGCAAGTTGACCTGTGTGCTGTTCGACTACTATCCTATCATTGGTCGTCACTGTTAACATCTGATCCTTTTTCTATCCCGCTCTATCGATATCTCGTCGTCGCTTATACACTGGACCGACCGCGTGTCGCCAACCCGTCGTCCGGGCCCTCGCGGCCTTTGTCTCAGAATTCGCGGACAATAGGACAATAGCATCATGTATAGCGCACCCCATCAAGCCTCGGCGCCTATGAATGGCATGTCTGGTGAAGTTATGGACGGCTCGGGTACCATCAACCCAGCAGCGCTGAATACTGCCGGTACGTGTTTGGCGTTATTTTTTTTTTTCTTTCTCCTCTGCTTCCTTCTCCGATGCCTCTTACGCGAATCGGGAGGTTCGACCTTGAATGAATAGATTGCCAACCTTCTGAACTGATGGGTTGAATCTTACTTGATACCTTCTTTTTTTTTTTCTTCTTCTTCTTTTCCCTTTTCCCCTCCATATTCCAAGTTGTCGATACTAACGCGTTTACTATTAATAGCGTCGCTTTCTGCGCCTACCGTTGCACCATCGAATCTCAGTCCCCGAGGAATCAAGCGAAGCCGATCTCCAGATCAATATGGCGATGCTGTATTAGATGGCGGAGACCATGAAGACCGTACGTGTATCTCTCTAGTTGTTTCCCGCCTTTGGTTATTGGTCCAAAAGGGGACGGTAAAAGGAACACGGCGACTTTGGAAACTGACGTCAACTCGGCTCTAGATTCGCTTCATCCTGATGAACAAGGCCGGAGAAAACGTGGGCGACCGCCAAAATCGTCGCGCCCATCAACTGCCACTTCTAATACGCACTACGTACCCACTCAACAGCCGTCGGGCGTACCTCGCGCAATGCAGACGCCGCAACTGTCAGCTCAACCTCTGCCTAACCAGACATCGATCTCTCCTCCGCAAAATTCGCCGCCTCCAAAAACGACACCAACTAAGACGCTAGTCAAAGCGCTTCCAACAGTTCGTGATCACACAACAGACACTTTGAATGAAGGTCGCGACGAATATTTGGCCAAGGAGTGGGACGAAGCTGGCGAAACCAAAGTCGATATGGATGGTTATCTGCAGGATGGTCGTAAGTATAGATGTCGGACATTCCGTGTCCCCGGTCGCGGAAACAAGTTGTTCATGCTGGCGACTGAATGCGCGCGAGTGCTGGGCTATCGCGACTCGTACTTGCTATTCAACAAAAATCGATCGTTATTCAAGATTATTGCAAGTCAAATCGAGAAAGATGATCTGATTCAGCAAGACATCCTTCCTTACTCCTATCGGTCTCGGCAGATTGCGATTGTAACCGCGCGATCCATGTTCCGTCAATTTGGCAGCCGTGTCATTGTTGACGGTAGACGAGTCCGTGACGATTACTGGGAAAGCAAGGCAAGGAAGCAAGGGTTTACGGAGGAGGATTTGGCGGGAGAGAAGCGGCCTGGCGCCGCCAAAGCTCGCGACGCTGCTGCTGCAGAGGCCGCTGCAAACGCAGGTATACTACCCGGTCTTGGTCAGAGCGATGTTGTATATAGCAGTGCAATTGAAGGGATGCCCCATCTGCCTCCAGGTCTAGCGGGCCATGGAGGCGTTTCGCTTGCACCTCTTCCGATGATTCACCTAGCGCCTACCACAGATGATCCGAGACTGCGAGAATACAGTTCCATGCCCCGTCCCCGGCAGGAAATGACAGGACAGGCATATCAAGACCGATCTCAGCCCAGCACCGCTGCGGAAATTCGCAACCAGGCTACGCACACAGCGGAGTTCAACAAGATTTTGAATACCCAGCGAGCATTTAGGCACAAAGGCTTGGAAGAGTTTTATTCAACACCTCGTGAGGTACCACCGTCTTCACCAACTCAAGCCGATGTCGCAGCTGGTGTTACCGCACCAGTCTCGCAGCCGTTGCAATCACCACAAATGATGTCTTCAGGCGCCATAATGAATCAAGCACAGCAGCATCGCGGCGTTCTTACTGGGCAACAACCGACGCAAATGATGACGCCGTCTCACGCTGGATACAGTCAGCAGCAGACACCATCACAAATAATAGCACAGTCACCGATGGGGAATAATATGCATGGTATGCGCCCTGACGGGCTTCATCCGCGGCAACCTAATGCAGCCGCGCTTTCATCTGCAGCGTCACAGACACCATCATATGGCTACCAAACACAGGCGCAGCCGATTTGGGGACAGCCACCTCCTCAACCACAACAACAAGGTCTTTCTGCTTCACCTCACATGGGAATACCACAATATGCGGGGCAAATGCCACAGCAAAGTCCATCACCACACCCGGGTAGTGGCCAACAACCGCACCCATCGCCGTCGCCGCACAATCAAGCACGGCCTACACAAGCGATGCCCCAAGGTATACAGATGCATCCACAGGTTGGACAGCCAGGTATGCCATCGATGGGATACCAAGCTGGAGGAATGGCGTACAGTAACGTACCGAATCCTCGAGCCATGTATGCCCAAGCTCAGTCGCCTGTTCAGCAACAATTCGTTCCTCAAGTCGGCGGAATGACGATGCCCATGGGAGCCGGAGTAAGCATGCCCGGTTGGCCATCTCCGGCTGGAGGTGGCCATATACAACCCGGACAACCGCAACAAGGGCAGTCTGGTAGTCCATTGGGAGGATGGTCAAGTTATTAGTTTATTTCTCTTTTTTTTTCTGTTCTCTTTTTTCCCTTCTTCTTCTTTATTCTTTTCTATACCATCTATCTATTGTCTACATCTTGTCCGTCTATCTGTCAAGAGTATATTCGATCATGCTTATTATTTTGTTCTTTTACTCAACGTCGGGTTGTTGTTTGGTTTTGCATTGATTCCATTCTCTTCTTGACGGTTGATCCAAATAAATTGATGTTTTCGTTATTGACGAACGTGATCTTCGTCCTTTTTATTCCCTTCTTTCAACTCAGGCATCAATCATGGTATCAATCATGACGGGAGTGTTTTGTTCTTATGGTTCCAAATTTTTTTTTTTTTTAAATTTTTTTTTCTCCTTCATATCATATACCCCCACTCCTGGTCTTCTGGTTTGGTTGACTTCGTCTCTTTTTATCTTTGTCTGTATCTGGTTTGACCAAGTAACCGAATTGAGTTTTTGATATTGAGAGTTCGACGTTGCGTTCGAATCGATTCATTGCATTCTCCCTACCCTTTTCTTTCTTCTTTCATCATCATTCTCTCTTTTTATTCTTTCCCTCCCATAATATTGTTTATTCTTCTTTTCAGATTCGCATTAACGCGCTAAGACTGGTATGACTATTGACATTATCTTACTACTGGATGCATCTACAAAGCTACTGAGGTACGCATTGATAATTAGAGATTTATATGTAGCCATGCCCATCTTCTTATACCTATACCTACATAATCTAAATTTGTATGGGAATAGCTAAAAAAAAATTACACATTATCCTCAACAACACGAATTAATCTTTGATCAGACGATTGCAGGTAAACGGGATCAACTATATTCCTCCACGCATTATACTCAAGGGCCGCCTCGTCGCTTGCTGGGAGCAGGGGAGGCATTGTTCCTAATGGGGCTTTTTGTAGCTCTTTGAGAGCCTTCCTTGAGCCTTCTTTTCCTCTGCGTGACACCGGCAGCGGTGAGGTCGCGCTCTAGCGGCAGGGGTATTTATCATCATTTATGAGCTGCGTAGGAATAGACTTCCAAAGATATGCCCGGGAATGGATGTTCACCAATCCCGTCATTTGTAAGTAAATGTATTACTAATGTTGTCCTAGTGAAAACATCTGTGGACGACTTCATCTTCAGCTTGAGGTTTGGTGGTTGATACCAGATCAGTAATACAGTGATATCTTCAAGAATATAGATATCAGATATTGGTCTTACCGCTCGGGTCGGTATCATGACTTTTCCGGATGAGCATTTTGAACTGCAATACCATGTCCACTACCCAGGGACGAAAGGGCCTTCAAATGGGTTCATGGAGGTCTGATCAGAACATCGCCCCACAATGCCCTGCCCTCTTTAATGGGGTATATAAGGGGGTATATAAGGATGTGTGAGGCCGCACTCTCAATCGGTCTTGTCATTTCAAACGCTTCGGAACACTTCTTTGGAGTCACAACTTCGATACGGTATACCCCAACATCGAACATGGCTAAGCTCAGAGTAGTCATCGCCGGTGCGTCCGGTGAGACGGCCAGTCCATCATGAATGCGCTGCTTGCATTGCCAAACCAATTCGAAGTCGTTTCCCTGGCCCGAACGAAATCTGTGTCCAAATCTATCTACCAGGACTTCACCCGACGTGGTGCTTCAGTGCAGAATGCCAATTTCAAGGACCCTGAAGCCCTCGTACCCCTCCTCAAGGGTGCAGACGTCGTTATCTCCGTGGTGACAATGGCAGAGAAGGAAGTGCAAGATACTCTCATCGATGCATCCCACAAAGCCGGCGTCGGTCGTTTTGTGCCTAGTTTCTTCGCAACAGTCTCACCCCCGCGCGGAGTGATGCCAGCCAGAGAGAAGAAGGAAGACAGCCTCGATAAAATTAAGTGCCCGTACCTTCCCTATACTGCCATCGACGTTGGCTGGTGGTACCAGTTCAGTGTTCCCCGCGTGCCCTCCAGCAAGTTGGACTCGGTCGTTTCTTTCCCCGAAACAACTATTGCTGGCGACGGAAATACAAAGACTGCGTTGACCGACTTGGTTGACATTGGAAAATATGTCGCTCGCATCATCGGACCCGCGGACACTGAACAAGCTGGTATTTGCCTACGGCGAGATGACGACCCAGAATCATATCTGGAGCTCGGTTGAGGCACTCACTGGTGAAACCATCCCGAGGCAATACCTCTCGAAGGAAGAGATCGAACAGTCCCTCTCCTCGGCTGGCAAGACTCTCGCCAAAAATCCGATGGATATGGACACGATTGTTTCAAAGTCTATGTTGGAGTACAAGTACAGCCGTTGGATTCGGGGCGACAACACGCCTGAACATGCCGAGTATCTGGGATATCTCAATGCGAAGGACCTTTACCCTGATTTCAAATACAAGACTATTGACGACTGTCTTCGCGAGCTAATGGAGGGGAACAGGGTTGCCAATCTTTACGTTGGTCGAGACCATGTACTGAAAACCACGGCAGATCTAAAGATTTAAACCAGAAGGTTTTGAGTTTTACCCAGATACATATGGATAGCGATTAATAAATACGGTTGCGCCCTGATATATCGACAAAGTGTACGTAATCTCCTTTACTAAATCTGCGATGACATGGTTTTAAAAGCCAAGCCTCATTATTAACCATTCACTTTAGATACATTGTTGCTGGATGTCGATATTTACCCTAAGTCCGTGGCATGCTTCGCATATTACGAGGATGTTTAATTTCCTCCACCAAGGTATAATTCAACTAGTTAGAAGCTATAAATCTTTCTATGAACTTTGCGTTCCCCTTTGCTTCTTGACCCTTAAAAAATGTCATAACGTCCTGCAACACCTTTCTAAATTCCGCGACCCGTATTTTCATTAATTTGCTTTCCGGCTCATCTTCCTCGTCCTGCTCCAATTCAGTATCTAAGGAATCGACTATCGCCTTTTAGACGCCGTCTGTATGCTGTTTGTTGTTTCCATTTGATTCTGGTGGATCAGGATCCGCTCTTAGTAACCTATATATTCTAGCTGCAGAATCAATCGAGGATCGTCCCAGAATGGATAGATGGTTTTGCGGCTGACCGTGTCAAAAATTTCTGGCTTGAGTGACTCAATGCAGTGAATAAGGTGTTTGCTGATAAGGAACTGGTTATGCAGAAAGGATTTATAGGAACAAACCCAGTCGACTGGGTTAGGGTGGTGCTCTGTCAACTTCTCTGGTTGAATTACTTTGCATGTCTCTTTCTTCCATTGCTTCTTGAATGCCTCTCGCCATTGAGCTTTGAATATGCGTAGGGCTTCATGGATAAGATCCATGATAATATAGCATGTCCATATCCATATCCGTTGAATTTTAAGAGCACAGATATATTCGCGGATACTATCCATGGATATATCCATATCCGCGTATCCATGGAGAGCCCTAGAATCCATACTCAGGGTACCCCTGGCCCCTGTATGTTTAATTATAAGGTAAAGTGGACAAAAACATATGATATAATAGTGCCCTCAATTATCGTTCTCAATTCTCAGTTACTAGTATTAGTCTATCAACAGCCTTTGCTTTTGTTATCATTCCCTGACAGGATCAATGTTTAAGGTCTTCCTTACTATACAGCTTTCCTCCAGCCTCAGACTCTCAGCCTTGTTCCTTATATATCCTAATCGTATGCGCACTTAGTTTAATGTTGCAGAGTACCTACTAATCCTGCCATTACATTTTACCCAGATTAGACTAGAGCTTCCATGTGCATTCAAGAAATTTTGTGGAATCAGCATGTTGAAATGCAGTTGCTGTTCCTCTGCGCCACCCATGATAACAGTCACAGCAAACTCTTAGCAGTACAGGGATGCTTAGAGGGATGCCTAGAGGGGTGCTCTCATGACTCGGATCCGCAATATATTCCATGGGCTGCGCCTTCTTGTTTGGCTGTGACGCCTTAGAGATATGTGAAAGTGGCTGCACAATGGCGGCTACACAGCCTGATGGCACATGGCACATCCAAGTTGTAGGCAAGGCATCCCTCTGCGTCCCCCAAGACATTTTGAATTTACTCGAGAGATACGCCTCGCTACCTGTATATATAACCATGATGTTGTCTAGAAAATCTTCAGGTAAGGCAATTAATCTGAGTATACTTCTACCCGAATTATGGCTGCATCAAATGATAGACACTTGTGCAACGGAATCCCTGTCGACCACCGGCTAAAAAGATTTCTGCCCAGCGCGAAGCAGAAGCATTCGCACGGAATCGGCAAACATGTAGATATAGTCGAGACATTTGGCAACACCATGGTCCGCGATAACAGGACCACTCCTAGTAAGCAGGAAGTCGGTTTCGCCGCATGGCTCGCGAAACCAGACATGACAGGTGGTCTGGTCATTGCGCTCCAACAACCGGCCAAGTCCCAAGTCTTCACTGCTGACGTGGAGTGGGTTCGAGACCAATGTGATACCCTGGCCTACCTGGACAAGTCGCTCACCTTCCTGAATGGCCCTGGAGGCCTAACAACAACGAGCGTGTTCGATGCGTTCCCATTCATTACCAAGCAGATCTCCTCGAACGAACTATCCCACGAATCGAAACATGCATATAACACATTTCTCTCCATGGTAGAGGCAAAACGGCCCGAGGTTCTTTTCGCGTGCTGGCAAGTCCGTGATCGGGATGATCTCTCCTTTTCTGGGAAAGGGGTTGGGAAGACTAGTTTTATACATAGCTTGAGGTGCTTAAATGGTCACGTTGTCCGCGTCGTAAACGGATTCCATCCTAGCTATGTGGCCAATTACTGCCCAAATGAAAGCTGCTTCCGGAGACTCTTCGCTGTGGAGCTGTGCAAGGCGCTGTGCGAGCTGCATACAGCTTGGCAGGAAGATAACTGGATGAATGACCTTAGGGAAAAGTGCCGAAAAAGGACTCTTCAATTAATGAGAGGTACGTATCGCGGTCAATCGTGGTGGTGCATACTAAAGACTTCTTACAGAGAATGGTAGAGATGGCGAGCACTCCAACACGGAATCCGGTCGCCAGCCTCGACGAATCGAGATAGATAAGACTGCTAAGAAATACAAGGCATACACCAAATCATTTGACAAAGGCTTAAAGAGTCTCAAACAGATTTTTGACCACATGGCATCCTCAGCGTACACATATCAAAATTCGTGGGATCTCTATAAATTTTTTGTCTTCGACCAGGATACATCCGAAGGCATCTGTGATGCTCTCCTAGCCGTGACCGAGGCGATGAGGCAATTCGAAGCTGGAAATCTAATGCCGGAGCCTGGGCTTGTAGAGCTAGGAAAGCACATCAGCCACCAGACGCTCAAGTTCGTCAAAGACGATATCCCAGATCTGTTGCAATGTCCCCGGGGCTTAAACAAGAATCTGTGGAGCCGCCGATATCTGGCGAGTACGTCTCGAGGACTGAAGCTTAATATAGAAAAGATCACAATACGGTTTATTGAGGATTTAACGAAGTCTTTTTCGGAGTCTTCGACGGGATGGACGTATCATCCGGACCTTGTGCACGACGCCTTCAAGGAACTTGCTATTGACTTCGAGGATGCTTTAGGCGGGGAGTACGATGACTATCAAAAGACCGCAGCTGCAAATGATGTCGCTATCTTAAGCGCATCCTTTTACACGCTATCGATTTCGAACTCTCAACCAGCAGCACTGGCTGCGAACACAACGCCGTCAAGACATTCTTCCAGCGACGGCTGTTTTAATTGCCGTCAACCCGGTCACTGGTCCAGCGAGTGCCCGTACAAAAAGAAAGGAGACACCACGCCATCTAAATCTCCTTCGAACATGAGCTGCTACAACTGTGGTAGAATGGGTCACTGGAGCAGCAACTGTCCAACCCCCAAAAATGGAAGAGTAACGCCACCAAGACCAGTAGCATCGTCCCCGAGCGGGAACTGCTACACTTGCGGCCAAATAGGCCACTCGTCCAATGGCTGTCCGAGCACGACACCTTTACGGACTCCTTCAGGGGATAAATGCTTCAGCTGTGGCCAGGTGGGCCACTGGACTAGAAACTGTCCACGGCAGAGGCCGGTTAATGCGACGCCGTCGAGAATTACGTCTAGAGACAAATGTTTTTCCTGCGGTAAAATAGGCCACTGGTCTAACGATTGCCCAACGCGTAGGAACCGATGAAGGCGTCCTCTTAGACACGATGGAAGTGGAGATGAGCAAAGCGGCGCGTGCAGTGTACAATGATTCAATTGAAAGTCAAACACCGAACGAAAGAGAATCATGCTATGGTAACGAGTCCCCTATGTCAACATATTGTTTTATCTTAGCTCAGTTATTGTTTTGGTCAGTCTAAATTATAGTTCCTTCTATCTCGATCACTTGCCATTTCAAATTTCAGATCAAAGATGCATTGTTTATCAGTTGGATAAGAAGTATAACTATTGCACATGGCCGGTAAATGTAATTGTATCCTCATGGCGGCTGCTGATTGAGCGATATTATCAACAAGGCTGTATTGCTACGTACACGCACCATACTTATGCTCTACAGTGTACTTCAACTTAAGACTTAAATCTGCTGAATACAATAGTAATATTTATTATAATAAATCCATTGGGAACCCCAAGCCAACAAAGGAAATAAGGTATGTATAGTCATCTAGGTATGTAGCATGAAACTCAAACGCGAAATGATATATGGATGGGTATTTCATATTGCTAACAAGGTCAAGGAAGCGGACAAGTGGTGTCCCAATGCATTTTCCAAGGGTTGCTTTCTTCTCTCCTTTCCTCATATAAAATTACTATCTAGCACTTGCGCACGTTCCTTTCTCTAATCAACAATTGAATCAAAACGCTAATGGAAACGGCAGCGCAGAAAGATGCAAAGAAAAAATAATGCCACAGAGTCGTGTGTAGTCCACTAATGACAACCCGTTCTTGGGTATAAGAATGACAGAAAGCAAAATGACACTGTTCGCCAGTACCCCTTCCTGCTTGATGATGTATATGATCAGAGTTGCGCAGAATCGAGAGGAAAGAAAGAGAGAGGGGGGAAAAAATCAATCAGTATGTGTAGAAACAGACCCGATGAACAGACCCGATGAACAGACCCGATGAAATACAAAATGAGTCCCAAGTATATGCACCTCCATTCCAAAAAGTATAAAAGATTGTACAAAGTCCATCATTATTTTCCAAGAAAAAAGAGAAAAAGAGAGAAAAGAATACAAAGTCAAAAGACGGAGGGAGAACGAAGTATTAAATATTATAGGTAGTAGCGTAATTAACGTGATCAAATAAACGCTCAAAAATCGCTTGGTGTCTGATTAGAGAACGTATAATTCTTGGGTATCTGAGGTGCCAATTGTTGCGCCACGTTTCGGTGGGCTTCTTGCTGCTTCGGAAATTCGTGGATGTGGAATTGTGTCATACCGTTCGAGTTTTGTTCTTCACTCACTGTCATCATGCTGGCTGGAGGTGTCGCGGATGCTTTCGTCGATCCATAAAGGGAGGAGCCGTCTTCACCACTTAACGCCCATTCCGTATCTTGCTGTTCGTCATCATCTTGCTCGTAAATATAAATAGGAGGCTGCGGCTGCTGCTGTTGAGATTGCATGCTGGATGGAAACAAGGACGTATCGGGGGTCGACACAGCCCAACTCACTCCCGTCAATGGCTCGCTCGTAATCGGCGAATAGTCCGTGAACGAACCATACTGAGGAGGTGCTGACAAGGGCGGTGGCATATTCTGATACTGCATTGCTGAAAACATGTCCATTGTCATGGGCGTCTCGGGTGGTGATGCAACGTTTATCTGCATAGGCTGGGTGACGGGAAAAATACTGTGGGAGTCAGTTAGATGCTGAGTGGAGAAACTCATTTGTGTATCGTTTGTTGTTGCCGGCAGCATTTGTTGCATATCCTCTGGAGTAAGCGGAGTTGGAGGTGCCAAATTCCCCACAGACGCAGACGAGTGAAGCCTGTGCTTCTGTCTTGAATCCGAGCCAGCATTTGCTGCCGCCGTCGCCGCCTCTGCAAAACTCGAATAACCCAGGGGCGAACGCTGAGTGGCTGACAGCTTGCGGACACCGGCATAACGCGAGCCCAAAGTATGGGAAGATTTAGCATGTCGTATAGTATGAGGAGCCCCATAGCTTGCCATCCTTGCATTTGGCGACACAATTGACGGGTTGGTCGCCAGCCGATGATGAGCAGTACCGATAGCAGCGGGCCTGGGCCGTTTACGACGAGCAGCCAGATCCAGTTCTTTCTCAGGGTGCCGCCACATGGAAGATTGTAAGTTGCCAGACAGAGGGGCTGTATTGATGCCGATTCCGTTTATAGTATCAGCAAGTTCTTCTGAGGCTGAGGGCCGCCTCGATGAAGAGGCCGAAGGCGGTTGGAGCGAGGAAAATGATAGCGATCCATACATGGGATCTGAAGCATGTATCTCCGCCCTTACGTGTAGCTGAGGATTCCAAAGTTGTTGTGCACGTGAAGTCATGCTACTAAAGCCCTGCGGTCCAGATACATCCGGGGACGAGTTATTCAGTTGAGGTACTTCAGAGGAGAACGGAACGCTACTGAGGCTCCCAAACTCGTACCCGTCTTCGGGACTCTGTGACGGCGTCCAAACAATCGGTGAATCTCTGCTGCTGCCCCACTCCGAAAATGTAGAGTTCGCAGAGGTCTGCGGAGTGTTATTTGTGCTGGAAACGGAAATGTTTGATTGCTGCACATCGTAAGCCATGTCAACCGTTGATCCCACGACAAAGGGCCCATCAGAGGGTCCAGTGTACCGGGCACGAGCGGCCTCTGCAGCGCTGATAGCCCTTTGCAAGGAAGCGTATGTTTTCTCTTGAGCAAGATCACTCCTGGTCTTCTGATGTTTTGGCCGTGATGTCGATGAGGGGTCAGAATCCTGGGGTCGTTCTTTATGCGATGCTTGTGTCGGAGTCGGAGATTTTGTGGTACTGTTGCTATCCTCATCCTTCTGAATAGGGCTTTTCTGATCGCAATCGGGCAGTGCCTGGCCTGATTCCTCCTCTTTGATAGGTTTTGCTTGCTCATCTTTCTCTTTAGCCTCTCGTTGCATACGCTCAAACTCTTCCTGGCGCTTCTGTTGTTTAGCTTTGGCGCGTCGGTTCTGGAACCAGTTCTATTCAAACATAAGAAATCAGCATCAACCAATCTTAGATACGGACTGGAATCATAAGTAGACTAACCGCAACGCGAGGCAAGCTCAGGTTGGTCTGGACTGCCAGCTCACGTTTCTTGTTACTGTTCGGTTTGGGATGCGCCTGGAACTGAGCTTCGAGCGTGTCCACCTGTTCCTTGGTCAACCTCGGGCGAGAGAGGTTTTCGGCATATTCTTCGTAATCTTCCATTATTGGCATCTGAGCGTAATAGTCGGTCAAATCGTAAGCAGGGCGAGTCAACAGATAGCCATCCATGTTGTTTGTCATTGCAGGGTGGGCAATGCCGGACTGGTCCAGGGGAATTCCGGCATGGCCACCGTAAGGGTACGTAGGGTGATGTAAAAAGTTCATAATTGGTTATGCCGTCCTCCACTCTGACCAAGTATAGAGCCGAAGCCACCGCGGATTGGATCTGAACCACGATAAATGACCACGTAGAGGTTGTGCAGGCTGCGCGGCAGGCAGCTTGGACAGCGAGGTCTCTTATTGCATGAGCTTCCAGAAAACAGAGAGTTGCAGATATAAAACAAGGGTATCAATCGGCATAAAGATAGAGCGCAGAGACAGAGAAACGGTATATGCAGAACGAGTACCCAATATAGAACAAGGCCGGCAATATAAGTACCGAGAGGAGCAGTATTACGGAATATTAGAGGAATTTCGTAGAACCGAGAAAAAGTAAGATTGATTGAAGAAAAAGAAAATAAGGAGGGACTTGGAGTGTGGGAAAGTCGATAAGGATATTATTACCGTAGGGACAAACAAAAAAAAGAAAAGAAAAGAAAAGAGAGTGGTAAAAGAATATAACGACGGACCGATTGGAGGAGAGGGAGATATAGAGATAGAGAAAGGCGAAAGAACGAAGGTGAATGAATGAATGAGGAGGAGGAAAAGAGAGAGAGAGAGAGAGAGATGAATGAATCAACGGATATTCGGTGGATGAGCGAGCGGAAGGCGGCAATTGTGGAGGAGGAAGAAGAAGAAGAAGAAGGAGCGACCAGTGACAGTGCAAATCCACAGACAGGGAAAGTGCTCAGGGACTAAGCTTTAGCATAAAATCTAAGTGCATTTTGATACACTGGACGAAAGGTGGCACAGCCGTAATATTACGTAGTATTACCCACCGGCGTCTCTCGGGTTTCTTGTGCTATTGTACCGATGCAAGCAGCTGTCCAAAAAGTTGTCTAACTCGCTGGTAATAGCAATACGTACTGAGTCTACTGACACTATCCACGCCTGGAGAATATGGATTTTGTACGGAGGGTAGTTCTTCGAAGGAACGGAGTAGTGTGTGATCACAATCATCCGATCCAGGGCTCCTCATTGGCGCGGCCACGTCTCCAGGTACCCGGTACTAGGTATGACTAACTAACTGGGTACTAGTGCAGGTACTAGGTACTAGGTGCTAGGCAGTAAGTAGTAAGTACGCAGTAAAAGTAAAACTCCAGGTGAATCTCGAGTCTTTGTATGGACCGGCATTTAGACTCCGGGCTCCACTTGAGGAGACGACTGAATCAACTCTACGCTACGACAGACCTGGCAGTGGCCAAGATCAAAAGCAGTTGAAGAACGAGTAACAAAATAATCGAGATAAGATAAACCCAGCACAAAGAAGCAGAGCCCCAATCATATTCAACGATTGTACACTGATAGACCGACTGAGTCCGTTAAGTTACGGGTAATCAAAATTCACGTATTGAAAGCGGAACTAGTTACACGGATCAAGGGGTTAAAACTTTTCGAGTTAGTCAAATCACATGAAAAGGCCATCATCTAAATATCCACCGCCTTCAACATAGATACAACGAGATACTCTCCAATTGATCTGAGGTCTGCTAGACAGTCAATTCGGAGAATAGGGAATGAAAAGAGTAAAAAGGAGGATATTCAGGGACCAAGGGAAAACCGAAGCAAACTTACACGAGTCGGGCTTTCATGACCAGACAAACTATCCCTTCCCTTCCTGCAGGGTGATATGCAGGACATCTGCAGGTTTCACGCAAGAAGCAAGTTGGGATCTGTACGCTTCAAAAGCTAAGTCTGAAAAGTTGGTAGATACGCCCGAGGAAATGGTACAGGTTCGAAACCAGGTCTCCTGTTCTGCAAAGCATCTGCTTCGATGTACGTACTCCCTGATTCAGTAGTTACGGCTCAACGTACGAAGGCCGGGAACTCTTGTAGGTGATTCGCTATACGCAGGTATATCAGAATGCTACACAAAGAGTCCATCACGGGCCAGCCATCTTGACGATGCTTATGATGTCTCATTTCTATTCGGAGTTTTTATGTTGAATGCAGAAGAGATTTGCGGAGTGAGAGTATAGGGTAATACAAACTTACCCCTAATCCCAAAGTGTGGCTGAGCTGTCAAATCTAGATTGAGGCTGATGGCTTTGATTGGCTACAGGAGGCTGTACTGCATGGTTCCTGCATTAGCGCTGATCCACTATCAGGTCAAGCAGCCAATCTGCATGTGTCTGTGTCTTTTTTTAACAAACTCGGACATCATATGACCCGTGGTTAGTATTTCATGTTCAAGCCAGTACCATCACGTAAGAAATCGAGACGTTGATCGCTTTCATCTGTTCTATCTTGTTTGACGTCGTAGGAGTAAGAAAAAAGCGACAGCGGCTGTGTTACTGTGACTGACCGATTGTCAATCGAGCCTGTCAAAAGGTGAAATTGACCCATCCAATCATCCAAATGCAGTTGTACCTTTTGCCGTGCATAAACCCTGGATATAAAAAAAAATAAAATACATCTGTCTACTCCGTACCAACATCTCGGATATCCTCCGCAAGCCACTGCGAAGCTAAAGATCAATAGTCTATCAGATCAGTGTCGATCAACGGCAGAAGCAAGGACAAATGTCTTACCTTACCATACGCCAGCCAGTGTGCAACCTTTTTATTCAGATATGGAACATTCGAAACCTGTGACGCAGAAGATCTCCCGATAAACCCGTCGTAGACTCGTAGCTTGTGTCCAGTTCTTCAAGGGAAGTTCCCTTTTTATGGGATACGTAGTAAATACTCCGTATGAGGCTGGACCACGCCTAAATTAACTCAAAAATCAAGTCTATATACCTAGTCGACCTAAACCCTATACGGTTATTACTGTCGCTTTCTTACTTTTAGCTTCAGCCTTCCAGGCTGTCAACTGACATCAAGATTCACAAAAGGAGACTAAGTTGATGGTCACCGATTAACTATGCTTTAGCCTGAGCTACCCCGGCCACGAACGCTAGAGATTTGTCATTCCCCTAGAGCTCATCATGTTATGGCACTCGCGCTAAATCGAGGAACGATGATCCGTAGATCCCCCGTGTTTCGAGTGTGGTTTGCGCTGGATGGGTTCGGGCCTTCTGTCTGAAGTCTTTCGCAGTGGCTCTTATGCGGGCAGGGCCGTCAACGTACTCCGTAGCAGGTAACTTAACAAACAAGAGCAACGAGCAAAGGGATAGGCAAGGTACGCCGTACTATCGTACGCATGGCGTATGGAGTATTACAGGTAAATACGGTACTCGATACGGCGTACATACAAGTTACTCGTACAGACAGAGCTCGTCACAACGTCGGTCATACGTCCATCATCAATGCTCTGAATGCGACTGACGAGCAGCCCAATCCCAAATTGACTGACTCGCCGCTCCGTGACCACCTCTGAATCGTTCGCTATCGAGAGCCGCCCTACAAAGGATCGCCCCTATCACTGTGTGGAGCCTGAAATGTCCTGTCAATCAGAAAAAGGAAAAAGGGGAAAAAGCAAAGAGAGAAGCTCGAGCCATGCCACCAAATCCTCCCCGAATTTTGGATCTTTGGACCCGGCGGCCAATGCTGCATCCTGATTGATCAGTTGACGGTTTGCCTCAGGCATCGTGCTTGCGCATCACTCAAGTCACTGCATGCGTTGCAAATCATGATCACCATGTTAGTACGGCGCAATGGCCAGTACATCAAGATGAGGAAAAAGCAAAGATGGAGGATGATAGATGGCCTTATCCCAGTTTAGATCCTGAGCAGTGATCGCCATGGTCGATGACTGCGCAAAAAGAAAATATACCACGCCACCATCCCCAACGTTATCCCATCACCACGACGTACGATCGATACGGCCAGCTTTGAGCACATTCTTCTTGCCGTGGCCACCGTAGACTCAGGCTCTTGGGTTTGCACGCAAACCTTATCCAGGGAGTAGCAACTAGAATAGGTACATGTCTAGCATCTAGATAGCTGACATCGGCAAAGTACGGAGTACATTCCCTACTTAAACCCGAGATGCAGGTTTTAAGCCTGGAGATCACCCGTCTCCCTCCCTGCTTAAGCCCAAAGCATAGACCAACTGTCAACGACGACTCGGTGATCGTGATACCATAGGTGCTCCAGCTCCGTACATCCTGATCGTACCTAAACGGCTCTGCACCGTCAAATTGCCGTCGATTGTAGGTAGCTAAGAAAGTCCGTATACGGCTCCATCCTTCAGGATATACGAACCCGTGCGGAACCATTCGTACACAATGACCCCCTTACAGTGTTCGCCACAGAGATTCGTACCGAGTCTCCACACCGAGACCGAACCTGAGCCTAACGACCAGTCGTATCGGCCCAGCTTATTTACTTTTCCGAGTACGTGCGTCGATACGTAGCGTACACATATGATGATGCGCATGCGTCCTGCATCTGGCTGGATACGGACGCCAAACTGAGTGGCCCGCCATCTCTCCACTTTATTTTTCGGTCTCTATTTTTTACTCCTTTTTTTTCAGGTTCATCGAGCGAGATCAGGGGACAGCCAAGCCAGCAAACGTGAAATGATGGCCCGTGCATCCTTGCAGCAGTAAGGATGCAAACAAGTTACACACAGTTGAGCGAGCTAGCTCGGCAGTCGAAAATACTATCCGTCAACGAATCAAGCACTGCTGATGATATGAAAAACAACCAGGTGCGAATTGAGTGGCAGGTGAAGTCAATTCGATGCGAACCCCCCGATGGTATTCTCTCCGAGTCGAGGTCCCTGACTCTATAAGTTCATCATCGGAAGAGCCACAGTTGATCTAGATCTACACACGGATCGAGTGAACCTTTTCCGTGCCCAAGTTTGACGTTGCGAATATGAGCAGTCCCCTGTTTAGGTACCGTCTTGTTAGCATGCCTCTTTTGGAGACTGGAAGAGTACAGTACGCAGCGTTCTCCACAGCTGCACGTCAACTCTAACCATCACGCGCTCGTTGCTTGAGGATCAGCATCCATCATCATTCATTATCATCAGAAAACAGGGCGAATAGACTGAAGATCCATTTCCAGTTGTTGGACCAGAGCGGACCGTCAGTTTCCGAATGGACGGGGGCTCGCATGCAGCTGTCAAACACTTGGTGTGTTGTTCTGCTCGAGATGCAGACCAATTCACTCGCATGTGAGGCACCAAACGGAGGAAAATATGTTGCTACTTGTTGCGTCCATATTTTTGTCTCCTGAGTCGAGACATACCTAGGTAGTTGAGTAATCATTCAGGCAGGATCGATTAGGAAGGTGCAAAGTAGCCACTACACATGACATCACGTCACGTTCTACTTGAACCATCTCACTTTCTTCATTGATTGTTTCCTTTGGACCGAGCTGTCAATCGATCTCTGCACGTTCGCTGTTTGTTGCTGGGCTTGAGGCGTGTCGTAGCGTATCCATGGATGCCACCAAGTACTACGCACATCAATCTACGTGTGATGATGCCTAGTACCTGTCTAGGTAGGTACTGGATCTTAATGAACCGGTTGCCCACGACCTAAGGTCACGTACCACATCGTCTTTGTCATATTTCTTACATGTATGTATCGTTCTAATCTATTTGCAGACATGCCAACCTCGACGCAAAACAAACAACTTGTCATTCTTTTTTATTTCAGCGGAGTCATGGACCACTTGATTGCCATTCCTCCCACATGCGCTCGCCATCATGACTGGAGCGTGTCCCTGACTTCAATTTCCACCTTACCCCGCTGACTCCACGACTTGAATTGCACACTTCTCAAGTCCTTCACAATCCAATCCGCTCCCGCATCCTTGAGTTGCTGGATAGTATGTGTTGTCTCAAGAGCAAGGACCTTGAACCCAGCGGCTTTGCCAGCCTTGATGCCAGACGGAGCATCCTCGACGACCAGCATGTTGGTCGAGTCTGATGGAAAGCCCACATCCTCGCTGAGTTTCGAACGGCCGAGTTGGTAGCATTGCGGGTCGGGTTTACCTTGTTCTACATCCTCGGCCACGACAAGATGTTTTGGGTGGCCTAGTTTGAGAACTTCGAGCCAGCCGGTAACTAATGCTCGAGTTCCTGAGGTGACGACTGCCCACGGAGCATTGGCTTCAACTAGTTGATTGAGAAGATCTCGTGCTCCAGGTAATTCGGTAGCATCCTTGCCGTACTTTCGTGGCAGAGCCCCTTCAATCGCGCTGACATCTTTTCAGCGTTAACATGGTTGGTGGTCGAGTAGTAAGAAGGACAACATACACTTCCAATTGGCTTTGGTCTTATCGTAAAGAGCCAGAGTGTCAATGCTTCTCCTTCCATGGGAAGTAGCAAGGATGGCTTCCGGGTCTACGCCCAATTCTTTGCCTAGCCTATATAGCAAAAATGATGAGATCAGTTGACAAATATATACAGGTGCTGTACTAACTCTTGCCAATGCTTGACAATAGCTGAACACAGTCAAATGATCGTTGTTAGCTAAATCACGGCTATCAATCTCTTAAATGCCAATTCTCCATAAGCCTCGAAGATTTACATACCATCCGTAGAATCGATTATTGTCCCGTCAAAGTCAAACAAGAGGCCATCAAACGAGTGAATCTGTGAAGATCCCGTATAGGATCCGTGAGTTGTAGTAGCCATTGCGCTGTACAAGACACCTGTACAAGAGGGAGATCGAATTAAGAAATGTATGCCCCTCGGTGATGATACCACGGATGTCGGCGATAAGATGTTCCTTATCTTAACGTGGGTGAGATCTTGGCGCTCCACAATTGGTTGATTTGACCCAAGAAAAAAAATTAGTGTTGTCGGTGATAAGAGGGAATCTTTTTATTCAACCCTCTACGTCTATTTTGACATTGGAGAAGTTTTATAATTCAAGATGGTGAAGCTAGGTATGTCGAGTCGCTATGACTGATGTTTAGCAAGGATATTCAAGCTGATATATTCGCAGGTAAAAAGTCCAAGCGGACGCCCGTTCGACTGCGACACAAGATCGAAAAGGCCGGCGCTGCAAAGCAGAGGAAATTAAGAAAACAAGCTAAGAAGGTATATCTCAGGGCAGAAAAAGCTTCAAACCCGAACATAGTGCTGATATAAGTCTTTTTATAGGACCCGACATGGCGATCAAAGATCAAGAAAGATCCTGGCATTCCCAATTTATTCCCATACAAAGACAAGATCCTTGCAGAGATTGAAGAAAAGAAGCGACAAAAACAAGAAGAACAATTACGTATCCGTGAAGAGGCTCGGGAGCGTCGCAAAGCCGAAAAGAAAGCTGCCGGAATTGAAACTGCCGATGATGAGGACGAAGATGATGAAATCATTGATGATATTGACCTTGAAGATGAGGATGTTGATATTGATGGAATGGATGAAGATGGAGAGGATCAGAACCCCATGGCTGCGCTACTTGCGTCTGCGCGAGCCAGGGCTGCTGAATACGAGGAAGAAAATGAAGATGATGAGATGAGCTACGACGACGATGACGAGGACGAAGACGAAGACCGTATGGAGCAAGACGGCGAAGATGGAGGAGTCTCATTGTCTGGACAAGTTGATATTCCCACCATTTCGTCACAGGTGTCATCAAAGGAAAGTTCGCGCCGGGCATTTGACAAGGTCTTCAAACAGGTCGCGGCTGCAGCAGATGTCATTCTTTACGTACTCGATGCGCGAGACCCCGAAGGCACACGATCCAAGGACGTAGAGCGTGAAATCATGGCCGCAGAGGGAGGCTCAAAACGATTGATTCTCATCCTCAACAAGATCGACCTCGTACCCCCAGCCGTGCTCAAGGGATGGTTAATTCATCTCCGACGATATTTCCCCACTCTTCCTCTCAAGGCCTCTAACGGCGCACCCAATGCGCACAGCTTTGATCACAAACAATTGACGGTGAAAGGTACATCCGAGACATTATTCAAAGCACTCAAGTCATATTCGCAAACTTCTCAATTGAAACGAGCCATATCCGTCGGTGTCATTGGATATCCCAACGTCGGCAAATCGTCTGTTATCAATGCGCTCACAGCCCGTCTCAATCGAGGACGTAGCAATGCCTGCCCAACGGGAGCCGAAGCGGGCGTGACAACGAGTCTTCGAGAAGTCAAATTGGATAGCAAGTTGAAACTTATCGATTCACCCGGTATCGTCTTCCCGAATACATCGAGCAACAAATCCAAGAAAAAGAAAGAGAACGATGAAGCTCGTTTGGTGCTATTGAATGCTGTTCCTCCTAAACAAATCACCGATCCCGTTCCCGCCGTCAACCTCCTCCTCAAACGTCTATCGGCTAGCGAAACATTGTTCCAGAAAATGCTCAGTCTCTACGGTATCAATTCATTATTCCCGATGAACGGCGGAGACAAGACGACGGACTTCTTGATCCAGGTGGCTCGTAACCGTGGCCGGCTCGGTAAAGGAGGTGTCCCCAATGTACAAAGTGCAGCTATGGCTGTCATTACCGACTGGCGCGATGGGCGAATTCAGGGTTGGCTTGAACCGCCTGTTTTGGCTGTTGCGGGCGTCAATACTGCTGCCTCTTCTGACGCTGCAGCTGCAGGAGATAATGGTCCTTCTGCGGATGTCAAGGAGATTGTCACAGAATGGGCCAAGGAGTTCAATATTGAAGGGCTCTGGGGCAATGGTGAAAGTGACGAGTAAAAGATTCCCCTTGATTTGATTGAACGATTGGAATCATGGCGTAAAGGTGTTCTTATCATTTCTGTTAAATGGATATACTCATGATAGATAATTCCAAAAGCTTTCCCCTTTGTACCATAACCCCGATGCTATTAATAATACATCCGTCCTGTAGGCAAGACTAACCAATTTCCTGAACTCGGACTGAACTGGGGACGGCAGCTCATCAACCAAATCCCATAGTCGAGCGTAGCTGTGCTGCCGGCCCACTATCCTCGTCATCACTACCACTATCATCATAGTCTGCTTGCATCTTCCCATCCAAATCCTCAACACGATCAAGATCCTCTGCTTCTTGCGTTTCATCGTCTTCCTCTTCCTCCTCTTCAACTTCCTCGTCCTCGGCCTCCTCTTCTTCGACGTCATCTTCTTCAATCTCATCTTCGTCAACGTCTGTGTCATCATTTGGCGAGTTCTCGACTTTTTCGTTTCCGGCACTATCCCTCTTTATACGTTTATTTCCCTTGAGTGTGGACGACGGCGGCGTCGTCGTCGTGGCGTCTTTCTTCTCTTTCTGGACATCTCCAACTGCAGGAGGTACGACTGATACGTCGTCTCCATCTTTCGATTCAGTCTGCGTGGTAGCAGCTTTCCTATCCTTCAGAGCTTTCTTTTTGTCCGCGAGTGCTTCATTATGCGCATCTAATTCTCGTTCAAGCTGGTGTTTAAACGAGTCGAATTCCAGTTCTGATAGTGCGTTTAACACGTCTGATGGAGCAAGAGTGCGTTTGAGGGTGGCTTCATTTGCGCTAATCACCGGATTCAGTTAGTCATTCTGTTCTCTCGTCTTGAATAAGACAAACCCAAGTCTAGGACGTACTGAGAAGATAAATACGACACAAACACTGTAGCTGCCTTTTGAATAGCCAACAACGCATCCTTTTGGATCGCCGTGTCAGGTGGTAGTACGCTTTTTGCGAGTCGTTGCGTTACTGCACGTGGAAGAAGAAGGTCCTTGTTTTTGTCTATCAGCATATACTACACGTAGTTACAATAGAGGGAAGAAAATACCTCCACGCTGACACCATCCGATTGAGCTTTGATCTGCTGCTCTGTCATTTGTGTGCCTGCTGCTGCTGCGCTCGTAGGACTGCCGGCATCTTCATTATCGGTGGGTGGGATAGAGGATGTCGATTTTCGTGGTGGCATTATTGCCAGTCGCGCGTCTCGTCGCGCTCAAGATTTCGTACGAGATGGTAACAGAGACAGAATCCGAACTCAACACTCTGATCGGAGGACGATTTCTAATATACCGAAATTAGAATTCTTTATAAATACCTCAGGCAAGTAATTCGGGAAATAAGAAGCAAAGTGGGATAGACAAGTAAGTTTGACGCGAATTGGGCGCGGTGGATAATTATTTTAGATGGCCAGAAATAAGCACGTGGATGCGATAAGAGACCAAAAGGATAAATCAGCTGTAGCTCTCAAAAGATTACACTGATCACAACGATTTAAACAAAATTGAGTATCATTAATTTGACTTCAGTACTACTACTAAAAAGTATCTCAGAGTAACCGGTGACAAGATTGTTAATGCAAAGTATCGACTTTTGAACTCTTGGATTTGTCTGACTACTTGTACCGGTTACGCTCAATAGGACAGACAGAGGTAACGATAGGATATTGAATTGAAATAAACGGATAACACATATTATGTATGTATCGTAGAAATATCCTCTCAAAGTGTAACCCCCAACCATTTTAAAACGCCAGTCAGCCTGTTAACGGAGAAATACAGACCAGGATGAACCCTTTCCTGAGAAACGCCTTGGATAAGCCAGATTGATCTAAAATCAAAGACCCGGGGTCATTGTACATTAACCACTAATAACGCCGCCGTATGCAATGTGTACTAGGTCTATTCTGGTATCATCAAACCATGATGCTTGAATAGGACGTTCGTAAGAATAACTGTCAAGACATAGGTCGATGGAACGTAAAAAGGGTATTAGGCAAAATGATCAATCAATGAGCGCCGCGTATCCGTTCGGCACTCCTTTGGGAGATATGGTCCCTGAAGCAGGTTTCGCTTCAGAATGTCTGTTGACTAGGCCGGGAAAGAGGATGTTTGCAGCCACATTCTTCATGGGGTTGTGCGAGTCATCCTTTTCGTTCTTGATTTGTTTGACAGGTGCGGTCTTTGCGCCTTTGGTGACCTTGGTGTACTTGTTAATCTTCGCTGATTGTTCCCTGGGAGGCCGTCCTGGCTTCTTGGACGCGTTTGCTGCAGGGTTTTTGGCCGCAGGTTTCTTCGCCACCGGTCTTTTCTGATTGACAGGCTTGCCCAAAACGTCCGTCAGTTTCCTTCCTTTGCTTGCAGGATTGGCGAGTGTCTTTTTCGGCTGTTCTGTACCGCTCTCGTCATTGTTCGAGACCGGAGTAAGGACACCAGCATCAATGGTTCTCTTTTTACTTGGCGTCTGAACCACAACAGAGACAGAATTCTCCCTCTTAGCCCGTTCAAAGTCCATATCACGGCACTCGTCGAAAATGGGAGGCGTGTTATCATCCCACTTCTTCAGTCCGGCCAATCGTGCCACTTCCTCACAATTCCCCTTAACGATCAAATCCCAGCAATCTTCAAATTCCTTACCGACAGGAGGCTCGTTGTTAATCCACATGGCGATTCCATTGCGCCGACTACGGACAACCTTGCATAGACTCTTGACAAGACGTCGCACACCGGGTATCTTCAGACTGGTTCCGACGACAATCACTGTATCTGGACGGGATCGGATGTCGGAATTCATCACAGCCGCAATCGCTTCCTCGTCGGGGTTGTGTTCGTTGTACAATACAATGCGCGGGCGCATCTTGCCTACGCCGTGACTGCGTTGACCTGTTGTCGTGCGCAAGTCGTCCGTTTCGGTGCAGGCGGGACAAGCAGGCGGTTCAGGACCGTCAAAGAGGTTTCTGTCGAATTCGGCGAGATGACGACATTTCTGGCAGACCATTTTATCAAGACTACCATGAAGCTGGATGCAGCGGGGCCAGGGAGCCTTCGAAGGTAGAGGAACCTGAGTCAGTAGGGGCGGTAGTGAAGACTCGATACAGTCAATATTCTGAGTATAGAGACGCGACAAGCGATTGTCCTGAGCCATTCGAGCTAGCATGTGGTGAAAGGCTGTGGGTTGTGAATCGGCGGCTTCTTTGGAAAGTTCCCGCACCATATCGTGGAAGGAAGCTGTGAGAGATTCATCGCGGTAGACGGCAGCATCGAATAGTAGCTTGCCCGATGCTTTTAAATTGTGTTTCTTTTGAACGGATTTAAACAGACCGTCTGCTGAGCGAAAGTCGGGGACTGTCATGTGTTAGCGCGCAGACTACCAATACAGCGAGATACATTAGTAGATAGTAGATAAATGACTTACTACCGGCAGACGTTGAGATACCAGCACCAGCAATAACGACAATCTTGCGGTGCGATCTTAGGGTCTTGGTGAGCAGGTTGATCTGGGGCAGCTGGTCAGCGTAGGGAAGCCTTTCCGGATTGGTCAAGTCCAGATGCTCCGTTGAACGCGGCGGTGGACCCACGCGCCGTCGTTTCTTGGCGGGCTCCGACGAAGCTCGGGCGCGCTTCTCCTGGTCGTCCTGCGTCGGCGGTGGTGATGGATAGCACTCTGACGGCGGCTGCGGCGAGTCGGGAGGCGAGCTCAAGTCAGATATCCCTGAAGAGTCGGAGATGTAGCTGTAATCGGAGGACTCGTGGTCCATGGCCATGGTTAGGGTCGGGAGGCTGGCAGATTCGGCCATGGTCGTCCTCCTCACGAGACGGAGAGGGGAGGCAGTGTAAGACACTTCACGCCCTTTTCCCTCCTTGCGCAGGGGATAAATCGGTAGACGTGTGTTGGTAGTGTTAATATTATCAGAGTAGCATTGATTTTGGAACGGATGCAGCAAAAGTAATCCAGTATGTTGCTGTAAAATAAAAACCAGCAATTGATGGCGTGGGACGTGTTGGAGAAGAAAGAGAAGAGGAAATTGGCGTGGATGGGTGGAAGCAGAGGAGTTGTAAGAGCGACAACAAGGGAACCGGCGTGAAGAAGAGAGATGCCCTGTTTGCCTTTCCCGGGGGGAGGGGGCGGCTACAAGCACTGCGAAACGTTAGTGTGCGTGGACCGGATGGGAACTTGGGAGAGAGATGATCTAATGGAAGAAAAGTTTTGTTTATTTTGACCCGCTGGAAGACAGGCAGATTCAAGCACCGACAGATGGAACGCTGCGCTGTTTCCCGAGGTCGCTTAAGCGAGGAATTCTCCAAGACGCAAGATCTTCTACTAACTACGTGTTCCGAGCAGCCTACCACTACGCACTGTGATCATATGCAGGGGTGCCTGTAGTCCTACTGTACTATGTAGTAAGTATCTCATGTTGGATGGAAGCTGTCTGGAATGCTTGCAGCCAATCTGGCTGAGCCAATGGCAATCAGAATTTTCCCGCGATGTTGTATGGTCTGTTACAGGCGCGGTTCTCCATCGTGCAGCACTAGCCGCGTTACCAGTTTCTATTCATTCGATACGGAGTACAGCGCACATAACGAGCAGATACTCAATATACAGGATGCTATTATGGCAAATGTGGATTTGACTTGGTTGAAGTACCCAGACAGTCACCGTTGCCTTCGTTTCTCCTCATGATAAGTGTTTGTCCTGGTAACAATGGCGTAAAGTATGTATCAATCGTGTATTGTCCATCTGGTTGGCGGGGATACGGCTTCGTCTTGGCATGCAAGGTCACGTGCTGCTTCTGTTCTCGTGGTCCGTTCGGGTCTAGCGCCAAATCGGACTGTCATCTTCCTGAAGCTGGGTTGGCACCTTCCACCCACGTGAATTCAATCTGTTTCTACAACTCTATGACCTCTCATCTATCAGGCGAGCTTGACCACAGTCAGTCGACACTCATTCTTGGTTCTCCGCACACCGAGATCACTATCAGACCGATACTCCTCCGTTGACTCAACAAACATCGGAGCTTCGGGGAGTATATGAGACTCCTTGGGACTTGGCTACATGGTTAAAGACATAGACAGATGCTCTTCTCATCCTGATGTTTTTGCAAGCTGGGGCATGCAAATCCTGCTCTAACATAACTCCCTCGATTATAGCCGACTGATATTGGTTTATCCCTCGGCTTTTGCTAGTCGATAGGGCCGTGTTTCCGGCGTGATGCCTTTGATCATGGAGGAGGGACTAGACGTGGACGATCTCTTCGGAGATCCCAACTCTCTGGACCTGGGCTTGGCCACCGCCCAGCCAACCAAGGGCCTGGCTCAACATCTCGATGAAATGCGTCTACTGGGATGCTGCCGGTGAGTTAGGTTATTATCAATTAAGCTTAGATTACTTACGATCAGCTACTGACAGCAACAAGGAAAATTGCTTGGTCGAGACTAGGATGTATTGCATACATCTCGCAGGATGGTCTGCAAGTCATAGTCCGCCATCTGGCATGCAATCCCACGGATGGCAAATGGGGGTTGAGTGATGAGTACCCCCAAAATCAGATTGCCCAACTCCACCTGGGTCAGCAACTGCTTCACCTTTGCTGGAACGAAACTGGCTCCGACCTGGCTGTGCTTGATGCCTCGGGACGTATTTCCATACTGTCAATCCCAACAGCCCTGAACAACCTTGCCATTAGCCGTCAAACTGTGGTCGATCCTCCCGACGACGGCGCCCAGGTCGTTGGCATGATGTGGATGAACTCAAACCGGGCTGTACGTGATTCATCTTTTCACGCCACTTTCTGTGATCTCTAGCTTACTCGAATACATACAGGTGCATGCATTCCATCAAGCAGCAAAGGTGGATGTGCGATGGGGCTATTCAGCCTTCCGGCGTAAGCCCATTGGGCCTTTCCATCCGGCGGGCAAGCCGGCGCTTATTTGTTTTACTCGAAACGGAATTATGAGGTTACTTTATCAGAACCCTGACCAGAGATGGGCAGAGGTTTCTGCTGAATTAAAGACGACTAACCAATCTGACAGCATCCTTACCCATGCTGCCTGTTTACCTTCTCCAAGTACGTACTAAACCACTTCTTGTCCTTGGATCTATCTACTCCTTGTGCACTTGGCACTAACATTTCGCCATATAGATGGTATTCTCGTTGCTACTCACTCGTTTTCGGGGAAACTCAGTCTTTTCAGAGTACAGATTATGTGGAACCCACCCCAATGGGATCCAGCACAGCAGAGGCAGGCCGGAGTCGTGCACTTCCCGGTTCCTTCCATCCGCATCAGCCACTGCAAGACTGAAGTTCCTGGAAGAGTTTTCAGCTTCAGTAAAGATCAAGCTGATGATCTCCCGAATATAGTCCCCGGGCAGAGCTTCTCATACCAATTAACTAATCTAGAGCTTGTTTCAGGACAATCTGACAATACAGGGGCTACCACATCAGCCCCATGGATATTGGCAGTGTACTCAAGCCCAATTAACAGTGCAGGTCATGATACCCAACAACCTGCATCAGTAATGGTAAGGTGGCAGCTGGAAACTTCTACCTTAAATCTGCACCCCGTTTTTGAAGAATTAGTATCAAAAAGGGCCAATGGGCAGCAAAGGGTAAAGCAAATCTCTCTCTCACCGGTTATATTGACTTGCCAGGTGCTAATAATAGCAGACGAAACTAGAGATTCGACGGCTAGAAGACATTCATTTCGATAAGCATGTAGTCTCCATCGACCACGTCGAGTTTGGAAACGTCCTGGCGATAACACACGATGACAGCTCGATCTCAATCTTTGATCCCAGAAGCATGTCTCAATTTACTGAAGGCGGTGATCTCAATGCAGTGACTAGTATGGCTCAAGCTGGATTCCGCTTCCCTGTTGAAGCGCCAGGTATGGTCCCAAGCATGTCTCCTGCTTTAACTTCTAACCCTATTAGGGCTGAATATCTGTTTCTCGCCAAATGGTTGTCTTGCCGTGGTTCTTGATACGGACTGGCAGGCTCAGCTTAGGATAGCCAACTATAACTTTGAGCCCGAAGGTGATTTACATGATGGTACGCACTCCCACCATGTCTATGACCCGTCCTCATCATATTTCGTATTCGAGCTAATTTCAGGTCAGGTAAGAACTCAATAGGAATTATAGCGTTATCACTGGCTTTCTGTCGAGGGTGCGCTATCGAATATAATACGGATGATTTGCTGGTAACAATATCTAGTCAGCTATCTAGCGGTAAGCTTCCACCACATGACCTGGAATCCCTTTGCATACTAATCCAGACAGAGGCACAAAATGTTTTCGTCAATGAAGTGTACCGAGCTCTACCCATCAACTGCAACTTTTCAGTGGAACAGGAAAAACCTATGCAGAATCCATATGTCCCTCGCTGTTTGAGCCTTCAAGCCGCTCTCGGCTTTCAAAGTTCCTACACTCCTCGTGGGCTGCCGTCGTCCGTGCCTTGGGCCATTCTTCATTTGCGCCATGCATCACTTCTCTTTGCCTTTTTCTTTTCATATAGTAAGGCACCAAAAGAGAATGAGACACTAGACCATGGTGCGTGCTCATACATCTTCTCAGTACTTGCAAAGGTATACTAAACCTCTCAAATAGATGTCCTACAGATGGTATACGGTAATACGAAGTGGGCACTGGATTTCACCCAATATCTATTGGACGACTTATTTGCCCTTGCTAAAGAGTTCGAACCTGTTCTTGATGACAAGGAAGCACTTGCACAGAAGGGTGAGTATGACTATTCTATCTCCACTGTCACTAAAGCTCACTAACGACCCAAAAGTAAAAACGACCTCGTCTTTGTCGTTGAATCTTGTCTTGGCTAGCATGTCCCGAGCTTTTCTGCATCTGGTTTGTAGGGGTCTACGGGGTGTACATACCAGTAGTATAGCGTCTCCCTTTGCGGGGGATGGTCGTGCATATAGTAAAGAGCTATATACACTCATTGACAAGGCTCCTGTTCGATTCAATGTGTACGAGAAATTTCTCAATGGAGTCGAATCCGCTATTAAGAATGCCTACCAGGCGCAAGGATTAGGAGATAACGATCGCCGGACACCAGAGAAGGACCTTTTGCTCAACTCACGCATCCCTGCAATCATGATACCTGTTATCGTCAGCCTGTTCAGACAGACAATTCCCGCAGTTCAGGCAGAGATTGATCAGATGTCCATTTACCTCACCGACTATAGTTGGTTGGGAGTCTGCGACGATCGTCGAACAGAGCATTATCGACGGACGCGACACGTTGATATCGTGAAGAAGGTTCCATTGCGTGGGTTCAACTCAAACAACAACACCATCGAGCCGGATATAACCTCCCCGTCGAGAAGACGCTGTGTGCGTTGTTGCGAGGTCACAGGTGATCCTTCGTCACCGCGTTCCTTGCTATATTTTAACCTCACTTTACGTTTGCAACTTATCCGGAATTGTCTTTGTGGTGGAATGTGGACATTTGAAGCTGGACCCCCTACAACAACAACAGCCAGCACTGCGTTGCCAACACATGGACCTCGAGTTGGTTGATGAATGACTACATGAGTGGTTGAGCCTGTAAATATGTACCATGAAATGACTCGAAGCTCACTCATCGGATTTTTGGCAATATTGTGGGGCTACTACTCCAGGAATAATTCGAGATTTATAAGAATGGCAAATGGAATCTATGGCCACAAAGACCTTGTAATATTCCCAGACGACCCTCAAAAAGAGAACTAGAGGACTTGTAGAAGTGATAATGAAGTCTGATTTCATTATTTGATAGGAATGGATATTGTTTTAAAAAGAGATTCATGTCCATTTCTTCTCATTTTTGGAATTTTTGGCTCCGAACCAATTATCATAAGGATGATATTCCCATTTCCATGCACCCCTTTATCAAAAACGCAAGAACACGCAAATCATATTTTCATCTAAGCCTGTAGATTGGAACATCAGTTAGCCTAAGCCCTGAAAAATGCATTTTGCCCATGAGGTCTTGAAGAGCATACCTTAACAGCAAACTTCCTCTGAGGGAAGTGGATGTTCTTCTTGCGCTGCTTCTCTGTGATGAGGGAAGCCTCGTGCTTGGTGAGTCGTCGGCGAATGGCACGAGTCTGCTTTGGTCGGAGGTCGAGAGGGAGGTACTTCTTGCCCTTGTAGAAGAGGCGGAGCTGGGCGCGCTGGTTGGCCTTGATGACGGTCAAGATGCGGGCAATGGACTTGCGGAGGTCGTGGCTATTTGATGAGAAGTTAGTATTCGTTTCTTTTGGATTCGTCGTTGTGCGTGTTGCGTGAATTTGATGATGTCCGCCCGTTCCATCGGTTGTATGCATTTCAATTCCAATTTTTTTCATTCGCGCTTTGCACTAAATTCCCTCTATCACTTATGTGACGCTGGTTGAACGTTTCCAATCATAGCAGCCCAGTCGAATTGAATCATCCACTCTCCGGAATCAAAAATTCCCCTCGCTCGTTTCGGCATACATCGAATAGACAGGCGAACTCATCGGGATGGAAACGGTACTTTATCGACTCGAAACACACGGGACAAAAACGTACATTCTGTTGAGCTTGGAAGAAGCACCCTGAGAGATTTTCTGGACACGAAGCTGGCCGAGCTCAGTCTTCAACTCATCGAGCTGCTTGGTGAGATCATCCTTGCTCTTTCCCCAGAGCTGTGCAGTCTTGACCTTGGCGCTCGACTGTTTTTCATCGAAAAAGAATCCATATTAGTACATTTTCGTTCCAAATCGCATCGAAAAAAAAAAAAAAAAGATAGCCGGAAGCATTTCCCTTCTTCCAGTAAAAAGAGAAATTGCATAGGTTCAACATACCATTTTGGCGGCTTCGAGTCGTTTGTCGTGAGTTTGTCGAGTTGGAAGATTGAAGATGGCAAGTCGTCAATCAATTTTGGGCTCGTTGTGGGACTAGGGTTTTTCGCGAGATGGACGGTGTGCGACTAGCCCCGATTGGGCCAACTCTCTCTAGAGGTCTGATCACGTGAGCAAATCCGTGGCTTGGGATCGATCTTTACCAGATTGGAAATTAGTCTAGACCTCTTCAGGTTTAACCTGTTTACGAACTCAGCGTCTCAGATGCTTCACTCTGTTGGAGCATGAGCCATTCCGCTAATAATGCGGCTGCCTCTGAAGACATGAGATATATCGACATTACAATTACCCTTATTTAATGATACTCCTACTTTGTTGAGTTGCGAGGTCCAAAATCCATCTTTGTTGCTTTACTTCTATATCCCGATCTTCTCACCATGGCCACATCAACCGGCGGTGGATGGGCCCAGTTACGCCAGCAAGCCCGGTCCCTTGAGACTCAGGTACTGTCCCTCTTCTTCCTTTGAGGATATTCGCATCACTAATGTGATACTTAGACTGAGTCTCTTTTCCACACATATTCACAATATGCATCAATGTCACAATTGCCTCCGAAACCCTCGGAGGAAGAGCAACGGGTAGAGGGTCAGATTCAGAGTCTCCTCGAGAAGGTATCTAACATAGAGCCCAAGCCCAACTTCTGGATAACACGTTCTAACATTTTGTCCAGCGCGAATCTTTAATCGGCCAACTAACCCGCTTACTCGACTCCGAAGCCACTCTCACATCTTCCGCCCTCAAACAAAACAACCTGGCCCGCCATCGCGAGGTATTATCCGAGCACCGCCGAGAACTAAATCGCCTTTCATCAAGTATCTCCGAAGCCCGTGACCGTGCAAACCTTCTCTCGAACGTACGTTCCGATATAGACGCTTACCGATCCTCCAATCCGCATGCAGCAGAGGCCGAGTACATGCTTGAAGAGCGTGGGCGCATCGACAATAGTCACAATATGATGGACAGAGTTTTATCGCAAGCTTATGCAGTTAATGAAAGCTTCGGCTTACAACGGGAAACTCTAGCCAGTATTAATCGTCGTATTGTCGGTGCCGCAGGACAGATTCCTGGAGTCAATTCCTTGATCGGCAAAATCGGTGCAAAACGGAGACGTGACGGTATTATTCTTGGCTGTTTTATCGGGTTTTGCTTTTTGATGTTGTTGTTTTTCAGATAAGAAAAACGTCTGGACGTGTCTCTTGAGCTGGCTCTGGAGCTTGTGTGATGTTTCTTGTTTTCGACGTCTTTATATATTACTGTTTGGAAAGACATATAATCGTTTGCATGGTTCGGCGTTGACGGGTTTTTAATATTATTTATGTCAAGCGGACCTCTTGTTTCCGGATCACTGTTTGAGTAATATGTCTATTGTACATAAATGTTATAATTACACATTTCAGCGCTCCATCACGATGCACTACCAGGGTGAACATAGCGAGGTTATCTTTCCTTGTAATTCCTATGTCTCCTTGGGTGTCGTAACTATCCTTCGTTTCAAGGACGACGTCGCAGATGCACCACTAATATCGTCCAACCGCTTTTTCTTCTCCTCAACCAACCTCAAAAGCCCTGCATTCAAGTAGTCCTTCTCTGACTGATCTGCAGACCCGCTGCCGGCCCAACGGATATGACCGTAATCATCCACAAGATATACATATCCGACTTTGCTATTGAGCATTCCAATCGCTTGCTTAATCGCGTCCGTCATGCCTTTCTGCACGAGAAAGTACCGCTCATGCTGCTCTCTCGGCAATTTTCGTCGTAGGTTGCCCATGAATACCCGGACTAGCCAAGCTTTCAGTCTATTCTCTTCCAAATTGATATCGACAAGTTGGGTTGTAGACGGGCTGGCAGCGAGCATTTCATGCAGTTGCGGATTGTTTTCAAGTTTTGTGAAAGTCGCTACTTGTTGCTCTGCCCACAGACTTGAGAATAGGTTCACCACCGAGATCTTTCCTTTTATTATATCTGTTGTATCTTTCGGTTTGGATGGCGATGCTAGCGTGATTCCGTAAAGGTTCGGAAAGAATAAGGCTTTGTCATGTTTGAATAACCGAGGATTCGACCTGAATGTCTTTCCTTCGTTGTATTTCAGGTTTGTCCATTCTCTGAAGTAGGGTTTTGCCAGGTGCGCCGCCCTGTCATGGAGAGAATAAGACGTCAGCAATTTCCCCACTGCCTACTTCTTTCTGCAGACTCACAATTCTTTCCGGCGTTGGAGATGCTTTTGATAGTCCACAAAGTCATCGCGCCGTTCACTCAGTGAGCGGTGATCAATCCCCGTATTTTGTCCTGGTAATGGAGGGTAAGGGAGGCCAATCGGTCGGTCGAGTTCAATGGGCTGGACGTTCTCTTGTTTATCTTTCGGCGCACTGGCTGTGCTCTTATTCCGCACCGAGGTCCATACCGCCTGTGTCTGACACCGAAGACACCGAGACTCTCTCAGTATAGAGAAGAATCGCGTCTCAATTGCGAGCATTGTGTACTGCTGACGCTTGCTGTTGCCTGGTTGAAAGCTGTCAACTAAGGTCAACTTTCCTGTACGGACGTTGGAAAATCGACCACTACGCACAGGCAGCCTCTGATTGGGCGATGGTTTAGCACTTGCAGTAGTCACAGTTCACATAGTTTGACCAATCACAACTCAGCTTAATGCCCCATGAAGAGGATACCAAGGGCAGGCCTTCCTTTTATTATCCCTTCATTTGTTACCAATCATTGCTCATCCGATGCCAATTGTCACACCAGATATCTTTTTAGTTCTTTTTCCAGGCAACAACTCACATGGCTTTCACTTCTTCCTCACATATGAGCTATCTAGTGCATAAAAGACACGGTCAAAGACTCAGAGTTTACAGAAATGAGTATAAATAAGGATGACTTCTTCCGGGACCTGGATAGTTTAGGCTATGCCAGTGATGATTCCCAGCATGAGAGCGATCTTACTAGTCTCATGAGACACACCAATACTGCTCCCGCTCCAGCAACTGAATTGTCTCCTGGGCCCCAGATGAGCACTATATCAGAATACCAGAGAACGCACTCAACCATTAGTTCGACTCTCGCTACAACGAAATCGACTGCTGGTAGTCAGCGCCTTGCTAAGAAGCAGATTGAAGGAGCGACAAAACGGGCGGCAGTGTCCCTCCAATCCGAGCAACCCAAATGCAAGAAGCGCCGAGCACCCTCAGCACATGTTGTACCAGAGTCAGAGCAGATCTTCAAAAATCTGAAGTTCTTCTTCGTACCGAATAATGACATTTCGCCGGCTCGGAGGCTTCGTATCCAGCGGTCACAGGATTACGGAGCGGCATGGGCTCAGACATGGTCGACAGATATTACCCATGTGATTGTCGACAAGGGCCTGGACTATAAGGAAGTTCTGAAAGTACTTACGCCCGAGCAGCTTTTTGTGAGTATAGTCCAAAACTACGAGAGTCCTATGCAACTGGTTCGCTGATGAGAATTACAGGCCGATATAGCTATAGTTAACCAGGATTACGTATCCGATTGTCTCGTCTTCAAATCAATCCTCCTGGTTACACAGGCCCGGTTTCGTGTAGATGGCACACCAAAAACCTCGGGGACCGATAAACCAGCTCATGCTATGGCAAGTATAAAACCGACTGGTTCTTTGCAGGAAAAGCAACCTCAACGACATGGCCGACGCTCCGTGACTCCCTCTCGCAGCGAAGATACCCGTATAGATCAAATGACTCCAGTGGCCATTCAGCAGGAAGCAGATGCAGCTTCATCTTCTCAATCAGACCAAAGGAAACCAGACGCCTTGGATAAATTGATACTGAAAGTCAAGGCGGCTGGGGATCTGGTGAGCTCAAACAGCTCATACATACAATCAGTTCTTGTCAGCTAACACTTACAAGCCTCTAGATGAAGCTGATGACGAAGCAGCACTTGATGTCACGATTGAATGCGGTTCAGAAGCGGAATCGTCCCAGAAAGCTACCGCTAATCCTGATAGCAAAGTTCCAACATGGCAAAAGAACTTTGCTTGCATGGAAAAACACGACGGCAACGGCTTGAATAATAACCCCAATGCTAGAACGATCGATATTCTGCAGAAAATGGCCGTTTATTATGAGAGGACTGCAGACAACTGGCGCACGACGGCGTATAGAAAAGCTATTGCTGCCTTACGGAAACAGAAAAGCAAGATCTGCACCAAAGCAGAAGCCCTCGCTATTCCTGGTATCGGGCAGCGGCTTGCGGATAAAATTGAAGAAATTGTTTCTACTGACCACCTGCGTCGATTGGATAATATAAATGCCACTCCAGAAGATAGGGCACTGCAATTGTTTCTCGGCGTATACGGCGCAGGATTCGCGCAAGCATCCAAGTGGGTGGCTAAGGGATACAGATCTCTCGAGGACTTGGAAAACAAAGCTGAGTTGACCGCAAATCAAAAGATTGGGGTGGAACGATATAATGATTTTAAACAACGTATTCCCCGAGCGGAAGTTGCTTTGCATGGAAATATCATTCGAGCGGCAGTTCATGCCTTGGATCCCGATATGGAAGCTATGGTGGCCGGCTCATACCGTCGTGGCGCTGCAGACTGCGGCGATATAGATATCTTGATCACAAAGAGTAATGGCACCATAGAATATCTCCGCACCCTTATGATTGATAACGTTGTGCCAAAACTCATGGAGAAAGGTTTTCTCAAAGCGAGTCTAGCAACGACATCACGCGGAGATGGACCCAAGTGGCATGGTGCTTCTGCTCTTCCCGGTACCGATCTCTGGCGCAGAATTGACCTGCTATTTGTCCCGGGACCCGAAATAGGCGCGGCTCTGATATATTTCACGGGAAATGACATTTTCAACCGGAGTCTACGGCTCCTGGCTCGGAAGAAAGGGATGCGCTTAAACCAGCACGGTCTATACAAAGATGTGCTCCGTGGACCTAATCAGGTTAAGCTCACTGACGGTACTCTTCTTGAAGGCCAGGATGAGAAGCGGATTTTCGAGATCCTTGGTGTGCCATGGCGGCCGCCAGAGCACCGTATCTGTTAAGGAGTAGAATTCAGGTACAAAGGGACCTCGTAATTCGCTTCACACTGGCCAAAGACAAGATATTTTTGCGCCAGATGCGATGATCTGTACGTGCTACATTCTCAGTCTATCCCGAAGTGCCATCATCCTACCTATGCAAGCATGAAAAAAAGTATTTACAGAATGGAATGTTCCCTGGTCGTCGCTCACTCGATCGTATCTCCGGCTGTGGTGCTGCTCATATCATACAGTGGGGGCTAGCTAGGCAGAAGCTAGTTATTTAACTAGTTTGAGTAGTTAATGAAGGACTTTTTCAATTGGGTCTTACAGCAACAATAATGGTAGTCCTCGTCTTAGGGCATGCTGTGATCATTACACAGCACGTAGGAAGCATAAAAGGCATATAAACCATTAAATTATGGCTTTTCTCAACAAGTCTCCATCGACTAGTGGTTAAGTCATCGGTCTCATAGTACGCTATGACCAGTTGAAAACAACTGAGCGATCCGGAAAGCGGAGTTCGATTCTCCGTGGGGACATCACATTTTCTTTTTTGAATTTTTTTCCTCCCTTCTTTTTTTCATTTCTGTCTTCTCCTTGTCGATATCTTCTTTTCTTTTTCTTGCCAGACACATATCTTCTTCTTTGCCGTAGAATCGACTGGATACTTGTCGGTCAGCCAAGGTCTAGCGGTGAATAGTTATTCCTAAAGCGGAGGCGGTGATCCAGGCAATCACCGCCTCAGGCTTGTATTTCGCGGTCAGAGCCGGCAAGAGCGTCCCAGCAGCCAGTCAGCGCTGGGCGGGAAGGACCCTCCCTAACAAATTCTCGTCGACCGCCTCTTTTTGCCGTCGCTTTTGCTTATTCCCACCCTCGATCTGCCCGTCAAAATATTATTTACTCTGCTCCAAGAATCAGACGAAAAGAGCCCATTTGAGTGCAACGCATTCGAATTTGTTATTGGCTTTGGATTCTTTGTTTACTTTGTTTATTCGAGGACAACTCCTGCTCTCGTGTACCCCTCAACCCTCGTCATTCGCCACCGCGTCAACTTCTTGTCACCAAAACCATAACTTCTCGCTGACTTCCAGAGAGCAATATACACAGATACCATCAATTGCTGCTTGTGCCCCTCCATTTTCCACCACTCAGTGGACTATATGCGCCATTAATCCTACTCCGCTTTAGTACGTCGTACAAGGTTCTGTATGTACCGTATCGTTCTTTCAAGGATCCGATTTTGACTACCCCGTCCCTCTTTGCGCGTAAAAAGTAACCACATAACATCGACTCACCCCGGAGACAATGGGTCGCAAGCCTAACCAGCTGATCCTCGAATACTTTACGCGTGGCCCCAAGTTGGAAGACGCGAGCAACCGATATCAACATACTTGCAAAGCATGTGGTGAAAAGTTCCCCAAAGGCCGTATTGACAGTCTTACGACCCATTTGGTCAAGAAGTGTCAGGCACTTTCCATGTCCGCTCGTCAGTCCATTGTCATGCGAATTCATGATTTGCCTGCCCTCGACGACTCAGACCCCAACAAAGCTGCAATGCTAGCCAAGATTAAGGCAGGAAAGGCTTCTGATCTGCCATACTCGACGCGACCAGCTTTTGACGGACTGAACGTGCTAGCTGAGGCATCACGACGTGTTGGAGCATCTGACCAAACGAAAAGGGGGCGCGCTATACGTTTCACACAACCAATGACCGTCGGTGGCAAGACGATCATGATTGATCCTGCCCTTGAAGCTGAGGCATTCCATCCACCACCTTCGACAGATAACAACGACGAGTTGATCCTCGCTGGAGGTAAGATTTTCTTTGTTTTATTGCAACGCGCCGTGTATGTATTTGCTGGTTAATATTATCGTTATGTAGTTGCTGCTGCCGCTAACGCCTCGCTTTCTGCAACTGGAGAGCGTGGTCCATCCGCTTCACCGTCCTTGCAAAACAACGACTCCCTCCCAACTGACACAAACGCCGATGAGCGTCAATCCTCGTCACAGCTATCATTGATTGCAGCTTCTGCCAGTGAGATGGCTTCTCAGAGTCTTGCAATGGGCAACGAATTGACAGACGAGCAAAATGTTGGATCTTCATGGACTGACCAACAGCTGTCTAGCACCGATCAGTTTCTGCTCGACAGCTTGCAGGGCCATGATCCTACACTAGCAGCAACACAGCGTGCTGCGTCATATCCACGTCCTATTGCAATGAATCCAAACACTACTTCGACCAAAGGGTTTGTGAATGATTTTGGTGCTGGTGCTGCACCTAAACCACAAAAGCCTAAAGTTCGTAGTAGGTTCAGTGCTGATCGCAGGAAGGAGGTTCAAGAAGTTCGCAAGAGGGGTGCCTGCATCCGCTGCCGGATGCTCAAAAAGCCTGTAAGATCTCTTCAGCACTTCCGTCTGGTGTTTGGGGACAACTAATAATTTTTATAGTGCTCTGGAGATAGTCCCTGCCAAACCTGTGCCTCTGTTGAGAGCGCTCGTCTGTGGAAACAGCCATGTATCCGAACACGTCTTGTTGAAGAATGTGAACTCTATGGTGCTGGTAAGATCGTTGTGTGTGCATCAGAAAATAAATTATAAGCTAAACCTTTTATAGGTCTTCACACAACTCTTGCCTTCCACGATGTTAATTCTATGCAAACCCAAATAAAATATGAGAGCTATGTTGGTCGTGTAGAGGCTGCACATTTTGACGATGGTCCATTTTATGTGACATTCAGTGCACTTATTGGCCAGAAAGCTGGCATGTCACCCATTGACCCTCAACTACAGGCTCTGGTCGAAGATGGCCAGTTTCAAGGATCTACTCAGGATATGTACATGCTGGATGGGGAAACAGACGATCTTCCTGGCAAATGCGAGTTTTACATCAAGAGGCTACAGTCCACTTTCATCGAGAATGAGACTTCGCCAATCATCAAGTCGACTTTAACACTAGCAGCACACTTGGCTGATGAGAAAAAGGTGCGTTATAAGGAAGCTTATTGTGGTATCCATTTCTAATCAATCTACAGGATTCGCTGCTTGATCGTGTGGTCGAACTATGGCTTGTGACTCATGTCTTGGTTGACCTGGAATTACAGTGGAAGCTTTTTGTCCATCCACTTCTACCCCCGACTCCTGCAGATACACTGGCTATGCCGTCCGAGGAAGGCCGTGTTCCAATCGATCGCAATGCCAACGCCGATTCTTACAATCTTATATGCAGTCAACTTCGCGCAGCTGTGGAAAAGCGCGCTAGCCTGTTGAGCAAGAATGTAATGAATGAACTTGAACGACGACTTCTGCAGCGCCACCACAGCAGTTGGTTTGAGACATACCTGGTATCTGTGATCCTTCTCAATTGCGTTGAACGTGCCTGTTGGCTCTTTACCAGCTGGGAGAATGAAAACTTTGTTGGTCGAGTAAGTGTTGTGCCTTGCTCTTAATTCACACAAGTGCTGACCCCTTCATAGTGGCCTCTAGATAAGCGCCCACAGTATTATGCCAATCAAGGCGACAGGTTTTCGGAGATTCTCCATATGCTTCTACGAATGCGCGGACTGCCTCCGAAGACAACTATCAATACAGAGACTAGTTTACTTAAAGCAGTGGAGAACAGTGATCCCAATGCCATCCTGTGGTTTGATACCATTCAGATTTCACGTAAGTCAATATCTGCCTGAAGTTTCCCATGAGATTACAAACACTAATCGCTTTATTTGAATGAAAACAGCCCTCTACCTAGAAGAACGTCAAATGGCTCAATTTGATCCTACCAACTCACGGTCTCTGGATCTGAAATACGCGTCCAAGATTCTTCTGCCGCCACCAGCTGCTTGATCCTTAAGCTAGGAGTGTTCGGCAGATTCGGAGTAAAACTTTTCCTCTTTCTGTTTCTTTTCCGGAGTACGTACTTGCTATGACCAATCCAACGATGTAACGAGTAGGCGGTGGTTTCTTTGATGACTTTTCAGACTCGATTTTTAATGATATTATTATTAATCCACTTCTTCTTGATTAGACTCACGAAATTTTCTCAGTCATAGAGAATCTCAAGATTCCAAGAATTATCATGATAATGTTAGATGTCATGCCCAATGAATGCTTATTGAAAACATTATAAACAAAAAGAGGGTATAGTAGAAACTGAAAAATAAACAAAGGGGTAGAAGTTGAAGTATCAAAAGAAGAAAAGAAGATGGGTATCGTATCTAAGCATCGAATACGCCAGGATCTCAAAACAACTATCCAGAAGCGCAAAAATTATGTATATGATGTAGAAAAATTAACAAAACAGAGAAAAAAATGACATTAAGCGTCCGAATCAAGTTGTCCGTCAAGAACGCGTCTAGCAGCATCTAGTCTTCGGCGTAAGGTACGAATGTATTTCGGATCTGCTGCGGTTGGTATTGTGCCTCCGTTGGCATTGATAGTAAGGCCATTATTGCCAGCAATAGCAGAGGCGGCCATGGTGAGTTCTTGTAGTTCAGTGCAGACTTTGCCTAGACTTTCAAAGACTTGCTCTAATAGTCTGGTGTCATCCGTGTTCAGGCTAGAGGGTGGTCTGGTCGATGCCGATCTCGAAGAAAGCGAGGACATGAATGCGTCAACTGGTGTGGTGGGCGTGGACAGTTTGCGGTCGACTGGTAGTGTTTTTCTGGTTGGGGTGAAGGGTCCGTTGGTAGCTCGGTTCCTTGTTGCTTCAAGGTAGCATGATTCGTCACTCCGGTCTATAACTGTGGCTCTCCGACTTTGAACCGGTGTTGGGCCTTTCGTTGTGTTAGTTTGATACGATTATACCAAGACAAAAGGATTGGAAATGCTTACCGCCTTCATCTTCAAAATCGTTCCAGTTGTCAACTATCTGATCAATGGCCTGTAGAGCATCCTCCTGATCATCATCGTAGACATCATCATAAGCATTCTCAGTCGCCGTCGCAAACGTTGCAAAAGTAGACACGGAATCACTGCTTCCATGACGGCCATGTCTAGAAGGTCGGTGATCTTGCGCCGGTCTCGTGGTTTCAGTGGACCCTGTCGAACCGTAACTGTGGCGTCGCATTTTGTTCCTGGAAAACGTCCCTAGAGCACTATGGAGATAAAAGTTTTCGTAGTCGAATGCGTCTTCTCGCTCTTCGTGAGGTGTCGCTTCTGGAGCAGTGCCAGTGGGGAAATCTTCAAAGATATCGTTCTCGTCTTCATCATCGAAGGGTTCGTTTAAGATCTCATTGAGCTGTTCACGATCTATTCCATCATCATAGTCGCCTTCCTCTGCATCCTCATAGTGGCTTTCCAGTACAGATTGATCATCATTGTCAATTGTAAAGTCATCATTTATATGCTGTGATCTTTTAGACGTGGGTTTATGCGTTCGTAGATCCAACGGGATATCGGTGGTGAATTCGTCAGTACCGTTGCTCGTACTCTGCCCGTTACTGTCCGGTTTAGTCTCCGTCTTCGGAGAAACCCAGCCATATCCAGCATTGCTGTGCACATTATCAGTGCCGTTACCATGTTCCAATGCGCTAGAATACCACCGTTCAGCTGCTGTAAACGGACTTGGAGTGCGCAAGCTCTGTAGACTGCGGCGCCGAAGGTTATCCTCCTGTGTCTTGACTTTCAAGAGAGCCACTTTGGTTCTGAGTCCAGCCGCTTGATCCTTTAGGTCACGGACTTGTAGTTGGGATTGCGCGCGAGATGGAGGTCCATCTGGTGGGTATGCAGAGTTGAAGTCGTCCATTGAAGACATCTTAGTCTTTGATGTAGAAATTCCTAATCCAGCGGAGCCACTGAGGCCGGGGCTGAGATAGCCTCTGCGATGACCGTCCCCCTGGCGAGAGTCTTGCCTTGACTCCTGGCTCCCATTGCTACTTGCAGCGTTGTACGGGAAGGTATTTTCCCGAGAGTCGTAGTGTATTGAATCAGAAGAAGCCAATGCGCTCATGGATCGCGAGGGCTGTAGAGAAGGAGATTTCAAGATTGCTGTTGATGGAAGATTGGTCTCACTACGGCCCCGCGAATGACCTCCTCCTCCTCCTCCTCCTCCTCCTCCTCCTTCCTGTTGTGCGGTATATACTGGTCGAGGTCGAAGTAACGAGACCCTGCGATCAGTCTGAGATATAGATCGATACAACGCTCCGGCTGGTTGAAGGTTGCGACTGGGCAGCAAGAGTCCGGGCGACGTGGGTGATGGGGATGGAGTCTGTCCCAGGCGGATTGATGAACGAGCTCGACTGAGGTTTCCCTCCATCAACTAATAGTAGTAGGCAGTTAGAAAATTGTCAAAGTAATCGAGTTAGTGCGCAGAAACAATAAACTCACTGTTAACCTTCGCTTCGCGTTTTCTAGAATGCGCTCTGCTTCGCTACTGAGGATCGCGGAAGAGGTTTCTTCTTCCGATTGTTGAGACGGCCCTGAAGTCAAAGCATCACTAGCTTGAGCGCGCGCGCGTTCTATACTCCCTTCACTAGCAAAGCTGCTGCGCTTGGAATTAAAGCCAGAGTCATTACCATCCTCCCGAAGTCCTTCAGGATTTAGATTCAATTGTCGCTGACTGCCGGCGCTGATCGTAGATCCAGAGCCATCACTATCGGCATCTGATTTTGACTGATGAGCTTGCGACGTGTATCTGTTTGCATAGGGAGAGGTCGACGCCTGGGAATCCTCCTCACCAATATCCGACAGCGGTCGACCGTGAGCGTGACCCTCGTATGTCCATCTCGGTCGCGGCGCGCGATAAGTAGACCCATTGGAAGAGTAGTTACCATTCTGTGGTTGCAAGCCGTTCTGAAGCATTTGAGAGTTCGAAGCGGCCAATTGAAACGGCGGAGATGGAGTCAACGATTGACGCTCGCCGTCATCCGGGAGGATCATATCTGGGTTCGTCAGAGTCGGGGACGGTGGAATTTCTGGCGGTGCATCTGTGCGATATGTGGTGGTTTTCTGTTTTGTGTCGAACCTGTTTGGTATGAGAACCGGAGTTGACCCTAGGTTGCGAAAAGTCGTTTCCATCATGCTGCATTCGGCGCGCACGAGTACACCGTCGGAGGAATGCACGACACTTCGCCGACTTATCGGACTAGTTGTTAATTTATATGGCAAAGTGTTGTGCTTAACGTTCGGTTCGCGCGCGAATTAGACTGGCGATCTGCAGGAACTTTTTTTTTCCTCACGGCATAGTCCGACGACGCATTGTCTAGACAACGTGGCGTCTTTATTTTGATCTGCAGTCCGAAGAACGAGTTAAAAATAATCAGATGAATTGAATTGTACGTCTGAGAGAGAATTGACGGTGAAAGTAGTCGAGGCAAGGGTGGATCGATAAATGAAATTAAAGTAACCCCAGCTAAACCCTTTTAAGGAGTATGTACTCCTACTTAACAGTGGAATCTCGCCCCCATCAGCAGGAGAACTAATGGAAGAAATCCAGTGAAACAACTAAAAGACGCGGATTCATTAATCCGGTTGTCAGTACGTGTCGAATCCTCAATGTGTAGTACGAGATCCTGTTCTGCAAGACTCCCCAGGTGGAGAGAGTCCAGCCCAAATGTTCAGGGGAAACTTGTCTCCACTTCTTTTATGTATATATTCTCTGCCATGACGGCCAGCGCCGTGATCTCAGCTGCGGCCTGATGCATTCCTATCAAGCCGATTCTTGATATGCAAGCATATCATATGTTGCTATGATCCTATCACAGACCCTATTACATTCTTCACCAGGGTTCGCAGGTAGAGGTTCAGTCTATTCTGAGTTGACAAGCATCTTGTCTTACGCCGAGACTATAGAAAAATTGAAATAGTGACAGATGGGTGCAGGCTCTGATTCAGAGTCAGATATTGATCTAGAAGCTTCGCAGGAAGATCAATTAACAGCGATGGGTTGATGACGTTCCAGCAGAAATTGATGTGGAGGGATTTTTTTTCTATGATGCAGTCAGCAATGGGCATATTCCACGAACAGAAGGCTATGGGGAATAAGAAGTTTCTTGAGAGACTTATTACTGCCAATGCAATGAATCGAACTTTGGTAGAGGAGATCCAGAGGCGCAAAAACCAGCGTACAATGCCTATGACATGGGCTTAAAATAAGCACCCAGCGACAATGTACTATCGCTAGTTCTAGCTCAATACGATCTGATATTTTGATGTAAAAATTTACCAGGCTAATCACAATGGTGACTTAGTTTCTAGTCACATGACCAGGGTTTTTCTGTTAATGTGCTAGTTGTTGTTTTTGGTAATCTAAGCTAACTACAGCTGTGCTGACCCCTTTACGGAGGTCACATGACTCTCGGAACATAGTTGATCCGCGCCGGAGGGAGATCCACGGGTGTAGCACGCTGACATTTTCCCCCGAAAGTGTTAGAATGCTCTATCCAGATTAGGGTTAGCGCACCGACTAGCCCCTTAGATAGTACCGTAGTACATAGTAGGCGCTCCGCGCCTGACCTGTAGAATTGACTCCTTTGTGCTTCCATGTCTCTCATAAAGTATATCTGAAGAGAGAGTTCATTAGCGTTGGTTGATTTAGTTGAAAGGTATAGACTTTTTAGAAACGAGGTCGCTATGGGGTTAAGTAGCTCATTGGCTCAGTGAGTGAACTAAGTGCTCAGCTTCAGCTCACTGAGCATGTTTCTTAGCACATACGAAGCTCACTGATCTGGTCAGCGCGCTCAGGGCGTGCTCAGCTCTACTCAATGAGTAAAAGCGGCGAGAGGTGAGCATTAAAACGGAACGAAAAGTCGAGAAGCGTCAAAGAAAATCCGGTACGTAGGTAGTAGATAGTCTCATTGATCAAAGCGTTTTTCAATATCCGAAGCAAAAGCTTCTATGTACAACCTTGGCAATATGCTTTTATATTAAAACCAAAACCCGCGCCGAACAGACCCAAATCAAATCAATGATACTACATCAAATCTTGCCCAATAATAACTTAGCGCCACTGCTACTTGGCCCGGCTTTTTTCGTCTTGTCAGATGAATCTTTGGATCCCGCTGCCGCTTTTTCCAATACTTTCTTATTCTTCTTCAAGACCTTCAAGAGCTCATTCTTCTGAGAAAAGTCGTTGGACTCTGCCAGAGCCACGATGACAAATGTCTGGGGCCCAGTAGCCCAAGCCAGGATGTCGTCCTTGATATTGTCATATAGCAAGGCATGGAAATTCAACGGTGGGTCAACCTTTTCAACTTTCTTCTCGACACTGTTATAGCGACCACCCTGGACGAGAGATTTGAGCATCCTTCCGACAAACGGAGAGTCTTGGGCCTCGGTCTTTGACTTGGCGGCAATAGCAACAGCGTTGAGCGCTGCGGATTTGTCACCGTCCGCAGTAAAGAGAACTTCGGACAAGAATTGACATCCAAAGCTGGTCTCCATCAAGGATTCTGCACGTGCGCCGATAAACTCTAACAGACTTGGGCTGGCAGCTTTAATGAGTTCCTGACGACGAATGGCCGGTTCCTTCTTGGAAGTCTCCTTGCGGATCTCGAAAATCTCCGCCAGAATTTCCTCATCGCCTGCAGGAAGTAGCCATTTAACCGTGTCACCGACAAATGGATACAGTACTGCAATCCTGGCAGTGATATCATTGATCTGGAGGAGTAACTCCTCATGTCGAGCAGACTCTTCGGCGTCCTGGCTTAGAAGCTCCGGGAAGATAGATTTGGAAGAAAGCTTAGTATCGTCAATAACTTCATATGCAGTCAAGATGACCAAATGTCCATTGACATCTCCAGCCATGAGCTTGATGGTGTCGCGATAAAATCGAAGGAGAAGTTTGCGATCTTTGGCGGTCGAGTAGGCGAGGCAGAGACTCATCAATCTCGCACCCGACTTAGTGAAGGCCATGTTCTTAGCGAGATCTCCTTCTTCGTCACCCTTGACTAGCTCAATGAACTCATTTGCCTCGGAGCTTCCTGGTTTTGTATTCAAGAAATACTGAAGCATAGCGTCGTGCAGCATGGTGAAGCCAGTGGTCTTCTTTTGTACAAGCTGGTTGACAAGTTCATATAAGTTGTGCATAATAGGTGGTCTCTTTTCGGGGTTGTCGGTCAGGATCTTAGATAACTCGGAAGTCACTTCGGCATCATTGTCACGAAAAATGGCAAATTCTGGGCCATACCATTCTCGCAGCATAATCGCCTTTTGTTGCTTAGTAGCCACGGTTCTGTAGATATCATCCAGAATCCAGGACGCCTCAGGATGTCTTATAAGACGCTTGACATGTCCATAAAACTCAGGAACAATCATATCCCGAATGTCGGTATCTCCGTGAACTAACATTTTTCCGAGTAAAAACTTCGCATAACGACTTTCAGCAAGTTCCCTGTAGTGTCCCTGAAGCTCGCGAGCGATCATTTTCCGCTGTTCAAGGCTAGCATACTTCAATGCGGTTTGAATGACGCGGACTGAATCGTGTTTGAAGACAAAATCATTGACTCTACCGGTGATGATCTCAAAGAGTTCAGCAACTAGTTTCTTACGCTCGTCCAGAGGAACATGAGATTTGCGACGCAGGCGCTCCCACAACTTCTTTGATCGTGCGATGATATCGGCGTTGGGCTTTGCAGCCCTGCGTTCCTGTGCTAAAACTTTTTGCTTAGCATGGCTCTCTCGAGAAGAGCTCTCTACAATTGTATTAACGCATGTCAGTCAAACCGTTGGCAGTTAGAAAGCACATACTTTTATCCGCATCGACGGCACCATTTGATTTTTCTGGTTCTTCTTCCTCATCCTCTTCATCGTCCTCGACTTCTTCGCCTTCTTCCGCATCTTCAATGTTATTTTTATCATCATCCATTGACACATCCGACTCATCAGAAGAAATGTCTGAGTTCATATCGTCCATGTCCTCCTCCTCATCATCTTCTTCGTGCTTCTCGTCGTTCTTGCGGTGTCCCTTCTTAGATGACTTTTGTTTTTCGCCTTGTTTGCGGAGTTTCTTGTCTCTGTTCATTTTTCTGGCACCTCTCGTGATACCCTTTTTCTGAAATGCCGGCGGTAAATATTTCTTCTTGCTGCCAGCCGCAGTGGGAGCGGCATTGGTCTTGGTTTTGGTACGTTTTCCAGTCCGGTCGTCGGCCGTTTCGACCTTGCGTTTAGTGCCAGACATGATTCCAGATATAAATTGTTATAATTATAGTCTGAATGTCCGTAGAAGGGAATGTTGAGTGTTTGGATGTGGTGTCGATGGTTTGGGCTCTTTCCATTTTTACTTTTTTTTGCGGCAGAAGAGACCGGAGCTAAGTTGTTCCGAAAGCGGTGAGCATCAATACTGAAAATATAAAACAACGCCAAGCTTATGGCAAATAATAACAGTACTAGCGACGAAAATAGAAAAGTACATAAAAGAAACAAAAACAAAAAGAAGAGAATAGTTGTGTAGCCAAATGGTCAGTTTCCTTACACGAGGAGGTGCGGTCTGCTGTCGCCATCGCAGAGTGAAGAGTTCCTTGCAGAATTGCTTCCCTGGGGGTTCATCTTCATTGCTTAGGGCAGTACAACAATCGTGGTTCCCCGACGAGTTATAACGGCCGCTCCCCGATTCGAAACAGACACACTCACCCGCTGGTTAGACCTACGCAAGGTTACCGACCGGCAGCTACCCTTCCACTGGGTTATCCGTCACAGATAATCACACTTTCCAAGGTAGTGCTACATAAGGGTGTCCCTGTATCATCCCAATCGGATTGTTCAATGTGCCCTGAATTACGTATGGCCATGTTGGTGTTCTTGGATGATCGAACAGTCGCAAAACAGAGTTTACAGATCGGGGCAGTGTAGAGAGCCAATTGGCAATGGTCAATGGTTATAAGTTCCCTGACCTGTTATCACATGCCAAGTGCTACATACTCACATATGATGTATTGAATCGATCTTCCCCAGGTTATTGATCATGTGAGGTTGGAGTTGCCGACAATTTATCTGTTAGGACGTTGTGTCACCCTCTCGCCATTTTGTACATTCATCCGACATTCAATTCTCGTTCTCGGACTGCACACAAATAGGCCCATTCCCTTTTCAATTTGATACAATCCAGTTTAATCGACTCATGTCAATGCTTTGATGTCTTCAATATGCCTCCGTTCCGCAATATACTAAACCGCAAGCCTGCGACTTCCGATACAAATGACAATAATGAGACCACTCAAGATCAACAGGCCTTGGAGAGCCCGCGCTCTGCTCCATTGACCTTCAGAAATAGCAGAGAAGAAGTTCCTAATGAATATAAATTGAGTGGTATGTGATTTATCCACACGCAATGGAGTACCTGGCTGACTTGTCCTTGATTGTGGTATCCATAGTGGTCAATGACAGCGGCGTCTATCTTCCAGTATGACTCCAATTTCTGATAACGTTTTAAGGCTGTTTCGCTGATTGCATTTTTCCTACTAGCCTTCGCCACCAGAGAAGCAGAGTTTCTGGTCGAGATCCTCGAATAAGACACCAACAACGAACCACCGAAACCTAGTCGATGAAAATGAACCATTTTCCATATCCCGCGAATCATTCGACTCTTATCGGCGGTCATTTGTACGTTCTACAAAGCATCCTCCGTCTTTATACGTCCCTTATACCTAAGCGAGACAGCTGACCCCATGTGATTGATAGGATATCTCAGCCAAATCGCCCGTTCTATATGCCGATAACATCCAGTCACGCACCTCTTTAGATTCTCGATTCTCACGATTAAGTGAACGCCCTTCTACAAAAAGCCAGACGACCGGAGCTCCGCAAACCATGGAGGAGGAAACGTTTGAAGATGTGCGCTTAGCTGACGAAGACGTAAAGCCAAAAAAGAAAGGCTTATTCGCTCGTTTTGGCGACAACTCATCTGAGAATACCGGCAATAATAATAATCGGCCCAGCTCTTCCCACCTGGGATTCCGCCTACCTGGTCGAAAGAGAGGCCAGAGCGGCCAAGGAGCCGAGTTATCAAACTATAAGCTGGAGGTACCGACAACGGAAGTGTAGATACGCTGCTATCTATATGTTCGGAGGAGGTGTTATTTCTTCTATATACAGCAACATTCCTTACGATCTTTTGTTGTGACCGAGGACTGCAAAACTTCCACAGCACGCTCGCTAATATCGGAGTATTGTTTGGCTTGTTACTTGGAACCACGAAATGTTCTCGGCGTATTTGAATTGGTGGTTGTTTGGGTATTCATGTAACTTAGACAAGTGCATGTTTAGTATCTGAGCAGGTGCAGATACAATTATAATGACTAATACGATGTCTACAATACAATGCTCTGTACTGCAAGAGTAGTCAACCGGGAAGGTGCGCTCTGAGTTCACGGATGGAAGGAGCAACCATATCGTGCCCAAAGTCATCTCGCCTACCGTTCGACTAGCTAGACAGTATCACCACATCACGGCATTAGCTTACTTCACTGGCATTCTTCTTGGTGTATTGGTTTCCTCTTATCACAATCATCAGCACGCATTATATCTTCGATACTGCATCGTCACCATGACATTTTGGAAGAATTGGGAGTCTTGGGAGAAGATGGTGTTTGTAAGTCTAATGGAATCTCACGGAAGCCAGTACATCTAATCTTAATCTTCAACAGATACTCGTGTGTTCCATGGTAATCACCCGATTCGCGACTTCAAAGTCACTCGCAAAGAACATGTACTGACGACTATCGCAACGAGACAGGCCGGCGTCATTATCACCGGCGGTTGGGTGGCATGGATGAACAGACGGAAACTCAAGCTGTACAATCAAGCTTCCGCCGACGAAGTTAACCGACAGGCAAGAGTCTCAGGCATCCCATTCGGAGCTCGAGCGCTGGAAAGTGGTGTTCACATCGACGGAATTTACACACCTGGACGGTACATCCCTCGCCAGGGGCTATCACGACAGACATCCGTCGTATCTCCTGTTTCGAATTCACCGCTGACTCCATTGACTCCGACTGTGACTCGTGCAAGTTCAGTATGAGACCAAAGCTCATCCTCGTTACATGAATAGTTGACGCTACCCAACTGGTTGGAGTTGACAAAGCTGTATTCAAAGCTCTTTCTTCCCGGAAAATACTCATACAAAGCCCCGAACATGGACACGTCTTCGATCAAGCAAAGCGGTATATCCGATATGAATAATACTCGTCAATATCATATCACGGCTCTTCTTCTTTTCTGAGGAGGATCAATTGTTGAATTGTGTTGCAATATTGTGAGCCTAGACTTTAAAGATGTATGGTTAGAAACTTGGTAGTAGGGTCGCATAGGGTCTGTCTCCAAGGTTATATATTACTCTGTCATTGGAAGCATTGCCACAGATGTACCAACGACGATACCCTGCACGCAATCAATAAGTCAAAGAGCATCTCTTGGGAATAGGGTTAGGGTAATTATGATAAATGATTTCTTACACGTGACCTCGTGTCGTGGAGATGCCAACAAGACGCGTCCCCCAACTCATGAAACCACGACCACCGAGAAGCGACAGTAGAACCCCGCCCCTTTACCGACTAGTATATTGTACGCTTTTAGCTTCATTGATACAGAGTCATCATACAGCTCGTATTAGCTGCAATACATACGAGTCGCAGACGAATCCAGTCCCCAAGACGCGTCGCTACTTCCACCGAATTGGGACTCGTCGAACTGTCCGAGCAAACGCAACCCTACCATACGTGAAATAGACGCTCATTCAATATGACCGCCGATGTGGAACATCAACAACAGGAATACGATGATGGAGGTCTTCCAGGACCTGGAGCTCCCACTCCCCTTTCAGCTCTTGAGGTGAGCTCTGAGACATCACTGCTACATCCCTCATATGGGAGGGAGGTTGCAGCGGAACAACTCTGACAGGGCATGTAGGGCGTGGCAGGCTTGACTGCACGAGACATTAAACTTATAGTTGATGGAGGGTTTCATACTGTGGAGTCGGTGGCCTACACGTGAGTATTGCATGATCAGTCTCTATGACGATTCTCAAGGCTGACATATCGACAGTCCTAAGCGTGTCTTAGAACAGATTAAAGGTATTTCGGAACAGAAGGCAACTAAGATTTTAGCTGAAGGTAAGCGAGAACCTGGTGACCGTTACAGATGAGCAATAACTGATGATGAATATTATGAATAGCTTCCAAACTCGTTCCAATGGGTTTCACAACCGCGACGGAAATGCATGCACGTCGGAGCGAGCTCATATCCATTACCACTGGATCGAAACAATTAGATACACTACTGGCTGGAGGCATCGAGACGGGATCTATAACCGAGATCTTTGGAGAGTTCAGGACAGGCAAAAGCCAACTTTGTCACACACTAGCAGTTACTTGCCAATTACCATTTGACATGGGTGGTGGTGAAGGGAAATGTCTCTACATTGATACCGAAGGCACATTTCGTCCCGTGAGGTTACTGGCTGTTGCACAACGATATGGACTCGTCGGAGAAGAGGTGCTGGATAATGTTGCCTACGCTCGCGCGTACAACTCAGATCATCAATTGCAACTTCTCAACCAGGCATCTCAGATGATGTGCGAAACCCGGTTTTCACTCCTGATCGTGGACTCGGCAACTGCTCTTTACCGTACAGATTTCAATGGCCGTGGTGAATTGTCCAATCGGCAGACTCATTTAGCGAAGTTCTTGCGTACGTTGCAGCGACTCGCCGATGAGTTTGGAATAGCGGTTGTGATTACGAACCAGGTCGTCTCACAGGTCGATGGTGGTCCAAGTTCCATGTTCAATCCGGACCCCAAGAAACCAATTGGCGGTAACATTATCGCTCATGCAAGCACGACTCGTTTGAGCTTGAAGAAAGGCCGAGGAGAGACTAGGATATGCAAGATCTATGACAGCCCCTGTCTACCTGAGAGCGACTGCCTCTTTGCGATCAGGGAGGATGGTATTGGCGATCCTAGCCCCAAGGATCTGGAGAATGAGTGAGGACATTCATTGACTGATTGCGCTCTGGATTGATAAACGTTTGTTTGATTCAGTTCTATCTGATGAGTATACATATTTCATGTCTTGTCATGTCTATTTGTCTTTGTCATACTCGCATAGCTAGGCGGTGTTCGGCCCGTGTCAATGTATATTTAAATAATAGTCAACTGGTAGAAAAATGAAGAGAAGAGAACGATAACAACTCTTAATAATTTTTGTTGTTGTACCTGACTTGAGGCTTGGCGCTTTCCCCACACCCGCCAACACGCTAAAACCATTCTTGTTTAGTGAGACTGAGAGCTCTTCGAATCTGGACAGACGCAAAGCTCTCCACCACAAGATTATTCTCTGGCAGGAGATCACAAAGAACAAATTACAAAGCCAGTCGCTGGTGAGCATGGCATAACATCTTCAAGGAAGCAATCTTTGCGCGTCATCCATAATTGCTTGCCATTACGACGACCATGGCGAAAATTTACAAGGAGACAAAGGTCGATGTGCGACCCGTGGAAGCAAACGCCGTCGTTGATATCGAAATCCCTACAGCAGAGAACACGCAGCGACGAGCTAGAATATCCTTATCATCTGGGACAGCACGAGATGATACACCCATAAAGGACGACGAGGATTTTGCTAGGAGATATTTAGCTACACAGGGTACTCTCTATTTTCGCCAGCGAAAGATTTACCCGCGCACCTTCTTATGGAGGGTGGTTAATGACAGTACCGTGCTAGAGATTCAATCGGCAGATATTGAAAAGAGCATTGTTGATAAACACGAGGCGAATCTCACTCTTCGTTTAGATTTCCAAGAAGCTATTATACCTTCTGGAGTTGCGCTAGCCGATACCGAAGACCACGAAGTCCTCAATGTTTTTGTTCTCACAACCTCGAGGCGTCTACACACAATAACACTTCGACCAGAATTCTTTCGACGTGTCTCATCAATAGACGAGAATATTCATGATTGGTGCAAATCTTTCATACCGTCGCCTTTGACTTTCACGAATCCCCATCGCTTGCATGCGTGCAGTACGACCGAATTGTTTATTGCATTAGATAGTGGTGCGCTTCTTCGGTTGAATAGACGGACAGGAGATGATGGTAACATGGTACTTTCCTGCTGTAGTGAATATTCTAACCCGTGCCTTTTGAAATAGGTTCGCACTGGTCGCAAATCACGTTCGACGAAAAAACTTGGGGAGCGTCACTTCGTGGTTACGTGCCATGGCCGGGCCTGCAGCGTATCTCGTACGATGGTCGTAGTCTGGATCCCATGACTCCGAACGCTATCGCTACTACGTCGGATCAGACATATGTGTTTGCGGTCTGCTTGAATCATACACTGAAGGTCTGGAACCTGGCGACAAACAAGTTAGTGGGAACAAAAGATCTTCTTAACCGGCAGTTATCGAAACAGCACCCAGACTCGGGGACGTACTTTTTGAATCCAGCAGATTCTGTCTTTTTACGAGTCTTTAACGCCGAGCGAGCTTTGGACGGAGCATCTCGCTACTATGTTGCGACATACACTCCTCACGAAGAGGGAAAATTCAAGTTCTGGGCGGTTAGGGGCGGCTTGACTACGCCGTTGACGATTGAAGATCTATTCCCGCAAGCTGTTTTCAGACCATTGGATCCCGACGCCACGGGGAATATGTTTTGGACTGTTGCGGACTTTCAGATACAGCCAATGGAAGAGGGAACACGCATGGAGCTATGGGTGCTTTGGCGAAATAACGGCCTGTATCAGCTCTACACCTTGCATTTTAATTTCAATACCCTCGAGAAAGACTGGTCTACAAATTGGGCATCAACTGCTTGGGACACTCGGCGAAATGAGCCAGCTCCTGCTTTAGTGGTTTCGGACGTGGTCGACCCAACAGAGAAATGGCTAGAGTATCTTTTCCATCCCGACCGCTACACCGTCGAGACTTTGGAAACAGCCCTTGTTTCTTACCAAGAAGCTTTGAAGCCACGGACGGCTATTAATTTCCTCAGGCGGAGTGCACCCTTGCAGGAACGGCTGTGCTCCACTATTACTGCATCCGTTTCCTTAAGGAAATACGCGGATGATGATATGGATTATGCCAGGTACCGAACAGACACTGATCAAAAATGGCGACAGTTCTGGCAAATCGTCGAAGAAGTTCACAGCAGGAGACTTGAGCCGTTATCCTTAGCGTATGACGCTTACAGCGATTTGCCTTGGGTGATCACTACCGACACGTGTGCTGTGATTCGTGAATGTAGTGCGACAGAATTGCTGCTTCACAATTCCGTGTTAGATTTGGAGAACGAGCTGCCTATGGTTGATAATCGCTGGCTGCATCGTAGACCCGAGACTGAACTAGGCAACCGATATGCTGATTCATGCCATCTTATCAAGGTTGCTGCCGACTTCAGACACCGTCTCCCTACTGCAGCGTTACGTACCTTTGAGGAAGTTTTGAATAGCGAACTGTTCCTAGAACCACTGCTTTCAACCACGGAACGGTTAGCGAGCTTCATTAATCAGTCAGATCTATCAGAGCATGTCTCGGACGATGTCTTTAATGGTCTTTGCGCCGCTATGAACAAGCAAATGAATATCTACCAGCTTCCAAAAGAACCATTTCACATGATTCTCGATACGCTGTTTATGAGATTCATCCAGAAGGACTCGGAATTATCATTCACCTCATTCGGAGCGAAGATTCTGACGAATGGCTCACAAGAAACGATATCCCACATACGTCGCTTGCTGCATGATCTTCTCATTCTGGTTGTGTTTGTTGAAGGCGAGATTAGCCAAGAGGAGGGCTCAACTTTCGATGCCACAGAACTATTCCCTATACTCATCACTCTCATCAGGGAGTGCGAATTACTATACTGGTTGAGCTCTCATACCCGAGCCTTGCCCAGTCGCAGTCAGCACGAATCCACTGACGTGCATGGACAGTCAAAGACTTACGGGGCAGTGAATACGGTTCTCGGGGATTTCTTCGTAGTCGACATCAAACCGCGCCCGCATGTCAATTGCGCTCAAAGCTACACATTGACAAAAAGCATTTCTGATGTTCTGTCCTGGGTCGTTCATTCAGGAGGCGTCAGTTTTGATGATGCCTTGGTACATATTCAGTGCAATCTGATAGCCAATGGCAACATTGAACTGGCCAGTGACTTTTTGAGGTTTCAACCGAGCAATGCCTGGTCTAATTATATCAAGGGTCGGCTGTTCGTGGCCAAGGGAGAATTCGATACAGCAGCAATCCATTTCCAAAAAGCAGCGTATCCTCTTTGTAAGTATCTGGACAATTCGTAAGTTCAGGGCAATGTGCTGACATGACACAGCTTCAGGAAGAGCTTTGGGGGATTTGAGCGAGATATCGTCCGGTCTGCTCGATCTACTTGCCGCGGATAAGTTCAACAATGGTCTTCCAAAGTACTTTCAGCACATACTGAGTCTGTTCGAAAAAGCTGGCTCTTTCTCTCACGTGGCGGACTTTGCGTCCTTGTCATTACAGGCACTGGAGTCCGATCCTCTCAAAACAAAAGACTATCCAGAATATCAAGATCTCCGGACTGATGTGCTCTCTCGGCTGTTCCATGCTTCCTTAAGGACATGTCAGTTTGACAAAGCTTACTCGGCGCTTTCACGCTACACGAACCTTGCGTTGCAAAAATCCGCGCTCGGTCTTCTAATCAAGGCTATTCTATCGGCTTATGGGTCTGGAACAGCTGGACTCCAACAACTTCTTCATTTCCCATTGTGGCTTACACCCAATCTTTCATCATATGTGGATGAATCACTCTTGTCCCTTGCTCGCAAGCAGACCTCCTTCAGTTCGTCCTTCGACGGTGATGCATACTTGTGGGAAAGCAGCTATACCCCTGATTATCACCGGATTTTACATGCCTATCGAATCGCACGCAATGATCTACGTGGAGCAGCGGAACTGGGATATCAAACAGTGCAACGACTACGACATGCCAGAGACTCTCCCGTTGCACAGCGTGCGCTCATTCGACGTGGCAAGGTGGATGAGGAAGAAACCAAGCGCATGGTGGAAGAAGATGATCTCGAGAGCAAGGAGATTCGACATGAACTACTATCGCTGATCAATCTGTTGGCGAGTGTCGACAAGGCAGAGGCTTATATTCTGGTTGATCTTGATGCCGTGATCCCTGCAACTGCTCCTGCAATTTCAGAAGCGGGAACGCCAGGGAAACGGCACGCTGATGATGACGATGTATTTATGGATGACGGATCTCCATTACAGAGTCGCTCCGGAAGCCTTGCACAGCGACGCCGAAGTAGCGGTGCTCTCTCGATGGACAGTGCTCGACTGACGGCTTCCACCAATACCAATAATCATAACAACAAAAACCGAGCCAGTCCACGGCGTGTTATCGTCACTCTCGAGCAACTCCGACGTGAATACCAATCGGAGCTTGACCGTGTCAGTCGGATTCAGCGTGGCGATTGGGAGTTTGGGGTTGATGGATACGAAGAAGGGGCTATGGATGAGTCGTTACTCGACTTTTAGAGACTATTTTGTATAATGTGCACAAGCGTGGTTTGGTTTTATTTCGAGGACTGGTTCAAATATGAGGAATTAAACGTGGACGAATCAAGAATTTCCCTTTTGTATCACAATACGGAGTCAGGAACGTATTCGGATTTAAGGCTGAATAGAATGCTATTTTTGGATTCGCACAAGCTTTGCCAAGCTTTGCTCGTGCGACCAGTAAACCCGCAATCTTTCTTTTTTTCTTTTTCGATTTACTATTCTTCTTCGCCATTTTCAGTGTGTTCATAATCCATGCTTGTGCCAATTCTGTCAGATCTGTTTTAACTCCGCTAACTACCCGAGATGAAATCGCGTGCTACACCAGAAACGATCTCTGTATGTACTGACGTCATATCTCGAATAACGGCGAGTCGGACCAACTACACCGACGAATACAGCCAGCATTGTCCACTATTCTAGATTGTCGGTGCACTAGTTATTTCATTACTGATACATACTCACTATTTTGTTTCTATATTTGCAGATCGTAAGACGGGCGGATTAAAATCCTCGTACTAAACTCGGTAGCATCGGCAGATAGTCCGGTTTCGCTCCCGGTTTACGGCTACAGAGTGAACCTTCTACGAAGTCATTTCGTTTCTGACTTTTTCTTTTCGTATATATATATCGATATGTATTTGTGACAAAAGTTTACGCCTGTGTTTATACGATTGTTAATATAAAACACTTGGCAATTAATATGTATTCTTGACATATAGTCGAAAGACGTCATCTCGCAACCAGCAATATATTCAGCTGTCAATCTTGGATCACAGAACGATAACAGAATCAACATGGAAATCCTGGAACCTATCACTACAGACTCCTCTGGGGACAGCGATTCTCCAGCATCACCACGCTCCTCAATCCCAAATGACCACCGCCCCAGACTCAATGACCTCTACAACACCCAGAGCTACGGCGAGGACTCAATACCCGTCCCCATTGTCCCCGCACATACACTCGAATTGGAAAAGCAGACCACAGCAAATTCAACGTCGTCATCAAGATTTAACCAGCGCGCTCAATCGGTCATATCGCGTATTCGGAGCAGGGAACCGGGTCAAGTTGCCAGGTTTACGCATCCGTTGTCACATACAAAGACTGGGCCGGATGTTTTGGTTGATTTTGATGGACTGGATGATCCATATCATCCTAGGAATTGGGGGTTCAAGAAGAAGTGCATTACTACGGTGTTGTACGGATTGACGACTATGGGTTAGTCAATGATATATTTATGTTCTATTTGAAATATCTCGAGCTAATTCGTGATTATTGAGAATAGGCGCAACCCTCGCAAGTGCCATGTACGACTACCTACCTGTCCGCACTTTTTTGATAGAGGTCTAATCAGAGTCTATAGATATACACCAGGCACATCACAAATCAGCAAGGAATTCGGCGTCGGATCAGAGGTCAGTCTCCTAGGCCTCACCTTTCTATTGCTAGGTTTCGGATTTGGTCCTCTGCTATGGGCACCACTCTCCGAACTATACGGACGCAGATTAGCCGTCATGATACCCTACTTCGTCGCAGCCATATTCTCCTTTGGTACCGCAACGGCAAAGGATATTCAAACTGTGCTGATCACTCGGTTTTTCACGGGGTTCTTTGGTTCGGCACCGGTCACGAATACGGGTGGTGTGCTCGGTGATATCTGGTCACCGCAGGAGAGAGGTGCAGCTATTGTCGCGTATGCGATGGCTGTGGTGGGTGGTCCTACTGTTGGTCCTATCATTGGAGGTGCTATTTGTCAGAGCTATTTGCGGTGGAGGTGGACTCAATACGTCAGTATCATTCTCAACCACCCAACGAGCCAGTTTCGAATATGCTAATATCTGGAATTGCAGATTACTGGAATCTATATGATGTTTATCCTGACCTTGGATGTCATCTTCATCGACGAAACTTATCCACCCGTCCTCCTTGTATACAAGGCACAGCGACTGCGCCATGAAACAGGAAACTGGGCCCTACATGCAAAACACGAAGAGTGGGATGTTAGTATCAAGGAAATGGCGAATAAGTACCTAATCCGACCATTCGCTCTATTGAGTACACCAATCTGTTTCGCCATCGCTATATATGCCTCATTTGTCTACGGTATTCTCTACCTAAACCTCGCGGCATTCCCGATCGAATTTACAGATGAACGTGGCTGGAACCAAGTTGTGGGTGAATTGCCCTTTCTGGCCATGCTAGTTGGAATCATGCTAGGTGCATGTGTGAACCTTCTCAATCAACGGTTCTATATCAGCCGATTCAAGAAAAACAACAACCGACCCGTCCCCGAAGCCCGTCTTCCACCTATGATGATCGGTTCGGTGGTCTTTGCAGCTGGCATGTTCATCTTCGCCTGGACTTCGGATCGAAAAATACACTGGATAGGCCCCGTAATCGGTGCCGCATGCATGGGTCTAGGATTTTTCACCATATTTCAAGCAGCCATCAACTATCTTGTCGACACGTTCCCGCTTGCTGCAGCCTCTGCAGTTGCTGCTAATACCTGTTTGCGAAGTATATTTGCTGCTGCTTTCCCCTTGTTCACGGATGCAATGTATAACAATCTCGGTATCGATTGGGCGGCGAGTACACTTGGGTTTATTTCGATTGTGTTGATTCCCATTCCGTATTTGTTCTATGTCTTTGGGCGGAGACTTAGGGCTAGAGGGAAATGGTCCCGAGCATCGGTTTATGATTAATGAGACCTTTTTCAAGATGTGGTTTGTATATATTGGATCGGTCTGTATATAAGATGATCTATAGATAACTGATAATACCTAATGAATATCTATATGGACGTGAATATGTGATATACTCTAGTTATGTTCATTCCCTAGTCGTGTTCGTATCTATTCCATCAATACATATTCAATGTACCATCGCAGCCCACCTACGTGCACCCAAACACCCATAGAAAAGAAAAATATACACAATTCCTCACACAACAAGGCTATTCGACTTCAGGATGAGATGCATGCCACTTACGGATGGCTTCCTTAGCAGCGGTTACCTTGAGACCAATTCGAGTATCGAGATCGTACGACTCCCACTTCGCCGCCTTCTCGAGATGTTCGTCACACTCTTGGACGTGTTTCTTCTCAATAGCAACGATCTCCTTGTCAGACAATCCTACGTGTGTGGGTTCAGGGTCCCAGGGTGAGGTATGCGTTGGTTCATAGCTAGGTCGCTCCATCCAAACGTTAGCGGCAAGCTCAAAATGTGCCGCTGGAAGAACCCAATTGTCCCGTAGTTGACCCTTGAAAACACTCCGATCATGGACCAGGACTTTCTGTTTCAGGATCTCCTTCGCCTCTGTGTGTTTGCGTAATGCGCGTAGAATAGCGGCTCGGAGAAGTTGAGTGATGGCCTTGTCGTCTTCCTCTTGGTTCTTGACGTTCTGCTCTGACCATTCCAGTTTGCGCAATGAATCTTCCAGTCCCTCCGCTCCCATGCGGCTATATCCATTCCAGAAGAAATTCATCTCTTCAATTGGATCAACGCCCACGGCATCGACGAGATCTACTTTCAACCCCTTGGCGCGAGCCTCCCATTTTGCTATTTTGCGGGTGACAAAGACTTCGAATGGCAGTTGGCGAGCCATCAGGCGCTTCTTGCCTGCCACTGTCGGCGCTTTGCGGATACATTCTCTGGCCTTTTCCGCAAACACCTGAGCGGCAGCTGGGTCAACAGCGGATGTATGGCGGTATAAAACCACATAGGCAGATCCTGCAATGTAGTAGTATAGAGCAGGTGACCAAGAGTTGAGTTCCACACACTGAACCATAGATTAGCGTACAGGACTAAGATTACTCCTACCCGGGATTTGACTTACCTCAAGGAAAAACTTGGCACAGTCCTCGTAGTTATGCAGAAACATTGAGTCCATACTCTTCTCAAAAGCTTGTAGAGCTTCGACCTGTTTGAGGGGACTCTTTTCGCTGTTCTTCAGGATTTCCACTGCGCCTTCGACATCACGGTTAGCGCTCTTCATTCGAGCTTCCTCAAGCAGCCACAGTTGGCTCCTAGGAAATTGTGTCCTCATCGTATTGAGCAGAGTCTTTAGACGGTCCATGGGATATCCTTCTATTCCCAATTCGTCTTCCTTGATGGTATCCGGAATGATATCCAATAACCGAACGAATCCATTGTAATAGCCCAGGATTCCTAGTCCCGCAACGGCCCCAATCAAGCTCTGGGCCTTAGTGGCTTGCCAAAGCATACGTAGACCTCGCTCTTTATCACCTCGAAACCCGACAATTGCAAGTAAGCGACTGAACGTGGGAGGAAGCGTGGAGAGCATCGCAAGTAACATGCCTAGACATAAGCTAGCACCGGAATGAATGAATGCATCGATAGGGTGGCTAAATAGATCCGCCCACTCTGGATCATGTGTGAAAGTCTCACCCACAGGCGTGCTTGATCCACTAGAACGAGCAGAAGCGGGTGTACTGTGGATCTCGTCATCTGCCAATTTGAGTTCCGCAATGTTTCGATGTAGCTCCTGATCAGATTTACTGATATGAACCCCAGACGGCCTCTGTTTTGGCGACACGGGTGATTTCTCGGTCATCAAGTTTGCCGGGGCGGTTCGAGTTTTCGGGAGACGGCGGGACTGTAGGTAACGTTCCTCCATGCGCACGATTGCATCCAAAGTTGCGTATGCTTTTCGCATTTTATAAAACCCTTTTAGACTCTCGGTAAGGCTCTCATTGAGTACCCCGACGACAGCGATCATGATCTGCGCCATTGCTTGGCAGAGGGCGTACTCCGTGCCTACGTCGTAGATTTGTGAACGAAAAGCATCCGGCGCGTTCGCAGTGTGAGCTACTCGCTGGTGGTCATTGTATGCACTGTTTTCAGCGTCCGAAAGCCGCTCGGCAGCTACAAACAACGTCAGCCTCCAAGGCAAGTTTCAAGATCAAGATGCGAAGGAACAAAGAACCTACCTTCGCGCATTATCTCCTGTTCAAAGCCGAGTAATGCGCGGAGAAAGCCTACGACGCCTTTGCCGGTCTAGATTTTGAAATAGTGAATATTCAAGTAAACACACACCCACCCACACACAACAGACGATGAATCATACCTTGTGGAAAGATGAGTCACCTTCCTTGAGACCGGTCTCAGCACCATCGACATCGTCATTTAGAATGAGTGTAGCCGCTGTTATTCAACGCGTTAGACTTTGTCCTTCAGCAGTAAATCCCGTAAAGAACAACGTGCCTTCTAGTGCCTGCTCGACTGTATTCTCATATAAATGCATGTCAGTAACGATACGCAGACTCCGAGTTGACGAAGGTATACTAACGGTCTTGTATCTGCCTTGCTAGTTCAAGAGAGCTCGGCAAGGGATTATTGTCAGGTTTACGGCCATACAGCCACGAACCCACGCGCTGCATATTGATAGATGCTGCTCAATGATGCTGCGCTCTCAGGCACGCGACAGGGGAGCACCTTGATTTCCGAAAGCGGAACGATGATGTAGTTTCTCCTCCACACTAATAATTCGAGGGACACGAGGAACTGACAAAGTCGAACGAGTGCTCACAGCCATGAGTATGTTAATGGTGATCCTCAACTTCCTCTAGCCCGGAAGCGTAAGCGAGGTCCTTTAAAATCTTATAGAATGGTAGTGATCGATAAAGAAGCAGGAAAAATGAGGGCGGATTCCTCGGAGGCGGACTTAGGAGGATGATAAGGGTTTAGCTCCGTCCACAAAAAAGATGGTGACGATGGGGTTCCCCAGGTAAGTGGCAAGAAGAGGAGGAAGTTATACAAGAAGAGAAGCTCAAATCCAAGGGGTATAACTAAGAAAGGGACGGTAGTACACAGCAGGCGATGCGGCTGACTCTGTCTGCCTGGACTATTAATCAGTAAGCTAGCTTGACGGAAAGCTGACAAGGACCGATCCTGATGCAATAGGCACTGCCCCTCGAGTATTGCGTAAGCCAAAGGGGTTATGGCTTTGACGAGCTTATGTTATATATATATATATATCAGAAGTTTCAAGTCCATCAGCGTTGTTTCAAGGCGTTTTTCTAATCATGAACTTGGCTTGCATAAAACAGATCTAGGATATAGTGGAAGGGAGCCGCCAATCAACGCTTGTCGTCGGAGCTGCCTGACGTTCCTGGCACGCATTGGCCAAGACTGACCGCTTTCGTCGTCTCATTCGGCCGCATCGCCTTTGATACAAGCATCAACTCAACCTTCAACCAACCTTTCTTGACTCCATTTCACGCATAAAGATTTTTCGGTGACTATCGAATCAATATTCATCTGGCACAGGAGTACCGCGAAGATCTAAGTGTGCTCTACTTTCGCCACTCTTCCACACACGCCATCCTCACCTCATATCCATTATCCCCGCAATGTCAGACACCAGCAAGGCGCAAGCCGAAACCTCACAACCTATTCAGAAGAAGAACCCGCAAGTGTTAGAGGAGGATGATGAATTTGAAGATTTCCCTGTAGAAGGTAAGTTGCGCGCCTGCTTTGTGTGGCTCTCAGGCGGTGTTGAGTGCTAGACACACCGGCGCTTTGAAATCAACCCTGCTTCGCGCTGAAACACAATGAAAAGATAAATATCTGACTTTCTTTGAATATAGACTGGCCACAAGAAGAAACCGAGCAGGGTCAAGGTTCGAATGCAAATGGTACCAACACACATCTTTGGGAAGAGAGCTGGGATGACGACGATGAGAGTGAAGATTTCTCCAAACAGCTCAAGTATGCGATTACTGCCACTTTTACTTCTTGAACCCATTTTCTTCTCTTTTGGTTTACTAACATTATGCCACAATAGGGAGGAGATGAAAAAGGTGGAGGGCGCTAAATAGACGAGACGGTGCGAACGACTGATAATTTGGGAGGAGAGGATTTATATAGACAGCAAAGCTCTACATCATTCTGAGACGAGCGAATCGAGACCCAAACAAAAGATCGATCGATGTACTTCCTTATGGAATATGTGAAATGTCAGGTACAACCAACTACTACTAATGACTATCATCAAATATCATGACGAACACCAAAATCCGCCTGAGGTCATATACGAAAAAAGTTCAGTGTATCAAAGATTTGGTGCATTTTTCTCTGCAGTTTCGAGTACGAGATATCAGAACTTGATCTCTAAAGATAGCTTGAATACTGTTTCCTTGGATGAAGATAGGTGTAGAAACAGAGGTAGTGAGATTAAAAGAGTCGTATTATATATTTAACAGCAAAAGTATTCGCCGATCATCCCGGGCTTTCTATCTAGGTCCTTATTGAAGATTTTTTTACTTACTTGACAGAGCTGCAACACCTGGCAAATCCTTACCCTCCAACAATTCCAAAGAGGCACCACCGCCGGTAGAGACGTGGCTCAATTTGTCTTCAACCTTGTACTTGGCAGCGACGGTAGCAGTGTCACCGCCGCCAATAATGACGATACTGCCAGACTGAGCAGCCTGAACGGCAGCATCGAGAGTGGCCTTGGTTCCGCTGGCGAAGGGTTCCAACTCAAAGACACCTGGGGGACCATTCCAAAGGATAGTCTTGGCTTCACTGATAGCCTTCTTGTAGGATTCCACACTCTTGGGACCGACATCAAGACCAAGCCAGCCGTCTGGGATACCTTCGGCGTCGGTGGCGCTACCGACCTCAGCATCGGCACCGAATTTGCTGGCAGTAACGTAGTCAACAGGGAGGATAACATTGACGTTATTCTTCTTTGCCTTCTCTATGATATCGCCGACAGTCTTGCTGCCGGGTTCATCGAACAAAGAGTTACCGATCTTGACATTCTCAAGAGTCTTCTTGAAGGTGAAGGCCATGCCACCGGTGATGATCAAGCTGTCGACCTTAGGGAGAAGGTTGTCAATGAGTTGGATCTTGTCAGAGACCTTGGAACCTCCCAAGATAGCAAGGAAAGGACGCTTGGGGTTCTCCAAAGCTTGAGCAAAGTAGTCGAGTTCCTTCTTGACGAGGAAGCCGGCAGCCTTTTGAGGGAGCTCAACTCCGACCATAGAGCTGTGGGCACGGTGGGCAGTTCCGAAAGCATCATCTAGTTGCTGTTAGTATTCCTGACACATAAATGCTGAATTTTTGGTGTTCGTACTGATGTAAACATCTCCAAGGGCAGTCAATCCTTTTCGGAATTCCGCAACCTTGGCCTTATCGGCCTTGACCTTGTTTCCCTGTTCATCCTTGTAGCTGCCTTCTTCCTCGGCGTGGAATCGCAAGTTCTCCAAAAGAATGACCTGACCACTAGAAGCCTTGTTGACCGTCTCCTCAACTTCGGGGCCGACACAGTCCTTTGTGAAGATGACACTGCGACCGAGAAGCTTCTCAAGCTCGGGGACAACGGGCTGCAGGCTGTACTTAGGGTTGGCCTTGCCATCAGGGCGACCAAGGTGGGACATCAAGATGACCGCCTTTGCGCCGTTGTCAATGGCATATTTTATGGTGGGCAAGGCACCGACAATTCGTTGGTTATTGGTGACTTTCTTGTCGGCATCGAGGGGTACGTTGAAATCCACCTATAAGCAGGATCTATGAGCATTGACCTTGGCTATCGACAAAACAAAAAAGGTGACCGATTCTAATTCGTGAAGGCATTAACTTACACGGATGAGGACACGCTTGTCCTTGACGTCGACGTCGGTGATAGCAAGCTTGTTTGAGAGAGACATATTGCTAGACTGATCCGATGACGTCGTCGAAGCTGTGTTGACGGGAAGTAGATGAAGCTTTCCTTTAGCAGCTCAATGTTGTGACTGGAAAGAAGCAAAAACGGTAGAAGATGGATATGAATACACTTTTTGAAATTGATTGATGCTTTTTATGATTCATAAACAAAGATTTTGAGAAGGACATAGAATTGATGCTGGCGGGGTACTTGAAATAAGAAATCCTTGGTGGGGCTTCGGTGAGACGGTAGACAGATCGGGCTGATGCGGGACTGATGTCAACAGTCAATTATCATACGACTCGGCCATATTACAAGGCTGTATAGCGCTAGGGTTACTTCAAACAAGGTGGCGGACAGGATTGGATCTCATGCCTCTTTTAATGTACATGACTCGAAATGTCCGAGGCGAGGGAGCGTCAGATGCTTTGAGCACTCGTATGCAACCTTGGAAGAGGGTATCGGAACTGATCATATAACCCGAGGCAATAGGAACGACAATGAATTGATAATAGTTCGACGACGCCAGTTAATAATACACGAAGTGTCTGAGAAAGCAACAATTTTTAACTAGCAATCCGTCCCACTGTGTCCAAGCATTGCTCTTATGACAGTGTAAATCAACAAACATGTCACGATTAAAAGACCATAACGCCTTGTTTATCCCGCCGAATTGTATATCAGGCCACCGGCCTAGAATGAATCAAAATGCTAAGTCTGAAGGGAAAAAAAGAAAAAAAAAAAAAAGACGTCTCATGTCAAGCCAGGTAGACAAACCGCGAATCCTGGAGCAAGGGGGAAGTGATTACTCTTCTTCCGCTGAGTTGGTGAGCGAAAGGTATGCTGTCCATGCAATTCCAACAGTGGAGACAAACGGCTAATCACTGTCAGAAAAGACCCCCTGGGTTGGAAAAGAGAATGTACTTACAATCTGAAACTGGATGGGAACAACGCGAAAGTTGAGTACCTGGACAGCAGGCCATAGAATAAAGTTTGCCTTCAATGTCGGCAGATAAACATCGCGAAACTTGTTCATAAGTTGCCGTCGACCACCTCCTTCAGCTATTGTCATGAAAGTGAAAAAGCAGAACAGACCTGATGACAGCGTCAGCATGAAAACCAGAAACGATTCGGGCACTGGCGAAGAGCGTACCGAAAGGCGCGAACATTAGCTGATCAACAGCCACTCTCTTAAATGCCGGGCCCGTTGCTGACGTCTTCGTGATAGGGAAGGCACGTGATAGGAACTTGAACCATTGGAATTGAATGGGAGCCATAAAAAAACCGTACGCCATAAATCGAGTCAATCGCTCAAAATCAAATGGCGCAGGACGATTCTTCGCATATCCCAACTCCCCCCATTGAGGAGGCTTCTCCTTATCAAAATCTTGAATCTCGATTGATATAACTCCACTGTCCGGGTCCGTCGACCGGTTCATCGATCGCATCCGAAAAGCTGTGATAGTCTGCGCCACTGTATCCGCAATTCCACCTAGAACCTAACCATGGACGTTAGTATTGTACGTCTATGTCGCCAAAATTCGATCACTAAGAACTTACGGCGTTCGTCACCATTGTTGTTAAAACTAGGGATAATAAGTAAGTCTGCTTGTATGATATGGAGCAGAAGCTCGGACTTACCTGGCTTGTCTGCATAGTAGGAGTTGAATTTGGCTGCCAGCCTCATGGTAACCGCCATTTCTATCAAGAACAGGATCGTGTGTAGTAGAGGCTGTTTCATTTTGAAAAGGAGCGTCGTTAGTAACTGTGTTGAACTAAGATGAAAAGTAGTGTGTGGTCATAGACATACCAAACGTCCATAAATGTATCTACGGTTCAACCCATTCAAGACCCTCCGGCGAGTGGTATCGATCCGGTCGAGCATATTGAAAGACATGACGGAAAGAGAGAGAGCGTCCCTCCCTGATCGAAGTCTATGGAAGAATAAATGGGCCGGGAGACCTCACGATGACGCAAATTAACACTTTAGTTACCCGCGCGAAGATAAGGCTCCAAGGCAGCAACAGCTTAACGCCAGACCGGGCGGGGCCGTACAGTGCTGCAGTACTCTGCGTGATTCAGTACGGCAGAGGATCGAATAGTGTCGATAATCCACTTGTTTTGAAGACAGTATATATCGCATTCGAGATATATAAAAGAACACGGAGGATGACTCGGATGAAAAGGAGATGATGAAGGATGGAATCACAGGTTGCAGAGTTCCAGAGACTGAAGGGCCAAAAGGGCGGAGGGCCGCTTAACTGACCAATCACGAGAGAAGCGCCTACTAATGGCTTGGCAAGCGCTTATATAATCATTATTATTGTAACTTAAATTACCCAAGGGTAGCTAAGTTATCTTACAATCACTCTACATAGTATACCAATATACATATATACATGAATAGGATCCTATATGCCATCATAGGTGCTATTTCAGAGCCACAATGTCGGGAAGGTCCCTAATGTCTATCGTCTCGTTTGAGTTCATGTCCACCAGCCTAACTGCCTCCAAATGCAGTGCGCCCGTCGCTAGGGGGAGGAGAATAATTTCGGTAGAATGACATGTTCCAGGAAGAAGCGGCCTATCGATAATAGCATGTAAGTATGTACTGGTGCATTTATGGTTATGTAAGACGGGATACTCACCCTAGCCGCAAATCAGTGCTCAAACTAACCAATTCTGCATCTTGTCCCGCTGCATTCTTTTGCATGGCATGGACAATATTCTCATCTGTAACAGCCTCCGCTAGCTCATCATCCTTCTTGTCTTTTTTGCTGGACACGGAGGATGAGGATGGTCGGGCTACATGTCGGCGGAAATCTACCCGTTTTCTTCGAGGAATTGCCATCATACTAAACTTCCGAGGAGCACGGGAGCGGTTGACTATAAAGACGTCCCACTGAAACGGCTTCCCAATCTCCACAGTAACGGGGCCGGAAAACGAGATGGTAACTCCACCTTGAGTAAATGAATGAGCACGTTCTCTATAGGAACTGCGATTCACTGCGCCTGTAGATGAGGTCCCACTTTGTCCGGAACCCATGGACAAGCTTGCAGGACGGTTGTTACGCTGCATGACCTGACTGGGCCCACCAAATGTAGGATTCAACGGAATAGAAAAATCTACATTCGTCCGCCATTGCATAAAAATTCGCGGTTGACAATCTTCTGTGAGCTTGATGACCCCTTCGAGTGAGATATCAAGTGTACTGACAAGGGCTGTTGTGGAAAAATATGCTTCCGGGCCGTATTCAGGAACAAGTTTATAGATTAGAGTAACGTCATCTCTGGGCCGTAGCGAGATAGGAGGCTGGAGCTCTGGCGCTCCGGATATATTCTCAACCTGACCGTCTGACAGAATAATCTCTGCCTTGTCAAAGACAACGTCGCAGCTTAAAAATGGTGTCACCTCCAGATCGAGACTGGCAATCGTGATCGGTCGACTGGAGAACGTGTTCAGTTTAGAGCAACGTATCCGTGCGCTTGCCGCTGGTACAATGCGTATAGGATGTTGACTTTGTTGCCATAAGTTGTAAATAGGCGCTTCCTTCTGTGCAGCAGGAATAACTCGTAGTAGTCGGGATGCAGGAAGGTAGGGGGTGGTCGATTTGAGGGCGGGATCCGAGGAGAGTGCCTGTAAGACATTTGCTGAGGCTGGAACAGTACGTGGAAGATATTCGTCGGTATGAAACGACTGATCGGAGGTATCCGCTGCATTCAACGACGCCGCGGCTGAGAATGCAATGCATGGATGTTGTATGCGTATTCGGGGACGATCTGCAGGAGTTAGAATGTGCTTCTGTCTGTGTATAGAAGCATAATCACTGACGAAGGAACGCATCGACTTTCCATATAACGTAAACGTGGTTTCCACTCCCTTCGTCTCCTTCGAACACATTGACAACAACTAATGGGTCTTCCTTGTTATTCACATTTCCCACAAATACCACATCCTTTGCCGGAGCTGGATCTTCTGGACCGGGCCCCGACGGACTGTATACAAGCGCATTCACACCAAGCTCTAACCTGGGAAGATGGGCTTTCAATGCATTCTCGGAGCAGTTCGATAACCTCAGTACGACGCGCACCGTAATGGCCTCATCTAAGGAAATGGTAAGGTGGTTAGTCTAGTCTCCCAGTCAATGTCGCACTACTTTGCGCATACCGAAAAACAGTAACGAGCGCTTTGGGATCGCGGCTAGAACAGAATCCAGATCTCCAGCGCCGCCTTCGAGCGCAGACGTTAAAGCTGCCTCAATGTCGACATTTGGATTATGGGGAACCACGGTCTCGAGGACGGCATGTCGTAGAAAATCCCCATGGACACTGGGACCTGCCATAGCTATGTTTCAAGTCTCATGATCAATAGACAGGTGGTATAATTGCTTCGACTGATTGCACTATCATTGATAGCATCAATACTGGGAGTGTGTTGCTCCTCTTGGACTCAGTATTTAGTGTTCAGCGTCCAGCAAATGTGCAAACCATGCAAACATAAATATGTGGGTCAAAGCTTAGCTTGACCAATGTGGCTAGTGCATCTGGACCTTTTTGTGAGAAGTTCACCTTGACAACTCGCGACTGCCAGCTCAGTTATCTATTAACAGCGCATCACGATGACTCCAACCAGCGGTATGCCTGGGGGCTCTAGCCTCTGGCAAGAGGCCCGAAATGCAGATGGTCGTGTGTATTATTACAATGTCCAGACAAAAGCAACACAGTGGGCAAAGCCGGTTGAGCTGATGACTCCTGTTGAAGTAAGTTTTTCCTATCATTATATACCTGCTTGATGCTAAATACATTATAATTATAGCGCGCTCTATCAAATCAGCCATGGAAGGAATATACTGCAGAAGGTGGAAGGAAATATTGGTACAACACTCAAACCAAGCAAAGCACTTGGGAAATGCCAGAAGTTTACAGAAACGCGACCGCGCAGGCCAGATCTCCTCCAACACAGCAACCAATGTAAGTTCTATGATCTTGTCATAAGCAGTATACATATTCTAATTGTTTGATCTGAAATATCTAGTGTCGGTGCACCTACGTTTGTCGCTGGTGGAACCACCTCGTTCCCTCCTTATGGCCAGCATCAACGCGACCGCGACCGGGACGATGGCGATCGCAGTGGACTTGATCGCCGTGCAGGCTTCATGGGAATGGAAACAAATAGCCTTGTGACTGCTCAGCAGACTGACCCGGAATATAGCTCTTTCGAAGAAGCTGAAAGCGTGTTTATCAAGCTCCTACGACGATCGAATGTTCAACCTGACTGGACCTGGGAGCAGGCTATGCGAGCCACCATCAAAGATCCTCAGTATCGTGCCTTGAAAGACCCCAAAGATCGCAGAGCCGCTTTTGATAAATATGCGGCCGAGGTCCGTATGCAAGAACGTGATCGCGCAAAGGAAAGATTCGCCAAATTACGAACCGATTTCTACACAATGCTGAAGAGTCACCCAGAAATCAAACATTACAGTAGATGGAAGAGTATCCGACCAATCATTGAGGGTGAGACTATCTTCAGATCGACAAACGATGAAAACGAGCGTCGCCAGCTTTTCGAAGAATATATCCAGGACCTGAAAAAGGCGCATGTGGAGCAAGAAGCCGTGACACGCAAAGCTGCCATGGATGAACTCGTGAATATCTTGAAAGCCCTGGAGCTAGAGCCATATGCCAGGTGGTCTGAAGTGCAAAATGCCTTGCAAGCTAACGAAAGAATTCAGAATGACGATAAGTTCAGAACCCTAAGCAAATCGGACATTCTGACCGCTTTCGAGAATCATATTAAATCCCTTGAAAGAACTTTTAATGATGCTCGCCAACAGCACAAGGCTGCAAAGGCTCGGAGGGAACGCCACAACCGAGAGAAATATCTAGAGCTACTCAAGGAACTGCGCTCGCAGGGCAATATCAAAGCCGGGGCCAAATGGATGCACATTCATCCCTTGATTCAGGATGATCCTCGGTATGTAGCAATGCTAGGCCAAAGTGGCTCTACTCCTTTGGATTTGTTTTGGGATATAGTTGAGGAGGAGGAGAGGGCACTACGAGGACCACGAAATGATGTCCTCGATGTCCTTGATGTAAGTTTTTGTATGCTACCTATTTGCTCGCCGAAAACTAATATGAGGCTAGGATAAACGTTATGAGGTCACACCCAAAACCACATATGAAGAATTCGCGTCTGTCATGGCTACTGACCGCCGTACAGCCAACATTGACACTGACATTCTGCAACTCATCTTTCAGCGTGTGCAGGAAAAAGCTCAGCGCCGCTCTGAGGACGAGAAACATGCAGCTGATCGTCACCAACGGCGAGCAGTGGATGCCTTGCGTTCTCGGATTAAACATCTAGAGCCACCCGTACGCCTCGGTGACACGTGGGAACAAGTTCGACCCAGGGTTGAAAAGTTCGAGGAGTACAATGCCCTTGAATCAGATGAACTACGTGTTACCGCATTCGAGAAATTCATGCGCCGTTTGAAAGAGAAAGAAGAAGATGCAGAGAGAGACCGTGACCGAGATCGAGACCGCGCCTCTCGACGTGGTGATCATCATGAACGTTCTGATAGAGACCCAAGGAATGGTTCGTATCGTTCTGATCGCAGGGTGAGATCTAGTCGCACACCCGAACTCGATCCTTACGAAGCAGATCGTCGCAAGGCGCAGGCAGATCGTGAACGTTCTTACCGCAAAGTAAGCGGTCTGTCACCTGTACGCGAAAGACGAGATGATCGTGATCGAATCCGTGATAAAGAGCGTGAGAGAGACCGTGATCGCGACCGACGCGGACTCAGTCACTACGATCGCGAGCGCCGCAGTCGAGAAGAAGAGCGCGAACGACTTTATCGGACCCGTGGCGATCCACGTGGAAGTCGCGATGAGTTGGACTATGGAGGAGATACGCGAAGCACGGTAAGTAGTGACCGTCGTCGTAGACGTGACAGCGATGCAGAAAGCGTCGCCAGCCGCAGTGCCAAACGGTACAGACGTGACGAGCGTGAGAAAGAGCGATCTCGGGACCGCAGCCATCGCGACAGAGAGTCAGCCCGTACCGCTATCGAAGAAGAGCATAATACAGAGGAGAAAGCGGTTCATTCTGGCAGCGAGGAAGGTGAAATCGAGGAGGGTTAGAGGCAATCTTATGAATTATGATGCGCAACTTGGAAAGTTTTGGGTTTGCTGGGTAAGTGAGAAATCTCAGCCTAACCCCGGACATACTATTTTTTCATCTTGCTCGGTGAAGTTGTTGGTCTAGCGATGATTTAATACACTTAAACGAAGTACTTTTTGGGAATAGAGGAATATGATCGAGGTGTAAATATAACTTTTTGGAAGAAATCGTTTTCAGTCCCCTACAAAGTATGTAATTACATTTTTATGTAGTCTACTTGCGTATTCACAGATTCAGAAGACGATGCTCATTGGAATCAAATATTGAAATGGATTGAAACGAGTGTGTTATACCTAAGTATGTAAGATAAAAAGCACATGACTGGCAGCCTACAATGGAGTAGCCTGTATACAAGAAATTCAATGACTGTTGCGCAAACGGGTTCTACAAGAAGATCCTGTCAAGTTATCGTAAGAACTTTTGATTTTCGCCATGGTCACAAGGGGAGCCCTTGAGACATATAATCTCCTTCATGTCCACGAACCCGGTTTGCACATTGGCAATGCTGGAGTCCACTGATGTTCTAAGCTTCGTTCTGTCCCATATACGTCCGCTTTAGGCTAGGAATGCGCAGAATTGGTTGTCCAGCGGTTTGGAGGGGAATTGAAGTGGAAATCAATGGTGTGCACAGTGGAGATGTCGACAAAGCATCATCCTCCTCGTCATCATCATTGTCAGCAGTTTCATCAGCACATGAAGAATGGGCCAGAGACTGCCTCCGAACGCCTAAAAATGCTCCGACCCGAACGCCCTTTTTTCTTAACAGAAACCATCGACGCCGTTTATAAGCATCGCGTCTATCGTACCATCGACGATCGCGACGATCCTTCTGTGGGACGCCCTTTTCAACTCTCTTCTTCCAAGAAGAACTATCGATCAGTTAGCAAGATGTTACAGTCACAGGGAACGATTAGAGGGATATTAATAGAAATACATACGTAGTTGCCGTTCAACTTCTGCTCCTGATCAAGCTGACTCTGGTACTTGTTGATTCGAGGACGGAAACTGTTGGGATCACGACGGAAAGTCACGTCCAAGTTCTTAAGGAATCTGTTGCAGCCAGTGAGAAGCGATTCAGGCTCATTGGCGTGAGCATCGATGGATGGCTTCCCATCGAACACAATGACACGATCAGCGAGATAAGTAGCCATGATGAAATCGTGCTCGACGATGAAGGCAGTCTTCTTCGTGTTCATGATGAATCGTTTAATGACACGCGAAGCAGTAATTCTCTCTATTGTAATAAAGTCAGTATACGGAGGGTTGATGATTAAAAGGCAAGAATATGAAACTTACGCTCCGCGTCAAGATAAGCGGAAGGCTCGTCAATCAGATAAATGTCGGCTGGAATACCGAGAGCGAGGACGATAGCAACACGTTGCAATTCACCACCGGAAAGATTTTGAACTTCCTGATCAATGAAATCATCAATCCTGAGAGGCTTGTAGACATCAGTCTGGAACTGTGGGTTGAGGAAAGCAGCCTTGATTCTCTTGAAGAACAGTTGTCGAACTGTACCCTGGAACTTGGGAGTGATCTTCTGTGGCTTCATGCTGATATTCATTCGAGGAATTGAAATAGTCCCGTCTGGCTTCTCAGCTCCAGCAAGCATTTTGCAGAACGTGGTTTTACCAGTTCCATTTTCACCCATCTATTAGCCATCTGGGTTAGCAACCATTGTAGCAAAAACAAGAAGCATCACTTGAATTTACCAGAACAATAATCTCCGAATCAGTGAATTTACCCGAGTCGATGGACAGGTGGAAGTTGCCCATAGTCTTTTCCATCTTAGGATAATGGAACGCTCGGCCCTTGTCAACCAAGAAATCATCACCAGCCTCGGCAATGCGGAAGGTCAAAGACTCCTCGCGGAAACGCAAGTTCTCGGTGGGGATATGGCCATCAAGGAAGATGTTGATACCTTCACGAACAGACGATGGCAGAGTAACAACACCGTAGACAGCTGGCCGACCGTACAGTACACAGACGAAGTCGGAAAGGTAGTCCAAAACAGACAAATCGTGCTCAACAACGATAACATAGTCATCAGGGCGGAGCAATTCTCGAATAGTACGGGCAGCAGCAAGTCTCTATTAGATTGTACGTCAGTTGTTGCTAGCGATTGAATGCGGAGATTTAGGCTCACCTGACGGATGTCGAGGTAGGAACTGGGCTCGTCGAACATGTACCTATAATCGCCGAGACGTCAGATAATTGTTTTTGCACATTCTTCACAAGACGATACTCACACATCCGCCTGTTGCACACAGACTAAAGCCAAGGCAAAACGCTGTAACTCTCCACCAGAGAGGAGGTTGATGTCGCGGTTCTCGACCTGCTTAAGCTCTAACCGTTCTATTAGCGCCTGCTGAGCATCACATGTAGGATCGAAAATCCGAACCAAGTACGTCCATAATGTGTTCCATGTTGTCCATTTGGGAACGAGCCTCGATTAGAGGACCGACCTCTTTCACAGGGCCCTTGACCGCTCTGGGAATCTGGTCGACGTATTGAGGCTTGACGACAGCCTTCAAGTTGTCTTCGAGGACTTTCGTGAAGTAATCTGTTGACACGTAAGGAGGTTTTCAGCCCAAATGATGTTGATGATCCACATACTCTGAAGTTCGGATCCACGGAAGTATTTCAGAATCTCCTGCCAGTCAGGGGGGTCGTCATAGCGGCCGAGATTGGGCTTGAGTTTACCACTCAGGATTTTCAGGGCCGTACTCTTTCCAGTACCGTTTGCACCGACTTTTCAGGGGTCAGTGAGAATCTCATTGCGGTACCATCGCAGGTAACCTACCTAAACCGAGCACCTGACCAGGCCGAGGCATAGGCAACCGATGCAACTTGAAGCTATTTGCCGAGTAACGATGGGTGACTTGTGTCTCAAGGTTGGTCGGCAAATTGATAATGTGAATGGCTCCGAAAGGACATTTCTTAGGGCAGATACCGCAACCGATACAGAGGCGCTCGGAAATGAAGGCGATTTTGGATTCCGGTGTCACTTCGATACAGAGCTTGCCTGTGCGTACCACAGGGCAAGACTTCTTGCACTCTTGACGGCATTTCTAGAGGAAGTATTGCCATTAGTATGCTTTGTTAATATCATCTCATCATCAGGATAGTAAGAAAAATCTACCTTGGGCTTGCACTATACGTGTGGCCACAATGGCGCAGCATTAGCATTTGCTCTCTTGAAAATGGTCAGAGAATGGATCGTCATAGGGAACGGACCTTGTCACTATTGACAATAGCAATTCTAAGCATAGTTAGCATCTGATTCAGCTTCTTTTCTTGGACTGAGAAAGGTGTTACCTTGTAAGTTTGTCCGACATGATGCCGTATTGCTACCGTCGCGATGGTCTGCGGTTTGTAAGTTAACCTTCAGACTCAAATAATAGTCCGAGTCTGATCCGGCCGGAATGGAGAGCGTACCAGATACAGGAATCAAAAGCACAGTTCTCCTGCGTCACAGAAGCGATCACCTTGGACCAGAGGCGTGGTGATATAAGATGGAGGGGTATCGAAGAAAACCTGCACAAAATTGTGGGATGTCGCGGTGGAGCCTTCCCGCAACTAAGAGAGTACCTGATCTTTGATGCCTGAGCCCTCAGGCATCTGATATCTATTAAATAAGCAAGTCATGATTGGCCCCGCTATATCTCACCCAAAATCGCTCGAGTCACCGAATTGTTCCTACAAACGCGATTCCGACAATGAATCTATGACACACACAATAAAGAAATTTCGTTTTGTCTCTCTAACCAGAATGAGTACCGACAATATTGCTGACTGAACAATTACCCGACTAACAGCCAATCAGCAGGCATTCTCGGCCGCCAAGCCATCCCGCAGCCTTGCGGCCTCAGGCCACAAGGCAGGCGCCCGTGCAGTCTGCTGGCTTGCCCAGTGCTGGCTTTCTACTCGCTGTTCCACTTCCTTCACCCACACCAACTTCCCTACATTCCACTACTGTAACTCACCTTCCCAGCGTCCGCAGATCTCGACAGGAAATCTTTTTCTCACCATCTTTCTCAACACCACATTTCTTTATTTTACTTCTATCCATTTTTACAAATTGATTCTCATCCATATCTCCCCCTCTTCGGGGTCACCACGTCTGTCAAGGTAGGTTTTTTTCCCCGTTCAGCTGCCTAGACGCGTCCTGGCTCAGTTGGAGTACTTCAACTTCATCCGTCGACCCACTCACCACTGTCATGATATTGTTCTCTCTGTCTCTGGAGCCTTTGTCCTTATAGAAGGCATTCCTCTCTGCCTCTCTTCCCTGTTGTGCAGGTCTTTCTGATGTCTGCTTTTCAGCCTCGTGTATGGCCTGCCCTCTTGTCATCCATCTCCGCTCTCTGCATCGGACTTCTATCAAAAAACACATCCGTGCATCAAATCTTCCATTACTCAAGCACTCCTGCACATTTCTCTGCTCTATACATGATCTTCCTGGTCGCGTACCTTTCCTGATCACTCCTATATGCGTTTAGTCGCTCCTATTGATCGCTGGAACTCGCAATGCTAACATCTTTGTCGTCCTCCAGCAGATAGCATGGTGTACCCATCCGTTACCGAGTTGTCCTCCGGGACCGAAGCTTCAAAGCCATTGACAAATGGCTATAACGGCTATGACCACACATCTTCTTCAGACCGCGCCAGCGACCAGGAGGACCTTGCTATGTCTGATCCTGAAACTGCAACGTCCAATTCATCCCACGTCGGCACTAACAACCATACGGCCGCTGATGACGCCAATCATCGCGCATATTCCCCTACAGAAAACTCGAGCTATGATGATTCAGATCTTGAGAGCCGTCGCGGAAATCACTCCAGGAACGGCTCTTCCGCGTCATCATCATCAGCCTCTAGTCGCGACATGAAACGGAAATCGCCTGTCAATGAGACAGACTATATTAGAAGTAATCCGGAACTTTATGGGCTTCGCAGGAGCGGCCGCTCTAGGACTGAGCGTCGTCAAGCACTAGTAGACTCCGAAGATGACGAAGAACCCAAAGCGCCACGTTCCAAGAGAAGACGGATTATCAATTCACAGCCGCCCTCGAAACAGTCTTCTCGATCAGTAACCCGGTCGTCTCCTTCAGACTCAGATACAGACGAGTACGGCGCTACTTCCAGTCGTACAGCACGGCATCGTCAATTGAAAGCAGCCACGGTCAATGTCGCAGCCGAGGTACGTTTTTCCAGCAGAAATGCTACCAAGGTTGCAAATTACAACGAAGACTCAGACGACATGTTTGAGGAAGACGAAGAAGACCCTACACCAAATGGTGCGGCTACGACACAGTATTACAGCGGTCCTGGCATCGATTCTGTCCTCGATCACCGACTTAAAGATGGGGTTGACCCGGGCATCAGTGATATCGATGTCACCATCCGCGACTGTCTCTACTACATCAAGTGGCAAGACCAATCCCACTATCATGCTACTTGGGAGTCTAGCGATGATTTGAAGTACCACAGTGGTTTTCGCAGACTTGAGAACTACTTCAAAAACAAAGTCAAGACCGATCTCTACTTGAATAATGACCCTGACGTGGCACCGGAAGAGAAAGAAAAGTGGAACCTCGATCGTGAGCGTGACATCGAGTCATTAGAAGACTACAAGAAAGTGGAGCGTATTATCGGTCATCGTGAAGGTCCAGAGGGAACCGAATATTTCGTGAAGTGGAAAAGACTGAATTACGACTCTTGCACCTGGGAAAGCGATTCACTAATCAAAGATATCGCCATTGACGAACTGGATAAGTTTCTCGATCGCAATGACAAAGTTGTTACTTGCGACAAACGTGAGATGCAACCTAAGACAAGATCGCCCCATGTACCCATTACTGGATCTCCAAGTTTCCTACAAAACGGCCAGCTGAAGGACTTCCAGGTCAAGGGTCTGAATTTTCTGGCTTATAATTGGTCTCGCAATCAGAATGTGGTTCTCGCTGATGAGATGGGTCTCGGCAAGACCGTACAAACCATTGCATTCATGAACTGGCTTCGTCACATTCGTATCCAAGATGGTCCGTTCATTGTTGTTGTCCCCCTGTCGACGATCCCTTCCTGGTCGGAGACGTTCGACTACTGGACACCGGATGTGAATTATGTTGTCTACACTGGTTCCAGTGCAGCTCGACAGATCATCAAGGATTATGAACTGATGAAGGACGGGAACCCCCGGAAGCCGAAGTTCAATGTTTTGCTTACAACATTTGAGTATGCCAATATGGACTTTGACTTCCTGCGACAATTCCCATGGCAGTTCATGGCTGTGGACGAAGCCCATCGTCTGAAGAATCGAGAGTCGAATCTTTACGCAAACCTTCTCGATTTCAGATCGCCTGCTCGACTTTTAATTACCGGAACTCCCATTCAAAACAATTTAGCAGAGTTATCAGCATTGATGGACTTCCTTAACCCCGGTTTAGTTGAGGTTGAGGTGGATATGGATTTGAGTTCTGAAGCTGCTTCTGAAAAACTGGCTAAACTTCAGAATACTTTGAAGCCTCTTATGTTACGGCGTACGAAGTCTAAAGTGGAAACTGATCTTCCACCCAAGACTGAAAAGATCATTCGCGTTGAATTGTCAGATGTTCAACTTGAATACTACAAGAATATTCTGACAAAGAATTACGCTGCATTGAACGAAGGCGCCAACGGCCAAAAGCAATCTCTGCTCAACATCATGATGGAGCTAAAGAAAGCCAGCAATCACCCGTTTATGTTTCCAAATGCCGAAGCAAAACTTTTGGAAGGCAATACGCGCCGCGAAGACCTTCTGCGTATCATGATTACCAGCAGTGGCAAAATGATGCTTCTTGATCAGCTGTTAGCTAAACTCAAACGTGACGGCCATCGGGTTCTAATTTTTAGCCAAATGGTGAAGATGCTCGATATCCTCGGTGACTACATGCGATTTCGGGGATATCAATATCAGAGGCTTGATGGTACGATCAGTGCTACGAATCGTAGAGTTGCTATGGAGCATTTCAACGCTCCTGATAGCTCTGATTTCGCATTCCTTCTTTCTACCAGAGCGGGCGGCCTTGGAATCAATCTCATGACCGCCGACACCGTCATACTTTTTGACTCTGACTGGAACCCACAAGCCGATCTTCAAGCAATGGCTCGCGCACACCGAATCGGTCAAACTAAACCTGTGAGTGTTTATCGTCTCGTGTCTAAAGACACTATCGAAGAGGAAGTGTTAGAACGTGCCCGAAACAAACTTATGCTTGAGTTTATTACAATCCAACGAGGCTTGACGGAAAAGGATGTCCTTCCGGGCAAACACAATCGGTCTGTTGGAGAGCCTACTGGGACTGATGAGATCTCACGTATTCTCAAGCGACGCGGACAGAAAATGTTCGAGCAAACAGGAAACCAAAAGAAATTGGAGCAGCTCGATATTGATTCTGTTCTCGCCAACGCTGAAGAACACAAGACAGAACAAGCTGAAGGGTTGGAGGCTGATGGTGGCGAGGATTTCCTCAAATCGTTTGAGTTTGTCGACGTCAAGGTCGATGAGATGAGCTGGGATGATATTATTCCCAAAGAACAACTTGCTGAAATCAAGGCCGAGGAAAAGCGTAAAGCGGACGAGAAGTATCTAAGGGACGTGATCGACCAGAATCGCCCTCGAAAACGCAGTGCACCCAATGATGCATTTGATGAACGGGAAGAACGCAAAGCTAAACGTCGAGCTCGAGCTCAGGTCAACTTGGAAACTGCAGACGGCTCTGAATCTGAATCACAAGATCCCAAGCGCTCACTCAAAGAGAAGGAACTTCGTCATCTCATCCGAGCATTCTTGCGTTATGGAGATATTGAGGAACGTGAGGAAGATGTCGTACGCGAGGCGCGCCTTGTTGGGCGTGATAGGGAGACGGTTAAAGCTGCACTCCAGGAAATTATCGACAAAGCATCTGAGTTGGTAAAAGAGGACAGACAAAAGCTAGAGGAGATGGAAAGGTCAGGCAAGATTCCCACCAAAAAAGAGAAGAAGGCAGTCCTTTTCGATCATCAGGGTGTGAAGCGAATCAACGCTCACACCATTGTCGAGCGTCCAGAGGAAATGCGCATATTGCGTACAGCAACCAAAGGGTTGACTGACCAAACTAGCTTCCGCGTTCCTGAAGCCTCAAAGAAGGCTGACTATACTTGCTCCTGGGGTGCGCGCGAAGATGGGATGCTTTGCATTGGTATTGTCCGCCATGGCTACGGAGCATGGCCGGAGATCCGTGACGATCCTGATTTGGGGCTGAAAGACAAGTTCTTCCTCGAGGAACATCGTGTCGACAAGAAAAATGAACGCGCCAATGCTGAGGAGAAAGGAACAAAGTCACCTGGAGCCGTCCACCTCGTACGGCGTGCCGATTACCTGATTTCAGTCTTAAGAGACAAGAGCTTGAACGGTCATAGTGTAACCGCTAGAAAGGCTGTCGATAACCATAATCGCAACAAGAAACTACAAAATAACCAACGGCGACAGTCCAGTATCTCCGCGTCTCCGGCTCCTTCGAGTTCCCGGAAAGCTCGTCGTGAATCAGAGAAGCCTCGTCAGCGGTCCCAAACGAATGGTCCTCGCGACAGCATTGAGCGTGCCAACACTCCTAGAGCTGAACCTGTAAAAATCAAGAATCTTTCTGCTGCTGGTAAGGTCCAGAAACGTGTACGTGTTCAAAATGGAGTACATGGGGAGCGTTCTCGACGCCGCAGTCCCAGTTCTACTGCACCTCCGGCTTCAATGGAAGATTTATTCTTTGAACCAAAAGCCCACTTGCTAGCTAAACTTCGTGACGTGAGAAAGAATAATCCTGACAAGGACCAACGTGCCAGCGAGATGCGCCGCCTCATCCTGAAAATTGGAAATTACATCCACCATCTCCTGCGCATTGACAATTACCCAGGGCTGGAAGATAGGCTCTGGTAAGGATATTGCCTTTCATATATCTATAGACCTTGACTAATTTTTACAGGGAACACGTCGCTAAAACCTGTTTTCCTCCTGGCAAAGCCACTCTCAGTTCTATAAAAACGATGTATGAGAGGGTAGTTGCGAACAATCGAGACACAGCTACTACTGCCAGGTAGTGGATTGTAACTTTGCCATTTGTCACACTGGAACAATTGTCACACAAATCGGGCTTGCGAGTGTCTAGGACAAGCAAGGACTGTCACCAGCGAATTTTCGAAGGGTAGCAATCATTCATTATTCACTTGTGGATTGCGGCAATACTTGCAAGGTGACAATGTCTGTCTTGGCTGACGGCCCTCCATTGCGCTGTGTACAGGGTGGGTGTTTTCCCTCCTTTGCAATGTTGATGGGCAGTTGCATCGTGTGCAACATCAGTCTTGGCTGATGCCCTCCATTGCACTCTGTAGGGGTGTTTATTCCCTCCTTTGCGGTGTTGTGATGGGTGCTTTGTAACGACGCCAACCATGTCGGTTCGCCCCTTTGACAGTCCACGGTCCTTGCTTATCGAGTTGAACCTTGCGCTTCCTTACCACCTTTCAATCCGTCTATTACATGAAACGAGGTCTCGATACATATAATTCCACCGACAGCTGGGTGTATTTCTTACTTTTGTTTTTCACTACTGGTCCTATTATGCATTTCAAGCGTGGAGTTTGGGTATAAGACGAGACGTCTACATGATACATATGCCGCATTGCATGGACAGACGCACAGAAATGATGACGCCTGTACGAGAGTTGAGCGCAGTGCTTTTTTCCATTTCTTCATTTGTCTTCGCTTCTAATCTTGTACCTTCACTGCCTGTCCATTACATGCTTTCCATGTTAACGGACGGATTCGAGGTGTCGTATCTTGCTCATTACCTTTTTTATCGGCCACTGTTGCCAAGCAGGAAATGGAGTTAGTGTACATAATGGCGTCGTGCTTGAAATGATCTGGGCGTTGCATTTTTGGGAGTTAAAAGACAGTTCAACTTGAGGATCTAGAGTCTTTTGGGGTGGGATGCTGTTGACGATGTATGTAGTACAAAATTTTTGAAGCTCAATGAATGATACCATTCCATTCCAAGACCAGAATATATGTGCATGTTCTTCGTATTATAAGTCACCTAACTTTGATAGATAATGAAGCTACCTACTTAGAGGCTCAGATTAAGAATGTCAAGAATAGGAAGTAAAACTCGCAATCAAGGTACTGATGTGTATCCTGAGGCCTCAAATATTTTTAAAACATTACAAGAAAAAGATATTATATTCCACCCAGAACACAGACGCCATGCAAAAAGAGGACAAATTCAATCAAAAGAACAGAAAATAGACTCCGGCCCATGAAACATTGGTGTACATCAAAAATGGTTATAGCAAGGGAAATAGTGCATTGCTGATATATCAAGCAACGACCTCCTCAGCACCGTTCTGGGCATTCCCACTCTCCTTATCTGCCTCGCGCTGTGCGTCATATACGATTTTGGATAAGCGTCCCTCCGCATCAATGACTTCAGTGAGAGCAGCCTCCTTTTCGAAAAATGCTTCTTTCCGTTTTGGCTCTAATTCCTGCCACTGTTGCTTGAGTTTGGAGGTTTCAATCTCGGCCCAGTGTACCTGGCGGCGGAGGAGTCTATAAAGTTGACTAGGAGGTAGAGCAAGCTCATGTGCATCAAATCCCAGGTCCGGTGTGAACTCGGGCACGGGTACCAATTCAGCTTCCTGGCCGTCGACGTTCCCGGTAGTACCTCCTTCGCCGTTCGTCGAGGACGGCGTGTCTTCCCTAGGACCGAAATTGAGTTTCAACTTGATACGTTGGACTTTGTTGATTGGAGTCGCTGTGTTTTGCTGATTGTTGAGGAGTTGACTTTTGGGAACGGGATCTGAGGGCCGGAGTGCTTCTGTCTCGTGAACTGTGCGCATATGTTTCGCAAGGGCATCGGAGCGAGTAAAGCTCCGGTCGCATTCTAGGATTTGTCTTAGTAAGTGACAGAGTAAGAGAACTATTTCAAATACCTGGAAGTGCGCAGTAGAACGGTTTTTCTCTCGTATGACTTCGCATGTGTGCGCGCAGCGCATATCCGCTGGCATGTGTTTGTCCTTTGCGACTGCAATCTATCCATTCGCAGGAGTACTTCTTCTGTCGAGTACCGATGTGGTCATCATGGATATGATTGACCAGATTATCCATATTTCCAAGATCGCCGGCCTCACAACCATCCCAGCGACATATCGAGACTTGGTCACCTCCTTGACCACTATAGTCGTCGTCCTGACCACCACCGATCAATGCGAGGAGCGAAGGGGAGTTTGGTATTTCGCCATCGGTATCCGATGAGATCGGACTCGAGGGTGAGGTAGGCAAGATATCACCTTGGACGGAGGATATAGGCGTATGATGGTCCCAGGATGCAACACCTGTGCGGCGACGTTTAGATGGTGGCATGCTTGAAACTGAGGGTGAGTGGCCATCTTTGTCCAGCTTGGTGTCCTCGGTCAATTCATCGGACGCGATGGATGAGAGGGGAGAGCCGGGCGAATCGGCCATAGTGATGATAAATAGAACGTTGAACTTATTTCAAAGATCCTCGCTCAAAGTTATCCAGTAGTTTTGCTTTAACGAGGTAATTGTAGCGCGCCGTGAGCTGGAGCGATGAGAGTTGAGGTTCGAGTCAAGTAGTACTGGGCACGTGATTGCGGAGGCTTACAAGGGATTGAAGCTTCCAAGAGTTCCCCCATTATTTTTCTCTTTCTCCATTATTTCTCCTGTGTGCGCACACAAAGAGCTCCATACTCAACAAAAAATACTGGAAATTGCTTTCAGAGTAGTCCTGACTTATCCAGAATACATCTTTCTGTACACTATTCTTCTGTGCAACGCAAAGTTTTTCTCTTTTTTTCTCTTTTTTTTTCTCTCCTCTCAATCATTCATTATTCCACGGAACAGCATTACCTACGAAGACACGTAGTAGCTGTAGCAGGTATGTTGTGACCCTCAGTTCTGAAGCGCAAGCATTCATTATGATGATCAAAAAAGAGAATTCTGCAATACTGACAATTTCCCTCTGCACGAGGCGAAGTTGATTGTTGACAAACTCTACACTTGACCTGATTTTGCACTATTCTATACAATATACCCATCAATTATATCTATCTTGCGACGAAGCTAATGTTTATGGAAAAGATTTAAGTAGATCTTCAGTTAATATTCATGAATCATGCAACTCGATCATAGAAACATTATGTGCTGCGCTAATAGCGAGTCCCCTTGACCTCATGCTTCTTCAACAAGGCATCGACTTCCGCCATTTCCTCATCCGTCAAAGTTTCAACACCCTGCATGTTCTGTATGACTTTGTCCTTAGTCGTTCCACCCGGAATTGGAATGATAGTAGGTAGACCAGGCTTGTCACTCAGACTTCGCACCCATGCAAGAGCGATCTGTGCGGGAGCAACACTCTTCCGCTTAGCCAAACTCGCAACCTCCTGGATAAGCTTCAGATTGTTCTCGTAGTTGCCGTCATGAAACTTGGGCACGTGACGCCGGAAGTCTCCCTCTGGAATATCCGTCAATTTGGTGATTTCTCCGGTGAACGCACCTCGACCTAGTGGGGAGTACGCGATGACGGGGATGTTGAGTTCAGCGCAGGTTTTAGCAATGTCGTTTTCGAGTATGTCGAGCGACCAGAGGGATAGTTCAACCTCTACTGCAGCAATAGGATGGACCTTGTGTCTTTTGTTTCATTAGAGAAGCCTTCCTGCGTCCCTACATCAGGGCCATATCGGAACTCACGCTCGTCGGATAGTCTCAGCATCAACCTCACTCAAACCAATACCTCCAATCTTACCCTCCTTAACCAGCTTAGCCAAAATCGTAACCGTTTGCTCGACAGTTGTTTTAGGATCCTGTCGGGCACACTCAAAGATGTCAATCGACTTTGTGCCCTTCAACACTTTCAAACAGTCATCAACACTACGACGTATATTCTCTTCCGAGCCATCTGGTTGGAGCCCGCCCTTGACCGTGCCGCCCTTGATGCTAAGTACGACCTTATCCGCGTTTTGAGGGTATTTCTCAAAATACGCCTGTAGCAAGTGACACGAATTATAGTTGGATGTTCCGTAGATTTCGCCGCCATTCCAGAAGTTGGCGCCGAGTTCGAGGGCTGTGTTGAGGGTTTCGAAGCAGGTTTCTTTAGGAGGCGGGGAAGGGTTCCATGTCATGCCTGTTGTGAGACGATCAGATTACCTGGGTTCAAGTACGAATTGATCTCAGTATTTGGGGCGTACGCATGAGTCCATAGCCTGTAGAGCCGACTTGCCTTCCGAGAAGAGTAGGCATGTCGGATGGCCTTTGTTGAATTGTTTTGGTAGATAGTGCTTTTCAATTTGCCACTTTGGAGGCTGAAATGCTTTCAATCGATTTATTCGAATTGAGTTTGAAGGGCAGAAGAATGGTTATCTTGCGTCGTGGTCTCTGTGCTTCTTATATCTAGTATTTTGGTCCACGAGTTGTTGGCTGTTCCGGGAAAATATTGCTGTGTGAGGTATCCCCGCACTGAATGACCTCATGCGTCCAATTGATAAGTTACATAAGGCCGATCCGGAACTCCTAAAGCGCTTACACTTTACTCTGTTAGTCAAGTATCTACGAATCCAGTTTTGATATTTGATTTGTCAGAATAAGTAGCTTGAAATAGGGTTAAGGCGTTAAGCTTATCGTAGACCGATCTCTAGGCCGATATGATCGGACTAACTGTTTAAACCCGCCCGCTTCTCTAGATAGTCATTAAACTCCATTTTCTGTTGACTCGCAGTTCATGATGGCCAGTGTCGATCATTGCGGTCTTTTCTTCGGATAACGGCTATTTCCATAGTATAAACTCGGAATAGGGTTTCATTGATTCCAACGTTAGGGCTAAGTTTTTAGCAAGAGGGACACTTAAACATCATATCTGCATTGATTGATCATTAATAATAGCCAACCTCTACCTATTTTATCATAGCTCGTAACTCCTCCCTCATAAGTATATACGTGCCCACCATCTTATCGTTGTATGGATCTCCTTACTAAATAACCCTAATACTTTGCCCTAACCGCAAACAACTCGATAATCCACTAGAGCATATCTATTTCCGGTACGACTTCTCAGACTCATCTGTGGGTGTGAACAAATCCAAGAAATGTTTGATCTTGGCAAATTGAGATTCATACGAAGGTAGTTGGGGATTGGTATAGGATGCTGTCGGGGTGGAGTCAAGATCGTCATTGGAAGACTCCTCATTCACAGCTGGAGCGTCGATATTGTCCGGTATACCTGTAGTAGTAGTTTGAGCAACTAGGGCCTCGCTAGCTTCAGGAACATTGGTATTTGTAGCGTCTTGAGGAGAAGGTGGGACAGCTGCTGGAGGCAGGTTTGCTTTTGTGATGTCTTCAGGGGGAGGGAAGATAGGAAGAGGCGTCGAGGAGGGAGACGGATTTTCATCTTCATCAATATCTGGAAACCGAGTTGGGAATACATTGACCGGTACATAGACGGTTTGAGTAGGAGCAGTAGCATCGCCAGCACCAGTAATAGTATTGGATGGGGTGAAGGATGTAGATGGGTCCAGTGCATCTGCAGATTGAGATTGTTGAGCACTCTGGGCCGGTTGCATGACTTCGTTGAGATCATCTTCATTGTCACCATTCTCATTGCCAGGTCTAGGGGACGGAGAAGCAGTAGCTGTACTTGGTAGGGTGGTGGTAGGTGTAGACGAGCCCTTAGTACTAGGCTGCGATGGTTGAACATTTTGAGCGGGCTGCATGACCTCGACGTCGTTTTTGATTCCATCTTCGTCGTCATTGCCGTGAGTAGGGCCTGAAGTTGGGATAACAGTAACGGTGGCTGTATTTGATGGGATATCGCTTGGTGCAGAGCCATGAGTAGTAGCAGGTCTTGATGGTTGAACGCCCTGAACCGGCTGAGCTACTTCATCATCATCATCATCTTCTTCTTCTTCTTCTTCCTCGTCCTTGTTATCGTTATTATTCGACCTCGGAGAGGATTCAGTAGTATGTTCGTGTTTGTGACCATCTTCGTCTTCATCGTCGTCGTCGTCAATATCACTCTCGTCATCGTCGTGGTCTTCCTCCTCACCATCCCCGTCGTCTGGCAACTTCCCTTCAGCTGCCAATGCACCCTTCTTCCTCGCCTCCTTGACCCATTCTTGAATGTCTTTATTGTTGGGAATCTTGTAATCCAGATCCGCCAGGTAATGGTCGACATCAAATGGGTTTTTGAATCTCTGTTATAATGTCAGTGATGCATTCTTAACTTTCCAAAGAGCTAGATTAGCTTTGCCTACCGGATTCGGTGATCTTGGTGTCAAATGATGAGACTCTGAAGAAAAGTCGTCTATGTGACGGTGTATGGGATATGAGTTTGCGATATCTGAGATGGCATAGAGTGCGAATAAAGCTTTGACTGACACCATTATCGCTGTTACCCGTTTTTCTCGACTGAATTCAGGGCCTTTGATAGGAATAGACCCGGCCAAGATGTAGCAGTCGTCTATCGGATAAACTGCAAGCTTCTTCGCCGACAATTGCATGATAGCGACCTACATTTTATAAAGGGATATCCCACCAAATCGAACGAAGTGGCTAGTACCTAGGTGACAAGAATTCCCACAAAGAATATCTGAGCGTGGCCATTCACAATAAACATACTTGACTTCGCGTACCACACTTGCCAAAAAGTACAGCTTTCGAAAAACAGGGCTGAACCACCCACGCCTAAGAAGTAAGAAAATTCCATCCAAAGGGATAACCCAGTTGCCTGCCACTTCATTGGAATGTATCACTGACACAATCTTATCAAAAATGCGTTTTTGTGCATATTATCGAGGAGGGGCATTGTGTCTGAGGTGAACATTCTTTATGGTGTTGGAGGAATGTAGAGCTTTAGGGCTAGGGCTTGTCCTTCGAAAGACCTTGTCCCATTTCAACGGGATTTCTATTAAGCCATGTTCACTCTTTCGAGCACATGGACACTTTTGATGGTACAACTAGCATGAAATTCGAAGGGAAGTATTAACATGTTTCAATAACTCTATACGGACTGGGGATATCGTCGGAGAGTTGTGTATTCGGCTCTAGTTTAGGCTTGGAACCATTTGACGTAACCAAAGTCGATGATTTCGATTCAGTTTGTAATCTTGTAATACACAACAAAGGAAAGAGTCTGGATATCATGTGGCTTTCATGTGTTGGAAAGTCCAGACATATAAGCAGAAACCAATGTTTCACTATTCCATGGTCGTAAAGATCACGCCTCCCTCACACCCAAGTCCTGGACCACAAAAGATTAAACCCAAGATAGAATCAAATGCTGAATGAAAAAAAGTTTAGACTTTTCTTTTTTAGGGGAATCAAAAGTGCTAGCCGTTGAAGGCCAAATGCTCATGAGTTCTGTTCAACCGAGAACTCTAATAGTATATGTCTGTTCATAACATCGTAAACTCATGTTGAAAAAGTCTATATGTGTCACCATGCGCCAAAGAGAAAATGGAGATCCCAGGGTATCATGTCCTCGTTTAGTAGCGGTAGATATCGCTCTTGAAAGGACCAGCAGCATCCAAGCCAAGGTATTCAGCCTGGACAGGAGTGAGAGTAGAGAGCTTAGCGTTGACGTGCTCCAAGTGGAGCTTGGCAACCTGCTCGTCAAGAATCTTGGGCAAGACATAGACACCAACAGGGCGCTTGCCCTCGTTGCCGAACTCGACGTACTTGGCACCGAAAGCAGCATCTCCAGCCTTATAGAGAGCGATCTGGGCCAAGACCTGGTTGGAGAAAGAGCAGGACATGACGAAAGAGGAGTGGCCAGTAGCACAACCCAAGTTGACGAGACGACCCTCGGCCAAAAGGATGATGTGACGACCGTTGGGCATGAGGAAGCGGTCAACCTGAGGCTTGATGTTCTGGACAGAATTAGCGTTGGCCTTGAGCCAGGCAACGTCAATTTCGATATCGAAGTGACCAATGTTACAAACAATGGCATCGTTCTTCATGACCTCGAAGTGGCGGCCAACGAGGATGTCACGGCAACCAGTGGTGGTGACGAAGATCTGACCATGAGGAGCGGCCTCCTCCATGGTGGTGACCTGGAATCCAGACACGGCAGCTTGGAGAGCGTTGATGGGGTCGATCTCAGTGACAATGACACGAGCACCCATGGAAGCAAGAGCCTGAGCACAACCCTTGCCGACGTCACCGTAACCAGCAACGACAGCGACCTTGCCGGCAATCATGACATCGGTGGCACGCTTGATACCGTCAATGAGGGATTCACGGCACCCGTAAAGGTTGTCGAACTTCGACTTGGTGACAGAGTCGTTGACGTTGATGGCAGGGACGAGGAGCTTTCCCTCCTTCAACATGCGGTAGAGGTGGTGGACACCAGTGGTGGTCTCCTCGGAGACACCGTAGCAGTCCTTGAGCTGTTCGGGGTACTTCTTGTGGACAAGAGATGTAAGATCACCACCGTCGTCGAGGATCAAGTTGAGCTTCTTGCCATCCTTGAAAGCCTTGAGCTGTTGCTCCAAGCACCATTCGTACTCTTCCTCGGTCTCACCCTTCCAGGCGAAGCTATCACAAATGCGTTAGTCCGCATCCCAATTTCAAAAGCAACAGCGGAAGTGACGACTTACACAGGGACACCAGAAGCAGCAATGGCGGCGGCAGCGTGGTCTTGGGTGGAGAAGATGTTGCAGCTAGTCCAGGTGACTTCAGCACCGAGGGCAGTGAGGGTCTCAATGAGAACAGCAGTCTGGATGGCTACAGATTCGTTAGATTTTTTTTTCTTTTTCTTTTTCTTTTTTGGTTAGAAGCAACGTAGATATAAACATACTCATGTGCAAGCAACCGGCAATACGAGCACCGGCAAGAGGCTGGTCAGCAGCATATTTCGCACGGATGGCCATGAGACCGGGCATCTCAACCTCGGCGAGCTCGATTTCGCGGCGGCCGAAGGCAGCGAGCGACTAGCAATGGATTGTTAGCGATATATCCTGTTGACTCTGTCCATTAGCCTCGTAGTACGTACAATGTCGGCGACCTTGAATGTGTGGGCGGGAGCGGCCATTTTGTCTGATGTATGGGATAGAGGTCGGGAGAAAAAGGAACTAGATGCAATTGTAAGCTTCAATTAACTTTGTAGAGTACATTTGAGAGTTCAAAGATGCCTGGACTTACTCAAATAGTGTTATATGATACCAAGACAGAAGTGATTGAAGATAGAAAGAGTTTAAAAAGGTTGAAGCTGGCGGATTTATTTTTTTTTATGAGACGGCCGGCGAGCAGAGGCGAGGAGGGGTATTGGCGGAGACCGAAGATTTCTGCGTGGAAGGTACCTCCCCCACCAATCACAAGGCTACATGGCATTCTTAACCCGAAACACCCACAACCACCTCAACAGCTACGCATCACTTGCTGTCCTATCCAGGTGTGGCCCCACGAAACGTCCAATGTGGGAACATGGGGCTCGATGCTTTTCTTTCATTGAATACGTACACATTTTGACCCTGGATTAGTGCCCGAGCTGCAGTCTGACTGGTGGCGCCGGCGTGAGATGAGATGTTTAATTCGGAGTCCGAGAGAGTTCTCCATAACAGCTGTCCACCGGGTCCCTATTCACGTTTGATGCTCATTTGATATCGAGTTTTAATAGATGCAATTGTTCGATGCTGATAATATTTTAGTGTACAGAATACAGTGATCGACGCCTTTTCTCAGGAGATCCACGATTCACTTCTCGTTGCTTGATCCTAGGTGGTTCCCATCAACCATCAACCTCGACCAGGGTTATCAGCAAAATCCACCCCAGGCATCTTGTGTGTACGTAGAAGTTTGAAGACATAGTAATGGAGACAAAATTGAAAGAAAACGATATGGTCTATGTATTTTGAACTCCTATGAACACCTCTGGAAACGATCCGAAATCTAAGCCGAAGAAGACACCGATGCCGCTTCTAAAAATTGACGCCGATTGACACAATAAAGCAGAGGAAAGACAACCGAGGGGAAAAGAATATTGGATGCATGCAGAGGCAAACGTGATTGCAGCGCTAAATATGGTATCAAGTATGCCATAGAACATATTGGGTTTGCGAAAGTCGAAGATGCAGTCATAACTGGCGTGAGGGGAGACAATCGAAACTTCCTGGTTTTCGATTCGGTGTTCAGGCGTCTTGGTCCATCCAATCGGAAATCTCCCATGAAGACGCATCGTCACCGATAACTAATGCGAGCGTCTTGAACTCGATTTTGTCGTACATGACCGCCCCTGCAGCGCGCGCTTGTTTATGCCATGGGCCGGTACCACCTGCTCTTGCGTCCTCTCTGTTTCTCCACACACCTATATGAAATGTCAATCTCAAAGAATGAATATCAAATCCGCCAACTGCCACTTACAAGTTGCCAGGTTCTGATGATTCTCGTTTTTGGCGCCGAACCAATATTTCAACAAACCGCCACTGGCCACGGCTTCTTGATGAGAGTGGTAGTCGAGGTCATGCAGGCGTTGGCTGTCAATGACCGGTTTCAGAGTGGAGCGGAATGACACGACGTAGAAGCGTTGTCTTTTCCACTTGTAGCCTTCCGCAATCGAGAGATCACGCAAAAAATCGACAACCGCCTGCCAGTTGAAGGATTCCACATAAGGGGCGACAGCATAGTCATCGCGAATGGGCTTGAAGATTGTCAGGGCTTTTGCCAATAGTTGGTAAGGTGTCTCGAGAGTCTTCAAGTCTAGCAGGTTCAGAGGGTCGTTATATGGGGATGCGATCAAACGGTCGTCTGAGGTTGCAGCCAATTCATGGCGCTGCGTGCCGAACTGCAGCTGGAGAGCAGCAGCCGCATGGAATTGCAGAAGCCCATGGTCCTTTGTTACCAGCTCATGGTGGAAGAGAGAGCTGGGTGCTCTGAGAGTAACCCTGGGTGGCTCAACTGTGGTAGTTGCTGTTTCAACGTCGATAGCAGCCATTATTGCTCTTGCAAGTTGTGAAGTTTATCAGATATCTTTCCCCGGATTCTGCAAGACGAGACCCGCTCTGAAAGTACTAGTGCAGAAAGACCGGCGAGTCTGTTTAACGGCCCAATGCAACGAACTAGCCTGATTTGCGACAAGAAGCGAAAGACGACAAGTTAGATGGCTTGACAGTTCACGAATAACAATAAAAATGAAGAAGAGAGGAGAGAGAGGAGAGAGAAGAATCGACTGTTCCTTCCTTTTTATTACAGGTAGGTACGTAGTCAGATCACCTCGGGTCTTCCTCAAGGGGGACAATGTATGCTGTGATTGCTGGGGACCCATAAAAATGGTTCAAGATACCACAAAAATTGCGATTTACCCCAGCTCGTCACCGTGTAACTCGCTACGAGGAATTTCGTCTGAGCTTATTTATGTATGACAAAGGAATTTTTGCAGCGGTGAGAAATGCGCGGTGAGAGCGAAAATAAAATATCTCAAGCAATCTCATAAAAATTTTGTCAGAGCACGCCATACCTTACCACAATTTCACTGCCAGAAAAAAAGTAACGTCCCGAAATTTGGAAATGGATTCGGATTTCGGAACCCTCGCCAGAGGGCGGGGAGGCGGGTGTTTGTTGAGAGCAAAACTCCATTATTGCTACTTTTTACTAGATAAGGAAATGCTTCCCCGTACTGTTTGGCAGATAAAAGAGTTTTCTCTTAGCCACATAAGTTTCTTTTGTCTTGATACGTGGCAAGGCCTTTTAGCTGGTAAATATAGATTAGGGCTAGGTGATTAGATCAGGTACGAATGACCCCTTTCGGGAAAGGATACCAAGCTAAGTCGATCAAATCTTGTTAGTCAGTCCATTTCAGCATGCCACTAGAATCAAGGAGAATATTAGTATGATACAGTCAGCAATGAATCACTCTTACATACGTAGAAGAATTGCACAATATTGTGTGATATGGTGTTTCGTGGCAAATGCCTTAGTTGATAGTAAGCACGTCATTCAACCCCCTTGCCATCTCTGGGGAAGACTTAAGACGATACCGACGCCTGTAATATAGTCACTATCCGGCTAGACTTTGAGTAGGGCGGCGGGCTCTCTACATAAGAGAAAGGAGACATCGAAGCAAGTTGACTTGAATTTATATATATAAAGGAAAATTGGTATCATCACACCATGAGTCAAAAGCCCCCCAAACGCCAGTATAAATGCATATTTCAAATGGACATGCAATACGAGAAGAGAGAAAGAGATAAATCACTTCCTTAGAGGCACTGGTGGAGGTGCCATGTTGCCATCTCCAGTATTAACCTTTTTACTGGCTGGTACATCAGGAACCTTGAAACCACCATTGGCACCTTGCCCATTTTGAGAACCGACCTGAGTGAAAGTACCACTCTTGAACCATCGATCTTCTTCTGCCTTGCGCTTGCGATTGAGTTCAGCCTGGACTTTGGGATCGACCAATTCCAACCCTTGGACCGGGGTGAACGCAATGGAACTTGCCGTTCCAGCCGCGTTGATCGAGGTGCCAACACCCGACGTACGTAGGCCCTTTGCTTGAAGCACTGTAGCATTTCCAGGTGCCCGAAGAGATGAAGCAATTCCACTGATAGGGGTAGCTGCTCCCCAGCCCTTGTTGGATTTGCTAAGCCTAGCCCGCGTACGCTGATCAATCTGTGCCGCACGAATCCGACCATCATTCTCCTGTCCAAGCATACCCAATCCAACCGTACCATCACCAGTACCATATCCAGCTTCCTGCTCCTCTCTTCCAAACGCGACTCTATTTTGTGCTTTACGTATTTCTGTCATTGCCACAGCTTCCTTTGCTTTGCGTGCTCGTCGACCACCTCGCTTTCTGGCCGGTTTGTCATCCGGAGCAGGCAAAGCTCGGGGACCTTTGTTTGGTGGTGGCTCCGTAAGCTTGTCTAATCGATGGAAGCATTGCTGCTTAAGCTCCTCGCCCATAGACCCATCCGGACTGCTACGAGCAACATCAGCTCGGGCAGCCAAGACCATCTTGGCCGCCACAATCCGCATTGCCTGGCGTTTAACATCGTTCGGTATGTCCTGAATTATCGGCGAATGATATAGAAAACCTTGCTGTCGAATACCAACATTCGTTGCAAAACCCAGTCCTTCTTGCTTTTTAGAACCCTGAGCGGCCAGGTTACAGGCTGGAATTTTTGCAAGCTCAAGCAGTCCACCGGCTTGATTTAGGAACTGAGCAGCCGTTTGTGAACCAATAAGAGCCGTAAGATTTGGCGCGATTTCCGTCATACGAGATTGGACGCTCTCGATGCGCGCAGTTCGCTCGCGGTCTAGTTTAAGAATATTTTGGCACGTATCGAGCACAAGCTTAAGCTCCGCTTCTGACATCTCCCGACCTCGAGTGGATGTTCCTTCGACCGTAACAACCATAAGCGAGGGTCCATCGAGAACAGTATTGAGCGGAGCGCCAACGATGTTGTCGGAAGATGTAGACAGCTGCTTGATGTTGTCGAGCGGTCCATTTCCCAAGATCGCAACGGTCTTTGCGTAGTTGATCGGGTTCGTAATCAGGGTTTCAAGCTCCGGAAATCGTACCGAGTAGTGATCGCGTAGGAATTTATGTAGACGTGCCAGTTCGTCTGCTGCTGACATGGCAACCTCGAAATCATTCTTTACTGCAACACTTTCCTGCTCTGTCGTCTCGGGCACGATCTCCATTTCTTGACCTTCATTTTCGGCTCCATTTTCCTCCAGGTCTTCGACATCGGAGTCTTCGAAATCCCTCAACAGATCTTCAGCAGCCGACATTGTCGCGACAAAGTTGTTTGGCTTAAGTTGCAGGAGTCAAAAGGAAGGAATGACGCCACTAGCTTTTTTACGAAGCTGGAACTTCCCATAAGTCACGTGGCCATGATAGAAACTTTCGGGTGGCGGCAAGAACCTTTAGTGCAACTTTAGTGTAGAGAGACGATCTATTATTTTCCGCATCCCATTTCTCGATCACGAAGCTACATGTTAGCTCAATAAAAGTCACATCGCGGAGCTTCTAAGCTCGGTGACGGCTTTTCGCTGCGTGATATTCGACTCTTCAAATCAACGAATTTATCCCTTCGACTTCTGTAAACTTCAAATTCTACAACAACAAACCCGTCGCCTGCGCCCGCTTTCGCCATGGAGATCTCACGAGGACCCCCGAGGGTGAAAAACAAGGCACCTGCGCCTATACAGATTTCTGCGGAGCAGCTGCTTCGAGAGGCCGTCGACCGACAAGAGGTCGGCGTGCAAGCCCCGACGCAGCGCTTTGAAGACTTGGAGGAACTACATGAGTACCAAGGTCGGAAGAGGAAAGAATTCGAGGACTATGTTCGCCGAAATCGAATTAATATGAATAATTGGATGCGCTATGCACAATGGGAATTGGAGCAAAAAGAATTTCGAAGAGCGCGATCGATTTTCGAACGAGCGTTGGATGTCGATTCTACCTCCGTCGTACTGTGGATTCGTTATATCGAGGCTGAGATGAAAACCCGGAACATCAACCATGCTCGAAACCTGCTTGATAGAGCTGTAACGATCTTGCCACGAGTCGACAAGCTGTGGTACAAATATGTCTACATGGAAGAGACGCTGGGGAATATTCCAGGCACGCGCCAGGTATTTGAACGGTGGATGTCATGGGAACCAGATGAAGGTGCATGGAGTGCTTACATCAAGCTCGAGAAGCGTTATAATGAGTTTGACCGCGCCAGAGCTATTTTTCAAAGATTCACTATTGTACATCCAGAGCCAAGGAACTGGATCAAATGGGCTCGTTTTGAGGAGGAGTACGGAACGAGCGACCTAGTCCGGGAAGTTTATGGGCTTGCAATTGAAACTCTAGGGGACGATTTCATGGATGAGAAGATCTTCATTTCGTATGCAAAGTTTGAAGCGAAACTAAAGGAGTACGAGCGGGCCCGTGCGATTTATAAATTCGCTCTTGATCGACTACCACGCTCCAAGTCAATCACTCTACACCAAGCGTACACCACATTTGAAAAACAATTCGGTGATCGTGAAGGTGTCGAGGACGTTATCTTGAACAAACGTCGAGTTCAGTACGAAGAACAAATCAGGGAGAATCCCCGCAACTACGACGTATGGTTTGACTATGCTCGATTGGAAGAGGCATCTGGAGATGCGGATCGCATACGAGATGTGTACGAAAGAGCAATTGCCCAGATACCGCCTTCTCAGGAGAAGCGCCACTGGCGCAGATACATATATCTATGGATATTTTACGCATTGTGGGAAGAGATGGAGAGCAAGGACATCGGCCGAGCCAGGCAAATCTACCAAGAATGCCTGAAACTGATACCCCACAAGAATTTCACGTTTGCCAAGATTTGGCTCATGAAAGCCCAATTTGAGATCCGTCAGATGGATCTCCAAGCAGCCCGAAAGACTCTTGGTCAAGCAATTGGCATGTGTCCTAAAGACAAGTTGTTTCGGGGTTATATTGATTTGGAGCGTCAACTATTCGAATTCAACCGATGTCGTACTCTTTACGAGAAACATATTGAGTGGAATGCATCTAATAGTCAGGCGTGGATCAAATTTGCGGAGCTTGAACGGGGCTTGGAAGATCTCGAACGGGCTCGTGCGATTTTCGAATTGGGTATCGAGCAGTCGACGCTGGACATGCCAGAGCTGGTCTGGAAGGCGTACATCGATTTTGAGGAGTACGAAGGAGAATATGACCGCACGCGTGCATTGTATGAGCGATTATTGGAGAAGACGGATCATGTCAAGGTCTGGATTAATTATGCCAAATTCGAAATCAACATTCCGGAAGGTGAAGAGGATGAGGAGGAACAAGAAGAGCGGCCAGTCAGCGAGGAAGCCAAACGACGGGCTCGCAAGATCTTCGAACGTGCCAACAAAGTGATGAAAGATAAGGATCTCAAGGAAGAGGTGAGTAGAGTCTTTTCTCTGACTGGATTTTTTTTTGGATTTTTTTTTCCCCTTTTTGACATTTACTAATCTGTATAACAGAGGGCGGATCTTCTGAATGCATGGAAGGCGTTCGAGCAAGCTCACGGGTCCGCCGAAGATCTAGCAACGATCGAAAAGCAGATGCCACGGCGGGTCAAGAAGCGTCGCAAGTTGGACGACGACCGTTATGAGGAATACATGGACTACGTCTTCCCGGCAGACGATGCATCAGCAGCCAATTTGTCTCGATTGTTACAACGTGCCCACGCTTGGAAACAACAGCAACAGGGACAAACTTGAGATGGGTAGGATTCTTGTGTTGGCTTATGATCCGTGTGACACAACAGCCATGTATATTATTCGGTACGTAGCAATATCGGGTATTAAATCGGATAATACTCTTTTGAGTCTACACATAGCTATTCGCGGTTTCAAGGAGTTTTTGCGATTTATCTGTATTCATTGTATTGAGTGACCAATCCTGGCACAACAATTCCAATATAATTCTCTTTTGAAACAGTCACATTCGGAAGTCGTAACGGCGGGCGCTCTATTTATTCCTAATCTGGGAATCTTGTGTAGATAATACACGGCCCTTATCTGGAGCCATCTGAATGCCAGTTGCTTCAACTACCGTGGTCTGTGCGACCAGGGCTGTGTCAGAGTCATCACACTGAACTTGAAAAGGGAATACTACCACTTGTGCCCGTTTTGTTTGATTCATGTTTCTCAGGCATCAACATGTGCCGAGATGCGTGCTTTGTTACATAGGTAGTACCAGTACTTTGATTCGGATGGTATGTATTTTGCTGATATAGCTCGGCAAATCTGGAGGACTGTGCTGCAATTCTTGCGTTACCGTGCCCCGAATAGCATGCCCTTCTAAGCTTTACGCAACGGACATTAAACGAAACTTGCTTCCAGCCCCCAATAGGCAGGAGTGTTTGAGACATTCTGCCCATGAGAGGGGGGGGGAACACCACGCGTAACGAGCCCGCAAGTGACGCAAATCAATTTCCCAGCAGAATCCATTCTGCTAAAATGAATTAAGACATATGCTTACAAACTTGAAGCTATTTACATTCTGCAGAGAGAATTGGAAGGTATTCAAGTGACGTATGTGGAATCATTGAAGAGAAATTGTAGCGGCCTCAGGCACACGAAGAGTCGAGACACAAAGCCGAAGTGGGTCTTATACATCGAATATCTTATCTACGGGTGGCCCTCATTGGACCACTTCGTCGGAACTTTCCCCTGGTGCATACACGCTAAACCATACCTGGGAAGTTCTCAATATGTTTCTTTTTATGCAAGCAAGCTAGTGTCATTTGCTGATTGGTGATTGGCCAGAATTTGCATTTAAATCACACCACCAACGGCTCTGAGTGGCTCCTGGCCCGCTCCGGCGTTTCATCTTGAATCATTCGCGGGTGCTGGTCCCTTGCGCTTTCCCCAAATCAGACACCAGAGTTGCACCGTCCCCTGTCAAGGCATCCCACCCCCTTCTTGTGCCAGTGTCAACTGTTCCCCATCAAATCTTCCCCTTCCTCTCCTCTTGCTGTCTGCTCAACAGCCCTGCGTGCTGCTGGACTACTGCATGACTATTCGCACCTTGCTTACTTACTTGCTGACTCTCGCTTTCCTTTCTGTCTTTGTTGTTCTTCAGTCCTTGGCCCTTGTTAGTTCACTTTTCACCCTTCGTTTCCACGACCAGGACATGATATCCGCTCTCTAAGGGGAAATCGTATCTCCATTACTATCGCTCTTCCTATCATTTCAACCGATCCATACCCACTGCAGTAATTGATTGTTGTTTACTTTTGTCTGGCATTTCCCTCGTGTGCTGCAGGTATCCCTTCGTTCGCATTGCTTGCAATTGCTACTTGCTGTCCGGAAAACGCTGAGCCAGTCGAATTGGCCTACTCTCTACTCTCTACTCACTACTCAGATACCCCAGTCTCTTAACCGGACTTCGACTTGGCATTGGAGGAATAGTTACGACACGGGATGTATGAATAGAGTACACGACGATTTTAGACTGCCGTGTGTGAATTGGGACCCGTGATCTTTCCGCCATATCGGTAATATACAAGCTGCAACAATCAACCCGCCACTACTCGTGAAGTAGTTGAACTACGACTTGTCGAATCATGCAATAGTCTACCGACAGCTTTGAAATATACCCATTCGGCCTACTGTGGAACCCCATCGACACTTCGTCAGGACCTATATCGATCTATTCCTTGATCACTCTCATTCGTTTTCCGCGGCCCGCGGCTGGATTACTCGGCGACCTCGATTTACATCTCAAATGCCTTGTCCTGAGCCCCCTTCCGCCCTTGATGGGCGCTGTTCTGTCGTCTATAACAACACTATCTACGTATACACACCTACTGCGTTATTATCATTACCTATCAAACAAGGCGCCAAGTGGAATTCTACAGATTCTGGTGAACCAGTAACCGATGCTGTCTGTGTTGTGGGAAGCATTGATGGCTCTCCCGATAACCAAGGCTTATATGTTGTGGGAGGTACTTCCAACAACTCCACCTATTCCGGTCTCCAGAGATACTTGTTCAGTGAGAGGAAGTGGGAGACAGTCTCTCTAGGCTTTCCTTATATTCAAAATCGAGTCAATCACAGTGCTATATATCTCCCCGGAACTGCTTCGATCCTCGTCTATGCAGGATCTCAGACGTCAAATCAGGATGCATCGACAACAACCTTTGAAATTCCCGTAAAAAGCCCGGTATTACTGAACCGTCCAGGGAACATAGCAGCCGGGATCAAACCAACTCTACTACCTTGGGATGACGCGACAGCCGTGTATGTGGGAGGAACTCCTACGAACACCGAGGTCTTCCTGTACCACGGCGATAGTGGTTGGGGCACCTCACAAATCTCCCTCGCGCAGGGAATACCTAGTGATGCTGGAGTTGCGATTCAGTCTAATCCAGATGGAAGCAAATTCCTGGAGATCTTTGATATGACTGTGTCCCCAAACAACGTAACCTACGTTGCTCTGCTACAAACGGGCGGCTCTCCAGCATACCCTGGCCAACCCGTGAACTTCACCACGTCATCATCTACGAAGAAACGGAAGCGTGACTGGGGAAATGTACCTTCATACAACGGCACATTGGCCTCTTCAATAACACGCAGCAGCTTCTCCTTAGCGCAATCCGACGACGGTTTGGTTATCATCTCTGGTGGAAGCAACACCGATCCCCTTACTGTTTTCAACCAGACGCAGAATAGCTGGCTCAACACCACGAAGCTCTTCTTTAGTGACGAAGTAAGTGCAGGGCTCCAGCAACCACTAACCCCTTCATCCACGACAACTGCTCCGACGACCAGCGCTACAGCTACGACAACAACAGCAGCGTCAGCATCGTCAACAACTACTACTGCTGCTGCTGCCTCTGGCGGGAGCAGAATCGGCACGGGCGTCATCATAGGTGCAACTCTAGGTTGTTTGCTAGGTGTGGCTGCCATTTTAGTCATTCTCCTGATAGTTCTTCGTCATCTGCATCGCAGGAATGGTGGCTCAATCGGCAAAAGTAGCCGCCGTTATGGTTCCCAAGATAAAGACCGATTAAGCTTTCAAGATCGAGGCATCGAACCTCTCACAATGGCCGCTGTGCCCATGGCTCGAAGCAACGTTCCTTCAGCAGTAGACTCTCTCAACATGATATCCGGAAAATTCACGAACGATCCTCCCAGTGCTTCCCTGGCGGATAAAAACCAGGCTACGACCCGGTCTTTAGTTCCACCTGCCAGGAGTCCCCTGATAACGATTGCTTCTAGTCGGATAGATCAACATATGAATGACTCTCTCACACCCACCAACGAGCCTGGTCATTCGCGCGGTGATCGAAGCACTGATGAAGGTTGGGGCAAATATTTCCAGGACGGAGCAGCTGAAGGTCTTACGACAGACTCTCCTCGTACTACAATGAACTCGGACATTTCTCAAGTTACAAAGTCCGATTATCGAGGCAGTATGTGGCCTCACGAAGTGCCAGAGAGAACCACAATTGCATTGAGTGCTCTTGACGGACCCAGGCCGTTGGGACAAGTGCCTTCCGGCAGTCCTAGCGCAGAACACCTACCATCATACGGTGGCCAACATATTCATCAAGCACAGGCGGCTCATATATCGACTGCCGACTCATCCAGCTTTATCTCGGATTTAGAAGATGAACATGACCGCCATGATGGGTTCTCTTCCGGCATTCCACAAAGTGTTCATGATGGAACTAGTTGGGTCCATCAGCCCTATAACTTACGGCCGTCGAGTAGTAACTATACTGATAGCTTCTATCAATCAACTGCACGTGAACCCTCAGGTGTGCATGAGTCGATAGTCGACGCTCGGTCCCACGAACGAAGATCAAGTGGTATTCTTCACCACAATTTGGATGGCTATCCACCAACCAACGTCAATTCAGATATGAGCTGGTTGAACCTGCATGCAGACAAGTAATTCTGATTTCTTTCTGTGCCAACGGCTTGCTGTATACCTTACTATCAGAAGTCGGCGTCTTGCACTCCACGTTCGCACCTATTGGTCATGTTCAATTTTGATTTGACCTGATGACACGACCCACAGCACTTGTGGACAACGCAAAAGTTCACCATTCTCTGTATTATTTACCTCCCTCGCACCAACGAGTTTATGCACGGACATAATCGCTGTTGACAAGCTATATTTCTTTTTCTTTTCGCCATGGTTTGCTAATCTTTTTTACATAATAGTCCACACGATGTGTGAGACGCTGGACATTTTTCATTTATCTTGTTTATACCCCGCGGAGAAGGTTCATTTCCTCGGTTTATTCTTGTTTTCAACTGTCACTCTTTGGATTAACGCATAAGCTTGGATTTTCGGGTCGGTTCCTTTTCGTGGTCTTGTTTTGACTGTGCATTGCATATGTTCAAGCTGGCATGGTGTGAGCGATCGGATGTTTAGGGGTTGGAACGTGTACTATGTGTCCGGACTTCTGAGCTTGTTGGACAAGTCAGATTATTGTACGTATAGGTCAATAAGTTATAAAAGAGGTTCATGGCACTAGTCTGCTATTCACGTAAACTGTAACTATATCGGAGATTTCGTTCCAACTCATCCCAGGAGTTCCAAGGTACTGTATACTACATTTGCCCGACGGCAATAGTACAAGAAAAAAAGACAATCAAATTTTCAAGTTAAATAAAATCAAAATTACTTTTGATAAGGCACACCATCTGGACAAGAGCTATCTAGTAGTAGTGACCGAAGGGAAGACGAGATTAAATCAAAGCAAACAACCGCAACAAACACATAACATAACGAGGGCATTGTTGAAATGCACATTGTTCAATCTGAAGTAGGCACCGTTGAATCATGACCTACAGATAATCTTCTGCCACGCTTGCGTAAATCCGATGCGAATGCAATGGAACTAGGTAGATACTCATACCTATAAGGGCAATTCCGTACCCATGGGGGTATTGAAATGAACAGGAATCATTCCGGCCAAAAAAAAGAATTACTCCCGAGAGACACTGCGTAAGAAAGTCGAATCAACAGCGAGCTTCTGGGGTGGATGGGCTGACGAGTCCCTCAGCGCCTCAAACCGTTTGACAAAGGACAGGAGTCTCAGGCGACGTTCATACATGGACTGGAGCTCTGCAACCTTTCGACTCTCTTCTTCGTTATGACCCGCGATGAGAATAATCATAAAGAAGGACTCGATTATACTCGGTGGGACATTGCACAATAACTGTCCAGTCAAGCTCCACCTCATGACACTGGCGCCAATAACCAAGCCGACGAGGAGTAGAAAGCCCGCGACGACTGTAAGCTCATGGGCACTGATCCGGCACATAACTCGGGAAACTCGCGAACTGAGAGAGTTATCTGCATGTTCCTTACCGGTGGGAATCTCCAATCTAATCGAATTGAACAGCCTTTCATCTTCCTTGTCGATTTTCTCATGCTCCGCGTCAACGTAGCCACTTAGACGGGCTTGCATGTTCCGTAACACAAACGCATCATTCATCCCAATCAGTCCTGCGTATGTTCCTATGAGAAGCCACCAGTTGGCATTGAATTTAAGAATAGGTCCAACAGCCACCCAGATCGCGACGACAGTTAGAAGTATGGCAATACCGGCCAAAGTGCCCACAAAGTCCGCATAGTAGAAAATAGTGCGCTGAATCCAGTTGACCCTTGGAGGAGGGATGACCACCGGCTGATTTTGGAGATTATCATCGGTCAGCTCCCGCAGTTTCAGCTCTAGCCTTGAATCCACGCAAAAGATTGCATCGAGACACCTCTTCATATAGGTTGAATGCCGTTCATGGATGTTGGCGAGAAAGGAGAACACGAACACCATTAGAGCAGATGAAGCGGAGTTCATGTAGAGTTGCCAATCATTGCTCCAATTACGTAGTGTACCAACACCGATCCAAATGATGACGCCAGCCCAGAATAGAATTGATGTCACCAAGTGTCCTAGAATGCGTGCGCAAAGACCGATGGCCCGGCCGAACTTGGTATCCTCTGGAAGAGCAGTTTCCCGCTCCTGGATATCTAGGGGTGAGTTTTCGAAAGCCCCATGGACACTCCGCTGTTCATTGATCTCCTTCTTGAGTGCATTCAACATCCGAGCATGACTGATAAGTCGTGACTGCACTTGCGCCGCTGCCCTGATTTCATTATCATACTCGTTCAGTTGTTGACGCACCAGGAAAGAGTCAAAGACATAACAGATAATGGCCTGCACATCAGAGATAATAACCTGCCAGGTATCCGTTCTGCCGTAGGGAATACCAAGTAAAGCCCATGTCAAAAGGCCCGCAAGGATGGCACAAAACACGAATTTTGACCCCGAGGCGCGCACAACCCAGTCTAGCCACCGGTCTAGGATTGCTCGCTTTGGAGTCATGACATATATGGTAATATTCTCACTGCCTTCTTCCTCTTCCCTTTTGATTCGCTGCGTTGGAGCAATGCCCTCGACGGCATCCTTCGATCCGGGTTTGCGAAGGAGGCGAACAAGACGATCCATCATGTTGCCTTCTTACAGGGCTTTTAAACATCCATAAGACGATTAGAATAGACCATACAGTGACTACTCAATGGATCAAACTCGTACCCTCTGCCAAAAAATGATCGCACTTCGCCCGGTTTCTCTCTCATAACCTGCTTCAAGGTGGTTCACGAGAGATTGGCACTTGCTCCAGTGAGCAATCGTATCGGATGTATGCAGAGACTACCTGTTGAACAATGACATTCAGGAAGCTGTTATCGTAAGATTTGTTCATCGGGATGATCAATAGGGCTTCCGTTGTGTAGTAAGACCAGTAACGAAGATTGAGCTTCAAAAAAGTGTTGAAGATTTGAGTGAGAGGACAACGGTGGACATAAGTGTACAGTTAAATAATAATTTTTCTTTACATGATTTCTATATCTTTTTCTCTGTCTATATTATCTGGAGCTCAGCACATGCGTCAAAAGCTTAAAAAAGGCCTAATCTAAAGTGAGGGAATTTTAGCTGCCAGACATGGAAAGTAAAATGTCGCTGTGGCTGAGCGAATTCCTACATTGTCGGTGTGAAAATTTTCACCTGCTTCAGGGAACCGTAAATTGTCTCAACCAACTATGTAACCTTGAGTACCTAAATGCATCAAGGGATTCTGGGATACTGGGATATTTGAAGATTGGGCTTCTGATAGGTTCACCTCCATGCAAAGGAACTGGGGTTCTGTAAGCAGGCTGCAACACGGCCGAGTTAGAAGTATATTTTCTCTTATTATTCGCGGAAAGAAATATCCAGAACCGGTCTCCGACTGCATAGGGAAAGCTCCAGTTTGGCTAGCTTACACAAGTTCAGCTGTTAGGTGACCTGTGATTTCAGCCTCTCAACCAAGTATACTCTGATGAATTGCTGGTTGTATACGGACGGACGGAATCTCTTACGGTCACGAATCAATGGTTCCCGTAATATGATAAGTCTGCGCAATTAGGAAGCATGAATCATACGAGAGTATTGGATCACTCCCAAAAGGGTATCCGCAGGTATTAGGCATCCATGAATATTCATATAAAAGTGCGAACAGTGACTCATATGACCCACGAGAAGAACACCAATGCAGGCGGAGCTGGCCTTAGGTACTAGAACAGAATCAAATTCGACATGGAAGACGGAGGGTTCCCCGAGAAGGAACCTTGGAAGCACAGCCCCGGTGCTTCGAGAAAACTTTTCCTTCAGATCATACCAGCAACTGTATAGCAGGGTTGAACAATTCCAAGCGACTCTTTACTGGCGAGGCATGGCAAGAGGAGAAACCCTATAAGGTAATAAGTATGTGTAGGAAGGAAAGGTTGGGATAGTACATATACTGAAGACGTCCACAGCTAAGAGATGCTCCAATATCATCATACAAGGAGATTAAAAACACTCAATGGTATTCTGTTATGCTGGACAAGGCAAGTCTTGGAAGGAAATGGTTTAAATAGAGCAAGAGGTAAAGCTGGTAGCAGACTAGACCTGCAGAATCCTCCCAGAGATTCCAAGCCGGCCGAAGGACACTACAGTAGACATAGGCCATGGGACAGCTTAGCCAGGCTAAAATCTCATTGAGAAGTATCTACTCCAGGTAACATTGAAGTAGTCGCTCAAATCAGCAACAATGCCGTAACTGAGGTGAAGGTTGAAGTGCCAGATACGAAATATAGAGACACCGCTCTCAATTCGCCAGCACGCGCTGTTTATCTGCAGAGTGATAGCATCCGCTCGCAAATCATGCAAGATGCGAAGAGATCAGCATCAGCTTCATCAGGAAACTTTCAGCCAGCACTGCCTTCATTTGGTGAGACAAAGCCCGTAAGCCCCTTTTCCGCATAGCCCGGAGACGGCGGAGTCACTGTTGGCACGAGCAAACCCTGTCCATTCAGCAACCAGGCACTTTCTTGTGTTTATTCCTATATTTATTGACAACCATTAATTTAGAGTGCTTATTCATGCTTGTTTCAGTCTGAAAAAGGAAAGACGGATGCAGTGCGAGCTGGCAGATGTGAACAACCTTAGAATACCCACCTCAGAAGCATTATTCCAAAGTTACCAATAATATCCATGGATACACACTCATACTTACTATGATAACAAACCTTGGAAGCTGTCCAGGGTGCCCTGTTAATTTGGTACCAGGGTTCCATGATTCGCAATCTATTCCCTTGATTGCCGTTTTCAATACCGGCCAGAGGCTCGAGGGTCGAGAGAAGTAATGAACTCCGTCGAGAATGGTCGAAATGAGGTCATGGATGCCCGATGCTTCTCGATATACAGTCGACCCTTGAAATCTTGCCCTACCTGGTGGACGATCTCCTCCACTGCCGATTGCTTGCTAAGGCCCTGTGCCGTTCTGTTTATTTAGAAGTGAGTACTTCTGTAATCAAAACGCAAATAGAATTGTGCCAGTAGGTACGCCTCTATACAGAATGACTTCATAGCAATTCTCTGCCAACGGGATGAATGCATTTGTATGCTATCGATCCCAAACCCTGTAACGGTCTTTAGCCTAATCAGGACAAGCGCTCCAAACCTTGTTTCTTCCTTTTCTATTCTGGAAGATGGGATTGTGTTTTTAGTGTGAGAAGTGAGACGGAATCATGGAATACAAGAATGCCGCCGCCTTGCCTTGGTCGGCAGTCGGGACTTACCACAACCCCCATTGGCTTTATTTCCTAATCTAGCTCTCCGTGGCTCCGGAGTCTCGAGGGTTGTTTCAGGTTCTTCTGTCCTAACCTAATTTGTACATATCTTGGTAAGACAAAAGACGGCCCCAGAGAGCTAAACCCACGTGGCGAGATAATTAGGGTTTGGGTCGGTGTGACCATACGTACCAAACATCGGATTGAAATATTGTACGTATTATTACCAACTGTAATTTTCGCTGACTCCACCTGTCCCAGCTCCAGGGCTAAGTAGTACGTACAAAAAGCTTGGCTGGATATATTTTCGTCAGTTGACAGATCATCCGTTGCGCCTTCTCTTTCATGTTGCTTTATTATACTTTAAGATTATTCTACATAACCTGTCACATATAGCTATGTTCGACGATTTTCGACGATTTCTTCCCGAGTCATATCCTCAGAATTTTTAAGATAACGGAATTACGTTGATGAGAGAGGTCACATACCTAGGAACTAGGTACGTAAATGACTTTGGGGTCGACCTGACATATACGGAGTAGATAGACGCATATGTATAAACTCAAAACGGAAGTTCGCTCAACTTCGTCCATCAACCTTAATCATGAACCCAGTCGCCCGCGTGCGTCCTTGCGAAGTTCCTGATAATTACGTGCGAACCTGCTCAAGGAAACCTGGCATGAAAGCTCTGTGAGTTCAGTGATGTGGCTGAAATATGAGAAAGATGGCTTGATTTGCGTCCAATTCCAGGAAACCTCATGTGATGGGCTCGGGTGTGTACTTCCGTTAAATAAGACACTTCCAAGGTTGAATACAGCGGGTTCCCTGAGACATTTATCCAGATACGTACCCCGTACATCAGAAGAATTGGTAGGACAGATACTTATTTCATTGTACGTTCACTTGTGTTTTTCACTTTATCAGAGACTTGCGCTTCTATTTACTCCGTCGTCCTAGTTACTCCGTGCGGCAATGTAGTGCATTGATATAAGGGTCCTCTCCGGGTGTGAAGAAACCCGCCTTGCCGGTGTATCGCTGTACTTCCAGATTTCCAAGGTTGATTTTTTCCCGGATAGGTATATGACCCGATCCGGTAAATAACAGACCATCAGGCCGCCTTCCACTTGGATCGATTGCTGCACGGATAAGATAATCAGTACTTTACGGAGTAAGTTACACCGTAAGATAAATTAGCACGCACTCCTAAGATCCCCAGCTAAGTCAAGTACGGAGTGATGTAAGTATTGGACTAGATAGAGCGTATTGTTACATACCGTGTACTACTTCGTAGAGCCCGTACCCGACACTGTGTAGGACATTCCACCAAGGTCCCCTCACTCAACTTTCTACATTCTGACTTGGGATAAGGTTTCAAAATTTCGGTGTTGCTGTTCACCAATACCACTTCAGAGTCAAATCCGCCAGATTAGATTTTAACGTTAATTGCTTCATACGTTGCTCCATCTATGCAGGAGTGGAATTGAAAGCTCTTATTTGGGTATGTACCTGCAGGCTGCGGAAAATGTGCTAAGTTTCTCATAATTGCATTAGTGTGTAGTCTGTACGTAAATAGTGGTGTTCCGCAGTTTTGTCGAACCGAACTGCTTTCTGCCGGTCAAAATAAATTGGGTTAGTACCAAATTTGGAAGCTAAACCTAATCGGGTGTGGGATAAACCTCGCGAGGGCTCCTAGGGGGCTTGGAGAGGGTGAATACCATACAAAAAGTCTTTGGCAAAAAGTTCGACAAAATGTCAAACTTTTGTCAAGGAAGATTATATAATCAAGCTCACCGCTTACCATTAATAGCTGGCCTTGGCGCCAAGTCGAGTTCGACAAAAGTTCGACACCCAGTGCGGAACACCAGTAATGTATCTGTTTCATAGTTGGAGAATCAGCTCACTACTTATCACTTCGAGTGTCACTTATCAAAAAGTACGTACGACTTTGTACTCCGTGCGCTGTATTGAGAATAATATTGCGTAGGTGGCTTCTCTTCTCCTATTCGTTCTCAAGTGGTAGACAGGCCCCATGATATTAATCTATTTAGTTTTTACAGGTGACTCAGATAACCAGAGACAACGAAATACTATTAAAGTCTTGCACTGGAATTATTTAGACGATACATACTCCGTACAAGGATTACAGTAGGCAAACACAGTACGTATTCCCACTCAAGAATGCGCGATTTGAGATTAGTACGCACTAACTAGGTCAGGGTTCCTAGTGTTCGTTCGTGCGGGCCGCGGTTTTACGGCTGATCCGGGCCAAAAACATCTGAAGAAAACTTACAGCTGAGACAGCTCCTTGGACCCTGAATGCGACCGGATTTGGTATAGCTTCGCGTAAGACTTTCCGGACTAACCCCGAGTATCAATTCTGCAGTGCATAAATTATGTAATACGACATGCCCCCCGGTAGTCAATACGGATTGTCCGGCATCTTGCCGAGGTAGCGATATCCTGAGAAATACGTATGAGTTTATTGAGTTATCCGGATGAGGACCGGATACACCCCAGGTAAGTATTACTGCATACGAAAGGATGTTACGCGTCAAGTATCCGTCGGAGTCTGTAGAGTATCTTTTTCACATCTTTTTCTTTTCATCCTCCTGAATATATTGATAGCGAACAACCCTGAGCTAATAATATTATTGATCAAGATTCAACTCCACCCAGTGCCAACAGGTTCAATCACACATTTGCCTGCTTTGGTCGGAATCTTCAAGACATGATTCGTGCAAAATACAAAAGAACGATCAACTAGCGCGTATGCAAGATACCTAGCTAGGTATGTGACTAAAGCATGCATTCGGAGGATCCGCTTGAAGCTTACAACGGCAAGTCGCAACTTGAACCACCGATGTAAACACGGACCGAGGCCCTACGTATCACGTAAGCAGTGATCGAGAACTTCCAAAACACTCATGTTGAATATTATCAATAATAAGTTGAAACGATCAGTCAATCTTTATACATCATAAAAGCTACGTACTATGCTCTAAGGAAAGTCGGACCTGGTAGGAATACACATCAGGCTTTGGAGCGCCTTACTGGGCTAAAATTGATGCTAGGCTCATTGCGGAACCTGCCACATGGGATGTGATTCAGATTTACTGATTGATAACGCTTGAATGACCTCGCTCTATACTGTACCAGGTTAGTACATAACATGCCGATATCCTCCCGAACAGCGCTTATTACTGCATAAGTTCCATGATCCTTGTTTGATACGGCAATAAATTACACATTACCGTACCTTGAATGAAAAATGAAGATGACAAGAAAGTGGGTCCGAGCCGGGGACCCGGGGACCACTTCTCTCCAATGAGATCGGATAGCCCCCGAACAAGTCTCGCAATTGGTTGAACGAAGTTTGAGTCTACCGTTACACTAGTTCGATGGATCAAACCTTGTTTAGACTGCTGGCCATTCACAGTGAGCTGTTTAAGCCTTTGTCGCACTGAAATTATTTGATTGGACGATGGCACGGCACGAGGTTTCTTAGCATCAAGAAGAGACCCTGCTGACGAAAAGACCCTACGGAGTATTTGGTATGGAGTCATGAAGAACACCCCGTTGGCCCAAAAACAGGAGACTTTGAGTCGACGGCCACCTACTGAACATTGATAGACTAACTAGAGGTCTAGAGGAGTCTTGATTAAATATCTCAATTCTCAAATTTGGTCTTTTACCCCTATCTTATGATCTTCACCTTCTAGGGCCGAAGCTTCATTTGGACCCTGTAACCCTGAACGCTGATAGATTGTAACCTACTCCTTGGCAGCTTCGTAAACTGCATTATGTACGAAGAATGGCAGGTTAGGCGTTACATTACGTTACGGTGTGGACTACATCGTACGTACGTTGCATTTTGCGGTTGTCGGTTGTCCCGAATGTTCGGTCGGGTGGCGCGCAAGAAGAAAAGCGGATTTTCAGTCTAGAGCATTAATTTTATAAAATACGGAGTACGTACGGCTTGAAATTCATTTACGTATCTTTGTCGGGGTACTGACGATTTTGGAGCCTGTGCCGAGTAACTGCCGATTAATCTATTCTGTATTTGTCCCAGAGTTCAATCACGAATCAGGATCCATATCATGCCATCCAGCATGATGTTGCGAGTCTGGATTTTCTTGCTTACACCTGATTTCGGGTGGACGTGTTGGTCGAAGCCTTTCAAGACCGGGAATCAGCACTAAGAGTAAACAGTAAATATGTGAAGACGAAATGACTCGAGTACGGTATTAACCTGCAGGAATGGCTATTATGTGTATTATCAACTTAACTTCGCAAGTTCGCATTCCTATCGCATCACCGAGTAACTATTCACTGCGACTTCGTGGCTTGATTGTAATAACGAAACAATAATTTGTTCTGATCGTATGTCCTTCGCCTTTTCCCGCCGTTTTCGTATGTTCTTCCTATTTGAGGCTAGAACGGTAAGCAGATGACTCCATAAGGGTCCCTTCTCCGCCTTGGCTGCAAACTAACAATAGGAAGCGTACTAGCCTGTCATTCCTCCTCAAGTGGTTGATCCTATCACTGGATTAATCAATTTCTTTGTATGTACGGAGTAGTAGTATGACCCTGCATTTTGTCCGCTGAGAGTGTGGCGGCGTCCACTTTGATCTCACTGCTAGGTCCTAACGTGTACGGATTTTTACGGGTCCAGTGGTATGTACACATATGTGGCGTCCGCCCTCCACCGGGCCATATTTGATCCCTTTATTAGGCAGGTTAATCGGGACTCAGTACGTATGTAGTTACGTATATACGAAACGACGGAACAACCAGGGTGTTGTTATGCATGGTGGCGCGTACTGAAACCACACACGATCGTCCCTCGCATATCGGCAATTAATTCCAAAAATCAGTCATTTCCATCTCACTAATACTCAGAGCCCCTTGAAGAAAACAACGATAATCGATACTATGCTTCATTGGAGCTTATTTAGGGCTTACCTAACACTCCATAGTCCATACATTTTAAGAAAGTTTGCCAAGCAAGGTTGGCTTGGTCAGTGGTAGGGCTTACGCTGACACGATAAGTACGGTAAACCGTCTAACTTATTTCATCCTTTTAGGGAAGAGCCCCTCATCTACTCCATACGCTGAGTAAATTTAGCCCATGTGGGCACCGAGAAGGGTATCTCCTTGTAACAAACTCAAAACCAAACCAGACAGTTAGGAATTCCTGAAAGGAAGGAAGCGTTAGGGTTCTGTCTGCAAGCCTCACCTGGGTTCGCACATTTCCGTACAGACCGGGCAAAAGTATGTACTCCATATTCCACGGAACCTAGGCTTGTACTGTATGTAAAGTGCCATACTAGGGCAAGCCTCAAGGAAGGGAAAAAGAGAAAAGAAAAGAAAGTACGTACCAGAGAAACAAGGAAAATGGCTGAAAGTGCTATCATTAACTTGTCATTCGCTAACCTTACCACCGGAATGATCGTCGTTCCTAAGTCTACTTGCACGTGGAGCTGGTTTTACAGTTGGTGGTTAACTAGCTTAGCTTATTTAGTTTCTTCAGCCCATCCATCCATATATTTACTCTAAAAACCGCCTCTCAGCCGTTCCCAGCTTTCCTCCACTTATTTCTTCCATTAAGATCTCAGGCCTTACTCACCATAATACGCATATCATCGAATCCCTCATACTCGTCGGCCACTACATAGTTTTGCGCTTTTAAAGGCCTATTCTCTCTTCACATCGCTTGTCTGGAGATAATCTATCTGTATAGATCATAATTCCGGCGCTATCTTATCATTCAGCCCATACCATCTATATCAGCGTCGTCAAGGCTGTTCACAAGTTCACAAACTACCAGTCTCAACAGCTGTTTCAGATTCGGGGTTCTTGGAACGACAACTTTTCGTACCAAGTGAAACATACCCCATCAAGGGTAGAGCCCTCGTCGATAATCTTGAATCATTCGACTCGGTGCTGCCGCAACCTGACTTACCCTTGTGTCCTTTCTTTTAACCCTTCAATAACCAATAAACACCAACCGAATGTGTAATCCGATGAGCGAGCGTCCACCAAAAATGCCGTCGATTCTGAACAACGACGACAATCCCGCCTTTGCGGTGCGAAGAGCCGTAGACACACCAACCTATAAACCGCCATACGAATCATCATATCGCAAAGTCGAATATGCTCCTACACAACCTTCATGGGCAGCACATCACACACATCAACTGCCAACGACATCGTATCCAACACCTCCCAGTACCTACTATACATCCGACGCAGGCTCTTCGCCGTACTCGAGTAATCATCATCAGCACCTTCATCATCACCATCCACCACAACACGGTGCCCTCACTTATCAGCACCATCGCACACCCTCTATACAAAGTAACAGTGACTTGTCTAGCCAATCCATATCATCCCCATCAGGAGCCGCTTTCTACAACCCTCCCCCAACAACCGAGACGGCAAAACCGGCGAAGAAGAACAAATATCCATGTCCTTATGCGGCATCTCATGCTTGCACTGCTACCTTCACAACCTCTGGTCATGCAGCGCGCCATGGAAAGAAACATACTGGTGAAAAAAGCGTCCACTGTCCAGTTTGCAACAAAGCTTTTACTCGGAAGGACAATATGAAACAACATTGTCGCACACACCGGGTATCCGACAACGAAGCTGCCTCTCCCACGACAAGTGAGCTATAAGAGCATTATCAATGGAGTCCTGTGTCTTGTTGGCTTTAATACATTAGCTTTCGTTCTGGATTGAGGGGCCTTCGATGCTGGACTCGGTATACCCAAAAGGTGTCATGGCATATCATGTCTGGAAAGACGGCGGCGCTTTTACTATCTCTATAACTCCTTCATCTTTCCATTTTACTTCTATTTGATTAAATCTTCACGGCGGGGCGTTTTATGATACACGATTGTCATCTGGGGGAGGGCAAGGGAGTAGAAGTTGTGCATTTTAGCGTTCAGGGGTTTAGATGACCCAGGGCATGTTTTCCATTTCCATTTCCATTTCCATTTCCATTTTCTTCTCTTCTTTAATAGAATACATGTATTGATATGAGCATTTGAACTCGTCTGTGACGATGTATTGTGAATATGATTCGAATAATTTGCATATAACATAGGATTTTGCTTGCCGAAGAATAATGAGTTAACACATCATGGTGTTACTCTACTATCGCTCTGCTCTTCGGCCTCTTTCTTGCGTACGACTTCTACTAGTAACTCGGCTGCTAATAGAGCAAATCCCCTGTCATTGATTGCTCGATCATCACGCTTCACTTCAATGTTACTTCCCTCCAAGTGGCGCTCTAGCGTGTCAAACAGGGCGGTATCCGACTCTGGCTTATAGAATGGCTGCGACGGAGTAGAAATCATACTTATCCCACCAGTGGGTAGGATAACTTTCACTAGGTCCGGCCGGACCGCTTGATCTCGTAGCTTGGACGCGATAAACTCAGCGATGCGGGTGCATTCTTCCTGGGTAGTTCGCATCAGGGTGACTGCTGGATTATGTTCATATAATAAACGTTTATTCCCTGGAGAACTGAACTCAGTAGGGACACTATCTCTAGGCCCAAAATTGACCATATCACATGCTCCTACGCTTATGACTTGTGGGATTCCGGCCTTTGCTGCTGCGGTCAGTCGCTGCGGCCCAGCAGATAGAACGCCCCCGACTAGTTCATCGGCAATCTCTGTCGTCGTTATATCGAGTACAGCATCCAACTGTTTTTCACGGATCAATCGTTCCATAGCCTTGCCTCCAGAACCAGTTGCATGAAAAACATACACCTCGTGGGCATAGTTTGACTCTAAATGTTCCCGAATAGCGTCGACACATGGAGTCGTGACTCCAAACATGGTGATAGCTACCCTCTTCTTTCGCTGCTTTGCGGCTACATTCGCCAATGTGGTACCCCCGTTCCGACAATACGCCGTTGCTGCGCCTGTAATTGCAGCAGCGGCGTTGGTAAGTATCTGGTTGAGAATGGCATTCGTGCCCGCAATATCCACCACGCTGTACATCAGAGTGATATCCGTCTCCTCGACGAGATGCGAAACATCTCCACTGACCATGGTCGAAACCATGAACTTGGGGAATCCGACAGGTAATGCATTACGCATCACTGCTGTTACGAGCGATGTCCCGCTGGAACCAGAGGCCGACACGATACCGTGGATTTCTCCCTTTTGAAACAATTCTGTCACAAGGGATGTTGCACATTCAATCATGTACTTAATGTACTCTGTTCGGGACATTTGAGCCAGTGAGGATGGGCCATCTGCAGATTTGCGAGACGCGAGTTCTGAATTTGATATGTTAATATAATTGTTCTGGACTGGCGTCCTGCCGACATCGAGTAATAGTACGTCGGCTTCTCCTGAGCGTATGATTTGATCCCGTAAGAAGAGTGTTTCTGCTAGTTTTGTGTCGCATGTTCCCAGGACAGCAATACGTGGATATGCCATGATGTTTTACAGTAAGCTTCCGGGCTATTTGATGGAGGGGCGCTGGTGGTCTTGAAGGGATTCAAGGTTCGTAAATAGACATGTCATCGGTCAAAACTTATGAGTACACAAAACTCACACGGATATCAGGATACACTTCATCTGTCAACGTCCCCTGCCCGTAATAGTCCGAATATTTAGTCCGACATATGGACACAGTAAACAAATCGGATGAACAATTGGAGTCAGTGACGTAGACAGTCTGCCAGAATGCGGCGGGCCGACCCCGCATTCCGGCGGCTATCGATAATCTTTAAGCTAACCACATCCAATGTCAGATCAGTCTTACCACCATAAAACTAGACAATACTCATCTATCACGTCTGGTAATATATTTGAAAGAATTTCACTCATGCCGCGTCCAACAGATCGCTCAGAAATCCTTGCCCGGCTTCGAAAAGTCATCTTTGATGATGGCGTCATTGTTGGAGCGGGTGCCGGTATGATTGCTTGTCCAGATGTTTGTTGCAGAAATTCAAGTAACTAATATGTGTGATAAACAGGCATTGGGCTTTCTGCCAAATCCGTGGAACAGGGTGGGAGTGACTTGATTATAATTTACAACTCGGGAAGATTTCGAATGGCCGGTAGAGGTTCACTAGCGGGTTTGATGCCTTACAGTGATGCCAATGCCATTGTAGTGGACATGGTATGTACATAATCATGGAATATTACTATATGATATGATTATGAGTGAGTGCTTGACGTTTTGTTTCCAGGCAAATGAAATCCTACCGATTGTCGAGCACACCCCTGTCCTGGCTGGTGTGTGCGGAACAGACCCTTTCAGAAATATGCCCGAGTTTCTGGGCCAATTAAAGGAGCTCGGATTTTCAGGTATTCAAAATTTTCCTACAGTAGGCTTGATAGATGGCAAGTTTCGACAGAATCTGGAAGAGACGGGAATGGGATACGACAAAGAAGTTGAAATGATCCGAATCGCACGGGAAATGGACTTTTTCACCACACCATACGTGTTTAATGTTGACGAAGCAAAACGTATGGTTCGTGCTGGTGCAGATGTTCTCGTCGCACATGTCGGCTTAACCACTTCCGGAAGTATTGGAGCCGAGACGGCCCTGTCATTAGATGATGCTGTCAAAATCGTTCAAGATATTCGCGACACAGCTGTGCGAATCAACCCAGACGTTATTGTTCTTTGCCACGGCGGCCCTATTGCAGAGCCAAAGGATGCCGAGTATGTCCTCAACCGCACCAAAGGGGTTCATGGGTTTTTCGGAGCGAGTAGCATGGAGCGATTGCCAGTGGAAATTGCCATCAAAGAGAATGCACAGGCATTCAAAAGCCTGAAAATTGAGCGCAAATAAAGTGCAATACGTGATGTAGCTGTTATGGAAAAATGGACAAGAAGGTAAATGCAGACGTCACATGATGTGTCGAGAGTAACAAGCATTCCGGTTACCACGGAACGGGCCTTGGGTGGTTCCACCTGGGGTCTCAAAGTGGGCTTCCTTCGATCCATGGATGACTTGTTGAACGACGTCAGGGGAAATAAGAAACAGATAAATAAAAGGATAATACAGTGCCATCATCGCGGATATTGTCTAAGTTATTGATATGAGAGACTTAGGGTCTCCAAAGTGGGCGAGACGGACCCTCTTTCAGCCACTCAGTTACAATCTGCAAAATGACGTCGCGTGTGGCACTGGCCTATCTCAGTTACGTTTGACGAGACACCTGTCAAGCTGCTTGACCGCCCTCCTTTGCGTCATCTGGAATTTGCTGGCCCAATCTCGACTTCTACGAGAGGGGAGGATCTAATTTCATCTTTTCTAAAATCAAACCACAGGACAACGCCCTATCATCAGCTACGACGTAGTGCGTCGGTTACCTATAAATATCAAACAATCAATCCCCAGTCGATTGTCTTTAGACCCTGTTCAATACATATTTTTTCCCCGACGTTTTGCTTGAATTTTAGGCCATCCCTCCTCAAACCCCTTCCCATCCAGCGACTGACTCTGATCAGTGGCGGTGCGATCGGGATGATCAGTATTGTTGAACCAATTACTCGCACATCGCACCCACAACGCGAAACCCAAGTATCGCTATTTTGATAATTCAAAATAAAACTCGACACAACACTTTCAGCTCATTTTTCTCTCTCATTCGCCAAACAAGTGAGTTTGAGCCACAGCTGAGGCTTGGCTTTGAAGCATCCTCAGCGCCTAGAGGGCTAACACGAGCCTAAGGCAGAAAGAGACACAGCAACGTCAGCGGGTCAACTGTTCCCCCCCGGTATCGACCAATCACAGCTCGTGTCGGGCGCAACACTGCCCCTCTCCTTCCCTCCTGATCCTTGCGCTCCTTCGACCATTCGACAGCCTGAGCCCCGCCTTGTCGAACAACCGCCTGAATAAAATATCTTTCTTCGCCATCTCCTCATCGAACGACTTTCACTTCAGCCATCCCTCGCTGATCCAAACATCGTGATTCTATCATTTGGTTTTCAGTGAACTTTTCCTCATTTGGTTATCAACTACCCTGCCATGTCATATTACGACTCCCGCGATAGTCGGGGCTACCGTGTCAAGCGCGACAGGTATTCCCGTCCAGATGGGGCCTACGTGGAAGAAACGTATGTAGACAGCCGTGGCGGTTATCCTTATGACTACGACACTCGTCTTATTCGCCGTCGTGGAGACAGTGAAGAGTCTGTTGTGGAAGAAATCTCCAGAGATTTCCCGCCTGGTGAGTACTACTACGGTTATCCTGGTCCTCGTCGGGCGGCAACCGTCCGTGAGGGAGCACGCAGAGCTCGCTCTGTCGGACGTGACCCTTACTACGATGGAGAATACTATCGCCGCGATGACTACCGACCCCGACGAAGCAGGCGCTCCGATGGTCAACGTAAGTAACGTCTTCTACAACATTATCTCGAGCGAGATTAACGAATAATATCAGGTGACCGCTATGAACGATCGACATATTCTTCCTCTCGCAGCCCGTCCCCTCGTCCTCGCAGACGCAAGTCTCTAGGAGAAGAGGCTTTGGGTGCTATTGGAGGAGCTCTTGGACTTAAAGCTGCCCGTGACCGTTCCCGTGATCGTGACCATGACTCCGATAGAGGTCGTTCTCGCAAATATCGCTCCTACTCCGATTCACGCTCCCGCAGTCGAGGTCATCGTGCCAAAAGTGAGGCTCGCATCGCTCAAGCTATGAAAGCTGCACTAGCAGCGGGTGCAGCAGAGGCATTCCGTGTTCGCAATACACCCGGTCCTTGGACTGGTGAAAAGGGCAGGCGTGTTCTGACTGCAGCCGTTTCTGCTGGTGGTGTTGATGGCCTCATCGACCGCGATCCCAACAAACACGGCGGCCGCCACGTGCTAGAATCGATCCTTGCTGGAATGGCAACGAATCGTCTCGTCAACGGTGCCCGCTCTAATTCAAGATCTCGAAAGGACAGAGGACGTTCTCAAAGCCGTGGTGGTATCGGAGATATGGCTGCTGCCGGTATACTAGCCGCAGCTGGCAAGCAAGCCTACGATCGATTCTCTAAATCTCGCGGCCGCGATCGATCCGACTCACGGGACAGTCGCGACAGCAATCGAGACTCCAAGAAGCGCAGTTCCAGCGTGTCACGCGCCATAAACAAGGGTTTGGCAGCTCTCGGACTCGATGACAAGAATCATAATGATCGAGGAAGAGATCGTTCGAGACGATCCTCGGATTAATCAGATTCTGAGGATGACCGCTCATACCGGTCATCCAGGCGTAGAAGGTCTTCTCGCGATGTACGTTCCCAAGGAAATAGTAGTGTCAATGGTTCTACCTCTCGTGCTGTTACCAAACGAGACCCATCTTCAAATGGCAACATTGAGTGTCACAGTGATTGTGATAGTGATTCTGACCTGAACAGTGACGATGAAAAACGCGAAAAGAAGAAAATGCTCCGAAAAGAGCTTGTTACCACCGGTCTTGCGACAGTGGCCACGATACATGCCGCGCACGGTGTATTGAAAAATCTCGAAGCTCAGAAGAAACGACACGAGGCCGTCAAGTCGGGTGCTATTACGGAAGAGCAGGAACGAAAGATGCAAAGGAAAGCAGATTTGAAGAATGTGGCGTCGATCGGATTGGCTGCGTTGGGTATTAAGGGCGCTATTGGTGAATGGAAGGAAGTACAAGAACAACGAAAAGAACATAAACGATTCGAACAGCAATGCAAGGAACGACATGAAAGGCGATTACAACGTCGAGCTCACAGTGCAGGAGGCAGCAATGGATATTCGAGAGAGTCTCGATCCAGAGCTGCTAGTACAGCTAGTATGGGCATGAATAGTGGGCATGATTATGGACATCATGCATCACATTATTATGACGGAAACCCTTATGGTGGAGGGAGCGTTCCAGTTGATGTTTAGCACTTACTTTGATATTGTGTTTTACACTTATGACCACTTTTTATGACATGAGACATGACTGTATGATTTATGACTGGGACGGATTGATTTGATTCGAGTCTGCTTGCGCTTTAACACCGTACACGAGCTATGAGCATTTCAAGGCCTCTTTGCAAACACAGACATTAAGCACTGAATACATTCGATTAGAAAGACGAATTGACTTGTTAATACTTATAATTGTGACACGGATAAGGAATATGTAGAGCAGATACTAGCCTGTCGGTCATGTGATGATCCGATTAGATAAGAGCAATACAACAATAACGTCATAGCATCGTCTGGGTGTTTTCCGCTGAGAAATCCAACACAACATTCATACCTCTAATCAATAGTCTCTGCCTTTCTCATACAAGAGTTTTAATTAACTAGCAGTCGACTACAATGGCATCCCTCTCATCACGATCACTCTCGAGGTTAGCTCTGCACTCGCGAATCGGTCTCAACCCGATCACGACCGTTCGATCAGCAGTTCTTCGTCGGTATACATCCATTATCCCGGATGGGAGCAGAACCAGCTCCTATACAAGGCCTTTCAGCCTTCAAAAGTCGTTTAGGCCTCCCGTTACAGGAACAAATCTTCAACACCGCGGTTATGCAGACTTAAAAGCAAGCGGAGGAAAGACCGAGGCAGATCTGATCGTTGAGGAACTACAAGAACTGTACTTCCCCCTTACACATCCATAGACATTTAGCAAGAGGGACTAGACTTAACGGATATAAAAAGGTACGACAATGCCAAAGATGAACTCGAAATCGCAACAGACAGCACCAACAGCGCCACCATCTACGCAGCATCAGATCGCGAATCCGCGCGCGAACTCCTCGATCAACTCCTATACGTCTACAAAGTCTACACGGAAATGACACGCTCCTCTTCAGCGGGGGGACCAGATTTAGTATCACCACTGTCCCAAAACGAACAATCCACGACACCAAACGCACAGCAAGCCAATGCAGATCGACTAGATGCGAACGCAGCCAAGGAAGCGAGCAATCCCATTCTGGATGGTACTGGTGAAGCCTTAAGTGGGAATAGTTACGTGGGGATTACACCGAATTATGATCCGGAGTATATTAGTGTTGAGGTGAAAGAGGAGGTTAAGGAGAGGGTCGGTCAGAGAATTAGAGAGTTGAAGAGTGCTGTGGAGAGGTTGGAGGAGATGGCGAGTCATGAATAGGTTGATCTTTGCGAGAGAGATCATGTATCCGGCACCTAACAAGTGTTGTACGGTATCGAGTTGGGGAGTAACCTCAAGTGATGTTTGAGACACAGTGTCCACTGAGGTACTCCGTAATGCAAGACGTTACCTACCTACCTGGGAAGGTAGTACAAAATTTGGGGTACAGACATACACTAAAGCATGGATCCTGTGTATTCCATATCTGTAATTTACCACAACTGAGTCATGAATGCATGTGATATGTTCCGGACGTGCTTTAGGTCCCATGCATACATGCAAGTGATCCACAGGATCACTGCAGATCTCCCGTCAGCAAGACGCAGGGTTCAATAACAAAACACTAACTATGTATTTACTTTTGTCGTCATTCAGTATTGAATTGAAGCAAAATGAAATGTAATTATTACTCAGTATCGTTGCATTCATATATAAGCAGAGTTGACACATACAGAAATCTATGCAAAACGCCTAGCCCAAAAGTTCGCTAAAGGAAATCAAATAGAGAAGAAATACAAGGCATAAATCATAACCACATAGTCGAATGATATGCAGATATTATCATGCCGTATGATGATAATCAATCACCAACTTGCCTCCATGACCAGACAGATATGCTTTAACCAAATCGTTCAATTTCTCAAGTGGAAACACCTCTATTTGAGCCTTGATTCCATGTTTGGCGGAGAATGCTGTCATTTCTCGTAATTGTTTTATACTCCCAGAGACATTGCCAACATAATGGATATCCCTGAAGATCAAATCCAAGGACGTCATGTGGAATCCCTGTGGAGGGAAGGATACCACGACACATTTACCGTGGTTCTTGAGCATGTCCACGCCGTACTGAAAGGCCTTTTGACTCTCCGGTAAGATAATGACCGCATCCAGGCCGAATTGGCCCGGAATCGGTCTTTTGTCTTCTGTGCTAATATGAGCAATCGCTTCGGCTGCAGTCGTCGTGCGTGAATCAATAATAGTAGCACCGGAAATATTCTTCAATCCCCGCGCTAGAGCGAGTGGTCTATCGGCGTTCTCAACTCCATATACTTTCAACCCCATCGCTGTCGCATATTGTAAGCCCAAATGGCCAAGTCCACCACCACAACCTATAATACCAATCCGTTGCCCAGGTTTGAGTCCCGTCTTCTTTATAGCAGCATATATCGTGATCCCGGCACACATCAACGGAGCGGCCTCCACCTGACTCAAACCTGGAGGGATGATGGTCAACTGTCGCGCGTCCACCAGCACGTATTCTTGAAATCCGCCTGGTATACCGATTCCTTGGCTTTTGATCGTTGGACACAGAACGGAATATCCCTTCGGGTCACTATCCGGTGAATCCTCCTCGACACATTCGGCGCATTCGCCGCAGGCATGATATGGACGACAGGAGACACCAACACGATCGCCGATTTTAAAATCGGACTGTGCTGAATTAGGAGGTAACGCAACTACTGTTCCGGAGAATTCGTGACAGCCTGCATGCGGGAACACAGGCTGCTCGACGCTCGCCATATGGCCGCTTGCGAGTACATAATCGGTATGGCAGTAAGATGCGGCGTCGACACGGATAAGTAAGTCATACGGATGCGTAGGCGTCGGCACAGGCACAGAGTCTCGAAAGACATAAGGTGTGTTGTAAGCGTCGAGCTGTTGCGCTTTCATAGTCGCGGGCACGTCATATGTAATGTCCGAAGGCACTTCGTACGTAACCGTCATCGGCTTATGGCTCCCCAAACTCGGCGAGGAATCTGATGAAGCTATCGAGGTGATATCTCTATTTGCGCCGCTTTTGTTTGATATTTCTTTCCATCCTCGCAGATCCTGGCGGGAGCCGAGGCGCTTCACAAATTTCAACATACTGATAGTTGACGTAGATATCGACGTATATTTATAATTAAGAATATAAGGTCGCGGACTCAGCAAGTCGATTGTAATGTCGCGAGATGGTCAATCAGACCTCCTCAGAGAGGCAAGGATGGTGGAGAAGCGAAGTTAAGAGAGCCCAGCCTTGCAGTCGCATATTTCAATGATTAGAATAATTTGAAACGAGAATCAGAATGAAACAGAAAGCAAAAAATGCTGCAGAACAGAGGTAAATGCGAAACAGACAAAAAGGAGAGTAAAGGGAGAAAAAAGGAAAGGAAGTTGGATGGGATTAAGAGTGTACGAGGAGTAAAAAAGGAAGGAGGCGTTTGTAGAATCGGCTAGGACCGAAGTCAAAACAGATTGATTAATCGGAGAGAGGCGGTGTCGCTGTGGTCCAAAGATGGCCAATTGATGTATAGATGCACGAATTGGTTTTGTTGAAGGTAGTATCAACATGGAACATTATATTAATATCAGACAATATCATACAGAATGCACAACGACAGCCTTTTTGTCTTGTTGAGTTTCTCAGGCAAACCGAGAGTCTGGGTCTAGGACGGTAAACGGAACAGTCTATATGAAACAGGGCAGGGGTTCCATGCGAGGCTGCTACCAATGCATGCTCCAATACTCACTAACCACGTAAGTACTACGCTGTAGTTTATTCGTTACATGTACCCCGTACAGTCTGGATACATGCTCAGTCAAATCAGATATCTGTTCCGTCTGCTGTATTGATTGTACCTGTATGGTGAGATGAAAAACTGTGCACAAACTAATGCACAGTCTCCACTTCTTCCAGAATTCGGTCGAATCATGGCACGTGGAATGCAGTTTATGCTTCATGTCCGGCCTGCACATCTGTGTCCCGAATAGTTTGTCTGCGTGTTCGCACCAATTGCTCCGTGGATGGATCTCATCATTGTATCGATACAAGTAGCATGGCGTTATCGATGGAACACCCGGAGAAGAACCCTATTTAAGCATATTGCCCACTGACATAGATAAGGTTTCGGAGAGAACCGTTGTTGGCTAGAGCAGAGACACATAACATCTCGCCCTTAATTCATTCATGCAAGGAGATGATCAAAGACGATTAGAAATCTGGATTCGCAGACAATGGATACGGGGCTGTTGAGTCATGGCAATGGAATTATCCATGTGGATGGAAGGACTTTGTTCACGAATAACTCCGAAGCTGCGATTGTAGTAGAGGGATATTCGATATTGTCAATAGACAATTCCCTTGCCTCTGAGTTTGAGATATTCAAGGAGGCACAGCAAGGTAGATGTTTATTTATCGCTCTCGATGTTGATTATTTGAACGTTTCATATTCCCGAACTATGACGCGGTCGATCGATCGATCGATCGATCGATAGCAGATCTGTACCAGGCTTTTCATAAATTTATTTACTTTTGAACTAGGAAGGCGCCGAGAGACGTAGCGTGGCAGACAGCACGAACTTTTGAAGTTCTCAAGTTCCTCTCCCTAGCTAGCGGCCAGTCCGCGGATATCAGTTCAATGTTTAGTGTTCACTTCCCCTGTGGAGGATTGCTGTCCCCGCCTCGGGAAAAAGGCCGACCCGCAGTAAACCGAATTTATCCTGGCCATAAAAACATTTATCCACCACGAAGTTCTCATCGGTTAAATTGGGACAATTTTTCCAATTTTCCATAGAAGATGTCACGATCGTATACTCCTTTATTTGTATGATCAGGTGGATAGGACTACAATGGCTAATAATATGCTGATATATGGGCTATCTGCCCCGCCAACTCGGTTAGATTACTGGTGATTATGCGTCACTCGAGGTGACACGAATGCTGTTGTGGAAGGAATCTTGAGTATATATAGTCGAGAAAGTTCTCTAGTTTTTATTTCATATGCATTGGTTGTAACTATCTGTGTGTTGATACAATGGCTCGACCTCTAGAAGGAAAGTTTGGCATCGTAACCGGAGGATCGCGGGGTATGTAAAGAAGACTGGCCACACATTTCAGACAATTCTGACCATTGTTTAAACGCATAGGTATTGGTCAAGCGATCGCTCGCAATTTAGCTAGTAAAGGGTGCTCACTCCTATTGAACTTCACGTCCGAATCGTCACGGGCCAAAACCGAAGAGCTGGCAGCATCACTCTCAGAGTCATTCGGCACTCAGTGCACCACGATCCGCGCAGATCTTACCGACGCCCAGAAGGCCAGCGAGGTAATAATCGACGCCGCAAAGAAACACTTTGGCGATAGTCCCCTCCGCATCGATATTCTGATCAACAACGCTGGGGTCTCACAAGACCGAAAGCTTGCAGACTCTGCAAAAGGCCCCATTGACGCAGAGTATTTCCATTGGCACTATAACATCAATGTGCTTGCACCGCTTCTACTCACACAAGCATGCATCCCCTACTTGCCCAATGATCGGTCGGGTCGCATTGTGAATATTTCGAGTGTCTCTTCCAGCCTCGGTTTTGAGGGTCAGTCCGTGTATGGTGGTACAAAAGCTGCGTTGGAAGCCATGACAAGGACATGGGCACGAGAATTGGCAGATCGAGCAACTGTGAACGCAGTCAATCCCGGGCCTGTGATCGGCGATATGTACTTCTTGACCGGCGAGAAATTCTGGAAAGATATTCAGGGTTGGCAAGACAATACACCTCTGAGTAAAGTCGCCGCAGACGCGAGTGACTTGGAGGGACTGGATGCCGAGAAGATCAGGCTGATTCAAGAGAAGATGGGCGGGCGACGACCTGCTTTCACTCGTGAGATTGCGGGCGTTGTTGCTATGTTGTGTACAGAAGATGCAGCGTGGTGTACTGGCAGTGTTGTCAATGCTAATGGCGGCATGAAAATGACAACGTAGTTGACAATAAGAATGAATGATGAAAATTCGACAAATTCCGCTCGTTTTGTTTATCAATGACATGAGGAAGTAGCGTTTGATGGGTGAATAATCTAACACCAAAGGACCAAGTCAAACTCCGAAAAATGCAGGAATAATGTGGAAGTTCATATAAACGTACATTAGTAAATGAGTAAGTCGGAGCATCAGGATCAATTCCATTGTCTCGTTTCCGCAGCACTATCCGCATTTCTAGCGGCGACTTCCGCCTGACTGGCCGCATTAAGAGTCTGGGCTTGCGTCCGGGCTTTCTGGGCAGCAAGTTGACTTCCAAGCTTCCCTTTACTGGAGGTGTTCAACGCCTCTGCACGTTTCTGTATTAAAAAAATGCAGTTAACTCTCGCAGTTATTAATTAGTGCAATGTTTGAGTATACCTGAGCAGCCTCTGCCGCTTTGCTTCTAGCATCAGCGGTATCCTGTGATGAAGAAGCACCTCCAAGTGTCCTTCCAGGTCCCCGTGTTACATTGTTAGGGACTGGTGCGCGAGGAGGTTGGCTTGGTTGTCCTGGAGGGGCTGACGATCCAAGAACACGGCCTGGTTGGGAAAAAGGGTCGTCAGGCTTGTTAGCCGACTTTGAACATACATTTCCCATTGTTCCTACGAGCTGTAATGACGATGAATCTGGGACTTGGTAGTTGGGAAGCGAATATCCCTAATGTCAAGGGTCGGGATGCAAATAGAGGGCGTGGATAGATTCGTTGACTGGTTGCTTGGACGCTAGTACTTTTTGCAGAGGGCCAAATGTAATGAATGATAAACGAAGTAGTTCGAGTACGAAGAACTGCAACAGATAATTGAGATGAGAAGTTTGTGTTGTTCCCAGTGAAGTTAAGAGAACAAGATGTGGACTTGGCCGGGAAGCCACGTGAGGCACGTGGCTGGGCAATACAGCAACTCTATAGCCAGCAGCCAACTGGCCAGACGTTCCACGAAACAAAGGATTATGTATCTCAGTAATATCATTAAACATAGCGAGATATTTAAAACAAATCAAAATCCAAGTATAGATGCTGGCGATATTCGTTCGTTGATTCGTTGAAATGTACAGTATTACCTCAAATCTGATTGGTGGATGCTGTGTGCGATCAGTAGGTGATTGGCTCAAGTGGAAAAGGTGGGTCCCTTATGGATCAGCTTTCATCACGCAAACTCCGAACTGTTCGACATTCTATTCTTGATGACCATCCAACAATATCTCCAGGTTGATCGACCTCTAGATGGATCGATGGACTCGAGCGGTGTCAAAATGCAAAGCAGCAAGGGACTTTTCAACGTGAGATCCATGACCAACACCGCCAAGGATTAATTTAAGCAACAATAATATTGGACAAAGCAGCGAACTCACCACCAAGGTCCTCACCACCGCTGCCCCGACGAGCAAAATCTCGACCCCTCCGCGCTACTTCGCTCACCTACCACCAGTTAATCACCTACTCTTCGTAGAGATTCTTTTTAGCCTCATCGATTCTCTATCCCGACGTTTGTATCTTGTGGTCGCCGGAATCGAGGTTAACTACTGAGCAGTTGTCACGGAAGAAGCTGTATGTGCTTTTCTCAAGTTGTCGCTGGCAAATACTGACACTTTAATGAACTGAAGCATTCTCTGTCGGAAGTCTGTACCGTCTGACCCCGCCATAAGATCAGCCTTACCGGACACTCCCTTTGCATAAGCGTGGGATTCTTCCGTATTTCTCTCCATCGTCATCATGTCCTCCCGAGGAACAGGCGACTTTTGTCTGGATTGCCATTGGGATGCATTCGATGATATCACCGGGAAAATTCCTATGCTGCCATCTGATCAATGGCAATGCGAGGATATACATCATAACGGGGATGCGGTCTGCGCAGTCGAAGACAGCTGTTGTCAAAATGACGCTTGCTCGCTCAATTGCTCATCAGTTTGTGATGGCTTTGTGGACTGCGACCTAGGCTCGACAGTGTGCTCAGATGCTAATTGCGAGGAAACACATTGCGAAAGCACTAGCCCAGCATGTTTTGACAGACACTGCTGTGACGAAGATCAAACTGTGGACGATACCGCAAAGGGTCTGCTGCAGCAGACCGACTTCCAATGGGATCCCGCACTGTTTCTACCTGCTATGACTGACCAACAATTTGATATGCCTGTAAACGAGTCGCAACTGATGAATCAATCGACTTCCAGGCATCAACATTGCAGTACAGAGAATACGTTCTCAGACTTTCAATGCCACAATACCGGCCATGGGTCTCTTACCACAGGCCAGCAATATTCGAAGGAGTGCAACAATGCCTGGCACTCTTTGTTCACCAACAATCAGATAGATATGTCTCATTTAGACATGAATATCATGCTAAACAATACGCCCTTTTATACACCTGAATCGAACAGTGACTTATTAAATCAACACAGTGACACCACCAAGATGCCTTGTTTTCAAGGCGATGGACGACCATCCTGCTCAGAGGCAGGTTTTCAACATCTGGGTTGCTATCTTCGAAATTCTGGAGACACAAAGTTAGTAGAATTCTCAAAGAAACAGTCACAAGCTCGCGTCCACCGTCATGACCATGGTCAAGCACATCACAGAGTAGCCCATTATTCTCGTCCTCGCAATCCGCGAAAGAGTATAAGCTCCCAAACCATTTCAAGCTTCATCGACAGCCCTCCTTCATTAGACAGGGCTATGTCATCAGCTTTGACGAGCCCAACTCCAGCATTGACCGAGGAAGTGGAATCTCACGTTTGCCGCTGGAATCATGGGCCCTCTATGTGCAATGCCATTTTCAACTCTTGTGGAGATCTCCAACAACATCTCATCACGCAACACATGCAACCTATTGATGGGGTGAAAGGTTATGGATACTATTGCTGCTGGCAGGGTTGCCACCGACCGCACGAACCATTCTCTCAGAAGTCCAAGCTTCAGGGACATTTCTTGACTCACAGCAACTGTATGATTCCTTCCTACCTCAAAAGGTGCTTTGCATCATGACTAAATTCGATTGTAGACAAGAACTTCACTTGCTCAGTCTGTGGCAAAGCATTTGCAAGGCAAGCAACACTCGAACGTCACGAGCGCAGCCATCGTGGCGAGAAACCATTCAAATGCAAAGAATGCGGCAAAGCTTTTACAGATAGCAGCGAGCTCAAGACCCATTCCCGAACACATACTGGCGAAAAGCCATTTAAATGTACATTTCCAGGATGTGACTTTCAAACCGGTGACGTATGTTACTTCCATCCCTCGTCTTTTACCATGTTCGATACATTGAGCCCTACAAACTGACTCACCTTCACAGTCGTCGAATATGTCTAGTCATAAATTGACGCACAGCGGACGCAGACATAAATGCACTTATCCGGGTTGCGCAAAGAGCTTTACTCGTCCAGGTATCAGGCCTCATTTGCCTATTCATGATCTTTGGTACTGACAAACTCTAGATCAACTCAAACGCCATCTCAAAACAACTCACAAGCTCGACAATACCAATCATTCCATGTCTCCAGTCTTGGCAGTGCCGACAATGATAGGCACGGTCAATTGAGAGAGGGCAAAATTTCAACAATGTCTTCATAGTTTGATTGATTTGATGTCAAGACTATACGAGGTTACATACGAGGTTACCTAGGTATTTTCCGTTTTATGAAGCTGTATAGAATATACCCACCCCCTGTTGTATTTAAGGGGGCACGCAAAAATTTACATTGATGTTAAATGTGACCAACTATCACATTTGTCTCGGATTCTCTGCTTCGATTTTATTAACGAACATCTGTTATGGATGAGAATTTCGTCTAATTGGTCATCCAACCGCTAATGAACGATTGAGCGCTGAAATCACATTATATGATATAGAAATACAGAAGAGGCCAGCGGAAAAAAAGAATTAATCCCCCTTTCAAGGCTTTCAGGCTTTCATACAACATTATATCGGCCACTAGTTGGCGCCCTAGCTTCACTATCCGCCGCCGCAATTGTAGCTTCTTTCAACAGCCGCATCAATTCTCGCATAGCATTCGTAACAACCAGTTCTGTATCACCCTCGACAAGGATGTACAACTTGGGTGTATCGCCCGGCCCAGGTTCCTTGCCAGATGGATAATAATTGCCTTTAGTTGTGATCGACGTGCCTGTCGCCTCGAGGATTTTGGCAACGTTGGTACGGTTGGTGACAGCCCAACGTGCTTTTTCTGCAATTTAAGTATCATTAGCAATAGTTCAAGCAAGAAAATGATAGAAGGAAATATAAGGTAGGACTTACGAGGAAAGTCGTTGATCTCCAGAGTTGCATGAAATGCTCCGGCATCAGGGCCCTTGTTATCAATCGGGACGCCACTTCTCATCACTCCAGCGCGACTCAATCGTGCATTAATGTCTGCCACAGCCGAGCCAACCTTGTCCAGGGGATCATTAGAAGCTTTACCGCCAGCTGGTTTTTCTGTTTTGTGGACTGTGATCTTGCCGTCCAAGTCAATTCCTTTAGGTATACCTGGTGTAGGCGCAGACGCAGACTGAATAGCAGATGCAGCCTTGGCAAATATTTCTTCGCCCTTCTTCTCTTTCGTGTCTTCGCGCTCTTCCTCTTCACCATCTTCACCGGTACGGTATGTCTTACGCTCACGGTTTCTGGCTGCGTCTCTTTCCTGATCTAAGCGTTCCAGTCCCTTGCCTCCAAATCCAGATGCCGAGGCTTTTTCTTTACCGGCCTTGACTTTCTCAAGGAAGGAATCAACTAATTTCTGGACAGGTTCTGGGACCGCTTGGCCACTCTGTTTCAGTGCCTTGGCAATATCGACCGAATATCTCTCTTGATCCTCGGTTAGGAACGTAACAGCAGTTCCAGTATTTCCAGCACGTCCTGTTCGTCCGGCTCGGTGAACGTAATCTTCCAAGTGATTCGGTGCGTCGTAATTCACAACCAACTTCAACTGTTTTACATCCAAGCCACGAGCAGCAACAGATGTCGCAATCAAAACTGGGAATATACCCGCCTTGAAGTCCGCAATGGTAGAGTCGCGATCGATTTGATCTTTGCCACCATGAATTGACATGCAAGGATAGCCTTTACGCATCAACTCACGGAGTAAACTGTCGGCGGCTTCCTGGCGGTCAACGAAGATTAGCGTCCGGGCATCTTCGTTTGCTTCGTCAGAATAAAGATTGCCAAGCAATTCTAGAAGGCGCAAAAATTTAGTATTCTCATTTCGAACCTCGACTATCTGTGTGATTTCAGGCGCAACCACACTCCTGCCGCCGACAATGATCTCCACTGGCTTGTTCAATGTTTTCCGTGCAAGTGCTTCCATGTTACGTGGGAAGGTAGCTGAGAATAGTACTGTTTGTTTGTTGGGCCGGATATTCGCCATGATCTTCATGACTTGCGGCTCAAACCCCATATCGAACATTCGATCGGCCTCATCCAAAACAACGTAGGTTACTCGTCGTAAATTTGTGACGCGGCCAGCATTCGCGGCCAAAAGATCAATCATTCGACCAGGCGTGCACACCACGATTTCGGCACCTCGTTTTAGCTCCGCAATCTGGTCTTTGATTGGTGCACCACCGTAGGCACATACGGCACGGAGATTTAGTGCTTTCAAGAAAGGCTTGCAATCTTTGTGAATTTGCGTTGCCAGTTCTCGCGTCGGCGTCATGATAAGTCCGATCGGGCCCTCCATGTTCTCTAATGGGTGTTGATCTTTGATATGACGAAACATAGGTAGAAGAAAAGAGATTGTTTTCCCGGATCCTGTTTTAGCAACACCAATTACATCCCTTCCGGACATGATAGCTGGAAGGGCCTGGCTCTGAATGGAAGTTGGATTCTCGTAACCAAGCTTACTGATGACGTCTAGTGTTTGCACACCGAGCCCACATTGGGACCACTTGAGGATCGGCTTTGGAGGATCAATTCCACGGACTTTGATGCCGTCCAGTTCGAGTCGAAGACTGGCTACATCCTCTTCTGTCATCTGAGCCAAATCGAGAGGTTCGGTATAGAAACTTTTACGGAATGGCTCATACTCCGTCTTCGTATGGTCAACTGTAGGAATATCCTTTTTCTTCTTAGCCTTGTTGGCTATAGCAAGGAAGTCATCCGTGTCACCGTGAGCGACAGCTGACATATCGATATCATCTTCGTCGCCGAATATAGCCTCTGGCTGCTGCAGCTTGCTTTTAGCCGACTTGGTCATACTTGGTTTCTTAAATGAATTTTTCTCTGCTAAACCGGACATAAAGGCATCTAGAGGATCAATTTCCTCTTCTTCGGGATGTTCGGCAGCTTCGACATTAGCATTAGATGCATCAGCCATTGCTACATCGCCATTGGACTCCATCTCTGAAGTAGGTTGCTGGCCTTGTAGGCGCCCTTCTCTCTTCTCTGCAGCCGCTCGTGCTGCGGCTGCGTTCTCCTCTTCTGTCCCGTTTTCCATGTCAACGTCGGAATCATCGTCTTCCGCGGCGGCATCTCCGGTGGCGTCCTTTGTATCCTCGGGCGGAGGGCTAGGTAATTTCTCGAGCTTTTTACGTTTCGATTCCTCTTCGCCAAAGTCCAAAGTACGTTTCGCAGAGGGCTTTTCAGTATCCGTAGCGGTTCTGTTACCAAACCCAAATTTCCCAACGTTACCGCTGGCTTTCAAAGGAGCTGTTGAGTATGCATCATTAGTTTTCGTGTTTTCAAATAGCTTCCAATCGAGACAACACTTACCAGACGCCTTGCTTGGAGCAACTGAGAGTCTGTTAGCCTTGGTTATGCCGTCAGCCTTAGCAGAATCAGGAACAATAACGTCCTTGCCCAAAAGAGATGACCCTGAAGCAACACCAGTAGCTTTCTTCGCAATCACCTTTGGGTCGAATTTTCCGCCATATTCAGCTGGAGTACTTATCGAGGATGGTGTACTAGGAGAAAGAGGGGCGGGCGAAGCTGGAGCAAGACCCGACTTCTTGTCGATTTCGTTTAAGATACTGCGGGGGCCGCCTGCAGCAGCGAGCTCTCGTTGTTTACGTTCGCGCTCAGCTGCTTGTTTTTGCTTCCACGCTTCCAGCTTTGCGAGTCGCTCAGCTTTCTTCTCTTCATCCGTCTGAGCTGCGGGGGCTGGAGTCGGCGCTTTGGACGCCTGGGTAGTATTGTTAGCCTGTTTGTAAATATCATGATAACGCATTTTTCTGGTACTGACCTCTCGCGATCCGGCAGCAGAGTCTCTATTCATCGACCTGTCTCTGCTTTCCCTTCTGAATCTTCTCCTCGAGTCAGTAGAGTCGTCTCTGTGCCTTCGGACTCGGTCGCGGGAGTCATCTCGCCTATTCCGATTGTCCCTATCACGACTCTTGTCTCGATCCCTGCTCCTCCGCCGATAGTCCCGATCAGAACGTCGGTCACGGTCACGGTCGCGCGAGCGATCTCGCTTCAATGGTCTGTAATTGTGGTCGTCGCGATACCCATTGCGATCCCGTCGTCTATAGCTATCACGGTCGCGGTCTCGATAGCGCCTCTGATATTGTGAATTTTGTGTCAGTTGATTGCCACAATATGGCTTTTGCAGGTCTCCACTTCGATTATGGAATCGACTTACATCGGGGCTGCGTGATCGGCGGTGTGTCCTTCCCTCGTCGCGTCCATCTCTCTCGTACCGATCATCATCTCTGCGACTTCGTTTGGATGAGGAGTATGTGCTGCCTACAGGTGATGGTGAGCGCGTATCCCCGCGGCGAGCCATTGTTGCAGGCCAACTAATAAGTGAGATGTGAGTATTACGTGAAAGCTCCAACCGTAAATACTTGGTTAAGTGTTGTTCGCTATTGTTCAATCAACATCCATTTGTCTTTTTCTTGGACTATTCTTTTAGTTTTTGTCCCTCTTTCTTTTTCTGCTGTCAAAATTGATGTATCCGTGAGACTTATGCGTTTCGAGATGCTCTGAATGTAATATCTGCTCAAGAGATATTTCGATTGTAAGATTCGAAGAACGTTAAGAGTTCGTAGGTGGCGGCAAACCTTGAGCCAAATGTTAGTCGTGAACTATATCACGTGATTTATTCATGAGCTAGGCCGAGAAGAGTAATATCAATTTTCTTTTTGGGGGCCTTTTTTTCCTCCCAAGTTCTCAGTCTGAAAGCACTTATTCGACCGATCGGAATGGAAAATGCTTGGTTTCTGATCTGAGTTATCGTCTAATTGATTCAGACATCTATGTAAAAGTTCTGCAGTTGAATACTACTTCGTACCAAAGCTCGCTTTCGCTAGATATTACTCTTTCCAGCGCATCAGGGTTAAGGAATGCTTCGGAAACACATAATGGTCTTGGCCATCCCACGTAGTTTCTTTGGCGCCCACTTCCTCTTTTCCTTTCATGTTCGTGACCGTGACATCAGCTCCAGTAACAGTAAAGACGTTGACGGGACCCTTAGCTCCTTCGACCTTCGCCTCGAAGTCTTTATGCTCGTGTACGTTGATAGTAACCACATTGACGAAGCCGTCATCACTTAGGGATGCGCTAACATCCAGCCATGGTGTCTCTTTGACACTACGTAGCCATGAAGGTGATGTTCCGCCATTGTAGGCTCCACAAGAAACATGGGCCGAAATAGTCCATCCACGCATATACTTCGAGAAAAGAAGCAATGGCCACCAAGTTGTTTGTTTAGTGATACCAGTTGGAGATGTCATGAGAGGTGAAATGACATTGACACTCTGGGCGATGCACGCCATGCCGAGATCTCGGCTCTTGCGAATAAACACATTGAGGAAGACCCCGACTGCCAATGCATCTGATAAGGTATATGTCTCCTCAGCACCAAATCTGCCTTCTGCTCGAAGAGGATCCCACACATTCCACTCATCAAAGCAGATAGATGGGCGTGGGTCGTCAGGCGACACTCCATTTTCTATCCGTGCAAGATCAATTAGCGAAGATGCTATTTCGATCGCGCGCTCGGCTGCCAGAGGTGCCGTTGCATTTTGCAGATGGTCCTTTGAGGCCGTGTACATATGTATGCTATGCATGTCGATGAGCGGAGTAGGGTTACTACTGAGTGCAGCTCTAGTAGGTTTGAGACACTCCCTTAATGTATAGTAATCCCATGATGTTGTGCCACTCTCACCGCAGAGGATCAATATCAGGTTCGGGTCGAGCAGTTTTAGTGCTACAAATTTCCGACGATTAGTGCCATCTCACAAATATCGTCAAGGTCATTCACCTTTAGCCCATTGAAAAGCTTTGTGGGCATAAGCTTCTTTGGTTGTCTGTTCCACTTGCCAAGGTCCATAGACTTCATTTCCTAATGCCCAATATCTGACCTATTTTCTCATGTCAGAGCCATTAATAGACATGGAGGCGACTGAAAGTACATTACATTGTATGGTTCTTCCCGGCCATTCTTCCTTCGCAAGTTGGCGTAGTAGGTGTTGCCAGTACCATTGCAATATTCAACCCAAGCCATAGCTTACTGGATTAGCGTCTATGTCAAGGATGAATTAGGGTGAATCCTACCTTCATCAAGAGTACCTGTTGTGAAATTGAAATTTAGTCATTGGCTTTGTGATGTCTGATTTATGTTTCCAGCATTACCTGTTCCAAAATTTAGACAAATGTATGGCTCTGTTCCCAGCACCTCGCACCACTTGAGAAATTCATCGGTCCCAAAATGATTCGTTTCCGTCCCTAGCCATGCCAACTCCGGCCTAGAATCATACCATCACCCATTAGTCGTCTAGGATCTCCTTCCAACAAGAACATATGGCACGTTCTACCTTGCCGGTCGTTTTTCTTTCGGACCTACACCATCCAGCCAGTGATAGGTAGCAACGAAATTCCCTCCCGGATAACGAATAACAGGGATGTTCAGCTCCTTCAAGGCCTCCAAAACATCTTTTCGAAATCCATTCTCGTCCGACAGAGGGTTTCCGGGATCATAGATGCCTCCATAGATGCATCTGCCCATATGCCTGAGAGAGATTGCTTAGAGCCAAAACGCCGAACAAAGCACAACTTGTGGTGTGAAGATCAAAACATAACTCACTCTGTAAAGCCGCCGTAAATGTTGGGGTTGATTTTGGATAGCCGCGCCGCAGAGTTAACGGCTATAGTGGGAAGCGAGCCATCGTCGATTTTTGTGAACGTCGTCATCTTGATTAGCATCAATTTCGAGTATTTTCGGAGTTAGATATGAGGAAAATGATCAGAGAAAACGGCCAGTAGAAAGTAAATATCAAAATTCAGTGTCAAGCTCCAAGTCTCTCTGAGGAAAAAAAATTGTTGGAGGCCGGAAAGTTCTCAGCGCTGGAGACTACTTTCTCGATTGAGCTGCGAAGCACGCAACATCAATTACGCAGGACCTTCGCAAGTGAATTCCAAGCAGATTTATATAGCTTGCAATTAGGTGAGCTGTACGGTATGGTGGGGTGGAAATTCTGAACGATTAAAGTTGCGCAACACACGTAACCAAAGGTTCAACTCGTCCACTCAACCAGGAATACTGGGTACCTATTAACATTCAGAATAGGCAGATGAAAGGGCCACTTCTCCCGTTAATCGAATATGGCTGCTGGAACGCACAATATTCCCCGCATCGCATGGGGATGGAATTGGACTAGTGCTCTTGTAATTAGGCACAATTCCGGCAAATATTCGTAGCGTCTCTGATCGAAGAACTGTAAGTATATCTAGAAGTGCTTGTAACTTATCAACGAGGATAGGGTTTGTATACCGGATTCTGGAGTGGGCTAGATTACTGATTTCATGGCCAATTCTTTGACACAAGCAAACGTAGCGCGTTCATAGTTCCAACAGCACCTGGGCATACCATGTGGCAATTCTGTAAATGTTTCAGAACAAAAGGGAAACTCGAATTTCGCCTCTTCCTCAGACACTGAGTGGTATCAGCATCGTACATTTAATTTTCTCCCAGTAAGACAATTTATGATGACAATATTGACATTGACAGGCACATTGCCACTCCTTGTATGGATGTACCTCAGAATCTCGACACCAATTGAAAGCTCGGCTTTGCTGACGGAAGACATGCATTGACTTAAACCAGAGATCCCAGTGTGACTGCCAAAGTACTTGTATGCCCGTTTTCACAATAAAAACTCCACTCAATGCAACACAGTCCTAAATGACAAACACCAATCGTTGATGAAAGAACCTCTGCTCGATCGTGACGACGGTGATAATCATCATTGCTTATATCTTCTTGAAATTGTAACCACCAGAAGCCTTTTATGATGAATCTGAGTGATGGGCATGTTTGCGCTTAGTGTGGGTTGGGTAGATCATTGGATGTTTCCGTATATACTTGCAGACGAGAACCTGGATAGAACAACTTCGTGGCCTCATTTGAGTGCCTGCCAAGCACAGGAAGCCTGCATCCCGGTAAGGAAACGCGCAGCAAAGGAGCTTTCTACTTCGTTTAGAGTCAAAGTTGCTTAACCAGAATCTTCGTCGGAATCATATGCAACGAGGCCAAGGGACGGTCCAGTTGCTACCTTGTGTTGGGTGCTGTCTTTTGAGGATGCGGTATTGGTTGCTCTGCCTTTCGGGCTTTCATCGGAAACAGTCTCGATGCGCTTTGGTGCTGACTTAGAGGAAGCAGAAGGTGTCGAATCTTTTGCCACGTCCTTATATATTGTCGTTGCAGGCTTTTCTTTCTGATCTGACACGGTAGAGGCATCATCGGCGGTGAATGATGATTTACGGATCTTGGGAGGTACCAAGAAGTCTTTTCTATTTCGTTTGCGTTTCCTCCCTGCAACAACCCACTGTTCTTCATCCCCTGTTGGCTTTGTAGCGCTGCCAGAGCTGTTTTGCCCGCCGGCTTCAATCAGAGCTCTCTCGGCCTCTTCACGTTGACGCTGGTACTCTGCCAACTGCTCGGCAGTCTCCTTCTTTACGGCAGCTTCCTGAGCTCGAGTTGACTCTAGCAACGAATCTAGAAACTCGACCTCATCTTCGTCCAAGGCACGAAATTGATTCTTTAGTCGTATCGACTCTTCAAATGCCTCTTGCTTGGCCATCTTGTTTTGCTGCAGAATCTCATAGAGACTTTTCCCATCATTCTGCTTTCCAAGCTCCGCCTTCCGCCGCCTTTCCTCCTCCAACTCCTGTTGAGTTCGCCGCCACTCATCGTCTCTTTCATTTGGTTCATCAATGGTGCCTCCCGAGACGAAGCCAGACGACATCTTGCCGGAAAGAAATTGCCCGGCTTAGATGATTGAAAGTGTCATACAAACGGTGCACGTTCGATATTCAATGAACTGCTTGGCACCCCACTGGCTTGCATGGAAGCAGGTACAATCTTGAACAAAATTTAGTCAGTGAAATGCAGCTGGTCCAAGCGGGCCAATTACACTCGGAAAGGGACGGCAGAATCAGGCGGTGAGTATAGACAATCCCGGCGCCTTAAAAGCACTCTTCCTTTTCATTCCACCCAATCATACACTGAATCTATTGAACCGTCGCTCAGTCGGTCAGATTTCACAGTCACTACACGGAGTACTCAAAATGCTATAACTCTCGGCTCCTTTGCGTGGCCGGACTCTTCTAGCGAGTAGTCGGAGATCTCCAATGGCTTTATTTTTACACCTAAGCCCTAACGAACATAAAGCGGACTTCCTTCTCTAATACAAGATCGAAGACTGTTCCCGTACCAGCAAATCGCTATGTGCAGTTTTATCTTAGAGGGTAGCTATATGAGCATCTCGGCTATCAGCCCATGGAGAACTGGGCGATTTAAAGAGAAAGGCTTATATAACCCCTCTCTAAAGATTTTCAGCCAGGAGCTTCAATCCCTACTGGACATGGGGGTCTGAATTATAGTGTAACTAGCTATCCTATGGGCTGTTTAAGTTGCAGCAGATGTGCTACTTACCGGGTCGGCCTACTGGGTATGTTCCGGTTAGCTGAACGTGTTCACCTGCCTTCTAGAAACGCCACGGTATCCTGCCCCGCAGTGAGAGGACTAAGGTATGGTGCTACAAGATATGGAGTAGAGAGGCCTCTATCCTTTCGCTCTACACCTGGCTATCTATTAGTAATAGATATCCACAACTCTTGACTTTCAGGCACATATCAGATGCTTCGGCGGGGTTCCAAACCGCATAGGTAGCATGTTGAGGTCTCGACCATATTGTACCTGATTGCTCGCCAGGGTACGGGTCATAGTTCGGCAATCTACTAATCTAGGTCAACCCTACAAATATATTCAAATGTGAGCTCAATAGTATCTCTCTTCGGCTATACAACCCCCGGATATGCGGCTTGCCCTAACCCTTATCTCTACTTCCTGGACAATCGGCTGAATATGGCGAGAAAAATAGCGTGCCCACTGATATGGATCGATGGGCCTCATTTTGACCGAAATAGGCAAGTCGGTTGAACAAATCTAGCCATTCACTGGTATTCGGTGATATCATCAAGTTGGCTCCACAGGAGACACTCCACTAGCCATTGTCCTACCGCGAAATATGACGATCTATTGAGCATTCGCAAACTGTCGCAGGTATACCGATGCTCGGTCCTCTAACCCCACCCTCCCACTGCTCAGCAGTTTTAAAGATATATGACTCCTCTCCCCTGGTTCCTTATTCATGATGTTTTCAGTTCCTCGAGTATTTACCTTCTGCTCGCCGTGTCAGCTCAGTGCTTTTCACTGTCAGTTTCCCAGAATAATTGCTCCGAACTACCAAATTCACAAGATGGCTACTACACAGAACAGCAAGTAAGTTACAAGGTTGAACGAAAAGCAGCAGCAACAGAGACTAATAATCAACCTTTGCAGGAAGACATTTACCCTTAACACAGGGGCCAAAATCCCTGCGATCGGTCTCGGAACCTGGCAATCCAAACCCAACGAGGTCCGCGAGGCAGTAAAAACCGCTTTGCTTGCTGGTTACCGTCACATCGATACGTAAGATATTCCTCGAGGTAACTATCTTGTCAATGTGATTGCTGATTGGAATGAAATAGTGCTTTGGCTTACGAAAACGAACACGAAGTCGGACAGGGAATCAAGGATTCCGGTGTTCCTCGTGAGGAAATCTGGGTCACTACCAAACTCGACAACACATGGCACCACCGAGTCCAAGATGGTATCAATTCATCATTGTCCTCTCTAGGTCTTGACTACGTCGATCTTTATCTTATCCACTGGCCCTCGTCAACGGATCCAAATGACACCAGCAAACACCTCCCTGATTGGGATTTCATCAAGACATGGTAAGACCAAGAGCAAGCTTGAATATCAGTTTAGAATTGTCCCGTACTAACGTATAATACAGGGAGGAGATGCAAAAGCTTCCTGCCACCGGCAAAGTGCGAAACATTGGTGTCTCCAACTTTGGCATCAAGAACCTGGAACGTCTGCTCAGTACTCCCACGACCAAGATCGTCCCGGCCGTCAACCAAATCGAGTTACACCCCAACAACCCTTCTCCAAAATTAGTGGAATATTGCGCCTTTAAAGGAATTCACTGCACTGGATACTCCTGCCTTGGCTCCACCAACTCTCCGCTGTACAAAGACCCCACACTGCTCAAGATGGCCGAGAAGAAAGGAAAGACCCCTCAACAGATTCTGCTTTCCTGGGGTATACAGAAAGGCTGGAGCGTCATTCCAAAGTCCGTGAACAAGGAGCGCATTGAGAAGAACATCCAGCTCGATGGTTGGGAGCTCACTGCTGAGGAGGTCAATGAACTCAGCAACCTCAAGGACCGATTCAAGGTCTGCGGTGACGACTGGCTGCCGGTGAAGGTATTCTTTGGCGATGATGAATGACTCGTTCTGGGTAAGCTTTAGACAGCAATTGCTTCAAAAGTTATAGAGGAAACAAATAAGGAATGAAAATTGGATTTTGCGTAACTTAATTGTCATCGGAAGTACGATCGTCCAATCGGGTCGCTTGATTTTATATTCAACACTGATTGGCTAAAAGACGTGGAGACCCCGTTTTTGGCATTCCGAGAGTGGCAAAAAGAGGAGAAACTGCACCGCCACACAGCCTTATCGGCTTCCTCATAACCCAAGCATCGACGGAGTCATCGTTCTTCACTCTTACATCTATCGAGACATCGAACTTTCGACTCAGTAGAGCCCTGTCAACCTTGCAGCCATGGCGCCAGCAAGTGGGCATCTACTACTCCCCAAAATATGGAGAGCAGCAAGGTAAGAATGTCCCTGTTTTCCATATGCTTAGTATGCTTCGCTAACTCGCAGACATCAGATTTGCCTACGAGAAGGCGGCCAGAGCTCTCAAGGCCAAACTCTCGGAACAGTCACAGCAACTGCAACCAAAACTCCAGCCGGCTTACGCACATGTCGGTTCTCGCCAGCCCATTAGTCGAGCCGCAGCGATTCGACAAGCCCAAAGCCGCCGATTCTCTACCCGTGCAGGCGGTTATATTGGCTCACACCTACGCCAAATCTCACGTCCCGCAGGCAGCGCTACCCCAAACTCGTCAGTACGTCAAATGGTTATTCGTTTGACATCTCAATCGCCTTTCAACTCCGCTCTCCGGCCCAATTTGACCGGCGGAACTCTCGGTCGTACGGCCGGTGGATATAGTATCGGGGCAGGAAGAATTGGTGGAGCAAGATACTTTTCACACGGCCCTGCTGCACCTGCGCAGGTTATCCAGAATGTGTCCGTCGCGATGCGTGGGTTCTGGTTATCCGGTCAACGAGCTCGATTCGATGGCATCGATCCATGTACAGGCGAGAAGCGCTTCAAGACCGTGACACCTTTGCAAGATAAGGCACAACGTCGAATGGTAGAGGTCTCGCGCAACACTCCCGGCTCGTATATTGATTTCCAGCTGTCGCCCACAATCACTTCCATCGGAAATCTCAAGAACGAATCTCTCCAGTCGGAAGGCTTGATGGAGATGCTTTCTGTCGATTTTGCACGTGCTTTGAAAGATCTTGCAGCAGTCTTGAATGACCTCCAGCGTCTTGGTACGCTTGGTGATCTTCCTGTCTCCCTTGAAAACAAATCTACTCTTCGTGTTCGCTTCCCTGGCTGCGATGCGGAGCAAGTAGAGCGTCTGTGTGACGAAGTCGGTGTGGAGCGTGGCCAGGTTTACCAGGATGAAGATTTTGATCACCGAACTGGCGCTGAATTGGCCCTGCTATTTCCATTTGCTCCCAGCATTGCTCCCACTCCAGAAGCAGAACTTCTCATAATCCATGAAAATCCTCGAGCTTCGACCAAGCATGATTTGGATTGGCGGTTGATGATGTCTGGTAAGACGTCACCCAGGATATCTCACGATACAAACCAAATAAGCTTTGAAGATGTCGAGATGTTTGGTGATAACCCGTGGATTTCTTCGCCTTCTGGATACTCCAGCATTGGAGTGAGCGAGCTTGGAGACCGAGAATTTTTCGCTGAGCTTTCGCCGCCGCGCGCTGGAGAGAGTCACTCTGATTACGAAGGGGTCCAGGGAATATATAAATTTTTGGAACAATGTGACTTGGCTGCAGGCCAACGGTTCTAAGCCAGCTTCGACAGCACTTTCGTTTTTTCTTTTTTATTGTTCTTCATGATATCCATTACTGCTTTTTCTGATGACCTGCTTGACACATATCGATCAGCCGCCTGATATGTACGACACATTATTTTCTTCTCCTTTATGTTTCCGGCTCCTTATCCAGCCTGTATTAGGAGACTTTGACTAAATGAGCCTGGGTATTCTCGGTCTCGTCCCTTTGCAAGTCGAATTTTTAGACTAGAATGACAATCTCATCTCTTATTAAATACTCCTTTTTTCCTCGGGTGGCCTTCAAGAGGTATCAAACCCTACCATCAACATACCTACTTCTACTTAGGGCACGACAAAGGCGGTCACCCCACCGTTCTAGGAGCCAGCCAATCAAATGCGGGATTTCTGCCAGTCAAAAAGAACCTGTAAATGTCCTGCAGAATACTCAAAGACTATGGTGCATATTCACATTTTGACTGCTAAAAAGGATATGTTTATGGCTTAATCATTATTGCAATATGTAGATATTAGATTCTTGAGATGTGTCTCAAACTACTAGTATGAAAGAATGAGTCCTCTCCTATCATTAACAGTCACACACTCTCACCGCCTGGATACCATAATCCACTTAGCCCCGCATTATTTTGCAATTGTGAGATTGTTGCTATCACCGCATCACCCATCAGGCTGTCTTTCTGGATACGACTCTTATCCTCGTGGTTCTGATTACTGCCATTCATTGTCATACAATCAGGAACACAACTGCAGGTGTCACTACTTGCCGGAATCAGACAACATAAAGCATACGGCTTTCTTGGGCGACCTGCAAGCCACCAGCCCTCCCAAGGCCTGTCGCACTTGGTCCTCTTGACAAGTGGGCGGCTCAAGAGGAAGAACCACAAACACGCGATAATCAATTGAACAATATTGAAGACAAATTTAATACCAGAATACGTTATGGAGGACTTCAACAGTGAAACTGACAGTGACTATACCAGTTACTGGAGAGACTGGGTAAGTACAACTTGATTTTGTTCTGTGCAACTTTGGGTGTTTTCATGTCTCTCTTTTAGACTAGTATATTTTATTCATCTCATATTTCTTTATTCTTTATATTGTCTGGTATATCTTAGAAGCACAGTGCATGTTTTTTTCTTTATGAGGAGAGGCAGGCACGACTGCAGGTTGCTACAGAAGCAACAGGTTGGGCACCTCAGGAAGATTCAAACTTCAGATTCCAGACAACAACACTGCCATTTTTATATCTACAGACTTGCTATGCTCACCTCTGGAATTATCTTTACCAATTGCTTTTCGTCACCTTTGTCTCTTGAATCTGGCTGCCTCTTTGCAATGGATCCTCGACGAGCCCCCGTCAGCATCTTCAACATGGTCAATGATGACGATGATGTCGAGCCTCCTCCCCGGATCAATGTCCCTCCACACGTTGTTCAGAGTCTCCATTATCTTTCTCTCGCATTTCGTCCACGTGAAGAGCCCAAAATTAACTTTCGTCGTCCCTTTTCTCCACAGTTCATCTCCTCGCGAGGCAACGAGTATTTCTGTGAAATCGACGAGGAATACTTGACCGACCGCTTCAACTTGACTGGACTCAACACCGAAGTCCAATACTATCAATATGCGCTCGACCTGATCACAGACGTGTTTGATCTAGATGCCGACGATGACCTCCGCGAACAAATTGAGAAATCAGCTCGTCATCTCTACGGCTTGGTTCATGCACGCTATATCGTGACGACTCGTGGATTGGCTAAGATGGTGCGTCGTTTGATCTTCTACATCCTCTGATGTTCTTAGTTATATTGTCATTGTGGAGTATCTGTGGCTAATATTCCTTCGTCTTTAGCTCGATAAATATAAGAAGGGCGATTTCGGAAAATGCCCCCGTGTCTTGTGCGATCAACACCCTTTGCTTCCCATGGGCCAGTCCGATCTGCCTAACCAAAAGACCGTGAAACTGTACTGTGCAAAGTGCGAAGATATCTACAACCCAAAGTCATCTCGTCATGCATCTATCGACGGGGCCTATTTCGGCACATCCTTTCACAACATTCTCTTCCAGGTGTACCCAGCACTTGTACCTGAAAAGAGTATTCAGCGCTACGAACCACGCATTTACGGCTTCAAGGTGCATGCAACGGCCGCCTTGGCTCGCTGGCAGGATGCTCGCCGCGAGGAGATGAAAGACCGTCTAGCAAAGCTGGGTATGGATCCTGGATTTATTGAGTCTAGCGAAGATGAGAATGACGAGTCCGATGACGAGGTTGATGACGATAAGTCGGAGCCGCTTGAAGAAGAAGCAGCACCAGTTGCTGACAATGCTTCTGCACGTATGGACACCGGCATCTAAATTTTTGGCCATGCGTCAATTTCCAGTCGATTTCTCGTCGCTCAGTTTCTTCACTGTGATAAGGACCTGCATATTGAAGGCGTTCAGTGGTGGCGTTGGTAGCGAGTTTTGGTCTTATCTGAGAGAACACCCATTCATGTCTTGCTCAATGGTAATAGAATACTTCCTGCCAAGGGACGGAAACAGAAATACTTCAAAAGAGCTTCTATAACCTGCAGTTTCTGTAATTTCGATGTCGAGGACAATGAGTAGCATTTTCAGAAACAACATTGAAATCGTCTGCTCTCGCTGCACTCGAGAGACGAAAAGTTCTAGACTAAGTATGCCTAGGTACTAGATAAATGGGTGTAGAGTGCTCCAGCTGATGAGATAGTTATGCTATTATATTTGGTCTTATTCGTACAGGCCACCACTGCTTAGTCAGATTGCAAGAAAAAAGGCGGAAATCTTTATAGTAGGGGAGAATGTGGGATAGTAAAAGTTATCTCAGGCACTTTTCTCAGACAGTCTTTGTACAGTAGTAATGATCACACAAGCAAGTTCCTCGCATTTTCCCCAGACATCGTCATGTTCTTCTTTCAAATCATTTATCTCAACCAGGTCTCTTCCTTGAGCCAGTGTCTGCCAATGCTTAAGAACTTCCAGCATGGCATCCAGCTGAGGCTGATTGATCAATAAGTCCCCAGTCGAGCTTGCCAGCACTGCCACCCGGCCATTCTCCCACCCGGAAGCAACTCCATCTGCACTGGTGACTTTCCCAGGGCTGACTCCGTCCCATAATTCTTCATCCGAGCCAAAAGCACCCTTGATAAAATCTTCATAAATCTTGATATGCCTGTAATCATTTCGAAGAAGTTTCAGATCATAGATTCCGCAAACGCCAGCTATAGCTTTAGGTTTCGGAAATGTTGTTGCGTTTGCTCCTTGGACTTTGTTCATGACCACTTGGAAGGATAGAGTTGCTCCGCAACTGTGGCCAACAAGAATATATCTGTCCCCAAAGCCATACTTGTCTTGTAAAAATGCAAGGGCAGTCTGAACATCATGGATGTGCTCTGGATGTTTAGCATCCCGTAGTTGAGTTTTTGGTGTGTTGTTGGGATCTTGATGAGCATTCGGATGAGGACTTAGACGATAGTCTATAGAAGCAAAAGCAGCCACATGCTTTTGGATCAAGGGGTCTTTGCTGAGCAAAGTTTGGGTTGTTGAGAATGAATCTGCTAGGACGGTATTATCCCTCCATGCCCCGCCATGGATGTATCTGTCATGATGATTGTTTAGCTTCTGGGTATAAAGCCCGAAGGGAAAAGCTGATAAGACGATATTTGGATACGTACATCACCCATAGCAGGTCCTTATCTTCGGGACTATTTTGGGCTTTGTAGACATGAATCTCTTGCAGCTCATGCGAGCCATAAGAAAACGTCTCGGGTTGAGCCATCTTTCACAAAATTTCTCGGGAGTTAGATACATATACACGGGAATTCAGCCGGTGGTATAACACTATAACTTTCTGGTAAAAGCGATGTCAAGAATCGAATCTCAACCATTTACGAGCCATAGTAGGGCGTCTCACTTTCAAGAAGGTGGTTATCAAGTAAAAATACACGCTAACCCAAAGTGGAAGCAGTTTGTAGATTCTGCGATGCAAGAAGCACGCCACAAAACAGTGCATTTTCTGGAGTAGCCATTTCGGCGCCCTTTTTTGATAAATCTTCAGTAATCAGTATTTGCATTTACACTTTTCAATATCAGAGAAGATAGACCTATGCAGAGTTGGACAGCAGAAAACCAACGGTTACTTGGCGCGCTATTCCTATTCGGGTTTGATTCGGGCTGCCCACACAAAACGGAGCCCGCAAAGAACGAAGGCGACAGAGACTCAGCAACTACGCCTCGTTCGACTCAGGTGCTTTAATGATATTCAAGATGGAGTGAGTCAATCTGATAATAACGGTCTGATAGCTGCTAATATCATGCAGGAAAGAGGCTCCTCTCACGGCAGTCCAGGTGGAGGCTTTGGTATGAATTCTTAAGAAAAAAAAAATCCTACCCCTCGTCGCCGCCAGCGATGTGTCGCCTTGACTGTCCATACTGACAGCAATTTCTTGCGCCAGGTTGTCATGAAAATTATCAAGCACAGTTCCCAGAGTTTTCCTACGGTTGCTACCGGTTCCCTTGTCGGTCTTGATGTTGAAGGCACGCTAGAAATCACAAACACATTCCCGTTCCCCGTCGTGGAAGTGCCTCCCGAGTCGCACTTCGACACTACAACACCAAATGCTGCCGCTGCCGCTCCTCGCGCCAAAGCGAATACCGTCTACCAGGCTGAGATGATCCGTATGCTGCGTGAAGTGAATATCGATGCTCAGAATGTCGGATGGTACACCAGCGCGAACATGGGTAACTTCATCAACTTGAACGTTATCGAGAACCAATTTTTCTACCAGAAGGAACTTAATGAACGGACCGTCGCTCTTGTCCACGATGTCAGCCGAAGTGCACAGGGTAGCTTAAGTTTTCGCGCTTTCCGTCTTTCGCCGCAATTCATGACTGCGTTCAAGGAGAATAAGTTCACATCTGAGCAGTATGAAATTCTAGAGTCTATGTTTCGTGACTCGCATCATATCCCAAGTCGCTAATTTTCTTTGATATAGACTTCAGAAGTCCGGCCTTCGTTATCAAGATATCCTTGTCGAACTTCCGGTCAAAATCCACAACTCTCACCTCCTCACATCATTCCTTCACCAACTCCCATCTCCCTTGCCATTGGAGCCTCTTGACCTCCCTCCCTCGCTTTCCGCACTTAAGAACGGCCCCACGGCGCAACCGAACGTTCTTTCTCCCAACTTCGATAACCTGTCATTGAGCATCGACCCATTCCTTGAGAAGAATTGCGATTTGCTCCTGGACGCTATTGAAACCCATCACTCCGAGAACAACAACTTCCAATACTACCAGCGATCACTCGCCCGTGAACAACAGAAGATTGCCGCCTGGCAAGCGAAGCGCAAAGCCGAGAACGCTAGTCGTGCAACACTCAAGCAGGCTCCTCTCCCCGAAGATGAATGGCAACGCTTGTTCAAGCTTCCTCAAGAGCCTAGCCGATTGGAGAGCATGCTCAATACCCGACAAGTCGAACAATATTCGCGTCAAATCGATGGTTTCGTTTCCTCGACAACTGGCAAGATGTTCGCCGTGAAGGGCAACTTGCTTCCCGGAGAGGCGAACGAATAGATAGATCTTTTGCTTGTTGAGGATTATACTACCGTTTCTTCATTCCTTCTTTTTCTTTCTTATCTAATAACGAATGTCGATTCTTGTGGGCATTTTGCATGACTCTCCGGCGTCGAAAGGGAAAAAAAAAACTATGTATCTGTGGTTGTCCGTGCTTGAAACTAGAGTTAGGACTACCCCTGTCAATGAAAATGAACGTATAAATGTTTAAAATCATTCATTTATCTGACCCAAGTACGTATACTTTGTGAATCAAGTCGTGACTTTCTTATCAGCCCTATCAAAACCATGTGGATCCGCTTCCGAGATCGAGGTATGATCTCATCGCAGTCTCAATTACAACTTCCTCATTGGTAGTACAATTCTATTCATTCTTCACTGAGATGCTTAGCTGAAGGAAACTATATACCAAGCTCCAATGCATAACAGTAACACCGATATCTGGCTTGTATGTACTTCCAAACGTCCTGTGAATCATGCACCATACATCCGGCTAACAGATAGACCAAGGCCGGAGCAATAGCAGCTTTTACAGTCGATTTTATCGTTTATCCTCTCGACACTCTCAAGACTCGGATTCAATCACCGAGATACAAAGAGCTATACACAGATGCTGCTACAGGAGCGGTCCAGCGAAGATTTCTCTTCCGAGGGTTGTATCAGGGGATATGGAGTGTTGTCGTAGCTACAATCCCTTCTTGTAAGTCAAAGACCACGGTATTATAGTGTATTCGGTTCATTGTTAACTCTTGAATTCTAGCAGGAGCATTCTTCACTACATATGAAGGCATCAAATACATCTTGAATTCAGCGGCCACAAAAAATTCCGATGATTCCACCATCAACAATAAACTAGCATTCAAGCACTCTCTTCCAACGCCAGTAATAAATGGGATCGCCTCTTCAGCTGCAGAGTGCGTGTCATGTTTTATCCTCACTCCAGCCGAAGTCTTGAAACAGAATGCGCAAATGGTCAGCTCATCAGACAATAACCGCTCCAGAGGAAAATCATCGACTACCTTAAGAAGACATCCGACCATGCAGGTTCTATCAACGTTCCGAGCTCATCCCACACATCTCTGGCGAGGGTACGGAGCTCTTGTTGCTCGAAACCTACCGTTCACAGCCATGCAATTCCCACTTTTCGAGTATCTACGAGAAAGAACACAAAATAAATGGCACCAAAAGCAGCAGACGGGGCACCAGGAGCAAACTGTCACAGAAAGGGCTCTAATTACGGCATTATCTGCCGGGTTGGCGGGCGGCGTAGCGGCAGTTGTTACTACACCGATTGACGTTGTCAAAACGAGGATTATGCTCAATGCCGCCACCGAGGAAGGGGAACAGAATGTGTCGTCTGCGTCTAGGAGGAGGGGAGCAGTGGCTGTTGGGAAGGAAGTATATCGGAAAGAAGGCATGCGTGGCTTGTTCAAGGGGGTTTTCCTGAGAGGAGGGTGGACGTCGTTAGGCTTAGGGCTGTATTTGAGTGCCTACGAGTCTGGAAGAATGTATTTCGAGAAGAGAAGAGAGGATAAAGATAAGTAGGATGCTTAGTGAAATATACCTCGACCTACCTACGTGAAAAAGTGTATGGATTTCAGGGTCATAGTTGTTTACATATCGCCTATGAACAGATAAATCGCTATTCATCATACACATCAATTGATGTCTGGTATGTAACTATAATATGGTCCTATGTAACGAGATTGAGTACAGTTGATACCTTAGTAACACATAGGGTCTAATCCAAAAGTGTCCAGTCATAAAATCACATCAAGCCATGTAAGCAAAAATATAACGGGCAAAAATAGGATGGAAATGAAACACCGTAAAACAAATTCAGGAATACAATAATTGGGTATTTCATACAGCGCCATCAAGCTTCTCAGTCGATATTTATAGAACAAACACGCCGTCGTGGATTGGTGAGAATAATTCAAAGATGACAGCACTCAACCAACTCAAAACACAAAAACATTAAGTCATTCAAGTCATAAAACAAATGATATCCGCTTGCGTTTAAATCATACCGCACAAAGAAGAGACATCACAAACCAAACATAATAAAACTCGGCTCTCGATAACGAGAGCCAGTTCAGAGACTAGTCAATTTCTTGAACCAGCTTGTCCTCTTCGTGCTGGGTGCACGAGACGGTGGTTCATAGGTGCTATCGCGTCGACGCATGCCATTTTCTCGTTCAAAATCACCATCTCCAGAGCTACTTTTCGCTCCTTCGCGAACTCGTCGGGATTCGCGCCGTCTAGAGCGCATTTCTTCAACCTCTTCGTCAGCCATATCAGGGTATTTGGAACGACGGCGGGCTTGTCGACGTATTTTACGTCTCGCCTCCTCGTCGGATGAAAGTGAATGAGAAGGACCATTCTCATTGCTAGGAGGCATATCCAGAACCGTAGGCACAATTGGGGGAGCTTCCGGAGGGTCGAGTACCTGTGAATTGATCCAAGACGATGTCTTCTCTTTTCCAGGCATGCCATATCCACGTGGGGCTTCAGCATGGTCTGGCGCAGTTTTCCTGCGGCTGACTCGTGGCCGCTCATCACCAGAGCGATGGTGTCTTGCGTACTCGTCATCTGATCGTCGCTCTGAGCGACGTCTGTCAGCTTTGGAGGCATGTCTCGATAACCCTCCACTCATTTCCACAGCTTCCCGTGTTCGCCTCCGTTCTCGTCGCTCTGGACGCATTTGAACATCTCTTGCCTCAGCTTCTCTTGCTTCCTGCACCTCTCTAGCACGTCGCTCCTCGCGAGCTGCGCGCCTTGCTCGCTTCTCCTCCCGTCGCTGTGCCTCACGTTCCATTTCCTCTCGGAGCTCTCTCTCGCGTTGCTCACGCTGCCTTTCTCGCCGAGCCCGCCGTTCTTCTGCTTCCTGAGTCTCCAGTTCGCGTGCTTTCTGCTCAGCTGCGCGCCGGCGCGCTCTACGCTCGATCCTCATCGCTTCCATATCATCTACCTCTGTGTCAACGTTCACAGGGCCAGCACCGGTAGTGAAGCCTTCGGCGTCAGTGTCTGGCTTGACAGACCGTCGCCGTTCACGTTTCACTCGTTTCTCTTCCCGTTCAGTCTCCGTCATCTCATCGCGTCGAGATCGTGATTTCCTGCGTTGAGGCTCTGGCTTGGATGGCTTCCTCAAAGAACCGAATAGGCCCATCAGACCGCCAGTTTCAGGCTTCTTTGCTATAGGAGCAGGAGTAGATTTTCGAGATCGCCGTTCTTTAGGCGGGGCTTCCACAAAAGCAATGTCATCCGGACCAGAGACCACTTCGGCACTTGGAGGGCTTTGCTCCGCTTCGACCATGACAGGATCCTCTTCGATCGGTTTCGCCTCCGACTACAGTCATCCAGAATCAGCAACAATGAAGAGCTTATATTGATTTTACAGAGAGCTTACCATTCTCTTAGACTTCGATCTTCTCGACTTGACCTTCTCAGAGACTTCGCCTTCCGCTTCCGCATTCACCATGACGATATCTTCATCGACGTCAAGTGCGTAGGGATCACGAACACCTGTACAATGATTAGTCACAGCCGAAGGAATTCGAGCATGGGACGAAAAGTTGAACTTACTACGTCTCTTTCTTCTTTCGCCACCCTCTCTCTTAGACGGCGAGGGTTTAATACCCATCAACTTGGCTGCTTTGTCTGAGATCTCTGGTCTATCCTCAGGAGGTGGAGAAGGAAGACCAGTATTCCCCACATCGACTGATAGGCGGCGCGAACTTGGCCGCGAACTAGGACGTGATTGAACGCCAGATTTCCTGACCGATTTGCTCCGCGAAGGCGGTGGTCCTCCCATGATGAAGTTAGAGAAGCCCATACCAGATCGACTTTGGCGTTTAGAGTCAGATCTTCTATCTTTATCTGTTGATGATCTTTCCATATCGACCTCGTTGTCTGACTCTCGTATCCTGTGACGCGCCGTTGAGTCAGACTTTGAACGAGAAGCCTTTGACCGTTCTTCTTTCACAGGAGCTGGCTCATCTGTTTTCTTTGATGACTTTTTAGGCGGTGGCGCTGCTGCCCAGAAACCCCATGAGGACGCACCTGCTGTGCGTTCAACCTTTGTACGTTCCTTTTTCGATGATTTTGTGGAGGGTTCAGGCGGCGGAGTCGGAGGTTTAGGAGGCGCAGTCTCTGAGATAGACTCTTCAGCGACTGGTTCCTGTGCAGCAGGAGGCTCTACCACAGGTTCCACAACAGGTTCCACCACAGGCTCTACCACGGGTTTCTCTTCCATCGACTTGAGTAATGATTCACGCTTCGAGGTCTTTGCCGGTGTAGATGACTTCTTGGTGCTAGAGGACTTCTTACTCTTTTTGGAAGGTTCAGGTGGTGGTGGCGCGGGCTCTGGCTCGGGTTCAGGTTCAGGTTCAGGTTCAGGTTCAGGTTCGGGCTCAGGATCAGGTTCAGGAAAGCTGCCGGGTATCGACTCATGTGAGATCTCCTCTTCTACAGGCTCTGGAGGAATGTCTTTCGGAACAGCTTTCTTGCTCGATGACGACTTAGACGATTTCTGTTTGCTAGAACCCTTTTTGGCTATTGGGTCCTCATAAGGCTCAGGCGCGGGAGGCGGAGGTGGGTCGTCAACAAGGAGGTTGTCGACAATATCGGTTTTCGCTTCCTTCTCTCTGGCCTTCTCCTTTGCTTTCTCCCGCTTTGATCTCTCAAGAGCCTCGATACGTTCAGCAACTGAAAGTCTTCCAACAGGTTTGGTTGCCTTCGACGTGGCTTTGGGCGGGGAAGCGGTTGGCGCGGCTATATCGTCCACTAGAAGAGCGGCTGGCGCTTCAGCACCTCCATCAATGTCAATTAGCAAGTCTTCAGTCCCTCTAGGCTTTTCTTCCTTTGCTTTAGTCTTGGGAGTTGCCGACGTGCCAAAAGATGCCCAAAACCCTCTAACTGCTTTCGCAGGAGTTTCCTCTACCAGCGCTGTTGATGCTTTCTTGGCCTTTGAAGATTTGGTGAAACCTCCCCATGCATCGTCATCCAAGAGATCATCCAAGTGTGGTTCTGGGGTGAGGCCCTGAGCTGGAGGTGTTGGTGCTGGAGGAGGTGGAGCAAGATCCTCATCGGGCATAGAAATTCCTTTCTTCTTAGCTTCCTTCTGCTTCTGCTTGCGCTCGCTAAGTGACCAGCTGTTCGAGACTGACCAAAAATCGTCTTTATGCTCCTCTACAACAGCTGATGGCTCGACAGTGGAAAACTGTGGGACTTCAGGAGCTTCAGGAGGAATTTCGATAGCGGGGATCTCTTGTCGAGGTGGGATGCCTTTTGCATTTGCCTCCTTCTCCTTTTTCTTCCTCTCTTTGGAACTCCAATCCTCCCATCCATCCCAGAATTCATGATTTCTTGGCGGCTCAGGTACAGGATCAGGTTCTTGCTCAGGTTCAGGTTCGGGGTCAAGGGCAGGGTTGAGATTTTCCTGTAATGGCGGTATACCCTTCATTTTTGCCTCTTTCTCTTTCTTCTTACGCTCTTTGCTGTTCCAAGTCTCCCATCCATTCCAAAATTCATGATTCCTTGGTTGTTCTGGTTCTGGTTCTGGCTCAGGTTCGAGTTCCGGTTCCGGCTGAACTGCGTCAGGATCAAGTGCAGGTGGTAGATCCTCCTGCAAAGGAGGAATACCCATCAATTTTGCTTCTTTGTCCTTCTTTTTACGCTCCTTGCTGCTCCAACCCTCCCAGCCAGTCCAAAATTCATGATTCCTTGGTTGTTCTGGTTCTGGTTCTGGCTCAGGTTCGAGTTCCGGTTCCGGCTGAACTGCGTCAGGATCAAGTGCAGGTGGTAGATCCTCCTGCAAAGGAGGAATACCCATCAATTTTGCTTCTTTGTCCTTCTTTTTACGCTCCTTGCTGCTCCAACCCTCCCAGCCAGTCCAAAATTCATGATTCCTTGGTTGTTCTGGTTCTGGCTCCGGCTCTGGTTCTGGAATAACCTCTGGTTCAGAAATAGGATCAAGAGCAGGTGGTAGATCCTTTTGTAATGCTGGGATGCCCATTAACTTGGCCTCTTTTTCCTTCTTCTTGAGCTCTTTGGAGGACCACCCTTCCCAGCCCGTCCAGAACTCATGATTCCTGGGCTGCTCGAACCCGAGCTCAGGCTCAGGTTCAGGTATGACTTCTGGTTCTGGTGCGGGTTCTGGTGCGGGTTCTGGTTCGGGATCAAGAGCACGAGGCAAATCCTTCTGCAACGCCGGAATCCCCTTGGTCTTAGCCTCTTTCTCCTTCTTCTTGAGCTCTTTAGCGGACCAACTTTCCCAACCAGTCCAAAATTCATGGTTTTTAGGTTGTTCAGCTACGGGCTCGGGCTCAGGTTCCAGTTCTGGAGCGGGCTTCAATTCTGGTTCTGGGTTTGTTTCGGGTTCGGGTTCGGCTTCAAGAGCAGGAGGTAGATCCTTCTGCAATGCAGGAATCCCCTTGGTCTTGGCTTCCTTTTCTTTCTTCTTAAGCTCCTTAGCGGTCCAACTCTCCCACCCAGTCCAGAATTCGTGGTTCCTGGGTTGTTCAGGCTCTGGCTCAGGCTCAGGTGCAGGTTCTGGCTGCGGCACTGGCTCCGGTTCAAGTTCATGTTCATGTTCAAGCGCAGGCGGAATATCCTTTTGTAATGCGGGGATGCCTTTTGTCTTAGCTTCCTTTTCCTTCTTCTTAAGCTCTTTTGCCGACCAACTTTCCCACCCAGTCCAAAATTCATGGTTCCTAGGTTGTTCGGGTTCAGGTTCAGGTTCAGGAACTGCTTCTAGCTCCGGCTCCGGTTCAGGCTCGGCCTCAAGTGCAGGTGGGAGATCTTTCCGTAATGGGGGAATACCCTTGGTCTTGGCTTCCTTTTCCTTTTTCTTAAGATCTTTAGAGGACCATGTCTCCCATCCAGTCCAGAATTCATGGTTCCTGGGTTGTTCAGGCTCAGGTTCAGGTTCCAGTTCTGGTGCAGCTTCTGGATCCGGCTCTGGCTCAGGAATGGGTTCAGGTTCGAGTACAGGCTCAGGGGCGATATCTTCAATCAGCGGAGGAATACCCAATTTCGCTGCGTCCTTTTCCTTCTTCTTGCGCTTTGAAGGAGTCCAGTCTTGCCAGCCGTCCCAGAACTCGTGGTTCTTTAGCAGCGGTGGTGGCGCAGGCTCTGGCTCCGGCTCGGGTTCGGGTTCGGGTTCGGGTTCGGGTTCGAGTACCGGCTCAGGGACGATGTCTTCTATTAGAGGAGGAATACCCTTCCTGGATGCTTCCTTTTCTTTCTTTTTGCGCGTTGCGGGAGTCCAATCTTGCCAGCCATCCCAGAACTCATGATTCTTTGGTGCTTCTGGTGTGGGTTCGGATTCGAGTGACACTGGTTCAGCTACTGGTTCAGGCTCTGGTGCAATATCTTCGATCAGTGGAGGAATTCCCAATTTGACTGCTTCCTTTTCCTTCTTCTTGCGCTTTACCGAAGTCCAGTCTTGCCAGCCATCCCAAAATTCGTGATTCTTGGGAGCCTCTGGAGTGGGCTCAGGCTCAGGCTCAGGTTCGAGTACTGGTTCAGGGACAATATCTTCTATTAAGGGAGGAATACCCTTCCTGAGTGCTTCCTTTTCTTTCTTTTTGCGCGCTGCGGGAGTCCAATCTTGCCAGCCATCCCAGAATTCATGGTTTTTGGGCGGCTCTAGGGTAGGCTCAGGCTCAGGCTCAGGCTCGGGTTCGGGTTCGGGAGCAATATCTTCGATGAGTGGGGGGATGTTCTTTTTTACCGCTTCTCTCTCCTTCTTCCTGCGCATTAGTGGGCTCCAGCTTTGCCAACCGTCCCAGAACTCGTGGTTTTTAGACGGAGCTGGTGTGGGCTCTGGTTCAACAGGTTCTGGTTCTGGTTCGGCCACCGGCTCAGGTATTGGATCAGGTATTTCTATCCGAGGCGGTATCCCCTTTTTCACAGCTTCCTTTTCTTTCTTCTTGCGCTGAGTAGTAGTCCAGCTATCCCAACCATCCCAGAACTCGTGATTTTTTGGCTTCTCAACTTCAGGAACAGGTTCTGGCTCGGGTGCAACTTCCTTCTTTTTACCGCCAATTCCCCAGGAGCTGAGCCAGTCTTTTTCGGGTGGCGCAGCTGCGCTGGGAGCTTGCAAAGAAGAGCTTAGGTCTTCTATAAGATCCTTGGACTTGTCCTTCTTCCTGTTAGCGATGCCCCATCCCCAACCGGACTCCTCTTCAGGTTCTTTCTTCGTATCGGTTTCGAAAGCAGCCCAGGCATCTTCGGCTTTTGACTGTGCTGGTTCCGCTTCAGCTCCCTTTTTGCCTGCCTTCTTCTTATCTTTCTTTCCCGGTACCGCCCAGACATTATCAATGACCGGTTCGGAATCGGCTGCTGGCGCTGTCTCTTTGGGGAAATCCAAGTCGATGATGTCCGCTTTGTCATTTTTCTTGAATGCAGCCCAAATATCATCAGTGTCGGTCTTCTTTACTGCGTCCTTCTTCTTGTCTTTGGTTGTCCAGGCTGCCCAACCATCCTCAGTCTGTCCTGTCGCTGCCTCAGATGCCGGTTCTTCCTTTTTCACGGTCTTCTTACTACCCCACGGACCCCAATCATCTGTAGCAGGAGGTTCCTCGGCGATGCTGTTCTTCTTGGTCTTGCTATTCTTGCCGACGGGAGTGAAAGAACTCCAGCCATCGCCTTCATCTTTCGCATCCTTTGAAGTACCGACGTCCGCGTTGGATGTACCCAAGTCTCCAAAGTCGAAGCCAAGGGAGCCTGTCGCCTTTTTGTTCTTCGAGTCATTTAAGCCCCAAGGACTTTCATTTTTAGCTGGTGCATCCTTTCCTGCAGAGGCATCGTTGCCGATTGAGCCGAATCCCCATTTGCTGCCAGTGTTCCAGTCTTTGCCCCAACCTCCAAAACTAATCCCTCCACCATTAGACGTTCCTTTTGCAGGTTCAAAGCTCAGATCCAGTTGTGGTGCATTGTCATCGAGATTGATATCCTGGAACGTGTTTCGGGCGGATTCTCCAAATGCACCGGATGTCGGGTCAAGCTAGATGGCATTAGCAAACAAGTGGTCTTCTTTATTTGCGGGTAGTCCCTCTTACCGAACTTTTCTTCTTCTTGTCTTTCTTACCCACAGCAGTAAAACCGGCCCAACCATCATCGTTGTTACCGTCCACATCATCAGCCCAGCTGAGGTTGTTGGTGGCTGTACCAGCAGCCGCGGCTCCCTCTTCTTCCTTTTTCCTTCTCTCTTCCTCCTCTTCCTCTTCCTTTTTCGATTTCTTCTTCTTCTTGCCGCTTGTGACCTCGCCCCAGCCGTCACTGTTTCTATCCCCGTTGTCGCCGCCGTCATCACCACCTCCACTTCCACTTCCACCACCACCACTTCCCCCCGGAGGCTCTATTGTCTCGTCGTTTTTCTTTCCACCGTCGCCGCCATCGCCAGATGCACCGCCCACAGCCTTTTTGGCGGCCAATTTTGCTTTTTGCTTTTTCCCGTGCTGACGAAATCCATGCGTACTTTCAAAATCAATTGAAGACGCGGGCTTCGTCTTGATATCTCCTGTGGGGAATTTGTTGCGATCGTTTGACGGACGGGCGGATCTGCTTTCGACTGGCTTCGCTTCAGCCGAGGCTGGAAGAAGCGTGTATTCAGGTGGTAGGTCATCGTGCGCTTCGGTATAAGACGGCGGCGGAGTACCGTAGCCAGCGGGCTCCGTATTCTGTGATAGGACCTCGTTGACCAAAGCAAATGCGTTGAATAGCGCCAGTTGGAAGGAAGAGGATTTGCAGTCGATACGCTTCTGTTCGTGATGCGAATCTTCCAATTTCTTGATTTTCGTGCGATTCTTTCCGGTACAGCAAGTATCTACCAGCCCTATCTGCCCTTTACGAATATCTGAAACGTGACATTGAGCCGAAGATTCAGGATGGAGCGCAATCCGAGAGTCGAGGGCTTCCATGGCGTTCGAACTTGACCGACAAACCGTGTCTCAGCGGTAAGGGAACAAGCATTGAAGGCAATGATTAATCGGAGACTTTAGGTCTCTTTTAAGCGCAGCGAACCTTTGACTTAATTGAGTGTTGCGACATCAACTATAATTGAAGTGCAGAGCCCCGCAGGTTTGCGACTTAGAGAACTGTATTCGGTAAGCGCCGATATATAAAGATATGCGCCGCTCTTTGGGAAGCAAATAAAGCAAATACCTTCCGTGTAAGATCGCAATCGTACAGCGCAATGTGACAGTATCTGGAAGAAAAAGGTGCGTGCAGTAATTAGTATGTAATACGTTGACCCTCTGACCGAAGGGTAAAGGGCGGTAGATATGAGGTTCGGGGTAAACTAGGCTCCGGCAGATGTTTGTTGACCGTCATTCAATCGAAATGTGATCGATATGTCGATGTTCAAGGATCGTCGTAGTACTGGAATCCTTAATCGTAGGACTTCGGTCCTAATATCGTTCTTTCTTGACTCCCCTTTATGAAAAAAGGATCAAAACGGAAATATGTGAAAGGAAAAAGCTCTAGTCTTCAAAGCAAGCTCATTCGTTGACTGTGAGAGACTTCCTGCAGTGGATTGACATGGGTTTTGGTTAGTCTAAATGTGACTAGAGAAGCAACCAAGTAAGGGGGGATACATAAATGCAGATTGGTTATTGCGTGGATTGGATGGTGGTGTGGTTAGTGAATTTTTGTTAGAGGGGGCTGGGCCGCTGGGGATGATACAGCCAACCACAACAAACAGTGGGACATGGACGGGATGGTGATGGAGGGGGGACTTTCAAGCCTTCTGAAGCAAGTCCGAGTAGTGAGCACACTTGCACCACGCAGGCACCCAGCCACTCACTGCTCGAATGTGATTTGCATGGATGGCATTGGAAGCTTGATTCCGGCCTATGGGAAGTGCTCTGAGTGCAGGTAGGCAAGGCTAAGATAGGGGCAAAGCGGTTCAAGCTTATCGAGGAAGAGAGTACTTCTCGGCGACTTACCCGGAACTGTGCAGTGTGAACACTCAACAAGACAGTTTGCCTCGGCGTAAAGGATATCGCGTTAACGATGAACGAACTGCAACACAGTCCTGTCTTCCAGAGACACCTGCTTATGAAAAAGAAAAGGAATGGAGAAGTCAAACTTCGAAGGACTTCGGAGGCGCCAAGATTTGCGCTAGGTTGCTAGGTATGGACACTATCGTCCAGAGGTCGTCTGATGTCGTCTGGTGGAATGCGACGATAACAATTAGGATGAAGGGAGTTGGGATGATTCCCGTGACTTCTTTGCGACCCTTGGGAAGGTGCGGGGAGCAACGAGGGAAAGGACCGGCCCGCGCGAACTGTAACCAAGGTAGCGCCTTCCGTATCAGACCAATATCGAGATGCTGGCGACTCCCTAATCAGCTTCAATTAGTCTGTGTTAGACCACAGTGGACCACAGTGGGCAACAGTGTCGTGCTGTCTCGATACCAAGATAGGAGTCAACAACAGCCGATGTCCAGGAACGAAGGACGAAAAGCCGAGGTCGCAAGCTGTTTGATGAAGAAGATGAACAACAATGTACAAAGTCCAAGATGCGCAGAGGACAAAAGATTGACTGCAACTCTTCGTCAATATCTTCTCTCCGATTACCCTGGAACAATATAGGATACAGTGTTTATCATACAAGGACAAGTACAAGGAAGTATCAGGATCAATTGATGTCTTGAACTTCGTAGAGTTGAATAGTTCTACAACAAAAACATGAGTCACTTGTCACCAAAACAATCCAGATTTCTTTACCCAATGAACACGTCTGCATACCATACTGCTTCCTCGTACCCAATTGTGGCTAGTTTACTCCATACCTTAAGAACCTCTTCGTGTTGCATCAAACGTAACCATTTTTTCACTCTCTTCACCGCATCGAAGGCGTTGCGATGACAGGAGCCAATCAGCGACGGCTCGGGATTGATTCACGACGCCAAGGACGAATACGGTTAGAGCAGGACCCCCATTTTGCTTTTTTTTTTAGCCTTGTTAGTGATTCCTGCCTTGTGGCCTCAGTCCTTATCTCCTTGACCTGTCAATGATGAATTGTGAATTCAACACAAGCTGGTTACGAATAGACCCCAGGATAAAAATCTAGAAACAGGCCCCTCGGTCTGAATCGAAATGATTATCGCCCGTCCGGAGTACGAATCTTTCCAAGGATTGGTGTATGCCAGATTGTCTGCCCGTCACCTTGACCCCAGCCATTGGACAAGTCAGCTAGTGGAGATGCGATGACTTGGGGCTCACGATTCACTACTGCACGAGGCTGGATGTGTATTGGGCGGCGAGGGACGGCGCTTAGCCAATCTTCAGCTAGCTAGCTATTCCTGAAATTTCTCGTAGGGAATACCTCATTCCTCCGAAATGTTTGGACGAAGTAGCCAACCTCAAGGTAAAAGCCGGATTGGCACAGACGTCAATCATGACATTGGATTCTCCGGCAAACCATGTCAACTCATAGATAAAAACTGACAGTGGACCCTGCCTCCGTCATCTAGGTTTTCTGCCTTATACTGATACCATGCAACCTACATCGGGCCTTCCGGTTGACATGACATAAGCCATTTATGTTTGGGACTTATATGGCTGACTGCATGTATTACCGGAAGAGTATGTGCATGCATTGATTTCTTCAACATCTACCTAGGTAGGCTTATCTACAGAGTCGTCTGCCACTGACTTAAGACAACTACTGACAGAACGAGGTCCATAATGGACCCGCAAGTACATTGACAGGAACCGCCCACCTAACCTTACACTGTCTATATGTACAGGTACGGATGTATGTCATTCAACCACTTAATGTCATGCATCAAATATAGTACGAGAGAGCGTTGAAAAAACTCTAATAATTTATATTCCTATGCATACCTACCTGACGTTCCGCATCTCCAATCTACAATAATTCCTTATGTGGCAGCTCGCCTATTTATGTACAGAATATCCCCTTCACCGCCATTATGATCAGACAGGCGCATATCGGAAAACCAGCCATGCATGCATGCATGTAACTGGATGTTGCTGTCGAATCTGAGATTTTGAACTTTGACGTCCGTTTCTTGAGATCTCAGACCCCCGGTTCCAAGGTAATCTTGACAGGAGTACATGGGCATGTACGTTTACTAGGCATCGAACCTGAATTGAGTCTAAACACGAACCCAAGATACAAGTACATTCCTTCAGGGTGGTACAATAAGAAAAAGAGACAAAAGAACGAGACACCAAACCCATCCGACCGAGATATACAGATACAGAGCAATCAATACATAGACAAGCGACAAGAAACTCAGAAATCATGAGAAGGGATATTGGTATCTCAAACACCAGCACTCATTCTATTGAATGAGCTTCCTTCACACAAAAAGACAACAAGAAGAGTTTACAGATCAACCTGTCCCTCGGCTTTTTGCTTACTGTTTCCTTCCTTGATAAACAATGGCTCTTCGCCGTAAGTCTCGCGGTATTCGGTGATATATCGTTTCCGGTCATCCTCTGCTTTGGCCAAGTAGACCTATTGTCTACCTTAGTGATTTGCATCTAAACCCAGATTTGCGGTCAACTACATACCTGTTTCTCACTGTCTGTAGTATTGGCCCAGTCGGCTTTGACACGCTCTGCGATATCTCTGACGGGAAGACCTCGGTATTCTCCAGTAGCCACGCGCTCCTTGAAAAACCACAAGAACGCAGAGACGGGTCGCTTCACTTGGCGATCGTCGGGGATTTGACTCAATTTGATGATTGGTGACTTCTCATGCTTTGTCATATACTTGGGGAGTAGCTTGCGGGCGGCGTTGGCTTGTTTAATTCGTAATGGAGTGTACGAATGGATCCATTCCTTTAATTTCTTCTCATTCTCTTCACCCAATTTCGCTGCTTCTTGGTTCAAGGCCTGTCGACAGACATAATCAGTATTGCTGATGATTGTTTACATCAGACTAAAGAAAACATACCTCGCGCTGGTAATCAGGAAGCTGGCGATACTGGACTGCGATATCACGAAGAGCACTGCCCTTGTTCAATTCAGTAACACCCTTGAGTTTCTCGGAAACAAACAGATTCCAGGCAATCGGACTCCTCAATTTCGGCTCTTCCTTCTTCAACGCCTCCGCAATCAATTCCTTTATCGTATCCTTGACCTTTTGCGCCTGTCTCTGCTCTCGTCTCTTTTCTAGGGCTCCTTCAGACAGCTTGCGGACTTTCTTGACCTTCTTGGCCTTCTTCTTCTTGGGCTTGCGCTGCTTCAGAGTCTCCCCGCCATCGGATTTGGGTGGTCGTCCACGACGTTTAGGTGCGGGAGTATCGCCGGGAGCAACGCTAGACGTAGTTGTAGAAGTAGCATATTGATTTCTTTGTGACACTGCGCCAAGTTGTTTTAGGGTATTTGTCCCGTTTCTGGTCAAAGGAACAGCAGCGCGGTTGTCTGCGAGACGGAATACGCGTCGGACATGGCTCACAGCGATTGGGGCACGAGTCGATAGAGTTGCCTTTTGTTGGAGGTCCACCTGATGTAGGACACGGCGGCCCCGACGAGCTGCGAAAATCAATTGCATTGTTGCAATTGTCGATGGACAACTGGGAGAGGAAATGTAAGCATCCGACGGATTCTTGATTATCGTCAGATGATAGCGTACGTTTTAATTTGCAAGTTTCACCCTTGTTTGAGGTCAGGAAGGGAGGCTGGGGTAGCTCCTGTTCCGACCGCGTAACTCTTGGTTTCGTTTGGATTCTTCCGAAACGGGCTAGGGTGCACGTGATGTTTAGTCTGAACTGGCCAATCATCGATGACATCATGTCTAATAGTACAACTTCTACAGATACATTGTTCAGAAGGTAGCATTAAAAACATCAGAGTTCATTATCATATCATTCCATGATTTCCATCTGCATCGCTCCGGATGAATTCAACCATATCGAACATCTCGCACGGTACCTTCATCGTCAACGTGGACATTGAGTCTGTGAGCAAAAGATACAGTCAGAAAGAAGTCGAGGTATATATATATATGTGGAGAGACCTGGTACATACCGATCAGGCTGATGGTCCTGAGTTGTCATATCACCTGGTTTCACGACACGATGGCTAGACGGCAAGTCTTTCTTTGCAAATGACTAATTTAGCTGTCAGCGAACATTCAAGGCCTAGAAAAGAAAAGTAGATCGTACCACTTCGTCGCTTGTAGAGTCGGTCAATTTCTTGCCCAGAAGCTTATCGACCCAGTCATTCTTTTTGTCTCCTGTCAAGGAGGAGTTGATACCTGGGACAACGAGAGGCATGATTATTATGATTATATGTCAGATACAGAGATTGTGATTGTTTATAAGGACTGATTGTAATTGTCAATAGGCATGGTTATATACTCGATAAAAGAGTTGCCTGATTGAGAATGACGTCGCTCCATGTGGCAGTGCGGGGTGATGTCACTTTATACCCAAATGGCCAATCAGATGCATTGATCGATGAGATAAGGATATATAGATCGAGAGATGTGATGAAGACTGAGAGATCTCTCTACGTAGTATGTAATGAGACCCCTGGACTCGAGATTCAGACGGCACGCTCTTTAACACTCCACCGACATAGGTCAAACCCTACCTAGCCTAATTGCACTGCCTACTCAACACAGAACGGCCAGGCAATATCAAACAGACACAACAATCTTCTCGATCAGACTCTACACGACAAGGTGCATCATGAACGATTTTTCACAGCTAACGAAATGGCCCTCTTCAGCCGAAATATAATTGGCTGTTCTAATGATAGAAGTATTAGGGCACAAGCTTTGACCAGACTGCGGCTGGACTTAGCCCTAAGTCCAACTCCCGCAAAGGCTGAGCAAATGAGCAACGGCGTTGTCGGGCCAAATAATCAGAGTACGGACGACGGAGTAAATACGTATCCCTCACTGAGTGGCTAAGTAAACTTGGGGACCGTGGTAACTTGTAAGATGAGAGTTTCGGTGTTTGTACTTTGGAGATTTGAATATGAGGGCTTACAACTCATGAATATAGTCAACCCACTCAAAGTTCAGGCGCATATACATCAATTGGCATTCAGTCCGGTGTTGACAACTCATCCTGCACAAGCAAATAAGAAACTACAACCGACTCCGTCTAGTTCAGGAGGCTAGTCAGTCAACAGTCCAAGCTTTACAGACTCCGCCTTGCGCTCCCCACTTGAAATGTCCATAGTGAGTGGCTTGGAAGTTGAAGTTAAGAACCGAAAGAAAGAAAAACCCAACAATCTTCATTCGCTACCAAGTCAAAATCCAACATAACTGGGTAATTTTAGCTTGGAACGTTTCAAGATTGTAGGTGAAGACACTAAAATTAACCTCCGTTGTCAACAGTCATGGACCAGATCATCTCAGCCTCACTGTGCCTAGGTACTAGCTCTTATACAATTATATGACTCTTGTTGGCTATTGTCCACTATAGCTAGCTTTGAACGAATCAGAGTTTGAGGGAATTACAATTCGATTTCCAAGTCTGTAGTTTCTTAGTTGAACACTAGTCTACATAAAGAGCTCCCAGCCTGTCAGACTCTAGAGAAACTTTTTTTGGTGACAACTTTCCTTAACGACTGTGTCCAAAACGCCATAAAATGCATATGAGTGTTGTAAAAGCGCTATAAGTGGTTCCAACCTGAAAACCTGTGGCCATCTACACCAGCCGACTAAATCCTCACAACCTTTTCCACCTCATACGAAACGTATCGACAATATGCGCGTCGTAACGATGCTGCTGCTCGGAGCATCTTCCGTCTCTGCTGTTCCACTATTCCTCCGTTCCCCTTCCACTCTGATATCGGAAATCACTTCTCGAGACACCAATGACACCAACAAAAGCAACAACAACAACGACGACGACAAAGTCCCCGTGGCAGGAATAGTAATTGGTTCCATCATCGGCATCGCCCTGATCCTCTGTCTCATCGCATACCTCATCAGCCGCGATAACTGCATCACACGTCGTGGATGGTTCAAACGTCGTCTAGAGAAAAAGCAATACAAAAAGACTCAGTCATCGCAAAATCTGAGCCCACAAGACGACGAAGAAGCACTCACGAAACGCGCATCGTTCACCTCGGAGCGAGAATCAATCATGTTCAGCAGAAGTCGTGCGTCTTCACTTAATATCGCCGTGGTCGAGGATGTCGATCATTCGCAACGCAGACTGTCGTCGCAGGTTTATGTGTTGCGTGATGGTAGATATGTCCCCGTGGATCAGACGGAGTCTGAGCAGCGAAGGGGTCTTTTGAGTGGTGGGCGAACGAATGAGATGACTGAAGTCGATATTGCATCGTCTAGCGTTACTTATGAGCGAGCGCCGTCGTTTACCAGTATCCCTGTTATTGTCTCGCCTCCACTAGAAAATGATACGCACACAGATCAACATCGCGATTATCTCTCACAACCCGGGGGTAGCGATCGCTCTGAAGCTTCTTCAGGTGTATTGGCATTTCACGAAATACTCCCCGAGGACCCCAGGACCCATGCATAGGGGATTCCATTCCGAATAACGATTCCGCAAATTATTTTGGCTATCCCTTGCCCCAACTATAACGCTGGCTGTATCGATGCTAGACATCAAATGTTTCATGAGATTTTGCTTCTGTCTTCGTCTTTGGCCTCTAGACATTTTACCGCCATACATCTATATACCCTTTCCGCGAGAAAAAGAGTCAAATAAATTCTTGTGATGACGCAGAGAAGCTTGCAATAACTCATAATTCATTCCAACTTCTATCGTATACAGCTGATCATCATGTTGCCGAACTCGGCGAAAATGGTAACTCTTTGATATTCCGTAGACATCTTTCCAGTCGTCGCCCACGTTCCCTCTCTTGCACAACAGTTGCTCTGACAAATGCTCGAATAGCATCCCGACCAACGTTTTCTCTCCAGGACGTCCAGCCAGCAAGCTCACTAACCACCACATCTTTATTCCATGATATCTCGCGCGATAATCGTGATGCCTGGGCTTCCGAGTCATTTATTTTCTGTTCAAGTTCTCGTATGTTCTTTTGTCTGGATTCTTCCAGAACAGAAAGGTTGAGGTTGAACTTTCTCGGTAGTGACGAGGATGCCAGAGATGAGCGGGATCGCGACAGGTTGCGGTTTGTTGATGAGAGGGTATATATGAGTCTGCCAGGACGAGACAGTGCGTTCAACACAGCTGTCGTTGTGCTTTGTATAGACGTGATGGTTGTAAGGAATTGAAGGAGAGGTGACGAGTCTGAAGAAGATGTGCTCATAGCAGCGGCGTATTGTGCAAAAGTATCAATATGCGAGACAGGGATGGCGTTAGAAGGTGGCTTGAATGTCGAGAGAATAGAGGCACACAGACCCGCGGCATCTCCAAAGTCAAATGCTGCATGCTGTGTCGAGTATCCTCGCCGAATGACGCTCCGTGTATTGGCATGAACAGCTCGTACAACTTCCTGGGCATGGGCTACGAACTGCTCCGTATCTCTGATACCATCTGGGGTGATAGGTGCATAGTCATCATAAATGCTTTCATAAAGCACCGATGCTTTGCGCTGGGATCTATCAATCATCATTTCGGGTTGCAATTCGGGCATGAGGAAAAACTCCCAGAGCATTTCATGCGTAGCAAAGGTTGGGTGTGTCAGAAGTATCCTCAAGAATTGGTCGAGACGCCCTTGCATATCATGAAGAATGGCGCGTGATGGCTTGGAATGGATCTGGAAAGGACTTCGAGCCTCAGATATGCTCGGGATATAGGACGCCGGGTGCTCTACTGCCAGACACCTAGCCAGGTGTTCAAAATCGGCAAATGACCGTCGACAAGTGGTGATGGTGTAAGTAGTTGAGCCATTGATAGCAGTCGTATCAAGGGGAGCCTGGGCCCCCGACTTCAATATAAATCTCACAGTCGCGTCTTCAACGAAGAGCGAACGTACAACCGTGGTGATTCGGCCTGTGGCATCTCCAGAGTTCACGGCAGGATTCAGAAATAGAATCATGTCGTCAATCCTGTTTCGTACCTCGTCGTCTTTTGCAAGTTCAATAGCTGTTAAGCCCCGACTCTCTGTAATGTGAGTATCAACTCTTGGATCAGCAAAGAGTCTCCGCATCAGGTCCACTCGACCATATTTGCTTGCCACCATCAACGGCGTAAACTTCTTCTCATTTGTCGCATTCGGGTCGCAGTCACATTCAGTTAGGATTCGCGTGATAATCGCAGGATCGCTAACAATATGTAGCAACGTGTTTCCTTTCAAGTCAACATGGTCGCCGATTCTGAGAGGCTGTCCATCATCTTGAGCCCTTTGCGCTACTGTCAAAGCCTCATTCACCATGTCTTGATAATTGGAGTGATCGTACGACCTGCATATCGCGAAAAGAGGAGTCTGTCCATGTTTATCCTTTTTCTGCCATGGTAAAAGACTTCCCAGCGATGACATCAGATAAGGGGCACTGAACAGGTAGTGTGCAACCGTCCGTCCTCTTACATCCTCTTTTTCCAGATAGCTGCTTATTGTATGTATATCTGCATCAGCTAGCAGAAAGTCTGTAATAATATCGACTACCTTTCTATTCGCGTGTTGAACCGCTGCACTGAGTAGTGTAGTGCCATCTCGATTCGTATCCTCAAGAATGACGTCGATTGAGTAATATTCTTGCAGACTGAGAAGGTATTTCAGGACCCCAGGTTGATGGCTTTCAACTGCCATCATTGGTACTGAATCACCAGCAGGATCGTGCGTATGACTCAGTGTTTCGATCGAAGTGTCGCCTTCAATGCCACTGAATGTTGAGGCGATCGTTGTTGTTCTGGAGAGCAGAGATATCACGGATGAACCTGATATACTGCTCACGTCCATGGAGACTCTTTTACGAGGTCGCTTAGCAGTGTTGCTTGAGTCGGGTTGCGTCCAAGTTTGGAATGGAAATACATGGGCTAAAGGCGGAGGTTCTAAAGGCGAGCTTTCCAGTTCGGTCTCTGCGTGCGGTTCAGGCGAGTTTCCATTGGTAAGGACAAATCTGATGGATTGTTGTTCAAGCGGCGGAGAGTTGTTCGCTTCACCGTTAGGTGTATCCAGGTTGAAATCATTATGGCCATATAGAGGAAAATCTTCATCGTTCCCGTTCTCATTTGGTTCCAGAATCGATCTGACTTCTTTTATGTTGCCAGTCTTCGTTGCCTGCCAGAGTCGTTTGTTACGCATGCTGGCCTTGCGAAGCGGAGCATAATCGCTGACCAAGTAGGTCAAGACTGCCTCCAAAGTACTCAAAGCGTAACCCATCTCTCCGCTTTCAACATCATCGACAAAAATAAAATGTTGCATATAGAGAAGTCGAGCCTGAAGTCGACGAACCTGAGACCTGATTACCACAACGAGGAGCATGGATACTAGGATATCTGCATTCACTGTAAAAGCAGATGCCTGCTTCTCTGAGGAGTCAAAGGATCCGTCCGGTCCATCAGCTATTGTAATGGCCTTGATTGTCGCCAACAGAACATCAAGCATATCTTGCGGACAAGTCGCATCAGTCATCTTTCGGAATTCATCCACACCTCTACTGAGTCGGTTCATTAATTCCTTCTTGCCGGAGAGACCCCCTTCTATAGCGATACCCACCTGAGACACATCGATGTGCTCGATTTGTCGGATCCTTGTGTCGAGTTCAACATCCTCTGCTCGACGAAAGGTACAAAGGCGAGGAAACAGGAGCGTCTCGTGAACCTGTTGCGCGATATATCTCTCAATCAGTCGCTCCACTAAAGGTCCAGTTAGGTCGGTAGTGGCACCAAGTAGTGAGAGCTGCTGTTTGTCAACTAGACGGAAAAGGTCAATTGCGGCTGTAACAGCCGTTTCTAGACTGCGGCGCATGAGATCTTCATCATCGACGAAGTATTCTTCCGAGTTGAAGGGCAATCTGTCTGCTTGTGACGGATCGTTCCCCCCAAATTCCCACTGCTCGGTTTTGTTCAAAGAAGCTGGTGACTCCGATGGAGGGGGTGGTAGAGGTTTCCCGAGCTCCTTGCCAAATTCGCGAAACAATCTGTCGAGACCTGGCTGCATCTGTCTTGCAATCATCGGGAATTGTGACAGAAGCTCCGCAAACGACTTGATATCCCTTTTCTGAATACTCGACGTATCTCCAGCATTTTGATTGGAAATTTCAGTAGCGGCTGTCCGGAGGTTTCCCGAAGGAACCGCGGGGACTATTCTTCCAGGGTCGTAAGTCCCGATTAAGGGTTTGGAAATGTAATATATGAGCCATGGCTGCGAATTATGGTTCGGCGTGTGATACAGGACATCGGATAGGATTTGAGCTTGGCAAAGAGATTTAAATCCTGATGATTCGTTAGCAAGAGTATAGTCACGCTTGCACAGAACTACCCACCTTTGTTGCTATACACTGAATTGTCCTTGACTATTACCGTACGGCCATTGACTGTCGTTACTTGTTTTGCCTTGGCCCGCGAGTCTCGGGCGTTAGAGGCGTCTGGTTTATGCGACGGACCGGGCGGATTTGATATTCGTAGAACATGGCTTCCAAGAAATTCTTCCGAGGAGACGAGGTCTGAGTAATATGCATTGGAATCTCTGTCTCGAGATCCGAACAGAGACTCTGTAGTTGGCACTAGGAGCACCTAATCATGGTTAGAACGTCTTAAGAGGTCTGCAGGATGATCGCGCATACATGATTTTCGACCGGGACACACTGTCCAGGGACCGTGCTTCGAAAGAAGGCACGAAGAAAAGGATTTAACGGGTGCATTCAAGAAGCATTGGAAAATCCGCAGGGGTAGTTCGGAGGATCGTCAAGCTGCGCTTGGGCAGTTTGAATGGACGGTGTTTTGTTGTTGTCTAACTGGGCTGTCTCCGGAAACAAAATGGATGGGTTTGAGCACAGCGGAAGTGCCGACAGAATATTTTAAATGGATATTTTGGGCCTCATGGGGAATATAGGACTTCCAGTGCCTAATTTCAAAATTCCAAGTGTCGATAAAAGCATGGCAGCGAGAGAAACGACAGACGAATGATGATGCCTTGCCCATGAATGTCGTCGAGAATCACATGTTGCGCTAACCCGCGTTAGGAAGCATCATGATAGCCAAAAGAAATTCCAAACCTTCAGCTCTCCTGTTTTTCAGTACGCATTGAGTAGAAATGTACGTTCAATTACATCATTATTCACTATTCAATTGAGAAAATGAAATAATACATATAAAGTACATATTGAAAAGTAAAAGCCCTCGGTCCTTCCCTGATACGCCGTGCTTTGATGTTTTGTTTCTCGGTTCTTATTCAAACCACAAGCCATACTTATACAGAAGTTGCATAGAGAGCTTTCTCAAAAAGAAAATCCATAACATCTTCTTAACCCAATCTGCGGACATGTCTGCTCCTCGTACCACCGAACTTGATTCTGGTAGAATCCGTGACGCGAGTGACTAATGGTCGAACGTTTCGTCCTTCGTTCCCCAGCAACACCTTGATGAAAGCATCACGGCCCATTCCAAAGCCTCGGAACACAAGTGAGATACCGGTGATCTCTGGTAAAAGGCCCTTCTCTTGTATTTGCGCGAAGACGTGCGAAGACAGTTGGTAGGCTGGGTCGTAGCCGGAGCGATGAGATTTGCGGAATCCGATGTTGCCACAGCCAAGAGACATTAGAGGGTTACCGTTCGGTCTCGTAAGCGTGATTATCGTATTGTGTTTGTGGGCATAGACGTGTAGATTATATGGAGGCGTACGGTTGCCGTACGTGGAATATAGTTGCTCCTGTCGTGCACGAACTCCATCAATGTAGGTTGCATTCTTCTGACCGGCTGCTTGGTTCTTTGCACTCAGAACACGCAGTACGCCCTCAAGTCCTTGCGAATCGTTACTTGAGGTCTCGACGACGGGTTTGCTCGACCTGAGAATATCATTTTCTCTCTGGCGGCGAACAGCGGAATCTCGAGTCGAGTCGAGGGGTGCGTATGAACGAGACGCAGTCGAGAACCTAGCAAGACCCTCGACTTGTGACAATGGCTGCCGGCTACCACGAGCAATCCATGGCACAGTCTGTTCGAAGGTATTCCACAGTCGAGCCCTCATGATGGGCGATATGGAGAAGGTTGACAGCCTGTAGAAAGATTCGTGGTCGAAATTGATATCCAAGCAGACGATTCTTACAGCCGTAGTTCTCTTCTGATTAACGGGTAATGCACTCCTCAATTGAAGTAAGCAAAGGTAGCGCAGTAGCAAAGGATGTGTCGTTGAAGAATTTCCTAACGGGCGGGAGAGAATTGAGAAGCAGCCGGGAGGTGAGTCTTGGCACCGAAGCATCAGGTCTAGCTTTTCGGGACGAATATTTTCTCCGCCACAACCCCATGAAGTCTTCTTGAAGACAACCTTTAACCATTCTCGCATTCTGTTCTCCTGATATACACTGGGGGTATTACTCTGTGTCATCCTCTTGCTATTCAAATTCGACCAGGCATTGCTAGATCCTGTTATTGCGGTCAACAATACTACTTGCATCCGAGGATGATCCAGTCGACAAGATTCGGTCCGGCGATTGCAGCGCGGACAGCTACATTTTTACCTGGACGAGCCTATCTTTCGCGAACATCAAATGATCATTACAGGAGACTTAGCACACTTCTAAGTGACGTCCGAAGGACGTCGCAACCCAGTTCCTTTGAAACCACACTCCTCTCGTCCGTATTAATCTCACGCCGAGATCTCCATTCCACCGCGATCCGAAATCAGGAACAAAAGGAACAGGCGCATACAAACCAGAAGAATGCGGAATCTGAAGCAGATGGTGAAAAGAAGCAGGATGGCGAAGGCGAGTCTTCTCAAGAGGAGAAGAAAAAGGACGTTCCTCCTCCACCACCACACGGCGATAAGACTCCATGGCAAGTTTTCACCGAAACTCTAAGATCTGAATTCAAAAAATCAAAAGAATGGGAGGAATCCACCAAGGCTCTTGCATCATCTGCACACCACTTCACCGAGAGTGAGTCAGTTAAGCGAGCCCGTGCCGCTTACGAAGCCGCTTCGACTACCGCATCGTCTACTACATCATCTGCGTTGAAATCCACAGGAAGGGTCATTGGTCAAGGAGCAGCTTGGACATGGGAAACCCCTGTTGTTAAGGGCCTCCGTAAAGGAGTTTCTGCAACTGGAAAGGGTATTGAGAAGGTCACACGACCGGTTAGAGAAACCGAAGCTTATAAGAGTGTAAAGGAAGCTATCGACGATGGCAGTAGCTCCCGCTATGGTGGATGGATTGAGAAAGAAGAACGCCGTCGTCAGAGACAACAGCGGGAAGAGAATGAAGCAAAGTCTGGCCGATCTCCTCGCGTTGAACATATGGAGGCCGATCCTAAGTAAGTCATCACTATTCCCGTTGCTATTTTCAGTAGCTTACCGTTTGACTCCGCCAGCGCTGGTACGAACCTTACCGTTCATAAAGACTCAGCTTGGAAAGAATCTTGGAGGGACTTCCGCGATAAGAGCCCAGTGATGCAGAGACTGTTTTCACTCAAAGATACATACAACGAGTCTGAAAACCCTCTTATCTCCACAGCTCGCAGCATCTCAGACCGAGTGGCAGGCTTCTTCGCCGAAAACGAGACCGCCAGGGTTATCAAGAAATTTCGCGAGATGGACCCAAGCTTCCAACTTGAGCCGTTCTTACGGGAGATGCGTGAATATATTCTACCGGAAGTCCTTGATGCCTATGTCAAGGGAGATATCGAGACTCTTAAACTCTGGCTATCTGACGCCCAGTTTTCAGTATATTCCGCTCTGGCACAACAATATACGACTCTTGGCATGAAGTCCGACGGCCGTATTTTGGACATCCGAGGTGTCGATATTGCCAATGCTCGTATGCTAGAGCCCGGCGATATCCCCGTGTTCGTCGTCACATGCAGGACTCAGGAAGTTCATGTCTACCGCAACGCCAAAACAAATGAGCTTGCTGCTGGAATGGAGGATCGTGTCCAGCTTGTTACGTATGCAATTGGTGTTACAAGAATCCCCGAGGACGTCAATAACCCCGAGACACGAGGATGGCGAATGATCGAGTTGCAAAAAGCAGCAAGAGACTATATCTAAAACAAACTCTGCTCGAATCTATCTTCAAAATAACGCTCTTATTCGAAAGTCATCCTGTCCTGTTAACAATCATGAGCACCTCTCTATTGCGTTTTCACCCCTGCGCTTGTAATATATTGACTTTGCATACTAGATGTGGTTCGGGTTGGGCCCCTGCTTCAGAGGAATCATTTTTCTCTATTTCGACCGGCATCAGCCATTAATCCTATTTCTTCTCCATGTATTTTTTACATCTTCTGTCTATGTCATGAGGTGTCAGCGTGATTGCATTGGATATTTTCTCTTCTTTTCTCTATGTGTATTTATTCCTCTGATCTCCCCTCATGGTGTTGTTGTCATAATTGGCGCTTGGGATTGGCCACTTATGCTGTTTTTTCATGTTCGAAACGTCGCAAACAGCGGAAGAAAAGGAATATCGACTATTGATTTTGTTATACCGTCATATCATCACCATTATTGACTTGAGTGAGGCTTTTGCCGACTCTCAGCGTGCTTTTGTGTTGTACTGGACTTTATCCTAGCTATGAAACTAGCAATATGGTTAAGTTGAACTTTACTATATTCCCTCTCTATTTGTCTTCTTATTCTCGAGATTGAGATATCAGTGCATTGTGTTGTTGGCACTCTTGGTAGTTGTAATTCCCGGCATTAAGCGAAGTACTATATAAAACCAAAATCATAAAAGTAACTCATTAACAAGTTCTATGGTATCTCGATTAAGAACCCGTGCAAATGATACAATTATTCCAACTTATTGATTGCCGGCTCCGCGACCAGCACCTCCGCCCATCATGTTCCTGGCCCTATATGAAGGATTAGTATTATAGTTTATGCTGACTCGATTCGAGGTAGTATAGGGGACTTACATTTCAGCAAGTGATGGGTCACTCATAATTGACGACATGTCTGGCATACCTCCTCCATTACCGAAGCTCTCGGCCATCTGGCGAAGACGAGGGTTGCTCATGAGATTATTAAGCATGTCGGGGTTACTCATCAAATTCTGAGCGACGCTCGCGAACATAGGGTTGCTCATGAGTGAGCCCAGATCAGGCATACCACCAGCTCCTCCTGCACCTCCACCACCGCCAAGTATGCTTGCCAAAGAAGATAGATCCGGCATGCCTCCCGGACCTCCTCGAGAAGCTCCAGAAGCATTGTCGACATCTTCGGCTGGGGGTGCTGACTCTGCACGCTTCATCTCCTCAACCTTCTTTCGTGATGTTTCTAAACCGCGCTTCATAGCGTCACTGCCGCCATTTCCTTCGGCTTCAATTCCCTTCTCGTACGCCTCTACAGCACCTTTAGCATCGCCTAATTCGTAGCGCGCAAGGCCAAGACGACTCCAAGCTCTAGCATATTGTGGATCAACGTTGACTGCAAGCTCAGCATCTGCTGCTGCCTTTGTGTGTTGGCCGGACGCTGAGTACGCAGCAGCGCGATTAGAGAGATAGATGGGGTTCGACGGAGCAAGCGCGAGCGCTTTGGTGTAGAGATCGATGGCGGCATCATATTCCTTGCGGCCCATGGCAGCATTTCCCTCTGACTTCAACTTATCTGACTCAGGGGTGGAATTGGACTTGGGTTGTGCTGTAGGCTTGGATTCTCCAGCTGCTGCTGCACCGCCAGCGGTTTTGCCTTTGAGCTTCTCGTATACGTTGTAGATGCTGAAAAGCGACTGGCCGCCGAGGGCATCTTGCATAGCAGCGCTGTTGTTCGGATCGACACCAAATGTCTCAGCGATACAGTTCTGGGCGATCTCGATGGAATCGGCATCTTCTGCAGTCAAGGTACCGTCTTTCAAGCTTGAACCGAGAAAGTCAATGATGGCAAGCGCCAAGCGCTTTTTGGATTCAGATGGGGCCTATAGAGGGGCATCAGCAGCTAAATACAAAATGAATAAGGTCTGAAAAGTATACCATGCTGCTTGGATTGACAGATTCCCAATGACTTAATATAAATAACGAAAGTTGCTGCCGTCAAGAATAATTTGACGTGGAATGCGGGGAGTGGCTATTTAAGCAACGTTAATAGTGGGACGACTCTAGATGTTTCGGTGGTCCAGGAGCCTAAGGCTAGCTATTTATCTGACACGTGATTCTACTAGGAGCTCCTGACGTTTCCTCGACTTCTTCGTCCGGAGTACTCAAGCGATTACAGAACGATAGCTCATTTGAAGCTGAGCTGTGGGAGATGGCCACCAGTTACGATTCTTTCAGCCAATGCTCGTCTCCATAAGATCTCCAGCGGAGATGACTCGATGTGTCTATTTCCCCCAACTCTGTGTGTCAACAAACTCCGCATTACTGAGCCATGTACTGGCTAAATGGGGTTCCTCGGGTGTACGCGGTCAATGGGCCTAGTATTCCCTTGACATCGTCCCATGATCAAGAAACTACTGCAAATGACCTGTCAGAAGATGAGGGTATTCAACATGAGAAACCCGCGGTGTTACCGGAGGACCAGCAGCCCGCCGCTGGATGGCCCGAGGAGGTCATCAATGGCCTTTGTAACTCACGGAATGGACAATTGTTTGCGACAATGACAGACTCTTCTATTTCAGTCTGGCAAACAAAAGTATATGTTTGCTTTCCATCCTTGCCGTATCTTTTCGCTAACAAATTGACTTAGCCTACTGTCGTGGTAGCCACCGTCGCTCGTTCTCAAACGTCATTGAAAGCTTACGGCCCAAACGTATCTCTCCTTCTTCACCCTGATTCAACCATTCTAGTCGCACAAACCCAGAATGGGTACCTACTTACATACACAGTGGCTTCGGATCCGAATACTAGAGTGTATCAGCAACAGTTCGATCTCTCTAATCCGCACCGACGTCAACAACTAGCGCGCCATTTCGGGAGCGAGGAATTCAACGGGATCAAAGATGTTAGTATCCGCTTCAGAATGGCTATCAAAGTAGAGTCCGGCATTGTTGGCGCCTTGGCCCTGGATAACGAACTCGTGGTGGCCACCCTTAAACCAGCCGCTATTCAATGCATCCGTTGGACTCCGGACAAAAACGGGACGCAAACGACCTCGGAGCTACTGAGTCGAATTCTCAACACACCTAAGAAGGTTACAGTGACTGAAATGGTTTATGATCGAGCCATGAGTCTTTTGATATGGGTCACAAGCGACGGCCATGCCTATACTGTACAGAGGAAAACAGATGCCCCCGAAACAGACCATTTTGCCAAACTCTTCAAAGCTCACTGCTTTCATACTCCCACGGGCGATACCGATAAGGCAATCAAAGCAGCTGTGAATGCAAGATTCTCTTTACTTGCGGTCAGTTGCAGCAATGGCGAAATTTTGGTATATACAGCAAAGGATTATGTCGGAAATGTAGTGCTTTCACATAGACTCCAGCCACCTACCTCGACAAATACCACAGGAGATTTGACTTTTATGAGCTATTCACCTGACGGTTACTGCCTGTTTGTTGGCTACGAGAACGGCTGGGCGAATTGGAGTGTCTTTGGCAAGCCTGGAGGTAGCAGTTTCACAGCCGATCGCTCTATGGCAGAGGGCAATTCCGAAGAGTGGTTGGCGGGGGTATCAATGGGATGCTGGATAGGAGGCGGTTCTGATATCATTCTATCAGCTCAAAATGATCGCCGGCTGTGGTTGCTAGAAACTGCGCGCAGTGCCTTAACGGGCTGTTACTCGCCAGCAAACCTGTCCAGGGCGCTCTTGCAGACAGGAACTGAGATTATACTATATCGAGGTCACGATTTACCTGATCTTATGACGATTTCCGGAAAGGACTCCCTGTGGCACCATGCACAGTACCCGCCAGCATACCTTCATGCACAGTGGCCTATTCGTGCCTGTGTCGTGTCCCAGGACGGCCGATACGTGTCGATCGCAGGACGAAGGGGTCTCGCACATTATAGCGTCAGTAGTGGCCGCTGGAAGACATTTGAAGATTCAAGAGTGGAGAACTCATTTGCTGTTAGAGGAGGTATGTGCTGGTATGGTCATATCCTGATTGCAGCTGTAGAAAGCAATGGCTCTTATGAGGTACGTCCATTTTTTTTGCATTCTTGAGGTCGCTCGTTAACTAACTCTATAGCTTCGTCTGTACTCGAGAGAATCACCTCTGACAAATAATAACATTCTCCATACCGAGTACTTACCTTCGCCTGCCGTTTTTATCGGGCCATCAGGTGAAGATTCACTTCTCGTATACACGTACGACAACATACTCTACCATTACGTGATCAACTCCACGTTCGGCAGCGTGTCTCTGGTTCCTGTAGGGCAGATCGCTTTCTACGGAATTGTGCGAGCGCCCACGAGGGTTCGTTCTATTAGTTGGATCCTGCCAGAGGAGCAGATGCGTATGTTCTGAGCTAATAAAGCTGGCGCGTAATCTTGGATGCTAATTTTGGATACCTAGGAAATGGAGATCCGTCGCAGGATGTCAAGGTGGCATCGGTTTTATTACTCGTAGATGGCAACCTTGTTCTGTTACAGCCATCTGTATCTGACAGCGGAGATCTGAAATACGACATGCGGATAGTTGCTCAGGATGTGGAATACTATGTCTTGATGCGAGATCAATTGTCTTTCAACTTCGCTCCATCTGTAGAAGAGCCGGTGCCGAGTAGCCCTTCTGCTGAAGTGGTCATGAAGGCGGCTGAGAGCAATTTGTCCCTAAGAGACTCTCTGTGGATGTTTTGTGGACGAGATCTCGTTGCTTGGAGCGACGTCCAGGAGATATTACAGCGTGAAGATGTCCCAAAGCCACTCCCCGTTCCCGTGGACTTTTATCCATTATCGGTATTGCTGAATAAAGGTATCATACTTGGAGTAGAGTCCGAGATGATTCAAAGGCGCGACATAACATTCACTATCCTGAAATACTCTATACGAGTGAGTTCTCTTTTTCGTCGTGGATAAGTAAGCGCTAATCAGTCATTCAGACTCATCTTTTCCTCCCATACTTCCTCCGGCATAGTCTAGCCAATGTTGACATGCCGTCTGCTCTTTCATTATCACATTATTATTCACACCTATCCTATTTCCCCCATGCCCTCGAAATACTCCTTCACCACGTTCTAGATGAGGCGGTTGATGGCTCTAGTCGAGTCGAACTACGAGACGAAACTCGACAGCCACTTCTGCCCTCCGTTATCTCATTTCTCCAAGCTTCTCTTCCACCAGATGTCTATCTTGATATCGTAGTGCAATGTACACGAAAGAATGAGATCCGATCATGGCGCACCCTCTTTGCGCATCTCCCGCCGCCGAAAGACCTGTTTGAGCAAGCGTTGAAACTGAGATCACTGAAGACCGCGGCAGGTTACCTACTAATCCTCCAAGCCCTTGACGATGAGGAAGATGAAGAGATTAGCAAGGCCAGAACCGAAGATTATGCGGTGCGTTTACTCGGACTTGCAGCTTCCAAAAATGACTGGGATCTCTGTGCCGAACTAGCCAGATTCCTGATTGCACTTGATGGATCTGGCGGCATGCTACGCCGCACTATCGACCGAGTCGGTGTTCGACGCTCTTTGGCCGGACAAAAGCCGGGAAACGCTACAGAGCCTGGTAACCGGAATATGCGAGGGTTGGGTTTGACTCTGGGTATCCCTCCAGTACCCTCACTTTTGTCGCCACGAGGCACAGGACATCGTCGTCGGAAGGGCAGTGATATGTCGTCAATTGCCAGCGACGGCACAACTTCCAACCTGTCACCCATCACATCAAGGACCGATGATGAAGGTGCATCTGTTTCCGAAAATGGAAGCAGTGGGATGGATGAATCATATCATGTTACTTGATGTTTTGTTGTATATATATCAATCAGCCATTATCTAGGAGTTATACTTAGCGTCAGAATATAATCCAGGACCTAGGCATCTTCCCACGACGGAAGAAAGCTGATTTATTTCTTTTTTCGAAACAGTCATATCTAATCCAAATTCAACTTCCAAAGCCCGTCTCCCAAATAATGACCCGCATCCATAACCACCCCTTTCCCTTTCTCCTTCATCTCCTCCGTCCCCATTTTCAACGGTCCCACCATACAAACTTCAGTCTTCCCCTCTGCACTCACAGCAACAACATCCCCGACATTCAACGCATTATCTTTATCCGGTAACCGACCACCCGGCGAAGTCAATCCAGGCGCCATTAGAGCAGCGCCTGAAAGCACAAATCGTATAGCTCCGCGATCGATTTGGATTTTGGGCACGACGTCAGGGAAGGCATGGATCAGTTTGAGGTGAGGGATTGGAGGGCCATCGAAGGGTTGGTAGAAGAGTGGATTTGAATCGATAGTGTATAGAGTAACTCGGTCTGGGCTTTATGATTGTCAGCATTATTTTCCTTCAAGAAGCTCAGAAGTGTTAGGGCGTAAGGGGGATGTACAGTTTTACGGCTTCCAAAGAAGCCTTCTTGGGCATGATCTCATCGATATAGGGCTCAAACCCGGGGTACGTCTCGATAAGCTTAGACCGAAGCCCTCGTTGCACAGACGATTTTACTTTGGATCGTGAGCCTGCTTGGAAACTATATTAATGAAGCATGGTCAGTATTTGTGCAACATGTAGCGCAAAATAGATCAGATCATCGCAAGAGGTGAGGGGGTTCACACACTCCTTTTTAAACATCGTGAACTGCTTTTTCTTTGTTTATAATACCCGTAAAATCAAGGTACTATATATTTGAGCTTTCCAATAGCTCCAACGTTGCAAATAATCAGTGTTCAGATTGTCGCGTGCTGATCTAATATGTGGTGGTTCGTTCAAATAGAAAATTTAGTGGTTTGGATGATGAGCAGGAGCGGGGTAGGTAGAGCTTCAACAACAGTCAGTACAATTGAAAAAAGTAAACTGATATTTCTGGATAGAGTATATCGGACTCGATATCCAGATCTTCCAGGCGACTTACAAATAGGAGATGTTGATGTGTGGTGGACTGAGTCTATGGAAAAGAGCTGTTTATGGCGGATTGCATGTGAACGATGTTTTTGAATGACTCGGGAAAATCCGCAAAGCCATTAATTCACTCTACCAGCATAAGATTACATGTCTACATTGTTTGCTCAAAGGACTAGAAATAGGGTAAATCATTTGCTCAGATCAATGACATTCATTATGACATGTATTATTATATTTACTATCACCGTCTCCTGGCAATGGCTTAGTTATGAGACCTGCCAAAGAACGAGTGATGGGAACCCCCCGAAGCTACTCGAGAAGAATGGGTGCTTCATTTGATAGACATATATTTGGTTGATCTAGCCCTTGGCAGCACCTGCCTTGATGAGGAGGATATCGCCGTCCTCAACAACATATTCCTTGCCCTTGGTCATGATCTTTCCGGCAGCCTTCACGGCAGCTTCGTCGCCATACTCCTTGAGAGTTTCGAAGTTGAAAACGATTGCTTGAATGAAAGTTTTCTCAAAATCTGAAGAAATGTGTTAGCTCTAGAGTCATAACAGTCTAGCCACTTGATAAACTCGCCTGTGTGAATGACACCAGCGGCCTGTGGAGCCTTGGTGCCCTTGCGGATAGTCCATTGTCGGACTTCATCGCTACCGCAAGTGAAGAAGCTGCCAAGTTGGAGAGCATTACGCATGGTGACGATAATCTTTGGTAGCGCCGACTTGGTTCCAAGCTTCTTGCACTCTTCCTCAGCCTCAGCTTCGGTCTCGAAACGCGTCAATCGCTCTTCGAAGCAGATGGAAAGAGGGATGATGGGGTCGCCAGAAGCATGCTCCTTAACCCACTCGGCAATCTTGGGCAAGTGCTTGTTCTTCTGGCGTAGATAGTCTTTCTCGCTCAAGTTGACCAGGTAGACGACGGGCTTGGCGGTCAAAAGGAAGAGAGGGTTAATCACTTCGACCTAGTCAGAGTTGTAGTCAGCCTTCTGGACGATCACAATAAATGCTGAGCAGAAAATAAGGAATGCTGAAATGTTTCAGACGAGTTTTTATCTCAAGACAACCTCAACGTGAGAAAAAAAAACGAGGTGTTCGACGAGCTGGGTTATGTTCGAGCAAATGCTCTTATTCATCATATAGAAGGAAAGGCAACGAGATGTTGATAAGGCAGGAAAATATTGCGTACGAACCTCTTTTGGTGTCCAGTCATTCTTACGAACGTCCTTTCCGTCCTTGAGATGTTGGAGAACTTTGGCGACAGTAGCTTCTTCTTCTTTCAATTTCTTCATTTCCAGTGACTGACCTCCTCTCCTGGTCTGCTTGGCGAGATTCTCTAGAGCCTTTTCGACAAACTCGATATCCTTAAGACGGAGTTCCTCGCTAATGATGTTCAAGTCACGGACGGGGTTGACATCACCCTCGACGTGGATAATCTCGGCATCGTCGAAGCACCGAACCACCTGGAAGATGGCATCGACAGCGCGAATATGAGACAAGAAAGCGTTACCAAGACCAGCACCAGTAGAGGCGCCTCGTGTAAGACCAGCAATATCGTACACGGTCAAGTTAGCAGGAACCCGTGATTTAGGTTTATAGTGTTCGCATAGCCAGTCATAGCGAGCATCGGGAACAATAACGCGAGCTTCTTCAGGGTCGATAGTGGCGTAGGGGAAGTTGGCAGGGTTACCAAGGGAGCACTTTGTGATCGCTTGGAACAGAGTCGACTTGCCGACATTAGCGAGACCGACCTAGACAGGATGATTAGTAAAACGATGTATCCGACATAAGATGATAAGAGATAAAGGGGGTTTGGTAAGGTGACTGTTGTGCTCACATACGATACCACTCTTCAAGTTATTTCCCGGTCGTCCCAAAGGGATCTTCTCGACCACCTGGTCCTTCTTGGGGCCCATTTTCTTGTTCTTCTTTTTTGTAGCGTATGTGCGACAGAAAAAGGTAGAGACGCAGCCTTGCCTAGCAGCGAAGAAGTGGGGAGTGAAAAGGGCAGAACCAGCTGCAGGTGGTGAAAAACGGAGGGGAAGAAGAGAAAAGAAAGTCGCGGGGCAGCTGAGAGACGACGTGGTGACGGATGGTGGCCGGCGGGCCGCAGAAATTTTTCAATAATTTCTTAGGACTTTGTTTTGCTCCAGCAGCAACGAAGCTCTGGACTCACCCACAGCTATCACTTGCTTGAAATTTTAGAAGGGCAATTAAACGAGTGTCTAAGCAATTGATTGAGCATCTATATCAAATGAGAATCAATCAATTGCCGTGAAGCAGTAACAAAACAGTCAAGATTAAAGAAGAATTCGAGGAAGAAGAAGAAAATTTCGGCGAATAAAATCAAAGCTAAGCTCTTTGCTGACTAAGCCTATCACTCAGGGGCTGGTGCCTTGGTGCCTTACTATCGTCTAGGTCTTGAATGGTCACGTGTAGGGCACTTGCCCTATTTTTTGGATGGGAATACATTTTCCAAGTTTGGGCGGAGATAATGAAAACTACCAGATTCGAAATCTAGAGGGGAAGTTCCAGTCCTCTCGTTACTTGAGCGGCATCACATCGGCCAGGATCTCTGTGGTTGCCTGGGTATTTGATGGTGATTCGGACCAAAGCCACTCCAGAGTCCGGACGTCTAGACACAGGTAGTCAGGCTTGTAGATGCCATGGATATGTATCCATGCCATTCCAATACATACCATCAAACAGTCAATTGTTACACGTTTATTGAGTACAGGGATATCGTATGGTAAACTTTCCTGCTTCCTAAATCATATCCGACCCCAACATGTTAGATGCCCATAGCCACACTCGACGCGCCGGACGATCTCGCAGCTGGTAGTCACAATCTTGGAACATATCAATCAGCTTCTAATTATCATTTATGAAACCTTCCTGCATTAGTTGAGGGGGTTTACGTGCCATGTGGTCTACTATATTGAGACTAAGTGATGGTGAAATATTAAATTGGTTCACCATCCCTGTCAAGAACCACCGTATAGCTGTGCCACATGCAGTCACATCCTTAGTTCTTCTAGGAGGTGCTTATCTCGGTTTGAAGGACACCAAGCAATCGAGTTTTCCTAAAATAGCAATTCGTAGAATAGTCCTTGATTCTGAAAATAATTCCAAGGGTCTTGGTGGGTATTTAATACAGTCTTCCACCCAGATCCTACAAACTCCATTATTTGCTGTATTGTACTTTAACTTAGTCAACCCAAAGAACCACACATATCTATACTCATACGAAATGGGTGTACCAACCAACGAATCTAATGCGGGGAAGAGAATCCGTCACTTTGTTGGCGTGGAAAGCTCCAAACAGCTCGCTTTTATCGATGACCTCCACAGGCTGGGCTTGAGTCGTACGGTTGACCTACCTGAGGTGAGTTTACCGTCAAAGTTGCCAACGTATACCTGGTTAGAGAATCTGTCAGGCATTCTGACTCTGCGCAGCTCATCGTTGTAGGCGATCAAAATACCGGCAAAAGCTCCGTCCTTCAAGCCATCACGGAGATCTCGTTCCCCGTTGAGTCAGCCTTATGTACTCGTTTCCCGATAAAGATCTCCTTCAGGCAGACTCCAGGGACGTCAACCTCTGTCCAGGCGGAGATCATCCCTGGCCGCAAGACTCAGGATGACGATGAATTCTTGGAGAGGATAAAGGACTTTCGGTTTACGAGTGACGAGCTAAGTGCCAATGCTATGAACCAGATTATCAAAGAGGTTCTTATCCTTTTCCATTCTTTCGTGCTCAGAACTTACGTATATTTATCACTGAAATAGGCAACGGAACGGATTTTCGGGGACGACAACGGAGCCGGGCAGACACTGAGCGATGCGATTCTCCGAATTGAACGATCCGGCCCAAATGAGATGCATTGGACCATTGTTGATCTCCCAGGCTTAGTTCAAAATCGTGGGGAATCATCGTTAGCCTCGAAAAGAGCCATGACAAATGGCAAGAGCGGCATTCATACGGACAACGCAAAGATAGCAAAGGACCTGGTGCGGTCGTTTCTGGAAAATGAGCGAAATATTGTTCTGTATGTTCCTCTTTAGATCTGTGAAGAATTGAGTTGAGACTGACAGTCTATAGATGGGTAGTCGACGACACAGATATAGAGAGACATAAGACTCTAGAACTGTTCGAAGAGATTCCTGGTTTGCAAAGTCGGACTATAGGCGTTCTGACCAAGTGTGACCGCAAACAAGAAACATCTGATAACTGGGTAAGAATAATCAACCTGTGGAAGAAAAATGAGATGAACTGACTGGTTGTTGATCTGCTAGATGGTGAAACTACTTCGAAATGAGCCATCGACCAAAAATCACCTTGAACAAGGCTGGTTTGGTCTTCGAAACAGAAAGCCTATAGAAGCAGATATTAGCGATCAGGAACGCGATCAGAATGAGGCTGACCTGTTCGAAAAGCTCGAATGGGCAGGAGTTCGCAAAAGTCAGACCGGTATCAAGGCACTTATGGATCACATTGATAAGGAACGACGATCTCGTATCCAGGAAAGTATGCCCAGAATTATCGGAGAAATACGTGATAATCTGCGTAATTGCGAAGCTGAACTTGAAAATCTGGGTGAGGTGCGCGACAATACGAGTGCAGAACGGCTTTACGTGCTACGTTTCTGCAATGAATTGCAAAAGATGGCAGATTCAGCCCTACGAGCTCGTTATCAAGATATCCCATCGGATGACCCCAGAGCCATGCTTCGTTTTCAAGTCACTGAAAGGCTCAGGCGATTTCAAGAAGAGCTTGGGGACCTCAACAGGATCGACCCCCGCGTAGGGTTTACGGGTTGGGAGATTGACTGTACCCTCAATCAATTGACTAACCTGAGTCCCAACCCTGAGAATTGGATGAAACCTATAGCAACGAGTAATGGTGAAAATATCTATAAAGCGATATATTGCGAGTCGAGAGTATGTCAGGGAACAAACCTTCCTGGAACCATCAGTCCGGAAGTCGAGGAGAAGATTTTCCGAAAACAGTCAGCTCATTGGAGAGACATCGCGTTCGATTTGGTGAACGACATCAAAAACTTGGTAGAAGAAAGCCACGACGTTTTTCTCAGGATAGCTATACCCGATAGCAGAACTCGTGGTGAGATGATGGCGACGATTTCCAAAACACGCGAAGCCTGGGATGCAGAGATTGATGCTGCATTGGAAGAGCTGATTGATGATCAACAGAAGAGACCTACGATGACACTTCAGCCTTATTTTTTAATGGAATCTCAGAGGTTTAATAACGATCTGGAGAGCCAAGTTGAGCAGAGTAGGAGAAACGCAGGGGTAAGGGGAACACCAGGGAAACCTCCAGAGGCACAAGGCGTGGAGGGCATTGTCGGCCCCGAGCATAGGAGAGCCCAGATGCCCCTCGAAGTGACCCAGATCTTCCACCTTCGAAAGCGACTGGAGGTCTATTATGGGATTGCCATGAACCGATTCGTCGACAACGTGGCAATGCAGGTGGTAGAAAGACATGTCTTGGGTCCAAATTCTCCCATACTTACAATCTCCACGAAGCGTTTGGTAGATTTGAGTGACGAGGAGCTCCACAGGATTGCTGGGGAAGATGAATCGGTCACTCGTCAGCGAGCGAGACTTAATAAGGACCGGTCTAGTTACAAGCAAGCATTGGCCCAATGGGATCAGGTCCGGTATTTTTAGGCTGATCTTAGTCGTCTGACATTTGGAAGTTGTATACGAAGGGTTGATTATTTCTGTTGCTATTGACTCAACTATGTTTATATCATGTGTATCTGTTTTGAAGTGATCTTTTATGTGCTAAGAGATGAGAATGTCAAGGTAGAGACGAATGTGCAAGGGACTGCTTTCTTACTGTGATTTCTCGGGCTTTGATTTCTCCTTACCTAGAGAACGGACTCGGAGTATACGACTCCATAACTTCATCCAGTCCCAAGCTAGTCATTGTCATGACTCGTCTGTCTTCCGAAGAAACCCGAGTGTTCATTTGTTCTCTTTTCAAAAACCAACTGGCCATCCATCTCCACGGGGTAAATCCATTCTAATTGGCCGTGTAGCGTGGAGATATAATATCGTCCTAATATTAATCTCCTCTTCCAGTATAGTCTGTCGTCCCAACGTCCGACTTCGCGGTTTCGTGGGGGGCAAATTACGCTGCTGCTAGAATGTTTTCCCGCATAATACTGATATTATTATCATCATTCCAACAAAGCAAGGAATGGCCGGCGGAGAACACAACAATGGGAGGATGATCTCATCCGATTCCTCCGCATTTCTTTCAGCTTTATTGAATCCCCCAGAAACTTCAATTGTTCTATTTTGAAGTTTGAAAGCATTGTTGCACTGGGAATTCAGTTCTTTATACTTGGCTACGGAAAAGGCTCTCTTGGCTGAAAGCTTGGCCTGCCTCTAAACCTTATAATCTTCCTTGTATTACCATTTCCGGTAATTTCCTGGTTGTCAGTCTCAAAGATGGTTTTCGACCAACTTCGGGGTCGTCGGCTCTCGCTGGTCGTCGGCCTCGTTGGTGCTATGGGCTTCATGCTCCAAGGCTATGACCAAGCCGTTGCCAACGGCTTGCTCACTTTGAATTCCTTTGTGAGGACATTCCCTGCAATCGATGTCATACATGCAACTGGTGCAGAAAAGAGCCACAAATCAACCATTCAGGGTACGTCTGTGATGTGCCTCCTTCCTTCAAATTTGTGTCGGTCGTCGAATCTCATTTTTCTAGGAACTACTATCGCAATCTACGAAGTCGGTTGTGCCCTTGGAGCACTCTCCTGCGCCTATCTTGGTGACAAACTGGGTCGTCGTCGAACGATCTTCCTGGCGGGATGTATTGCCTGTGTTGGGATCATCATCCAGGCGTCTCCATTTACCTTGGCACAATTTATCGTCGCTCGTGTGATTACAGGCTAGTTCTCCCTTGTATCGATGCCTCCAAAATTAGGATGTCCAACTCATGAGTGATATTATCAGGTCTCGGGGTGGGTGGCTTCACTGCTGTCGTCCCAATGTACATTTCTGAGTCAAGCAGAGCCGAGAACCGTGGACGGATGGTCCTACTGGAAGGTTTCTTCGCGATTGGTGGCATCGTTGTTGCTTCATGGCTTGAGTTCGGCTTGTATTATGTTCAAGACAACGACGTGAGCTGGCGCTTCCCCATCGCATTTCAACTCATATTCGCTATTATCGTGACATCCTGCATCCTCTTTCTACCAGAATCACCTCGCTGGCTTGTCAGTAAAAACCGAGTCGAAGAAGCCGCTGTTGTATTGGGCCGATTGGAAGACACTGATGGTGATTCGGAGGCTGTCGCGCTGGGCCTGGACACCATCCAACATTCTCTTCAAGATGAAAGCGGTAGCGAAAGATCTCACAACCCATTCGCTTTTAATGAGACCCGGAACTTCCATCGCACATGTCTAGCCATTGGGGTGAACATCCTTGCCCAAATGTCCGGTATCAATATCATCACGTTCTACTCCGACACCATCTTCCAGACCGATCTTGGTTACACAGGAACAACCTCACGTATCATTTCAGGATGTCTTCAAATCTGGCAATTCATTTGTGCAGGAATCGCTGTATACCTCATTGACCGCGTCGGTCGCCGTCGTCTACTGATTTCTGCCGCTCTGGGGATGGCCATCTCGCAAGCCTGCTTAGCCGGTTTAAGCTCTGTCATCACCACCAATAAATCAGCCGCATCTGCGTCGCTACTATTCTATTTCTTAGCCTTTACTTTTTTCCCGATTGGTCTCTTCCTCGTACCGTTTATGTATGCCGCTGAAATCGCCCCGTTGCAGACAAGAGGAAAAGTAACAGCCATGAGTGCTTCGGCGAACTGGCTATTCAATTTCTTGATTGCAGAAGTGACCCCTACCGGGTTCGATAATATTGGTTGGAAGTACTATCTCATTTATCTGTGCATCAATGCCTCAAGTTTTGTGATCTTCTGTCTATTCTACCCAGAGACAAAAGGCCGGTCATTGGAGGAGATTGACGAGATTTTTATTCGCTCAAAGTCTCCTTTTGAAACGGTCCGGATTGCGAAGGAGTTGCCATTCCAGATTGATGTTTTGGCCACCGCAGATGAGAAGATTCTTGATGAGCATATTGAGAAGGTTTAGATTTGTGCCAATGAGTCACTGGTTGGACCATGTCTAGATGGGACTTGGAGCCTGCCAGGGTCAACTGTTAGACTAGATTGCGCTTCTGATTGATATATGGTATTACACTGTGGTCAACTGATGAGGCATACGATGAAGAGGAGGAAATTCAGGGCATATAGAATGGATTGAGCTATCCTGTTAGTATCGATAGAGTTAGGGTGTCACCAGATGTCACGTGGAATGGTTGCCCTAGCTTGCCATCATGAAAGGTTTCTTAGAAGTTAGAATTACATATAAATTACTGATATTTCTATCATATTGTAGATCACGGAGAATGTACCGGGGAATTGAACTCATCCCCCGTGCCGAAGCACATATAAGAAAGCCAATTTTGTGGTATGGAAGACAGAAGACAGAAGACAACTCAATACATACAATCTTGCTAGTCATTTTCTTCTTTCGTCATCCTTGTAAACTACTATTCAGGATTGGCCTGAAGTTAACCCAGCAATCCGACAGGATAATCGCCACGTGAGGCAACCCCAATAAAACAATCTCAGTTAATGAAAGGAAGCACATGATGACATATTGAAGCGGCGGCTTCCCGTTGGGAGTTACGAGTGGAAATGACGCTGTAAGAGGCCTCAGTAGCAGTCATTTTCAGAGTCAATTTCACAGGTCCTCATATTCTGTAATCCTGAGCCAAAATTGGACTGTACAATTTCCAAGGTTCACAATGACTTCGGACAAACATACTCCGTTCCATGCAAAGGTAGATTATCCACTGCGAATATCGCGTTCGCAAACATTTTCGGCGCTTGATAGGGCACATTTTCACCAACATTAGGAAGTACGTAATGACACCTTGAACCTGTAAAATACTTTGCCGTTGCCGTTCCGTTTGTCGGTGGAAAAACGACACTATTTTGGGGATCGAATGTGACTGAACGCGCAGATATAGGCGGCTGTACGTCGAGTCGAAGAGCCAGAGCAGAGTATTTCGGGTCTCCAGGAGCATACAGCAACCTATTACGATAAAAGTTGAGTACGATATCAACGTAATCAGTGTTTTCGAACGCCGTTGCCGTGAGGTCAAGATACTCTTCAGAAAAATTCCATCCGATGGAATTCTTCTGCCACAGACTGCGTGCCCACGCTTTGGGGTTCGATGCAAGGCCTGCTGCGCCACGAGCAGTCAAGAAAACGTAATAATACCAACGTAATGCCTCCGAATCAGGATCCAAAGGAACCCAGGCGGTGCTTCGATTCTGGATCAAGTAACTATTTGCAGCGACATGTCCGTTACAGCGTTCCGGCCACAGGGCCGCTGCAACGTTCACAACAACTGTGCCCCAGTCATATCCCGCGAATATTGCCTTGTCTATATGTATTGCGTCCATTAGGGCAATGAGATCTGACCCTAGAGCAGCCTGTTCGGCACTGCGTGGGGTGTCGGGGTATAGGAAGGATGTTTCGCCATAGCCGCGGAGATAAGGTACAATCACCCGGTATCCTTTCCCTGTGAGAAGAGGTACCACAGAGGCAAAAGCGTCGATTGAATAAGGAAACCCGTGCACTAGAATAACGGCAGAGCCATTGGGCGGACCGGCCTCGTAATAGGCCACATTGAGGAGCGTGGAGGTATTTGCATATTTCAACGGTGTAAGATGCCAGGGTAATGAAGTATTTCCGGCATCAACAGCCTTTGTGGTAGCTGCTGGAGCAAAAACAAGCCAAAAAGGCCATAAAAATAATGAAAACGTTTTTAGGCGCATCGTTAGGCACGTACCTGACGTAAAAACTGATAGTTACACCTGCCTGCCTGGCCTCCGGCGTTTGTGAGGAAAGTGGATGTTTTATAGTGTAGCCATCCTGTCCAGCTAGACACGACTTCCCAGGTTCTGCTCAGCAAACCTTTCAGCCTCACAGAATATCAAGTTCATTACAAATGTTTGAACACCGAAGATGCCGGTCTCCATGTCTGCAATCAATCGGGCATCAGATCATTCATGGATACTGAGATATTGTACATAAAAGTGTCGGCCCCACCCCGAAGCTTCGATTCAGCCCTAACTCGTATCTCCGCAGCCTCAGACCTCGTACCTAGAGGCGCACATTTACCCGATACAGTAACTCATTTCAAGCTTTCATCTTGATAATTTCTGAGTTTAGCCCTTAATGAAAGGCACTGAAGACGAATTTCTTCCCTCAGTGGTTTCAAGTGAGATGCTCCCAAACTGAGTTTAGACGACTTTATTGACTCCTTAGAGTATAGTCTTGCTATTGATTTTATTAGACATTTCAGCCTCAAATTGAATGTTTATGTTTACGAAAAGAGCACATAGACTGGACTCCTAGGCAAGCATTTGCCTGAAACGTTTAAGATCTACTGAAGCCTGACAAATGCCCAGATAAGCTAGGTTGAAAGTCCAATAAGAGTAGAGATCAACTGTTCTCAATCCATCCACAGAATCTGAGAAGTGCAAGAGTAATTATTCACAGACCCGGGGAACTACTCGTCGGTTAGGAAGGTAGTGAGACTGAGCTGAAAACTAACCTTCTTGCTCCGGTCTAGGTATAAATATTCACCGCTGTCTCTCTCGTCTGAAATCGTCAGGATGATTTCGAACCCCTGAATACTACCAGAAGAGGCACTAGAAGATGAAGGCCCTACTTCTTAGTAATCTAGCATCAGCTACCTTAGCGGCTACCTTGACACCTTACCCAACCGACTGCTCGCATCTAAGCGCCCCGCACGTCTCAGGAGCCAAAGTGCTTTCAATCAACGCAACAGAACGATGGAACTACTCGGTCCCAGCTACGCCTCCGTTCCTTTTTTCCCCTGTCCAGGGCCTCAATATCTGTGACGTTACCGTCTTGCTCACCCATACTGGAGCACTGCATCGTCAAGTGACCGTGAAAGTCTGGCTTCCACTCCAGGATTGGAACGGCAAGTTTCAAGCAAATGGTGGATCGGGATATGCTGCTGGCGAACTCGATCTCACGCTTGGTCCAACGGTTAAGGAGGGATATTCTTCTGCGTCTACCGATGCCGGTGTTGGACTGAACCCGTTAAGCCCCGAAGCGTGGGCACTCAATAAAGATGGATCGGTGGATTTTGACGCTTTGATTGACTTCTCCTACCGCTCTGTGCACGATATGGCTATCGTGGGTAAAGAATTGACAAGACAGTTTTACGGCACTAAACCCAAATATTCTTACTGGAACGGCTGTTCAACCGGTGGACGACAGGGAATGGTTGCTGCTCAGAGATATCCGGATCTATTTGACGGCATTCTAGTTGGAGCACCGGCAATAAATTGGGCGAAGTATGTTGTTGCAGAGCAATGGCCACAAGTTGTGATGCAGCAGGAGCAGACTTTTCTTTCCGCCTGTGAGCTGAAATTCTTCTCTGACGCTGCAATCAATGCATGTGATGAGATGGATGGAGTGAAGGATGGAATCATCACTGATCCTGAAAATTGCTCTTATGACCCTTTCCAGTCCGTTGGACAAGTTATTCAATGTGACGGGCACTGCATCACAATAACTAATTCTTCAGCAACTGTTATTCGAAAGACTCTGTATGGACCCCTGGATCCTTTCGGACGACAGCTTTGGTATGGACTCAACCCAGGTGCTCCGTTAGACAGCCTGGTCAATTCAACTACGAATCTCAACGGCACAAGGGTTGGAAACTCCTTCTTCGTCAACGACCAGTGGATCAGATACTTCTTAGCCCGGGATCCTAACTACAACACTACACAGATTGATTACGACACCTTCCTTGATTTCTTCTGGCAATCATACACCGAGTACGACGGTATAATCGGTACAGACGATGCCGATTTATCCTCCTTCAACCATCACGGTGGTAAACTGCTCATGTGGCAGGGTTTGTCCGACCAGTTGATCTTTCCTGGTGGAACAATCAACTACCGTGATCGCGTGGAACATCGCATGGGAGGAGCAAACAGGACAAATGATTTCTTCAGGCTATTCCTTGCTCCCGGTGTTGACCATTGCGCTGTGGGCACGACCGTTGGAGCAACCCCAGATGATCCATTTCTGGAATTAGCCAACTGGGTCGAACAAGGACAAGCCCCGGAAACGATTCCAGCGACAGTCAACGATGGGACTGAAGCGAAGAGAATCATTTGCGCATATCCGCAGGTTGCAACTTACTGCGGTGGTGATACAAAGTCCGCTACTAGCTATAAATGTGTATAATGCTTGTGTTAGCTGCACGATGGAAGATTTTTGTTTTGAATCATTATACAAATTCATGACAGTCATATGTATCGAATAGGACAAATGTCAGATCTCTCAGTAAAGCCCTAACGCCGGAGCTTATGATAGAACTTTATCACTTTTCTAGACAGTAGCCTGCTACTGCCTCAGTGATCTTGACAAGCACAAAAGATGCCCAACCCCATCCTGGAAACGTAAAATCCGATCCGGACTGAGAACAGCAACAGAAGTCTTTGACCTAGCCAAAAAAGATACTCGCTGCCCCCTATTCACTGATGCGAAAGCACCTACATAGCAAGCCCAGATGTGTAGTTCCGGTGCCTTTTCCATCCATACTTCCATATCACTGTGTTGAAGTGATATGAAAAGTTGGTTGGCTATAGATTCGTTCTTGGGCGAAAGGAATGGCGTGTTTGTAGATAGGACTTGGTAGTAGATTATAGCAGCGAGACAGCAGCATTCGGATATATAGTCTTCTCTTTGATGAGAGGCGAGACTTTCGGCTTGTAGAAGGGGCGTAATAATGTATTCATGATCGTTGGGAGGTTGGTTTTGGGTGGAAACGGGTACAGATGTATATGAAGGTTCTTCCGCAACCGTCATATCGTTTGTATAACATTTATCTTGAGAGTCGTCAACCATATGCAGAAGAAGCATAATATCTTTTGATAATAGTTCTCCAGCTGGAGCATATTGCAAAGCATTTGAGAGAAGGCTTCTTCTCGGTTGAGCAATATAGGGAGATTGACGCTCATTGACGAATTCAAGAGTCGCGTCTTCCTCGTTGATGACAGCATTCCAAATATCGCTCCTACATGATTGTCAAAAAGTGTTCTGGTCATTATGTCTCGTGGATATGTCTCACAGCATGATTAGGAACGAAAGTGCTCCGCCAAATCCTACATCAGGATCCAGACCTTTCAAGCGAATCATTTGCGCAAGTCCAACCTCGTGAAGATGTGCCTCGGAAGTGCTTCCATTCAGTCTCTATTCCCGAATCAGCTTAGAAGTTGAAGCACCGAACAAGAGGGGTGTATACAGCAACATGCGCCAATGCCCATGTCGCAGCTAGCACTGCAAGTGGCAAATCATCATACGATTGTAGAACCGATATTGTCTCCTGCACCAATCGTATTGCCTCGGCACGATGAAAACTAGTCACTGGATTATCATGCTCTCCATTTATCAAGTCGAGATTCGCAGAAGCAGCATACAGTATCCCATGAAACATGGCCGGATTATTGAGATACCCGGTTACCCATGAAGTGCGTAACTTGTATGCAGCACTTTCTGGACTCAGATTCTTGATGGTTGGGACCATAGAGTGAAATCCTTTTGTCATGTCTGTCAACACAGCGATCCACCAAATCAAGGATGGCGTAGAGGCACCGACTGTAATGTAACAACATAGGAAAATACCATCTCTTAGAAACCGGATACGAAACTTGATACTGAATATCACGCTCAAGTTGAAAAACGGGCAAATGCTGTTGCTTATCGGTATTGACAGTACCCCTCTCAGTAACTCTCATCGACCGCTCCAGAGACATCAATTTCTGCTCTAGCGACTCAACCATGCCACGTTCCTCTACTTTCTGACTGTACTGACATTGTACGTCTCTCCTACAAATGGCATGTTAGCGAGTGAAGTCCTTTTCAACGGAAGTATTCGTCCCGAGTAAATACCTCCGGCATTCAGAGCATTCTGGTAGAGCCTTGTCGCATCGTTTCTTCCGGTCTCGACAGGCGTGGCAAGCCTGTGCAGCCTGCAGCATTGTTACTCAATTTATGGCAGTCAATGCATACGGACATGTCGACGATGTCTTTCTTATACATTCTAGAGACGGCCGTGCGGCTGAGTAAGTAACTGCCCCACTTTTACGATGTGGCTTATGAGCTATGACATAACCAGAAATCTTAACTAACTAGTTATCTTATCAGTCGAGAAGTTTCAATCAATGCTTCATTCAGAAAGAGAAGCAAGCAGATGTGGCATTTAGAAATGACAAGTAAGAAGGTAAAAGGATACGCAAAAGAACCCTGTATACCGAATTTATAGAACCTATGAATTTGTGAACAATCATCATATACCCCTCCATAAAAAAAAAAAGGCCCAGATACAGCCCCTACCCTTGCTCTAAACGCCCGAATCTCAAAATACAGGTGCATTGAAAAGTCAGAAAGAATAAAATAAGTCAGCTAGCTTGTTTCCATGGCTTCGGAATCGGCTCCTTCTTCGTCCACGACGCCTAGCAATTTTGCATAAGGGACGGTGACTCGTTGTAAGTCTCGATGTTTACCTATTGAATGACCAAGTTAGTAGATGTACAAACCCGAAGAAAAGGTAAACATACCAAGAGCAATAATGACTTCTTTCAGTAGTACATCCCGCGGCCAGCCACAAAGAGTATCTGAGTTCTCGGACCAGTTTCGGCCGTCTTTCTCAGTGGCCGAGACAGCTCGCTGTACCGCTTCAGAAGTACCTTCGTCATCATCAGAGTCAAAAATACCGCCCACAAGAGCTTTTAAGAGTTCTTCCACCTTGCCACGTAGTCCTTCCGCTCCGATGCGTTTGGCATACATAGACAAATAAAGACGGAACTCCTCCTTGGCTCCTAAGGACAGGGCGGCCGCCATTCGGTTCTCAAGATGGGCGATTGAAACGCTGGATTCAAAGCTCTCGTATCCTTCTCGAGATAGTAAGACCTTTATCAAACGTTGTAGGAAATAAGCCCGTCCACGAAGCAATGTCTCGGTGGTCGTGTTTCGTTCGAGGAAAGGAATAATACCCGCGGATATCTTCTTCTTCTTGCTTTCTTCGCCGTTCTGACTGCCCATGGCCTGAAGATTGCTCACTGAAGCATCGGTTGTGTTCCAATACTGACTGCCAACTGCCCACCATGGCTCTGCTACCCGTTGCCATGTGTACATGGCTGAGGAGTATATGTATCCCTCACCATTAGTTAGGCCGACAACAATACGGCCCTCAGAATTTATCCTCGCCCCTGTGATGGCAGGCGCAAGGATAGCCTGACCAGTTTGAGCATGTGTAGCAGCATCCAAGACCGGCTGGAGAGATACAGGAGGATGAGGTGATGATACAGTTTTGACGTTCCAGACATAGCACATCCCTACTGCGGTGATGCATAATAGCCACGGTCCTTTACTTTCAAGAATGACTGCTTGGGCTTCTAGAACCAGCGCGTTGATAAGTCGACGGCCCGCAGGTGTCCAGATATATATCGATCCGTCCTCACAGGCAACAGACCAGAAACCAGTATTACCAGTCGCCAATAGCACAGATTTGGGGAGAAAGTCTTGCCACAGGGGTTGATCACCACGACTCAGGCTGATTCGTACCGGATCTCGGTCCGTCGAGCGACCGGTCAACGTACCTGGAGGTGGATTACGAGCTTCAAACACGAGATCTATCCGTGACTGTTTCGAATCTCCAGAAGGTTCTGTTGGATTCCCATTTTTATCGAGAGCCTGTAATATTTGTGGGCGAATCTTTGGTACTGCCAACCTAAGCTGGCTGATAGCCATGCAGGGGTTGACGACGGCTGGTCGAATAAATCCTGGTGTTGTTTGTTGTCCCGTAACCGCCGGTCCGGTGATGGCTGGCATGAGTCCAGCAGTGGTATTTGACAGTATCGGCATTGATCCGTTCTGACTGATAGATGCGACACGTTTCTCCACCTGGTTATCTTCATCGCCTTCAATTTGAGCTAGTTTGCGCTTGTTCCCAAAGAGTAATGCTTGTAAACCACCTTTCGGCAGTCCATCGAATGGCTTTGACAAATCAAGTATTGACTGAGGTGCATCACTTCCGACCTGGCTAACTGTCGAAGATGCCACGAGTCTAGACTGTGGTAAAGATGACTCAGACGCACCGGCACCCGAGACTAATAAAGGAGCTATTCTCTTCTTCCCCTCTTTGGTATATGTTGGCCGCTGTTTCAATCTTTCCAATTTCGCCTGATACGGATCAGGCTTGTCCTTTTCTTTTTCAGACTCTTTTTCCTGCTCGGATGTCGTTCCATTCGTTTGAGTCTTCTGTTTCTCAGAAGTACCGTTCGTGACCATTGTTGTGGTTGAAGTAATCGTCGTAGTTCCATTCACTGTAGCCTCCGTTGAATCATGGCCGTCACCCATCAAAGCTCCCATTCTGCCTTCAACACCTTTGATTTCTCCCGCTTTACTCTTCTCCTCGAGTAGTAAACCATCGGTAGTTTCTGCTATACCGGCACCCCTTCTTGTGCCAAATTTCGTCAAAGACCTCTCATTCTCCTCCAGTGACATGGGATACCCAAGCTCCGCCTCCTCAAATCGAACGGCGAGAATAGTTCCATCCAAGGCAGTTGCGAACAAGCATGTACCATCCGGACTCCACGCTAGATCGGACAATGATTTTGCGGAAATATCTTGCGCAACCACAATCGGTCTTGGATTGCTCGTTATCCAGACGCTGAGTGATTTGTCTCCTCCGGCGCATGCAATAACCGTCACCAAGTTATGATGTTCGGTACCTGATTTCACAGGATACGCAGAATATAATCTTGGGGAGAACGCGCACACTTCCACAGGCGCCTCGTGTCCAATGAGGTTGATATCACTATCCCACGATCCACGGTTTATAATAGCCACCGAACTCACAGGCCCATTCACCGCATTAGCAGCCGCAATATGCAATCCATCAGGAGACCACGAGCAGCGCCGGAAATACGCCGTCAAGGGCGAACTCTTAAAAGGCGTGACGATGTTGGTTTCCAAGACGAAATTATTGAGTTGATCATGCGCAGTCGCATTTGGTGCTGGCGAATTGAACCGGAATATTTTCACTGTTCGATCATCACTGGCCGTAGCAAAGTATTTGTTTGCAGGATCGAACGTAATGCCCTTGACGTGACTTTGGTGGACGGAGAGTGTCTTTAATTTCTCGAAGGTATGGCCCGACCAGACGACAACTTTCGAGTCTAAACCCACAGAGACCAAGATAGAAGAATCGTATGACCAGCCCAAATCCTGCACATCATTGTCATGCCCAATTAATCTCCGAATCGTTCGCCAGTTCTCAACTGGAGGCGCTTCATCCGAGCCTATAGCGAGCAATATCAGTAATCGCGATATTTCCATAGACAAACCTCCAACCTATCGTATAACTTGTGACACATACCGAAGGTAGTAGCATGAGACGGTGGATTCGCATCTAACGAGTAGACACAGACTATCTTATCATCTGCGCCAGATGCGAGGTACTTGCCGTTGGGAGAGAATCGGACGGTGTGTATAGTTCCGGAATGATTGCTCATAGAAGCAAGCTGTTTCGGTTTATCGGCATAAGCAGGATCGGCCGCATTGTAGATAGCTTCGGTCGACCAGATTCGTACATATCCATCTGTAGAGGAAAGTAAAGAAGTCAGAATTATGTTCCTAGCTCTATGCTGCCAATTCACTAACCTCCTGCAGCAGTTACCAATCGCTTTCCATCCGGCGAGACGTCGCAACTGTACACTTCGAAATCTTTCCGTTCACCTGTATTCAAGCCAGGTCAGTAAAAGTGAGAACGCCTCCTTCAAAAGGGTATAGTTCGTACCTCCATGTGTCAGCCATACAGGCTTGATTATATGCATATTGCGATTGATCGATTAATCAATTTATCCTCGACCTCGAAATTTCTAATGAAGCAGTTCGTTCCTCCTTCCCAACAGACGTAGATAGCTTCGCCGACAAACGACTTTTATAGCGTGTTCGACAGTCGCGGATCAAGCATCGCAGCTCCTTAGCCATCCAAGCCAGAGTGAATTCCGTCCCTCGACTCTGGCTCAGCGCGTTCACAACAAAGGAAAATATTATGAGGAATAAAGCGACACGAAAAGGTGCAATACTGCACCAACAGAATGAAATATTATAGAGGAGGGAACGACAAGCGCTGGCGCGGATTAAAACAATGAGTTTTGACGAACTCGCGATCTCTCCACGTTGGAGAATACTCCGTAGTAGATCCAGGTTGGCAGGAGATGGCCCAAGCTTTTTTTTTTACTTTTTGGGAGCGAGACCTTTTTGCCCAAGTTTGGACCGGTTTGAAGAGCGGTTGGCCGGAGCCAATCAGGAGCTGAGAACGAGAAAACAGCCGTCTTATATTGCCTACATACTCTATACTCTACTCTCCTTGACAAATTGCTGGTATTTGCTATAACCGTTGCCTGGACAGATATAAAAGAGCAAATATGAATTGCATCATAAAACATGAGAACATATTTGATCACTAATGTTAGTACAGGATCCCAACTCCCGCAAAAAGCTATTTCAATATGCAATTATGCGCGCTTGGGTAGTAGATTACATGTGTCGTAGAGATTCCACAAGTGGAGAGAGACTTTTGCAGGAAAAACAGGACAGGAAGGTATGTAGTGAGACACTATCTTTTCTGCTGAGCAGTCTGGTCAAATCCATCAAGGACACTCTCAGCAACTTGACTGCGCTCACTGCTCGATTTAGCAGTCTCCCCAGCTTTCTCACTCGTAGTCTCTGCATCCTTATTTGTAGAATGCTCAGGATTGCCCTCTCGAGTCTCAGGGACTCCCAATGCTTTTGCAGCTAGTGCCTTAGACTGACCCTCACTGACCTTGCTGTAGACAGAAAGAGCACTTGCAATCATGCCTCCGATATCTCCAACGTTGCCAGGGACAACCACAGCAGTACCTTCCTTGGCAAGATTACCGAATGCCTCAACATACTTCTCTGCAACACTAAGACTAATAGCGCTCTGGGCATTCTCCTGTCCGTCACGGATCGCCTTTGCAACAGCCTCGATACCCTTCGCAGTAGCCTCGGCTCGTAACAGAATGGCTTCAGCCTCACCAGATGCGCGATTGATCTGCTCAGCACGCAAGGCCTCGGAGGCAAGAATGACGGATTGTTTACGACCCTCTGCGATATTGATGGCACTCTGTCGTTGACCCTCAGAGTCGAGAATCTCGGCTCTCTTGGATCGTTCGGCGGTAACTTGGCGGTGCATGGCAGCTACAACGCCCTCTGGTGCATGAATATCTCGAATTTCGTAACGAAGACAGACTACTCCCCAGTCCTGCGCCGCCTCGTTGATAGCTTGTGTAATGTTGGTATTCAAAGTAGCTCGCTCTTTGAGCACGTGGTCGAGTGTAAGCTGTCCGATTTCCGATCGCATCGTCGTCTGAGCGAGTTGTGAGATCGCATATTCGGCATCTTCAACACCGTAGCTACATGCCACCCGCCGTCAGCTCTGCACAAGGAGAGAAACAGAATCGAACCTACCTAGCTTTATACGCATCAAAAACCCTCGTATAGAGAACTCCATCAAGCTCCAAGGTCACATTATCAGCCGTAATGGCATTCTGACTCGGTATCTCAATAGCCGATTCCTTCAGACTCTTAACATAAGCAATGCGATCAATAAATGGTATAAGAATCGCCAATCCTGGTTCCAGAATACGATGGAACTTGCCCATCCGTTCCACAATCCATGCCGTCTGTTGAGGTACGAATCGAATAATGGTATTTGCGGGGAGAGTGTTTCGATGCGAGAAGTATGTCTGCGGAGCTGATGATGGTGATGATGACGAACCACCGGTTGCGAAGCTGAGGAGAGATGATTCCGGTTGGGCGAGGGATCGAGTTGAATTGTTTAGACTTCTTCGTGAGAGAGCATTGTATGTGGAAAGGTTGTTGCCGCGGCTGGCAGCTTGGATCAGAAGCCGGGTTGGAGTATAATTGGAATTTTGGAACAGCCTTGAAGCTGATCTGGAGGTTATCTCCATTGTGCACAGCCACAAGGAAATTCGACTTTGGTTTAAAATGTTGTGAAGATGGTTAAATCGTGAATCTAGCTCTCGTCGAAGAGACGAGAACCCCGAGTCTTGGCGGCGATCTACGTACGGAAAATTATACTTCCGAATTCCGTTGAGATTGATCTCGACGCCCTTAAGTAGAACCTTGCTATAACGAACAAAAGGCGTCTCCATATTTATATTGATCTCAGGTTGGATTATTTTGGTACGAAGAGCATCCTATCTATAAATACTAGAAGAGATAAGTATATTGAAGGTGCCCTTCATCCCTAAATCGAAGTCACTCCTGGATATATTGACTTGGACCCCGAGAGGCCTTCAAATCTGTCCGTTATAACCAAGTCCTACTGTATTTAACAACATCTAATTGCACAGCAGAAAAGTCTTATTAAGGAGTTGAGTCTTGTCCTGATCCTTAATAACGATTACTAATGCAACCTTTCCGAAATCTTACAAGTCACATATTGCATCGTGAGTTCACCGACGCAGTCTCAAGTGAAGAACAGAGCGAAGAAAGTGAAAAAAAAAAGAAAAAAGAAAAGAAGAAAACACCAGATGTCAAAGACAATGATCCATTTTGCTCGTGCTGAATAACTTTCAAGTCGCTCACCGGGTTTGAAAGGGAATGAGCATTGAGCTACGGCAATAGGAACATTGTTGATTGACAGAATCTGCTCGATGAACTCCTCTTGCCACAAATGCAGACGTACCCTGATGATTTATCGACAAAAACTTCCATGGTCGAAGGTTGAATAGAAAAAGGCATCAAAAAAAGAAAAATACATCTCACAATACTCATGCCATGCAAAAACGAGAAGATTCGGAAAATCATGGGGATAATGGGGAACTAGATGAAATAAAGAGAAACAAGTACATCATTAGAAGTAGACGCACTGGAAAGGGGAAATCTCAAGGCCAGCACGTCCAATGCCTCCTTTGGAGAATAATAATCCCACCATCTGCGGCGTAAACCCCGAAATGAAAAAAATGGTAGGCGAATTCCATGAAATTTTTTTGAAATAATGAATTCCCTCTGTGGGCACTTTTTTTTGTCCTTTTTCGCGCAAAATGCTCGCTAAAACCCGAAGAGATGGAAAGACAACAAAAAGACATGTCGAAGCATTGCTGAAAACTGCAACTCTATCGAGATGGAAACTTTTGAACCCACTGAGCCGCGTGATCATTATGAACCGGATACCGGGCGATAGGAAAGAAGAACGGCTCGCTGGAAGTCGATACCAGCTTGCAGAAACGGAATAAGAAAAGCAAGAAGCAATCAAGAATAAAACAAAGAGCCAGCCCGGTCGCCGAAATGTGGTAGTATGCTTTTGTACCTTTTCTCCGTTCTCTTTCGTGAAGTCTGCTTCGAGGTGCGATCTGGCGAAAGCAGGAAAGTAAATCGAGGAAAAAAGCTGTCAGAGGTCAAAGCCCATGCCACGGGTCCTGCACACATTGTTCCAGTTCTAGATATGCTTCACGGGTGCAAGTCGACTCCAAATTTGTGAAAAGAATTGAAAATGTACGTGGCGATATCGGTCGTGTATCGTAGCTCAGAAGGAAAAGAAGATGATTTTTCGAATAGTCTGTAATAGGAGAATCATAACAGTGCCGGGAGGGTTCCTCAATCGCGGACAGGCCTGTAATAGAGAATCATAACAGTGCCGGGAGGGTTCCTCAATCGTGGACAGTCTTCCATAATCAACCCTAGAGTGCCGGCACTCGGGTCTGGTGTCCATTCATTACCACCAAACGAAAAGAGCAAGCTCAAGATATTGGCATTCAACAAGTCTGCAAATGCATGATCAGTACACAAATCAGAAAGCCAAGAGGTGTCATTTTGAAATACCTAAGATCAGGAAAAAACTATCCGGTACTCATGTAACATTACTGTGCAGTACCCTATTAAAATGTTAGCAGACTAGAACAAGAGAAGAGGACTGGAGCCGACCTGCCGTGATTCTCAAATGACTAGATAAGCACGACAGAAACTGAACTCCTTTGTATTCGTGCGTTTCATTGAAAACCTACATTAGGATTCTCGTTGTGATCACCAACCGCCACGTACGGGGTAAATTCAGGAGCCGCTGACGAGAGCGTAGTCTGAGGATCCGCCTGTTCATGTACACCGTTTGGCAGACCATTTGGTGCGCCCTGGTAATCATTGTGATTGACACCGTTGGCCACGGGCGCAGCGAAGTTGTTGCCTTCGATGGGATGTAAAGCTGCTGCGGCGTTACCATCGTTTTGAGCGGATGAGTCACGTTGATCCATAGGAAGCACCCAGTGCTCCCATTTCTCACGTGGGCGCAATAGATCCAATCCATCCTCGCTAAGGATGTACTCAGCATTTCGCAACTGACGGCCACAGTGGCGGAGCATCTCGAAATCTTCGGTAAGGTTCCTGATCCTCTTGAAACCGGCGATGAATGACAAGCGAACAAAGCCCTGCGAATCCATATGCTTCCGAAGGTACAGGTCCTTGCAGAGGTTGTCCACCGAGAAGTAGTATTCACTATTTGCGTTAGTAAAAGGCATAATCAACTGCAATTTTTCAACACTTACAGTTGCATCTGAATCAAGGTGAAGAGGTTGAATGGTTCCATGTACGGCTGGTAGGGAATCGCACTCATTGGGCCCGGTGCAACATGGTAACTCGGGTACATCGTGTTGATATCTGGCACAGGGTAGGCAGAGTACAGACCGGCAGAGTTAGGCATGGGAGGCGATCGCAATGAAAGGCGATGGTTGACATGCTGAGGCTGCGTGCCGTTCTGGAAGTTCTGATGCTGCGAACGCTGACGATCACCGGCGCTGAAAGATTTTGGCACAAATGGATGCTGAGGCACTTGCGAATTTTGGAAATGTTGGTTATGAGGACTATTGTATGAATGATTACCTCGTCCTCGGTATGTGCCACGGCCGCGTTCAGGTCGTGATTCGCCACGCTCCTTTTGGTGGTCGCGCTGATATTCGCCCTTCTCACGGGTGTAGTCTTTGAATTCACGATCACGAGGGACGAATCCGTTTACATCGCGTGAAGTGTCGACAGACTTTGTATTGTCAAATCGCCGTTCATGGTTGGGAACGAAACGACCATTTCCTTGAGCATCGCTGGGGGATGATCCTGAACGTGGGCTGTGATCAGATGCTTTGTGGGCAGGGATGAATTCTGGTGCCTTTGCAGAGCGAGGTTCGCGGTAAGTCTTTGCAGCAGCGTCCACAGGAGGGTAAGCGGTTCCATTTGGCGCAGCATTGTTCTCTTCGGTAGCCTTAGGACGAGTGTCAACACGAGGGCGCTCGGAGTTGGGTGGGAAGCGTCGCTGTTCACCCTGTTGTGCGTTGGCCTCAGTGGTGACGGGCTTCCTAGCTTGGGCAGGTAAAGAGTTGGCACGAGCAAGACCACCTTCGTTACGTCCTCGATCAGGCAAACTAGCGTGTTGCTTGGGCTGCGCCTGGTTCGGTTGAGTAGCAGCGGATTTGGCGTCCCCAGGAGCGGTTGTACTATTGTTCGCAGTGCTATTGGAGCTGTGGGCACCACCGCGGCCTCCCTCACGGCCACCACGGGACGCTCGACCTCCGCGACGAGCTCCAGAGGGAAGTGGTGTGTTGAAAACAGCAGTGGGGACATACTGCACCGGAGTCCACTTCTCCTTGCCACGAGGTGCTGGGGTCTTCTCAACTTTTTCAGACTTATCGTTCTTTTCCTGCGCCTTGCGTTTCTCTTCACCAAGGGCGGTTTGTGGTGTGGGCCATGCAGTTGAATCTGCGACCGGTGGAGGTGCGATATCCGACTCTTCATTTGAACGAGGGAAGCGGTTCGTAGACTTCTTGGGACCTGAGAATAGAGCATCATTAGTGTGAGGCCTACAAAAAAGGGATGTTGTTCGATCTTACCTTCTTCACGAAGTTTGCCATTTTCAACTCGCTTTCGGTCTTTGTTCACCGAACTGGATGCATCAGCTTGGCTATCGTTGGCCGTCTTTTTCTTATTGGCGGCTTTGGTCGTATCAAGAGCTGGCGAAGCAGGCTTGGAGGGAATTGCCTTGGTTGCAGTATTCGCTGACTTCAACATTGCAGCACTGGCTTTGGCCTTGGCTTCTTGAGCTTCCTTCCGCTGTTGCCACACATTGACAGCTGGAGGAGGCGCTGCCTTGAGCTCCTTGAGAGGAAGATTCTTGTCTGCTGGTTTGGCAGAGTCATCCTTTTTCTCATCCTTGTCGTTGTTGGTATTCGACTTGTCGGCAGTGGCTGAAGCCTGTGACTTGTTCTCCCAGTGAGAATCGCCATTCGTGATTGTGGGGATCTCGTCTTCTTTCGCTAATGTCGAAGTCGAAGCAGTTCCAAATGATGGAGATGATGCACCGGAGACTGCGTTCTTGGTCGAGCCAGTGGTAGCAGACTTGGATTCATGATCGGCAATAGATTCCGCCTTTTCAGACAATCTCGAAGACTCTGCAGAGACAGAATTGGCTGTATGTTCCGGGCCTGAGCTCTTAGTCACCTCACTATCCTGTGTGGACTTTCCGGACTGGTCTGTAGTCTTGGCGTTTTGTGATGTGGATGATGCAGCTAGCCCTTTGGCGGCTTGTGCATAAGAGAAGGTTGACACCTCTGGCTTTATGGCTGTAGTTGCCATTGTGATGTGAATCTCCACAAGAGTAACACAACCGTGCACTGGCAGGTAGTGGTGACGAACTGATATTTTATGGCCCTAGGGACCCCACCAAACTACCAGCAGCACCTAGAGAACTATTCTAACCAGACTCCTGCTTTGCTTTTGTAGCTTGTCTATCTGACTCTTTGCTTTGGTTGTGACGTAGCGATTATCGACTCAGCGAAGATATGCGAACGTCAAAGAAATATTCAACCGAAGGATTGTTCCACCGACAGATCAAGATATCGAACCGTGTCGGATTGGGGTTTAATGCTCGGGTTGCATCGGCGTTCGGCAGTAGAAATTTAGGCAGGCCTGAATTTAATGCAGGAATGTGCTTCGTTGTTCGAGCGGAGATGTTGTATCGTTCGTGGCTGATAAAAGCAATATACAAGTTAGCAGGGAAGAAATAATTGAGTAATAGGTTGAGTAGTGTTTTGTCGAGCCGCAGAAGCTATGAGTTGCGAGACGCAAACCAAAACAGGACATAGAACAGTCGGTCGTATAGACAATGATCGAAGATGTGGCTCGCGAGAAATGTAGATGGATCCTGAAGATGGATGGAATCAATACCTTTCTTCTGTTTTTTTTTTTTTGTTTTCTTTCGAGTCGGAGCGATTGAATCCTCCCTTGACAAAAGTCGAAAAAAAAAAGACGCGAATTTGGCTGGTCGAAACGATATCAATGGAATCTCGAACACCAAAAACAATCAAGTGCGAATCCAGTGAATATCCTTTGCGTTACCTAAAAACCGCACAACTGACGATCGACGAAAGAGATCTCTCAAAGGTGTGAAGTGAAAGAAGAGAGGTGGTTTGTGTGCGGGTGGGAGGACAACCCAAAAGAGACGACGATGAGGGATAAAAAAAAGAGGTTCCAAGCTGGACAAATGAGATCACACAGCTGTTTCAGACACTCTTCTTCGATAAATGAGAAAGAGGGGCCGTCAACAGCAGTACAGGAGACAAATGCCCACACGCAAGAAAAAGGAATAGGGAAATACGAAGGGAAGAATTTTGGAGCAGGTGAGGAAAAAAAAAGAATTCAGGACGTGTGGAGAGGAAGGAAGGTTAAGTGGATGCTCTCTGAGTGTGGAATTTCTTGAGAAAAGTTCTTTGCTGGTACAGTACAACAAACGAACAAACTCGGCTCGGTTTTTGGGTAAGTCCAGTTAAATTGTATTTTACTTTATTTTCTTGTCTATTTTACCTAGTAAATTCAGTACGTAGTATCGACTACCCTGGGATTGCCGGACGTCCGCGACCAAATATTCTTCAGCGTGTTTCCTGTGGGTATGGTACATGTAACTTTGAGGGTACTCCTAACCCTAGGAATTTGGTAGGAAGTTGAAGACAATCACATATGTTATTTCAAGGTATTTGACCTAGGTATTCATAATGTTGTTGTTTATTAACTAGGACATGTTACATATGGAATGAAGGTTGATATGTGCGTGGCAGCCTGAGGGTATGTCGGATTTTGTGTATCAGCGGGGAATGGCCTATGTACTTTTGATGATAGCGATGATCTCCAAGCACCACGTGAATATACACAATTTGCAGTGTTCATACAGATACAAATATGAAAATAGATCAAGTCCATACAGCAATATGCCTACAATGCTATCGGCACATACTCCGAGCTGTCATCTTACCCCTCGTAACCCCAATACACACTGTATCATCCTTCAAAGGAGTGATCGTACGACCCTGACACGGCCTAATTAAGAATTTCGCGAGGGGTTCGCATAGTTAACTTAGCTATAATAGACATTACGTACGATATCTGGGTAATTAGTTGCTAATATTCTTCTGCATGGACAACCCCGCAGTCAGCTCTGTCTGATATTGCTCATCAATTTATACATATAATACATATAATACAGTACCGGAGTGGTTTTGGATACCGCCGTTATCCGTCGTTCCGCATACGTCGTGTCTGTATCGTAATACACATGCCAGAACACCAAAATCACCAGGATGGGGGGTGAAAATATATATCAAGAAGGTGAAGTCATGTCATAGCTGCTGAAATATACCAGGTAATATGAATCTTTAATTCATCAGCTGTATAATATTACTGCTTATGCAAAGCTCAACAGGAACCGATTCTTCAATTGTAGCCCCTCGTACTACAGTCGTATGTAACAAGTACCTACTAACTACTGCATGACCCCCAAAGAAGACCACAGATTCTGATTCTTCATGGCCAGCCCTTGTCCTTAGTACTACACTGCACCGTGCACGATGATATATGTAACTTGCAGCTGTTGACCCTGAAGCCAAGCATAAAAGTAGGAGCTACAAGCAAGATATTCAATACACAACATAGCCAGAATCCAATTGGACCGGATAACTTAGGGCTTAGGCTTAGGCTTATTTTATTTGTTTCAATCAACCGTTGGACCTCGGGTGCTTCCGGTAACCCTTCCATCGTGTCACACCAACATTATCAAGAATATTAAAATATGTATAAAAGAAGTAGTAGTAGTAGTAGTACACTACCAGTGTCGCACACTGACAAGAACTTGTTCCCTGGCATCCATACCCGGCATGGTCGACTGCCCCAACCCCCATCTCTGCAGAAGCTGCCAAACAACCTTCCGTTTCATACCCTCGCGAACGGCAATTTTCTCGAGCGCGTCGGTGCCGTTGAAATATTTGACGAATTTAGGCCAGTACGTTTTCAAGGAATCCGTCACTACCGAGTCGTCGCCTTCATTGGGATTTGTTGCGGTTGATGAAGTCGGTCTTGGTGGTGCGTCTGGGAATCGGGACATGATCTCGTCTAACCATCGGGATTCGAGTGGAGAGGCTCGATGCGGAAACATGATCAATGACGACATGTTCAGGTGCGAGTTGCGCTCCATGTAAGAGTCCGATAGTTGGAAGTGATCTTCATCTGACCCGTGTCGCTGTGCGAGGGGTGTGAGTTGTCCGCTGGTTTGACTGTGGATAGAAGACGAGGATCTAGTACTCGCGGCATCGTCGTGGTACCGCGTACTCGAGCTATCGCCATATGCTCTATCCAGTGACGATGATGATGAACTTGCATTCCCGCCTGAAGCGAGATATTTCTCAAGTTGTTCTTTGCGCATTTTCTGTTCGACTGCGAACTTGATCTCGGGAGTCACCTTGACTCGTGAGAAAGTTCTCAGCTGAGTTACCCATCCACCTCTCAGGAGCCAGGCAAGGATAGCAAAATAGGTCTCCTTGTGGTCCTTACTCGGAATAAAGGTCGCATATGGTCGTGGAGTGCCACTTAACGCCGAGAGCATCTTGGGTAAACTGGGAAGAGTCGGAAACGTAGCCGCATACGATTGAGTAGCTTTCTTCAACTGGCTGAGATCACAATTCGGTGATACGATATAAGTATCTCTCTGGTGCAACGGTGGGATGGCTCGAGCTCGTCTCCAGTAAACCAGGTGTTGAGCGAGGTCATGGATAGTGTCAAGAGGAATACCCGACAGTGCCGATATCTGCGCAAAGGACTTATTGGGCCGGGAGTTTCGAATGTAGTGTAAGAGAGCTGGAGCTAGTTCGCTGCCTTTTAATGCTTCCATGATGCCCGCCTCGCTTTCGAGGAGGAGCAATGCAAAGTGTTTGGCCAGAACTTGATTCGGCATTTCGAGTTCTGCGCCGTGGTCTGCGTTGACTGTATTCGCTGTGGTGAGCCACATGCCTGCAAGGGAGGTATCGTTGCTCGGGGGTAAGTCTGCAACTGATGTTGTCGGAGGTATTTGGAAGTCGGCTGAACGTGATTTGAGAGATACAAACGCAATATCTGATTTGGAAATCTTGTCGAATACGGAATGTATGGCTGCAGCAAGAGACGATTTTGACACGAGCTCGTCATGCAAATTTTCCGCAGAGACGTCTAGTAATGTTAGCCTCGAATCTTGTGTAGACATTGACAGTTCGATGTGTTCACATACCTCGCTCTCGCGCCCGTTCCTTTACTTGCAGAATATGCTGCGCTTCCTTCCACACGTAATCCGAATGATCTTGTTCATACTTCAGGGCTTTGCTAAACTTCTTGATAACGTGCTCGTACATCTCTTGCAAATGTATGGAGTACTCAAGCACCGGCGGAGCCATGACAAACACGACGTTGAACATCGACATGGTATCTTTATCACTCTCCGGACTGCCCGTCTGACTATCGGCATTATCTTCGACATCCGTCTTGTCTGTATTGTCATCTTCTCTGGAGGACTGTGTACCATCAGGAGCGCCCTCGATGTCAGAATTGGCATCGCCATCTTTATGTCTCTTCTCCGCGCTTTTTGGTTTCTTTCGTTTCCTCCTTCGACTCTTCTTGCGCCAGTAACCATCATCGCGTACAAAGACAGGCCAGCCCACGAATGCCAGGTCATTGATACCAATTTCAAACCTCCTCTTGTGCCATGCTCGAGTCGGACTCAATAGCTTCTCCCATACATCCGACGGCAGTCCAAACACAGAGTCAAAGACCGCACTGTAATGACCTCTCCCAATACCCGTTAAATCAGCACTATCCTCCAGATCAGATGCTTTCTTCCTAGCTTTCCCGGAATTAAGCGACGGTGGACGCTGCGAGTCACCACCCGCTGACGAAGCGGTCGTAGAATTATTATCGTCGACCACGTTCGCGTTACTCGGTCGACCACCACCACCTGCGGAACTCCCACCGGTAGCAGTCCCTCCAGCACCGGTGGGATCTTCATCTTCCTCATCGGAGCTGGATTGACTTTCTTCATCGGATGCGAAATCGTTACCGCCTCGTCCGCGACGAAAGTTGGGGCCGAGGAGCTTCTCAAGGTCCGGGTTGGCGGGGGTGTGGAAGACACATCGTGGGCCTCCACGAGATTGGACTATTAGAATAATGGCTACAAGCCATGGTTCAGGAGGGCGTGCAATTGAAGACATGGATAAGATGAATGGGTGGCATTATGAGTGTCATAATGCACGAGTGGTTGTGGCTAAGATGGTGTCGTGAATGTCAAGATCTCTTTATCTGATAAGCTAGCCGGAGCTTCTCATCTAGCTCTGAATATCCCAATAGGCTTTTACGATTTCAGCCTTGGAAGCAACAAATAAATCTGAATATAGATATTCCTATTCCCAAATGCTACTAATTTACATGAATTCACACTCCAAAGACTATATACAATAAACAAGAATAACTCTGGCTTACTATGCCCATCAAAACGCCAAAAATGCCATGATCCAATCAAGTCCACTGCGAACAGCCCAACAAAAGATGCATATATATCCTAGGTTGAACGTTGCATCCTTCCATTTACCCAGGTGTATATGTATAGTATCACGTCTTTTTAACCGTCGTATCGTCCCCTGTAGATTTTTCCTTGAACTCGAGGCCGAGATTCTCAAACTCATCGGGTGCCATAAGATTTCTATTCAAGCAAAGAGACACAGTTAGCAATCGCAGCAGTAACATATCCACGAGCAGCAGGAAAACTGACTTGTCCATGCGACAACCCAAATAACCCTTGGCAAGTTTCCGACAATCCTCATTATTAACGCCTCCTTGCGATTTGAGACACTTCAGATAGTTCTGTATGAGATGTTTGCATTCGCCTATATGCACCCAATCAGCGACTAATCATTCGCAACCATTGGGGGAATATGGAGAGGGCGAACCATCGTGGTCAAGTGGGAAACTGCCTCGCTCCGGTCTAGAATTGTGTCAACCGAGACCGTACCCCGTCTTCTGTCCTTGAGGATACTCACGGAGTAGGTTTGAAGTTTGCAGCGGCACCGCCGGGAGCTCCGAAACTCATGGTTATGTATATGTTGGGAGTTCAGTATGTGATCTGGTTTGAAAATGTTCTGAGTGTCTGATGTCGCCGAGCCAAAATCATCTATGGGTACCGAACAAACAGTGCAAACAGAGCAAACATATCCATTGTACTCAGCTACGAATATTCGCCAATCGCAGTGTCTACTCGGATACTCGGACATATAACACGATACTGCTGCAGCAGTAACTGGTTCTTTAACGTGTTGAAAGATAGGGTTATGCACGTATGACGTCGAACTATAAATATCGTAGATAACCCCTCTTGTCTCATATACTACGACAGCAATTCTACTCCAGATAATATACTTCTCAGCAATTCAAGGATCAAAATGCCCATGTCAGTAACATCATAAGTCTACAGGACATAAACTAACGAGAACAGGCACCTCGAAGGAAGCTGCCAATGCGGTGGCATAGAATTCGAACTCCAATCCCATACACCGGTGCCATATCAACTCTGCGCATGCGGAATCTGCCGCAAAGTCGCTGGATACAACGGCAGCGTCAACATTGGCGGATTGGCCAATACCCTCAAAATCAAGAAGGGAAAGGAACTTATCAAGTCAGTACAAATACCTACTACCATGGATATTTAAACAGATATTAAGTTTCGCAGAAAATACAACGCAATCAAAAACCGCGGCAAACCAGACGAACAAAAGTGTTCATCCGAGAGAAGTTTCTGCTCGAATTGTAGTACCATGTTGTGGTTGTGGGATCATCACTGGCCTGAATTGATCCATCCTTTTGCGCCGGCGATTGATACAGAGTTACCTGTCCCAGATGAGATGGTTTGTATTATGGATTCGTCTAAGCCGGCTTATGTACGATGGCCGGAAGGGAAGAAGGTTGTGCGCGAGAAGTACAATGATGTGAGTTTGGAGGAGTGGCATAAGAAGCATAATTTATTCTATGATTGAAGTTATATCTAGCTAAGTTGCAAATGATGCTACCTATGAAAGATGTTAGCGTTTGATTACCACCAACATAGGAAATGATAACAGCAAGATTGATTAGGATCAGTTCTCCAAGGTGAAATAGTTTTTCTTCAATGCCGAGACTCGGTAAGAACACAGCGAAATATTTGTTGTTCATCAGGCGAGGGGTAGAACGAAAGGAACATTTATAGCTTACCGGTAAATTAGCAGTTAAGACAGGACATCGAAACGATAGACCTAAAGCCAACATTTGTATCAGTATATGGCTTCATAATAGAATGATAAATTTTCAAGATGAATATAATCATGGATGTGTCATCTGTGTCAGGCTGGCCACTGTTAGCATAATCCACATGACAACAGGAATAGATGGACATACCTCATTAAATCAGAATTTTCAGTGTAAGAATGTTCATTTCGAAACGCGGTGCGCTCGATCAAACAGTGTGAATAACGTGTTCATCATATAATGGATGACATCCTTTCGAGAGTGCATAGGGTGAAAGAAAAGTGATATGTACCTGGGAGATGAGTGTTAGTTCAAGTCCACACAAAACTCAGATATCCCATATATATCGAGGACAACAAATCAGTTGACGAGTTCTCAACAAGCATTCCGCCTGCCCAGCACCCGCAAAGTTTGTACGCTTTGCTTTTGATGGATGAAGAGCAGGCGGAGGCGTTTTGTCCGCCCGTTCGTTCAAACTTTCCTCATTCGAAGCAAGTAACACAATGTATGGGAGAAGAAAGTTCTTATTTACCTATCCGATGTAAGTTAGCTTCGTAACTACTACAGACGACAGACAATTGGCTCAACAACGAAAAAAAGAAAGATCAGACAAGGCTGAAACTTGATAATAGACAGATTCCACATGTATTCATTAAGTTTGAGGAATGCCTTAGCGTGTCACGGAGTCATCATCAGACATGGGGGAGAAAGAAGAAAATTTTGCAACGAACCTTTTACTTGGAAGCAGTTAGCAGAACTACCAGCCAGCGGTATAATCGAGGCAAGTACAAGGTCCTGGGACCTATCAAGCATTGATGTTGAGATATTCGCTCGCTGCAAGTGCGAGGTAGTGGTTGTGGTGGAAGAAGAAAATGAAGCTGTGCTTTTCCGCTAAAAACAAAAAAATTCCTTAGCGTGAAATGAGCTGTCACATGATATGGACGCTAAGCTGTTGTGGTTCTAGCGTCTACTTTCGGTCGAGGATCCCGAGAGATTCGATTGACCAATCACGTCTTGACTCAGACGAGTCCTTCCTCTGCTAGGCATACGAAAGAAAAGAAGCTCTAGTCAGTCCTGCATGGATGTGATAACAAGCATTTGACAGACAAGATAGACCGTTGACACACCACCGGTACATTGCTAACGTCAAGTTATCCACTCTCTATATATCCACTCGAGCCACTGCGACGTCATATCAGAGGCGCAAACATGTTTCTGCGTCAAGTTGACGTACCAACTGCTTTGCCCTCGTATTATATAGATGGGCAGCCTTTGACATGAAAACAACTAACTTGAAGTTCTTCATAGCGAAAAGAAAGATCTTCGAAATCGATTTTGAACCGAGTATATTGCAATCGACTATTCTGAATCATGCCTGGCACACGATACAAGCTCAACACCGGAGCCGAAATTCCAGCCCTCGGATTCGGTACATGGCAGGATGCTGATGCACAGGTCGATGCCGTGAAGGAGGCCATCAAGGCGGGATATCGGCACATCGACACCGCCAAAGTGTATGTACAGATCTCTTGAAAGAGTCGCGATTCATTCTACAAGCGACATCTATTAACATTTATTACAGCTACGGTACCGAAGAACCCGTAGGAAGGGCCATTAAGGAGAGTGGCATCCCCAGAAACGAATTGTTCGTTACCACCAAGCTCTGGAACCACGAGCATCACCCAAATGATGTTCCAAAGGCCCTTGATGGCTCACTCAAGGACCTGAAGATGGACTACGTTGATCTGTTCTTGATTCACTGGCCCGTAGCTTGGAAGCCTGGCAACGATCTATTTCCAAAGGAGAATGGCAAGCCAGCTGTGGCGGACATAGATTTTGTTGACGTACGTCTTTATCACCCCCCTGCCCAAAGGGCATAAGACGCTAACCATGAAACAGACCTATAAAGCAATGGAAAATCTCCTCCAAACCGGCAAAGTAAAAGCAATCGGCGTCTCAAACTTCTCCAAGGCCCAAATGGAGCATCTACTCAAGAACACCTCCGTGGTCCCCGCCGTGCATCAACTCGAGTGTCATCCATGGTTGCAGCAGACCGAGTTTGTGAACTGGCATCGGGAGAAGGGTATCCATATCACTCATTATTCTCCATTTGGTAACCAGAATGAGATCTATTCTGGTCCCAAGCATTTGGGTAAACTGATTGAGAGTCCGGAACTTAATGAGATTGGAAAGAAGTATGGAAAGACGGGTGCTCAGGTTGCTCTAGGTATGTGTCTCCCGAATTTCCATGTAAATGAAAGGCCCAATAACTGATTATTCACAGCTTGGGGCATTACTCAAGGCCATTCGGTCCTACCAAAGTCCAAGACTCCAAAGCGTATTCAGGATAACTTGCAGGGTGACTTTAAGCTCAGCGATGAGGATATGAAGAAGATTAAGAGCATCGATAAGAAGTTGCGGTTCAACGATAGCAGTGCTGACTTTGGCATGGAATTCTTCGGTGACCTGGATGGCAAGAATTCTGTTTAAAGTCTGGCAAACTACCTGTAGCTATGCGGTATAGGCGTAAAAATGAATGGCGAATAGATAGCTACGAATTGATGAGTGGATTTCATGAGTGATTATGAGACTTCTATATACATGCATGTCGTCACACTCGGATAGTTCTGCGTATGGAGTTTGGTGGTCGCTTATGGACTTTGGACCATCCCTTGCCACCTTCATATGCGTTCCTGAAACCGGCCCTGCTTCTGAATCAACAGGCCGGCGTCAAAGCTGCATGAACTGCCTCTCAGCAGACGTTAGTACTGGAGTTGTTCTTCTGGAACCAATCCATTTGGTAAGACTCCACACGCGGAACGAAGCCTTGTTCCATAGACTTGAGACGATAAATGTGAGATGGCTTGTGGTTCTCGGGGCAGCGAACGTTGTTCATTGCCGAGCATGCTCATACTCGAAATCGGAAAATAGCATGAAGACACAGGTTTGTATCAACGCCATCCACCAACTCTACCTTCATCCCACCGTGCTCTAGCCTCCTTCCTAGACTCCAGCTTAGCACCCTCAGTCCTAATCCGTCTCACCCAATCCGTAACTTCCTTATCCGAAGCACGGCTCATGTGATGATCGCTCTCAAGAAAACTTTCTTCAACCGCATGACAAATCGCCTCCTGTTCCGCAACGGCAGCAGTGAGACGTTGATACAACGCTTTCGGGGACCAAGGTTCCAGCGCAGCATCCATTTCGGTTTGTTTCTTTCGCCATGATACTTCGAGGGATTGATGGTTGAGGAGGAGAGATTCGGTGGTTGCGCGGAGGCTTGCGACTCGCGACTCGAGTTCTAGGACGTGCTGGGCGAGTGCTTTGTTGGAGTCTAGATGCGACTGGAGGACTTGCTGGGAAGCTGGGTAGGAGGGGTGTAAGGTTGATAGCGCAGAGAGAAGGGCTGGGTTGGAGAGGACTGATTGTAGTTCTGACGTTCTATTCCTCGCAAAGATACCAGTTAGCGAAACTGTACATTAGGATGAACGGTGCACGCACGTCTTATTCTTAACAATATCCGGTAACCATTCGTCTTCTAGCCGCGGAGGTTCAGCGAGCGCTTGAGGTGTCTCCGATCCATATCTCTGAGTAGCCTGATTTACTGCAGGATTATATTCACTTGGAAAATTCCTTGGACTCTGTATTGCGCCGTGCGATATCTGAGACTGACTCGGCGGAGCTGCTAGACCGCCCGTCAATGGTGTTCCGCGTCGGCTTGCTTCGTGACTATCCGGCTTTGGGGGAGGGGGTGGTGGTGTTTCGGAGTCGACTGGAGGTTGGAAGGAAGAGCTGCTCCAGCGAGCCGATGGTTGGGGCGAGTATGATTGAGCCATTTTTAATTATCTGTTTTGTGGTGAGCTATTGGCTTCGTGTTCTTGTTGTATGTAGTTCGTAAGCTTGGAAGCTACCGCCCCTCAGCTGCCTCAGCTGCCTCAGGCTTTAAAGCTACCGGTAATTGTCCGACGCCAAGCGACAACTAGATCGCTGCCTCAGGCATGAAGATTCAAAATGATATTCGTGACTACTGATTCAGGTGGTCTTGAAGAATGAGAAATGAAAATTTCCCCGCCTCAAAAATAACGTCCCATCCTGCTGTAAAGCATTGCCCATGAGAACCCTGAAAGTTGCCCGATTGGTGTCAGATTACCCGAAAAGGAAATATGTTGACTGTCCACAATCGACGGATTTTGGGGTATTACCGAGTGCTTGATACATAAGTATCATTCTGATAAAGCTATATATAAAGAGTGAATGAAAGGTCACATGGCTCTCTGTTAGGTGTAGGTCGCTGTCCAATTTGAGCATTCCAAATCAGAGGGTCTTTGTCCATTGCTCGAGATGAGCCCTAACCACATGGGCATTGTCGGCATCATTCATTCAGGGCAACTGAAGTTCTGATATATCTGGGCAACACCATTTGAAAATAACAGTATAATGTTTTGGTGTAGCTTGCAATCTATCACTAGCTCTCCTCGGTCACGCTAAGCAAAATTGTGGTTTCCACCATGTCTCTCTATCCGTATAAGACACTGTTTCGTCGACGGGCCCCTCAGTTGAATCACTGGTGTCTTCTCCCTTGATATCGACACTATATACACTTTTTGACTCAGGAATTATTATACCTCTACCAGACGTTCGCATATATAAAGATGGCGCGAAACGACACTGTCGCGAGAAGGTCGATGAGTCATCGTCTGAAGCAGATGATGTTGTCTTCAGTGATGTCAACGGTGCTCAAGAGACTGATCTCACAAGCGACGATAATGACGATAACGACAACGACAACGACAACAACGACAACAATGTAAACCACGCTCAAGATCATAGTGACCTTGCAGACTTCCTCGCCAACAACGAACATCCTCCGGAGTACTACATCGATCAACTCAAAAACTTCGACGAAACAATCTATAATCAGGAGGACTACAGTTCTGAAACTTAACGCATGCTCGATCGGGTGGAAGGATGCTGGAATGGGTACGTGCTGCTAGACTTGCCAGCGGCCTGTGGCACAAATCTCACTTCTTCTAGATTTTGCTCGCATACACAGAGAGACCCTGCGGAATCTTACTCAGCACTGTCTGCGAAAGTGCTGGGAACCTTCCTCGAATAGGTGCTGAACCTACGTCGTGGGAAAGGTGGACGCCGGCTCCGCGGCATCAAAACCAAGAGCTCATTGCAGACGTTCTGGAAGGTCTTTCGTCTAGTGCACGAACGATCCACCAGCGAAAAAGATTGATCCTATTACCACGCGTCAGATGAAACGGGTACGAACCTTTCCCATCTAGAGCGGTCTCAGGCTGGGGTTGTGTAAAAATTAGATTCATAGCAGCTGATCAGATCACAGGTAATTCGACATATCTCTAAGAAGTACCGTTTGAAGAAGAAGGACCGTGAAAAGTCGTTCATGTATGTAGAGGACCTAGCAAAAGTCGTAGAGACTTCAGTTGTGACGACTAGGAAGAAGTTTGGCCGTGGTCGCCATCGGATCGAACTGTGCTTGTTTCTGTAGCCTGCTGTGACGGCGTTCATTCTCTATCCTAAGAGGCAACTAGTCGAACAAAAACTAAGCATGAGGGAAAAAAAAGAAAAAGAGCACGCTCAGCTGCGGACAGAGATCTCTTTTACATGTGTGTGTACGGCTCTCGTCGGAGCATAATTGGGAAACTGTGAAGACAAAGAGATATCCAGATTTGGAACTCCCTAGGGCTTAGGGCTCCGCCGAGGAGCCAACGCGACACAGCTGCCAGGCCCGTCACGTTGCTGGCCTTACTAAAAACCGGCCGCAGGCAATTTGAGACCTCTGCTATCGACATATCTGAGTGACTTTGCTTCGGGACCCTTGTGGTGGCCCGCACCGAATCTTGATCGAGTTCACCTTTGAGTTTACCAAGGAGTCCCTTGGTGCAAAAGATGAGTATGTGGTATTCCAGTTTAACCATTGTCACTCTGACGCGTGCTGATAACGATTAAAAATACATTTCCTCTCCCAAAAATCATCTTCGATCCTTCGTTGGTTCTCAGCTCTCATGTCTTTCTCCTGGGCCTATTATTTTGCTGACCGTGCCTTTCGTTGCATAGATGGTGAAGAAGTACTGGTGTCGGCAGAACAGCTTTTGCGACTGCACATCCAGCCAGAATGTAATGAGTTCCTGTTGTTGCTCGATCCTGCATTGGACAATATTCCAATCTTCCATCAGTCTGAACGCACCCCTCGAGGAATAGAGATTTCCCATAACCGAAGACACCAGATAAAGTCATTTAGAAACCAGTAACTTACATCCATATAGGGTCAATCAACCACCAGCATCTGTTAGACTACGTCTTTTTAGACCAGCCGGAAGTTGGTCCTTCTTCAAGCATAAAGGATTTCAATGATTGGTTTGCTCTATTACACCAATTACGCTTTGAGCACAGATACAATGACCCCAATCGTTGTTTACTCCAGACACTGGGGAAATCAAATTTACTCATGGGGATTTACATCGCCGCAATATTATCGTTTCCTCTACCAATCCAGTTCGGAGAGCTATTGTGGACTGGCAGCAATCGGGATGGTATCCCGATTATTGGGAGTATTGCAAGGCCCTCTATACATGCTGGTACGAGGACGAGTGGCGTAAGCATTATATTGATAAGTTTTTTCAGCCACGAACTGATGAATACTTTGTTTTTTCTGAGTATTGTATGGCAATGGGCGCGGTTTAATTCTCTACAGTCCTAAAATTATATAACATAGAAGCTTACAACACTATGCAATCAAAAGAACGGTGTCTAATAGTTGTCGCATTTCCTGTCAGCTTTTTGGCAAAGTGACTGATAACGGTGGTTAAATACAACTTGTAATCACAAAGAATCAATGAGAAATACACTGCGTTCGAATCGTTTCATCGTTGGTGCTGTACACTGATGTATCCCCTAACCAAATAAATATTCGCTTCCCAACCGAGATTGCTAGAGCGTAGTTTTTGGACGAGCAAAACTTGATCTCGGAAGTCACAGTGCTTAGGCTACGCGGCTGCTCGCCTTAGACCGATTCCATAGCTGGGAGGGTCGCGTTTGGATTGAACGATCTCGATCGCCTGGGCTCCGATATAGCCCTTATCAACGAGACGGCGGACGTAATCCAATGTTCACTCTTGACATCTTCTGTTTGTAATTTATCTTTTTTTTTCTAGCTGGTTTCTAATGACGAACGTGTCAGGGACTACGTAGTCTCGCTACCACACACTGTTGACAAAGCAACCTACCAGGAAAGCTATACGTCCTTCACGGCGTACGCAAAACAAGCCATGACCGCCGTCTGGAGCATGGATTACAGCGCACAGCCTATATCCACGTATGCCGTTCGCGAATCATCGAACACGCCATTTAACTTGAGCGTTGTCGATCAGGACTGTACTAGTAAGTATAGAATTCTTAAGCCTGTGGCGTTCCTCTCCAGAGACTAAGCAATTGGACGGCTGCAACAGGGGTCCATGTGACGGCGCAGTGAGCGTCACCGGACGACGATGCAGCCGCAATGCAGCTCATTCACGATATCGGTAACGACATTGCCGCGTCAGCGTCGCGCAATGGGGCCAGCCTTGCGTATCGGTTTATGAACGATGCCTATGACGGCCAGAATATGTTATCCAGTTATAGTGAGGGAAAAAAAAGCTGAGAGAAGAAGCTCAGAGAGATAGCTGACAAATATGACCCTGAAGGTGTTTTCCAGGGATTGCAAAGTAGTGGGTGGTTACTACGTCGAGAGGAATAGAGCATTAAAAAACCCCCTTTCCGGTATTACTACCACTAATTAACTAAGTTAAGTTAGTGACCTAGCTAGGTATCTCAATGCAAGTACATCAAGCAATTCTCAACTCCTATATCACCATACTCCCAATGTATTCCATCTCCGGTATCCATCAATATGAATATAGTTCGATCTAAAGTACGAACCCCTCTGCAAATGCAACCTGGGCCATGACTTGTCTCAGAATAACATCAAGTGTCATATCGGGCAATGTCGACTTTGGTATTTCCATTGCCCTCCACGCAATAATTCCATCCGGTCGTATTAGCGAGGCCCCAGTACTAGTAATTCCCATAATCTTCTTAAATCCGTTCAAATCCGAAAACTTCTCGTCAACCCCGAGTTGGATGCAACGAATCTTGACAGCAGATCCTGGTAAGCTCTCGTTGAGTTTCTCAGCGGCATCTTTCCATTGTTCGCTCTCTGTGAGAAGAACCCAGTCCTTTCCATAGAAGTCAATACTTGTTGAGGAAGTGCCGTCAAGCCACCAGTGCGCCGCGCGAGTCCCGGGTTGACCATTCCATTCATCCGGACGCTTCGCGGTGCATTGATTATCAACCGCCTGGTGCTCAGAAAAGATAGCCTTTGAGCAATACAATTCACCAAGCTCCACAGCAATATCGTCAAGCGGTTCCACCGGCTTTGCCCCTTCAGGCGCATGGATTTTCCAATCCTGTCGGCAAAAAATCTGATCATGGCGTAGCAAAGCAACAGATCGTCTTTCAGTCTCGTAAGTGTCGAGTAATCCCGGCTTGGCCTGACCTTGAATGACAGCTGCGAGCTTCCAGGCAAGATTCCATACATCCGCGATACCCGTATTGACACCATATCCGCCTCTATTCGGTGGTAAAGTGTGAGCCGAGTCGCCAGCGAGGAAGATGCGATTAGACTGGAATGAATCCGCAATCAAAGCTGTAGTTTCCCACTCGCCTGTCGTGATTATCTTTAAATCAAAATCAGTCCGGCCTACTGCCTTGTATATTGCTTCTTTGTAGCTACCCTCGTCTCTTTGAACGTCGTCAGTGAACATTAAAGCCCATCGTCCATGCTTGTAGTATGTCAGAAACGCCTTCATATCGGGTTGATCGATTGTAAATTGCGATGGTCCCTTGTCTCGGTACTCTTTTAGAGCTGGTGCTTCGAACAAGATGCTTCGAATAGTCTGCATGTATCCACGGCCATGACGCTGAATACTGAGCGATTCACGTACAGAGCTTCGATTACCGTCTGCAGCAATCATGTAATCTGCACGGATTTCATATTCTGCTCCTCCGGACTGTCTGGGTTTCACGATAGCTGACACACCATTCGCATCTTGCTTGAATCTAATCAATTCAGTCGAATATCGAATGTCAGCTCCGTTGCGAGTTGCAAAGTCTCGGAGCACAGTCTCAAGATCGGTTTGGGTGATATCAGCGCCAATAGTCCATGCATAATCCGCTAGATGATCGTACTCCCGTGTCTTCTTTTCATTCTCACTGCTGTCGCTTTTCTTCTTTTCCTCGATCCATAGGCTGTCTTCATACCATTTCCCTGCCAGAGAATGAACTCGAGTACGTACAAGTTTGAAATCAGGTCTTGCCAGTGGAATCTTGTCCTTGAGTCCGACGGAACGATACATTTCCATTGTCCGTGAACGGAAACCTAACGCCTTGGGGTGAGCGGCGCTACCCGCATGACGCTCAATGAGAATAGGTCGAATACCATGGTGAGTTAGGAAGACAGCTGCGGAGAGACCAACGAGGGATCCCCCGACTATGAGAACGGGGGCTTTTTCTGTGACAGGCAGCATAGTCAAGGTACTTGTGTTGGTTTGAAACTCCAGAATAAATGGAAAACATACATCTTACCTTGAATAAGCGTGGGACAAGAGGGTTTTTATACTTTATTTAACTTAAGGGGTTGGGTAAGTGTCGGAGCGTACCATTCTGAAGACTCCGACATCCTGTATGCTGAAGTTCGGGGCCTCAAAGGTCTCTCGGGCCCGAAGCCGAAGTTTCATTCCCGAAAGCATCGCGAAGTAGAACGAAGCGCTCTGTGGTGATTATTTTGGCTGTAATGTTGAAATGAAAAAAAGGACATTTGTGTTATGAGGGATATAGTATCATTTAACTATTCTATCTTCAATTCGTGTCATTCGTCAAAATGCAGCGCTTGCTTGAGTGTATGCACATAAAAGAATCTCAGATATACAGGCAGTAGCTCTATAATGAAATTGGACAGTGAAAAAGGGAGGCCCCGTGGCCGAGAAGATGCAAAGCAACTCGCTGGGTTCCTCAATATAAGATAAGTTGAACTTCAAGATGTGATAGCGAGCCTACTGATTCGCTCCTTTTTTCGCTTCTTTCGGAGTGAGATGAAGTCTCCGTGACCACTTGGCACGACTCTTTTTCAAGGAACGTTTCGTCCGGTCCAAAGGATAATTAACAGGCGACTCTCCTCCTGTAAAGATCATAAAATCGTATAGGAAAGCCCCCAGGAAAGATCCCGTTACAGATGCCGCAAATGGCCCGTAGAACCAGTATGAATTCGTAAATAGTTGACTACCGTAACCTAACGCAAGAAGAGCCAATCGTGGACCAAAGTCACGGCTTGCATTGAATGCTGCCCCTGTTTGAAAGGCAAAGCACATATCCATACAGACAATGACGAGACCGATGATGAGCGCGTTCATACCTCCGCCTGGCGGTGCGTTCTGGTCGTCGCCGAGCGCGAGGATGATGATTGACAGTATGGCCATGCCTAGAAACTCGTTGAAAAAGGCCGTCGCTGCGTCGACAAAATCTTCGCGCTGACTGGTTACGAGGCTATTGACGACGTCTAATTCTGGACCGGTGTAATTCTTAATCGCACGGTAGTAGACGCCGTAAGAAACGAGTGCAGCGCAAAAGGCACCAACAAATTGCGCCAAAAAGTACTCTGGCATCTTACGCTTCGGAAACCCCCGATAGAACCACAGCATTATCGTAATGGCGGGATTCAGGTGGGCACCAGAAATACCACCACAAATGTAGATGGCAGCCATCGTCGCGAAACCCCATAACCAATCTGTCGTATTAGGGTTTCCTGAAGCAGCCAAGGTAACAGCAAGATCACCGCAAAACCCGAGTGTAAGTTGCACAAAAACACCCAAGGATTCCGCTAGTGCTTCACGGTGGTGTGTCCGAATGACTGACCATACTGTGTGGTTGTTGTGGATCTCTTCTTCCACCAGGCTTTGCAACAACGGGTGTAGATCTTCCGGATACACTGTGTCTTCGAGAGCCGGGAATTCGATCCCCGCTTCGTCTCCTGGTTTCACATCTGGATGAGGTTCCTGTCCCGACTCTTCCGGTGGAGGTCGCAAAGAATGCAAAGATTCGTCACTTACGTCCGTTCGGCTTTCCACATCATGATCCTTTTGAGATTCATGTTCCTCGACCGGAGGGAGTTCTTCAACTGGAACTTCCCATTTCGAAGGACGTCGTGCACGACCTGATGATTGGCGAGATATACGTGAAGATGGTCCCACGGATGCTGTGTCACCATTTAGAATGGTATTTATGAAGTTGGTTTCTCGCTGTACACGGGCATCTGTGACCTGCGCTGCCATTTTCCGCGGGTCAGCCGTTTTGGGTATTTGGCCCTTTTCGAGATCATTGGGATCAACATCTATTCCGATATTTTGTGAATTCTCTGCCGGCAGCTGCGGATTTGCACGGTTCTGCAGCAATTCCTCCTTGGTAGGCACCATGCCAGGTCGAACCACACGTGGCAAAGGCTTTGCCAAACTCCAGACTGGCTTGGCATTGGCCGGTTGATCATAAGCTGGGTTGAGTTCGGTATAGCCGGGTTGAATAAACGGTTGATGGGTCAAATGTAACTGGGAAGTTTCGTCTGGTCCGGCCATTGTGAAGTTCCCCTGAGTCCGCTCAGCTAGACTGGTTCGATGGGTGAGACTGCGTACAGCTTCACCACTACGGCGACTAGTTGTAGTCCTTCGTAGGCGCAGACTTGTTCCTTCTGACAAGTAATCTTTCATGGCCGGCGCTGCTGCTCTGGGCGACACCAGAGTCGTCGCTCTCCGTCGTACATGCGCTGGAGATGTAGGGGTCTGGCCGGACTCTGCGGTTCCGGCGTCACCTCCAGCTCTAGTCGTAGCATGGCCGGTAGGCTGGACGTGAACAATCCCCTGTTAATTTGCCTCTCTAGCAGCTCAATTATCAGAACCGTACTCACCAAGGACCGGGTCCGCGAAGGAACTGATTCCGCCATGGCTGAAATTCCTCCGTAGTGATACTCAATGGTTATCTCACAACCTGCAAATACGGACAGCCGATATTATCGAGAAGGATGAAAAATAAAACCGAGCATGATAATGATGAAAAGATGTCGTCCGGTATGAGAAGAGGGTAAAGGTGTGGCGTACTGCAAAGAGCGAAAAGAAATCTAAAACCTCATTTTCAATGATTGTGAAGCAGAAAAAGAGAATCCTCCTGACTCGCCGCAATGTAGAAGAACTAGAACGTAGAACCACAAATGCCGCAGCGTTATTAATAGCCTAAAGCCCTAGACCCTACAGCCATAGACTAGACCCATAATAGAATTGAGGAGCATGATGTCAATTTGGATGATTTTTCTTCGTTCTTGATTCGCGCATCATACAACTAATCTTGCTACAATCAAGTGCTCAGTGGGTACTTTTACGTCTGAAGTGGAACCGCTGGCAACGTCCGGAAGGAATCCATGCAATGGTAGTTCAAGACAAGGGTGTGCGAGCCTGTGATTGCTTGAAAATGCTGGATCAGTTCCTGAGCCCGAGATTGTAGCTGGGAAGAGATGCCGAAGTTCGGTTCTCCCTTCTTATCGTAGCAAAGTGTGTACCTTTTCATCGTGTGTGCTGCCGAGCGAAGAAAATTAGGGCACAATCGGCCCGGCCGGAGACCCGGAGTTAAGACAGTTGACTAAGGCTTACAGTGTGTATTATGTTAAGTTAGTTTACTATGTTGGTTAGTTTTGACTTAGTTAACTGATCAGCGATGCTGCGTATGACATCAGGATGAAAGTGTTCATGTCGGCCAAAGAAATAGTATTGGTTGATCAGAGATGATCCTAGATCTGATCCTTCGGGTACTTGGTTTCGGCATGATAATGAGAATTCTACTCACTGTAGATACAGGAATATGTACAATGGGCGGGCCGCCGTTATATAACCGTGGTTAGCGGCTAACCCTTAATCATCAGCGGAGATGGTAGCTTAGTTTTGCAGTGACATGATGGCTCATGGCATGACGAGTGCATTTGTCTCACTGAGACTTTGGCATGCAGATCGGTCACGTTATTAGATTCATTGGCAGACCAGATCACGGGGAATGCCCTCCTGGGAGCATGCATCCCGATATTTGCTTGGTTCGAAAGAATAGCACTCCCAAGCCGTGCGAGCCGTGTGATAACCTATTATCGCAGCGTCGACGACTGTATTGTGTTAATTCCAATGGTCAAAAAAGACATCACTCCGTCCTTCGTCGAACATCTCTATCCTGAGTTTGCGCCCCAACACCTCTAAGCGCATCTGTGACCAGAGCGCGTAATTGGTTCTGGCCTGCTTCAGTATGAAAGTCTTCTCTGGCAGCCAGTTCTGCAATCCTCCTCCGGAATTCGGGATCAACTTCGCCTGCCTCACCGTCAACGTCCTGCTGGGACATAGTACCCAGATTAACACTGATATTGTGGGGGAGGGGTGGCGGAGGTTGCAGTTGTGCTTCTGATCTTGTGTTTCCAGTAGCTTCTCCAAGATAAGCGGCAATATCCATGAACGATCCCTCGCTTTCGATCATTTCTTGAGCTGTGAAGCCTTCGTCGTTTTTGTGTTTGGCGTCGACACCGAGCTCTTCGACAAGACATTTCGCGATTTCCAACTGTTCGGTCACGAACAAGCACGTTTCGTTGTCTTCGTCGGTCAGATTGGGGTCCACATGAAATTCTTGTACGAGTGCACGGAGCAGATCGATATGTCCGTAGGAAGCGGCGGCGTGGAGAAGGGAATAGCCATGTTCGTCCTGGCAAGAAGCGCGAGATGAATCAGATCGTAGATGGCTTAGTACAGCCGAGGGGTTGTCCGCGGCAAGGATGTAGAGGTTAGGGTGACTCATATTGAAATAGACGGGATGAGTCACGATGAGAAAAATCGACTAGAGCCTGGAAAGATTGATGAGGCTCAAAGGATTGTGAGCTGTATAAATATGAAGGCAGAGTTGGGCGAGGCTGAGCAACAAAAAAAAAAAAAACAAATGTTTAGACCCGCGCTTTCCTTTTTTGCAGTTGCCCCGCGGCATCCTAAAAGGGAAGGATCCACCCACTGTGCTTTCATCTTTGTTCAAGATCAGAAAAAGAATATAAAAGAGTCAACTTCAGACGTTGCTTCTCTTCTGATCAAAATTTCCATACGAGATAAGCAAAGCAGCACTTAATACATCCGAAATTGAACTGCCGATAGCTACACCTTAAAGTTGCGTCACCATGGTGGAACAAGATCCCCATGAAGTCCGCCAGCTGGTGCAGACCTTAGAAGCTGCCAGCAAAAGAAACAGAAGCGAATCGAAGAAAACCTTTGGCTGCAAGAAGTCAACATTTGTCGTTGCTGGGGCAGATGATATCAAAGTGCACTCGTGGCGGTTCATGGATTGGGATTATAAGAGATCGGATCTACCGACATACGCTCGCGGTCTGTTTACCACGAAACTCAAGGATGGACGTGATGAAATATGTATTCGGGGCTACGACAAATTCTTTAACATAGATGAAGTAAACGATACCAGATGGCGCAACGTCGAGACTAACACGCGGGGCCCGTATGAGCTCAGTGTCAAGGAAAACGGTTGCATCATATTCATCTCAGGCCTGGAAGACGGCACTCTTCTAGTGTGTAGCAAGCATTCAACCGGTAGCCGGGGTGACACACCACTCAGTCACGCACAAGCTGGCGAGCAATGGGTTGAGAGACACCTCAGCAAAGTCGGCAAAACAGTTAAGGAATTGGCTTTAAAGCTACGGCAGATGAATGTTACCGCTGTGGGTGAACTTTGTGACGACCGATTTGAAGAGCATGTCCTTGCCTACGACGAAGACGCCGCCGGAATCTATCTCCACGGCCTCAACTATAATCTCCCCGAATTCACAACGATGTCCGGCTCAGAAGTACATAGGTTTGCCGATGAATGGGGATTCAAGAAAGCCGAATTTGTTGTCATGGATAACATAAACGAAGTCAAGGACTTCCTGGACAAATGCACCGAGACCGGGTCATGGAATGGTCGAGATACCGAAGGTTTCGTGATTCGTTGTCAATTGGGAAATAGCAAGTCCGGCGAATACAGAGACTGGTTTTTCAAATACAAGTTCGAGGAGCCATACCTGATGTATCGACAGTGGCGCGAAGCCACAAAAGCAGTTATTGCAGGAAGGGTTCCCAACATCAGGAAGCACAAAAAGATTACTGAAGAGTATCTGATCTATGCTCGACGACAGCTGGCCAAGGATCCTAAGATAGGCAAACTATACAACCAAAATCACGGCATCATTGCTATGAGGCAAGGATTTCTGGACGAGAGGGGGCTGAAAGGCTCGGAGATCATTGCAATGGAGAGGGAAGGAGACGACGTGGAGCCCGCAGCGAAGAATTTTGTCGTTGTTCCTGTTGCATCAATTGGATGCGGCAAGACAACCGTTGCTTTAGCATTGGCCAAACTTTTTGACTGGGGTCATGTCCAGAATGATAACCTGGGTCAGCAGAAGAACAAGGCCAAAAAGTTTGCCCTGATGGTGACGAATTCACTAGCAGCTCATGCTGCTGTGATAGCAGATCGGAACAATCATCAAAAACGGGAGAGGAAGCAGATTATCGACGATGTGACGGAGATTGTTCCAGACGCCAAGTTTATTGCATTACACTACGTGCATGAGCCAAAGGGATTGTTGCTAGATGATATCCGAAGAGTTACCCGCGAGCGTGTCCTTACACGAGGCGATAACCATCAAACCATTCGAGCAGGGAGCAAGGATACTGGGGAGATCATTGGAATAATGGAAGGGTTCCTGCAGCGATTTGAGGCTATCGACACGGATCGGGAACCAGACATGTACTTCCACGAGGTTATTGACCTCGACGTTGCAGATTCATCTCGTGAGAACCTGGAGAAGATTGTTAACCGGCTACACTCTGTTTATCCAAACCTCGTCAAGCGAGTTCCAGATAGCGCTGAATTAGATGCTGCTATCGCCTCGGCGTTGGAGGACTATCACGTCCAGACCGATCTTAGCTGGGGAAATAGCAAGAAAGCAGAGAAGAAGATGGAGAAGGCGGCCAAGAAGAATGACAACCACGCCAGTGCTGCTGCTACTCAGAACAAAAGCCAGGATCCTATAGTGGCTGTCAAGAATCTCGAATATTTCGGGATCTTAGTACCCTCATCGGACATTCAGCAACTTCTGACGACGATATTCAACGACAACACGAATGGATCCGCAGAACGGAACAAGCTGTACCATCATCTCAAGAACTCGCGCCGTATCCAGCCCAGTTTCCACGTCACCCTCATCCATCGTGCACACAGCAAAGAACAACCACAGATCTGGGAACAATACACAGATCTATACATAAGCCGAATGAACGAGCGCGTCTCTCAATGTCTACCCATCAACCCACCGACAAAACTAGCTGATGCCCGAGTACGCGTCGAACGACTGGTATGGAACGACGCGATCATGGCCTTTGTCGTGCGAATACTCGCATCAGACGAGAAGAATACTACGAACGGGCAGGAAAAGCTCCCTTCGTCCTGGCCATGCGTTAATACTGTGCCACATATCACAGTCGGCACGGCGAATCCAGAGGTCAAGCCCAAACAGAGTAATGACTTGTTACAGAAATGGCTCCAGGTTGGTTCGGGTGGTGATACGGGGATTTGGGAGGTGGAGGTACCTGGTGTCAAGGTTTTGGAGGGGAGTGTGCTGCCTGTTATGATGAGGGGGAAGTAACACTTCCTCTAGATGTGTTGGTATGGATTTAGAAATATTAAAAATTGCATGTCTTCTCAATGGTTATATCGATTAATTGAGGGTACATGAACTCACTTTCTCCGTCCACGGCTGAAAGACAATCAATGGACAACCGAATAACAGTAATATACAAACCGAGCTCAAATATTTGACTTCAATCACAAACATCTATATTTGTTCTTCTCCTATAAAGTATACATATAATTACATCTCTACGATCTGGTAGACGTCCAACCTAACTAACCACTAACCCATCCCGCAACCCTCTGCACTCCAAACCGACCCATGAATTGTAACCCGGTACTACCCATAGGAAAATAACTAACCAGATACCATACCAGAGCGACAAGTTGGAATATAGCGGCGAATAGGGTGAGGATACTTTGGTGTAACTATATCCCATTTCTCATTAGTATTACCACTATGGAAAAGTTGAAGATAAGGAGGGGAGGCATACGCCGACAGCAAAGTATAATGTTAATGCGATAGAGCCGAAGTAGGCGGCTGTAAAGGGTAGTCGAGGGCCGGAGAGGAGATGGCGGATGTAAACTATGGGGCCCATGAGGACGGCCCATGAGGCGAGGAAGAGGGTTGAACCGACTGACCATCTGTTTGGGTCGGTTAGTACGTCATAATCTTTTAGAAAGGTCAAGACTTTAGATCGTGCAGTGTAAAGTGTCTGTTAGGGGTCAAGTTGCAAAGAATCAGGCGCATTCTTCTCCAGAAATCAAGGAATGGAGATATCATTTATTCAGCCACAGGACAGGTGCGCGTGGAAGAATTAGTCATTAGTCATTCGTCATTCTTTTAGATCCCCATGTACTTTTGTACTTTTATACTTTGTAGTAAGGTGGCTTGACTCTCGTTCACATGCCATTTTTGAGATCATGAGTCTGCATGTGCCACCCATCCAAGTCAAATCAAAAGTTACCACACACCCCTGCCTGATTAATAGACCAAGAACCTGACAAATCAAAGACATGGGTTCGATTGACAGGATAGAGAAGACGACGACGACGAAGATGAAGAAGGGTAGGATAAAACTTACAAAATAGCGAATTTGCGGGGTTTTGTTATCAAAACCGGCCACATAACGAAACATAGTAAGAAACAGACAGCAGCTCCAAGGTTACATCCACCAAAGACAAGCATTCGATCCCAACGGCTTACTAAAATATGCATGAACAATGGTTAGTAAAGTTTTTGCACCTATCAAAGCATATCATCATGGAATGAATGAATGGGATATATGGAAGCCTGTTTTTTTTGTCTTTGCTTCTAATGCATGTGAAACCGGAAGAAACGCAGGAACTGAGTTGGTATCACCCGGGCTCGCAGCAGTAGATCAAGAAAAGGAGTCACAAGTGCAAGAAACAGGGTCAAGATTGGCAGAGAGAAGAAGAATGAGATACATTTGGACAAAGTGTATTATTCTAAAAAAAAAAAAAAAAAGGAAAGTGGAGGCACTTACAGGCAAAGAAGCTTTCCTCTTCCTCTCGCCTAGACGACGCGGGTAAAGGTGCCCCGGGTTCTTGAGTCGGAAGTCGTAGATAACCTTCACCACTACCGAAGGGGTTCAAAGACCGAAGCCGGGATAGCATAGGCGTACTTGAGTCTGTTCGTACGGGGGTGTCCTGGTCTCGCCGTGACCAGCCCAGCGAATTCATATTCTCCCGGAATGAAGCAGAAGCCATTTTTCTTCTCCTGTCTTTTGCTTTCTTGCAAGATCGAATGTCGATACGTACATCAACCAAGGTCCGATGATCCACAGATAAGTAGTGGATATTTCACGATAACGGACTTAAGCAGCTGGCTCAAATGAGAAGGTCCGGAGGGGCGCAAGCCAAGAACCTAATCGGTTGCTAAAACGGTGCTGCAATGCAGATGATCTGCTATAGCCATGTACTAGCGTACTAAAACCGGTAGACTTTGGTGACAGGGAGGCCAGGTGACAATCCGGAGAAACCCTACGCGAGTTATTCAGTTGTATAACGACCCGATCCAAGTTTTCTTCTTGGATGTATCGTCTTTTTTTCTTTTGAGTCTGTTCGGCAAAGACAGATTTGACTCAAAGTCTGTCCTGCCGCCTGATCAAGCTGTATAACAACCAACGGATGAAAATAAGGACGAAATAGGCACAGGATATACGATACGATGGATGGAAAGCAGCAACCAATCGTAAAGCAGTAACGCAGCTAGTAAAAATAGGCAATATGTCAATACCAGAATTACAATGAAATCTTTCCGAACGGGCCGATCGGTAGCAGTAAGCGAGCAAATGGCGAAGCCGACTTATCACTGGAATGGGTTGGACGAGTGGAAGGGACCGGGGGGGTGCGTGTGTGCAGCTCAACGGATGTACGTACTGAAGAACGGAAAGCGCCTTGATTCCGAAAGCACTGACAGTGTGTGTCAAACAATCCTGCTTTGAAGAACTAAGATTCTTCTTTCTGTTTTTGGACGAAGGGAGGCGGGGGGTGTGGTGGTGGGCGACTTCCGTAGCGTTGGGATGTCAGATGACTTTTTCGGTTGATGCAGAGGCGGAGATGCTTGACGAAGATTATCGGGTGTCTCAGCGCGACGACAAAGACGGAAGACGAGGAGATATTAGAGATGGAGGGAGGCCGCGTGGAGGAGTGGCCGGAGAGAGGCGGATGACGAGGCCGGATTGATGGAATAGGCAAGACGAATCGAGCGGATATCAAGCAGCAGAAGCTGTAGAGGGAGCTGGAGGCTGCCAGATAGATAGTTAGAGAGGTGGTCTGGCATCAGGTAGACTCTTGGAGGAGTTGCTTCTAGTTTAGGTTGGTGGTTAGCAGTATTAGCAGCCTCAGGCACTAAGCGGCTTGGCGCGGTCATCCGAGCACAGCCACGATTCTGATTGGCTGTTTCTTTAGTTTCTTTACACAGTCGTTACGGTGCGACACCTCAGACAGACAGAAACATTCTCTCAGAAGATGGTGTGGCAGCACCCAATCAGACACGCACTGTGGAGGGAGAGGGGAGTCTTTAGCGACCATGGATGTCTCGATTTTGGGTTATCCTCACTATTCTGCTAGGTACGTGGTACGTACTGCTTGGCGATCCATTTAGTCGAGTCGATCGGAAGCGTATCTGGGATTAATATATTTGGTGTCGTCTATCCTGAAAGTATATACGCCATGATTTACGTAGTAGTGCTGCATATACTACTGTCGTACAGATATCTGTGAGGGGTAGATAGCACCAGAACGAATTATACGACTCTTCTGCTCTCAAGAAGCGGTGCACCATGATAAGATAGCGACACCCTTCCCCCCGCCCCCACTTGATGCCGCTGGCCGAACCGCAGCGGGAGGATCCATTCTGATCCTTCTTTTGATGTCGCATTCCAGACTGTACATCCATGACAGAATCTTGCTTGGACATAACACACTTTATATCAGATGAATCTCATCGTGTCACAGAGACCCATGTGTCCCAAGGTCTATCGAGGCAGCCAACCGCACAGCGGGCTTAGGTATCTCCTCCGGATGGTTGAGCAAGATAGACCATTCACATCCCGAATACATAATAATATTCATGCACGCTGCTGAGGTCCAAGCTTCTCTCGCAAAGTCGATTCCGCCATAGGTAATATCAGTGTTAGAATAGCATGTAAATTCTACTACCTCGCTGCCCCACTACGTAGTCGACCTTGGAAGTAGCTGCGACCTGTACTCAGTCCTAAACGAGTCGTTACTGAGAAAGTAAGTTTGGTTGGAATCATCCCACCCTGTTTAGTGTTGCCTAGCCATCTCGGGTCAGAGCTTTCACCCATGTCAAGCTGTCGGGCCATCTGATACATGCTAGACTCTATCAGTTGCTATTTGCCTTGCCCTAACTTCGCCTGCGTCTCCGCGTGAGTCATTGCTTCCCTGTTTGGCTCCGGCTTAATGATCAAGATTTGTGCATGGGATAGGAAGGTTATTAGCAATCCAGAAGCTAAATCGGGCTGTGCGACAAGATACCCACACACCCTTTAGTCCTAAGTGTAGGCTGCCTCGAAATCGGCTGGTATCTCTTGTCTTCTCCCCCTCCATCCCACCACCTTGTCCGGCCTTTCACCTAGGTAAGCCTTGCCCACGTTGACACACACGCACCCGGGATTAGTGATCTAGAAGAAAACCGGAAAGTGGTTCCATCTGATTACGACATATCAGAACAGGAATTTTCAAAAAAAAAAAAAAAAAACAAAAAATAAAACACATAACCAAATTAGAGCCTTGTTCAGAGCCGGCCGATCGACGTCCTGCATGACCTTCGATGTCATAGTATCAAATGAGAGGTGCAGGACTGCCTCCGATCTGACCTGGGATTTTGCTTTAAAAACAGACGGCGTTCCCTCTCCCGGAGACGCGGACCCTGCAGTAGAGTTTCCTACCTGGCTACGTGTTCATCTTGTATTCGCACACTGCTATATCTTGGGTCCCATCCCGCTCCATCCAGTCGATCTGTTCAACTTGCTAAGCAAGACACATTCCAACAACTTGTTCTCGGGTACCTTGCGTCGTTGTACGCAGCCCTACCCGTCAAGGCAGTGGGTACAGTTCACTGAACCATATTGCTGTTGGTCTACTGTCTTCTCTCGGACCTTGCCGAAGTCTTTCGCTGACTGGCGCCACGTGGATCTTAAGGGAAGAGCATCACACTTCATCGCAGTAAGTGTATATGACAACACTTGATCGCATCTATCTGACATGATAATAGACAGTATCACGTCAGCCAACATTACCTTGATCTATCATCGGTAGGTAACATCTCGTAATCTTGTCAGTTGTTCCCCTTTGTTGCCGTCTTTGGTAAAGCTGGTGAATCGGAAACGGCGGAGGCAGGCATCAATCGGACTTGTGGTCAAGGTTGTTCTCATATCTCCGAGGCAAGGCGCCTTCCAAGACCAAGATCTCAACCTTGGTATAGGGCAGCCGCAGGGGCCTGAGATCTGAGGTCTGAGGTCTGAGTCTGAGTCTTAGTCTGAGAGTAGCGACAGAGTGAACAAGGAGAGAGAAGTTCGGGGTGTTGTTCTTCTTGGGCTCACCGCTCTCGGTCGCGCGCCAGCCAGTCAGAACACCGCCAAGCCACCGTCCCTGCCCCATCCTCTCTTTCCCTCGCTCTCCCCAGTTTCGCTGTCCTTTCTCTTCCCCCATCATCCACACTGCTCTATCTGTTTATCTGCTATACTCATCCTGCATTTCGCCTCATTATCCCTACCTTATTATTATACTGACGCTCGCCCGTTTCTACTCGTCTTAGCCCGTTGCTAAGCACTTTCTATCGAGTACGTTGCCGCCACCCCTCTTTTCAGCTCCCCTCGAACTTCATCCGCCAGCTACCGTTCTGTATTGGTGATAGCGCGAATGAGCTGACTTTTCCCTATAATAGTTGCAATTTATAATTCATCGCTCGCAATTGCTCATCTACGCGCAGTGTTCTTGACACGCCTCGGGCACCGAAGATTATATTGGCTCCTTCAGCTCAACTTGAATGCGATCGTAGACTTGCAGAAGCGACTTGGTACTTCTTACGATTGGGCAAATCGCCATCCAATTTTGACACCTGCTTTCAACAACAGAAAAGACTCAGTCCTCGACCAGTGCATGGTAGAGGCCAGTCTTGACAAAGACTGCTATCACTCTTACGAACGAGACAATGTCTCACTCCGGATACACAATGGCCAACCAACAATTCGATAACCATTTTGGTAACATGAACGGAAACGACGCTGTTGATCCATCGGATCTCACCATGCAGAACGGAATGTTCATGCCCTACTCCTTTGGATCCCAGCAGAACATGTCCGCCAGCTTCAACATGGGAAATTCCGGTATTGACACTGACGAGCTGCTGGACCTCGATCTGAACGGGCAGAATGGATTGCCTCGTGCAGATGGCATGAACTTCATGCATGACCAGCGACAAAACCAGGGTCTTTCTATGAGTCACCAGAGCCAGATGACCCAAATGTACTCCCAAACCCCCGATGGAGCCCCCATGCACAGCCCGTTCCTGCAAAACGGTTTCAACTATGACCAATTCCAGCTGCCTAATCAGCAGGGTACCCCGTCCCATTTGAGCGCTCCCAACCACTTTGACCACAGCTTTCTCAATGGCAAGACGCGGCCCAGCCTGCAAACCATGGATCGTTCAAACTCTGACAGGACCCCGATGACTCCCAAGACGCCAGCCATTGGAGCCTTGAACCTGAATACGCCAGAGTCTGGAAGCTTTCCATCGCAGCCTATTCGCGCTGCCAACCTCCAACACAGGCATCAGAAAACCCTCTCTAACCAGTGGGATGGTACTCCAGGAAGTGCACAGTCATTTATTGATTCACCAATTGCTTCGCCAAATCTTCACTCCCACCATGCGGGCATTTCGGAAATACTCAAATCCGGAAAACATGCATCTCTCCCTGCCAAGGTGGACAACCCTAGTGCCCAGGCACTCGAATCACAAGAGGCAAAGCGACGTAGGCGCCGAGCTTCTCATAACATGGTGGAGCGACGACGTCGTGACAATATCAATGAAAGAATCCAGGATCTTTCCCATCTCGTTCCTCAGCATCGCCTAGAAGATGATAAAGTCCGTAAACAACTCTTGAACAACTCCACCTTGTCTCCACCAGGTAGCAGCATGAGCCCTCCCAATGCCACTTCTTTGCTAGCTGGTGGTAACGGTCGCCGAGCAACTGCAGGAAATATCACCATGGGGCTTCCTATCGAAGAGAAAGAAAAGGGTCCCAACAAGGGCGACATCCTGAACGGGGCCGTTGGCTGGATGAGGGATCTCATGTGGGCTCTTCATGTCAAGATGCAACAAGAGGCCGAACTGGCTGAAGTCATCTCAAGTCTTGGTGGAACATGGCCCTTTGAACAGACCGAGGATGAGAAACGGATGCGGACTGAGCTTCTCGATGCGATGGAGAAGAATGACCCGAACACTTTTACCTACAGCCGTGCGCCTGGAAGTGGACTCCGCGTGCCGAAACACACAAACATTGCTGGAGAAGCCGTACAAAATGGCGCAGGCTACAGTCCCCAGAGCCTGAGCCCTGCATTCAACAGCGGTGGCAGCGGAACCAACAGCGGCGGTGCAGGTCAGCCAGCATTCTGGAACAACTCTAACAACATCTTCAAGGAAGAAGAAGAATACACGATGGACATGTAGAGCTTTTTACTGTCTTTTCATATACGACCGAATCAGTTGCATATGTGGCGGCGTCAGTGAGGAATGGATATCGGTGTAGATTGGTCTAGCTTTTTTATATTTCTGTGATTGATTATATTCTTGTGATTGCATACGGCTGGTTGGTTTGTCTCTTTGGTTTTGATCTTCTTCGCATTCTGAAACACTGATCTTTTAATATGGGCATTGTTACGCATCATGAGTTTGTCGAGAAACTCATTGCAATCAGCGTCTACTCATCTTGTTCGACAGGAAGACTGTCAACCCCCTTTTTTCTTTTTTCTTTTTTTTTTTTTTTCTCATTTTCGTTTACTTCATATCGATACCCCACAGGTCCATTGTCTCCTCATTTTATTCCCAATATGTCATGAGTTGCTATTGTTATTTTGTTTGTCTTTATCATTCTTATTCTTTTATTATAAGTTTGAGTGATTGATTGCTAGGAAATGGGTATTCATGTTGATTTGTTTGTGTCATCTTTCAGATCGATTATCGCTTTAATGTTTGGAATACGAATGCTCATTAATAATTGAATGATTTAGTTGATTATTCTTGAACATATTCCTAGAATGTAGCAGGTATTGATCTGATTATTCTGATCTCTCTCAGTAACGCTAACTTCTTTCGGAGTAGCATGTAAACCCCCCTTGTGAATGTCCCGACCTTCCTCCCTTTATCAACAACCATTTGAAGTACCTACATTTTCAGTACATGAAAATGTCATCCTCTGGGCTAGGAAACTTTGGCAAACTCCCGCCCGAGATCCGCTTCATGATATGGTCCGACTTCGTCCCCTCGGGCCATGAAAGATCCAAAACGGACCTCTCTATTCTGCGTGCTAGCAAACAACTCCACGCAGAGGTTCTATCGTATTTACACGAGACCATCTCAACACTGGCAATAGTCGTTCGCGCTGAATTCGATGAATTGCATCAATTAGTGGATTCGTCGACCCATCTCTCCTTCGAGATTTGGAGTGGAGGTGCTCTATTGCGCCGGAACGGCGATGATGGTGATGATGTAGAAAGTGAGATGGAAAGATTGGCGAGAGCATCCAGGTGGAAGTTTTCAAGTGCACGGGATGCGTTGGAGAGGGGGTTTGAGTTTCTGCCGTTGGATAAATTGTCGGCGATCATGTGTATTGATGCGCCGGATCCGGATGATGAGGGCCAGTTGATTTGTTTGTGTTTGAGGATGAGGCAAGTTGCGCTGCTTTTGAAGAGTTTGAGGAAGCCGATTTCTCATGTTGGGGTACGGCTTGGTGAGCCGAGGGCGTGGAGGAGGAAGAAGGGGGAGAGGGTGGAGGAGGAAGAGGAAGAAAGTGAGGATAGTGATGATGATAATGATGATGACGATGACGATGACGATAGTGATGATGATGACGACAATGGAGAAGAAGATGATTCTGAAGGAGGAGAGGAAGAGATGGATGAGGAAGAAGATGAGCAACAGGAAGGAGTGGTAGAGGAACAGATGGAGGAAGACACAGACGAAAAGGAAGACGAAGAAGCAAAACTCCAATTCAGCCTCGAGGACATGTTCCTACCAGATCTAGCATTCATCCAAACCGACATCCAAGCAGTCCTCTTCCCATTATACAGCCTCGAGAACGTCGATCTCTTCCTCTTCAACACCGCCGACGCACCACTACTATTCCCAACCGTGTCACCTGACGCTTTTGACTGTGTTCCGGCCATCATACTGGGTAAGCTTACAACGAAACTAAGAAATATAAGCGCACATAAACTCCCCAGGGATCTCGAAGGGTGGAATGATATGTATCATTACTGGCTTCATACGCGACTTGATTGCGCCGAGGGTGATACCGCGTTCACAGTTCGTTTGGATCGGTTTGCGATGTGGCAGGAAGAAAAGTACGACGACTTGTTCTTGGAAATGCTGAAGAGATACCCTATCCAACTTGATGTATTGGACGAGAATGGTCTCGATGGTGTCAGAAGAAGATACGTCTACGCCCACACGCTCAGATATTTCATATCTCGAAGGACATTGGAGGATCTCCCCAGGGACATTGACCTTCGCACAATTGCTCCAAATATTCCTCCTCGGCACTGGGTAAACATCTTTCCCGGTGGTTTGCTCCCGTTAGAGATTGATGAATTCAGTCCGTATGCTGGCCACGACTTCTGGTTTGAATTTGAAGATTATGCGTCTGATTGGCATTCGCGCCAGATGAGTCTACAATTTCGACAAGAGGAGCAAGAAGATCCTTCTGCTAATCTGCCGGGGATGGATGCGTTTGCGAAAGCGGTTTCGGATGCGCAGAATGAAGTAGAACTGTTGATGGATGATGACCCATTCACTGTGGAGAGAACGATAGAGAAGTTTGGTATCAGGCGGAGTGACTGGTGAGATTCATGTCATCAGAGAGCCAGAGTATGTATATTAGCAACAGAGTTAATCCAGGATATGAGCGGCTCAATTATCCAAGGTGTACAAATGAATAGCCATAGATGAGCGGGTCTTTCAAAGAACATCAATTCAAATCTAATGAGATTCATCTATCCGTCAGAAGTAATGAGACTCACTCTATCCAGAAGAAAAGAAACAGGTAATAAAGGACACACGACACAAAAAGGACTCCTGCTGACAAATTGTACAATATCCACAAATAACTAGCAATGATGAAGTGTCAAACATGAAGATGTCAGCTTCTATCCTTTCCGGTCAAGTCGGGCTCTATTGTATGGGTATCAAGTGTCCTCTGCAAGTTCCAATATCCTTTTAGAGTCTATCGAATGGTTGCTTTTGTTGTTGTTGGTCTTTTCGATTCATGATTCAATCCTTGCGCAATGTACGGAAAAAGTCCATGACGCCGGTGAAAACAACCAAAAGAATACCACCACCAGGACCCAATCGAAGCACCTTGGGCAAGAAACCCTTATACAAAGCCGCAAATCCTTCCTCGCGCGCAACAGTGGCAACAGATGGCCAAGCCCAGTTATATTTGGGCACGGATCCGGCGACCTTGGGACTATTCTGAATACGAGACTTGACGACATCCATGGGCGTGTTGAGAATAGTACCTGCGGTACCACCAATAGCACCAGCGACCAAATCATTAATGACTTTGGCGCTCTTGTTACCCGGTTCTGGTGTGGGCATTTGTTCGCGGACTTGGTAAATACATCCGAAATAACCCGCGTTCCAGAGGATGTGACGCCAGAGCGTAGCCTCGAGGCCATTGTAAAGAGCTAGGGGACCTTCCTCCTTCACAATCTTGCTAACAACGTCAATCATACCGTTATATTTGTGTGCTTGAGCCTTATCCTGGAGACGAATCTTGACGAGCTCAAAGGGGACGACGACGAAGGATTCCGTGGCTCCGGCCGTGGCACCGGTAAGAACGGCTAAGGATTGATTGGCCTTTTCGACGCCGAACAGGTTACGATAGAAAGAGCCCCAGCTGTCGTTGGCGGCGAATTTGGTGGCTCGCTTGGGGGCCTCCATCAAGATTGGGGCGGTGATACCACGGTACAAACGCGATGCTCTATTGACTATTAGTTCTGCATGTTTTGAAACAGAGATATTGTGCTTACCCCTCATTGCGGATAATCTTGCTGAAGCAATCCAACATGCTCTTATAAGCCTCTTCACCGGTACCAGCGCCGGATTGGAGTTGACTACACCGAAATATTAGTTTTCATCCTCACATCATGTCCATGAATCCAACATACATTCTCGTCTTGACAACATCCAGTGGATACCTAGCGCATTATTGTTAATTCAATGGTCCGTCATATCTCGGTAGAAAAAAGGCTCGGAGGGAAAGTACATGACAAGAATCTAGACGAGACAAAGCATTAGTAATCTATAGATTGTGCATATGCAATGCAAGTCAAACGGCAAAGATGAATTGCTCACTTCAGAAACACCCGCGATCGCACCGGCGGCGAATTGGTACGCGAAAGGAAGAGGCTTTTCAGTTGAGGACGACATGGTAGCGGTGTTGTCTGAGGATGTTATCTGATGTCTACCACTGAACACAAAGCAATCAGATTAACACTCGATAATACTTTGAGAAGCCGCGCAAATAACCAATTTGAACGACTGATACTCACATCAACAACCCACGCGAGCAGCAAGAGAAAAAGATAAATAAAGACGAGAAGCGGGCGGAGGAGGAAGATGGAGTTCGGCGTGGTTGAAGATGTGGAGCGGCCCGGAATGTGGAGACTTTGGAGAGCGTCTTTAGCCGATGCTCGCTCACCGGCGATCTCAGCCTATCAGTGCTTATTTTAATAAACTAATATATTCATGTCATTGATGTCAATGTCTTGGTATCTACATATATATATATACAGCTTCAAAAGCCAAATTGGAGACAAATACTAACCAACAATGCCACTACGCAAAAATATATATCAGCGACATACCTCCCCCCTCCACCAGGTTGTCCCTTAACAACCGTTGCAGTAGCTATCCCCGAACTAGACGCTGTACAATCACTACCACAGACATATCCAATTGGACAACATCCACCACCAACCGAAACAGCGCAACTAAACCATCCTGTTGCGCAGGAACCGCTTCTTTCACTCGCAGTCGTCGCAGCACTACCTGTGGGGACAGCAATAGTGATGCCATCCGTGTTGATGAGTGTGGTGGAAGATGTTGCCGGGCAAGAAGTGGTGTCGCAATTCCGGCCTGTGCGGCAGCAGCCTCCTTCGTAAACGGCGGAGCAGGCGTAGAAGCCTGTGGGACAGGTTGAGATTCCGCTGGATGAGGAGGAAGCGGTGCCTGTTATGGTTGTTTGGGAACTGGTTGTAGGTCGTACTGGGGGGACAGGGGTTACGGTGGTAGAAGTCTCTACTGAGGATGAAATAGAAGAGACTGAGGTGCTGGTTGTAGGAGCAGAAGATGTAGTCGACACTGTCGGTACAGTCGGCGCAGTAGACACCGTAGAAGACGAAATAAAAGTCGTCGATTGCCTCGTCACCGTATACGTAGACACAAGTGCGCCTATACAAGTCAGTCTTAACTCATCCACAAAGAGACTGAATACTAACATCCACCAGTCACGCAAGTATACCCCGGGATACAACACCCCCCTCCCAAATTACTCGAACAACTTGTATACCAAACTCCACACGAACTCACAGTCTGGCCACACGTTTCTCCCGCAGGACAACAACCAACAACACCCAGACCTGTATCCTGCACAATAACGCACGTAGCATCATTCCCGCAACAGCTATCAGGCTGTCCGATGGCGGAACAACTAAATGTACCCGTGGGACATTGGAAATCTCTCCCCAAAAGCATGACTAAAGCCCTTCTTGCAGATCTGGCGTATTCATTTTTCTTATCAAGTAAATAATCCATATCAGTGCTGGTATGTAGTAATATTGCCGGCTGAGGAGCCACCAATTCTGTCAACGTCGAGTTGCCAACCTCTTTCGTAGATGAAGACGACAAAACCGTATTGTCCCAACCCCAATAATCAAAATAGAATTTCTCCCCTTCATCGTCACTCATCTTCCGGACCACGGACAGCCTCTGTGGGCCATATTGTTGATGGATATTTGTGCCGTTGGTGGATATTGATCCCCCTATGGATGCGAACAGCCATGAAGCGGTGTATAATGTAGATGGTCTCATAATGGACCTTTGAATAAAGATATCGTAAATCAACTGATCATTATAAATCAATACTTCGTCATTCGTTATTCATCATCTAATAAGTTATGGGTTGCTTGCATAAGGTGGCAGAAACGTAAATAAAGCTGGGTGCACGGACCCTTGTTGCTACGCAGTCTTATCTTATCGGAGTACTCAAGTCATAGACTAACAATCATAATAAAATAAATAATCAATGACGTTCATGGGTATCCTCGGAAATTTCATAAGAATTCCACATATCAAGGAACAGTAAATGAAACAAGAAATCAATAAAAAAGACCATCAATCATGGCCCATGAATATATAGCGTAAATGTAGTACCAAATTCGAGTATAAAGACCAAGAAACCCCAAAAGTCGTGTTGGCGGCAAGCCAAGAACCGATGTTGTCTATACGACATTCGACTCGGCTGGGATTTCTTCAGTCGTGCCGTTCTCCACCTCGTTAGGAGTGGATGTTTCCGCCGCGGCAGCTTCGCCGTCGGGTTGCGCAGACTCCTCCTGTGCAGTGGCTGCTTCACCATCAGGAGATTGATCGGATTCCTTTGTGTCCTCCGGAGAGGTTGCTTGAGGCTCTTCCTTCTCAACCTTTTCCGCTTCTTCCATCGCTGCAGCTCGAGCTTGTTGACGCTCCCATACCTCCTTGCGTATACGCTCATCTTTCGCCCGACGCAAACGCTCTGTCTCCTCAAATCCACCGCTCTTCTTCAATTTCCCTTCCTCGACAAACTGTCCTAGTTCCTTCTGGAAAAGACCTACACGGCGAGACTCCAATTCCTTCTGGCGAGCCTTTTCTGCACGCTCAATAGCCTCTAAACGAGACTCATGGTTCGGCTGAAGAGCACGAACCTCTCCAAGAACTCCATCCTTTGCCTTGACCGGGTCTACTCCCTGGTCAATCGCAAGAGTGCGAGACGTGCTACGCAGAACAGGACCGCCATCTGGGGCTTGCACGTTTTGCTGTCGGGTGGCTTGTTCAACGAGAGCAAACGTCTGAGCGGCTTTTTCCAAGTCATCTTCAAGATCAGCAGCCAAATCCTCCTGCATGGTGAGTTGATCACGCTCTTCACAAACAAGTTGTAGTTCCTTTTCCCAAATCTTTGTCCATATGGGTTTCTCGCGCTTGAGGAAATCTTGCATCTTCTTGACCTCCTTTGTGACCGTGCTGATATCTTTACTGACAGCTTCCAGTTGACGAGGAAGTGGGCGTACGCCACGTGACACAACGTCCTTTCGAAGGTCTTCAACAAGATCTTGCAAGTCATCCACGCGGCCAACAAGTCGTTCTGATTCATCGCTAAGTTCCTTCTTCCCAGAATTGATACGGGCACGTCCCGCATCACCTTCAAACGACGGCGTAGCTACAGCAGCGGCGGCAGTCTTAACGCCACCTGCTTTAGCCCGAATCTTGCTCATAGACGCCGCAATGTCAGATGAAAAGTTGGAATAAGTTTGACGCAAAACAGCAATATCACGTCGCAAGCTTTGTATTTCAGCAACCCGGTTAGCATCGCGAGGCACGGGCGACTTTCCTTTGCTATTAGTATCAGAATTAGGTGGGAGTGCAATTTGTGGTGTGGCTGCTAGACGGGCCATTTCTTTGGCAGCATCCAGTTGCCTCTCTGAGACGCGCTGCATTGCAGTTTCCTGGCTGTCAACTGCATTCTTGACGCCTTCAATCAAACGACGGATGCTTCCAATTCCGTCGTCAAAATGGCGTTTCACTTCGTCAAGGACTTCGACATTGAGCACAAGGACCGATCGATCTTTAACGTCACTCAAATCCTCAAGCTCATGCCGCACTCCAGAAATGGGGTCCTGAATATATATTTCAGGAAGATCGACGCCGTTTTGTTGCGTGTTCCAAGCGAACTTCTCAATAAATGCGAGCTGAAGACGCCCAATTGTAAGACCTGTGGAACCCTCAGGGATAACGTATTTCTTTATTTTACTCTTATATTGTAAGAACAAGGTGAGTTCCTTGCCTGGAGATGGAGACTGTTCCGGTATGAAATGTTGAGTCTGAGGAGGTGTGCCGAGCGCGATGGCAGGCTCATCTTGAGCCTTGGGCGTCATAGGAGCGGTATCGCTGGGCTGACTCTTCACGGGCTCAACGTCGTTAGAAACAGGAAGGCCTTGGCCAGGCTGAGGAAATACAATTGAACCATTAGTAGTAGAGATATCGGGACCGTCTATTTCCACAGCAGACCGAAGCTTATCCGTGGGAGCTTTGGACACGGGACTGTCATTGTCGTTTGTTGGCGCTTCACTGGCGGGAGCAGCCTGCTTCGACCGGCTTGGTTGGATATCTTCAGGAATAACCGACGTGGAACGCTGATACGTCGTCCTACTTGGTGACGACTCCTGGCGATTTGCTGACTTTTGCCGACCAACATAAGACCCTCGTAATCGAACAGCATTCAATGATTCTCTCACATCCCGGCCTCTGTTAGGCATAGGGACGGTCTGGGTGGGCAGTACAGGGACACCATTCGAAGATGTCCCGAGATGCTTCTGTATTTGATAAGCTGAAAATCTCCGCGAAGCACGTCGCTCCAATTCGCCGCTTCGTTGTAGAGCTCCCAATGCATCGTCTTGTTTCGGAGGAGGTGGTGGGGGAGGCGGGGGTGTTGAGTATGAGGGTTTACCGTTTTGTAATGATTGCTCTTGCAATGTTGATCCTGTCATCATTGATGACATTGAAGGCGAGGTCAGGGTTCTTTCAGCATCCCTTCGCGATGCTTCTCGCTCAGAGAAACTCCCGTTTGCGTGATCGCGCGGGACTGGTGGTTTATCCTCCAGGGAGCCGCTGCTTCCATAACGGCGGGCAGAGGAAGGTCGTTTTTGCGGCGATGCAGGTGTGGCTTCATCGGCTGCTTGTGACGGACCTGGCTCGCTTCCAGCTTGGCTACCAAACTGGCTTGCCTCGGTGGCATGCCCTTGCTATCCTCTCGAGTTTGGCGCGAGCGTAACCGGGCGTGCTTCTTTTCAAGCCATGTAAAAGGTTTATTATAATATCACGTATACGTGGCAAGTATCGATCCAGGCTCTGAGGCGATGCATCCTGGCTTAAAGTATCTTCAAGAATCGTCCGCAGCAGATCGGGCACAGGGCCGAGGTCTGACGTGTCCACTCCAATGGCACCGAACGCGCGACAAGCCAGGTTGAATTCATATCCCAAGCGTACATAAACATCCGATACCTCGTTTTCGGTAGCCGATCGTCGAGACCACTGAGTCAAGGTCTCTAGTAATTGTTTCGTCGCGACCAGAAGGTGTGTAACACTTGCTTCGATTTGCGATATTTGCTTCCCGGGCTGAGTCATTAAATTAGCATTTGACATCAAACTTGTGGGCTGCAATATGGCTCATATAGGATGGATGAACATCGGGGGGACAGTGCTAAGCTTACCACTCCAGACCGAGACGCATGAGACTGTGCAGAACCTGACGAGCTTCGGGGACCGGAAGGTTGTGATGCCATACTGGCCCCGTTGCTACTGCTGACAGTTGAAGGCGAATCGGCCCTCGAAGGTCGCTGAGTGGAACGCGATAAGGAATGTGACGACTGCATGAGAGAGATCTGTGCGGTTTCTGGAAGTCTGACACGGTGGACTGTTTGTAAATGGAGAAGGTTCTCCCGGCTCGTAGTTGAAACAGCCTGGTGTGATCTGTAGACGAATGAGTTTATAGGGCCATCAGTGGTGGTTTTGGCGAGTGGACCGAGATCTTCCTCTGAGATGTTGTGCCTCCCTGGCAAGAGGCTGGCGGGAAGGTGTGGGTCACGGGTTTCGCGGGCTGGGGACTGAGTCTCCGCCAATCATGTCTCTACGTAACTCCGGATTATGGTGACATTTTTAGCTTGCTCCATTCTAGGATTTGTTTAATTGTCTCTCGGGTTGAAGGCATCGTGAAGTCCTTTTGCTTGTTTCAGGCTGTTCAGTAGCAGCCTAAACGGGCACTTGTATCAGGTTGGATCTGCCGTCGTGATTGGTGGATCTCGTCGTCGGATGGTTAATCCGCATGAATAGTCATTTATTGTCCTTGATGATTTGAATTAACTATTTGATATGCCGATCTGGTATCTGTCTCCTAAGTCCTGCAGCATCATGCTGCGTATACTGTACATATTACATATGTACGATACGGCATCAACTACTGAACCCGGGTAAGAGTGATATGGCCTGATTGCCCAGGCCATTTCAACTCAGCCTCTGGTACTGTACCTGGGCTTTTAGTACGTAGATACTGTCTAGTAGCTCGTACTTAGTATGCCTCACGATGAACACTGCATATCCCATGCAAGGCCTCAATCGCTAATCCAGACTTATCTCAAACAGGCCAATCAACACCCTCCCATTGGATGTCCTACGTATACTCCGTATACCACAGCCTCATTGACAACGAGCCGTAGAGAAAGGGAACAATAAGCGCTCAACCGGTGTCGCACTTGTAATAGAGCCTACAATCAGAACGACTCGATCGTCTATAGACAAGTCATTCAGTCTTAGAGATATCGAAGCGTCAAGACAGAGTGGGCCGCTAGCTGTGGCTCCCGGCAAAACCGCGCTAAGCCGCATTCGACGTCGCTCCGCTCTCTCACTCTGGATCCCCAAAAACCCAAAAATTACCCTCCTTCACCTTTACGTCTCCTGCTTTGTCCATCTGAAGCTCTTTTCTTTCCGCATTTCCTTTTCCTTTTCTATCTCCTCATCTGATTGAAGGGCTTTGCGTACTTCGACACAAGTGCGCTCTTCTTCCCTTTTCTCTCTCCTAACCGAAAACCAGAGGCAGCCTCATTCCCACCGTGCGGGCGGTGTGTGCGTGTGTCGTGGCCTCCTTCCATCCCCTGCGCTTTACCCTAGCTTTGGCGACGTGGGAAACCATTTTAATTTCCACGCCCGAAGCTTGTCTTCGCAATCACGAGCTTCTTCAATGGCTTCAACCGCCAATTCCGTGTCGGCTGCCAACCGGGCGTCTGGCAATAACCTGAATCCTTCCTCACAGAATACTAGCCGGCAATCTCTACGAACGAATACGAGCTTCAAAGGTGCCGATGCCAACCGACGACAGTCCGCAAGTCCAGGCGATGGTGCTCAGAGGTACGTGATGATTGATGATTGCTCGCTTCAACTTGTCAGACAGCCACACTGGGATGAGATATATAGTTCATGCCGTGACTGGGAAGCTGTCCGTGACAGCGCAAACACATCACGCATCACCTACTTAACCCATCCATCTCAGCTTGTCTCTCCGATTTCTTTCCTGTTGCTCTATTTTTTTGTGGCTGCCTTTGACATGTTAATGCTTTATCTGAATTGATGGATTACAATGACTAATCCGCACAATTAGACGTTCCAGCTCTCAGAAAGCGTGGACTCAGGGTATAAATCCCATCACCCAAAAAGTCTCCTCCCAGGCAAACGGCAACCACACTCAATCAAAATCCACTCCATCGCCGAAACCGACCCTGCCGAAAGATACCACCAATACCTCTGATCAACATGCCCACAGCCGACTTGTCTTTTTGATGACAAGCTTTGTCGTATGTCAATATGGGGCCTCGCCGTGGTTTATCTTACATTGCTGACAGACAGACAGGGTCTCTCAGCAACCATCGCTACCAAGAGCGGTGACAAGTTCAGTGGAATATTCTCATCATCTACTCTGGACGCAAATAACGCCTCCATTTTACTGAAAATGGTGCGGCCTGTGACTCAGGCAGAACCCCGTGCCAACGGACTCAGCGATACTACTACTCCTTTTGTGGGAACGGGCCCAGATCACAGTATGAACTTTAAAATGGACGAAATCGCTGATATTGTCGTGAATAATGTGACCACTGCCGAAGTGGCTGCCAAGGATACGAACGGTAAGATTATATGGATTTCATCACTGCGGAATACACTAACCGTTGGCCGTTTTAGGACCCCAAGCCGGGTTTCGCACCGATACGGATATTTCTGGAAGTCTTGCCATGCGTGAAAGACATCTACAACGCTGGGAACCTAGCGCTACTGACCCTAGTGTGGATATGTCTTTAGAAGAGTCAGGGACAACTGGATGGGATCAGTTCGAAGCCAATGAGCGTCTCTTTGGTGCCACTACCAGCTACGATGAGAATATCTACACTACTCAAATCAACCGTAACGACCCCTTGTACAAGAAGAAGCAAGCCGAAGCTGCTCGGATAGCCCGGGAGATTGAAGGCACTGCGACAGACAACCCTCATTTAAGGGAAGAGCGAGGCCATGCAATCGAAGGCGAAGGCCACGACGAAGAAGAGCGATACAGTGGAGTGCGCCGCGATGCAACTTATTTGCCCTTGCAGACGGGACAGCCAAATAAGTATACCCCACCAGCTCGCCGACAGCAAGCAGCTCAACAAACAGCTACCACTTCTGCTGCTGCTGCCGATCCAGCTATTATTTCCGCTCAATTAGCCAAACCAGAGGCGGTTTCGGAGGCCCCCATCCCGTCGAAGCCAGCGGTTGTACCTACCATAACGCTTGAGAAGCAAACCACTGCACCTGTTCCTTCCTCCGATCAAAAGGCGGCAGCGCCAACAACGGCAACCTCACCACTCAAACGCCCGGGAGCTACCGAGAATGCGACATCGAACGTGGAGACAGAAGTGTTGGACCATTTCCGACAATTTGCAAATAACGAGAAAATGAGAATGCAAGAACGTCGGCGTAACCAAGCCTCGCATGACCGTACTGTCAAGCTCAATGAGCTCATGAAGTTCTCACAAAACTTCAAGCTTGCTACTCCTGTTCCCAAGGATCTTGTACCTATACTTGCGAAAGACCCAAGCAAACAGGAGGAAATCATTGAGCGCGCGCAGCGTCAAGCGGATGAAAAGGCAGCTGCGAAAACGGCAGCACAGCCAGCGGCACCTACGACCGAGCAGAAGCCCAGCAGCATTTCTCGCACTACGGCACCACGTTCAGAAGCTGGCCCCGCGAACATTCCTCCATCTGCGCCAGCTGATCGTCAAACCCACCGCGGACGACAGGCATACCCTCCTCAAGGGCCTCAATTCGGCATGGGTGGTAGATTCCAACCACAGACATTCCATGGCGGTCGAGGAAATCTCAGCTCACGCCTGGCAGACAATTTCCGCCAGCAGAAGAACTCTCTTGGAACAGTTCCTGCGCCTCTACCTATCCATGATCCTCGAATGCCCCCTTCAGGCCCCTCGGGTGACAAGTCGCAATCGCAGACTCCTACATCGACCAAGTTCAATGCGCAGGCGTCCGAATTCAGACCGAATCCAGCTGCAAGCACATTTACCCCTGGCGGTCCTGCAAGCACTGTGGCTTCTGCCAGCCCACACTTGAGTTCTCGTGGACGCTCCGTTTCTCGTGCTAGCACACCGTCAGCGTTTTTCGGAAACAAGAAGCCGCTACCTGCGGCGGAGAGGCCGTCTCTGAAAACTCAATGCTCTCCTATCGAGCGCTTGAAGAAAGAAGGCGCAGAGCAAAAGGACAAGGACTTCACATTTAATGGTGGAGTGCCTCCCGCATATCGAACTGCGCCAACTTGGGATGTCGCACCTGGTAATGAGGAAAAGACATACAAAGACATGTTTAAGAGTTCGCGTCCCGCCATTTCGCCTCAAAGCCGAACTGCGTCAAACCCACACATTCCACACCCTTTACATCACCCGTTCAATCCTCAACAAAACACGCCAGGTATTCACGCCACTGGTCCTCTTCACGGACCACCTCATCTTCACCATCAACATCCAAACTCTCATTTTGATGACCCTCATCGCATGCAGTTATCCGCGTCCACATCTCACATGTTCCCGTCGCCAAGACTCCAACAGGCTTATCCTTCGCCTATGGTACCACACGCTCAGTTAGCTTACGGTCAACCCATGCCACAATTCTACGGAGGACAACAACCTGGTCATATGCGCCAGTATCCCGGTGCTCCTCAATTTGTCAATCCTCAAAATGGAATGGGTGCACCTATGATGGTTCAACAGCCGTCCAGTGGTCCATACACGGGAATTCCGCAGGGCATGAATGGACATTACAACCCTCAGATGCAAATGTATTCTCCTAACCCATCCTATGCATATCCCCATCACGGTGGGCCTCCTCAACCCCACAGCGGTTATCCGAGTCCGAGTCGAGGTGCCCCAATGATGATGCATCAGGGCTCACAACCTGGTCAACCGCCGCAGCCAGTGATGTACATGAATCAAGGCCAACAAGGACAACCAGTGTACGCACCACAGCAGTCTGGTGGTCATGGTAGGTTTTAGCCTCAGTCGATCCTGTTGGATGATTCAGCTGACACCTGGGGAAATTATCATAAGTCCCCCCTCGCGGATATCCACAACAGCCTCAGTTTAACTCTGGCTCTCATCATTACCCGCCTCATCAACATCGCGGTCCTGGAAACAATTACAGCCCAATGCAACAAGCTCCGCCTCCTCATATGCAAGGTCAACCGCCCGCCGCACCAGCCAACACCACCGAGGCTGCCGATGATGCCAAATGAAAGCCGCTGGTCTGATTTGAACTGTCTGTTGGCTCTTAATGAAAGTATCATCACTTCTGGCGTGCCAAGTGATCTGTATCCTTCGAATGCATTGACTATTCCTGGAGGCACTGAAAGTATCGATTTCATGATATTGCTTATGGTACACAAACTATGACGCACGCAGTGATAGTGGTTGCTTCGAGACTATCGACATCAAGTTTAGATTCAGATATGGATTTACTGATGCCAACTGGTCCGCGGAGATCCTCTCTACCGTCTTACAAGGAGGGTTGGAGGGTTCTTCAAGGGCCTTTGTTAGGTGTCCGTCTTATCGAATTGGGCGGCGGCGGCGGCGGTGGTCTGGAAATGGAAGGAACAGTGACTTATTGTCTTCGGTTGAATCTAGCATCCATACACGCAATATCTGTACTGGCTGTAAGCGGTCTGTTTGGAGCTAGCTAGTTTCTATCTACTTAGGAGGTATTCTCTATAATATAGCTCAAAACCATATCTTTTATTTAATCAAATCCCTCGTAAATTATAGAGTTTATACCTGGCAGGAGAAGGAATCGCTGATGATATAGTATAACTCCGATTTCTGGATAGCCCGATTGCGTCTTGTGTCTCGCAACCTTAGGAGGAATCACCTATTGACAGATGTCAGCTCTTTACACCAACTGTGAATCCGCAAAGAAATCATGTTGACCACAACCCAATCTCAATCTCTCGACTCCTCAGGTCTTTTCAGTTTATATTTGAAACATCATATCTCACAACCCCATCAAACCAGAGACCAGGAAAGGAAGGAAGAATCATAAAATCTCGCGGTGCCATTCTCACAGATGAGAACACTGACTCGGTTTGCAAACCAAAACAACACAGAACTCGAAGAGAGAGATACCAGAACCGGAAAGGAGATATGTTCATGTCTGCCGAAGCCATTGATTTGTTCTTCCATTACCCCCAACAAGAAAGACTCCCGAAAAAGGGATATTGGAAAGCACCCTCATGAAAATGAAGCGGGTAAACAAACCCCAAAATGCGGCAGGTGCCTTCCCTTCGTATGACAAGCCATCTTTATGTGCATAGTGAGAGAAAAGCCTCGAGTAGATTGTATGGAGGATGTGGACAACACTCGCAAGCATCTCACGATGCAATACCTGAATGATATTTATCCTGGATTGTCTCTGAGGAGTCTGTTTATTCATTTTGCAGAGTCACTTATTCTGGGAATAGCCCCTTCGAGAAATATGATCTGTCTTTTCGATTTCTTGGTCCCGGTCTTGGAAGGTATGTTTTGATGATCTGACCTTTTACCATGTTTGCATCATTGGAGTGAGGGAGAGAGATGTGTCGATGATGAGTTTGCTTTGGGAAGGATAACTGGCTTACCAAAAAGACAGCTACATTAGCTGGGTAGTAGTATATTATACGATGGTTGAAGTGAAGTAGAAGAGTGAAATGTTCGACGAAGTTGAAGGTGGATCTGATGGCAAAAGTAAGCTAAACTTGAAAAGGACATATGGAGAACTGTCTTGAAGCCCCATGCGCCAGACCCAATCGGCGATAAGCAATGATCAACAACTTATTTGTTCTTATGGATGAGGGGCATCAGCACAAGACTTTTGATATACGATTTTGGGCAGTTGTCCATATTTGTCTTTTCTGAAAATTATTGTGCCTTTATCGGAGTTATTTACAGCCAGAGTCCGGTGACAAGAACAAGGTCAGAGAGCTAGGGATCATTGGTGACAGTATGGGAGCATCGATACGTGCCATTTGCTACGTGCCCTGATATCTCGACCCTCACCCACCGCTTATCTACAATAGACTTGAAGAAATTGAACATCTCAATAAACTCAGGAGCCGAATTTCCGCCACTATGGACTTTCTTAAGTCTGCTGTCGCCTCGGCGATGGCCAAGGGGAGTTCTCTCCCCTTTTCGCTTGGAGATCGTGTCGACATAGACAGTTCATTATGGACGCTACACAATGCGACGAAGCGGGTGCGCTTGTCCCTTCTCTCAAATATACTGTTAACTGTGCTTGACTGCGGACTAATGAGGGGGATAAACAGGACGACGGATCCAATTGCACCGTTTTCACATTCGATATCAACGCAAACAAATCCCGCCTTTCTCTCGCCAAAAATGCGATGCGCAAGTTTAGGACGTTAAGACATCCTGGCGTACTACGAGTAATAGATACGATCGAAGTAAGGAGTCTGCATATGACCAAGCAATTGGACAGTTGAAAAGGACACGCAGAACTTACATTGGATTAGACGGAATCGCATATTTATATCGTGACTGAAAGAGTGATGCCCCTTTCCTGGATAGTGAAACGCAAGAGTATAAATGAGGAGACGGCGAAATGGGGGTTATATACTGTAGCTGTGAGTCAAAGTTTTGAGATTTTCAGGCGGCCGGATCTGACGTGACGGAATAGTCGACTCTCAAGTTTATCAACGCAGACGCTTCTTCTGTGCACGGTGCGATTCGAGTATCTTCTATATACACAAGTGAGAGTGGAGAATGGAGATTAGGAGGATTCGATATCTTGAGTTCTATGAACGATGATGATGCTGTCATCTACGTACGTTGGATGGGATCACTGGTGTCGTGGTGTAAAAGCTGACTGATCATTTGACAGACATACGGCAGCCTAGTACCCGATTCAGCGCGTTACGCTCCCCCGGAAATCAACAAAGGAGGATGGGAGATTATCAAGCGGAATCCACTGGCCGCCGTGGATTCATATGGACTAGGAATATTAGTGTATGAAGTGTTTAATGGTAACTTCACAAGCCCTGACCAGGTCGGAAAGACGACCAATATACCACCCAGTATGCACCAAAGTTACCGAAGATTGTGTGCCGCCAACCCTAAACTGCGACTAAGCGCTGCCAATTTTGTTGAGCAGGGAAAGAAGATTGGCGGTTTCTTCGAGACGCCTCTGATTCGGTTAACTGATGATATTGAGAGTTTGGGATTGAAGGATGATGCGGAGCGAGAAGAGTTTCTTAAGTGAGTGCTAAATCTATACTACTTTGCACATTCGGTCCACTGACGTGTACAGTGAACTGGACGCGATTTCCGAAGACTTTCCTGAAGATTTCTTCAAGATGAAAATATTGCCCGAACTCTTGAAATCAGTCGAGTTTGGTGGTGGCGGCCCAAAGGCTCTCACTGCCGTGGTCAAGATAGGAACTAAGCTCACAGACGATGAATATTCATCGAGATTAACTCCCGTCATTGTTCGATTGTTTGCAAATCCGGACCGCGCTATGAGGGTTAGTTTACTGGACAACCTGCCCCTGATAATTGATCGTCTACCACAGAAACTTGTCACTGATAAGATCTTTCCACAAATGGTAAGCATAGCTCATGCCATCTTCTATGATTGGAGATGCTTACGTGTCTAGACCTCTGGTTTCACCGATGTTGCACCTGTTGTCCGAGAGCAAACGGTCAAAGCCGTTTTGACGGTTATTGGCAAGTTGTCCGACAGAGTGATTAATGGCGAGCTCCTTCGATTCTTGGCTCGTACTGCCAACGATGAACAGCCTGGTATCCGAACAAATACAACAATCTGTCTTGGAAAGATTGCGAAGAACCTTTCGCCAGGTGTAAGTTCTTTTATTAGATATTAAAGTATACCCCGTGCTGATTGAATGAGATAGACAAGGTCAAAGGTGCTCATAGCAGCATTCTCGCGCTCAGTGCGTGACCCTTTCGTGCACGCACGAAATGCAGGATTATTGGCTTTTGCAGCAACGATAGATTCGTTTTCAGAGGATGACTGCGCTAGTAAAATCATGCCAGCCCTGTGTCCTGCATTACTTGATAAAGAAAAGTGAGACATCGAATCCGGGTTTGATCCGGGCTCAACTAATCTGCCAATAGACTTATTCGAGATCAAGCAAACAAAACTCTCGATTTATATCTACAACGAGTGCGGAAACATGGCAGTACCATGGCTGACACTGTATTACCACCGCCGAATACTGTTGATCCAGCTTCAACGAACAATCCCAATGCTGCGCGAATTGGAACTTCTAATGATACTTCATGGGCCGGATGGGCAATCTCTTCATTCACCAATAAACTTACCGCTGCAAAGGGCGAAATAGAACCGACCAGCACACTTACGACTACCGAGTTGACCCGACCATCCTCCGTACCTCAACCTTCAATAACTCCTTCTATGACTGAACCCGCAAGACATGCAGCCTCAACATTACGCGCTGAAGCTCCCGCATTAGCACGAGCAACTTCAGACACAGCCGCACAAACAACAACCGACACCCTAAAACCATTAGACGATGACGACGGCGACTGGGGCGCCGATGCCTGGGACCAAGGGGACGAAACCGCTACAAAGGCCGATGAGGATCAATTCTTCGACGCTGGAAGTAGTCCAGCTCCAACATCGCCAGCTACCACCTCCATTTCGGCGGCAGTACCTTATGATGACGGCGGCGAGCCGGATTTCGCAGGTTGGTTGGCGGCGCAGTCGAAAGCGAAGGCTAAGAAGCCGTTACCGAAGGGATTGGGTGATAGTAAGATGAGTACGGCGAAACAACAAGTCCCCATTCGGTCGGCGCCTGTTTCGCGGTCAGCGTCGTCGAGGCCTTCTCCTAAACCTGCAAAGGTTATTGATACGACGCCGAAGGATGAAGGGGAGGAAGATGGTTGGGGGGATGCATGGTAGAATGCACCTAGCAGGGGTGTTTTTACCCCTTTTGCCCTGGTCACTTGTTCTCGTAGATAGCCACCTCAATCAACTTATTTTATAATCACTGAATTCGGTTATCGTAGTGCTTGAGCTGGCCACGTACATTGAACTCTAGAATTCATTCACAACACAAAATATTCCATCTTTTCTTCGTTCTATTCCAAGGTCGGTGATAATTAACAAAAGTCGGCGATAAATCAATTGGCCCCGGTAAGCGTTGGGACTAATCCTGGAACGATCAGGGCTGAGGCTGGGCTGTGGGATACGAGCCAGACCAACCACGTCTCCATTTCATTTAATTTTCTACAGGCTACAGCATTCTCACAACTCATCACCCGTCACACACACACAGTGTCTCTTTTTCGATCTAAAACCATTAATTTGCTGTAAGAGAACAGCCCCCCGGACGGTCTCTGCAGTGTCTGCAATGCTGCCAAGCCTTGATACCAATCCGGCTGTGCTGTAAGGCATCAAGATACACTCCTCTTAAATTGAGGGCTCGATTGATGTGGATTTTGAATTTGTGCGGTCGAAGAAATCCATTGATTATTGCAAAATGGATCATAATCACCCTGATGATGCTCCTCCACCATACTCTGCAGTTGACCCTCTGCAATTGCAGCAACATGTGGACAATAATGGCCATGAAGGGGCCCATACCTCTCCTCCACTAGAAACGGGTTTCTCTTCTTTAAACATTCAATCTTTATCACCAACGTTCCCATCCATTGCTCCAGCAGAGACATCGACAATCTCTACCACAGACTCCGGGCTATTATCTGAACATTCTGCACCCACGCTGGCTACACAATTCGCGTCGGCAGCGGGTTACTTCACTGAACGATCCCAGCCTCTCCCAGTCACCGGGGATATCAAACGGGAAATTCTCGTCCACCACATTACAATATACGCCCGCAGTCATGGCAAGGATTTCCCTCGCAGGCCGCGTTGCTGGAACGCCCGAGCCAGCGAAATCAATCAACATGACTGGGACATATTCCTCAATTTCTTGTTCCCCTCTCACCTCAATCCGGCAGCATCATCGCATAGACTTCACCGGCAATTACGAGCTGAAATCGAGCGGGATCGTAAGGATCGTGCGCAAGAAACGGATGGTCAGCGATCTGCTCGTATCAATGAAGTGATTACGGAGTGGAACGATTACTTCTTTGCAAGTCGCGGAGTCCATGTTACATGGAAATATGTGGCGGACTTGGAGGAAGGACCGCCCTCTTCTCTGTGTCCGAATTGTTACCCGCAGGCAACGGATATTTCTCGAAATCGCGGTGGATTGGCTCGTAACGACTCGATGAATGCGCCAATTCCAGTATCCACGGAGCAACAATCCCGCAGCCGAACTATAAAGCGAAGACCAGTACCACAGAATAGCTGGGGTTCGGAGTCATCATCACAAACCTCTAGTGCTGGGACTGAAATATCTCCTGTCACTGTCTCTGGCGGAATCCTAAGCCAAGGACGAAATCAGGCTCGAATGGCTTTTCCCGAGCGTTACCAGTCTTCTGTTCCTTGGAGGTCCAATCCCATGTCTTGGGCTGCACAGATGAGTTCAATTGCACAACAATATGCTGCCAGAATTAGCAACCAGGCGCAAGATTACAGTAGAGCGATTGAAGAGAGTGCCCTGGCACGTTCGCGACAGGTGGAAATGTACAGCAGGAGAATGGAAGATAGTGCATTGATACGCGGAAGGCAACTAGAAGCGATGGCGTTAGCGAAGGGGCAGATGATTGAGCAGGCTGGAGATCGAATCGCCAATTGGGCGTCTAACATGGGGAGACGTGTTGTCAATCCGCTTCCAGGTCCATTACCTACAGATCACTCATACGATCAATCAACATACGGTTTAACCAATGGCAACCTCAATAACAGACAACGGCCGCGATCTCGGCGCCAATCTACAGCTTCTGATACATCGATATCGTCCATATCGTCTATTGATACTGTCTCGTCGGTCTCTGACTTGGAACCAGATGATCTGACTTCCATCCGATCCCAATTATCAACTCTAGATGATTACCACCATCATGAACTATACGACGCCGCGGTATCCCTCCGCAGTCAACTCGAAGCCATGAAAAAGTCTCGATGCACCCGTCGAATCAGATCGTATCATTCCCGATGGGAAACTCCCGAAGAAGCTGCTAACAGGGAGAACCGCCGACAGACTATGAAAAGAGAGTCCAAACTTCTACGAGAAAAGTTCCACGAAGTAGAGCGTCGCGCAAAACGAGAAGTCCGCGATATGCAGAAAGCCAGAAGGGAGACGAAGGAGAGGGAGTGGCAGGAACGATTGCGAGCAGGTAGTTTATTGATGTCTATGCAATCATCGCAATCGCTGTCTCGGCAATCACGCGGATTTCCTGAGAATACGGAAATGTACAAGGATGCGCAAATGCAGGCTCCGTCAGCGTCAATGAATCGCACCATCAGCGAACCTATTCATCAAGTCGCTGGTGAAAGTAGTAACATCCCACCACCATCCCCGTCAATAATATCTTCTCAATCAACCGCATCAATTACACCAGCAACACCCATAGACCCGCACGAAGCAGCAAAGGCATGGACCGAAGCCCAGCGCCAGCGTGTAAAAGAAATCCAAAAGGCAAACAAAGAGCGGATCAAAGAGATCGAGAAATCGTACAAGGAGCGAGAGAAACAGCAACGAAAAGCGATGAAAGTGTTGGCTAAACGGAAAACTACTACGACACCGACAACGCCGTTTACGATACTTCATTCTTCATCGTCGGCGAGTCTGGAGACGGGGACTATTGAGGGAAGTGCTATGAGGCATGCTGTTAATGATGTTGCGGTGCAGGGACAGGGGAGTAGCACTTCAAGTAGAGGGAATGTGAGTCAGGAGAGAGATCCTGATGGTACTAAGACGCAAATAGCGGAGTTGGATGGAACTTCGATTCAGCAAATGGATAACTGAAGGCATGTCTGGTTTCCTGGTCGTTTGGAATGTTGTCCAGGAGCCAATTTTAGCGAAATATAAGTGATACCATCAATCATCTATCCGCCCTCATAGTTAATACTCTAAATCACCTAGGTAGCTAAGTAATCCAGCAAGGGCGGAATTTTTAGATGCCCGTACGAAGAGCGTTATCGACTCGCCGCCTCATTTCTTTCCACTAAATCTCCCACGCCTAGACCCCTCCCAACCTTGACACGAATCTTTTTCTCCTCCTTCTCTTTCCCACCAAGCTCACCAACAGCCTCACCCTCATCAGCATGCCCATCTCCATTTTCTGCAGCTGTCTTCTCCTCGGTTTTATCTTCAGACCAATCCAGCCATAGCGGCGTGAGGTCTCGACGCATGGCATATGCATCTTCGTCGTCGGCGTAGTATTTGCTTTCGATTTTCTCCACTTCGAACCCCAGTGTATCCCTGTACAAGCGGAGGGCGGCTGTGTTGGATACACGCACATGTAGAGAGACGTAATGTGCTCGGTGTGATTCGGCCATTGCGCGTTCTATCGGCCGTCATCTCATTAGTAAGACTATTCTTCGCAAGGAGGAAGGCAAGAAAACATACGACTCATCCTCATCAACCTCTCCGCGATCCCCAATCGTCGATGAGTCCTCATCACACTCAAACTCGTAATATGTCCATGCGCCACGCCATCTGACGGCTCCTCTTCCATTTTCGCAAGTACATATCCCACGACTTTGGGATAATCATAATCCACACTACCTCGACCGTCTTTCTGCTGTTGTTTTCTCGATCGTACCACGGCCACGAAGCTGAGTTGTGGCCATGTCAAGGCGTGGTAGAGGTAGTACTTTAGAAAGTAGTTTTCGGGGAGGTTGGTGATGTTGCATGTTTGTACAGCTGGTAAGAGGTGCATGTACGAGGGGAATGAGGAGAGGGGTAGGATGTCGACCATTGTGTCTGCCTTCGTGGCGTTCTTTGGCGTGAGAGGTGGGTTGGACCAATTGCGTTGTAGACGAGGTAGAATTGTCGATTGTCGCCTACTTGATCTCTCGTAGGCGCTCAGACGTTGTCGGCCTGCTTAGGTCAAGGTGTTCTTGATGCTCCGAAGTTTAACTAACTTAACTAGTTAACATAACTTTAATATCGGGGGATCTGCTTATGTAATACGTCTACTGGTCATCGCTGCCCGAGACATAAAGTACGGATAACGTAATCGGTAAGCGGCCCGCCCATCTAAGCGATCCAGCCACCTCACCCCGAAAACATCATCTATATTGACCTTATAACTTCAACGCGACATTATGCCACCAATTCACAAAAGAGACCCCTTAAAATCAGCTCAGATAGAGGGAAAGATCCAATTAGCTATTTCCGATTTAAAAATGGAAGAATTTCCAACATTCGTGAAGCTATGAGGATTTAGGCGATCCCTCGTACAACTCTCCGAGACCGACTAAAAGGAGTACAATATCGACGTACAGCACGCGCCAACGGTCATAAGTTGACTCAATTTGAGGAGGAATCGTTTGTCAAATGGATACTCGATCTAGATAAACGTGGATTACCTCCTCGACACTCTTGTATGAGAGATGGCTGATTATCTTCTTTCACAACGCGCGAGCCAACAGGTTGGAGAGAAATGGGTATATAATCTCATTCAACGTCGCCCAGAGATCGAATCAAAATTTTCACGGAAATATAACTACGAGCGTGCTAAATGCGAAGATCCGAAGATAATCCAAGAATATTTTGATCGCGTACGAAAGGTATATTAGAATGTGGAATCTTGCCGGAGGATATCTACAATTTTGATGAGACTGGCTTTGCTATGGGATTCTGTGTGACTGCAAAGGTTATCACTGGAAGTGATCGATATGCTCGGCCGAAGCTATTACAGCCTGGTAATCGAGGATGGGTAACTGCAATTGAAGCAGTTGGTTCGATTGAATGGGCCTTGCCTTCGTACGCCATTTTCAAGGCAAAGAAATACACTCGATTAGGCTGGTTGAGGATCTCAATGTTAGCGATAATGGATGGACAACAGATAAGATTGGATTAGAATGGCTTAAAACTCATTTTATTCCTCTTACCGATGGCCGTACATTGGGGAAATATCGGATGTTGATTCTTGATGGTCATGGAAGCCATTTAACTCCTGAATTTGATCGGATATGCACTGAGAATAATATTATTCCAGTCTGTATGCCTCCTCATTCCTCACATCGTTTACAGCCTCTTGATGTTGGCTGTTTTGCTGTTTAAAGCGACATTAT